TCTATAGGACTTAATGTTGGAAATGTTTATAGCTTTAGTGACATTCCTAGCATTATCAGTGACCGCAGCTATTACCTTGTCTTTAATATTCCATGACTCAAGGCAATTCACTAGTTGGTTTGAGAGATTCTCTGATGTATCCGAAAGTTCCGATGCAATAAAGTCCAATACAAAAGAAACAAATATTTTTGTTGTTTTCGCTCTTTTTTGTAAAAAACTGTTTAAAATCACTATAAAGTGTGTTTTGCTTCAAATCCTCACCTGATTTATCTTTTATACTATTTAATTTAGATAATAGTAATAAATTATCCATATTTATTAAATAATTTTATTAATTTACTCAATTTTTTTCTAAAATCTCAATAAATAAATATTTGCAATTATTTTCATTTTTTTGCTCACTGAAAAGTAACGAACTCACTGAAGGGGTAAGTTAGTAAACGTGCCACTAACTAACTTGAACTCACTCAAATTTGAAAAAACCACACATTGAACATCAAAAAATTAATGTTAAATTTGATTGTTTTTTTTTTTTTTAAAATTTTTTTTTTTCATTAACTTTTTTTATTTATTAATTAAGAAATGGATAAATTAGTATTAGTACCTATTGCAGATGGATCAGAGGAGATGGAATTATCAATTATTATTGATGTTCTCAGAAGAGCAGGTGCAAAAGTTACGGTTGCATCTGTTTCTAGTAATCTTCAAGTATGTCATTCAAATCTGTGTTTAAACAGTTATTAAAGTAACTTGACTAATTTGTTAAAATAAAAAGATAGATGGATCAAGACATATTAAAATAGTTGCTGATCAACTTATTGAGAATATAGATAATAATATTCAATGGGATTTGAGTAAATATATAAAATAATAATATAAATTTATTTTGTTCAATTTTTTTAAAATTTGTACCTACTTTTTTTTTTTTTTTTTTTTTTAGTTGCATTACCAGGTGGTATGCCAGGTGCATCTAATCTATCGGAATGTAACAAGTTGATTGAATTACTTAAAAAGCAAAAGGCAGAACATAAACTCTTGGCTGCAATATGTGCTTCGCCAGCGGTGGTACTAAACAAACACTCACTCCTTGGAAATGAAGCAACATGCTATCCAGCAAAGAACTACATCGATCAACTAGGTAGCAAGTATATTGATCAAAGAGTGGTTGTAGATAGAAACATCATCACATCACAAGGTCCTGCAACTAGCTTTGAATTTGTTCTCGAACTGGTCAATCAACTCTATGGTCCTGATAAGAAATCAGAATTAGCCAAACAATTGGTTTTGTAAATATAAATAATAATAAAGATAATCACATAAAGGGTTATTATGGTTTTAAATAAATAGATTGATTTATTGTTGTTGTTGTTGTTGGAATACAACACTACCCTTTTTAATAACATGTGAAATGGGTGGATCAACCATTTCATAGATGATATGCTCCCATCTATTGGAATCAATGATTACCATATCAGCATATTTTCCTATTTCCAATGATCCATGTGTTTTTGATTTATTAATAGATGCTGAAAAAAATAAATATCTATGTTAGTTATTGATCATGAATGATAATAATTAGTTTAGTTACCTGCAGAATTTATGGTAGCAGCAACCAATGCTTCGTTCATATTCATTTTCATGAGAACACATGCAAGGTTCATTACGAATGGCATCGATAGACAATGTGCGTTTGGATTGTAATCACTACCTAGTGCAACTGGTACGTTGAGTTCTATCATTCTTCTGGCTGGTGGACACTCTAGACGTAGTACATAGGCGGTGGTTGGGAGAAGCACTGCAAATGTCGGTACTTTCGCCATCTCCAACATTCCCTCTTCGCTGACCTTCTCGAGATGACTGATGGCACGTGCCTTTAGCTCGCCAGCCAACTCACCGGATTTCATAAAACTAAGTTCATCGCCGTGAAAGTTGATAGCCAATCCCAATTGTTGACCGGCTTCCAATATTCTCTTGGTATCATCGTACTCAAAGAATCCACGCTCCAAAAAGACATCGATGTTCTCTGGCGATATCTCACCGGCATCTCTTAGTCGCTTCAACTCTGGCAGCTGTTTGTTGACAATGTCTTCGGTTGCCTGCTCGGCGGTCGACCCTTTTGGAATGGCATGACCACCTAAGTAGGTAGCAGAGATCTCAATGGCATGTGATTGAGCTGCACGATGTAGTACTTTGAGCATCTTCATCTCGGTGTCTGTCTCCAAGCCATAACCGCTCTTTGCTTCGATGAGAGTGGTACCTTGTTTCAACATACGATCGAGTCTTGGTTTCAAGAGGTTGAAGAGATCCGACTCGCTAGCTTGACGTGTGTGTTGAACGGTGAAACCAATACCACCACCGGCTTTCTGTACCTCTAGGTAGGTTGCACCCGCCAGTTTCATAGCAAACTCATGTACTCTATCACCGGCATACACTGGATGAGTATGACCATCTACCAAACCTGGAATAACAGCACGACCTTGACAATCGATAACAGTGTCGAAACTATCATCTCTATGTCTATCTAAAATCTCTTGTTCCGTTCCAATATCAATGATAATACCATTACTATCAACTATTAATGATCCATTTTCAATTATTTCAACCTTTTATTATAATATTTTATAAATAAGTTAAATATTTTTAAAGTTTAAAAGTAAAAAAGTTAACTTACATTACTCATATCTTTACCAACAAGATATGGTTTATTCTTTGAAACAACAACTAGTTGTGATGCATTCTTTATTTTTAATTTATAATTAACCATCTTTTTGTTTATTATTTAATTCTTTATGTTTAAATAAATAATATATTAAAAATAATAAATTAAATGAAAATATATTTGATTTGTTTTAATGAAATTTCATTTGTCGGACCAATTCAAAGTTTGATCACAATTCTTCTGTTGTTCATTTTTTATTTATTTATTAATTTTTCAACGATTTCATAGATTTGATTACGTTTTATACTAATATAATCTGGTGTTATCGTTTTATACATTGATGATTCAATATCTGATGTTATTTTCAAAGGTTGTTGATTGTTTTGTTTGTAGTTTTCAATTAATTGTTGTGATAGATTCTCTGTGATTGATAATAGATACATTCCACAATCGAAACCATTTCTCTGTTGTGGTGTATTTCTCTTTGATATCTTTGATGATGTATATTGTTGACCAGTGAGTAGTTTATACAGCTTTCTAGCAATAACACAACCATAAGCATAGTTTGAATCACCACTTATCGAATCATAATAATAAAATGATTGATTTACTTTTTCATATACAAGTAATGACCTAAAATAACAACAACAACAACAAAATCATTAAAATTAATATAATTATAAACAATCTATCTGGATCCACAATTTATCTACATACCAATGAGAACCACCAGCAATTTGATCTGGATCTTCATTATTATTAATTGGTATGAAAATAATCTCTTTTGAAGGTAGATCTAATGCACCTATCATTGAATTCAACTCTGCAACATCATCACCATTTACATAGTTTAACATAAACACTGTAGAAGCACTCATCAATGTTATCTTTTCTAAATAATCTTTTAACAATGTATCTGATAGATATCTATATTATATGTTATTTTGTTTAATACATGTAATATATATATAATGTTTTATTACTTTTACTTACTCAAAATAAAAAGAGATAATGGCATCATTTAACCATTGATATCTATTTTTTAGAATAGATAAATCTGATTTATATAAAGATGCATCTTTAAATGATAATATAATCGGATCGTCGCTCATCTTATAAATAAGTTTGTTGATTAAATATTATTAATTGAAAAAAAAAACAAAAATTAATTTTAAATAAATTTATTGTTTGTTTGATTTCTTCTTTTTCATTTGTCTTTCCATTACACCTGAACCACTGGATTTTACCAATTCCAATTTAAGATAAGGAATGAGAATTGAACCTTTAGATGATACCGTTAATGACATCTCTGGTGATATCGATACAGAACCTTTCAAAAGAAGTGAACATTTCTCTAGCTCTAGTTGTGTCAGTGGCGTTAGAATGAATAGCAACTTATTCTCTATATCTATTGATCGAACCAATCCAATACCAAGACATTGAGCAATTGGTATCTCACCATCAACCATACTTAAAAATGTTGGATATTCTGAATTTAATTGATACTAATATAATAATAATAATATTAATAATTATACATTATATTTAATTATAAAATATTATAATTATTAAATAACAACTTACATTTATATCTTTAAAAGTTAAATTTTCATCTGAACATATACCAACTATACTTGAATTCAATGCATACATTGTTTGATTGTATGGTACTTCATGGTTGATGATCGCTATCTTTAAATCTTTGAATTTGATTGCATAGGGTGACATTGATTGTAGATCTGTATCACCAAAGTAACTCTTTAGATTGAGTTGTCTTATCGCAGAGTTATTCATTGGTATCGATACATTTCCATCTACTTGAACTGTTTCTATTGTATATAGTGTTGTATTCTTTTTAGTAGTGCTTTCAGCAGAACCAACAACACCTTCAAACAATGAATCTATATCTTGTTGTGTAAATATTATATTCTTATTATTAAAACTATTATTATTATTATTATTAAAACTATGATTATTAATATTATTTTGTTTAATTGAATATAAATAAATTAAATGTGTTGGTTTAAGATATTTAATTAATTCCAATAATAGCTGATAACCCATTCCTTTGATCCAACCTAATGTATTGAATACCAATGGAATGTTGAATGCGTTGTGTAGTGTGGTGGCATAGTCAATCATTGATTGTACCAACTCTAGGTAGTACTCTGGGTTGTTCTTTGGTGAGGTATCTCCGTAAAAGTAAGAGCGAATCGGTTTCATTTGATGTGAATGTGGTGGTCCCAACAGTGGTTCGCTCAGCATATTCAATGTGATCAATGCATTCGGTGCAAACTCTGATTGTCCAACATCGCTATCCAAATACAAAACATAACGATACTTTGATAGCAATCTATTTACAACAGTTCTATTGAATGTACTCTTTCCAATATCTTTATTTCCACAAGTCATTATAATAGGTGATTGTTGTTTAACATCCAATAACTTATCAGCAATAAACTGATCCCAATGATTCGGTATAATTAATGGTTTTACTGAGAAATCTGGATAGAATAACTAATAAATAAAAGATAGTTAGTTTGTTAATATTAATTCTCTTTTATAAAACTATAAAATTACATACAGGATAAAATGAATCCATTGTTATATCTAAATGATCATTATTACTATCATTATTATTATTATTATCTTTCTTTGTATATAAATGATAGTGTTTAACTTTTGATTGTTGTGTATTATATAATAGTATGATTGATGATAATATAGGATTGAATTTAATTTTGTTTATATTTAAATGAATATATTCTAATAATAATTTCTTGTCTAATTCATCTATATTCTTATTATTTTCAATGATTTTAATTAAATTATTATTATTATTTGATGATTTATTATCATTACTATTACTATCATTAACATTACAACCTTCAATTGAAAGAGCAACTGAACTAAAAGGTGAATATAATGTTGTTTTCTTTATATTATTATTATTATTATCATTATCGTCATTATTATTAGAACAGTTGAATTGATAACCATGTGATTTAATTGATCCATATAATAATAATAAATCAACTACACCATGAAAATATAAATACTGTATTAATAAAAAAAAAATTAAAAATTAGTTAAAAGTACAAAAAAATAATAACAATATATATAGTTACTTGATTCTTATCTATTATAATGAATAATAAGTTTTCTTTTATTTTAAACATTGAACTATGTTCTATTGTAGATAGACATGACTTGTTTAATGGTGTTGATGTTGTTTGAATTGGTATTGTTGATTCATTTGGTATTCTATCAGCATCTTCATCTTCGTCAATGAACTCAAGATCACTGTTTATGACATCTTCATCTATAGTTTGTATTGTGTTATCTATATCTTTGTTCATTTAATATATCTTTAATTAAACAAATTAATCAAAAAAAAAAAAAAATGTGTTGCAAAAAACGAAAAAGAAAAAAAAAAAAAAAAATGTTGCAAAAAAACGAGTCGAACTGTCTGATCCTCATATTTATTGCTAAAGGATAAGCCATGTTTTGACAATCAAATAAAGATAATTATAACTTTGATTGACAAATTTGTCAAACCAATAATAGCTGATTTTAGTTTTTTTGTCAATCATTGAAAATTAATTATCTTACGGTGGAGCGATCCTTCGATTATTTATTTACAATTTAATTATAAAATAGAATGATCTACTCTTATATTTATGGAGTGTCTCCTTACTGAATGAAGTTGTAATTGAGATAGCACTTGGTAAAAACAAGGTGGTATCCGATGGTGGAAGTGAACCAAGCTACTGGATATGACAACCTATTAATGTTCTAGGCTTCTAAATTGTGAGAGATTAAAAATGTTGACCATCAAATAAGAAACTAATTTATCTATTTGAATTGTTTCAAGTGATTTAGGAAGTTATTAAAAATCAACATTTGTGATTGGGTGATTCTTATAAAGATAGTGATTTGAGATTGTTGGGAAGTGAGTGTTGGTTTAATGGATTTTTATAAAAATAGATGAAGAGTGATTCCAAAGAAAGTGGAAACATCCAGGTAAATACACATGTGTATTACAATCTACTGTCATTTCTTTGATTGTGTTGGAAAGCATAGATGGGTTGAAAGTGGTACTCATAACTAATTGTTTAATTGAATTTGGGAGAGAATCATATAATATCTTTATATTTTCAGATCTTATAGAGAGCACCCGAACACTACTACTGAAATATCAAATACCATATTGTCACTCCATTCTTTGACATAAACTTCCTTTATATTCAAAGGTATTTTACGGAAAAGAGAATCTCTATTATCTAATTTAGAACTTTAATATATTTTAAAGATAAAAAAATTTTTAGGTTATTGTACCCATCTCGAATTTTGAGAATATTAAAACTATTAACTTTTTTTAAATTAGATAATCATATTGTTTAATTGGATAATTCTCTAAAGTGGTTGTACTATCATATCAACTTTATATAATATACAATTTTTAAATTGTGTAATGTATTAGTGTAGAGTTGCTTGTTGAATTCTGTATTGTATAATTTGAGTTTGAGTATATGTAATAGAATTATTATTGAGAATCAAATATCTATCTCTTTTATAAAATAATTTTTTACAAGTTAAACTAAAACATATTGAATCTAATATAGAGAGTTCTTTGAAACTCAATGTTTTAGTGAACAATAATAAAGGTAAATTTTAACTAATATTAATTTATTGCTATTACTATCAAAACAACAAGTTTATAAATAGATAATGAATTTTTTAAATTCAAAATATTTTTTTAAAAATCAATTAAAATTATTTTTTACTTTAAGATTACATATATATCAAATAGAGATATATTAATGAATAATATCTTCTATTTTATACCTCTTTAAAAAAATAAAAATAGAATAAATAAAGTTAAACTTTTATCTATTTTTTTATTTTTTTAAATATTTTGATTTCTATCAAAAAATTTAAAAGATTTTAAACTTTAAAAAATTAAATAAAAATAATAATAAAGTATTTCTCATAACAATTATTAATTTATTGAATATGATATGCTCACTGATTATATGATTTAATAAATAAATAGATTTCTGTTTACATCCTGTTAAATCAATTTTTCTATTTTTTTAAGATTAATGGGAAACTCCCTTTTTTTTTGAAACTTGTTTTTATCTATTAATTTTATTTTCTTTTGTTCTCTCATTTCATTATATATTTGGTTTTAGTGATACTACTAAACAACTACATATACATCTTATTTTTATTAATTAAAAAAACAATCTACTTACATAATTGATTTATTTGTTTTGCAAAGCTCACTGTTTTTAAATAAAATACAAACAATTTAGTGCTAGAAGTTTTGATCACTCTTTAATAAATTACAGCTATAAAAGTATGTATGTTGGTATTGTGTAAGAGTCATTAATAAAAGCACTGTTATATAGTGACATATCTAATATACTAGTAGAATATGCATAGCAGCAGCCACCATACAGAAGTTTTGAAACCAATACACAAATAGACTTGTATACAGCAGTAGTGACTCTATTACAAAAAGATTTGATTCTGTGATACGACCATATAACCCAGAGCTTTCGTACCAATCAAAGATAGTAGAAAGCCAGTGATTGTTTTTAAAGGAAGGACAAGAAATTGCGTGGTGGTATGTGTCGAAACCCAGAGTGGTTGAACAACAGATATGCTCATCTCTGAGATTGTTGATAGGTAATGAGTGAGCAAAGAACTTGAAGTTAACGTCTCTATAGACTGGGTTTTTGATGTAAGCAATTACTTGTATTGTTTAACAAAGCTGAGGCTATATACTAATTTCATTCTGCTTTGACTATAAGTGTATCTTTTGTGAAATTGAGTAGAAACTGTATATCTTTTAGAGAAGGAAGAGTACAACCTGATAATCGTATAGCTGTACCATATTTAGAGCGAACCAGTGTCATCGGTGAATTGGTGGGTTGATCAGCTGAGAACCTGACGTCAAACCTTTAATATCCTTGAAAAAGTATTCAATTCCCAAGAGGAACAGCAACTTGCTTGGTACCACGAAAGAGATCTAACAAGTCTGAAGGTATGCATAACGTTGACCAGGACTGAAGTTGTAGAAGTTTTAAGCATAGCTATAACGTTTCCAAGACTGTTACTGGTAGCAATGATACAAAGTGATCAGCCATCAATAGATACTTTCCATTCCTAATTCAGTTTTCTGTTGTCATCACCAAAATTGATCATATTAATATTTTTATTTATTAATTCCTTTGTTATTAATAAATAGTAATAATGAGTATAACTCTAAAATTTAATGTATTGGACAAATATTTATAAACTATTGAATGATGATAAAGTATTAATTTATTTTATTTTTAATAAATATCGTCAACTTGATTTTCATTTATTTTGAATTCATATAGATCACTTGATGATCTAAATTTATTAAAATTAAATCTGGAATAAGTTAAAATCAAAATTGAGAGAAAGAAAAAATATTTAAATATTTTTGTAATACCAAAATCTATATCCAAAAGTATCCTTTACTAAATGTTTTTACCAGTCAAAAGCTATTTATTATTTTAATTAAATTTAACCTTTTTGTTTCTTCTGGTTACATGACTCTCACATTTAGTACCATAACCAGGAAGTACTATATTTGTACATTCCAATCCATCATCTACATAATTACATCTTCGAATGTCTTCTTCATTGGTGTTGTTGGAATAGCAAACCTTGGAGCACCAAACTGATTTCTTTAAACGTGGTTGGTTGCATCCTTCTCCAATACAATTAGTATTTTCAATCACTTCTTCGCGATACTCTTTGTAACATGTAAAACAATAGTGTCCTACTTAGGTACCCAACTCGAATACAGTTCCACATCCACCTTTACAAGTCATTGTTCTTTGGTTTTGTTTTCCAATTCTTTCTTGTTTACCTTTATTCTTTGTTACTCTACCGTATCTATGATTGGATTTAGATGGACCTTTTTGAATGGATGATGATGTTATTCTATTTGATCTGGTTGGTCTAGAAACAGAATTTGTAGTGGTTGTTGTTGTAGTTGTTGTTGAAGAAGTTGTCGAGGTTGATTCTTCATCTATTTTTATATTATGTTAATTGATAAATTCAAAACAATGATAATAGATAGAGAATTAAACTTACAATCACTATCCTCCGAAACATCTTCCTTCTTGGTACCTTTAAATAAATATATTGTTATTAATAATAAAAAAATCATTTTTAAGAGTAAAATTGTTATAAAACTTTAAATAGTTGTAAATAATATTGATCAATATATATTTAACTGTTTCTCTTTAGAGGTAAATATTGTAATAATTCTATTTAATATAATTTTTGAAAACTCAAAATTAAATTCTGTTTAAATAGAATTATTTGAAATAATAAAAATTACTATTTTTTTTCTTGATTTTATTTAAATAGTTAAAAGTAATTTTTAAAAAGAAAATAGTTATCTTTAAAATAGAAACAGTTAAATCAAATGAAATAGATCTGTTAATGTTGAGATAATAAAACAAAAAAACAGTTTTATTTTTCTTCAATTTATTTTATCAAATTTTGAATGAATTTTATTTTGATATTATATTCTGAATTTACTATTTACAAATAAAGTTATAACTATTAGTTATTACTTACAAAATTATTTGTATTAAAAAATAATGGTGAACAGCCAAGTAGTTCGCTAAGTCTATTGTTTTTTGCTTTTCATACTATCTTTTAAATTGACTTTTAACAATTAGTAGGAAGTCAATAATCTTCTTAGAATCGATTCTATGAAGTTTGAGACCACTATAATAAGAGAACTAAATGATATAATTTTAATTTCTTTCACAATGTCATTTTTCATTATATTTTTTTTTCGATTCTATGAACTATTTTTTTTATACACATATTTTTATTCACAGGATGTCATCAAGACACTTTGTTTTAGCAAGTTTGTTGTTTTTCTCAGATGACTTTGTTGTGGCACCCAACAAAAAAAAATGTTGTTACTTCTCGTGCTTTAGTGGTCATCCTTGCTCACCCCACTAAAAAAATTTTTGTTCATTGTGGCAATTTTTTGACAAAAAATATTTCAAAATGAGTTAACACCCAAAAATTTTTTGTGTTCAGATAGGAAGTCTAAGGTTTAGAACTGGCAGCATCAGAGAAATGAAGAAGTTAACTTTTTTAAATAATTTAAATTTTTCTTCTAATATCAATATAATTTTTTGAATACAAATAGATGCAAGGACTGTGCAGAGTTGTGAACACGAGACGAAAGGGGGGTAGCTTTTCCAGCAGACAGTGAAAAAGGCAAGAAAATGGCAAAACTGAAACTTCATAAAACCATTGTAGTGGTCCAAAGACAATTATACAGTAAACAAAACGTTGATGTAATCAAAGATCTTGATGGTACAAGTGTGCAATTATTCTTATGGATTTTTCACAGCTCTCACATCAACAATCTTTAAGACAAGCACTGATAATCAGTGCTTATTGGTATAAAGATAACGCATGTTATTTCAACTATGTCTCCTACGTAGCTCCAACAACGACCACCAAGAATGATCCAGCCTTTGTTGTAGGTTGTTTGATATCATTTCTAACAAACGAACCGATATTCAGGAGAATCAAAACACTGAATATATGGATAGATGGATGCAGGAAGCATTTTAAATTAGCAACAAACATGTATTTTTGGCATTACATGGGTACTATATATCGTGGTAAAATGGAGATATATTACAATTTCTTCGCTAGTTATCATGGATGTAATCCATGCGATGCAGCCGCATCTCAAATTAAACAGAAGATCTCCACTTTCCAAAGAGATACTGACATTCCTTTGTATACAGTCGATGAAGTAATAGAATTAATCCGAACCATGAGAAACCACTATGCTGAAGTTGCCTGCCCAACCCACAAAGTTCCTAAATCCCCGACTTTCAAAAAGTTCGATCTTGCAATCGGTTTTCAAAAAAAAAAACGTTTTCATAACGTTAGCGAAGGATATGGTTATGATTTGTAGTAAACCCTCATATAAAAAACTCTTTTGTTTATTGGCAAGTTCAAACTCCAATAAACTACATTCGTTCTTGTATTCCTGCAGTACCTTGTCAGATTGCTCTAACTTTTTTAAATAATGTTGTACGATATTCATAATAGTTAATTGTAATCGTCTCTGTATCCTTAAGCACAGCCTTGGTATGATCAAGCTTGGCCTTGGTATGATCAAGCTTGGCCTTGGTATGATCAAGCTTGGCCTTGGTATGATCAAGCTCGGTCTTGGTATGATCAAGCTCAGCCTTGGTATGATCAAGCTTGGTCTCTGTATCCTTAAGCACATCCTTGGTATGATCAAGCTCGGCCTTGGTATGATAAAGCTTGGTCTCTGTATCCTTAAGCTTGGCCTTGGTATGATCAAGCTCGGTCTCTGTATCCTTAAGCTTGGCCTTGGCATGATCAAGCTCGGCTTTGGTATGTTCAAGCTCGGCATTGGTATGTTCAAGCTCGGCCTCCATATGATTAAGTTTAGCTTGAAGCTCGTTGACCAGATTTACATTATTATTTACTATAGTTATTGAATTGTTGATAATATTAATTTGATAATTGTTTTGAAAAGTTGATAGTTGAGTTGAGCTTAGAATAACTTCTTGGCTTATATTCTTATTGGGTATACATGTAGTGATGTTATGAAGTGTGTTGGTATTGTTTTGGAGAAGTGGGTTTTCTTGTGATGTAGTTGGTTCTAATATTTTAGACAATTGTTGGTGCATGTTTGTTTTTTGTTGGCGTTGACTTGTGGCGAGGCTTTCGATGAGTCGATCACGAAGTTTAGTTAATTTGAAACTGTCAATTTGGTCACCTGATCTTTTCTATTTGATTTAATTATATTAGATTATCTTTACATGTTGCTATACAAAACTATTACTTACAACACATTTAAAGAATGATTTTGATTTTGGTATCATTAGGCAACGTGAAATCCAACATGGATCGATATTAAACTGATTTGAATAACATTTGTATGGACTATCATTCGATCGTATAGGCACTTGTTTATTTATTTCAAATTGAAAAGAACTGTTGTTCTCTAATAATGAATATTCTAAATTAAATATTTGTTTAAGCAGATCCCAATCACTACTACTCACATAAACATGATAGGTCATTTTAGTTGATAAAGTTAACTTTTAATAAGATAGGCATCAAGCTAAAAAGCGAGACAGTAAGTCAGTGTTCTTTACAGTAAGTCCAATAATTAAATTGGGGCCGTAAAGAAGGATATCAATTAACTATGACCAATCAGTGAAGCAATAAATGACTATAATCGTACTTTCAAATTATAATACATATATTTTATAAATTATAATATATATATAATTTATAATATCTTTAAATAAAAATATGTATGATGTGATTTCAAAAAAAAAAAAAAAGAAATAATCGCAACATGGGTGTATGCAAAAATGAAAAAAAACAAATAATTTAATTTTATTTTCATCTTCATCCTTTATCCCTCACTGACAGGTGAGGGTTTACTCTTTGGAGGTCTGTCTCTTTTCTTTGGGGTGGCATCACTGTTGGATGTGGATTTAGGGATTGGAGCGGTATCATCAGTTGATGTGGATTGACTCTTTGAATTGCCATCATTTAGAGAGGTTGGTGTAGAGTTCTTTAGGTATATAATGTTGCACCATATCCATAATAATTGATTGTAATCGATTGATCTCTATCTCTGACTGGTTGAGCTTGGTCTGAAGATCATTGGCGTTAGTCTCTGACTGGTTGAGCTTGGTTTTAAGGTCATTGATGTTAGTCTCTGACTGGTTGAGCTTGGTCTGAAGGTCATTGATCTTATCTATATTATTATTCACAAAAGATATTGAATTGATATTGATATTGATTTGGTTGTTGTTTGTTGTGTTGATAATTGAGCTGAACTGATGATAACTTCCTGGCTTCTGCTAATATCGGATAAAGCGATGTTATATATTGTACCGCTAGTGGTATTATTTTTGAGAAGTGGGTCGTCTTGTGTCGAGATTGGTTCTACTATTGTTGACGATAATAATAATAATAATGAATATCATTAGATAATGTTTGTAATATATATTTATATAAGTTACTTACTGCTCTAACTATATTTGTAATTTGTTGTTGTTGTTGCTGGGTTGCTATTTGTTGGTGTTTGCCTGTGTCTCTTATTTTCTGTATGCGTTTCAAAGCGCAAGGCTGTTGCTGAGTTGTTCACAAAGATTGGTTAATTTCAAACTGTCAATTTGGTCGATAGGTCTTTTCTATAGAAAAGTTAAATTTTAATTGTTAGATTGACTATAGTTTAATTATTGTTTATAGTTATTATACAAATGACTTTGAATACAATTAAAGAAAATTTTGGAACTTTTTGGTATGATTATGCTAATTGAAACCCAACGTGGGTTGATATTAAACTTATTTGAATAATATGTAAATGGATTATCTGTTGTTGATTTTTTAGATTGATCAGAATTGTTGTCTATTAATTCATATTCTAAACTAAATATCTGGTTAAGTAGATCCCAATCACTTTTGCTAGGCTTAACATGTTGTTGCATTTCTGATCGATAGCGCATTACTCTTAATAAGACGAGGTCAAGCAATAGCGTGAGTTTCTTACTAAAAGTAATTCTTGTACAGCGAGGCCAACTAAGTTGGGTTCTGTACAAGAGCTACCAATCGTAGTGAAGCAGCAAGTTAAGTAGCTACACAAATGAATTAGGGTAATAAAATAAATATTTGTTTAAGCAGATTCCAATCACTCGTTGCTTACATATGCATGATAGGTCATTAGCTAATAGATAATTTTACTTTTAATAAGATAAGATTCAGCGAAAAGCAAGAATGTCTTACTAAAAGTCCTTCTTTACAGTAAGTCCAATAATTAAATTGGAGCCGTAAATAAGGTTATTATAGTTAGCTATGACCAATCAAGTCAAGTGAAGCAATAAATGACTATTATCGTACTTTCAAATATGTGTTCTGCATTATAATAAAAATTATATTTTTGATGTGGTAAAAAAAGTTTAACGTATATTTTTCAAAAAAAAAAAAAAAAAAAAAAAAAATAGAAATCATCAGAAATTGAAATTTAACTGAGTTTATAAATTTTGCAATAATGCAAGAAAAAAAATAATAAAAAAAATACAATTATACATTTGATAGTTTGAAAACAAAAAATTGTTTTGATAAAAATAAAAAATAACAAAGTTTATTAACAAACTTGTTACAATAAGATATTTTTAAATAATTTTTTTTTTTTTAAATGAAACAAAACAAATCATAGGAATGAAGTCATATAGAAAAAAAATTGATAGTAACGAAACGTTTAATCAAAAAAATTGTTTTGATACCAAAAAGTTCTAAAAAAAAAAAAACAACCCTCATACAAATTTTTTTTTTTTTGGAACCCTGCCAAAAAGTGATTTGCAGTAAACCCTCATATAAAAATTGATGAATTATAATTTTTTTTTTATTTAATTGTTTACTTTGTTTTGTCAACTTATAATCAAATATTTATTTTTTGATGTTTAAATAAAATTAATATTAATTACGAACCCCATATAAAACGATACGTAATTAAAAAATAGTGTGGGTAGTTCGCCTGTGAAAATTTAATTAATAACTATCGATTACAAAAAATAACTGAAAAAAAAAAAAAAATGTTGGGTGGTGTTGAAAAAAAAATGTAAATGTGGGATTAAAAAGATAATGTAGGGGATTGAGTTGGATGTAATAATTTAAAATGAGATATATAAAAAAGGTAAGAATATGTTGATTAATGAAATGTCATGAATTAAATTGTTAAAATTAAAAAAAATAAAAATGTCTTGCAAAAAAATTGACAAAAAAAGTAAAAACTCGTAACCATAACCAAAAATGGTCGTAAAGAATCGTGGATTGATAATGTCCTTGATCGTAATGGTAGATTGGACCACCCTCGGGTGGGATCCATTAAAATTGGAACGATACAGAGAAGATTAGCAGTAGTCCCTGCGCAAGGATGACCACTAAAGCACGAGAAGTAACAACATTTTTTTTTGTTGGGTGCCACAACAAAGTCATCTGAGAAAAACAACAAACTTGCTAAAACAAAGTGTCTTGATGACATCCTGTGAATAAAAATATGTGTATAAAAAAAATAGAGCCTGAAAAATTGAAAAAAAACATATGGTCGAACAAAAAAAGTTGACAAACACTAACAACTGAAAGTCTGTATACAAAATGAATGGTTGGAAAGATCGCAAGAAGACATAAACACGAACAATGAATGAAACAAGAAAGTCCATACTAAAAACTAGATGATCATGAAAATTGATATGACATCGAACAATACCATGACCAAAGAACACACCAAATAATGAGATAGATCCCTAGATACAATGATATGAAAACGTCGACATGAGCTAACAATGAAAGTCTGTATACAAAATGAATGGTATGGAAAGATCGCAAGCCTTACAATGAATGAAAAAAGAAAGTCAAAACAACTAAAAACTGAATGATCATGAAAATTAATGACATCGAACAGTACCATGACCAAAGAGCACACCAAATGACCAAAGAGTAGAGAAAACATACAGGTATGAATGCTTATAACCTAAAAAATGAGAATGGGTATGGTAGGGTACTGGAAAGATCGCAAGCCTAACAATGAAACAAGAAAGTCCAAACTAAAAACTAGATGATCATGTTGATATGACATCGAACAATACCATGACCAAAGAACACACCAAAGTATTGAGATAGATACCTATACAGAATTACTCTTGAGAAGAATTGAATGATATGAAAACGTCGACATGAGCTAACAATGAATGTCTGTATACAAAATGAATGGTATGGTTGGAAAGATCGCAAGAAGATATAAACACGAACTGTAGGGTAAGCTCTACACCTATAGTCAGGTAGTACAAGGATAATTAAAAAAAAAAACAAGAAGATGGTTGGAAAGATCACAAGCCATACAGGTATGAATAAAGCTGATAACCTGAAAAAAGAGAATGGGTATGGTTGGAAAGATCGCAAGCCTTACACATGTAAGTGTATGAAGCAGTATTAATGAAACAAGAAAGTCCAAACAATTAAAAACTGGATCATGATAACCGAATGAATGTTGATATGACATCAAACAATACCATGATCATTAAAGAAGACACTAAATAAATGACCAAGTATACTCAATTGAGATAGATACCTATACAGAATTACTCTTGAGAATAATTGATTAAATGATATGAAAACGTCGATGAGCTAGCAATGAAACCCTCACACTGGAGATTGAGAGGACCACACAAATAATAACCAAAATGGAATATTTGGGATACGAATTTGAAAAAAAAGATGTTCAAATTGATAACTTTGTTAAAAGAGCAGTTGACAGAGTTGCAGTGATCCGAAACCAATGTAACAATCTCGGAATCAATTGATAAATAAAAGAGATGACTCTCTAATAAAATATCTTATACAATTGAACCAAATACTAGTATATGAACTTTGAATTGTCATTGTCATATTTATTGATGAAGTCATTAAAATCATAATATAAACTATTGATTGAAATGGCGACATTATAATAATTACTCTTTTGATCATTAATTAATAAATAAGTTATTGTTGGTGAATGTAATGTCGACTTTGAAAAGATGACATTTTATACTTATACAAATGAAGGAACAAAAAAGACATCTACAATGAACTCAATGCAACCTCTAATATCGATAGAATCTAAAAATTTGAATGATAAAATATCAACAAAGAACTGTAAACCTTGTGATCTTAAAGTGTCATTTACACTGAGAATAGAGATTTATTAATGATTGATTGTTTAAGGGTATATTGCTAATTTGTTCATCATCTACTAATGTTGTATCTTGATAAGATCTCTTTAGCGACAAAGGTGCAAAAAAGTAATTAAAAACTACACTATTTAACAACTAATTAAAAGCCACAAAACACTAAAGGGGTGTCTAATGATGTATTAAAAAATAAATAAATAAAACAAGAGGACAAAACTATCAAAGTATGTTTTTAAGTGTAGTCAAATTAAATTTATAAAAATATAAGAATAATAAATAACAATATAAAGTTAAAATCAAACTCTTTTACAATAATTTTGAAGGAATAATGATTATAAACATTTTTTTACATTAAAGGTCGAAAATAAAAAGAATGATGAGTTTAACGAGTTTTTACAAACTTTAAACTATTACCACCAAGTGTAGAGGTTTAAGGAGAAGTGATCTCATGAAAGAGCTTACAAATGTGATGAAGCAGAAAATAGATCGTGCAGATTGGGTGGCAATAACAACAAATCGTTGGCATAACAATCAGAATGACAAGTTTACCACAATCACATCTCACTTGGATAAAGTTATTAATGTATCATTTGTATTGGAAATACAGCAGATAAGATTATCAAATCAACAAGTGAGTTGCCTTGAGTTATGGAATAGTAAAGACAAGGTAATGGCTGCGGTAACTGATAATGCTTGGAATGTCACTAAAGCCATAAACATTAGAACTTGTCGATGACTATATAGATATTGGCAAGCCACCTACGGAAGATGAAATCAAACTGCCAATGAAGAAGTTGAGCAAGTCACCACACAAACACAATCTACAATCAATAGCTCAAATGGATAGTCAGTTTTATCTCACTGGCAGCTACCACCAATAAAAAAACTATCAACAAATACAAAGGCGGCAAGGAAGAAACTAAAGCAATCTCAACCTGTAAGTAACTTTAAAGAGAGTTCTAAACTGCAGTTTCGACAAACCCATTCAATTATATGCTACTTTGGTGGTAACACTGCATAAAAATGAAACTAGTGTTCAAAAAAAAATAAAAAATAAAAATAAAAATAAAAATAAAACACAACCACCAACAATAGATCTGTTGGAAATTGCCACCACCGATCAGGAAATCAACATTGAAGTCAACTATTAATTAAAACAATAAGTCCTGAGTCATCTCTTAATATCAGAAATGTGATTGCAGCAATCACAATAATAATAATAATAATAATAATAATAATAATAATAATAATAATAATATACAAATTATCTATATGAAATAAATACCTAAAAATTATGGTTTGAAGTTGATCATTTAACAACAGTTGTAGTCAATGAAAAGCTTTAACAAATTGATATCTACCAAAAATAAATGCGCAAAGAAATAAAATATGATTAAATACAACACAAACTACTCTCTATTTAGTGAACTAATCTAAATAAAGAGAATATTTTGAAAATGTAACAAAGGTTAACCAACTGTTAAAGAGGCCTCTCCTATCATACTTTTAACCAAAACGAATTTGATAGAATTAAAAACCATCAACTTACTAAAACTTTTGTGCCTGATTGGAAAACCTCATTTAGAATAGTTTTGCTAAAATAACCTCAATACAATGATTTTATATTAATTTATCTCTTTTTTTTTTAATTATTTTATATTAAATATTTTGATACTTCATATTTTTTTTGTATCTCTTAATTTTAATTGATAATGTGTTAGTAACAAACTTTTTTTTTGGAGCCAAACATCATTTTTGATTTAAATATTTTAACTTTAAATCAAATTCTTTTTATAAAGGGTTGTGTTTTATTTTTATTTTTATTTTTATTTTTTATTTTTTTTTGAACACCATTAACCCACTAATTTTGTAGTAAATAAAAATGCGAATGGTAAAGTCTATCAGTTTACATAAAATACAAACAATTACCAAAGGCACTCATTAATTAATAATAACGATAAAAGTATGTGGTCACCTAATATACTAGTAGCGTAGGAACAAAGATAGTAGTGTCGAGTGTGGGATGATGCATAGCAGTACCGATAGTCAAAGTTGGTTTGTGTATTAAAATGCGATACTACTCTCCGGTACTATGAACACTTGGCAAAAAAAAGCAAACTGGCGACAAGAGATATCTCTGTTGAACATCCATACCATGTGGCGGCACGTAGGAGCCTCGCACTTAGTAGTAGAGAGATTGCAATGCTGTCAGACGTTTAGAGACGAATAGCTAGTTATGTCATGGAACCACCTTTGTTGATTTGATGTTATGCTGTGCCTTAAACTAGTATTTTTTTAATGCTACTAATTTGAGTTTGGTAACAGAGTCATGTTTGGTGGTCAACGATTTGGATACTGGACAACTCGGTTAGTCATCCTCTAAACCATTTGCTTTATATTTAAGACACAAGTGATAAACAAAGATATATACTTTAGAAAATAATAAAATATTACAAATAATATTAAAGTTACCTCAAGACTTTGTTTTTAAACTATTAGATTATAAATATATTTATTACCTCATGTTAATAAAGATATAATAAGTGTACAAGTTTAGAACAAAATGTTGTATTTATTTATTATTGTGTAATTTTTGTTTTTTACATTTGTTTTGTAAGTTTTTGTTGGCTTTAAAACAATCATCACAATATTTTCCTTTTTTAGTTTTATATTCTCTAGGTTTACCACAATCTTTACAAAAGTACTCTGAGGATTGAGAAGTGGTAGTGGTTGAGGTTGTTATAGTTGAAGATGCACCTGATTTAGAAGAGGTTGACGAGGTGGAAGATTTGATTGTCTTTTTTGAAGGTGAATTTAGATCATCGACAATAGTCTTGGAAAAGATATTAAAAACATCTTTGTTATATTTATTTGAAGGATCATAATATTTTTCAAAATCCAAAACAGATTTAACACTAAAATTAAAAAATAAAATATTAATATCCAACAAAAAAAACAACTTTAAGTAAAACAATTTAATAATTATAATTTATACATACTTTCTAATAGTATCATGAGCTTTCTTATTGACGTTGGAGTGAGCTTGTGAAGAAAAATTCTTGGCATGGAAGAAAGTTGATGCTTCTTGAATAGGTTGGCTTAGCAAATCTCTATCTTGAGGGCCAAGGTTGCATGAATCCATAACAGTTCCCATGAACTTTGAAACTGAGTATTTGTCTTCCTTATCTAAATCAATTTCAGCAATCGAAACCTCTGTTTTGTTTCCAACTACATTCGTAAACCTACTTCTATAGATTGTATATGGAATCATATTCTTTCTCGTGTATTCCAGAAAGTGTCTTGAATTTAGAACTGCTTGTATTAATAAATCCTTGTTGGAGCGATTTACCAAAACTGGAAGAACCATTTGTTGAGTAAAGTGGTACTTGGAGTCTGTTACACCATTATTAAATGTTAATTGAAAGAATTGTTCCTTCTCAATTTGAAGTTTGATATATTCATTTAAATGTTCAAGTTGAGGAGAAAGAGTTGTAGATGTTTCTAAATTTAAATGTTGTAGAATTTGGTTGAGTGTTGATAACAAATAATTATTATTTGATTTATATAATTCCTTGATAATGTTGAATGTAGGAAAAAATATGATAATTAGGCAACCATTCTCCTCTGAGCATTGAATCATCTTATCATAAAAACTTTCATCACGTAATAATCGGTCAAGAGCTATGAAAATAAAATAAAATAATTAAACAAAAGATAAAAATACTAATATTAAAAATATTTATTACATACATATAGAAACAATTAAAAAATTATTGGAATTTTTTAATTGTTTAAATTCTTCTATTGATTTTTCAATTAAAAAATCATTAGAGTCTAATAAATTATATTAAAATTTAATTAGTTTACAAGTAGTTTTATTTAAAAAACCAATATTTAAAATTTTAATTACTTACCTTCTTCTAAATCGTCTACAAAATCATCGATATCATCAATGATATCTTGATTCAGTCTATTCTTGTCCACATTCAAATAGGAATGAGCTTTAGTTTTAGGAAAACTATCTTTTCTATCCAAATTAATCATTGATTTTAGAAATAACAATTGATCTTCAGTCGACTTGTTGTATTTTAAAGAAGACTGACCAAATTTACCAGGAGATGAACGAACAAAGTAAGATCCTCTTACAGTATTTGAATTAATTTTGAATTGATTTTCAAAAAATTCATAAAACAAAGATCCAATGCTATTGACAGTCCAATATGATTGTTGATGATATCTCAAAGTATAGATAGATTGTTGAATTGATAATTGATGAAAAGCATTGTAAAACGTTCTCATCTGATCCAAAACCATATTAATTGACATTGAACTTAATTCCCATTTACCATTGCTCCATTCTTTAACCATTGTTGTAAATACTTGTTTGCTTGAGAAATCCAATAAACAGGAAATGAATTTACCAAATATATCTGTTGGTGCAATAATAATGATGAATCTAACTTTCTTTTCAACAAAGATATCAATGATATGATTGAAATCATCAACTCGACGAGAAAGTCGATCTAATGAACCAATAATCACCAAGTCTAGTGTTTCCAATTTATCCAACATAAAAGACAATTGAGTTCTGTCTTTAGCATCATTCCAATAGCATGAAGCAATCTCTATAATCAATCTAGGATTAATAGATTGTAACTGAACAGTTCCAACTGGTAGATTGAGATTCATTAGATACAACATAGTATTGATACCAAGACATGATTGATTCAACAGACTTTTACCATGTTCCAATTGTTCTTTTGTTGATTCTCTAATTAATATCCAACAATTATTAACATATTGAATTGAATTATTATTATTATTATTATTATTATTATTATTATTATTATTATTATTATTATTATTTATCATATTATTCATAAAAAGAAGTGAATTCTTTTCTTTTTCACTTATCTTAGTTGATTGTTGTATAAATATTTGGGTGATAGAGTCTATATTCTTTGGTGTATAAAAATGAACACCTCCTGATCTCTTCTTATCGAATGGTAAAGATAATATTCTAGTTGGTCTCTTTCTACCAATTGAATTTAACCATATAGATATATCCACCTGTTTAAAAAAGGAAACAATATAAAAAATTTCAATAAAAAAAATTTGTTTTAAAAATAAAATAATTATTTACAATTAAATATTTAGAGATGGATGATGATGGGATCAATTTTGATTCTAAAATTGAAATAATATTTGATTTCATATTTAATGAACTTATAAAGATTATATAAAAACCATGATTCTGATCTATAGCTGTATCTTGGCAATCCATAAGACCCAAGATATCACAAACTACAGAGTTATCTTTAGATTTCAATTTGAAATCATTTGGAATGATTGGAATTGGTAGGTATTGTTTCTTTTTATAATTTGAATTTGATGAAACACCTAAAATAAAAGCTGATTTAGCATCTGTTGGAGGACGAAGTGGAATAGCAGTTTGGCCATCCATTGTCATTGATTTGATTGAATATGTGTTGATTTGTTTATTGATAGAGAAATTTACAAAATTAAAACACCATTCTGGGATGGATTCAAATAATAAAGAATAATGATTTTGAAATTTAGATATTTCATAATCATTTGGGTGATTAATTATATAGATAATATATAAATAGATAATAATTTCGATACCAACTTGATGTGGTGTTCTTCTAACATGTGAATATATAATATTTAATTGACAGCCTAATATTAATAAAGATTCAATAATATTGTTTGGTATTGATGATTTTTTAAAATCATTGGGTGAATTAAAAATTAAACCAATTTGTTCAAAATACATTTCTATTGGAAATGGTAGAAAATTTGGTTGATGATTATCATTATTATAACTAGATATAATACTATTATTAAAAGTTGAAACAATCTTTAGAAAAGGATGATTATCTTTATTACTATTATCTAATATAATAACCTTGATTGGTTGAGTTGTAGGAGAATGAAAAACAGTATTAAACAAAGCTTCTCCAGAAGGAAATAAATCAACAATATCATTTGATAAAAATAATGATAGCTTTTTTATTATTTCTGTTGCTTTAAATAAAAGTGATTTATTATTTATATTATTAATTAATAAATTATCTTTTATTTTAGAAAATGATAATATAATGGGTGATATGTGAATCTCTGGATATGGTATAAACAATTCAATCTTTAAATCTAAAAATATAGTTGATAATTCTTTGAAAATACGATTAAACAAAGTAAAAATATCAATATTATGTTTATATGTATCATTTATTATTTCTAAAGGATTTTTATTAATTATATGATAATTCTGTTCATAATAATATTGATTTCCTATCAAGTATAATAAATGTTTATTATTATTCATTATTATAAATAAATATTTATATAAATATTTAAAAATAAATTCTATTTTCTATAAACTATGATATAAAGTTATTAAATTAATTCTTATTTCTAAAGATAAATAATTAAAAGATGTAAAAGAAAGATAATACTATTTTGATTGTAGTTTTTTTTTGTTTATTAAAAAATAAATGTTTTATTAAAATTTAAATGTTTTTTTTTTTAAACAAGTAATCAAATTGAAGGATGTCATTATTCCTCCTTTAAAATAATACTTTTATATTTAACAATGAAAAAGATTTGATTCTATTAACAATTTTGTTAATTAACAAAATCTTTTTAATTTTTTTTTAATTTTTTTCTATTCTATTTGATTCCTGTTAATTTTTTTTATAAATAATTTTCAATCTCTCAGAATCAAAGATTTAATATTACTAAAATGATATTAATATAAAAAATAGTGTTAAAAATAAAAATATTCCCTAAATTTTATTAAGTAGATTATTTAAATACTTGATGATCTATTCTATACAAAGATTGGACCACCTTCGGGTGGGATTCATTAAAAATGGAACAATACAGAAGCGCTCTTAAAGAATTTCCAATGTTGTGCAAGAGGAAGATTAGCAGTAGTCCCTGCGCAAGGATGACCACTAAAGCACGAGAAGTAACAACATTTTTTTTTGTTGGGTGCCACAACAAAGTCATCTGAGAAAAACAACAAACTTGCAAAAACAAAGTGTCTTGATGACATCTTGTGAATAAAAATATGTGTATAAAAAATATATAGCCCGAAAAATTGAAAAAAAACATATGGTTGAACAAAAAAAGTTGGCAAACACTAACAACTAGTTGGAAAGTCTGTATACAAAATGAATTAAGGTAAGGGTTGGAAAGATAGCAATAAGATATAAACACGAACTGTAGGGTAAGCTCTACACCTTGAACAAGTATAATTAAAAAAAACAAGAAGATATGGTTGGAAAGATCGCAAGCCTTACAATTGATAACTTGATGAGTTTGAATGAAGCAGTATTAATGAAACAAGAAAGTCCAAACAACTAAAAACTAGATTATCTTTATTGATATGACATCGAACAATACCATGACCATTATTTTGTGTGTAATTAATCTTACTCTTGAGTAGAATTGAATGATACGATCTGAACTCTCGCAATATTTGATGGATTAAATGATAATAAAATGTCGACATGAGCTAACAATGAAACCCTCACACTGGAGATTGAGAGGACCACACAAATAATAACCAAAATGGAATATTTGGGATACGAATTTGAAAAAAAAGATGTTCAAATTGATAACTTTGTTAAAGAGCAGTTGACAGAGTTGCAGTGATCCGAAACCAATGTAACAATCTCGGAATCAATTGATAAATAAAAGAGATGACTCTCTAATAAAATATCTTATACAATTGAACCAAATACTAGTATATGAACTTTGAAATTGTCATTGTCATATTTATTGATGAAGTCATTAAAATCATAATATAAACTATTGATTGAAATCGGTACGACATTATAATAATTACTCTTTTGATCATTAATTAATAAATAAGTTATTGTTGGTGAATGTAATGTCGACTTTGAAAAGATGACATTTTATACTTATACAAATGAAGGAACAAAAAAGACATCTACAATGAACTCAATGCAACCTCTAATATCGATAGAATCTAAAAATTTGAATCGATGATCAACAAAGAACTGTAAACTACTACACTGTAAACTACTACTCTCTAAACACTGATAATAGAGATTATATATCAAGTTATTAATGATTGATTGTTGAAATCTATATTGTTAATTTGTTCATCATCTACTAATGTTGTATCTTGATAAGATCTCTTTTGCCTAAAATAGAATTTTGAATACCATTTTAATATTAATATATAAAAAATCAATTAAAACCAAAATAAAAACTATGATAATAAAGTTGTGTTCTTTGATTAAGAGAAATTAAATTAAAAAATTGTTTTATTCTCATTAAATTTGACTCACAAAATTGAATTGTGTTAACTAGTTTTTGCATTTTGTTTTAGCGACAAAGGTGAGAGAAAGTTATCAAAAACAACACCATGGTAATGGTAATACTAATGATTGTATTAAAAATAAAATAAATAAAACAAGAGTTTTATATAATAAGTTAAAATCTCGACTATCAACTATATATGTGATAGATATATAAAAAAAAGTTAGTTTAAAAAAAAAAATCATATAACAATTTTTTAATATTTGTAAATGTTTTTTCTCTGATGTTATTTCACTTATAAATATAATATAAAACTAAGATACTGCTATTGATAATCATCTTATATTTACAAATTAAATAGCATAAGATAAAAAACCAAACATTACTTCAATACTAGAATCATCATTGTAGTCTTCGATCATTGTAACTATAATTATTTATAGAATGAATGTTCTAAAATAGATAATGAATATATTAAAATTTTGTTTGTTTTGATTTGCAGTATTGTTTTGTTGATTTTACTGATGCATAAGCTCTAGTTTGTTCTTCTGTCGACAGTTTGAGTATTCATCAATATTGATAACATACAACCAAATGTGTAATATAGTGATTTCCACCTTTGAAGAGGATTGAATGATGTGAGGCAGCACCCTTGAGGGTGGTAACAAAGTCGTCTTTGGGGTCGGTTGATAGGAATCGATCTGAATACCTGAAATACCAACTCTTTGTTTTCGGTCAACAACGATGCAGAGGTGGAAATCTCACGTTCCATGTGTTCCTTGAAACGATTTGTCAAGGTGAGCTTGCTCTCACTGTCGCGATCGACTTTCTGTAGTGAACTACAGCCAATACCTTTGTCGTTTCTACATATCACAGAGTGTAGAGGAATTGATCTACTGGAAAGATAAAAAAAGAATATTAAAAACCTCTCATGATTCTGTGTAATGACTGTAGTTCACTACAGAAAGAATGATCTCCTCTGGATGATGGTAAATATTGGAAACTCTTGATTTGTCTGATTGAAAGTTGGTATAAAGTTGTCTATATTACTATTTCTTTTATTGATTATAACTTCTTATTTTGATCATCTGTTTAATTTATGATTGTATTCATCGTGATGTTTATCTACATTTTGAGCATTTCTCATTGTGGTTGTCTTTGATCATCTGTCTTTTAATCTTATAAACCATTAACATAATTCCATATTCTATATTCATAGTTTTTTATTTTTGGAATGATACCATTAGACTATCTCTTCTACTACAATCATTATGATATTTTTGAAAAAAAAATATTTAAATAGTTTTAATTGTAAAACCAATTTTGACAAACATCAGTTTTTTTTGTTTTATAGTTTGTTAGAAATTTTTATTTAGAATATATAAGAGTCAAAGTAGGTATTTATTTTAAGAATAATTATATTATTTATAAAGAATCAAGTAGGTATTTATAATTATATTTCTAAAACGTTAATTAAAGATCGATCGAAGGTCTTGAAACCGCTTTTGGAGATTCATACCTCATCACCCATGTTATCAACTCAATCAAATACTTAAATTCCTCAAGCTCAACACTAAACTAAATCAATACTCAATCAGTTTCTATAGATCTTTTGCAAGTAGTAGTGATGTCAATACCAATCTGTGATTTCCTTTATAGAATAAGCTCCCATCTCATAAGTACTGTTGTATGGCTCCAACAATCTTCATTTAATAAAGAGAATTTTGTAAATCAGATAAAGATATAGATCAATTGCTCAAAGGAATATAATAATAAATATTAAACTAATTTTTAGGTTTCTTTGATCAAATAGATTATTTTTAGAATAATAATTATTTTTTATATATCTTAATTGATAATATCAGAGACAACTAGTCAAAAATTATTTCTATTTTAATTGTAATTTTTTTTGTCAATATATTGACTTGAAAGGTACTTTAAACAAAAAACAAACATATTTTTGTAACTTTTTTTAAAAGAAAATCTTATTTATATATATAAATAGAATATTTAAAAATTGAATTGTTTTTGCCTTATCCACAAATTAACATATCACCTATTCTTTTTTCATTTTCTAAAATAAAAAAAACATTTATAATAGATAGTAATAATAATAAATCACTTTAATTAAGTAGAATCAGAGATTATATCACAACAATCTTTGTTTTTATCAAATGTTATTATTGATTTATTTCCTTCGGGTGAAGCAGTATTTAATACTGTATATGAATCATCAAATAATCAACCTAAAAAAGTTATTATATTAGATAATAGTAATTTAGAGAATCATCAGTTTTTAAATATAGTTTCAACATTTAATAATAGTATTATTCGTAGTTATAAGATAATAAATTTTCAACCAAATTTTATCGATTTTCCTAAAGAAAACTATTTCCAACAGCTTCAATCAATTTTTAAATCATCAACATTAAAAACAGTTTTTCAAAAACAAGAAATACCTCAGTTATAATAGAATCTTTAGTAATATTAGGTTCGATTCATCATTACCATGACACCTATAGATATATTTGGTAAATTCATTTCATGTATGTTGGATTTTTCAAGCAATCAGGTTTTTACAACCAAAGTGAAAGAATGGAACAATGGTAGATGGGAGTTATGTTCATTTGTCAATTAATCTAGTTTTGGATAAGATCAGAACGTTTTACCATTCTTTTCATCAATTATCAATCCAACATTCAGTTTATACATTTAGATACAATCAACAAACGAATTGGACACTGGAGAACAATGGAGTGATTTTTTACCAGTTTTTTGTAATGAATTCATCAAAGAATCATGTAAAGTCAGAAGATTCTATTTGGTCGATCTTCTCCAGGTATATAAGGTCATTCATCTATAAAATATCATAAATCTACTAATGATCAAATCCTCTTTTTAAAGAGTTTAATCAATTTGGAAAGAAAAGATTATTTCAAGACCAACTTTATGTGCTGTACTTCTAACTTGAGAGTATAAAATATTCAACTGGCAACCTAATATTAATAAAGATTCTATTATAAACTGAGCTATTTCTTGTATTTGAAAAAATGTTTTTAAAGTTGATGATTTAAAAATTGATTGAAGCTGTTGGAAATAGTTTTCTTTAGGAAAATCGATAAAATTTGGTTGAAAATTTATTATCTTATAACTACGAATAATACTATTATTAAATGTTGAAACTATATTTAAAAACTGATGATTCTCTAAATTACTATTATTTAATTGTTTTCCGTCCGCTTGGCTTGGTATGATGGGAGAGGAGATCGGTAGTTTGGGTGGTACTAGACTAGATTGGAAGAGATCGGTTAGTAATGGATCCTGACGGGAATTAGTAGGAGTGATCTCTGGGAATAGGGTGGTAGCTGGTTGATTTTCACTCTTAATATTGCTGTTGTCGATATCGCCCTTTGACAGTTCGTTTGTGATGGTGGTTGGATTAATAGATTCTTTATTTGCCATAACTTTTATTAGTTACAACTTTAGTCAAATCAGTGGTGGATTTATACATTCAATTCAACAATTGAGAGATTTAATGTCAAGGTATTCGATAGAAATATAAATAGTGATAAAATATCGAGTTTAATTGAATAATATATTGTAATAAATATCTATTTTATTGGTTTATTAATTTTTTAAAAAGATGGAAAATTTATTAATTTTAAATAATCTTTATCATATTTATAAATATTTAATATATCATTTAATAACCAAGCTAAACCACCTAAACCTTCGAATAAAGAAAAAGGATTATCTGGTATATTTAATCTATAGAAAAACTATTAGTTATTTGAATTTACATTTTTTGTAAACTATTAACTTACTGCTTAAAAAAAGATTTTGTTGTTGATAATTTTACAAAAGCAATAGCTTTATAAAGAAAACAAAGATCATTACTCTCTTTATATATTAAAAGGAATGAAAACGTATTACCAGAGATACCATGACAGAGACCTGTTCCTTTTGTAAGTAATCCATACTTCCAAATGACGTTAGATGAATACTTGGCACACTCTAAATACTTTGGATCGTTATTAAAATAAGAGTATGCTTTTACGAGGGTGGGAATGATACCGGGTGCACCATGACAAAACTGAACCAATCGATCACTGTCACTATCGGTACGTGTTGGAAAGTTACCACTCGGTAACATCGTTGAAACCAAATAATCTAATGATTCTCGAATATCGCTATCGATTGATCTCTTCTTTTCTTGATTGATGGAGATCATCTCTAATGAACTCATCAACATATAAAGTATACCTGCTAAACCATGTACACCACCTAAATATTGTGATCGATGCCATTCATACATCAATGGTGATTCTGATTCATCATCGATCGCATAATCTCTACCACTCTCTACTATTTCTACAACCAATGCCTCTATAGATTGATCCAATGTCTCTAACAATTGTAAACTCTCTAAAGAATTCTTTAAACAATATCGCTTTATCAATAATAAACATTGAAGATATCCACTTTTACCATATAATAATTCATATGGATATTCTTGTTCATCATCATCATCATCATCATCATTGATTATTTCATTTAATTGATTTAATAATTGTTTAAATAACATTAACCTAATAATAATTATAGTTATTAATAAAAAAATAATCTCAGAGATTATATTTAGTTACTTTACATTTTATCATTATCTCTATCTAATGAATTTAATATGATACCAATAGTTAATAAACCATTATCACCTGAAAGAAAAGTTATTCTCTTTTTAGATGATCTCTTTTTTTGATAATCTCTTGTTAAACAATTATATAAATCTCTACAAAGATCTAAATAGGTTGTTGGTTGTTGATTTCCACTACTAGTTGGTATTAAATATCTCATTAAATAACTAAAACATAATCCTAATGAACCTGTATATATTGTATTATCTTTACTATAAAATAAATAAACTATTAATATATATAGATTAAATAACTTTTATTTCTTAAACATACTTTATTGTTGGTTGATTATCTTTTAATTGTTGATCTATTTCATTTAATGATGATGAAAATAATGATTGTAATTCTTCATTTAATAATGATTGTTTATCTATATTATTAATTGTTGATTGTAAATAAGGATTATCAATGTATCTACCTTCCATTATTATTATAATTATGTTTATTACAAAAAAATATTTAAAAAAGATGATCACTTAAATTTAATAACTATTTTTTTTTTATTTATTTTATATTTTTTAAAAAACAATATCTGATAAATAATCTTTTAATATTTTCTTTGATGTATTATTTACATATTGATCCTCTAATAATAATTGATAAAGATAATTTAGTTTATCATTGGGTATCTCTGATATTACCCATTTAATAATATGTGGTCTATCATATCTGAATAGAGAGTCTTTTAGATTTTCCATATCGATGAGTCCAAGATTACAATCTGTTCGGTTAGTGTGTAACCATTTGGCAACGTTAGAATGTGCAGATAGGAATGCCATCTCCATTGCCTCGATACTACAAAATGCATCACTACGATTCTCGTTTAACCATTGTAGAATGTCTAGGTGTCCTTCTCTTGCTGCCACAACCATTTCTCTATTGGAACACTTTATTTCAGTTCTATTTTGATGCAACCATATCATTGTGTTGAGGTCACCTTGTAAAACTGGTGCAACCATTGAATCATAACTACACTCTTCCTGTATATTATCATTCAACCATTGTAATATAGCTATGTGTCCATTCTTGGCAGCAGATTTCATTAATTTTGAACCACCAGAACAATCGATTCCACCATTTTCATAAAGCCATTTCAAAGCTTCCATATGATTACCATTTACTAAATATTTAATTGCTTTCTTTGTAAATGGAAGTTTAATATTATCATACATCCATTTTAAAAGATTTAAATCACCACTTTTTGCAGAGATATCCATTACTTCACTTTGGTATGGTATTGTTTGATTGTTGTTTTTGTGTAACCATTCGATAACAGAGAGATGACCATTACCGACAGCCTTTTCAAAAGCATCGAATGAAAATCTTGGTATAGTTGTGTTATTGGCAATCCATTCGAGTACTTGAAGATGTCCTTTCTCGGCAGCTCTTGACCAAGTAGTCAAAGAACATTCAAAAGTTGTATTCTGACAAATCCATACCACCACCTCCAAATGACCATTGGTAGCAGCATAATTAATTGATTTATCTGTAAAAGCATCACTTGAATTCTCTTTTATCCATTTTAACATTGGTAAATTTCCATGTCGACAAAACTCATTGCATAGATTACTATTACTTTGAAAACCATTCTTTATTAATAACTTTACTATTTCAGAATGATTGTTCATTGCTGCCGACATGATTAAATAATCTTTATCTTTTCCAATGAATTGCTGATAATACTCGGTGTTTGAAAATAGAAATTCTATAAACTCTAAATGTCCAGACTTGATAGCATATAAAAACACATTACAGGTTGACAAGTCACATGATCGATTGACACATAGATATTGAATCATTTCAATACTTCCAACTATCGATGCCATGTTAAATACATTGTTTGTATGTGATAGGTCTTTAGCTATACCAATAGATTTCTCAACAAAGAACATCAACACCTCGATATCTTTGGAAAGTGGTGCTTTAACTAATGCTCTATGAAAATTCCATCCATATATTGGATATCTCTCTAAAAGATGACGGATCATATCTAATCTACCATATTGTGATGCTCCAAACAGAATACTATTCAACGTACTGTACGATTCATAAAACATATCTTCGGAAGCCTTTCGATGATTGTAACGAGATCGAATATCAATGTGATTCTCAATATCGACATTGAGATGATCGATCAGATATTGCAACATTTCAACGGTACCACACTTGATTGCATTTCTAAAGATCTCTGTTGAACAATGGTAGTTTAGTTTCTTTTCATATTCATTGATTCTAATGTTTCTAGTACCACTAGTCGATATATAATGTTTTAATTGATGAAAATAACTATGACCTGTCAAAACTTTTGGTATCTTTATCAATTCACTCCAACTGAAATGTTGTTCACACCCCAACTTACAAACAACATAAACTTTATCAAATATAAACTTTTTTAAAAATATATTATTAAATATTAATCTAAATAATGTTATTTCCATAAATGAATAAATAATTGTTAAAACTTTTTATAGAATATATAAACTTTTTTAAATTTTTGCTTCTTGCTCAGAAATGATTTTTTAAAAATATTTTTATTTTTTATTTTTTATTTTTTTATTACCACCTTTTTTTAAAAATATCTTTTTTTTTTTCACAGTATCATGATCTTGATAACCACAAATTACCAGTGTGTTGTTTTTTTGTAAAAAACTAATCCAAGCTGACGTCAAAAGTGAAGGTTTTTTGCAATTTTATTAATTTTGATTTTTTTGATTTTTTTTTTTTTTTTTAAATATCTTTTTAAAAAAGTTTTTTTTTGAAATCAGTTTTTTTAGTAGTTGTTTATTTTTTTTGTTTTCCCTGAATACAATTGTATAGATAGATAAAAAATGACAACAGTTGATCAAATTGGACCATTAGTAGCTAGTATTAATACAATCACCAAGAGTTTAATTAAAAAGAAATCATCTATTGGTGGTGATAATGATGGTGTTGATTTTAGATCTCAAATCAATGCTGTAAGTACTTTAATGAAAAAAAAAATAACAATTTATTTATTAATTTAAATATCATTTTATTTATTTATCCAGCAAATAGAAGAAGGTAAATCAAAGATTCAAAATATTAAAGAGTTTTTAGCAAAACCAAATCACGATAGAAATGATCGTGCTAAGATCACAAAGATCACTGGACAATTTAAACAGGTTTCAAGTGAATTTGAAAAAGAAGCATCGGAAATCATTGGTTTGCAATTGGCCAATGCAATTGGTACTGGTGGACGTTCCAATTCGTTGTCGATGAACGGACGTGACAGAGGATCATTCTCTGAGCGTATTCGTTTCAAGGGTGATAATAGCTACGCACAACAAGACTACTCCTTTGGTGAGGGTGCTCAACAACAGACAATCAATTTTAGACATCTCGAGGTCACTCTTGACAATCCTCATGAAACCGAAGAGATCATTATTCAAGAATACAATACAGAAGTCAAATCGTTGGTCAAAGATTTGGAAGCGATCCGTGAGATTACAAACGACCTACACATGCTTACAGTAGAGCAAGGTGAACAACTAAAGGTTGCCGTCACCAACACAGAGGTTGCCGCCATGGACGTGGAGCAAGGTGTTGCGGAACTAGGTGATGCATATGTATATAAGAAGAAATACCGTAAAAAGGTTATCGTTATTGTTTTCCTATCGATTATTGTTATTGGTTTAATAGTTGGTCTTTCAGTTGGATTGAAAAAGAGATAAAATAAAATAAAAAAAAGATAGATAAATTATAAATTATAAATTAAAAATTAAAAATTATATTTTATTTCTTATTGTTGGATGTATATCTAATAATTGTGATAATTTCTCTTTTGATTTAATATTACCAGTGATATAGAGATATTGTAATGTTTGATTATTATTGATTGCTTCGATTAGTTGATTATTTACAATGAGTAGGAATCCAACTTGGAATGTAATCGATAGACAAGCTATTTGATTGAGTTGAATCACTCTTGTTAGGATATCACATTCTCCGTTGTAACTACGATTGAATTGTGGTTTGTTGTAGAGTGTTAGAGATTTTACACGATTAAAAGATTGTATGATTTGATCGTCCAATCGGTTACGAACGGTTAACGATAGTTTCTTGAAAGGTATCTCTATTGGAAAGATATAATTAGAGCCAATCTCCAACTCTTCCAAACACTGATACTGTTGAAATAGAAACTCCAATAGTGGTTTACTATTCATTAGTAAGAGTCGTCGGAATAGAGAGAGTCTCTTTAGCTGTACGTCGGTCTTGAGGTAGGCCAAGAGATGATCTTGAAATTGGTCCAACATCTGAAGGAATGCAATGGTTCCTTTCAATTCGATCTTTAAACTCTTTAGATTCGTTAGTTTCGATAGACACTGACCAAATAGTGTTTGTGGACTATTAAGATACTCCCATGATATACTACCGTTGGAATCGTAATCTACCAACTCTAACGTCGTTATTTGACTACAATAACTGGGTAGTGATATTAAAAGTTTAAAAGTAGCAGGATCACTACCAACCTTTAAACAAACATGTTCTAAACTCTTTAAAGATAAAAGTGTAAGAATGAATGATTCAGAATCAAAGATACTTAAATCATCATTATAATTTATAGTTAATTGACGTATTGATTTGTTGTTTTGTTTTACTGTTTCATGGTGTATGGTTGGTGATAACTGAATGCTACCATGATTCGATGGAAATCTTAATGATAAAATATTTATATTATTAAATAGTGATGATAAAATCGATTCGCTAATAGTCAATGGTGAAACAATATCTATATGTAATGAATATAATTGATTTGTATTTATATTTGAAAAGATAGAGTTTTTATTTTTATATTGTAAAAATAAATCAATCTTTTCTGATGACAATGATATACTATCATTCAATGATCTTGTTATCTTGTAAAAATTCCAACAAACTAAAGAAACACTTGACAAACACCATTTTCTATGTTCATTGAATTGTATTACACTATTATCATCATTAAATTGAATATTATCTAAACAATTCCATAAATATTTAATTAAAATATTATATAAATAATTATTTAATAACATAATGATTAAAAATAATTAAAAAATAATAATTAATAAATTTTAATTAATTCAATGAAGGTTTTAAAAAGAACAAAAAATTCCAAAATGATCACAATCTGTTTGTTGATTTAAAAAAAAAAAATGTAAAAAAAAAAAACCATCAAATCATTTTTAAATATCTAAAAAAAAAATAATTTAATTAACCAAAAGGTTATGTTATGTAACCATTCAATTTAATTTGTAAACTATTTTTATAAATAACTTTTTTTTTTGGGATGTTAAAAACAATTAGTAATCATATATTAACTACAAGTAGTGAAGGTAGTAGTGGTGGTGGAAGTAGTGGTAATGAGGCTGAAGATATAAGTAGTGGTAGTGGTAGTAGTGGTAATAATTTCATTTCTACAACTTCAAGTAGTGATGAAGATGAAGATCTTGATGATAAAGATAAAATAGATAGTATTAGTAATGATAAAAAAAAAAGTCACAACTCAAATCATTATTTAATACATTTACAAAATAAGATAAAACAACAAATAGATAAACAGAAAAAACAAAAATCAATCAATTTAAAGAGTTCCAAACAACAACAACAACAAAGGAGTGGAAGTTTAAATTCAAAGAAAAAAGTAAATTTAACATTACAAGATCATTATAATCATCCTATTACATGTGATTCTTTACCAAACAATTTATATGGATTGACATTTGGTCGTATGTTTAATCATACGATCCAACCAAATACACTTCCAGGAAATCTAAAGTCTTTGGTCTTTGGTTATAGTTTCAATAAACCTTTACAAGCCGGTTCACTTCCAGTCTCTTTAAAGTCACTCGTATTTGGTGCTTCATTCAATCAACCGATCTTTCAGAATGTATTACCACCTTCCTTGGTATCACTGACAATGGGTATCACTTTTAATAAGCCATTTTCACCGGATGCCTTTCCAGCTTCACTACGGACACTGGTTTTCTCTGACAAATTCCGATTCCCTTTGATCTTACCACCGAATCTAGAGTCACTTACATTGGGTCGTTGGTATACCGAGGAAATTCAGCTATGCCCATCACTAAAGCATATAAAGATTGGAGATGAATCTTTCAATGACCTCGCTGTAAATGAATACTGTGTAATGACAAAGGATTTCGCATATGATGTCACTGTGATCGATGATCAACTCGATTTTATCGATATCACAAACGATACCTATGAGAAATGTCTATCGATAGTAGTAACCAAAGAAGGATCCACCTCTGACAATCATCTATTCACTATCAATCTCAATAGCTCTCATTCCATTCAGTGTATGCCAGAGGTTGGATGTTGTTGGGTATCAGTGTTCCTCGAGAATAAAGAGTCCAAGAAATATCTTGAAATCTTTTCAAGTGTCAAAGTTCCCAAAGGTAGTTCCTTTAGATTCAGTCACAAGTATCAGATCATCGATAAAAGTAAATCGGATCACTATCAACAAACACCTTACGACATCACTCATCTCTATGCAACAGTCGAACTAAATAATCAACTTTTCTATAAAATGAAAAGATTTGATAATGGTTCAAATAAAGTATATTTAATAATGTCACATGATACAAAAGAATTGGTAAGTTTTGAAAAAAAATTAAATTAATTAATATAAATAATAATATGTGTTTTTTTTTAGTTAATATCTAAAGAAGTATGGTATTCAAAATTCTGTCAAAAACGTTATGATAGAATATTTCAAGAGATTGAAGCAATGATAACATTAAGAGGATCTCCAAATATTGTACAATATATAACTTATAGTCATGATAGAGAGAATCAAGTTGTTTATATATTAATGGAATATTGTGAAGGTGGTGATTTACATCAACGTTTATCCGAAAAACATAAATGGTATAAAAAAAAATAATTAAATTAATATTAATTAATAATTAATTTATATATTATTTTTTTTTAGGAATGATCAATTTCATGTATTACATTCAAATCATAATCTTAATTTATCAATGTTGGAAATAAGTTGTCAATATTTCAAGGAAGAAGAAATATGGAATTATTGTACAGAGCTGTTGGAGATTCTAACTGTATTGGATAAACATTCAATTATTCATTGTGATATTAAACCTGGTAATTTATTTTTCAAAAATAATCAATTAATGTTGGGTGACTTTGGATGTTGTAAAATTCTATCATTAGATGATTCCGATGATAGTATCGATAGTTCATCATCAAATGATAGTTTAAATGTTGGTACTTTTGGTTATTTAGCTCAAGTAATTATAAAATATTTGTTTAAATTATTTAACAAAAAATATTAACTTTTTATTTTAGGAATTAGAATTACAATTAGAAATAGATGGTAGAGCTGATTTATATTCTGTTGGTTCAACAATATTAAGATTATTATCATGGTATTAATTAATTTTATTAAAATTTATTCATTTTTTTATTAATCAATAACTTTTATTTTAGTCATCCAGAAGATAGTAAAAATCATTCATTAATTGAAAGTCAAAGAGATAATGTGGTTATTTCAACTACAAGATATTCATTGGATTTAATTGAATTTGTTAGAAGTTTGTTGGTAGCAAAGAGAGAGGATAGAGCAACACTTCAAAAGATATTGAGACATGCACAGATTGGTGAAAAACGTAAATCATGGACCTATTACTTTGATATCCCAATTAAATATCCAATCACTCATTCAATCACCAAGTTGACTTTTACTCATAATTTCAACCAACCAATACCACCAGGTACTCTACCAAACACACTCAGAGTGTTAGAGTTTTTGCGATCCTATAATCAACCTATCGAATCCAATGTACTACCAGAGTCTCTGGAAAAGTTAAAACTCTGTGGATTCTTTGATAAATACATCCCGAAAGGTGCACTTCCATCGAATCTCAAGGTACTTCAATTTGGTGATGAATTTAGTAACAAAATCGAAAAGAGAGCTCTCCCCAATTCACTTGAAGTACTTATATTTGGCAAGTCATTCAATCATAAACTTGGAAGACTACCTAGTAGCCTCAAAAAGTTGACTCTTAGTTTTCATTATCGTATTCCTCTAAAGAAATCTATAATACCGAAAACATTAAAACAAATAACATGCAGACTCTCCATTGTCAATCAAAAAATAATTAATCGTAATAATATTGTTCATTTTATAATTTGGAGAAATAAAAAATATTAAAAAAAGAGTTTAAACTTGACATCTACTAATGTTAAATTTATTATAAGTTGTTTTAAAGTTTTGACTCTATTTTTAATTGGTATCAGAAACAAACAGAGGATTATCTCCACCAACTCTACTTTCTTTTAATTGAGTTCTTTGATGGGAGCAGTATATGATATGTTTTAACATATTAGACAATATGAAAAGTTTTAATCGATCAATCAATAAAGTCAAAGCAATGCAACTTCTCAAAGGAAATCAAAAGGTTTGTTCAACTTGTTGATCATTATGACAGAGATAATAAGAGCTTTTATATTATCACTGAATATTGTAAAGGTCGTGATCTTACTCAAACATATCATTATTATACTGATAGAAATGAGAGTGTGTAATAACTTTAGAAATGCCAATAATATGATAAATTATCAAACAACTTGTACATGCGTAAAAATAGAATATTAGTTGAAGCACTATTTTGGAATTTATTGTACAACTTTTAGAAATCCTTATTGCTCTAAACTTAATAAAACAAATAGGAAGCAATGAAAAAACAATATTATCAATCATCTGATATATATTCAGTTGGTTCTTCCATACTCAAATTATTATCTTGTTAATATAAATATTAATATAAACATACTATATTTATTGTTTGTTAGTTTATAATTATACCAAAGTTAATTACAAATCGAAATGATCACTTACTGATCTCTTATTAATAATAATCACCTCTTTAATGAAATAATAATTTATTTATTTATTTTTGTTTAAACACTCGATCACTTTCTGTTAGATATCTTGATAAATTTAGATATTTTATTTAAAAAAATCAATTTTTTTTTGAAAATAAAAAAACCATGGTATACAAAAAAAATAGTTTTTGAACGATAACAAATAATTTCTTTTATTTAATATTATGATAATCTTTTTTTTATATTTCTAAATAACTATAACATTTACTTTTATAAAAAATATAATAAAAAAGACTACAATTAAAATAAAAATTTTTATTTCAAAAAAAAGTAGGTTCCAACAAATTTTTTTGTCGTCTAAAAAAAAAAATAGGTCATCAGCACAACTTTGCTCTTTCGGGAGTTCATCAAACTATTTTTTTGTGATGTTCTATTTTTTTTATTATTCCCATCAGAAATTGATATAATATTCCTATTAGTTTAATTTAAAGTATAATTCTAAAAACAAGTATTATATCAATTTCTTTACAGATTATATATTATTATTTTGAGTTGTGTTTATTTTATTCATTATTTATCTCAAATTGAATTGCGTATTGATGATGACCATTTTACAAATGAAATTAACTAAATAATTTTCAAAAAAAATAACCCCAAAAATTGAAAAAATTGTGTTGGATTTTTGTGTCTATGTACTATTATTGAGAATCTCCAAAAAAAGATTCACCTTACCAAATTGATTTGTCTTTTAATTTTGATTGAATTATCAGAACAACAATATATTTTAAAACTTTTTTTCGTTTGTTCAACTTTTTTTACAATAAAAAGAAAACATGTCTCATTCTAGCTATCCTATTTTACTCAAACTCTTTCTATATTTATTTATTTAAAAAAAAGAAAATGAAATATAATAATTTATTTAAAATTATTTGTATACTTGTAGTCATTCAATTCATTAATGGTGATGATGAATTTTATGATGATGACTATGATTATATTGTTCTTGGAGCAGGTACAGCAGGATCAATTGTTGCAAATAAACTATCTGAAAATAAAAGAAATTCGGTATTATTAGTTGAAGAAGGTGGTTGTAAGTAATACATAAAAATAAAAAAAATATTTATATTATAAATGTTAACTTGTAAATAAATAATTAATTTTAAATTTATTTTAGTTGCTCAACATCCATGGATTTGGGATCCAAAAGATTGGGTACCACATTTTCTTATTAATCCAGAGCCTGTTGTATCTAGAGCATTTTTCACTGCTCCTGAACCAGGTTGTAATAACCGTACTATGTCACTGTTGAGAGCTAAAGTAACTGGTGGTTGTAATGCACACAATGGTATGGTTCTTGTTGTTGGAGATAAACATATGTATAATCGTTGGGCCGATCAAACCGGTGAGAGTGAATGGGGTTGGAACAATGTTGCCGCCAAACACATTCCAGAGCTTCGTTCAAAGTTTTACTTTAGAAAGATGGATGAAAACAGAGCTCTTCTTCCAGAGATAAAGAGTGCAGTTACCGCCATTGGTGTACCATACGTCCCAGATGTCTATGTTGGTAATTTGAATGGTTTGACCAACAGAGTATCAATGTCCAAACCAGACAACATCACCGTCCAAAGAAGAGAAACAAGTTATTCAAATTATATTGATCCAATTGCAGCCAATCGTAAGAATTTAGATGTTCTAGTCTATCATCGTGCTGAAAAGATTCAATTCAATGGAAATAGAGCTGTTTCCGTTAGATTAAGAGATGTTGGAACTGGAAAGATTAGAAACGTTAGAATCAACAAAGAGATTATTCTTAGTTTAGGTGCTTTTGAATCACCGGTTCTTTTGCAAGCAAGTGGTGTTGGTAATCCCTCAAAGCTATTGCAAGCAGGTATTACACCGGTTATCAACTCACCAAATGTTGGTGAAGGTTTATTAGATCACATCTATTTACCATTCACAGGAAAGCCTGTAGTATCAAACATTGCTGCAAACTTGACTGCAAGTGATCTCTATAGATATTCAATCACCGATGGATTCCTCTATTTCGGTACCAAACAAAACAAGACAGAACACGATTTCATTTTGGGTTTGAACTTTGTTTACTATGGTCCTGGTCAAGTCCGTTTCGATTGTCCAGTCGAGCTTGTCAATGCCACCAGTGTTGGAAGAGTACAGCTAAAGAATGTCGATGCAACCGGTGCCGCCATCCAACCATTGATCAACAACAACTTTTTGACAACTGAAAGCGATGTTCAAATTTTGATTGATGGTATCAAAGAATGTCGTAGAATTCAAGATAAACTCGTTCAAATGGGTATCGTAGATGCAAGTCAACCAGAGTTAACCAATCTCGGTCAAGACGATGCATCAATCGAAGCCTATGCAAGAAGTAGAGGTTCAGGTGATTTCCATCCACATGCTTCAATTAGAATGGGTAAATGGAATGATCCAACCACTCCACTCGATCCACATCTCAAACTAAAGGGAACTAGAAATGTTCGTGTCATCGACGCATCTGTAATGCCATCCATCGCAACAGTAAACACAAATTCACCAACAATGATCATTGCATTACAAGGTTCTAAATTTATTTTACAAGATAATTAAATAAATAGAGAAAAAAAAAGAAAATAAATATAATATTATTAATAATAAAAAAATAATAATATTTTTGAATTGTGATCATTTTTTTGTAAAAGATTGTGTAATATTATATAAATTTAAACAAATATTGACAAGATATATTATTATATCTGAATCAGATTCGGTTGGAAATTTGGATATTTGGAGATCTTTTCAATTGATTTCAATTTGCAAAGGGATTCTACCTCTTTTTCATATGATTTACCTATAGATTGTACGATGAGATATTCTATTTGTAATTAATGTCAAAATATTAATGCATTCATCATTTTATTAAATTGTAGTCTATTATATTTTTTAATGTTATTCATTTTCTAATAGTTTAATTTCGTTTCGTTTCAAATTTTTACTTGTTTATTAAGTAATCCATTAATAAAAACAACAAAATAGATTCTGTTATCGATAAGAGAGTAACACAATGTTACCACTACTTCTGACATACATACTTTAATGGATTATCACAATGATGATTACATCTTTATACTACTACAATAGTGATAACCCTACCGGTAAATTAATTGTAATTTAATAGAAATCGATCTTTATTTCGATGATTATCAGGAATATACTTTAATTTATTTCCTATCTTTTGTTTTTTTTTTTTTTTTTAAACACACACTCTTACTCACACACACACACCACTCACTAATCATTTATAAACACACAACAATCACAGCTAAACACATAAAAAAACAACACATCACAAAACAATTCTCTATCTATAAATACTTTTTTTATTTTTTAAAATGATAAAACAAATACTATTCAATAATATTTTTATGTATAATGACATTGTATACAGTGATTTAAACAGACATCTAAAACAACAACCACACTAGTTATTATTACGAGTCTTTTTGAAAAAAGGATATATGTCAATAGAAAAAAATTAAAAAAAGAACAGTCAGATTGTCTATTGTCAATTAGATAAAAAAAAAACACACATTCATATCACGAGGTCACAACATTAATTAACCTCTGGGTTTGATTGTGAGAAAAACAATAATAATTAATGAATAAAAAAAAAATAATGTATTTTTAACATATCACAATAATAACTCACAATTGTCGTGTTTAAATAATAGTATGACAAACTATCTGAAATGATTAAATAAAAATAAAGGATATGTGAGATGAATCCATTTATTACATTAAAAATTTGACCACACACACAAATATATATATATATATATATTAAACAAACACACATACACACACACACACACAAAGGCAACCAAAAACAACAACAACAACAAAAACAAAATAACAATAACAAATTAATAATAAAATAAAAATACTAATAGTAGTACTACAACAACAACAACATAGCAATAAACACCCAATTAATTACAAAAATCATAAAAATAAATTAAAAACAAACAAAACCAATAAATGTGATGTGAATTCATCATCATCAAATTTAATAATTATTATTTCTTTTTATTCAATTTCCAAAAACCAAAATTTTATTATAACTTTGATATTTAGATTTAGTTACTTTCAAAAATAGAATAGAATAGAATTAAAACCAACTTTGTTTTTTAACTCTTTAGATTTCAACAATAACATTTCATCCATACATTCATTCATTCAATATTTCTAAATATAATAATTATATCTATTATCCAAATTATCATTTTTAATATAATCATTTAACCAACCAACCAAGCATCTATATCTTTTTATCCATCAATTCCATCTTATAATCTCAAATCTAAATAATTTCAATTTCCATTCAAAACAAAATAAATTTAAACCAAACCACTACCCTACCCCCTCCTATCATTTATAAATAAAAGGTATTTTCAAAACTTACCACGATCACCACAATCAAACAAATTAAATATAATTATATTTATAAATAAATTAAAATACCTAATAACTTACAAATATAATCATTATATAATATATAATTCAAATATTTTGTTTCTTTTTTTAAAAAAATTTTTATTACTATAATATAACTAGTCATTATTATTATTTATTTATTAATATATATATATATATTTACAATCTATTGTAAATCAAATAATTTATTGTAAATGGAACTTGAATCAGCAATGTAAGTAACAAAAAAAAAATAATTAACATTCAAATTAATAATAAGATTATTTATTTAATATTTATTTTTTAATAGGAGAATATCATTTAATGGTTCAAAATCCAATATTAAAAAAACGAATCTAAGTAAGTTGTTTGAAAAATAATCAAAATTTATTTTAATTAATATATGGTTTAATTAATCATTTTATTTATTTTAATTAGAATCATCAAATGAATTTCAATTAAGTAGATCACCAATTACATTTAGTTCAGGTACAGAAGATTCTGGATCAACAGATGAAGATATATTCAAGTTGGCAAAAGATCTGACAAATACGTTTGGTACGTTGTTGGGTGATACCGATCAACCACCACCTTTTAGCGATGTAATATTTCGTGTCAAAGGCAGACGGTTCTTTGCCAGTAAGATCATGTTGGTTTCGAGAAGCGAGTACTTTAAGGCAATGTTTACAGGTAGTATGAAAGAGTCGAGCGTCAAGGAGATCACTCTCGAAGGTGTTGAACCCGATGTATTCTATATTGTTTTACGTTATATTTGTATTGGTATATTGGACTTGGACTTTGATATACGTATCATCGGTTCGATCTACAACTACTGTGATCTGCTCGGTTTGAATCGTGGCAAGGAGTTGGCGCTTGGCATCATGACCAAGTCGGCCAACGCCTACATGGCAAAGCCAGACATTGACGGAGCTCTTCAGCTCTGGGATTCGGCCAATCGCAACATGATATCGATCGAGAGTATTCACCCGCATCTGCGTGCATTCATCATTCAATACGCATCGATGATACTCTATAGCGATCTCTTTATGGTGATGTCCGAGAAGACGGTGTGCGATATGCTGAGAAACGATGGTTTGCGTATGGAGGAACTCGATATATTAGAGTGTGTAGTCGATTGGTGTCGTGTCAACAGTCCGGCAACCGCAACATCCTCGCAAGCAAAAGACAACAATACTCTTAGTAACAGTGGTAAACGTAATAGTATGAGCTATAGCGATCGTAGCAGACGATCTCATGACGATGGTGAATCAACCGGTAGTTGCAGTAGTAGTAGATGTAGTAGTCGTCGAGGTTCAATTCACGAAAAGGAAACCGGTGACATGAATAGAACAGATTCTCACAGTGAAACCGGTGAATCATTTTCTGGTTCCGATGCAAATGATGAAAGTGATTATGATGACGATGATTTCACTGATGATGATGATAAAGAAGATAGTGCAAATGATGATTATTATTTTGCTGAACAGTAAGTTATAAATAATAAGAATATATAAAGTTATATTTATTAAACTCTTCTTTCTTTTTTATCTTAATAGGGATGAACAAGTAGATGAATATGATGAAACTATAGATAGAAATCTATTAAATAAATTATTACCTTTGATTAGATGGGAAAATATGAATATTGGAGAAGCTTTTGAAAGATTAGATAATTTACATATTATATCTGAAAAAGATATTACAAATTTATTAAGAGTAACTATATATATATATATGTAGATAAATTCATTTTGATATTAATTTGTTTGTTTCTATAAATTTAGGGAATTATTAGAGCAAATAGAGGAGAAGCTTTTCAATTCTTGGGATATCATTATAGAAGACCACGTAATCTAAGAAAACGTGCATATCCTTTGGAATTTTTGATGGGTATAAGTCAACCTTTTGATGCACCACAAGTTACCAATGAAGTGATAGCGTTGAACCCTTTCACTCAAGAGTTTGGACAGACCTCCAATCAATTCCTTTATCGTATCAAGAAAGATATTAAACTACCTGCAAACTTGGAGAGATTCACCTTTAAGGATAGAGAATTTTTTGTACAATTAAAAGAAAGAGAAAAGGGTCAACTCGCTGTATACTTGGCATTCGGTCAAAAGATTACAAAGCCACTGGCTATCAGTGTATCCGCTAGTATCATTGGTTTCAGATTCCAAGACTCCATCGAATTCAACTACAAAAAGATGTTTGAAGAAGGCTTTGACAGTGCATGGGGTTGGCCTCGTTTCATTAGTTTAGAAGCTCTTCAAAAAGATAAATATACTCATTATGGTGATAGTTTTGTAATGTTGGTTGATCTTACAAGTCAATGGGGTTAAAATAAATAAAAATTTCGTTAAAAACATATATATAAATTAAATAAATAAATAAATAATTATTTTATTTTTACTAAAATAAAGAATAAATAAATTTCTTAATAATTATCTTAATATTTATTTTTTTATTTTTTTTTATTAATGCAAATCATGATTATTCAAAAACAATCTAATTGATTTTAAAAGAAAAAAAAATTAACAAGTTTGTTTTTTCGTATTTTTCTTTTTTTTTTTTCGTTTCAGAGTTGGATGGTATTTTGGCTTTGAAGTGATTTTTATTGGCACCACAATGAGGTCATTTTTCTCATTTTGATGATTTTTGAAATGCATTTCATTTCGCCGTTTTAACTTCCTACAACAAAAATTTTCTATTTCTTTTTTTTTTTTTTTTTTTTTAGGGATTGGTGTTGGTTGAATAAAAAATCTGCTTAGGATTTAGATCGTTCTATTAAATTTTTCACTTTACAATTCCAATTTAATATTATTTATTTTTTTTTAATTTTTTTTTTAAATAATCAAATTTAGATCAATGCTTTTTTGCTAATTGTTATACACAATAAAATAATAATCCGATCAAATTGAACTCTATCTTTTTAATGTATTTATAAAAATTATTTATTTTTTATTATTTATTATTATATATTTCCAACTTTAATTTTTTCAGTATAAGTATTATATATAATTTTTTTTTTATGGCGGAAGAAGAAAATATATCAATTAATCAAGATGATAAAACACCTTTGATTAAAGATGAAGTGGTTGAAGTTGAACCTGAAAAACCAATTCATTGGATTAGTATGATAAGTATTATGGCGGTTGGTTTCATTGCAAATGTAGAGTATGGAATTGTTATGCCATCGATCAATGAATTTATTATTTCAAAAGATAGCCATTTTCATGGACATATAAGTAATAGTAGCGATAGCAGTGAGAGTCAGAGCGATTCATATTTGGGTTGGGCACTGTCTGGATTCAGTTTGACACAGCTGGTATTCCTCCCGATCGTCGGTATCTGGGCGGACAAGCGAACAATCAGAGAGGCAATCTCTGTGTGTATCATGATTGGAATCATTGGAAATATTATTTACGCAACTGCAATCAATCCAATCATGATTGTAATGGGTCGTGTCATTGCCGGTATCGGTAGTTCCAACATGGCGCTCACCAACAGCTATATAGCCGCCATCACCACCAAAGAACAGAGAACTCGGTACATGGGAAAGATCAACGGAATTAACGCAATCGGTTTGGTGGCCGGTCCCGCTTTCAATTTGCTGCTGTCGGTCACCAATTTCACTATAAAGATAAAGAGTTTCGAAATGAAAGTCACCCCACTAAACAGTCCGGGATACATGTTGGCATTCTTCTTGTTGTGTTGTTTGATTTCATTCATTTGGTTCAAGGAGCCACCTCGTGGATCGACCGACGCCACCGACGAAGAGAAACAATCGCTGGTTGTACCTGGAGGCTCCGGAGCACTCAACGGTTCATCGTTGTATCGCAGTGGCCGATACATGGGTGGTTCACAAATCTATCAGTCCAGCAATAGCAACTACAACAACAGCAATCAACAAGCAGCGAACCAGGAAGATGTGCACGCATCGATTACACAAATCACAAGTGCAAGTGCACATCTCTCTTTCAATTATAAATCGATTGCGAAATCAGTCAGTAAGATACACAAGTCGAATGGCGGTGCCATGAACTACAAGGAAGACAAAGAAACATTCTGGACAAACCTAAAGAAATTGCTGAATGCATCGCTTCTAACATGTTTCGTAATCAATTTCGTACAAAACTTTGTTTTCGGTGCGTTGGAAACAATGATTACACCGATGACATCCGAACAATATGGATTCAAAACGCTCTCAAACTCAGTGATGTATTCCGTTGTCTCGGCAGAGATCATTGTATTCATTTTCGCAACGGTCGCAGCAAGCAATATGGGTATTCAAGACAAATTTTTGGTACTGTTTGGTCAGTGTTTCCTCGGTGCCGGTTTAACTATGCTCTTTATTTTCTTTGGTGTGCCGGCAAACCGTCATGTCGACCTCTGGAAGTTCTGTCTCTCGGTGGCAATCACAACCGTTGGTATACCAACGCAGAACACCTCGATCTACTCGCTCTACTCGAAACTACTGAATCGTATCTTTGGTGAAGATGAACAACAAGGTTTCCAAACTGGTTTCATGATGCTTATGGGTTCGCTAGCTCGTATCGTCGGACCACTCTGGGCATCGTACGGACTCACAATGAGTAACCGTTTCCCTCTTTTCCTTGTGCTACTAGCAATGTGGGTCTTTGACATCGGTGTAACATTAATATTCTTTGGTAAATTAACATTTATAACAAAACCAGGTCAAAAAGCAATGATAGTTGCTCATTAAAAAAAAAAAAAAAAATACAAATATAAATAAATAACTATTTTATTAAACAACTTTGTTAACTTTACTATTTAAATATTGTTTTAATATAAATGTTGTTGCAGCAGGTATCTTTTCAATTCTATTTATAAATGATTGTTTTAAATTAATGTTATCAGGATTGTGTTTAATGTTTGTTGGGTAGAATGATTGAAAATCATTCTCTAAACTATCGTCGTTGTCATTGTATAATGATTGGTAATCATGTTTTGTTAATTCGAAATCTTTACCAGTGCTGATGTCAGTGAGTAGATGTGCTAATGATGATGTAGGTACCCATGCTGCAACCTCTACTTCATCTGGTTCCAACTCCACCTTTTGAAGATTACTAATATCGCTATGTAGTTTAATCTTTGTGAATAGTACAACGTGATGATCGGAAGGTAATCTATCGTCATCTAAATACTGTGGAAAGGTACTCTCGAATGCACCAATCACAGAGATATCGGCTGCCGAGTCACTCAATACCAAACCAGTTTCTTCCTTCAACTCACGCAATGCAGTCTCAAATATAGTCTCTCCTTTCTCCATATGACCACCTGGTAATACCCATACACTAGGGAATATTCTCATTGATTTCGCACGTTTCGTTAAGAAAACTCTACCAAATACATCTTCTATTAATATTGATACACCAACCTAAATATAAATGTTAATAAAACTTTATCATATTTGTTTTGCAAAAACATGACAACTTACTTTTATTGTATGTGATGATAATGTTATATTTTGTTGTAATTGTTTATGTTTGTCTGAATTTGATCGTAATAACGTTGAGAATGGACATGACTTTGGATGTGCAAATAAAGTTGTATAGGTTTCAATTTGATGATCTGACGTCAGTCTAACAGGTTCTTTAGGATTCGAAAGTATTAATCTACCGTTGGTTCTATCAAATTCAATTCTAATCATTCCTATCGTATTTTCTATTGACATATGATGTAATAAACATTTATTCCAAGGTATATTATCATATTTGTTATTATCATCATAACTATATACAATAGGCCAATATATTCTTTTTGCAGCTGCAGCAGTTTGGTTCATTTTATCTATATCTTTATCTTTTTTATTATTAATATTATCAAATGATGTTGTAGGATTGAATTGAATTTTCTTTAATAAAATTAAATTGATTAACAATAATAAAAATAATAAAATAATAATTTGAATAGAAAGTCTTCTCATTTGATATTTGATCTCTAATATGAATGAGAACAATATTGGTGATCAAATAAATTAATATTAAAGATTAAAAAAAAATGAAAAAAGATTAGTTTTTTTTTTATTTTATTTAATTTTAATTTTCAAGTTAATTATCTTATTGAATTGTGTGGTGTGTGTTTAAAAATAATAAATATTTAATAAAGCAATTTGAAAAATGTAGCGATAATAATAAATAAATCGGAGGAAAGATAAAAGTTTATAAATAATAAAGATATATATCTCCAAAATGTTACATTTCATTTTCAAATTGCTCATTACGATCAAAAATTTTTTTTCGAATCCCATCAAGTTTGGAAAAGAAAGATCTCTTCTTCATAGACAAAAGACGAAAAGAGCAATTTGAAATGAAATGTAGCATTTTGTGTAAGGATATGAGATTTTCGGTTCTTTTATCCTAAGGATGCAACAAAGAATCAAATTTCTATGTCTGATTCTATATCTTTTGTGATTTCATTTGAGCATTGGATTTGATGATTAGAATATATTTAAATAGAATAAAAAACAAAAAGATAAAAAGAAAAATAAATGAGTTGAGAACTAAAAAAAATCAATATATTAAAGAAATTTCATTAATCAAACAAATCAATCAGCTGATATAATCATTCACTCACTTTATTATTATAATTATTGTTTGACTAATTGAAAATTGATCAATTAATATTCAGTCATTTCAACAATAATATTTTAAGAGTTATGAATAATGATACTGTTGAATTACAATCAGATATAACTAATATCGTTTGTAAATCATTACAACTTGATAATAAGAATCATAAATTAGGTTCAATCATATTAAACGAAGCATTATTATCAAAATCTATAGATAAATTTAATGAAAGTATGTTAATTATCTTTATATTAATTATTATTATTACAATATTAACTTTATTATTGTTATTTAATTATATTAATATAGAATGTTTAGAATATGGATTAAAAGATAGTAATATAATAACAGATATATATAATAAAGTAAAGAGTATTAATAAATCACAACAACAACAACAACAACAACAACAAGATGATAGTAATGATAAAAAGAGAGTTCAACCATTAACATTTAATACAGTTAAACATGTTGATGATGATGATCGATTATTACCAATGTCTGTTGGTGGTCTTATCAAGAAGAACAACAATAATAGTAGTTCTATTGATCAACATAAATTTGCAGTACCTCAAGTTAGAGAGTCTGTACTTGGTCTAGACAAGTTGGCAAAGGAAAAGAGATTAGAGAGAGAAGCAAAAGAGAAAGAAGCAAGAGAAATAGAGAGTCGTCTAATTAATGATAATGATAATACCATTGACAACAAAGATGATGATTCACACTCATTTGTAAAGCAAAAAAACATTATAGAGAATCACTTTCACAGACACCTTCTCATCCTGGAGGTGTAAATCAAGATGTATTCGATAGAATAAATAATAAAAATAGAAATAATAATAGAGATAGGGATTATGATAGAGATAGACGAGATAATAGAGATAACAGAGATTATAATAGGGAGAGTAGTAGAGATGATAGAAGAAGACACGACCAAACACCATCGAGAAACAATGATAGTGATAGAGACGATAGAAGAAGATACGATCAGACACCTTCAAGAAACAATGATAATGATAGAGACTATAGAAGAAGATACGATCAAACACCTTCAAGACAAGATAGAGATGATAGAAGAAGATATGACGAAACACCTACAAGAGATAGAGATGACAGGAGAAGATACGATCAGACACCTTCAAGAAACAATGATAATGATAGGGACGATAGAAGAAGATACGATCAGACACCTTCAAGAAACAATGATAATGATAGAGACGATAGAAGAAGATACGATCAAACACCATCAAGACAAGATAGAGATGATAGAAGAAGATTCGATCAAACACCTTCAAGATATAATAATAGTAATAATAATAATAATAGTGATAATAATAATAATAATGATAGAAAAAGATATGATCAAACACCTTCAAGATATAATAATAGTAATAATAATTATTATGATAGAAAAAAATATGATCAAACACCAATTAAAAATAATAATAATAATAATAATGATAGTAATAATCAAAAGAGATATGAAGAAAATGATGAAGAATTTGATAGAGATTATTATGATGCTGATGAAGGTGAAGGTGCTATTCATGATCAACATGGTGATGGTCCATTCCTGGGTGATGAAGAAAAGTTTAAAAAGATGGAGGAAGAGATGCAAAAGAAACAAAAGAGAAGACAATCTACCAAGAAGAATCAACAGAACGAAGACAACTCTAGATGGGAAGCCAATAGAATGATGCAATCCGGTATCATGGTACAACAAGAGATCAATTTGGATTTCGCAGAGGAGGAAGAAGATCGTGTCAATTTGATAGTTACAAATACGGTACCACCATTCCTTGAAGGAACGGCTGCTGCCGCTGCATCACAACAACGTGTCGTTCAAACGGTAAAGGATGTCACTTCCGATCTTGCTGTCATCTCAAAGAAAGGAAGTTCACTGCTGCGCGAGTATCGTGACAAGAAAGATCGTATCAAAGGTCAAAAAAAGGTATGGGAACTTGGTGGTACAGTACTTGGAAATATCATGGGTGTCAAAGCAGAGGATGAAGAGTCTGGTGCCGCTGGTGATAAGAGTAATGTAAAGGATGAAGTCGACGAATCCACTGGGGAGGTTGTTAATTTCAAGAGTAATTCACAGTTTGCATCTCATTTGAAAGCTGCTGTTGCAACCAGTGAGTTTGGTAGAACGAAAACTATCAAACAACAACGTGAATACCTTCCGGTGTATGGTTGTCGAAGTGACTTGATGCGTGTCATCGCTGAAAACAATATCGTTGTTATCGTTGGTGAAACCGGTAGTGGAAAGACAACACAGCTCACTCAGTATCTCTATGAAGATGGCTATGCCAAGTTTGGAAAGATCGGTTGTACTCAACCACGTCGTGTCGCTGCCGTCTCTGTTGCCAAGCGTGTTGCCGAAGAGATGAACGTAAAGTTGGGTGAGGAAGTAGGTTATTCCATTCGTTTCGAAGATTGTACCGCACCGGATACAGCAATCAAGTATATGACCGATGGTGTATTGCTCCGTGAGTCGCTGAACGATCCCAATCTCGACAAGTACACTGCAATCATTATGGATGAAGCACATGAACGTTCACTAAATACCGATGTACTCTTTGGTATCTTGAGAAAAGTCCTAGCGAGAAGACATGACCTTAAATTGATTGTGACATCTGCAACTATGGATTCCAAAAAGTTTTCAATGTTCTTTGGTGATGTACCGGTTTTCACTATTCCAGGACGTACTTTTCCAGTGGATGTTCTTTGGAGTAAAACACCGTGTGAAGACTATGTCGATGCCGCTGTCAAACAAGCTCTATCCATCCATCTTACACATCCAGAGGGTGATATTCTCATCTTTATGACTGGACAAGAAGATATCGAAGCAACATGCGCCACCATCGAAGAGAGAATGAAACAACTCGGTAAAGATACACCTCCACTCTTGTTATTACCAATCTACTCTCAGCTGGCATCCGATTTACAAGCCAAGATTTTCGATGCCGCTGAAGCTGGTACTAGAAAATGTATTGTTGCTACCAACATTGCAGAGACTTCGCTAACAGTCGAAGGTATCAAATATGTCATCGATACAGGATATGCTAAACTCAAGGTTTATAATCCACGTGTCGGTATGGATGCTCTCCAAGTTACACCCATCAGTAAAGCCAATGCCAATCAGAGATCTGGTCGTGCCGGTCGTACTGGTCCAGGTCGTGCCTATCGTATGTACACTGAACATTCTTTCAAAAACGATATGCTCGACAACAATATCCCAGAGATTCAACGTACCAATCTCGGTAATGTCGTTCTCAATCTCAAATCGATCGGTGTCAAGAATCTATTGGATTTCGATTTTATGGATCCTCCTCCAGCCGACAACATCCTAAACTCAATGTTTCAACTTTGGGTACTTGGTGCTCTCGAGAACAGTGGTGATATCACTGCCATCGGTAGGAAAATGGTTGAATTCCCACTGGATCCGCCACTATCCAAGATGTTGCTGTTCTCTGTTCAACTGGGTTGTGCACAAGAAGTAATCACCATAGTATCGATGCTTTCCATTCCATCGGTGTTTTTCCGTCCCAAAGGAGCAGAGGAAGAGAGTGATGCTTCAAGAGAGAAATTCTTTGTACCAGAGAGTGATCATCTTACACTCTTACACGTCTATCAACAGTGGAAAATCAACAACTACAGTGCTCAGTGGTGTAATGAACATTTCATTCATGTCAAGGCAATGCGAAAGGTTAGAGAGGTACGTGGTCAACTTCTCGAAATTATGGAACAACAAAAGTTACCGGTGGAAACTTGTGGCTCCGATTGGGACGTGGTTCGTAAAGCTATTTGTTCATCTTATTTCCATCATTCAGCAAAGATCAAAGGTATTGGTGAGTATGTCAACATGAGAACTGGTATGCCATGTTTCCTTCATCCCACTTCAGCACTGTACGGTCTTGGATATGCACCAGATTATATTGTCTATCATGAATTGGTCATGACAACCAAAGAGTACATGCAAATTGTCACTGCCGTAGATCCTAAATGGCTAGCAGAGTTGGGACCAATGTTTTTCACAATCAAAGAATCATTCAAACAGAAAACAGAGAGAAAAAAGAGAGAAAAAGAATATGGAATCGAAGACGAAGAAGACACCAACGATGCAAAACAATTTGAACAACTCATAGCAGCTCCAAAACCATCAAAATTCCAAAGACTTACATTTGATAACGATAAATCAACACCAATTCAACATCGAGAAAATATTTCATCACCAGGAAGTGGAAAAAAAGATATAAAAAAAATATCAACTAAAAGATTTGGACTTTAGAGTAATAATAAAAAAATAAATCAACAATCTAGCTTTTTAATTATTTATACCATTAGATATAGCTTTAATTTTATATTAAACTGGTTTTGATTTATCATTTTAACTACTATATCGTGTTGGTCTCTCCACCGAATATCCAATTTTAAATATTAAATAAAAAAATAAATATTTATTTAGTTTTAGTTTTAAAATATTGTATACATATGTTATTTAAATAAAGAAAGAAATCTACTTAATCTGATTTCGAAACTAAACCGATAAAGCAATAGAATAATTAAATGTTTTTCTTTTTATTTAAAATTAATCGTTGATCTTTAATAATTTGTCCATATTAAAATAATCTATTATATCAATATGATAATCTTTGAAGAATGCACCTATAAAATCTACATAATTTTGATTTGCACATTCAACAAGTTTGGCATGATCAAATATGTTTTGTTTCAATAACCAATCCAATGTTGGAATGTCGCCATATTTAGAACCTATCCTTGAAATCACCATCGACTCTAAATCATATGAACAAAGTTTGTTATTGATGAGATATTGAACCATTTCAAAATCTCCATTTAACAATGCCCATTTAAAAGCTTCATTTGAGCAACGATGAGCAGTATTCTGATGAATCCACTTTATCAAATGTAAATGTGATTTTTCGGCAGCTTTATCGATTGCTTGTGACCAATTACGATATTCATTTGGTTTTCCAGTTTTATGAAGATATTGAATCATCGCCAAATTACCATCAGCACAAAGTTGTTCAATGAGATCATTCGGTACACCCTCTGTTCTATTCTCTTTGAGAAATTCGAATATTTCTATGTGACCTGCCTTTAGAGCGTTAAGCATTGCATTATCAGTACATCCTTCAGTTCTGTTGAAATGAAGGAATTTGACAATATCTAGTGACGAAGAAGCAGCCCTATCCATAACATGGAGACCGAGTGTATCTGTTCTATTTTCATGAAACCATTTTATCATTTCTAGCGTTTCCTTTTCATCATTTACAGTTATATAATCTACCTCCTCTGAACCAACTGCATTATGATTTTCATGTAACCATTTCGCAACCTCAAAATTGGAGTTTGTGATCGCATTATACATTGCCATACCACTAAACTGTTCATTACAGTGATCACACATCCACTTTAGGTCATCGAGTGACAAACTACATGCACCATTATCAATATCTTCTGATGAAAAGTTTATCTTTAGTTTGGTTGTCTTCAACCATTGAAATGTTCCCGGTTGGAAGTGCAAATATAGATTTCTATTGTGATAGACTATATCTTCAATATGGCCTTTAGACAACAGCCAATCAGGTATATGCATTAGATTTTGGTTTACAACCATGCCAACCAATCTAGTTCTACCGATTAAGTTGGCTTCATCGAATCTGTTGTTCAATAACCAATCTACAATCTCCAAATTGTCGCTAAAGGCAGCTTCAAACAACGGTGAATTAGCTTCATAGAATTCTTTGTTGACCTTTGGTGATAATAGTTTGACAGTTTCAATATCGTTTGACCTACAAGCATCAATCAGATCTCGCGAATAATCATAAATAGTATCTGATTTGCTTGTCGAAACTAGAAATACTGCAATCTCTTTTTTTCTTTCTCTCCTTGCGGCTTCTATTACTTCTGTTGAATACTTTGAAAGGTCCAATAGATTGAGTTCCACGAAACACTTGATAAAGTTTAATCGGTTGAATTTGATAGCTACTTTAAATATCCCCATGTTGTCTTTCAATTTCATTTGTTTGTAGTGATAGTTACTGCAACCAACGGTGATCCAATGCTTTACAAAAAGATCGAAATAGTCATATTGTATCAATAGAAACGGTAAATTAACTAATTGTATCCATTTGTATCTTTCATATCCAGGGCCATATGCTTCATTTTGTAACTGATTGAATATATTTGATCTAATAATAATATTATTAAATACAAGTTTAAATAACTCTGATTTCATCTATAATGTGATTTATTTTAATGATCTATCATTTGACCAACAAGTTCATTTCCTGCCAACTTAAAAACCAACAGATTCTTGCAACTCTCTTTCATTCTATATTTTTTCTAATTTTTTAATAAGCAAAATACTCTTAATTTAGAAATTAAATAAAGAAACAATTTTTAATTTTAAAAGTACTCTTCCGGAAGATCGTTGGTCATCTTACCAGTTAGAGTTGTTTTAAGACTTTAAATTATATTATACACCATATTGACTATGATGAATGTTGATTTCAAAAAAATAATATTATATTTATTAAATAAATTTATATCTAGGGATCGGGTTCTCTAGATAATAAAGATTGTTGTTCGACTTGTACACCTTTAAGTGGTATTTCAAATGATATATGTTTTTTAAATGATGATTCTGAATAAATAAATAAATAAAAAGTTAATTATCAAGTTAATTATCTAAATTAATTATAAATTATATATAACTTACCATTTGCTTGGAAATTATCACTATGTATTTTAATAACAGGTTTCTTATACATTTTAAGATGTAAACTTGATAAAACTACACTAATACTTGAAAAAGCCATTGCCAAACCAGCAACCATCGGTGGAATACTGAAACCTGCTGGAATAAGAACACCTGCAGCCAACGGTATACCAAGAATATTATACATGGTAGCCCAAAGATAGTTGAAACGAATTCTATTAAAAGTTGTTTTTGAAAGACTGATTGCGGTGATGACATCACGTAGATCCGATTTAACGAGAACGATATCAGCAGCTTCAATAGCGATATCTGTACCTGCACCAATAGCAATACCAACATCTGCTTCGGCGAGTGCCGGTGAATCATTGATACCATCACCTACCATAGCAACGACATGTCCCTGTTGTTTTAATTCCTGTACTTTTTTCGATTTATTCGATGGCAACACCTCTGCGAAAACCTGTGTGATACCACATTGTGCTGCAATGGCATTGGCTGTACGTGGATTATCACCAGTAACCATCCAAGGGAAGATACCCATCTTTTTGAGAGCGGTAATAGTTGGACGTGCCTCTGGTTTCAGTTGATCGCTAATGGCAATCAATCCACAGATCTCTTCATTCAACACAACAAAAACAACTGTATTTCCTTCGGATTCCAATCGTTTGATCTTTGCTTCGATATCATTGATACGGTTGGTGTCAGAGATGGTCTTGGCAAAGTTGATACCACACTCGTTGATCCATTTCATGTTACCAATCATCAGTGGTACTTTGTTGACGATTGCTCTAATACCTGAACCTGTGATACTCTCGAAATTCTCTGGTACAGTGGTAGCAGTGACATCACAAACTGTAAAGGCATAGTTGACGATAGCTCCAGCCAATGGATGTTCAGAGGCTGCCTCTGCCGATGCCACCAACTCAAAGAATGTCTTTTTATCATACTTGTTTCCAATGATATGTGATTCCGATACAATCGGTTTACCAGTGGTGAGAGTACCGGTTTTATCGAAAATGACAGCAGATATCTTGTGTGCAGTTTCCAAATGTGATCCACCTTTGATTAGAATTCCGCATTGAGCACCAATACCAGTTCCAACCATGACTGCTGTGGGTGTAGCCAATCCAAGTGCACATGGACAAGCAATTACAATGACAGAGATGGCATTTCTCAGAGCAAATTGGAATACAGTGGAATTGGCATTCTCTATGATCTTATCGATTGCACCGGAAGCACCAATACCAATCCAAACGAAAAATGTCAGCAATCCCAAACTAACAACTGCCGGTACAAACACACCACTAATCTTATCGGCCAACGATTGAATGGGTGCACGCTCGGTCTGAGCACGCTCAACCAAACGAATGATCTGCGAGAGCGAAGTATCACCACCGACACGAGTGGCACGCACATGAAGAACACCCTTTTGATTGACAGTACCTCCAATCACCTTGTCATTGGCTTGCTTGGTTGCAGGCATCGATTCACCAGTGATAATCGATTCGTCAACACTGGAAACACCGGAAACTACAATACCATCGGTTGGAATCTTACTACCTGGTAACACCTTGAGAATATCACCACGTTGTACCAACTCGATATCAATCTCTCGCTCCTCTAGAATATTACCATTACCGTCGGTTCCCAAGAGAATAGCTTTGGTCGCTTGAAGTGACATCAACTTTTTGATGGCATCCGATGTCTTTCCTTTGGCAATGATCTCCAAGTACTTGCCCAACAAAATAAAGGTAATCAACGAAGCAGAAGTATCGAAAAAGGTCTTCATCTCCATATTGGTCTCTGGTAACTCTGGATTCATCATATCCATAATCATAACCATCAAACTGTAGAAATACGCACAACTAGTACCAAGTGCAACCAAAACATCCATATTAGCACCACCATGTTTCAATGACTTGTATCCATTAATATAAAATCTCTTTCCAACCCAAAACTGTACAGGTGTTGTAAACACAAACATTAAAAAATCAGCAATACTAACACCATGTACAATTTGTCTTGTAAATAAAAATTGACAAACTAAAAAAATAATATTAAAAAAAAGTTAGATTTTAATGATTAATTAGATTAATAATAAAACTTACATGTAACTTTATGTAATATCATTCCAATTAAAAATACAGGTACGGTGAAACAAACACTAATAAATAGAACTCTTTGTATCTTTGCAATCTCTTCTTTTTGTAGATTCTTTGTATCTTCTATATTTGTTGATGGTAAATTAGCTGTAAATCCAACCTTTAATAAAAAATGTTATTATTATGTTTTAAAATCTATTAATTATTATTATTAACTTACATCTTCAATTTGTTGAATAATATTTCTTGCACCAGTTAAATCAGGATCATACATGATTCTAGCATTCTCTAATGCAAGATTTACTTTAATCTCTGTTACACCATCCATTTGACCAACGATACTCTCAATGATACCGACACATGATGAACATGTCATACCACCAATCTGTAACATCAAAGTATTATGTTCCGCTTGTTTTATATGCTTTGCTTCAAATCCAACTGAATTTATTTGTTCAGCAATCTCTTCTTCCTAAAAAAAAAATAATAATAAATTTAATAATATAGTTAATAAGATGTGATTTAATGTTTACTTTTGTTTTCACTTACATTTATAATAGATGGGTTAAATTTAACATCGGCAGTCTCTTGAAGTAATGCAACTTGAATCGAAATGATACCATCTACATTGGACATAAACGATTCAATGATACCGACACATGATGAACAAGTCATACCATGTACACTAAAGACAGCCTTCTTTAGACTAGATTCTTTGGCAGCTCCATCACTGATATCGATTCTTTCATCAGAGGTATCATTGATAACCTCTAATTTAATATATGACATGTTCGATATCGAAACTGTTCTACCTAATAATCTTTATTTTATATTACAATAATCTTTTAAAAAAAATATTATTACTATGAATTCTACTACTATTATTATTACAACAATTACAATTATATATATATATATTTAATAAATAAACAATTACAGAAAAAAAAACAAGTGAAGTGAAATTATTCTACCTTTTTTGTTTATTTTGCAGTAAGAGCGATATTTTGTGTGTGTGTGTGTGTGTTGTGTAAAAGTTACAACAAAGTATTTTTGTTTTTTTTTTGGTTTCTATGTTCGTATTTTATTGTATTTTGGTAATGTGTGTTTAATTTCTGTATAATTAGAAAAAACAACAAAAAAATAATAAATAATCTCTATCTACTTAAAGATGCTATTATCTTATTCTACTAATATATTAATGATTGGTTTTAAAGTTATTCTTATAATTAATTGGTTGGTTGGTTGTGTGGAGGAGGAAGTTTTAGCCAACTAATGCTAATGTTTTTTTTAAAAGAAGAGGAAGAATGAAGAGGAAGCTTATGAAGGGGAATGTTAAATATTAATGAGTGATTACCTTTTAATAACCGCCTGTTTTTTTTTTTGGTTTTCAAAAAAATTGAACTTTTACTTTTAGTTTAATTGTTATTTGTTGGCTTGGTTGTTTATGTGTGTGTGTGATGAAGTTGTGTTTAAAATCAATTGGTAAATATTTGTTTGGTTTGTTTGGTTTTTTGTTTTAAAAAACAGGTTGTTGTGGTGTTTTTGATTGATTACAGATGTTGTCACCCAAAAAAATCGGACCAAACAATACTATATATTATTATAAGAGGAAAAATATCAAAAAAAAAATAATCGTACAATTCTATATGATCATGGAATGAAATTATATTATAATCGAATATTCTAATTCATATTTATGATGTGATATTGAGGTGTTTTGAAAAAATTGAATAAAAAATAGAATAAATTAAAATTTTTGAATGATGACAGTGAAAAATGGGTGTCAGTTTTGTTGTTTTCAAACTTTTTTGTTGCAGATCTTTCTGTTTAAAAAGCTAATTCTGGTGTTTTAAACCGATTTTTTTTTTTCTGGGTTTTACCAGATATGAAATTTCAAATTGTTTAAAAAATAATATCAACAAACAAGATAATAAATTAATATTATTTATTATCTTTATGATGAGTTATAAAAGTTGTTTTGTTATTAAACAAAATTAAGGTATTAAGATGATTATTCATATTTACAAATATTAAATTGATTCAAATTCATAGATTATTTTTTTTAGAATCTTGTTTTCTCTCTTGATTGTAAGTATTGAGATATTGAAGGAATTGAAGAAATTTGTTGATAAAAGAGATTTAGATTTGGAAATGGTTCAATAGCTTTTGACATTTTTTGTTGGTGGAAAAAGTCTATGAGATTGAAAATCGACAGATCGGCCCAAGTTATTTCATCAGAAACAATATAGATCGTTGTTTTTTTAGAGAGTAGCCTTTCAAATTTTAATAGATAGTTTGGAGCAACATCGGTCTGGTATCTACGAATGGCAGCATCATCAAATTTGACAAGGTAGTATGGATTTACAACATCACGTGTAGCATGGGCATACGACTCAATCAGAGCTCTCTCCTTCAAACTCTTTCCAGAGAGATTGTATCTATTGGCCAAATAGTGTTCGATAGCGATAGACTGTGAGAGACCTCCTACTACAGAATCTTCATAATAAGGGACTTGGCCAAAGGTAAATGTCTTTCTAATAGTATCATTCATTGGATAATCAATACGAATATCATTATATTCAATATCGACATATGCCAATATTAATCTAATGGTTTCAGCTCGACCTCTAGTATTAAACTGATAAAAAATAAAAAAATAAAAAAAAAATTTCTAATTAGAAAAAATTCTATTTATTTAAAGGTTAAGCAAAAACTTACATAATATAAATTAGGTTTGCCACTTTCAACAGTATCCATTTTTTTATTAAGAGATTTTAATTATTTGATTTATAAATAGAAGTGATATTTAATTATTTATTGTTTTTTTTTGATTAGTAAATTAGTATATATTAATATTTTTTGTTTTTTTTTTTGTTTATATAATCAATTGTTTTAAAATCAAATTATTAAAATAAATAAACAATTTAAATACAATATCAAAAAATGGATTGTATTTGGTGAAAGTGGGGAAGATATGTTAACAATTTTGTTTTTTTTTCTGAAAACAGATGGTGAAAAAAGGGGATGAACCAATGAAAATGATTTGATTGTTTACTGTTAATTAAATTTATCTATTAATTGGTTAAAATTTTTATTGATTTTGAACAATAAGATTTATTTACCATTCAAATAAAACAACAACATAATAATTACTAATTGATAAAATTTTAATTTTATTAAGGTTTTTTTTTTTTTTTTTTGATTGATTTAACTTTTTTTTTTTTTGTTTAATAATCAGAACCTCTTGATAAAACTTCTTTACAAGTTGGACGTAACAATATGGTGTGTTCATATTGAGCGACGTAGGATCCCTTGATGTCGACGAGTGGTGGATAGGCAGCGACAACACCGAGTTCACAGAGATTCTTGAGTGCCAAGATATGCTTATCTTCACCGGCCTTGTCAAGCCATCTTCTGGCGAAACAGAGAGTGTCGTAGTTCTTGTTGATATGTTGGAACAGTTGTTTGGCACGTTGCAATCTGATGGTGGCGTGTGGTGCGTTGTGAACCTTCATGTAGTGACTACACTCGAGATCCTCCTGCACGAATCCCTTACCGGTACTACCGAATGTCTCGATAGCGTAGAACTCACCTTCCTCCATCTTGGTACCCTCGCCACCCTTGACGATGGGCACGGTCTTTCCAGCGTGAATGACATAGGGTGCGATGCTGTGACCGTTGAGATTACGCACCGATTTGATTGGATAGACCTTTCCGTTCAACTCGATCTCGTGTGACTCCATGACCTCCTGGATGGCGGCACCGATATCACAGAGACGCACGTCGATACCGGCTTCACGGATACCAGTGTTGGTCGCCTCCTTGACGGCGAGACGCAACGGGTCAAACTTTGGATTAAAGTTGACGGTGAAAGCGCAATCGATGATGTGACCATTGACGTGAGTACCGAAATCAATCTTGAGAACGTCGTCGTATTTCAATACGGTCTTGTCACCGGTGTTTGGTGTGTAGTGAGCGGCGATATTGTTGATCGAAACACCGGTTGGGAATGCAATACCTGCCTTCAAACCGTTGGCTTTGATCAATGTTCTCGATGCATTCTCTAGATTCTCAACGAGATCGATCAATGCAATACCTGGCTTTGCAATAGTATGCACGTATTTTCTTACTTGACGATGTACTTCTGCTGCTTGACGAACCTCATTATATAAAGTGAAATCCAATCTTTCAGATTCCTTCTTTTCTGCACTTGTTGTACGATATGAATTACTAAAATAAAAAAGAGTTAATAAAATAAATTATAGATAGATAGATAGATAGATAAATATAGTATTACATACTCATTTTTATATTCACATTCCTCACCAACTGGGAAAATACCATTTGAGAATAAATCTGAAACTGGAATGGTTGGTGGTGTAGTTTGTTCTTTTGCTGTACCTGTTGAAGCAGTAGCAGCAGCAGCAGCAGCAGTAGGTGTTCCATTACTGTTGTTCTCTGTTGTAGTAGTAGAAGCAGTTGACTTCTTCTTCTTCTTCTTCTTTTTCTTCTTCTTTGCCTCTCCAGAAGCAGCAGATTCTACACCTACAGCTTCTACGTAGTAATAATAATAATTATAAATATAATAATTAGAAATCTTTGAATAGTTTTAAAACAACTAACCTATACACAAATAAAGATTTCATTTGTATTTATATTAATATATATCTAAAACATACTTTCATTTGTAGTTGATTCATCAGCACTATCATCATCTTCCTCTTCCTCTTCTTTTTTGTTGGTAGCAGGATCTACCTTTGGTATCTCTTTATCTGACATCAATTTGATTTTGAATTGAAACAAATAAAATGTTAAATGTTTGCAATTGAAATTATATAATCGTTTTTTTTTTTTTTTTTTTTTTTGCAAAAATTAAATTAAATTTAAAAATAATTAACCAAATTAAAAAGTTAAAACTCTTATCATATCAAGATAACGCCAATGATATTATTTTAAAAGATATAAGTTTTAATTTTATTAAATAAATCTCTACTTTCGTTTCCAAAAGTACAAAGATTATCATGTTATGATAATAAATTATTATGATTATTATTATTATTATTAATTATTATAGACAAAGCTAAATAAAAAAAATAGCTCTATAATATAACTACAAAAAAGGTATGAGTTGTGTTGTTGGGGAGGGGGATATAAAACAAAAAAGTAATCTATAAAAGAAGCCAATTCTAATGATGGACCTATTAGGACGATAATGATTCTTTACAAAGAGATATTCATGATGATACTGTCAATCTTTGAATAGTTCTTATCTTTCTCTGCAAAACTACGATGCTCTTTACTCTCAAGATGAGTCTTTAGATTCTCAAATTCAGCATTACAACACTCGCAGTATCCTTGTGACTTCTTTTTCTTTTTCGGTAAAATGTTATTCTGGTTATTTGATATATTATTATTATTGCTTTGTTGTTGTTGATGATTATGATGTGTATTATTCTTAATGATTTGTTGTTCGAATTGTTGTTTTGATATATTTAATGTATTGTTATTATTATTATTATTATTATTATTTGGTGGTTGATTATAAATTACATTATGAATATTATTGATTGGTGTTGTTATAGATTGAACATTGGTAGTTGGTGTTGCATTTGCGGTAGTGGTAGTAGTTGTTGTACAGGGAAAAACAGTATCTTTTTCGATTGGTATAAATGGAGATAATGAGTAGTGTGTTCGATTGGAAGTAAAGGTTGGTGACGATGGAGTTGCAAAGTGGAGTACAGGGAAACTAGAGTTGGTGTATGCTGTTGGTGGGAACTCTTTGGTGATTGGTTTGAAGGCATTGAGCTTGTCCGAGATGGTAATAAATGAGTAGGGTCGTGGTGCTGGGCCTCCTAGTGATGATCCTGTTGCTGTCACGATCGGTGTATGAAGAGATGTGCTATTTTTCTTGTTGTTGTTCAATGATGGTTTGTTTGGAATTGGTTTATGAATCTGTTGTTGTTGTTGGTGTTGGTGTTGTGGAATTTGTGTTGTTGTATTAATCGGTTGGCTTGTTTGTTTCAATGTACTATTATTGGTGATTGATTGTATATATGGGAATGTTGATGTCATCAAACTATAGTTTGATGGTGACTGTTGTGATGATTGAACATTTGATGTAGATATCGATTTCTTTTTATTATTACTAGTATTGGTATTATTTAAATTTGGTGAAATAAATGTAAAATTTGTAGCTATAGTTGGTTGTGATTGTTGTTGTTGCTTCTTCACTTGATGTTGTTGTTGTTGTTGTTGAATAATTAAATTCTCATCTTTATCTAAAATATAATTATTATTATTATTATTTGGCTTTACTTCATCAAATGTATTGAAAAATACATGTGGTGATGAAGAAGAAGAGTGATGTTGATGTTTATCATCCATCCATCTCTGCTTTTGAAGTTGTTGCTGTTGTTGTTGTTGCTGTAAAAATAATAATTGATGAAGATTATGTTTATCTTCTTCTTTTAATTTACTACATTTTTTAATAAATAAATAAAAAAAGATAATATTAGCAATAATCCTATTATTAATAATTAACTATTACTATTATTATTTTGTTTAAACATACATTAATTGTGGATTGAATTGTTGTTGTTGTTGTTGTTGTTGTAATTTTATGTCATTAAAGTATTGATTTTGAAACTGTTTATAAACCAAAGATTCATCGACAATAGGAGATTCCTTTACAAAAGTATTTCTTGATGTCTTTCTTTTCTTTTGACCGATATTATTGTTTTGTTGTTGTTGTTGTTGTTGTTGTTGAATAGGATTGTTGTTTTGTTGTTGTTGATGTTGATGATTGTGGTGTAGTATATTGCTATTTAAAATTGATTTTGACTGAATTTGACTACTACTACTACTACTACTGCTGCTACTTCCGCCACTACTGTAATCAACCTGGTGATGATGTATCAATGCAGGAAATGGATATTGTGCAAAACTACGACTATCAACAACAGTACTCGATGGATGACTCGACGAACTATATATAACACCAATTGGTAGATATGGATCTATCAGATGTGAGTTTTCAACCTCTGCCATTCTATTCGATACTATTCTATTCTATTTATCTATCTATTTAAAAAAAAAACTAAAAACTAAAAAAACTAAACTAATTTATATAAATATAAATGTATAATATAATAATGTCGTATAATAAATATATGTATTAAAAAAATATTATTATTAAAATTATAATTAAATAAAGATAATATTAAAATAAAATAAAAAAATAAACTGTTGTTGTTGTTGTTGTTATTGTTGTTATTGTTTGTTTGTTTGTTGGAGTTAAAACTGATAAGAGGGTGAGAACCTCTATTCTCCTATAGAACAGGTTAAATATTATTAAACCTCAATTCTCTTTTTCTTCTACATATATACTATAAATATATATTAAATTTACTACGACTTTTATATAAAATGAATAGTTGGATAATTGTGATAAATAATAATTATAAAAACAATATATTCTAAATATCTGTTACTATTTATGCTGCTGCTGCTGCGATTACTACTGTTATTCTATATATATCATTAAATAATGAATAATGATGCACTTGTTAGTTTAAAAGTAAAAAAGTGAGCGAGAGTGAGTGAGTGAATAGTTGAAGCTGTGCTGGTGTTGTTATGTTGAGTTGTATGGTTGTATTTATTTGTTATTGTTGTTTTTGGGTTTAAATTTTTTTAAAAAAAAATATAAATTTTTTTTTAAATTAGGAAACAAGATTTTGTTATTGCTTTAAATGATTCTATAATGCAAATAACTAGATTTTAATATTTATATGGTTATGTTGATTCTCTAACAACTCTATTTTTAATGTTTTGTTTTGTTGTTTTGATATAGATGTATATATTGATATATATATATATATTGTTGTAGAAAAAAATTATTATTGTGTTGTTTTGTTGTTGTTGTTGGTGTTTGTTAATTTATATATATATATAATTTAATTAGTTAACTAAAAACTATTTATTGGTGCTATTTATTTGTGATGATGATGATGTTGTTGTTGTTGTTGTTGTTGTTTTCTGTTGTTATTATTGTTTTGTTATTAGGTTAGTTTATTTTTTGATAATTAAAAAAATAAAATAAAAAATATATATATATATATATATTGAAATAAATAAAATGTATGTATTGTTTTGTTTTGTTTTGTTTGTTGACTATAATATAAAAAGGTAAATTGGTGTACAAAAAGAGAGAAAAGTAAATAAATGTAGCAAGTTTTGTTGCTTTTTTGGTTGTTGCATCAAGAGTTGTTATGATTCTTTTTCTTTTCTGTCACTCTCTCACTCAATAATAATTTAATTATTATTATTATATTATTATTTTTGGTTTTTTTTTTTGTTATTATTGGCAAAAAAAAGAAAAAAAACCAACAAAACAACAACACGTACAAAATGAGATGATAATTACACCATAATAATCAAAACAACAACAAAACACCATCAAACTCAAAAAATAAAAAGAAAACAAATTTGCCAAAATATTGAAAAAAAAAAAAAAATCACAACAACCTACCAAAAAAACAAAATTTAATTTGGAATTTGTGAGGGAGGTTGTTGTGGTTTTTTTTTTTTTGGAGTTTTTTTTGGCGTCAGTGTCAATTGATCAGCAAGAAAGATGCAATGCACAGTCAGTCTTTTATTAGAGGTAGTATTGATTATTATTTGACCTCCCTCCAAAATTATGATTGTTGTTATTATTCAGCAACTTGCTAATAATAATATCATCAAATCATCACCAACAAATTGCTGAAATGTTTATTTTCTTTCTTTTTTTCAATTTTGTTTTTTGTTTTTTTTTTTTTTTTTGGGATTGGTGTTAAGTTTTGATGGTGATGATTTGATTGTTGGAGTGTGTTTTGTTTTTATTATTGCTCACCACCAAAAAAATAAATAAAAAAAAAAATGTACATTATATCTTGATTTGAGATGGCTGTTTGGTTTAATTTTGAATGAAGCGGTATGATTTGATTTGGGTTATTATTATTGTTATTATTAATATCTGAAGTTTGGTTTACACCATATCACTAAATTGATTAAGAGATAAGAAAAGTGTGATAACAGTGTACAACTTGACTCACATTTTTTATAAAAAAAAAAGGTTGTGTATGTATAAAAACATACATACACATAAAACAAACACATCAGCAGCAGAATATAAATTTGCTGATCATTCTCGTCAAACATTTACAACACCTTATTTGAGCAATGAGATATTACTCTGGTGTAAAAAAGTTAGTTTATAAACTAACTTTACTAATTAACGAAAACAAAAAAAAAAAAAAAAGAAAAGGAAAGAAAAAAAAGATAAATCTACTTACTTTTTTTTTTTTTAAATGTAAATTTACATTAAATTATCTCCAATATATATTTTATTTGTTTCAAAAATAGTATATTTATTATTTAATTTGTAAATTATTTAATAGCTATTATTAATATTATTATTCTAAAGATTCTGATGTTAGGAAATTATTATAAAAAATGATTACTTTAAAGAATAATGTGAAAACCCCCCTTCTAATATATGTCTTTTTTTGCAAAAAAAAATTGGAAATTGATTCATAATGATTGAGCAAGGTTGTGTGTCGTTTTTTTTAACATTTTTTTTTTATTAAAGTTGATTGTGTTGTTGTTATTGTCGACTAATAATCAAACAATCATAGATTTGCGCAGTGTTAAAGCACACTCGATATCAAATTTCATACAGTTATACGGTTTTTTTTTAAATCAATCTAAAAACAAACAAACAAAACCTGACAAATTACATCAATCAGCATTAACACATCAACAACAACAAACAAACAAACAAACAAACACATCAAAGATTAGGTTTATTCATTAGCAATAAAAGATAGATAGATTTATTATTGTTATCATTATCAAGTTTAAGTTATTGGTTGAGCTCAAGTGGTTGTAGGTAGTGTGGGTCGTTTGTTGGTTGTTGCTGCTGCTGTTGGTCAGTTGAAAAAAAAACAACTTAGAAAAAAAAAAAAAGAAAGTTAGTAAGAAACAATGACTTCTTCAAGTACCATTGAGAGAGCTGTGTGGTACTCGAGTGCATGTGTAGTACTAGCAATGGTTATATTTAACATTACACCAATACTCGAGGAGATACCGTGGTTTCACTTTACTCTGGGCTGTAACACCTTTATATTCTTCCTCGAACTCTACTTGGACATTCGTCAGTCATTCACCATCCGACAATATCGTAATCCCACGGCCAACTGGACTGATACAACATATCATATTGTAAGTAATAAATAATAATATTAACAAGATCAAATAATAATAAAATAATTCATCAGATCTAATATAATCTAATCAACGTTTAACCTAATATTGCAATTTTAACCAATCTTTATATAGGAAAACATTCTTGGACTTCTTAATTTCTCTAGAACCGAGTCTACAATTGGTTTCATCTTGGAGTGTTGTATACTAAACTTTGGTGTTTTATTATATATCTATAATTGCAATGAGTATCTTTGGAGTGCCTACGGCTTTGGACAAGAGTATGAAGTTACTCGTGGTATTTCCTATCTTTTAATGATCAGTTTATTCAGTTCAATTATCCGACTACCATTCGAGTTGTACAGAGTATTCCTTGTCGATTGTCAATCAGATGTCTCTGATAAATCATCTTCATCTCAATCATCATCATCATCATCAACAACAACAACATCAAATCATTGGTTTAAGCAAATAGTAATCGATCAAATTAAAATGTTTCTAGTATCACTATTAATTGGATTACCATTATTAGCAGTTACAATTGCATTATTCTCATGGAAATTCCCATTTCAATGGTTATGTAAGTATTATTAAAACAAATTTACTCTCTTTTTTTTATTTTGTTAATTATTAATATTTTTTTTCAGATATAATCATTTTTGTTTCAACAGTAGCATTATTCTTCTCTGATATGTATCCATCGTTAGCATTCTTGTTTAACAATTTCTCTTTGATGGAGGATGGCGAATTAAGAGAGGAAATCAGTAAACTATCGAACAAACTTGGTTTTCCATTGAAAGAGATCTACACAATGGATGGATCGAAGCGAGTATCTCATTCAAATGCATTCCTATTGGGTTTCTGGAGTAGCAGTATCGTTTTATATGATAATCTTATTAAGCAACAATCAACACCAGAGATTCTATCGATTATCGGTCATGAAATAGGTCATCATAAATTTAAACGTAAGATTAACTAATTAATTACACACATTTTAATATATTGAATATCATTTATTTATTTATTTAAACAAACAAAAAACATAATCATCTAGATTCATGGAAACATTTATTTGTACAGTTGTTGTTTTTAGGTAATTTTATTTTCTTATTCTCAAGAGTTGTAAATTTACCTATATTTTATTATAGTTTTGGTTTTAAAAGAGTTGATGTAAGTAAATAATAATAATTTGAATATTCAATAATCATCATGATAAATTAATAATCTTATAACATTTTTTAGGTTAGTGTTGGTTTAGTTATATTTTCATATTTATATAGTACATTTGCAAATCTATTAAGATTTGTTACCAATTTAATTAGAAGAGAATTCGAATATGCAGCCGATCGTTATGCCATCGAGAATGGATTGGACATGAAGAAAGCATTGCTTTCAATGTATGGAAATGGTACATACATTAAACCAGATATCTATTTTTCATTATATTATTATTCTCATCCATCATTAATGGAAAGATTAGATTCCATCGATTCAATTACAAATGAATTAAATAAAAAAAGTGAATAATCAAAACAACCAAACAAATATACAAATATACAAATATATATTATTGTAATTATCTTAATTCTTTTTATTTATTTTTTAAAGTAAGAATGGTACGATGATCTTTCTTGATCTTGGATATTGTAATCTACCGTTTTGACCGTCAAAGTCCTTACGGTATTTACGGTGTTTGGCGACGGCCCAGACGTACATCTGGACGGCACCGAGAATGGTAAAGATGTAGGCGGTGAGGGTTTGGGTCATGATGGAGAAACCGATCCATGAGAGAATCTCCATGGTGTAGTTTGGACATGAGACAAACTCAAAGAGTCCACCCTTTGGAATGGCACGTGCGGTAGAACCGGCTGGACGAAGGTTACGGAGTTGCAAGTGACAAACCAAATTCATTGACTCACCAATGGCAAACAAGACCAATCCGAGGTAGACGTTCATGGCTGCCGGTGCAGTGTACAACGAATGGTTGACAAAGTACGATACCATCACTGTGCATCCCCAGTAGTAGGTACAGTTTTTGAACAAATTGAAAAGTGGCATTGTACCATGACTGAATCTATGTACAAAGATAGTTTCCAACAATCTCTTAATATAATGAATACTGTAACAGATCAATGCTAATACTAAAAAATTAATAAAATAATTATATTAATAGTTAATAATAAGATTTATAATTTATATTTTAACTATTTTATATTTTGAGTTAAATTAATTTACTTACTGTTGAACATAACTCTTTTCAAATTGATATCCATAGATTTGAGTTGAGAAGTAGTAGAACAATGGGTAGATGAGTAATGGACCAGCATATTCAGCCAAGAATACAGCAGTCCATGAGATTTGAGGTCCTAAATCCTTAAAGTATAATGTATCATCCAATTTAAGGTTGTACGATGCCAATGTCTTACTGTCATCTCCAAGAATAATTGGTTTAGAATCTGCACCAATAATAGAGAATCTTTGTCTTTCAACACTATATTTTGGATCTTTTTTTTTTGTTTGTTTTTTAATTAAATAAATAAACAACAATTAATATCTATCAACTATCAATTATTTATTGATTTACATACTTTGTCTGTAGAATTCCTTTTTGAATTGACCGACGGTTTGGACAGCTTCAGTAGAAACAGTACAGATCTCACGTTTGCTACCCGATGATAATACTTTGATTCTCATTTTTTAACAACAAAAACTATAGCTTTATGATTACCAAATAGCTCTCTAAATTGTTCAAAACTTAATGATCATCAAAAATTTTATTATTGAAAAATAAATTTTTAATTTAAATATTTTTAAATATCTTAAACACCCGAACGTTACAATCAATGTTTTTTTTACTGACGATTTTGAAAACACTCTGTATTCATAATTTAACACAGAAATAATAAAAAAAAAATTAGTTATTATGTCATAATCAAAAATAATGAAAGAGAAAGAAATTCATTCATTTATTTAATCAATAAAAATAAATCAATGTTTAGATTATATTTATTATTATCATTATTATTTTTAATATCAAGTTTAAGAGCTGATGATGATGTTTATAAACATAACGATGATGATGATGAGTATGATTATATAGTTCTCGGAGCAGGTACTGCAGGATCAATTGTTGCAAATAAACTATCTGAAAATAAAAGAAATTCAATATTATTGGTTGAAGAAGGTGGTTGTAAGTTATAGATGAAATTTAATTAAAATATTTTATCGACTATCAATTTTTTCTTAAATTAAATTATTCGAATTTTATTTGTTATGTTAGTTGCTCAACATCCATGGATATGGGATCCAAAAGATTGGGTACAACATTTTATTACCGATCCGGAGCCTGTTGTTTCCAGAGTATATATGTCAACACCGGAGCCAGGTTGTAATAACCGTACAATGAACCAAATAAGAGCAAAAGTAACTGGTGGCTGCAATATGAATAACGGAATGATTTTCGTAGTTGGTGATAAACAGCTATATAATGATTGGGCAGACCAAACCGGTGAGAGTGAATGGGGTTGGGACAATGTCCATTCCAAACACATTAGCGAGATTCGTTCAAAGTTTTATTTGAGAAAGCTCGATGATAATAGAAAGCTACTTCCAGAGATAAAAAGAGCTGTCACTAGACTTGGTGTACCATTCATTCCCGATGTTTATGTCGGAAATTTGAATGGTTTGACTAATAGAATATCAATGTCAAAACCAGACAACATTACTTACCAACGGAGAGAAACAAGTTATTCTACTTATATCGATCCAGTTGTAGCTAATCGTAAGAATTTAGATGTTCTAGTTTATCATCGTGCTGAAAAGATTGAATTCAATGGAAATAAAGCTGTTTCCGTTAGATTAAGAGATGTTGGAACTGGAAAGATTAGAAACGTTAGAATCAACAAAGAGTTAATTATCAGTTTAGGTGCTTATGAATCACCGGTTCTTTTGCAAGCAAGTGGCGTTGGAAATCCTTCGAAATTGAAACAAGCCGGTATCAAACCAACGATAGATTCTCCTTATATTGGTGAAGGGTTATATGATCATTTCTATATTAATTTCTTTGCAAAACCACTTTTATCCACAATCAAAATAGCTGCTGACGATCTCAACAGGCATACGGTTGAAGATGGATTCCTCTATTTCGGTACCAAACAAAATAAAACTAAACACGATTTCATTTTGGGTTTGGATTTCAAATATTTGGAAACAGGCCAAGTAGTTTTCTATTGTCCAGTTGAGCTTGTCAATGCAAAGAGTGTTGGAAGAGTTCAAGTCAAGAGTATAGATGAAACAGGTGCTGCCGTCCACCCATTAATAACAAACAACTACCTTACATCTCCAGATGATATCCAGATTCTAAAGGATGGTATCAAAGAATGTCGTAGAATCCAAGATAAACTCGTTCAAATGGGAATCGTAGATGGAAATAAACCTGAATCCAGCAATATTGGTCAAGATGATGCATCGATCGAAGATTATATAAGAAGAACCGGTGTTAGAGATTTTCATCCATATGGTACTGTCAAGATGGGAAGAAAAGATGATCCAACAGCACCACTCGATCCACACCTCAAACTCAAAGGTACCGAAAATATTCGTGTCATCGATGCTTCTGTAATTCCCTCCATAAATGTAAATACCAACGCACCAACAATGATCATTGCATTACAAGCTTCTAAATTTATATTAAAAGACAATAAATAATCAAGATTTATAAATTAAAAAAAAACTATTACAATAAATAAGATATGATTTATGTTTATTTATTTTGTAACAGTTGTTATGATGGTCATCAACAATAATTACTATCTATTGTTGGTATCAAGGTAATCATGTAATTATAAAGGTTACTCGTAACTCTAGATGAATTTATTTAATATGATTTGGATTTGTTTAACTTTTAATCGTTTCAAACTTACATGTAGATAAACTTTTAATGATGTATAGTTATCCCAGTTCTCAAAGAGTGATTCCTCAAAAGAACTGTTCCACTTTGTAGAAGCGCCATATATAAAAATACCATTAATACATTTTCTTTCAGTTATGAAACCGTTTCTAATTTCATATTGATTCGAACCATTTAGAACCAGAGAGATATAAAATACCATTGTTTATATATATCTTTAATGATCTATTAATATTTGAATGATTAATATTTGATATTGATTAGGACTTTCCTATCATATTTATAGTTTAAGAAAAAGTTTTGTTAATCAAATAAAGATAATTATAACTTTTGATTAACATATTTGTCAATCAGATTTTAAATTTGATTGAAATTTTGTTAATCAGAAAATGATGTCAAAAAATTAATTTAGAAAACAAATGTTTTTTTTAACCTTTAAAAACTAATACTTGGCGAAGTACATCTTGACCAAAATGTAGAATAGAATTTGTAAAATAATATTTATTAAAAAAAAATCTGAAGTTTTTCCACCTCCCAAGATACAAAGAAGATCCTTGAAAAAAAAACCATATTTTTTTAAAAAGCATGGTTTTTGAAATAAAAAAATTTGATTTTTTAAGAAATATCTAAATTTATCAAGATATTTAATATTTTTTTTGTAGATAAAAAGAAACACTCGAGTGTTTCATTTCATTACCATATTTTTTTGTAAAAGACAAACAACAAACAAACAAACAAACAAACAAATTATTATTTCATTAAAGGGTGATTTATTATTATAATATTTATTTTATTTTTTAGTGGTGATTATAACATTTAAATATGCAAGACGATGAATATTTAAATGAGGTTGGTGGGACCTTGGCTAAATCAAAATGTCCAATTTGTAATAAATCAATTGGTATGGGTTAAAAAAATATATATTGGGTTTGATTATTATTTAAAACTTTTATTTTATTAATTATAATCTTTTTATTTAGAACAATTTTATTTAATCATTCACACAAGAGATTGTATTAAAAGATTGTCAGAGGTCATAGATCGAGTCGAAAAAGATGAAACTATTCTACGTGACTTGAAGGGTATAAAGAAAAATAGAAAGGAAAGAGAAATCAATCAATCCTCTAGTAGTAGCAGCAGTAGTAGTAGTGGTAGTATACATGAAGACGATGATACCGGAAGTGAAAAGGGTTCCAGGAGAAATAGAAACAAAGAACCAAGGGAATCGAAACAACCGAAAGAAACGAAAGAGCCAAGAGAATCAAGAGGACGTGGTAGAGATTCCACCAATCAAATGCCAAGCCGCTTTCAACAACAACGACAAATGAGACTAGAACACTCACAACAACAGCTACAAATAATGCAGCAACAAACGCAATATCTACAACAACAACAGCTTATAGCTAATCAATTTATTAATCAATCGACTCCAGTTGCAACTTCTTCTTCACAACATCCAGCATCAATCCTTGGAAACCACGATGATTTTATTGAAGATGACTATCATAGCGAAGAAGGTGACTATATTGTTAACACCTATAGTATAAGACGTTCGGAGAAGACAATTGAACCACCAAAACCGATGAAACCGATGAGACCACAGGATTTCCATCGTCCAGAGTTCATTTTTGTGCCTGCCGTTATGTTGAGAATCGTTGGGTTTGCAACGCTTCCAATCATTCATTTCGAAAGAAAGCTATCGGCGTACGACGAGGAGGGTATTGGCCAACCAATGAAATTCGGAATCAAGCGACTGATGGAACTTAGTTTACTCAGCAAACAAATCTACAAATTGGTTCGTACCTATTTGATGCCAGACTTGCGCTTCAGAAATCTCAAGGACAAGGATATCGAACACCTGAACAGTGTCAAATGTCCAATCAAAACATTCTTAACCTACGAACTGAATACCTCGTTCAATAACGGTGCCACCATACCAACGACATGCAACACCATTGAAACACTAACACTCATCTATCCGACTGTGTTCAACTCTGACGTCGCTCATGTCATCAAAATTCTAAAGAGCCAGCCACACCTCAAGAAACTACGTATCTCCATACAATTCCTTATCAAACCAGAGATTATCGAGACTCTCAAACAATACAATCCACAAGTAAAGAGACTTTCGGTGCTCTCCTACTTGGAGACACCATTGTCCGACCAAGACAATATCGGTATCGACATCCTCCAGAGATATCTTGAAACCAACAAGATTGTTAGTGTCAAAGCTTACATTGCCGCTACAGCAGCGCGTCTCGAGCGAATGAAGAATAACATTCCCAACAGTAAACTCATTGTTAACTACACCTTTAGTGCTCGTTTAGATGTGGCGTTCCAGGGAACCGTCAATAGAAACACCGTTATCAAATCACTCGATTTGAAGTGTAATCAACTCGTCAATCTAGCAGTGCCCCTCTCCAAGTTGACAGCATCGCAAATCAATCAAGTCAGGTTTATCAGTACCGATCAGCTCAGAAACTACGAATATCTCAAACGTTTCATCAATGTAAAGGTGATGCATATCACCTACTCACCAGAGCCAGCACTCAAAGGGCTGCTCACTTTTATTTCCAGCAGAATGCCATCGGTAGAGTACATCTATCTCGTTCAATACACAAGAAGAAAAGAATCGATGATGTTTTTGGATAACTGGATGGTCGAACATCTCGATAAATCATTCCAATTTCAATTGGAACGTACTCATCCAATTGCAAAACAATATCTATTCAAAAGAGTTTATTTTAAATAAAACACAAAAGCAAAAGATTCGATTTATTTACAAAAGTCAAGTTTATCTGAATAAAATACAATTTAAATTGTTTGGTATGATTTCAATTCTTTTGAATTGAGTATTCTTTGAGAGGTATTCACCCAATTCAATATAGATTGGTGGTCTATCCGAGTAGGTAAAGATATTAATCTTTTGAAGCGATCTATTCTTGTTCAAAAAGTGTGAAATGATACTCCAATGATTGAGATAGTTGTTTTCATCCTTTTGAATCATTCCGAGAATTTGAAGATGTTCAATGGTCGAGTTGGTTGATATCGATGCAAACAGATTGATAAGATCTAAATTAAAGGAACTGAATATCTCCAAACTACGAATGGTCTTATCGTTTGGTATGAACGATAGGAATGCTTGGAAATGTTGAATCGTATGTTTTGAGAATCTAACGGATAGCTTTGTTATCGATTTAAATATCTCTGTTGGATTCATCATAATTGGATAATCTACAAGTTGTTGTTTATAGCTTGATTCCAATCTTAAATTTTTTACAGAATAATTAATTGGTTTCATTGTTGTTGCTGCTGCTGGGTTGTTGTTTAGTTGCTGTAAAACTGGATAATTCATAGGGAAAAATAATTTTTTCAAATTATTATTGTTGTTAGCCAAAACTCTAAAGATATATTCATGTGGAACTGGACTCAATATTAGCAATTCAGTGATGGTTTTACAACTCTCTAGATACACGAAAAGTGGTTCCATCTGTTGGTAGTTTGTCTCTATTTCCGGTTCGATCAACTGCAACTCTAGCCGTTTGAGATTCTTACACTCAAAGAGGAAAGATATCAACACTTCACTGGGATACTGTTTGCAACGGTAGGTGAACGATGTCAAATGATTCACCAGATGATCGAAATAGAACGATTCATATCGGCTGAACGTATCGTATTTGATCATCGAGTACTTGGTGATCGGGTTGTTTGCGAGGTGTCCATGAATATCGGTGAGCGATGTCACCGTTTGTATTCCATAGACCGACCACTCGGTGATCGGTATCGTTATCGACTTTATCAGCGAGACCAATCTCTCATAGGCATAGACAGCTTGTGTCAGATGGAAACTGGCGACAACCTTGAGCGATTTGATGCTGGTGTTGCTGTTGATGTGTGGAACCAAAGCGTCGTACATGTCGAATGCCGATCGCTCATTGGCACGAATGACCAACTCACTAAAAGTGGTTCTCGAGACGAATTGAATCAGACGATCGATCAGCGTAAGCTTTTTCCTCTCGATCTCCAACTCCACCGTACCACCATAGTAGAATAAACAACTTTGGTTGAGAAGATGGTGACTCAACCAATCGATATCCTCATCGATGACATACTTGAACTCTGCTTTCTCATTGTGATAGAACAACAGCTTCAGTGTATTGAACCATTGTTGACTGACAGTTGCCAAACTCAACTTCCAATTCCAACTTGCATTTTCATCGAAATATATAAATTTAATAATTTCTTTTTGTAATACAATATCCAACATGTGTTAAATTATAATTATACAATCTACAAATAAAAAATGACAATTATTAGTTCACATTTAAAAGTGTCAAATTTATAAAGTTTTGAAAGTAAACATGTTTGTTCCCCAAACATCATACCTATTTAAACCAACAAAAAGCCAACATGTAAATCATTCAAAATTCAAACAATTTTTAAAGAAATAAAAAGAAATTTAAATTAAAAAAAAAATTTCGAATTTCAAATATAACCCACTTGCTTGGAACAATAAGATTGAAAAAAAAGGTCAAAAGACCTCCAACCGCTCTATTTATACAGTAAATAATGCAAATGAAAAACAAAAAAAATAGTCTTGTGTGTTTTGATCACCCGCAATAACGAACACTGGTGGTCCTTTTCATACACAACACAATAATGAACAACATATTCATTTAATTATTTAAAATAAAAAAATAAAATAAAAATAACTTTTTGGTAATTAATCGATTTCTAGATTATATTTAATAATAGTAAAAGAGATTAGTTTTTATTGTAAATAAAAAAAAGAATAATAATACTACATACATACATACAATACACATATATATAAATAGATAGATTTTTTTTTTTTTATTCTTTTTTTTCTTTTTTTTTAATTATTATTATGTTTTTTTGTTAATAATATTTAACTTATTTTAAATATATTTATAAATAATATATTTATTTTTTGTTAATAATGCCAATTCAAACATTTAATGAATATTGTACACAATTAAAGCTATTAATAAAAAAGAATTTATTATTAAAAAAAAAGAATAAATGTGGTTTAGTATTTGAATTTCTTGTACCAACAGTTATTATTATAATATTATTTATCGTATTATGTAAGTAGTTTATCCAAATGTATAATATATATATTGATTAATAATCATCTTTTTTTTTTTAATTATTTTAGTAATTGTAAAAGAATATAATAAAGAATATCCAATTGAATCGATTGTAGCTTTAAGTGCGATTGTAAATAGTACATCAACGATTCTCTATGGACCTTTGAATAATATGACAAAAGAACACTTTGGTGTCATCGAGATACTAAAGTCAAATACAGTGATGACCAGTGGTAATATAGTTGCTGACCACTTTTTCATACCGTTTAACAATCAACTTGAAATGGATAACTATTTCGAGTCGAATGCAGAATCGGTTCTCTGTGGAATTTGGATGAATGAATCCAGTAATGCCAACGACTTTGCCTACAGTATAAGAATGGATTCCGTTAAGCTGCCCGATACAACCATCCTCTACAAGACGAAACTGTCGTCGACGCTCTACACGTTCTCCAACTTTCAGGCTGTGCAACTGGCTATGGATGCCTCGATCATGCAATACTATGGTGTCAACTTGATGTTGAACGCCAGTACGAAGCGATATCCCAATCCTCTCGATGAGGAATGGCAGGTTTGGAACGAAGGTAGAAGAACGGTACTCCTGAATGGCGGTGCCATGTTTCTAACCGCTGCTTTCGCTGTCTATGTATTCCGACTGACGAATGACTTGGTGATAGAGAAGGAAACGAAAATCAAAGAAGGAATGCGTATGATGGGTATGAGGGACTCGACTTACTATCAGAGTTTTCTGATCTCATCGCTCATGGTTTCTCTGCCGATTCTCTTTATCATGTTTGGTAGTCTCGTAGGCAGTGAGGTGATATACCACGCCAACAAATGGGTGTTTTTCTTTATATTATTTTTCTATTTACTTTCTCTGCTGGTTTGTTCGATTATCTATTCCATCTTTTTCGATCGATCACGTTACTCTGGTGTACTGTCGTATGCAATAACAATGGGTCTCGGTGGTGCCGGTATCTACGTTGCGCAATCCTCCATTTCTCGAGTTGGAAAGGGTTTCCTCTCTTTGATTTCACCTATTGGTTTCGCTTGTGCAATCTACAGTATGGTCATCGACGATATGATCGACCTTAGAAACGAAAATCCTATTGACAGATCACTACTCTTGACACCATCACAATCACTTGGTATCCTGATATTTGACATTCTCTTTGATGCAATACTCCTTTGGTATTTCGATAATGTTTGGCGTGGAGAATACGGTACACCTCGACCGATGCTCTTTTTTCTCAAGAAATCCTACTGGTTTCCTTCGGCTGTCGCCTACGTTGAGCATCCACCCATCATTGAGAACGACATGGTAGAAACGGTATCCGATGATCTCAAACAGAATATCTCAATCTCCATTAGAAACTTGAAAAGAGATTTCAACACAAAGATGGCAGTCGATGGTCTCAGTCTTGATATGTACCAGAATATGATTCATGCATTCCTCGGTCATAATGGTGCCGGTAAGAGTACAACCATTGGTATTCTTACAGGTCTCATTCGAGCATCCGACGGTGATGCATACATTCACGGAATGTCAATCACCAACGAAATGTCAAATATTCGTCGTAAACTAGGTGTATGTCCTCAACACGATATCGTTTGGAATCAACTAACTGTTTTAGAGCATCTTGAAATCTACGCTGCATTAAAAGGTGTTGAAAATTCAAGTGTAGAAAGTGAAGCAATCAATATGGCAAAAATGGTTGGATTAGGTAGGTAAAAAAAAAAACAAATTATACAAATCAATTTATATATATTAATTTTCTTTTCTTTTTTTGTTTTTTTTAGGTGGTGAAATGAATTCATCAGCAGGTAAATTATCAGCAGGACAAAAACGTAAATTATGTTTAGGAATTGCTTTTATTGGTAGATCAGAAGTAATATTGATAGATGAGGTTACCTCTGGTATGGATCCGAAATCAAGAAGAGAGGTTTGGGATTTTCTTCATGCTTGGAAACAAGGTCGTACTATCATCCTTACAACTCACTATATGGATGAAGCCGATAATCTTGCAGATCGTATTGCAATTATATCAAAGGGTAAACTGAGGTGTGAAGGTAGTTCGCTATTCTTGAAAAAGAAATTCGGTCTCGGTTATCTCTTGACACTTACCAAGATGACAGACTGTCAGACTCCAATGGTAACGGAATTCATCCAACATTTTATACCGGATTGTGTAAACCTCTCGGATGCAGGCTCCGAACTATCCTATCGTATTCCTACACATGCCGCCGATAGTTTCCCAATCTTTTTCAAATCGCTAGACGAACAAAAGCATCTCATTGGTATTGAACATTATGGTATTTCACTTACAACACTCGAAGAGGTTTTCCTTCAAATTGCAAATGAAAAAACAGCCAACACCGAAAATAATAATAGTCCAGTATTAAGTAGTAGCGGTACTACAAAGATATCAATTGATACTAATAGTAAGAAATTACCATTAGAGACATTGATGATTGCTGCAGACCATCCAAACAACTATCTACAAATGTTTGGTTTGTTTGTCAAGAAATATCGTGTCTCCAAGAATGACTATACCATGTTTATGTTGGCAAATATTGGTCCATGGATGTTGATTTCTCTTGCTATTATTTGTCTTAAATTTGTCAAAATTCAACCACTCTATGTCGATATCGTCACTCCGATAACCTTTGATTTCTCTCAATACAGCGGTCTCAATGGTTTACCAAATTATCTACCAATACAAACGGTCGACGGAAATCTTTCACTACTCAATCGATCACCTTATTTCAATCAAGTGGTCACCGTACCATCCGATATCAATATGGATCAATATTTACGAGATAATCATTTCTTAGACAGTGCTGGATCGCTTGCTTTCAACCAACCAATCGGATCTCTCGTCAACTACACAGTCTATTATAACAATGACTATCCACATGCATCACCAACCGTTATGAATGTAGTCAACAGTGCAATCCTAGAGAAACTAGCCAATGTATCTATTGTAACCGGTAATTTCCCATTCAAACATGTTGCCAATACGATAGAGTCATTCTTTGGAACATCCAATTTCAGTGCATCCAGCTACTTTATCATTTTGGCCATGGCTGGATATTCGTTTATGATTGCTTCATTTGGTGCATCGATATCCGCTGAAAGAGAAACACAACTAAAGAGTATCCTCTACGTATCTGGTTGCAAAAAGTATATCTATTGGCTTTCCAATTTAATGTGGGATACAGTGACCTCCATTGAAATCTGTCTTATCATTATCGGTATCTATTCAGTGGATCACCGTCTCAACAGTAATATCGGTTTACTTATTATGGCACAATCATGGTTTTGCTTGGGAACCATCCCATTGTCCTACTTGATGTCATACAACTATACGAAAATCGGTAAAGCATTTGGAGCCATCTATGGTAAGCTGTTTGGTGTTGGTCTTCTCTTCATGGCCGTTGGCACATGGACTCGTGTCTATGTTCATGGACAATACTTTAACTATGGAAAGGATCTCGTTTATCTTTCTGATCTACTGGATTGCATATTCTATCTAATCTCACCAGTCTATTGTCTGGGTCATATATTTTCATTTATTTTACAATACCCTGGATCGCTTCCACCCAACGCTACCGTAATACCTAGTTTATGGTCGATGGATCAATCAGGTCTACCATTATTCTTTTTGTCACTCCATTTCTTGGTATGGTCATTGATCGTACTTTTGATTGATTACCGAATGGAAATCAAAGGTATCCTCAAGTCCAAGTGGAAACGTAAAGCAGCAATTTCACCTGAACCACCTTCTTATGAGGATCCAGATGTTGCAATGGAAAGAATTCGTTTGAGTATGGTCCTTGAAAAAGGTGAATACAATGATTCAGTGATTCTCAAAGAGCTCCATAAAACATTCCCAACCAAAGGTCAAGAAAAAATGGCAGTCTACAATACATCGTTGGTCATTAGTCCTGGTGAAATATTTGGATTACTTGGTCTAACTGGTGCAGGTAAAACAACAACACTCTCGCTCTTGGCTGGTGATATTCAACCGACTGCCGGTACAGCACTGATCAATGGTTTCGATTTGACTACCCAACGTACACAAGCATTGGAGTCGGTTGGTATTTGTATCCAAGGTGATTCACTTATTCAACTACTCACAGGTAGAGAACATCTTCGATTCTATGCAAGAATCAAAGGTATCCCACACAAGAAAATTGAATCAGTCATTAAATCCTATATTATATCGATGGATCTACTTGATATTGCTGATGAGCTTGTTAGAACCTACAGTGGTGGAAACAAGAGAAAACTTGCTCTATGCTTGGCACTCATCGGCAGTCCATCTGTTTTGTTCATCGATGAAGCAAGTTCAGGTTGTGATCCTCAAGTTCGAAGACTCATGTGGAACCTGATCTCTCAAATGAGTAAATCCAAAAAGATTATCCTGACCACTCATTCAATGGAGGAATGTGAGGCGCTTTGCCAACGTGTAGCCATTATGAAGTGCGGTAGATTAATGTGTCTCGGTTCCAACCAACATATTAAATCTAGATTCTGTAGTGGTTACTCATTGGATATCAAATTTAAAACCATTGCCATTGAACAAGGTGTACAAGAGATTATGGCTGCACTTCCAACTGCTCAACTCGTCGATTCTCATGACCTGATAGCCAACTTTGAAATACCGGACGGCCATCTTCAAGTATGGCAAATTTTCCAAGTGGTTCAACAACTTTCACAATTTGTAGAAGACTACTCTGTATCTCAGACAGGTGTAGAACAAGTTTTCCTCAAACTCACATCCGATTATTTCGAATCTCATTATTTAATCTACGCCAATCAACCTATTGCCAACAATGTTTATACAGAATTTTATCCTCCCAACTTTACACAGTCAAACAATCCTGATCATCCAAATGTAGCAATAAAAATGCAAAATCTTTAATTTTTTTATTATATCAATAAGATTTTGCAAAATCTTTAATTTTTTTATTATATCAATAATTTAATTTTTACGTATTACTGCTTTACCTTGTAACACATAATCAAATTCTTCTCTTTTTACAAGAATATCTAATGCTTTTCTAATTGCAAATGGTGATAACTTTCGGAAAACAAAAAATATTAGTCAAAATGATCATTAAACTCTTTGTTTTCTTTACTTACTTGACCATTCAATTGAGAGGTTAAATTTCTAATACCAACTTTAGATCCAATTGGAATTCTCTTTTTAAGAATATTCTCTGCATTGACAACCTCTTGTAAAAGTTGTGGTGTAATTTGTTCTCCAACTGCATTGTTTGTGGTGATTGCATCGTAGGTAGAAATGGTAAATAATCTAATAGCCTCCATTACATGTTGATTGGTCGCTGTAGTTGAAAGACTCATCTTGGCAAGTGATTCTGAAATTCTAACAATAGCTTCCAACTGTCTAATAGTAATTGGAATGGCAGAAACTTGACCATCCTCATCTTGTTTTTGTCTAACTGTTGCTCTTATAGATACATAATGATTTTTTAATGCTTCAATAGCATCATCTGATAATCTTGGACTACATCGACTAGATAACAAAGTTGTTTAATAGTTGAGATTGAAAAAAAAAAAAAAACTTTCAATGATCATTTCTTACCTTCTACAAAAAGAAATATATTTCTTTAAAAAGTTTATATCCAATTCATTACTTGAATTACCAGATGTTCCACTCATATGAATACCAATAACATGATTTGCAATCGATTGATCTCTTTCTTTAATTCTTGGATCTCTAACAACAAAAATTAAATCAAAACGTGATAAAATGGTTGCTTGAAAATCTATATTCTAAAAGAAAGAATTATTGTTGGAAATTAATAAACAAAAATAATAAATAAATAAAATTATAAGTTTTACATACATCACCAGCAGATTTCATATCATCATATCTACCATATACAGGATTTGCAGCGGCCAATACAGATGTACGTGAATTTAAAATGGTGGTGATACCAGCTTTTGCAATGGAGATGGTTTGTTGTTCCATTGCTTCATGAATTGCTACACGATCGTTTACATCCATTTTATCAAATTCATCTATACATACTACACCACCATCAGCTACAACCATTGCACCACCTTCCAAATAGAATTCACCTGTTGATGGCTCTCTAATGACAGAGGCAGTAAGACCAGCTGCACTACTACCCTTACCAGAAGTATAAACAGAGATTGGTGCCACTTTTTCAACAAACTTGAGTAACTGTGACTTCGCTGTACCTGGATCACCAAGTAACAATAAATTGATATCACCTCTCAATTTCATTCTATCTGGTAATTTCTTTGATGATCCACCAAATAATTGACATGTAATTGCTTTTTTAATATCTTAAATTATAATATTAATAAAATGTTGTTGTTGTTGTTTTTTTAATTATTATTGCTATTTGCTTACCTTTATGACCATAAATAGATGGTGCAATACTATCAGCCATAATTTGATAGAGATCTGGACGTTTTGAAAACTTTCTAAATTGATCTTCTTCTTTGGGTGTAAAGAATACAGTATATCTACCACCCTTATCTGTATCGGATGTAATGCCGAGTGCTCTAATATATGCTGTTCTGATGGTGGCTGAACCAGCAACCTCTCTCTTCTTTCCAACATTGGCACCAGTATAGATACCAAACACACCCAACACTGATATTCTTGTACCTGGTGTGACTTTCTCCACCAAATATCGATCCAATGATAATTGGATATGTCTTGGCATCTCACCAGTTGGAATTGTATCAGGACTCTCTTGTAACTTTAATAATTGTTGATTTACAAATTTAGATCTATCACTTAGAATATGATAAGGGCTATTTCCACATTGTAAACCTTTATTTTGACTTTTGATTAAAGTTAAATATTTGATTAGTAAATATGTTTAATTGTATTTATTATTTATTATTAATTACTTACCCTTCATCACAAATAGCAGGTAATGGATTTAATGTTATGCCAGGTGATACATTAATATTTAATTGATGTCCACATACACGACATTTGGCAACCAATAGGACTGGACGTGGTTGTGTACGTGATGCAGAAACTACAATCCCAGATATCTTTATCAACTTTGCAATGTGATTGGATTTCAATGATCTAATAGATGTTGAATCCTGTGAATTGACAAACACAACTTGAATATCATTTATATCTTTTAGTTCTATTTTAAATTTCATCTGTTTAACTGCTAACTTTGCTGCATTCTCAAACTATTTTTTTAAAAAGTTAGTAAATCTAATTTAATTCATCGATATTTATTATTAATTATAAAATTAACTTACTAATGGTATAACTTCATTCGGTTTATTTAAAACTTGATACGATAGATTTGAATCGAATTGATCGAGATGATCGAGATTAACCTCTAAATAGTATTGCTCAAGATTGTATCTCTGTGATAGCTGGTCTCTATAAATAAAAGAGTTGTCTTGATTCTTCCATTCTCTAATGAACTGTAAGAACTTTGTTTGGATATCTACAGAGCTATTGGTTGATTGATCATTCAATGCTCTACTACCACTGATACCACCTCCACCACTAACATAAACATTACCTTGATCCCAACCTGACATCTAAAACTATAAATATATACCAATTAAATAAATATAGTTTATTATAATTAAATACTATCAAATATATAATCTAATCTAAAAACTAAAACTAAAAATTTAACAAAGTGCGCCAAAATTTGAATTTTAAAATAATTATTTTTTTTAAAATCTTAATTGTTTGTCCACCGGTGAAATGGGAGGTGCTTGTTAATTTCATCATAGATTAATATTGGTTGTGAACAAAAGATGAAATAATTTGTGAATAATTTTAGATGGTATATTTTTAAATCAAACAAAAATAGTAAAAGAAGTATAACTTTTTGAAATGAACACCTAATGAAATAAAACAAACATATAATGATAGATAATCACTAGACGAGTCTATTGATATCAATTTTATCAAAAATACTTTGTTAAATTGTTTACTTTTTTGATTTTTTATTGAATCCATCTTTTACAAACTAAGCTACAACAAATCCTGTCTATATTTCAAGATCTATTAACAATGATCTTAAGTAATAAAAATGGAAAATTTACAAATCGATATTCTTTGTTGTTTTGTTGCTCCATCAATTTTAGAATGATTATATTTATCTTTTAGATCACCCTATCGAAAAGAAAGATAAATGGTTTAAAAGATAAAATTTTGTCAAGCTGCAATAAATAAAATATTTTGGAATAAACTGTAGTTTAATTTTGTTTGTAAAATATTACTATTAATAAATATAATGTTATATAATAGTAGGTTTTGTTTTAATAAATAAGATTGTTATATTAATATGATATATAATCAAAAAAGTTATGAAGTTGTAGTTGTTGCTCTATTTCTTGATCCAATTTCAATTTTACATATTCTTTTGGTTGGTTTCAAAATAATGTTATTAGCAATGTTATTGTTGTTTGTTGGTGAACTTGAAAGTGTTGTTTGTTGTTGTTGTTGCTGTTGCTGTGATTGTTGTTGTTGAATTTGTTGTTGTTGAATTTGTTGTAATTGGAATTTGTTATTCTTTCTCCACGAGAAGTTGTCTTCGGTTGGACCATTCTCTAGGATCGATATGATCGTTGGAATCTTGGCGTTGGTTGCAATCTCCAGTGGTGTACCTCTCTTTGAGCTGATGTTGATGAGTGCACCTGCGAGCAACAGTGTAGAGACAACCGCTGGTCTGCCGGCAGTGACGGCGTAGTGAAGTGCAGTCTCGCCACCCTTGGTCAGAGCATTGACATTGGCACCGTTCTGAAGCAGTAGCTTACAGACATCGTCGTTTCCACGGAACGCAGCAGAGTGTAACGGTGTCTCACAATGACGACTTCCATTGTTTATATCCAAACCGTGTTGCAGTAGCAACAGGATGACCTCTCTTCTCTTCTCAGTCAAAGGATGTCTAGCCAGATAATGAAGAATAGATGCACCATCTCTATTCTTTATCGTTACATCTACACCTGTAACATTCAAAAGTACCTTACAAATATCTGCATTACCCGAATAAGCTGCACTATGTAAAGGTGTCCAACCATTTACATCTATTTCATTAATTAAATGTCTAAAAATAATAAATGATGATTAATATACATGTTATAATATTGTTGTTATAATCAATGTTTCAACTTACTCTCCATATTCTAATACTTTTTCAACTGATTCTAATTGCTCAGATGAAACAGCAAGATGAAGTTCAGACTTTTCATCGTTTAATGTCTTTGGTTTACGTTTTTGAGTTACTTTAAATACTTGAGTGGAGGTCATCGATGCATCCAAGACTTCAGAGATATCTTCAGAAGACTCGTCAGAAGGATTATCCCAAAGTTCAACGACGGTGTTTAGTTCATTTTCGAGTCTGGCAAATGTTCCCATGACCAATCCACCGATTGGCACGATATGTAGTGATTTCTCGGTTTTAGAATCTTCCAAACGCTTCATTTCACTTAGGTAACCTAAATCGGACAACATATCTTCAATCCAAACGGTGATTTGTGGATCGGTAGCATCTCTAGTCTCTGCCAACATAGCTGACACCTTTTCAACGTTGAACTCTGCAATATCGATATTGAAATGTTCACAAAGAACAATGTGTGCTTTCTTTATGAAATTATCGATAATCGGATAGATCTCTTCTCTCAACTCTTTGATAAGATTTACCGGTGAGTTTAAGAATTTGTTGGAAAGTGTAAGTGTTGGTCGTTCGATGTTCAAGAGTGTTGGTGTAGATGGTCTAGTTGTTGTTGTTGTTGTTGGTGGTGTTGTTGGTGCTGCCGTTGTTGTTGTTTGATCAACTTGATTTGTTGTTGTTGTTGTTGATGAACTATCTTGTTGCTTAGAAGATTCTTCTGTACTTGATGATAAATCATTTACTGAAATAGTCATCTCTGTACTATTATTATTATTACTAACACTACCGTTACTTGTTGATAGTGTCGCCAAGTTGTTGGTACTGGTAGATGGTGAAGGTGATTCCTCAATCGTAATAATCTCAATGACATGCTCATTTGGATCCATTACTTTTTGTATGAGAATCAAGTTGTTTACTACATCTTTCATGTTGAGTGGTTGCTGCTCAATGTAGTTCTCTGGCACCGCAGTAAAGTTGTATCCACGCTCACTAAGAAATTCACTGGTTCTCACTTCAACTCGTTTCAACCACCATTCTGTCATCTCGTCTTTCAGTGTTCCGTTCATTAGATCACGCTTCTCAATCTTTAGTTGATCCAACATCAGCTCACAGTCACCTAGGAACTGCTTGATTTTGCTACGCGCCAACGCAATGTGATGCGAACCTTTGAGATCAGAGATGTGTGACTCGTACTTTGGCATAAAGAACAAACGGTGATCGAATTGATTGAGATGATGCTCAATCTTTTCATTCATCAACACTTCCAACTCCTTGTAGAACTGGTGATCCTGGTTGGTGTACAACTGGTGGAGAATGGAATGCATCGATTTCAACTTTTCCAAATCGAAAAGTGATACTTTTTCAGCGCCCAGATGTGCATCCATATCGATGCCAAGCGAAACCAAATGATTGATAGTATGCTGTTTACTCTCCTCTAGAACCTGTGAGAAGAACTTCTCGGTTGGTTGATGCACCAGTTTCTCAATCATCTTGATATCCTTGAGTGCTTCAATGGTTGATCTATTCAACGGCAGGATATCTTCGATTCCAATCGTGAGATATTCATTCTCCTCTGTTGTCAGCCACACGTTGATATTGTAGTTGTTACGCTCACCTGTGAATCTGGCGAATATTGCTTTCGGCTGGTAGTGTCTACGGTCGAGATACTCTTGAATGGTAATCTGATAGGGACGTGTCTTGGTGTTCAGGTTGTTGCTACTGTTCGATCCGGACAGTCCACTGCTACCGCCATTCGACGATCCGTTCGACAATGAAATATTGGAGATGATCGAAGTATCGTTGATTCCACCGCCACTGCTAGAGTTGCTGTTCATGCTGTTGGTATCTTTGTGAAGAGAGGTCGTCGATTTGAACCCAATAAAGTTTTTCTTTACCTCGCTTGGGAATCGAACGATAACAATGTCACCTCGCTTCAACTTGTCGACGCCTCTCAAGATCGATGCATATCTACGCACCGCCTTTGAGAGTTGGATGTTATCGGTGAGTGCACTCCAATTGATAATATTTACAAGAAGTTGCTCACGTGTCGTAGATATCGACGTTGATTGATAGGATTGCATCTCCTCAATCAGAGTTTCACCGATATTGTTATTCTTATCTTTGGTTTCCACCAATTTCAAAAATTCATAGTCACGTGCCAACTTGTTGAGCAAATCGTCATTTGGAATCAATCCAACGATGCAATTATCACAATCGATCGTATAGCTCGTAATGTATCCCACCAACTGCTGCGATATATTAATGAATATCTTTTGCTTCTCGATATTCAGCAGATCGATCATCCGCAGATAATAATGCAACAACGACAAGTAATGTTGCAACTTGGTCTCTGTCAAAAGGTTCTTTGTCTTTATCATTCTCTCTCTGAAAATCTCTGCCATTGACATTGATTTAACTGTTCTCATATGATTTAAAGCATTAAAACATGGTGATAATTGTTCCTATTATTATTAAAAAAGAAAAAAAAAGTTAATTAATAAATAATTATAGTTTATTTCTTTATTTCTTTATATATTTATTAACAAACTTACTTGAAATAAAAAGAATACAGATGTTAATACATTATTTTTATCTTTTGCATTTTTGAATGCATGTGATTCGACTTTAAGGTTACTGGTGGATTTCTCTTTCTTTTGAAAGTTGAGATGTGGTGGTATGATTGAAGATTGTGTGGATGACAATGATTGTTGTGGACTTCCCAAAATGGAAGAGTTTGAAGATAATGAATTGGAATTTAATAGACTTTGTGAGAGGGATGGTGATGATGGTGATGAAGAAATACTGGAACCCGCTGATAAATTTGCTGATTCTCTATCGGTTTTCGAAGATTTAACAATTGGTACCGTAGATGGTACCGTCAGAGAATCTAAATATTTAAATAACTCTCCGACATTATTTATAAATTGTTTTTCTAATTGAATTGCTTTTACTGAACTCATTTTATTATTTTATTTTATATATATAAAAAAAGTAAAAAGTAAAGTTTATATAAATATATATAATATATATGAATGATTTTAAATAATTATTTATTATTAAATTAAATTAATGATTTTAATAAATATATAAAAAAGTTATAAATATCAATCTAAAAAATATTTAAATCAATCACTTAAAATTGATTTTTAATTGTTTAGGAATGAGATTGTTTGAATTGATTAAAGGTTATATGAGTGTGTGTGTGTGTTATCTATTTAATTTGAAAATCCTGGTGTTTAGCGGTAGTTATCACTACTACACTTTGTGGATGTGTTAATTAATTTTTGATAAAATCTGGATTGAAAATTGATTCCTATGTTTAAAAGATGTGGTGTGTGAACTATGTAAAATGATGATGTTGATGATGATTATTATTATAATATCAAAAAAAACAATTGTGTTGTTGATGAATTGTAAATGCCAAAGTAGGCTTTAGTTATTGTAGATTATTATCTATAAAAGTCTATTATAATTTAAATTATTATTGATATTTGTTGTTATTGTATTTGTGCTATTACTAAACACAATTGAATTGATTTGATTTTTATTTGTGAGTGGTGGTTGACTTGTCAATTCAGTCATTCATTAATTGGAAGTTGGAATCTAACAAAGGTATTGGGGTTTTTGGGTGGTTTGGGTGATGGTGGGTGACTAAAATTGTAGAATGAAATGATCGTTCATTTAAGTGGTCGATGTATAAAAAAAACAAAAAACAAAATTCCAAAAAAAATCATTTTATTTAAAATTTAATGAAAAAATCTGTAAAATTTTGGTTGATTCTGAGAAAGCTAAAATATCTTTAATTCAAAGTAAAAAATTATTAAAAACAACAGAATAGTTCGGCAGAAATAGTAATGTAAAATTTTGAAAAAATTTGGAACCAAAAAAAAGCAAAAAAAAATAGAAATTTATTTTGCACAACATGATCAAAACGTCAACTGGTGTGACTAGCATGCATCCATGTCAATCAGCAGAAAAGGAACATGAATCGATCATCAATTCTGGTTCCATTTAAAATTTAAGTGTTTAAAATATATTGATTTTCAATATTAGATTAGATTATAAAAATATCCCAAGGTTTTTGTTCTTTCTGGTTCTGGACAAAAATATCTATCTCATTATACAACTTTTAAAATTTCTCAATAATCAAAGGAAATAATAAAATGACATCATCATATTAAATGATAAACACACACTCAATCTTAAAAGTGTGTTCTAAATTCCAATTAAAATTTCGTGAGAATAATTGATTGAACTTTCTTTTGAATAATCAAACACTCATTTATTACTATCAACTTTTCTTAATTATTTAACAAATTTGTTATTATTGATTATTTATTATTATTTTAATTAAATTTATTTTTTATTTAATTTGTTTTTAAAGTATTATGTGTGTAATATTATTATTATATAAGATCTTTTTTGATGTTTAAGAGCAAGTGAGTGGTAGTGATGAAATTGATTCTTTTTTGATTGTTGTTTGTTTGATTGTTTGTTTTTATATTAATATTAAATTATTTATACATCCCAGTCAATGGAGATGAAGACATATGGGAAGAAACGCTCTGAAGTTTCCTCTTCATTCTTTCCGATGTGTTGAGATCCCAAATATTTGAATTCGTTAAATAAAATGTCTCTGAGTCTCTTGTCTTCTCTCTTTTGTGGTTTCATCAAGATGGCTTGGAAGTTGATGGGGATACCGAAACGAAGTACTGACTCTACAAACACTCTGAGAGCCTTCAAATGGATCCATGCCATGAAAGCCTCTGGGAAGTGGAGACGGCACCATCTGATCATCGAAGTCTTGTAGTTCTTTTGATCCTCTGACAATTTCGATGTATCTTGTGTCTTTGTCTCTGTCTCTGTCTTATAATCTCTAACAATAAACTTTCTCTCGAGACACTGAGTCTTGAAATTTTCGTAAAACTTTTTAAATACACAAACTCCATAGAGTGTATATTCACTATCACCTTGAATCTTCCTATAAAATTATGAATAATAAAAAAGTAAAAAAATAGAATAAAAAATAAAAAAAGAAGATAAGGTTAATAAGTTTAAATATATTGATATTTAAAAAAATATTGATAATTACTTGGCAGATCTCATAAGAACGTATTCACAGAAAGTTTCATAAGTTGACAAGAATTCCTTTTCATTGCTAGTTGGAACGACAACGAATGCAGTGGTAAGATATTCGGTTTGGATGAATTGCTCTGGTGTAACAATGGATGAAAGTGATTTAACTTGGAGATTACCCATCAATTTCTTTTCTTCGGCATGTACAGCAGTGGTAAGAGCACCATATTCAGAGGTCTTTGTCTTTAAATCTTCGTCCAACTTTGATGCAGTCTATAATGATTGTTTTAATTAAAATATTAGATAATTAATGATAGATATTCATCTTTTTTTTATATATAATATAAAAATAAATAAACCTACAGAGTAAATCTTATCGACGATCTCTTGTAAAGTTGATTTTGGATTATATTTAGCGTCGTCCCATTTGAATTGTGACAAGTATTGTTGAATTGTGTGACCATTGATTGAAAGACTCTTCTCCTTTCCTGGTTTCGATCCGACCAAATCCGACAATTGTTTGCTGATTCTCTTTGCTGTCATCTCGACAAAGGTATCGATCTTTGCCAACTCATCATTTAATGTAATCAATGAATTCAATGTTCCTACTCTAAGTGCTGGAGTCTATATTATATTATTGAATATTAATATCGGATAATTAACTATTATTAATATATATTGTTTGTTTTAATTAAAAAAAAAAAAAAATTTTAAAAAAAAGTTGTCATTTCGTGTCACCATCAACCACCACATCCAACTTATTTGATTTTTTTTTGTCGATCACAATCTTAGACTACTAAATAATATCCATGAGTAAAATAATGCTGCCTAATCTAATATATCTTCTATCTATCTATCTTTTTATGTTGATCTCTAACTATTTGAAATTTTTGATGATGACAATCCTACTGACAAAGCTAAACAAGTGATCTATTTTATTTTCAAACAAACAAACATACATTGAATTTGAAGTTCTCAGAAAGACTAACCTCTTTGGCAGTCTTTCTGTTGACAGAATCAAAGATATCTTCATTGGTTCTGTTTGGTGCTGAGATCAACCAAAATACTTGATTATCAGACATTTCTATCTAACTCTTTTTTTAATAACAAATAAAAAAAAGATCTAAAATGATGATATATATATATATATTGGAAATAATAATTATTATATATTGAACAATTTGTTGTGTCTAAAGAAAACCTAGTATATCTAAACAAAACAATGAACAATAATATAATATATTTTTATTTTTAATAATATTATTATTATTATTTTAGTATTATTGTTGCTGTTGGTTAGTTTCTAAATCCTGCTGCAGAAAAAAATTGAAAAATAAAAAAAACCAACAAAAAAATATTAAAAAAAATTTTTGAAAAAAAAAAAAACAAAAAAATCTTTTGCATTCACTTACCAGGTAAACGAAGAACTTTCTGTTTTGATTTTATTATTAACTTGGAGTCATACCTGGTTTATGTAAACAACAAAATTTATATTTGTGTTTTTGACAATTAAAAAAAAAAAAACAAAAAATCTTTCAATTATTTAATAAAACTTATCAAATAAAAATAATAAAAGAAGATAAAATAAAAATAACAACAAATTAAATCTTAACTTTTTTTCTGTATGTAATGCTAGTTGATCAAAATTTTTTTATTTTAAACAAGTACCAAGGGTTCATAACATTGTTTATATTTAAATTTTTAATTATTTTTATATATATCAAACAAAAATTATATATATTTTCGATCTTTGAATTCATGATCAAATATTTGTTTTGTGCAAAAAAAAAGGGAAAAAAAAAAAATGAAATTCCAATAATTTAAAATAATTTTTAGTTACTTTTTAATTTAAAACTTAGGGATGTTAATGATAAACAATAAAACTATTTTTTTTAATTTAATTATTATTATTATTCATATTTTCAATTTATTGATAATATATTTATATTTTTAATATAGTAAAAGATAATTGAAATTGTAGATTTTACTTATATATATTATATAGATTTGGAAGTACAATGAAATTATCACATAGGAATGAAATTGACAGTAGTAATATATTTCAAAACCTAAAGTTTCATATCAGTGATAATTTGAATCATCCAGCTAAACTTGAACAACTAAGCAAAAAGATAAAGAATTCCGGTGGTAAAAGAAATATATCACCTTCTCATGATAGTATATTCGTATTAAATCAATTCTTTGATGTATGTATATCCACCATAGATCTAGTAATAGTATTTTAATCAATTGATGTTTTTTAGCCAACATAGTTTACTAATCGATTGCTATTATTATATTATATCAACATGATCATGATTGTTTAGGAAGAATATAGAGATTGTAGAAATCATGGTGTACCAATTATAAGTGTATCATATCTGGAAGAGTGTGTTGTCAATTTACGAACGATCGATTTAGCGAGAGCAAAGAATACACCCATTCACTCTGATTGTCTCTTGAATAAGGTGGTTTGTTTCGATCGCTCTAGCGAGCCAAATTGCAAAGAGATGGCAATGAAAGTCACTGCAATGGGTGGTCAGTGTACAAGTAAACTAACAACCGATACATTCATCTTGGTTACACAAAACATATGTTCAAGGAAATCAAAAGTAAGTCAATAACTTTGAATAGTTAGTTAGCAATTCAAAAACACTTTATTACTAATTACTTACTAACTATTTCACATATGTTAATCAATCAATTAGAATGCAAGACAAAAATTAAATATACCGTTGGTCACTTCGGAATGGGTGGAGCGATGTTGGCAAGATGGATTCCTAAATGATCCGGCACTCTTTTCAAAGCCAGTGTTGAGAGGTTGTGTTATTTGTTTGACTGGGTTCAGTGGTAACGATCGCAAGTATATAGAGCAGCTCTCGATTGAGGGTGGCGGTGTTTTCGCACCGACTCTCAATAAGAATGAATGCACTCACTTGGTCGCCTCCGAACAATCCGGCGAAAAGTTTAAGATGGCAAAGGAATGGGGTGTCTACATTGTACCGTTGCAATGGCTCGAGGAGTCGGTTCGTGTCGGTCTCCCTCAGAGCGAACTACTCTTCAATGTCGACAGTGGGACTGGCACCATCGGAAGTTACGATAACGGCAACAGTAGTAGTAGTCTGTCACTGAGACAGAGTGTAAATAGCTATATTCCAACACCTTTACCACAACCAATTACAAATCTATCGATGGATATGTCATTGCAATCGATAAGCTATAATAACAATGATGTTGATATGTTACAAGCAAACAATGGTTATAATCAACAACAGCTATTACAATTGACATGTCCACCTTCTGATATATTTAGATCAATGACATTTGTGTTGATGGATTTCAATGAGGAGCAAGAAGCAAAGACAATGGAGTTGGTTAGTTCTTATGCGCAGATCATTGTGGCGCAACAGGTACCTAATCTTCTCTCGACACAGCTAACCATTGATTATGTGTTGGCGCCACACGATACAAAGCTCAACAAAGATAAATATCCATCAAAGGCAAAGCTGGTTTCGACCGATTGGTTCGACGCGTGCTTGCGATACAACAGGATTCTAGACCCACGAGAATGCGTGCTGTACACTCCGATTCAAAGAGTAGGTTTTCTAAAAGGTGTTTTCTTGGTTTACAGTGGATTCACTGTTGCAAACGTTATCGATAATATTAGAATCACTTCACATCTTTTGGGTGCCAAGATCTTTCAGAAACAAGGAAAGCAATCGACACATCTACTCGTTCACAGAGACAACTATCGAGAGAATCCCGAATACAAAAAGGCAATGTTGAAAAACAAGAATTCAAAGTCACCAAAGATCTATATCTTGCATCTCGAATGGCTGTTTGACTGTGCCAAGCAAGGTCGTCGCATCGATGAATACGACTATCTTTTTACAGAGGTAAAACAACTGTTTAAGAATAGACCACAGCAGCAACAGCAACAAGATACAGATAATTCAATAGCATTACCATTACCATTACCATTACAAACAACAAAATCAACATCAATATCAACAACAACAACAACAGAATCATCAATATTTAAAGGTTTTAAAGTATATATTTCATTAAAGATAGAAGAGGATAAGCAGAATCAATATCAGGTGATGGTAAGAGATTTGGGTGGTGAGACTACACTTGACTTGTTTACCGTCACTCATTATATATGTGAAAGGATCAATCATAGTGAAACTCAGAGATTTGTACAAACTCATACCATCATCAATGCTAGACCGGATTGGTTGATTAAATGTTGGGAGGAAAACAAGTTGATCGGTGTACATGACTACATTCCATTGGATCCGATTGAGAATGACGATGATCTAGTTTGTCAACCACCTGTAATCCAACCAATCACTAAACAACACTCCCAACTTTTCAATGGAACACCTAAATCAAACGATCAAATGGATATTGAAATTGAAACTGAAAACGACCATCATCATCATCATCATCACAATCAACGACCAACATCTACAACCACAACAACAACAGCTATATTATCAACCCATCCACCAGATTTATTAAAACAAGCAACACAAGAGACAGATTCAGAGGAGGAGGAGGAAGAAGAGGAGATTGACGATAAACCATCGGCATTGGATCGTTTATTTAAAGCAATCAACAATCTACCGGAACAAAAGAACAATGTAAATAGTAATGTTTTCACGATACCATCAATCGTACCAAAGAGAAAGGCAATATCTAAACCGACCAACGCAATCATTCCAGTATCCACTGTCAAATCAACTTCGCTGGATCTGGCGAATCTCGACGATGACGATGACGATCTCGCTGACATGACTGACGGCGTTGATGAAGACGAAGAGGCAGATCCACTGTCACAGCGTATCACCTATGGCGAAGGTTCAGAGAATGTGAAACGACTGAAACTGATGAACTCGAAGGCGACCAACAAGAACAAGACCAAAGACAACTCGACAGAACAACAGCACCTACTCGATATCCTCAAGAAAGGTCAGCCCATCCAGAGTATAGTAGTGAAAACATTCTCCAACTACCTCTTGCTGTCTGGCTTTGGCGACAAGGAAAAGATTCCACTGATGGACAGTCTCTCCAAGATCGAAAAGTTTGGATTCTATCACCAGAGCGACCCAAACATCACCCCTGGAAAAACTACTCACCTCATTGTTTGTCTACCGAAGCGTAGTGAGAAGTTCTTGTGTGCACTGGCCGCCGGTATCTGGTGTCTAAAGCCAACGTTTCTCGATGCAATCATCGCCACCAACCAGCCGGTTGACGAAGCGGCATACGAGTGGACCACTGCAGACCGCGACGACGAATGGACAGCTGCCGCCTCAAAATGCCGAAAAGCAGCGAACCTACTCCAACGACCACTTCTCTCGCGAGTAAAGATCGTGATTCCCAGCTCTCACAAGAGTATCAAGATTTGGACAAACATTTTCAACAGCGGTGGTGCCACTGTACTCGATGAAAACGAAATCGCAGAAGCAACCCACCGTATGTCCGACGACAATCAAATCTATTCAAACGATCCTCCACATATCAAAAAAGTGAAATCAAGTGAAGTAACTCATCTTTTAATTCATGGACAACATTTAATAACTGACTAACTGAAAAAAAAAGAATATAACTTATAAATAAATGTGTATAAATTTAATTTGTAATAATTGATCAATTTTTAATAATTTAATTATATAAATCTATATTTATCAAGACAAACGATATATATTCGAATGTCGTAATTGAAAATATAATGGAATCGGAATGCCAATTGGCTTTGTTCCCGATAATCAAAAAATGGAATAAATAGTTGAGAATGTTTTTTCAGTTGGGATCACAACAATCGAAAATAACTTACACTTTAGTTGTCGGCAAAAAAAAAAAAAAAAAGTAAGAAATTTAATTAATTTGATTTTGTTTTTATTTTTATTTTTCGTTGTACATCTCATGTCTTTGGATGTTATAAAAAGATCGTGCAAAGAACATCAATCAGGTGGCGAAAATCAAAAAAAATAAAAATAAAAAAAAAAGTTTTTTTGACCAAAAAACCGAAAGTTGCCGTCATTTTTGTTTAAAAAACATTTAAAAACAAAAAACTACTACTAACACACACGAAAGAATGAACCATGTGTTGTTTTACCGTGGTAGGCATCGTGTTGAGTGACATGGCTAAATAAGTGAATTGACTCAATGTGTGTAACGAATACCACACGGCTGTATCTATAATATAATTTTAAAAATTGAAATTATATTTGACGAAAAACTAAATTAACTGCCCAGATTCCTTCTATAAAAGTAAACATCGATGCTCTACCATTCTCTTTTTCTTTCCAAGACAAACAAATAGTGTGTGATCAAACAAACATAACTCAAAGGTGTTTATTAATCTCCAAAAATATACAAATTGTTTCTTTAGATTACACATTCTTTCTTTGCTTTGGAAAGAAAAAGAGAAGTAAACTAAATTATTTATTATCAATATTATCAATATTATTTTAATAAGATCGATTCGATTTAAAACAAAAAAAAGATTAAAATATATATATTTCCAAAAAAAAAAAAAGACTACATAATATAATATTATCCTTTTTTGTTTCTTTATATTTTTTATTATCTATATATAAAAACAAAACACCTTTATTGTTATATTACATCTATAACGATTTATCTTCAACTTCAACGAACGACATATCACTCACACACGTCATATAATCAAATCACATTTTTAAATTTGATCATCAATCATATCAACACACACATATATAATTACGAAATTAGAAATTAAAGAGCATTATACAAATCAATATTTAATTTAACTTATAAAATTTAGTATTTGATTTGATTTTACCTTATTTCTAATTTATTTATTTTTTATATACAACAACAGACTTAGACCAAACCAAACCAATTGATTCAAATAGATTGTAATAATCTATCCTTAACAAAACCAACCAAAAAAAAACAAACAAACAAAGAAAACCAAAAAACAAAAAAAAGTATAAAAGTTTTTAATTTTAGTTAAATTTCAAACTCCGATTTTTATTTCGTTAAATATTTAAAAGTAAGTAGGCTTTTCGCTTTTCAACCAAAAAGGAAATTGAAAAAAAAAAAAAAAAAAAAAAAAAAACTAAATTTTGCAAACGATAAAAGTGGATTGTTGGTTGTGGGATTATGTTTTAAATATTTTTCATATTTCATTGGGAGTAATAATAATAGACAATGATTTAATATTAATATTCTATTTTAATTTACTATCTAAAAAAAGTTAATCATTACAAATATATAATTATTATATATATATATATATAAACAGTTTATATCATTATTTATATTTTCAAATCAAAATAACACATAAAAAAAAATGTCAGACATTTCATCAAATATTTTAAATAGAAAGAAAGGTTTCTTGATCCTTGAGGATGGTTCAAAGTTGGAGGGTTACGTTTTTGGTGCACACAAATCAGTAGTTGGAGAATGCGTTTTCAGTACTGGTATGGTCGGTTATCCAGAGTCGATCTCCGATCCATCCTATACCGGACAGATCTTGGTGTTCTCCTATCCGCTGATCGGTAACTACGGTGTGCCAAGCTTCAAAGAGGTCGATCCACACTCAAAGTTGCCAATAAATTTCGAATCGGAGCGTGCACATTGCCAAGCGATCATCGTATCCGACTACACCGACGACTATTCACATTGGGCTGCCGAGCGTTCGCTCTCAGAATGGCTGGCCGACTCTGGCATTCCAGCGTTGTACGGTATCGACACACGTGCTCTCATCACCAAGATTCGTGAGACCGGTTCACTCAAAGCCAAGGTCGTTATGGCCGACGAGCTCCAATCGATGGCCACCGTGCCATTCGAAGACATCAATCTTCGTAACTTGGTCGCAGAGGTGTCCACCAAGTCGGTGCGTACATTCGAAGCCGCTCCTGCCGTCAGAAAGAACAAGCGTGTCATCGTCTTGGATTGCGGTGTTAAATATAATCAATTGCGTTGTCTTTTGAATCGTGGTATGGATCTCAAGGTGGTGCCATGGGATTACGACGTCGTCGCCAACGAGAAGCCAGAGGACTGGCACGGACTTTTCATTTCCAACGGTCCAGGTGACCCTTCGCTCTGCGGTAAGGCAATCGATAACATTCGTAAAGTATTGGCTTTGCCAGCCGCCAAGCCAGTGTTTGGTGTCTGTATGGGTAATCAGTTGCTGGGTTGGGCTGCCGGCGCCAAGACACACAAGATGCCATTCGGTAATCGTGGTCTCAATCAGCCATGCGTCGACCAACTCACCGGTCGTTGTCACATCACCTCACAGAATCACGGTTTCGTCATCGACACCGATTCACTGCCAGCCGGCTCCGGTTGGAAGACCTACTTTATCAACGCCAACGACGGCTCCAACGAGGGTATCTACCACGAGAGCAAGCCATTCTTCTCTGTACAATTCCATCCGGAAGCTAAAGCCGGTCCAACCGACACTGAATATCTCTTTGATAATTTCGTTGCCTACGTTCTCGGTGAGAAGTCCGACTCGCCAATGAACCGATCCAAGCGTATCGAGACACCAAAGAACATCAAGAAGGTATTGCTCTTGGGTTCCGGTGGTCTTTCCATTGGTCAAGCCGGTGAGTTTGACTATTCCGGTTCACAAGCTATCAAGGCGTTGAAAGAGGAGGGTATCAAGACCGTCTTGATCAATCCAAACATCGCCACTGTACAAACATCGCCAGGTCTTGCCGACAAGGTTTACTTTTTGCCAGTGAATGCCGATTCCGTCACCAAGGTGATCATCAACGAGAAGCCAGACGGTATCTTGGTAACATTTGGTGGACAAACCGCATTGAACTGCGGTATCGAATTATATAAATCAGGTACATTGGAAAAGTACGGAGTTAAAGTACTCGGTACACCAATCGACACAATCATTGCCACTGAAGATCGTGGTATTTTCGCAGAGAAGCTCGAAGAGATCAACGAACACATCGCTCCATCGATGGCATGTAACACCATCGAAGAGTCACTCTTCCAAGCCGAGAGAATTGGTTATCCAGTTATTGTGCGTGCTGCCTATTGTCTAGGTGGTTTAGGTTCAGGTTTTGCAAATAACAAGTAAGTAAAAAGTTAACACTTATCATACTAGTTTATGCATATTAATAATCATATTTCTATTTCTATTTTTTTTTAGGGAGCAATTAACAAGTTTAGTAACAGAGGCATTTGCAACATCATCACAAGTTTTAATTGAAAAATCATTAAAGGGATGGAAGGAAATCGAATATGAAGTATTGAGAGATAGTCATGACAATTGTATTACCGTTTGTAATATGGAGAATTTCGATCCACTCGGTATTCACACTGGTGAGTCGATTGTAGTTGCACCATCACAAACACTGACTGATCGCGAGTACCAAATGTTGCGTGAGTGCGCTATCAAGACTGTTCGTCATTTGGGTGTAGTCGGTGAGTGCAACATTCAATACGCGCTCAACCCAGACTCAGAGGAATACTGTATCATCGAGGTCAATGCTCGTTTGTCACGTTCATCCGCTCTCGCTTCAAAGGCAACCGGTTACCCATTGGCTTTTATCTCTGCCAAGGTTGCTCTCGGTTACGATTTGGCAACTCTGCGTAACACCATCACCAAGAAAACAACAGCCTGTTTCGAACCATCGTTGGATTACTTGGTTGTCAAGATGCCACGTTGGGATTTGAAGAAGTTCAGTCGTGTATCCAACAAGATCTCGTCATCGATGAAGTCTGTCGGTGAGGTCATGTCGATCGGTCGTAAATTCGAAGAAGCCATTCAAAAGGCAATTCGTATGGTTATGGATGGCGGTGTCGATGGTTTCCAAGCTGGAATCTACCCAACCTCGGACGAGGAGCTTGAAAACCCAACCAACAATCGTATCTTGGTGTTGGCAAGTGCTTTCGCCGATGGTTACTCTGTTGAGAAGGTTCACCAACTCACCAAGATCGACAGATGGTTCCTCACCAAGTTGAAGGATATCATCGATCTCGAAATCACCATGACCAAGAACTACAGAGAACAACAGTTGCCAGCCGAGTTGTTGAAGCATGCCAAACAACAAGGTTTCTCTGACAAGCAGATCGGTCGTGCCATCGGTTCAACCGAGTTGGCCGTTCGTGAAATGAGAAAGCAAATGAACATCACCCCGGTCGTCAAGCATATCGATACTGTTGCTGCCGAGTTTCCAGCTCAGAACAACTACCTCTACATGACTTACAACGCCAGCACCAACGATATCGACATCAACGAGAAGGCATACATTACACTCGGTTCCGGATCCTACCGTATCGGTTCATCCGTAGAGTTTGATTGGTGTGCAGTTTCCTGTATCCGTACGCTCAGAAAGCTCGGACAGAAATCAATCATGATCAACTTTAACCCAGAGACAGTCTCTACCGATTACGATGAATGCGACTACCTCTTCTTTGAGGAGCTTTCATTGGAGCGTGTTTTGGATATCTACGAGCGTGGAGGTCCAGACTCAACCAACGGTGTTATCTTGTCGGTCGGTGGTCAGATTCCAAACAACTTGGCCATCCCTCTCTCAAGATGCAATGTCAAGGTTCTCGGTACTCACCCAGATATGATTGACAGCGCTGAGAATCGTTACAAGTTCTCACGTCTTCTCGATACCATCGGTATTGATCAACCACTCTGGAAGGAATTGACCTCGGTCAATGACACCAAAGAGTTTTGTGAATCCGTTGGATTCCCATGTTTGGTACGTCCATCCTATGTATTGTCTGGTGCCGCCATGAATGTCGTCAATTCATCGAGCGAACTCGAGTCGTTCCTCACTGAGGCTGCCGCTGTCTCACGTGACCACCCAGTCGTTATCTCCAAGTTTATCCAAGAGGCAAAGGAGATTGAAATCGACGCCGTCGCTGACAATGGTCAAATCGTATTGTTTGCCATCTCTGAGCACGTTGAGAATGCCGGTGTTCACTCTGGTGACGCCACACTTGTCTGCCCAGCACAAGATCTCGACAACAACACCATCACCAAGATTGAAGATACCGCTCGTAAGATTGCAGCTGCTCTCTCAGTGTCTGGTCCATTCAACATTCAATTCATTGCCAAGAACAACGAGATCAAGGTTATCGAGTGTAATCTCCGTTGCTCCAGATCATTCCCATTCGTCTCAAAGACATTGAATGTCGACTTTATCGAACTCGCCACCAAGATTATCATTGGTTCCGCCTACAAGACTCCACAATTGGATGAATGCAACTTTGTTGGTGTCAAAGTACCACAATTCTCATTCATTCGTCTCAAGGGTGCTGATCCAGTACTCGGTGTAGAGATGGCATCCACCGGTGAAGTCGCTTGTTTCGGTAACACTCGTGAGGAAGCATACATCAAAGGTTTGATCTCCACCGGATTCCGTTGTCCAGAGAAGAATGTTCTCCTCTCGATCGGTCCATTCAAGGAGAAGAATGAATTCCTACCAGCCGCTCGTAAGTTGGTCGATCTTGGTTACGCCCTCTTTGGTACCAAGGGTACCTCTGATTTCTACCAAGAGAACGGTGTCCCAATTACCCAACTCGACTGGGATGAAGAGGTTCTCGGTGACAACATCACCAAGAAACTCACTGACAACATTCATTTGTTCATTAACTTGCCATCGAAGAACAAATACCGTCGTCCATCTTCTTTCATGTCTCGTGGTTACTCTTTGCGTCGTGTTGCCATCGATTTCAATGTACCATTGATTACCAATATCAAATGCGCCAAATTGTTTGTCGACTCGATTCCATTCATGCGTGGACCAATGGCTTTGGACAAGGTTGATTGTCGTTCATCCAACAAGACCATCATCTTGCCAGGTCTCATCGATGTCCACGTCCACTTGCGTGAGCCAGGTGCCACCCACAAAGAAGACTGGGAATCAGGTACCGCCAGTGCATTGGCCGGTGGTTTCACCATCGTCGGTGCCATGCCAAATACCAATCCACCCATTATGAATGCCGAAACATTCGAGCTCTGCTCCAAGTTGGCTGCTGCCAAAGCTCACTGCGACTATGGTATCTACGTCGGTGCAACCTTCACCAACACTCAGACCGCTGCTTCTCTCGCCAACGAATCAATGGCAATGAAGATGTATCTCGAAGAAACATTCGCTCCACTTCCATTGAAGGATGACATCAACGCCTGGAGAGATCACGTCATGAACTGGCCAGGAACTACACCAATCTGTGTACATGCCGACGGTCGTAACTTGGCTGCCGTCATGATGCTCGGTTGGATGTACAACAAGCACATCCACGTCTGTCATGTCTCACACAAGGAGGAGATCGACTTGATTCGTGACGCCAAACTCAGAGGAATGAAGATTTCCTGTGAGGTCAGTCCACATCACTTGGTGCTCACCACCGAAGATATCCCAAGAATCGGAGAGGGACAATCGGAAGTACGTCCAAGACTCGGAACTCCTGAGGATCGTCAAGCTCTCTGGGACAATATTGACTACATCGATATGATCGCCACCGATCACGCTCCACACACCTACGAGGAGAAGTGCTCTGCCAAGCCACCACCCGGTTTCCCAGGTCTTGAAACTTCGCTCCCATTGATGTTGAACGCCGTTCACCAAGGTCGTCTCACTCTCCAACAACTCAAGGAGAAGATGCACGACAATCCAATCAAGTTGTTCAGTTTGCCAGAGCAACCAGATACCTACATTGAAGTCGACATGGACGAAGAGTACGCCATCGGTAAGCCAGAGTACTCACGTTGTGGATGGACTCCATTCGAAGGTGTCAAAGTCCGTGGACGTGTCGTTCGTGTTGTGTTGAGAGGTAAACTCGCCTATCTCGATGGAAAGGTTTTGGCACCAGCCGGATACGGTAAGAATGTCAGAGACATGTTGCCACTGAAACCAGTCGCTGCTCAAGTCGCTGCCACCTCTGTTGTCAACACCCCATCGGTAGAACTCTCACCAAAGAGACGTCCACTCCAAATCAGCAAAGACGGAAGTGGAATCCCACCACAACCATTGATTGGAACCTCGATGAAGAAGGACGATGCCATCCAGCTCTTACACCCACAAACCGATGGATCACTCTTTGGAAAGCACATCTATACCGTCAAGCAATTCAATCGTAAGACTCTCCATCAGATCTTTGGTTTGGCTCACGAAATGAGATTGCAAGTCAAGAAGTCCGGTGGATCCAATATCCTCGCCGGAAAGATCTTGGCAACACTCTTTTACGAACCAAGCTCACGTACTCAATGCTCATTCACAGCCGCCTTTGAACGTCTCGGTGGTAAATGTATTTCAATCGACTCTGTCTCATCCTCGGTTGCCAAGGGTGAGTCACTCCCAGACACCATTCGTACTTTGGAGTCGTATGCCGACGCCATCGTCCTCAGACATCCACAGGTAGGTTCCGTAGAGACCGCTATCAAGTTTGCCAAGAAGCCAATCATCAACGGTGGTGATGGTATTGGAGAGCATCCAACTCAGGCATTGCTCGATGTATTCACCATTCGTGAGGAACTCGGAACTGTCAATGGATTGACCATCACTTTGATCGGTGATCTCAAGAACGGTCGTACCGTCCACTCACTCGTACGTTTACTCTCATTGTATCAAGTTAAATTGAATTACGTATCACCAAAATCATTGGCCATGCCAGAGGAGATCGTCAAGGAGTTGGAGGCACGTGGAATTCAACAACAACAATTCGAAAAACTCGACGCCGTCCTTCCAACCACCAATGTACTCTATGTCACTCGTGTCCAAAAGGAACGTTTCACCGACTTGGCTCAATACGAAGCTGTCAAGGATTCTTTAATTATCACACCACACACCCTCACCAAGGCCATGGACAACATGATCGTCATGCACCCATTGCCACGTGTCAACGAAATCTCTGTTGAAGTCGATTCCGACCCAAGAGCTGCTTACTTTAGACAAATGGAAAATGGAATGTACGTCAGAATGGCTTTATTAGCTTCCATTTTGGGTAAACAAGATTAAAATATAATATAATATAAAAATAAAATAAAATAATTTAAATATATAAAAACAAAACAAAAAAATAATCATTGAAGCAAAACAAACATTATTTTTATATCTTTTTGAAATAAAGACATTAATAAACAAAGATTTATTGATAGATAATCTCTATACGAGTCTATTGATATCAAATTAATATAAAATATGAAATCCTATTTGTGAATGCATTTTGTTTTTCGATGGAATGAAACAAACAAGGAAAAAAAAAAAAACGAGTGATTGATGAGCAGTCGATTTATCTTTTTGTTTTCTCACTTTTTTGCATTATTTTATTTTATATGATCAAACATAACTTTAGAATATTAAGCTTTGTTTGTAATAGACCTATTTTTCAAAAGAATAGAATGTCAACTTTTGAAGAGAATAATAACAACAACAATAATAATAATCATGACTCTATTAAAGAGAAAGCAGAGTATGCTGAATCAAATATTGAAAGAGAAAATTATTTCTTTGAGAGAAAAGAAAAAGTTTTAGATTTATTAGGACCTACCAAGTGTAGAAACTGCTGGTTTCTCAAAATTAATTGTATATGTGATCATTTACAACCAATCAAGTTCAAACATCGATATATCACATTGTTTCATCATAAAGAATGGAGTAGAGTTAGTAACACTGGAAAATTAGTAACTTTAATATCAAATAGATCTACACTAGATAATAACAACAACAACAATAATAATAGTAATAATAGTAATAATAGTAATAATTTATTAGATATAAATACAGAAAGTCAATCAAAAGTATTGGTAATGAAAATTGAAGAGGATGAAGCAATGTTAAAACATATTCTGGAAACAACAGATCATAGAAATATATTTGTACTTTTCCCTGCACCTGACTCTATAACAATTGAAGAGTATTTGAGTCAATTTAAGAATAATAGTAATAATGATAAGAGTAATAATGTAAATAATAATAATAGTAATAATAATGTTGATAGTGACACCATTTCAATTGAAGATGCATTAGAGAATGTTAGCTTAAATGATAACTATGATTTCAATGAATTGACAATGATCATTCTAGATGGTACATGGAGTCAAGCAAAGAAGTTGGTAAAGAATATTCCACCTGATATCAAAAGAGTATGTCATTTTTGATCCATATTATTATCTGTTATTCATTTTAGACTAATTTATTTGATAAACTTTTTCATTTAGGTTCGTTTAACATTTGGTGAACAAAAAGTTAAATCTTTATATAATCAACTTAGAAAACAACCTGCTGTAGATAGAATTTCAACTTTAGAAGCAACAGCTTTGGCAATGCATATAATTGGTGAGAGTAAAGAAAATTGTAAATCACTGATGGATTCTTTCAAGTATTTCATCGATAAGTTAATGCAACAAAATGGAGCAGCTGGAAGAACCAATAAAGCATGGATTGGTGATAAGTAAATAATAAATCAAATAATATAAATAACAAGTTAATAATGTTGTTGAAATCATAAAAACTTATAAAAGAAATAACGATTTATTTGATTGATGATTGATTGATTGATTGAATTTTAAATATATTTAAAAAAACAATTCAATAGGTTGGTTGGATTTGATACAAGTATCAATTCAAAGCTTGTGTAAGACAAGGAGTGATGGGAAGTGTGAGTTCTTGGCCTTTTGATTGTTGGTAATTTTGAATCCAGCTTGTTTGGTCAATCTTTCCCAGTCTTCAACTGATCTTTCTCTTCCATTCATAAATTGGAACATTTCTATAATAATGAATAAAGAAAAAAAATAGAGAATGTACTTGTTAGTATTTGATTATTATTTAACATTTTGTTCAACTAATATTAAACACATACTAATATCAAACCAAACTTTTTCACCCAATTGTTCATTCTTTTCATCGAGTAAAAAGTCATATATGTAGACTCTTGAATCCGATTTCATTGATCTCATGATGTTCTTGAGGATCAATAGAGCATTGTCGTCGTTGTAATGGACCAATGATTGCAATACAAAGATGTCGGCTTCTGGTAACTTCTCCTTGACCAAGTCACCTTGTTGATCCTTGATTCTGGCATCACGGACTGGCATTCCAGCTTGCTTTGCGAGCTCAATGACCACTGGAAGATCATAGTTGATCACAGTTTTGATCGATTCATGTTTGGTGTTTCCACCAGACTTGAGAATTTGATCCAAAAACAAACCTTGACCACCTCCAATGCCAACGATCGATTCACACTTGGTGTGATAGTCACTCATTTCAATAAGAGCTGGTGCGAAATAATTGACATAGCCAGCCATGACATTGAAGAAACGTTTGGATTCATCGTGATGATCAACGAGGTACTCCCAGACACTTGGCTTACCGATGAGTGCATTCAGATCGGAGTGGCCCTTACGAATGGTGCTGGTCAAGTCCTTCCACATGTTGTAACCCAATGAACCACCATTGATCAATACAATGTCACGTACAACTGGATCGGCCAACTTCTCTGAGAGTTTGGTGTGTTGGAATACACGAGCGTCAGTCTCACGGAAGACACCGAGCGAGGAGAGTGCACGCATCAAACGATAGAGAGCATCTGGACAACAGGCAACATCGACCGCCAACTTTTCAATCGATTTCGATCCAATGGATTCAATGTGTTTGGCAACATCCAACTCACAGACGGTGAAGATTGCACGCGACTTTTCAAGATTATCACAAAGCTGGGTGGTCTTGAGAATTGAATTTTGATCATCTTCCATTCTTTGATTATGAGAAACAGACATTTTAAAATGTAATAATTAAACTTTGTTTATATATTTAATATTTATATAACTTTTAATTTATATATTACAATTCATTTTCACTCCATTATTTATAGTTTATCGATTAATCATATTAATATTTAATTTATATAATATTTTATATTCTAAATAAATAGAAAGATGACATAATGGAACATTCCAATAAAAGAGATAGAACCCTATGATAGATTATTAAAAAAATGAAATATTGTCTAACATTTAAAAAAGATATCTTTTTTAATTTTGATCAAAAAATTAAAATTTCCTTTTTTAGAATTTTTCGTTGCAGTTAGTTTTGGAAATTTTTTTTAATCATGATCAAAAAAACAAAAGTTTTTCTCACATTAATTTAATTTTTTTTTTTCTCTATTTATTTGTATATTTGTAATAAAATGACATGTTGTGTTGCAACTACCTGGGAGATCAATAGTAATGTTTGTATATTTTTGGGAATGAGTTTTTATTGGAAACAATCAATATAACAACATTTTATTGACAACACATCTATATTTTTATCATTAAAGTTGACGAGTGTCTGTGGTAAGCAACTTACAGATGGTTTCTTTTACAATTACACTTGTGTAGATAAGGTAGGCCAGGACATTTTCAACAATTATCCAATTTGCAAGTCGTGCACTAAAGAGATGACCGATGGCGGAAAACATTTGATCATAGGTCTTTCTGTAGGCTTTGGCGTTTTCTTTATTGCGCTCTATGTTTGTTTATTCTTTTGTATGCGTCGTGGTAAGAGAGTTGTCAACAAAAAAATCAATGAGTCGAATGTTCCACTCATCTCGCCATTGAAACCAAAAGAGTATTCACATGCAACTGCAACTGTTCAACCACCACTCATGTCATACCATCCACCTTTACCATCATTACAACAACAACAACAACAACAACAACAACAAATATCAAATCAACCTCCTGTAGTACTACAAAACCATCCAACTTCACCTATCACCCAACAATCACATCAACCTCTTCAACAACTCTATTCAAATATGCAATCACCATATATTGCTCTACCACAAAAATATATGCAGCCATGCAATCAGTCTTCAAACTATGTAAATCCCAACAACAACAATAACAATAATTATGATAATAATTATGACAACAATTATGACAATGATTATAACAAAAATTATACCAACAATAATAATCCAGTATATAACAATAGCAAAAACAACAATAACACTAACAACAATAAAAACAATAATAATAATTCGATGTATAAGAACAACAACAGCAATAACAACTCTAACAACAATAATAATCAACCATCAAACCAACATTATACTCCACAACAAAGGTTTTTGAAAGATGAACCTTTGGATGATGACATTTTTGATGCTGATTTCGAAATTAACAGCAAAAATAATTTTAATATGACCATCACCAATAGCAATCACAATAATAATAATAATAATAATAATAATAATAATAATAATAATAATAATAATAGTAATTATAGTAGACATTCAAATAGCAATCAAAATAATAGCAACAACAATAATATTAATAATAATGTAAATCGAAATGAAACAATAAACATAGCAAGAAGAAATAACAATATTGATTATAGGAAGAGACAAGTCATTGAAAGAAGAGGAAGAATTAAACACACCAGTTTTCGAAACACCAGTCATCAATAGTAGTACAAATCGTGCACATAGACAAGCTCCAAGCAGGATTGGAATCCCAAACCCACCAGAAGATACAAATACAAATCGAAATGTACAAACAACAGTTTCAGTTGTACCAACAAATACCAATAGCAACAATAACAACAACAATAGTCGTTCAACAAATAACAATGCAAGAAGTAGTCCAACAAGTCAAACAAGCGTTACAAACGCCACAAGAGGCAACATAATGAATCTTTCAAATTCCATTTTTGAAGATGATCCAAATTTTTAAAATTATATAACTTTTAATAAATGATTTTAGTTTTACATATTTATCTTTGAATATCAAGTATATTGAATTATTATTTCATTATTATCCATATCATGGTTTAAATTGATAACTATTTGTGTTAAATCCACCTTTGGTTGGTTTAGGTGGTGTTGGATTTGATAAAGGCGGTGGAGTTCCGGTTAATATATTGGATCCTGGCTAAGAAAAAACAAAATTAATATATTTCGAAAAAGTCTTTATATAAAAGTTATTATTTACTTTGTAATGGGCATAATTATCTATATGTACTATATATTTTGAAATTTTTATTTATTAATTTTTATTTCGTATATGATAGTTATATATTAATATTACTTACTATAAGGTAACATTTTTGAATTCAACAATTTAATTCTTATTTTTTTGAAAAAGATATAAAAGTATTTATTTTATATCTTAAGAATTGGAAGTTTAGAACTTAATGTTTTTCACTATAATTTATGAAATCTAAGATATTTTTATAAAACAGGATGAAATCAAATAAAATCTGGTTTCCAGGATTTATAGTTAACTCAACTCAAAGAAAAAGATTTTAAATTAATTAATTATTAAAACTTTTTCTTTGAGTTGATCAAAATAGATGACCAGTTTTTTTTATCAAAAAAAATTGTGATACCTTTAGATTTTATCTTTTCTTTAATAGAAATATTCATTTTAAAATAGTTTATTTAAATTTATTAAAATTAATTGGTACCAAAAATTTATCCTTAAAAAATATATAAATAAAAAATTAATATTATTATTTTATTTTTTTGAATTAAAATAAATGAAATAAAATCAACAAATAATTACAATTTTGTTTCGAATTTCGAGGTGAATTAAAACATTTCAATAATAATGAAATATATATTTTTTATTTTTATTTTTTTAAATTCTTTTTTATTCATAGATTCGATAATAAACAATAGTTTTTCTAGATGTTCTATTGAATCAAATATTGATTTTTGTAAATCTATAGAGGCTTTCGAAATGTAAGATTAAAATATTATAATAAAGAAATGTTCATTTTCTAACTATATATCGATACAAAATCAATTAAGAATTTGTCCAGATATTAGATCATGTTTGAAATCATTATCAAAACAAATTGAAGAACATCCAAATATAGATCAGGCTATTGTTAAACTTTCTAATGGTATACATAATGATTGTCCAGGTGAGATAGATGAATCTGATTTGCCAAAGTCAAAACATCTTCATTTCGTTGGTTCAAAATTTAATTCATCTATTTATCAATGTAGTGTATGTACAAAAGATGAATTTAAATAATATAAACTATCTACTTATTATTTTATGTTTAAAAAAATTATATTTAGAATCAATTTATTGCTTTAAATTTAGATTATTCTACTAGTATATCATTTGAAAACATAACATTGATTAATAAGAACGGAAAAGAAGGTTTAATATCATTGATCTACAATGGACATAATAATAATAATAATTCTACAATAAATGTTTATTTTAATAACATCAATGCTGTTCAATCAAAGAATGAAAAGAGTGGTGGAGGTTTTCTCTATGCTAAAGGTTGCAATGTAGAAGTTCGTAATTCTTTCATATCAAACTCTCAATCACTATATAGTGGCGGTGCTATCTATATAGATCCTGTCAATCCTATGAGCAATCTTAACCTTGTCAATGTCACAATCGTAAACTGTTCAGCTTCTAGTCGAGGTGGAGCTATCATCACACCTAATCTAAGTGTTTGGTCATCTAATTTTATTAATACTTCATCGTGTGATTCCGGTGGTGCAATCTATTCATCCAATAGTCTATCGATGTATAATGTTACATTTCAACAATGTATAGTGGTAAGTTGTAATAGTAATAGCAACGGTAGTGGCGGTGCTATTTATACAACTGGACCAACAAATACAAAGATTACACAATGTGAATTTAATCAATGTGAGTCGTCATTCGATGGAGGTGCTATTTATTCTGATTCCACTATTAAGGTAATGAGATCAGAGTTCTACGGGAATAGAGCTCATCATAATGGAGGTAGTATCTTCTCAAGTAAATCATTATCTTTAACCACTGCAAGTATAGAACTCTCAAATGCTTTCGTCGACGGTGGTGCTATCTATGTAGAAAGTGACCTACTTATGGATGATGTCTATTGTTTTATGAATAGGGCAATCAATAATGGTGGTGCAATTGCTAGTTCACCTAAATCCACCTATATAAATGTAACCAATTCAAATTTTGAAAAGTGCCAAGCAAATAAAGGTGGTGCAATCGTAAGTAACAAACTCTAAAAAGTTTTGGTATATAAATAATACAACTACTAACATTAAATCAATAGTATGTTTATAAAACAAACTCATTAAATTTAAATGAGATTATCTTTGGACAAAACAATGCAAATCAGTCTGGAGATATCTATATTAGTGGTGGATATTGATAATCATTTGTAATAATAACATAATCATAACAAATCAATGCATTTTATTCAAAGACAACTGAAAAAATAAAAATAAAAAAAATAAAAAAAAAATCAATGGTTATTAAAAAAACAATATCATTTCTAGTTTGTTACTGCTATTACTTGTATTTATTAATGACACTCACACACAGTGAGTGCATTTTAAAATAGTTTTGTTTTGTTTTTTTTTTTTTTCAAATTCAAACATTTGTTTTTTAACAGTCAAAATTTGTTGTTCAGTAATTACTGATGAATTAGAAATAAACTATATATGCACAATGCAAGATAATTCTAATATAGCTGAATCTAACGATCTTAATAATAGTAATATTACAAATGATGATGATGAACAACAAATAATAAATAATAATAATGTTGGAAGTAGTAGTAATACAAACTACTCTGACATATTCTTAATAAAACAAATAGAAAGTAGGTTATTAGATATCAATTTATATTTTCATAGTAGTTTATTAATATTTTATCTATATATATATAGAACCAGATGGAATTGTAACAGGTGAATCAAATCTATTATCACATTTTAATCTATTAAAGATATTCAATGATTTCAATACAAAGCATCTTTCATCTACCTATAAATCATATGTAAAGAATTTGCCTGGTGATAATTATATAAAAAGAGAGAAACATCATTCCTCATCTTCATCTTCATCGGTCAACAACAATAATAATATACAGCAACTACAACAACAACAGAATATTTCAACAACACCAACACCAGGTACACCTACGAATGCACTACTTTCACCTGGTCAACAACAGCAACAACCACAACAAGATATTACACAATCTACAACTACGATATCAACATCATCGTCATCGTCAAAGAAAGAGAAACCACCACATAAAGTACATGGTCTGTCAAAGTTGGTTGAGAATGCCGATTCTTCGATGATACAAGACGATCAACAAGAATTGATCTTGCTGTCACTCTCAGAGACACAAATGAAGGCGGCATTTACACTGCTAGACGGTGGGTATGTCCGACCAGAGAGCGAAAAGAAGAAACATCGTAAACATCGTCACGAGAAGAAGAAACGTAAGAATCGTGACGGTGAGAACACAGTGGTTGTCGAAGATGGATCATTGGTGCCACCGCCACTACACAATAGCAACTCACTCAATAACAGCGGTACTACAACAACAAGCAACAGTGGAGGCAGCGCAGGCAACGAAGAACGTCACAAACGAAAGAAAAAGAGTAAAAGAGATCATAAAGATAATGATGGTCAACATATAGTAGTTGAACATTAATAATAATAATAATAATAACAATAATAATAACAACAACAAAAACAATATCACATTTAAATTATTTAACTTCCCATATATACAACACATATATATAATATACATTTAATTTAAAATTTGTAAATCCAAATCAAATCAAATCAAATCAAATCGAAACAAAAAGAATCAAAAAACTTAAATCTTAATCAATCAAAGATATTCACATAATTTGATATTTGTACAAATAAAATAAAAATATGACTTTATCATTTTTTTTTTTTCTTAAAAAGCTCAACTCTATAAATATATTATATATTTGAGAAATGACATACATATCTATCTCTTTAATAAATAAATAAATAGATATAAAATAATTAATTTTTAATTTTAATTTTCTTGTGTTGATCAAAAAACAATAAAAAGGGGTGTAGACCTCATTCATATTAATCATGATGATCATTAACACCACTAAATATATATATTTCTGTTTTTTTCTTTGTTTTTTTTTTCCTTTTGTACAATACGGGTGATAACAATAACAATCGAAATAATAATAATAATAATAAATAGGTACATATATGTAATATATATAAGGTATATCTTTCCTGTCACTTTTTGATATTGCTCTACAAAAATTCATTATTTTCTCACTCTAATAATGTATTATAAACAATTGATAATAATCATGTAAATTAATTGATTGTCTTTTTGATAGATTTATTATATCTCACTTGTTTGTTTTTAGATTATTCTAGTTTGTCTTTTTGTTTGTTTGAATAATAATATTAATTAATTAAATTATCAGATGATGTTCTTTTATTTAAATTGGACTTCAATGAAATATAAATAATCTCTTTATATATTTTTTATATAATGAAACTTTGTAATATTTTATATTTATTTATTTTATTATATTATTTATCTTTTGTTGGTAAGACTATAAAAAGTAAAACAATTATTATTATGTTAACATTTCTAATAATTCTATTATTATTATTACTTGTTTTTAGAATCAAAATCAATTATATATTTATCGACGAATGGAAACGATACAAAATATTGTGGAACTATAGATAGACCTTGTTTTTCAACTTATTATGCAATGATTTGGTTGGATCATGAACCAGCCGTTCAAATTAATATGCAACCTGGACGATATGATTATAGTGCCGCACCATCAACCATTGTTAGTGATGTAGCGATAGAGTTGATCGGACTAGGTAACCATTCAGATCAAACACAAATAGTTATACCGAACAATGGTGATTTCTTCCTTTCAGTCTTCTCCAATATCACCATCCATAACATTACATTTACAGATCATCGTAACAATGAAACAGTTTTTTTCAAAGAAATGTCACCATACGCCAGCAACTACCTCGATGAACTCAACAAAATGTCGTTTGGAAACTTTACCGATTTTAGACTATTTAATTCATCATTAACACTGAATCATTGTATATTCTTTAATAATTCAAATTCCATATTATTTTTATCACAATATTGTAAGTAATTAAAAATTTGTTAACAAATTAAAATTGAAATTAATATATATTCTTTTTTAAATAGCCAAAATATATGTACACAATTGTACATTTCAATTAAATAGATATAATATTTTTCTTACAAGTGAATTTACTTATTTTGAATTTCAACATTCAAAAGTCATTAGTAATCGATGGAATTCAATGATTGCTTCCAATTTCACTCAATTCCTAATGGAAAAGACTCTTTTTATGTATAATAGATCAACCTATGGAATGGTTACAAGTAAGTTTAAAAAAATCATCAAATATTTAATTATAGATTATTAATTGTCAGTATATCATTTTCAGTGACATGTATATTTGATATGAAATCGTGTAGATTTGATAGGAATAGATCTAATTTAGGTCAATTAATATCAATTCAAACATCTTTAGTAGTGGATAATACTTTTTTCAATTTGAATATAGCAACTGGTGCTTCCGGTGTTGCCTATTTATCAGATGATTCAATATCAAAGTAATTATCATTGTTTTGTTCAAAGTTTTATTAGTTATTAATTTATTTTTTTAAAATAGTTTTACAACATGTATTTTTAATGGAAATTATGCACCAGGTAGTTCAGATATCGGATCATCCAGTGATTCATTGGTTATCGAAGGAACTATTTTTCAAAACACAGTAAATCCATCAATTTCAATTTCAATTTATGCCAACGGTCAAATCATAGTCTACGATGTAGTATTTACCAATATGAGTGGAACAATAATATCATCAGACTCTACTTCATTCATTGCATTAATTGATACTCGTTTTTTAAGTAAGATTTATATTTTATTAATAATATAAATTAAATGTTTATTAATTTGTTTTTTTTTTCTAATATTAGATATTCAAGGTAGAGTGTTGGAATCTTATGGAAAAGGTTCAGCGATTCTATCAGCAATTACAGTTCATAATTGTAGTACAATCGATGAGATGTTTTTATTCGCAAATAATGTACAAATATTTATTTTCGACGCAATTGTAGAGCAAAATAACTTTTCAAGTTTTCTTTTTATGGAGTATAACACCTTTTTGGCAATGGGTTCATCTCACTTCCTCGATAACAATGCATATATTTCATTGATTGGTGGTTACAACAAATACGGTATTTATATAGAGAAAACAGAATTTTTAAAAACAACTGGTACCTTTGTAAGTTAATATATAATATTAATCAATCAATTGATTTTAATAATTAATATTTTCCCAATGAATATAAATATTATATTATAGAGAGGATCAGTTTTAGAATTAGATCAAACTGGTAATATTACTGTCATTGATTCACAAGTGATTGCAAATCAATCACCCAACGGTCCATTTATTTATTATGTTAAAAACAGTACTTTTGATATCCAATGCTTTTCAAGATTTGAAAACGATATATTCTTTGATAACTACGCCTATCGAACGGGTGCTCTGATTTTCTACGATTCTCAAGAATTGGTCTGTCCATTTACTTGTGAGAATTGTTATGCGCTGAACTCCACTGCCCAATATGGAGAAATACTAAACAGTGCATACTACACATTCACAGTGAATATTGTATCATCGATTTATACACCGGAAAATGTTCAAGTGCTAATTACAGCACTCGATGCGTTTGGAAATGTCTATCGTGGTTCGACAGGCGTCGAGTTTACAGTGGACAACCAACTTTGCCCGAATGTTAACCTGACTGGAATTAGAACGGCACAGCTAGATGTCGGTGGCAGACCGATTCTTTATAACCTGGGAATCAGTGGTATACCAGGTACCTCTTGTAATCTCAGGTTCCAATCGAATCCACCCGCCGCCAACGGATATATCTACAGGAATATCTCGATTGAAAAATGTATCAAAGGCTACGGTCCTTACTTGGTGGTTGACACCTACTACTGTCTGAAAGAATCGAAAGTTTCCGATTGGGTAAAGATATTATTCACCGTTCTTGCCGTCGTTCTGATGATTGCCGATTTTGGAATGGCAGTGATCGCAATCATCTACAGAAACAATCGAATTATCAGGTATACCAATATGGTGTTTCTTTGGACAATGATAGTTGGAATATTCGTCATACTCCTATCAATCATATTCCTTTATCTCATTGGTGATTTTCAGTGTATTCTGCGTGTAATCTTATTACCAGCCGGTCTTTTCATATGTGCATTATCAATCATAGTAAAGGAATGGAAGATTTGGTCATCAAGAAAACAATTGAAATTTCAAAAGAAACAAATTGTAAGTCAAACAAAAGAGAGATATAGTAAATTATAAATTTATTAATTGTTTTTATATGAATGTTATAGATGGATACAAAATATTTTTTAAAATATTTTGCTATTTTATCAATTCCAACTATTGTAAGTATAATATATTTATTTAATATTAATTTTCATTTATTTATTAAAATCTTAAAAAAAAAAAAAGAATCATAATAGCATTAAATTGTATCCTAGAAGATATAAAACCAACTTATATTTATAATGTCAATGAATTAAAAGTTGTCTATAATTGTAAAGCTTCAAAAAGTTGGGTATATATTGTTTGTAATCTTGTTTATATAGTAAGTATAGTTTAATAATTTATTATTGTATTTTAAAAATAATTTATTTATGTTTTAATTAATTATTTTTTTTTCTTTAAGATTATATTATTACTATATTCGTGTGTACTTGTATATAGAAGTAAACATTATAGAACTTCCCCAGGTACATTTAATGAACCAACATATATTGGTGTTTTGGTATGCAATTAATCAATTAATCAATCAATCAATCAATTTAATTTAGTCAATTATTAATTATTTTTAATTTCTTTCTATAGATTTACAATTATATTATTATTCTTGTGATTTTAATCCCATTAAGATTCTCTTTTACCAATAATGCAAATGCTCAATTCATAGTGATCTGTGCCTCTGTTATTATATTTGCACTAAGTACAATCGGTTTACTTTTTATTCCTAAACTGATTCTAATATTTAGAAAAGATAGAGTAGTTTTATCAGTAAGTAGTAACTTTGATTATTCATTTGTAAATACTTTATTGTACAACATAAACTAAACAATTTGTAATTTAGTTAAGAAAGTTTATTGAAGAGCAAGAAAAACAATTGGATAGAAATAGAGATATCCTAAGATTCTACGAAATGTATGGTGATGAGAATGGTAAATTAAACTTTGCAATTCACGATATATTTACACCAGAATCGATAACACCAAGTTCAACTCCAACGATTTCACCTGTTGACGCTAACAACACAGATAACAATCCACCCAACAACTCTGAAAAAACAACAATATATAATCAAAATATTTCTTTTAATTTACCTGATCCATCAGATAATAATAATAATAATAATAATAATAATAATAATAATAATAATAATAATAATAATAATAATAATAATAATAGAAATAGTATACCGAATGGAAATAATGAACAACCAACAAAATCTAGAAGTAGAAACAATAGTATATCGATAAACAAACAGAGCAACACAACAAATAGACCAAGAAAAGATGTTGATGCAACTGTAGCTACATCATTCTTTAACGATGCCAACAAAATGGATTCACCCAAAATGGAATTTCTAAGAAGGAAATACAAATCAGAACCAACATCTCCATTATATACTTCTAATGGATCTTAATAATAATAGTGATAATAACAATAACAATAATAACAATATTGGTAGTAGTAGTAATCAGAGGACAATCAAGAAAAGTGGTGGAAACAACATGACATCTAAAAAAAAGAAATAAATAAATTGATTTTTATTTTGTTTTTTTTTGCAATTAAATTTTTCACTATTTTTTTATTTTTATTTATTATTTTTATTTTTATTTTTTCGTTCATTTAAATATACTATTTTTGTTGAACAATTATTACATCTACAAATTGTTTTTTTTATTTAATTATTTATTTATAAACAAATATAAAAATATAACATTACAAAACAATAAAATAAAGAAATGAATAATTCGTCAATGGGTGACTATTCGTCTCGTGATAGAGATAGAGACAGAGATAGAGATTATGGTAGTGGTGGTGGTGGTGGTAGAGATTACTACAACAGAGATAGTGGTAGAACTGATAGCTATAGATCTGGTGGTGGTAGCTACGGCGGTGATAGAGATAGAGACAGAGACTATGGAAGCAGTAACAACAATAGCAGAGACTACAGAGATGGTGGTCGAACTGATAGCTATAGATCTGGTGGTGGCGGTGGTGGTGATGGCAGAGACTACAGAGATAGCAGATCATCGTCTTCCTATCCATCTTCATCATCTTCATCCTATTACACTGGAGGTGGTAACAGCAGCAGTCGATATGATTCTCGTGACACTAGAAACGACTATCGCAACGGTAGCAGCACCAGTGGAAACAGTAGTCGATATGATTCACGTGACACTAGAAACGACTATCCCAGAGGAGGTGCCGGTGGTGGCGATCGTTACAACAACGCTCCACAACCACAGTACAATATTACAAGTGCACCACCAGCTCCCTACTTTAGCTCATTCGCACCACCACCACCACCACCAACTTCTTCGTCGTCTTCATCATCCTACAACAGTGGTGGAGGTTCATCTTATGGTAGTTCCAACGGAAGTGGCGGTGGATACAGACCAAGCTCTTATTCATCATCGTCTGCATCAAATCCAAGCTATAATTCATCATCGTCATCGTATGCACCACCTCCACCATCATCAACCTATCAAGCAAGTACAAGCACATCCTATGGTAACTCTGCATCGTCGTCATCGTATCGTGGCGGTAACTCTAGCAATGGATATTCATCGGGTGCCAGCACATCGGCTCCCTATTCATCGGCTCCTTTCTCATCGAGCGCAAACTCAACACCATATTCGTCGTCGGGACCGAGCTACTCATCGGGCTCGAGCTACTCATCGGGTTCAAGCTCAACCTATTCGTCGTCCACTCCATACTCATCGTCCTCAGGAACCTCTGGTGGATTCAACTCTGGAGCACTCGGTGCCAATCTCGACAAAATCAATTGGGAGACGACCCAACTTTCTAAATTTGAAAAGAACTTTTACAAAGAAGACGAAGAACTAGCCTCAATGACTGACCAAGAGGTTGAACAATACAGAACCTCTGCCGATATGACTGTTTTTGGTACAAACATACCAAAACCAATTCTTACTTTTTCTCAATCCCATTTCCCTCGTAAGTTGTTATAAATGAATTATTATAGCATAACGATTTACTAATTACTTTTATCTATTTTCTTTAGCATATATTATGAAAGAAATTGTAGCAGCAGGTTTTGCTGCACCAACTGCTATCCAAGCACAATCATGGCCAGTTGCTTTGAAAGGAAGAGATATGATCGGCTTAGCAGAGACTGGTTCCGGTAAGACATTGGCATTCTTGTTGCCAGGTGTCGTTCACATCAATGCACAGCCATTCTTGGAACCAAATGATGGTCCAATCATGCTAGTTCTTGCACCAACACGTGAGTTGGCAATGCAGATTCAAGCCGAGTGCGACAAGTTTGGTTCGAGTTCGAAGATCAAGAATTGTGCAGTCTATGGTGGTGTACCTAAATTCCAACAGACATCACAGCTGCGTAGCGGTGTCGAGATTGTCATTGCCACACCGGGTCGTCTTATCGATCTCTTGGAGACACGTAAAACCAACCTAAAGAGAGTTACCTATCTCGTTTTGGACGAAGCAGATCGTATGTTGGACATGGGTTTCGAAGATCAAATCAGAAAGATTCTCAGTCAGATCCGTCCGGATCGTCAAACTCTAATGTTTTCTGCTACCTGGCCAAAAGTTGTGCAATCGCTTGCCAACGACTTCCTCAAAGATCCAATCCAAATCAAGATTGGTAGTGCTGAATTGTCTGCTAACCATAATGTTAAGCAAATCATTGAAATCTGTGAAAAGAATGATAAACAACAGAGGTATGTAAAATTTTAACAATCATTCATTCATTCAAATTAATCAAACTAATATTTTATTATTAAAACTTAATTTAGACTGTTCTCATTTTTAGAAAAAGTTGGAGATGAAAAATGTATTATATTTATGGAGACAAAGAATGGTGTCAATCTTTTACAGAGAAACATGCAAGTTGCTGGATTCAAATGCGCTGGTATTCATGGTGATAAAACACAAGGAGAGAGAGACTATTCATTGCAACAATTCAAAAAGAGTGGAATACAAATGTTGATTGCTACAGATGTAGCTTCTCGTGGTCTAGGTATTTATGCTTTATTTTATTTATGATTATACAACTACCATCTTTTATATTATTATAGGTTAATATTTATCAAATATTATTAATTTGATATTATTCTATAATATTTTAAACAACAATTTTTTTCTTTTTCTTCTTTTTTTAGGTTTTCAGTTATCATCTCTCTCTTTTTTTTTTTTAAAAATATCAACACATCAACATCGAATCGAAAACGAAACAAATTTGGCGATTTAATTATACTCTTATTAATATTTGTTATTTTTAGGTTGAAAGCACACAGCAACATTGTTTTTATTGTTTTTGATCATTCGTTGAAAAGGAATTACAAAAGATCTTTTTAAATTTGAAATATTTTGAACAACATGTCATTCAGTAGTTGCAAGGAATCAAAAAAAAAGTAGAGATATATTATTATTATTATTAATTATATATTTGATCAAAAAAAAACAAAAATTGAACAACATGAACTTATTACTACATATAGAAGGTTGTGTAGGTAAGCAAGATATTATTGTTGTTAGAATATACAGACTACTCTTCTTTTTTTTTTATTTTCAGCTCCAATTAATGATTTTAGAGAAAAATATTTTGATGTTGCAGAGATTCAAGTTACCTTTTAAAACTGAACAGATTTTGTTTGTTTTGGCCGTGTATTTCAATTCCTAAATCTTAACATTATTAACAAACATTGAATAGGAATTTAAATTATAACAAAAAAACAAAAAAAAAAAAAGAAATATATTAACAGCAGATAAACAAAAAAAAGAACTTGAATAGGATCAGAGAGGGTGGATAATTGATGACCTTTAGATTATTTACAACTACTATATTATAACATCAAAAATATATTTTGGTAAGGATAATTATATTTACTTTTTTTTTCTCTATCTCTCTTCATAAACCAATCAACACATAAACACAGATGTTAAGGATATTAAATATGTTATCAACTATGACTTCCCCAACACCATTGAATCATACATTCATCGTATTGGTCGTACTGGAAGAGCCGGTGCTACAGGTACTGCCTTCACTCTATTCACAACCAACGATATGCGTTTGGCAGGTGAATTGATCACTGTTCTCATTGAAGCAAATCAATATGTACCACCTTCATTAGAACAAATGGCACCAAATCGTGGAGGATTTAAGAGTAAGTTTTATTTGTTATTTTAATTAAATATCCAACTAATCAAAATTGTTAATTATTTAGGTATCACTGAACAATATGGTAGAAGTAATAACAGATTCAATCCATATGGAAAAAGATAAATAACACAAACTTTAATTTCTTGATAATGGTGATGTAGTTATTTTTTTAAAAACTTTACATTAACTAAAACATTTCAATAAATTATTTATCTGCTCTGAATCAACATGTTGAATGAATTTACAATGGTTTTATTATTTTTATTAAAAAAAAATTAGATTATCTTCTCTATCTTTGCCTGAAAGACAGATGAAGTGAAATTAAATAAATAGAATTTGGTTGGTAATTAAAAGCAAATACCATCTTTGAATTGCTTATTGATTTGGTTCTGTGTTGTTGTTGTCATCTTCGTCATCATCGTCATCGTCTTTGCTACTGTTTCTCAATTCTTCTAGAAACTGATTGTTTTGAATCTCTGGAAAGGTGGGACGTCTAACGGGAATGGGTGGTGGGTTTTTGGTTACTTTGGGTGATTGTTCGATTGGTGACGATGATGTTGATGCTGCACTACCACTGCCACTGCTGCTACTGTTGTTGTTATTGTTACCGCTATTCTGATCACTTAAAAGTAGAGATACACGCTCACCTTTGAAAACCAATTGGAACTTGTCTAGATCGTCATCACGATTCGACGATTGTGCTACATTCAGTTTGGAATCGGATTTCTGTTGTTTGACACCCATCAAATGTTGCTTGAGATCAGAGACATCACCTTCGAAAAACGATGTTATCTCTGTGATCCACTCCTCCATCTCCTGTGCAGAGTCAGCTATCAAATGAAAGACACGCTGTGAAGGATCGTTTTCATTGGTGATAAAAAAATAATTCTTTTTGGTTTTATCTTTATAGCATTTTGTGTATTGTGATAAATCTACTGCTCCAACTGCCTCTGTACTCTATAAACATTAAGGACCATTCATTAATATATCATTGTTTAATTCATTCTCATTTTGTTATTTTTGAAATCTTACTGTTCTTTGTTTAAAATAATATAATATTCCAGTGTTTGTTAAAACGAAAAATCTTCTTCTCCAATTCTTTGATATACCTTTTCCTCCTAACTTTTTAAGGTATCCATTTCTTTTATCTACACAAAAGAGTTCGTTTACTGTAATATTCTAAAGAAAATAATAAATATATATTTATGCCAAATGATTGTTAATTACTTTGAAATATTTATATACTATTTATTTATTTACCATTGGAATGTTTGGAAGAGTACTAGCACCATTGCTAGTATTACTCGATACTATATTTGTTTCATTCTTCATTGTTTTTTTTTTTGATTCTTCTGTTGCTTTTTTCAATTGTACAATTTTAAGATATATATAAGATCTTTATATTAAATTTTTACACGATGATTTTAAATAAAAACAAAAAATTAAAAAAAAACCAGAGCTTTGAGATGGTTTCGGTGGTGATTGAAGGTTTGATGATGTAATTTACAAAATAAATAAATAAAATTTGAATGTTTTTGTTTTTTGTTCTTAAGATTAAAGATACTTTTTGATATCTTTCAAAATCTTATTTTCAATAAATAAAAAGCAAAATTTTGCCTTGATGTCAATGAACACTATTATTAGTAACAACGTGTTGTTTTAATAAATAAAAATATATATATATATATAAATAAATAAGGTTTTGTTTGTTTTTAAATATACTTTTCTGTAATGAAAATAATAAATAATTAATTAAAAAATTCAAGAAAAGAAAAGGTAATAAAATAATTATAAAAGAAGCAGTTACAAGTTGAATTATTTGTTTGACATTCTAATAAATAAAAAACTTATGAAGGAATTGATAAAAAAAAAAAGGGTAGAAGAACAGTTTTTGGATGGTAGATTTTTATTGTTATTATTTTTGTTTTTGTTAAATATTGGGGTGGGCCAAAAATGACTTTGAACTATCATCGGACCTATTCATTGTTGTCAACCCACCAATTTAGTGGTCCAAATTTTTTTGTGATTGTAAAAAAAAAAAAATTCCAAATTTTCTATTTTTATTTTAAAACTGTAATACATGAAGCTATTCCGATTTATTTTGAGCCAAAACCAAGCTTGTTGTTTTCATTGTCAAACACAATATAGAGTTCTATCAAATAGAAGTTAAGTGGGAGTGTGTGTGTTGCAAATTTAATAAATAATAATGTTCCGAAAAATGGGGAAATGGTAGAATTTAGAAATAATTGATTAGTCAGTTAGTTATCATAAGTGGATTTAGTTAAACTTTGTTTTTGTTGTTGTTGCTGTTGTTGTTTTAATGATAATGATCTTGTGGTTATAGTATCACCAATTTTTAAAACAACAACAACAACAGCAGCAGAATAGTGGTAAACTAAACATCACCATTGTTTTTTAGTTTGTTTTTTTTTACTTACCTCGCATTAAATTCAATCCAAAAACAGCATAGGTTCGCTTAGTTTCTTGAATTCCTATGCATTGATAGATATGTCCGTCTCTGGATAAAGAGTAAAAGTAGTTGGATGGTTTTATTTGAAGTGTAAATCCCTCTTCAAATTCCATCTGAAAATTGGGAAACTTTTCGATTTCTGTGCTTGTTGCTGGAATACACTGTTTATCGGAGGGAGGAAAAAGGTCCAATATTAAAAACAATCGATCTAGATTAAAAAAAAATGTTTTGTTTTGTTTTAACCAATAATACAACTACTTACAGATGTGAATAGATTTTCCATTTTCGCACACATCTCTTTAGCACCACAATTTAATTTAAGAAATGTTTTGAATGACTGAAAGGCATCGGTTGGTAAGTACGATAGAGTAGATGTTGATTTAAGAACTACTTTAGGAACTTGAATCCTATCAGAGTTCCAAGTCGCATTATTCCATACTGATTTCTATAGATACAACATTAAAGTAATAGTTAGTTAATATTTTTGTTTTCAAGGTGCAAAAGTTAAAGTTTTACCAATATCGGTGTCATAGCGTATAAACCATCATTCTTTAACATATTTGTATAATTTATTGTTTTAGTATATAAAAGAGGATCTATTAAACCTAAAGAAATTCCACCAAAATAGTTTCTATCTAATGATATTCCAAATATATCTAAAACAATAATAATTGTTAATTAGCTAATTATTATTTTATACTATTCTTTTTAATAATCTACATACAAGGTTTTTTAAGTGTAGATAGAATCGAATATAAAGGACTCGGAGGACAATTTGGACACTACATTTTATTATAAAAGTTAGCTAACTCATTATTATTTAATATAAATAAATATTTACATTTGGACCAACACCAAATATTGCTTTTGTTAAAGTAGGTCCATCAGTTTGTTCTATAAATTTGTTAAAAAATTAGATTACACAAAATATATTACATTATATATTATTAATATTTACTATAGATTGCAGTTATTGTAATAGGTATATTTTTAAAATTATCTATTGATACTATATCTTTTATTAAATTTGCTAAAAATAGATTGATATATTGGTTGTTAATATATTAAAGGTTAGGTTGTTGTACTATAGTAACACTTATTTACCTCTGATAGAAGCACCATTTTCAAGTTGTGAAACGAAAGAACAAGTAGCTGGATCGAATTTACTTTGTTTCTCACATACATTTCCAATGCTGTGGCAATAAGGTGAGTCACACATAATGTTTTCTGCTGTTGGTGTTGATTTGTAATGAGGAGGATATTGAGTACATCCTTCACATTTCTTTTTAGCTGTTAAGAACTAGTGTGAAAAAACAGATTAATTAATATGTAAAATAACAGATTCGAATATTATATTGGTAGAAGCACAAACATAATTGGAAGCTGTATCGATTTCAACTGGAATACTATCAGTTCCTGCGATAATTACACTCGAAAGTGAATCTGTATCGCCACTCAACACAAGTGAATCTGAATTTTTATTACTAAACCAATCAATACATTGAAATGTTAGCGACATCTGTAACAAACAATCAAAAAAAAAAAAAAGGTTAAGATACTCACACTTCATCAAATGATTGGCTAGCATTTAGATATAATAAGTAAAATTGTATTAAAAAGAGTATAGATATCAAGTTATATAGTTTCATGTTTTTTTTGGTATTGATGATAGTTGGTTGACCAATTCCAAGTCAAAGCGATTGGATAAAAAAAATTATTTGTAATAAAAATATGAAATAAATAAATAAATAAATAAAAATAAAATTCAATTACATTAAATATCATTGTTATCACAACAATCAATGATGATAATCGAAAATCAAATCATCTTTCAAAACAATTCATGTTTATGATAAATGATGATCATATCTTTTTTTTTTTTTGTTTAATTACATTTTTTGGACGAGTTTATCTCTTCTGTTTACTATTATTAGATTGAAATTAATTATTTTTGTAAAAATGATTATCAAATAAATCTGATCAGATTTATTAACACACCAAAAAAAAAAATGGATATGAAAAAAACCATCATTAAACACCAAAGATCGATCATTTTTTTTTACAAATATGATTTTAATTTTATTCTGTGATTTTTCTGCACAATAAACCTAGAAAGTAAAAAGATTTGATTAAAAAAGTTTTAAAATTTCCACAATCAAATGGAATCTTTATTTTTTAAATTAATTTTATTTAAAATTTAGCAAATCTTTGGTGAGAACTTCGTGGTCTCTATAAATATTTGGTACCACTTATTCATTCATTGTTAGGTCTAACTTATTGTATTATTTTATTTATATATCTTCATATTTATATCAAAACATTTTTTTTTAATTTAAAAGTTTAAAAATTACTAAATTTAGTAATTATAGTTAATATTATAGTAAATAATTCTTTTCAATTCATTTTTTTTTCATATTGAAAAGAATTAAAACAACAACATTTTTATAACAAACATGGTAAAGGTTATTTTTCCAGATGAAAATGCATCAAAGTTTGAAATTCAAAAATGGTTGAAGCAATACAAGATCAGCTTCACACCATTCCAGAGCAGAGATGATCTTTTATTTTTGATAGATGAGAATAAAAAGTTAATTTTTGATCTTGAAAAGGAAAAGAAGAAGGACGAGAAGTTAAAGAAGCAGCAGCAATTACTAGCTGAAACACAAGCAAAGGATAATAATAACAACTCATCATCATCATCATCATCATCATCACCATCAAAGTCATCAATTTCTTTCTCTTCAAATAAATCATATGCTTCACCATTCAAGAAGATTACTATAAAGAATGGACAGGTTGTAAAGGATGTAGATTCCTCGAAGAAGCAATCCTCTGCACAGGCATCGAATGCTACATTGCATGTTAAGCAAAAGAACAAGATTGGGTTGGCAGACAAGATTGAAAATAACACACTTCATGTGTTCTTGTCGTCGACTTTCAAGGATATGATTGGTGAGCGTGACCATCTTATCAAGGTAGTCTTCCCAGCATTGAATATGAAGGCGAAATCCAAGAATCTCACAATCGTACCGGTGGATTTGCGTTGGGGTTTGACCAAGGAGGAAACTACACTCAAGGGACAGATTGAGTTGTGTTTAAAGCAGATCGAAAAGTGTCCTGTGACCATTGGAATGGTTGGTTCGCGTGTCGGTTGGATCCCATCGGAGTACAAGTTGGAAGATCCAAACTCGGATGCTTCCAAGTGGTTGTCTGCTTTGCCACTCGGTCACTCGATTACAACCATTGAGATTCTCTATGCTCTCGAGGCAGCTGCATCCGGAAAGAAGCACTGCATCGCAGCACTACGTGAATCAAACGAACACTTTGTCGCTGAGGATGCCGATGCCGAGCGCAGACTCCACGACACCCGACAAACTCTAATCAACCACAGTCACTGCTCCACCATCGCCAACTATCCAGCAACTGGTAGCGCTTCATCCGCCGACAAGTATGGCAATATTATCATGAAGGATTTGGATGTTTTCGGTGATTTCATTCTCCAACAGCTCTGGGAGATCATCGAGTTGGAATTCCCAACACCAGTGTTACCGTTGGATCAGTTGGAGCGTGAGAAGATTGCACACTCCAACGCATTGCAAGCTAGATCCGCTCATTACTTTGGACGTGCTTCTTTCCAACAGAAATTGAAGGCACATATCAACGACAACAGCAGTATCGATCGTATTGGTTTGGTGTATGGTGAGCCGGGTTCAGGTAAAAGTTCATCACTTGCATACCTTGCAAAGTCACTGGAATCCGATCCTCAATGGCTCGTACTCTATCACTTCATTGGATGTTCATCTGAATCCACTGATGTAACCAACATCTTGGCTTCTTTCTCTGCAAAGTTAATTCAACAATTCAAGTTAAAATTTGAATTATCTGAATCATTTGGTAAGTATTTAACAATAATTGTTATCATATTTAGCTTGTAATACTAATATTTCTAATTTCTATTTCATTTATCTAGAGAAACTACGTATTGATTTCCCAATTATTTTATCAAAGTGTAAGGGTAGAAAGATTTTAATATTGATTGATGATTTGGATGAATTGAATCCAGCAAATCAATCACATCAAATGGAATGGTTACCAGAGTCTTCAGAGTTACCTAATAATGTATTTGTATTTTTGAGTTGTGATCAAGGAAAGGTTTGTTGGGATTACCTCCATCTCCGATCAAAGATTCCACAGACTTTCTATTTGAATCCATTGGAGATGTCTGACCGTCAACTCATCGTAGAGAAAACATTGGATCTCTTTGGAAAGCGTTTGGATTCCAAGCAATGCGATCGTCTCATTTCGAAAACACAAGCCAAGCTACCGTTGTTTATCAAGTTGGTTTGTGAGGAGCTACGTATCTTTGGTTCATTCGATCGTCTTGCAATGTTTATCGCCAAGCTACCAGAGACAATTCCACAGTTGATCGACCAAATGATTACTCGTTTGGAAGACGATTTCGGAAAGGATCTAATCAGAAAGACACTGTGCTACATTGCATTATCTCGTTATGGTTTGACAGAGACAGAGTTACTGGATCTCCTCGCTCGTAACTCCACATCATCTTCAACTGCTTCCTCTGTTTCTTCGAAGCTACAAAAGGTGGAGCCATTGGCATTTGTAGTATGGGCACCACTTTTGTCTTCACTCTCTCCATTGCTACGTCAACAAACTAATCATATCACATTCTTCCACGGTCAGATTGCCAATGTTATTATCCGTCGTTATCTCTCGATTGAGAGATCTGCCATTGCTGTACATCAAACTCTTGCCGACTACTACCTTGCACATGCAGATCCCGATGCCAAGAGAAACTGGTCGGGTGTTGTCGCCAAGCCATACGTCGAACTTCCATATCATTTGATGTGTGCCAAGAGATTCGATCAACTTTCAACATTGTTCCAGGATCTTCGTTTCATTGAGTCAAACTTCCAGAGACAGTTGGGTAGAGAGTTGATCGAACGTTTCCTCTCTGTGCTATCTTCTGTTCGTGGACCAGCACTAACAGGTGAACGTTGGACTGGCTACAACTTCTCAACAGTAAACACTGTCGAAGATTTCTTTGCATTCGTTCAATACCAATCTCACCATCTCACTAAATTCCCATTTGTTGCAGCACAACTCGCTCTCAATCTTCCGGACGACGCCGTTTGTCACGCTGCTGCATCCAAGTTACTCAACAGCGAGCGACGTCTCCACCTCAACTGGGTCAACAAGTCGCAGATTTCAGACTTTGTCATTTCAACTCTTGCTGGACACGAAGATTTCGTTCGTGCAGCTCTCTACAAGGATGACGGTTCACTCTTGGCATCGTGTTCTGACGATCGTTCCATTCGTCTTTGGAGTGGTGAAACAGGACAGTTGGTTCGTGTCTTCCCAAAGCTTCACACTGACAAGGTTACTCAACTCGCTTGGAGAAACAATACTATCATCACTGTCTCTCGTGATAAGCGTATTGTAATGTGGGATGAATACGGTCGTGTTATCTCTGAGTTTGCCAATGGTCATTCCGGTGCGGTTTGGGGTGTCGACGTTGCCGGCAATGGAAATCGCTTCGTAACTGCATCTTGGGACGGAACTGCCATCGTCTGGGATGTTGCAACAAAGAAGCCGGCTCTTACATTGAGTGCACATTCTCCACAGAAACTATCGGCCTGTGCATACTCACACAACAACAAGTGGGTAGCAACCGGATGTTGGGGAGGTGTTCTCATTGTTTGGGATGCCAATACCGGTGCAGAGTTGAAGCGATTCAAGGTATCCGATATGACTATTCTATGTATCCAATTCTCTCATGACGATACTATGATTTCTCTTTCATCGGTTGACACCAACACTCATGTCTACAGCACTACCAACTGGACAAAGATTGCCAAGCTCGAGGGTCACAACGAAGCGGTTATCAGTGCACGTTTCTCATCGGATTCCAAGTATCTAGTATCGTGTTCCGACGATAAGACGGTCCGAGTGTACGAAACCGCCGAGTGGACACAAGTATCATTGATGACCGGTCACTCTGGTCGTATTATTTCCTGTGCATTCCATCCATCTTCTGCTCGTCGTCAAGTTGTCACTGGTGCCACCGACAAGTTTATCAAGATCTGGGATCCAAAACTTGGTTATTCCGTTGCTCAAATTCATCAAGGTCATAGAAAGGCAGTGAATGCACTTCAATACGTTGCTGAAACCAATACTCTCTATTCAGTTGCCGACGATAAGACTGTAAAGGTATGGAGTGATTTCACTAGAAACGACACTCTAACATTGGAGAAAACCATTGAGTTGTCACTCAAGGATTTCGTTATCGATCCAGTCCAAAAGAACATGATTGGTGTCAACGGAAATGGTTGTATCATTGTAGCCGATTTGAATGGAAAGATAATCAAGCGATTCGAAAAGGCAGCCAACTCGATCAGTGTATCACCAAATTTCAAACACGTAGGTTATCTCCATGGAAAGGAAGGTCAAGTGTCAATCATGGACTTGGAATCCGGTAGTGAAGTGTATAGCGCTCGTCATGGATTCGTTTTGAATCAAATCGGTTACAGTCCAACCGGTGAGTATGTTGTTGTCTCTGATGGAAAGGGTACATTCACAGCATTAAAGTGCTCGCCAACCACCAGCAACTATTCGATGCACTCTCACATCACCCTCGAGCCAATGGATGCAATCACCGGAATTGGATGGTCATCGAATGGCAATCTTTTGGCGATTGGTACCAACAATGGATCTACCTATATTTTTGATGTCAAGCGATCATTCTATCAAATCAATGTACTCAAGGGACATGCATTTGCCGTGCGAGCACTCGCATTCACACCCGATGCCAGTCACCTCCTCACCGCTTCACTCGACAAGCAAGCATTGTTGTGGGACCTCCAAACAAGCAACATCGCTACCATCTTCCCATTGGCATCGATTTCCACCTCAAACATCCTCATTTTCAACGATCATCAAAATGTTATTACCATCGCCATCTCTGATTACACTGGTAAAATTCATCACTTAAAGTTTATGAAAAATAGTTAAATGACTGTTCAATTATTATAAAAATCAAAATTAAAATTAAATCAATAAATTGTAAAATATAAATGTTCCAATTATTTATTATTTAAACAAATTGAATCAGTGCTCTATTAATGTTTTTTAAATTAAAAAAAAACAAATAGAATTTTGGTGGAATGGAATGGGGCTATCAAAAATTAAACAAACCCGATTTTTCATTGGAAATATCAGTGTGTTCTTTGTTTTTTCAAAAGAGAATAATGGCAAAGGAAGGGAATTTAGTGGTGTTTTACAATTAGAATCAATCGGCGAAGTGGGTGGTAAAAAAAAAACAAACAATCAAATAAAAAAAAATAAAATTTCAAAATTTTTAAAAAAAAAAATCATAAGAGTCAGATATGCTTTTCTTAAGTGTCATGATTTTGTCGAACAGTTCAGTTTAGTTTGTATTCTTTTTCTATTTCTATTTTTATATAATAAAAATGTATAGATCCAATTTATTTATTTTATCTGTATTTTTGGTTGTATCTGTATCATTAATCAATGCCTCGAGCAATGGTGATGTGAAAGTTTCACCATTCTTCAAGAAACACAATGGTTTCGCAAAGATCCCAGAAGGTGTTTTCTTAGAAACAATGTAAGTAAATAAAACAAAAGTAAAAATAAATATAATTAATAACATCTTAAACTAATTAATAACATTTAATATTTATATTTGAAATTATAGGGAAGATGCAGGTGAAGCTGTATACTTGAATGAATATTTAGATAATCCAGAGGTTGGTAGAAGAAAATCATGTGTAGATATTAATAAATTAGTTGATGGTACTCCATTCGGAGATTGTTCAATGTTGGACAATCCAAATGACCCACTCACCCAAGTTACTCCATTCACTTATTCCGGTTTCTTCCAAGTCAACGAAACCTACGATCAAAACTTGTTCTACTGGTTCTTTGAATCTCAAGACGGTAACAAAGATGCTCCAGTTGTTCTTTGGCTTCAAGGTGGTCCAGGTAATTAATTTATTAAGAAATCTATAATACTTTTATCATTATACTTACTCATCATTGTTTGTTTATTACTCTTTTTTTATTTAATAATCAGGTGGATCTTCATTATTTGGTTTGTTTGTTGAGAATGGTCCATACGCTATTCTCGAGAACTTGACTATGGTACCAAGAAATGTTACATGGAATGAACACTTCTCGATGCTCTACGTCGATAATCCAGTTGGAACTGGTTTCAGTTACACCAATTCAATGGCCGGTTACTCTTCGAATCAAGATCAAATCGCTGCCAATCTCCACAGTCTTTTGGTGCAATTCTTTGGTGTTTTCCCACAGTATGCCAACAACGATTTCTACGTCGCTGGTGAATCATACGCCGGTAAATACGTTCCAGCACTCGGATACTACATCATCCAACAAAACAAGCTCAACCCAAGCAACTTTATCAACTTGGCAGGTATTGCCGTCGGAGATGGTCTCTGCGATCCAGTCACTCAAGTCACCCAATACGCCAACTTGGCATTCTACATGGGTCTTGCCGATCTCGGTCAACAAAACACCATGTCCATCTACCAAGACAAGATCATCCAAGCCATCTTGTCGGAGCAATGGATGGAGGCCAACGATTTGTTCACCGACCTCATCAACGGTCCACCCGATTACTTCCAGAACATCACCGGTGAGCCAGACTACTACGACATCCGTAAGACCGTTGAGCCAACCTACGGTGGAAACTTTGAGGCATTTGTAAACTCATCGATGGTCAGAAACTTGTTGCACGTAGGTAACAACTACTTCCAAGACAACAACAACGTCTACTTGGCATTGCAAGCCGACATTCCAAAGTCTATCAAGCCATTGATCCCAACCATCATTGAGAACGTCAAGGTACTCTTCTACAACGGTCAATTCGACTTTATCGTTGGAGCATCACTCACCGAGACATTCATGCGTACCATCCCATGGGAGGGTATCCCACCATTCGTCGGTGCCGAGCGTACCATCTGGAAGATTCCATCTGATCAAGTCAACGTCGCCGGTTACGTACGTCAATATCTCAGTCTAACTCAAGTCGTTGTTAGAGGTGCCGGTCATATTTTGCCATACGATCAACCAGAGAGAGCTTACGATATGATCACAAGATTCGTCAACAATGTTCCATTTACCAATTAAACAAACTTTTTTTGGTATATTTAAAAAAAAAATAAAACGATAAATAAAAAAATATAATTATTTAAAGAGCTTCATTGTAATCGTTAATATTAATTGATCTTTTATTTTCATAAATGGCCTTAAAGTATTGAAGTTAAATCATTTTTTAAATAAGACGATAGCGATGGTCTTCTACTAAAGGGTTGGAACGGATCGAATTTAGCGGATTACTCTATGATCAAACGAAATCTATTTCCTAGATTTCGTTAAATGTCAATCTTTGATCACATAATTTCCAAATTCATTTCAAAAATTGTCTTGCAAACATGGATTCACAAAAACTTTCAATCAAACACCAGATTTTAGATTTTGCAAAAGGTGAATGATCCATTTTTAAAAGTGGGATCAGCTAATTCACACATTTTTTTCAACTAAAAAAAAAATCTCTGTTTTTTTTTTTGTGACAAAACAATCGAAAAGTTGGTGTAAAGGATAGATGTTTCTAGTTTTCGTTTCTCTTGCCAAATGATAGGGTTAATTGATTTTTAACATTTGGATTTCTTCTTTGGTTGGACACATTGTGCAAACTTTCACCTTTTTAAAAGTTATTCAACAAATTTTTTTTGATGAGCCTTTTCATACCAGCAGCAACACTAGTGTTGTATCATCAAAGAACATGTTGCTTTGATTTTGATACACGTTTATTTTCACAAAATCTTGGAATATAATAGATCACAAAGAACAAATAAATATCTGACTTACACAATTATGTAATATAATTACATGTGGGTTGGATGTGATGAACTTCAATAGGATATGAACTATTCCTTACAAAATCACTATAAATACACCTCTTTCTATTCCATACAAATATAATTATAATAATAATTTAATACATCACAATGGATACAGATAATACGTTAATAGAAACTACAACTACTTCTGAAATAAAAGTTACAACAGATGGTGGTGATTATCAAACCGCTGCTCACAGTACAGGTTATCAAACCGCTGCTCATAGCACTGGTGCTCAAACTAAACCAAAGGAAACCACACCCAATAGTGATTACCAAACAGCTGCTCATAGTACTGGTTACCAAACAGCAGCCCACAGTACTGGTTATCAAACAGCAGCCCATAGCACTGGTGTTCAAACTAAACCAAAGGAAACCATAACCAATAGTGATTATCAATCATGTGGCCACAGTACTGGTTATCAAACCGCAGCCCACAGTACTGGTGCTCAAACTAAACCAAAGGAAACCACACCCAATAGTGATTACCAATCATGTGGCCACAGTACTGGCTATCAAACAGCAGCCCATAGTACAGGTTATCAAACAGCAGCCCACAGCACTGGTGTTCAAACTGAACCAAAGGAAACCACACCCAATAGTGATTACCAATCATGTGGCCACAGTACTGGTTATCAAACAGCAGCCCATAGTACAGGTTATCAAACAGCAGCCCACAGCACTGGTGTTTCAAACTAAACCAAAGGAAACCTCACCCAATAGTGATTATCAATCATGTGGCCACAGTACAGGTTATCAAACAGCAGCCCATAGTACTGGTTATCAAACAGCAGCCCACAGCACTGGTGTTCAAACTAAACCAAAGGAAACCACACCCAATAGTGATTATCAATCATGTGGCCACAGTACTGGTTATCAAACAGCAGCCCACAGCACTGGTGTCCAAACTGAGCCAAAGGAAACCACACCCAATAGTGATTACCAATCATGTGGCCACAGTACTGGTTATCAAACAGCAGCCCATAGTACAGGTTATCAAACAGCAGCCCACAGTACAGGTTATCAAACAGCAGCCCACAGCACTGGTGTTCAAACTGAACCAAAGGAAACCACACCCAATAGTGATTACCAATCATGTGGCCACAGTACTGGTTATCAAACAGCAGCCCACAGCACTGGTGTCCAAACTAAACCAAAGGAAACCACACCCAATAGTGATTACCAATCATGTGGCCACAGTACTGGTTATCAAACCGCAGCCCACAGTACTGGTTATCAAACAGCAGCCCATAGCACTGGTTATCAAACAGCAGCCCATAGCACTGGTGTCCAAACTGAGCCAAAGGAAACCACACCCAATAGTGATTACCAATCATGTGGCCACAGTACTGGTTATCAAACCGCAGCCCACAGTACTGGTTATCAAACAGCAGCCCACAGCACTGGTGTTCAAACTAAACCAAAGGAAACCATAACCAATAGTGATTATCAATCATGTGGCCACAGTACAGGTTATCAAACCGCAGCCCACAGCACTGGTGTTCAAACTGAACCAAAGGAAACCACACCCAATAGTGATTACCAATCATGTGGCCACAGTACTGGTTATCAAACAGCAGCCCACAGTACTGGTTATCAAACAGCAGCCCACAGCACAGGTTATCAAACAGCAGCCCATAGCACTGGTGTCCAAACTGAGCCAAAGGAAACCATAACCAATAGTGATTATCAATCATGTGGCCACAGTACTGGTTATCAAACCGCAGCCCATAGCACTGGTGTTCAAACTGAACCAAAGGAAACCATAACCAATGGTGATTACCAAACAGCTGCTCATAGTACTGGTTATCAAACCGCTGCTCATAGCACTGGTGCTCAAATTGATAATGAAACTTCAACCAAAAGTGTTTAATTCCTATTTTGAAGGAAAATTTATTAAAATAAAATTAATATTTTGTATAACTTTAACAAACAAAAACAATATTAATTGTTTTTGGGATGAATTTTTGCTAGAGATATCTCTTTTCTAAAATTGATTTATAATAATAAAATAGTTAATAGCTATGAGAAAACAAATATTAGATAAATGTTTACTATTATATGAAATGACTTTTTTTTGTTCTTCAAAAAATTCCTTCCTTATTAATTTCAGTTGTTTGGTAAAACAATAGTACAGTATATAAAGATACATATAAATATTATTGATAATTTTGTTTATTAGAATTGAAATAGGTTAAGTTTAAAACAATTTAGTTTAAATTATGATGAATTTGCAAACCTCGATAACAAACTCTTGGTGCTGGATTGAGATATTTTGATTTATGATCTAATTTCGTAATTTTTATTACCAACCATTCTTTGTTCTATTGTAAACAATGACATTTGATAAACTTTCTTGTTTCAAATAATTGTCCCTAATTTTAATTTAATTTTAATTTGTCGGATTAAAAACAGATTGGCACCTTACTTTTTTTTTGATTTCCCAGATGATATACTCAAAATTATATCATCCATTGAATTGGAGAAGAAAATAAATAATTTTTCTCGAAATTTATTATGTATTATTACTTTTATTAGATCGGCTTAAATTCAAAAGTTAGTTGTAATTGAGATGAATTAAGTTAAAATTATTTAATGTGGTGATAATGATGATAAAGATGGTAAAGAAGAACTCCATAAATAGAAAGTTCAATATATTACTAAGGTCATAGTAGAATGACATATAAACCAGAGATAGCCTATCTTGAAATGAGATATTACTACCTGATACCACTAATTTAGGATCTGCAACAATGTAGTGTCGACCATGTCTACTAATACACTCATACCAACCATCAGTGTATAACTTTGTTAAATTCTTTGGAATATCACCAACATCGACAATCTTTGTACCATTCCGCAGAAACGTTATGAAAGTTGCTTCGTATGTCAGATGATCGTTCTCTTTATCGACAACAGAGATTGCATAGCCTGCTGGTAGAGAGTATTTCTCTTTTGGTCCATGCGGATGAAATATGAAGTGAGGCAGTAATATTGCATCTTTCCTCCCTTTGAAATCACCATTGAAAGGTCCTTTCAAGATGATGAGTTTCTCCTCTATTCGGAGAGTTTGTAAATCTGCATAGTTGATTGCAAATCTAGGTACTCGTCTAACAATTACCTCTGATGCAACGATCTCACCTATATCCAATAGAGACATCTTCAAAATAATATAGATATTTAACAATATCTGTTTTGAAAGCAATAAGATATCTGATTAATAAATAAAGTGGGGTCTATATAATATTAATAATTAATAAGTAATTTATTTACCAAAATTGTTAAAGCTTTTTTTAACTTAAAGTACTCAATCCTAACTATGAAATGAGCATCCATAAAAATTTTTGTTCTAAGTATGTAAGCCGCAATAATAATGTGATAAACAATAATATAATAATAAAATGAATCAAAATTTTCAAAATTAAATATTTAAAGTGCAAAAAAAAGTTGGACCCGCTATGTCCGATGAGTCATCGGAGTTCAGAAAAATCAATTTAATTTAATTTATCAAAATATAATTACCACACTTAAATTTGATCGTATAATATAACAATTTCTATTAGATATGTTTTAAATTCAAAAGTTGAAATTGATACTTATAATAATCAAAATTAAAAATTTAATTTTTAAACAAAAAAAGTTGGTACTATAATCATCCTGGGGTTCAGAAAAATAAATTTATCCACTAATATAATATTTCTTTTTTTGATGTATAAGATCCTTTTTATTTTTATTGTTGAGATATACCAAAAAGTGTAATACAAACAAACATTGATCTGAAGATCCTAAAAAAGTAACATTTGTTATCTAATTAAAAGACAAAACTGAAACTATAATTTTTAAAAAAAAACAAGAATTTGACCTAAATTTATTTGAAAAACTTCTAAAAAAGAATACATAGGCTCGGCTAATATTAGGTGCATCACTTGTTTTGTAGCTGCAGTCTTCAAATATTTTCAAAATAAATAATATTTTATTTTACTTATTTTATACAAGTTGCTTATACTAATTTTAATTGATGGAACAAAACAAAGGACATCAACTTGTAAATTTATCATTTTTATTACTCGGATATATTGTTGATAGATTACCAAACATTGACAAGATATGTTTTAGTTTAGCATGTAAAAGATGGTTTGAAAATAAAGATCGTTATCTAATATTCAATGTAGATGATATTGGCATGATCGACAATGAACAAAACAAAACATCTAGCTTTCATTTGAAATCATATCAATCAATCTATTTGAAATCACACCAATTGAGAACCAATTTAACATTATTTATTGGCAAAAAAAGCTGTTGTCCTCCAACTAATCTATATTTAGATAATGGTAAGTTATTAATAATCATCATTATATGTTTCATAAATTAACCTATAATTACTACTATAGATATTCTGAATACACTTGATTCACTTCAACCTAATATAACATCTGTTATGATCGATGAGACGATCAATCACAATATGCAAACAGTAGAGATCGACTCTTATCATCTTTGTAGACTTCTTTCCACTTCCAACGTTACAGAGTTGCGTTGTTGTCGAACGCTGACAGGTAAATTACCTGATAGTATCAGAGTATTATCTTTCTACAATGACTTTAATGAAGTTGTAAAGAGAAATAGTCTACCTAGTGGCCTTAAAGTATTGGAGTTGAAAGATCCCTTTAATAAACCGATAGATGTTGGTATTCTACCTGAAGGTTTGGAGCGGGTTGAATTTGGTCGTCGCTACTCTCACCCGATTGGACCTGGCATTCTTCCTAGGACTTTGAAACACTTGGATTTGGGAGGAAACCTATCCACACTTTTAGCGGGATCACTTCCACCGAATCTTGAAGTGCTGATATTCTCCTCTGCCAAGGACCAACCAATTATTTCACTACCAACATCGCTACACACCATCTATTGGCTACCTGCCACATTTATTCCATCGTTAGAGAAACTCCCAAATCTAACCACTCTCACAACCTATGAAGGCACTGGGCTATCAGGGGTTATTAATGATCTTCCACCGACACTGACAGACCTAACAGTCGGGCGAAAGTACCAATTGCTCTCAGCAATGCCACCATCGATCCGATATTTAAATCTAGATCGTTGTACGTATGATTATGGCCAGTTGTTCCCAGAGACAACACAGTATCGATTGCAACAGTTGGTGGCACAAAGATTCCCAGCACAAAAGCCGAACCTACAGATATTGAATCTCATGTTGATGCGTGGAGTTAATAATCCAACCTTTACAGAAGGAGCGGAATCTTTGGATATGACCTTTAATCTTCATAATACACTTAGTGCCAAAGCGGTACCGAAATCAATCAAACTTTTGAAAATGTATAGTATGGATAGCCTCGACAGTATTCCAACATCAATTGAAACACTGGAGATTTTCAATCGTTGGAAATCCTTATCAAAACCATTACCACCAGCACTTCGAAACATTGTATATATAGAAGTATCAGGACTTAAACGTTGTGACATCAGAAGATTGGATGATAATTGTTTCTTAGTAATAGGTCAACCACCAATGATGAAATCCTCTAAAAAATTTCCATATGGCTATACAATGGCAATGTTTAATCAATCAGAATTCAAAGATAGATTTTATCAAACCAACAAATGAAAATTATAATTAAAATATTATTATCAACTGCAGTTCTTGGTAGAAAAATATAACATAGTTTGTGTATATACTAAAAAATCAATCAACCATATTCCTTTGTTTCTTCTTATTCTTCTTCTTCATCTTCTTAATTGTCTACCAACAGACAAATTATCTCATAGTACATCACCAACAAACCTTTTTTTTTTTTTTTTTTTTTTAACTCAATATCTCCTACTCTCAACCTCAAAGAGAAAGTAGACTGAATGAACATATAATACATATAAGTATATGACTATAGAAAATAACATAAAAATTGAAAAAAATTCAGATAAATAAAAGTTTTTTTGCAGAATGATAATGTTCATTCGTTTATTTTTATTATAACAATTAAAACAAACAAAAATAACCACCACCAATCTTTATTAATATATTCTTTCATAATAGTAGTAAAGTAGTAATACAATTTAATTTAAGTAATAGTTATCATCTTTTTTTTTTATAATAACATTAAATATTTATTAATATCTAAAGATACATACATAGTTTAGTTTGATTGAGAAATAGTAATAATAGAATATATATATTTAGATTTCAATGTTTGTTTTACAGATTCATAGTGTAACTTTTTATAATCCATCTACACAAACTAAACCTAGAAATGTATTCTTAGATATATCAAATGAAAATCAACCTTCAAGGTAAATCTAAATTAACGGTTTAATCATTAGCATTAGCATTTCACTAATTATTAGATATATATATATTTATATTTATTATTTATGTTTATGATAGACGATATTTTGTAGGTAGATTCTCAACATCTAGTACAAAATCATGTGAATCTATTGTTCATGTTTCGAAAACACCTATTACAGTTCACCTTTCTTATGGTCCGTTGATGTATCATGATTTAGGTCCACAAACCATATACGATTTCCTCTATGAAGATATAAGTCATTTAGGTCAAAAAAAGGTACCTATAATCATATTACATATATATATCTAGATCATTATATTCATATTCAGATTATTATTATTATAGTTTTTAACATTTGGAAGAAGAGGACCATTATATCATGTTTGTTATTCAATATCACCTGTAAAATATTCATATGGATTTGCATTGTCGAAAATAAGTTGTCTTAAACAAATCACCTCTGGGAAAGATGAGTTATATGCAGAAGTAGAATTCAACAATTCACCTCAGAGTATTGGCTCTGGTCCAACAAATAAATATCATTTAGGTTCATTCGTATCACATGATATGACTGAAATTCATTCTGTACATAATCGTAAGTTTAAACTACATATAACCAACCACTGGTTGTATCAATAAATAACTAACATTTGTTTCTCTATCATATCATTCAAAATGTTTAGTAACATTTTCAACTTTGGTTAATTTCGTTATTACATTCTATGTAAAGACCAAGTTTGCAGAATATATTCTTGGAACTTTAAAATTTACACCTGCACATGAACTGAATGCGCCATCCGATCAATCGGTATTAAAGCGAAAGCATTCGATCGCTTCCAATAGTAATACTACTGGAAGTAGTAATAGTTTGTTTCACAGAGGAGGATCGTTGTCGTCGTCTTCAACACAACATAATCAACCACCACCATCTCCACAACTGAACCAATCTAATCCACCTTCTATGTCGGTGGGACAACATACACCATCTGATAGTGGTGTGATCGATGATCGTATGACTGGTCTAACGGCAATCTTGAATCAACCATCGGAAATACCGAAACAAGACTACAGTGGTAGACCTGTCAGTCAAAACGAAGAGGTAATTCCATCGCCTCTGAATCAAGCTGCCTCTGATAAGAAGATCAACAGAGAGAAGGGTGGATTGTTATTCTATAGAGCGACTTCCGATGATAAAGTACATACTTTTCTACAGGATGATTATTCAACGACCAAACGAATTACTTTGTCTTCACCAGAGGGTAACGGTTCATATGAATTTGTATTCTCTTTGAACAAGACCGATTTTATGTTGACAAGTCAAGCGCATAACCAGTCGGATGGCGATGATATCGATTCGAGCAACAACCGGACAGAGAAACATCCGACAATGAGACACAGCGCACCAAGTCTATCAGAGAAACGAAGTGAACATCTGCACCATCATCATCATCACACTGGTCTGAACACCAGTGAAGAAGCACCAACAGAGATATCGAATAACACCTTCAGTTTGATAACAGAGAACAACGAAGTAGAGGTACTTATCGATGGACTTCAAACGTTTAGAAGGTATTTCGAATCAATGATGAACGCAGAGCATAGTATCAGTATATTGGCATGGGAGTTATCATTCTCATTCGGTCTTGTTCTCACCAAGAATGTAAAGTCTGGCTTGCCATCACTCGCAAGCGATCAAGCCAAGTGGATTACCCTCGAGGATGTACTACTCTCAAAAGCAATGAGTGGTGTCAATGTCAGAATCATTGTATGGAGACACGAGTTACTTTCGCATCTCACTCGTTTCCTCTATCTAGGAGAGGTCACCATTGAGCGTGAAGTAGCAAAGCTCGAAAGACGTTGCAAAAAGCTGAGTATTCCTTGCAAGGTCTTCAATACTACAACCGATGACATGTCGTCCATCGATCAATCGTACATCGATGAGTATTCAACCAATGTAGATGGTGGTATAACCATTGTGATCGCTGGTAATCCTCAGGGTATTCTATCTTCGCATCACGAGAAGCTGGTGTTGGTAGATGCCGAATGTCCAGACCATTGTATTGCTTTTACAGGAGGATTCGACATTGCACGTGGTCGATACGATCAGCCACTGCATCAAATTCCTCGTCCCTATCTCTTGAATACACTGTTGAACTCGCCAACCACCGAGCAACAAAAGCGACAGCAATCTACCAAACCACCTCGTTACAGCGGTAGCAATATCCAACCGGTTCTTCGACAGATTCGTTTCCTCTGGCACGATATTCAAATATCACTGCGTGGTGACAGCGCTCAATATCTAAAGCTACATTTCAATCAGCGATGGATACATGCATTTACACAAAACGTTCTACTGACACGTTCAAAGACCATACCAAAGGATATCATTCTAAAACCCTGTACAAAAGTTCACCAACCACTATCGAGCATCGTTGTCGAACACAACGATCCAGCACCTCTCTACAAGCAATGCGCAGTCAGACTCTTTAGAACTTGGAAAGGTGTTTTAGATAATAACTTGTTGTTTGACGACTATGGAAAGATGATCCTAAACGCAAAGGAGTTCCTCTATGTCGAACATCAATATCCATTCCAAAACTTTACACTGACCTACTATATGTGTGAAGCATTAAAGGCCAATCCTAAACTACATATATTAATTGTCACCCCTGTTAAAACCGATCTACCAAGTGGTTTAGTAGGTGAACTATTTGATTGGTCACAAGATCATAGTAAGTTGATTCGTTATTCCTAGAGATCTTTGTTCTAAAACTAACTTTATTTCATAACCTTTAGTTATAAGACATTTACATTTAATTTATAGTGTTGCACCAGATAGAGTTGGAATTTATGGTTTAGTAAGACAAGATGAAGAATCAAATAGATGTAATTATACAATTTTATTGAAAAACAAATAATTTTTTAAAATAACTAATCTCATTTTGATTATTTAGTAAAACCAATATACATTCATTCGAAATTAATTTTGGTAGATGATCAACTGTTTAATGTTGGAAGTACTAATATGGATAACATGAGTTTCTTCCACTCTAGTGAATTGACAGCATCTATTGTCGATCCGAAACTGGCAAGAGAAACAAGAGTTAGACTAGCAAAGGAACACCTTGGAGATCACTATACAAATGCAATTGAAAACAGCTTTTTAGAAATGTTTAACGCTTTCAAAAAGATATCAGATTTGAACTACGAGAGATTGCGATACAAACGTTTGATGATAGGTAGACCAGTTGCATTGGCCCCAATCGACAAATACGAGTTTTTGCTAAAGAAGATTTATTATCCAAACAAGTTTGCCAAGATACTTTATAAGCTTGGTGTGGATACTGATGAGTGGATTGGAAAAGTTGTGAACCCTTCAATATGGTTACAAAAGTTTAAACCTAAACTCTAATAAATGGAACATAGCATTTATCAAAATAAAAAATAATTATGATTTTATTTGAATGTTTGGAGGGATCGGCTCTTAAGAAGCTGTGTCTAGTGTTGAATCGAAAGGATAGAATATTGATGATTTGTAGTTAGCAACTGATGATGAATTGTATAGATAGTTTAGAATGACAGATATGCATCATGTTTTATCTATTAAAATATTCTTGAGAGACAAGTACTAATAGAAATTTTTGTCAATCACCGACTTATATCGGGATCTTAATAGCTCAGTTGGAAGAGAAATCGATTTCGAATCGAATCGAATTTTTTTTTTATAAAGTATTCTCCTATCTCGAAGAATACTCAAATGGATTTTATTGTTATTCGTTTATTGGCTAGTGAGGTGGGATGGCGTTGGGAAGTTCCAGGTTTGGTGGTTCCAGATGAGTTTGAAGTCGTGAAGATTCTTCAGCCATATGGATTGATATGCTTGAATGTTGTTTCGACTGAAGTCTAGTGTTGATTTTCTGATTAGTTTGTGGTATTCTAGTTTAGCTTGTCTGTTAATGTTGTTGGTTGTTGAGTAATAGAAGTGGTGGGTGTGATGGGAGAGTTGTGTGCAAGTTTTCAGTGGAGAATCCATACCTGGTGGAGTACGATAGCTATTGAATTTTATTTGTATCTTTGCTAATTAAAAAAAGGCAACAACACACTTTCAATCTCATCAGTTGAAAGAAATAAGATATTGATTGAAGCTTAGTTAAAGAGTGTTTCAAAAGATTCATACAGAGACAAGAGTATGTGCTACCCGGTGACAGTTATATCAAAAGTGTTACTCACATATTTTATATTTAAAATCAGAAATACTCAACATGATTACCTACAGATTAGAATCTATTAATGTGTATATTGTTATAACAAGCAAAGACTGACAAGTCTAAAGTTGTCGAGCATTCAGGTAACTTTCTTAGTAAACGTTAAAGGTAAAAAAGATAAAAATATCGCGACAGACTAAGAGAAGAGATTTACAACAGGTAATCTATCGAGATTACCAAACATCGTAAACGGTCACCAATTTTGTCTATTTATTTACTCACTATTATTATATCATTAACCCAACTGGTTCTGTCAGAGCGCAACTTTAATTACAAAACAAAACTGGCTCCCGACAACTTTCGCCTGCTCATTAATTTTAAAAAAAAAAGTAAAACTTTTTACTTAAAAATTAAAAATTTGTGGTGTTTTTGTTAGATTTATGGTTACAAGCAAGAGCCAGTTTTGTTTTGTTTTGTAAATTCATTTTTCCACGAAAATAACACGGGGAAAAAAAAAATCCAAAAAAAAAAAAAAATTTTTGTAAACTTCAATCAGTAACTTTACTTTGGTTTAAAATGATCATTCATTTTAGTTTTTAAAGTTAGATAAGAGATAAAATAGAGTAATGTCAGACAGTAAAGTTGAAAAGAGTTTACCAAAGATTATTCTTTTCAAAATATTAGATTATTTTGTTGCAGAATGTGTTTCGCTGAGAGATGAATTTAGATTAACCAGTGATACAAATCCAGATGTTGTATGCCAAAACTATCAAGATTGGATCATAGAGCTGGCCACAGTATCAAAGTTATTCCATACTGGTGTTCGCACATCGATTGCCAATAGAACAGCAATAAGATTGACTATGGATGACCATGATTATATTGACAAAGACGACGAGGAAAACAAGTTGGAGTTCTATGGAACTGCAACCCATCTCGTTGCAGAGGAGAGGTATTTCGAACCATTCGAATCAGTCAGTTCTTTCAAATCGATATTTGGTTCCGTCAAGAAACTATCATTAATCTATGAAGAGGAGTTCTTTTTAGAAAAAGTAGAAGGAGTTGAGAAGGAAGTTGTCAAAGATAGTGATGATGATGGTGGAGTTAAGAGCGACAACATATTATCATTGGAGAGTCTAGAAGTTAGAGATATGTATTTAAATTACACTAAAAACTATGAGACGTTTGCTAGTTTGGATACATCAGCACTTAAACACCTGTCTCTAGATTTCGTTTCAGATGGTGATGATGATCTAATGGATGATATGTTTTCATTCATCTTTGCAGAGCCATTCCTTGGTTTGAAGAGTTTGGAACTCACTGGCTTTGACGTTGACCAAGCTCAGCAGCCTTTTGCAAGCAAATTCTTCAAGCTATTGTCGAAACTCACAGAATTGAAGAGATTCAAGTTGAAACACAATATAAGAAATAAATTCAACGGTGTCTTTGTTAAGGAGTTGGTCAAGTTCTTGGGTCAACAAAATACTTTGGAATGCTTTGATTACAGTGATTGTTATATTCCAAGAGGACACGAATTTTTAGAGACTCTATTCAAGAAAGGATCGTCAATCAACGAATTGGATATAATCGCCAACTACAATCTACCATTGCTAGACAGAGTTTTGGATAGATTGCATCTTTACAATATCGATCATCAACATCGAAATAGCGATGAACCACTGGAGTCGATGGTTCTTCCGAAATCAGTCAAATCATTGCAAGTCGATTTCGAAGTAACATTCCAACAGCTTGCCGAGCTTTTGAAGGATAATGATATCACGGAAATACTCAGGGTGGTAGTTCACGTTCACCCAACCCTAAACAAGATTAAATCGCTGGACCAATTTGTAAAAGACCTCCAAAGCAACAAGACATTGCAGAGAATCTATATCCGATTGAGATCTACTTTTGAAGGTGATGACGAATACCACGACTATGGCGATCCAGAGGATGCCTACAAAACTAATCTCATTGAAAAGCTTGATGGTGTTATCCAAAAACATCCGACCATCAGGAATAAAAACAACTGGGTGAATCATATCGATATTAAGACAATCAATGATTATTATCATTAGATATCTATCTATCTGAAGATTGTAGAATCAAAAAGAAGATATAAACGTGTTGTTACTGTTACTGTTTTATTCCCCCAAGACTTAGAAATAATAAAAATTTTAAATCTTTAATCTTAAAATACTTTTCTTAATTCTTTGATCTTCATTCAAATTGCAAAACACAGAATTTTATAGGTGGGAAAAATGTTGTAAAAAAAATAACTTAATAAAATGCAATGGTTGGTTCACCCAAATTCTGCTAAATATAGATAAAGTATCTAAAATAAAGATATTTCAAAGTTTACACTTTTTTAAATTTAAAAATTACAGCTTCTTTCACTTTATATTTTAAGTTTGTTTGGAAAAGAATGTTGTATAAAAACTTTGGTCGAGATATTGTAACTTTAATTATATCAACTTACAAAAATAATAAGAGAATATAATAATAATAAATATAAACAAATAAAATGAATATAATAGAAATTCCTAGCGAATATTTTTAAGAATATCAAACTAAAATTCAAATAATAAATATATCCAATAGAAATGCCTTTATTTTGATAGAAAACAGTGATCTGGATGGAAATCAATTAAATGACCACCAAAAATCTAATGAACGTTTCGGTGTCGAGTTTCCCGTTTTTTGATAGGTTTGTAGGTGTTTAGTATTTTGCATTTGAAGAGGTGGTGCTCGGTGATCTTGATCGGAATTCCGAATGGTTAGCATCCAAAGGTGAGGACTATCAGGAATCGAAATTTTTTTTTTTTTTTTTTTTAATACTCAAATGGATTTTATTGCTTGGTTTGAGATGGTTTGGATTGGTTAATTGCTTAGTATTGAGAATGTTGAGATTGTTTGGATTGGCTTTGCTAATTGTTTAGCCTGAGATGGTTTGAGATTGTTTGGCTTGGCTTGGCTATTGCTTAGCTTGAGATGGTTTGAGATGGTTTGGCTTGGCTGATTGCTTAGCCTGAGATGGTTATTTTGGATTTGATTGGTCAGACACAACACAGGTTTTGATTTTGGCTCCATCGGTTCGGCGTTCTCGGTAAATGGGAAACTTTTCCTTGGTGTTCTTGTAGATTAGTAGGTGAATCTAAGAACTTTTGGTCATCCAATTGTTAATCTTGTTCTAACGGAGTGCAAGCGCGAGCATGAAGGGACACCACCCTAATGGCTAGCGTCTAAGCAGGTTCACAACTCCAGCCAATAAGAAGCATCGCTGCCAGTTGGCCAAGTTGGGTACACGTACACGTATCTGAACATAACAGACCTGGGAAGAAAAAGAGGTAGAAAAGGGTAGAAAAAAGAAAAAAGATTTAAATTCGAAAATAAAAGAAAGGAGTGGGTTTGGGTTACTAAAAACCACTTTACTTAAAAAAAAGTTATTTAAAAATTAGTAAGAGAGAAAAGAGTACAAAGTATTTAAATAACCACCTTTAAAGGAGTCCTAATACAAATAAATTAGATAGAATTTTGAAGCCTCGAATCAAAATTTTGTTTTTTATCTTGTTATATCGGGATCTTCATAGCTCAGTTGGAAGAGCAATCGACTTCGAATCGATAGGTCATGGGTTCGAACCCCATTGAGGATATTTTAAAATTAAACTATACTGCATGCGGTAAGGTTTTTGTTGCTATTTGTTCCTGATTTTGTACAACACCAATACTCATAAAGATTCAATTAACTTTATCTTAATTGTTAAAGTATTCTAAATTTAAAATCATATAAAGATAAAGGTTATTATCTGTATACATTAAAGATCAAATAAAGTTAATACATAAATCTTTACAATATTTATTAACTTTGTATTTAATGTATTTAAATACACCGTGTATACATATTATTTGAATATTATTCGTATTTTAAAATATAAATGGATATGTTAGCATATTCAAAATAAACATTTTATTTCTTTTTTTGGACAATATATTAGATTAATGTATTTTCCAATTTTATTCCTATTGTGGATAGATGCTGTGACACAATGAAATATACACCATTATCTAGATATATTCATCCAGATATAGATAAATTGAGAACTGCAATAGAATAGAAAAAATATGAAATCAGATTCTGAAAATCACAAAACAAGTAAAATTGATCTACTACTAAAAAATATATATCATTAAAATTTGTAAGAAACACAGTAAATTACATCCAAAGCCAAAAAGTGTGGTGAATTGAAGATTTAAAAAAAATTCTAATCTTGTTAATTATTAATTTCCTGATTAGAAAGAATGGTTGCAAACAATAGATTAATATTATTCTATATTAATTTTCAACACGCTGAATACTATATTACTATAAGGAGTTTAAATATTATATCTCATACAAGTTTAACAAATATTGATTCGATTTATTAATCTTATACTTATTTAGGTTTAAATATTTAAAATTAATATCAATGGATATGTCATCTATGAGAATGTATTAAAGTTAAATAAAGAATAAAGAATGAATTAGAATATTTATATATCTTTTGTACTTTACAACATTTAAGTTTAAAAATGAGTATATAATAAGTTATAAAATTTATCTTTATTTAAAGTTGAAATAAAGTAAAATTTGAATAACTTTTTAAGTATTGATAGTATCAAACGTACACTGCTACATATCGGTGTTCCGCTCCTATTTGTTGATCTGATCATGTCAATGCTTACTAACTCTCCCTCTTCTGTTCTAGTGAACGGCTTCAAAACCAAGACCTTTTTCATCAATAGGGGCACCAAGCAAGGTGATCCCCTTTCTCCTACTCTCTTTGTTCTCACGATTGAGTGTTTGGCGAGAGCGATCATCGCCGATTCGCATATTGTTGGTCTACCTTGTTCTGCTCCAATCAAACTTGAGCAAAAGAGATTTGTATTGAAGTATCTACCGCCCGAAAGAATCAAGTTGCTCATGTTCGCTGATGACACTGGTGCTTTCACCAGGAACTTGGATGAACTGCATAGAGTCATCCACTGGTTTAACCTGTTCAAGCTATCCACCACTGCGGACGTTAACTCTAGTAAATCGGTTATCATTCCGCTCGGTAACACTTCCATTGCCAACCTTCCGTTCCCTGTCTCCACCGTCCCTGAAAGATACTTAGGTGTCAATTTCAACCCGGATGGTCACTGCTCCAAACTGGCAAGTATACTCAATCTTATTAAAGCTAACCTAGCTCTGTATAAGTATAAAGTTTATACTCTAAGAGCTAAATCAACTATCATTAAATCTTATGTGCTTCCCATGCTCTTCTATCACTTCTATCTTGAATCGCCCACACCTGATCAAATCAAGCGGGTCAACAGACTTATCGCTTGGTTCTTCACCAGTGCACCTGATGCCAAAGCAAAGTTCACCGCTTTGATGTCTTTGGACAGGTCTTGCTTTCACTGGAATGATGGTGGTCTGAATTTATGGGATCTATCTCTTCGCTCTGCTGCTTATAAGATATGGGTCTTTAATAGATTCCTGTTGTTAAGTAGAAGCAACTCATTTGGTTACTTCAAAACTTGGTCATCCATGCTTGATTGTGCCAAAAAATTTACTAATCCAACTTCTTCACCTTCCTTCAAACTGTTCCATTCTTCTTGGATGGATTTTAGAAACAATCATTGATTGGTAAACTCTGAGTTTTTTAATTTATTTAAAATTTCTTAAAATATTAATTTACTTTAGCAAACACATGATTCGTCAACAATGATCCGAATAACTGTTTTTAAATAATAAATAAAACTAATTATCTTCTAAAGAAGATCGTTTTGATTAGTGTCACATGTGAATAGTTAATATCGACCTTCATTGTTAACATATTGTAATGAATGGTTGACTTGGTAATTTTATTTAATTCACAAAATTAACGACCCATGGCATGTTTACTCCTATGGAAGTTAACATATCCTTTTTTACTGTGTGATTTCTTAACAGCCAATGGTTCATTTGCTGGTTTCTTTTCTTCTTGCTCTTGAGTTTCCAAACTCTCACCGTCTTGGACGGGTACACCCAAAAATACATCCAAAGAATCATCATATTCATCGTCATACATGGCCTCGTAGTTTGAATAGTTTGTAATATATGATTTAATGTCACGAGTCATTGGTACATTATCGTTTGATCTGTAAATAATAAAAAGAATTAGAATATAATTTCAACTTGTGTAACTAATCTGTATCATACTTTTTACCGATTGACATCTCGTAAACTTCAACACTTAAATTATTTACATCAATATTCTTTGATGAAGTTGTATTAGTTGTTGTTGTCGTTGTTGATGTTGTATTTGTTTGTTCAGTAGGAATTGTTTGGTTGTTGTTGTTGTTGTTGATGGTTGGTGATGTTGAAACTGCAAAAGATTCTAATCTATTCACTGACTTCAAATGTGATGGTAAACTATCTTCAAACAATGCATTGACTGTATTCTCTACATTGTCATTATAGAATTTCAAACATTTAAAAATAAACTTATCACCCCAGTCCTGGAAGATGTCTTTTACACTCTGAATGTTTTGGAGATCGGTTGGATTTGGTTTCTTTTCTTCGGTGACTGCCACTGGCGATGATTGTTTTGATGATGTGATTGTATTTTTAGTTGGTTTATCTTTTGGTAGTTCTCTACCCATCATATTTAAATAATAAGTTAATTTAACTTTATCACTAAAAAAAAACATATAAATAATAACAATTAATAAGATGAAATATAATAATGTTAATTTTTGATACTACTTACATTTCACTATCAAAACAAGACAACTCTATTAGCTTGGTAGAGAATGAAGATTTCTCTTCATAGTCAAATAGAATGGAAGTGGGATTGACAACTTCGAAATAGGTATTGAATTGTTTGGATCTTCTTGATTTCTCGAAATCCTTGTACTCTACCAAGCGACCGAGCATTGACAGCAAACGTTTCGACACCTCGTGGTAAGACAATCTTGGCTCACCCTTGGCTTTCTTTCCACAGACAACACACGGCTCACTCAGTAGATTCACCAGTTGATCCAGTTTGTTGGTGTGACAATGCTTAATAATGCTGTGAACGATACCAAGTATATGTGTCTTGATTGGTTTGAGCTGTGACTTTAATTGAACACCAACGGATTGCTCGAAAATTGGAATTAACTTTTCATAGAAATACACGATAATCGGAATGAATGTATCATTATCCTCGAATGCATGACAACCATAGCTGAATACCTTTAAGAAACAATCGACACTATAAACTATATCCAGCAGGAATGAACATGCATCTTCAATCTTTAATAAATCGATATTGTTCTAAAAGTAAGAAAAGTAAAGTAATATTTATTTGTAAGTAGTCCGACGTCGGTCTTTACCGATCTATTGTATTCACTTACGATTTGAATAATACTTTGATTAAGTTCAAGTAGAGAACGAGATAGTAAAGCAACGACAGCAGGTAAATCATCATAAAACTTTGGCTGATTATCAAACAAACGATTGACAATCGATTTGACTTCTGGTAGACAACGATTTGCAAAAACAGAGCATATATCGATGATTTTTGATATGTCAAATAGTGAACGTTCGTAGATTGCCTTGGCATAGTAGTCACGATCTATATATTGTCCATTCTTTTCCTGTAGCAATGACATTCGCGAGAGGACAGCGAGTACACGTTGTTCGAGTACACGCTTCGACTGCTGGAACTCGGCGGTACCCAACGCCTTGGCAGTGTTGGTGCCACACAGATTGATTGGTTGATGCGGACGACTCACAAACCGAAGAAAACTCTCGAGAAACTCGACCACCGTTTGATTCAGTAGTATGTGACTCCAGAATACATTGTAACGCATCTTTAACAGTTTAGAGAGGTCAGAGTTTAGCATCAGTAGTAGCTCGTCGGCTGCTGCGTTGTTGTCATTCGAGTTATCGGTGGGCAGGAACGCCAGCAACTGCAATGGTTCTTGTTGAAGCCAGCATTGATCGATATCCTTTACTTTTTCAAAATGTCCCAAGCTATTCTGAATGAGCGACTCTGCACTTTCTACACCAAGATTTGCTTTCTGCTTCTTTAGTTCAAACTGACTAAACTCTTCTTCTTTATCCAATTTCAAAATCTGTTGTTTCTCACTTTTGTTTGTATGTTGTTTTTGTAGTTGTTTTTGTTGCAACTCTTCTTGTTTCGCTTGTTTTGCTTCATATTCTCGCTTACTATATTTTGGTTTGTTATTTCTTGAAGGAGTACTCATAACTTTATCTGTCTTGTTATGTTATTGATAGTAGTAGTAGTAGTACTTTTATTTTCTATCTCTTTTTATTTTACTTGTTATTATTATTATTATATATATGTTATCAAATTGGATATTAACATTAATCAAACAACAATGATTTGATAGTTATTAAAAAATTAAAAAAAAAATATGAAAAATTATAAAATGGGAAATTCTTGAGATCATTTTTTTTTTTTTTATAAAATAAATTAAATGTTGTTTTTATTTGTTGTTGTAATAATAAATGATATTTTTAACCCTTAAGAACAAACTTCATTGTCAAGGAAGTGCTGATATGATGGAGATGGTGATTTGCAATGGTTGGTAGAGTTGGAGACGCTTCGAATTAATCTGCTACCCCAGCTACTCTTGACACCACCACTACTGCTGCTACTGCCACTGCTATTACTGCTGCTTCTGGAAGAGTGCGACGATGTAGTGGAAACAGATGAAGAGGATGCCGGTGAAAACGATGAAAGATTAGAGTTGGTCGATGTACAAGGCGAGAGTGGCTGTGAAATCGATGAAGAAGAACTCGATGACATATCCAATTTGGAATACTTTTTAGTTTTACCAACCGGTGATGTATTCTTCATTGGTTGTGATTGTAATTGTTGTTGTTGTGGTTGTGGTTGTTGTTGCAAATTCATTGATTTCTTTGAAGAGTTTGAAGAGTAAGATGAAGACAGAGATGTACTACTACTATTAATATTTGATAGTGGTGTACTACTATGAGATGATCTCTTGATATGTTGTTGTTGTTGTTGTGGTAATTTAAATTGATTTCCAGATGTTGAATTTGGATGTGAATAGGAATGTGAATGAGAATGTGAATGTGGAGGTGGTGGATAGGTGTTTGAAAACGATGAAACTACAGTGCCATTCAGATCACTGTGTGTATTGTTTAGAGACGAGGAGATATGTGGTTTTCGATGATCAGGCGATGTGTTTAGACTTCTAGAGGTTAGACTACCACCACCACCGATGGGTACGGTGTTTCCGGTGGGCTTGGACGGTGACGACGATTTGGTTCTTCTGTGATGTGAGAATGACGAGTGGTGAGGTGGTGGGTAGGTTGGTGTCGGTGGCAATTGGACACTGAGATCCTGGTTGAAACACCAATCAGAGTGTAATCCACCGCCACTGCTGCCACCTTGTTTCTGTGGTGGCGAAGACTTTGATTTCCAAGTCGATCTCTTTTTGATTTTTGATGATGACGATGAAAGTGATGATGAAGATGAGCCAGAGTAATTGTATGAACTACTTGGCGATGCATACACCCTGTTGTTGATAAATATAAAAACAATTTGAAATTAATATAAAATAGGTTTAAATCTTTTTTTTTTTTTTTCTTACAATTTTTCATTTCTCTTAATTTCTTCTTCGCTTGGATAGTCTTCAGTTTCTTTTACCCATGGTTGTACAATTAACCATAATCTACAAAAATTTAGGAATGATTGATCAAGTAGTACTATTAGTATTTTTAATCAATCTGTTTATTTGTTACACTTACCCAAGCTTTTTGAAATAAACACATTTAGTAGGAAATGATCGAGGTGTATATATAATAATGGCTCGCATTTCATTTATGCTATCGATTTTTCGTTTTTATCTATTGAAAACCTACCAGGTTTTACAATTAAAAGATTAGTATCTTTATAGACAGATATAAAATAAAATAGTTTACAAAAAAAAAAAAAAAATACAATTAATAATAAATAGTTTAATGATATATAAATAATCTATAATACACTTTACTACACCCAAAAGGTGTATTTAGTATTTATAAAAAAGTAATATTAAAAAACAAACAAACGAAATGGATGGATTGTCAAAGATTGTATTGTGATTATAAATAATAATACATATTTTAAGTAAATAGAATAATAATATTATATATATATATATATGATCTGTTTATAATGATTGTTTAACACCAGGAATAGAATGCTCAAACACTAAATAGTAGTATTATTTTAGTAAGGTTATTGATTTCGAAGTCATGATCTTTACTTAATACAAACAGACAAACAAACAAACAAACCAAACAAACAAAACACACACAAATTGTTTGACGCTTTAGTATGTGTTCAACAGACAGAATGTTGTTAATTGTACATTTCTCTCTGGTAAACCAAATTATGATAAAGACGATTCGCCACTAAATTTACAATGAGACAATGTGTTTTATTTTCTATAGGGTGTCTTTACAATGACACTTATTTAGAAGTTTATTGGTGTGTGGTTACTTCTAGAGTAGAGTTTAGTTTATTATTTAGATTGCTAATGATGAATATGATTGTGGTAGTGGTGTGATGTGGTGTTGGTATTAAAATTAAAGTGACATCTCTCAAACAAAAACAAAAAAAAATCCAATGATAATGTCAAAATTAGAAATGCAGTGGTAAATATTTGATGAGTATTAAATAGATTCTATTAAGTAAATATTGGAATAGATTAAAATATTTATGATTTTTTTTTATATTAATTCAATCTACCAATAACATACTATTCTATTTTTTATTTTTATTTAATCCTACCTGAATAGCTAGAAAAGTCAATAGAATCTGTAGATAGATTATAACGATTGAAGTATCAAATAGAACTACGAATGACTTATGTCAATGGATGATAAAAATGAATTACATTTATAAATTTCTAACAAATAAAAACTTATAAAATTATATATAATAATGGATCAAAAGATATTATAAAACAACATATTCTTTTATAAAAAAAAAAAAAAATATATGCTTTAAAAAAAAGAATAGAATTAAAAATGATAGATAAATAAATAAGAATAATTTTAAAAGTTACCTCTAATATAATTATTTATATAATATATAAAAATAAATATTATGATAATAGATTGTAAAAAAATATATTTTAACAATTGTCTTTATTATAAAAAGTGTAATATTTATTTTTTAATATTTTTTTAATTATATATCTTGATAAAGGATATGATAATTCGTATACGAATTTGTATTCAAATGAACATTCATTTTTTTGCATAAAAAAAGTTAACCACACCATTGTACAATACGAAACAAAATAAATCATTGTATCAATTCTATTTTTATCTCTATAAACATACATGATATTCAAAACTATTTGATTTTTTAAAAATATCACAAATATTTCAATCCTGATAAAGTAATTCTCAATTAATAAATTAATGATACAATATATTTAAAGTAAATTTTAAAAAAACATAAATTCTATATTAAATATTATTCCAATTTTAATTATTAACTAAAAGTTTATAAAAAATATTTTAAAAAATAGTTCTTTTATTATTTTTCAAAAGTCTTTAACTAATAAGTTTAATTTATTTTTCAAGTTTAATTTTTTGAACAAATTTATATTTCAAATATTTTAATAATGAGAAACCTAATAGAAAGAAAATATGAAAAATAAATTGATTTTTTACCTATTTCTTTAGGACCTATATATTTCTTAAAGAATATATTTGTACAAAAATTTATAAACTTGGATTTATTTTTAATAATATTTTATTTAGAAATTAAAAATTTGGTATGAGACCTACTGATTCACTATCAGCTTGTATATACAAGGTATACAGATACACATAATATCTATATTTTGGATGTCCGGTAAAAATTGGTTTGATGCCTGAGTTGATATGGTGATTTGGTTTGTTCAAAAAGTGGTGGTCAACAGTATCGAGATCACGAATGAAAAGTATTTTTTTAGAGTCTGCATCATCCTACCAATGTCCATCGCATTCTTTACTCCAGTAACTCGATGAATATCACTAGAGAAACAATAGTGGTAACCCATTGTACACCAACAGATACCACATGGAATTCTACTCTTTAATGAAGTAGATCATCTTCATTCTTCAAGCTGCCATTGTTATTATTGTTGTTGCATTCATTGTTAATGATTGGCACTTGATCTTTTATCTTGTCCATATATTCAGTCAGACTTTCAAATAGATTATCTATCTTTGCTCTTTGATTTACCATATCATCTACAATAGTTTGAAATAATCCTAATAAAATTTATAATTAAATTAATATTTTAAAAGTTTTTTAAAAAGTAATAATAATTTATCTTACCATTTTCAATTATATAATTATTTGAATGAAGACTTATTGAACTATTATCATCACATCCATTACAATGAGAGACTTGACAATTGATCTTCTTTCTTCTACTATACGGAGTTTTGAAATCCTTTTCTATTGAGCATTGATGGGTTGGAATCATTTTCATGAGTGGAATGAATTGTTTTTGAAAAAATAGAGTTAAAAAAAAATAGTAAAGATAAATTAATTAATAATTATGTCTTTTGTTTGAGGAAATTTAATAAATATAAAATCTAAACAAAAAAATGTTACTTTGAAATAGAATATTACTGATTTATTAATGATAATGATTAAAATGTAATTTCTAAAGATTAGTAATTATATTAATGAATGAATCATTGGGAGATTAAAAAAACTTGATTAAATAGCTTTAGGATGTGGGGGGGTTTAACAAAAAAAAAAAACAAAAAAAATATCTCTAAAAAGTAACGTGGGTGTAGTTTATCAATCGATTGGAACATCGAACTATTATTTTTTTTGAACCAAGATTTTATATGATTAGCAATTATCTTAATTCAGTTTTAGACATATGTGTGGTTTTTGGCTGATGATAAGATGTGGTAGACCTACCTGTTATTAAACAAAATTTCCTTTTTTCCATTGGATTAATATTACTCTAAATTTGTAAGTTTAAATTAATGATTATGATGATGTTGTTGTTGTTGTTGTTGTTTTCGATTTTTCCTGTTTATTAAAGTAATGGATGGTTTGGTTTATGAATAATAATATTATAAATTTAAAAATTCAGATGTTATGAGGAATGAATAAATTGGTGGTTAAGGTAGTAGTATCAGATGTAATTATGAAACTACTTGAGATAATAATGTTTTTTTTTTTTTTTTTTTTTTTTTACTTTTTTTAATCTACTTTTATTATGAAAATTACAAATAATGATTTATTGTGTTGTTGTTGCTGCTGATGTTGTTGATATTATAAATTATAAATTAGTTTATTTATTATTATTATTATTATTATTATTTATTAAAGATAAATAAATGACTGTGTGTTGTTGTTATTATTATGTATAGTGTTAGTGTGTTACCGATCCCTCTCTTTTGTTGTTGTTGTATTCATATTAAAATATTGTATTAAAGTTCTTTTTTCCCATCTCTTTATTATTATGATAATAGAAAATAACATCATAAATATGTTTGTTTTTTTTTTTTAAATTTATTTACTTATTTACTTATGTACTTCTTTTTTACCTTTGGAATATGTATGTGTATGTATGTTTGTCTAATCATTTTTGATTGAATAATGATGATAGCATCAACACACACCCCCATTTCATTCAGTGAACAAAGATTTTATTAATTTTTGTCAAATTTAGTAATCCAAGAGTATATGAGGGTGACAAGAGATGTGGTTGCAGACGAGGGGTAATTCTTTATACTTATTATAATAATTGACAAATTTGGTAATTAATGTACGATTTTGATCTTGTACACACAAGTTGGGTTGAAACCAATAACTAAATTGAATAAATGCAACAACAAATAAAAAATAAAAATAAAAATAAAAAAGAAATTTATTATTTTAAGTAATTACAATGTTTTCTTTCTTTTCTTTTTGTTAGATTCCTATTTTGAAAAACTGAAACTATTATATTATTATTATTATTATTATGTGTCGGTGAGATTATTATATGCTAAAGAGTGATTTAACTTTATGATCACTTTCATTATGCATTGATATTAATATTCGGATACGACTATGATTTTTTGTTGCTGTTGTTATTATTATTATTTACTCTATTATTAGTAGTTGAAGTTGTGGTATTAGTATTATTATTTGATGATGAGTATGGATAGTCCACATTAATTACATTATCACGTCGATTTGATCGTACAAAAACATCGTTAATTGTAAATCTTGAGTGTCCACGATGATGTTGATTGGAGTGTGGGGATCTTTGACCTCTCAATAATAGCGAGATCTCGCTACTATTATCATTATTATTATTTACATTGTTGTTGTGTCTATTGTTGGCAGGTGTGGAAGATGTGGTTGTAGTAGTAGTTGTTGTGGTTGAAGTTGTAGGTGATGATCGTGTTGCAGTACTGGTGCTAGTCAAAGTACTAGAAGTAGATTCATTTCTCTGCTTTTTCTTTGGTGAATTTGAATGAGTGGATTGCGACGATGAAGATGAGGATGATGAAGCTGTACTATTTGGTTCTGTATCTTTTCTCTTTTTATTACTATTGCCGCTGCTACTGCTGCTACTATAATTATTAATATTATTAATTATAGTAGTAATATCTTCTTTATCCTTCTCTCTCTCTTTAGCTACATATTGAACTAAATGTATATCTTTTAAACAATATTCCGATCTACAACATGCACATGTTGAGAATGATTTGGTGGAATTGATAGAGGTGATCCAGTAGTTCTTGATGAAACACTCCTTACACATGGTTGGACCGCAGGCACACGCGAAATTGGCGCAACAAAGAGCCTTTCTGTGTCTGCTGGTGGAGGTGGTTGTGGTGGCTGATGCGCTGTGACTGCTGTTGGGTGTGGTTGTGGTGTGTGGATTTACTGTACAGTGTCGCTTGATGGCGATGTTTGCCTGTGACTCCATGCATATGACACAGGTCTTGGAGGCGGTGTCCGGCAGCTTCTCGACGCTTGCCTTGTCGAGCAGGTCGAGCACACGCTGACGAAACGCCTCTTCGGTGGGTGGACATATATAGTCGGCGAGTGATTTGATCTGTTCGATTTGCTGCCTCATCATCGGTTCGAGTTGTGAGAGCGATTGCTGCAGGTTACGATTGGTGCTGATGATGTTTTTCAGTGTGAGTCTCAGCATCTCGTCTTTCTCCATGAATTGCAGCTCCTTGTCCATTTCATTGAGCATTTCAGCCATCTTTTTATACTTTAATACATCTTTGTTGAACGACTCAAACTTTGTACGATAGGTCTTCATCTGCTCGACAAACGGGAGGTAATGTGGTTGTGAATCTTCAAACTCTGAATTCAAGCTGTTAATGAATCTAAACAGTACTTGAGGATGTGGTGAAAATATTAAGTGAAATGCTGCATCCATTTCTTTATAATTTTATAACAATATAATATATATCTATAATATAATATAAAAATATGATTAAAAAAAATATATATCTAATTAGATTAAATTAATAATAATAACAATAATAATAATATCTATCTATACAAATAAACTGATGTTGTGAATTTTAAAAGATATTTATAATATACTATATTTATGTATTTATGTGTAAGTAAGTAAGTAAGTAAATAAGTAAATATATTTATATAAATGTTAATATTATTTATTTACATGAATGTGAAAAGATTATAATATAAAAGAAAATGAAAATAAAGAGTATTGATGAGTTTTGAAATATATACAATTAGAGTAAATTAAATTAAAATATAATTATAAACATGTGTTTATTGAGTGTTTAATAGTATCCAAATTTTGTGAAACTTTGTTTTTTATTACTCCTTTCCTTGTCAATTGAATTTAATTTATTATTTTTTTTAAAAAGTTTTTTTTTTTTTTTTTTGGAACAATTGTAATTGTAGTCAACTAATTGATTTAGAAGATTAAAAAGAAATTTCTTATGTCCTTCCAAACCAAAAAAGGAAATTCCTTAAAATTATAGAATCATTTTTGAATAGAAAAAATAAAGATATATAAAAAAGTTATTTTTTTTTTTTTTTGTCGTTTTTATTTTTTTTTTTTTTCAAAAAAATTCTTTAAAATTAAAAATTAACAAAAATAAAAGATATTTATTTATATTTTCACTTATTCAGTTCTTTTTATTGTCTGTATATGTGTATGTTCAAAGAATAAATAAAGAGAAAAACAAAAACAAAAAAAAACTTCAAAAGTAATCATAAAAACAAATTTATATGTGAAGATTTTTGTTATTGTTTGTTTTGTTTGTTTGTTTGTTTTTTTTTTTTTTCATTAATATATATTTATAAAGATAGAAGTAGTAGTTTTAGAACATTTGTTTGTCAATTGATATAGTTTGAATAGATATTATTTAGATTCAAGTAGTAATATATAGCTGTAGAAATAGAGATATAGTAACAACATCATTATTTTTAAAGCAAGTTGATAATAATGGCGTTGCTGTCATTATCACAACATGGAAAATGGTTCTACTTGGTCGCATTTAATGTTGTTACGGTGATATTGTTCATCGTGGCAATACAGAGTATCTTTTTTGATATCGATCCAAACATATGTACGATGACCTATATGTTGCCGGTCTACTACTCTGTCTCTACGAACCACTCGAGATATCATCTCTATCTCTATCGAGAGTCACACTCTGTTCTACCACTCTCTTCACTCACCAAAGACAACTCTAATCTAAACCTCGTCTCAACAACAGACTCGACTGTTGTAAACAATCTTTTAAATAGTAATAATAATAATAATAATATAAATAGTAATAATAATAATAATATAGGTAATAATGCTGCTGCTTCAAGCAGTAGTAGTGGTGGTAGTGGAAATAATGGTAATGCAAATAATAATGCTGGTGTTTCTTCGACCACACTTTCGACTTTAAATAGTAATAGTAATAATAATCAGAATCCAATAGGTGGAACGACACCTAATGCACCGGCATATGCTGGTAATACAATTAGTAGGCTTGGTAAACCACTGAGGGGTGTACCTGTTCTCTTTATACCGGGAAATAGTGGTAGCTACAAGCAGATAAGATCGATCGGTGCAGAGGCATTTGCACATATCAACAGAAGAGAATCATCGTCGAATCCATTCGAAATAGAGAATCCAAACAAAAACAAAAAGAAAAGAAAGCCACAACAGGAGCACTACTACAACGAACTCGACATATTCACTCTGGACTTTGAAGAGGAACTCTCTGCATTCGGTGGTGATGTGATGTTTGATGAAGCGGAATACGTCAACGATTGTATCAAAGTAATATTGGATCTTTATCACAATCAACCGAGTGATCCTGATAAAGCAAAGCCAAGTGTAATGTTATCAATCAATTCATATCAATTCATATCAATCAATTCATAATATCATGATTTACTTACTTATTAACTCAAATAATAATATTATTATATAGTCAGTAATATTAATAGGTCATAGTATGGGTGGAATTGTAGCTAGAATGAGTGTATTACTACCAAATCATATCTATGGAAGTGTTACTACGATAATAACATTGAATACTTCACATAGAAATGCACCGATCTACTCGCATCAATCGACATCTCATTTCTATCATGAACTGAATCGTCACTGGAGCAATTCAATTCAACCAAAACACTTTGAATTCAATGAAAAAGGTGAACCAACAAATCTACCTCCAAGTATGTTACATAAAAAAAGTTAATAACAACAACAACAACAATAATAGTAGTTAACTAACTTTTTAAATTTAATCAATTACAACTTAGTTTATGATAATATAGTTGTTATTTCAATAGGTGGTGGACACAGAGATACTTTGATTCGATCGGAACTGACTTCGTTGAATGGTATCGTCAGTGCAGAGAGAAGTTTCTCAGCGATTACCACCTCGATTCCCGATGTTTTGATGGAGACAGATCATCAATGTATTCTTTGGTGTAATGAGGTCGTTGTTTCGTTGGTCGAGGGTCTGCTGACACTCGCCCACCCTCTGACCAAGCAGAACACTTATGCTCCACGTGAACGACTGGAAATACTTCGTTCACAGCTACACAGTCACGTCCCTGAGATTCTGGGATTCACACCGTTCGTAGACCAACAACGATACATGGCAACAATGAAGCAGACTATCAAGATCGACACTGAATCACTCACCGACATTGCCAAGAAGATCGACTATGAGACGTCGCCAATGGTCACGCTACTTCACCGTCCGTCACTCGCCTATCAATACCAAGCGAATCAACGTGTGACATCGTCTTCATCGCCCGTCGAATCGTTTTACATTCACTTCCGTATCTCTGATTGGATACATGGACAACAACAAGAGGATCAAATGCAATCACAACAACAACAGCAACAACAAAACATTGGTGAACCATTCAACTTTGCATTGACAACAAGCTTACCACTGGGAGAATTCACTGTCGTTCTCTATAGTCAAAACTATTCAGTAGCAGAGGAGATATCGTATAAATCATTTTCATTCCCTCCACTTCCTCCCCTTACAAAATCAAACATTGAATCACCAGTTACACAATTAGTACTTCAAGCATCTGAACTCAAAGATTTCCACTCGATCTTCATTGGATTCCCAAAGTCTGCTAGAAAACAAAAGTTTATTGCAATCTCTCAATTTTACAATACAACTGAATCTCAAGTTAATGTACCATCAACCGGTATTTTTGATGGTAACTATTATAATTTCATCAATAATCATTGTGATAAATACTAACACAGTTGAAAAAATAGTTCATAAATATACATTACCTGTAGGACATTCATTGGTTTATAATTTTAGTTTGCCATTCTATCACAAAAAGTATCCTTTGAAAGTACGCTTGTCACCTACTCAGCCAAAGAAACAACAGAGTCACGATCATCATCAATCAAATGTGAAACCACAAACACCAAATGCTCCAATTTTCTTACCAACAACCTATCAATATATTCCTGGTGTTATGGAGGAAGGTAAATTCGTATACAATTGCTCACTTACCAAAATCAAATTCCATCAATCATCGACACCCTCAAAAATCAAGATAAACAATAGTGGTAATCAACAACCACCACCACAACAACAACAAGACAATAAGAGAATTGTTGTTGAAAGTGCACTGGAAATGGAGTCCAAACAGAATACCGATCAATTGCAATTCGTTGAAATCAATAATCATGTGGTTGGCGAGACACTCGAGCACAATAAGATGCATATGCTTCTGCAGGAGAGTACAGAGTATGAAGAGATCATCACTGACGATACAATCGATCCTGAACTCGATGTCTATGAGGATGTCTATGTCGAAAGACCACATTTATTCATGGTATTGGATCCCTATATATCCTATGAAGTTACATTCACATTTGACTTTTTCGGTTCGATTGGATCAATGGTGTTCTCCTATGCACTTTCACTATTCCCAAGTTGCTATGCTTTATTCCTATGGGTATTTGCATCACAAATGAATTCCTGGAGAAAGAAAGGTAAAAAATCAAACAATTATCAAAGAAATACAACTAAACATATACAATCATATTTACTAATTAATCTTCTTTATTTCTAAACACTTTTAGATGAATTTCCAAATCTTTTATTAACACTACGAGAAGAATCAGTCATTTTGGCACCATTCTTTATTTTAATACCATTATTTATTTATGTTGTATTTAATTTAATTGGGTATACAAATCCATCTATTCTATCTAGTAGAAGTTTAATTCCAGATCCATTTATCGATTCTTTTATGTTGGAACAAATTCCTCCGTTCTGGGTTATTCCATTCCTATTTATATTCTCTGTTTGCATTGTAAGATCATGAATTTACATCCTATTAATTCTCATCACAAAATAACTAATTTTAATATATAATCTACAACAACAATTAATTGTAGCTGACAATTTTAATTTTAATTGTTAATATATTATTTACGATTGGATCTTACATTGGCCATTTCATTCCAACTTTTAATACTACACGATTGTATATAGGCAATTTCCAACTTTCGATTTCCAAATGGCTCATTGTCGGTACTATTTTGGTGATTGTGATACACTCTGCACTCGGATTGCTGGCATTCCTTTTATTCCTCTTGGTATCACCATCATCACCGATCATCGGTGCACAATCGACAAGCAATATCCTGCTGCTCAAGAAGAAACCGGCCGGTGCAATGAAATCCAGTGGTCAGGAGCAACGCGACCTCCAGCTCTACCAACAGAGTCTCTTTATGATGTATCTGTTTGCCGGTTTGATCATGGCACCGAATCTTATCATCTGGATCAAACACCTCTCGTTCGAGTGGCAGGTATTCGACTCGTACGAACTCTTTATTCTCGTTGCCATTGCACACATCTGTCTCTCGCGAATTGAACTCAATCAAAACAATCTGTTCCTCTTGCGAGCCGTCTTAATTGCCTCGGCCGTCATGGTAGTAACCTATTCCATCTTACTACTCTATCGAATTCTACACTTTACACTACTACTCTCAGTTATCTTTATCGTTTGTCACATATGGTCACTGAAAGAGAAAAACAATTAAATACAAATAAAACAAAAAAAAAAACAAAAAAAAATTACAATATGTAATAATTTTAATTTTTTAAAAAAATATATTAAATATCTTGATCTTAAAAACAATTAAAACTCAACAGCAAATTGTGATCACCAAATATTCGTTAATATATTTTTTAAATTTTTATTGATCGATCATACATCATCATTATTATTTTTTTTTGATTTGTTTTTTTTTTTTTTTTTTGATCCTGGTGTGTTGGTTGGTTGTGGATGAAGATAAATAAGATCAACAACACACACATTTAATTTAATTTAATTTATCTGTCTATTTTTTGAATCATTAATTAAAATATTATTAAAATAATAATATAATCACAACTGTCATATTAATTTTCATTTTCACAATTTATTTAGATTTTGTTTTTTTTTTTTTTTTGTTTTTTTTGATTTTCACTTTTTTGTTTTTTTTTGTTTTTATCCGACTTAAAGCGTCCTAAACGAATCATCATTGTCTACACTAAAATACTTCACAAAATTATACCTTTTGTGTAATAAATCTTTTTTCATTTTAATTTAAACTAGTTTTTTTTATTTTTTTATATTTTCATATAACATAGTAGTACCAAACTAGATCAAGTAAAACACCATTCATATAATTCATAAAGTTTTTAATATCAAATATACAGAAAAATGTCGATCACAAGCCGGATTTTGAAATCAACATCAGCATCGATTAAACCATATAATTCAATATATTTAAATCAAAATGTAAGTTTTAATATTTATAAAGACCCTACTTTCATGCATTATCATTGGCAGCTTGGCACATCATTAAAAATAATACAATCGTATTTACTTTACAATACATCAGTCAATCAACTATCATTGAATCAAAATATCTATCATAATATTTCGGATTTTAGAGTTTGGATGGATGAGAATATTGTATTTATAGAGAATTACAGTCAACAGAGATGGATTAGAAACAGAACAGATTATGGACAATAATACACGACATGATCACTCGATTAATAAGGTTAAAAATCAAAAAAAAAAAACATGAGGAACATTTCACCCTATTTTTATGTTTCAAAGCACCAAACATTTTTTAGCAAGTTGTGGCGTTTGATTTGTGTTAAATTTGCTTTTTTTTATTTTTTTGACTTGCTCACACCATGATCATGTAATTAAACACTGATCATGATCATTTTTTTTATATTCCTTATTTAACAAAATGTTTAAAAGTTTAAAATAATCATCTATTTTATTGTTTTTCTTCTTCATATCTTCTTCTTTTTCAAAAAAAAAAAAAGAATCTAAAAATAATTTTAAATACAAGAAAATAAACATATATTAACCAGTGAATTCTTTTCAAACTTAGATTTCAAAAATCCAATATAGTTATAGAAATAATCAGAATAATAATCAAACTAGTTATAATAATAATTTAGGTGTAAAAATGATTGCGAATCACTATTGTACCATGCAAACACAATCAAAGATAATGTCAACAATCAATCAGTTTGTTGAAAAAGTTAAAAAGAAGTCATATTTCATTGAGGAACATTTACACAACGACAGATACACACCACCCTCCAATATTCAGCTGTTGGATCCATTGAATAACCTCAGCACTAGATCGTCTGGTGACATCTATAAGTTGGTCGATCAAGACCTGAATCAAATGACAAAGAATATTATCGATACCGTCACGAATGGAATCAGTGGAAGTGGCGAGCACGCTGGTGGACCATCGAAACTGACTCACCCGGTGTTGAAATCGATCGCTGCATACTATTTCGATTTGAAGGGCAAGCGTATTCGTCCAACGATTCTGCTGCTACTGGCACGTGCACTCTCCATTGCCAACTCGGCGAATCCAGCGAATCAAAGTGCAATCCAACCGTCGTCGGTTCAGATGCGTCTCGCTGAAATTGTAGAGATGATTCACACAGCCAGTTTGGTGCACGACGACGTCATCGACGATGCCGACACCCGTCGTGACGTGCCATCCATCAATCACACCTATTCCAACAAGCTAGCCATCCTTTGCGGTGACTTTTTGCTCTCACGTGCATCGGTACTGCTTTCAACCCTCAAGAATCATGAAGTAACAGAGTTGATGTCAACAGTTATCTCTGATCTCGTAGAAGGTGAATTCATGCAAATCAAAGCCAGTGGGTCATCATTTGATATTTACATTAGAAAAACCTATTTAAAGACCGCCTCACTTATCGCCAACAGCTGTAGATCAACTGCAATTCTTTCAGGTTCCGATCGTCAGGTTATTGATATTGCTACTGATTTTGGAAAGAATTTAGGTTTAGCTTTTCAAGTAAGTAAATCATGAAATAATTATCAAATCGGACTCATTTAACATGTAATATATATATCTCAATTTACTTTTTTAGATTGTAGATGATTTATTGGATTTCACTTCTTCAACAGAGTCACTGGGTAAACCAGCATCGGTAGATCTATCACTTGGATTGGCTACTGCACCAGTTTTATTCGCTGCACAAGAGTTTCCAGAATTGGAAACACTCATTGAAAGAAAATTCTCCATGCCAGGAGATGTCGACGAAGCAAGAAGACTCGTTTTCCAAAGTAACGGTATCGAGAAAACACGTTCACTTGCAATCGATTATTGTAACAAAGCTATTCAATCATTAATGTTATTACCACCCTCCGAACCAAGAGATTTACTAATTACACTGACTCATACTGTTGTCACCAGAAAGAGATAAAAACTTTTTTTAATAAATCGAAAAAAAAAGGTAAAAAATGATAAAAAAGATATATAAACAAAAAAAAAAACAACAGAAAAGGCAATAAAAGAAACCGTGAAGGTTCTCAAATCAATTTAATTATTATTTTAATAAAATATCAACACTTAAAAAAAAAAATTATAATTTTATTTATTTTTTTTTAAAACTAATAAATAAATTTAAAATAGTTATTATTATTTTTGTCTCTTGAAATTGGATAGTATAATTCAATTGAATCCAGTTTCAAACCTTCCGATTTCAATATAAATCACTGTGACCAACTAGATCTATCGATAACTTAAAAGAATCAACTACAAGAAGAGTCGATAATATACATAAGTTAAACTGATCTTCAAATATATCAAATTAAGAAGACTTGGAAATCAGAAATTTAATTAGATTTATTTCATTATAATAATCAAATCTATAAAATTAACCTTTTTCAGAAACAATTAATATATTTATACATAGGAATTGTTGTGGACCATAGGTTTCGCAAAATTAAAATTATTTTATTTTATTTTATTTTTATTTTTCTTTTGAAACCTGCAAATTATAATCTCCTTTTGGAAGTTGGTGGTGATTTTCTGCATGGCTAAAGTCCTGGTATTGGGACAAGGAATTATAATTGTTTTTGGGGTTTTTCAGATTTTTTTTTTTTTAACGATTATAATTTTTTCGTTTTTTTGGTACCTAAATCATAGGAGTACCTTTTAAAAAACAAAAAGGATTTGGTTTTGAGGGAGGACATAATTCATTCATCACTCATTTGGAGGTGACCAAATTTTTTATCATGCGATGACATATTTGTACACCGGATACTTTTGTGTATTTCTTTTTTTAAAAACAGAAGAAAAAAGCTATACCATCTATATCGGATTGGGTATATCCAAATAATTGAAACTATATTTATACACTTCGTTTCTTTTCTTTTTTCTATAGAGTAGATTTTTACTAAAATATTTAAGAGATGAAACACAAGTATAAATAGCAGACATGTTGGAGATAGAGTTTAGCTCATTTTGTATTTTCATTCCACTGTATAATTGTAAAAACATAATAACTCAAATAAAATGAATAAATCTATATATTTAATATTTATTATTTTCGTAGTAATTGGAGAAGTGATTGGTCAAGTTTCACCTCCATTTTTTGAACAAAATCGTGTTTTCAATTTAAATTATGGTGTTGATAAATTCAAACAAGTCCAAACCACTAAAAATGGTGCAACATTTTTCAACTCTAGACAAGCCATCACTTTTAACATTCCACCTAACAGCAACACAGTCAACACATCGATTCCGCTAGTAGGAAACGTATTTAACATCACCAGTAGCAAGGAAACTTTCTACACATCAACATCCATCAACGATCTTGTCTATGCTTTCGGTAAGAATACTATCTACCTGTTAGACCCATCACAAAACATTCTTGCAACTGCAGCACACACATTCAGTAGCATTAAAAATTCTTTTACCTATGGATCAAATATCTATTTCATTGTTACTTCGCCATCCAATCAATTTGTATATTTTAATCACGACAATAGTTTCCTTCAAAATAACACTGTCTTTACACCAACCTATCAATACATTAATATGACTGGAAGTTTAACATTCTGGTCAACATCGATTGCTCTGTAAGTTGTAAATTAAAATGTTGCAATTAGATATAAAATAAAAGTTAAGTTATTAATAATCATATTCTTACTTTTTATCCATAGTGGTATTGATCAATCTAAAGGATTGGTATTCTTAGGTGATTACAATGGTAACATTGCTAGCTTTAACTTGAAAACAAATACACAATTAAAGTAAGTTCTATAATTGTTTTTATTTATAAATTGAATGATTAACTTTTGATTGTTTTCTTTTCTTTTCTTTTATAACAATAGTACTTTCACAAATACTACTGTTTCAAATAGATTAACTGCTGCTGTTAATACAGATAAGAATTTAATCTATTTCATTTGTGGTAGCTTTTCTATCACTATGGATGTATTCTCCTACTCTAATATCTCTGTTGGTAGTCTAATTCCAGTCGGAACCTACAAGATCACCAATTTCGGTGGCTCCCTCCAAGGTGGATATGATTCAAGTATTGGTGAGGTGTTCTTTACTGGAAATGAGAAGAACCAATACGGTCTTGCCCTTTTAGCCATTGGATCCAACGGAAACAATCAATCTTACCTTGATTTCAACTCTTCAAGTTCAAGTATTGAGACTAGTTCGATCGGTTTACAAGTAGGTAGCCAATTCCTTACCATCTATACTGGAGATGAAGTCATCCAAGTTTCCTACGATACCGGTTGTCCATTGGATTGCAACAATCGTGGTAATTGCTTCTCTGGTACTTGCAACTGCAATGAAGGTTATTCCGGTAACTCTTGTGAGTTGAAGCTCTGTACTTCTTTGAACAACTGCTCGGGACACGGAACTTGCAATACAACCAACGGAACTTGCAATTGTCAAGGATTGTGGATGGGTAATCCATCATGTAGTGAGCTCTCATGCTACATGAACTGTTACAATCATGGTAGCTGCAATACCACAGACTTAACTTGTACATGTGATAGTGGATACAATGGTGTTCATTGTCAATATACAACAAATACAACAACAACTACGACTACTTCGACCTCAACAACTGGTGTTCCAACAACAACATCCACAACATCAACTACAACAACCGGTGGTGATACAACATCGTCTACTACTACTACTACTGGTACCACTACTGCTACTACTGGTATGAGTGCCAATTCTACTGGTGTTATTACAACCGAAGAACAAACAACATCTCCATCGATCACCACCACTGGCGACAATAGCTCCACAAAGATTTCAATCAATTACATTCTCATTTTCGTACTTTCACTTATCTGTTTATTCTCCTCCAATCCAAACGACTTAATAAATTTATTATCATAGATTATTACTTTTATATAATAAGTAATAATTAAGATATTTTATAAAAATATATATATATATAAATTATTATGCAATAATATTATAATTTTTTTAAACAATGTTATTTATATTTATACATATACTAATACATCTATATCATTCAAACAATTGAACAATGTATATATTTACTAATACTATCTATTTCATTCAACCGGTTACTCTTCTGCGCAGAATATCGACTCAGGTTTGTTATACCATCGTCTAAATTACACTACTATTAAATAAAATAATACAAATATATCTGTTATTCAAATGTAATTATATTGCAAAATTTTTTTATTTTTTTATTTTATTTTTTCAGGCTAGGTTTTCATTGATTTTCATCAAAAGCATTGCCAAACATTCAGTACATTAGTAGCAGCATTAGTTATAGTAACAGCAGTAGTGACATCAAAACTAGTGGTAGTATCAGGAGTTGTTTCAGAATGTGTATGTACACTGTTCTGTTTAATCAATCTATCATTATTTTAATTTACTTGAATCAATTTAATAAATAATAGAGAATTATATTTGTACACTTTGCGACAACTTTATAATGTTAAAAAAAATCTTTGTAATTGTTTTATTTATTTGAAAAAATATTTTGTTTTCTTATTCCAAAACCAAAGGAACTATTTTTGGAATATGATCTACATTTGTCCTATTATTATGAATTTGTTATTAATATAATTTTTATGTTTTAAAACATTATATTTACTTACTTTAAATGTAAAGATTTAAAAATAGTATGATATATTTTCTCTTCTTTTAATTGGAATAATATAAAGATTGCCCAATATACATAAAGTAGGAAAAAAGTAATATTCATTCTTTTAGTTTATAAAATGGAATTTAAAATGTAAAATGATTGATTGTAGAATTAAATAATCCTTCTTTATTTATAAAAAATTGTAATATAAACATTTTATTTTTTTACTTAAAAAATTAATCGATAAAATGTTACAATAAATATGTATAAATTACAGAATGTGTTGGATTTTAAAAATAAACACCACTCCCCACCTAAATAAGTAATCTTTTTAAATATAAATCTCTAACTTTTTATAAATCATTTTTAAAATTTAACCCACAGATATCCAAAGATAATATTTTTACATCTTTTTTTAGTTTAAATCAATCTGATTATTTTATTTACAAACAAAAAGACACTTTTCATATATTAGTGATTAATTAGATTGATTTAATTATTTATTTATTTTTATCTTGTATCCTATTAAACTCTATTGTCTACCGACCAAACTATTTGATTTACCTAGCTATAAACGAAAAACATTAAAAAAATAACTAAAAACTAAGTTATTAAGGCACTTTATTTACATTTAAACAAATATTGAAAAAAAAATTGTGGGATAAAATTTAAATAAAAAAAAAATTACAAAGACTTATTTTTAAAATTATATGAATGACTTTTCTCTAAGAGGTAAGAGGTATCTCGAAGAGGAGGGATGCTTTCGTCATATAATTGATGTAGTTTCTTGAGCCTACAGAGTGAGGATTAGCAGAATTGGTTACTATATTCTTATCTTTGAGATCTTTGGGACAATCTTTTTGATGAGAGATATGAACTATTTATTAATTTGACATTAGTAAAATGAAAAAATGCACTGAATGTTTGGCAATGCTTTTGATGAAAATCAATGAAAAACTAGCAGAAAAATAAAAATATAAAAATATAAAAATTTTTCCAATATTATTACATTTGAATAACAGATATATTTGTATTATTTTATTTAAATAGTAGTGTAATTTAGACAACTGGATAACAAGCCTGTGTTGCAATACTGCGCAGAAGAGTAACCGGTTGAATGAAATAGATAGTATTAGTAAATGTATACATATATATATATTGGTAAAAAAAAAAAAAAAAATTAATGAGTGAAAATTTTAAAAAATAAACCAAATTTAGTAATATGTTATTTAATTTTTTAACTCTTGTAGTTATTTGCAAATTAAATATATATTATAATATAAACATTTTTGGATTTAAATTTTAACAAATACATTTTCACTCAAAAAAATTATTTTTTTTTCTAATTGTAAAATACATACCCGCAATTGTTGTTTCTATCCTTGGACATGAGAATGTAACCTTGGAGACCCCAGGCTGGACCCCATGAATTCTTAACGATCCAGTAGTTCTCGGTACCGGCTTCGACGTTGGAGGTTGGTTGAGCTGGAAGCAGAGGTACCAGAGGCTGAGGTACCAGAGGCTGAGGAAGATCCTGAAGCGGATGATGATCCAGAGGCTGAGGAAGATCCTGAAGCGGATGATGATCCTGAAGCGGATGATGATCCAGAGGCGGATGATGATCCAGAGGCGGATGATGATCCAGAGGCGGATGATGATCCAGAAGCAGAGGTACCAGAGGCAGAGGTACCGGAGGCAGAGGTACCTGAAGCGGAAGTACCTGAAGCAGAGGTACCTGAAGCGGAAGTACCGGATGCAGTGGTGGATTGACCAGAGGATGAGGTTACAGTACCAGAGGTGGCTGAACCAGTACCAGAGAGGGTGGTAGCGGTGGTGGAGGATGAGGCTGGACCTGAACCGTAACCAACAACCAAGACACCGTGGTCGAGTTGGGTGGTTGAACAAGCTGGCTCGTAGTAGATACCAGATGAGTACAATTGGAAGGAGTTGTGGGAGGCATCGATGGCAACAGAAACTGGGTTAACGTTGGCAGCTGAAGCGAGGGAAGTCTCAGAACCAGAGGTGACGTTGACGTATGAGGAGATTTTGGCTCCAGAGTTGGCAGAGTTGTAACGGCACTTGTTCGGTCCAGTGGCGGTGTATGGGTAGGATGACTCGGTGTCGATACCACCATTTTTGATAATATATTCCATAGCAGCCCACATGAGACCACCATTGCAACCTTGATTTCCTTCTGGGACGGAACAATCGATCAAGTTTTGCTCGGACAAAGCAACCAAGTTACCGGTGGAAATTTCGTGAGCACCCTCGACGGAACCAGTGGTAGAGAATGACCAACAAGAACCACATTGGGCTTGGTTCTTGATTGGGGTGACGGCACCCTTGGCACGCCAATCGACGGTTGGGTTCAAAGCTTTGATGTTGAAGTTACGGTCAAAGGCACGGGCGGCAGCGACGTTCAAGAGACCAGAGGCATCGATCTTGGTACCCAAGTAGATACGTTGGTATTCAGCGTTGGTAAGATCAGCGAAAATGTTCATACCGAGGACGGTGGATGAACCCTTGGCATTCCATTGTTGGACGTAGTCCATATTCTTCTTGAAGACACCGTAACGATGGTTGAATTCCTTTCCGTCGTACTTGACGTTGTTGGTTTGCATCCATGAGACGAAAGAGTCTTGGTATTGACGCTCAGTAAAGGCGGCGTTGGCAGAGAGCACAGCCAACATAAAGACAGTGCATGCCAACAAATAAGCAGATAATCTGTACATTATTAGTATATATTATTTGTTGAGAATAAATTAGAATGAAGTCTTTTACACTTGACGTCCACCATATTTATATCCTCCACTCATCACGTGATATTTCACCCACATATTGTCAACAAAGTCCGATTTGCATTGAACTATGGTAAAAAAATTTAAATAAAAAATAAAAATCAACCCAAACAACAAAAATGAAACCACACCAAAACCAAAACTACTAAAAATTTAATGATGATTTTTTTTTTTGGCTCCGAACAAATCGTTGGAAGAATCAAAAAAAAAAAGATTTTGGAGAGAGACCCCTCAAAAAACTAATCAAAACAAGAGTACTTCAATAGTTCTTTGGAAATTTCTAAACACTATTATTTTGAAAAAATCAAATAAACTACCACTTTTAGGGGTACTAACCATGGAGCTCTGCAAGTCAAATCGGAGTTACATGTGATCACTTTATCCCCAAAATCCTTTTTTCTTTGATTAAAAAAAATATCTTTTAATAAAACTTGGGAAGTGAACAGTTACTTTTAAAATTAATTAAAATTAAAATCTATTTATTATTATTTTTTGAATTGTTTTAAATAATCATTAATTTCTTAAGAAATAAAATTGAAATTGAATTGGATTGAGATAAATGTAAAAAAAGATATATTATTTTAATTTTTTAATCATAAAAATCTTTGTGTTTGGTGTGTCTTTTTCTATTATCACGTATTGTTTGTTGTATCAAAAAAAACAACCACATCTTATATTTTATTTTTTGTTGATCTTTCCCAACCACATAAACGAAAAAATTGTGCAGATGTCCTTTGGATATAGAATGTATACTTATACGAAATAATAATAATAAATCCCAATCCCAAACGAACGATTTTTTTTTTTTTTTTTTTAACAATGGAATAACAAAAACAAATATAATTTATCTTAATTAAACTTGTACAAATAAAAAAATTATTACAAATAAAATGAGTTGATGATTTTTTTGATAAATGAATCCATTGTTATATTTATTTTTTTTAGAATATTTTAAATAAATGTAATGGAGCAAGATTATAATAGTTTTAACAATATTCAAAATAATAATAATCTTCAAAATGAAAATAATACTATAAGTTCGAGTAGTGCGAGTATATCAAGTGATATGTCAGAAAGAAAAAATCAAACAGATAGTCGTAATGATAATATTTATAGAGATTATATGAATAGGAGCGGAGGTCATAGATGGAGAAGAGGAAATAAAATTAGAATCGTTAATCAAAAGGGTTCTAGTTTTCCAGGAGGTCTAGTTCGATATAAAGGACCTACATTGGAATCTGATTTACTTTTTCAATCGGGAGATATTATTGAACTGGATACAAAGAAGGCAGTACCAACTAAAGAGTTATCATTTAGAGAGATATTTAAATTATTCCTGGGTCTTGATCAACTAAGACATACAGCACTGTACAAAGCTACAATGATAGAGTTCCTTGGTATGACAATATTCACCTATATGTCAATAGGAATTGTAGTTGCCACTATTAATTTTTACAATTTCAGTGTCCCTTATCATGATCAACCACATAATCCAGGATTAGTTGCACATCCTGCTCAAATTATAATCATTGCAATAGCTCATATACTCTTATTGTTAATAGTTTTAATTAGTATATCACCAGGTAGATATGAAATTTCAAAAAATATTATTTTAAAATTAATTTTAATTTTCTATTACATTTCTTTAGGTAGCGGTGGAATTCTAAATTGTACAATCACTCTAGCTACCATTTTTACAGGATATACAACTCTAACTAAAGGAGTATTTTATATTATTGCAGAGTTGTTGGGTTCAATTGTCGGTACTGCAATGATGTATGCATCATTACCATATGAGATTTACTCGAGAACGAATCTGGGACAATGCAACTATGGAGATAGCCTTTCAGCTGGCAATGCACTTGCAACTGAATACATGATATCATTATTTAATTTATTGGTTATTTTTGGAACAGCACTGGACCCTCGTCAAACTCAACAATTTGGAAATCTGTTACCTCTTCTCCTAGCATGTATCACTCTTGGATTATCACTCTATGTTCCACCAGGTTTAGGATTTCTAGCTGCTCCAGGTAATTATCAAATTATAGATTACTTTTGTATTAGTATTAATATCAAATAACTTTAATTCTTTTAATAGGTTTCAACATTTCAAGGTGATTATTAAAAACTAGAATTTATTATTTATTAATACTAATATTAAAATAACTTTATTTTAATTAAAAAACCTATAAAATCTCAGATGTTTTGGACCTGCTGTGATTTCTGGCAATTGGAATAGTAAGTGTTTAAACTTATATTATATAATTAGAAATTTAACTAAAATATTTAAACATTTATCCTATTAATCTTTTTTATTAATAAAATAAATAGGATTTTGGATTTTTATAGTTGGACCCTTATTGTCAGTTCTTACCATTACTATAATTATATTAGTGTATCCACCATTTAAATTTGAAAAGTGGCAAAGAAAAGATCCAGTTCTTCATCAAGGAAAATAATTCAATTGTTAATCCATCTCTTTAATTATATCACTTAGCTCAGTTAACAAAAGATTGAATCTTTTTTAATATTTACTTCTTTTAGGGAAACTTTAACTTTTGGATTTAGAAAGACTCCAATAAAATCTATTTTTTATTATTTTTCCAAAAGATATTTTGCTGATTTTTTTTCATATTATCGTGTAAAAATATGTATGATCATTATTTTTTGATTAGTTTTAACACAAAACAGAAAGAAGCTTCGTAAGACAATAAGCGACCAATCAATTGATTTGTATATCAAAAGTAAAGTGTTTAAAGTAACTAGTGATCTCGTAAAGGATTGGAAAACACACCATTATATGAAATGAATTGGATGCTGCTTATGTAATCTATAAAGTTTAAATGTCAACATAAAACTAATACCTTAAATGATCTTTTTGATCAACAAATGCTTACAAAATCTAATGCTAGCCCTAAAAGGAAAAGCGAACAAGCTTTACAACAAAGACAATTAGAATCAAATAATACATCAACAACATTTAAAAGATAAAGATAATATTATACAGCAAAAGCAATAACAATAATTGCAATCACTAGACAAGTTGGAGGCTGCGATCGATATCTAGGTTCCTAAGATGCACTACTAAATCAGGGCTTGCAATAACAACCTCAACATGACGGTATATAATTTATATCATTGTACCATAACTTTTGATTAAGCTTTCTTAACCATCTTTTACATAAATATAGATAAGAAGGAAGAACTTAGATGAAATATTAAAGGAAAACTCATCAGGAATACCTTTTCTGCTGAATCAACGGGCCTTCATCAACAATAAAGTAACCAAAGGCAAACATACTACGTAGGAATTGAAGTGATCGATATTCTGAAAGGATACTACATGATTTGGTATCCATAGCAGTTAATTGAGTACGATGTACCAATTAAAGCACGTAATATCGATTAAAAGATAAAGACTTACTCTATTGTTAGTTTTTATTATATATTTAATCTTGCTTGCAGACCTGCAATGTTCCATTGAAAATACACAACTGGATTCTCAGCTCCTCTAATAAAAAAGTGGTTGGTAATACCATCAAGGCATTTGTCAGACATACTAACTCGCAATTGCTTTATAAAAATTTCCTAAGAAAAGAAGAAATATTAAATTAGTATTGATAATTAACTTTTGTAGAAATGATGAACCTACCAAAATTACAACAACTTTAATTAGGTTTTTATTAATAGATTTTGAAAATGGAGAGATAAAAGTTTTATCTCACAACTATTTGTATTATATTTATTTTTCAGGTATTTCAATCTTTTTTTATTTTATTTTGACCAAATATCATCAATTTCATGTATAAGGGATAAATCTATTCTGAATAAAATTGATGAAGAAATAGTTGATTGGTGGATTATTATAAAAATATGTGGTTTTAGTGATTGATATCTATATTTTGATTCTATTATAGATAATTAAGAAAATTCTAAAAAGAATTAAATTGAATGATACATGAAAAATATTAATTATTAATCAATATTTAAAATTCTATAAAATGTAACAGATATTACACAATAAAGAATTTAATCGTGTTCATAAATTCATCAATTTTAAAATCCTTCATAGATATATCTAACACATATACAAGTGATTCAAAAATTTAAATACATGGACAATATCTTTATATATCTTTCTATATCTTTACTTGACAACATATACAAATGCAAATGATACAAAAATTATAGAAAAACTTTTCAAACCACAAGAAGATAATGATTTAATAAAACAATTGGGTCAATTGACTCTTATTTAACTCTATTTAATGTATAAATAAAAAAGCCAATGATTGTTTTTTATTATTTTTTTAATCTTGATAACAAGAATCCAGTATGATCTCCCAGTATTTAACATTTAGCTTCACATTTTTGCTTCACATGTTGGCAATCTTCACGGCCTAATTCTAGGCATCTTTCTTCCGCTTGAATACATTCAGATTCACATTTGTCAGATAATTCTTTTGTTACACATGATTTATAAACTTTTGAACATGCTGCGATTGCATTTGAATATACGTTTGGGTGTTTAATCTGGCAGTTAATGTATTCAGCTTCACAACTTGCTGAAACCTGTAAAATTAAAATACTTGAAATAAAAAGTACAAAAAGTATTGAATATGATTTCATTATATAAAAATGGTTTTTGATATTTATATAAAATAAAAGAAAAAGAGATTAAATAGTAAAAATTTATTAATTTTTTGATTATTATTTTTAAAACAGGACTATTTCTTTTTTCAAAAAACAAAAATGGTGTAGTTTGGCATATAATTTTTTTATTTTGTATCTGATAATCTGTTTATCAACAGAATTAATCACAGATAAAAACATAAAATTTTAACCACATTTTCTTTCCTTTATTAAATAATATAAAAATCTGCTAATAAATAATGGGATAAAAAAGTGTAGAATAAACAGATTTACTAATATTATAATTCTATTATTATATTGTAAATATTAATCTCATCTGTCTGTCAAAATCGTCACTTGTGAAATATTTCATAATGAACGAAACTCTAACTACCATAATTTTTTCCCCCTTTCACTTATCAACCCACTCTGCCCACTCAAAATCAAAAATTATATGACAAAAATTAAAATTAAATCAAAGTATCTTATAATTAAATTTATTGTGATTGAAGATTATTTATGTTACTTGTAGAAGAGGTTTTATTTGTTTTATTTAATAATCTATTTCTATATTCGAAACAAGGTTGTTGATGATCTGGTTTGAAATCTTAAATTAAAAATTAAAAATTAAAAAAAATTTAAAACAAAAAATATTATTATTATCTATTTCTGTTCATTGAATTTTTAATTTTTAAAAAACTATGGATAGAGATTTTATTTTGAAATTCTGGCGCCATTTAAGTTCCAGAACATATCAACCTTCAACTAGAGTTTTTATAAAAAATAAAGAAAAATACCCAGTCAGACAGTAAAATGGTAAAATATTATTGTCTCAGATCATTTTATGCTAAAACAAAATGGATGATAAAAATAATGTGAATATAGAACTTGAGGATATCGGAGAATCAAGTAATCCAAATAATAATAATATAAATACACCAAATAGTGATAATCATAATAAAAAAGATAATAACATTAATAGTATTAATCAAAAGAAAAAAAGTAAATGGGGAGTAAGAAATAAATTAAGACTTGTAAATCAAAAGGGTTCTAGTTTCCCAGGTGGTCTTGTTCGATACCGAGGAAAAAAAGCGACCACCGATCTTGTAATTGAATCATCAGGTGAAGTAGTCGAGGTTGATAAAGATGAAAAAGCATATGAACCCACCGCTACCAAAGTACAGTTTTACGAGGTATTCAAATTGTTTCTTGGCCTAGACGAACTGAAAAGTACTGCTCTCTACAAGTCAGCGATGATAGAGTTTTTGGGAACAACAGTATTCACCTACATATCGATTGGAATTGTAATTGCCACTGTTAATTATTACAATTTCAGTGTTCCCTATCACGACCCTCCATCACCCGGTCTAGTTCCACATCCCGGGCAATCAATCGTTTTGGCCATTGCTCATATACTCTTATTTTTAATAGTTTTAATTAGTATATCACCAGGTAGATATTAGATGCCAAATTAGTGCTCTAAACAATAGTATTTTAATATAAAGTTTCTATTCTTTATAATCAGGTAGTGGTGGAATTCTTAATTGTACAATCACTCTAGCAACCATTCTAACTGGATACACAACACTATCGAAAGGAATTATTTATATAATTGTTCAGATTTTGGGTTCAATTGTTGGTGCAGCGATGATGTATGCTTCACTTCCATATGAAATTGTAGCAAGAACAAAGCTGGGAGTATGTGACTATGGAAATAATTATAGTGCAGGTAATGCATTGGTCACGGAATATATGTTATCGATATTCAATTTAATGGTTGTTTTTGGAGCTGCACTTGACCCACGTCAAGCCCAACAGTTTGGAAATCTTACACCTCTAGTACTTGCAGCATTTACACTTGGAATTTCAATTTATATGCCAGCTGGACTTGGATTTCAAGCTGCACCCGGTAAGTTATTAAACCATCTTTTAAATCAAAATCTACAAATGATACACAATCACTAAGACATACCATAAAGGCTTTAGCATTAACAGATGCTTATCCTCAGCTCTAGTTTTCGGACATTGGAATAGTAAGTATCAACAACAACAACAACAACCTTTCTTGTAAGTAAAGATTGTTTCCATATTAAAACCAAATTTTTTTTTTAAAAAATTAGGATTCTGGATCTTTATTGTTGGACCAATAGCAGCGGTGATTACAATGACAGTTGTGGTCATTATATACCCGCCTTTTAAGATTGAGAAATGGAAAAAGAAAGAACCTGTTGTTGCATGATTCAAGTAATTAATAAAAATCTCAAGTTTTAAATTTTATTTAATAAATAAAAAACAACTATGTAACTCAAATTAAATTATAACTCCAAATCCTTAAAAAACTCTAGAACCAAAGATTTTTATTTATAAAAAAAAATCGGATAAAAAAAATATAGTCTACACCTGGTAATCTGATAAAATCAATTTAATAAAAAAAATTGTGATTTTTTCAAGAGATCTCGAACATTTAATTAAAAGCGAGTTGTTTTATTTTATTTTATTTTATTTTATTTTGTCTTGTTTTTGTTTCCTTTTTTTTTTGTAAACAACATATGTATAAATTTCGTATAATCAAAGATATCAATATAAATTCAAAACCACTACGACTACTGTATTCTACTGCTCGACACAAACAACCACTGCAACAACTGCAACAACACTTTATAAATAACAATCAAAAAGATATTTACAATAATAATAATCTTATCATACATTCTAAATCAATAAAACAAAACAATAATAATTATTTATTATCGTTTTTAAATAAAAATAATAGATATTTTAGTACTACAGCAAAAGCAACATCACCATCATTTAATAGCAACTATATAAATAAGAAGAAAATGCAGCAACGAGAAGAAGCAGAATCAGAATCATCATCAGCTGCTGCGCTAAAAAACATTGAAGAGTTGGACGAAAAACACAGATTGAGTATCACTACTTTCAATATATTGGCACCTTGTTATGAGAAGAGCACCGAGCATTCCTACTCGAGACAAGAAGATATCATAAAGACATTGCTATCGTTAAACTCTGACATCATTAATCTACAGGAGTTCTATTTTAACGAGGAGTTTGAATCGCTTTACACCACTAGATTGGCAGCTAAATACAACTCGATCGCTCTTAAGAGAACCAATCAAAAGAAAGATGGACTTGCAATATTCATAAAGAGAAGTTACCAGATTATAACTAAAAAACCATTGAGATTCAATGATCAAGGTGATAGAGTTGCTTTATTTTTACATATTAAATCAGATATTGTAAGTTATTAATATTAATAACAAAAAACAACATACTTTTCTTTATCAACAACAACAACTAATGACATTGTAATTATCAATCATATTCATTATCATAGGGAGCAGAGTTTATCATTGTCAATACACATCTTACATTCCCTCATAATCAATTCGATGAGGAGGTGCTAAGACTTTCACAAATCCAATCGGTACAAGCGAGTATCGATAGTTATGTTCGACAGTTGAATGTTGGCTACGAGTTACCGGTACTGATATGTGGAGATTTCAACTCACCTAATGGCTTGATTGACAAATGCGTCGTCTATCAATTCTTAAAGACCAACCAATACCTTTCTACATTCAATATACTGCACCCAGAGACCAAACACTTTGTTTCTCATAAGAATCATCTCCAACAAGAGGTTGGAGTTGACTTTATATATTTGCGCGACCACCAACTCTATAATTATCTTTCAAATAGCAATAATAATAATAATAATAATAATAATAAACAAACAGAACAAGAACAAGAACAACAACCAACACCAGAGAATTCTCAACTTCTAAAAGGATCACATATATATCCAATTGATTCTTATTTCTTCCCAAGAGAATTAAGTCCACAGAAATGGTATCAAGATATGAAGCTATCTGACCACAGACCATTGACAACTACATTCAAAATAATCTATAATAATGAAAGTTAAAATATGATATTTTAATTTTATATAAAATCGTAATATTAAGTATTTAAATAAACAAACATATCTAAATTGTTTGTTTTGATTGTTTTGATTGTTTTTCAGAACCTCACTACTCTTTATTTATATTTTTATTTACCTAAAATCAATTCTTGAGTCTCTGTAATTTAATTTAATAAATAATTTAATAATATTAAAAAATATACAAAGATTTATTTATTTAAGACTGAAAAATATATTAATGAGTGACATCAACCAGTAGTCTTTTTCAAACTTGTTGGATAGTTGTTTCCTATTCTTTATCTACGGTAATTGGAAATTGCTTCAACCAAAGAATAGGAAACAACTATACAACAAACAAAGTGTTGATGTGTTATTGCTTTCATCGATTTTCAAGACTTACCTGCAATCTTTCAGGTAGTACTAGAGAATTGATCCATACCAATTGAAGAAGAATAATATTTCTCTCCTTTATAGTGGTTCTCTCGAAGAATAAGTGAAAAAGAGCGGCAATCCATCTTTACATATTAGACATTGACCGCTTCAAGGTTTTTCCTTAGTCTTGTCCAGTCCATATGATTGTATTATACATCTTCTTTTTGAAGTTGATAATTGTCAAAATCTGGAGGATAGAAATACCTTGGTGCTATAGTTAATAGCTCACCAAGATGGAATATATATATTTTTAAAATTATAATTAAAAATAAATAAAATTTACAAAGTAACCTCTTTTCTTGACGTCAAGAAAAAAATTTTTTTCGCTTTAATTTAAATTTCTGTTTTTAAAGATGATGTTTGTTTGTCAATGTTAACATCCGCACCCTATTCTTATTCCTCTTTATTTACATTGCTATTGATACCTAAAATCAATTTATTATATTTCTCTTCGTAGTTCTTGAATTCCTGTGAATCTGGAGCAGGAATAATCTCTGCTCTTACCAAACACTTGTTACCATTGAGATCCAATACCTTTGTTGCATTGGCATGATTTCCACTGTGTAGTTGTTGACTCTTTGAAGTCAATGGTACGAATCTTACAACACCACATGATTTAATCTTGATACTTGAATCCTCCAACTTGTCGACAATCAACAACTGATGGAAGAGATTGGCAGGTCCAACCGGAATGACCATTCTACCTCCAATCTTTAACTGTTTAACTAAATCAACTGGTAATGCTGGTAATAATTACAAAAGTATTAGTTATTTTGATATTGATATTGATACTTTCAATTTCAAATGATAACTTACATTCTGCAGCAGCACCAACATAGATTACATCGTATGGCTGTTTGTCGGGATGACCAAGGAATCCATCGCCAACGGTGAGTGTTATACGCTCGAGTAGATCGGATTGGTTGGTTGCTTTGAGTGCGAGTGTTACATTTTGAATGGATTGATCAACCAATTCCTGAATATGATCGACACCAACAACATGACCACTCTTACCAACCAACTTGGCTGCACATGCAGTGATATAGCCGGAACCAGAGCCAATATCTAAAACATTGGCTCCACTCTTTAGATGGTTGGCCAAGTAGTCTAACATGACACCTGCCATATGTGGAGCGGAAAGTGTAGCATTGAATCCAATTGGCTGAGGAATGTCATCATAGATATCTTTGGCATCACTCGGTAAGAAGTATTTTCTATCAGTCTCTGTCATAACCTTGGCAATCGATTGTTGTGTAATCATTTTCTTTTCTTTAAATATATAAATATAATTAAATTACAAAGCTCTCTAACAAAAATTACAAACAAAGTGTTACATACTGTTAACCAATAGATTGACCAAAGCAGATTGTGATCTGGGTGTCAATGTTGACATATATTCTCGTAACATTTCATATGATTTGTAGCATAACAGAACCCCACATCCAATACTAGCAATTGCTAGATAAGGTATTAACGATTTACTTTCATATTTTATCATTTGTTACAAATCCTATTTTTCTCTATATTTTATTTTTATATTTTTTATATTTTTTATCTTTTTATTTTATTTTTTTATTTGATGTATGCTTATTATTTTATTTATAATGAAATGAATCATTTTTAAAAAGATCTAATCAATTTATATTTGCAATAAAGTCTAAGAACAGAATAGAATAGAAGATAGTAACGTTGAAATAAATTCTTTGATTTAAATTCAAATTTCGAATTTTTTTGGCAGTTGAAATTTTGGGTTTTTAAAAAAAATTTCAATGATGTGTGTCACCTCACTTAATTTTTTATTTTCACATTAAAAATTTTATTTGTTTAATTAAATTTTTGTTTGAACAACTCCGACTGTTCAAAACTTTTAAGATCTCAGTTTTACAATTATCTTTTATGCAATTTCATTTTTGTTAATTGCGACTAAAATATAGATTCAAAGAAAATCAAAAAAAAATAACAAAAAACAAACAAAAAAAGACATATAAATATAATATAAATATTTATCTATACTATATATAAAATATAATTGTGTTAAAATAGTTTTTTTAAAAACTAATAATATATAACTATTAAATAATAATAATTCAAATCTAAATCCTAAACAAAAGATTTACTTTAGTAAAATAAAAAAAGTCAAACAAAAGAGTTAGAATAATAGATTTTTGTTTATTTAGAATAAACGAAAGATAAAAAGTGAAGTGTGTTTAAATTTTTTTTAAAAAAAGAAATATAATAATAATTTAAAAGAAAAGAAAAAAAGAGAAAAGAAATGAGTTATAATCCTTATATGGGATATATGTTTCAACAACCACAGGTGTTGGCACCTGCTATTGCAACACCTGTGACACCGGTACCTACTATTCACGCCACTCCAGATAGAACGGAAGGTCCGGGTCTAATGCAGCATCAGAAGGAAAAGTACGGTGCTCATCTCTTTGCAAAGAACGAGGATGGAAGTTACACTTGTTTCTTTGCCAACTGTGGCAAGCAGTTGTCGGCAAACTTCTCGCGTCACATCAGTAGACACGAACAGGATGGCGATCCTCTCGCTGCCTCGGTTCAAGTCCGTGGAACCAAAGCATCTGTGACAGCCACCCCCAATGGTCTACAGTCAGGCATGGTACAACAGCCGTCGATGACACCGCTCACTCCTATGGGACAAATCAATCCAATGGTTCCAATGTCACCGATGACACCGATAACAATGACACCACTGCAACCGATGGCGTCGATTCCAATGGTGATTCCACCCGCTATGCCACTGCCGTTCCTCAACAATCCAATGGCTGCTGCCATGGCACACACACAGATGATGCAGCAACAGAATTCGATGCAGCAACCGGTTGTCGCGCCACAACCAGCCCAAACACCTACGCGTCATCCAAAGAGACACTCATCGATCTCGAACGCACCACCAACACCACAGCCAACACAAGAGGAAATGGAGAGTCAAGGTATTCCATTCCAGGTGTGTCAGCACCCAAGTCACGAGAATTGGTGGGGAACTTCACCAGTGTTACCACAATCAGAGTTTTACAATCGCGCATCGAAATGTAAGAAATGTTACATCAAACAGCAGCAACAAGCAAAGGCAGCCAAGATACAAGGTGGTGGTACTAGCATGCATAATATCATGTCAAGTGTAAATCATTCAACTAGCTCAAGCGATCCTATGCCAATTACACCAAAGAGTAAGTTAAAAAACAAATTGTTATCAAAGATAAGATAATACCAACAATAATTTGACTAATATATATATTATTTGTTTTTTTTTTATGATTATTTTTAGAGAGAGAAGCACCAACACCTATTAAACCACCTACACCAAATCAACATATTTCTACACCACAAAAGTCAATAATGCCAATGCAAATTCAAATGCCAATGCCAATGCAGAATATCATTCCACTTCAAGTACAACAACAACAGGTGGCCATGCAACAACAACAGCAAATGCAAGCACAACAACAATATCAACAGTTGGCAGCACAACAACAACTACAAGCACAACAACAGAAACTCACTCAGTTACAACAACAACTTCAGGCTCATAGCCAACCTGCAGCCATTCAAAATGGATTCCGTTCTTTACCACGTCCCAAACGTGATCCATCACCACAAGAAATCAATCGTTTGATTCTCGAGAAACTCAAAGAGATTATCGGTATTTTAATGAAGGATTCACGATCCAAATGGTTCCGTGAACCTGTCGACCCGATAAAGATGGGCATCCCCGATTACAACGATGTCATTAAGCAACCACGTGATTTTGGAACCATCGAAAAATCTTTGGCAGCCGGTAAATTCACTCACTTCTCAATGGTACATAACGACATTAAATTGGTATTCAAGAATGCTATGACTTATAATGAAGAGGAGAGCGATGTTTATGAGTTGGCTGAAGAATTGGAAAAGGTATATGACGATCTCTTTAGAAAGGCACAGCTGGAATCCGAAGCTGAAGCTCAACTACAAGCAGAGATCATCAAGGATATCTGTTGTTTGTGTCGTAGACAACCAGTTCCATACAGAAGAACACCCACTCAAACCACAGGAGAGGGTGCTACTTCACCACAGCCCGACGAAACCACACCAGTTCCATTGTTGCTATGTGAGGGTTCCTGTCTGAGAGCATTCCATCTCCATTGTCTTGGTTTGCCAGTCGATACCAAGCCACCCTGGATGTGCGAGGAATGTCATCAAGGTCGTCCAGTATTACATTTCGATCCACAGAAACAAGAGTATTTCTACTACTATTACGAGGGTGTTAGTTGCGACGAAGAGCAAGACAACAACAGTTTTGAAGGTAACGACGAAGCCGTCGTATCAAATCTTGGAATGTTGGCAAAGGAAGAAAAAGTAACCCTCAGACAAGAAGAAGAATCTCATCGTGTGCGTGATATGTACTTTGATCCAGTATGGTGTATGTGGAGATGTAAATCAAGAGCTGTTATGAAACAACGTGAAGATAGACAAAAACCTTTAATTTTAGCCGTTCAATCAAAAGTAAAGAGAATTAAGAAGAAGAGAGGAAGAAAACCAAAGAATGCAAAAGTGTAAAACAAAAAATAAACTTGATATTTTTAAACTAAACAACTTCAACAACAATCTTTTAATAACGAACAATATCAATATTCAATTATTTAAATAATATTAAATAAATCAACTATTCTTTTTAATATTTATTTATTTATCTTTTTTTTTTTTTCTAAAACCTGTAAAGAAAAAGAAAGAAAGAAAATTTGAATAATAATGTTAATATGATGTATTTCGTTTTACAAAAAAAAAAAAAAGAAAAATGATTTATGATTATTATTTATTTGTATGAATTATTTATGAGTTGATTAATGATTAGACATTTACTTTGATTGACCTGGCCAGGAGTATTGCTTTGAACGAACATAACCCATTTTCTGAGCCAATTCGTCAGCAGATGCTGGCCCTCTAGTACCAAACTCGTACTTCTCTGGAATAACCTTGAGACTTTCGATTTGTTCGAGAAGTGGTGTAAAGATTTGCCAGGCAACATCGAGCTCGTCATCTCTTACAAAGAGATTGTGATCTCCTCTAATAGAGTCCAAAATCAAACGCTCATAAGCATCTGGAAGATCGAGATTTTCAAATCTGCTACGATATGAGAGATCCAACTCTGTTTGCTCAATAGTCTATTTAAAATAGAAAAGATAAATTAATGAGAATGCAATACAAATGTATTATTTAATCATTCCAACAACATACATTATTTAAACCAGGCTTCTTGGAAAGCAATTTAAGATAAACAGCTTCACCTGGTTGAATTCTCATGACCAATTCATTTCTGTCGACGTCGCTAAACAAAAAGTTGTCTGGTCCCTTGAATTGAATTCTAATTTCAGTCTTTCTTTGATCCAAAGCCTTACCACACTTTAAGATGAATGGAATACCTCTCCATCTTGGATTGTTGACGTGGAATACTTGAGATGCAAAAGTTGCTGTTTTTGAGTCTTTTGGAACTCCTTCGTCATCCAAGTAACCTGGGTACTTACCATCCTTGCTACCAACGAATTGACCAAGAACCAACTCGTCGAGACGCAATGGTTGAATCGAACGGAGAAGCTTTACCTTCTCGTTGGTGATGTCCTCTGCTGACATGGATACAGGTGGCTCCATGGCAACCAATGAGAGCACTTGCAATAGATGGTTTTGCATGACATCACGAATAATACCGAATTGATCAAAGTAACCACCTCTACCTTCGGTACCAATATCCTCCTTGAAAGTGATTGAAATCGATGAGATGTGTGATTTTGACCAGAGTGGTTCGAATACTGCATTGGCGAATCTCAAGACCATGAGATTTTGAACCATTTCCTTACCTAGGTAATGGTCGATACGGAAGAGATCCTTCTCTGGGAACAACTTTTTCAACTCTGAAATCAATTCTCTTGATGATGCCAAATCTCTACCGAATGGCTTTTCAACAATTACACGACTCCATCCGCTCTATTTTAAATAATGATAAAACTGAATATTAACATTTGATAAAACACAAGAATAATAGTTAAAATAAAATAAAAAACAACATACAGATGAAATTAAAGAACCTTTAATTCCTTTGGCAACATCAATAAAGATTGATGGTGGAATGGCCATATAGAAAAGACGGTTGTTTGATCCCTTGACCATCTTTGATTCTGCGTCAACTAAAATCTTGTTGAACTCATCGTAAGCTTCCTTCTTGTCATAAGCACCACTATGATAGAAACATAAATCCAAGAAAGCTTTCTTCTTATTTTCATCGCCCTTCAAACTTTTAATCAATTAAACTATCAATATAAACTGGTACTATCTAATTATATAGAGATAATCTAGGAAATACATACTATGAACCAATCTTCTTTCTAAACTCTGAGAGTTCAATGTGTGATCTGGCATAACCATAGATAAGAGTGTCTTGTGGAAGTAATTCTCTGCAATAGAGACCAAACAAAGCTGGATATGTCTTTTTCTTTGCCAAGTCACCAGAAGCTCCCAGTACAACAACCATCAATGGATGGGTGAAATCCTTTGGTCTTACATCATTTAATAAATCCATTGAGTTATTTGGCATTTTACCACTATATTGTTTATAATTAAACATTAATATCTATATATATTTAAAAGTATCTAAAAAACTATATTTTAAATCAACATATATATATTATTTGAATTTGACTTTAATATATATCAAATTCAAATCCATTTTCACATTTTCTAATATTATTTCTTTATTATTATTTATATTTATTACTATTTAGATTTATTGTGAGTTGAGTTGTACTGTATCTTTACCTTTAAACAATAAAATGTGTTAGTCAATACAATGAAATATAGTTGTGTTGAAAAATAAATAAAAGTAAAAGTATTTGTTTTGTTTTTTGTAATAGTAGATCTATAACTCCTAAACAATAATAAAAATAAAGATATATTTTTGTTGATCTATTAGATAGTAAACAAATTGAATGAAAAAGGTGTTTGTTTTAAAAAAGTAATAAACTGTTACTCAGTCAACACCTCCACTAAAATTAAATTTATAGAGCATCTTTTGAGTAAGTTCAACCAAGTTCCGGATTTAATTAAATGTGTGTGGTGTTCTTTCATTTTATTTTATTTTTTTGGTTTTTAATAATATTTTTTTATTTCATTTACTACCCCCTCTTTGCTTTGTGAATGGGAAATTATTTAAAACAAACACACTTTTAGTTTTAATTATTTTTTTTGTGTTTTGTAGCAAACCAATGAGTTTACACACACACACTTTTAAAAGAAGATAATTATTAATATTAATTGGTTCCAGATGGATTACTTACAATCACTCACTATTAAGAATCCAGAAGCGATACACAGATTGTCTTTGATCGAACTCAGAATATATAGAAAAAAAGAAAAAAGTTAAATCAACCAAAATACTATCCGATCGACAAGACTGTAAAAATGAACAACAGAACATAGAAACTTGATCAATGGAATATATTAATATCTCAATGATGACACACTAAATAATTTTTTTGTTTTACCAATATACTTGAAATCAGATAAAAACAAAAAGATTAAATAAACAAATATTTAATGATAGAAAAATTAAAAAATAAAAAAAAATGAACAAAGAAATTTGATTCACTTTGGTTTAAATAAAGTAACGTGACTAATTTTTTGGTGTACATTTTTTTTATGAAATTAATTTTTATTTTTTTTTAATTTTTTTTTCTCAAACGAAAAATTGGGTCTTCTCTTTCCAACAAAAAGCTGATGCGAGCTTTTTTTCAAGTTAGTTTGTTATACGCACATAATGCAGATTTTTGTGAAAACCCTTACAGGTAAAGTTTTAATTATTATCAATATTATTATTTAGTTAGCTATTATTATCAGAGAGAGATTTAAGAATAGTGATCAACATTGTTTAGATCACTGCTGCTACTATATTTATATATATTATAATTATTTAGATTAGTTTTTAAAAATTGAAATAAATAAATATTAACAAATATATAATATATTTCAAATTAAAATAATAAATAGGTAAGACCATTACCCTTGAGGTTGAAGGTTCTGATACCATCGAGAATGTCAAGACCAAGATTCAAGACAAGGAAGGTATCCCACCCGACCAACAACGTTTGATTTTTGCTGGTAAGCAATTGGAAGACGGACGTACCTTGTCCGACTACAATATCCAAAAGGAATCCACCTTACATTTAGTCTTGAGACTCCGTGGTGGTGGTGGTAAGAAGAAGAAGAAGAAGAACTACACCACCCCAAAGGTCCAAAAGCGTAAGCCAAAGAAGGTCAAGCTTGCTGTCTTGAAGTACTACAAGTTCGACGAAAACGGTAAGATCCGTCGTATTCTCCGTGAGTGCCCATCCGAAGGTTGTGGTGCCGGTGTCTTCATGGCCCAACACCAAAACCCAGCTCGTCAATACTGCGGTCGTTGTCACACCACCTTGGTCAAGGTCGAGAAGAACTAAACTCCTTGTCTAACGTCTTGCTCCTGAATCATTCTTATACTTTTGCAAAGAGAGGAATGCACTATGTGAATTGTCCCTTTTAATAAACAAATCAAAAATTAAAACAATCAATTTACTTATTTTTTTATATATAAAATCATAGTAATAGTAGTCTTTGTTTATTTATCTTTTTTAATTTTATTTTTAAAAAACCAAATTTATTGGAAATCTTTAGTTTTTTTTTTATTTTTAAAGAAGTCAAACTTTTTAAAAGAAAGTTATCATTATGATGGTCAATTATCAATAAATAGTTATAGATAGATAAAGTTAGAGATATAGATAAAGATGAATAGTAATAATTATAAAGTAATATCATTGAATAATGATGATTCTTTTTATGATAAATCCAAAAAGATTGAGTTGGAAGAGGATGGTAAAGAGGTAAATGTCTATTGGTACTCTGATGGTGACAAATGTGTAGATGATATTAAAGAGGAGCTAAAGGCATTGGAAGAACAAGAGAAAAAATTAAATGATAAACTTAAACCTTACTTGGATGAATTGGCAAAATTAAAAGAGGAATCAAAGAAAAATATTGATAAACTTCATGTTTATAATGAAATAAAAGAATCTTGTCAAATGATGTTTGGCAAAATAGGTAAATAAACTCTAAATTAAATTAAATTAAATTAAATAATATTCACATTACTAATTACTTTTTTATTTAGCAATTCTTGATGGTAAAACAATTAAACAAGTTTATAAAGAGTTTGATATGGAATTAGAAGACTAATTAGTTTAACATCATAATATATTTTTATAAACATTTCACATGCCAATACAAATCAAAATGATCAATATATATGTTGGTTGTTGTTTTTTTTTTTGTAAACAAATAAATCTTTATTGTTGTTTATTATTTATTCAATGAATGATCCAATTATTACCAATTCATTTCCATGATGAACAAGATGTCTTATAGTATATTCTACTTTGTATTTCGACATGATGTTTTTGATTTGAATGATAGTGTTTTCATAATCGGTTTCACCAACGAATTTCAAAGTCCACACAAACGTTTGACAAAGTCTTTTCGAGAGCCATTCCTCCAGGACTTCGAGACTTTTCAGTGGTGGCAGTGCCATGTCGTTCATAAGCCAATCGGTTGGTTTGGCCGGTCGCCATGTCATTCCGTTGGCGATGTGATGCGCGAGTCTTGGTGGTTTGTATGCTTTGGTGATCCAGGACTCGAGTGGCGATCGGTCTACACTCTGGATCTCGAGTGATTCGTTCATGTCGAGCAGTCGCGATGTCCATCCACCGGGAGCACTTCCAAGTTCAACGACTTGCTTTGTCGGTCTTCTTCCCATGTGTCCAAAGATCTCAAGCATCTTCATGTAGGCACGAGAAGGCGGTTTTTTATCGAGAGGAAACTGGTAGGCTCCGGCTGGGAATGGCAGAGGTAGACTCCATCCGAACGACTTTGAAAAGTTGGCTTTCGATATCGATACAAACAAACGGTTGCTTCTCTCTAGATACAGTTGAACTATATAGGGTGTTTCTATCTGATTGTCTGGTAGATCAAGTTGATCTTGTTTTTTTAACAATGAGTTGTATATTGACTTTCGAGTTTGTTTCAACTCTTTTAGCAGCAAACTTTCAATGAGGTTAGATCTACCTCCAAGAGAATGAGAAGAAGAAGAAGAGGAAGAGGAAGATTGATTTTGCTTATCAGCAATATAGTCTTCATTAATAAAACTATTTATAATGAATTTGAATGGTCTATTCATTGCTAAACTATGAGTATAAGCCATGAAAAGCATTGGATATACATAACGAAAGCAATCTTGTACTATATCTTTGATGGACTCACCATTGCACTGAAATGCTCGTGGTAATACTTGCTGTGCCCAGAACATCGACTTGTATTGCTTGTTCTCAAAGAAGGTTTCTACTATCCTACCGAGTAACTCATTGTCTATATTTACATTTTGAAAAGCATCAACATTCTCACTACTCGATCTTGAGAATATACTTAATTTATTGTTATTTACAATCTAAAAAGAAAAGATATTGCAAGTTAATAATAAATCATTTTTTTATATGCTAATATCATATTACTTACTGTATTTCTATTTGATTTTAATTGATTCAACAAATGTCTATGTTGATCAGGAAAGCTAATCAAGATATCATTGTTATTCTTTAATTTGTTGATATCAAATTCATACTTTTGAATGATAGAATTTAAAGAATAGAGTAAATTATTATTATTATTAATATTATTGCTACTATCTCTGTTGTTTGTTAATGATGTTGTCGAGGTTGATGATTGTTGTAAAGTTGAATCTATTTGCTTATCATTTATTTTCGAGCTAAAGTATCTTTTATTTGAAAGCTGATATGATTCAAGTTGACTGAGGGAATGATTTTGTTGTAAATGCAATTGCAGTATACCCCAATTACAATAAGATTTGATTGCAGCAGTACTGCGGTATGCTTTGTTGTTCAATGCATGTGAATTGTTGCATAATCTAATGTTTCTGACCACCGATAACATTGTTTCTTTAAGAGAACAAACAAAATTGAGAAAAAAGTGTGGTAGAGGTGGTGGTGATTGCGAGTAGTAGTTCAAAGTACTTGAGAAAACTCAATCGATAGTTCTAACAGTTCTTCCTAGCAGTTTACTGTTTACCACCAAAACCAATTCTTAAAAAAAAAAAAAAAAAACATTTAAAATTGTAAAATATCTTTTTAAATATTGTTGTTTAATGTCGGTTTTCAAACAAGATCACAATCTGGAATATGGTATGGCATTGTAAAACTCTCATAAACCTACGATAAACAAAACCAAGATATCACAATAAAAAGATAAAAATAAAACTTTTGGAAATTTACGAGTTAATCACTTTTAATTTAATGGAAATATAACTTGGTATCAAAGATATTTATGATGATTTTTCTTTTAAAGAGTTTGTGAAAGTTTGGTTGGAAAAATAAGAGACAAGAAATTTCTTTTGAAAAATTTCTCTATCGTTCACCAAACTTTTATTCACTTGCAACCTGATATTTTTTTGTTTGATCCACTACAATTGTAGATATTTTTTTAAAAACACTCAAGATTACACCAAAAATCTTTGCTAAGCTCGGTGATTTTAAAATTTTGATGCCAAAAAATAGGTTTTTTATTTTTTTATTTTTTTTTTTTTGTAGGCGACTCGTGTTTAGATTTCTGATGGGAGTAGTCCCGCCAACTATATAAACGAGATTCAAGGAGTCGTTCCAAATATCATTCTTAATATCTAAATAAATATATACTAATAAATAATGTACAGATTATCTGTTTATTTGTTGGCATGCACTGTCTTTATGTTAGCTGTGCTCTCTGCCAATGCCACTTTGACCGAGCGTCAATACCAAGACTCTTTCGTCTCATGGATGCAAACTCACAACGTTAAATACACCACTCAAGAGTTCAACCACCGTTACGGTGTCTTCAAGAAGAACTTGAACTTTGTCAACCAATGGAATGCCAAGGGTTCCTCCACCGTCCTCGGTATGAACGTCTTTGCCGATCTCACCAACGCCGAATACCAACGTATCTACTTGGGTAGCAAGATTGATACCTCCTCAATGATGAACGCCAATGCCGCCCGTCTTTTCGATCGTACCTACAACGTCAAGGCTTTGAGCCCAACCGTCGATTGGAGACAAAAGGGTGCCGTCACTCACATCAAGAACCAACAACAATGTGGTTCATGTTGGTCATTCTCTACCACCGGTTCCATCGAAGGTGCCCACGAGATCGCCACTGGTAATTTGGTCTCTTTGTCCGAGCAAAATTTGATCGATTGTTCCACCGCCGAAGGTAACCAAGGTTGCAACGGTGGTCTCATGACTAACGCCTTTGAATACGTTATCAAGAACGGTGGTATCGACACTGAAGCCTCCTACCCATACTCTGCTACCGGTCCAAACAAGTGCCGTTACAACCCAGCCAACTCTGGTGCCACCATCTCCTCATACGTCAACGTCACCGTTGGTTCTGAGACTGCTTTGATGGCCGCTGCCAACATTGGTCCAGTTTCTGTTGCTGTATGTTTATTGAAATTCTAACTTTATAAAAAAAAAGAACTAACTAACAAAACATTTATAGATTGATGCCTCCCACAACTCCTTCCAATTGTACGATTCCGGTATCTACTACGAATCCAAGTGCTCAACCACCCAACTCGATCATGGTGTCTTGGTTGTTGGTTACGGTTCTGGTCCAGCTGATTCCTCAACTGGTACCTCTGGTTCATGGGCTTCATCCGGTTCATCCGACTCTGGTTCATCCACCGGTTCCGCCGACTCTGGTACTGGTTCAACTGGTACTGGTTCAACTGGTTCAGGTGCTGCCTCATTGCTCACCCAAGCCAAGACTGAAAACTACTGGATCGTTAAGAACTCCTGGGGTCCAGAGTGGGGTTTGACTGGTTACATTTTGATGTCAAAGGACAGAAACAACAATTGTGGTATCGCCTCGTCTGCCAGTTATCCAGTTGTCTAAACGATTTGATAATAATAATATAATATATATTAACACTTGAAATCGAACATTGTTTATTTAAATAAAATAAAATAAAGTGTTGTATCAACAAATTGTACAATTTATAACCATTTTTCTTTTTTTCTTTGTTAAATAAACAGTATTTAAAAGAAATTTAATCAAAAGTGATTCCTCTACAATACAATATAATATTAATTTACAAGTAGTTCATCTGTTTTTGTTTTTGTTAATTTAAACTACTTGAATTTACAATTGATTCTCTACCCTTGTATTTTTTATTTTTTTTTTCACCTAGATTAAATATATTAATAAAATTAAATGCTTAAGAAACTCTATTTAAATCATTTGAATCAATACAAAATAAATATAGAAATTCTATCTATATTAGTAATATATTAATTTTAAATTGTGTCAAACTAAAACAAAAAGTAAATAAAAAAATGTAAAAATGAATTAATTCTTATTTGAAAAAGTTAATAACTGACTGATACAAGATTTGTGATTTATAAACTAGTTTTAATTAACTAAGGACTTTTGTAAAATGATGAAATAATAATGACAATGAAACGATGCAATATCAAAAATCTATAGTTCCTTTTTAATTAATTTGGAAGAAATTAGTGAATGTGGGTGGGGTTCCAAGTGGCGAAACTATGATTGTGAATTGGGGAACAACAACAATGACAAGACGAAAAAAAACAAACATTCTTATATTTTAATTAATAGAGAGAATATGAATTGTCAACTGACCAAACTTAAAAGAATTAGTTTTCAAGAATCTCAAATAAAAACCTTTTCAAATCACTGCCAAACATGAGAATTGGCACCCTATTCAATTGAATTTTTAGTATTGTCATCATTTTCACTGAATAAATTGAGGAGAAATTTTCTTTTTTCAAATTTTTTAACGTGTGGTTGGTTCGTTCAGGGGGTGAAGTTCTTAACCTGGTTGTGGAATAGAAAAAAAGAGACACCAATAAAAAAAAAAAAAGCAAAATAAATTTAAACTAAACAAAGATAAAGATAATATATATCTTTTTTTTTGTCAAATTATCTTTAATTTTATATTTAATCATCATTGTATTTGTAATAATAATCATAGTAAAAAGTTTTTTTTAGTTCTAGTTATATACATATTAAAAATAAAAGCAAAACAAACAATAAAACATAATATTAGTATTGTAGGTATTTAAGAGAGACAATTATCATTGTTTATGTTAAAGCGCGCATTGTTAATAAATCAAAATAATAATAATAATAATAAAAATAATAATAAAAAGCAACGATAAATATGTGTGTAATTAGTGTTTAGTATGTGGGTTTGACAACAACCAAATAAAATAAAATAAAACAAAATAAAATTTTAATAATTATGTGTAGTCGCAATAAAAACGATATTTTGCCAAATTATAATATCAACAGTTAGATAAATAAAAGATAAAAGTACATTGAAATAATAATAATAATATTATCATAGTAATAATAATAATAATAATAATATAATTACTTTTTTTTTTGGTTTATTTTTTGTTTAATTAATATCAATTGGTTAATTTAAAATAAAATTTGTAGTAATAAAGAAAAAATATTAATATTAGTTAACTTTTTTTTTAAAATAAATCAGATATTAGTTAGTAAAACGAACAATTTAAATAATAATAATATTGAATAAATTAGTATAAACATGGAGGATCGTTTAGCGGAATTACATGCTGCAGGTGGTGTCAAACCTGATCAAGGAAAGAAGAAGGGAAAGAAAGGAAAGAAGGCCGACGAGAAAGCGGAGACCGCTGCAGAGAAGGGTGAGACCTCCAATGGAGATGGTGATATTGAAATGGCCAACATGGACGACGGCGACGAACCCATCGAAGAGTTCATGCCAGAGTTTTACCAGGAGGTCGGTATCATTAAAACTACAATGTCATCGGTGCGAAGAAGTGTAAAGAGTATCGAAGATAAATATGTACTTTCACTAAATTCAATCAATGTAGATCAAGGTTCAAGTATGTATAGTAATAACATATTAAATAATAATAATAATAATAATAATAATAATAATAAAATCAATATTAATTGTTACTAATATATCCTTAATTTTAATATTATATAGAATATGAAGAAGATTTACAATCAATGATAGAAACAACCAATAGATCATTTTCAGAATTAAAGAAAAAGTTGGATCTTATGAAGACCAACAACGATAAATATACATCTCAGAAATCTGCACAGCCAACAGAAGTTCGTATCAGAAATAATATGCATGGTACTCTTACTCAAAAGTTTGTGGAAATGATGAGAGAATACCAAGAGATTCAAACAAATTACAAGAATAAATATAAAGAAAAAATCGAAAGACAATATAAAATAGGTAAACTATTATTGACAACAAAACAATAATATTAATAATAATAATAATAATAATAATAATAATAATAATAATAATAATCAATTCAAAACAATTTATTAATTAAAATACAATTTTTTATTATTGTTATTTATTATAGTTAAACCAGATGCAACACCAGAGGAAATCAGAGCAGCAATGGAATCGGGAGATTCCAGTAAGATTTTTGCAGATACAATTCTTTATACACATTTACAGACACAGGCAAAGAATGCTTTGGCATACATTCAAGACAGACATAATGATATTCAAAGATTGGAACAGAGTATTTCCGAATTGCATGCACTCTTTTTAGATATGGCTGTGCTGGTGGATGTCCAAGGTGAAATGTTGAACAGTATCGAAGCAAATGTAGAATCCACTGTGATGAACGTAAAGGCAGGTGTTGACAATCTGGCCGAAGCCAACAAGTTGCACAGAAGAAGTAGAAAGAAGATGTATATTCTACTGTGTATTGTAGTTATCGTATTGATTGCCGTACTTGCACCTGTCTTGGCAACTACGATACCAAAGAAATAAACTATTAAAAAAAAAAAACATAAACATAATTATTACAAAACAAAACATAGTAATAATTATTATTCTTTTTCTTTTTTTTCAATTTTATATTTATTTTAAATTTATGATATTATAAAAACTGTTGTTTTTGTTTTTTACTTGGTTTTTGGTTTCTTGTTTGGTTGTGCCTGTGGTTTTTTAGTGGTTGCTGTTGGTGCTGCTGGTGTTGCTTTTGAAACGTTGGATTTAGTTGTTGTTGTGGTGGTTGTTGATTTGGTGGAAGTGGTTTTGTTGGTTGGTTGTTTTTTGTTGGCGGCTGCTGGTTTTCCTGGTTTCTCTTTTAAAACTGGTTTTGGAATGTAGTTGTGATCGTAGACATCACCTCTGTCTTGTTTGACGATCTGCGACTTTGGAATACCATCGACAGTCTTTCCAGATTCGATTCTCTCTCTCTTGGTCAAAAGTTTATTCTTGTTTCTATCGGCAGCTTCATTTCTATTCTTAATTCTCTGGTATAACCATTTGTCCTTCTTTCTAATCATCATTTCGGCAAGTTTCAACTCTTCTTGTTCTTTCTTCTTCTTCTTATCGGTCTTCTTCTTGTTTAATTTCTTTTCGTCTTCCTCTTCACTTTCGACTTCCTCTTGATCGTCTACTTCCTCTGCCTCTTCTTCTTCCTCTTCCTCTTCTTCCTCCTCCTCTTCATCTTCGGTTGACTTTCTCTTCTTTGAAATCTCCTCCTTCTTTATATCCTTCATATAACGAGCTTCCATTGCTGCAATGTCATCTTCATCTTCATCGCTATCCTCTTCGTCGCTATCCTTTTCTTCTTCGTCGTCGTTGTCGTCACTCTCGAGATCGTCTTGCTCCAAGGTGACCGAAGCAGCGTCGAATCCTTTCTGTTGGATCATCTCATCGAGGATCTGTTTACGAGCGGGGATATAACTGGATTCATCGTACTCGACGAATGGCGAGAGATGTGGTGGTGGAACGACACCGATACCGTACTCGGTGACATCCATGAGGATCTGTGAGTTGACACTATCGAATACCCATTGTGGTTGGATGTACTCACGGTTTGGATAGATCTTTTCTTGGCTGTTACGATCGATGATCTGATGAGTAACGCTTTGGTCAGACTCTGAGAAAGCACCGCCCTCCCACGATACCTCACCACCAAACGATTGGATGACAAACTCCAAGGCGTGCTTTGGAACCTCACGCGAGCAGAAGAACTTCAATCCCTTGAAGAGATTGGTTTGGTCGGTCAACTTGACAACAGAAGTGGCACCTTCTTGATCACCTTCCTGTCCAACGAGATCCTCGAAATCCTTTGAGATACCCTTTGAATTCAACTCTAAATTTCCACCATTGGCAGCATCATCTTCATTCTCTTCCATCTCTTCATCTTCTTGATTCAATGATTTGGAAATTTCATTAACCTTTTTCTTTAATTTTTAAAGAAATAATAATAATAAAGTTAGTTAAATAAATAATAACAACAAACAGTATTTAGATAATAGTTACTTGTGTATCGATAGCTTCTTTTGAAAGAGCTTGTTTGTTATTCTTCTTTGATGAAGTGGTAGTTGTTGTTGTTGTTGTTGATGTCTTGTTTAATTTCTCGGTAAGGATGGATGAAAGATGTTCACCGTTGTTCAATCTGCTTTTATCGATGGTTGGTGGATACTTCAATCCGAGTGAAGTGTAGAGCTTGTAGTTGACAAACTTGAGCATGACTTCGTAGAACTCCAAAAAGTTGATCATGACACCGTAGTCGACTTTCTTTTCCTTCTTGTTGATGTAGTTGATCGGTGTCAACCAGGTGATGGTTTCACCCATGATCTCGGCCTGATAGTAGATACCCTTGATAGAGACAAACACTTTCTTCAACGACTTTGAAACGGTGACGTAGTGTTGGAACTCACGACACAAGTCGGCGCAGGTAACGATGTGATTCTCACGCAACTTGGGAGAGCTGTCCATCGATGCGAACAGATGGATCAGAGTCAGACAATCGTCGAGATCCTTCAGCGCATCTGTAAATGTTGGATAACGTTCACGAACGATGTGGTCGATCGATGACGACGGACGATTCTTGATGAACTGCTCCAACGCTGCCCAATCCTTACGCTCTCTCAGCTTCTTCTCCTTCTTTGCAAAAGTCTTACGATCACGAAGTGTCTGAATGATTGGTTCGTGTTGAAGGAATCTGATATCCTTCATATAGTAATAGGTTTTATGTTTACCTTGTAACTTTTTCTTTGGGTCACGTGGATGAATACCTTTAATAATACATAATTTTCTGTATATTTATTAAATATAAATAAAATGTAAGTATTATTAATAAATTAATTTTTAGATTCACTTATTATTATAATTATAATTATTCATTTTCTATTGTATGATTCATACCTGAATAATTTTAAAGATATTTGTAACTTTCTAGCAGCAGCATTTCTGGTGATGAAACGGATGTTCTCACCCTTTTCATTCTTCTTATACTTTCTAATTCCACCCATTATTTAAATATTAATCTTATAAATAATAAATAGAAAAAAAAAAACAAATTATTTCCGGTGGTAGAGTTGCGATCATTTTCGTTCGTTAAAAAAAAAAAAAAAATTAAAAAAAATAAATAAAATGGAAAGAAAATATTTTTTTCAACAAAAAATTGGAAAAATAAAAATTAAATAAATGAATGTTGGTTGAAAATGAACAACCTATAATTATTTGCTAAACAAGTCTTTGATTGCAGAAGATTTTGGTTACGATGTCAGTCTTGGAGAGATAAAAATAGGAGATATTATTTGTAGTCGATAATTTGAACAAAACAAATCTAAATGATAATTATAGTTGGACAATGTTCACTTGGTAAATATCGACTACAAACTTGCAATTAGTGTGAATTGTTGAGCTGTCTGCCATTAGATTGTATTAAGCAAAATCATTCAAATTGAGTAAAAAAACAAAATATTTTAAAATTTAATTTTGGATAAAAAAAAAAAACAAAAAATGAATTTAAGTGTTTAATGATGTTCAATTCATTTTAAAAGTAATGAAATCATTAAGGGTTGTATCATCTTTATCATCAACATTTTTATTACAACAATCATCATCTAGAACAACCCAATCATTTAGATTGACAACATTAGCCAATAATATCCAAAGATACTCAACAAGTTCAACATTCAGAGTAAATAATCCAATATTTAACAGCAGTAGTAATAACAATAGAAACAACCCAGCAATGTCAAAAGCAGGTGTAACTGAAGAAAATGCAAGTTCTTAAAACATACTTATTATGATTTCAATCAAATAACAATCATTAACAATTTAAACAAAAAAATGGCAAATTAAAAAATAATAGAACAAGATGGACCCAAAAGATACCATCTTTGCCAAGATCGTGGCAGGTACCATTCCATGCAAGAAGGTCTATGAAGATGAATATTGTTTGGCTTTCCACGATATCAATCCAGTAGCACCAGTTCATGTCGTTCTAATTCCAAAGACACCAATCGGTGGTATCGATGGTATGTCTTTGTTATTTTCATCTATCATTATTATTATAAGAGCGAATTACTTACTAAATAATTATTGATAACTTGTATAAATTCATAATAATAATAATATTATTATTAATAATAACAGATGCTCAAGAATCACATGCTGAAACATTGGGTAAAATGATGGTCAATGTTCCAACCATTGCCAAACTCGTGGGTATCAGTGAATCTGGTTACAGATTGGTTGTCAACGAAGGTCTCAACGGACAACAATCAGTCAGATGGTTACATATCCACGTTTTGGGTGGTAGACAAATGAACTGGCCACCAGGATAATTTCAATGAACCAAATCAATTCATTACAATCAGATCTGATGCTAATCCCAAAATTAAAAAAAAGTAAACTTTCTTTTTTTGTTTTCTTTTAAAATAGACAATTGTTTATTTTTATCTATCACTGTGTTTTTTTTTCATACGGGATGATGTGTAGCAATATAATTTATTGCTTTGTGCTGTTCCTTCGTTACAATTCGTTCAATAAGTTCACCTGTACCTCTATATACTCTTACTCTATTTATATTATATTTTCGTTGTTGAACCAACAAAATGAATATTTATAATTAGCAAATCAAACTAATATCGATGAAATGAATGAGTAGTCATACCTTCCAGTGTCTTCATCATATTTTTCATAAGTAGTATTTCTAAGTGTTTCATAGTCTTCATTTGACATTGGCCCCATCACTCTTTTTGTAGGTTGTGAAGTTTGTTGCTGTTGTTGTTGTTGAGTTGTTATTTTATTATTCGATTTTGAACTATTATCTTTTGACTCTTTCTCTTTATCTTTCTCTTTCACTTTTTCTTTCACTTTATCTCTACTTCTAGCTTTATCTTTTGATTTTCTCTCTTCACGTCTCTTCTTCTTTTCCTCTTTTCTTTTGTCTTTTCTTTTTTTTCTTTCAGCTTGGTCTTCACTTGAAGAAGAAGATGATGAGGTTGATGAAGATGAAGATCTACTTCTATGACGATGTCTATTCTTTCTTTCTTTACTTCTTTGTCTTGATCTTGACCTTGATCTACTCTTACTTCTATCACGTCCTCCTCCTCTATGTTTTTTATGTCTCTTTGTTGATCTATCTTTACCTCTAGAGGTTGATCTCGATCTACTATTAGATCTACTTCTTAGTCTATCTTTATCATATCGATGATGTTTTCTATCTATACTTCTCGATCTAGATCTTGATCTAGACTTTGACTTTGACCTTGATCTTGACCTACTATGCTTTCTCTTATGTACATCTCTGCTCCTACTTCTACTTTTACTTTTACTTTTACTTCTTTCTTTATCTCTACCTCTATCGGTTTCCTTTACCCTACTTTTTTCATCATCGTTATGCCTATGTCTATGCTTATCCCTCTCTCTATCTCTACTCCTACTTTTACTTCTATGTCTATGATCATGTCTGTCTCTTTCCCTATCTCTACTCCTACTTCTACCCATTTTATAATAACAAATCAAATATGAATTTCAAAATCAAATATTTTGTACGAAAATAATTAACACACACACATAATCAAACAACCAACCAATCAATAGTTATCTTTCAGATTTACCAACATTTTTGTAAAAACAATTTGGCACATAAAAATTATGATTTTTTAAATTTTTATTTATTTTTTTTTTTCGCATCTTTTTTTTGGGATGGGAAAAATTCGATAAAGAAAAGTTTGACTTTTTATTATTAATAATAATAAAAAAAACGAATCAATAGATATAATTAATTTTTATTATTTTATTATTTACTTTATTTATATTTTTTAAAAGAGAAAGAAATGTCAACTAAAAAGAGTATACAAAATAAAAAAAATGTTTTAGCATCTGGGTCTAAGAAACCAGCATTAAAATCAAAGAAATCAACTTCAACCACCACCACCATAACAACAACCACCAACCCAACAACAATCGAATCACCAAATACTACCACCGTCATTGCAACCAAAGGAATTAAAGCAAGAGTCGTCGATGCTACAGAGTCAAACGATAGCACCACCGGTTCAACTTTGTCTTTCAAAGTTGGTTTGGCGCTGACCAGCGACGGTTGCTTGGCAAAGCCAATTCTGAAAAAGAAAGTTGCAAAGGCAGCTGCTGCCTCTGCCAAAGACAAGAAGAAACTCTCTGAGCAAAAGCAAGAGAAAAAGAATGTTGTCTTCCAACTCGAGAGAAATCAAACTCAACTCTTCAACAAATTGAACAACGTTTCGGAAATTAAGCCTGGCTTGCCTGTTGCCCAAGCAATTAAATTAGCACCACCAACCCCTAAAGTTGTTGAAACTATACCAACAACAACTACCACCACAACTACCACCAACACCAATGACGCAAACGAATCTGTAATTACTGACACCGAACAACAACAACAACAACAACAACAAACATCCATCGCCACAACCACAATACCCACCACATCTAATAAAAAGAATAAAAAAGTGGCAGCAAACAAAGCTCAACCAACTGAAGAACAACAACAACAACCAAAAGAAACTCAAATCCAGACAAAAAGTGAAGAACAACCACAACCCAAAAGTAAAAAAAGAAATAATAGTAATAATAACAATAGCAATACTACTACTAGCGATAATAGTAAAGCTGTAGAGGAAGAAGCTTCAGTAGTTCCAGAGATGAAAGATGTAAAAAAGTCGAAAAATAACAATAATAATAATAATAGTAAACAACAACAAAAGGAAGTAGCTGTTGTTGCAACACAAGCAACAAACGAAAAGAAAGAGGAGAAGAAAGAGGAGAAGGTTGTTGTCGAAACTACTGCTATCGAAGTAAAGGAAGACAAGAAGAAGGAAAAGAAGAAGGAACGTGATGTTATCAGTGGTTTCAATGTGTTGCCAGTAAAGATACCGGGTACATCTATCACAAAGTATATCTATTACAAGAAGGAGACCTCCAAGAAGTGGCCAGTCAACAAAACTCTTTTCGTTACAAACCTGCCGCACAACTGCAGTTCTTTGTTGGATCTTCAAGTGTTGTTCCAATCGACCGACATTGAGTCAGTGCAATATGGAGGTGCTGCTGCTGCCGCCGATCAACAAATCGTACCAGAGTCAGAGTCTAGCTCTACCACCGTTGCTCACGTCATCATGAAGTCTGCGCAATCACTCACCGACCTATTGAAATACTTGAACATCATTGACATTAAGCTACCAACTTCAACAAGCGATGGATTGGATGGTAAGTGTATAACATAACATAACTATAAATCAAACAAAGAAATATATAACAGATATATCTTTAACTTTTTTTTTATTATTATTTTTTTTTTTTATAGAAATGTTAAATGAAGAAAAATCAAAGATTATCAAAGACTTTGATGAGTTACAAATTAAATTAGACGACGCTATGATGGAACACGACAAGAGAATGTTGTTGGAGAGACACAACCGTAAAGATATGCAAGGTGTACCAGATGAAGATGGTTTCATTCTCGTCACTGGAAACAACAAGACCTACAAACCAATTACACAAGAGGAGTACAAGAAGAAGGAAGACGCAAAGAAACAAAAGAACTTTTATTCATTCCAACAAAGACAACAAAAGAAACAAGAACTCGATAATCTCCGTAAGAAATTCGAAGAAGACAAACAAAAGATTGCCAAGATGTCTGCCAACAGAAAGTTCAAGCCATACTAAAGCAATCAACCACCAACGCCAAAAACAAACATCCAATCGATTTCAATTATCTCTTCTTATTTTTTTACAATACAATAGTCAAATAATAATAAATAATTAAAGAAAATAATCAATCATTATTAATTAATTAATTATAAAATAAATCTAATATTAAATAGATCAAAAGAGAAAAAAAAAAGCATGTTTACTATTATTATTTTAAAATGGTAATAAATTCTGATCTTGAACTTATTATTTTTATTTTCGTTACGATTTGACAATTTATAAAGTAATAATAATTTGGAAGATTGGAAAAAGTCGTTCACAATTGAATTGGTTGGATGGATCTATATAGATATATATATTATTATATGTTTGTTTTATTATATGTTTGTTGTATTTATGGTTGTGATGGCACTTCGTTGTCTACGACATTCGAAACTGGTTCGTTTTGTGATACAATGACAGTGTCCATTTCGACTGGACCCTTGGTTTGACCTCCGACCGACTTGTCGAATGACATTTGTTGTGAGGTCGATGAGAATGGATCAGCATTGACACCCTTGGTGTAGAGACGCCAGAACTTTGGAAGGAACAAAATGGTGAGTGTCGAGGCAGTCGTGAAAATAGCGCTTGCACAAATGATAATGATTTGTGAGTCGTAGGTGGTTTGTGATACCATCAATGGAATGATAATGAAAAGACAGAAAGAAATGGCGTAGAGCGTGTTGGCAATCGATTTCGACTCGTTGAACTCCGCAATGTCAACGATTCTGATCTTCCACGATACGAAACAACCGACCAACAAAAGAATGGCGTGATAAATGAGAAGAATGTAAAGCACGATGTTTCCACTCTTGTTCATATCACAGGTGACACGGTAGTCGTACTCGAACAATCCTTCGAATCCATAGTTTCTCTGAGAGTGGACTTCTCCAACACCAGTCATAATGGCCAAAATTAAACAATTTAAAAGAATAATACCTCCTAACCATGGCATTAGCTTGGCATTTGTAATTCTTAATTTCTTTAACAATGGATTACTAAAATAAAAAATAATAACGAGTTAATATAGTTAAATATTTATATATATATTTTCTTTCTACTTACTCAAAGATTAACCAAATTCTGAAATTCTTGATTACCATGTTACCGAGCATAATGGTATAACCGAGTGACATCAACCAAATACGTGAACGGCATAATCCAGTAGTTGGACTTTGTACCCAAAGAATGACGGCAACATAGATCAAAATACCACCAAAAACAATTAACATACAGAAAAGTGGACTGGCAGATCTCATAATCTTTGTTTCTCTGAAAACGAGCAATCCAACTAAAATGATTACTGCAACCAAACCAACTACACCAGCGGCAATTGAAAAACCATAGGTAATCGATTTCTTTACAACATACTATTTCAAAATAAAAATAAATTATAATTAATAAATAAAATATAAATAAAATAAATTTAAAATATTAATACATACTTCATTAGGTGGAATAACATAATAACCTAAATCAATAATCTCTGGTAATAGAGTTGGACTACTCAAAAGATCATTTTGGTCTAATCTTTCTTTTCCATAGGAACTGTTAAGATATAATTTGTTGTAGGCATATGGAAGATCTTCGAACTTTGTTGCTTTCAAAGCAGTAGTTAAAGTGTTGAATTGATCGAGTTGTTCTTTTTTAAGCTATAGGAACGATTTAGAAATTAGTTAGTTTGATTTCAATGTTATAATAAAAATTGTAAAATCAATATTTACCAAATAACTATATTGTTGATCTAAAAATACACCACCATCAGTAAGTGTTCCATAGTAAAGCTCAGATTGGAATGTTCCAGCGATGATATCTTGTGATGCGTTCAAGTATGCCATTGTCCAATTGGTGATGATACTGGTAAGGATTGATTCACCGAAAATATTGTAAACTGGATAACCAGAGGTACCGAATGAGAGAGCACCACGGGAGATGGCGGTCGATTGAACTGAAAGATCATCGGCAGACATGGCTACGACATCGACACCTTTATCGATGAGATAATTGGTAGCACCAACTTCAATAACTGGATTATACCATGAACCGGTCTCGGCAGAGTAGACAGTGATATCTTTACTGTAGTTCATGGCACCCAAGTAGTATGCGTTGGCAGTGACATAGCTGAGTGAGGGTGGACCTGGTACGACAATTCCAATCTTCTTGGTGGTGGAGGCCATCGCTGCCAGATATCCAATGAGGTAATGTCCAATACCGAAATCAATGAAAATATTTCTGACATTTTTGGCAGTTGGAACGGCCAAACCACGAATCAAGAAGTAGGTATCCGGGTAAACAGCAGACATGTCTTGGGTGGCTTGGACATGTTCTATCGAACTTCCAATAATCAAATTATATTGTTGTTTGACCAATTTTTTGATTAAAACAACAGTGTCTTCGTAGGTAACAATATTGTTGAAAACGGTTGTTTGGTTGTGAATTCTGAGGGCTTTTTCGACATTGATGAGAGCCTGGTTACAAGCATAATTGTATCCAAGATCGGTGAATTCACCACTCAGAATGAGGGCTAATTTGAAATTTTCTTTTGGAACTGGATTGGCTCCAATAGAAAGATTACAAAATATCGATAATATCACAACTATTATACTTAAAGCAAGTAATTTCATTGTAATAATTTTTTTTTACAATAAAAAAAACAAATAGTAATATATGGCTATTTATTGGTATATGAAATATATATAACAAGTGTTTTTGGAAAAAAAAAAAATAAATAGAGAATTGTGTTTTTAGTTTGGTTTAACACTGATCACAGGAGTCTCTTGGTGAGTGTGTGAAGATACTCTGTTTGGAAAAAAGACCTTTTTTAATTTTATATGATTTGCACCTGAAGGGGGTTTAGGTAGGCAATGTAGGTGCAAAGTGATGTGTAATAATAAATATTAATGGCAGTGCACCTTTTGAAGTTGGACGTTTATTTTTGTTTTTGGTATGTAAAATGAAAAAACAACCCAAAAAATCAAAAAAGAAGTTTAGAAAAAAAAGAAAAAACTATACTGATGATTGATAAGATATCTAAAAACTTATCAGTTGTTTTGGAAAAAATAAAAAAGATGAGAAAGGCGAAATGATAAAAAACAGGAACTAAACAGTTTAGATGTTAGGGATTATCGATCAACTAGTAACAAAGATGATTTGTCAACCAGTAAATTATATATGTGAGTTGTAGATAAAAAAGTGATATATGAGGTTTAAGAATAAATAAAATAAAATGAAAGGTTTGTTGTTGTTATTGTTGTTATTTTCGTTGTTGAAAAAACAAAAATAATAAGGATCGGCTTATTCTGATGTGTGAGCGATGGTTGTTGTTTATTTGATTAATAAAAGTAATTATTGAAAAGTTATACGGACGAGTGGTTGTTTGTTGTTGTGTGTATGGTTTGTCGATTGTTTTGTTTTTGCAAAAAACAAATCAGAGATAATATAATGGTTTTGTTTAAAGTAAAATGTGTATACTGATTGGTAGATCTCTCTAATATGTATGTGATGATCAAAAACGACAAAAACGCAGCTGTTTTTTAAAATTACAATAAAATTAAATTTTATTAAATAAATAATAGTAGTTGTAAATTTAAGCTGGCAGGGGTCGGTCTTTTTAGGGCACTCAATGTCTTTGATACCAAACCAGTAGTGGCTATTATTGTTCTCAACTGACTTCTAATAAATAATATCAAGAAATCACTCCAATCACTCAATCAAATCAGAGTTAGTCATTCAATCAAAAGGAAATCTTCCCTATTTGCAACTTTCATATTGATGTTGACCAATTGGGTTATGATGTAATGAGACACTGGGCTACAACTTGAGCAACTACACACTATCTATGAAAGTTTGAACTCATTGCAAACAGGAGCAAAAGACAAACCTTTTTTTCTTCTTTTTTTTTGAAAAATCAGTTTTGATCCCAAATTATCGTCTCTTTGATTGAATTTCATGGGGGTAAAAACAAAACCTAATCTGGAGATTGTGATGTTGCTCAGTGGTCAAACTAAAACTTGGACCCATTGACGTATGAAAATTGAGATTTTTCACTTTTTTTTTTCATAGCGGTTTTTTTTTATTTTTTTAAAATATATTTAAAAAAAAACAACAGATAAGGTAAAAACTTTTCTGATTGGATAAGTTCTGTATCAAACTTACCGAAGTGGTTTTGCACATATCTAAACACTAAAAACAAATTACAAAAAACTCTGCCGTCTCCCATAGAAAGTATCAACAAATATTAAGTTTTTGTGTTAGGGGGAGATAGATTTATGATATATCATCAGGGCAAAACCATCTATAAAAAGACGTCGTTATATTTTAATTAATATAAACATGTTTGTTGTTTTTCACTTAAACACAATGTATAAGGGCCATGTCTCTCGGAGGCCTGAATGCCCAAAAACAAAATAGTATCGTGATCTTTGCTTCAACCAAAAAAGTTTTTAGTAAAATTTTTGTTACTTTTTTTTTTATTAATTAATTAAGAGTGTCACGTGACTCTTTAATCTGGAAATCAAATCATATCAATCTTCAATTCTTATATTGGTCTATTTATAAAAGCATAAGAGAAATACTTGACCATCATTTAGACCACAATTGCTTCATGATTTAAATCTACCAATTTCAGACATATTTGCAGTTTATCGAAATTGAACCGTCCACACTTCTATATTAAGATAAAATCATGATTTTGGTTACAATGCCTTTCTTCATTTTTGGTTATTTTAAACTATTTTTAAAACAATCAATATCAATTTATATGTTTTTGATGAACATCAAACTCGTCCACATTTTTTAAATTGCACAATCAAAATCATTGAAATCAACCAATCATTACCATTCTTTTAGATTGAGTAATTAGTTTATAAATAAATTTAAATTTGATTTGGCTTATTTGATTTAGAAAAAAAAAAACAATGTTTTAATTTTATTGGTTATTCTTAATTTAACAAAAGAGTTATAATAATAGTAATAAATTAGTTTAGATTATGTAGTTTAACAAAGTTGTTGCTGTTGTTGTTGATGTTAGTTTTTAAAACTATTTAAAATCCAGCGACCCTCCTTGTCTTGTGTAAAGTGATTTGGCTTCCATTCCTCACCCTTGGTCTTTCTTTCCTGAGCTTTCTTACGTTGGTCTTCTTCAACCAGTGTTTTCTCTCTTGTAATATCTCTTGAGCTAGCACTGCTCTTGGCAGCGGCAAACAAACCACCCCAGATCTTTGTTGAATCCGTTGGTAAAAGTTGGATCTCTGGTATTGGCTCTGCAACACCTGGTGTAAGTTTACTCTTCTCAAAGAAATGTTTATAATCGTCTTTTTTATATGGGGAAATCTTTACCTCTCCATCCCACTGACCTTTGAGTTTAAATACTTTATCCTTTCCCTTAAACACTTTACCTTCGATTACATTATAATTTCCAATTAACAATGGCTATAGTTATAAAATGTTCAATTTGAATTAATGCAACTAAATAATAATAATAATAATGTTGATTTATCACTTACTTTTGGTAAAAATTTAGTTTGAATTGAAAAATTGTTTGAAGTACAGGTGAGTGTTGAGTTTCCGATGAACTCACCGAAACCTCTGAACATTCTGATGGCCATCGATGGCAATGTGCAATGATACTCTTCGTTGAATTTATCGACTTTGATGACGAGATGTCCGTCAAGATTCAGTTTGATGTAGGTTCCCATGAACGCTCCTTTAATTGGTGAGTAGTAGGCAACCGACACTCCACTGCCATAGACGATCGACGAGGAGATTGGTGGATGGTGAGAGATCTGTTCGCACAGCGAATGTGCAGTGGCGTTTATATTTGGAAAGTTTGTTTTCAACTCTGATGTCTCTCCGAGCACCGGGTTCAATGGTTTCTTCGAGACATCTTTTGGGATGTAACGAGTGCTCATAAGGTAGCGGTAAACCTGGAGCATACGCTCCATTGGATCGTCGATCGCGTTACACTGAATCAACTGATCAAAGTATCCCGAGCAATTCTCTGCAAAGTAACCGAGAGTCGAACGTGGCAGAATAAAGGAACCTGGCATCACCATGTTGGACATATCCGTACCGACCTTCATACTCTTCAACATCGAAGTGATAGCACTATTTCCAGCGGTAGCACCTCCCTTATCAACTTGCTCATCGATCTCCTCGACAGTGGTAGTAGCACCATCAACCTTTTTGAACTCCTCTGGAATCTCTTCACCCACATCCTCAAAATTTTCTTCTTTTGCCATATTTTTTTTCTACTTTAAAAAAGTTTACAATTTCTATATTTTATTTATATGTATATATTTATTTATGTTTATTTATTTTTAAATAATTAATAATAAAAGAAAACAAAAAAAAACAATCAATTTTTAAAGTATGTTTTTTCAGTGGGAATCATTGCAAAATATCAAACATTACAAAAAACCCTATGAATATTCTAAGCAAAACTATCATTTTTTAATTTTTTTACGATTTTTTTTTTTTTCAATGCCGATTTGTTTGATTGTTGATTGTTGATCATCATCACTCATGAAAATGATGATTGCAAGTGTGATCCAAAGATAAAATGATTTATTTTAGGTTTTTTTTTTTTTAATTGATGTTTTAATGTTCATGTTTTATTTATTAAATTTGTAACCTTGCTATGTTTAAAACAAATAACAATAAAATTAATAAACACACTGTGATGAAAAATTATTTGTTTCATGAGATTGATGCACCAGTGAAAAAAAAAATCTTTCATTTTGATTTATTTATTGTTTTTTTGTTTTTAATTTCTTTAATATTTTTTTTGTTTTTTTTTTTTTTGAACAATTTGTAATTGTAAGTTTTAGGTAATAGCTATTACAATAAGTAAGTAGTAATAAATCTATTGTACAATTGATTTGTTTCTTTTATTTATTTGTATCTATATGTGTTATAAATGAATTATTATTTTCTTTTCTTTTATTAATAAACTAAGAATATCAAGTTCATTATCAGATAAGTAGGTTTTTTAAATTTCCATCTTTCTTTAAAAAAAGAGAAACAAAGTTTTTTTGGGTTTCAAAAGAAAATTAAAAAAAAAAGCAAAAAATTTAATTAAAAAAAAGAAAATTTAATTTTGTTGAAAAAAAAAACAAAAATTTCAACGTTTATATTTATTTGTTTTTATATATCAAATTAATTTTAATTAAATAAATAATAAATAGATAACACATCAGCAGCAGCAGCAGCAGCAGCAGCAACAACAACAACAATATATTTATAATATAAATATATAGTAGTAGATTTTCTATTTATTTTGTTTGTTTTTTTTTTGTTTTTTATTTTTTTTGTTATTTTTTTAATTAAATTTTTTGTAGAGCAAGAAGATAAGCAGAGTAGCAAATAAATAAATAAACAATTCAACTCAACACTTCTCTTCTCTTCCATTCCCTTCTTCTACTTTGTTTAGTAGTTAGTTAGTTAGTTAGTTAGTTGTATACTATAGTCACCTTATTAGTTACATTATAGTTATAGATTTAATTAAAAAATAATAATAATTTAGTTAAATTTTAATCGTATTGTTTTATGATTTAGATATATATCGATTGATTAATTATTTATATAATATATATCAATAGATAGATAGATAGATAAAAAAAGAAGAAAGAGAGCAGAAACAAAAAGATCAATCAGAACAGTTTAATATATAGTTGTAAATCTATGAAAACAGCCACTGTCAGTTCAAATCATACACCAGTTGTTGTCTCATCAAATTTTAATCAGTTAACTCCATTAATGACAGAAGACTACAAAGGTGATACTAATGGAGACTCTACAACTTCAAACAATACAACCACAGATGATCCAATGATTGTTGTTTCAATGAAAGATAATCTAATTAATAATAATAATAATAATAATAATAATAATAATAATAATAATAATAATAATAATAATAATAATAATAATAATAATAATACAACACCAACAACAACAACAAGCAGAGGTTTCGCTCCAATAAGAGATGACGACTATCTTCCACAACAACAACAACAACAACAACAACAGGTTCAAGATTCGACGATAAATGGAAATACTTATATAAATGGCAACGGTAATGGCAATGGTAATGGTTGTAGTGGTAGCAATGGAAATAGTAGTTCTCTAACATCGTCACCTTCGAAGTTGACATCGTCTAAACCACCAAGTCCAGTGCAACTTCCAGATTCACCGAGTTCACAGTTACTGAATAGCAGTATTCTCGGTTTGAAGGATGTTCACTTGGCACCAGAGTTGTGTGAATTGTTCTCTTGTTTCAGACGCTACAAAGCAGCGATCTCTGGTAAGCGCGAAGACGAGCTCACCAAGTACCAGACCATGGTGAACCAGCTGTTTGAACGTGACTACCACATCTCATTCATCAACAACAAGAACGGTGAACTCTGTGCCACCTACCCACCAGAGCTGATAGTCATAGAGGCAGAGCGTGAAAACAAATGTAAAGGTTGCATTGAAAGAGATATACAACCAAGTAAGTAACATTAATATTAACATTAACATTAGCATTCATCATTATTAATATCTATCTTATTATCATCAACAACAAGTCAATAACTCTCAGACAATGCAAAAAGTCTTGAGTAGTTCAAGATTTGCTCGAGTTAGAACAAGATTCCCGTTTCCAGTGATCTACTATCACAACAAGAATCTGTGTCGTTCATCAACTCTGTCTAAAAAGATTGAGTATATGTTTCAAACTGGTGTAAATTCAATGAAGAAGCAATTGTAAATATAAAATTAAAAAAAGAGTGGACCTCGTTATAATTATTAACTATTATAAAAACAAAAATATTAATTAAAAAAAAAATAAGTGGTAACAATGGTGCACAAATGGAAGAATCTGAAAATGGAGATACTCAGAACATGGAGAATCTTAGGAACAACGATATTTCGGCAATTAAACATCTCTCTGTAAAATATATTTGTGATTTAATGGTTGAAAATAAGAAGAAAAAGTAAGTGTTTAACAAACAAAGAAACAAACAAACAAAAGCAAGTACTCATTAAGTTGATTCTTTTTTTTTTTTTTTCTATTTTTTTTTAATTATAGGTTTGGATTCTTTGTTTGTTCATCAGAGAAAGCAGATATGCATGATAGATACACCAAACAGTTTACTATTGCATCAACACCGTATCCAGGTGTAGAGTTTTTCTCTTTGTTCAACCAGAATAGACACGATGCCAAAGATCTATTCTATGGATGGGATTTCACCGAATATCCTGCGGAGCTTAAAATCGATAAGAATTCAGTTCCTGTCATCTGGGAGCAATATAAATCTTGGGATTTATGTATGTATTTATTTATTTTTGTTTTTGTTTAATTGTATTAACTTTTTTTATTTCTCTGTTGTATTATTATTAAATAGTAAATCTAACACAAAACTATCTGAAATTATTACTTGAATATATTTCGGATGATACCAAGGATTCTGGTGTTTTGGTTCATTGTATCTCTGGATGGGATCGTACACCGTTATTTATATCACTTTTAAGACTGAGTTTGTGGGCAGACGGTGAAATTCATCAATCTTTAAATTCCTCTGAAGTTCTCTATCTCACAGTTGCATATGATTGGTTTTTATTTAGCCATCAGCTTGCAGACAGAGCCGGCAGAGGTGAAGATATCTTTTACTTTTGTTTTTATTTTTTGGAATATATTACATCTTATGATTTCTCTGTTCATGCTTATTCTCATCTACAGAGAAATCATAATAATAATAATAATAATAATAACAATAGTAATAATAATAATAATGTAAATAATAGTAATAGTAGTAGTAATAATAATAATAATAATAATCATGTAAATAGTCAAAATAGTAATGGTTGTTCAAATAATAATAATAACAACACTAACAATAACAATAGTAAAAACAAATCAAATTCACCATCTACTATTCAAAATAAGGAAGGTAGATCGAATTCCAATGAAGGTAGAATGCATATCACTGGTCTCAACAACAACAACAACAATGGAGGAGCAGTACCAACTACTTCTACTTCATTGTTTTTCAACAAGCAGACCACTAGATCACCCGGTTCAATGGTGTACTCCTCCTACGGAAAGGGTGGTTCGCCACTCGTCGATACTCAGTCGGCACCACCAACACCCAAGAAGAACTCACCATCGTCGACGATACCAGTGAAATTCCCCAACTTGTCGTCGGCTCCCTCTACACCGGTCAGTCACTCGCCCGTTGCCACCTCGATGATGCTGATGGGTGAACACCGTATGTCAATGTCGCCGAATCTCTCGTCGACAACCGCCGCCTACAACTACTCGAGCACTCCGAATGCAACCACTGGAAGCATGAGCATTCCAGTCGATGTCCCACGTCACCATCACCATCATCACCACCACCACAACCACCATCACCACCAACAGCAACAACAACAACAATATCAAAAGGATGCCGAGGAGTTGGGTGGAAGCTGGCAGCTGATGGGTTCGCTACAAGACAAGATGAAGTCACTCTCGTCGTTTGGAGGTTCCACTCCCACAATCTTTATGCCATCCAACGGCAGCTTCAGCTCCAACAGTGAGATGGAGGAGAACGACGAGACCAACTCCAAGAACGTTTCGGATGACGACGACGATGAAGTGGGAAGAGACTCTTCCAACGAGGAGCAGTGGGATCCAGCAACCAATTTCTTTTTCTACTCGAACGCGTCAGAGACAGATTCTAATATCAGCAGCAGCAACAACAACAACAATAACAATAACAACAACAACAACAATGGATGTAACAAGAGAATCAAACAGGATGCTGGTGTCACAGGTTGCTCATCACACGTGCGATCAGGCGATGAAAACAATAACCACGACAGTACTCGAGACAAAACAAGAAAAGAGCAACACAAAGATCAACAACCTTCCGAACACAACTCATCATACCAACATCACCACAGTAACAATTCTCATCTTTCACGTGAGGAGATTGAAGACAGACGAAGAGAGAGACTCATGGAAGTCAAGTCTCTTTTCATTACACTTTATCAACAATGCTGTCTTGAAACCAACGACAGTTATTGGAAGACCATTTTGACATATTTGCCAAAATTCGGTTGAGGCATTATTATTCCTACTCTAATTCTAAAAACAAAAAAAAAACAAATCAAAATCAAACAACAACAAATATTATACCTTTATTTAAATAAATTTATCAACAAAAAAAAGCTGAAACAAAAACATTATTTATAAATAACAACATGAGAACTTTAAAAAAAAAAAAAAGAAAACCTAAATAGTTTGGTAAATTTAACAATATTAAAAAAAAAAAAAAAAAAAAAAAGGAAAAAATTTTAAAATTTTTTTTTTTTTAAAAAAAAAATAATTGAAAACAAACCAAATCAAATCAAATTATTTGTAACTACTTTTTATTATAATTTTAGATTAGATCGGATAGATTAATTTATCAAATGATAAAAAAGAAAAAGATATTGTCCTCATTGAAAGAAAAGGAAGCAAGAGAAGAATCTTTAAAGAATGTGTATGTGTATTTATATACTTGAAATCATTGTGTTAGATCAATCCAAACTTATTTGTAATTTTTTTTTCTGTTATCTATCTATTGTAGTGTAGAGGAAGATGAAGATCTAGATAAGAGTGACGATAAGAATAATGAGGAGAATGATGATAATGGTGCTGAAAAGTCTGGCAATGGCGATGATGAAGAGTCAGTGTCTAGTGAGAGAAAAAAGAAGAAAAAGAAGCATAAGAGTAAGAGATCAAAGTCAAGTGAGACTAGCAATGATAATGAAGAGGGTGATGCTGCCGATCATAATAATAATAATAATGAGGATAACAACGAAGAGAAAGAAGAGAGAAGACACAAGAAGAAACATCATAAGCATACTGATAGAGACAGAGAGGAGAGAAGACACAAGAAACACAAGAGAAGTAAAGAGGAGAAGAGTGAATCTGTAGATGCCGATAGTGGTACTGTCGATGAAGGTAGAGACGATAACGATGCAGATCACAATAACAATGAGGAGAGATCTCAAGAGAGAGAAAAGGATAAAGATAGAGAGAGAAAACATAGACACAAGAAGAAGAAGCACAAGCGAGATGCTACTGGTGGTGGCGACGAGGAGGATGCCGGTGGCGAAGAGAGAAGGAAAAAGAAACACAAGAAGAAGAAACACAGAAAGGATGAAAATGCCGGTGCCGAAGATGACGAAGATGAAGACTCCAAGAATGTGATGGTTCTCGATGAGAATGAAGATCTTAAAGATATAGTTGATGAAGAGGATGACGACGATGCCAACAACCAACAACGGCAGCATCACGATGACGACGAGGAGAATGGAAATGACGTAGTTGATGTTAGTGACGATGACGACAGCAACAGCAAAAAGAAGAGTAAGAAGAGAGAAGACAGAGGAAGAAGCAGAAAAGAACGTAGTGGCGATAAAGAATCAAAGAAATCGAAATCCAGAGATAGAAGTTGGGATCGTGACAATAGAAAAAGTTGGGAGCGCTCTGACAATGAAGACGAACAACAGGTCACCTATCACGGAGACGATGAATTTCACAACGAAGAGAAAGAGAGAAGCTTTGAAAAGAGAGAGATTAAACCGAGCACCGAGAACTTTTTTGGACAATACAAACCAACTAGTAATATTCTTACGACGACAAGGAGTAAATTTGGTGAGAGCCTTTTGAAAACGATCGAAATTGTCAAACCATACTATCCTCCACCTCCACCAAGACAATTTAATGCTTCAACATCTTCATACAACGATAATGATTATCAAAATAATAATGATAATAATGATCACAATAACAATTATAATAATAACAGTAACAGTAATAGTAGCTATAGTAATAGTAATAATAGTAACGGTTATAACAGTAGTAGTTCAACATCATATCAATCTAATTCTTCAAAACCAGATTATTTTAAGGAAATCAATTTAAATTTAGATTTTGTATGTATTTAATTGATAAAAAAAGAATGTCACCAATTTCTTTTATTTGTTTATTAATTAATTATTTTATTGATTATTATGAATAATAATATAGACACAATTTGGTAATCAAAAAACTACAACTTCAACAACTTCATCAACTTCAACAACTTCGACTTCATCATCAACTTCTCATAGATCAAGCAGTAAACACAGCAAAATGGATATGGATAAAAAGAAAAAAATATTTAAGAATGAAATATCAAAGATTGTTGTTAGTAAATTGAATAGGTACTTTAAGAGCAAGAAGATATCGAATAAAGAAGATTTCAAATATCTGGCAAACAAGTTTACTATGTTGGTCATCGAAAAGGATCATGGTCGATTGGATTCTGCTGGCGACACTCCAAGAAAAGTTGAAAAGCTATTGGAAAACTATTTCTCAAAGATCACTGTTTACACAAAAAAGAGTAGTAAAAAGCACAGTGCATCAGAGACAGAGCCACAATACGACAGTTTGGATTTAGAAAAGGAATTGGAATCAACAACCAACAACGATGATAACAACGACAACAACAATGACCAGATATCAGAAGAACCATATACTCCACCACCTCCACCTCCAATAACCTACTAATACCAACAACATTAACAACAACATACATAGCAACAAACGAATCGATTCGTCAATTAAAATTATCAAAATCAATAGGACTATATTTATAAATATTCTATTGATATACCATTATAATAAATCCAATCCAACAACCAAAAGCCAAAACCAACCCAATCTATACATGTAATAAATTTAAATAAAACGGAATAAATACATTTTTTCAAAAAAAAATAATAATCAATTATAGTTAGTTTATTCATTCTACAATGACTATGACTATAAATATTGTTTATGCTTCGGTGGTTGTTTCAGTTGGAGTGTCTACAGGTGTTGAAACAACAGGTTTTGTAAGATCGATAAGATTGTTTGATTCGCGAGCAATCTGTTCAATTGTGACTCTTCCTTTCTTGTTGATGAATTTGGCGACTGCTTCCATCTCTTTACGTGATACATAAATGAATTTACCACGATCATCAATGACACCGGAAATCAGACCCTCTTTATCTAAAGTTTTAATACGATCGATGACATCTGGTGTTTTCATACCAAACTCCATTGCAATATCTTCAAGCAAACAAATCTTGTTGCTCTCTAAAAACTTGATAAACTCTTGAAGTAAATTCTTTTCTTGTTCTTCATTCTGCTTTGATTCACCAGCCTCCTCAAGTGAAATAGATGCTTTCATAGCTTGATATTCTTCATCTTCTCTTTTCTCTTTCTCCAATCTGATTCTAGTTTCTTCTTCAATCTTTTATTAAAATAACGACAACAATATTAATAAATATTTAAATAGACAAAGAATCACATATTTAATAAACATACTCTTTGCTTTTCTCTTTCTAAATCTTCAAGTTTCTTCAAACGTAATTGTTCATCTTTTTCCTCTTCTGCTTTCTTTCTCTCTTCTCTCATATGTTCTTCATACTACGATATTAGATTATTTTTGAATGCAAACAATGACAAGATTGTTAGTTTATTTGAATTAGTTAATAGTCTATATGTTTCTTTAATACTAACCTCTCTTTGTTTTCTCTTTTCTTCTTTAAGTTTCAACTTTTCAAGCTTCTTTGTACCCATCTTCTTTCCTGTTTTTGGATCGAGACCAGTATTGATCGCAGCGTTGACATCTGTATCATCTTCATCACTATCACTTTGATCTGCATCATTATTATTTACTTTGTAAAAATGATCATTGTCAGTAATGAGTATAAGATATCTAGAAAATAAAAAGAAAATATTTTACTTTGTTCATTTAATTGTTCATTTTGTTGTGGTTGTCTTCTGTTTCTAACATTCATACGAGCCAGACCTCTTCCTCTGTTGTTATTATTGATATTATTGATATTTTCATTCTCTGCTTGAGGTTGTTGTGTATCGTTGATTTGATCATCTGGTATAAACTTCTTTGATGGGAATAAAACTACATATAATAATCCAACGATGATTAATATACTAAGACCTAATACACCTATAAATATACTATCCATTTTTCCAACAAATTTAATAAAAATGATAATTAAAAATTGAGGATCAATATTTGTGAATTGATTTATCAAAAAAATAAATTTAAATAGTTTTTTATTTTAAAAAATAATCACTGTTATAATATTTTTATAGGTAAATCGAATAAAAGTTATTAGACTTTGTTTAGGCAACTGTGGATACACCAGGATCAAGTTTTTATGGACCTACTTCTGTCACAGACACAAATTTAAGATAAAGGAACGTGTTTAATTTAATATTATTAATATTATAATATTATGATTTATTGTTATGTATATTATAATATTGATTGTAGTTGATGGATCTCTCTACGTTTCTAGTTGTGATGTCGGTGTAAGATTTCTGATCGTTGTAAAGTGTTGGGAATTGATTGATAAGTTTAACATATAGAGTAGATAGTGCTACAGGGTTGAATGGTTTCGAGTATTTGTCGATGACCTCACAGAGTAGTCGGTAGGAGAGTGTTCTCTGTTGATTCTTTAATAGTCTGGTGTCTACGATCTCGCGATAATGGTTAAACTCACAGAGAATCTCAAGTGCAACTTGGTCGTGTGAAAGATCGATATTGGAGGTGTTGAAAATAAAGTCAACCATCTTGTGGATGTCATGGTAGTTCTTTGGTGCCTCGGTCATGATGGTGAACAACATCATGTAGTGCGGTTTCTTCAGTTGAATGTAGTCACGTTTCATATTGTCGAGAATGGTGCGGAGCGACGACAGTGATAGGTAACCTTGGTGTAGTTGGTTACGTATCTCTGCGATGTAGATGATTGCAGTCTTGTTGAGACCGAGTGACTTGAGTGCTTGCTCACGGTAACGACCTTGTCCGGCAAGTGCCAGATAGTACGAGTCGATAATCGATGGCGTAATACGGAATTTCCACTTTAACTCGGGTGGTGCTTCGAGTGTCATGTTCTCGATGATGTTGAATGCATTGAGTGCTTCCTGTGGGTGGAAGACAGAGAGCAACGAGATGAAGCTGTCAATGTGCATCTGGAAGATCATGTCGGATTCATTGAGTTTGGTGAGTACTCCGACGAGCCAACTGTCGGTCATCTTCAACGACATGAACTGGTCGATGATCAACAATTGGTCAGAGTAATCTTTCATCGCCAGCATCAACTTGAGTACCTTATCGTATTGATTCAAATGCAGATAGGTTTGACACATCTTTCTTGGCACCAAATTGACAGTGTTGAATCTCGGGAGCAGGTTGATACGCTCCTTTGTGATGGGAACGAATTTCTCGCAGTATTTCATTAGGTCAATCACATCGTTTGTCATATAGTCATCGGGAATCATTGTCAGTACTGTCTCCACTAGGATAAGAGATGGTTCCGTTTTGATAAGCTTCTTTATCCACTTGTTGATTTGATGATACTTTGCTTTGTTCTTGTGGAGTCCAATGATGATATTGGTTATGGAGTGAGAGGAGAGCTCTGGGTTCTCGTAGAATCGATCGAGTATTGCTTCGTCATTGAGGAAAGCGACGATATATGACATGTCTTCTGTGGAGAGATCGGATCCAAGTCCACGCGCCAACATCGGTACTAAACCACGGATGTTGGAGATACGTGACATTGCAAAGAGACAAGCATGACGAATGACATCGTTTTGCATTCCACCACTTCTTTGCTCAGAGTAGAACAGACGTGTAAAGAAGGTTGATTCCACCTTGGCTGCGGTAACCAAGAGGTTCGCGCGAAGTACATCCAACTTGGCTGGCGTAACCATGTCGGTCAATTTGACAATGAGTTGTTGGGCGATATCGAGATGTCCATTGTGCAAAGCGATATCAAACAACGAGAGGAAAGCAAAGTCCTCACTGGAGTTGGATGAAAGATGTTCTACATCACTGGCATTCACTGGAAGAGCTGGGTATTTCTTGAGCAACATGATGATATCGTTCATCGACAAATCCGACGGTGTATCTTGTTCCAACAATAGACGTACTGCCGATACATGTCCAGCCTGTGCATATCTCTCAAACAAATAGGTATAGGTTTCTTTATCGATCGCCAAGTTACTGTCTTTCAGTTTGCTGTGTAGCTTTAGGAGAGCACTTAGATCGGTTGCTTTCATCAAGTAGATGAAATGACTGGATTTGACAGGGATTTGGTAGCGATTGGCAAGCTCAATCCATGGGATAGTAGCAAATCGCTTGATCAACGCAGAGAGTGTCTTGAAGCTTGGTTTCAATCCATAGTCAAAGAGCTGTGTCAACTCCTCCAAACCTTTGATGTCTTGAATGCAATGTTTGATAAGCAACTCATAGAATGCCTCTTCAGAGTGCAGCGATGGATCCAATCGTAACACGTACGGACGCAGAAGCTTGGCACGCAGCTGACGATCTGGAATCTCACGAACCAAACTCAGGAGTGTTTCCAATGAATGATTATCGCTGTTTGTATCAAACAATATACTCAATACCTTGTCTATCGATTGCATATTGCCGGTATTCACCAGGTATTGAATGAGAATGTTGGCAGAGCTAATCGAGGGTGCTCTCGCCAGCACTTGTAATCCGCGTTGGAATCGTTCGCTCACTATATCCCTTCCGTGGAAATCCAAAGCGAATAAACATCTCAACATGACCGAGTACAACTCAATGGCGTCGCCAACCGACTTTGAGTCACGCTCGACCGTGTCCAACAAAAAGTTAAAGTCATTGTCTGTGATGAACTGCTTCTCCAGAGATTCCTCTTGGTGATAGTTGTTCGTACTGCTATGGAGGAACGACGAGAGTGAAACGGTTATTAGGTTATAGAGGGTTTGGTGGTTCACCGGGAATCCGAGTGGATCGAACATCGATCGCATCTTGCTGTAGACGTTGGCAATGTCGTGGCTGACGGTGATCAGCGCCGATTGCACGTCGATGTAGATGTCGAGATCGACTGGCAATCCCGAGGTAACCATGTGTCGCAGCCAGAATTGCGACTTGTTCGGTGAGTATGACAACGATCCATACAGACCGTGCAGGTAGAACTCACTGTTGAAGCTACACTGTTGAAGCTGCTCGGTCGACAGCGAGAACAGCCAATCGATGAGATTCGACTGTTTCATGTCGTGAAGTGTCAGCAGCTCGAGACGATCGGCATCGTCGAGCTCGGCGACAAGCGATACCAACTTGTCTTTGATATCTACGATTTTCGCTGGTGTATCCTTGTAGAAACTGCTCTTGAAGTTCTTATTGATCGATTGCACCAGGTAATTGATTCTTCCGGTGATCTCTATCAGTTTAATGAATCTGTGTAGCTGTGTGGTGCCAGAACTATCGAAACCAGAGTGTACCAAGAGATCGCCGATCTCTGGATACTTGCCATTCAGTGAGAATAGCAATGCATTGATCGCAATGGAATCGGTATCGCTATTGCCAGCAGTGTTTGCCACTTCCAACCATTCTTTAGGATCATTTATCTTTGAAAATAAAAATGCAATTCTATCTTTTATATCTATATCTTTTAAATTTATCAATTGTTTTAATCTACGATAGTGTTGTTGGGAGTTTTATTTGAAGAATGTGGATTTTTGAAAATGAGAATTAGTATCATTTTAAAGATTGATTTTAAAAGGTAAAAGTTACATTTCATTTCTTGGTAATGATAAATCTATTGGAATATGTGGTCGATTCTTTACAATTGACTTGATAGCTGTTCTTACATCGATTTTATTTGTTGAAATTGGTGACGATGTTGATGATGTTGGTGGTTGTGTATTTGTTGAAACTGTAGATTTTATTGTTGCTGTTGATGTTGTGGTGGTGAATGACTTTACATTTAATTGATTACTACTACTAATATTATTAAAAATATGACTATTGTTATAGTTATTGTTATTATTACTATATAATCTTGTTGTTAAAATTGATGATGGTGTTGATATATTAATATTGGTATTAACATTATTTGTTAATGATCTAATAGATGACAATCTATATAGTCTAGATAGATTGATCATCTTTTCTTTTCTTTTGTAACCAACAACAACAACAACAATAATACTGATCCAATTAAACTTTAATTTTGTTAATTGGTCGAGCCTTTGGGTCTCGTTTTTTTTTTTTTCATATGATATTATTTTTTTTAATTTTTACATTCATCTTCCTTCTTCTTCACTTTATCATTTCTTTTTATTACTATAGAGTTTAGTTTACCACTTACTACTGCAAGTTTCTGTTTTATTCTATATTGATGTAATAAAAATCTTCTTGTTGACATTGATCAAACTTGTTTTTATATTATCCAGTGTGATAATAAAATCGTAATTTCAATCACTGCATATGTCAATTCTGTTCTTGTCTCTTTCCAATTTAGGTAATCATATTTTATATTCACTACAAATCTATATCTATCTTTATTTATTTGAATACCAGCAGAAGAAGGAAGGTCAACAGATGTCAATATCAACCGGAAATAATGATAACAAAAACAGCATCAATAATAATAATGATAATCAGATAAAGTTTGCATCATCATAGATATTTGTTAATAAATTATTTATATTTTACTTAGTTAAATTTAGATTTGTTTATTTGAAAGAATGAGGTTCGATTCGTTTCGTTTAGATTTAACTAAATTCAACTTCAAAGGAAAGAAATAAAAACAATATTTAAGAGAGATAATAACTAAAGAGTTATTTTTATTTTATTATTTATTCATTAAATATAATATATTTACATTTCCATCAAGGGTATCATGCCAACCAAATCATCACTTACCGGTGACATTGGTTTCTTAAAGTAATAACGTTGTAATAAAAAGAAAAGTGAAGCTGGCATCAGATCTGCCATGACACCACCGATGCCCATCAAAATGAGTCCCTTTTTCTGCTCTGGACCAAGACCGGCAACTCTAAACTCAATGAATACATCCGGTGTGATCGGTGTCGTTACTGGTTCCGTTGATTTCATTGTGATTTCAATTTGTATTCTCGATCCATCCTCTGGAATCGCTACGACCTATAGAAATAAATAAATATCAAATTAGGTTAATGATAATTACAAAACTTTAACAATAAATATGAATGACTATTACTACTACTACTACATACATCATAGGGAGTTGGAAATTGGAATGAATTTAAAGATCTTGCAGGTTCGTATACACAACCGGTTTTGGTACTATTACATTGACCTTTGATGTAATCACCGTCCAGATTATCGAGTGGAGCATCTCTGTAGATTGCCAACTCCTTTCCACCACAATAGGCAAAGTCTTCTCTCATTAATTGAGCAAAGTTAAACACACCACTATAAATGGTTTGATCACCTACTTGATGATAATATTTAAGATCTCCATCAACTATTTTATCAAAATAAAATAAAAAATACAAATTAATATCTAATGTTTTATATGTATGTATGTATGTATGTATTTGTTATGTTATTATAATTACCATTATTAGTTACATAGAAAACCGGTTGATATTTAACACCTTCATCTAAGATGTGCTTTGGAATATGAAATACTTGGAATGTGGTTTTGTCGTTCTGACACTCTTGTGTTGTCGAGTTGAAGACGTCTTCACCGACCCATCTGTTGGGGTACTTGAGATTGGAGTCTGCGACTGGACATATAGAAAGACTGTAGACGTAGGGTGGAGGTGGCGGTTCACTCTTGTATGCAATATAACCTAGCGACAGCAGTACAACACCTACTACGAATATACTGGTGCACCCCAGTATCATAGCTATCACCAATTTAGTGCATTCCTGTCTCCTTATCATCCTCTATAACTGAAAAACTAACTTTTTCTCTTTTTCTATCTAGATCGAACAAACAAACTAACTAACTAACTTTATAATCTATCTTTTTATCTTTAATTTTTAACAAACTAAATATTAAATATAAAAATATCTTTTTATTTCTTTTATAATAAAAATATATATGTTTTAATAAGTAAGATATACTTCTTTTTTTTTGTTTTCTATTATTTTGTTACTTCTTTGAACCAAAAAACACACCTCAATAACAATTCATAACTTTTATTTTAGATTAATTTTTTTAGACAAGAAAATATTAAAAAATAAAAAAAAACTGATTTTTTGACCAGTGTTGATTCAACTTTAAAAAAAATATGTTGATCAACGTGAAAGTTTATTACTTTATTTATTATTGTTTTTTTTGTAGTTGATGTGTTATTGTTGATCTTGTCATTTTTATCCTTAAAGTTACCATACTTTGCTGATGTAACAACATACAACATATCTTCTGACATTAATGTTGAATATTACTTATCAACTTAGTCGGTAGGTCTATGAAAACTGCTACTTTTTTGCATATAAATATTTGTTTAAATAAATATAAAAGGATTAAATTATTGTGAAAAAAAAAGAAAAAAAGAAAAAATATTTATAAATAATCAATGATCAAAGGTAACTCGTAGATTTAAGTTTATATGATTGGGGGTCAAATTTTTTTTCATTTTATTTTATTATCGAAATGTTTGTAGTATATTCATTGTTCTTTAGTAAAAGGTAAAACAAAAAGATAGATAGAGAGTAATGGGAGTAAACGGTTTTACTACATTCTTCAAAGGTAGTCCCGCTGGAAAATCTTTACCACTCTCTGATTTAGCAAAAGATAAAAGTATGTAATCGGTTTTTCTACATTGATCGATCTTGTTCGTTTCGCGAATTATTAATATTTTATGTTTTGTTTTGCACATAAATAGAATTGGTGATAGGTGTTGATGGTAATGCATTATTCTATTTCTTAGCTGATAACATTCTGACATCTTCTGGATCATATGTTAATGTTTGTATATATATATATATATATTTATTGTTGTTGTGATACACAAACATGTTTAACTAACAAATACAATACTTTTGTATTCTATCAGTTGAGAAATGAGATTGTCAAATACTTTGAAACACTATTGAAGTTCAACATTGAACCTGTTGTCTTTTTGGATGGTCTATCACCGATTGGCAAGTACCAAGAGCTTGAAATGAGATTCCAAAGCAAACTATCGGAGCTACGTAAAGTCTCTGATAATCTGTTGAATTCCGAGCCATTTCCTTTCATTTCAACACCGACCATCAAATTGATCTCTGTAAGTATACCACTAGTGGTTGATTTCAAATTAAATAAGATATTAAATTTTAACGTTTAAACAACAGGTTCAATTCAGACGTATTTTGGAGGAGTTGAACATACAAACATACGTTGCATTCCAAGAGGCTGACTACGAGGTTACACAATGGGCTGTCGACAACAAAGATAGAGTATTTGGTATCATATCGAATGACTCTGACTACTATTTCTTCACTATGGGTGAATGTTACTTCATACCTTTGAACAACCTCAAAGTAACAGATGATTCAATCACAGCTATCGGATTTAAATCAAGAATAACCGCTGATTACCTACAGATTCAAGAAAAAGTATGTTATATTTCATCAATATCGATATTTATATGATTCTAAACTAACAACACTAAAATTACTATTTAATAGCACTTACCATTGTTGGCAACACTGATAGGTAATGACTACACAAAGTATCTGAAATCAAAGTATGTTGGTAGTCCTCAATCTAGAATATCGAGCATAATCAATAATCTAAAGAAATCAAAGAATCTCTCACCTGTATCAATCTTGAAAGAAAGTTTTAGAACACTTAGCAAGACAGGTAAGTTATAATATTTTATTTATTGCAATGAAAGTTCACATACTAATAAAATATATTATAGATTTAGATAATTGTTTAAATTCATATAGTTACTATTCAGTTAGAGATGAACCTAAATCAGATAGATTAGGATTCTACAGTGAGAATGGTATATTCTTTAGATACTCACAGCACTCTGATTACGAAAGAATAAGTGCCAAACCTTATTACAAACGTTTCTTCTCGGTTGCTTGTATGGTGAACTACAACTACCTCTCTCTTCTCTACTCACATATGAACCAAGTATCTAGTTTCTGTTTTGAACCTACCATTCCATATCAAAACTCATTGATTTACTACACCTCTACACTTAGACAACTGATGTTTGGTCTTTTAGACTATCCACCAAAGTCACAACCATTAAAATGTAAATATTAACATTGCTATTCAAATCAATAACATGGTTTAATTTACTAATCATAAATATTTGTCTCTTATAGATGCTGATTTGATTCCAGATAGTCGTTCATATCAAAAGGTAATGATGACACCGATATATGGCGAGTTTGGAATGGATGACTGTTGGAATGGTTCAGTGCCATTGGAGAAGCGTATCTATGAATTTGCGTCGTGGTTCAAGGTGTTGAACCAACTAAAACTACTAGAGTATTCAAAGAGATACTCTGATACTGCTGTTGTTATTGCCTCTGCTAAATATCAATGTTTTGACGATCTGCTTGTGATCCTGTTCAGTAGATTCCTGCTTGGTTTGAAGCTGTGTATTGTCATCGATGAATGGATGGTAGATTGCTGGCTATTAAACTATGTCTTGTTATCGAGTGGACCGTTGTTGCCGGGCTGGTCTGACTTCAAACACAACCATATTGAATACATGCCTGTTCAGATCACCGACTACTTTGCGACGCTCTACTTCTTATCGTACACTATTGTCGAGGTTATGAATATACCCAGCAATATTCAATGTCATTTGAAGTCACCACACCAAGTTCTAGATTCAACCAACTTGCATCTCCTCTGGCAATCGGCAACCAAGAGACTTGTCGGCATACCACCAACCACTGCTGGCAATGCTGCCAATCGACTTGGTCATCTCTTCCCAAGCTTCAAAGACAATATCACAGCAGATCATCTTCAACATTTTAATTATCTTAAAAATGAAATCTATTCAAATCTTAAATTATCAAACGACACAACAACAACCACAACCACTACTACCAATCAATTAATCAATGAAATGTCTACCTTAAAAGTATAATAAAATACATTTGCTTCATTAACATGTTAATAGTTTAATGCCGATTTAATTTTTTGATTAAAAAAAAGTGTGGTGAATATGATATTTTTTTTAACCCCTAAAGTGTGCTAAATTCGCATAACTGTTAAAAGTTCATTCTTGGGATTTTTCCCAAACCAAATGTTGTGTAAAAAAATTAAAAAAAACGTTATTTCGAGTCAAAAAAAATTGAGTACTTTATTAAATGTGTTTTAAATTATTAAATTTGAATAATGGATTGTGGAAATACATATTGCAATCTTTGTGAAGAGCGATGTTGTGGCAAAAGCATTTTTGTTTGGTTCTTTTTTCTTTATAGTTCGTGTTGACGTTATTTAAACAGTAATAACAATACTCTTGTGCTCCTTCAATGTCTATTAGATCTGGTGTGACAATGGTGTATCTTGTGTTTCTTTCGATGCTTGGGTTTTTGAGTAGAATTTTGTTAACCACTTCCAAAAGATAGTTTTTGAATCTTAGCGAATTCTCATTTTCTGACGTTGAGGAGCTGGTGCTATTATGTTCTAAAGATTGGAATGCCACAAATGAATTGTATAGAATTGCATAGAAAATATCATTGAATACGACTCTTGAATATGTGCGTGCACGATGGATATTTCTTAACGGATTGATGATCATCTTTGTTGAATCTACATAATTGTGGCAGTTATTATACACCCAGACGACTCTTGGTGTTGTTAACTGTTTTGTTGTGTAGGTTACTTCTCCTTTTACTGTTTTTTTAGTCCTGGAAACTCTCCTCAATTCATGTGTTTTATCTTGGCAGATTGGTTTTGGAATGTTGGTAAAGAAAAATACTGTTTTATCTTTCTTGGCCTGCCATGCTATTGCTGTGTGAAACTTATTGGAACCAAATGACATCTCTCCTTCAGTTGAAAAGTCATTTTTCTTTCGATTGCCTCCTTTTCTTGACGGGATTATTTGATCCATAACCTCCTTGCACTTATTCTTAGCAACTGAGACAATAAATGAATAACCTTTGCTTTGGAGGTGCTTAATATTGTCCATACTACCAAGAATACCAGCATCAATTATAATACATGTACCAAAGTTAACAGGACGACCTAAATGTTTATCCAATGCCTCTTCAGTTCGCTTGAGGATCTCTTGGTTTAAGTTTACTGGAATGTTCTGAGACTTAATGATGTTCTTTACATAGTGCTCCAATTCGAAATGGTAAATATATGTAAAAGAGTCCACCAGTTTCCATAATATGTTGCCAACAGAGTCTGCTTTACCAGCTATGATCTTTTTGCTTCCACCCTTGCCTGTCCACTTGTACAAGTCATCGTCAAAAGAAAAAGTATCTCCTGGGGACCAATTAGCTTTGAATATATCATTTACAGCATCCACAATTGGTTGGAAATCGGTACTTGTCAACTTTCCATCTTTGTCAATGGTTCCAAAGCCTTTATAGTGCAAACAACGATGAATAGCCTTGAATTTAGAGAATGATAGAATATTGAATACTGAATGGTTGTAAAATGATAAGATGTTATCATCTTTTTTCCACAACTCCTCCATATTCGGGGTCCTAACGAGGCCAGCATAAATAAATATAGCAAAGTATTGCTTAATATCATTTAAACTGAAGTAGGTGTAGCGTGTATACCATGGAGGTTTCTTTCTATTTCTCAGAGCTACCAATTTATAATGTTCTTGATATTCATTAGTTGATATGTGTAGCTGAGATAGAAACTCTTTAAAGTAGGTATCAAAAACAATTTCTATTCTTTCGTGGAGAGAAAGGGTATTGTAGTTCGCGGGAACCTTAAACTTGACACCTTGGCTATTGCTAGTCTTCGGAAATGGATTATTCTTGAGGAAATCAATGTTCTCCATTTGTTCTGGTGTAAATCTCATTCCATTGGGCAAGTATTCAATATTTTGCTGATAGACAGAGCCATCGACATCATTACTTGGCACTGCAGTGGAGCCACCATCACCATCACCACCATCACTACCATCTTCTTCTTCTTCTTTCTCCTCTTCTTCTTCACCAATGTATTCTTCAAACTCCATATCCATCAAATGAGAATAGCTCTCCTCTTGGTAAGCTACCTCTTCTTGGTTTATAAATTCTCTAAGTATAATTCTACTTGATTTATTTATGTCAAAGTTCTGGAATGTCATAGGTTCGGGAACGAGTTTAAGTAGTTTAAATAATCGATCCAATGCCACTATATCATTCCATCCATCTCTGACAAAACTGATGATTTCGTTTAATGGTATATCATATTTTCTCACCCAGTTTCCAAAGTTGGGATCAAAATAAACATTGTGATCTATCTTTCCTGTTGACACATCTTTGTTATGCTGTAAAGTAATTATAATATCTTTAAAACATTAACAATTTTGATAGAGATTTATTAATTAATTGACAAATTACCTTTTACTTCATCTAGTTTCTGTTTTTTATTACTACTTTGATTCTTTTGACTATTTGATTTTTTAGCCACAGCAACTCCACCTAAAAATGCAATTAAAACAAGTCCAAATATAAGATATAAATCGGTTATCGTAAAACCATTATTATTATTATTATAAGTGTAGTTCATTGTGAAAAAAGGTAAATAAAAAAGAACAGAAATGATGATTTTGCAAAAAAATTTGTTTCAAAAGGGTTGATTTTAAATAATTCAATTTTTTTTTTATTTTTCTTCGACGGCAACTGGTGTCTGGGATAAAAACACGGTACACACACTTTAGGGGTTAATCAAACATTTGGAAAAACCTTGTTTTTTTTCAAACCAAACAATTGGTATTTTTTTACCCGTGGGTTAAAAGGACTAACTCTAAAAATCAGAGGGTCAAGTTCCAATAATTTCCATTCATTTCCAAAGAGATACATAGATACATAATTAGATAGAAGATTTTAAAATGGGTGTTAAAGGTTTTAACAGATACATTAAGGATAAACTTAAAGATAAAGAAGAAAAATTAATACTCTCTGATATTGCAAAAAATAAAAGTATATCAAACTTTAATTTATTTTTCTAGCTACTTAGTTAAACTAAGAATTACAATTATATTGTTTGCTCACATATAGAATTGATAATAGGTCTTGATGGTCCTGCATTCTACCATCGCCTGGCTAGTAAACTATCATTGTTTGGTTCTTTTGTTCAGGTAACTGTTATAGAAAAATGATCTTACAAGTTTATAATTTTAACATAACAAATACAAATATACTTTATTGTCAGCTAAGAAATGAAATTGTAGAATATTTTGATAGACTAAAGAAATTCAACATTCAACCAATTGTCTTTTTGGATGGCCTTACACCTAGTGATAAGCACAAAGCTCTCGAAAAGAGATATTTTGATAAAGTGAAAAAAATGAATGGAGTTTCAAAGCTTCTCAAAGATTCCAAGCCGTTTACTGAAGAGGATTATAATGATATTAAAATCAAAATGGTCGCTGTAAGCAATATCTTTATCTCTAAATCGCTACATAACATACTAATCACAAACACAATTTTGTTGTGAATCTAACTAGGTTGAATTCAAGAGAGTTTTGGAGGAGTTGAACATTCTAACATATGTTGCATTCCAAGAGACTGACTATGAGATCACCCAGTGGGCAGCTGATAACAAAGATGTATTTGCTATCATTTCAACAGACTCTGACTATTATTTCTCGAAGATGGGTAATAGTTATTTCATACTTTATGACAACTTTGTTGTAAAAGATGAATCAATCGAAGCAAAAGGATCTAAATCAAAAATGGTAGCTGATTGCTTAAATATCAAAGTGAAAGTAAATATTATTTAATTGTTTCTAAAAATGATAAGGATTAGAAAAGAAATAACTAACAATTGCCTTAATCTTTTATGCACAGCAACTACCATTGTTAGCAATTCTTATGGGCAATGACATTACAGAGTTTATAATAGAAAATACACAAAATAAACAGGTCAAAAGGGTCATCGATTATTCAACGAATACTCAAGCCAGAATTACTAATATCATAGACTCTTTAAAGAAATCAAAGAAATGCTCTCTAAATCAAACATTGAAAAATTATTTTCGCAACAAAGATGGTAGGTTTATTATTTTATAATCTATTTATTCTAAGGAATCGATCCATTAACGAATGACGATCATTCTATATACTTGTATAGATATAGAGAAATGTTTAAATTCATATCATAACTACCGTTCCAGAGGCAGGTCTAAAGAAGGATTCGTCAAAAATGGTTTATTCTTTAGAAACTCACCACATCTTCCCAGTGGAATCATGTATAAACCATACTATCAACGATTCTTCTCATTTTCAACAGCAGGATGTATGATCGACTACAACTACCTCTCAGCTCTATACTCACCTATGAACCAAGTATCTACTTACTGTTTTTGAACCTACTGATCAAAAGGAAGAATCGCTGATTCATCACACCACTACACTTCGTCAAAGAATATTTGGGGTGCTAAATTATAATCTAACTCAACCACTTACGTGTAATTATCTTCTATAATGTCATTCCCACATTAAAAACAATATTATTAATCTCCTATTTTCTTAGGTAATGATTTGGTTTCATATTCTCCAACTCCAGAGGGACTGCCTGAAATAAAGAGTAGCTTTAGCATAGATGATTGCTATAGAACTATGATAACATTGGACAATCGTATCTATGAGTTTGCATCATGGTTCAAGGTGTTAGAGCAACCAAAACTACTTGAATACTCAAAGAGATATTCTGGTCCTGCTGTTGCCTCTGCTAGATACCAATGTTTTGACGATCTACTCATGATCCTGTCCAGTAGATTCCTGCTTGGTTTGAAACTGTGTATTGTCATCGATGAATGGATGGTAGATTGCTGGTTATTAAACTATGTCTTGTTATCAAGTGGATCGTTGTTACCAGGTTGGAAGGATTTCAAGCTCGATCAGGTCATATTCGAACCGGTACTGATCACACACTACTTTGCCACGCTCTATTTCATTTTGTATACAGGTGTCGAGGTTATGAATATACCCAGCAATATTCAATGTCATTTGAAGTCACCACACCAAGTTCTAGATTCAACCAACTTGCATCTCCTCTGGCAATCGGCAACCAAGAGACTTGTCGGCATACCACCAACCACTGCTGGCAATGCTACCGATCGACTTGGTCATCTCTTCCCAAGCTTCAAAGACAATATCACAGAAGATCATCTTCAACATTTTAATTATCTTAAAAATGAAATCTATTCAAATCTTAAATTGTCAAACGATGCAACAACCACAACCACTACTACCAATCAATCGATTAATCAATGAAATGTCCACCTTAAAAGTATAATAATAAAATAAGCAATCTATATAAAAATTAATAAAAAACCTATTGCAACCACCAACCGATGTATTTTTTTATTTTGCCTCAACAGGTAGGTTGATCATCAGGAGATGCAAAGTGTTTGATTGAATTTTAGATTTATTTTTAAAAATTGAGGTTTTTTTTAATCCATTACTCACTTTATTGAGAAACAAAAAACAAGATTTTTGCAAACAAAAAATTTATCAAAATTAATGTGATTTTGGGATTTTCGTGGTTTATATGGCTTCCAAAATCAATCACATTAGATGAAGGGATTTTAAATAATATTTTTTTGCACAATCTTTGCAATTTTTTTAATTAATTTAAAAATAAATTATTAATTGTAAAAAATAAAAATTTATTTTTTCTAAATATTTTTCTTTATATATTCTATGGAATAATACTTTTGAATATATTTCACATTATTATTATTTTATTTTAATTTGCCTTTATTTCTTTTTAAGTAAATAATCTCTATTAAGTATTTAATAACAAAATAAGCATTATAACATAATTATTAATTAACACACACATATAAATTTTATTATTTATTTATTTTGTAAGTAAAAAGAATCTAAATCTATTAAAGTAGAAGTAGTAGTAGTAGCGATAACAATATATCTATATCTCTTTCTCTCTTCTTTTCTCTGTCTTTCTTTCTTTGCTTGCTATTGTTTGTTGTTCTCTACCAATTATTCATTTATTTATTTATCTTAAGAGCAATAATTCACTATCTATCAATTCATTTTTATTTATACTATTTGTGCGTGTGCTCTCAAATTTTATTTTAATAAAAATGATGTTAACATAAATCTATTTTTTTTTTTTTTTTTTTTTTGTCAAATTAAGTGTTTTTATTGTTATTTGTTGTGGTAGATCTTTATAGAATTGTCATTACAAACAAATGGTTAATGGTGCGAAGCAAAGTAATTGTGTGAATGGTATTCTACACTTTTGTTTTTCTCTCTTTTTGTTTTTCTCTCTTTTTTTTTTTTATTTTTACTATTATCACACACATTTTCTAATTCTGATATAGAATAGATACTGTAAATAGTGGTATAGGAGTGTGTGATATCATTTATTTAGACATGTTGGAAACAAACAAAAACACACTTATTTTATAACCACCCCACACTCAAACGCATCAGATTCTATTCTGTATTTTTGTTACTCAATTTTTGTTTTTCAAATTAATATGTTGAATCATCTTGATCTCCTTCATTTGCTTGTTTATTTTTAATTTATTCAAAAAAAGTTATTTTTATATATTTATAAAGAAAAAAAGTATTTATATATAATAGGAAAAAAATTAATACAATAATAATATTATTATTTTTTGTTTAAAATAATATTTAATTTATTTGGTTTGTTGTTGTTGTTTTTTGTTTAAAGTAAAATAAAATCATATCAACAACAAAATTTAATGAATGATAACCAAATATTTGCATCATACATCAAAAAATAATATTTAAAATAATAAAAAGTAATGTATTTTATATCTATCCAACAATTTTCCACTACCTCTTCCTCTTCTATCTAGTAATAGAAATAAATGACAATAAGCAAATAAAATTTCATTTGCATCTCTTTTAATTGTGTGTTATAGAATATAATTAAATATTGGTACATTAAATATTTCTTTATTCTCATTGTAGTTGTAATAGAGGTAGTGGTAGGTTGTGGTTAAGTGAGAAACCAAACCAAACTAAACCCACACCTTTCTTTCTATGCTTATTGCTCTAACCAACCATTTTAAAATAATGCAAACAATATTTATTACCACCCTTTTTATTTTACATCCACTACAATTTTTAAAAAACACATTTAAATTTTAATATTAATATAATATGACAGTAACTAACCAAGCTTGTAAATATCACTATCATTTTAATTTAGAATTAAATTTATTTCATTTTTTAGTCCAAGTGTAAGAGTATTTTAGGGAATAACAATAATAACAATAATTATAACAATCATCAAAAATAATATTTAAAAGACAGCAGCAACAGCAACAACAACAACAACAATATACCAAGAGAATAATATTATATTAGGATTTCTATTAGGAGTTATGGAAGTGTAGTTGAAGACTTATTTATTTATTAGAAATATATAGTTTATTTTTTTTTTATATCTTTATTTTATTTACTATCACCCTATTCTAGTTTGTTTTCTTTTCTTGTAAATATTAATAGTACAAATTCGATAGTTAAATCTTTTTTTTTGTATATATAATTTTTAAATAGTTTGTAAATATAATTAATCTGTATATAGTTGTAAATACCATTTTGTATAATATATAGTATCTATTATTTTAAATTTTGTTTATTTTTTATTTACTTTTACTGTATAAATACACCATCACCATTTAAATATAAAACAAACTTTTATTATTACTTTTTTTTTTATTATCGACACCTCTCACACCATCATCATCGCAACAAACAACCACCAACCAACTCTACCAACAATCAAACCTTATATATAAACATTTCACATTTATCAACAAACAGCAAAACACAATCATGTTAGCGATCGATATTCAACCAAGTTTAATGTGTTTGATGATGGTCAAAAATCCACCCCATCAATACGCCACCAAAAAGGATGACATTAGCGACAGTAGTGGCGACGAAGATTACAGATCAAGCTCAAGAAATCTTTTTAAATTCTTTTCTGCTCTATCCAACGATGTTAAAGTAAGTAGTGAAACTCTCACTACTTTTTTTTTTTTTTTTTTTAACAATAATCGACTAATTTTATATTGTTTTTTTCAAAAGTGTCCTGTGTGCTTTGAGATTTTAAATAGACCATTGATGTTATCTTGTCTACATTCTTTTTGTACATCATGTTTGCAAGAGGTTACCAACAATCAAAGTGTAACATGTCCCCTATGTAGATGCGTAACCAAGCTATCTGAGAAAGGTATTGATGGACTACCAATCAACAGGGATTTGACAAATGTTTGTGAAAGTATAAAGAAAGCATTTGAATTCTGTCCCAAGGTTTGCGATCACTGTTTCCAGAAAAAAGTGACAAGAAAGTGTGAGCAGTGTTGCATATTCCTCTGCAAAGGTTGTTGTGACACTCTTCATGCAAAAAGAAACTCACATCATACAATCATAATCTCTGATGGTAGTAGTGTTGATGATTTCGATGTTGAATCTCATGTTCAAATTGAAGTATGTAACAAGAAATAGATTTATTTATTTATTATTATTCTTTTCTTTCATTCATTCATTAATTAACGTTATTTATTTTATTTAGAATGAGTTTGACCCACCACTTTATCTACCATTTAATATTACTAGAAAGAAATGTACAACCATTTTCAGAGATTGGGTTCGATCACTTTGGTTTGCTCCATCAGATTTGAATGAAAAGCTGGTATTGAGATATATCAAGCCAGTTTACTTGCCATATTGGATCTTTGAAGCTCACACCACCACTAGATATGGTGCCACAATGTCGAATGGAAATACATCAATCCCACAACTCGGTGGAACCAACAACATCAACATTGGAAAGTATGAAAAGAATTGGGTTGCCAAAACCAATTTATTCTCAAACAAGTAAGTTGCTTTCACTCTCAATCGATTATTGATTAATTGTTATTAACATTGTTTTGATTATCTTATTAGATATCGTCAAGCTACTATTGCAAATAATAAATTGATTGATAGAGACCTTTTAATTCAAGTACAATCATGGGAGCTCTCTAATATTCCATCGGCTGAAGTCACTTGTCCACCAGATCCCAAGATTCTAACTTTGGCCTACTTGTTGGACGAAACCACCGCATGGAAAAAGAATGCCGAAGTCAGAATTAAACAAAAAGATAAGGAACTCTGCGAAGAGCGAGTCAAGTCAAACTGTCCAATCGGATCCAACATTAAGGACATATTTGTTGATACATCGGTCACAAGTGTTGCCTCTCAAAGAGTGTTCCTTCCATGCTACTTTATCAAATATGTCTACAACAACGAGAACTTCTCGGTCATTGTCAACGCTCAGAGTTCAAAGGTTGTTGGTCATCGTCCATACGCTGGCATCGGTGGAATCTTTAGAATGTTCAAACCATCATAATGACCACCGCTAACCATCATCACCAATTAACAATATTTTTCGAAAGAATTGGTTTTTCTTTTTTTGGTATTTTAAAAAAAAAACAACACATAGTATGCGCACACACATTAGATCACAATAATCAATCATCAGTTAACTCTTTATTTGGATATATAATATAATATTCCCACTTCAAATACCAATCTGATCAATAATTGTTGTTGCTGTCTCAATCTCCTCTCCCCTCTTCAAAATTTTTTTAATTAAAAAGAAAATAAAAAAAAAAATTGTAAATACAAAAAAAATTGTTAAGCATTCACCAATTATTTGAATATTATTTTATTTGTTATCACACAAATCAATGATTTGGCGCCTCCAAAAATTTTATTTTAAAAATATTGTAAAAAACCAAAAAAAAAAAACTAATTTTATTAAAATTGATTTTTTAACGTTAAAAAAACAAAATAGTAGCAAAGATTTGAGAAAGCCGGTTTATTTGTCAGTAATCAATCAAATACAGTTGCAGTTTAAATTATCATTTTTATATATTTCATCGATTAGCTAATAGATATAGTTGGTTGATGTTTGTTTTTTGATAACTGAACAACAATCTAATAATATTTATAAGATACATATACATTTATATTTTTCGTAATCAGTATTATAAGATTGATTGTGCACAATCTAATAAAAACCAACCAAAAAATAAAATAAAAATTTAATTATTATAAAATTTAAAAAACAACTTTAATATTTTGCCACCACCCCACTCGTATCAAACACATCATCAATCACAATATTCGAGTTGGTGTTAAATTATAGAAATAAAATAAAATATATTTAGAATAGAAATGATATTAGTTTGGTAGATAGTAATTACATAAAATTAAATAACAATAAAAGAATCAAAAGATATAAAATTAGATATATAAATTCATAGATATATAAATTTAGATATATATATATATAATAAGTCAGATAAATAGATAAATAAATCAACAATCAATCAACACCACACTTTTATAAAAATAAAAAATAGAGAATCATGACAGAAAATAGAGCGGAATTTGATTTTAAGATATTCACTGGTGTGACGTTGTTTGATGATATTCCAGATTCTGACTTTGATAATGTAAATGCAAAGCGAAGTAGTGTTGACAGTGCAAATGAAGCCGGTGATTCAGTGGACGAGAGCAATTTGTCTGCCTCTGACAAAGCAAAGAACTGGTTTCACGAGCATTATATGTCGTTGTTGAGCTACCATCAGCAACGTGCTACACGTGTCACAGAGTTCTACGTGGAGCTCAACGACACCACCGCCTCACCAATGTCAAGAGAGGAAAAGAAGACAATGGAGATCGAGTTCTACCAGAAGGAAACGACCTATCTCAGAATGAAGCGTAAAACCAAACAAGAGGAATTCGAACCACTCTTTAAATTCACACAACCAAATGGAGCTATAATAATGCCCGTTACTCCTGCTCCCAATAAGAAACAACAACATCAACAACAACAACAACAACAACAAGAATCAACAGCGACAAGTAAATCACCTTTATCAGCTTCATATCCAACTACACCGAATCACAACACTGGAAGCACTGGCAATCTAAGGTCACTCTTAATTGGGAACAATCGGTCACCTTTCAATTCCAATGAGAATCTCACTGGAACCGTTCGTTTCGATACAAAGAATGTCAGATTTGCAGATACAGATTGTATTCCAACATCGCCACCTTCCAACGATGAATTCGATCGCTCACAGGTTCGTCGAACCAAGAGTATATCGTCGATCAACAAGAGTACTCCCACTCCGTTGAAGAACAAGTCTTTCACAATGATGTTCAATTTGGATAACAAGACAAAGCTCGAACAAACACAGAAGTTACTACAGGAGAAAGAAGAAGACACTCGAATTGCTGCGGAGATTGGCAAGTCACTGTTGGACGCGAATGAGGAGTTGGAAATCGAGGTGAAGTCACTGCGTCAACGGAATATCGATCAATCGGAAAAGATAAGAATGACACTCGACGAACTAGATAGATATCGAACGGAGATGGTGTTGTTGGCTGCGCGTCTAGAGTCGGCGACGCGCGACAATGTCGAGTTGGAACTGGCGCTGAACCGACAGGCCGAAGAGAAGGAATGGCGTCGCATTGAATCACCACACAACAAACTGATAATGTCCAAACAACTACATGAAATCGAACAGTTGAAACAGACGTTGGAATCGGTACAGGAGTCTGAGGACAGACTGAAGAGAAACCGCGATCGTCTGGCCGAGCAAAACGAATCGTTGCACCACTCTGTTGCCGACCTGCAGAGTGCGCTCGACGACAAAGTCGACCAGGAGCAATACGAAGCGATAACTGGCCAGGTGAAACTGCTGAGAGACAAGAATCGCAAGTTGCGAGAGCGTCTGAAAGAGATGGAGCGCGACAACGGCGCGCTCATGGTCGAACCGTCACTCATCATCAAATCGGCATTCCAAGATCTGATAAAGAACGAAGAGTTACTCATGGCAACACCAAAGATGGCGAATCTTCGTGTGATTCAAGATGCTAAGCTACTGCTGAGAGAGTTGGAGAATGAAGTCAAAGGTAACTTGGAGTGTTCACTTATCAACAGTTTAATCAAGTTCCTCGAGAGAGATACTACCTCTGATTCACAAGCACAACTTCAACAAGTAGCTGCACTCACATTAAACGAATCATTCGAGTCGAATACAGATCAAGAAGTAGCTGATCCTAAATCTGCACTTTACATGGTATGAATAGCTACTCTTTACTCTTTTGTTTGTTGTAATATCTATCATTCTCAATTAACTAACCAATATATAACAAAACAATAGCTTGTTTGTGTTGTTTCTATTTATAAATATACACGTTATGATAAGCAGAGAATAGAGAACGATAGTAATACGATCGATGAGTTGGGTAGTCAGGTGGAAGCACTAAAGAAGATGATCACCAATTTGGAGTTTGACTTGGGAGAAGCAAAGATGTTGAATTCAAAGTTGGAGGAGGATATCGATTTGCTAAAGACTCCGCAACCACATCATATGTCGATGGCCGACGAGCTTAGAAGTGCATTCCAACAGGACGATACTTCAAAGGAGAAGCTAAGAGATGAATACGACTCTCAGATACTACAGTTGAATCAAGAGAATCTTCAATATGCTCTGGAGATTGAATCGCTGCGTCAACAGCTACTCAACCAAGAGGAATCGGCAAAGAAGTTGCGCGCTCAGTTGGAGTTGGAGTTGGCCAGACAGACTGCAGAGTTGAACAAAACAATAGAGTTAAAGAGCAACGAGATCGATGAACTTGTTAGACAGAAGGAGATTGCTCTTGACGAGCATAGTAGATTGATCAACGAGAAGCAACAGTCGATTGAACAACTTACAGTCGATGTACAAAGTAAGGTGGTTGATATCCAGAAACTAGATGGTCAGGTCAAGGAATTGGAGAATTCGTTGAGCCAAACCAATCAAATTCTAATCGATAAGGAGATGGCAATCGATAGATTCATCAATGAAGTGGAGCAGAAGGATAAGCAACTACAGGAGAGAGATGAACAGCTACATGAATCAATGTGTGAAATTCGTAATAGAGACGAACAGTTACAAGATTTGTCGAATAGAATCAATGAAAAGGATTCACTGATAAAGGAGAATACTGTTATTATTGACAAGTTGAATGAGAGTGTCAGCGAGAATCAACTGGTTATTGAACAACTCGGTCAAAAGAATAAGCAAAATGAAGATTTAGTTAAGAGATTAGAGTTGGATAATGAGGAGAAACAATCGGCTTTGGAGAAGTTGGTTGTCGATGTCAAGGAGAAAGACGTTCAAATCAATGGATTGTCAGAGAGTGTCCAAGAGAAGGATAGATTATCACAACGTCTTACTGAAGAGGTTGAGAAGAAGGCCGAACATCTTCAGAAACTCAGTGCGGAGAACGAAGAGAAACAACTTTTGATTGAAAAGATAACCACTGAGAATCAAGTGAAGCAAGATAGTATCGTTCAGTTGACAGAGGAGAATGCCAATGGTGTGAAGGAAATCAAACGATTGGAACAAGAGTTGGACAGTCTCAAGTTGGAGTTATCGAATGGCGCATCGGCAAACGACGCAGACAAGACACTGATTCAGCAGTTACGCAAAGAAAAAGCACAGCTATTAGGTGAGCATATTATATCAATCAATGCATTAAACTCAAAACTTACACACTTATACAAACGTGATAAAGAATCACTGGAGTCACAGAAATCTGCAGACACTCTTAGAATCACACAGTTGGATCAACAATTGGCACAACTTCAGGAGCAACACCAGCAATTCACTGAGAAGATCAACAATAGTTTGCAACTAAACAAGACATCGCTTGTTAGCTATGATGAATATACCAATCAACAGATGAATAGGATTCAACAATCGCTGGATATCAACGTCAACTCACGACTCAACACTCTTGAACAATCGGTGAAAGAAACGACTGAACACAATCAACATCTCCACACTCAGATACAACAACTTACCAAGGTCAACAGTGAGCAATCGGAAATGATTGCAACCACTCTAGAAAAGGTGAATGGTTTGCAGCAAACAAACAATGAACTTGTTGAGAAGAATGTTCATTTACAACGGAAATCGGATGAACTGTTTGTAGATTTGGAGAGAGAGAAGGAGAATGCTAGTTCATTGTCAACGGAGAATGCACATCTCAAAGAACAGATTGCCGATCTCATTAAAAAGCTCGAAGCAAAGTCACACAAACATGGCTTGGCTGTCAAGGAGTTGTCACAACAATTGTTTGACATGACCGAGTTGGTGAAGAAGACCACCGAGAAAGAGGAGGTGGAAATGATTGCATTGCCCGATCCTCAGTTGGTAAAAGACTACAGTATCGTCGAGGAATCACCGTTGATCAGATTCATCAATGAGAAACTACCGATGACCGATGAAATCAAGCATGTATTCCCTGTGGATAGCAGCAAGCATGTGAAACTAGCTATATACGACGGTGTTTTGATGTGTAAGCTAGTGAATCTCGCTCGTGAAGGAACGATTGACGAGCGTGTCATGAATATGAAACCACAGAATCGAATTGAGGTCGATCAGAACTTCAATCTTGTGTGTAACTCATCGCGTGCCATCGGATGTGTCATTCAGAATATAACTCCACAGGCGGTGCAACAAGACCCGCACATCACACTCTCACTCATCTACCAACTCGTTCGTGTATATATCAACTCATCGATTAACCTTAATAACTATCCGAATCTCCTAGTATTCAAATCATCCGATGAAGACATCAAGCATTTCGCAGCACAAAGTTCATCACAACTCTTACTTCGTTGGGCATGCTATCATTTAGAGATAAAGAAATCAAAAGAATCTGTTGAGCAACTTTTATTAGTAAGTAAAATTATATAACATCATCAATCAAAACAAACCAAACTAAACATTTTAAACAAAAGAAACCATTAAATTGTATAAAATTACTTTGTAAATTGGATAAAGAACTTGTTCCACCATCATCATCATCATCAAATGAAGATGAATCTGTTTTATATGAATGGATATTAACAGAGACATCAAATAGATTCAAGATATTCCCTTGGTTAACTTTAGATACAATGAAATCTGTATGTTTTTAAATAATAGTATTGATTTATCAATTTTAAAAGATTAGTACTAATATTTTTAATATTTTAATAAACATAAAAGAAAAATGAGAAACTTGCGTATTTGTTTATTGCAAGTTTGTTCCTCTCTGAGAAGGGTATTGGAATAACAATAGAGGAGAATGAAACTAAAGAAGTTACTCTACTGGTAAAAGAAGTATCGGATTTAGTAGATGTAGAAGGTACTCGTGAGGAAAGAGCATTCTGTATGTGGATCAACTCTTTGAATTTGAGTCCCTATGTAAATAACTTACAACAAGATCTTCAAGATGGTTTAATTATATTACAAGTAAGTTAACAACAATAATAATAATAAACATCAAGTTGGATTAATATTAATAATAATTAACTATTTTATTTTAGATGTTTGACAAGATAAAACCTGGTAGTGTAAATTGGAAGAATGTTAATCAACATCCATCAAACAACTATATGGAGATGGAGAATTGTAATCTTGGTATTGACCTTGCAAGGAAATTGAAATTCTCTTTGGTAGGAGTCGGTGGAAGAGATATCCACGAAGGCAACCGTAAGCTTACGCTTGCTCTGATCTGGCAAGCATGTAAATATCATTTACTCTCGATTCTCGCAAGTCTGAGACCGGTCTCCAGTAGCGGTGGTAACCTGTCATCGTCTAGCAAGGATGTAGGTGAATCGGACATCATTCGTTGGGCCAACCAAAAGGTTACTACGATCGGCAAGTCAACGGGTATCCACGGATTCAAAGATGGCTCGGTTGGCAACGGACTGTTCCTGATAGACTTGCTCGAGTCTATGTCGAGAGGCTGTATTAACTACTCGATTGTAACACCGGGAGACACCGATGAGAACAAGAAACTCAATGCTCAATACATCATCAATGTCGCCAGAAAGTTGGATTGCTGTATATTTTTAGTGTGGGAGGACATTGTTGAAGTTAAGCCAAAGATGATCTTGACACTCGTTGCTCAATTATATATAAAGAGTGTAATAGATGTATAGATAGATATAAAAATAAATAATTAAGATAATAAACACATATTATATATATATATATATAAAAATATTATTATTATTATTTTTTATTTAAAAAAAAAACAACACAACACACATACTGATTTACAATGATTCAAATTTATATATTTGATCATACATATATCTATTCTATTTTATTTTTTACACAAATTAATAATAATTTAATTATAGAATGAAGATAGTTTTATTAATATTTATGATATCATTGTATTTTTCAATAGTTTGTTCAAATGATGAAGAATATTACTTTGAAGATCAGATGGAATCAGTTGAAAAGTGCGTACGTTGCCTAAATAGATGCCGAAGAGAAAATCAAGGTGATGATTATGGATGTCTCACTGTTTGTAGAACAACGTAATAAATAAATTTAAATACAAATTATAATATAATTGATTATTAACTATTACTTTTTTTATCATTTTTTTTTTAAAGATGTGGATCACCCAGGTACACAACCATTTATTAAAAGAAAGAAAGAAAGAATATTTCTATTCAAGATATAAGAATTCTAAAAACAGTTCAACAATTTTTTAATAAATTTTTTTATCATTAAACAAGAATTACTTTATTTAAAACAAATAATATTTATTTTTCTATGAAGCCACTTAATAAATAAAAATAGAACTTATTGCAAGATTTTCGCAACAATACCAATAGATCAGTTCCAAATTAAATGTTGGTATTTCGTATTTACCATCAACACCCAAAGCTATAACAATTATTGTAATTAACCATTCAGTTATTGTTTAATTTTTCGTAAATCATTAAAATTAGATTTTAATCATATTTATATCTTTCATATAAAAGTTTAATTATTTGTTGTTTGGAAAATCTTAATGTGTTTAATGTTGTAGGTGTGAACTTGGGTTATCATTCCGTGATAAACCAAAGAGAAAAATCAACTGTACTCAACCTAATTCCAATAAATATCATCGTCCTATATGATTGTAAAAAAGAATAATGCATCTCCCCGTTCTGCTAATACTACTATTAAATGATTTTAATATTGAAACAACCCATCCAACCCACCCTACCACTTCAATCAAAATCATCATTTCTCTGTTCATTAAAATAAAAAGATGGTAAATCAAACAATCATAGTAAATACAAAGTTCTAGCTAGTTACTCTAAAGTAAATTTAAAACTTACATTCTATCTCTATTTTCATGATAATTAAAATGTGTTCAATTTATTCTCTTGTTCACTGGAATTCTTCTTTTCTCTTTAATTTCACACTGTTTATTTATAAAACGACACCAATTTTCTTTCTTTTTACTTTACTCTCACAATGAAGGTATACTATTAATAGCACGACTGTAAAAGTGTGGAGTTTAATGAGATTGTTCCACCTTGAAGTTGATCAAAATCTTGACCCACACATTGAACAACTATTATTGTAATTATAAAGTGATCAATTAACTCGATTTGAATCTTGATTGTGATTTATGATCTTCACTTCTTGTCACTCCTACTTACTATTGAAATGGTGAAACAATTGCGATTCCAAAGTAAAGAGACAATCATCATAAGAGCAATATGATTCACTTGTGATTGAACATTCATTGTCAAAATGATATACATATGTTCGAAAATACAACTTCACCACTCGACTAAATTTCTCATAGTCCATCTCACATACAATCAATCATCATCTCCAACAACATCATCAACAATCCAACACCATCAAAGTAGGACCTCCATTGAATGGTATTGTAGTAACATAAAGAAAAACAAACATACAATTGCTAGTAATTTCTTTTTTGAACTACTATTTTTATAATAAATTAAATCAATTAATAATTTAACATGTTATAAAGGGTGGTAGTGGTAGTGTTAGTGTTAGGTCTCCTTTTTAAAAATTGGAGATTGATTCAAACAAAGCAATCACCACAAAACACAAAACACACACATTTATATATCTTTGCAATTGCTGTTCATTCATTCCCACATATTTTAAACTAGCCAACCAACTGAACTTATTGATGAATGATATTCTATGATAAAGTAGTGGCTGTTCGTTTGGTAATCGACATATTCTTTTGTTTATGATTAATGAAATCAGAGAGATAAAATATTACTTTAGATGTTTGAGAACTATAACTGATATCAGAACTCATTCGAGGGGTTTACTAAGCGTTCATTCAAACATCCAATAACTGAAATAGATATAAATATTATGAGTTGTTTTGTTTTGTTTTGTTTGATTATTTACTTTAGTTCACTGGTAAAGAAAGAATGATTGTTGTTGTGTGTGAGTGTGATTATTTACATTCCCTTTTGTTTTTTTGTAAATAATTTTTTTTATAGTAAAATTTTAAGAAGGAAGGAAAGAAGGTAATGGATAATTTACTTTTAAATGACAACCAGATGTGTGTTGTGTTTATGTATATCTAATTAATATATTGGTAATGATTGATGTGTTGATACATATAATATATAAAGATGTTTGTGTGTTAGAGGGAAAGGGTGTGTTTTTTAATATTTATTGGTATTGAAGTTAATGTGTGTTGTGTGTTGGTGTGTGTGAGTGTGATTATTTACATTCCAAAAGGCATCATTTTGATGATAAACAATGGAACACATAAAAATTTTTTTAAAACTTTGATTTTAATATTTTATTTTAATATGATTTATTTAATTTTTTGAAAGAAGAGTTAAAAGGTTAAATGGATAAAAATGTTTAATTCGTTTTACAACAAACAAACAAACAATCAATCAAACAAACAACATCAGGCTATAAATAAAGGTTATTTATGAAATTTGTTGTTTGATATCCACAAATAAAGATTATATTTAATTATTATATCTTTTTTGGTTTTCAAATTTAAAAGTTATATTACTATTTTTAAACTGTCCAATAACTTCCCTCCAAATTTCAGATTTTATACATTTAAAAACAACTTAAACACTTTCACTTCAAATACATATAAATCTATTCAAATTATAACCGTTCGAAATATTAAAAATCATATTCCATTTTTTTTTATATTTAACTTCAATTACAAATATATTACATTTATCTGTAATTCACAACCTACTTATCAATATAAAATATTATTTTTTTTTCTTTATAAATTCCAAATTTTGATTGGATCTATCTTTGTTTTAAAATATCATAATTTGTACATACCAACTCTAAACAACTATAACATTTTTTTAACAAAAAAAAACTATTTTATAAAAAACAAGTAAAATGAATCATTTCGAAATTTTAGAATATTTTATTGAAAAAGAAGTGGAAAACCAAAATAGATCCACTCTTTTCAAATTAAATACTTTGGCCACAGATCTGATGAGACAATTCACTCTGATGGAACGAGGATGCATCAACTATATTCAATCTATAATAGTTGAGCCAGTAATAAGCCAATTGGATAGAAATCCAGTGGATATACTCTGTGTAAATACAATCACCTCTGACCTAATCTCAAAGATAATCGACCACAAGGACGACTGTCCTCGCGCAATCAGAAACATCAGCTATCTCATTAGAAGCTCGGTTGGCAGACGCTTCAATGACCTATGGATGACTTCAGTGAGCAGCTTCCTCTTTCTGAGGACGGTGGCACCGGCCATCATATCGCCACACACTTACGGAGTCACCTATAACTCTGCCGGCGATCAAGCGAAATACAAAATTCAAGTACAGATCGCCAAGTCAATACACGACATCGTAACAAGAGCAGTTACCAATCCAACCGAGGATAGTTTCAGAATCGTCGAGTTCCTTCTGGACATCTCGAGGACACCAAACTGCGAGGAATCGAGCTGCTCTGACTTTAAAATGACCAATCGCTTCAGAAACGCATCGATCAACTCTCTCAGAGAATACATCAAAGAATTGAAAATCGACGACAACTGCAGCAACGAAAGAGAGTTACTCGGTGCCGAATTGATTCTATTGAATTTAGATCGTAAAGAAAAATCAATATTTAAAAAAGCTTTAACCAAATTAAAAGTTTAAAAACAAATATAATATATAATAAAAGTCTAGAAATTGTAAATAGAAAACTATAAATTAAAAAAAAAAGAATTCAAAAAAAATAAAAATTGTTAAAACTAAAAAAAATTAATTAAATTTTTTAATATTAAAAAAAAATGTGCCCAACAAACAGAAAATTCTTCTTCTATAGTAAGGTTCCAAATACAACAACAAATTTTCCCCATTGAAATTTTTTTTTAATTTTATTTAATTTTTCTTTATTTTTTAAGATCTTTTTTTCGAATTTTTTCATTATTTTTTGTATAAACTTAAACAAAATGTATATCTATTGTTAGTTTTTGGAAAGACAAATTATTTATTTATTTATTTTAAAAAAAGAAAATAAAACAAAAACTAATTATTTTTTATTAAAATTATAAATTTAACTATATATATACATAATTATTATATATATAAATTTATATTAAAAAGATATTTTTGAAACGAGTTATTATTTTTACAATTGTAATATTATTAATTAAATTAAAACAACAATATCATTATTTCATTATCACATTAAGATAAAAGAATATACGCATTTTCTTAAAACAAGAAACTAAAACAAAAAGAATAGAAATAGATAATACAAGAAGATCTTAGAAGTTTGATTGGATTTTAATAAATATAGGAGTATACAAAAAAAAAACCAATATATTTTAGCAGACAAACTTGTAATATTTAGTAGTACAGCAGTGTATTTAATAACACATAAAAGATTATTAGATTTCATTCTTTCATTGTAGGTTTAACAATTCAATAAGTTCTTTATTTCTTTCTTAAATTCCAAGTTATAACTTCCACACAAAAACATTTTTCACATTGTTTTCCGCTCCATTCCATCAACCCAACTTACTGTCTTTACACAAACCCCCTTCATTTTTTTGTTTTAAAACGTGCGGTGCCACAAAAAAACAAACCAAATTCTCAAAAAAATAATAATATAAATAACCTGTTGACATAATAATAAATTCCTTTCAATATCACATCTTATCACATTCACCTTGTGAAATGTGTTTATGAAAAGAAAAACATGTTCAATTGACACTATCTATATCTCAACTGCCTTACATGTAATATCAAACAAGAGTTGTGTTATACTTTACTCTTTGTTGTTGTTGTTATTATATGCAGTTCATTAAAAAAAAACAAAATAAAAAAACACAACACATCAAATTCGATTCAATCTTACCAAAATTTATTATTGTTTATTTATTTTTATTTATTTATTGTTTTTTTTTTCATAATTAACACATCACTTCTTCTTTTTTTGCAAAAAAAGCGTTTATTTAAAAAAATATTTTTTTTTATTTTTTGTTTGTTTTTGCAACTTATTTTCTAAAAAAGTGGGAAGGAGAAAAATTTTTATTTTTTACATTCAATCGTCATCCCTACACATAAACTATTCATTAATTAAACCAACAATCCAGTAAATCATCTTTATATTCTTTAAAACAAACAGCATTAAGAATAAGAATAATATATATAGTTATAAAACAAACAATATTTTATTTTACTCCATTTTTATTTATTTATTTGATATTTTTTATAGTTGATTAATAATTAAAGAAAGAAAGAAAGAAAGAATTAGTTATAAAACAAAAAAAAACAAAAGATCATTGTAATCTAACCGATATCTTTATAAATTTATAGAAATAGTTAATATATATATTTATATTAAAATAATAAAATAGAAAACATTAATCATGTCAGAGGTTATGATTGATATTGAGCTGTTGACATGTCCAATTTGCTCAGATACGTTTGTTGATGCATGCGATACTAGCTGTGGTCATACATTTTGCGAATTCTGTCTGAATTGTTGTTTAGAGTCTAAACCCGATAAATGTCCAGTATGCTCAAAAGATCCATCACCAACACATCCAGCATTCACTATCAGATCTCTATGTGAGATGATAGCACCTGTCAAACCAAAAGAAGATGACGATGGGTATGTAAACTAAACTAAACTACAACAATCACTATCACCATCCATATATTTAGTCAAACTAACATTTGTTTTTATGATATCCGTAGAACAACTCTTGAATCTGAAAAAGAAGCAGGTAACAACTGCTACTATGCCAATAAATATGCACAAGCAATATCTCATTATAATAATGCAATCGACAAGGCTACAAATTCATCAGATCCAAAGAATTGTGTTTTATTCAACAATCGTGCTCAATGCTATATACATTTACATCAATACAAGAGAGCGCTAATGGATTGTGAAGAAGCAATTAGATTAAACGATACAAATGGTAAGTTTGTTAAAATATATTTAGACTATGTCAAATTATAATGCTGACCAACAACACAATATAAAAAAACAAATAGTTAAAGCCTTTATGAGAAAAGGATTGTGTCTAAGGCTGCTAGGTTATTTCGAGGAGAGTAAACAAGCTTACACTAAAGCCTTGCAATTGGATACACAGAAATCTTGGACTCGTCAGATTCAAGACGGTCTCCATTCGCTACCCATTTTCAAACCACAAACCTATAATCACGACGCTCATCCACCACAACAGCAACCACAACAACAACAACAACAGCAACCACAGCAACAGCGTGCTTCAGTACAGTATCCATATCAACAACAGCAACAACAACAACAACCAATGCCAAATTACTATAATACAACCAACGGATATAATCAATACCAATATCCACAATTTAATCCAAATCATGCACGATATGCTCCTACCTATCCGCCAGGCTACATTCGTACCAATACCAATCCAAACTTTTCTACTTACTACCAACCACAACAACAACAACAACAGGCACAACCACAACAACAAGCACCCGCACCAGCACCAGCACCCTCAACAACCACTACCACAAACAACACTAATAATGTAAATAATAATAGTAATACAAACTCTTCAAGAAATACATCAACCTCAAGTACAAGCACTTCTTCCACTTCTTCCTCTTCTTCTTCATCAAGCTCAGCACCATCGGCGCACGAAAAGAAAAAATCGGATTGTAAAACACAATAATAATTTATTAATTTTTTATAGTATTTTTTTACACACACATAATAATAATATAATATTCCAACAACAAAACAATAATGTAATCTATATAGTCTTATAGATAGCCACCTTGATATAATAAATTAAAGGTTTTGATTATCTCAAACCCTTTTTGAAGATCTTAAAACAACAACCCAAAAAAGAAAAAATCTTTATTTTAATATCTTTGTTGTGTCCACCCAATCCATCCAACCATTTGATTGATCAATCCATTGGTAAGCGATGTTTGATTAATTAATTAATTAAATTTATACAAAAAAAGTAAAATCACTTTAAACCGAACCGAACCTTACATCTTTCTATTTTTTAAGATTGCAAATAAATTTGCTGACAATCTTCGCTCCTTTACAGAACAGTAATACAATTTTTGCGACAAAAAATATAAAAAAAAAAATACAAAAAAAAAACCAATCACTTTCAAGAAATTTTTGTGTCTCTTTTAGGTGCAATGTGATTGCTGAACTTAAAAACACTATTAAAAGATGAAATTATTTTATCTTAATGCAATTTTTCAAATAAATATTTTTTTTCAAAAAAACAAAAACCCATTTTCTCATTTTTTGTTTTATCGTGACAAAAAAATCTATTATTTTTGTTTTTTGAAATATTTAATTGTTATTTTTATTATTGTGTATAAACAAGGTAACAAATAATATATATATAAGAACATAATTATAATAAATAAATAAATCATAAATAACAACAGGATAAAAATAAAACAACACAAACAAACAAATCAACTTAAAGTTTACTAAACTAAATAATAATTATTTATGTTTATTTGAAGAAAAAAACAGTAATATTAAGATTAGTAGTCTACGTAGGTGTCAATGTATATTATTTATTTATTTAGATAGATCTCTTTTATTATCTTTTTTGATTGTTTTTTGTTTTTGGAGCTAGTTGACATGTGTTGAAATACTCACACACAGATAAATTAATTAATAACAACAATCAGACAATCACCACCTCCAATCATTAAAATTATACACACACCACCCAAAAGATGGGTATCTATCACCCAATCTAAATATTTAATTATCTTAAATAACTATTACTATTCAGAGATATAATAACATTGAGAAAATTGGCACAGAGTGCAAATGCAATTGTGCAAAAACAAAAAAAAAAAAAAAAAAACAATAGAACAAAACAAAAACGATAAAATATTTTATAATAACTAAAATTTATCTTATCCTATCTTTCAAATTGGATTTATCTGATAAAGTATTTGTATTATATTATTATTTTATTACACTGTTAAAGGGTAGATACCACCCCCAATCGAATTCCATATTATTTGCATCGTTTGTTGTTGTTTTTTTATTCTTTTTTTAGTTTTTTTTATTTTGTTTTACTTTTGAACAAAAAAAAAAAAAAAGTGTTTGTTTGTGGTTTTGAAAATTCAATTGATTTTGTGGTTATTTTATTTTATTATTTTTGTTTGTGTGTTATAAAATTAGATCTAGAATTTATGATTTATTAGATTTTTAGATTATTAATTATTAATATTTATTTTGTAATATTATTATTATTATTATTATTATCAAAAAAAAAAAGAAGTAATGGAACCAAAACAAAGAACAATGTCAACAAGTAGTAGCGATCATCAATTTATTATCGACGACGATGAAGATGTAGTCCTGTTGGATGACGACTCATCGAGTAACTCTGACGAGAATCAAAAGTTGACTATCAGCGAGATCAATTCGATGCGTGAACAGCGTTGGCTCACTATGAACAAGGAGATTCGTCCGTACTCCTTCAAGGACGACAAGAGCTCACCGTGGTTCGAAGAGCGTCAGGTAATAGTCACCCTGCTCAACGCCAGAATTGCACTGCGTGAACTCATCCAGGCAAAGATGAATGAGGAACGTCTCTCCTCTGGCAACCTCTGTGTATCGGAGATTCAATCACTGCTCAACAAACAGAAAGAGGACATCGAAACCGATTGGATTGCAGAGATTCAAGAGTTGAAGCGTAACATGATTGCAGAGATTCGTCGTAATCATCTACTCGAGAGAGATCTCACTAAATTAGATAAACGTATAGCATTATTAATTAAACATAGATCAAATATTAAAGTAATTATCATAGTTAATGAATGAATGAATGATTGGTATAAGAAGCAAACAAACTAACATATTCATTAATAGGAATTACTTGCAAGTGAAGAGAAAAAGAAATCTAAAAAGAAAAAGACAGATGGAAATGAAAATGTTAATCTAGATGGTAAACAAATCGAATCATATCAAAATCTTTTCTATTTACTCCAAACAGAACCACATTATCTTGCCAAGTTGGTCACACAAGTACAAGCTGACCAGATGGATTCCTTCTTGGACACTGTTATTCTCACATTGTTTGGTGATGCCTTTTCACCAAGAGAAGAGTTTTTAATTCTAAGTTTATTCAGAGTATGTGTAGTTAACTTGTCATTAAATGTTAATTTAATTTTAAATATTAACTTGTTTATCTCTTCTTTTTCTTCTTCTCTTTTTCTTTCTATTTAATAGTTGGCTATTGGACAAGAAATGTCGGGTATTAAATCGGCTGGTGATCTTATCTCTGTAGACTCTGTGGTGCCAAAGATGATTATTACATACACACGTAGAAAGCAAGGACACGAATTTTTGAATCAAATAATTGCGCCAATTCTCGAGAATCACGTTATCAATGCACCGGATTTGAATTTGGAGTTGAATGCCGTTCAGATCTATCAGAATATGATCAGTGAGCAAGAGATTCAAACCGGTGCAAAGAGTACCATGAACAGAGGACTCGCTGAGGAGCAGATCCTCCAGTTGAAGGAGGTACAGGACATTCTTGCACCACGTGTCGAAAAATGTATACAGATCTGCGAGTTGTTCTTCAAGGGTATCATCGAGTCATTGAATCGTCTTCCCTACGGTATCAGATGGATATGCAAGCAGATCCACAGCATCTCCAAACAAAACTTTGAATCGACCAGCGACGAAATCGCCAAAGTCATTGGTTATTTCGTTTACTATCGTTTCATGAATCTTGCAATTGTAACTCCCGACGCCTTTGAAATCATAAAGAAAGAATTGTCAATGAATTCAAGAAAGAATTTAGTTAATGTAAGTTATAGTTGTTTTGTTTTGTTTTGTTATTTGGATTTCACTTGTTTTTAACAATTTAATTATCTATTATTTCTATAGATTGCAAAAGTATTACAACATTTGTTTACATTAAAGACATTCCAAAATCAAGGTGGTGAGAGATGGATGCAACCGTTGAACACGTGGATTCTGTCGAGAACCGATATGGTCAGACAATACTTTGATGACTTGATTCAAGTCACCGATCCATCAGAGTACTTGAGAGTCGACAAGTACAACGAGTTGACACTCAAGTTGAATCCAGTGGTCGTAGTGACCCTCGGTGAAATTTCACAGACACATCACCTATTGATGACGAATCTCAAGTTTTTAAAGATGAAGGACAAAGAAGACCCGTTGGAGATGATCCTCAAGTCGTTGCCACCACCACTCGAAGTCAGTGAGGAGAACGACCGTGAGATCCAGCTCACCTTGACCAATCGTTTCAAGGAACACATGGAGCGTGAGATTTCCACCTCTGCATCGTTGTTGGCCGAAACCAAAGAGTTGGTATTGCAGGTATTCAGATCGATTCCTATCCAATCAAAGAAATCGGCCGACTCCAAAGACGACTTTGTTGCCATCCTCAAGGGTGCTGCCCTCCACGGACAACAAACTGGAAACGCTCAACTCACCGCCAACTCTGAGAAGATCATTGAGAATTTGAAAAAGATGGAGAATGAAGGTACAATCACCCCAACCAACCAATACGAAGGTTTCATCAGAATGATCGCACTCGAAGTCATCAACAGACAAGAGATCCGTGAACATCAAAGAAAAGAGAGAATGCGTCTCACCATTGCCTTGCGTGATCTCAGAAAACATCAAAGCTACCTCAACGAACAAATTCAACACTACACTTCATATCTCAAGGATGTTTTAGCTCATTATTCAAGTAAAGAGTAAGTTTATGAAATTGATTAATTAATAATAGGTTAAATTTACTAATATACTAACGATCAATAAACTATAGTAAAAAGAAAGCAAATAAACCGGTAAAGATGTCATACAAAGAACTAACAAAGAAGGGTATCATTGTAGAGTCAGATATTCCAAAGATATCACATGGTGCAACCAATTTCTATATTTCCACCGACACACCAGGTATTTTCGACATTGAAGCCAAGATTGGTATAGCAACTGCTGGATCGATTACTTTGGAGTTAGACGATCTCCTTGAGAAAGCATCCGCTGGTATCCCCGTTTTGAAACTCGAAAATATTGTATTGGATGTAAATATGACATTACATCTTTTGAACAGACATTTCCTAAAGAAAATTAAATAAGATAATACTTTTTAAATAACAAAAAAAAAAACAATTACCAAAATATATAAATAATCATCAAATCAAACAAACCAATTTCCTCTCCTTCAACCCAATTATTATTTTATACCCCAACAAACCACCTCAGATTAAAGTTCTAAATGGTGAAATACCAATCGAAAAGTACGAACCAAACGAATTATAAACATGTTCAATCAAACCAATTCTTTCATTCCAACAAAGATTAATTTATAGTAAATAAATATTAAAAAAAAATATAATGTAGATAAGATAAAATATAGAAAATACACTACGCTTTATTTTTTTTTTTCCTTTTAAGATTTTTTTTCACCATGAATCTCATGCAAAAGAAAGAAATAAGAATTGAATTGTATTCCTCTTTCTCTTACACTTTTTTTAAAGTGATGAAATAATAAAAAGGTTGGAAAAAATCAGATGACATTATCAAAAGTTTTTATTTATTTATAAATATATGAATTTTAATATTCTTATTCTAAAAGAAATTTACAAAAAGTTAGATTAGTTGTAAACGTCATTTTCTCTACGATGACATTATCAATTTAAGAACTGATATTTTTCAAAATCCCAAATGAAAAAAGTTCATTGTGTTTTTTTTTGTGTGCCAATTCTTCCCACTAATCAAAAAAAGGGGGGTAAAATCTACGGTCCCCTATTGAAACAGGTGCTCCGGGTCTTTAGCTCCAAAATTTGGATCTTTTCAATCTAAATATCCACTTTCCGTGTGCTAAACAATGCTGTCAACAAAATTTGGAAACATGCATTAAAAGTAAATTTGCAATTGAATTGTTCATTTTTTTATCCTAAAATTTAAAAAAAAAAATATCAATCAACAACCAAAGAAAAAAAACATTAATATAAATAACTTTAATATATTTTCTGTTTCTTACCTTGATATTTATATTTTTACCATTTTCAAAATAATTCATTAATTGATCAAATTAGTAGAGTATTATAATTGTCTTTACACTTTTTCTTTTTTTTTTTCAAATAGCCGAACTTTTTTTTTTTTTTTTTTTTTGTAATTTTCAATTACACCTTTAGGAGATAGTTTTTTTTTAATACCGGTAAGTTCCTCATTATAAAATTTTATCCATTAATCAGTTTTTTTATCTTTTTTGTTTTTTTTTTCAATTATTTACTAATTTTTTTTTTTCAATTTCAAACCCCTAATTAAATAATCTGTAACAAAACCAATTCAAATTAATCTATCAATCAAATATATTATATATATATATATATAAATAAACATACACACTATATATATATCTGTATATATTTGTAAAATAACTTATTTTATCTTATAAATAATTAGTATATTTAAAATATATAAAATCCTCTTTTTTAGAAAATGGTAAATTTAAGAGGTTGTATGGTTGGTGGAGTTATATTGGCAGCAGTAGGTATTGCTGCCTTTGTAATTTCATTAGCTTTAATTCCATCAGTTGTAAAGAAAGTCGGTGAAAATGCAGTTGCAGAGAATGTTATTGTATCTTCAAGTGTATGTATAATTAATTAAGGTAAACAATCATACTCCGACATTCTCTAACTCTTTAAAAATCAACTATACAGTCAAGTTCATATTATGATAATTGGTTAGGTCAATCCTCTATAGACAATTATTTCCTTCAATATTATTACGCCTACAATTTGGTATGTAGAAAACACTCTCTATTCTCTCTTATATTATTAGGATGGTTAGACACACAATACAACACAAAAACAACAAAACATTTCAGTTACCATTCAAAAAAAAAATTAAATTACAAACATTGTAGGAATTGCAAAGTTGTTTTTATTTTGATGTTTTTTTATTTGAAAAAAAAAATCATTTTTAGGTTACAACTCAACAGTTCTGCAGATCATGATCCAACCAGTTCGATCACACGCTTTTTTTACAGATTTTTTTTGCAAATTTTTAACTATTTTTATTAATTTTTTTGTATTGTTGATTCATTTCAGACCAATCCAGAAGAAGTTTTGGCAGGAGGTGTTGCAAACTACTCACAAATCGGTCCATTCAACTATAAATACGAATGGAACTACACAGATGTATCGTTCGCCGACAATGGTAACCAAGCTACCTACACACAAACAAAGACCTATATTTTCGATTTGAACAACAATGAGTTGTCAGAGGACATGATGATTACCAACATTAATCCAGCATATCTTGGTCTTACCCAAACATTGGTTTCTCAAAACGCTAAAGCCAGTATTTTCTTGAATGTCATCCCATTCCCAGGTATCCCGTATGTATACTTTAAATATTCATTCCTATATTCCACCTAACATCAAATATTACTATGATTATATTATTAAAGAGTTACCCTTAAATCATTGAACTCTCAACCAGTTCTTAACTTTATCAATGCCTACAATGGTATTCCAGCATTCCAAAGCTCATTGACCGCTTTGTTGGGACAAATCGGTAATGATATCCAAACTTTCTACACCAATTGGGCAAACTCAACTACCGTAAGTAAACAAACATATTATCTTTTAATATTTATCATAATGTTCAGTAATATTGATATTGTTTTGTTATTACACACTCGTTATCATTGTTAGTTGCCAGCCGATGGTAATTGGAATGGTATGCTTACAAGTCTTAATGCTCAAGTTGGATCCGGTATTTCCAGTGTATCCGCTGCTATTATCTTTAACAGTACCGATTCACTTTCATTGTTGAATACTCAAGGTATGCTTACCTGGTTCAATGCCTACAGTGGTGATGCTACCAGTGCCAGCAACTTGATGAACGGTACCGGTATCACCCAAGCTCAACTCCAAATCGTTGGACAATGGTTCTACTCTACCTTTGCTGAAGCAGTCACCGCCAAGGCAATTCTCCAAACATGTAACATCACAGATGCATCAATGATTGCTTTCTGTCAATTATACAATGTAATTTATCACAATAATAGTCACCAGAACTTTAGTTGGTTCACATATTTACTAATCAATCTTTATTAAACAAATCATAGGGTACTCTTTTGAATCAAAATAGTATTACCTCATTCAATTTCATTGGTAATCCATTTAATGGTTCAACTCCAGTTGAATTCTTGGGATTCGATCCAAGCACCAATATCACAATGCCTGTCTTTTACGACATTTGCTTCAACTCTGGAAATGTCAGTCTCTCCACAGGTAACGGTGGTCTAACTTTCTTGTTGATGTCATTAGGTCAAGCTCCAAACGTTTGGAATCTCGATGCTAGTACCATCAATGTTTTGGGTAACGCCATCGGTAATGTCATTCCAACCGCTTTCATCTACAAGTACTTTTCCCAACTCCTCAAGAACAACGGTTTGATCGTTACCAAGTCCGCCTACGACTGGCTCTGGGGTTGCAACGATCCAATCTTGGACTTCTTGAGCGCACCAAATCCATGTGCCCTTCAGGTCAACAACACTGTCGCCCAACCAACCACCATTCACACCGGTAAGGACGACAATCTCTTGACCAACTTTCTCATCAAGTGGCAAGGTCAAACTCAACTCAACTTCTGGGGACCACCAGCCGTCAACGTCACCGGTTACACTGAGAGCGGTCAATTCGCACCAAACCAAGGACTGATGGAAACATTGACCATTTTCGAAGAGAATGTATTCCGTCCAGTCACATTGAACTATCACAACGACACTTCGGTTCACGACATCAAGACCCGTAGATACTATCTCCAGAACGACTCTTTCCCAGCATCACCAGACATTTTCTACACCCAATACGATGGATTTGCCAATCTCACTGCACTCCAACAGGGTGTTCCAACTTTCGTCACCCTCTGGGATATGTGGGAAGTACCAACCAACATTTCATCACGTGTCAACGGTATGAACCCATCCTATGAGAATGCCGCCATTCCATTGGATTTGGAGCCAACTTCCGGTAACGCTTTGTACTATAACCTCAAGTTGCAAGTAAACTTCTTGTACGAGAACAACGGTTGGGATGATACTTTTGCATTCTTTACCAACGTAACCAACGGTATCTACTACCCATCATGGAAGATCGGTCAAACCGCTACACCATCCGACAAGACTTTGGATAATTTGGCCAAGCAACTCAAACAATTGAGAGAGTTGAAGATTGTTCCAGTTGTAGTTATGGCTTTGGTTGGTTCATTAATGTTTGTTGCCGGTGTTGTCATGGTTGTTATCTCAGCAGTCAGACATAGAAGATTGAATGGATATGAATCAATCAACTCAACTTAGATCAGTGGTGATACTCTAAAGTGTTATTTCAATAATATTTGTATAAAAAGAAAACAAAACAAAACAAAAACAAAAACAACAAATCCCAATATTTTGTTAAATTAGTGATAAATGTTAATAGCAATAATAAAAATAATCAGATAGATATTTAATTTTATTTTAACTTATTTTATCTTAATAATAAATCAAATATATATTATATTCAAGTAACTTTTCTATCTATTACGATTTTTTTGAGAAAGATTTTTCAAGAAAATTGTGTCACAACTGCGATTAGATTGGCTAAGTCAACTCACTTAGAACTTCACAATTTAATTTTTTATTTTTTTTAAAAACCTAAGCATATAAATTCAAAATTTTCTAGTTAGTTTTATCATATTAGTATTACTTTTATTCGTTTTTAAAAGATATAAAATTATAAAATATTTATTAATATTTGAAAAAAATTAAAATTAAATTAAAAAAAAAAAATCACCCTTTCATCTATATACGTGTCCAAGTCAATTCTCAATTTTTTTGGTTCTTTTTATTTATTTATCATAATAATTAATATCTATAAATATTTATATAATCATTTTAATAATCATAGTTACATAGATAGATATCCTTTAATAGTTTTAAGTAGTTAGTTTAGTTTTAATAGTTTTTTTAACAAAGATAATATAATATGGAAGAAGAAAAGAATTATAAAGTATTGTTGATTGGTGATAGTGATGTAGGAAAGGTAGGTTTTGTTTAGTAATTCATTTTAAGATCAAGTTATTAATGATAGTATCAACATAAACATGTCTAGACATCAATTGTAAAGAGATTTTTAGATGATACCTTCGATGAAGACTTACTTTGTACTATTGGTGTCGAGTTTAAGATGAAAGCTGTAGAGGTCGATGGAAAATCTGTTACTCTTTGTATTTGGGATACTGCTGGTCAAGAGAAATTCAGAGCATTGATCAGTTCTTATTACCGTGGTGCTCATGGTATCATTTTAAGTATGTTTTCATTCATTTGGTAGATACGCACAACATATATATAAAAAAAAAAAAAGAGACTTTTATTAATTGTTTTATTAAATAATAATAGCTTATGATGTTACAAAGAGAGAAACCTTTAAGAATCTTCAATACTGGTTAAATGAAATCGAAACATTCTCAAACAGAGCAAACGTAGTAAAATTACTTGTAGGAAATAAGATAGATAAAGAAAACAGAGAGGTCACCAGAGAAGAAGGTTTAGAGTTTGCCAAGAGCAAAGCAATGTTTTTCATCGAATGTAGTGCAAAGACAAAGATTGGAATTCAACAAGCTTTCGAAGAACTTGCACATAAGGTAAGTTAGTTATAAATTAATGAAAAGTCAGAAGAAACATAATATAAATAACAGTTACTAAATATTTTGTTTTATTATTATTATTATTATTATTACTATTTTAGATTATTGAAACACCATCACTTAGCGAGGATAATGAAAATAAGAAAAAGAAGATCAAAGCAACCGTTTCTGCAGATGAATCAAATCAACAAGGTGGATATTGTGGTTGTTAAAGATAGGAGAGGATAGGATATATAGTAATTACATAGGTACACAGATTTCAAAAAGAGCACCACTTGAAACAGCAATGTTAACATTCATTCATTTATATATTTTACCAAAATCATAATCATCAATAATACTTCAACTTGTTTGGACTGGTTTTTTTAAATTCTCCACCAACTCATCAACTTCAACTCTAATTTTATAAATAATAATTCACATACCCAATTATATAGTTAATTTTGGTTCTCTCTGTAATATTAATACAGAATAAAACAAACAACAATCAACCAATAATACTTTTTTTGTAAATAAAAAAATAAAATAAATAAAAAAAAATAAAATCATAAAACTTTTTTAAATGTATAGATAAATAGAATAGATAAAACTTGGATTTCTTTAATATTATTATGTTTTTTTTAATCTTCCATTTCATCATCTTCATCTTCATTTAACTCTTCATCGGTATCATAAGCAGAGTTACTTGTAGCATCAACCAACAAAATTTCAGGTATCTAAATCAGTGAGAGATTAAATTCAGAATTAGCATATTGAAATGAACTTAATGAATTTGAAGATAACTTACAACAACAGAATCAAATGGTGGCCAAATAGAAGAAACAATACTAATCATAGATTCATCCACCCAAGGCAAATACTCCTTTAGTAAGAATTGAGGATCTTCAAACCATTTCTCTGCCAACTTTGCTTTGGTATTGATTTTAAATTGTCTGAGCTTGTCCACTAAATTATGTACTTTGCTTTGTGTGTTTGGTAGTAAAATCATATCTGATCTTGTATTTAATAATGGCTAATGGTACTTCAAGTTAGTAGGATGATTTCATTTAATAAAGTTAAATACACTTACAATTATATAGGTTAATGGTGAAAATACAACACCATCCAACAGTGCTTTGGCGAAATAACGACATGATTCTTTAGGATCGGGGTGATCGATTGCCATCAATGGTAACTCCCAAGAGTGAACACCGAATGATGGTTTGACGTAGCAGATGACTTTGTCACGCTTGGCAGAGTACTTGGGGAATGGCATGTCCAATGGCTTGAAATCCGCACACAATGGACGACCGAGTGTTGCCAACCAAGCTGGATTTACTTCCGAGACCAATTTCATATATGGCTTTGATGTCTCAATGACATCGCAGTACACTACAAAGTTTGGTGTGGCCTTGGACAGACTGGAGTTTGGATGAATGAAAACTGGAACATTGTTTGTACATGAACGGTATTCCGCCATTGAATAGGAGGTAGCTACTTCATGGATTCTTGCAACTTGGTCAATTAGACCGGCGGTAATCACTTGTTTGATGAACAGCTCTTGGGTTGCATTGGGAGGTGACATTGGCTTGTTCATTGTCAACGGTTGATATTGATTATCGCTATTCAAATTGAGTTCTTCATCCATAAAGATTGAATTGACCATCTCAGAGAGCTGGTGACGCAACTTGTAAATTTCACCCATGGACTTTGAATTTAGATATTGGGCATCACAGAAACTGTCTACCGACTTTGGATCTTTCTTCTTCTGGAAGTCATAGGCACCGACCACCTTGAGAATAGTGAGAATATCACTCTCCTTGTGAATCCACTTACGAAGACTGTTATTCATTCTCTGTTGACGTCTCTTACGCTCCTCTTTCACCTTTTGCTCCATTTCCTTCTCTGTCATATCACGATCATCGTCTTGCTTTGGAGTTTCGTCTTCTTCGTCCTCCAAATCACCATCGCCAACGAATGGATTCTTCACAGTGAGAATCGATACGATGGCAATGATAAATTGTAAACAATTGTGTTGTCTTCCGAGTAGCAGCATCTTTGAGAATCTCGGGGCTAGAGGGAATGTAGACATAAGCTGACCAAGCTCGGTAATGTCGAAATTCTTCTTATCCAACGCACCCAAATAGCATAGACTTCGCATGGCAAGCTTCAAGGCAGATTCTTCAGGTGGTGTTGGGAATGGGAATCTGGTGATGTTGTGAATACCCATGCTCTTCATCTGTAGAACCATACCATCGATTGGAATCAACAGGATCTCTGGCTTTGAGAATTGTTCGAAATGATCATTGTAGACAGCCGATGAGAAGATACGGTAGCAATGGCCTGGACCAGTACGACCTGCACGACCTGCACGTTGATCGGCTGATGCCTTTGATGTCCAAGTGACCTCAAAGCTTGAAACACCATTGTCCTTATTGTAGAAACGTCCCTTTACTCTACCAGTATCGACCACATACTTGATATTTGGAATGGTAAGTGATGTCTCTGCAAGATTAGTAGCTACAACAACCAATCTAGAACCGAGTGGTGGAGTTTGGAAAACACGCATTTGTTTGACTGTTGGCATATTTGAGAACAATGGTAAAACATGTAAAGGTCCAATCTCTTTCTTTTCAGAATCATTTGATTCTCCCTCCATTTCCTCATCGTCATCTTTCTTTTCTTTTGATTCACTATCTTGATCACTACCTTCACCATCTTCATCATCATCTTCATCGTCCTCCACTTCAACATCTTCATCTTCAACCACTTCAATATCATCATAATCTAAATCTTCTTCTTCTTCTTTGTTATTATCGTCTTCCAATTGATTTTCAGCACTGTCCGCATCACCGTATACTTGATTATGTTTCTTCTGTGTATCCGCTTTGCTGTCTTCCTCTTCTTCAAGTTCTTTGAACTCCTTTTCAAGTCTGTCGTTCTCCTCTTTGAATGAACGGTTGACAGACTTCATTGGATGAGCACGTCTTAGCTTGGTGCACAGTTCCTCTACTTCTTGACGACCAGTGACAAACACCAATACACCTCCGGGTGGCAATCTACGATGAATCTTCAAGACTTTACGATATGCCTCATCGATATAGTTGTCCAAAACCGTTTTCTTATTGAAATGAATAGTCACAGGATACTGACGAGTCGGGATATTAATGACAGGTGGCACCAACGAAAACAGATTGCTATTCTTTGTAAAGTCTTCGACACGAAGTGTTGCACTCATAACGACAATCTTCAAAGGTGTGTATCGCTCACCGCCATTCTTCCTGTAGTTCATCCAGAGCTTCTTACGCATCGGTACAATTCTCGAGAGCAGACCAATCAGAATATCGGTATTCAGATTTCTCTCGTGTGCCTCGTCGATGATGATACACGAGTATTGCTGCAGTAGGAAATCGGTTTGTACCTCACGCAACAAGATACCGTCGGTCATGAACTTCACCTTGTTGACGTCGGTATCGAGTTTACGGTCGTAACGAATCTGGTAACCTACTTCCTTACCAAAGACAACGTTCAACTCGTGAGCGACACGCTTGGCAGTACTGACGGCAGCAACACGACGCGGTTGAGTCACACCAATCAAACCAGGGAAATCGGAATCGGGATGAGCAAATCCACTCTCATAAAGGAACTGTGGTACTTGTGTAGTCTTTCCAGAACCAGTCTCACCACAAATAATCACAACATCATTGTCCTTGATCTTCTCAACGATATTGTGTTCCTCCATCATAATCGGTAGCTTCTCACGAGTCTCTATTACCTCTGGTAATCTTACAACTGGTACATGGAATACCTATAGTCAATTTATATATTGATTTTTGTATTTCTATCAATATTTATAATGTATTGTATGTAATTGATATGTATGTATGTATATTTACATTAAATTTAATATCTGTTTCCATTTCCAAATGTTCTTTTATCTTTTGTTCAAGTATTTCATTACCAGTTGGTACGGAAATAATAAACTCTCTATTCTCATCTTCAAATTTACCGAAATCATCAAGAGTCAATGCATATCTTTCCATTTCATCTTTCTTATCATTCTCCTTCTCTTGTTGTTGTTGTTGTTGTTGCAGTTGTTCTTCCAACTCTTTTTCTTTTTGTTGTATCTTTTGTTCTACTTGTTGTTGTATCTTTTGAGCATTGATATTATTATTATCCTTCTTCTTTCTCTTATTTCCTTTTTGTTCTACAACCACATCAACTTTCTCTTCAACTACTACTACTTTTTCTTCATCTATCTCCTTTCTCTTTAAAGTTGAAACACTATTATTATTATTCTTCTTTTTATCATTCTTATTACTATTGTTATTGTTATTATTTGATTTAGTTTCCTCTTTCTTTTCAATATTGGTTGTCTTTGATTCAGTTGCTGTTGTTGTGGTTGTAGTTGCTGTAGTAGTAGTAGTAGTAGTTGGTATTATTGTATTACCATCAACACTAGTATTACCTTTAAGATTAATAGTTTCTTCATCTTCGCTCTCATCCAATTCATTCTCATCTTTGTCAATGATATTGTCAGATTTATTATGAACAGTCTTTGATCTAATGCTGCTGCTAACCAATGTATCATCGTCGTACTCATCGAAATCTCTATCTATTGAATCCTGTGACCAGAAGAAATACTTCTTCTTTGACTTTTCTTCTCTCTTTTTATCTGCTGTTTTCTTTGGAACAACCAAACCTCTTCTCTTCTTTGGTAAATCATCATTTACATATCTATCATCTCCAACATTACTAGCACTATTACTATTATTACTATTATTACTATTATTGTTATTATTATATTGATTACTTTCTTCATCATCATCAATATCATCTAAAGATGTAATTATCTTAAATTCCTTTGACTTGTTTCCACCACTTGTCAATGATGCCAATGAAGCCAATGATGTTGTTGTATTTGGTATATCAACAGTTGAATTATTATTCTTATTGTTATTATTATTCTTCTTATTGTTACTATTAGTCTTCTTATTAAAGAATGATGGAACAGCAACAGGTTGTTTAGCTTGTATTAAATCATCATCTTCAACATCGTCCCATTGATCAACGACATTATCACCATCTTCGATCGATGGTGTTTTAATATCCTTTGGTTTCCTCTTGTATCTATCTTCAGGTAATATATCCTTTACATTGAATTTCTCTTCTACTTTTACTCTCTCAAGTGATTCCTTATTTGTTTCTTTCTTTCCAAGAGTAGCCGATGATTTCAACAACTCTCTCTTGTCATTTGACATTGAATTTGTCCTAAATATTTTTATTTTAGTTTAATTAGTAATCAATCATAGATCTATCTATCTATCTTTTAATAACTTACAATAATTTATCGATTAAATCTTTTCTTTCGGCATGTCTATCAATTTTTTTCTTTAGAGTCTGTTTCAATCTCTCTTCTCTTGATTTCTTCTTATTCTTTGATTGTGCTCGTTGTAATGGTATTGTAGACATTGTTGTTTGTTTAATGAAATACTATTCTAAAGAAAAAAAGAAATAAAACAATTTATCTATTTATCAAAAATAGAAATAATATTCTTAAACGATTATATTATTGAAAATACATCAAATTGGTTAAATTACATTCGTTCGTTTTTCATCAAACTTTGAAAAAAACGTTTTTTTATTTTTTATTTTTGATAATGTGATTGACCTGGATGCATTAAAATGCTGTGTATTTGATTTGCAATGTATTTGAATTGTTTCTTAATTATTTGATTATCATCATCGGTGAATGTCTTGTCTCTCAAATCCACTCTAATCTCTACTGTAAATTTATCAAAATCGATTGACATCATTTCAATTGTGAAATTGAATGATAGATCACAATCATCTTTTTTCCTGATATTATTATTATTATTATTATTATCATAATTATCATATCATTAATTTTGATACAATTTAGTATATATTTTTTATGATCTAATACGACTGTGTTGTTATATATCTTCCTAGTGCTATTATGACGATCATTATCATTATCATTATTATTATTATTATTATTATTATCGTCATTACTACTGATATTATTATCATTATCAACTAAATTTTGATTTGATTGTACAGGTTGTTGTTGTTGTTCTTCTTTAGTTTCATATTTAATATCAATTAGTTTAAGATACATTCCTAATTCAAGTATTACATGTGTTAATGGAAGGTTTGTAACGAAAGTACCTTTAAATCCTGGTCTCTCTATTGCTCTACGTTGTTTTCTTGTTAGTTCCTCTGGTTTTTGGAATGTTAGTTCATCACCGACAAAAGACCAACAAACAACCCATCTACTACAATTTCCTTGTGCCAACTCTGTTGTAGTATAACAATTGATATTGTTATCTCTCAACATTGTCAATACACTTTCAACATTCTTTTTTCTACCCAACAAAGTAGAGTATAATCTATATTTTTAATATTATAGTTATTGTTAGTTTAATATTAAACAAAAAAGTACTACTACTACTACATACTTAATATTCGATCTTAATATTAAACTATCTTTTATCATTCTTTTTACAAATTGTAATTCACCACCTTCTGTTACCAGCTCGTTATCGGCACCGGTGCAAGTTGTTTTGTGATTCAACTTGGTTTGCTTTAGGTCCTCAAAGAACGGAGGATTGCAAATAGATATTTCATAGCGACTGTATTCATCGATGACATTGTTGAGTATTAACTCTTTCTCTACTTGGATCACTTGTATTTCTCGCTGCAGTTGATTGCGCTCAACGTTTGACCGAGCAAACTCAATCGATCGACTATCGATATCGGTGGCGAGGAATCGCCATCCGAATAGGCGTGTACCCAGCAATGGATAGATACAAGACGCACCGGTACCAACATCGATTGCCCTAACCGAAGATCTAGACTGACTGACTCGACTACTAACATTACCATCGCTACTGTCCTTTGGCAATGGGAAACACTGTTCCGCTAACCTATCATAGCAATCTTTTATCCAGAGCAGATAGTTCAGCCTCGATGTTATCATTGGACAGAGATAATCGAATGGCAGATTCACCTTCAAACCGAAATCATGATCCAACAATGTAATGGTCAGCTCCCTAACAGCATCTGGATCTTTCCAATCGATATTATATATCTTTTCATTCTTATTAAGAATACTTTTAAAATGTACATATTATTAGTATTCCGCTCGTAAATTTAATAATAACAACAACAACAACAACAATAACAATAATAATAATAGTAATATTTACAATTTATCAAACTTTGGATATTTCTCTGCTAACAATTTAAAGTTTGGTGGATTATTCTTATAGATATTATCTCTATGCATCAACTCATTTGTTCTTGATCTCTTTCTACCGTTCCAAAGCTTTAGATATTCATAATAATTATCATTTTCATCATTATCATCTCCTTCTTTTTCTTCATCTTCTACTTCTAAATCTTTATTTACATTCTCACTAACATTCTCATTATTATTAACAATTTCCAATTCTTTTCTTTTTAGTGAATTATTGTTATTATCGATATTGTTGTTATCACTTTCCATATGTGTTACTATGTATTATTATCTGTGGAACTTGTCAAAATTAAAAATAAATTTTTATTTTTTTGAGTGTGAATCAGAAAACAAGTAAAGTAAAAACCTTAATTGGAAATATTCTTTATTTATAAAAATTTTGACAAATATTCTTTAAAAGTATTTTGTTGCTGTGCTGTTTTCCCATACTTATCATAATTTATGACTCACAAATTCATTTTAATTTGACTTTTTTCATCTTAAATTTTTTGTTGAACTTGTGACTCATACTTTTTAATTAATTACTAAGTTAACCAGTTTTTTTTTTTTTGATTAAACAAACTATTATAAAAATTGATATTTTTTATTTATTTGTTTACATTTCATTCGATACAATAAATAAATTAATATATACTACAACTTATCTATTAAAAAGACTTTATATATAATATAATACAACTTAATATATAATATAATCATGGTGTTGTTTGCAATGCTTTGTAGAATCGATGGCTTGATGCTATCGGAATCGATGGATTCCACTCAACAAGATTCATTCGATAGAACCTATAGAGAACAAGCTAAATTGATATTCAGTAAACTATCAAGAGTTTCTGAGAAAGCAATGACTTTAGATACTGATAAATATTATTTTGCGTAAGTTTTTAAAACTTAATATGATCATCATATCATATTATTAAATGATGATCTGATCAAGCACAAATATTAAAATGAAAATGATATAATATCATCATTATTATTTATATAGTTATTTAATTGAAAACGATGTATGTTATTTATGTTTATGTGAAAAAGCATATCCAAAGAAGTTGGCATTCAACTTTTTAGAAGAGTTGTACAAGGAATTCGATACTTCGTATGGCAGTGAGGTTGCACTGGCGAAAAGACCCTATCAATTTGTGAAATTCGAAACATTCATCACCAAAACAAGAAAACTATATAGAGATACAAGATCACAGAGAAACCTATCGGATGTCTCCTTCGAATTGAGAGATGTACAGAAAATTATGACTAAAAATATAAGAGATATCGTTGGTAGAGGTGAAAAATTAAATGGTAAGTTAGTTTACATAGCTACTCTAGTGTGACGTTTGAATTATTAGAATCCTTAAAATAACTAACCTGCCTGTATCCACCTTAAACACTATCAACTTCTTTTTTTTTTTTTTTTAGATGTAAATGATAAATCAGAAAAGTTACTAGCAGAATCGATTCGTTATGAAAAACAAACTATTGCATTGGCATCACAATTATTCTTTAAAAAGTATTTCCCTGTTATAATTATACTCTTATTCCTTTTCTTTATCTATATTAGATATGCATATTGGTGAAAATAATAGAAAATAACAATAAAAAAAGATATATATACATATTGAATTCAAATAAGATTGTGACGACAAATAGATTAAAGTTTTTGTTTGTTTGATTACTTTGTTTTTTATCCAGCCAATTTATGGTTATGGAAATTGTTTATAGTTTTATGTTAAACTACCATCTACCCATTGTTTAACAGTGTATTTCTTCATTTTTCTAGCAAGTCCAAAGTTTTTCAGTAGGTAAAAAGGCTGACCGTTATTCCAGTCCCATAGACGCCAACGGTAGGGAGGATCATCGATGTTTACCATGACGGTACCAGCCGGATCCGCTTGCTTTCCACTGAGTACTTCAAAGTTGGAGATCAATTCCAAGTCGGTTTCGGATTCACCACGTACAGCTTTTTGGTAGTTCCAAATCATTGGATCGTATGCGTACATTCCAATCATCTGGACGATGATCGCCAGTATACCAGTGCATACCAACAGTGTCACGAGTGGCTGAATTCTCTTCATTCTTGTGATACCTGCACCAATCATTGCCAAGAGTGTTGGCATCAAGTCGGTGAGTGGACGCGGTCCGAAACACCAACCTCCCCAATAGTCAAAGAATGTACTGGCGGCATAGGTAAGGATGGCAGTCGATGCCATGAATGGCGCGAGCAGTGTAATCGTTGATTTATCACTGAAAAACAGCGAGACGATGGAGAATATTAAGAATGGCGAGTGTACAAACAATCCACGAGATGGACTGAACAGTAGCGTTGAAAGACCGGTCCATAGTGGAGTTGTCCATGTTCCTTCGGCAAGTCCGGTTTTGGCTGGTGCCAGTTGCTCCGCTGCAATGGTCTGGCCAGTGATAAAAGGTGATCCGAAAAATAATTGATTATGGTAGAGGAATGCTGCACCGAGAATTGCACCGGTCACTCCATACGCAAATAAACGAATGAATTGTTTTTTGAATCCAACTTTTCCTGGAATGAGACAGTTGACCAACATTCTACTGAGAACGGCCAGTGGATAGAGTGCGCTGGTAGGACGACAAATAGTTGCCATACTCAAGGCAAAAGCACAGGAAATCGCGTATATAATCGATGATTTGTTGCTACTCGATGCCGATTGCAATTTAATATAGCAATAGAGTCCGATGGAGAGGAACATTGTGTTGGGTGCGTGTTGCCATAGCGCCTGACTGTTGATACTGGCCAGTGTAGTACCAAGTCCATAGAGTATGGTAAGCAGGAAAGAAAACATAAAATTACTGGAATGATCGATACTGTCTCTGGAAATCAGCTCCAAAAATACCTGGAACATAACACCACAGGAAATCGCAGAGAATAGCGATGCCGACAGCTTGGAAATATATAAAAGATGCTCACGGCTATACTGACAATAATCATTCGCTTTCACGGGGTAACGTGCAGTGTAGAGACGAAAGATTGGTGCCGATGTCAGAGCAGTTCCAATTCCAAATGTACTGGCATAGACTGCGCTGTTGTCAGGTGTTTGCGATGGTGATTTGGCGATCGAATCCACAAGGAAGTAGTGCGGACGATCCACTTTAAGACGTCCCATCTCATAGAGTTGCCATGCACTTCTAGGTTCAACCTTTCCATTGATGACGGTGCTTGCCGTTTGATTCCAATGCGCCAAACTCAAACCGCTTCTTGGAATTGCATTCTTTGGATCTGCCCAAAACTTCCATTGAAACAGGCAGGGTGTATCTCGTGGTGTCAGACCAAACAGTTCGACACCACTGCTGCTGAGCAGTGACGATGGTGGCACATGTGCCAGTCGAAGTGACAACAACATATTGGAGTTGGAATCACCACCCACCGTCATCTCACCATTGGACATATACAATCTGAACATACCGAAAACAATCATCAAGGTGGTCACTCGATTGATCCATATCCAATGTTTGAATGATTGATATTCATAGTTTATTTGTAAAGGTTGTTGATCTGCTACTGATTGTTGTTGTTGTTTATTATTACCACTATTGGTAATATTTGAAGATCTTTTACTACTACTATTATTCTTTCTATTCTTTGTTGTACTACTCATTTTACTGTTTTATCCACCCTTATATTATTATTAATATAGATCTATTAAATGTTGGCTGTATAGAGTGTGGTGGTGGTAGTAGTTTGAGGTGTGGTGATGATGATAACTTATAGATCTATATTACAGTTTAGAGAGAGAAAGTTGTGCAATCAAAGAAAACAGGTGTGAAGTTTGTAGCTAAAAATGATATAATTTTTAATTTTTTTTTTTGAAAACCCATGTTGCCTTTTTTAAATTTTGATGATCAATTTCATCTAGATAATCTTTTTTTAAAATTTCGTTGCTGTGATAAGACATTATATATATAACTTTCTTACCTTTGTTATTATTATTATCATCATGTGGGAGATGAGATCTGTGTGATCTGATCATCATAGTTGTTGTTTTGGTTATTGTGTCAATGTTGTTCTGTGTGGTTTTGAGAAAACTGTTTATTTTTAATCGACCTTACTAAACAAAAAATCAATAAACAAAAAAATTCATCGTCTTGTTTATACATACACAAACCTCGAAAACCACACACACACACACATACTTACCACCCCCACTGTTGTCTTGAATTGAATGGAATTCATGTGTGTGTGTCAGTGTGTGAGTGTGTGTGTGTCAATTATACCACCATATATAAATATGGTATAGTAGTCTTTATGGTTATATTGTTTTTCTTTGACTATTATGTTTGTTTCGTTTTCCAAAAATAGAAGCTCAACTCAATATAACTCCACCTACCTATTCTTATCAATAAAAAAAAAAAAAAAAAAAACACAATAGTTATCATACTCACTCTATTATTGGTGTATGATAACAAAAATATAATAGTATTACAATTATAATTATTGATATTTCAAAATCAAATTCAATTCATTCATTCCCATTAATCGTTTTTCTTATTTTTATTTGTTGTTGTTGTTTTTTAGATGACATAATAATATCAATAAAAAATAAACGCATTAAGAATATACACCACTACACTCTATTTTGTTCATTACATCCAATTTCACTCACATTTGTGTTGTTGTTGTTGTTGTTGTTGTTGTTGGCTGTTTGGTTGGTTTATTTTATGATATTTGTGATATGACTACGGTCAGAGATTGGTGGTAGATAAATAGATAGACAAAACAGAAATTATTAAATAAATAAATCAAATTCTAATCCTTAGTTTAATTTCAAATTTTCTTATATTAAAATAGCATTTTTGTTTTTTTTTTTGAATAAAGGTTAGAAGAGATAACATAAAACATATCATTATCTAGATTCTATTTATCTTTAATCTATAATCAATCTTAACTTATATATATTTTAAAAATAATATTCGTTTTTAAAATAATCAAAAAAATAATATTATTTCGAATTTTATTTATTTTTATATACAATACTTATACAAAAATCAAAACACAAAAAAACAGATATAGATTCAATAGATATAGAATACAAATTTAAAATTTACAATTTTAAAATCAATAATATTAATAATAATAATAACATAATTATAATAGTAGTAGTTTTAAAAATAAATTATTTATTAGATGATATTAAATTACAAAATTTAAAACAAAATATATATTTAAAATTATACAATATTTTTATATAGAAAAATATATAGACTTCCAGGTTTGTCATATTTTTGGTATCCAAAAATATTGAGGTGAGTTTGAGGAGTTCTTTACTTTCCAAGTTTGAATTAAAAATACAAAATTGGTTAAAAAAATGGACTCATCTCAAAACAACCAAAAACCAAATATAGATAGTAATAATAATAATAATAATAATATTAATATTAATAATAATAATAATAATAATAATATTAGTAGTATTAGAAATGAAAGAATATCAAGTCCACATGTACCCCCACCAAATTTTTTCACCAATCATCCAGTTGACACCTTTGACGACGAAGAAGACGATGAGGATGATCTTCGACAAAGTCTAAATAGTAGTATACAAATGGGAAACTTTAGAAATAGTGATAATAAATACCTATCAGATAGTCCAATTTTACTCAGTAAAAGCCAGCAATATCATAATCAGTTTCTGCAGCAACAACCACCATTACCAAATCCAACCAACAGGAGCAACAAACCCATCGATTTAAACAAAGAATCTACTTTCCTGCCTCATCGTGGAAATCAATCATCAACACCCACCCACTCAAGCAAGAGTCTACCTTCGCAACATTTACCACAGCCACAAGAATATGTTTCCTTGGATATGGGAAGTGGGCAAAACCAGCAGCAATCTACACCAACAATCCTACATCAACAACAACAAAAACAAAAACATCAACAACAGCAACATAGTAGGAATCAAAGATCGACAACCAAAAATTATAATAGTAGAATAAGAGAGATTGAAGATGATGAAGAAGAGGAAATGAATATTGAGTCTGGAGTAGATAAAACTGGTCAACAGCTAGAACAACTAAACAATCCACAATTACAATCTACAAAGAAGAAGAATTTCTTCTCACCTCTGTCAACAATGTTTGGTTTCAACAAGAAGAAGGAACGACCAAGGATAAGTCCTGATACAATCAATAAAAATCAACGAACTCCAGCATACTCCTCCACTCGCAAATACTCCATTCCACAGTCATCCTCCACTATTTTCGGTGGATCATCTTCTACACAACAGGCAGCGGCCTCTGCTATTCCGAATCACCGTCACTATCTCAACAACTCACTGGCGTCACCGTTCAGTCCGTTCGAGAGGATGTCACCTGTCCGATCACCAGCACCGTCGCCAATGGCACATCACCAACTGAAACGACACATGATGAAGTCCAGCTCTGAAAGCTCCATCCACAAAAGCTACAAGACACCATCGCATCATCCCTCCGGTTACTACTTCAACGACAACCACACTTTCATTTCGAATCACTCGATTGAAATACTACAGAAAATATTTCATTATCCTTGGATGTTGCTGAAATTCATTATTACACCAAAAGCCGGTTTGATCTATCCGTCAAAGGTGATCAAGCGTCGTTCGAAAGTATTATCGCTGCTTTGTCTCTTGATGATTGTTGTATTTATCTTGGGTACTGTTCTGAACCATCCGATATGGTATATCTTTTCACCCGGTATTCTCATCTGTATTATATTGTTTTTTTTTGTTAAATTTACCAACTACTATTTTCTACTGAGCTTTGCACTGGTGGCGACATGTGTGACAATCAATATAACATCGGTTATAGTTGCAGTCAATAAGTTGGAACACACGAGTGGTGCACTTTTATTTTCATGGGATACACTCGTACTGATAGCTGTATCTCTTTTATTTCCTCGACTATTTCTTTGTATTATATTATTGTTTACCGTGACATTCTGCTATATTGGAATGGGTATCTACCTGGCGGTATCACATCATTTCTCAAGAACAAATGTATTAGATGTAAGATTTTTTATTTAACAATCATCTAATCTAACTGATTAACCTTTATTACTTTATATTAGACATACGATTCTATTGGTGAAATGCTTAGAGGTATTTTGGTGACACTTGTACTTTTGTTATTTTATTCTATTCTATCATCTATTGATCTACGTGAAATCGAAAGAAAGGAAGAGAGAAATCAAAGTCTATTCAAGATTAGCAATGAGGCTTTGGTTGTTCATAAAGGTGGTTTTATAACTGATGCTAATGCTGCTTTTGAATCAATGTTTCAAATTAAACTACAAGATATGCTTTATCCAGTTGTAAGTAATTCAAATTTAAATGATCATATCTAAAATAGTAAAAATTTATTTATTTTATTTTATTTTAACAAAAAACAAAACTAAACAGCCAAGTGGTATTTGGGAATTCTTACCTGATCTTGAAAGTATCTATTCACAGGATGGGTCGATGGATACTCCTCTTCCACCAGTAATTGAAACAACGGCAATAGATTCCGGTGGTCGTGCATTCGATGTAGAAGTTCGTACTAACAAGGCTACCTATGCCGGTAAACCAGTAGATGTATTCTCTATTATCGATATCACTGGTAGAAAGAATCTCATTGAAGCAGATGTAGCTCTACGTAAAGCAGAGGCTGCCAATGAAGCTAAAGTTGTTTTCCTTACAACAATCAGTCATGAATTAAAGTAAGTTATTATATAGCAATCAACTTTGCTATTATATCAACTAATCATTTGTTTTTTTGAAACCAATTTTTTTTAGAACACCAATCAATGGTATTATGGCATCATGTGAAATCTTGGAGAGATCGAATTTGGATGCTGGACAACGTGAATTTCTCGATGCAATTAGAATGTCGTCAAACTATTTGTATTCATTGGTGTTGGATATTCTTGACTACAGTAAAATGGAAGCCGGAAAGATGGAATTGGTTTTGGATGATTTCAGTTTGCTAAAGATGTTGGAAGATACGCTGAGTATGGTTTCAAAGAATGCTCAACCAAAGGGATTGGATTTGGTTGGTTTTGTCGATAGCAATGTTCCAGTGTTGGTGCATGGTGATGCCACTCGTGTCAGACAGATCCTCTTGAATCTCATTTCCAATGCCATCAAATTTACCGATGAAGGACAAATCAAGATCCGAGTCAAGTTGGACAGAGAGATTACAGAAACCAAGGAATATCAGTTGCTATTCGAAGTTGAAGACTCTGGTATTGGTATCAAGAATGAACACATCGTATTGCTGTTCACTCCATTCTCACAAATCGATTCCAGTAACTCTAGAAAGTATCAGGGTACCGGTCTTGGTCTAAGTATTTCAAAGAGACTAGCCAATATGATGGATGGTGAAGTGTTTGTGAACAGTGACTTTGGTATTGGATCTACATTCTCCTTTACTATCAGACTTGGATATCCAGTATCAAAACCTGGATTTACATTCCAAAAGATGGGAGGTGCCATTTTCATGGGCGATGAGTTGGAGGGATTCGATTCACTGCTTGTCGGTCCGCGCAAAGTAGGAAAGAGTGGTGGTCCGGTTGTGGGTGTAATTGTTGATCCTAATCAATGGGTACGAAAATCGATTGCTCAGTACTTCTCTCTCATGAGTATCTCTTGTATGGAATTCGAAGGTGAAGACGATTGTCGTGAATACTTTGAGAATAATCAATCTGGAAACGCTGCATGTCTCATCATCTCGAGTATCGTCACACTGAACTCGCAGACCATCAAGAGTGGATCTCGTGAGCTACACTGGGTGATGCTTACATTCAGTCCAACTCCACAGCTACTGCCAGGCTTTGAAGATCTCATTCAGAAACCTTGTAAATTCACTGACATTGTGCGTTGTCTCTTTGTTGTCAATCGCTCTACTCTTGACTTTTTCAATGAGTCGCAAATAAAGAAACACAACTTCCCTGTTCAAGCGCCAGCACCCATCCCAGCACCCGTCTCTGAACCGGAACAAGCCGCGTCAGTTGACAGTCTAGAGGCATCGCCAACCTTCAATACACCAATTGGATTGACTCGCTCTGGAAGACGACCATCAGTATCTCAGCAGCAACCAAAAGACGGTATGCAACAATCACATGAGAATCAATCGGATATCAACGTTCCTACAACTGCTGCCGCTGCAGTTGCAGCTGCTACATTGATTGGAACATCGATGGCAGTGCCAGCTGCAACCTCAACTGCGCCAACCACTGAATACATTCATACACCAACAACCACTTCGCCCTACGACAAGGATCACACCAAGAAGATCAGTACTGAAAATGTCAGAAAGTCAGAGGTCTTAACTGAACATGAACAAGAAGAAGTTATCATCAAACCACCACCTCTTCCACCTGTTGTACCTGTTGTGCCTGCTCCAATCGTTGGCAGTTCTGGTGGTCTTGGTGGATCTAACAACAACAACAATAACAAACATGATGAGCTGATTCTCTTGGTGGAAGATAATGATATCAATGTCAAAGTATTCAGTCGATTCCTCAAGATTGGTAACTACAACTTCAAGTCAGCGTTGAATGGTGTCGAAGCAGTTGAAATGTGTCAGAAATATGATTTCGATTTAATTTTAATGGATTGTCAAATGCCCAGAATGGATGGATTCCAAGCAACCAAAGCAATCAGAGAATTAGAAGGACTTGGTAAAATTAAACCCGTATGTATAATAACCAACTATCTAAAAATATAATATATTTAAAACAGCTCTAATCTTACTGATTAATGATGATATTTTAGCCACCGATGAAAAGATCTCCAAAGCTTATCATTATTGCTTTGACCGCCAACAATGAAGATCGTCAAAAATGTTTAAATGTGGGAATGGACGATTTCCTTCCAAAGCCTGCTAGTTGTGCCCTGGTGTTAGAGGCAATCAAGAGACATCTCGAACCTGAAGATGACGATGAACCTCTTCTAATTGAACATTATCCAACTACTACAACAACCACTACTTCCTCATCCGCCAGTGGTGTAGATGACACTAAACCACCGTCATCATCAACATCAGATCTAAATAAATGATGAATTTAAAGATGTCGCTACATATCTTACAATCGTTGAAAAAAAAAGTGTAAACAGATTACTTGAATCCAGCTAAATCATGTTTTCCTAAGTTGGTTGACTCATATGACATCGTTAAACATTGTTGTTGACAACAGACCAATTTTTTCAGTTGATATTTGTTTTTGTTTTTTTTGCGAGGTTATCCTCCAGATTTTTTTATTTTTGTTGTGTTTCCTCAACAACAATTGTACAAATATATATATTTAGTGGTTTTATTAATCGATATTAAATATCATCAAGAAAGGAGTAGAACCTTCCGATTATAAAAAGAATTATAAAGTTCTTTTTCCCAGATTATTATTATTTTAGTAGATGTTATTTGTTGATGTTTCTTGTCATGAATATAAAAATAGGAATGGTGTGATTTGTTTTGTGGGGGTTTTCGTAGATCTAAAAAAAATCTTTTTTCAAAATATCCAATTTTCAGGTTGGTGAAAAAATAATCTATTTTTTTTTGTAGGTGATGATTGTTTTTTTTTTTCGCAAAAATGTCACACCAGATCTCTTTTTGAGGTACAGTTTTGCCTGTACTACTTTAGCACAAGGTTATACGTTTTGGTGATTTTTTTTTTTCTAATCATCATTTCCAAAATGATAAAAAATCAAATCATTCCTCATTACGCAACACAAAATAATGATTTGGGTCATCTTATACCCACACTGACATCTTCAAAGTTGTTAGAGACACAAACTACTGAGTAGTACCCCCCAAAATCAAAAGATATACTTAATGGTCTCAGATGGGTGGTGGAAACCAATCAATGATATCAAATCGATTTCTGTGTGTGTGCCACAATACGATTTTGTTGGAACTCTGGGTGATGATGGTGGTGTTGTTGACAACCAAAGGTTTGCAAAAACTTTGCAAAAACAAAATAAACATGATCAAATCATATGATCCAAGTAACACCTCTGTAGTAGAAAGGAAAGAAGTCATTACATCAAGTAAAAAAAACAAAAATATTAAAATTAATCAAAAGAAAAAAAAAAACAAAACAAAAAGGTAAAAACTAGTTTATTTAATTGATCAATTAATACAAGATGTCTAGTTGGCTGTCAAAACAAAACATTCAAAACAACCAACAACAAAACTACAACACTGATCAGAAATATTATTAGAGTTTTATATTCATTACCATTTTCTAGAATATTAAAATCATTATATCAGGTCTAATACATACACCCAACACTCAGGAACAAACAACTTCACAACAACAACTCCACGGCAACAACAATATTATTCAAAAGTCAATATATATTCTAGATATTTTTTCATCGAAATTACAGCTTTTCCAACCTTTCCCTAACTCCGCTTTTTTTTTTCTTTTTTTTTATAAATCACTCCAAGCCACTTCCCTCAGAACTTTCTTATCATCACTTATTAAATAATAATTAAATCTTATCTTGATGTAAAACAAAATTACATTATTATAATTATATATTTTTAAATTATACTTATATTTATATATTTTTTTATATACCAATTTCAAAATAAACATATTATTTTGAATTCATTCAATATAAAATGAATTTGGGCAAACTGAGGCAAAAGTGTATAGAACAATGGAAAGATAGTAAAAGTGAAATAATATTCATCTGCCGTTGGTCTTGGCCTATGATTGTGTCAAATTTATTGAATAATGTATTATATCTATTTGTTAATCTAATTTTTGTTGGTCAAGGCGGTACTCCAGAGTCTAAAGATGAACTGGCTGCCGCAGCTTTAGCTAACACTTGGACCTATGGTACAGGTGGTATTGCACTTGGTATTCTTAACGCGTTGGATACCCTAATTAGTCAATCATACGGAGCAAGTAAGTATTTTATAAATTTCAAATATTTATCAATTGTAATTCTAATTTAATCTTTTTTTTTTCCCAGAAAACTTTGAATATGTAGGAATATTAGTTCAGAGAGCTGCTTCTATTACATCAGGTGTATCTGTATTTATTGGTATGTATTTATTGATTCTATTATGAATATATCAGTTTTATAACTAACAATATCAATACTATAATAACAGCCGCATTATGGTGCATTACAGATTATTTTTTGAAATTGGTTGGTCAAAACCATGAAATTTCTAATTTAGCTTTTAAATATGCACTGTATGTATCAATAATATATTCTCAAATGAAAAAAAATAGTTTACTAATTTAAATTCCATTAATAGTATGCTTTTACCTGGCTTATGGTTTTATAACATGACAATTTGTATGCAAAAGTATCTACAAGGGCAGGGTTTAATGATGCCCTCTATTTATATTGGTTTGGCAATAAATGGAATCAATGTATTCTTAAATTATTTATTGGTTTATGGAATGGGAAGTTATAATGGAATGGGTTATTTGGGTGCACCTTTAGCCACATCTATTTCTGTACGTATAGTTTTTACAATCTCCACCATTTCAATTACTAAATACTAATTCGTTTGAATTTGATTTAATCAAAAAAATAAAGAGAATCATTGGTTTCTTTTTAATGTGGGGATATATTTATGTTTTTAAATTACATAAAAAGACATGGTTTGGATGGACAAAAGAGAGTATTACTTTCAAGGGAATCAAGGAGTATCTTACATTGGGTATTCCAGCAGCGATTCAACATGTTTCAGAGGGTTGGTGTTTCGAAGTTTTGACAATCTTGGCAGGTCTTATCTCTACACATGATTTGGATGCCCATAATGTTTGTTATAATTTCACAACACTTACCTATCAGATTTCCAGTGGTATATCTATTGCTGTTGCGGTACGTGTAGGTCATCTACTGGGATCACGTCATCCTTTCCAAGCAAGAAGAGCTGCATGGGTAGGTTTCATTCTGGCAATGTTGGCAATGATTGTGGTAGCCATTGTTTTGGTAGCAGCACGCTATCAGATCGGTAAAATCTATACAAAAGACCAAGATGTCATTAATATTGCTGCAAAGATCTTGCCTATTGCAGCGCTTTTCCAGATATTCGATGGTGGACAAACTATATTCCAAGGTATAGTTCGTGGTATGGGTCGTATTAAAACCGGTGCCATTTCAAATTTCATTGCTTTCTATCTTATTACTATTCCATTCGCTGTTGGTTTGACATTTGGTGCCGACGTTGGTGTGACTGGTCTTTGGTGGGGTCTATGCATTGGTTTGATCAGTATTTTCATTGGGCTGGGAATATTCATCGTTTTGGTAAAGTGGCCGGTAGAAGTGGAGAAAGCAAAGATCAGAACAAAGACATTGGCACCTACCTTGTCACTCGACCAAATACCATTGGAAAAGATTCCACCACATCTCCGTCAGAATCAATCAGACGCTGCTACACCGCCAGGTGGAAGTCCGGTCAGCACCGACAGTATCATTAGCAATGTTAGCACTGACCAATCTACAAACATTTCGATTACAGTATCGACAACCCATCTAATTCCGTCGAGCAACGAAGAACAACAAGAACAACAAAATCAAAACTCAACAACAACAACAGCAAATGAAAATGTAACAATACAAATGGAACCAACAACACAAGGATAATAGTGGTGAGATATAAAAATAACTCGTCTCTACTCCGCAAAAAATCTTCGAATTATATTATTATTTATAGACGAAATAATAATAAAATTAATTTTCAAAAAATTAACTACATCTTGTAAAAGATATATAAACTAGTAATGAATAGTTTGGTTTGGTATCAAATTAAAGTAATATTTGATAAACTTTTTTTATTTTGTAATTAATATTGTTTCTAAACATAAATTGATTTACTTGAAGAGAATGAAATTACCACTTTCAATATACACCCTTCATACAAACGTGACCACATCCATTGTAGCAACAGAGGTAACCTTTTGCACAACCTTCTCCACATGCCTCGATACAAGCTCCAAACGTTCCAGGTTTGTGTGGTGGACATTTAAGTTGTACTTGATTGACTTCACAAAGAACCAATGCTGAAAGTAGTGAAAATATAACTAAAATCACAATTAAATTACGCATTATTTTATTTTTGATATTTCTCTGAATAAATTAGAAACTAAAAGAATATGACTAATAAAGTGTTTTGGATAACTTTATTGTTTGTTAATGTTGTCCATATTTTGTTTAAATCAAACAAAACAAACAAAATATAATAAAATGCAATAAAATAAAATATATAAAAACAAATAAACAAGTGTGTTTGTTTTTAGTAATTATTTTTATTCACATAAAGTTTTGAGATAATGGGTCAGAAGTTAGATATCTGTAACAAAACAGAAACTCGAAGTTCTGAAAAATGTTGTTGTTTTAAATCAAAGGTTAGGAAATTGATTTTAAAAATTTATATATATAAGTTATATTGTTATAACAATGATTTAATTATCTTTTTTTCATTGATCTAAACATTCATCAATTTTTTTTTATTTGTTTTTTTTTTTTTAGTCTATTTTTTTGTTTGTTTTTTTTTTTTTTTTGCAAAGCTGTTAACTCTGGTAGATTGTTGGGTTTACTCAAACGGCATCGTTGAAAAAATTAAATTTGTTTTTTTTTTTATTTTTTTTTTGCAAAAAATTTCACTACTGGTGGTGAATCCGTTTCGATTGCACCAATATTCACTCTCTACACCACCAAACATCTAGTTTTTATTTTAAAATCATTTTCATTCACTTTAAACATAGTTATTTTTATAATTTATTTATCTATACATATAAAACTTCTATATTTAATTAAATTGTAATATTACATTAAGAATCAAAAACCCACACACTTTTTTTTTTTTTTTTTGATACCACATCGGCACTCACTAACCACATATTACCTATCAATCAAACAAAACAAATCAATAAAAAAACAAAAATACAAAAAAAAATCAAAAGTAATCTATTTTTTTTTTATTCTATCATTATTTGTCTATTTTTTAGTATAGTACAGAGTTTTACATAACGTTTCACTTTAAACATTAATAGTAGTAGTAATAGTAATAGTTATAATTTGTTGAAAAAGAAGTAGGATGAGTGGAAATCCTTTTGATTCGAATTTCAATCCCAATAGAGTTGTTGGTGCAAGTCCAAGCAGTCAGACCTACAGTCCAATTACAGAGGATAGAGCCAGATTGGAAGAGGTTGGAAGCGACGACGAAGACAGCCGTCTTAACAACAACAACTACAACAACAACAACAACAATGAATACGACGATGAGGACGGTCCCTTTCAGAGTGGAATCATTCTTGAGCCAATCAACCGTGATCCAACCAACTACCAACCAAAACCACTCTTATCTTCACAGGACGATATCAAAGAGGGTGACGGATTCAAAACTAAATTCACCAAAACAATTACAAAAACAAACAAACTTATTAAACAAGCAATTTTAGATTCAAATCAAAAGATTGTAAGTATATAAAAATATATAGATTGAATAGCATTAACTTTATATATAAAAGTCGACTTACCATAATGATAAATTTCATAGGAGGAAAAAGTAAAAGAATCAAATAAGAAAATTGAAGATACTATTATAGGTGGATTTGAATCGGTTGCAGGCGTTGGTATTAAAGCAGTCGATAAGGTACGTGATCAACATCATAAGCGTGTCGAACGTCATGAGAATCAAGAGCGTGCCATTTGGATTCAAGACAAGAAACAAATCTCAAAGTATGAATGTCTCGATTATATGACCATCTACAACAAAGCCTACCGTAATGAGATGTACAAAAACTTTAATAAACTAGGTTCCAGCAATGAATGGCAACGTTGGATCATCTCTACAGTCATGGGTATTTTCATCGGTGTCATTGCCTATCTCGGTCACATAGGAATATCCAATCTTACATTTTATAAATTCGAATTCGTCAAATATTGTAAGTAACCAGCAAACTAAACCTAATTAACAAAAAGAATCATAGTTATATATATATATATTAACATTGTATTTTATGTTTTTTTTCCAGTATTGACACTTGATTATTGGCTTGCTTTTCTTGCATTTTTCACATGTAATACGGTACTTGCAATTATAAGTTCATTGTTGGCCGTTTATTACGAACCTACAGCAGCTGGATCCGGTATTCCAGAGGTTAAAGGTTATTTGAATGGTACAAAGATTCCACATGTACTCAAGTTCAAGACTCTATGGACAAAGTTGAGCTCTATGATTTTTGCAGTGTCCTCAGGTTTGCAAGTCGGTGCCGAAGGTCCAATGATTCATATTGGTGCGATCGTTGGTAACGGTTTCTCACAGGCACAATCAAAGGAGTTTGGTTTTAAGATTCCATTCTTGCGTTCCTTTAGAAACGATAAGGACAAGCGTGATTTCGTTACTATGGGTGCGGGTGCTGGTGTCGCCGCTGCTTTCAGTGCTCCGTTGGGTGGTGCATTGTTCTCGCTCGAAGAAGTCAGTTCTTTCTGGTCAACAGCACTCACTTGGCGTGCCTTCTTTTGTTGCTTGGTAGCTACATTCACCGCAAAGATCCTCAAGGATTCACATCTCTCACAGCATCCAACCATGATTTTCGATATGGGAACCAATTCCACCGCAAACAACTACAATTTGCTCGAGTTGATTCCATTCTTGGTGATTGGTGTCATCGGTGGTTTCACAGGTGCACTCTTCACCTTGATCAATGTCAAGGTGGTTGCGATGCGTCGTAAGTACGTAAACAAAATCAAATCGCTACGTGTTCTCGAGGTATTCGTTATCATTACCGTGTCGACTATTCTTCAATTCTTCTTGCCATTCATGTTTCAATGTCATACAATCGATAGTCTCATTGTACACGCCGGTAACGAAACTCTCAGCTCAAGCTCCGAAACAATGGAGCAACTCAATGACCTGCTCAAGTCATTCAACTGTCCAGAGGGTTCGTACAACCCGATGGCATCCATTATATTTGCCGGTAACGAAGAGTCGATTCAGAATCTACTGGCTATCAACTCGCCAGAGTTGAACAACACCAATCGTTTCGGAATTCCAGCGTTGCTTCTATTCTTTTTGTTCTACTTTTTGTTTGCTGCCTACACAGCGGGTTGCGGTATTTCCTCGGGTACTTTCGTACCGATGATTGTCATCGGTGCTTCCTATGGTAGAGCGATCGGTGTTATCGTCCAACACATCTTTGGATACTCGACAATCGACCCCGGTGCCTATGCACTAATGGGTGCAGCTGCTTTCATGGCTGGAGTGTCGCGTCTCACCATTTCACTGTCGGTCATTCTCATTGAGACAACCAATGAACTTCAATATCTCTTGCCACTGATGGTGACAGTAATGGTTGCCAAGTGGGTTGCCGACGCATTGATCCATCCACTCTTTGACATTCTCATCGAGATGAAGTATATCCCCTATTTGGAGCCACACGCCAGCAAAGCAATGAAGATTCTCATGTGCAAGCATATCATGGCAAAGAAACCGGTCTACCTTTTGGAGAAAGATACACTCGGACGTATTCTCGAGGTGCTAAAGAATACAAATCACAATGGTTTCCCAGTGGTCAATAACCATGACGATCGTTGCGTTAAAGGATTGATTTTGAGAACTCAATTATTGATGGTTCTCGAAGGTCTCTCCGATGTCTACATTCCAAACACCGAACAAGTCTACTCACACACCGACTACACAACCAAATTGGCATGGAAGCTACCACAACTCTCTGATTTTTCATTCGATCCCGAAGATTACTCGATTCAAGTAGATTTCACAAACATTATGAACTTGACCGTGCTAACAGTGAACGAAGAGTTTGCTGTTAGTGAAGCTTTCCAACTATTTAGAACAATGGGACTTCGTCATATGCCCGTTGGTAAGTAACAAGTTTAATTAATATAACTATTGTATTGAAAAATAGCCAACTAACATTTTTTACTATTCTCTTTTTACTAGTAAATTCATATAATAAATTAAAAGGTATTATCACAAAGAAAGATCTATTGGAAAAGACATGTGAACAAAGATATAGGGAACTTTCACATATGAAATTGGATGTTTCGAAATTAATCCATGAAGGAGATGACGACAATCCACTTTCACAATCGACAAATAGATTAAGACATACAGCTAATTAAACAAAAGTTTAAAAGTACAAATTAACAAACCGATTCTAGATAAACTATAATTTATATTAAATAAAATATAGAACTTTTAAAAAAAAATAATAATAATTGAATTGATGATGCATCATTTTATTTTAGATTAAATTCAGATTTAATTAATGATGGAATGATTTGTTGATTACAAATAAGTGAGGTATCTGACAGAAAGGTTGGCAGGTGTTGATGGTGATCCGAGAAGAATAAAACCAAAAGTGTAGCTGGCACCTGCATTGATTGATGTTTGGTATGATGGAAGTGAGAGATCTCCATTTGGTAATCTGATTACATTCCAAAAGGCATTACCATCACGAACTTTGAAAGTGTAATCAGTATCACTAATATTATAATTAATAATAAATAATTTTTTGTTCATTAAAAATTTTGATCTATTAAAATAATTGATTGATTAAAAATTATAAAGAAATTATTTACATGAAAAAGTTCTTGATGTTTCTTCCAGATACGTTGGTTACGGTGACATCATATTGAGTGTATTGACGATTTCCACGACTTCCATCAGTCCATGTTCCAATCACAGTTTGATGGATACTGAGGTCAGAGTTGACTTGTTCATTGGCTGCAACGAATGCAACACAAATGAGGAGTGAACAGAAAAGTGCAATTATTTTCATTGTTGTTAAGTTTTCTTTGAGTTTAAAAGTTTTAAAGTTTAGTTTTGTTTTTTAACTTGTTTAATACTTTGAATTTGATTTGATGTTTCTACTCATCAAAACAATTCATTATTTATAGTTTTTTTCCTCCATCAGATTCTGTTGAAAAGTTATTAATATTAAACATTCCATTTAGAATTTTATCTACAGATTAAAAAACAAATATAAATGGAAATCAAAATATTAGATAATAGCATTGAACAGAATATTTTGTAAAAAAATAATAACCGTTATTGCTATGAAGTTGTGCATTCAAAAAGAAAAGAATAATTATTTATTAATCAATTGTAGTAATACAATGTAAAAATGTGATTCGAGATAATGACAAATACAATTTTAAGGGGGTTTGTCAATTTATTTCTTAGAATTTTGTAACTATCCACATAATATATTCTTTGTGAAGGTACACTTGAGTTAATTGATAACACACAATCATTTTCTTTTTTTTTTTGTACAATTTTAATTAATTTTGTACAAAAAAAAAAAGGGTTTAATTTTACTAAATTCGTAAAAACACTCTTCAGGTGGATATTCTTTTTTTTAATGATACTTGAAATACATTTCTATGTTTAACCTTCCAAGGTTAAAAAATTAATTCCAAAAATAGAAAAAAAATCAAATTGTAAATATTAATATTTAAACAAAATAAAAAATATAATATAATAAATAAAAATAATAATTTATTGTCTCATTTTTTCTAACATTTCTTTGTAATTGTGCCTATATTGATTTTATATATTAGTTAATTTGATAAAATTTAATAATTTGAAAAATACATACTTGGTTAAAACAAAAGCTGGATTTTCATTTTGACCATCGGTAACTCCGATCTTGATTAATGGAGCAGAATAAGTAAAGCTGAGGGCATTTCCTGGTAAAGTTTGGCTTGGTCTATATACATTGAGAATGGTATTTGGGACTATAGTAATTTTTATGATTAGTTTTCTTACAATTGTTTTTTTCTAAATGTACTTACAAGCTTGGAAAAGGGTTTCAATATCCTTGTTTCCGATGTTTTCTACAATAATTTCACCGGCTCTCAAGAGAAGTTCGATGGTGTCACCCTTTGACATATTTCTGAATTTGTCAGCTCCAGTGATGGTAACCATATCAACGATGACATTGGTAGCACCAGTTTCATAACAAAGTCTTGCGGACTAATTGTATAAATAAAGAAAAATATTAGAAATAAAATTATATTTTTAATAAATTAAATTAGAACTTACATCAGTGACTGGTGTCATATAAGTGGCTCCACCATCACACTTTAAAAAATTATGAAAAAAAAATAATAATTAGTATTTTAGTTTGTTATTAATTTTTTTATATTATTTTTACTTACATAACTGTATCCACCCTTTTCGGTTGGTGGGAAAACACCTGGGATGGAACATGAAGCAATAACAGCTTTAACGATCTCTGGGTCGGTCTTGTAGAATTGATCAAACATACCGGTATCCAAATTGGTGGCACCAATCATCATGTTACGATTCGAGGCCAAGAATTGAGTGGTGTTAAGGGCGTTGGTCATAAAAACAAATAAGGGACCATCATCATAGATACCACGGTGAAGGAACAAACCATCAACGACACCACCCTTCCAGTTTACAAAAACTTGCTCAGGAGAGATACTCAACCACTTTTCGGTCATGAAATTGGCAGCAGCAACTTCATCACCAACATTAAACATTGCCAAAGCCGCAGCATTAATCGAACCAGCAGAAATACCAGTTGCAGATAACCATTGTACATCTTTAAAAATATTTAAAATAATAACAATTAGTGGATTTACAAAAAATTAGAAAAAAAAAACCTAATAATTTTTACTTACCAGCTGGAGCACGCTTTGAGACGATACCAGAAACTACACCGGCTTGGTAGGCACCAAAAGCACCAGCACCCGAAAAGGTGATAGTTCTACATGTGGATTGAGCCATACAGGCAGCAATCATAGTTGATACAACAATTAATGAAATTAAGAACTTCATTGTATTTTTAAAATTCAAAAAAAAAAAAAATATCTATATATACAAAATTAATAAATAAGAAGTGATTGGAACTATATAGTAGGAGCTAAGGTTATTTATATTTATTCAACTAAAAAAATAAAATCATTAAAAATTAATAAAATTAAAATTAAAACCATTAAAAATTCTTTTTTGGCTCCCAAAAGATAAGATATTTTAAATTGCAAACGGAATTGAAAAGTTTTTAGCACAATTCAAATTCCCATTACTAAATATCTTTGCATTCAATAATTTGATTTTCGGATATCCCAATGGTTAGTTTCAACAATCACCATCAATTTGTTTTTGTTACAATGAAATTTCATTTTGTTCAACACTTTAATATCTCAAAAGTGTAGTAACTCTTCATATTGGAGTAAAATAGTGATTGTGTGTGCAATGGGCAAAAAAAGTTTAAATATTGGAGTAATCATTGTGTCTGTGATTGTAGTTTTGGTTTCCTCCTTGATTTTAAATATAATGCTATATATCACTATATATATCGATTAAGTTTAATATTGGACCTCTTGATTTCATTCATGTTTTTTTAACAGTTTTAATTTGATTTATTTGATATTACTAATTTTAATAATCTATTGTTTCTTATAAATAATAAAAAAAAACTTAACAATAGATCACCATCTTTTAAATTATTTCACTTTTGTTTTGGTTTTGTTTTGATTGTTTTTTTTTTAGATCTTGGACTTGGTGACAGCAAAGAATTTCTGAGTGTAACCGGCCATACCAGCACCTAAGAAATCAGCAATCCAATATAACCAATGTCTAGACCATCTGTTACCAACTAAAGCTATAATTTTAAATAAAATAAAATGATATTGATGTTAGTGTCAGTGGATTGAGATTAAGATTTGAATGATCATCAAATAATTACCTGGACCGAAAACTCTGGCTGGGTTGAAAGCACCACCAGATACGGAACCACCGAGTAAACAAAGGAAACCAAGTGTGAAACCAATGGCAATTGGGGCAAAACCAGCCTTGGTTGCACCAGAGGTAGTATAGATGGTGAGGTTGTTACCGGCTTTCTTTCCACCACGTACGACCTTGACGTTTTTGTTGTCGTCGACGGTATCGAAAGCAACGGCAAAGATGACGTATACCAAAATAAAAGTGAGAATCAACTCTGTGAGGAAGACGTTACCGATGTTGGCGGATTTGCTTGGTTCGACTGCAGCGGCGGCGGCAGCGTTACCTGGTCTGCCACCGGTAAGCGATGGATCGATGTTTCCTGGGAAAGTGGCCAAGATGATCAGAGCGGAAAACACTGATCCAACCATTTGTGCAAAGATGTAAAGCAGACCCTTTGTGATCGAGGTTCTACGAGTGACACAAGTGGCAAAGGTGACGGCAGGGTTGAAATGAGCACCAGAAATATCAGCGAATGAATAGATGAGAGCGACCGCTGAGAATGCAGTGGAGAGAGCTCCACCGACCACCGACGACGAACCCGGAATCATCTTGAAATTGACAGTGGTGGCACACACAATATAAACAAACAAGAATGTACAGAGGAGTTCACCGACGACAGCACGAATCAACACCCAACGCTTCTTTTGTTGCTCCAATGCCAAATCGACTGGGAAGTCTGGCTTCTCGACGTCCTCTTCGTCCTCTGCAACGTTGATACCTGTCTCTTCCATTTCGTGATAATCTTCATTATTGTTTTCACTAGTTTGCAATGTTGCCATTTTTTGTGTCATCCAAACTATTTAATCTATCTATCAACTACTACTACTACTATATTACAAATAACTATACCTATAAATAAAAATAAAAATAAACTAAAATATATATGGTTGATTTAAAAAAAGAGACAAAAAAAAAAAAAAAAAAATTGGTTTCAAAAAAAAAAAAAAAAAAAAATCAATTTAAAAATAATAAAGATTAATTAATTTAAATTTTAATCAAAATTGAATTATTAAAAGTAAAGACCTTACCCTTTTTCTTTTATTATGCTTTAATTTATTATATATATTTATAATATTATAGCTAAAAATAAGTTATATATATCTTTAAATAAAGGAGGCTTTTAACTTTATTCACAGAATCCCCTTTGTCACTATCAAAATAAAAAAATTCAAAAAATAACAAAAAATCCAAAAAAAAAAAAAAAAAACCAAAAACCCTTTATTCACACACAACCGTTCAAATTTTTAATCGATAATAATTTTTGATTACTGGTTTACCACCACAAACCACCCAAAATGAAAATAAAAAAAATATGCAACGTTACTCACCATTTTCACACTTTCAAATGATTGGAACCGTGATGAAAATGATTGTAAAATTATAACCTTTATATTACTTTTTATATAATAATAACTAAACTAAATAAATTAAGTATGTCCAATAATAGTTAAGAAAAAAAAAGTGTAAATGTAAATAATATGAGTGATATTGAGAGTAATAATGATGATGATAACCACAACAACAACAACAATAATAATGATGGTGATGATGATGATGATGATGATGAAGTTGTAGATGAATTTGATGTTGAAGAGAATAATGATGAAACTCGTGGCAATAACAATAACAATAACACCAATAATGATCGTGTTAAAGTGACATCGATTAGAGATGATATAAGTCTTGTTAGATTTGCTTATATCATTCTCTTTGGAATAGTCGGTGTTCTAATTAGATACATGGCGAATGCTCTGTTTGTTCGTGGTTTTCATAAGGATTCGTTTTGGAGTACCGCTGTCATCAATATCATTGGTAGTGCCATCATTGGATTCCTTCATGTGGTGGGTGTCGAGAAGAAAGCAATCAATGTCAACCTGAGGTACGGTCTTTTGGTTGGACTACTCGGTGGATTTACAACATTCTCGGGATATGCTTTGGATTCCGTACTTCTATTCGAGAAAAAACAAACCAAATATACAATCATCGGTGTATTCTACTACATCCTATCACCTGTCGCCGGCATAGCTGTAACACTCATATCAATTCACCTAACAAGAAGATTCTTTCGACCTGAACAAAGACAACAACCTAATCATAACAATAGCAATGATAATAACAATAATAACAATAATAACAATCATAATGATATTGAATTACAACAAAGATAAAAACTTTTTAAGATCTACAAAATAAATTTTAATTTTGTTTCTTATTTTTTTTTTTTTTTTAAATTAAAATTTCAAATTAGTTAAATTGTGTATTGTTTATTGTTTATTTTTTTTAAGAAGAATACCTTTAGTAATAGATACATACAACATTAAAACAATGTTTAATATACCAGTGTCATCATCGTCATCGTCATCGTCATCATCTTCAACACCTTCATTCTCAAAGAAAACAATTACATCTGATGAATGGGAGAGAAAGTTGAATGAAGTAAATATTACAAAGAGGTATTTATTATATACATTATTAGAGAAAGCGAGAGAAAGAGGATATATTAATAATTTATCATGTTGTTTGTTGTCTTAGTGATTTAAATAAATTGGTTATGAATTATTTAGTTATTGAAGGTTATAAAGAAGCAGCTGATATGTTTCAAAAGGAATCAGGAACAAAGAGTTCTGTTGATTTGCATACAATTGAAGATAGAATGGCAATTAGATCGGCAATACAAAGAGGTGATATAGAACAAGGTATTGAGATTGTCAATGATTTGAATCCAGAGGTAAGAAGAAGAAGAGAGTTTAGTGTTATCTCAATATTTACTAACAACACTCTTTTGCTTTGTAAATAAAATAGATATTAGATACGAATCCACAATTATACTTTCATTTACAACAACAAAGATTGATAGAGCTGATAAAGAAAGGCAAGTTGGCAGAAGCCATTCAATTTGCTCAAGAGGAACTAGCTCCGCAATGTGAAGAAAATGTAAATTATTAATACAATGATACACAAACTAGATTTTGTTTATTAATAGAAAACATTGTTTGTTTGTTTGTTTCTAGAGTAAATTTTTAGAGGAATTAGAAAGAACAATGTCATTGTTGGTATTTGATGATATACTGAAATCACCACTCTCTGATTTGGTTGATAGTTCACAACGACAAAAGACAGCAAGCGAGTTGAATGCAGCTATTTTAGTGAGTCAGAGTCAAGATAAAGACCCAAAGCTCCCAACCATTCTCAAACTACTACACTGGGCACAATCACAGCTAGATGAACGATGTAATTACCCAAAGATGAAGAATTTCGTAACTGGTGAATATAGAGATGAATCAGAGTAAATCTTAAAGATTAAGATTAAGAATAATAATAATAATATAATATAGAACATACAGACAGATATAGAATATATAATGTGTGAATACACAGATATTGGCTACCAAATCCATAGTAAAAATTGGTTTATTGTTATAATAATAATAATAATAATAGTAATAATAAAGTTTAAACTTGTACATAATCAAAATAGTATCAAATTCTGTATATTTATATAAATAAATATATTGCGTTGTTTGTTATTTATTTTCATTGTTATATATTCTTATAATTATTATTATTATTATTTGATGATTATTAATGTTGTGTTTTACATAATGTTACTATAATGATTGTGTTGTATATTAGTTGTTTTAATATAAACCAGCATCCTTCTTCTTTTGAGTTTGCTTCCATGCTGGGAGTTTGGTAAATTCGTCTCTTGTGCATTTCATGTATTTGGCAAAATCATCATCAGAGAGATAGGTTTCTAATTTGGTTGGTACTAAATCTGGAACTCTCTTGGCCTTGAGGTCTTCGTAGGAATAGTATTGGCCAGCTGGTGCACTGGCGGCAACTGGAGCGGCAGCTGGGGTTGGGGTGACTGCTGGAGCTGGTGCTGGAGCTGGAGTTGGTGTGACTGGAGCTGGTGCTGGAGCTTTGGTGGGTGTTGACATCAAATTTTGTTGAGAATTTGACTTTAAAACAGATCTGAAATCGGTAACAGATGCTTCTTTTGGAGCGGCTGGTACAACGTTGACAGCGGATGGTGTCTTCTTAAGGACAACATTGACTGGGTTGATTTTGGCATCTCCAAAAATGTTGATACCTCCAACTGGTTTTTTAGCTGTCTCTTCAGCTGGAGTTGAAGTGGTTTCGGTTTCGGTGGTTGCTGGTGCAGTTTCGGTTTCGGTGGTTGTTGGTTTGGATTCGGTTGATTCAATTGGTTCTGAAGTTGGTGATTGTGTGTCTTTGGTAGTTTCCTCTTGTACCTAACAAACAAATGTGTGAATATCAGTCAATGTTAGAAATTATGTCTGTTATAATAGTAGTTTTGTTTCTGTTAATTTCACATACCTCGGTGGCAAGATTAAGAGATGATTTTCCTTTTTTGGTTGGTCTTGACAAGGTTGGATGTGAAAGCTTTTGGTGTGGCTCCTCAGTGACTTGATCCAAAACATTCTTTTGCTCCTCAGCTTGCTTTGCTGCTGCTTCTTCGTCGGCCTTCTTCTCAGCTTCTTCTTCCAATCTCTTTTGCTCGGCAGCTTGTTCGGCAGCGGCGGCAGCCTTCTTTTGAGCCTCCTCAGCTTCTTGTTGAGCCTTCTTTTGAGCCTCCTCTTCCAATCTCTTTTGTTCTGCAGCTTGCTCAGCGGCGGCGGCAGCCTTCTTTTGAGCCTCCTCAGCTTCTTGTTGAGCCTTCTTCTTCTCAGCTTCTTCATCCAATCTCTTTTGCTCAGCAGCTTGCTCGGCGGCAGCAGCAGCGGCCTTCTTTTCAGCTTCCTCGGCCAATCTCTTTTGCTCAGCAACTTGCTCGGCGGCAGCAGCAGCAGCGGCGGCGGCAGCCTTCTTCTCAGCTTCTTCAGCTTCTTGTTGAGCCTTCTTCTTCTCAGCTTCTTCATCCAATCTCTTTTGCTCAGCAGCTTGCTCGGCGGCAGCAGCAGAAGCTTGGGCAGCAGCCTTCTTTCTTGCTTCCTCGGCCTCGTGATCTGCAGCGGCCTTCTTTTGAGCCTCCTCAGCCAATCTCTTTTGTTCAGCGGCTTGGGCAGCGGCTTGAGCAGCAGCTTGTTTCTGTGACTCCTCAGCAGCTTGAGCAGCCTTCTTTTGAGCCTCCTCAGCCAATCTCTTTTGCTCGGCAGCTTGGGCAGCGGCTTGAGCAGCAGCTTGTTTCTGTGATTCCTCAGCGGCTTGAGCAGCGGCCTTCTTTTGAGCCTCCTCAGCCAATCTCTTTTGCTCAGCAGCTTGAGCGGCGGCGGCGGCGGCAGCAGCCTCTCTCTTTTTGATTTCATCAGCAGAGGGGGCTGGTGGAGCAGCAGCAGCAGCAACTGACTGAGGTTGAGCTTGTTTCTTTTCTGATTTGGCGGTTGGTGGAGTTGTTTGCTTTTGGGTTGGTTGCTTTTGTGTTTGTACTGGTGACAATTCCTTTGGAATCTTCTTTGTCTTTGGATCGTTAATTGCCTTTAACATCAAATCGATATCGCTCTCCTCCTTCTTGACGACTGGTTTCTTTTGTGATTTCTTTTTCTTTCCTGCGCTGGAGTTAGTTGGTGAAGTGACAGTGGTTGCTGTGGTTGATGTTTGATCGGTGGTGGTGGTAGTTGCAGCATTATTTGATTGTACAGTTGGTTCATCATCAAATGTTGGTTCAATAATTGTGAATCCCTTTGGTTTCTCTGGTTTCTTTTGTTGTTGTTGTTGTTGTTTTGGTGATTGTTTAGTCTCCTCTTGTTTCTTTGTAGCTGTCTTTGAATCGATCTTTGGTGATGGAATGGATGGTTTCTTTTCATTTGATTTGGTGGTGGTGGTGGTTGTTGACTTTGCCTTTTCAGTTACTGGAGATGGTGTTGGTGTTGGAGCAACTGGTGCGGCAGCAGTTGTGGTGGTTGTAGTGGTAGTGGTGGTTGTTGTTGGTGAGGTCAAAGGTGAGGTTTCAGAGGTGGTTGGTGTAGTCGATGTGATGACAGGTGATGAAGTTGGTGTCTTCTTTGTTCCCTTGTTGGTCTTCTTCTTTTGTGCTGGCTTTTGAAGCTTCGATCTCAAACGAACGATATCCTCATTTGTCCAATCCGATGACAAATTGTCAAAGTTGGCTTCGACAATCTCGAATGTTGTCAATTGTGTTGAGTGTTTTCTCTTCTTTTGTTGCTGTTGTTGTTGTTGCTCCTTGGTTTTGGCACGCTTTGATTCGGTTGCTGGGGAAGCAACTGGCTTTGGCGATATCAAGTTGACTGGTGTCACTTCAGCAGAGTCACTTACGTGCAAGTTATCTACAAAGTTGACAACGACAGCGTGTTCCTGTATGATTGGAATGTTGCTGCTGTCAGAAGCATTGTTGCTCTTCTTCTTCTCTTCCTCCTCCAACTTTAGATTCTCAAGGGCAGCGACTTCATCGGCTTGTTTCTTCTCCTTCTCTTGTTGTTCCTTTAGCTTTTGCTCCTCTGCCAATCTCTGCATCTCCTCTTGGGCAGCCAGTTCCTGCTTCTTTTGCTCCTCGACAGCCAATCTCTCTTTCTCCTTCTTTGTCTTACGATCTTGCTCTTGCTGAGCCAATTGTTGTGCTCTTTGTTCCTTCTCTCTTTGCAATTGAGTGAATTCCTCTGGTTCCTCAATCACGAATCCCTTTGTAGCGGTAGTGTTGGTTCCCTTCTTATTCGACTGTTTCTTTGGTCCCATATTTTTTTATTATTATTTATGATTGATATATATGTAACGTTTAAAAATAAATAAAAAATAAATATTAAAAATATTTAAAATACTTTTTTACTAATAATAATATAAAAACTATAATTATCAATCTAATAGATATTATTTGTTTTCTTGTGTGTTTTTTAAAGCACAATGAACAAACACACCAAACTAAATTGCAATTTTTCAAAAAAAAAAAAATTGGAAAAAAAAAATTAAAAAAAATTGTTTTTTTTCTTGGGATTATTTTTGCTTGGAGTGAAGTATTTAAATACTCACATCGCGCAATAAGAGAGGAGAATGCATGAATGAACGAACGACACCATCATCAACAAATTAAAGAAACAATATAATTCAATCAATCATTATTATATTATTTATTTTCGAAACCATAGTCGTTGCCATAACTGATCAGAGGATAAACACAGATATAGAGATTAATAATAGTTTTTATTTTACGTTCATTAAATGGTGTTGTTGTTGGACATTTATTCTCATTAAAGCATTGTCGTTGTTGAAATTTAGTTAATTACAATATATTGTGATTATTTATAATAGGTTGGATTCATTATTCAAAAAAAAATAATCTATATTGTACTATATTTATTTTTTTACTCCCCATTTGACTTGACCTTAATCAGATCACAGTGATCTGGGTTTTGGAACTCTATTGAATCTTTAGAATTTCTATTTTAAATAACTGAAAAAACACACAATAAAATAAGATATACTGGTAGCAACCAAATTATAAAAGGTAATTTGAAAACACTAATTATTGTCTTTGAATCCTGAAAATATTTATTAGGCATCTGTTTGTTTTTGCAAAAAATCTTGATAAATTCCCAAAAAAAAATATGAAAATTAATCATGTGATTCTATTTTTTTGTTTCAAGAAAAATGGAGAGACTATAAATATATCGTTGCAACGATCTCATTTCATATATATTATTTATTTAAACATTTTCACTTAAACTAAAGTATTTAGTTTGACCTGTTTTTTTTTTTTTTTGCTTATTCAAAAATAATAATATTAAAAATAGTAGTAAAATCAATATAATTAGTGTAGTTTTATAATAAAACTTTTTGTATATAATATATATTTATAATAATAGATAGAAGATAACAAACGAAAAATGTTAAAGATTAATTATGGTAGTTTAGAAAACAATGGAATCGATTATGAAAAGAGAAATCAAACTAGATTCCCACATGATATTACCATTCAAGACTGTAGAGATGCTATCAAGGGTGTACCAGGATTCCGTGAGACCAACAAAAACGGTATGATTTGCTTCAACTATGATTTCTCAACTAGACAATCCTTCCCAGACCCATTGACAGCCGAGGATGCTCGTAGTTCATTCTTGTACAAGGTGCGTCGTGAATGTCGTGGAATCATTTTTGAGCAATCGACAGGTGCTCTCGTTTGTAGAAAATTCCATAAGTTCTTTAATATCAACGAATTAGATGAAACACATCAAGTAAGTTAACATTTATATAAAATGATTTTCAAAATTGTAATAACAACTAACTAACACATTTACTTTAGGATAAAATCAATTTGGAGGGTGAGAAGTATATTATTTTGGAAAAGTTGGATGGTAGTTTGATCGCTCCAATCTATTCGTCGAAAGAAAATAAGGTGACATGGGGTTCAAAGGCCGGAGCAACTGATCTTTCGGCCAAGGTCGATAAGTATATCGCTTCGCAAGCCGACACCATCAAGTACGGTGAGTTCTCAGAGTTGTGGTTGAAGAAGGGATACACTCCAATGTACGAATGGTGCTCTGAATCACAGAGAATCGTATTGTACTATGCTCAGGATTTGTTGAGTTTGACAGCGATCCGTTCGATCAAGACCGGTGAATATATTTTGTACGATGAAATGGTAGAGTCGGCCAAGCAATTCAATGTTCCAGTGACCGGTGCCATCGAGCAGCACAAGGTGTTTGGTGGAGGTGCCCGCACTGCCGCCGAACTCTTGGAACAGGTACAAAAGATGCGTGATATCGAAGGATACATCTTGCGTTTCGACGACGGACGTGTCTTCAAGATGAAGTGCGCATGGTATTTCGATCTCTCCAAGTGTAGCTCGATCAACTTGAATCAGGAGAAAGACATCTGGTTGTTGATCTTGGAGAACAAGCTCGACGATACCATCAGTGAGTTGTGTACTTTGGGTCCATTGCCAAGACGTTACATTCAGATCCAATCGTTTGCCAAGGAGCTCTTTGAAAAGATAGAGAGCGTCTCTACCCTCGTGATCAGCACCATTCACTCGATGAAGAAGACATCGACCAACTGCAGAAAGGATATCAACAACGATAAGAGCATTCAGCCATGGTTCAAGAAACTCTTGTTCCAGTTCATCGACGAGATCGATTGTGAAGAGGATCCAGCTTCCTACATGTCGGCCGTCTCCAAATATATCATCTATATACTCAAGAATCAGTGTGGATCAGCTTCAAAGTTAGATGAAGGAAGAAAGGTTTTAGGTGGACTTAAATTTGTTGAACAATTTTGAAACAACAAATAATAACATTTATAATAATAATAATAATAGTAATAATAGTAATCAATATATAATATATTTGTATCAACAACCAAAAATATATAGATAGGTTGAAAATAAACTGTATAATTTAAAACGAACCAATCTAGTTTTTTTTTTTTTTTTTGATCAAAAAAATTTCTATTATTTATGAGAAATTGATGCATACTCGTTTAATCATTTCGATATCATCGTCATTATAGTTTGTAAAATGAATATCAAATCTATATCATCGATGTTCTTTGGTGAAGATACTTGCTTTAAAGTATATGGATATAGCTCTTGTATGTAGGAAATATATGATAGTTGATATAGTTCAAAATATATAGAGATGACTAATAATTAGATGATGATTATAAAAGGTCCTTACTATCAGAAAGCAGTAAAGTTGGGTGAAGTAATTTCAGATAAGAATAACAACATTAAAGTAGAGACTGTACAGATTGACAGAGATCAATGGCCAGAGTTAATGAATAATCTCACTCAGCAACACGGAGGTAAAGCTATCTATCACAAGACATGCCCTATTGTAGAGGAGGGTTGTAGTGAAGAAGCTAAACAATTTGTCGGTGGATACTCTGATTTTCTAAATGAATCAAGAAAAAGAAAATATAAAAGATAACGACACTATTCTATAAAATATATATTTGTAAATAAATAAAATTAACAACATCTACAAGATTGTGATGTTTTTTTCAAGAAAAGGGTTAAATAACATGATCATCATGTTGTGATGATGTTCATTCTGTTTTTGAACTCAAGTCTGTCAAATGATGAACAGAAAAAAAATATAGATAGAAACTAAATCACAAAGAATATAGATTTTTGAGGGTGATTCGATACCTATTTTAGATACCTATTTTAACTGTTTATTTACTTTATCATCAAATTTATAGATCCACTATTTTCAACTATAATATATTTATATTTTCCATAGACCCACCAACAGATTCCATTTTAAATATTTAATAAAGTAAGAAGAACACACTCTTTTAAACAGTTTTAATTTGTTTTTTATTTTTATTTTTATATTTTTTTTTTGATACACCACACATCAACCGTTGTTATTATCTCTTCAAACTAGGATTTGTTCAAGTCACTTCTAAATTGATGAGTAAACAGATTATCTGTTTGAATTTTTATATTCTTCCTGACTACAACTTCATAGCAATAACGGTTATTATCTTTGTTTATTTTGCAAAACATTCTGCTCAATGCTATTATCTAATATTTTGATTTCCATTTATATTTGATTTTGGGATCTTCATACCTAATTATTTTATATTATTTATTAAACAATGAGAGAATCTGATGGAGGAATAAAACTATAAATAATGAATTGTTTTTGTGAGTAGAAACATCAAATCAAATTCAAAGTATTAAACAAGTTAAAAAACAAAACTAAACTTTAAAACTATTAAACTCAAAGAAAACTTAACAACAATGAAATTAATTGCACTTTTCTGTTCACTCCTCATTTGTGTTGCATTCGTTGCAGCCAATGAACAAGTCAACTCTGACCTCAATATCCATCAAACTGTGATTGGAACATGGACTGATGGAAGTCGTGGAAATCGTCAATACACTCAATATGATGTCACCGTAACCAACGTATCTGGAAGAAATATCAAGAACTTTTTCATGTAAATATATTTTAATCAATCAATTATTTTAATAGATCAAATTTTTTAATTAATAACCAATTATTTATTTTTAATAATAATAATATTAGTGATACTGATTACACTTTCAAAGTTCGTGATGGTAATGCCTTTTGGAATGTTATCAGATTACCAAATGGAGATCTTTCACTTCCATCATACCAAACATCAATCAATGCAGGTGCCAGCTACACTTTTGGTTTTATTCTTCTTGGATCACCATCAACACCTGCCAACCTTTCTGTCAGATACCTCACTTATTTATAATCAACAAATCTTATTGATTTGATTAATTTAATATTCTAAATAAATTAAATTATTTCATATCATCTAACAATTGAAAACAATGACATTATACCTGTGGAATACAATAGTTTTTTATTTTCTTTTACCTTTTTTCTGAATTAATAATTAGATCAGTAATCTGATTGTTATTTGATCTTCTGTGTTGATTTATGTTATATCAAATTGACCAAACTTGGTACCGATTAATTAATTAGTTGATAAATGAAAAATATATGATTAAACAATCTAAAATTTTATTTTAATGAAAAGCAAATCGAACAATGATAAAGTTTATTTAAATTGAAATAATTTAAAATAAATCAAAAAAAAAAGGATTGGAATGGGGATGGAATAATAAGATTAATTTTAAAATAAATTTGTGTTTTTAATTTAATAATATATATTTTGTTTAGGCGGTGACAGTGAATGTACTTGATTGACCGGAGTATGGAACGAGCTTATCGGAGAACATTGATGGCTTGGCATAACCTTGGTGAGTAATACGGTAGGTACCTGCGGAAATGGTTGGTGGAATGGTCCATTCGACGGTGATGAGTGATTGGGCGATTTCTGGAACGTGCATCTTCCAGTAGATCTTGGTCTCCCATGAACCATCGACGAACAAGGTTTCCCATTGGTTTGGTGAGACTTCGAGATCGACCGACAAGAAGGTGCTCTCAATCATAAAGTTGTTTCTCAAGTTAGCACCGTAAAAGACAGCGGTGACAGTGTCGTTGACGGCGTATGTGGTTCCGACGTCTTGGTAGATGGCACCAAAGTTTCCACCTGGGGCTTCGTCATAGACGACTGGTGGCAAGAAGAAGAAGGTGTGACCGGTCATGTTTCTTGGGAAGGGTCCTGGTTCGACTTGGTTGTTTTGGGCGATGGAGGTGGCGAGCTTGGCAAACTCTTGTTGGTAGGCACCCAAAGTGTGTGGACCAAAGATGGTTGAGGCAGCTTCGTATCTTTGAACTTCGTATTCTTCGTAGGTGGCGATGTAACCGGAATAGGTATTGGAGAGACCAGCAACCAAAACGATTGGGTTCTCGATACCACTACCTTGAGCATTCAAAATCTCGTAGACAGTGTTACGCAAACGACGACCAGACATGGTGGTGAATTCACCTGGAACGGCACACAAAACGATGTTACCGATGGTGATGATTTGGATTGGGACAACATCTGGAGTCCATGGGAGTGGCTTGGTGAGACCGACGTCGATCAAAATTGGCTTTGGTGCTTGACATTGCTTTTGGTCTTCGGTTGGCTTGGCGATGAACTTGGAGATGAAATTCCAGAAGACGTTACCGTTGGTGTTGTTGTCACCTTGGGTGAAGTCAAAGGCACCTGGACCATCGGTGGTACCGGCGGCGAAAGAGTAACCCATGGCGGCACGACAGGTGGTAGCTGGCTCGGCAGTTGGGGTGAATGGTGGGTAGACGGTGATGTTGGTCATTGGCAACCAGGTATGACGGTATTGAACGGAACCTTGGACTGGAATGGATGCGGTCTCCCACATCTCCAAAGCCTTTTGAAATTGGTTGTTACCGATGATCTGAGTGGATTCGAACATGTCACCATCCTTTCCGGGACCGATACCCTTGCAACCTTCGTTCTTACCGTTGCATGTCGAGTCTGGAGCGTAACATCTTGAACCATCTGGACAGAATGCACCGAGTGTGTTTGGCGAGACGTCACCTTCGTTCGATTGACCGAAAGCGGCAATGAATGGACCAGTACCTGGCAATGAGTTATTGTTGAACAACTTCTCCCATGCGTATGAAGCGTAACCCTTGTTGTCACCACTAATCAAATGATTGGTGTTGTTCATCGATGTACAATGGACAGCAAAGAATGTCAAAGCACCAATTGGACTTCCATTGGTATCGACCATCTTAATCAAAGTGATATTCTTATCGACATCATTCTCATACAAAGCTCTTTCCTCAGCTGGATTATTCAAATAAGCAGTTGGTGAACGACTATTAAATTATTACATGTTGGTGGTAAGTAAATTGATCGATTTCCAACTACTATTAATACATACTTGATATTTGAGTCATATAATTTACTTTGTTCGGCAGTGATTTTACCTGGCTTGACGTTGTTGTGAGCACGGATAATCGATTGGACGATACCTTCACAGATGGCATCGAAACTTTCCTTGTAGAAACCGAGGGTGGTGATACCATAGAGGGCATACATTGAGTAACCACCTGGACCACTGTGAGTGTGGATACCAGAGAGCAAAACATTTTCGTGACTATATACATTTGGTCCAAAGTGTTCCTCGAGCAATTGGACGACTTGAATCTTGACGGCTTGGAAAATCATACAACTGTCAGTGCTGACATAGACGGCACGGTTGCCATTTGAATCTATAAATACAAAAGCACGTGATCTCAAACGGAAATGGATACCACCGGTGACTTGACCTGGCATGGCATATCCCATCATACCTGTTTCGGCGGCTGGTCCAGTAATATCATAGATACCGGTACCAATTTGGAAATCAGAGTTATCCTCCAATCTAACGTTGTTTTCGATTTGAATTTTTACAGCTGAACTCACCACCACCAGAAGGGCAGTAAGTAACAATATATATTTCATCTTTTAATCTATAAGATAAAAATAAAATTATATATAAATGTATATTAATTAATTAAGTTTTTCAATTGACAATTGTAAATTATTTTTATTTATATTAGGGAAAAAAAAACAAAATCAATAATTTAAAATGTAAATATATTTATTATTATTATTATTGTTGTTGTTGTTTACAATCGAAAATTCTTTTTCTATTTCCTAATTTCTATCGATTGAATTTTTATGTAGATTAGATAGAACAAACAATCACAATAGAATTAACAATAACAAATAAATATCCGGCGGTGATGATGGTAATGGTAATGAAGTGAATGTTGAATTTGTAATAATAATTGATTATCTGTATAATTTACCTGTTGAATAGTAGTTTAAAATATGAAATTAAAGAATAGGAGGTTTTATGCTATTTATATGTGTATCAATTATTTTGACTGAATGGGAACTGTGTGTATTTATATGTGTGTGTGTGTGTGTTAAGAGAATAGGAATGTGTGATGTGTGTGTGTGTTTATGAAATGAGACTGAGAAGTGTAATTTATGTAATTGTAGATTAAGTAGGCAGTACAAAGTTGGTTTTTTGTTTTTTTGTTTTTTTTGTAATTAAATTGTAGGAGTTAATATTTTGCTTAATTAAAAATTAATTAAATTGCAAAAAAAAAAAAAACAGCCAAAAATTTGAGTTGATTTTTTCCTTTCATGGTTTTGGGGTGAGAAGAGTCGTTGATTAACACCAATAACAAACTCCTAATCACCATCATCTATTTGAATAGATCACACCAATAAATATTTCATTGACATCAATTCAAAACGTCAGTAGATAGGTCATATACTATTATATTATTCAATAAATATTGAAACTTTTAAATGATGGTGATGATGATCAATCACTTTACATTTTTCAAAGTTTGAATGTTTGTTATTGTATATTTGTTTGTTTGCAATAAAGAATTCTTAAAAATAATGATATATATTTATAGGATAAAGTGTTTTGAAAGATTGATATAAAAGTATTGAATTGTATAGGATAGGAGAAGGAAAAAAAAAGAGATAATTACATTTAAAATATATATATTATATATATCGATTTCTAATTTAAATTGAAAAATTACAATCTGCAACTTTAAAGTAATCTAGAAATTTGTGGAAGAAGAATAAAATTGTATAAAAAATTAAAATAAAATTGTTGAATTGTAAGTGAAAAGTTTTTTTTTTTTTTTTTAACATCCGATTGTGCCGACAAATGGGGCATTACAAAATACCCCAAAATTTGTTAAAATTTTTCAAAATAAATATCAATCTTCAAACAGCTTATTGGTGATTGTTCCTTCAAAACCACAATTTGAAATTCTCAAAATTCAAAATTGCCTATGAAAATTCAAAATATCTAAATTTCGCATTTTGTTATTATTCAAGATTCTAATGAGACCAATGAACCAAAAGCAGAAAATTTGAGAGCTCCATCAGTGTTGTCGTCGTAACAACAACAGCAGATAGCATGAAGTTGGCGCTGTGATATTTTCTAACAAGATTTTTATATTAAAGTTGTGTAGTGTTTGGGTGTCTCTCCGTTTCAGTTCATTAAGAGAAAGATATAATATTCGTCGGATCACTTTACTTTACCAACAAAATGTGTAGAATTCAAAATATCCTTTTGTTGACATCACTAATTGTAGTTATCCAAAAATAGAATTGTTTAATGCGATGTATGCAACAACAGTAGCACCATTGAATTCACCATCATTAATTAAAGAAAAGAAAGAAAAGATTAATTAAAGAAAATAAATTAAAAAAGATAGATATATTATTTAAACAATCAAATATACATATTAAAATTAATTTCTCAGCTGTTACAAAACACAAATTTTCTTTCAATGATGTTAATTTTATTTTATTTTTTGATGTGTGAATGTTGTCATTGTAAAAGTTAACTGTCTTACCAACAAATATTTATATGTAATTTCAAATAATATTTAGCTTTTTTTTGTGTGATTTTAACACTTTTCATATTTAAATAAATAAATGTAGTAATAATAAATATTGATTTTGAATCATTTCAAATATGCATTTTGTATTTTTTATTTGTTTGCAATAAAAATCAATGGAAAAAAAGCTATTACTATGCTTGTTGTTAGTGTGTCTGTTGTTATGTGGATTTAACACGATAGATGGAACAGATCAAGTTGAACACCTCGAATATGGACCTAATATTGAACCAGCTATTGTTCCAACTCGTCAAATGACAACATCCAATCCTGTCATTCAATTCACTTCTACTGCAGGTCATCCAATCGATGTCAAACCAGTACCAGCTGAAAACAAGCCTAAAGATGACAAGAAGCATAAAGACAAAGACAATAAAGATAAAAACAAGGACAATAAAGATAAAAAAGATAATAAGGATAAAAAAGAGAAAAAACATAAAAAGCATAGAGGTGGAAAACGGTCAATAAAAATGATGGCTTCTAAAAACGATGCCATCAGTCACTGTGCTAATGTTCAATGTCCAAAGATTGACCCAAAGGAATGTCAAGCAAAACATCAGATGTACATTCCCCCGTTCCCACCATTATTTTGTTGTGCACAATGCCAAATTATCTTCTCTCTTGGTCCATAAATTCAAAGATATCAATTTAAAACTAACAAATAAATATATAAATAAAGTATCAATCATCATTTTAATTGTTATTATTTACAAAAAATTATATATATATATAACACTTTATTTTAATTAATTAATTAATTCTGGAAAAAACTCTTAACTCTTACAAAAAAAAACAATGGAATATTTTAGAAATCAACAAAACAAAACATTATAATTAAAATAAGCTTTGATTTGATTATTATATCTTAATCAACTTATTAATTAATTATTATTATAGATGTTTTGTTATTATTGTTGTTGTTATTTCTAGAAATGAAAAAAGGTTGGTGGTGCGCATTGTTTGTTGGTGATTGTGATCAATTAGAAACTGTTACAGTAGGTACCGGTTGTCTTTGATGTAGAAATATAGGATGTGACATTGGTGTTGGAAACGTAGTTGGTGGTTGGCACTGAGGATCTTGTGAAACCTCCACGGATTGGAACTGGTGAAGTGTTGGTGTAGCTGGTGGATGTGTTGGTAGTTCTTGTGAAATATGGTTTGATGTTGTTACTTGGCGAAGCATAGTTATTCTCTGATTTACCGGTGGTCTTTATCAAGATTGGTTCAGTATTGATTGTTGGAACAATCTCTTGGTCCTCTACAATCATTGGTGAACCAATTGAATTCTCAGCAACTGGAACAACTATATCACATTCATTGTTATTGTTGCTATTATTATTATTATTACAATTTACAACATCAAAATCGACCAACGGATTTGATTCTCTGACAACTCTGAAATCAATAATATTTGGAACATCTTCCTCACTGAGTTGTTCTACTTGTTGCACTACTTCCTCTTGTTCTTGCTGTTCATCCTGATTTTGTACTTCTAATTCATCTAAATTCAATTGTTGTTGTTTAATTTGATAGATTGGTAATATATTTGAATTGGTCTGTTGTTGTTGTTCTTGCTGTTGTTGTTGTTGCTGTTGCTGTTGTTGAAGTTGTTGTTGTTGTAATTGCTGATACTGTTGTTGAATATATTGATGATCATCGTTGAGTGCTACCCATCCAGATTGAGTGACACCATCATTTACAATTACGAAATCATCGTCTTCTCTCTCAGCGCTCTTATAATTCTCGTTTCTATTCGATTTCTTATTAAATAAGTTGAACATGGTTATCTTTAGTTTTATTTGACTGTAAATCGGTTGTCTCTAATTTAATTTATTAATCTTGATTTCCTAGAATTTTTATTTTATTTTATTTTTATTTTTTTATTTTAATTATTTTTTAAAAAAAAACTAATTTATATATATATGATTGTTATTAGTTATGTGATTTAAATTTTATTATTACTGTTTGGTTTGAAAAAAAAAATTAAAATAATTAAAATAATATTGTGAAGTTGTTTGTTTTTTTATTTATAAATAAAATTTTTTTCCAATTTTTTTAAGAATTTTAAGAGAAAAAGTGAAAAAACCCAATACTGCACTGTTTGTTCACAACAATCAATCAATTGTTCTGTTTGGTAAAAGTGAGAGAATAAGAATATCTTTTTTTTATTTGCAATCGAAATATTGATAAATCTCGTTAAATATTTTCAATATTTAAATATTTATTTTCATCTTTTATTTTTAATACAATTATTTTTATTTTTTTTTATCCATATATGTTATAACAGGGATTTATAATAAAATACATTAATAAAAAAATAAAAATAAAAAAAGATATTATTATTATTGAATTTTCATTAATCATATTTAAGTTTAGTTTTTGTGAATAAGGAGACAATGTGATTTTTTTTTAAAAATTTTCAAAAAATTGTGGTTTTGCATAAGTATTTTTTTAATTGTTTGTTTTATTTTTGTTTGGTTTTATTTATTTGATAGAATAGAGAGAGAATGAGTGAGAGGGATAAAGATAAAGATAGAGATAGAGACAAGCGTGATAGAGATAGAGATAGAGACAGAGATCGAAGTGATAGGGATAGAGGTGACAGAAGCGATAGAGATAGAGGTGACAGGGATCGAAGCGATAGGGGTGGTGACAGAAGCGATCGTGACAGACGAGGCAGCGATAGAGGTGGTGACAGAGGTGATAGAAGCGATAGAGGTGATAGAAGCGACAGAGGTGATAGAGATAGAGATGGTTATCGTTATAGTAGAGATAGAAAGAGAAGTAGATCACCTTCGAGTAGATCTTCGAGTGGTGGCGGTGGTGGTGGTGGTGGATACGGTCCACCTGCAACCTCAACAACTTCACCTGCACATAACAACAATAACAATGGTAATAATAACAATAATGGTGTTGCTGCGACAACCCCAAGTGCATCAAGTAGAAAGTCGTCACTTTGGGACAGACCACCCGATCCCAATGATATGGTGGCACCGGTCGGTCAGGTCTATGGAAGTCAGGCACTGCAGCAACAGCATCCAAACTACCAGGTACAAGCACATCCACCACAATCGATTCAACATCATCATCAACAACAGATGATGATGGGACTGACTTCGTATAGTGGCGTCGCCGGACATACCGGCCAACAAAATAGTGGCGCGCCAATGCCCATGGGCATGAATCCACAACAGCAACAGCAACAACAACAGCAGCAGCAGCAACACCAACAGCTACAACAACAGCAACAACATCAACAACACCAGCAACAAATGGGTGGTATTCACATGAATAATATGAACATGGCTATGTCTGGTGGTGGTGGTGGTGCCATGGGAATGGGCGGTGCCAATAACATGCCGTCTGTCCAGTCGGCAAGTGCAGCACTCGCCAAACAAAGTAGAAGATTGTACGTTGGAAACATTCCACCCAATGTCACAGAGGCACAGATCGTCGAGTTCTTTAACGCCGCCATTATTGCGGCGGCACTCACCACCAAGCCTGGCCAGCCAGTGCTACTCTGCCAGATCACAACTGGCAAGTCGTTTGCATTCATCGAGTTCCGCTCCAGTGAGGAAGCGACACTGGGCATGGGACTCGACGGAATCAGTTTGTCGGGTTACTCGCTCAAGATACGTCGTCCCAAGGATTACCAATCGGGCAGCAACGAGCCAATGCCCACTGGACTCTCCATTGTCAGCACCAACGTGCCCGACAGCGAAAACAAGATTTTCCTTGGTGGACTTCCGCCCACCCTCAACGAAGAGCAAATCAAATCGATGTTGAGCGCAATCGGTAGACTGAAAGCATTCAACTTGGTCAAGGACACAAAGACCGGTATCTCAAAGGGATTTGCATTCTGCGAGTTTCTCGACCCCGAGAACACCGACAAGGCATGCGCAGAACTCAACGGAACCAAATTTGGAGACAAGTCACTACTCGTACAGAAAGCATCTCTCGGAAAGGAAGCGATCGCCAACAACAACAACAATAACAACAACAACCAATCTCTCAACAATCCAAGCAAAGTAAAAGTAGATTCATCGGTTTCATCACTTTTAAATTTAACAACTGCACTACCACAAGTTTTAGGTGCAATAAGATCCAATGTATCATCAGACAGTAAGTAGTAATAATACCTTGAATTAAATAGCGCTCCCTACATGTACTAACTAATTTGATTACTATTTACTATTTTAGATAATTCAAAACCATCTAGAGTTGTACAACTTTTGAATATGACAGATAAAGAAGAGATTCAAGACGATAACAACTATGAAAATCTATTGCTCGATACTAAAGATGCATGTGAAGAGTTTGGAGAGATAGAATCGATTTTTATTAGTAGACCAAAGGATAGCCCATTGGATATAATCAAAGTGTTTGTTTGTTTCAGTCAGTTAGAGTCTGCTCAGAAAGCATGGGTGGGACTAGGAGGCAGAAAATATAATTACAGAACGATTATCACCGCTTTTTATCCAGAGGATCTTTATATTATCGAAGGAAACAACGAAAACTCTACAAATGAAAATGAAAATGGCAATGAATATAACGACTATAATAATAATCCTTATGAAAACGACAACAATGAAAATCAAAGATTTAGAAATGGTTCCAATGATATGGAATTCTAACAAAAACAAAACAAACAAAAAAATAATAAACCAATAAACAAAATAATTAAATAGAAATATAAATACCAATATAATATATTAATAATGATAGTTTACTATTCATTCTTTTTTTTTTTTTATTCTATTTATTTATCTATCTTTTCTCTCTATCTATCTATCTATTCATCATCTTCCAAAGCATTTAATTTTCTTGCACGCTGCTCGAGATTGACAGCCTCTGGTACTCTACCTTTTTCTCTTAACATTTGAGCAAAGTCCCATAGAACGTTACCATAGTCAATGTCGACCTCTTTGTTGGTCCGCAGTTCAATTTCACGCTTACCTGCTTGGTATTGTGGAGTTTCCTGTCTCTCCTTTTGTGCTTGCTCTTTCTGTGCCATTGTGCTAAGATTTTTGTGGTCTTCAAAGATGGTGATACAACGATTGAAGAATCCTTCTGCCCATTGAGCATTTCCTTTGGCACGATACAACTTGGCCATGATATAAATAACACTTCCAAGTTTTGCACTCTGACGACCGTAAACCTCCTCTGCCTTGGCCGATGCCAACTTTAACATCTCCTCCGCTCTGTCTAGCTGTTCACTATCCAACAGAAACTCTGAATAGTTTGTCAATATGTTTGACAATTCCTTTTGATTATTATTCGATTGAGCCGATTCAATTGCTTTCTTATATAGACTCTCTGCCATCTCATCCTTTTCCACTGAATGACAATAGCTACCATAATTTCCATAAATAATTTCTGGAATTAATTATAAATAGGAAAATAAAAAATTAATATAAGAATAATATCCTTGTTTTTTTCCGATATTAAACTAAACTTACCATTAAGTGGATGAGTTGGTTCCAAATATTTATTGGATAGAATCATTGCTTCTTCAAAGAGCTTTTGACATTCATCGTTGCATTGCAATCCTTGGATGATCGCTTTGTTGAGAAGTGTTCCAATTTCCAACTCTCGGTTGCCTCTGTCACGAGCGAGTGTAATCAGTTTATCGGAATTTGATTCCGCCAATTGTAGGTTACCCTGATATTTATTGCAAAGTATGAGATTGTTGAGACTTGGAATGGTGTATCGATCGTTTGAACTATCGGCGAGGTCCACTCTCTCCAACACTGTATTGGCCAACTGTTGTGCACGACTCAGCTCACCGATTGCCATCTCACAATTGATCAACCTAAATAGAATATTAAGAGTGATCGGATTCTTCTTGCCGATCATTCGCTCTGTCATTTCCAACGATCTACCAAGAATGGACCTAGAGGCCACGAAATTACCTCTACGCTCATATGTTTTGCTCTCTTCGATCTCACTGAACATCTCATCCTCCTTGGTAATTTGATAATCTGTAACATTTGAAATATAACTACTAAAGAATATATTTCTAGCAAGTTGTGTTTCTCCTATTATACTGCTATCATTTCTGTTGTTTATATTTATATTTTGAATCGATAATAACTTTGTTGAATTAGTAACTCTATTTCTTAATAATGAATTACTACTATAACTATAACTAAATCTTTTTATATTTAAAAAAGTTGATCTAAACATATCTGTAATTTTTGACAAACATAGAGTTTATTTAATAATCATTACATCAATGTGTGTCAGGTGCTTAAAAAAAAAAAAAAAAAAATTCTTAAATTTTTTTGATCACACATACTTATTTCGTCTGTTTTTTTTATCAATCAATCAGATATCTATTTTCAGATATAACTATATATATATTAAAGATGATGAGATCAACTTTATCACTTCTACAAAGTAAATATAATAATAATATAATAATAATCAATAAATAAAACTATATAATCAAAATCAAGAAGCGTTAATTAACTTGTTGTTTTTTTTTAATATTCTGAAAAATTTGTAGAGTGTAGATTACCAAATAACAATGGATCATTGTTATCATTCAAGAATAATCAAGTTGTAAATCAAACAGCTTTGTTTTCGATGAAATCAAATCAACAATATAGATTCTACTCAACAGATGTTAAGGATTTGGCACCGTTGATCAAAGAGTTGAGAAACAGAACATCGGCACCTCTCAAAGATTGCAAGGAAGCACTCATCCAGAATAAGAATGATATTGAAAAAGCTACAAGCTGGTTACACGAGAAGGGTAAGTCAACTGCCAACAAATTCGCTGATCGTGCGGTCGTCGAGGGAACCATCTCGATCGTCGTCAACAACGGCAAAGCCGTCATTCTCGAGATGAACAGTGAGACCGATTTTGTATCGCGTGGTGAGACTTTCCGTGCTTTGGCCGATCAAATCTCACGTGCCACTCTCGAATCAAACCTGCTCGCCCAGAGTCTAGCGGAGATCAAGCCAGACACAATCGCACCACAGCCAGCATCGGGATCGACTGTCGCCGACCTCATTGTCGGTACCGTCGCCAAGTTGCGTGAGAACATCCGTCTGCGTCGTGTACACGCAATCGATGCCTCCAACCAACCAAATACCATAGTCGCCGGTTATGCACACGATCCAAGTGGAACCAATCAATTTGGACGTCTGGGATCGTTGGTTCAACTCCAGTATGAAGGTGGTCAGCCCGATATCGCAGCACTCAACCAACTCGCCAGAAACATTGCAGTGCACATCGTCGGTGTCGGACCAAGCTACGTATCGATCGAGAGCGTTCCAAAGGTACTGCTCGACGAGGCCATCGCCAACAAGCGTCATCCAAACTCACTCTACGACGAAGTAGTACTTTTGGAACAGAAATACATCAGCGGTGAGGACAACGAGACTGTCAAAGCAGCCGTTCAACGTATCTCCAAGCAACTCAAAACCAACATCACCATTAAATCATTTGTACGTTATTCAGTAGGTGAAGGAATGGAAAAGAAAGTTGAAAACTACGGTGCTGAAGTTATGGAGAAAATCAACAAAGCAAAGTAAAATAAAACCACTAGTATTATAATAATACTAGAGTTTTTAAAAATAAATAGTAATAATAATAATAATAAGAAAGTTGTTAGCTTTGTTTTGTTCGTGTTCCAATTTAATCTTTTTTATTTTTGGAACTCTTTGAGTAGGTTATTGATTTTGTTGATGATGGTTTTTTCCTTGATTGCTTTGTTTCAGTTTGAAGTTGATCAAGATTGAAATAGTCGATCAGTTCATTCTCTTTCAGAGTGAAAGCAGTTGATTTGTCGATGGTTGGTATTCTTTTGTGTTCTACACCATTTTTGAAGAGGATGATAGTTGGTATCTGATTGCTTTTAACAGAGTCATCGATGTTGTGCTTCAGAGTCAGTGGTTTCCAACGACCAATATCCACTTTTCCAAATTGAATTCTATCATTTCCATATTTATTAGCCAATGAAATGAATGTTGGAGCTAAATATGTACAAACAGGTGACCATAATGCAAAGAATGTAACTATTAAATATTGATTATCATCCTTATCACCATCATCTTTTACTGAATGATTTGACAATGTATTTGACAGTGTAATTGGATTGAAATAAGTAACTTTTAAATCTGAAGAAGATGGTATTTGATAAACCGGCTGTGAATAAAGAATATATGAAACTTTAATTATGAAAATAGATTAGATTAGTGTTGATATAATATCAAATTAGTTTATTAAATTAATAAGTAAATCATACATACCTATAAAAGATAATAAATAAGTGATAAAAAGATAATAGTTGTCAACTGCATATAATAAATATAGAATCGATAGTTTTATAATGAAGAGTGCAGATGTTAGAACAAAGTCTACACTCTTGATGACACGAGATTTAACAGTCTTTATAAGAATGGCAAACAATGTATAGTAGATTGTCAGACGTTCACTTGATGATCTCTCTACAACACCTAGACATCGCAGTAAGATGAAACTAAAAACAATACTAAAATTCAATATATAATATGGTTGTTTTAATTGTCCAACTATTGATTTTATATCCATCTTAATTATTTATTGGTTAGATAGATAAAAAATAAGATATAACAAAATTAATTTAAAAATAAATACAATAAAACAAATTGATAATCAATCATTAATGATTCAAAATCATATTATAAAATAATTCGATCAGAAAAATAAAAATAGATTACATAATAATACAACTTAAAAAAAAAAAAGAAGGTTTGGTTTGTGTGTTTTAAAATTGTTGCTTGATTGACTCAGAGAGATTCATTCATTTATTAACATTTTAATTAATAATTTAAAAATTGCTAAATAAATTAAATTCTAAAGAAAAATCAAGGAATTAATTTCTAATTAGAAAATAACTATATATAACTAACCAAAAAAAATGAATAAATTCTAAAAAATAAAAAATTTTTTTTTAAAAATTATAATTTTAAAAAAAAAGGGACTTCACCACTTAACGTTTAATTTAATTTAATTTTTATTTTTCTTGATAGTGTGAATTCAACATTTTAAAAATACAATTATTTTTTCTTTTTTTAATATTTACATTTTATCCTTTTATATATATTTAAATTACAATAACAACACATAATCATAAGATTTACAGAAAAAACTTTTAAAGATGAAAGTCACTATTAGAAACGTAAACAAAGAAGTCTATACATTCGATGTCACCGGTGAGGAGAAGGTAATTTTAACTAATCACATCAATCAAATCAATCAAATCAACACAACAATTATTAGACAGCGAAAATTATTTAAAAAAAAGAGTGAACATTTAATTTAATGAATAATCAAAGATTTAAATTTAGATGATGGTCATCACAATATTATTATAACAAAGTTGATCAAAAAAATAAAAAGTAATTTATAAACTAACTTTTGATCATCATCATAATAAAGGTTATACAATTAAAGGAAATGATTGCCGATAAACATAAACATCTGCCAACATGGCAAACTTTAATTTATAGTGGTAAAATTTTAGAGAATGATAACCAACTTTCAACTTATAATATCACCGAGAATGGTTTCATTGTTTGTATGGTTAAAAAGGTAATTGTCACTTGCTCCTCTTATCTTAATGATCAATCCATTTGATTGATTGATTGATCAAATGATCGATCGATCGATTTGATAAAGAGAAATTTTTAAGAAAAATATCATTCTTTTAAATACTTATAATAACTAATCTCTATTGATATTTGTAGCCAAAGGAAGAATCTACACCAGCACCACCAACAACAACAACAACTGCCGCTCCACAAGCACCATCCTCAACAACCACTACCTCCACTCCACAGGCAGCCACTCCAGCCGCACCAACCACCACCCCAATACAACCAACACCAACACCAACTGCCACCTCGACACCAACAACCACTCCATCACCAGCCACCGCCACCTCACCACAACGTGACTCCACAGGATTCGTTAGTGGACCAGAGTACGAACTTATTGTAAAGCAAATAGAAGATATGGGTTTCTCAAGAGACGACATTACCCGTGCCTTGAGAGCTTCCTACAACAACCCAGAGCGTGCAGTAGAGTTATTGTTAACCGTAAGTTTATCATTTTCTTTGCAAGTTAAAAATTAAACCAATAACTAACTATCTAAATTGTAATTTGACCTTAAACAATGAATAGGGTTCCGTTCCAGCTGCCTCTGCTGATGACGAAGAAGATGAAGATATTGGTGAACAACAAGGTAAATTATTAACTCCATCACCAATCACCACATGTTATTATTATTATTATCCTTTTTTATTTTACTTTGATTGGTTAGAAGATGATTTTTTTAAAGAAGAAAAACAAAAAAAAAAAGACGATCTTATATTTAAATGATACTTGCGACAATGAAGACAGTATTTGCTCAATTTTTTTTTGTAATTTACCTGCGATGATGCGATAGATCAATAGTGAATTATTATTTTTAGTGTGCTCCAGAGTTTTGTTGGTCTTTGATATAACTTTTTTTAATAGAGTTGATAAATGATATGACCAAGTTTTGCTAAATTTCTTATTTTCTTTCCTTTTTTTTTCTACTTACAAATTAAAATTGAATGAAACTACCTACTACCTACTACCTACCAATCAAACTTAATCAATCAAACTACTACCTACTTCCTACATTTTCCCAACCAATCAATCAATGTAACATACTGACTACCTTAAACTTATTTCAATCATGTGGATTTCGACGATGAATACGACGATGAAATGATGGCTGAAGCTGAAGGTACTGGTGAACCAAACATTTTCGAGGCTCTTAGAAACAACCCACACTTCCCAATGCTTCGTGAAACTATCCAAAGAGTATCTATTATTAATGTTGAACAACTTGGAGTCTGCTTAATTAACAATTGATGTGCTAATCATTTTTTTTATTTAATTCTTTAGAATCCAGCTGTAATTCCAGAGCTTTTGCAACAATTCAGCCAGACCAATCCAGGTTTGGTCAGACAAATCACAGAGAACCCACAAGAATTCCTCCGTCTCTTCCAAGAGCCACAACAAGTTGCCATTCAAGTTTCACAAGAGGAAAGAGAAGCCATCGAAAGAGTAAGTTTATTTATTTTTAACTACATAACATTATCATGACTAACATTTCAACAACGTTGTTGTTTAGCTGATACTACTTACTGGTCTTGAAAAGGCTGAGGTTGTCGAAGCCTATTTTGCATGTGATAAAGATGAACAACTTACTGCCTCCTATCTATTTGAACGTGCTGATGACCCAGATAATTAATTAAGTTACAATTATTATAATGAAAACCAAAAAAATCAAAAAAGAACAAAAAAAAGACTACTAAATCATCTCAACATCAATAACCTAAAAAGAAACTCTCTATCATTCCGTTTTAAAATGTAATAAAATAGTGATTCAATCTTAGATAGTGATAATATTATTCTTTACATTTCTTTTATTATTACAACAACACATATATTTATTTATAATACAAACTTATGGGCTAGCAAGTGTCTAAACAAGCTTGGTTTATGGTGACTTGCAACTTATTAATTGTGTAAAAAAGTATTCTCCTTTGTTGCTCTTTGCAACACCAACACCTGCATGTGTATATGGTCCTAACATATTTCTCAAATTGCCCTCTGTATTAATCCAAATCTTCAAAGCCATCTTTGTGTGAGTTGATTTTAAAAATGATTAGATTATTTGTGGTTATATGATAGGATAGGGTAATTGTCGATTGAATTATACTTACTTCAGCAGGGTCACGTCGATAATCATGATATGCAACATTCTCTGTGTTTACGGTGGTTGGGAATGGAATCTTTTTGAATCTATCATTGATTCCTTGGTGGCCAAATTGAACAGTTCCGTCAGCCATCTGTTTTGAATGAGATTCCGCAATCTTGTACAAATCTGAATCCCATTGAAGGTCTTTCAAACCTTTCGCTCTTCTTTGGACATTTGTCAATTCAAGAGTCTTTTTTCCTATCTCTTCAAAATTTATTACACCAGAATACATATTATTTTTAACTTTAAAATCAATCAATAGAGTTCATTCTAATCTTTTGAAATTGGTGGTGGATAAACATGGTTTTTTTTTTTTTTTTTTTTAAAGTTTTTCAAATAACAAAAAACAATTCAAATAGCAAAAAACTGGTGCATCGTACTTTCTTTGATCTAAAAAGTAGTAATAAATTACATTACTTGTTTTTATTTCTTTATTCATTATATGTACAGAATTGAGATAAGTTATTGATATTTTTTTTCAATATGTTCTAATTTATTTATTTTTTGTGATATTTCATTGTGAAGATCAATTTTAAGAAAATTCCAGATGGATAGAACCTTGGTCAGTTTATTATCTGATTTGTAATTATGAGGGTAAAAAAAAGTCTAAATATAAAAAAAAAATAAAAAGACTTGAAATGACGTGAGACACAAAGAAAAAAGGAAAATATTCCCAATATGGTAACTTGTTGAGAAAGTTTGGAATGGTTGAATCAAAAAAAACAACAAAAAGACTTAGATTTTTTGAAATTTGATCGAACCCCTGAAGTGAATATAAATTTAAATTGTAGACGAATTATGGTGTGAAACCACCGCCATGTAAGATAATTTTTATTATTTTTGCAGGCAAAATTTTACAAAAAAAAAAACTGATCTTTTTGAATCTTGCAATAAATAAATAAAAAGAAAAACTGAAAAAAAAAAACCAAAAGTTTTTTAGATAAAAAGCAGCAGGTGGCAGTAGAACTATCTGACATTCTCATTGGAAAGTGGTGTGTGGTTCGACAAACCCTTGAAATCACGTAAAAAGAAAGCGATTAGTTTCTACCACTTTGAAAAAAAAAACAAACTTTTTGTTTATTATTAAAAAGAAAAAAAAAACAAAGGGAATGAAAAAACTAAAAACAGAGCTATACTCTATAGCCAAAAGGTAGCTAAAAATCTGAGATCATGATCACCCCAAGAATAACATCACCTATCTTTCGATTAATTATTTAAATCATCTTTTAATAAATTGAAGACTGGAGCCGGCTGTGGGCATCCATTTAATAGATGTATTGAAATTTGAAATTATCACATAGAGTGAGAGTGATGGATTTGTTTGGTTTGGTTGATATTTTTTTTTGTTAATAAAAAGATGCATGGCGCTCAAACATACATCAAAATTTGGTTTGGACTAACACTTTGAGGGTGTCCATTTCTTGGTCTAATTAGAACATCACAAGTTTTTTTTTTGTTTTCTTTGCTTGTCATTTTTTTTTATTTTAACAACAGCAACTTTATTTTTGAGATGCCACAATTAATAATACTAATAAATGACAACTACCCCACACATGTGAATTTATCAACAAATAGGATTTTACATGCTGAGAAGCTACCTTATTAGTAGGTTCTTTGGGGTGCACAGTCACACTTGTGTGAGCTTTCTTAGTTTATGGTGATTTCAACTTCATAAATCTAAACTTTTTATTTTCATCAAACTAACAAACTAAGTTTGTTAGGATAACAACTTGGAATATACACCTAGTTTTTTATATAATTATATAATTATATTGTATATATAATTACTTCAAAGTTAGATCTTTCATGTTACTCTACAAATAATATAATATAAATCGAATCATTGTATAAATATTCTTTTTCACAGCCAACAGATCAAAAGATTCACACACATATATATTGTTATTTATTCTATTTTATTTATTTTTTCAGAAAAGAGAGAATGAAAAGACAACCAAATAAACCTTATACAAAAAAGTCACAGCTAAAACCACCAAACTCTCAGAGAACACAACCGACTGATGATGAAGATCAAGAAAATTATACAGACAAGAATAAATTCAAATCATTGTTGGATAAAACACCACCGAGATTACTTCCTACACCCTTACCCACCACCATTGATACTATTGATAACATTCCAATACCTACAACAATATCATCACCAAGAACTCCAAGAACTCCAAGAACAACATCATCACCAAGAACACCAAGAACAACAACTACAACAACGACAACAACTACAAGTACAAATAGCAATATAAATGAACCGACAAACTATTTAACACCAAGACAGAGTCAAAATCCAGCTTTTCAATATCAAATAACAAATTCTCCACCCTCCCGCACTCAAAGTCCACCTATCATCCAACAACATCCTCAACTTCCACAACATCCTCAACTTCCTCAACATCCATTTCCAATTTCACATCAACCCTCTTATCCTATTGGCATAACTCAACCCGTCATCTCACATCAACAACAACAACATACACATCCATATCAAGCACCAACAACTCCCCGTCTCACTCCTGTATGTCATGATATACTGGAAAGATTAAGAACCAGTATGATGAACCCAGAGTTTGGAATTATCGATTATCTGGAGATTGGAAAACCATTGTTCGATTCAGGATCCAGGAAACCTATAGAAATAATTCCAATGCCAGAACGAGTACAATCGATTGGCACAGATGAGACTGAGCTTATTTTTTCAAATGGTCGTCTTACCAGACCGAGAGAATTGAAACCGTTAATCAGTGAAAACAGAATATATATAGAAAACCTGTTTAGGAATCTCTACGCAGCATCAATCGAAAATGATGTCACCTGGTTTTTGTATTGGATACAAATCGGTCATGGAGCGCGCAATCTCATTTTATCGATCATTCAATACGAAGAAAAGTGGTTGGAGCAACTATTGGAAAAATTCGGTGTCACTTCACAAGATTTCTCAGAGTTTAGACAAAGAATGAAAAGATTCATATATTTAGATCTATAACTTAAAATATAATATATATAAATAAAAAAATCGAAATAAAATATATAAAAAAAATTGGACCATTTGTTACCATTTAAAAAAACAAGAAGAAAAAGTGTCATTTTTTTTCATTAATTTTTATTTATTTATTTTAAGTTCTTTTTTATTTTATTTATTATTAAATGAATGGAAAATTATCAAACTTTAGTTGAGAGAGCTAAAGATAATATAGTATTGGTAGAGATTACATTGATAGTCTTAGTTTTCGCAGTGTGGATACTAAAACCATTGATTCTGAATCTAATCGATCCCTTTAGATTGGTCGATATAAGATGTCATTTCTGTTTATCATACAATAAAATACCTTTGAACTATAGAAACGAATGGACTTGTACAACATGTGAACAATATAATGGTTTCAATAAAGTAGTTATATAAGCATAAAACATCAATCTAATATAAAACTAAACTAATTCTTCTTTTCTTCTTTTTTTTTTTTTGAAAACAATTAGGATGGAGGTTATAATGCAATGTTTAAGAATCAACATTTAGATCTTTTAAATCATGAGCTTCAAAAGAATAGTAGCAATAATAATAATAGTAGCAGCAGCAATAGAATAGGTATAAATTCAAAAGTCGATAATATAATATTATGTACAAAGTGTCAGTTTAATTTGCAAACCAAGAATAACGACTTACAGATGTTTGACCCTGTTAGCGATGACAATCGATTGTTTCGTAACTACCAAGATGACAGAGAGAAGCAGTTCAAGCTTTGTGAACAATGTGAATTCCTTGTTTCAAGCGAAATCAGTAGAATCAATCGATATATTGTATCGACTCAATACAACAATCAATACCTACCGGTATCATCTCAATACTCAAAATCATACTCCACAGCACCATACTCTGCAAAAACAACAAAGACAACAAGACAATTACCTTTATTTTCACTGGTTTCATCACTATCAAACCTTACAACCTTTTTTAATTTCACAATCTATACTATCATTATTGTATTTGCAATAGGCAATCTTTTAAAAAGTAATTATAATACAGAGATTATAGATATACGATGATTAATAGCGCTTACTAATATTAAAAACTGATATACAGTCGATCAAAGATATCAAAGAAATAACAATGACAATTTTTCAAATATTACAACCGAAAAGGTAGAGATAGTAGGCTTGTTCATACTATTCCTGCTGAAGTTTACTCTATCAATTATCGAATCATACAAGTCACAATCAATCTTAAAGAATCCCCAGAGAAATGTGTTAACATTGGAATCTTTATTTTATTATCTATTAGTTGTAATGTATAAAGTTTATATATTCTATTTGATTTTATATTAAATAATAGAATCATTATCTAATTTAATAACTATCTCTTAGACTCTCAAAGTATTATCTATTTTATATCCAGATGTATACCATCTCATTCATCAATATCAAAGTCTAAATACAAGGTTGGTCGATACAGTTGTTAATATATGGAGTCGCTTTGCATCAGATTATATATTTTCATTTATGGTCTATATCATTGTATGTTTACATTATTTTATGATTAAATTATTGTTAAAACTTACCAATTTTTTTTTGATGATCTTTAGATTATAGTTATTCATAGACTAGAAAGAATAAGGAATAGTGTAATAGTTATCAATAGTACAATAACAAATTCGTCTTCTTCGAATATTATTAGTAGTAATAGTAGTAGTAATATTAATAGTAGTAATATCAATCAAAGTCCGACAAGTAGTAGGTCTAGAAATATCATTAAAAATGGAATTGATCACAATAACTCGACAGATAACAAATATAGCTACAATATTCAAGATAATAGGATAAATATAACAAAGAAAGCACCTTTTCAAGTAGATTTCACAAGCGATACCGATTTATTGGCAGTGACATTTAATTCAAAGGATGAATCAAAAATAGCTCATCGAATATCAAAATTAGAATTAAGTGATGGAGAAGAGCAACAGAGTAGCGACAACATCTCAATCGATAGTGAGGGCAAAACAATCCAAAGCAAACTGTCAAGCACATTTGAATACATTTTTAGTGCGTCAAGCAATAGGTTTTACCAAATCTTAAGATCATTATCAAACTACAAACAATTTATCATTGGATTTACACTTTGTTTAATCATTCAATATATTATATTCAACAAATCATCAATAAAACATTAAAATTGTCGAAAGAGTTTTAATTTTAATAAAATTTATACTTGTATAGTAGTTTATTGTTTGTGTGTTTGGTCAAGTAAAATCATAAAACTTTACTGTTCCATCGTTGAATCCAGCTAATACAGATTCTTCGTCGGATGAAAGTGCTGATAAACTAACTTGATAGTTGTCTAGTACACTTGTGTGATTGGGAATATGGTTTTCTAATTCCCAAATGTGAATGGAGTGTTCGTCGGCTGAGAGTAGTCTTTTGTTGTTGACTAGTTTGATTGATCGCAAATGCGATTTATGTGATTTAATTATTTGCAATGAAGCTGTTGGATTACGCAAGTCCCACATTCTCATTGTCTTATCGTTGGATCCAGTGAAAATGTAGTTGCTACCACAAAAGTCGAGGCAATTGACAGCTGCCGTGTGTCCGTGAAGAACGATTGCCGGAGCATCTTGCTTCACTGACAGATCCCAGAGTTTGAGTGTTTTATCTGAGCAACACGAGTAGATAGTAGAGTTGGATCCAAGTCGAACCTGGTGGACTTTAGTTCTGTCATTCAGCAGGTTGTTTGTTCTTTGGTTAGTGGTGCTATCCCATATCTGAATACTGTTGCTCTCCCATATGTATACTTTCTCGTGGTCAAAAATGAAACCATCGGCCAGATAAACATATCTTTGTTGTGAAACTATTTGTTTGGTGGCCATATTGTAATGGTAGATCAAGCCATTGGAGAATCCAATTCGAATCACAGGATTCTTCTCGATGCAATAGGGAAACAGTTGGCTGTTGGTCTTTGAGAGATTGTCGTTTTCGAATGACACTACACTGCAGTTTGTTGGTTTCAACACGACATCGCAAAGCTTGGTGCCCAGACTCCAGATACGGAGCTCCTTGTCTCTAGAGCCAGTAACAGCCATCTCTGGACCAAGCTGTAGACAAGTAATCTTGGCTTTATGACCGCGAAGGAATCCAGTCTTAGCCCTTCCTTTACGCCAATTGTTCTGCACGCATTCCTGAGAGATATACATGTTTCTCCAATTTTCAGAGCTATCATTGGATTGAGAATCGTTGGTTTCACTCTCGATTTCTGTAATTCTACTTTCATTTCGAAGCACATGATTTCCATCATTTTCATTATTATTATTATTATTATTATTATTTTGATCTCTGTTATTTTGGTTGATTAGGTTTACTGATTTATACTTTGATTCAAATAGTGATTTCCACAAGAAGTTGTTGTTGGCGGCACTATGGAATGTTGTACAGGTCATTGAGAGTTTTGTCAAGTCTCTTGCATCCAAGTGTGAAAAAATGAGCTCTACAATCTCTTCTGGTAGTTGATCAAATAGTGAGTTTGAATGGAAGGTGGCATTGTATCTTGGCATCTTTGAGTGTGAATTAAAGCTACGTTTATTTGAAACCAACAACAGAAAAGGACGACGTTTAATATATTGATCCCAATCATTGGTAAAAGGTGCTGGTGAAATTGATGATTTATTCTGATTTTTGACATTCTATTGATATTAAAAAAAAAAGAAATAAGTAATAATGATTTTAATAATAGTATGATCAGTATAACATACTGGTTTTGTGAAACAAAACTTTGGATTGACAGACATGATTGATGGTTTTTCGATGATCTCGTGATATTTTCTTTTTGGTTGTTGTTGTTGTTGGGGTTGTTGTTGGGGTTGTGGTTGTTGTTGTTGTTGCCTGCTGTCCATCAAAAGTTTCTTGTTTGGTGCACCCAATTCTTTTCTTAATATATTTGTATTGTAATTTAGATCGCATTTCCTATAATCATTTGAATAGTTAATATAAATTGTGGATATGGATTTGTATTGATTAGTAAAATATACATACCAGATATCTAAATATTTATTTGCATTGATAGCATCTGCCTCTTTATCCATTTCATTAAGTGCCAGGTTAAAAAATAAATCCAAAACTTCATCTATGCTCTTATCTTTGAAATCTGTCCAACTAGCACAGTTTGATAGAGGTTGATAGTTTTGAATAGCTTTCAAATTTACTTCGCTCATTGAATGTTTAATAATTTGATTCCTCATTGACTGCATCGTTACAGTGTATCTTTCTGATATTGAAAGTAAAATCTTAAAGATAGGATAGGTTAGTAATGGATTAACGTTTGAATTTAAAATAAAGTTGTTACTTTTTTCTGAGGTATTGATTTAAGTGATGCTGGTAATACAGTTGTAAAGTGAGAGAGATGTCTAATACAACATCCATTTTCAATCGGGAATATATAGAATCCGGATGGAGAATACCAGAGATTTCGAGAGTTGTGTGGAACATCCAATGATTTGAAACCAATGAATGTGATGTTTAGTGGTAAGTTCAGTACTTGTTTCAACAAGAAATGGCTTATCTCTGTGTTTGGTGTAAGTACTGATCTAAATCTGACCTCAATAACAGAGGTACTATCGTTGATTCGGTTGACAGTCTCACAGTAATAAGTCCATGTATCGATTAGATGAGTGTTGTACGATAACACAAACGATTGTACAATATCGGGAGTAGTGCAATTCATGCAGCTCATGAATCCAGTGGTGATCATGTCGAAACAGCTATCCTCTGGATTCTCAGTTAGCTTGTCTTTTACCTTGGCATCGCTATCACGATAATAGAATTCAATATCACGTTGCTTTCTAAAGAGATGCCACTCTGTCAACTCTACTTGCTCGATTGTTTCGCATACCGCTTTGAATATCTCGAGTGATTCCTGTGAGAAGCCAAATCTGTAACGGTGAAGCGAAGACATTTGTTGATCGTTCAAGGCATTCACATAACGCTTCAGTGAGACAAGCTTATAGATAGTGTGCATTCCTGACTGCTTGTAGAGTTGCTTAAAGTGTGGAAAAGAGTCTTTTGGTACGAGTGGTACCAAAGCACTCTCTGAGATCTGTGTGATGTAGGTTACTTTTGAACGATTCTGACCAATCTCTTCGATAACCCAGCCACAAGTTCCAATCTCAGTAAAGAAAGCATTACCATCGATACAATTGATTTCTTGGTCAGCATTTTCATGATCGATCGAACGAAAGGTCAATGTATACTTTCGATTCTCAAGATCAATTGCACACGATTTGAACAAACAGAAATATCTTGGAACTCCTCCGAGTGGAGATGCCATAACACTAAACTCAATGAAATTTAATCCATCCAATTCTTCCAATATTTTCGCCTGATCAATTTTAAAATTAAAAAAACCATGTAAATTGTCTTGTTTCCATCAACTATCGATCAATTATATATTTACAACTTACTTTTAAACAAAAGTCATCCCATTCCTCTTGAAGTTGAGATCTATATATAATATTCCAGATGTTCTCGGCACTGCAATTAAACTCGCCGATATTCTTGTATTGCAAAGTTCCAAGCTCATCCTCTGCTGAATAGAGGATGATGTCCGGTGTCTCCATAATCAAGTCCCATTTTATAGAAGGTGAAAATGCTATATAGTGTAGCTCATTTATAGTGTCTTGAGCTACATCAAGTCCATTTACATATTGCATTGCATTTAGTTTTTCTATAATAGATACTAATTATTAAAGATTTAAAAAAGAAAGTAATTTAGGAAATTAAAAATTAAATATTAGTAATTTGATAACATCTTTCTTAAAATTTAATGCACAAAAAATAATTAAAATATATATATATATATATATATATATACAATAGAGTTATTATTATACAACTTCACCATCTCACACCCCATTCAAAACACAACACACACAATCACCTAAACTATATAAGTATAAGCTACGTGGGGAAATTAAAAGGTAAAAAAAAAAAAAAGTTGGGCGGGGAAGTTGGGGAAATGTAGAAAATAAAAATGTGTAATACCAATCAATTTTTTTAAATCAGAAACAGATTGATAATCCATTTGATTTACTATATTATTAAAATGCATTATAATTATCTATATCTACTCTATAGATTTAATCTATTTATCTCTATTAACTTTTTAACTAAGTTGATTATCTATTTATTTTCCTTACACAAATGATCCAATGAACTAACAAAATAACAACAACAATAGAAAAATGGTTTCGAAACATATTGTTGTTGTATGTCTTTTGGTAATAATTATAATTTTAATTTTGTTTGTTTTGATTTAATTCGTTCTATTTTCAGTGAGAAGTTCTTTGAGAATTTAATAGATAAAGAATTAGAAGGTAGCACTTTAGTAATTCGAAAAGACACACAACGATAACCAATTTCAATTTCACACACAGAAACAAACATAACACAGAAAAGAAAATAATATCAATGTGCAATGTGTGTGGTATAGAATTTAGAAAATAAACCACATTGCAACAGCCAAAGAAAAAAAAAACAAAAATATCCAGGATATCCTTTCATTGTTATTGGTTACTCACAAATTTGTTATAAAAATAATATATAAGTATACTTGTTTCTTTTTAAATATTAAAAAAATAACTGTGTTGTGTGGAATATTATTATAATTGCTATTAAAAAAAAAAATTAATGAATGAGTAAAGTAAAAAGAATAGTGGATTTGATTTAAAAATACTACTAGTTTCTTAAATATTGTTTGGTTTCAAATTTGGTATGATTTGTTGGTCAACAAGAAGAGTTGTCGCGACCAGACCTTGATCTGTAAAGATAATTTTATTTGTTGATTGACTAAAACCAGAAAAACATTGAATTATAGTAAATTATATGATTCAGCTTTCAAAAAGAACTCTTTTTCTCTTTTTGAAAATTTGAGTAGTAGTTGGTGGTCATCAATGTGATTATTAGTTGTTGGTTGTGCTTTTTGTTGTTGTTGTTTGTTGACCAACCAGAGATGAAGAGACACCCTTTTTTGTTTGTTCTCTACACACTGCGAGAAATTTGAAAAACAACGATGGAAACAAAAAAAAAAAAAAAACCAAAAATAAAAATCTTCACAAAAATGAGAGAAATTCTTGTTGCCCCTTTGCAAACTAAAATAAAAAAATGATAAGAATACTGGACAATGATGACAACACAAACGCTTTTTTTGCCTTTATTAATTAAATGATGATTACATTAATATGAAATTACCTTTTTCTATTGATAAAATCTATACTATAGTATTATTTCATTAGCTTTCTATTTATTTAATTTTGATGTATGTTGTTAAAATCAACAGTTCACAAAAACACACATATTTTAGAGATGAATAACACAACAAACACACACCACTTATACAAAAAAAAATATGTGTTTCAATGATATTACAAAATTATTACATTTTAATGAAATGGATGTGTAAATGGTGAATTATGTTTACAATTCTATTGATTTGTGATAAAGTGGAGTCAAAGAAACAAAAAATAAGCAATGTTCTCGAAAATGGAGATTTGTTTACTAAGATCGACAGATTATTTCCTATAGTAATTCATGAGACTCTAACAAGAAGAGTTTGTCTATAATTTGATAAATTCCAAATCAATTAACCCAATATATCTCGCTTACCTGTCAATAAACAATAATAATTATCCTATCTACTTTAAATCTATAGTTTTTATCTACATATATATATATAATTATTATTTTTTTAATTTCTTTTGTTTAAAAAAAGTTTTTTAAAACTTAAAGTTCAAATTAATTTTTTTAGTTTTTTTTTTTTTTTGTTACTTTTTTAATTTTTTGTATTTTTTTTTTTTTTTATAATGCCGAATGGTCACCATTGCATTGACTTTAGTTATAACCCCTAAACCCACTCCGTAATGGTTCAAATTCCTAGATCGATGAAATATTGACCAATTTTTTGAAATTCCTTTTTTACAATTTTCATTAAAAATGAATCCAAGATGATTTAAATCTTAGAAATATGAAGTTTAAACATCAAACTTTTAAGAACTATTTGTAAAAAATGAAGATTCTTATAATGTTTAATTGGTATCACACTTGCAAGAACAAAAGTATTTTTCATTTCCCTAGCAACAACTAATTGAACTATTAAAACTAAAATTACTGTACCAATTGTGCTTAGCAACATGAAAGAATAATAATTGTGGGACCAATTAATAGTTTTGGTACTATTTCCGATTGATCAAATTCTTTGATTAATAGATTTTAAAATAAAAAATTTAAAATGGTGGTATTCTAAAAAATAGGTAACGTTCTGTAAAAATTGAATCTTTATTTTTTATTTTTTTTTTTAGAAAAAAGGAAATGAATAAAAAGCGTTTACTTTGTCAATTAACATTTTTTTTTGAATTCCTCAGTGTGATTTCTATGTCAAGTGGTTTAGTTTGGTGCACAATGACCGTTTAGAGAGCGTATCAATGCTATAACACTATAAACAAAAGTTTCACACAATACAGAGCAATCTGTATTGGAACCTTCATCAAACAGCGAAGTTAAACCTGTTACTAGTGTCAAAGGTAATGGTCACTCATTACCTAGTACCAATTTATTGTTTTTGTTTGATATTGATGAATCTGATTAGTTTGTGTTAAATCAATCAATCAATTAATCAATCTATCAATTTTAAACAAAATAAATATAAAAAATAAAAATAAAAACTATATTAATTAAAAAATAAAAGATAAAAGGGAAAGGGTGTGCTTCCTTGCCAATGATCAGTTTGATTGGTGTCACACACCCATTTTTTTTATTAAAAGCTAATATATTATACCACCATCACACACATCCATCAGAATGTTGTTCATTAAATAATGGACATGTAAAACATGTGATAAGTTGATTGTTGCTATCTCACTTGTTGTTGACCATTAAACTTTTTACTTCATTACTAGAAATAGTTATATCTATATCATATAAGAACACTACTCAAATTTTCTTTTTTTAGTTACAAATCTATTAGTCTATTTTAAAATATAAATATAAATATATATATATATATGGAACACAATCAGTAATAAACAAATAACATTTATATAGATAAATAAAAATAATAAAGAAAGAAATAGGATTTCTATTTGTTTTTATATATATATAACATGCTTATAACAAATAGAACCATTCATTGTATATTATTTCTCCAATTGGTAGTATCATGTTTAAGCTGGATAGATAAAGTAGATGCATCGTCAAAGTATGATTGCTGCAAATCACCATTGATAAAGAATGAAGAAGACGGTTTCTTTAAATGTAGAAACGAAAGAAAGATAGACACTTTTGTCTACAAATTCAAATGTATAAATCAAACTATGCTCTCAGAGGAGCAAATGAATTCTCCTTATCTACAAAATATAGCTATATGTAAAGAGTGCAGTATGTAATACATTAAAATACTAAATATCTATCAACAACTACTCTAAAGTTGATCAATCTAACAAACAATTCAACATTATAACATGTTAAAATGTATATTTATCTATATAGTCCCAAAACTGACAACACCATTCCTAATAATTGCTTTAACATCCATTTTTTTATTGGTCGCCATTTTATTATTTATTATAAACTACTATTATCATTACTCACTTGGGTCGAATACAGTGTCTAGTGGTGACTATTTCCACTCGACCATAGGATCACCAACAAACTCATTGAACTATGGAACATTTTCATGAGATACTATTACTATATTTGAATATTCAATCCACAATAAATCAATTAGAATAATACATTCATGAAATCAACTAGCAGAATCAATTCTATTCGAATCTGTTATAAAAAAATACATATTTTATTATTTTATTATAAGTTTCATTCTTTTTAAATTAAATAGATTATATGGTGTGATACTCTATTTCTCAATGGACAATGAAACCAAATCGATAAAAATGTGTGAAATTTTCATATGAGGTGAATTGAATGGAAAGTGGTAAAATAATATCACTCTTGTATTCAACACTCATAAAAATAAAAGTCAATCACACATCACCACAGGAAATACATTGATTATTTCCAAAAGAGTCAACCTTTTTCAATAATTAATAAGACCATAGAAGATTATAATCATATTTAAATATAAAAATAATATAATGGTGGGAATATTTATCAAAAACGAAAGTTTTTAATTAAAATGTGAAGATCATATCTTTTTTTAAATAAATAATTGTTTTAAAATTATTTTATATTTTTTTAAAAATTTAAACAAACTTTTTTGTTATATATAATAAAATAACAAATTATAAAATAGATTACAATAATAAATACTAGATAGTTCGATCATAAAGAAAAAATGAATGAAGCATTAATTCAAATAAATGACGAATGTATATGGCAGGACAAAAATGAAAGATTTTTGACACTTCCCGAAGAATTTTTTGTATTATTATTAGATGAAAATAAATGTAGACTTCCAACAACTGGAATTCCTTTGTTTTTTGGATTTTTTGGTACAGCAATTGCAGAATTAATGATAAGAGGAAAACTTGGAGTACAAAAACCAAAAAAAAGCTCTTTCAATGGAAAATTGTAAGTTTATATATTGGAAATAATTATTAGATCAAATAATTTACTTGAAAATATATAGTGATGTAGATTTAGTTGTATTGGATCCTCAACCAATCCAAGATGATTGTTTTTTGGCATATGTATTCGAAAAAATCGAAAAGTAAATATTTAAACTACCTCTTTATTTTATTTTTTTTTGTAAATCTCTATTAAAATTATTAATAAATATAATTCTAGGAGACCAAATAGAAGCATTGGTGTAACTATTAATGATCTATCAAGAGGATTTCTATTTTCTAGTGAGAAAAAAGTGTTTAAAATGGTATCCAATGGATTGGTTAGTAAAGGAGTTGTCACTAGAGTCAGAGAAAGAGGAAATTTCTTTGGAACAAGAGGATATAGATGGGCAGATAATACTCACAAAATTAATTTGGAAAGTAATTGTAAGACATTAGCACATACTGATATAAAGATACATGGTAGGTTGAAATTATATGATCACACAATAGTTATTTTATTAACATTATAATTGTTTTGATCTTTTTTTAGAAAATTTTTTAGTATCCGATTATGTTAGAGAAATAATTTTAATGTTGACATTGAAAAGATATATTCCTGTGATTGGTGAATCCCAAATGGATAGATTCATCAAGAGAAACTTTCACAATTCAATGGAGCAGAAACTGGTTGCCGAAAATGTTAAAAACATTCAGAAACAATTCCAGACATTCCATTATTCCGATCCAATTCACAAACTACTATTCTGGTATACGATTGGATTGAGAGAAGGATTTGATTCAAATTAATCCGAAAAAACAAAAACAAAAATAAATGTATTTTATATCTAGTATTTATTTATTTATTTATTTAAAATAATATAATTTCGTTATATATTTTATAGTTTGTAATTAAACAAACTACTTTTTTTTTTTTTTTAATTATTTAATACTTTTATAGTGTACCGAGTTGATTATGTTTCTCAGAAACTTGGTAGTTGTTCAAAACTAAAAGATAATACTTCACTATTTTCTTTGTTCTTGATAGATGGTTTGCTAGTTGCTGTTGCTGACTTTAAACCTGTTCTGCTGCTACTATTGGTTGCTGTAACCCTGCTACTTGTCTTTTTTGCATTGGTAGGCTTGGCAACTGCCGCTGACTTCTTTGGCATTTGAATGTTTAATGGCTTGAGTGGTAAGGATGCAGTGGAATTACCACTAGTAACAACTTTGACACGTTTCAATGGTTGTGGCTCTGGTTTGCAACTACCGCTGTCGCTCAGTGTTTCTTCAAATGCCCGATTTAATGAGCTTGATGATGGGGGTCTCTCGACAACCTTCCTCTTCTTTGGAGTGAATGGTGATAACAAACCAACAGAACCAGACGATGTAATCGATGTCTTTAATGGTGAATTCAAGCTTGCTTTCAAAGTAGGCTTTTTCGTACTACCAGTAAAGATGAAAGGTGCATTGTTATTATTGTTATTGCTGTTATTGTTGTTATTATTATTGGTAAAAGGTGAATCTTGTTTAGTCATCTTTCTGAATGGACTAAATATAATTTCAACGGGTGTTCTGGAGCGTGGTGGAGGTACTGGTGGTGTTACAGTGTTGGTTGTTGTTGTTGTGGTGGTAGTTTCTTTGGTACCCTTGCTATTGTTACCTTCGATTGTTGATATTGACAATAATGAATGATTACTGTTCTTCAAGCTGCTACTATCAATATCAGTATCATATGGATTGTCATTGATACCCTCCATGGATGTCGGTATTACATTTGATATTGTTGATTGCCTAAACATTTCTATTGTCGAATCCTCTTCATTGTACAATGAATGCTGTTGGATTTCTCTCTTTGGAGGCAGTACCAACTCTCTCTTGATAGGCGTCTTTCCAGTTCTCTCGATCTTCTTTGTCGAAAGCAACGTTGGAATCTGTGAAATAAAACTGTTGGAATTGCTGGTGCTCTTTACGTGCTGGTCGAGTGTATCTCTTTGACTTTGGATTAGCATCTCTGTTGACTCGATTCCATCTTGAATTGATTGTAAATTTGGTTGTTTTGATCGTACCAACGAGCGAGTGTTACTCTCAATACTTCTCAGATCATCCAATGTATTCTGTTGATCTATCAATGATTGGTTGATCGACTTGAGTCCAGCAGCAACTTTACTACTCAACTGAACTTTACTCTTCTTGATTGCTGCCATATGCTTGACTGTGACACCATCCACCTTCTTATTGATCTCCTCCATGCTGGTCAATCCATCGTTGGCAAGCTGTGATACCGATTCATTCATTGACTTCATCTCTGATTGCAAACTGTCCGTCATCATAGTACATTGTTCTTCGACTATCTTGTTGACTCCACCTCTGATTCCTTCTATTGATTCTACCAACTCGTTGTCCATACCATTGATATTGTCCTCAAAGTAGTTCAACTGTTCGTCCAAACACTTATCAATGCCACCGTATTCATTTAACAGTTTCTCTGTGTGTTGTGAAATCAATGCAGACAGCTGTTGGGAAAGCTTCTTGTCGAGTGCAGCTTTTCGTTCGGTTCGTTTAGCTGTAAACGATTCTTTCTGTTGTCTTTGTTTTGTAATATAATCTATCCAACCAAGCTTCTGACTACCAATGAAATCTGACAACTGATCCAACGATTTCATCTGTTGACTAACGGCTTCTCCAGATTTGTTCTTACTATTGTTGAGCAGCTCAATGCAATGAGCTAATGATTTGGCAACAATCGAACTATTCTCATTGATCTGCTTCTTTGTCAACTCTCTTGCCTGTACAATACTATCCTTTAGATCGCTCACCACCTTATCCATACGCTCTACAAGCTGGTCGTGATCTCCCTGTAACTTTGTCAGTGGCTTCATCGAATTTAAAACAGATTCTGAAAGTTCATTCAACTTTTGATGACTGATTTCCAATCGATTGGCAACTGTCTCCATCTGTTTGGTGGTATCAGCATCCGCACTGATATCACCTCTCAGCTTCTCAAAGGAATTCTTCATCTTTTCACAGAAATCTACATTCTCACCCAAAATCGCTCGATTGGTATTGAAGATTGTGCTGAAAGTTTCCTCCAACTGTTTTCTAGCAATCTCTGATCTCTTTACATTCTCTTTCTCCAAAGTCATGGCACTATCATATTTTGAATGATAGATATTCAGATCATCCATAACCGAATTCAGTGTCTCTCTAAGATTTCTATCGTCATTCTGACAATGTTCCAAATGCTCTTTCTGCTCCTTTTTAAATTTAGAGAAATCTTTTTCCAACTTATTCGCCTTTGTCTAAATAGAATTAATTATTAATATTTAATTTGAAAAAATATTATTATAAATTATTACACATACCAAAGTAGTAGATAATTGTTTTCTAAGTTGTTCACTTCCAGATTTTTCGGTGTGATATGCCATGTCCAATACTTCAAGTTTCTCCCTTTGTGATTGGATAGTTGACTCCATGCTCTTGTAGAGATCCATTGAGAGATATACACCGTTCTTGTCATATGCAGATTGGAGTAGTTGTTTCAACCTAGCAATCTCTGCCGATTGCTCCTTCAAAAGTGAGTTCTTTGACATCTTTTGGTTGATCTGTGGTGTGTTTCTAATGGACTTTGCTTTGAGTGCGTAATCCAGTGTGTTGACTGTCTCCTCTAGGTTAAGTCCACTCGGAGAAACGGTGGCGATAATCGATGTCTTTGTCTTGCCACCAAGTGAATCCTGGAGAAGTCGAGTCAGCTTACTATCACGATAGGGTATGTGACTGTTGGAATCAGAGGTCAGTGCAGTGATGACACGACCAAGTGTGAGAAGACTCTGATTGATGACTGCTGCCTCACGCATACGCTCGCTGGTACCTGATTTCTGTGCATTCTCAGAACCTGCCAAATCGACCAGATTCAACTTTCCAATCTTGATCAAATCCTCACCGCCCAGCGTAGTCTCCTTAATATGAATTGTTATGGAGAAGATACAGTGCGATCTACTGGATTGTTTATTATAGACAGTTTCTGCAGTCTGTCTTCTCTTCCAACTCTTTGATAATATCGATAAAATTGATTGTGTATCATTTACAATTACCTCTTCAAGTTCCGGTACCTTTCCATCTATAAACAAATTAAAATAAATTAATATTTAATTATTTTGCATTTTTTGTAAACCAATGACAAATTGAATACTTTACCATAAATATTTAATGGACGATTTTCATTTTGATTATTACAAGTCAATAAATCAAAGATGTCTTCTTTATAGATTTCGAGGTGTGTACAACGCACGTTGTAGTCGTTTCCTGCCTTTTCAAGGGTTTGGAATATATAATCGATCGTTCGTGGAATGATACCGTTGTCCTCTGGATTATCCATCTTTCCCTCCATTGTATATGTCTTACCGGTACCAGTTTGACCATATACAAAGATGGTTCCATTGAATCCCATTAAAACTTCATCTGCAATCGGTTTAACTGCTACTTGAAAAACATCATTCTGTCTTGAATCTAAAATAAATATTATTAATTTTTTTTATGAATATTTTTCCAACCATTATCTATCTAAATAGTATTCTATTATTATAATAATAAACCTTACCTGGTGGAAATATATGATCGAACTGATAGGTTCTAGAAGAACCTTTATAACTACAAGTGATATCCTTCTCGGAATCACAATCCAATGGCAGAGATTCTTTACTGTTGATCTCTAACTCTGACAACGGTCTAACTCTAACGAATACCTGTACATTTTGTACTTTCTTTTCTTCTTTTTTATTTAGTTGATTATGAATGGCTAATCCACTAATCATGATTTTCTTTTTTTTTAACTTTTATTAAAAAAGAAAATAATATTTAATTTCACTAAAATAACACAATCTCCACTCTCTATCTTTTACTTTATCTTTTTCTCTCTATCTTTTTTTTTTAATTTATTTTATTTAAATTTAATTTATAATGTTAGAGTTTGAACTTTAAAATTAAGTAATTCATTTTCCAAACCAACTTTTTTAAAGTTTAACGGTTGGAAATTTGAAAATATTGTGGGAATTGGAGCGCGTTTTTTAAATATTTGAAAAGCGAATACACAAGAGATTAATTAATAGTTTATTAAATTCAAATAAATATATAGTTCTCGGTGCGATAACATGTACTCCACCAGCTTTATAATATATTATAAAAAAAAAGCATGGGCGTTCTATTAAATAATTCATGAAGATTATTGTAACTTTACTTATTAGTTGGAGGTCCACTCTCTTTTAAATGTACATTGCTGTTGATTTTCATTATTATTTTTATAGGTGTCAATAATTAGTTTATCGTTTTTAAAATATGAAGGTATTGATGATTTCTTCTTTGCGTCTAAGTCTACAACACCAACTCTGTAATCATGTTTGATTGATGATGTTGTTGTTGAAGAAGAAGGAGATGATGACTTTGGTGAAAAAGTTATCATAATTGAACAATCTTTTGCTGTAGTTGCTATAAGATATCTATCTATACAATGTTCTATCTCTTGATCGGTCATTGCATTTAAATCACTAAATCTTTCTAAATCTTTATAATTTGGCTGCAACTGTAATTGTTTTAATTGATTATCTAACAATTCTATTTGTTTTTGAACTTCTTCTTTTTCTGTTGTTGTTGTTGTAATTGAAGATGATGAATTTTGTTGTATTATTAGTCTATCAAGTTGTCTTTGTAATTGCAATTGATATAGATAATAGATAGCTTCAATATCTAGATCATCGTATCTCTGTGCAGTCAAGAGATTATCTAATACGGCGTGTTCAGTCTGCAAGATGGAAACGAGATAGTTGGTTAGACGATCGATTGTTGACTCCACAGATTGACTGGTCTCTTCAGGAGTGTCAAGCAGCGTACATAGCGACTCCAAAGAATGAACAGACTTGCCACCAAGCGAACCAGTATAAAACAACGAACCATCTTTATAAATCTTCAAATTATTCTGTGGACATTCTAGCAATGCTCGTATCGCTCTCTTTTGTCTATCTACAGCACCACTAAACAAATCTAAAGGACAATATCTGAAAAAGTAAAGTAAAGTAAAGTTAGTAAACTATTTGACTAACTTTGTTTGTTTACATTCATCTATATAAATAAATGACTTACTTGCTAATACTATGTATTGAACCATCTTTAAGCTTTAAATATTGGTGCATACAATAACGACAGGTATGTGATTTAATAGGTTTGGTGCTACTACTTTGATATTTCGATTGTGTTACGAATCCACACTTCGGTTTGATTTCAACCGATATCGATGTACCACCAACACCACCAGTGGTCAATAGTGTAAGATCTAAAATGAGCAATCCTCTTTTACATTCGATATTCAATCGATTGTTTCTACGATGCGTTGGTCTATCATTATAAATCTGTTCATCCAACTGTGACAAGAAATCTCTATTCAATTGAATTACAGTCTGTAGTAATTTATTATTGAACCATGAAATTAATAAATAAACAAATACTAAATTAATAATAATAATACAAACACCTGGATATACATATTTTGAACCGATTAATGGTAGCATTACATTCAATAAGAAACTATTATTCTTTAAATCAGAGTCATCATCACCACCAACACCAAACTTTCTAAGTCTCAAAACTTTTCCCACCTAAATAAAGATATTAAGTAAATTACATTGATATAATTTAATGAGTTAAAATACTCTGCTCTGTTTGTAACTGATATGATATTAGATGATATATACCAATTTACTATCAGTACCAACGTAAGATAATACAATATTACATGCACCTTCACCCTTATAGCACCAATGATTGGGTGCTCCAATATTAATATCTATATCAGTCATAGTTTATATTTATTACACTAAATTAATTATATATTTTCAATATAAAATAAATATATAAACTAGGTTTATGTCAATAATAAATGATCAACTTTACATTTTTAATTAAGTTGAAGTGAAATTTACAGCAGGATCATTTTTGGATTGACCAGTCGTAGTTCGTTCAAAAAACAAATTTTCAATTTTTCGAATTTTTATTTTATTTTTTTTGAAAAATTTCTCCCACACTCCTGTTGGTTGTGCGCGTCCCACCTTGCAGCTGGCTCTCTCACAGACTCCTCACACCCCTGCCACACTAAAGTCAACGATACTTCTGAATCAGTATCTCGTTTCCATACCAGAATTCCACCTGTTACACAATGGGTATGTGTCTATCTCTATCTATTAGAATCTATGCATCTCTCTTCTATCTCTGCTCTACTTTCTTTCCTCTCATGCTCTCTTCTTTTCGTCCGTCTCTATCGATCTTTTCCCTACATTACACTTAGATGATTATTTATAGAATTGTATTAACATACATAACAGCTGAAAAGATCAAAGCTCACGAACTCAGAAAGCAAAAGAAGACCGAGTTGTTGGAACAACTCAACACCCTCAAGACTGAGCTCTCCTCACTCAGAGTCAACCAAGTTAAGGCTGCTGCTCCAAGCAAGCTCGCCAAGATGTAAATATCAAGGATATGTGTTTGTTTTTTGAATTTTGTTAGTAACACAATTATTATTATTATACTATTTATAGTGGTATCGTCCGTAAGTCAATTGCTCGTGTTTTGACTGTTTTCAACACCCAAAGAAAGAACCAATTGCGTACTTATTACAAGGGTGCTGCCAGAAACCAATTACCAACTGATCTCCGTCAAAAGAAGACCAGAGCCATCAGAAGAAGATTGACCACTGCTCAACAAAACGCCGTCCCAGTCAAGGTTTTGAAGCAAAGACAACACTTCTCCCCACGTGTCTTCGCTGTTAAGGCTTAAAGATTCTTTTTAGTATAGAATAAATCAGTAATAAAAAACTCGGTGGAAAATAACTATCATAATTGGAGTCATATCATTTTTTATTATTAACAATTTATTATCTCATAAACACAACAGAACAAACATGACAAAAAAAAAAAGAAAAAAAAAAACGATTAAGCAGAATCAAAATGAACTAACAGAATCAAACAATCATATAATCGAAATGGTTAAGGTACAGCAAAAACAACAACAACAGTACTGCCATATTGGATTTTATTTTGATTAATATCATTGTTTTATTAAAGTTGTTCATTATTTGAGTTTAACATTGGTTCTTTATTGTCAGTCATTTTATTTTAATGAAATGCTATGGCAACTTGCCATAGTTATTTTATTTCTTTGGATTTGATATCAGTCATGGTGTCATTCATCAACTAACGCTTCTAATATATCAATTGAATGTTGCAGGTTCAATTAATTAAAACAAAACTAGCTTTTTAAGAAATATAAATAAAATCACCAAAAAAAATGAGATATTTTATTTTGTACACGAAAAATAAATGGTAAGGTTCATCTCCATTCATCACCATTCAGGTTGATGTCTACAACAATCATAGCCTTATTAGGTTAAAAAGGAAAACAAGATTATTTGTTCGTTCCAATTCAAATAAACAACACAACTTAAAAAGTTTTTACCAAAGTGTGTGTTCAAAAAGTAATTTTTTCACCCATTTGTTCATATTATTTTGTCAACAAAAAATTTTTAAAAAAATGAAAAACTTTATTGTGTGAGATCTGCTTTCACTCTTTTTAGCTATGGATCTTTTTATGGTTATTTTTCAATCTTCAGCCTTAGAGTAGTTCTTGTAGAGGTTTAAACAACAAATACAAAAACACTACTAAACATGAGGTGAGATACCACTGCAGATATCAAAAGGATTAGAGTTTTGGTTAAAGGTTGTTGTTGATGTCTTTTGTTTTTGTTTTTGTTTTTTCTTCTGTCAGACTCAATTAATTGAATCAAAACTAATTTTAAGACACCTGGAAATAAATAATAATAATTGCCAGCAATTTTCACTATTTTTCTATTCAATTTTTTATTTACAAAAAAAATAATTTCTATAGATAAATAAAATTGACCACTTTCTTTTAAAAAAGTATTTTAAGACACCGGAAATAAATAATAATAATGACAACACAATATTCATCGTTACCATTGAGATCCAGTGGACAAGGAGTTTCCACCACCAAAGATTTCATCGATTTGTTAACGACACCTTTGGAGAATACAACTCTTTTGAAAAAAATGGTGACAAAACCATTACTTTGGGTGGATTTGGATGATTCTGTTCATAAAGCATTTGATGTAAGTAATAATATTAAATATAGATTTAAACTGTATTAATGAAAACAAAAAAAATAATTAATTAAACTAAACTAAATTAATTTAAAGGTTATTTGCTCACAAAAAGTATTATCAATTCCAGTGTTCTCGAAATCAGAGAACAGATGGGTGTCTATGTTGGATGTTAAGGATATATGCACTCACATTGTCTCATTGTTTGACCATGACAACAATCTTAAAGCGAGTGTGCCAGACGATTATACTGTCCGATATCTATTAACTACAGATACTGGTGAATTCATTCGTCCATGTCCGATCGTAAGAAGAGATTGTCGTGTCCTCGATATATTAAACCTTTTCGATAAGAAAATTCATAGAATATGTGTATCGACCGGTCCTAATCCAAAAGATATTCAAATCATCTCGGAAATGTCAATTATTAAATGGATCGATCAAAATGTAAGGATTATTAATTGATTTTATATAATAATAAATACTAACTAATATCAATATAAAATAGCGTTCAAAACTAGGTCCACTATTCGAAAAAACTGTAAGTAATTTAACATGATATAACAGGTTATGAGTAGAAAACTAATTAAAGTTGAATTGGATTTGGATATATAGTTGGAAGAGTATCATATTTTTAGTAAAGAGAAAAGAATTATCTCAATTGCCAATTCAAAGCTTGCCATAGACGCATTCAGAAAGTTATCAGAGAATAACATCTATGGTATGCCTATCGTAAGTGAAACTGACGATGAGTTGGTCGACAGTATCTCCGTAATAGATATCAAGGTAATTATTAAAGTAGATTATATAAACAAGTATGTGATATTAACAAACAAAAACACACCAACAATAGAATGCCAAAGTTGATTTAAATAGATTGAAACAACCATTGTCAGAGTTTTACATTCCAACCATTGGTAAAACAAATGTAAGTACTTTAAAGATAATTGGTTATTTTGATGAATGATTATATTGATTATTAATATGATTTGATTATATTACCAATAGACTGCCATTCAGAGAACACCTATTATCTGTACTCCACATACAAGAATAAGAGATGTCATCGGAAAGATTGCAGCAGCCAAAGTTCATCGAATATTCATTATCGAAGGTTTGGTGGACGGTAGAATGAACAACAAACCATTGTCGGTCGTTTCTGTATCCGACGTTGTAAAAAGCTTACACACAATGTCTCTTGGCTATGTTTAACTGTGGTGTCTAAAACTACCCAAGTGTTTAGAACAGTGACTGTGTAAGACAGACGACTGTTCTTGCTCGATGATTGCCAAGACCAACATTACTTCAAAAAAAAAAAAAAAAAAAAAAAAAAAAAAAAAAAATTAAATCAATTGTACAATTTTACTTTATGAGAAATAAACTTATTAAATCTTATTCACTAAATCAATTGATCGTATACAAACTGAACTGTAGATTGTATTTTGTTTGATTATCTAATCTTTTAAGTTGTACAAGTGAGTCCCCACTTCTATATTTAGTCGTTTTTCTTTTGTCATTCTGATTGTAACTATTGTCTATAGACGTCGTCGGTAAAAAGCTGAATACAAAACACATGCATAAATGTATATATAAATTAATAATTATTTATTGTTTTTTCGATTGTTAAGTATATCATCTGTTTTAATATTGTGGTGCTGGTGTTTGAGTAAGTAAAACGTTGAATCTCTTCTTTAAAGCAATTCTCTCTCTTGAGTATTTATCATCAACTGAAAAACGAGCTGTTTAAATAATAAATGATAGAATGTTAGTACTTATTAGATTCTAAAGTAGATAATGATAAATGTATATATGTACCTGGGTGAGCAGAATAGGCGAATTGACCCTTTGGACCCTTTTTCTGTTAGTTTTTTTTAAAACGATAAATTGTGTTAATAGGTGCGTGGTAAAGTAAGAATATCAGTAACAATGTTAAGTACAATACCTTTAAGGTGTATTTTCTTTCACCATTTTCAACATAGTACATCAAATGCATTTTTGTATATTATATATTTATTTATTTATATTATTATTGGTTGGTGTTGGCACAACTATTCGTTTTATTATTGCTCGTTTTTTTAATTTGATTTTTTTTGAATTTTTTTTTGTAATTTTTTTTTTAAAAAAATTGTAATTAAAGTTTGTGTTTATGATTAAGAGTGAATCACAGACAATAAATATTAACAGTTGAATAGATCATATCATGAAACCTTATACATTCATATTAAAATGAGTAAAATTAAATCAAGTAAATAAAAATAGAAAAAAATGTCATTTAAAAATTTTGAAATAAACATGGAAATATATATATTAGATTTACACAATATAGAGATATTTATTAGATGAGGACCTGAAAATAATATAACAATCTAATAGTAAATTGTTAAATTTTCAAGAAAGTAAATTAACAATAAACAAAAAAAAATAATCTGACAATTTTTTTTTTTTAAATCACCAAATATTTCGGTACTCGTTTTTATTGTTATTTTTTTCGTTCTAATAAATAATGCCTTATTTTGATATAGTATCAAAGGTACCACCTCAATCAACTACCAATAAAAGGTCGAGCTCCCCTAACAATGGAAATAATGAAAAGCTTACTGTAGTTCATTTTAATCTAAAGTTTGGTGGCAGTGGTGAAATGATGTGTGAAAGAAATAGCAGGTTTTGGAAACCGACCAAAGATGATTTAAATTTTCTACTACTTGACTCACAGGAAAAGAGAACACCAGATCTTTCTACCATCTACTTGCAGTCATTTACAATATTAAAATATGATAATCAATTCAATTTACCTATATCTCTAAATTTCTCTGGACTTCCACAATCAAACAATCCAAATATTTCACACCAAGTCATTTTATCTTCGAAAACCACCAATGATTCTTTAAATTTAAATTTAGTAGCAGGGTCCCTAGAGAAACAAGAAGAAAATAATACTCAAACTACACCAATACAATGTCCTATTCCATTACCAAAAATAACCATCGATAATGAACATAATTCTCTAATAACATTTCCAAATGAACTTCTAGGATTTAAAGGTATTTAGTTAATATTAATTTTCAATTCCGTATTCTCTAACTAAAAGAAAATAACTTATTTATAATTATTTATACTATCTAGATAATATTAATAAACCAAAAACAATATGTGGTTGTGAAAGAATTGGTGATTTCGATTATTCATGTATGCATATGAAAAATGATTTAGAAAAGAAATATCATTTGTTTAATCCATTTCAGTTTATGGCAACTGTTCAACGTTTGGACGAGAAACCTTTCGCACGAGGAAAGAACCAGAGTGAAATCTCAATTGACATTGAAATGAAATTCTACTTTCTACATTATTTTGAAACGCAAAAGACAACAACATCAAGATCAAGATATAAAAAATGAAACCTATTATTAATTAAACAATAAAACAAAAAGATTGACTGATATTAAAATAAATATTCTATTAGTTGTTTTTTTTTTTTTTTTTTTTTTGATAGTTTATTTGTTATTGATTGTTGCTATTGATGTTGTTGTTATTTGTTTTGTTTTATGTATGTAAATGGTTGGTTGTTGTTGTTGTTTTTATTATTTTGTTAATGAATAATTATTTTAAACTGTCTTTCTCTCGGAGATGGCACGAACGACACATCCCATACCAGCCTTCTTCAAGGTGGCTTCGTACCACTTGAAAAAGAGAGCAGCGTTTGTGTTGTCAGAGGTGGCGGCAGCAGCGAGACCACGATAGATGTATTTCATCAAAATATCCAATTGATCAGCATCGAGTGACTCTAAACAACCGTCGATTTCCTTTTCCTTGATGTTTGACAAAACATTGATAACGATTGCAGCGTTTTGATCTTTAATTGCTTGTGATTTAGTGTAGATTGGTGGATCTGCCAAAACAACTGGTAAGGCATCAACTGCTTTACTTCTACAATTAAAATAATCAATCATGATTGAAACATGTTAATAATCAATTAACTTTTAAATAACTTTTGTGATCAATCAATCATTAACATCATCATCATCATCATCATCAATGCAATTCATTGATTGTTTTCCTGTTGTTATTATATTATATCTTTTATGCTAAATCTATTCTAAATTTGGTTGAATTCGTGTAGGTAGTGTTTGTTTTATATAATATATAATACATATATGAGATGGACTGCAGTCTAACAAATTTGATAGATTGATTGATTGATGATTGATCGAATTGTTACTTACTGATTCAAAAATTTGGTGACTTCTCTCTCTCTTGCAGCAATATCGGATTTGTATTCAGCATCAGACTTTCCACCGGTAGTCTTCTCTTCGATGTTTTCTTCTTCGTAGTTGCTCATTTTGATTTATATGTATATATAGTGGTTTGTGATGAATGTTGTACAGGAATTAGATAATTTAAGTTTTGTTGTTTGTTGAATCAATTCAATAACTTTTTTAAAACTATTATTGTGGATGACTGTTGTTGTTGTTTATAATACAAATTGAATATATATTAATAATATCAATAAATTTGGCAGTAACTTTATTTTTTGATGTTAACACTGCTCTTTTGACCAATATGAACCTGATGAAGCACCAAAAAAAAAAATGGATTTTTTTCAAATTTCAATTAATTTTTATTTTTTCACCAATTTTTTTTTATTTTTTTTGAAAATTTTGGTAAGCTTGTTAAAATGATAAACCCATTGCATTTCAATAAAAAAATCAAAACAACATTTGGGTTGGTTTTTGTATTGAGTGGGTTGTTTTCTATTTTTTTTTTTGAATAAACATGATTTTTTGAACTTCAGTGTGGAATTTGATTGAATCAAATAAATAAATTAAAGCAGACTTTTTTTTTATTTTATTTTTAAAGAAGGTGTATATATTTTATATAAACATTGTAATCACTACACTCTATTTTTAAATCTCGAGAGATTTGATAAGTTTGGCAACATCAATTCAATAATAGCACAATGATCATCATCAAAAAGTTGTATAAATAAATTGCTAAATATATACAATATATATTTGTTTAGTTTGCCAATTCGCATACACATTATTTTAACTTAACAGATAAAAACAAAAAAAAAAAATACTAGAGTGGTTATGTGGTTTATATGGTTGGTGTTTGTTGTTATTTTTGCGTGTATAATTGTTTTGCGTTGTGAGAAACAGCAATACACAACCGATTTTTGTTTGTTTTTTTATAATGATAGTAGTGATTGATGTGAATGAGTGTGGAGGTGTGAGCTGATGTGATTGACACATGTGTGGAGTAAATTTATAATATTATTATCACTTTTTAATATTAAAAAGCAAACAAAACAAAAAAACATACAGTTATTTATAAATCGACAATATTTTTTTTTTTTTTGACTTTATTCTTTCACAGTCAATCATTCAATTCAATGTTATTGAATCATATATTCAAGTCAATATAAATATATTAATTCATTATAATCAAATAATCAAACAATCAACGAGTGTGCCAACCATACCATACCATATCAAACAACATTTAAATCAAATCATAACAATCAACAACCATCTTTCATCTTTCCTTTTAATTTTTACTTACTTCTTTATAATTATTCTATACATTCTACCTTTTTATTAAAAAAAAAAAAAAAAAAAAAAAAAAAAAAAAACAAAAAACAAACAAATAAAAATAGTAATAACTTTTGTAATTCAAACCTACAACGCAAATCTCATACAGTACTACAAACAACACATTGCATTTCACTCTCACAATCTAAATTAATTTATACAAAAATTAATTAAAAACAAAAAACAATCGACATTTTATTTCTTTCTACTTTTTTTTATTTTATTACAAAAAGGTTTGAAACGCAAACAAAACAAACCCAATTTTTTTAGTTTATTCATTAGATTACAAAAACAATCTATTTGTTTCACTTTATTTAGATAGTACTACAATATATATACACTGAAAAGACACTTTTTATAAAAAAAAGGTCTCATTGTAATATTACAACAAACAACATTTTTGACGAACCAAAATAATAATCAATTAATTGTTATTTTTTAATGTGTATCATTGCAACTATCAACAATTTCACAATATATAATATTACTATAGTAAATAATAAACAAAAATCAATAGTAAAGCTGTAAAAGTAAATAGTATTATTGTATATAAAAGAATATAGAGTTGTTAACCTAATTGTAATACCCTCAACACCCAGTAAATAAGTCAATACACTAAAAGAATTGAAAAACAAAGAGACAAGAGAATATCAACAAATATAAAACCGACCGATATCAATACCATTGAAATAAATAGAAGTTAAACATCAAAGTTGAACAAAAAGCAAAAAAGGAAAAAGAGTCACTCATCATCACCATCAAATAATCAAATTAATAAAACCAAAGAAAAGAATATTAATAATAATAATTACATAAAAGCACACAATATCTAACATTCTAGTTAATATAGTTATAATAGTTTAATAATAGTTAAAAGTAATAATAATAATAATAGAAATAGTAAATAAAATAAAAGAGTTTGATTATAAATTAGATAATTTATAAAAGTAATATATATTAAAGATGACTACAAAATTGTTAGCGAATCAATTAAATGGTAAGTACATAATCAAGTAATTAAAATAGTAAATCAATTGGTTTTACCTTTTTTGTATTTTTACCAAATTTGGTAAAAAGCATAAAATAGACACAATCGATTTGTTTTTATTTTGGTCAAAGGATTATCAAACTGCTGAACTCAATAAATAAATAACCAAACATTATTGATCATTATACTAATAATAATGAATTATTATAATTATTTTAATTAGGTTTAATGAAAGATCCAGTGGAGGGATTCACAGTTGAATTGGTTAATGAATCATCACTCTATGAATGGAAGGTAAATATATTATATAATATAATTTTAAAATTTAAATCCAACCTTTATCTTTTATTGTTGATTTATAATTGTGGACAACACAACAGTTTGGTGACTACTCTATATTTATTATAGTTATTTGATGTGTTTGATAATTAGTGAAATATGAAATAATTTCAGATTATTTTGATTTTAGAATTTAATAATTATAAAATATAACAATGTGTTTTATTTCAATCATCGATGGCAATCAATCAATCATCCTAAATATCCAATACATAGATGGACAGTAGATCAACATATAGTATATATTTTACATTATTATTGTTATTTCATTCTATATTTGGTAGTTAAAACAAATCATTAAATAGATAGAAACATAAAATGTGGATTGGTTTTTTGGTTTTTTGATTTTTAAATAGTTCCAGTCACTCTCATCAACATCATCATTATACCTCTTACTTTCAGGTGTTTATTATATGAGAATCCTATCTTTTTATTTCTATTTTTAATTTCATTATCACACACATACATACACACAAACAACCACGCAATCAAAATCTATAAACAAAACTACCTTATCTCTATCTACCACACTTTCAATTGAAAAAGATAGAAATAAAATAAATAAACAATAGAGTGAGAGTAACATTTGTTTAATATATTTCCAAACCTTCTTCTACTTTTTTTTTTATTCGTTTCATGAAAGAAACGACAATATAAATAATTAAATTGTGTGGACAAATAAACACAATATTATCCATTGTTGTTTTTTAATATTTTAAAAGTCTGTTTTTTTCTTTATTATGTCTGTGTTTGTGGTCAGTTTCCAAAATATCATTTCCTACTCATTGAGTAATATTACTTTGTTGGTAATTAATATTAATATTTACATTTGCCAACTGTGAGAAAATATCACGATGTGAGGTTTAGGAATAATCAATCCACTATTTAAATCAATTCCAATTCAATTTTATAATCATTAAATCAAAAATTAAATTAAACTTGACCAATTAGAAATACCAATTTATATTACTTTAAAACTATATATTTTCCAATACAACTAAAAATAAATAATAAAATGAATCAACAATCATCATATACATCTTCACCAATGCTCTACTACTATTCACCATCGAATTTATGTTCCAATTCTATTCCACCATCACCACCATCGACTCCACTCTCGATCGTACAACATTATAGTGGAAATAATAGTGATATGGCAATGTGTGATATTAGTTCACAATCACCTATAACAAATTTATAAATACAACAATATATAATATATATAATCATTTTTGTACTTTTAATAAAAAAAAAAATTGTAATATTAATAATAAAATAAAAAAAGGTATATTTAGAAGGACCAAAAGATACATTTTATGAAGGTGGAGTTTTCCAATTGTTATTGACGTTTCCAAAGGACTATCCAATGAGTCCACCGTCACTGAGATTCCTTTCAGAGTTTTGGCATCCAAATGTCTATCAAAAAGAGGGCAAAGTCTGTATCAGTATTTTACATCCACCTGGCGAGGATGCACTGTCCGGTGAGCTACCTCAAGAGCGTTGGCTACCAACACAAACAGTTTCGACAATCATTCTCAGTGTCATGTCGATTCTCAGTGATCCAAATTGCTCTTCGCCAGCCAATGTCGACGCCAGTGTCGAATGGAGACAGAACCGTGATGCCTACAAGAAGCGTTGTGCCAAGCTCGTCGAGAAGGCAAACGCATCCAAGCCAGCACACATTGTCATTCCACATCCCGACACCAACCCCGAGGAGCACAAACGTTCAGTTGAGAAGATAAAAATGGCAGAGCGTGGTATGGATATAGATTATTTCGAGATGGATGAAGATGATTATAACAACTATGACGAAGACGACGATGATGATGATGAAGATGATGAGAATGTAGATGAAGATGGTGATGACGATGACGATGAAGACGGTGTAGATGATGATGAAGAAGAAGATGATGACAATGATAATAACGCCAATGAATCAACAAATGTAAATACAACAAATAATAACAGTAGCAGCAACAACAACAACAATAGTAGTATCAATAATGAATCAAATCAAAATACAACCATTACAAATAATGCGCGCACCAACATTATTATTCAACAAGATAATGAAAACACAACACCGCCTTGTATTGAAAGTTATAACCTCTCACCAACTGTATCTACCTCGCCATCATCAATCGAAAATAGTATAGTCTCAGAAAACAATAACAACAGTAACACCGAACAATCAACAACAACCACAACAACAACTACAACAACATCGACATTGAATAACAATAATCTTAACAATAACAATGAATTAAATGAAAACAACATTGTAAATAACAACAGCAACAATAACAATAACAACAAAAAGAAAAAGAAATCTAAAAATTGTATAATTATGTAGACATTAATCTGGTTTTTCCAAACATATATATCAAAATAAAATAAAGACTCATGCACCCAAACAATTGTTTGTTTGGTCTATATATATATATAGATTTTATCATAAAAAATAAAATAGTATTTGTATAATTGATTAATATCTAACATATTAACATACTGTATTTTTTTTAATATGAACTAAAACTTGTAAAGCTAATTTAATAAGATGGGCAAAAGCAAATTTTCTCTAACTCATTCTGTACGTATTTTTATTCAAAAAAATAAACCAAACTAAAGTTTTTTAGATTTATTCATTATGAAATGATGTAGGTGGTAAGAAATCAGGTTCACACAAATATTTTGGACAACCGTGACTGGATTTCGAGGGGTATGATACCAATCTGAAATGGTCTGAACATTTTGGAATGGCCAAAGAGCAGAGTCCACTCTTGGTACATTCATCAAAGGAGTAGCATCTATCTGAACCTCTGATGTAAGTAGTAACATGGCCTGCTAAACATTTTGCTAATGGTAGTTCTGGACATTTGGTTGGAGGATCATTGATGTTGACATAGGCAGAGTGGATAACCAAGTTTCCTTTATTGGCAGTACCATATACAATAGCGGTGTACGGTTTTTCAGCAACGATCTTGCTCTCCAACCATGACATATCAAACAAGAAGATGCTATTGTAAGCACTGTCATCGAAATTATTGATTAGAACCGATGTATTCTTTCCATTGATGAGGACAGCTCGCTTTCCTGGACACTGACGTTCGGGAATACACATGATTCCAGAGTTTTCGATTTGATAGAATTTTCCTTCTGCAGGTGGTGCATTGGGAGTGGGAACTAAACGATAGGCTTGTTGTACACGGAAGTTTATAATCGGTCCCATTACGGTCATGAAGAAACCTTTGATTACGACATTGTTTGCACCAGCGCTTAGAACAATGCTCTGATTGACACTACTCTCGAAATATAGGTTTTTAACCTCTATATTTACATTGGTCTTTGAGTTGACCTCACTCAACAAGAATTTCGTGCAATTGGATGAATTTTTAGGACAGAATATTCCACTTGGTTTAAATGTAAAGTACGATGGTAGATCTTGACACAAACTGACTTGAAGAGTCAGTCCAATAAAAAAAAGAAAAATATATTGATTTTTAATCATGTTTTGTTTTTTTTAATTTAATAAAATTTGTTGATAGAAATAAATATTTATGTGATTTTAATCAAATGATTCAAAAATATAAATGATTTTTTTGTTTTTTTAAAATAAATTAATAATTAATAATAGATAAATATTGACACCCCAAAATGTGTTAAAATATATTTATTATAAATTTTGTCAGTTTAGTATTGGTGAGTCAATTGTAAGGTAAAGATATAACTTTCATATATTTAATAGAAATAAAATAATATAAAATTATTTTTTAATCATAGAGTGTATGTTGATTGATTATCAAGTTCAATCAATCTTCAAAAGATAGATACTCTTGTTATTTCTAAATATAGCATTTCAGGATATAAAAGTGAAAGTAACTATCTTGAACATCTATTTTAATAAATACACTTTTAATATCTAAATTAGATCATAACAATCTGATTTTGATGATTGTACTTGGAAAATAGGAATTTGTTGATCAGAAATACTAAATTAACTTAATAATATGTTACCCATTAACAAAAACAACGAAACACAATTTAAATAATCGATTTAAATATATTCGCTTAATTAGTTAAAAGTTACAACACAATGTTTCGATATTTTATTTTTAACAACATATCGAGTATGATATAATTCAAATACTATTATTCTACTAATCATGATTGGTTATTGTCGGCAGCAGTCAGAGTTACCCTTGGATGTTTAGAAACATAGAGATCTGCCAACATCATTATGTGATCAGAAGGATCAGTTAGTGATGGGAGCTGTCTTGGATAATGATCACCTATTTCCAAAAGTTTAGAAACTCTTAGTTTCTCTGACATCCAAATTTGATCTATGCTACCTGTGAAATGATCTAATTAATTTGAATAATAATAATTTTATATTAATTAGTAAAGCCTAATCTAGATTTGTGTAGCTATTATTTCAAGTATAATTACTTGTTCGAATTGTATATTTTGGTTCACCATCAGGACGATGACTATAGGCACTGGACATTTTAAATGAATGTGAAAGAGTGTAGCCATTCAACTCGTATTGACCATAGTCCATTAACGTATATGCTTTTTGTGTTGGTCCATTGTTGTAGTCACCGCAAATTACCAAAGGAGTATCTCTAGGTAATGAATGCTTATCCAATAGATTACCAACAACCATCATGAATATATGTAATTGAATAACCTGTGCAATATAGTTGATATCAAAATCAGGTGATCCCCAATGTAACTGTTGTTAAAAAAAAAAAAAAAACATAACAAAGTTAGCGAATCTTCCACAAAAACATCTGATCAGAATAATAAACTTACATGTACACTTCCAAATAATATGCTTGAAGAAGTTTGTTTATCTTGAAGCAACGCTAGTGAGAACTTGTTATGATGCATTGAGCTGCTTAGAAGATCGAGATACTTGGCGGTGATTGACGATTTGAGGAGTGGATCTAATTGTGCCGGTGTAAGGAGGTTCTTTAGATTCTTATAGTGTACCATTTGGAGTTCAATAGGCTGGTATCTCGATGTCTTGAAGTAAGTAATACTCTGTTCTTCTTCGTAACGTGCGAGATCGCATAGCGGTGTGTGTAGATAGCCAGCTTCCACCAACTTTTTGGTGAGTCGCTCCATTCTCACCTCTGCTTCCTGAAGACATACAACATCGGGACTATGCTCCAGTATGTACTCTGGTAGAACCCATTGCCGGTAGTTCCTGTAGAGCGAATAAACAGGACATCCTACATAGTTAGCCGGTGAAGTATAACAATCTGCCAAGATATTGAATTGCATGACTCTAAACGATGAGTTGGTCATTGCCGTTTGTTCTTCTTCGATCTTCTCATTCTCCAATGAAACGAGATCGAGTTGTTTGATATCAGACCAAACTCTTGGGTGTCTGTGCTGTACGGTCGCTTTCAACTCGAATGGTTTCTTTTTGATTGTGAACTTCAATGTCACTTGTTTATTGGCATGTTCGACACGCGGTATAAACAGTGCGTTTTCCTCGTTGAGTGGAATGATATTGGAATCGGTTACTCCATACACCGATTTGATTTGAGCGGCTTCACTTTCCTCATCTGATTTATCTGATTTGAAAAACTTTGATATCTTTGATAGAATTGTCTTTGAATGATGCTGCTGTTGTTGTTCATGTTCATCAGCTGTTAAACCAACACCACTCTCCTTAACATACTCTACATCATCAATATAAATCTTTAGATCTTCAATACAATTATAGTGTATAAAGTTCTTAAAGCTTGAAAACAATACTGTCTTTGCTGAGTCTACTTTATTAGGATCAACAGTCTCTCTATATGCCAATCGAAGTGGTACATTTACAACAGGTACCGGTGGAAATAATGATACTATCATCTTTTTTTTTAAAATACAAATAAATTTACAAAACTATTATTATTATGTGTTTTTAAATAAATAGTTTAATTTAAATTGATTTGCAAACTTTGAATCGAGTCTATTTTTAATTATTATTGATTTTTTTTTGAATTTTTTTAAATGTGATAAATAAATATTCTATTTAATTTGAATACCCAATAATAAAATTCTCAATAAATTTAAACATATATAACAAACTGCTATGATCATTCTCTTTTTATCATTATCTATAAAATAAAACATTTTTCTAACAATTTTATCTAATCAAAGAATATATCATTTTACTATAACTCATTTAATATAAAATTGTTCTCGAACATTACATTTACTCATGTTCCAGAAGAATGACTGAAATTAAGACTCAAACTTTGAAAGAAGATCACATAATTCTTTTCATCTAATATTTTTTATAAAAATAATCGATTTCACAATTTTTCATTATTTTTACACAATATTTTTTCCCTCGATTTCACATTAATCAGAATATATATATAAATACAATAAGAATGTCAGTTTTTAGATCAGCTTCAAGTTTATTTTTGAATGGTGGTGTTAATAGAGCATCTTTCCTTAGCACCAGATTCTATTTTACAAAGGCAGATGATGTAAAGTCATTCGATAAGTTTTTAGATGACAACAAGAGTGCTGTAGTAGACTTTTATGCAGAGTATGTTAAGTGCTTTTAGAGATTGTTTGTTAGTTGTTGATGGAATGATAAACAATCACAATGATTGATATCGATAGCTAACTAACTTGTTGTTGTTGTTGCTTTGTCAATCTTTAATAAATGTGTAGTTGGTGTGGACCATGCAGAATGATGAACCCAGTTCTAGAGAAAACCTTCAACAATGTCAAAGATACCAAGCTTGCAAAACTAGATATCGATAAACTACCCGCTATCGCCGAGGAATTCGGTGTTAGTTCAATCCCAACCATCATTGGTTTCAAAGATGGTAAAGAAGTCGTTAGAGTTATTGGTGCTGTCAATGAAAAGAAATTATTAGATCTCATCGAGAAAACAAAATAAATAAACATTCACAACAATCAAATAACATAATATTTAAAACTAGTAATAAATAAAACATAAAAAACATCTATAAAAAAAAAAAAACTAATTAGATTAAGTTTCTTTTTTTATTAACTAAAACTAATAATAATTAAGTTCATTCATTCAATAATTAAGTTATTATTAGTATATATTTATGATATCAATCTTGATATTTATCAATTGACTAACATAAAAATAATAACTATAGTTTGTTTATAAATTTATTAATTCGGATTTGGGTTTGACTACCCAATACAAACTATTAATGGTAAATTTCCAATGAAGTTTAAATATTTTTAGGTTTTCGGGTCAACAAGTTGATTTTTTCATGAGAAGAAGCAAAAAAAAAACAAAAAAAAATACATCTTGCAATCTATTTTCGATTTCTATTTTTTATTTCAAATTAATATTTTTCTGTCTACCTGTTTATCTCTTCTCTGTATTATATAATACAACATTCATTCTATTTTGTTTGTTTATTTCACACATCAATCAAATATCAATCAAATAATTAATTAAAAAATTAAAATTAAACAAAAAAATCTTTTAAAAAAAAAAAAAAAACAAAAAAATTGACTTTACACTTAAAAGATCTGTTTTTTTTTTAACAATTAATTAAAATTGTTGTTTTACATACACTTTATTACTTTTATTGTTTAATACATATTCAATTATTATTTTCATTATATATAATCAAAAAACAAAACAAAACAAAACCAAACAGATAGATATTAAAAGTAGATAAAATAAATATATAAATATATAAACATACAGAAAATAAATATATATAATGGCACCAAGAAAAGTAGTGAAAATAGTTATAATTGGTGAGAAAAGGTAAACAAATAATGTGTTAAGTTAATAGACATATAGATAGATAGAAAGATTGATATTAATCAATCAATTGTTATTACTATAGTGTTGGAAAAACAAGTATATTAAAAAGATATGTAGATCAAAGATTTGTACCACTGAAACCAACGATTGGAGTGGATTTTGTTAATAAAGATGTTATGGTCAATGACAAGATGGTGACACTGCAGCTTTGGGATACATCGGGTCAAGAGAGATTCCGTAGTCTCGAGATTTCATATTATCGTGGTGCAGACTGCTGCATTCTGGTGTTTGACGTCACCAACGAGAAAACACTTCACGAACTAAAGATGTGGCGTGAAGACTTTATAGACAAGACCGGTGTTCAGAACCCCGATCAATTCCCATTCGTCGTGCTGGGCAACAAGGTCGACGAACCAGAGAACAGAAAGGTTACAGAGCGTGCTGCAACCAACTTTATCAAGGAGATCGGTGGAAACATTTTCTATTTCGACACCTCTGCAAAGGATGCCACCAACATCGAAGAGGCATTCGCAACCGTTTCAAGAATTTCTTTACAAAATTTAATACCTAGTGATTCTCAGCGGTAAATAATCAATCAATCTAATTATAAGATACAAATAATCAAGTAAAAAAAAAAAAAAAAAACACTAACATTTTATATTTATTATTCACAGTGAGGATTTAGTAGTATTGGACACAGTATCTTCAAAATCAAGTTGTTGTGGTGGTGGACAATAGTTTATAATATAATAGATTAAAAAAAAAACATATTGTTTTAGATATTTCAAAAACAAATCATATATATAGTTTATTCTTCTTTCTTTGTATGAGGTTCTTATTACTTTCGATAATTATCGTAATCTAAAGAATTGGATTCGATTTAGAGACTATGTTTTTAAGGAGTCTGTTACCATTCATCTTTTGCGTAGCTTGACTCGTCGTCATATGTGGAGCTTCTCAAAAAAAGTCGATCACCATGGTTTTTTGGGAAATCATAATTCAGAATTTCATTTTTTTAATTTAATTTAATTTTTGTTTTTTTGTAAAAATATTTTAAGATCTATAGATAATTAATTATGATATGATATCAAAGCTTTTTTAGTTTATTTTTTTAAATGAATTATGTAATTGTTTTTATAGATGATTGAAATCTAATTTTGATTGATAGTTATTGATAGAACAATTAAAATAAAATGCAAAATTTATCAAAACATGTTTTTTTAATCTCTTAAAAAAAAAGATAAATATAGATCTATCTTTTCATCATGTATAAATAGAAAAGATTTATTTCGAGTCATCAACGTTAAATTTCCACTATTATCTTTGCTTGCTTAACATAACATTTAATACACCCTTCAGTGAACCGAGATAAAATTTTTGTGACATTTAATTTTTTGAAACAAAAATTACTTTTTTAATTAGTTTTTTATGTTTTCAATATTAACTTACAGTAATAATAATTATAAAGATATATAAATATAATTATAATATTATTATAGATCTATATTAAATATTATTAGATAATGATAAAAGATCCAAAGTTTAGTTAATTTCCAATACTTATATATTTTAAATTTATATTTTTTTTAGTTTAATATTTTGTTTTGTTTTGTTTTTTTATTATTAAATTCAATTTTTAAATTAAATAGATAGAAACTTTTATATATATTTAGCAAATAATAACAGATAGAAAAGAAAAGAAAAAGAATAGAGTAATAATAGAATAAAAGATCTAACATTTGAGAGAGAGAAACTTGTTAGTTTAAAATTTCGAAGAGGAAGAAGAAGAAGAAGATGGGTATCAATTCTTCGAAATCTAATCAACATAACGATGGGAACGGTGGTGAGAGGAAATCGAATTTCAATGGTGGTGGTGGTAGTAGTAACTCTGATACTGATATGCCAGATTCTTCTGATAACAAGAATAATAGTAGCAGTAGTATGAGTAACTCGAGTGGTAGTAGTGGAAGTGGAAGTGGTAGTCGGAATAACAGTAGCAGTAATTATAATAATATTAGTAATAGCAACAATAATAACAATTCGAATTCACAACAATTACAAGTTATAAACAATGTAATCGATTATAAATCACTGTTGAAAAAGAAAAACAATGAACTTCTCAATGTTTTAGTTGAGAAAGGACCACCTATCTTCCTTGAGTTTCTCTTGTTTCTCAAGACACAGTTGGCACACAACCACATCTCAATGCGACAGTTCATAGAAAAAGTAAACATTGTCTTTTATCTCTCTGTCGACTCTAAAGATATCAAGCAGTATCTCTCCTCCATTTCAAAGCCACGCTCATGTCACAAAGTATGGGGACCAAACGGATTATTCTATCGTTGTAAAACATGTGCACTTTCACCAAGTAGTTCAATTTGTAAGTTACTTTTAATCAATTAAATATCAATACAATAGATTTAAAATGTTTGATCAACTGTACTGTATGATTAACACCTGTGTTTTCAAAACAATTATAATTTGCAGGTTATGATTGTTTTGCAGCTGGACCACATGAGAAAGAAGGTCATGACTATTCAACGAGTTTTGCATACTATGGTGGAAGTTGCGATTGTGGAACGATGGACAGTTGGAAAGAGTCGGGATTCTGTTCGAATCATGCGCATACCGGTCCCGAAGAGGATCCTACTCTCAATATGAAATCCGATCTCCTGATATCTACACATCTCTCGATTCGTTGTATACTTTCCATTATTTTGGAGTTGAACAGCCACACTGTATTCCAAACGGAATTCTCACACGTAAGCGAATCCGTCGCCAATCAGTATTCGCTGGAGCTGCTCACTTGGATTGACGGAGTGGCGCATATCGGTGCCGCCATTTCACATGTGTTGTGCGAGGAGCTGTGTTACCAGACACTGAATCCATCGACGCTGCCAATCACCCACAACGAACCACTGAAATTCAGTCGAGCCGACGACGCCGTGCACTATTCGCTCCCAGTAGAATTCCAACCACCCCTCGTGCGACTCATCTTGTTGGAGGGCGCGGAACTCTACTCAAAGATTGTCTATCTCTTCTTGTTTCTGCTGTGCGACCACACGTTTAAAGTTGGATTCTCAAAGTCCTATACACACGTCTACTCGCAGCTCGCCAAGATCTCGACAATCGATGCCGTCTACAGATATTCACCACAGGTATTCTCTATCAGTTCGATATCGACGCAGTTTAGCAAGGAGTACAATCCATCGTTTTTGGATACCACTCTAGATGCTCTGCTTATGGTTCTTAGCAGGGGTGGATCGTTGGACAGACATCACACCGCGATCATCAGTGATATCAAGACGTTGATTCAAGCACCGACACTCTGTCACTATATTCTCTTTGAGAAGCGTTCTCTTCTCAACAAGTATCTCTATGTGCTGCGACGTGCTCATTGCTTCGAGCGATTCACTCGCCAGATGAACACACACGTAGAGTACGACCGCGACGAATGGATCTATTCGTTCCAGCTAGACTCTGAATTTCGCGATATCTCCAAGGAAATGATTGAATCTATTCCCGCCGATATCAAACTCAAAGATATGTTGGACTTGATCGACTATTACACTAATTTCCTGGTCGACGCAACCACAGAATTCAGTGGCAGCTATCTCGGTGTCTCCGTGTCAAATACCGACCTGTTCGATGGAACCAGTTCAGTCTCACTGATACTCCCACTGTACAGATTCTACGTACAATTGATACAGAAAACAAGGTCACTCTTTGGAGATTCAACCGATTTGAAATCACTATTCCCAAAGCGAGTCAATCTCAGCCGTATATTGATGCCATTCGTTCTTTGTCAAGTATTCGTCCACCAAGTCAACAACAGCTACTGGGTTAGAAACAATCATGACATGGTTAGAAAAAAAGCATTCCTTTATTGTTTATTCTTTTTAGAAAATGATATATCCATCATTCAAACAAGTAAGTTAACAAACAATAATAATTAAGTAATTTTCCAAACAATAATATAAACACTAATTAATATTATTATCAACAATAGTTGCTTCAGTATTAGATGTAAATGAATTCTTAATTTTTGCTTCAAAAGAATTTGGAGCATTCTTACCGGTTGTCGTTAAGAATCAAAACGATCATAACAATCATAAATACTTTCATTTCTTCAAGTTTATCATTCAGATCTATCAGGAGAGAGCATCGATGGTGCCAAATAGAGAGTATGTCAAGAATGCGTTGGTTCACCTGTTGTATGGCCAGGCAAAGACTCATAGCAAGATTGAATCTACAATGACCTATCTGGACAAGGAGCAACTCTTTGAAAGTATATTGCAAGAGGTGGCGACAATGGAACAGCAAACACACACTGGTGACCAACCGGCAATCTTTAAGTTGAAACCAGAGTTTTGGAAACAATTCAATCCATACTATCCACTCTATACGCCACAGAACGTAGAGGATTCAATCGTTGCCTACTTTGACTTTAAAAAGAATCGTAAACTCAAGAATCCTGATTCCTTACCGTTGCCACCACCATTGGCACCACTAATCGAATGGAATCAACCGGTAGAAGAGATTGTTCATTCCGATTTCGCTCACTACATGGCACTTTCACTGCTACACTCATTTACTAAACGTATATTCGAATCTGGAAATACAACACCCGATGATATCCCAGAGGTAATGTTTGCAGTCAATGAATGTCTTTACTATTTGGCATTGTCAACAAATGTAATGAAACCATGGTATGGAAACGATAATAACGACAACAACAACAACAACGATAAAGGAGATTGTTCTTCACATTTACCAATGGATAAACTTAACCATCCAGAACTCACCTTTGTTTCCCATAAACATTCTGTATTGTGTATGCTACAGAAATATCTATTTAAAGACACTGTTACATCGACATTCGATATACTCATTGAGATGTTAAAGCGAACACATCAGAACAACTTGTTTGTCGATAAGCGTGATCTCATCACCAAGATAATCGATTCACTCTTTGGTTATCATCCAGACATCCAGGAGTATTTGTTTGAAAAGTATCCAAATTACAAACAGACTCTTGAGGAGCAAGTAAAGTCATCCGATGAGAAACTAAAGGGTGCCAAACAACGTCAAGCAGAGATCATGGCAAAGTTCACACAGCAACAAAACAAGTTTTTGATGACGCTCGACTCTGACGATGAGTTGGAGAGCAACGATTGCCAAGTGGCAACCTGTGTTCTTTGTTTGAAGGGAAACTACTCAAAGAAGGATCCACTCTCTGTCATTGCAATGTATCAGTATTCAACGCTGATCACCTTTTCAAAGATTGCAGTACTTGCCAACCTACCACTGCGACTGAAGAAGCACTGCAAGGATTTCCTCAAGTACATATCGTTCCCACAGCAACGATCACAACTCGATCTTCTCAACTATACATCGTCTCTACACATGAGATGCTGTGGACATCACATTCACCACGATTGCTTCAAGCACTATACCGATGCATTGATGCACAAGGCATCACAACTCGACGGCTTCGAAGGTGATCATATCATTCGACCATTAAGTGGTGAATTCTTATGTCCAATGTGCAGAAGAGTTTCAAACATTATCATACCAATTGTAGATAACAATAGTAATAATAATAATAATAATCAACAACAACAAACAACAAACAACACAAGTTCAACAACAACAACAACAACAAACAAAGAAAGAACTTCACCATTTTCACATTTAAGTATGAGTAATGGAAGTAGTAGTAGTAACGCAAGCAATGGAAGTAGTAACTTGGTAAACAGTGGCGGTAAAGATCAAATTGAGATACTTTCAAATAGTGGAAAGGATCAACAACAAGCGACTGTTAGTAGTGATAGTGATTTAGAAAATAATAATATCAATACAGACAGTAATAATAACAATAGTTTATCAACAAGTTTTGGTAAAGAAAAGATGGATTCATTCGATGATGTAACAAAAAATCAATTGTCAAATTGGTTTTCATCTTTAGTTCCCAAAGGAAAGAGTTCTGCTGCATCACCAGCCAAAAAGTCTGAAGAAAATCTTTTCTTTTTCCACGAGTTGAATAGAGTCGCTTTCAAAGGTGGCAATGTAGATACAATTTCACCTTATTTCCTCTGTCAATTAACTGCTAGAAATATAGAGTTTCTAGAGATTGCAACAAGAGAAATACAACAACCAAGTAACAACAATAATAACTATAATAATAATAACAATAATAATAACAGTCAACAACAACAACAAACACCACAATTTTGTATAGGAGCAGATATTTTTGCACGCGATATTTTAACTATTAAATCATTGTATAAAGTATTCAGAGATTATATTCATCAGCATAAAGAGCACAAGTACAGAGAGTCAACCATCGATCTATTCAAGGGTATGTCAGAGTCGATTCTTTCCATCGATCCATTCGGTTCATTCATTCTGTTCCTCTCTGTATTGGATTCACCCAGCAACTTTGATATCGATGTGATCACCAGTTTCTCACTCGATGTATTTGTAGTTCAGTTCATTATCACAAAGATCTATTCGACACTCGAGAAAAAGAAGAAAGTATCATTGATTCAACTGATTCTCGAGTATCTAGACCAGCTTGCCGCTCAATCACCAGAGGAACAGAGCATCTTTTACAGAGATCTACTGGTGCACATTTCACCACTGCTCAGATGTCTCTGTCTTTCTCAACATATACTGTTCAACAAGATTCCTACACTTCAACGTGAAGACATCATTATGAAAGACAAGCTTTTCTCAATGCTTGGAATCAGCTCGTTGGAGGCAATCGTCACCAAACAGAGAAAGAACCCATTGCTACCAATATGGGTGAGTCGTCTCGAGAAGAACTCACCGTTCATCATCATGGAGCCAAAGAGACCGACCTTTATCGATCTGCCAAACAACTACAAAGATATCTTTATCAAGTATCTTAACATTCCCTGTATAACCTGCAAGACCATCCCTACCAAGAGTGCAATCTGTCTGCTGTGTGGACATCTCATTTGCATAGACAGCACTTGCTGTGTCATCAATTCATCTACTGAAGCCAATAAGCACATGAACGTTTGTGGTATCTACAAGATCGGTGTATTCCTCGAGACCAAGAGCCCAACGGTGGCGATCATCCGTGACTATCGTGAGAGTCTGATGCACGATGCCTATCTCGATCAATACGGAGAACCAGATTCACACTTGGACCGTGGTAAGCCATTGTATCGCAGTGACATCAACCTACAAGAACTCTGGTGTTGCTGGATATCACATTATCTTGAAGAGAAATTCTTAAGCTCATGTTCATTACATGGAAGAGATTATTAGCCAAAAAAAAATAATGGCAACAGTGTAGTGTACGTGATCCTTCCCACCCAATTTTTTTTTAAAAATAAAAAAAAAATAAGTAAATTTTAAAATGATCATTTATTACCAAGAAAAAATATTATTTTCTTGATTATTTATTATATATTTATTTTGAGTTGCACAAAGTATGAGTAAAAATAGTATACATTCTGTTTATCCTTTAAAATCTATGGAGAGTATAGATCCATCAAGTGTAATACCTCTATCAAAGGTTAAATGTAAATATTCTAAGAAATTCAATGTTAGAGTCTACGTAAAAAGAAAGATCAAGCTAAAAAACTTTCAATTTGCCATTCTCCTGGATGATAGTCATGCTGTAATTTTCAAATATTTGTATTTAGATAACTATAAATGATCTAATAAAAGTATTATTTTTAAAAACTATAGAGAAACCAAATAAAAATCATCTACAATAATTCCTTTCCAGATCAATTCGAAGATTTGGTTGAAGGAAAGACATGCTATATCACCGATGTGCTTGCTGAAATCTCTTACTTTGCTGTGGATCATCCATTCACTCTGAAGAGCACTTTTGATACCAAAGTGATTCCATGTCCAAATGAATTCTCATCACTTCACACCCATTATAAGTTTATATCAATGAGTTCATTGGAATCGGATTACAAAGAGTTGATTGCATGCAGCCGAAACTATGTTGATGTGATCGGATATGTAAAGAGTAAAGAATCACCACTAGTTGTTCCGAGAATCAGTGACAGTGATTATATGGAAGGAACGACACTATCGATACAGACAATCACACTGGCTGACTCTAAAAACTACTCGATCTCAGTTACTTTCTTTGATGAATCGATCAGAAGATATCTTCCTGATATCAATGTTGGTGATATAATAGCAATCAAATCTGCAAAGATTTCGTGTTTCAACAGATTATCACTCATATACTCAAGTGGAACCTACCATGAGAAAGACACTGTAAACTTCAAAGAATATAGAGAATTAAAAGATTGGCTATCGGATAACAATGTCAATCATCAAAACAACACATTGTTTAAATCACTAACTAGGCAGTGTTATAGAGACAAAATGGTATCGACAAACATAGCATCGATATCATCGAAAATCTTCAAAGAGGAACATGATTACACAAAAGACAATCTATACTTAGTGAAAGGTCATATCACAAAGGAAGCGAGATCACTGGATAGTGATCGTTTTGGTTGTCCAAACTGTTATCAGATTTTTAACGATAGACTCTGCAATGTATGTAATCTTCCACCCTGTCGACTGTTGGACATTACCTTTACATTGACGGATGCCAATGACGATGGGGATATTAAAAACAAGATCGATCTGGAGGTAAGAGCCCGAGATGAAATTGCTGAGCGTCTGGTCAAAATGAAATCAAATCATTTTTCGACAGAATCAACATTACCTCCTACCTTTAAGATTGAAAAAGATTTTCTGTTTTCCATGGGACTAAAACTACTGGAAGTAGATAAGTGGGAACTTGTCTATTTTTGATAATCCATAATAAAATATCAATAATTTTAGAATAAGTTGGAAGTCATTTTGTTAGAGTTTTATTAGATCTATTAGTCTGAAAATGTCAGCATTGATCAAATATAAAATCGGATTTTGAATATGTTTTGAACCAATTTATTCAAGTCTAATATATAATATGAATAATTAAGGTTTATTTCTTTTTTGTACTATTTGTTACGATAGCTTGTGCATGTTTAGTATCCTTAATGTGTTGGAAGAGTTTGTTTCTAGTTTGGAAATCTTCTGCACAAACGTGACATTTGAATTCCTCTTTTGATAGGTCTTGTTGTTTTTGTTTCTTTTTCTCTTCTCTCTGTAGTCTCTTTTCTTTGGCTTTACCAATCTTTTTGGGTTGTGATTTTTGTTTGTCGTCATCGCTGTCACTATCCAAAAATTTGCTCTTAAGTGCTTGTTTTGACTTTGATTTCGGGAATGAATCTTCAGAGTCACTCTGAGAATCATTATCTTCGATGTCATCGTCGTCTTTGGACAAAGAAATTACATTCTTCTTCTTTGATTTCTTTTCTTTTTTGTTTTTGTTTTTCTTTTTTGATACACCTACTACTTCCTCTTCCTCTTCCTCATCTTCATCTTCATCATCCTCTTCATCTTCGACGGGTGTTGGTGCTTTAACTTTACTTTTTCCCTTTTTCTTATTAACAATGCCTGGTACATCTATCAGATCGTCATCCTCATCACTTTCTACTTTCTTATTCTTATTCTTATTCTTTTTCTTTGATTTGCTATTATTATTACTATTATTATTTGTTATTATCTCTTCTTCTGCATCATCATCTTGTTCACTATCACTATTCTTTGTCTTTGTTGGTGTTGATGACTTCTTATTTTTACCCTTCTTTACCATACCATAAGGTTCTTCATAATCGCTATCCTTTTGCTCGTCTCTATCGTCTTCATCCTCTGAAAGATCTTGTGGTGTCTCTAGATCCATGTCATTTACACCACTCTCAATATCGTCGACACCATCGATACTGACAGTGCTCCTTAGATTCTTAAGATTCTTCTTGTGAAGATTTGATCGCTCGTGTTCAGTCATCTTTTTGCTCGATTTGAATGTTCTCTCACAAACGACACAATAGTACTCTGGTACCTCTTCATACTCTGCATCGTCCTCCATGAATCTGACACCCGCTGCTTTCATACGTTCGTATTCCTCCTGTTGTTGCTGACGATGTAACTTGAGAGCTTCACGATGTTCCGCCTCGCGAATGACACGCTCCTCATCTTCCTTGACCTTGCGTTCCTCCTCCTCGATTCTGATCTTCTTAATGTACTCGATGACACGCTTGTCACGCTTATAGATAAACTCTACCAAATGACGCACCTGATCCTGATATTCCTGACGCGCAAACTGTCGTTCCTTTTGATTCTCTTTCTCCATGAGTCGCTTGATCTGACGATTGGGCGCGTCATTAGTATTATATTTGTCGGCCATTGTGAAACGTTTCTTGGTAACAAAGTCACGCCAATACTGGTAGAACTTAATGACATCGGCGGAATCGGCATCGCTCTTTCCAAACATTGGAACCGAACGAATACGAGAGGATGACGCCGAGCTCGTTGCCTGGAAGTCTTCGTCGGCTTCGACCTCCTCTTTCTGAATGTCTTGGAAGACACTCTCGTAGACCGTGTAGAAACCACGTTCACCATCGTCATAGGCATCGTAACAGGTTGTACTAAAGTACGCCCAGAGATTGATGTGCGAGGAGTCGTCGTCGGTGCCACGCAAAATCGCTTCACGATGATCATCGTACCACTTTCTCTCGTTGGCATCGGAAAGAATGGTATAGGCATGATTTACCTCTTTGAAACGTTCATCGGCTACTTGAAGCTGATGTTGATTCTTATCTGGATGCCAAATCAATGCTTGTTTTCTGTAAGCACGTTTAATCTCGTCGGCAGTTGCAATTCTTGACACCTCCAAGACTTCATAATAGCATCTTATCTTTGTCATTGCTTTTTTGTTTCAACAACTAATATTACATAAATATATATATATAAATAAATAAACAATCTATTCTATTTCACTCTAAACTTTGACAAGTCAAGTTAATAAAATCGTTATGATAAAACTAGTTTTGGTTTTGAAAATGAGAAATTTAGTTGAACTCGTTTTTTTTATTAATTTTTTTTTTAATTTAATTTATCGTGTAGTGTTTTATTTATATGAAGTCACACAAAGAGATACATAAATCAATGAAAAATCATTGTACAACAAACGATCAACAAAAAATTTTTAATTTAATTTTTAGAGTAAATGATTAGAAGTTATAGATTTTGAAAGAACTTCTCTTATCTTTTTTTCCTGGATATAATATTTTATATTTTTTGTTGTGTGAAGACAAAGTTAATGTTCAGTTAAATTATGAATATATATTATAGATATATATAAGATATGTATGAATCTCCAACATGTCTATTATTCAATGAAAGAATGTTTTTTATTGAAATAAAAAATTTTGTTTAAAAAGTTGATCATTGAATTTGTAGTACGAATACTTGAATTATAATATAAAATAATAAGAATAATAATAATATTGATTGTAAAATGGATAAATATCAGATGGTTAAACTTATTGGTGAAGGTACATATGGTGTTGTATCTTTGGGCATAGAGAAATCAACTGGAAGAGAGGTAGCTATAAAGAAAATCAGAAAGATACTCATCAATAAAGGTGTAGATGATGGTGTCAGTTTCTCTGCTATTCGTGAAATAAAGATGTTACAGGAATTGAAACATGTCAATGTTGTAGAGGTAAATATATTATGTTTTGCGGATTGATGTTTAACTTAAGATACATCACTTTTTACTAAATTACTCTATAATTATATGTCGATTTACTTTTAAATAATATATATATATATAGTTATTAGATGTATTTGCACATAAAAGTAATGTATATTTAGTTTTTGAATTGATGGCATGGGATCTACAACAAGTCATCGAAGATAGATCGATCATTTTGAAACCATCCGATATAAAGAGTTATATGAAGATGTTATTACAAGGTATTGAAGCATGTCATAACAATTGGATATTACATAGAGTAAGTGAAGAGATATATTTTACTAACCTATATAACAACAACAACAACAACAACAACAACAACAATATATTGATTAGCTAATCTGTTTATTCATTAACATAATGGTTAAAAATAGGATCTTAAACCAAACAATTTGTTGTGTTCGGCCGATGGTGATATGAAATTGGCAGATTTTGGTTTGGCAAGACAATATGGTAGTCCGCATAAAGTATACTCACCGCAAGCCGTCACTATCTTTTATCGTGCGCCAGAGTTGTTGTTTGGTGCCAAGTCGTACGGACCATCGGTCGATATGTGGTCGATTGGCTGTATCTTTGCAGAGCTGATGTTGCGTACACCCTACTTGCCGGGCACATCAGAGATCGATCAACTAACAAAGATATTCAGTGCACTCGGTACTCCGAATGAAACTGTGTGGCCCGGTGTCACTTCGCTGCCAAACTACATTCAATTCACCGATTTCCCGGCGACACCATTCGCGCAGTTGTTCAGTGCGGCATCGCCAGACGCCATTGACCTCCTCCAAAAGATGCTCACCTACAATCCAGCTGCACGATGCTCGGCAACCGAAGCACTGGCACACCCTTACTTTAGCAACTCACCAAAGCCATCGGCACCCAAAGATCTACCGAAACCGAGCAAACCATCAACAACCATCGATATGAATCCACAGATCAATAACAACAACAACAATAATAATACTAGCAACAACACCAATCTCAATCAACTGTTCAATTCACAATCAACCAAATACTAATGAGTAGATGTTACATCTCAAAAAATATTATTATAATTGTAATCCCTAATTTAATTATTAATATTACAAACAAATAAAATTGAGAATAAAAAAAGAAAAAAAAAGGACAAGATCACCACCATAATAATATTGTGATCATTTTCCAAGAGTGATGATAAGGTTACACAAAGATTTGATTTATCGGGATTGGCCTCGTTGTAACAACAATTACAGACTCCGGTATTTTATAATCACAATTACAGAATTAAATTAAAAAGTAATCATTACAATGATAGATACCATTCCTTTTTGATTTTTTTTTGTCCACGTCGGTTTCCTGTGGCCTACTTCCAAAACAATGATATATCGAATCGAGAGCTTGTTAATTGATTGGCATGGAATAAAGATTTTTTACAAGAATTATTTTTATTAATTGTCAGGTTCTTCTGTATAGGACTCTTGACATACAATTTCATTATTATATTTTAAAGTATAGGTTCTATTCAAAACCAATCTTCTTTTCTTTAGTTGTACACCACATGATTTGATAGAATTACTACTACTGCTACTCAATTGCGATTGTCTTTGTTTATAGATTTCGTTTCGTTCGTTGGATGGTGCTGTTTTAAAAGCTAATTTTTTGTTGCTTGGTAATGTTGAATTGTTGGTGGTAGTTGTTGTTGTTGTAGTCGTTGTAGTTGTGGTAGATGTTGGTAATGTTGGTAATGATGTTGTTGGTTTTGGTGGTAGTGTATCCAATATTCTATTCAATAAACTAAGTGTTGTTTTCTTGCTATTCTCTATACCCTCTTTCATTCTCGCCAGATCCTCGTTGATCTCTGATTCATTGATACTGGTTTCAATCTCACGATATCGCTTCTTGGTGAAATCACCGTTGGTACTTGGTTTGAATGTAAACGGATCAACCATAGAGCTGTGGTTCAACATCTGCTTCTCCTTGTGGATATTCAATACGAGATCTCTAACCGATTGTTTATCCTCTTCATCCAGACTACTAAATAGACCAGGTGATACTGTTGTTGTTTGAATTTTAGAAGTCGAGTTACCACTACTACTACTGCCGCTCTTCATAGCCCAAGGATTCCTACTGCTACCACCAACCTGAACACGATCACCATACAGCTCCTCGTCATAATCATCATCATCAAAGTCTGACTCTATTTCTTCATCGAGATGATCTTGAAAATGATCATAATATATACTTCTTTCAAAATTATCATTTTCACTCTCACTTGATTCACTCTCATTCAATCTACCTCTATAACTAAATAAACTATCACCATAACCTCTACTACTATTATTATTATTATTATTATTACCATTATTACTATTATTACTATTGTTAATTGTTCTATTTTTATATAAACTGCTTTCATTGAATCTAGTTGAAGCTGAATTTTTGAAATTGACCAATGGGGTAGGTGGAAGTGTATATACATTGGGCATTGCAACACGAGTTGAATGTCTGTCATTTAATAATGGCAAGAGAGGATTGCTATTGCCATTGATGTCATTCTCACCATTGTCATTGTTGTATCCTCTATTTAATCTATTTAGCAGTTGAAAGAATCTTGAAGAATTACTACTACTACTACTATCTTCCAATGTAGCTCTATCGCTACTATCGCCATTACTTGTATGTGTAGATTCTGAACCTCTAGGTAGAAACAACGATGATGATAGTGGTGGTGGTGGTGGTAGTGGTGGTGGATCTCTCAGTGATAACGATCCAGAAGTAGCAGCTGCTGCTGCAGATAGTAACTCTGAAGAAGTATTACTTTTCATCATATCACACTTTCGTTTCAGTGCATCCAGTTTCTCTTTTATATGCTCACTAAAACTACTTAATTGACTTTGATTATTTAAACTACTGCTGCTGCTGCTATTATAATTATTGTTGTTATTGCTACTAATGTTAATACTACTGTTGTCGAATCTATTAGAATATCTCTTGTATTTAGTGCGATTATCATTGTCACTGTCCATTTCACTATCGCTACCACTACTGCTGCTGCTACTACTGCTACTGCTGCTGTTGTCATCGAAATCGATAGGATTGACTCTATAGTTTAAGAGAGCATCTAAATGACTGTTGTTGTTGTTGTTGATGTTGCTGAATAAACGTCGCTCATTGAAATCGATATCATCGTTGTCACTATCACTCTCAGCATCATCATCACTGATGATACCATTCGTATCGTTGTAATGTACGTTGCGATTTTCACGTTGGAGCAGTGGCGGTGGTATTACAATCGATCTTGGTTTTGCAATGAATTCCACAGGATTTAATTCAGGCATGATGACATCAATATATATGCTTGGTAGTTATTTTAAAATTATTACAAATAAATAATATTTTACTACTATTTAATAATATAATGATAAAACAATTAAATATGATACTTTTACAATATTTATATTAAAAATTTATACTAATAGATTAAAAAAAAATATACATTTTTTGTTTTTTATATTTTCATGTATTTTTCAATAAATTTTATTAAGTTAATATGGATCAGTGGTAAAGTGTGTTATTGTGAATCTCAATATAACTTATCCACAAACCACTAATAGTAATAATATGAAGTTTAATATTCAACTCAAACAAATAAACTTTATTTTATTTATTTAAACAAATACTAAGCAATATTTGTTTTATCTTTTTTTAAAAAAAAAAAAAAAAAGATAAAAATAATTTATGAAAATGAAAAAAAAACAATTGTAATAGAAAAATTAACAAATGTAACTCCTTTTTTTTTTGATGGATTTTGGGTTATCGATTGATTCATCAATGGTGTTTTTATTTATAAATACAACTTGATTTTATTTTTTGCATCTAAAATCAATGGATGCAATCACAACAATAAATCAAAAACCCAAACTTGGATAACAAAAAACCAATATCATTATTTAAAAAAATTAAAAAAATTGTTTTGATAAGTTTAGATCTATGATAATATGGAAAGTTCCTCAGTCGATATTTCCAATGAACTGATAGAAAAAAACAAAAACAATACCAAAGAAGGAATAAAGATTGTTTTTTTAGTTTTGGGGTTAACAAACAATCTTTATTTCTCGACAATGACAAAACAACTCAGAAAAGAACAACCACCTTTCATTGCCATTTGTCTGTTTAATCATTTTTTATTTTATTTTTTATTCTACTCACCATCAAACTTGTGGGTGATATCAAACAAGAGAAAGATAATTTCTTTCGAAAATAGGGTTTAGTAAAGTTGGAAAACTGAGACCTTTCAAAATCTCATTTGTACATGTACTGGTAAATGAAATCGGTTCATTATAAAATGGGTTCTTCCAATTTCGAGATTAACTATGATCAACAACCCTTCCATCAAAGATTGCCATACCCAATAGATTATTTTTAATTATTTGTAATTATTTTATTTATTTTTTACAAATAAATTTCCTATTTTTAAATTATTTATTAATATTTAAATAACAACTTATTATTGATATTGTTATCATAATTTAACTAATTAAATACAAATAGATAAGATGATTTTCAACAATTTCCCAACAGATCAATTTTATCTCCATCAACAAAATCAACAACAACACTTGTTTTCAAACTTTGAAAATCTTCAACAACAACAGCCATTTAACTATATACAAGAAAAAAATGGTTTTGTTAATTTTCAAAATTACTACCAAAATAATTCCGTTGATCTAGATTCAAGTTCTCAAACTAGTAGTTATGTGTCTACACCTGAGTTATCCACCATTTCTGGTGATGTCTCACCAGTACCTGACAACCTTCAGAGCTTTATGGATGAAGATGATCAAGATGATCTAAAATATGAAGACAATGATGTATCTAAATACTGCCCATCGCTCGTAAAAGAAATCAAAGAGCTCCAAGAATCACTATATTTTGCTCAGCTCTATGGTTTCATATCAGAGGTAATCAAGCAAATCCAACCGATTCCAACCAAACGATATCTTCCAAAGGGTGGCCATCTATCTTACGATCTAGACCCATATATCAACGCTGAGCAGATCAATCGATCGAATCCCTTGGTGTCAAAGAACTTGCTGCGAATTACACCACTCTACACCCAGGAGATTACCAACCTCAATAACCAGTTAAAGACATCGCTCGAACAGTTCTCAATGATCGAGTCACTCGTCATGTTACTACGTCCGCTATCAGTCGGTGAGCACGATGCCAAGGTAACCGAGTTGGAGCGAATCTTCATGGTATTGATGTCTCACCAACGCTCGAATGCCTGCGACTACCTTTTGGAGGCGAGAAAGATGAGCGGTGAATCGAGACCGGTCAAAGAGAAAACCGCCAAGACACGTGGCAGCCGTGGAAAAGGACCTGCAAGAGGCAGAAGAGTGCTCCCAAAAGATCATCATAACTTGATTAACCAATGGTTCGAACAGAACAAAGTTTCGCCTTTTCCCAATGAGGATGAAAAGGTATTGCTCGGTACCATCTGTAATCTCTCCAAGACTCAAGTCGAGAATTGGTTCGGTAACAAACGTGTCCGAGTAAGAAAGAGTAATTTACAAAGTCCAAAGAAAGCAAAACAAAATAGAAAGATTTGAAAACAATTTTATTTTTTAATGTTTTTTTTTTTCAAATTTGTGTTCACAAAATAATTAAATAAATAAATTTAGATTATCTTTTTTAGTTATTTTTTTTTGTCGTTATTTTGACAAACCAATAAATCTTTTATTTTTCTGAAAAAAAAAAAAAAACACACACAAATTTAGATGATCACCTGAACCAACGCTTACCTCCAAAACAAAATATTTATTTTTAATAATTTTAATTCGTCTTTTTCGTTTTTATTAAAATTTTGTTTCGCAACCTGCGCTAGATTCCCTTTCTTCTTTCGAAAACAAACTTTTTATTAATTTGTTTTATTCAACTTATAAAATTTATATAAATAACAAGTAAGTTTATATTTCAATAATATTCCAATAATAATCATCCTGTTTTCAAAAATGTTCTATTTTAGTTTTCTTTTAAAAATTATTTTTTTTATTTAAAAAAATATATTATATATATATGATTTTTAATGATATAATTTAATATATGATTATTAATTCATTTTATTATCATTTTTTTATTATATAGATCATGTCCGAAGGTTCCGATATTGAACAAATGATCGCCGCAGGTGAAGATCTCTCTGGTGTCACCTCAACCCAAGTCTTGAAGAGAGTCAATGCTTTGTTAAAGTTGGATGTATGTTGTTGTTTTGAAAAAGAGTGAAAAGGATTAGATTATTAACGATCGTATCGGTCTATTGTTATTTTATGATTTATTTAGGACGACCACACTGAAATCTCAAAGAAGTTGGAGCAACGTATCCGTCTTCTTGAGTTGGAATTCCAACCACAATTCGATGCCATCTACCAAAAGAGAACCGGTATCGTCACTGGTGAGGTTGAGGCTACCGAGACCCCAAAGGAACCACTCGAGATTGCAGGTTTGAAGTCTGGTGAGGAGAAGGGTATTCCAAACTTCTGGTACAAGGCTTTGATGAACCATCCAGCCTTCGCCGACGTTATGGGTGAGGAAGACGATGAAGCCTTACAATATTTGACCAACATCTCGATCGGTGAGGATGCCACCACCGACAATGAGAACCAAGTTCTCACAGCCACCTTCCACTTTGCACCAAACGCATTTTTCACCAACTCCACCATCGTCATGACCCTCACCGTCAAGGATGGAGATTTAGATTCAATTAAAGTTACACCAGTCCAATGGAACGAAGGTAAGAAGTTCTTTGTTAGAACCGTCGAGAAGAAGATCAAGAAGAAGGGTCCAAAGGGTAAGAAACCAACCGTCACCACCAAGATGGTCACTGAAACCATTCCATCGATTTTCGGAAGATTCTTGGTCGAATTTGACAAGAATCAAATTGAAGAGGAACCAGAGAACGAAGAGGATATTCCAGCAGCTCAACTCATCTACATTCAATATCAAGCTCTTATTTCTTTGAAGGACGAGATCGTACCAGATGCCGTCAACTATTTCTTGGGTCGTGCTCAACCAGAGGGTGACGACGGTTACGGAGATGAATTTGGTGAGGAGTTTGATGACGAAGAAGATGAAGACGAAGATGACGATGTACCACAATTGAAGAGCAAATCCGGAGGTGTTCCACCACAACCAAACAACCCAGAATGCAAACAACAATAAATAAATTAATAAATCAAAATTTTTAAAAAACAATCTAACAATCCAAAAAAGTAAACTATACTTTTGAAATATTATATATTATATATCTTTATCTTTTTTTATTATTATTTCATTTTTAATGATCATGTGAGTGACCATGGTGGTGATCATCGTGATGATCATGTGAATGACCGTGGTGGTCATCGTGATGATCGTGTGAGTGACCGTGGTGATCGTGATCATGGTCATGATTATCATGGTCGTGGTGGTCGTGGTCATGGTGATCATCATGGTCGTGGTGATCGTGGTCGTGGTGATCATCATGATCATGGTGCTTTTGTTTATGACTATGAGCATGACCATGGCCATGGCTATGTTCTTTATCAATTTGAATTGTCATATTATTTATAAATTGGAAATTATCTCTTATACTCTTTAGGATTTGTTGTTCATCGGCATCCTCTCTAACTTTTACTACCAGACTACCAATGAAATTACCATGTGAATGAGTCCAGAAATGTTTATCACTCAACGATAGCACTCCGTCGATGGCTTGTGATTCTCTGCATGCCGAAATGATTTGTGGTGTTACCAACTCTGGAGTGGTCTGTAACAATACCTTTCCTGTTCTAATAGAGATCGGTAATACATCGTAGACAATAATGATTGCAATAATAAATGAAATTAAAGAATCCGATATTTCGATACCCCTAAATTAAATTTTAACATAGCATTATAAACAGTTAATCGATTTGAACATGTTATAAACAGATGTGTTATTATGTTATTATAATTGTTTCTCTGTTTCTACATACAAAGTACTTCCTACCAAAGTGGAGAAAATGACACCAACACTTGTGCAACTGTCAGCCAAAATGTGTGATGTAATGGTCATAAAGTTTTCTTGTCTCGCTCTACCTTTATCTAAATTTTAATATTAATATTAATAACCAAAACAGGATATCCTTTGGAATTGATGATGATGATAAATAAATAGAAATGACATACCACTGAATACCGACGAAGATGAATGTTTTCTGAAAAATAATATACCAGTAATGTTAATGAGCAAGCTTATAAATGCCAATGATATAACTCTACCATGACTAGTAATAATAACAATATTATTGTAGAGTAAAGTGAGGTGAAGAGAGATGGTTAGTCAAATTATTTGTTTGTCTTGAATTGAATTGAATTGAATAATAATATAAACTTACTCATGAATATGAGGTGGTTCTAATACACGTTCAACGGATTCCAAGAAGAGGAAAAAAGAGACGAATAGGAGGAAACAACTGTTTGAGAATACACCTAGAATCTCCCAACGGTCATAACCATAGGTGAATTCACGATTCGAACCTTTCTTTCCGACCAGAATAGAAGTTAGACTAATAATAAATCCGATGCAGTCAAAGAGTGCGTGGAATCCATCGGAAACCAAACCCAAACTCTCTAAAAGTGCACCATAGAATATTTCAAACAGAGTAAAACAAAGCATGACTACGATCCAGAGAGCAAGCTTCTTGGCATCGTTGTCTCTCATCAAGTTATTCCATAGATGTCCAAATGTCAGCTTACTATCGAATGTATTGAGAATCTGTGGTTGTTGGTAGCCGCTAAACGATGCACCTGACATCATCGGCGACACCGTATTGAAATGTCCGATACTATTACTGTTGTTGTTGTTATTGTAGTGTGATGGCATAGAGGCAAAGAAACTACCACCGGAATTATTAATGTTGTTACTAGTGTTGTGTGAGTGACCATGATGATCGTGATCGTGGTAGTCATGAGAGTGTCCATGATGATCGTGATCGTGATCATGGTGGTCGTCGTCGTCGTGATGATGATTATGTGAATGACCATGGTGATCGTGATGATCATGACTCATTCCATAACTATTATTATTATTATTAATAGGTGATGTTACAGTATATGATTGTGGTGGTTGTTGTTTATCAGGTCTAAATACAACACTAGTTGGTGCAGTGGATTGAACATCCTGTGTTGGTTGTTGTTGTTGAGCATTATTACTAAAATAAGGATGAGCATAACCTAAATGATCATATCCATAATCATTATTATTATGACTCATATCTATATATATTTATCTATTATCCTTTTAAGAAAATATATAATATAATAAGATAAAAAAAAAAAACTAATTATCAAAAATTAATTATAAAATTTGGTGACTGTGCTGACGGAGTGATGATCAGAAAAACCCCTCAGCAAAATTTAATTAATCAAAAAAAAAATATGGCTAATGGTTATCATTAATGTATTTACAAATATATTTTTTATGTATATCGATTATTTCTTTTTTTTTTTTTAATGAACATGCACAGAAGAATCTATTAATGTAAAGATAAAGTAACCAGTAATTATACAAGCTATGAGAATTGGTTTGGTAACGGTTTTGGAGTGAAGTATCTCTGGAAGAATGCCAGTGGTTGTTATATATAAAAATGTACCTGCACCAAAACCAAGAATGAATGATACTGTCGATGGCGGAATTCCTCCAAATATTATCGATGCTAAAATAGCTCCGATCGGTGTCATCGATGCAATTAATAATAAATAGAAAAATGGATGATATCCCTATAATTATTATTATTATTATTATTATTATTTGTGATTGAGTAAATTAATATTAATAAATTGTTTTGTTTTGTTTTTATATATAACTAATTGATTAACAAACATACTAAAAGTTTCTTTTGTGATAAAGCAATTGAACTCATGACAAAGCCATCCGGTAATTTATGTACAACGATGGCGAGTGCAACACGTGCACCAATCTCAGAGTTTGCTGCAAATGCACCTGATATTACCATTCCATCGACCAGTGAATGTACTGCCAACGCTATAAAGGTTGTCAATGAAAGTTTTGATTGATTGCTATTACCATTTGATGAGCTTACTACTCCTGTTTCGATATTCAATGATTTATGTTCGTGTTCATCATCATCTTTCTATTATTTTTGTATGTTAGTTTTATTATTATAATTATTAATATCATTTGTTTATAAGCACTTACTTTACAATTATCATTTTCATCATGAATATCAATCTCAATGCTTCTCTCTTGAGAATCAAGAGAATGTGAATGTCCACCACCACCACCGCTACTCAGCATAATTTCAATGGCAATGAGAACTAGAAATCCAAATGCCAATCCATACATTGGTGTTCTGGTGCCTGATTTCGATTCTTTTTCTTCATCGTGATCATGATCGTGATCATGGTCATTTTCATTGTTGTTTTTGTTGTTTTTATTTTCAATATGTTTAGCTGATGATGATGATGAAGAGGAAGAAGAAGATGAAGAAGATAAAGATGAAGTACTACTTGTTGCTGTTGTTGTTGTAGGTTTACCTTGTGGTTGTAATTGATGTGTTTGTCTATTTATATTTAATGAAGTGTCAGACGTCAGATCGATATTTGGAGTGTTATAATATTCTATGTTTGCCATCTCCACTGCCTCTGGTAGTAGCTCTAATGTTGCAACGGCAAACAGCAGACCAGCCGATATAGCTAGCAGCATATGATAGTATCGATTATTGATACCATTCTTAAACAATACAAATGGTAGCGATGCTGAGAATAGTGGTGCTACTCCTGCCAACAATGAATATATTAATACACTCACTGTCATACTACTACTACTACTACTGCTACAATCTCTATAATATGAAGCCAATCACCTTCTTTAAACTTTATTTTGATCAATGAAAAAATAATGTTAATAATTAATTAATTTATTAATAAAAAATAAAAAAAAAACAAAAAAAACAAACAAGAGATTTAAACTCGTTGCAACACCCACTCACACCTTATAAAAACAACAAAAAAAAAACAAAAATGATCAAATGTGTGATTAGTCATCATTCAAATTAAATAGAAATTTATATTTATAGATTATTAAAAAAAAAAAGTATTTGTTTTATTTTGGATTAATTAATTAATAAGAATACCCAATGATAAAATATAAAAATAAAATAAAAATACCCAATGAAAATAAAATAAAATAAATAAAAAAATAAAAAAATCTTAAAGATTTAATTTATGTACCAATTTATTTTATTTTGATATGTATACATAGAACTTCCAAATATATTATATCATAATAATCTAAATCCAAACTTTTATAGTTCACTATTCAATTAAAGCATTGTAGAACAACATTGAAAAATTGTAAATTAACTTTTTGATACAGATCAGTCACTACACAAATAGTATGAAAATGATTATTTATGATTTTCCAATTTCAATTTGATTTGCAATATATTTAATAGATTGGAATTTAAAGATCTATTATATAACTGTTTTACAAGGAATCGACTATAAATAGCCTTGTTTTCACAAAATGTAGAATATCAACATCATCTTATTTATATTTGCAATAAACTATAAACAAAGTATACTAAACTAAAAAAGAAAAATGAAGTTAATTGGATTGTTTTGCACTCTCTTGATTTGCGTTGCTTTTGTCTCTGCCAACGAGCTTGACAACTCTGACTTGCACATCTCCCAAAAGGTAATCGGAACATGGACTGACGGTAGCCGTGGAAATCGTCAATACACTCAATATGATGTCACCGTAACCAACGTATCACACAGAAACATTAAAAACTTTTTCATGTAAATATATATATATTAAGTGGCTCTATAGTCACTAAAACATAAAGTATTACTTATTTACTGATATAAACTATTTTCATTTATATATATATAACATAATAGTGATACTGACTACACTTTCAGAGTTCGTGATGGTACTGCCTATTGGAATGTTGTAAGATTACCAAACGGTGATCTCACTCTCCCATCATACCAAACATCAATCAATGCTGGTGCTAGCTACACTTTTGGTTTCATTCTTCTTGGATCACCATCTTCACCAGCCAACCTCCAAGTCAGATACCTCACCTATGTCTAAACACAAATTGTGTATGACATCACCATCAAATACCATATTTTTTAAATAAAAATATCAAAAAAATATTAAAAATCTGTAGATATTTTTAATTTTTATTTTTCCTAGTAAAAGTTTTTTTAGGTTGGTGAGGTTCATTTAACCAGATCTAAAGAATATGCAAATAAAAATGAAAGAAATCAAGATTCTTTACCCGATTTTTATGTTTTTACAAATAAAATTGGAGATCCAACAAAGAGTATCTTGCATTACCAAAAAAAATTTGATATTTAAGATATTATTTATTTTTTCTATAAATTTTTGACTGTTTAAACAGTGTTCTACATTTTTTTTTTACATATTCAACCATTTTACATTTTTTTATATTTAAACAACAACTATTATATCAATAATATTATTATTATTTATAAAAAAAATGGATTCTCTATTTTCCTCAGTATTTGGAAATCAAATTTTGAATCAAATAATATTTGAACATGTTCCAATTATAAACAAAAAAGTTAATATCCCAGGTGCAGAGCAACGTTATCATTCTTATAGTTGGAAACAATTGAATGAAGTTCCTACTTTGTTATCAAAGCTTGGTTATGTAGATCAATTGCGATCGCTTTTTGCAAGAAAAGAAATTGACAGATTTGTTGTTCAAGCATGCATGAAGCTTGCCATTGAAAAAGGACATTTCAACACACTCAAGTATCTCTTTGAGGAAGCCAATGTTCCCGATGCATTCAGTCCCGAAGTATTCTACCATGCCATCAAGTTTAGTCAGTTGGAGATTGTCAAGTATTTCGAGAGCAAAAGTGGATTGGACTGGGACAATGAAGAGGCCATGTTATTAGCACCCCTCACCAACAGTTTGGAATTCCTCATTGAACGATCAAAGAAATTCGAGAGTGAACACAAAGTAAAATTGCGCCAGCCACATACTCTTTCCAGATTGTTTGATAACGCTGCCGCTGTTGGAAGTATTGAAATGATCGAATGGGCTGCCTTGAATAGACCAAGTTACAGAACCAATAACTACATGTATCATTGTGCTGCCCGTGAAAACCATATCCATGTTCTTAAGTATCTTAAGAGATTGTCAAATCCATTGGATGTTCCAGAGGCAAGCAGCCTTATGAATCTCTATTCTGCCGCTGCCGGAAATGGAAGTCTGGATGCACTCAAGTGGCTTAAAGAAAATAATATTGGAAATTCAAATCAAAATGCTATGAATGTTGCCGCCGCCAATGGACACTTTGACGCTGTTCTTTGGCTGCATGAGAACCGTACTGAAGGATGTAATTTCGAGGCAGTCGAAATGTCATTAAGAAATAAACATTACAATATCTTCAAATGGTTGTATTGCAACTACCCAAACGAACGTCACAGTGAATCGGTGTCAATGATGGCAAAAAAAGGAAATTTGGCAATGTTAAAATGGCTACACGAACAAAATGATCAAGATTTCAATGGTAGTTTATTGAACGATTCTCTTAAGAATGGAAATCTCAAAGTTGCCAAATGGTTATTCGAGAATCGTACTGAACAATGGGAGACAGTACAAATCTATCATGTGGAAACAAAAGGTGGAGTTGAAATTCTTGAATGGTTGCATGAAAAACGAATTCCATTCAATGTGTCTCAAGACTCTCTCCATAACGCATCAAGATTCGGACAACTCGAAGTTTTGAAATGGTTACAGGAGAATAGAGGTACAGATCTCGGTCAAAATTCGATACCCGGTTTTAACTTTGGTCAAGATCCGAATACCGCTATGGATCTAGCGGCCGAAAGTGGATTCGTAGATATTTTAAAGTGGTTGAAGGAAAATAGAAGTGCACAATGCAGTGTGAATGCGATGAACAAGGCTGCCGGAAATGGTAAAATTGAAGCCCTCCAATGGCTACACGAGAATACCACTGCAGGATGTACTGGGGTCGCATACGTTGAAGCTGCTCGTGGTGGACATCTCAACGCTATCCAATGGCTGCATACTCATAGAACTGAGAAAGGTGCTCCTTCCACAATCGATTTGGCTGCCCAGAGAGGATATCTCGATATCATCAAGTACCTCCATGAAAACAGAAACGACGGTTGTTCAAAGGCTGCTATGGATAACGCCGCTGGAAGTCAAAGATTGGATATTCTGAAATGGTTGCATGCCAACAGAACCGAAGGATTCTCAGAGGCTGCATTGTACAAAGCAATCTCTTCATGTAACCTTGAGATAATCACTTGGTTATTTGACAACAACAAGGAGAATCTCATTACCGATCTTAGTTGTCTGTCTCGTTTCCCAACTCCAAAGAATTTGCAAGTGATTAGTTTCCTTAGAAACCGTGGATACGATGTGTTGGCGGCGTTGATAAAGCAGAGATCTTATGAATTGTTCATGGTCGTATTTGAAGATAGTGACATTTCACATGTTCCCAATTTAATCAATGTTGCACTTGAAAATAATCCAACTGATTCCTTTATTGAATGGTTAAATTCAAAGGGTGTCGAGATCACCGAGGAAGCTCTAGACATTGCTGCCAAAAAGAAAAACAAAGCACAGTTCGAATTGTTGTTGAACAAAATGACTCAATTGGATCCAGCAGTTAAAAGAAGACGTCTCGAACAATTGGAATCAATTCAAACTACCCAATCAGGTTTTGGATCATCTACATTCAGTTTCGGTAATGGAGGTGGAGGTTTCTCTGCTTCATCTGGTGGCGGTTTCTCTGCTTCATCTGGTGGTGGTTTCTCTGCTTCATCTGGTGGTGGTTTCTCTGCCTCGTCTGGAGGATCTATAAATTATCAATCATTTTTTAATAATCCAAATTAACTATACAATTAACAATTGTATAGTATTTCTATTACAAATAAAAATAAAAATAAAAAGAAGTCTTTGAAAATAACTAGATATTCAATTAAAATGTAATATATACTTTTGTTCTTTTAAAAATTTTATAGACTAAGGAACAACAAATTTTTGAAAATACTTTTCGATGAGTTGGGTATCAATTCTGTGTATTTATGAAAACAGTGAAAAGAGAAAAGAATTTATCAAATTATTCCTAAATAAAAGTATCAGCAATTTGATATCTTTAGTTATATTCTTTATAATAATTTCTGTTTAATATAACTTTGCGATATCTAACTAGACATTTTGGGATGAAGCTGACCAGAATGGTGTTTTTTTTTTTAAATTTCAATGAATATAATGAAATACATTGATCAAAAAAAATGAATTTGTTGGGGTGCCATCCACAAAGATCTTTTAGTTTTAAAAAAGAAAAACTTAATTTTTTGTTTTAAAAAAAATATGAAAAAAATTAAATAGTTAAAATAATTTATCGTCCAAATTATTGACACTTCATTTATTTTTTAATTAACTATAAATACAGACAGATAAATTTTGTTTGAATAATAAAAATGGGACACCAACACTCAAAACTTACCAAAGACGAAATCAATCAACTCGCAAACAGTTCATCATTCACCAAATCAGAGGTAAATGAATTATATCATGATTTCAAGAAGCATGACAAAGACGGAAATGGTGTTTTAGATAGAAACGGTACTTATCTATAATTTAGTATTTAAACCTATATTACAAAGAAAGAAATATAATATTAACTTTATTTCATATTATAATAATAATTACTCTATAGAATTCATTTCATTCTTCTCAACTAGATTACCAAAATTCAACTCTACTCAATTGAATAATTTATTTGATTCATTCGACAGTGATGGTGTATGTAAAAAAAAAAAAACAAAAATATTTGTTAAAAGTTATCTTTTTTTATTTATTTATTAATAGATAAAACTTTTTTAATATTTTTCTAATATTTTTCTATTATATAGAGCGGATCAGTTGATTTCAAGGAATTGGTTGTTGCAACTTCAGTTATTGGTAAGGGTACTGCTGAAGAGAAATTAGGATTTATGTTTGACACCTATGATAAGGATAAGAGTGGAAGCTTGGAGAAGGGTGAAGTCGACAATATCATCAACATGATGATCTCTGTTGGAAAGGCAATGGGTAAGAGTGACAAGGATATCACTGTCTTTGTTAACAAGCTTATCGAGAAGGTCGATGTCGATAAAAACCAAACAATCACTCGTGACGAGTGGATTTCACAAGGTAGCAAGAGTCCATCTGTCTTGACATTGCTCGGTTTGTAAATTATAATAAAAAACAAAACAAAACAAAAACAACAAACAAATAAACACCCAAACAAATCTTTTTATACTTTGAATTATTTAAATTCTAAAACACACCAGCAACAACAACAACCATAGAAAATTTGGCTTATATATATATATCAGATAGATATATCAGTTAAATGAATATTTATTTGTTTTTTTTTAATTAAATTTTGGTGGGACCGATGCTCCAATGGTAAACTTTGGTGGTGTGTTCACTTCTTTTGGGAGTGTTGTCGGCTGGCGACTGATTTTGATTTGGAATGGTTGGTGGGATTACGGCATTTCCAGCGGTTTGGAAAGGGTTACCTATAAAGATACCACCCGATGCAGGGTTAACAGGGAATGGCAATATCGGGGCATTGGATGCTCCTTGTCTAGGTGTCAAAGCAAGTGGTCGTAAGAGGGCCTGAAGTTCTTTGCTGACTAAATCGATCACTGCTGTTAAGATGGTCTGAATCAAACCACCTTGTCCGAGCAAACCATCGAGTAAACCACCACTACCAAGAATTCCACCCAAGATACCTTTTGGTCCGATAATCAAATCCAATAATCCAGGATTGTTAATAACACTGATTGGGATTATTTTCTCTCTTGGTTGTCCAGCTGGTTCGTTTGATTTTATTAGTTTTTAAAATTGTTCATTTGTTATATGTTATTTAAATTGTACTTACAAACTCCGTCTATTACAATATTTTGACCTTGAGTACTTAGTACACGTTTTAGATTGATTACTTTTTCTAATAATTCTTTCTCATCAGGTGTTAGATTGAGAATAGATTCCGAGTTAACAATGAAACTACCAAATGTTAGCAGTATAACAAAGATAATAATTAGTTTAGTCATTATAATTATATATTTATTATGATTTACAATGAAACAAAACTAAATATGAATGAATAGGAAATAGCAACAAAATGTACAAAATATATTGAAATCAAACTCACCATCAATCTTTATCAACCCATAGACTTGATACCAATAAACATTACTCAATGATTTCAGTTATTTATTATCAAAATCTACTACTAGTTCATCATTGATAGTTGAACATACATATACCACACCGAAATATATATTATATTACAAAATTGAAAATGACCTTATTAATAAGCACACCGTGATAGTATTATTTTAATTGTGTGATGTTAGTGTGTAATAATATGTTATCATGGTGATAAAAAAGTGTGTGAAAATTGTAATTTTTTTTTTGATGAAAAACGACAATGTTATCAGATACTCTTTATTTTTCAAACTATTTATTATTATTTTATTTATTAAATATCAATCAAAAATAGAATGTTTGGTTCAATCAAGTCATATATTACAAATAATGTTACATCATTATGTTTAAATTCAAATGTATGAAATACAGATTATATATATATATATTCAGCATTGCATTGCACTGACGACGACAATAGATTCGAATCGATTAATTAGTCAGTCGTCAGACAGTCAGTCAGTCAGTCAGTCAATGGTGCTAAAGTTTAATAAATCGAAATCATATGAAAACTAACATAACTTAACTTACACATATTTTGATGTTGATGATGGTGTGTTTGTTGCTTTTATTATTATTATTTAGAGTACTTTGGCAAATCAAATTAGAAATATATCGACATACAAACAGAAAACTAAACAAGCATGTTCAAAGAGATTCATGTTGACAAAGTCAGGTAATGTAAAGTTTCACCCACGTTCCAATCCCGGAAAAGTCTACTACGTCACTGGTACCCCCGTTGTCAAGACATTCAGAAATGCTTTATTCGCACAGAAATACACTAAATCAAGTTTATACCCAATCGAATGGAACGAAACTAGAGTAGAGATCACTGAATATTTCGAAGATGAAGAACCACAACAATAATATAATAAACATAATATAATAATATATTTAAAATCAGAAATCATTAAAACATCATCACAATTCATCAATTTTTTTAATGTAACATCTATTATGAACAGATTGTAATTAATTAATGATGATTGATATAGTAGTATATATTTATTTAGTTATTTTATTAATTAGACATTGGAATGTATTCGATAAAAGTTCTTCTATTTCGATTCTATTTATAACTGATTAGAGATGTGATAGGTGACTTTTTAAATCGAATGAATGATCATCGGGCAACGATTGTAGAAGCACTTGAATATGAGCTTTTGTGCCTCCACTAAATCGATTCAGGTATTCTAAACTTATGAGGGAAGGAAAGGAAAGGGTAGGGTAGTAGTGTTTGCTACTACCCTAGCAATGTGCTTTAGAGCGCACTATTGCTTTAAGCAACGGTGATTGCAGAATCACCTAAATCATCTTCAACAATGAAATCCTCCTATAAATATAATATTAATGATTAGAATATAATTGAAATCTATAAACTATCAATATGAAAGTAAGAGATTGTCAACTTACAGGTGAATATACGACTTTGAGTAACAATGAACAACTTGGACACTTTGCGATTTCTTCACCCGCCAAAATCTCTTCTTCTGTTATTTTAAATCTGTCACCACTAGTAGTAATATAAAAGAGTAGGTAGATCTAGTTAGTTAGCAAACTGTTCATATAATGATTATGACACTCCACAATTCAAAGTAATAATGATAGTTACCATGGACATGGATAATAGAATACACGTTCATCTTCATCGAAATCCATATCTTCAATCTCGATTTCATCGTAGAACGAAGTTACATTGACGTCAATAACAGCATTGTTCTTTACGTATACTATCTTCTTGTCGTCTGCAGTAGCAGTGGTAGTAGTAGTTTCAGTCTTGGTAGTGCTATTAGTTGTTTCTGTTGATGACGATGCAGCATCATCGGTGTTTTCGACTTTATTATCCTTCTCTGTATCCGACATTGTATACAATTATTATATATTTAGCTATATCAAATTAATGAATGAGTAATACTACTATATATAAAAAAAAATAGTTATAAAAAGTAGGAAAAATAAAATAAAAAAAATTAAAAATTAAGTTTCGTTTTTTTTTTTTTTTGACAAAGGGGTTGTTTTTAAACACATCAAAGTTTGTTGGATTGTTGGAACAATCGATTCAACACAAAACAACCTACTTTGTTTTTTTTATTTCTAAAAATAATTATCTTTTACTAAAGTTATCTTTTACCAAGAATTGTTGATAATTGAGAATTAATTACTTTATCAAAATACTAAAGCAGACGAAACGATATTGAATTCCAAATTTATGTTTCTCTATCTTAAACTAGAATAAAAAAGGTTTAAAAAGATTATTAAAGAATTTTGAACAAATAATAATAGTTTGATTATTTGATTGGAAATGGTTATAATCATATGAAACTTGATTTTAATTTATTTTAAAATTTTAAAAATCCATTTCAAAAATTCGCACAAAGTTTTAATGATCATTTTTTTTTCATTTTCCAAAATTGATGATCAAACATTTCTTTAGTTTGATATTTAAAGATATTAGATTAAATTAGAGTAGTTGTTGTCAAGACTAGGAGGTGTGTTGAGAGGTTTTTGAAAAATGAACAAGATTAATGCTATCTTTCAAGCGTTGGATTCACAGAACTACAAGAACGCTTTGAAGCTATGTAATGCATTCCTTCAGAAAAAGGCAGATCACGCGTTAGTCATTGTATTGAAAGCTCTCTCACTTCAAAAGCTCGGTGAGACTGACGAAGCTGTCAAACTTGCCGATTCCATCGCATTCCAAGGTCAAGTCGATGAGAATGTTATTTCGAATCTAAACTATTTCTATAGATCTGTCAATCAGCGTATGTATATAGCTTGCTAACTAAGTACACTACAAGAAAAACAAAACATTAAATTAACTTTACTTTGATATCTTTTAACTATTTTAGTTGATAAGATGTGTAGAGTATGGGAAGCGTCCTATAAGAAATTCCCAAAACTAGAAAAGTTGGCACAAGGAGTATTCTTGTCATTCTCAAAAGTTAGAGATCTAAAGAATCAAAAGGAGTACTCTGTTATTCTCTCAAAGGAATTCAATACACCAAGAAACAGTTTCTGGTATCTCATGACTCTTTTGACTATGGCAATGGAAAACCCAACCAATCTAAATCTACAACTCACTGAAAGATTAGCTGATAAATTAGCTACTGAAGGAAAATTCTCATCAACTGAAGGTAAATTATATCAATTCCTATCATTTATATATATAATAGTAATTAATATCATTATTAACAAACAAATTTATTATTTTACTTATTAGAATTATTTATTTATGAAACTATTCTTGAAACTCAAAATAAATATCAAAAGTATTTAGAAATCATGAAAGGTAAACTGGGTGATCTGTATAATTATCAACCAGACAAATTGAAACAACTAGCCAAAATATATGAAAAGTTGGAAATGTATAAAGAAGCTTCCGAAAGTTATAAGGAAATCGTTACAAAATATGAGTATGTATAATATTAATTGTTGCTATTAAATTGATCGAATTGTTAATTTCTTTTTTTAAATAATTTTCTTTATAAATAGACCCGATGAATGGTCATGTTTTATTGGATATTTCAATTCAATGGAAAAGATTGAAGGTGTAGATAAGAATGAGATATTCGAATGGATCAAAACACAACAGGCCAATATGAATGTCGCCAAACCAATCAGAGCACCATTCATTGCAGAGTTGGAGTTGGCCAATCGTCAGAAACAAAAGTTGGACGACTTGATTGTCTCTTACTTTAAGCGATTCGGAAGCAAGCCAGTTTGTTTCTACGATCTCAAGTCCTATTTGGTCAACTACGAATCACTCCCACTCGAACAACGCCAACAGCTGGTCGACAATCTCACCCAACTTTTGGTTTCAGATGCCGACGCCGCCTCGTCACCCAACAAATCGTCGGAACGTGTACTCCAATTGGCAAACATCTATCGAGTTCACCGTGCTCTCGGACTCCAATATGGAATGTCTGCCGCCGACACTGACAAGCTAGTAGCAACGCTGCTCGACGAGTACGAGAAGAACAGAGTGTCGACCGCCGCCACTCAACAGATTTCCGAACGTTTGTCTGGCGACGATCTCATCCTGCTTTGCTACCAGATGTTGGCTGACCACAACACCAAGGAATCGTTGATGCGCGCCGCCGCCATCTTGGAGTACGGACACAAGTCCAGTCCAAAGAACTTCCAATTCAACCTCGGACTGATACGCATCTACTTCAAACTGGGTGCGACAACACTCGCCTACAAACACATCAAGATTGTCAACATCAAGAACATCCAGTGGGACACCATGGGATGGTTTATGTTTGACGAACTCTTGCGTGGCGCTTCCTTCCCAGAGCTATTCAGCTCGCTCGAAAAGTCGACGAAATTCTACATTGAGAACGATTCCACTCCCGACTTTGTCGCGCAATGCTACCAAAACGAATCGTACAGCAAGATTATCGAAATCCAAAAATTCCAGGATCGTGTTTCTCACTCATTCCAGCGTGCCGCCAACCAAACGGAATCACAGCTACTCAACTTCTTCATTGCACAACACCGACATCATGACCAGCCAGCCGACAAACTCGGTCAATTCAACTCGATTCCATCGGTGTCGTTCCAACTGCCAACCGAAGAACAACGTGCCAAATATACATTCAACCAAGATCTACAGGTACAGGACCAATGGAACAGCACCACCTACAAACAACCATTGGATGCCACACCAACTCCAGGTATCAATTCATTCACATGGAATTCGAATCAGCAGACACTGATCGAGCAATTGATTTCACGTCGTTTGATATTGGCATTGATTGTTGCTTCAAAGATCACAGTGAATCCAACCAAGGGTGCATCCCCACATGCAACCAACTACGCCGAACTCTTGGAAAAGCTATCACAACAATTCACCAAACTTCCAAGTTCATCTGAATTCAATCTTTCCCTCTACTCAACAATTAGCCAACTCTTCAGCATCTACCATTCTCTCAGAGTACAACTCTCCACTGCCTCATCGATCACACTTGAAAATATTGAATCCAACGTTCAATCATTATTCAATCAATTCATTGAAAATCTTAAATGTAAGAAAGAAATTGATATAAATTAGAATAGAAATATTATATTAATAATTTTATTTTATTTTTTTCACATAGCATTACGTAAAGTGATTTGTGGATCAGTTGATTTGGATAGAATTAGAATGTTGACAACTCATTTGGAATTGATGACATGGGCGTTGTTTGTGTTGTCAGAGTTGAACAAGGTTATTCCATCAAAGAAACAAAAGAAGAAGGATGAAGTTCAGGTGGAGCTAAGAAAGAGATTCGATCAGTTCATTAAAGATTTACAAAGTGTTGGTATCAAAGATATCGAAACAGATCTAGCATCACTCGAGCAATCACTCTCGAAATTAAATATAACAAACAGCGATAATCAACAACAACAACTGCCACCATTCATCGATTTGACTGGAACACTTTCCACCATTGAAGAGAACTCTCTTCAAATCAAAAAACAAATTGCCGGCTATCTAAGCACCCTAAACTCTTTAACCAAATTTGAATAGAAAACAAAACTTTATATAAAGTAATATAAAACTAGAATCTAAATAACAAATATCAAAAAAAAATAAAATAAATGATAATATTATTAATTAATGATATGAAGATAAAAATTTTGTTTTGTGTCAATCATGACATCACATATGTCACTTAATTAATCTAACTTTGGTGGTGATCACACACCTTATTTTCACAAAAAATTTCTAACTTTTCTTAAAAAAAAAACAACCCATTTTTAATTTTAATTTTTTTTTGGTTTGTTTTGCTCAGCTGTGTTGATCAAAGAATGATCATTTTTTGATGAGATATTAGAAAACAACAAAAATTATTTATATTACATGAATTATTTACAATTAAAAATCTGCAGAGACCTACTTAAGGTCTCTAACAAAACATCACTATTCAATGGATACTCAACACCTTCTCAAGTAATTCCAAGGTATTTATAATTATACAAAAATATAAATCATGATATTATTTGTGTACAATAATTAATTATCTATTTTTTAATTATCTTTCAGGTTGTCAGTTAGAAACTATTCAAAGATAACTGTTGTCGATGATAGAAATTGGATATCGATTCCAAGAATCACTGTTTGTGGTGTTGGTGGTGGTGGATGTAACTCTGTCAATAATATGATCAAGAAACAATTGTATGGTGTCGATTTCGTTGTTGCCAATACCGATGCTCAAGCACTGGCCATCAGTGATAGTGAGAAGGTTGTGCAACTAGGAAAGGTATTGACTCGTGGATTGGGTGCAGGTGCCGTTCCTGATGTTGGACGTCGTGCCGCAGAGGAATCACTCGATGAGCTGATGGAGCAGATCGGTGACACTCAAATGCTCTTTGTCACTGCCGGTATGGGTGGTGGAACCGGTACTGGTGCCGCTGCAGTTGTCGCCGCCGCCGCCAAAGCTCGTGGAATCTTGACCGTCGGAATCGTCACCAAGCCATTCCACTTTGAGGGACGTCATCGTATGAAGTTGGCAGAGGCCGGACTCGCCTCTTTGGAGTCGGCAGTCGACAGTTTAATCGTATTGCCAAATCAGCGATTGATGGAGGTCCAGGCTAGTGCCGGATCGCCAATGTCCATCAATCAGGCATTTTCGATGGTCGACGATGTTCTTTACAACGGTGTCAAGGGTATCTCTGATATTCTAGTGAAGCCAGGTTTGATCAATTTGGATTTCGCAGACGTCCGATCGATTATGTGTGACAGTGGAAAAACACTGATGGGAACCGGTGAGGCTGAGGGTCAAGGACGTGATCTTATTGCCGCCGAACAAGCTTTGAACAACCCATTGTTGGAGAATATCGATATTGCCGGTGCCAAAGGTGTGCTACTTAATATTTCAGGTAGTGATGTTACACTTGCCGAGGTCGACCAGATCGTCAGTTTAGTAAGCAGTCGTGTCGACCCATCTGCCAACATCATCTTTGGTTCCACTTTGGATCCAGAGTTGAGTGGAAAAGTTAGAGTCACTTTGATTGTCACTGGAATCAACAATGAATTATTACATGAAAAGTTGGAACAACAATACAATGCACAAGTTCAACAACAACAAATTCAACAACAACAGCAACAACAACAACCACAAGTTCAACATCAACAACAACCACCACAGTTTCAACAAATGAATCCACAACAAATTCAACAACAACAATTCCATCAACAACAAACTAATGTAATGGCTGGAAACAAGCAGCCACAGCAAGGTTCAAGTGTTTTCAGCGGAGCTATCAAACAACAACAAAACACATTCGATCCAAAGCAACAACAACAACAACAACAACATCTCATGGAACAACAAAAACCAAAATACACTTACCCATACCAACAATTCCAGCAACAACAAGCTCAACAACCACAACAAGCTCAACAACCACAACAAGTTCAACAACAACAACAAAAGCCAATGAATGTTCAACAACAGCAACCACAACAATACCAACAACCAATTCAACAACAACAACAACAGCAGCAACCACAACAACAACAAAACTTGATGTACCAACAAGACCAACAACAACAACAGCCACCATTCCAACAAAACAACCAATTCTATAATCAAGTTCCACAACAACCAGAATCACAACCAAAAAGATGGTGGGAGAACTTAATATAATTTGTTCTATTAATTGTTATTATTATATAAATATAAGGTAATTTTGTGACATTTTCTTTTCTCAAATATACACTCGCTTATTTATTTCTATGTACTATTCTGTCATTGTATTTATAATTCGTATAATTCTTATAACAACACCAACGAGATATATCAAGAATTCATGTATTTTCGTGAACATCCACCACCAAAATAGTTAATTTTCGAAAAAAAAAAAACAGAGGACTTTCATATAAAAATGGGAATAATGAATTAGAAGCTTTGACCGAATTATGTTGTTTGGTAAAAAAAATTTAAAATTAAAAAATAATTTTGTCCAATAAACTTGCCCCGAATTATTATAATATCATCACAAACAATTTACACATTGCCAATTTTTATGATAAAACTAATTTTAGACAACACCCTTTGCAAAATCACAAGTTTTTTTTATCTTGTGGTAAAAAGAAAAGGGGCAGTCGAATAGACTGTCACAAAAGGGTGGAACAACAACATAGAGAATTTGAAAAATGAATGAATTAGATATACAGTTTCATGAAATTATTAATAAACCATAGTGCAATTATACACAACTCCATCAATATTTAGAATTAAAATTACAACAACAACAACAACAACAACACTAAACATAAATTATATAATAGTGATTATATAGTAACTCTTTATATCTCTTCAATGTATAGGTAAATATAACACGCACATAAAAATAATTTGACACACACAACACACTGACAAAAATAAATAAACACGCTTAACTTCACTACACTAGTGTAATCAAATAAAAATTCACACACACTTCCACCACCACGACCACACTGTTAGTGTGTGGATTGATCAAACACCAAAACAACACACTCACTCATCACTTTTAATTTCTTTATAATATATATCTCTTCTTTTTGAAGAGGTATAAATAAACAGAAATAAGATAAATAAAATAAATAAACAACGGTCAATCAATAGTAATAATAAATAAAACTACCACAGTATCACACCATTAATACACCACTTACATCACCACTTTCAATCAAATCCAATCATCTCATTCATCAATTGTAGTGAAATTCTTCAGCAAGCTCAACTTTTTGTTTATCAGCAAAAACAAAACAGCAGCGCATCATCATATTAATAATTTGAACATTCAACCTATCTATGTTGGATACCGCCAACAACAAACCAGTTAGCGCCTTATCTATATCCAACAACTACATCAATATTTAAAATTATTCTTCCATCATTCAGGCTGATGATCAGTTCTTTTGTTTTCTCTTTATCAATCATCATAGTACAATTTATACACATTAAAATAGGTTTTGAGATTGTATTGAAATTGTCTTCAAATTCCAGTTAAGTTAAACAACACAAAACAATTAATTTAAATATTTAATAATTTCATTAAATATAACTTCCTCAATAGCTAAATTTAACATTCACATACCCAACAATTTTACATAACAATCCCTACTTCTATTACTATAATACTATCAGTAGTATTATTAATAATAAACCAAAAAAACAAATTAAAATATTATAGATAGGAATCAAAATTATATCGCCACCACCTAAATCTTCTACATCAGATAATCTATCAATCAATCAAATAACAGAGAACAAATTGAAAAAGAATTCACAAAAGAAATATTAATATTGACACCAATCAAATATACTAATTAATAACAAGAGAGAGAATTTGGTTCACTTCAATTCTATTATAATTTATTTGGAAAAGTCTAGATTAACATATAAACATTGAATTCAGATATAATTAAAATTAATTTAACCTACTAAAAAGTAAAAAGGTCTTTCTACATTCAACCTACCTTCATCAAATCAAATCAGTCAAATCAAATCATTTTGTCAAACTACACATTTTAGTTTACATCAATAATAATTATCAGTAATAATATAAAATCCTTTTTTTTTTATTGTTTTTCTTTGTTTTCAATGTCCATATAAAATCAATATTCTAACTCTAATTTTAGCAGGTGTTAATATAATAGTATTATTAATATTGCAGTAGTCTTTCTTTCAAAAAATAGATAGATACAATCAAATAAAATTTATTTATTTAGATATAGATATAGATATATCATAAAATAATAAAATTAATATTTTTATATTCATTCATCATTTAATAGGTATGTCTAATAGTTAGTATTGTTGTTATTATTAATAAATTGATTGTCAATAAAATCAATCAAGTATAGTAACTATAACTTTTATAACACAACTTTGCCCTCTTTCATTTGAATTCAAATCATTTAGTTCATTCACCACACACAGAGCAGAGATGTATATCACAATTCAAATTGCCACAAGTCTGTTTTTTGTTTTTTTTTTGTTTGTTTTTTTTATGTTAATATTTTAATTGTTGAATATTACTTATCCTAAAAAACAAATTTAATCTATTATAATTTTTAACAAACCCCTCTTCCCTTAACTTAATACATACACAAACAAATATTGGATAAAAAGAATTGGTTGTTTTTAAATTAGTTGTCGTTGTTGCAAGTATTTTATTATTTCAACTCACTGTGGTCAAATCAATCAAACAACAAACTATATCATCATAAAAGTAAGGAAAATATCTTATTAAAATTCATATTAAAAAATAATTTAATTTAATATTGTATTTATTGTTTCGAGATTGGATTGATATGGATTTGGGTTGGATTTGTTTTCACTTTCTCTTCACACAACACACTTGAAAATTAAATGATGATATGGATAGAAAAAAAAACACAACAAACACAACACTGCAGACAGTATTTTTTTGCTTATAAAGATATGATATAATATTTAAATTAAAAAACAACACACTCCTTCTGCTGACACACAAACTATTTTGACAATAGAGACAACTTATTATTTCCAAAATAGTAATATTTTTTAAATCAATTTAAATTGGTGTCAGCATAAAGGCGACATTGATATGAGTGAAAGAGAGAGATTGAGAGTTTAAATTTTAATTTTACTCTGTTTATATAATATATTTTTCTTCGGCTTTCATCTATATAATAATATTATTACTATCATCATCGATTTAAACCAACTACCAGCCAGCATCAATACACACATTCCTCCTATTATTTTAAAATTTTTAACGCTTTATCACAAAAATAGAACAGCTACAACATCCAACAGTATTGTGTTTTTAATCAATTCAATTGCATAAAATAATTAAAATAATATTTATTTGATCTTTTTATTATAATTTATAATTAGAGGCATTTGTAAATTAAAGTTATTGATGAAAAAGATAAGATTTCATTCATATAACAATTCAAAAATTATATCATCAACCAACAATAAAATAATTATAATTTAAAATTTCATCAATAACTATCTTCCAAATAAAAAATATTATTTGGATCATTAGTAATTATAATTATCAATATTAATATAATTTATATTAATAAGTAATTTATTTGTAATATAATATAACAAAAATTGAATCATCAATCAATCAATAAAGTAATAATTCACAATCAATCTTCAATTTGTTTTATTTTTTTTTAAATAATAATAATTATTAATTAAAATTTAAAATATAGTATTAAAATGAAGGATGATAAAGATGATATTAGTAGTGGAAATAGTACAGATGACAGTATATCAGATAGTTGTAGCCTAATTTTAGAGGAGGATGTGGGAGATACCTCTCATATGACTCCAGAAGAAATTATATTAAAGAAAGAAAGAATTAGACAACAGGCAGTTAATGAAATTGTTAAAACTGAAACCAGTTATATAAGAGATTTAAAATTAATTGTTAAAGTATGTAAAAAAACTATAGAACCTATTAAAAAGAAAAAAAAAAAATAGTTGGAAAATATTAATATTTCAATTTTAACAAATAGTTATTTATTGAACCAATACGAGGTAAAATTACATCAAATGAATTCAATGATGTTTTTGGATGTGTTGAAGGAATTCTAACAATTCACAGAGATTTAATTGGTGATTTTGAAGGAATACCAACGAAACAACCTTATCTACAAAATATTGGAGAAGTTTTATTTAGATTGGTAAGTTTTGAGTGATAATTAATTATTTAAAATATTTGATTGATTATATTAATTTGTTGATAATTTATTATCATTAAAACAGTTTAGTAACGATGAGTTTACCAAACTTTATGTATCATTTTGTAAAAATCAAACCAACTGTAATAATACCTTTGAGAAACTAAAGAATAATTCCAAGGCATTTGCAAATGCCATCGAAAAAGCAAATGAGAGTCATCTAAGTCGTGGTTTATCATTTTCAATGCTAATCATTAAACCAATTCAAAGAATCACCAAATATCCACTACTATTGAAATCACTAGTCGAAAACACACCTCATGATTATTATGATGTTAGATATATACATAATGCATATTCTAAAATTAATTTTGTAAGTTAAACATTGATAATAATTTCTTGGAATTTTTTGTTTGTCAGCATGTTCTAATTAATTTTAATTAAATTAAAAAGGTATTAGACGAAGTCAATACACAAAAGAGAATATTAGATGAAATATTATATGATAAGAATAGATTAAAGGATATAGAAAACAGTCTTTGTTTCGAAGATGTAAAGTGGACGGAATCGAGGAATCGAAAAGTTGTAAAGGAAGGACTTTCTTCAAAGGGTTTGGAGAAAGAATATTTACGTTGTATATTATTTAATGGTAAATAGTTTAGTTTACTATTATTATTATTTTATTTTTCTGTGTATTAATAGTGTTCCTATATAGATGTTTTAATTTTGGCAAAGAATAAAAAGAAGATGGCAAATGTAAAGACTATTATAACACTGAATAGAGTTATCGTTAGAAATGTAATGGAGGAACAATACGGTGCTACTCGTGGCTTTGAAATGCTGCTACTCGATAAGAAGGACAAGATACTAAAGTTCTATTACAACAATGAAAATGAAAAGAATGAGTGGTTCGAGCAGATCTATCTCTATACCAATAGAATAGCCGATCCAGCTGTGATAAGTAAATACAAATGGTTCCTTGAGAAGTGTCCATCTTATATTCTGAGTATGAATCAAACACTGGGTGCATCGACAAACTCTCTCTACAATTCATCGTCACTTTCTTCGTCGGATCTCTTCAATTCCGTTTCATCGGGAAGCTCGACACCGACTCACATTGATTTCATCAAAGATTCCATTATAAAAGCAGAGGTTGCTGCCGGTTCACTTAAGGGTGTCAAAGGTCTGAGTTCTGTCGGTGGCTATCCTTTCAACCAATCGAGTGGTAGTCTAAGAGAGCAACCGAGACGTCCACCTCCTCCAAGTGTACACGACATTTTCAGACGATCTTCAGGTAGCGACAGCGCAGTGCCAATCTCAGTCGACGAGAACAACAACTTTATGTCGCCACCTCAAATGTTGTCACCGCCAAGTCTCAACGGATCGTCTTCCAGTACAATAAGCAACGGTTCTCAATGTTCCTCGGGATCACCTACACCCGTTAGCTCCACCAATTCAACTCCAACCATCACCCCATCGCAATCTTCAACCTCTGTATCTTCAGCGACCCGCTCCAATTCCACAAGTAACTTCTCACGCGCTTATTCCGTTCCATCGTTTACCAGTACCAATGAGGAAATGAAACCCAATCCAAAGAAGATGCCACCAACTATCTCCTCTATCACATTGACATCGATCGATGTTGTAGAGAAGGAACTGTCACCAAACAACGTACCCTCGGGAAGCGAGAGATATCGTCCGCCAGTACCGCCACGCGCACCCACACCAACCACACCCAACTCTGGAACACAGTCACCGGTGCCACCACAAATGATGGAACAATACGACAATCTCGACAGTGCTTTTGAACTGAACTCCAAAGGTAAAATGGCACCGCCACCACCACCTCTACCCTCAAGAATTACTCTACAACCACCTCCATTCCTTCCCACTCCACCGCCACTCTGTCAATCGACTCCACCATCCGCCTTCTCCACCTCCTACACCTCACTGGCCGAAATTTCACTCCTTCCAATTCCACCTCCACCCTCTATCAGCTCTGGACCGTCTCCTCGTGCATCGCCAAGATCTCCAAGATCTCCAAGATCAATACCAAATATTTACAGCAACAATACAACAAATATTAGTAATAACAGACTACCAAGCTATCCTCCACCACCACTCCCAACAACGGCAAGCTCTGGACAATTTCCTCCATCTTATCCACCACCACCACCAATGAACACCAACAACAATTTCAAACCCAAAGCAATGATGCCAACCTCAACCTCGAACTCTGTATTTAAGAAACCAGCACCACCAATCAATCATCCCATTCACAGTAATTCAATGGAATCACTAACCAGTATTAACAGTCTAAGCACTAGTTCAATGTCTGCATTCCAAAGACCTAAATCAACTAATAACCATTCGGCGGTGCCACCAACCACCACCACCACCACCACACCAATCAAGAATATGACTCCACCAATCATGCCAGCACCACCTCCGATTCAAGCAACACCACTACCATCGATTTACAATAAATTCACCAATATCAATAACCAACAACAAAACAACAACAACAACAACAATAACACATCCAACAACTTCAACAAAAATACAGTTCAACAACAACTACAACAACAACAACAACAACAACAACTTTCAAACAATGGCATGGGTAATGGTAGATTACCACCACCACCTCCAAAATCAACACCGATTCCAAGCAACAAACCACCTGCATCACCTGGTTCTTTCAAACTACCACCTCCACCCAAAATTCATTCATCTTAAAACAACTAAAAGAAACATCAATAATTTATTCCAAATAAAATATTATAATATAATAATTTGTATATTAATTAATGTATAATTTTAATTTAAAAAATTATTTTTTTTATTTTAGTGTTTTATGTTGCTCACTCAATCTTTCATTAATTCTAATAATTATTAATTATTTCTCTATTTACTTGAAAGAATAAGCTCGTTTATTTTCTCATATGTATTTATTTATATTAAAATGGAGATCTATCAATTGTAAATAGGTCAATATTGATGTTGATGAGGGTGGAGATCATAGATGATTGGTGTTGAAAATATCAATGACTATCAAATAATTACACAACCCCCGACAAAATCCATATTATTCAAGTTCATTCCGTCCACCACTTTTTCATCTTAAACTAAAACTCTTCACTATTCTAAATATAAATTCTAAAATTAGAATCGTTTATACTATCTAAAATACATTGTATTACATATTCAAATCTCTCTCTCTCATTGATATTTTTTCTATTCTATTTCATAACAATCAATATCGAATTTAATCATCCCAATAAATAGAATAAAATAAAATAAAATATAGAACTAATTATGTCAAGATTTGACATTGGATTCATCATAATATTATTATGTTTTATTTTAAACTTATATATTTCTAATGGTAGTTCTTTGGAAGAAGAAGATGATCGATTTCATTCAAATGAATGTATACATGACAAGTTTGCTACGGAAATGACACAAAAGATTGCAGAGACATTAAATATAATTGGTCCAATGGATGGAGTACTGGACAGATCCAAGAAAATTGTAAGGGAGATCAATGACCGTTTACCGATTCGTATACAATTCGATACATCACAAATCATGAATGACAGCTATGCCTGCTATCATGTTGGTGATAAGATTATCACTGGTGCCATTCCAAATTCCGGAAAGAAACATAAGAAACTACCGGATTGTATAGCAGGCGATGAAGAACCTTGTATCTACACTTGTCAGGAATACGATGTAATCACACCTGAGATGCTCAATATGACCGAATCCATTCTGGAAACAATCAACAATGTCTTTACCAATTTGCTTTCAGTCGATAGAGAACCAAAACTACAACTTGGAAAAGTTGCCTATGAATCATTTGGTGGACAATGTTGTGCTGGCGTAAAAATACCAGAAACTGCACTTGATCCAGGTATTCCAGATACCGATTTCATGGTATACGTAACAATGAGACCACTCAATTCTAAAAGTAAGTTACATAAGACTACTCTTATCATTATCATTTAAAACCTGTTTAACTAATTTCAAATTTAATTAATATTTAGGAATTGCAGCATTTGCAGGAGCTTGTAATTACAAAGTTTATGGACACGGTGTATACGGAAGACCATTGGCAGCATACATTAATTTCAATCCATTCTACTATAGCAGTTTTGTTGGTTCCACTTCATTGGCCAGGACCGATATGACTCACACTAACTTTGTTAGAATTGCCATACATGAAATGATTCATGCTCTTGGTTTCTCTAAATTCTTCTTTGAGAAATCATTTATCAATTCAGTTGGTGATCATTATAGTATGTATTTAAATATAGATATAGATTCTATCATTTATTAACTAATATATTAAATAATATGTTTGTATAAAGGTGCTGTTAGAAATGTAAAGAGAAAAGGTATAAATAATCAAGGTGAAGTTTATAGTTTCGTACAACCGGTGATTGATTCACCAAATGTTGTTAATTACCTAAGACAACAAACCGGCTGTCAGGATATAAAGTATGCAGATCTGGCATTCAATGGAGGTAGTCATTGGGGAACCAGCACCGTTGGTGATGAGATTATGGTTACCACTTCATCAGCGAGATCAGTGAACCCAATAAGCAATCTAACATTGAATCTACTCAAAGATACCGGTTGGTATGATATCAATTTTGAATATGCAGAGCCACTAGTAAAGAATAGAGGTCTGAGATGCGAAAGTCAATCAGGTGGTGGTGGAATTGTAGTTTATTAAATAATCATTTGTAAATTTATTAAAAACAAATGTTCTATACAATTTTAACTTTTCATGATTTCTTTTTGCTAAAACTAATTATGTGTGTGTGTGAAAGAGAATGTCTGTGGAAAATGTGTAGAAATATAACTTATGTTTCATAATTAATGGTAGATCTGATCAGAACTCATGTACATAATAACAATTGTTATGATTACTAAACACATGATATAATATGTTCAAACGTTTTTACTAACAGTTTAAAAAAAAAAACAAAAAATAGAACAAATAATTAAAAAAAATAAAATAAAATAAAATTAGGTATTATTCTATCGCATAATATTCATGTCATGACTTGACTTGTGTGCAAAAAAACGATGAACAACACACCCATTTTTGAAAAAATAGTAGATTAATTTTTGTTTCAAACATACATTATAATTATTTTAAACATTTGTTCTATCTTATTCAATAAATATATTATAATAATTGTAAAAATATTGTAAATAGAAAGTGTTTAATTTAGTTTTATTAAATTAGATTAGATTGTAGATCTTTATAGAGTTATATAAATAATAAACATAAAAAAAAAAAAAAACGATGAGTAGAAATTCATTGCTTTCATTAACAAGATGTTATAGACAACATCATTTAAATACTAGTAATGCTGCTGCTGGTGTTTCATCATTAATAAAGTCAAATATTTCATCTTTGGTAAGTGTTGTAGTAGTTGAAAAACTTAAATTAATCAAGTTTAATTAACATATTATGTTTATATGATTTAGTCAAACAATGTCAATAGTGAATTGAAATTGAATCAATACTTCAAGAATGGTGGTTTGGCATCATCATTAATTAAAGAAGAACAACAACAACAAACCGATCGTTTAGTTCAGAATAATACAACTTTAAGATCATATTCACAAATCAACAAAGCACAACAACAAAAACAACAACAACAACAACAAACAAATGTAGATATATTAGCAAAACAATCAACACCACTTCGATGGGTACCTATAAAATCATCTTCACAATTATTCGCATTGAATAATCATTTCATAAAATCAAATATCGATTATCAAGTTAGATTGATCTCTACAAAGAAAAAAGGTTCAACCGTAAGTTAATATATATAATAGCTATTGAAATATTTCATTTAGTACCAACTACTAACATCTGACATTAATGAATGTTCAATAGATTTTTAATAAAGAAAAAGATAGCTATGATTATGGAAATGGTAAATCGGATGGTAATCAAACAAAGGGATTCCTGTCGTTACCACAACCTTTGGAGGTCAAAGTACAAGGAAATACATCACCACTGAAAATCTTTGTAATCATGTTGATCACCGCTAGCGTTGTCTATTACTTTTATTTTAACCAAACGAATCCCGGAGCATCCGGTAGTTCCAACTCGAGTGGTATTCTCTCTGTGATCACTTCGAAACCCTACAAGAAGGTTTTGCAGCGTCCAAAAGAGACGTTCGACGATGTCATTGGTGCAGACGAAGCCAAGTCAGAGCTACAGGATCTCGTTGATTACCTGCGCAATCCAAACAAGTATATCGACCGCAACATTGTGATTCCCAAGGGTATCTTGCTGGTCGGTCCACCCGGTACCGGTAAGACACTGCTCGCCAAGGCGTTGGCAGGCGAAGCACGCATTCCCTTCCTGACGATCAACGGTTCCGAATTTGAGGAGATGTTCATTGGTGTCGGTGCTAAGCGTGTTCGTGACCTCTTTGAAACCGCCAGAAAGAACGCACCTTGCATTGTGTTTATCGATGAGATCGACTCGGTTGGTGGATCGCGTTCCAAACGTGTCAACTACCATCCTTCGGAAGCTTTGAATCAGCTGCTTGTAGAGCTCGATGGATTCAACGGACGTGAAGGTGTCGTAGTCATTGCCGCCACCAACTATCAAGAGACGTTGGATGCTGCGCTCGTCAGATCCGGACGTTTCGATCGTTCCATTCAAGTTCCACTGCCAGATTGCAAGTCGCGTAAGCAAATCATCGAACTCTACTTGAAGAACAAGAAGTTCTCCACCGGTGTAAACACACAGATCATCGCTCAGGGAACACCAGGATTCTCGGGTGCCGATCTCTTCAATCTTGTCAACTGGGCTGCTTTGGACACCACCAGAAACGACCGTCCAGAGATCTCGATGGAGTCACTCGAGAACGCCAAGGAAAACATTATCATGGGTAAGGAAAGACACTCGCTAATCTTGTCGGACGAAGCAAGAAGAATCTGTGCATATCATGAAGCTGGTCATGCATTGGTTGCTCTGTTCACAGAGGGATCGAAGGATGTCCACAAAGCGACTATCATGCCACGTGGTGATGCCCTCGGTTTGGTATCGATGTTGCAAAAGGACGACTTCTTCCAGACCAAGAAACAGTACTTGGCTGAAATGGATGTAGCTATGGGTGGTAGAGCCGCCGAGGAATTGGTACTCGGCGTGGACAATATCTCACAGGGTGCATCGAGCGACATCAAAAAAGCAACCTCCATCGCAAAGAGCATGGTAATGAAACTCGGTATGTCCGACAAGGTCGGTAAGATCTACATTGACTCTGAGAAGAAGCTGAGTGTTCAACAGCGTGAGTTGGTCGATAGCGAGGTCAAAGCCTATCTCGATCAATCGTTTGAGCGTGCCTGTGAGCTACTCAAGAAGCACTCCAAGGAGCATCATCTACTCGCCGAGGCACTCCTAGAATACGAAACATTGAATCTCGAGGAGATCAAGAGTATCATCAATAAGAAGCCATTGGTCAACAAGAAGAATCGTTCGGAGCTGCTAAAGGAACGTGAAGAGAAAGAAAAGAAGAGACAAGAGGAATTCAAAAAGAAAGACACCACCCAACCAATGCCAAAATCAAACATCATTGTCATTCCACAGTCTAACAACCCAACACCATCCACCAACAATCCAGGTAGATTGAGTATTTCCATCTCAAGACCAGGTACATCACAACAACAACAATCAAACAACAATGTCAACAACAACAACAACAATAATAATAACAACAACGAACAACAATCATCTTCAAATAACACCAAACCAAGTGAAGGAAAGAATATAACAATTACCGATGCAAATAATAAGAGTGATATTAATAATAAATAATTAAAATTATAAGATATAAATAAAAATTGACAGAGATATATATATATATTTACTTATATTAATTATAAATATCAATATTATATTATTAATTTCTTGGAAAAATTTTAATTTGCAAATTTCCTTTTTTTAAAAATTAATTTTTTTATGGCAATCAAAATACCTGTCGGTAGAAAATATGATGATGGTTAAACATCACTTGTAACGATTTATTGCTAACGGTTAGATATTATTATAATGAATAAGAGACCAATCGATAATTTACATAATAACAATCTCTATAGTAATAATGCTAATAATAATAATAATAATGGTTTCAATCAATTCACCAGTAATAAATCAATCAAATCGGGTGTAACTACTAAATCACCTATCTCTTCAACAACCTCATTTCAAAATAAATCGATTATATCTTCACATAACTATTCAAATAATATAAATAGTTTAAATAATAATAATAATTTCAATTATTCAAATTTCAATAGCAATCAAAATAATAATGCATTAAATAACAACAATCATAGATTTCCGAATGGAGTAGTGTATCAAACTAAAATATTATCGAATCCAACTGTGAATACGATTTCCACTTCTACTTTGACAACTCTATTGCCAGCAACGAATTCATCGGCCTATCCTGTAAATAACAATGTAAATTCTTTTCAATCACCTCCAATTATTTCAAAACCAATTTCAAAAATTTCGACAAACCCAACAACATCACCATCATCAACAGCAGCAACAACAACAACTACAACATCGACAAACTCTACAACAAACAATGGTCATATACAAAAACAACAATTACAACCTACAACAACTAGTCCTATAGTTTCACCAACAAACAATGGTTTCCCATCATTTAATACCACTGGTCAAAAGGTTTTAGGTAAATTCACAGGAAGTAAGCAGCAACAACCACAACAACAACAACAACCACAGATCCAACAACAGCAACAACAACAGATACAACAACAAAATAAAATACAAACAACATCTTTAAACTCTATTTCAAACAACATTCAAAACAAGAATAACAATGGATTTATTAATCCTAATGATACAAATATTTCAAAATCAAAATCTAATGTAAATCAAACAACACACAACAATCATAATAAATATAAAAACAAAGAGAATGTTCAAAATCAACAATCAATTATAAAATCAGCACCTCAGTTTCAAAACAATGTAATAAATAACAGAGCTTTAAATGCCAATACTATTAGTAACAGTATTGGTAGTAATAGTAGCAACAGCAGTAGTAGTAGTAGCAGTAGTGGAAGTGATAGTGGTAGCAATAGTAGTGCTGGTCATACAAGTGGAAGTAGTAATAGTAATAGCAATGGTAGTAAGACTAGTAGTAATAGTGGGTCATCTGCATCTCAGTTTGAATTTGAATTTGCAGAGGATGAAACAGCTTCAGAATTCTGTGATGAATTGCAATCAAGTCAATTTAGTAGTTTCTATGATCAAAATACCTCTCAGAATCGACAACAGATTGAAGATGAATTTAAGTTTAATTTAGATGATCAATCACAAGATCCTCATCATAGTCAATTACTATTGGTTCCATTTAATAATGATAACAACAACAACAATAATGCTAAACAATCTAACACCAGGAAATTCGTAAGGAAAAAGGTTGATCCAACTACAGTCTCTCAGAGGATAGAAGATTGTTGTAAACAACTCTTTGATTTACCAGAGATGGTGTCAAACATCTACATTAGAAGAGGTATAAAAACTTTATATGATTGGCAGAAAGAGTGTTTAACTGATGGTAATCTACTCGATGGCAGTAACTTAATATATTCTTTACCAACATCTGGTGGTAAAGTAAGTAATTAACTATCTATTCATACTTTAGTTATTCTCAATTTGCTAACTATCTTTCTTTCATTCTTTTTTTCTATTTCTCACTTTAGACATTGGTTGCAGAGATTATATTACTTAGAAGTGCACATCTTCAAAAGAAAAAGTGTTTGTTTATATTCCCATTCGTTAGTATTGTCACTGAGAAGGCGGAATCGTTGGTGGAGTTTGGACAGCAATTGAAATTCTCGGTCGATGCTTACTATGGAATACAGGGTGTGATACCGGTGCCACCTGGAAACGGAATTGTTGTATGTACCATAGAGAAAGCGAATATCATTGTTAATCAGATGATTGAGGACAAGCGAATGTCAGAGATTGGTACTGTTGTCATCGATGAGTTGCATATGATTGGCGATGGCGAGCGTGGTGTGCTGCTGGAGATGCTCATCTCAAAGATATTGTTTGTCACCAAGGGCAGTGTGCAAGTGGTCGGTATGTCTGCGACCATTCCGAACCTGGCGATGATGCAACGGTGGTTCCGCGGTGGTGTCTACGAGAAGCAGTTCCGGCCTGTCAAGCTGGAGGAGTTTGTGCGGTTCGAGGAAAAGATCTACGCGAAACCCGATGGTGCACCCGCCAGACTGGAAGAGTCGAGACAGCTGGAGAAAGGCGATAATCTTGTGCATTTGGTGAAGGAGGTGACATCGGAGGGTCATTCAGTGTTGGTGTTTTGTCATACCATTGAGTTGACCGTGTCGATTGCCAAGAAGATTGCCACTGCGCTGCCAGAGGAACGACAGGTCAAGAAGGACGAGAAGGATATACTGCTGCGTAACTTGGGTGCAGCGACATTCCCGAATGCCGACGATAATCTCAAGGCGACGGTGCCCAGTGGCGTTGCATTCCACAATTCAACGTTGACCAACGATGAGAGAGAGATTATCGAACAGGGTTTCAAAGAGAGAACTCTCAATGTGCTCTGTGCGACATCCACTCTGAGTGCCGGTGTAAACTTGCCGGCGAAAAGAGTTATCATTAGAACACCAAAGATGGGTTATAACTTCATCTCGACGAGACTCTACAAACAGATGGCAGGTCGTGCAGGTCGTGCCGGTATTGATACTTCCGGTGAAAGCTATCTCTATTGCACCGACAAGAGAGAGTTTGATAAAGCAAAGAGTATTATAACCTCTGACTTGGAACCTGTTGTCTCTGGTCTCAACGATAATCCAAGGCAATTTCAAAAGATTGTATTAGAATGTATATCTTCAGGTATTGCAAATAATGTAAGTGTGTAACTTTACAATTACTGATAATAGCAATAACTAACTAACTAATCATACTTTCTTATAGATTAAAATAATATTAGAATTCTTTTCATGCACATTTTATTGTTGTAACATAATCGTACCTCAGGCACATAAGAAATTAACTGCGCTCGAGTACCTTACATTGGAGTTGACCAATACATTGAATGAATTGGAAAAGAGTGGGTTCATCCAGAAACAAAAACCAAAGACTGATGGAATAGATCATTTCGGATATGAGGAGAAACCAATGCCTCCTCTTGACACACCAATTGAAGATGTTATTTGGGGTATGTTTGTTAACAAGCTAGAAAATCTTTGTTATTTAGTAACAATATCTAAATTATTCATTCAATCTACTTATAGAACCAACAGGTTTAGGTGCTGCTACATTTAAGTCATCGCTATCAACCGATCAAGCTAGAGTTGTAATGAAAGATTTATTAGCCAATCAAGCTAAAGGAATTATATTAATTGATGAATTACAATTATGGTAAATATAATATTACAACATAAATTGTTATTAATATATATACATGATTGATTAACTAACTAAACAAAATATGATTTAAAAAACAGTTTTATAACAACACCAATGTTTGGATTACCTTTTATGAAAGCAGAGCATTGGGTAATGTTCAAGAGAATATACCAGTCAATACAAGATTCGAAAAAGGAGAAATATGCAATTGCCAAAATAATTGGAATCAGTGGAGACTATATAGATAATAAGGCCAACGGTGACTCTGAGCTCGATCAACAAACAGAAACCTCTCTCGCCAATTTACATTGTAGGTTCTATGTAGCGATGGCACTCTGTGATCTGATTCAAGAGAATCCATTGTCGGTTGTATCGGCGCGTTACAAGCTTGGCAGAGGAACCCTACAGAATCTGATGCAAAGTTCCGGTAGTTTCGCTTGGATGGTTGTTAGTTTCTGTAAGAAACTACAGTGGTGGGCACTCGAGACATTGATCAACAGTTATATTCACAGGTTGGACAGCGGTGTCAAACAGGATATCCTGCCGCTCGTTGAGATCAAAGGTGTCGGTCAGGCTAGAGCGAGAGCACTGTTCAACGCCGGTTTCACAACGGTCAAGTCGATCGCCGCTGCTGAGCCACACACCATCATGCAACACGTAAAGTCACTGTACAACATGGAGAAAGTAACAATGAAGATCATCAATGCCGCCAAAGCATTATTAGAAAGACAATCTGCAGAGCTCAGAAAGAAAGCTCAAGAGTTAACATTGGAAAATAATTAAGTTTATAAGTCAAGGCAATCAATTTTCACTTTTGTTTTTTGTAAACTAATTAATAAAAGTGATCAGCTGCAGTGTATTCAAATTTAAATCAATATTTACTACTATTTCTTTTGATAGTTGTTTTAACAGTTGATATTTAATGATTTTGATTATTTCCCTGGTAATGTTGTGGGTTGAAAGTCAAATGGAACCTTGCATCGTTCAAGTGGTCAAAAAATTCAAATTCGCGCCCAATTTTCCAAACATTTTTTCTCCTAAATTGACAATCTAAAAATAAGTTGACTTTTGAATCTTCATACCCCTCCTCTTCAATTTGTGGTTGGAAGGTTACATTTGCTTTTAAAATAAATAAATGATTTAAAAAAAAAAGCTTAACATTTTTCGTCAAATTCCTGGAAATGATTGCATGAAATTCTGTTTATAAATACCAACCGAATCGCTACTATATGAAAAGTCATCAAATAAACAAACATTTTAGTTTAAGCAACTATCTATAAATATTTAATTTTTTTTACACCATACCATTATAATTCTTTATAAATAATTAATATGTCGTTACCAACATTACATTACTTTGATATCAAGGGTAGAGGAGAAGGTACTCGTCTCTTACTTGCTTATGCCGATGTCGAATTCGTTGACAACAGATTTGAATTCGCTGCCTATCCAGCTGAAGTTCGTGCCAAAACCATGTTTGGTCAAGTACCACATTACTCTGACGGTGAAGTAGAGTTGTCACAATCGGTAGCCATCGAAATGTACCTTGCCAAGAAATATGGATTGTATGGTAGTACTCCACTCGATGAAGCCATGATCATGAGTTATATCATGTCGACTCATGATCTTTTCATTGGATTCTTCTTTGCCAAGAATGGTGGTGCTGAAGCTCTTGCTAAATTCTACAATGAAACCGTTCCACGTCTTGTCTCCTCCTGGGAAAAGGCTCTCATTGCCAATGGTGGATCACATATCTACGGAAAAACCATGACCTGGGCTGATCTAGGACTCTTTGGTACCATTGACTATCTCTTTTCAATCGGCGAACAAAAAATGTTTGAAGGTAGTCCAGCATGTCTTGAATTCCACCGTCAAATGTCTGAAGTACCAACCATTTCCAAGTACTTGAAGACACGTAAAGTTACTACTCGTTAAACTATAAATAAATAATGTATTTTAATTTCCATTGACTTTTTTTGATTTGTTTCAATTTTTTTTGTATAGAAACTTTCAATCAATTTTAATTTTGTTTTATCTTTTTTGAATTATTTTTATTTGAAAACTTGAATAATCTAATCAAATAAAATGTGTTTAATATTTTTTGAAAAGTTGATCAATTGTATAATCAATCATATATTTTCTTATCTTAATTTGAATAGTACCACCAACTGGTGAAACAACACAATAAAAAAAAAAAATTAACACAATTACTTTTTAAAAATAAATAATATAATCATTTTATTAAAACATATGATTGATTTAATTGTTCATTATTCCTCTCATTCTATCTATTAAAAAATTTCTTTTAAACAAATAAATATTAATTGACAACTTGTTTTTATTTTTTTCAAAATTAATTCTTTTTATTATTTTTTTAATTTAATTTCTTAAATTCTTAGTTTTTAGTTTTTAAAGTTTGTAGTTTATATTTTTTTTATTTTCAAAATAGTTAGATAATTTATATATAATATCAGATTAAAAAGAGAAATATATATAAATAATATGAGTTCTAGAAATCAAGGTCAAAACTATAGTCATGGTCAACAATCATCACCAAATCCTAGAACCACCTCGAATCGAGTGAATCGAGGTGATGTACAAGTAGAGACAATCAGAACTAGAACACCGAATGGCTACCAACAAGTCACTAGAAGAGTATCGAATGACGGTACCTCACAGACATTCACCAGTAGCTACAGTTATAGCACTGGAACCACTCCGATGACACCGTCAGTCGTTCAGAATCCAACAAACTCTCCAACCACCGTCTCTGGAACCTATCAAAGACAAGGATCGTTCCTTGACAATGGTCAAGGTGTCGGTGGTTTCGCCAGTGATTGGAGTCATCCTGCGTTCTCAAATTTCAATTCACCGACTCAACAGTTGGTCAGTCGTAGCGGTCAGAGACGTCAGTATAATCCTGCAGAGTACGACGACGATGATGATGAAGAAGCAAAGAGAATTAACCAACAACCAGAGGAAGAAGAAGAAGAGGGGGAGGAAGAAACAATTAATGATATAGATGAAGATATTTCAATGGAAGATCTACAGAGATATGAGGAACAACAACTCATGGAAGCAATTAGATTATCAAGAGAACTTAACAATAGTACTGGTAGTAATAGTAGCTCCAATACCACTGCAAGCAGTTCCAATGCCACAGGATATTATGATGACGAGGAAGATCTAGAGTTACAAAGAGCCATCAACGAATCAATGAGACAACAGAATCATCAACCTAGTAATAGACCACCAACACAAACATCATCATCATCACCATCACCATCACCTTCATATTCATCAGCTTTGCGTAGACAGCAACAACAGCAACAGCAACAGCAACTACTACAGCAACAACAACAACAACAACAACATCACTCTCATCATTCTCATTCATCATCATCATCACCTAATAGACAACATTTCAGTGGTCAAACCAATAGATCAGTTTCAACAAGTAAACCACCAAAACCAATCAGAAGGAATGCTGCCTCACCTTCTTCTTCTTCTTCTTCTTCAAGTTCCTCATCTTCACCCAAACCACCTTCTTCAGTCAAGAAGCGAGTTAAAGTCCGACAAGATCTAAATGAATACTTTGAGGAGGAAGACACTACTCGCAACGAATTAACTTCGAGTCATGAAGAAGAGGAAGAGCAACTCTACAACGATCCTGAACTTAGAGGTTATCTTTCTCAGACAGAACAGATGCGTATTCAAAACGAACAGAATAGAAGAGAACAAAATCGACAAATAGATGAATCCAGACGTATTAGACAAGAACAAGAGAAAGAATTCAATGATTCTCTACGCAAGGACCAACAGAAACAAGAGGATGAAGAGTTGGCTATCGCAATGAAACTATCAATGGAGGCAACTGCAGAGGCACTCCTAAATACAAAGAGAAATAACTTGGCAGTGGACCCATCGACTCTGCCTGCCGATCAAATCAAAGGTCGTGAGCGTGAAATTTGCGAGATCAGTGTATGTCTACCACCAGATGGTAAGCGTATTACAAGAAAATTCTTTGTCAATGCGACACTACAGGCTGTACGTGAATGGATAGAGGTGTATGTTCATGACGAGGGTGACTCTCGTCAACTTCAAGAAAACTATCAATTGGTAACCACTTTTCCCAAAGAAATTCTATCAGATGTATCAAAAACATTATTGGAATTGAATCTCTACCCTAGATCAATATTAAATTTAAGTAATCCATAATCTATAATAGTACAAACAAACAAACAAACAAACCAACAAACCAAGCATCATCACAAGAGAATAGATAATATACTCATAAGAATTTGTTTATAGACATACAATTAGTTTTGAAATTATAAAAAAAAAGAATAATGTAAATAAAAATTAGATCGTAACAGATTTTTTAAGCAATATCGTAAACTTTATTTGTTTTTTAAAAGATTTAATAGTTGCTTTGCTAACATACTTGATGATTCTTGTTGTTGTTGTTGTTGCGGTTGAGGTTGATTTACATTGGCTGTATTACTAAGGAGTAAAACAATTTCTGTTAAACGGTCTTGTATTGTGAATATAAGTTCAGGAGCACATTTAATGATAGCACCTAACAATCTTAAACCAGCCAAACATAACTTGTCATTATAATTTTGTTGTTTAATAGATTCTAACATTAGATCATACAAGTCATCGGTATGAGGAACCAAATCACTTATGCTATCCAACTTTACAACAATACTATAGAGGATTTGAATAATTGCTATTTGAATATTGTGCTGTTGTGATTGTGATTGCGATTGTATAAAGTATAATCTGATTAAGGGTGTGAATATGATTTGTTTAAAATGATGGATAGTTGTTTTGTTTTCTATGATTTTTGATAGTGTCATAAGTGAGTGGAGTAGTTGTAGCTTTATAGTAGTGGAATCATCGCTATAAAGATGCTTAAGTAGTGTTATGATTATTATTTGATTATTACTTATATCCGTTAGTTGATTTAGCTGTAACTTGTGAGATCGAATTGACTCCACACTAATAATTTGTGATGTTTGTTGATTTTCTAAAGTTGCTTTGATAATGAAAGCTAGACAATCGGCTGCACCCATCTGTAACTTTTTCATTTCAATATCTGTGGCCAACGTTGAACTAATGATACACCAGATGATCTTCATCAAAGGTTGGAGAAGTTTGGTCGATGTGGCAACAAAGAGCATATCATTCGGCTGTACGAGGAATCCATTGCATAGGGAGAACAACAGTTGTTTGGAGAACAATAGATCACTTTTAATATCGTTGGTTTGTACTAATCTACCCAAGATAGCTACTACAGAGCTGAACCAGTGTTTACATGGAATATAACTGATCGATTCTGATGCAACTCTCTTGGTTTCAATAATCATCGATGGATTATTACTCATTACTCTCACCAAACACATTTGATATAATTGATCCATTATTACCAATCTACTATCTTTATCTGTGCCGTTGTTATTTCTATTGTTTAACTCTTTCAATGTCATTTTCAATACTAATAATGGAGATAAAAGTTGAAATACTAAATCATCTTCATATTCTGTTCTATTATTTAAATCTACTAGTTGAACTTGTAACTTATCACCAATGTTTACTAATACTATATCTACTATTATAAAAGTTGGAATATGAAGCAGTAGCTTTTGATATAGTTTTGAAATCACTAAATCCTTCGGAAATGACCACCATTTAACCAATAAACTATTGACCAATTCTCTCCAATAACCAACTTCAGATAGACTGCTATTTAATTTATCTGGTATTATATTAATGATTCTATCTATTACTTTTGTATTTATACCTATATTACTATTATTATTATTATTATTATTATTATCTACAGTTGTTGTATTTATATTATTTTCATTAGAATTGTCAAATGTCAATAAACTATCTGGTGTGATAGATTGGAATTGTCCATTATAATCCATAATGTCACTCGTTAAAATCTTTGTATTTCTAAATTAATTAAAAAATAATCAATTGTTAGTTATGATTTCCATTAATAAACATTAATTAAATGGTTTGATATTACAATAAAATATCCAATAATATATTGAAGGAAATATTACTATGATTTGATTGTAATATTGCTAGTAATGTATCATTATAAAAGGTAGTTGTTGTATTATTCTCTATATCTTTACTTATATAATCAATTGTGATTGGTAATGAAATACTATTATCTATATATTTAAACAAGTCGATTGAATTTGATCGTTGATTATTCAATATTATTTTAGTTAATCTTACTATAAAAGTAATACTAGTGTTATTGACTTGTAATATCGACTTGTTAATCTCTATTATTTCATAAAATAGTTGAATATAATTATTGAATAGTTGTTGTTGTTGTTGCTGCCGCTGATTATTGATTAATAATAATTCCATTTTATCGAGTATAACAGGTAATAGTTTATCTTGATGTTTGATAACAGTCATCGCTATGAAATGAATGATTGGTTTGGGCAATGAAATATCGACCTGTTCTCCTTCATCTTGTTGGCTCTCCAATGTCAATAAGATAGTTGATATTAAATCATTTCCATTCGAAGTATTGTCAACGTTGATTGACAATTTCAAAGAGAATACCAACTCTAATAGTTTAGTACAATAAAACTGTATATTACTTTCTGGAAATTGAATCTTAATAAAAAAATGATTACTATTAATATTATAATATATAATTTAATGATGTATTTATAACTTACTAAAAATGAAGATATATCAGTCAATTCATTCATGTTTGAATGTACCATTTGATTTTGTCTTGTTTCATTTACACTTCCAATCACAATAAATATCGATATACAACAACGATCAATTATATCTAAATCGATGGTTGTATATTGTTGTTGTTGGTGTTGTCCATGTGTCTGGTCATCGTTCATATCCATTTGAGATGATTCATCACTTTCAATTGATATCTTCAAAAGTGTATCGATATTTTGTTTTAGTATACTCTCTTTTAGTGATACTGAATTCGTCATTTGATAATAAAGCAAAGGTAATACTCTTTGATACCAATGGATGAATCGCTCGACACTCGCCTGATCATTTATCACCAATTGTTTGTTGAATGAAAGTATTAATCCAATTGAAAAACTGAACATTGGTTTAGCTTGATGCCATCTAGACAACGTATTCAAATGTCTATTGATAATATCTATCATTCTATTGATAACCAATGATATTGTTTGTGTTGGGTGTTGATTCTTATTCAATTGTTGCACAATCATTATTAAAAATGTTATATTTAAATCGGATGCTTCAACTGCTAATCTTGTTGGTTGTTGTTGTTGTTCTGATGTCTGTGTATCCATTAAAGATAATAATGATTCTAGTAATTCAAACAAATCAAGTTGATTTGATTCATCGTCTATCGATATTGATTTCAATGTTGATATTAAATGAATATACATTATCAATTGATTCAATAATTGTTTTTTCTTTGTTGTTAACTCTTCACTATTATTACTATTATTTGGTTGTTGATGTTGTTGATTTGTTAATGATATGATATCAATAACCAATTGTTTTAAAAAGTTTATTAAAACTGATTGATTATGATTGAATAGATAGTGATATAATCTAACTACATTGAAGTAATTGAATGGTGCAGATATTGAATATTGAAGATTGTTAATACTATTATTATTATTATTATTATTGATTATTATTATTATTATTATTATTGCTACTAGTATTGTGAGATATTGATGTATTATTATCTCTTGTTAATGATGCAGCCAATTGCTGCAATATCAATAGTTTAATATCGAATTGCTTGAAGAGCTGGCGATGAACATCCATGAATGATATACACAATGAATCCATTATCGATAATAGTACATTTGCTACATATGGAATGATTGGTTCATCTTGTTTTCTAGTATTTACATTTTTAATCTGTTGTTGTTCTTCTCTGATTGCACTATTGATTGAATTCAATGACTTTACTTGTTCAGCTATATATATTCAATATGATTAGTCTAATCAAATCTATATTATTCTACAATAACATTATTCAAACATACGTGATAATTCTAAATTATTAGAGTTTAATAGTAAGCTTATACATTTTCCAAGTTTAAATGAATCGCTTGAACTTTCATTAGTTGTAGACTCTAACTCCATTTAAATTTTAACTCTAACTTTATTTGAAGTTGAATCTCCATTTTAAAATATTACTTATAAAGATCATTTTTCTAAGTAATAATAAAGAAAATTATACATTTATTAATAATTTGATAATTTGAATTATGAATTTGAAAATCTTTGGAATCAGATATTTTTATTGATTAAAAACATTTAAATTTTTACAAATAAAATTCTAATCAACAAAGGGCTTGTAGCTCAGATGGTAGAGCGCTCGCTTAGCATGCGAGAGGTAAAGGGATCGATACCCTTCTAGTCCATATAAAATCTTTTGTTATGAAAAGTACAGGATGCGCGCATATTTTCAAACATTTGATCAAGCAAAGACTTGGAGATTGGTGAGATAGTATTGGTTGCAAGATCGTTCCTCTCGATCGAGAGTGATCTCTTGAGAAAGAAGATATGTCACAGCTTGTTCTATTAGATCTCACTGTTGGTGTTACTATCTATTGCATTCTCAACCAGTCTCATCCGATATTGGTGTTAGAAATTGAAGATACACGAATCCAAATTCCATTCGTGATTAAACTAGTGTATTTAATACTATTTGTATATCATACTATCACGGTTGGAATTTGGTCGAAGCGTGACAAGTGAATTCGAGTATCATGCACACCTGTAGCATTTTATTTCAATCATTCATGTCGCCTAGGTTACCACCGTAGTAGCCTTAAAAGCACTACACTTAATCAGTAAAGGCCCATATCTATCAGCTATTTAGATTTAGATCAACCAACTCACGAAAGACAATCGATTGTCTTAAAACATTTTATTATTTCATCCCAGTACCAATCACTAAAAACATAAAAATCACACCACCACAGACCATCACAACACAGAACACGATAAGGAGACTTCACTCGAACCATAAGTAAAATATCACTTATTATCACCACCAACAACACCAACAACATTGACTACTGGTTAAATTTCAAATCATTAATAATAGACTGTAAGAACAAACGTTGTTTGCTCAAAATTAAATAAAATAAAAAACGGACTCTATTGATATTCTCAACTTATCCTATTTTTGGATATACTCCGCTTTCAGTGTTTTTATTTTATATATTTTTTTTCTGTCTCCAGGAACTGTAACTTTTAAGTATGACCATTTGAAATTTTTTTTTTAAAATAGATAACAATTGAAGATTTAAAAATATTCTAATCTTGTTAAATATTAATTTCCCGATTAGAAAGAATGATTGCAAACAATAGATTAAAATTATTCTATATTAAATTTTAACACGCAGAATACTCTATTATTATATCGAGTTATATGTCATACAAGTTCAACAAATATAGATCTTTCGATTTATTAATATTTGGATAATCTTATACTTAATTTGGTTTTAATATGTAAAATTAATTTCAATGGATATGTTATGTTGTCTCACTGTGATAATGAATTAAAGTTAAATAAAGAATAAAGAATGAATTATAATCTTTTGTGCTTTACAAAATTTAAGTTTAAAAAAGAGTATATAATAAGTTTTAATATTTATCTTTATTTAAAGTTGAAATAAAGTATAATTTGAATAACTTTTTTGGTATTGTTATTGTATTATTGTTATTCTATGAATTTCTATCACAGTGCACGTAATGTAGTTATTATTATATATTGAACCTTTTTATTGCAATATACATGTTACCTTAAATTGAAAGTTTTATAAGCTATGTACTAGAAACTAAACAGCTGTATAGCTTTAAGGCTACTAATTGATTTCTATTTTAACATTGTTAATTAAATATATATCTTTGATTTTTGTTTCAAAAATTTATTTTATAAATTGAAAAGAATTAGATCTTAGTATGATCATCTTACATATGACATAAAACTAAAATGATAACAGTTAATAACTCCAACAATTTTCTATATAATTATTATTAAACTTCATTGATGGAATACTTGTGGACTACAAGTTGTAGTCAGCTCTGGTGACACTGTAGTTGCAATATTATACGTATAATATTTAGACTAATATCTCTTTTAAATACAATATCTATAGATTCGTAAAGAATATAGACATCTATAGAACTATTTCATCAATCTCACAAAGGAGAGGTTTTCAATACATCCCCAAGTATGTAACAGTAGAATAAATCAAATTATTTATTTGTTTCATCTTTGTTTAAATACAAATTGTAGTATAGAATTAAACATTTGATACTATATAGATTTAAAAATCCTAAACACTATCAACTTAACACTACACAATGAATGAATTTGTAAACATTAAATAAAATTTTTTTAATGAAAAAATGTTTTACCATATTTATTTAATTTCAATATGTGCATGATACCATCTTCTATTTTATTATCAAAGAAATCGAATAACAAGAAATGATCATCATTCAATCTTTGAAGCTTCACATAAAAAAAAAAACTCTTTAGTCTGATTTTAAAAAGAGTGGTTGGTATCAAATTGATTGGATTGTGATCAAAGAAATAGTTGTCTACAGTGATCGATCGTAGCGATGATGGTAATGCAATCGATTCATTTAATTTACAACCGTGTCCGATTTTAAGAGATTCCAGATCTTCGGGAACTGACATGATGATAGCATTTTTCTGGGCATGCACTACTAGATGTTTAAGTGATTTAGGCATCTGCTGCTTTGAGATTGTCTGTGTAAATGAGTTTAAAATGATCGACAAACTGTCAAGACAATCTGGAATCTCAAAGACTTTCGAAATATCAAACTCTTGATTGAAACTTGGTAGTTTCATCACTCGGAGACTCGACGGAAGTTTACCAAGTTCAATCGAATGCCTACATGATACACCATTGAATATCAATGATTCTAAACGATCGAGATGAGAGAATACATTCTTGCCAAAGGTGAGGTTGCTGTTGATAAATTCAAGGTGTCTTATCTCTGGAAGTGCCAGTGCGTCACTCCAAAGTTGACCGGTGATCTCTACAAACTTTAGCTTGGTGATAGTAGAAGGTAGATCACCATGTCTCAGCTGGTTTTCTTCGTTGTAAGTAAAGAGAAGTTTCAAATCTCTGAGTGCTCCTAGATTACGCAGAAGAGGTAGATACTTGGCGTGTACACTCAACCTGGTAAGACTGGACGGTAGATCTTGCTTTGATCCATCGGTCGAGGGAGTAGCAATAAAAGTAGCCTTAAAACAGATGAGTACTTCAAGCAGAGGTGGTAACAAACTGATATTTATCTGATGAGCAAAGGTTTCACTAAACTCAAGATGTCTGAGTGTCGAGGTAAATGGTGATACTATAGTTTTATAATGATAGAGTAGAGTCAACGATTCCAAAGATTCCGGAAGCCATTTGAAATCAGTGGAACAATAATGTCTAAAAATTGACATTTTTTTGATATTACTTGGGAACTGATCGAATTTAATCTTCAACACACAATGAATCTCTAGAGTATCGATGTTTGAACGAGCAAGCCTATCTCTAAATGATTGTGACAAATAGAGATATTCATCATCTCTCGATTGAAAGATAATCTTTTTCATTTGATCTTCTATTTCAATATAATCAAGATCATCTTGAGTATCATCTACATAGTTATATAATCAAGATAAAAGTTGTTAATTAGTTGGTTACCAATTCTATTATTGTACAATATCGATATGAAATATGATATGTTCTTACCTTTATAAAATATATATTTCTTTGATTTACGATATTCAATTGCTGATAACTGATGATTGAATGAAGTAAGATTATAATTTTGTTTGTTTAGATTTTGTCGATGGTAACCTTTCATATTCTTCAAACAAAGATATTTATCTTTTTCATAGAACCATCTCCTGCAAACCAAACTAAATATTATCTTATCATGATTGCTATGTAGGTATTTAACTATATTTGATAGTAATAAATGTGATAGATTTATGAATGTATCTCCCATTTCTTTAAACTTTTTAAAATTAAAAAAAAAATCGAATTAAATAGTTTGAAATAGATATTTTTTTACACTACAAAAGTAAGTACTTACTATTTTTATTATTTTTCTATTATTATAAATGTTGTATTATATATTTTGTAAAATTAGCAATTACATAAAAATAATAATTAACATGAGTGCAATTCAATTATAAAATTAGATAATATACATCTGTGTCAAATTTGACATTTCGATTGAAGAAGATGCATCATCTGTTGAATCAAAATAACAATTATATATACTCTGTAATTAAAATTTCATCAGAAGGAACTATAACAACTATATCTTCTATCTAAACAACACAACATCTATATAATGATTCATAAGAATATAAATAAACAGAGTAAATCATAACCACTTAACGTTAACTTGTTTTCCTCTACCATTCATTAGTTTATAATGAAAATGAGAGACTATGGGTATATATCTATTTAATTGTATGTTGGCTTACAAGATATCAATATTAGTTTGCTATAATGTTTTAATTACAGAACTTTGGTGTCGACTAAAGAGTCACGGTTTAACAAAAACATCAGATTTAAAAGATATAAAAACTGCGTATTTTAATTTGGAAAGAAGCCTACTTTGAAATTATATGATAGTTATATTAGCTATATATTGAAATATCCTTAAATATTTTGCATTTCGACAAAGTTGGACACCCAAAAGTTGCTGGATAAATTTAAAATTGTCAACAAAAAGCACAACAACGCATGCGGACAATATAGCAAGAAAAATTGTTGCTCTGCTGAGATTCGAACTCAGATGACTGGATTCAAAGTCCAGGATACTAACCCTTATATGACAGAGCATTTGATGATGAAGCACATTTTCATTTAAAAAATAGTGTGCACAAATATTGTACCTATAGACCACTTTAGTATTAATTTTCTTTGCATGAACTAAACCAGTATCAAAATTGAGAATGTATTGTTTTATATTTTATTTACAAAAGTATTTAATTTACAGAGGGGACATTTCTGCTACTCAGTCTAGTTGCTAAATAGAAAATTCGATCTAAATATGGAGTAATCAGCTTAAGGAAAATATTTGATTAATAAAAACAACAACATTTTCAAAGGATGATGATAAACATACATGATGATCACCCAATCCTTTGCCGGCTACTATAATGCGGGTGTCATCAGCTAGGAGTCCATGATGATATTCTATCTTTTGTTTTAAATCTCCAACGCTATAGTTCTCTTCAACTTCTATTTGAAATGAATATGATGAATCTCTAATAAATTGAACTGTAATAATAACCATTTTAATATTTATTTATCTCTTTATTTTCTACAAATCAAGAATAATTTATATCTCTCTATGATTTGATTGTATCAGTTAACTGATGATTCATAATGATTCATAAGTAATAATAATAACAACAAAAGTTGCAATGATCACTTTATTATCAAATGAAATCAAAAAAAAACAATCAAGATTTTAGTGGATTTAATTTTATTTTTGGTTGATTCTTTTTTATTTTTATTTATTTTTTTATTTTTAATACTACTACTACTACTACTTTTGATCTAAACATAACATGTTTATTGTTATGTTACCAGTAGTTCTATAACAACAGAGCTATAGAATAACAAGTAGATCTACTACTAGTGGGAGGAGGGACGATAGCAATAGTTTAACGCGATTGCCAGTAGAATGGCTTGATTTGAGTGGTTTTGGCAGTGTCGATGACTTGGAGGAGGTTCTTGACACTCGATCTCCAGGCGTCGATACGCAATCCCAATTGGGTCCATTGTGCCTTGTTGAAAACTCTTTGTGTCGATGAGTTGACGTGTACGACACGGTTGAGTTGGTCGAGCTTGGCGTCGATCAAGTCGGATGCGATGGCATCGATCACCCACATCTCTACCTTGTCTTCGTCGATCTGGAGCGATTTGCTGATGGAAGCGTAGCTGACGCTGGCATCCTCACTGGTCAGGGTGGCCAACGAGAGCAAACGAATCTTTTGTAGACAATCCTCTTCCTTCAAACCAATGTCTGTGAGGAACGATGGGTTTCTACTTTGGAAAGCAATGAAGCTGTCCAACTGCTCGGTGGCAAAGATCTTCATCAATTCATAGGTGAGCTTGTGCTTTGGATTCGAAGATGTCTCCAAGTAACCGATGGCAACCAAATCCAACAAATAGTCGGATTGGAACAACTCTTGTAATGAAATCGATTCGATACATGCTCTAACTGATTCTTCTTGTGCCTCTCCTGCATCTTCCTTATTGAATGTATTTAAATATTTAACCAAAAATTTATGTGAAATCATACTATTATTATTATACATTTGAAAATTCGATTAAATTAATAAAACTGTTTTGTTATAATAATAATGATCATGATCATGATAGTAGTAAAGTGTAATAATAATAAACTTACCTATTCTTTTCTTTGAAAATAGTTGAAATTAATTTATATATCTTTCTCTTTTGTGGGATTGAAGCTGACCAATCGTCGAGCCAAGTATCGAGGTTGTTGGTTTGATACTTGACAAATTCGATATTACCAGATTCACTAGCCAATTTAACTAATACATAGAATACTTCATATCTCATTGGTGACTTTGGTGAGAATGAGTTGAAAAGGTTGGTTAACCTATATATATTAATAATTTTTAAAGAAAATATATATTAATATCTTTGTTCCTTCATTCCTTTCTTATATTAGTGATTAGTTATGACTATGATTATTATTATTATTATTGTTGATGTGATAACATGTTTTTCTTTTCTATTTCTTTTTTTTTTTTTTTTTTTCTTTAATTCCACATTTCATTCAAACTTTATAAATACTCCAATAAATACTATATATGTTATTAATTAATGATTCTAAAACCTGTTTTGATTTGTTCTGTTTCCTTATTCTTATCCTTTTTTTTTTTGGATGATTATGATTATTTATGTTGAATGAATGATGATTGTATGAAACATTACAATTTAATCTTCAAGTTGCTCTTTTCGTTTGGTGAAGCAGAAAGAACGTCTCTAATCTTTTGTGAGATAATATTTATAGCTTCATTTTCCAATTTATGTAAAACAGTCAAGATGATATTAAAGAATGATTCAATCTCTATAATAATTATTAATATTAATATAAAGACGATTAGATTCGAAAATATTACAATAATATATTTATAACATACCTTTATCAGACTCTTTAAGGATGAATTCAGACTCTGAAGTGATCAACTTTGACAAAAACTCTGGAGCACGTTGTTCACCCAACAATCTTTGATATTCGGTATCGTTGAATTCAACTGAACGCTTCTTCTTGATACTGGCAACCTGATTGATGAGGTCGATGTAGAGTTCCTCTGGTGATGAGAGATCGATGTATGTAGTCATTTTGTGATGTGGTGTTTGGTCTCTGTTTTTTCGAATAAGAACAACGTCGATTTCACTGTTATTATTACTATCTAAATAAAGACTACAAAATGGCTAGTTGAAAAACTACAGAATTTTGAACTTAATTGATGAAAAAAGTTTTTTTTTTTTTTATCAATTTTTTTGTTTTTTTTTTTTTTTTTTTCGTCGCACTAAATCAAAGCCAAAAAATTTGTGTTTAAGCGAAGAAATGAATAAAAAAATTTGATTCAAGTCTTTTTTGTAACGTTTTCAAAAACTGTGTGTGGGATTACTCAATTTAAATTGTTATATTAAATATTAAATCTAAAACGAAAATTAATATTATTATTTTATTTATTTTTGAAATTTGTAAATCGATCATATATCATATATTATAACAATTGTTTAATCCAAAAAAAAAAAAACTAATCTTAAACAAAAAATAAACTTTCTAATTTTACTTTAAATAAGTAATTATCTGTCATCAACTTTCATCATGATAAAAATTTTGGGAAGCAATGCTTTTGAAAAGAGAGATATTTATTCAATTATATCATCAATCAACAACCTTGAACCAAAAAATAAAAATTTCAACAAATGAATACCTTGTTAAAAAATAAAAATGAATTTTTTTTTTTAAAAAAATTAGTAAACAGCAAAGTAGCAAGACTTTTACCCATTTGAATGAGCGTGGTTAGTTTCTTGTCAATCTAGAGAGACCCATACAACAATAACAACAATACCAATAAACAGTTTGACGATAAACTTTATTAGCTTGTCACAAATCAAAGCAATCATAACTATTAAATAATAATAAATCAAAAAAACTAATCCAGTAGTAAATTAAAACTAACTTTAAAGAGAAATAGCCCAATAACATTATATTAAAACATCATGATGTTTGATTAATTTATATATTTTAAAGAAAGAGAAAAAGTAAAAAAAGAAATAGAAAGAAAAAGTTCTAAATCGATCACACAGCAACAACATTTCATTCGAAAAGTCATCGGAAAATGAACAACAGTAGAAATAAAAATAATAGTTGGCGTACCTGTCATTTTTTATATATTTTATTATTATTTAGTATATTTTATACGAGTTTTGTAAGTGCAAATAATAATAATAACGATAGATATAGTAGTAGTAGTAGTAGTAATAGTAATGATATAAATAATAATAACAATAATAAACAAGAAAATAAATCAATAGATTCAGTAAATAAATATCTTTGTAATGTCAACCCAACTTATAATACATCTTTTACATGTCAACCATTTACACCATCTTCAAACATAAGGTAAGCAAAGCAAAGCAAAGCAAAGCAAATCAATCATTCAATCTGGTGTTTTAGAAAATTCATTTTATCAAAAAACTAACTTTTTTTTTTTGCTTTGTTCATTTTAAAGAAATTGTACACATATAAATGATTGTATAAATGCAATCAATGGTTTAGGATTATCACAAATAGATATTTTAAATATAAATATATTCGGTAGTCGTTATAGTGGACCTGAAAACTGTAATCTCAAATTCAATCTGCCGTGTCAGGTGGTGATATCGCCGGACAAATCGGTGTTTGTCGCACCGGTGGTCGATTGCTCGGGGCAACCATCGTTCATCTCACATATACTCTCGAATACACTGATCGATTCGATGTCGATTCAGAATGCCTACGACTCGTGCATCAACGTACCGGCCAACTCCAACACGTTCACTCTGATGATCTCAAACTCCACCTTTCAGAACTGCTCCGGTCAGTATGGTGGCGCCATCCAGCTGACCTATCCAAACTCACTGAATGTGCGTAACTCTATATTCATATCGAACAGCGCCGTACACTCGGGTGGCGCCATCTACAGCGATGGCACGACCATCGTCAGCAGCGACTTCCTCTCGAATGTCGCCGAGCGCGGCGGTGCCATCTTCTCGCCGGTCTTCACCACCAGTGAACTCCTAGTCAATCAGACAGAGTCAGCTGCGTTCGAACGTCGCCGAATACGGTGGTGCCATCTACTCGTCGGAGTTCCAGACCAGCTACTCGACATACCACGGCAACATCGCCACTGGCTTTGGTGGCGCCGTCTACTCGGAAACCATTGAAGCAACGGACTGCGAGTTCTCAATGAATTTCGCCAAGATCTCGGGTGGTGCAATCACTCTCGATCATGCATTCCGTCAGAATCTTATCATGTCGACCAACATCTTTAATAACACCGCCGACTATTCGGGTGGCGCCATCTACATCAACGCGCCATCCAACAAGTCGTCGCTCACCTTTGACTCGAGTCAAGTGTTTTTCAACTCGGCTGAGAACGGTCCGGGTGGCGGCGTCTTTTTGAACGACACCTACAACGGTTATCTCATCTCTGGCAGCTTCTACCAGAACTACTCGCCGCTCAACGGCAGCAGTGAGATTGGCTGCGACGAGGCGTGCGAAGGCTACAGCTGCAACTTTTGCAAGACGGCGTCGTGCACTGCTTGCGCTACGCTCTCGGGCATCTGTCTCACACAAAACAATCAGAGCATGTGCATGGTATCATTACATCAATGTGTACATGGCCAATGCTCTATCAACTCCAACTCCACCTACAACTGCAGCTGCGCTCCCAACTACACCGGAGCGTCTTGCGACCAAGAAAACAACCCAACACCACCTCCCACACCAACACCTACACCAACCAAATCCGACACTGACCAACTTCGTAAACTCGACATTGCACTACCGATTGCATTCGGTAGTCTCATCATTTTGTTTATCGTTACACTAGTAATCATGATCAAACGTAAAGGTGCAGGTGGTTATGAAGTAATAAGTTAATATTTATAGGTCGAAAATCAAAAAAACATCAAACATCAAACAACAACAACAACAACAACAATTTATTTCAAACATCTTCTTCAACAACATTTTTTTTTAACAACAAGTAATCTTTACTTTTTTCTTTACATTATAAAAAGAAAAGAAAGGATAATCATATCATGTGTGGTATAACAAAATGTTGGTGTATATATTTTCACACAAAACATATCTAAAATAAATAAATTATTATTTAGCAAAATAATGGTGAATTGATAGTTTAGTTAAAATCTTTTTTTAGAATAGAAATCAACGCCCATAAAGTAAAGGGTATAATCACAAAACCCGAAGCATAAGCATACATCAACACAAATTCTCGTCTTTTTCTTCCGTTCCTCTCCGACAATTTTTTTATTTTTTAACGAAAAAAAAATCTCAAGTTATTTATATTTTTTTTAACGACAAACATTGTTACCGGGATTCGACTTTTACTTTGACTATCAGTTGTCTGATTATTATTGTTGTTGTCGTTGTTGAACACTACTTTTTGAATAATCAAGATACATATTATATATATATCTATATTATATCTATTTCTATATCTATTTTTTTTTTTTTACAAAAAAATAAATATAGTCTTTTTAATCATTCAATACAAAATAAACATTAATCTATATATAGCTTTCAAAAGTTTTATATATATAGTATCGCAAAACTTTTGTTGGTCGAGTTTGAAATAATAATGGGATTTTCACAAACAACAGATAGAGTACGTAACTACTTCAAAGTCAATTTCATCGATAGTTTGAGATTGGTAGATAAGCAACTACTACGTGGCAAACTACATGGATTGGCGCTTGGACAGCTCATCTCCCTGTGTATTTGTGGTACCGGTGTTTTCAGTCAGTTGCTGGTGGTCAACTACGGTGTCAATATTCCAACATCACAGAGTTTGCTCAATTATATCCTCCTGATGTTCTATTCAATCGTTTTGATAAAGCGTGGCACCTTCTGGAAGACCATCAAGACGAAATCACACATTCTCATTCCGCTGGCACTGATCGATGTCGAAGCCAACTACGTCGTAGTGAAAGCCTATCAGTACACAACGATCACCTCCATTATGCTACTCGATTGTTTCACCATCCCATGCGTAGTGATTCTCACACGTATCTTCCTCAAGACACGTTATACCTTTGTGCATATTCTCGCCGTTGTTCTATCGATTGTCGGTATGGTCATTCTCGTAGTCTCTGATATACTCCAAGGTGAGAGCGCCAACGGTGGCTCCAACCCATTGCTCGGTGACATGCTAGTACTCATCTCGTGTGTTCTCTACTCAATTTCAAATGTTGGACAAGAATTCACCGTTAAGAAATATGATAACTATACTTACTTGGCATTGCTCGGTATTTATGGTTCGATTATCTCTGCTATTCAATTGTAAGTCTTGAAGCAACAAACAAACAAACAAACAAACATGCTAAATATTCATATTTTCAAAAATAACTAACTAACTATTTAATTAAATTAGGTCTATTTTGGAAAGAAATGAATTAACTACAATGGTTTGGAGTGGTGGTGTCATTGGATATATTATTGGTTTTGCTATTTGTTTGTTTGCCATGTATTCGATTACACCATTTATGATGAGAATTGCCGGTGCAACTATGATGAATCTTTCATTGTTAACATCGGATTTGTTCTCTATTATCTTTGCCATCTTCTTGTTTGACAGAAAGTTACATTGGTTGTACTTCCTTTCGTTCGTTATTATCATCTCTGGTTTGGCCATCTACAATCTTTCGCAGCCACACCACAAATCGTCAGAGGTACGTCAACTCATGGATAATGATACCGAGAATAACAACCAAGAGTTGGATATCGAGTCCAACAATGAAAAGAAAACAGCAACAACAACAGAAGTCATTGTCGATTCAACTTATAATCAAGATAGAGAGACTGACGGTCGTGATGATAATGATGATGAAGATGTTGATAATGGTGGTGAAAATAATGAAACATCTGAGATTTCAAACTCGACAAACTCAACCACCCAAGCCGACTTGGAAAATTCAAGAACCAACTTGGTTGGATAAATAAAAATGAATAACTATATTTATTGATAAACTTAAACTTTCAAATATCAATTGTGTTCTTATTATTATAATTATTAATACAGATGTTTATTTATCGTTTTGAAAAAAAAAAAAAAGACAAAGAAACTATTGTTTAGATTGGAGTTACATAGGCAGCAGTCAAACCTCCATCTACCAAGAATGTAGAGGCAGTTACATATGAAGAGTCATCGCTGGCCAAAAACAAAGCACCTTTGGCAACTTCATCGGCCAAACCAAATCTACCCATTGGCAAGTGAACGAGACGTCTATTTCTCTTCTCTGGAGTGGACAAGAATTTATCCAAGAGCTCGGTTCTCAATGGACCTGGACAGAGTGCGTTGACACGGATATTCTGACGTGCATGAATAATTGCCAACTCTCTGGACATGGCCAATACACCACCCTTCGAAGCGGTATAGGCAATCTGTGGGGTGGCGGCACCCATCAAAGCGACGAAACTAGCAGTGTTGATGATACTTCCACCACCGGCTCTCAAAAGAGCTGGTACACCAAACTTGCAACCCAAAAATACACCCTTAAGATTTACATTCATGGTTTGCTCCCAGACTTGTTCGGTGGTATTGACAGAGTCATCGTCCTCAGAAATCATAATACCGGCATTATTGAACAACACATTCAATTTGCCATAGTTCTTCTCTGCAACTTCGATCATTGCCTTTACTTGTTCTGCTTTACTAACATCTAATAATGAATGATTCACGGAATATTTAAATTAATTATTAAAATCTTGTTTTTGTAAAAGAATAAATTAATAAATAATACTTACCAGCTTGGAAGAAATAAGCTTGACCACCATTGGATTTGATTTGAGAGACAACATTGTTTCCTTTATTGGAATCAAGATCTACAACCAATACTTTGGCACCTTCTTTGGCAAACAATAATGATGATTCCTTTCCAACACCATCTGCACCACCAGTGATCAAAGCAACTTTACCATCAAGTCTGCCACCTATAATATTAAAATAAAAAAATAAAATAAAAAAATTGATTTATTCCATTGTTATTAATATTATTAAATGGATAAGTTAACTAAGATATTAAAGGTTAAATATCTACCTGATGATTTAATGGTAGTAAAGAATCTTAATCCAACTGATTGAATTGGTCTAAAAGATGTATGAAACATTGTAATATTTGTGATAGGATAATAAGTATAAAGATAGTAGAATAAAAAAAAATTAAATGATTTGAAATTTAAACACCTTTTAAGTGGGTCATTGAAAGACTTTACTGAAATGAGCAATACTTTGAACAACACAAATTTATTTTTTTTAATTTAAAATTTAATATAAAAAAAAATGTAAAAAATCAAAAAAGAAATTTGAGCCTTGAAAAATGATTTCTTTTTTGGGATGAAAATGATGAATAAATTGAAAAAAAATCATCATTTTATTATGTATTTATTTATATTACCGGTATTATCAAATTTGTCTAGTGGAATGGAATGGTGATATGATATATATAATGGTTAGATTTTTTTATTGAAAAAAAATGATAAAATAAAGTTGATATCCATCGGAAATATTATTATTCGAATGATAAATCAAGATATTTATTTACTATTTATATATATATGGAATTTATATACGCTATTATTATTATTGTTTTCTTGCCAATAGAAATTGAATTGGTCTATTATCCTCGAGTAATGTCTCTTGATATTCAATGATGTCGAACAAAGAGTTTGTAAATCGTTCTTTGAGCTCATTGTAGTTCAGTAGGTATCTTGGACGTTTGGGTTTGCCTTTCGATGGATGCATGAATGTATGAAATACAACGAATCCACCCGGTACTATTAGCTCTGCTATGATCGGGAGAAGTGGCCGGTAGAGGTAGCGTGCAACATGCACCAAGTGATAGCCATTGACCGGAGACAGTGCCCGCAGTTGTGCAAGCAGTGATTTCAACTTGTTGAGTTCGTCGGCAGTGTATTTCAAAGGATCATTGGTTTCCAACCGATTCGAATGATCTCGATCGAGATGTGCAGGATCAATGTAAACCGGTTCCAAATCGAGTTGTACGCACCTCACCGATTCCTCTGGTATTCCATAGCGAGGTAGAGCATCCGATATCTTTTTCAGGAGAATTGGATCGTGATCCACTGCTATTACATTGGAGTGACCTCGTTTGGCAATGAACAATGCATCTCTACCCGATCCACATGCCAAATCCAATGAATAGTAAATAGATGGTTTTTGTTCTGGTTGTTGTTGTAGTTGTTTTAAGAGTTGAGTGTCAATTAAATCTATTGATGATTCTAAAAATGAACAAGCTTTCCAAAGTAACCTTGAAACCGAACCACTTTCAACCAATGTACGATCGATATCTTTGTTGTTATCGTTGATTAATGATGCAAAAAAGATATCTTGAGTATTTTGATCGATATAGCAAATGAACTCCACTAGATAACCTGATCTATTTATGAGTGTATCTCTAAGTTCAATCGATTGTTTATATGATTCTAATTCACAAAGATCCGTTATTGTTCCACTATCATCAATATTAATTGGATATAAAAATGATATCTTATTTCCCTAATTTTATATATATATATTGATAAATAGTTAAATATCAGTATATATAATTACTCTTATTTATTCTTATTTATAGATACTCTACTCTTGGTGGTAATTCGAATATTCTTTGTGGTAGTTGGTCAAGAGGAATGTTTGTAGTGTTTATAATATGTTGTCTTTGAAATTCTTCTTTTGTTCTAAGATCTATCAAACCATATTGACATTGATTCTCTATCCAATTAAATATCTTTTGAATTTCATCTTTAATATTCATCGTATTACTAATCTATTCACAACTAAAAGTAAATGACGAGAAAAAAAAAAACTCAATCATTTGGCTAAACAGTTTAACCTGGTTTTTTCATTTGATTTTTAATTTAATAATATAATTATTATTCATGAAATATTAGATTATCAAGTATATAATCTATTATTAATGTTTAAATGATTTTTAGTAGTAGTAATAGTAGTAGTGGTAACACACCATGATAAATAATAAATTAAATCTTAAAAAATTTAAAAGCAAAAAAAAAAAATTGTTTAATTTAAATTTTTACTTATGTTTTAGCCCGATAAATTAAATTGAAGTAATAATAAAATAATATAAATATGAGTGAAGATAATAGTACAGAGATAATAGAATCTGTATTCTTTAATGAATCATTTGCAGAGGCAGTTCAACAATCCAAGCAGACTAGCAAAATACTAGCTGTCGTCGTTTATAATGAAGCTGATACAGATGGACATCCTCTCTTACTAGATCTATTCAACTATGAACAACAACTGTCTGATCTCATCAAATCTACTTTTATTTTAAAAAAGATTGATGTAAATTCTGAAGATGCTATAAATTTAAAGAAAATATGTATGTTTGTTTGTTATATAATATAAAAATATATTCTAATGTCTTTTTTATTATTACTCTTCATTTATCAGATCCTTATAGTGAAGAAGAACTTCCTTTCTTTGTTACAATTGGATTGAATGGTGTTGCACTTCACACCTCTAACGGTGATAAATCATCAGATGAATTACTATCGATATTAACAAAATCAAAAGAACAATATCAACAACAACAAGCTCAATTGTTAATGTTACTGATGTTTCAACAACAGAAACAATCTCAACAAGCACAACAACAACAACAACAACAACAACAACAACGACCAACAAATCAACAGAAACCAATTGCATCATCTTCACAACAACAACAAACCTCAAAGACAAATACTAATAACGCTACAAATATAAAGAAAGAAACACCAAAAGCAACACCACCAAAAACAACGACAACTACAACAACCACATCATCATCAACAAACAATAGTAATAGTAGTAAAAAAGTAATGACATCACCAACCGTTAAGAGTAAAATAACATCACCAACACAATCAAACAAGACTATAGCATCACCACCCTTATATACAGAGACAACTATAGTTTGTAAATTAACCAATGGATTCTCAATTAAATCTACCTTTTCACCAAATGATAAACTTCATGATGTAAAGAGTTATATTGATAAGGTATGTATCTCTATTTTTTTTTTTTATTACCCTATTATAAAAAGTATATTAATGAAAATGATTGAATGATACATTATAACTATTTAGAATAGAAATGATGGTAAACATGCATACTATTTGATGATTACATATCCCAAAAAGATATTCACTGAGAATGATATGTCGTTAAGTTTGAGAGTGCTAGACTTGGTTCCATCTGCAACACTTACTCTCTGTTCTTCCGATCCAAACAGCAAACCAACTCCACCACCAGAGGTAGAGCCAGCATCATCAACAACACAGTATAGCACCACTTCATCTACTTTAGAGTCTGAAGATGGTGGATACATTGATAAATTCAAAAACTATGTCTCAAGTATATTCTCACCATTTTGGTATCCACCAGCAAGTCAACAAACTACAACTACATCTACAACTTCTTCTTCTGCTGCTGCTTATCCAGGTTCACAACAAAGACAACAAACAACACCCTCAAATAGACCATCTTCATCCGGCATAAGACAAGTCGGTAGAATACATACACTTAGCAATGATAATTCAACACCGCAGCCACAACAACAACAGCAACAAGGTGGATTCTTCCAACCAATAGAAAAGAATGAGGAAAAGAAAGAGGAACAGACAAATGTAAAGAAAAGAAATAGAATTGGACAACTTCATCAATCTGAAGATGATAATCAAGATGGAAAGAATTCCTATTACAATGGAAATTCAACTCAATATAAATAATTTAAGATTTTTTTTTTTGTTGAAACAAATAATTGAATAAAAGACAAATTAATATAATGATAATTTGATTTGAACAAGTTAAAGGTTTATATGATTTACAATTAAAAATTCAATTTAATTTATTATAATATTATTACAGTTATCATCGATAATTTCAATTTATATGTTATATGGTTATGTTGTTGTTGTCGTTGTAAATATAACATCGATATGGTATAAGTCTATCTATTTTGAATTTGGATAGGTAGCATACTTTAAAAGCCATTGTGCTGCTTCATCATAGATATCTTGATAGGCATTCTCTCCCCAGACGAAATCGAGATGCGAGTAGGTCGGGAGGAATTTCTTGTAGAGCAGAGATGGCACTTGTGGAATGAGCCATTCGACATCGGTTGGATCGGCAAGATAGTCGTTGCCACCATAGTAAAAGATAACGGGTGCTCTAAACTCTGAGATGTTGTAAGCGGGTGCTGTGAGCTGACCATAGTGTTGCAGGTTACCGATGGGACCGTAATTGAATTTGTAGTATCCGTGCTTCTTGGCCTGTGCCCAGTGAGCTACGTTCTGAACGGAAGTTCCGCCAGGTTCGTGTGCCATAATCACTGGAAGACGTGTGTTGTTGATGTTACTGGTGTCCCATCCCATGATCAGAGCCAACGAGTTGGAGCAGAGCGATGGATCGTTTCCACAGATGATTGGAAGCAGATGTTGAAGAGTTGGTGTATCCGGGAGGAATGCCTTCTCCCCGAGCAACTCGAGGATGTCGACAATATCAAAGTCTGCCAAGACGTCCAACAATGCACTCTGGCAGTGAGTCACTCTGACAACCGGTGCCAAAGCAACAAAGAGATTGATCTTGGCAGCAATAGTCTCATTTGCAAATCCAATGAATCCCATGGTAGTTCCTTGAGAGTGTCCGACATATCCAACCTGTTCATTGTTGGTGACGCCTCTCACATAATCGAGAATCGTTGGTAAATCGTATTCTGCCATTTGATCGAAACTCCATGCCCAAAACTAACATGTTATTAATTAATATGAATATGGAAAATGAATATGATTGTTTAAATAAAGTATTATCTAATTTGAATACACTTCACTTACTGCTTTCTCTGATGGGTTGGTATTGATACTTGAGTTACTGTAAGTGGTACCTCTGACATTGGAAATCCAGACATCGAATCCAGCATCTGCGAGGATAAATCCGAAACTCTGATAGACATTCTCTTGAATTACCCAACTTGTTCCAATATCTTCAACACCATGTTGCAAGACAATTGCAGCTTTACCATTTGCACCGTATGGATTTGGATTGGCTTTGTATCTTCCGGCTGGAATTCTCTGAATTGATATCTATTTTCATTTTAGAAGTAAATTGTTAAATAATTGAATAGTTTGTTTTTTTTTTTTTTTCTAAAATAATGTGCATACAATGAAACCATCTGGTGTTACAACATGATGATCTTCTTCTGGATATCCTCTCGCAACAATTAATTCTATTTAGTATAACAAATTTTTGTTTTTTTAAAAAAATTAACAACAAAATGTAAATAATTAAATTTAAAACTAAACTTATTATTATTTCTTTTTTAACAATATAATTATATAACGTACGAGAGATATTTCTTTTAAGATCGGGATCATTTGAATCCCATTCTACATGAGTTGTGCTCTGTTTTGGTAGTTGTATAGCTAATGATACATATATAATTGTTATTAATAAAGTGAGATTAATCAAAACTGGTGTTGATAATCTCATTTTATATGAAAACTAAATAAACAAAATTGATTGTTTGTATTCAATCAAAAAATATTATATGGTATGATAAGATGAATGATTAACTATTTCACTACCACCAATTTAAAGAGGAAAAAACTTTAAAAAAAAAAAAAAAAAGTTTTAAATTTCATTTAAATTTTATATTTTTTTAAATTTCATTGCCGAACATAAGTCACAATTGTAAATTTAAAACTAATTCCTTTGAAAATTCCGGTTGAAAGATTAGGATTTTTTTGCCTGTCGTGATCAGTTTTTTTCAGAAATTAATTGCAAAAATCTGCACTCAAATCTTACAATTTTTGAATAATCAAAATAATCATCTTAACAAAAAAATCTAATCCAAATTAGTTTAAGTATGTCGTAAGAATCAACATCAATCAATTTATTCCAATTTGTTCCCTTGAAAAAGGTTCTCTGCAAAAAAAAATTACAGTTAAGTTAAAATAAATTAGTTTTTGTTTTTTTTTTTAATGTTTTCAAATTTATCAACTCACATATATTCAAGTAATCGGAGCTTTCCTCAGCCGTAGTAGATTCTTCTTATGCCTCTTGAGCAAAGAGTATCTCTGTCTTTTTATAAAGGATGGTGTTCTTTTGAACCTACCAACAATAAATTATTGGCAGCATTGATCTCGATTTATAAAAACCGATTTGTCGTCGTGAATATACATTTTACTTGTATAATGTAACTTGGAATCAGAGTGACGAGTGTCCGGTGGTTTCCAAAGTTCTTCTCCAATATGCCGAACAACTTTTGATTTATCGACACTGTTTTACTTGGATTAGCATTGTATTAAGCTTCATTAACCTCTAAACATGGTTAGAATACCTATAGGTATGATATGAAATTAATAAAATCTACAGTTAAAATTATATAAAAAATAATTATAATTCACATACCTGTGAGGTGTTGAATTCATCAACAATATATTGTCCAAATTTACACCAGTACGGACGAATGTGTAATGTAGTTGATTTTCCATTTCTCGTTTGACATAGGGCGAGGACTTGACTCCCTTCAAACCTTGAACATACCCAAAGTGTTCAGGACCTCTACCATAATCTATAGATTATAAAAAAATTGATTAATATTGGATATTTATTATTGATTCAATAAATAGTTTTAAAAATAAAACTTACATAATATTATCTCACCACAATGTTATCCACAACCATACACTATCCATCACAAGGTTATCCACAACCATACACTATTCCACCACAAGGTTATCCACCAACATTCTCTTTGCAACAATCACCAGAAATCTCCAATCAACTTTTAAGTTATACCTTCTCCAAATTTGAAAAACGTAAGAACTTGTTTTATTATGGTTGTGGTGTATGGTTGTGGATATCCTTGTGATGGGATAGTGTATGGTGGTGGATAAAGTAGTTGTAGCTATATGAGAAGTCAATTAACCTGAAGTGGGAGAAGATTCGATTGGTGTGTTGGTTGTAATAGGAACTGAGATGTTGATCTTGGTTCTTTTAGTGTTTGTTGTTGTTGTACTATCTTGCTTTCTTTTTGTCTTTTTTTTTTTCTTTTAAGAAATCTTCTTTTTCTTTTCTTTTGCTTTTTCTCTTCTGCACCTATTTTTCTTTTTTCAATACATACTTGACTTTTTTGAACTCCACTATTGCTAAAATTCCTTCCACCCCTCTGGGTACATTGTAGTCATGATTCGGATCGTGGTCTCTTCCAACTAGAGATATATTTTTACAAAAAAACCAATTTAAAAATAATACACTAAATAGATATTAAATTTCTACCAATTTAGATTGTTCTTTTAGTTTGTTTATAAAAAATGGATGATTTACCGTGTTTATAAAACCATCAACCGGTACAATAATCTAAAATTATAGTTTGTGATAATATTTTAAGTAGAAAAAAAAAGTATATATTTTGAAGGTTGTGAAGAGAAAAGATAATTAAAATTAATAATGAAACTTTTTTGATTTTTATTAAACAAAAATATAAATCTAACATTTCTGCAAAGTTGATTTTGAAGGTTGTATAAAACATCAAATGTTTAATTGTTATAAAAGATGACAGTGTTAAATGATTCCAGAAGAATGATGTTTAGTCCAATAAGGGTAAATATATTTTTTTTTTTAAAAAAAGATAGAATGATGTTGTTTCGATTTTAATGATTAAAATATTAAAATAATTAAATTCATTGTTGTTTCCGATATTGTTATATTATGTTTTCGAATTATAACATTAACAAATACTCCATGTTTTATGTTGTTTTTTTGATGATCTTTTATTGTTGTTGACTTGTTGTTGTTAAAATTAGGATGTTGTCTGAGTGCAAGAAATCAACAAAGTTCGGGATTTGATTTTGTTGTGGTGGATGTAGTTGTGCGAATTCATAGAATCATAGAAAGTTGATTTCGAAGTTCCGCTACATTGAGCATCTAGTGAATGTAGATACGCTTCTCTTTGCCTGGCACCTTGATCTTGTCACCGGGCAACGACGATTGCAGTGCGTCCAAAACTACATTTCCAATCTGTGGCGTAGTTTGGTCGTAACTCCTGCACCTCAAACAACGTCTTGTACAATATATCGAACGGTAGCGAATGTTCGAAACAACGGTGAATCCCATCGATTTTTTGGATGGGTACTTCTAATCTATAGAATGGTTAATGTATTTATTGGTATATTAATAATTTACAATTGATCAGTAAAAGAATTTTATCTCTCGAGATTCCATTGTTTCGATTGTTCTCTTGGTGTTTATCAGTAGACTAAAAGTAATCTTGTACCAGAAGCTCTTGTAATACAATAGAACTCGTATCTATACCCTTAATATTATTCAAAGAGTAAGCAATAACAATAGTTCCTCTGAAAATCCCGATTGAAAAGAAGATGTTTTTTTCTCAATTTCAGAAATTAATATAAGAATCTATTTGTAAATTAATTCTTTTTTTTTGACAATACAATCTTAATAAATAAAATCTAATCATCCAAATTAGTTTAAATATGTTGTGATCAACATCATTCAATCAATTTATTCACTTGCAAAACAGATTAAGTATGATAGTAATCATACAAACAGTAATGAGTAAAACAACAAACCACACATCGCTCATTATTATTTTACTGATTTTTGATTGGTAAATACCCTACTACTTGTATCGTTATTAGAAATTTTTAATGATGTTTCATAATATTGCTGATTGATTACAATGATTTTTATGCTGATGCTGATGATGATGATAATAATGATTGATTACACAGTTCATCAATAAAAGATGATGTATGAATCGAATGTTTTATTTATTATACTGATTTAGTTAAAAAAAAACAAAACAATATATATCATTCAAAACAAACACAACAATAACAATAAACAAATACACAAATTCACAACATAGAAATAGTGGTAATCTAATAAATGTCTGACTTTTATGATACCCCATCATTTTCCAAACACAACAATGTTATGTTAATTTCTGTCTTTGTTTTGTAATGATTATTGTAATCTTTAATAAGATATACATAACAATATTAATAATATTATTTGACACGCACACATACACACTCTCACTCTGTTTCTTGAATTCACTCAATTCACCTCACTCACCATAGTAGTAGAATATGAGAAGTAGAGCGAGTTGTACAACTCGTAATAGTAGTATTAGTACTAATAATACAAGTATTATTTTTGTTTTGTTTCAGCATTTTCTCAATTCTTTTTACTTTCACAACATAATCAATTATTATATAATATTATAATTGTTTTATTGAAAGTTAAATAAATATTATCAATCTATACATGTATCTATCTTTTAGTGAATCGTTAATAGGGTGTACATATAATTTATGTCGGTCTGTTGGTCTGTGAGTGTGAGTGTGTGAGTTAGTGGTGTGTGGGTCAATTTTGTGAGATAGATAATGTGTTTTTGGGTTGGATTGAATACAACTTTAGGGTATGGCAAATTAAAGGGTCGTTTCGATCCAAACCAAAAAAAATTAAAATTAAAATAAAAATAAAAAAAGACTTTTTGCAATCCCTAAACACTATTGTTTTTACCACACAATAAAAATATTGTACAAAAAAAATTGTTTTTTTTTTTTTTTTTTGTTTTTGCTTCCTTTCAAACACTCTTTTAATTTACTTTTTTGTTACCATCTACATACCATTTAATAACACAATAATAATAATAAGAGGAAGAATAATAATAATAAAAATAATAAGAATAACAAAACAAAACAACAATAGTAATAATAAAATTTTAACTAAAATAAACAAATTAACTAATAGTTAACAAATTCTTTCTATTGAATAATAGAAGACATTTTAATATCATTATTTATCACAATCAATCAATCATTAATCGTATACAAATAAGCATGCATATATAATATAGAGTGTAGCTTAAAAGATAATAATAATCAATCAAATCACAATCAATTAAATCAATCAAATTAAAATTAAATCAATCAATCAAATCGATAAATATTATTCAACAATATTATCAAATTAAGTAATTGATTAGTTTTAGTTAGTCAGTCAGTTAATCAAATCAAATCAATCTTTTTTATTTTTATTTTTATTTTCATTTTTTTATTTTTATTTTATATCAAAACCATTGTAATAATAATAATATAATCTTGGATAGAAGATAAAAACCAGTTTAATAGAGATTTATATATATATAGATAGATAGAGAAAGAAAATGGTACAGAATGGAAATAAAGCAGCTACAACATCATCTGCTCGACCATCTGTTCATTATTATTCGTCGATCGATGATATAGAGAGATTATCGAATCTGTTGAACAATTCAGCGACATCGGTAGACACTATCGACAGTGAAAACCGTACACCGCTGCACCATGCAGCCTATGGTGGATCGACAAGATGCGTTGCATTCCTCCTCGACAAGAAGGGTAATGCACATGCCAAAGACTCGGCAGGAAACACACCACTACAGTGGGCTGCTGCACGTGGTCACCTCGAGTGTATGAAGTTACTGATCGAGAAGGGTGGTGCCGATGTAAACTCTAAAGACGACAAAAACGGAACACCTCTCCACAAGGCCGCTCTCTTTGCTTCATCAGAGTGCGTGCAATATCTCCTGACCAACAGAGCAGATCCCAAAGCAACAACGACCAACGGTGAAACACCACTGCATCATGCGTGTGCCGGTGGTAATGCTGTGTGTGTTGAATTACTTATTAAATCAGATGCTAAAGTAAATTGTGTTGATTATGTAGGTGTCATTTAGAATCTTTTTATATTATTATTATCGTCGACGTTGTTTAGTTAATATTAATTTGTTATATTTATCTTTTTTTTTTATCTTATTTTAGGATGGTATTACACCATTACATCAAGCATCTTTTAGTGGACATTCATCTTGTGTATCTCTATTGATTAGAAAGGGAGCAAAGGTAGATCCAAGAGATGTTCATGGAATATCACCGTTGCATAATGCCGCATCAGCAGGCTATATAGAGTGTGTCGATTTACTGGTGAGAAGCGGTGAGAATATAAATTGTGTCGACGTGGAGGGTGTCACACCACTACACCATGCTTGTTTCAATGGAAACTTTGCATTACTGAAACGATTGTTAGAGTTGGGTTCAAAGATTGATATGGTCGATGAAATGGGTGAAACACCACTCCACAAAGCAGCATTCAATGGACACAAAGAAATAGTAGAGCATCTCTTAAAGTTGACACCCAACGTCGATTGTAGAGATATCCGACAATCAACTCCACTACATTTAGCATCATTTAACGGAATCTATGATATAGTACAAATTTTAATTAATCACAAGTATGTAGCTAACTATCTATATATATAGTTGTTTTTTTTATTATTATTGAATCACCAGTAATTAATTAATTGTTTTATATATTACTTTAGATCATCAGTAAATATTCGTGATGAAGAAGGTGCAACACCATTACATAAAGCATCGTTCAATGGACACTCCTCAGTTGCTAAATTATTGATTGATAACGGTGCATCGATCAATGTGTTGGATAATCAAGGTGCTTCACCTCTACACAAGGCAGCTTTCAATGGTAGAGGCAAATGCTTGAATACACTGATAAAGAATGGTGCTGATTTGGAGATTAAAGACAATCAAGGTGGTACTCCTCTTCACAATGCTGCCTACAATGGACACACAGAGTGCTGTAAGATCCTCTTAAAGAAGGGTGCCTTTGTTGATTCAGTCGATACACACCAGTCAACTCCTCTGCACTTGGCAAGTGCTGCTGGTGCACGTGATACTGTCGATGTTCTCGTTACCTACAAATCAAAGGTCGACATGAAGAACTGTGCCGGAAAGACACCGCTGGTCTATGCAATCAAGAAGAATCATGGTGATGTTGCACGTGTTTTGATTAGAGTGGGTGCCGATCTCAAGTCTATTAGCAACCGTTCTTCGCTAGACTTTAACAAATGTTTTGGTACTTCTAACCCCGATGAAATCTACCAACTCGTCAATAAGCGTGAGTCTCGATCACTGCCCAACGAAGAGGTTAACAATGCACTGTTGGATCAACAGTTGAAAGATGATTTGGATCAGCAACAAGCCAATCAAAAGCGTTTGTTGATAAAGACTGCCATCACCACCTTTAACAATCATCCAAGAAAGGGTATTGAATATGCAGTAAGCTCTGGACTCTGCGAGAAGACACCAAAGGACATTGCCCACTTCCTCTTGAGTCACGACGATCTCAGCAAGCAAAGCATTGGAGAGTACATTGGTGATGGTGATGAATTCAACATTCAAGTGTTGCATGCGTTTGTCGATGAGCTCGATTTCTCTGGACTCGACTTTGATGTTGCTCTTCGTAAGTTCCTAAAGAACTTTAGATTGCCAGGTGAAGCACAAAAGATCGACAGAATGATGGAGAAGTTTGCTCAGCAATTCTATAACCACAATCCGGACAACAAGATATTTGCCAACAACGATACTGTCTATGTGCTTGCATTCTCTGTAATCATGTTGAATACCGATGCCCACAATCCAAACATCAAAAAGAAGATGACCAAGGCAGAGTTCCTCAAGAACAACAGTGGAATCAACAATGGTGATGACTTGCCACTCGAGTTTATGGAAAACCTCTACGATCGTATCGTAACCAATGAAATTAAAATGGAGCGTGACGGTCAAACCGATACACACGCAGAGAAGAAGGGTTGGCTCACCAAGCAAGGTGGAAGAATCAAGACATGGAAGAAGCGTTGGTTCAAACTCACTGCCAATTGTCTACTCTACTTCAAGACACCACAAGATTTGGAGCCATGCGGTATCATTCCACTCGAAAACGTTGTAGTCACTGTTGTCGTGCAAAAGAAATTCTGTTTCATGTTGCACTCGTCACAAGAACAGATGAAGGCATGCAAGCTCAACTCTGATGGTACTCTTGTACAGGCCAATCACGCCAGCTACTTTATCTCTGCTGCCAACTTGGCCGAGATGGAATCTTGGGTACAAGCTATTAAGAGCAACATTCACTCCAATCCAAACTTTGAACAGCTTCACAAGAGAAAGGCAGAGACAATCCGTGGTAGAGGAAAGGTAAACAAACCAATTCAAGTTAGAAAATCGACAATCGTCTCGACAAAACCACCAGTCACCTTTTCATCAACCTCATCTCCTGCATCTGAACACCATGCAGTACCCACTACACCTCAAACCAACTCACCAATACCAAATGTTGTATCATGATAAAATTAAATTAAAATAAAAGAAATGATAATTATATATTGAATGTTATTAATACATATATGATTGGCAATAAAATATCATTTGCATTTACATTCCTAATATATCGAGGTTGAAAGTGAGTTGACCAATGAAAAATCGAAATAAATAAAATTTAATTAAACAATTTGTTGGTACTAACTCTTTTTTTTTTTAAATCATCCTTGTACTACCATTACTGATATCAGTAGTAGTCAAGGCTTACTAATGGACTTTTTTTTTTTTTTTTTTTTTTTGGCAAAAAAAGATATGTTGACTCATGATCAGTCAACAAATTGCAGGTATTGATATTAACCTGCTAGTTCGTGTTTTATATTATATATACATTCTCACACAGGCCGTGAGAAATAGCCAATAAAATATTATTATTATTATTATTGTTTATAGTTATTATTAATTAATAAGTTGAGTAGTATTAGGATAGAATAGATCTAACAGTAGTTGCGTGTTGATGAACAACAGTATAAAGTGGTGGCACATAGTTGGAAGGATTTAGATTCCAATCAGATTTAAATTTACGCGGTATGGGTACAGGTGTAGCAATCATCAAACTCAAAGGCGGCGACCTAGATTACAAAGTAATCTATTCAGATCCAGGAGGTCGCATTCTCTTTGTTACTATCTATCACTCACACTACTCATTCAATGTTCTTGGAATCTATGCTCCTGCTGACCGTAAGTGGAGAAATGGATTCTCTAGAAAACTCTCTCTTCTACCTCAGCTCGAAACCAACACCATCCATCTGATGGCTGGTGATTTCAACTGTCTCTCTCCTTTTTCTCCTTCCTTTTCTAAGGCGAATGACGAGGAGCTGTGTCACACTCTAGAAAGTCTTGCTTCCGTTAACTCGCTTGTTGATACCCGTTTGTCAGCCGACACTCCCACTTTCAGCTGTACCAATCACCCGCTCCCCATTTCCCTCTCTCCTAGACGGTTGGATCGTATCTACGTCGCATCCACAATGCTAGGTAGTAATCCCGCTGTCGCCACCTATTTCCATGACAAGAGTGATCACTGCCCAATCTCTGTCGACATCAATCTCTCAAGTAAGCGTTGGATTTTAAACCCTGCTACTCTCGGTTTACCCGGTGTTAAGCAATACATCACCAATATGTTCTATTGCCAGCTGCAACTGGACACCTGGTTTGTGGTCATGTGCTAAAGAAATGCTCATCTGTTTCTTAAAGAAGAGACAAAGCGCGAGATCTAGGGAGCGCCTCTCTCTCAAGAAATCTTTAAATCATACTCTCAACACATGCGATCCGGCATCTCAGAAGCATAAAGATGCACTGAACAAGATCAACGATCTAGTCGCCGAAGAAAAGCTCTTTCACAGCATTCTCGTGAATGATTTATCTATCCACAGGGAATGCCCATAGGCAGAAAAAAAAAAAAAAAAAAAAAAAAAAAAAAAAAAACCACGCATTATGGCCGTATCGTGGCCTTTGGATTTTTCATAAAATTTTGTTGCTCTGCTGAGATTCGAACTCAGATGACTGGATTCAAAGTCCAGGATACTAACCCTTATATGACAGAGCATTTAGATGTTTGTCCAATTTTTTCCATATTGTCTATATACTTAAATTTTTCGGTTTTTTAAACATAATATTTTTTCATTTTTTTAATCTTGTTGTGTGACATAAAAGAATAAATTGTTGTGGTTATTGCTTACCGCACAACAAAGATTTCAATAGACTATGCTTCGGAATCAAAAAGATAATAGAATGAAATATTAATAGAATAAAATAGAAATATCTTTAACCAAAATTATTAGGATCTATTCAAAAAAAATGATCATTTTTTAACGTTACTACCTTTTTTTTTTTCATCAGTACCAAAAATAGACGAATCTGAAAAAACAAACGAATATCTTAATCAGAATAGATCAAATAATAATAAAATGAAACAGTGTGATAAACATCAAAAAGATCTTGATCTTTTATGTTCAGATTGTAACACTATCATTTGTTATCGATGTTTGATATCACAACATTATGGACATCGAATTTTTCTCATTGATCAAATCAAGCAATCTATATTGAATATCAATTATAATAATATTATCAATGAAAAAAAAGAAGAAAAAGAAGAAGAAGAAGAGGAGGAAGAGGAAGAAGAAGAGGAGGAGGAAGAGGAAGAAGAAGTGGGGGAGGAAGAACAAGAGGATGTTAGTGATGAAGAAGAGAATGATCATGATAATAGTAAAACAAAAAATAAAAATAGTCCTAATAATGATAAAAGCAATGATAATGATAATGAAGAAGATAATATAATCAAAGAGAGATTACAATGGCTGTGGAATCATGTCAATGAATCATCAAGACAGATCAAATCACTTAGTTATATGGAGAATGTTATATCTGGTCACTTTAAACAATTCTATGAAGCATTGATGATTGAAGAACGAAGACTAGCAAAGCCAATCAATGATGATCTAATACAAAACGAACAACAGCTTCAAAATCATCTCAAGGAGATTCAATCATTACATAACATAATTCATTCAATAACATCCAATTTAATGCCACCTCAAACTATAAACAACATACAAACAACAGATCACGAAGAAGAAACAGTTAGTGTAAAAGTTGATACCATGAACTCGCAATACTTGGCTGATTCTGTCATTCAATCAGAGTCACTGGAGGAATTCATTCACAACAATTTAGATTTACTATTCAACAAGAATCATAATATCTTTGAGCACCAACAGAACACTAATAGTGACAGCACAAAAATCAACAAACTAAATGATATTGATCATTCAATATTGGAAGTAATTAGAAATCATTTTGACACATTCAAGGCCAATGATAGTGACGATGACAAAGATGATGAAAAAGAAAGTAAAAATGAACATTCAATCGTTGTAAAGAATAGTTCTACTTTTGAATTGGTAGCATTGGTTAAAAGGTCGATTTCAAATGAAAATCATCCTTATGCAGTTGATCATCGACCGAGTTATCTATTTACTTTCAAAAAAGGTGAACCATCATTATATAGTGGTTCAATCAATAGTAGCTTACTGAAAATGGAAGAAGAATCCACAAGATTGGTGGAAAGTCTCAAGTCATTTGATATTCAATTTGTTGGTTGCACCCGAAATATCCTGTATATATTCTTTCAATCAAAAACGAACTCCTCATATCTCATGTATTCACTTGGAGACAAGACAATTAATATTCTCGTACCAAATCTCAACGCATTTATTCCTGCCAATAGCAATGAGCTATCGGTTATGTGGTACGATGGTTATGAAAATCTTTACTCATTTGTTAGAGATAGACACAACCCAAATTCTTTGAAAATTTTTCGATTTAATATAATTGAAGATTATTATGAACATATAGAAATCAGTATTAGATATGAAGATTCAATCGAGAAAATAGTACCGGTTGGATTCTTTTCACACAACACTGGTTATGTTAGTGCAATCTGTTTCGACGGTAAATCAAATACCTTTCAGTTTTATGACTTTAACACTTTGGATCTCAGTCCAGAAGGCAGTATCTATGCAATTTTAAAGAATTTAGAGATTGTTGGCAAAGTTGGTTTGATCTCATATTGCTACTGTGATCATATGTTATACTTGTATATTTGCTGTCATGGCGATCCACAATATGACTGGTTCGTCAGTGTCAACCCAAAGGACAGACAATTCAAAAAGCTAAAAAATATTAGCGATTTTATTGCCCTAACAAACAATCGTATCTCTATAACTCCAATGACATTCCACTATGAACAAAAAAAGATTTACCTTTTGACAGAGAATCAAATTTTTGTTTATTTAATTAAAGGTAATTATTGGAGGAAATGTAATTACTCTCCATCTCATGGAAAGTTACTTTTAATATAAAAAAATAAAATATTTTTATTTAAATTTATTATTTTTCGACTAATTATGTACATTTATTTGTTTATAAATCTGCTTTCCTATTTTTTTTCTGTTGTCTTCTTGATACATGCTGTCTGGGGACTTGAACTTTTGAAACACTTGATTCTAACTTTTCTTTAACAAATTCCAAGAATTTATCTTCAAAGTTTGGTATTGTGCTGTTGGGAAAAAGTTTTTGTTTTAAATATCTACATGAATGGTGAGGTGATCTTTCAATCAGATCTCTGAGTTGCAATGCTGTGTCCAATCCGTATTCCCTCTCGAAAAACTGTACAGCAGTAAGATGATTAGATATCAGCAAATACTCCAACATTTTAGGTTTAGTAATGATGTTCTTTTCAATATATAATTTGATCATTTCATTCGATGCTGAATATCCAACTATGTATCGAGGATCACAATCAACACTGCTCAAAGGGCCATATCGATGTTGATTCTCCATATAGTGTTCAATCATTATCTTCTGACCTGAATAGATAAACGTAGTAGGCAGTGTTGGAATACTATTGTTTGGGTAATGATCTTGATAGTAGTTGTATAAATAGATGAAACAATCGAAATGACCACGTCCAATTGCACACTCGATACCACTTTGCACATTATGTGAAAACTTAACTTTTCTTTTCAACGATAGTATCAATGTGATCATTTCCAGGCTACCAATTCTTGCTGCCTGAGACAACACATCGCGATGATATGCAGATTCACCATGAACTCTTTTGGTTGTCAACAAATACTTTACAACATCCAAATTATCATTTCTTAATGAATCGGAAGCAGTCGAAGCTGGCAAAGTTATATCTGTATTCTCATAGAGATATTTTACAACACTTAGGTGTCCTCCTCTTGCTGCCTGATAGATTGAACTCTTTGAGAATCCTTCAGTTCGATGCTCATGAAGATATCTAACCAAATCTAGATCACCGTTAGCAGCGGCATTATCGATTGCATCGGATGTACATTTCACAGCTGGATGATGTTCAGTGATGAATTGGATGATTTCAAGATGACCTCGTTCCGCTGCCATATCTATTGCACGCGATGAGAATGTCACACCAGTATTCTTGTTCTTTTCAAGTAGCAGTTTGATTATCTTCATATTTCCATTACGGGCGGACCAATCAAACGCAATATGTGAACAACCTTCACTTCGATTAGCAAACAACCATTCGATAATTTCAGGTCTATTATTTATCGCTGCATAGTCGAGTGCCGAAACAGAACATCCTTCAGTCCTATTGTTATGAAACCATTTGAGAAGTTCAAAATTACCGGACCTCGCACAGTTGTCCATCGATGCTTTACTAACAGTTTGACCAGCATCGATCAAGTATCTTATCATCTCTAAACTTCCCGAGTTCACAGCGATATCAACTTCATTGCCTTTGAGTAACTTATGCTTGTTGAGTAATTTTATCATGTTGAAATGACCTCTATTCGCAGCTATATGACCAAGACTCGATTTATCTGAAATAAAAATATCACATGTTCGTATCTTCTCAGCCAACAACTCTACCAATCCATGATATACCAGATTCTCTGCTATCGATGTATATTCTTTCCATTTCAATGATCTTTATTAAAAATACCAAAAAAAAAAAAGTTATTAGTTTATATTATTATACTTTTATCTAATAATTTTGCTTACTCTATTCCTTTTGTCACATGTATAAAATGTATAAAATAAAATATCAGTTGTTTAAGAACAATATTGTTTAAAACATAAGAAAATAATGATTTGTCCATTTATATTTTATTAATTAATAATTGTAGTAACACACAATACAAAACATAAATTTAATTACACAAAGCTATTAAAAACTGAAATTAATCATAGATCATATTTTTAGAAAAATATCGGAAATTAAAATAGAATTTTTAAAGAGTTTATTATTTTAATAAATCTTAGTCTATTTGTTCTATGAACCCACACCATAAGGTTATAATTAACTTTATAATAAAAGAATTAAAAAATGTAGTTCAAGATCTATGATATAACTTTTAAACCTGAATAGTAGCTAATTGTCAGTGTATTATGATTGATGTTCATATTATTTTGTTTTTTTTGTTTTGAGACACATGTATCTTTGTTGGTTATTAGTTGGTTTTAATTAAATTAAAATTTTTTTTTTTTTAATTTGTTGGTTTGTAAGTAACTTATGCAAGGTATCGTCAATGATCTTCAAAGGTTTATTATAATCATTCAATGAAAATAAGAAATTTCAATTTGATTAGACAAGTAGAACGATATCAATTTGATATCATTTTACCATCTAAATGTCATGATAACAATGGAAACTTCTTCATATTAGATACAACACACAAAATATTCATCCAATACAATGTTGAAACCCAAACAAACAATTAATCTCAATTTTTTTACTCTCATAGATGGACTTATACCGTATGATGTATGATAGAGAATCACCAACATCAAGTTATTTCTATTCATTCGATTTATCGAAAGATTGTAATTTCAAATATTCAATTGAATCTAATCAATGTGAATCAATCTTGAGAGATATTAAGAATCAGAATAGAGAGTGGTGACATCAATTACCTTTTAAATAGGTTTTATGATAAATAATAAGAATAATAAAAATAAAAGCCAACTACAATAAGTCTCCCTAATATTATTATAGTCTGTTATTTCTAATAACTGTTTTAGTTATTCAAATAAATGATGTAAAATAAAAGTTTTATAAAATCGATGACATTTGGCGCATGTATGTTATATGACATCATTGTGTGTTTAGTCAAAGTGTTATCAGACTTTACTTTCGAATCCTGCAGGTGTCGACTAGTTTTAAAACTATTTTTTATAAGACAGTTAACAATAAAACATATATAACTATAATGAGACAATACTTAAAAAGTTTTTCAAATATTACTTTTTTTCAGCTGTAAATAATGATAAATATAACTTATTATATACTCATTTTTAAACTTAAATGTTTTAAAGTACAAAAGATATATAAATATTATAATTCATTCTTTATTCTTTATTTAACTTTATTACATTATCACAGTGAGACAACATATGACATATGAATTGAAATTAATTTTAAATATTAAAACCTAATTTAGTTAAGATTAATAAATCGAAAAATCTATATTTGTTAAACTTATATGATATATATAATATTTAAACTCCTTATAGTAATAGAGTATTCAGCGTGTTGAAAATTTATATAGAATAATATTAATCAATTGTTTGCAACCATTCTTTCTAATCAGGAAATTAATAATTAACAAGATTAGAATTTTTTTAAATCTTCAATTCACCACACTTTTTGGCTTTGGATGTAATTTATTGTTATCTTTATTATATATCTATTTCTTTGTACGTATTTTAATTAATCATCATGGCGCGACTTTATGGGAATCGCTGGCTTTATAAACTATTCGACACCTGCAGGATTCGAACCTGCGCCCCCGAAGGGAATTGATTTCTAGTCAATCGCCGTAACCACTTGGCTAAGGTGTCATTTGAATGATGTAGGCAATTTTTTTATTTGGACCCCACGCCTGGGTTTTGACTAAAGTGGTCTTTCCTTTGCCTTATTATCCTTGGGCAATAGTGTTGAAATTCACCAGCCAAATACCAAAATCTGTGTTGTGTCTGACCAATCAAATCCAGAATAACCATCTCAGGCAAAGCAATTAGCCAAGCCAAACCATCTCAAACCATCTCAACCATCTCAATACTAAGCAATTAACTAATCAAAACCATCCCAAGCTAAGCAATTAAAAACCCCAAAAACTAATCCAATCAAACCAATCACCTCTCAGGAGAGTGATTCACTTAATACTAAAATAAAAATCCATAAGTTTCTCCTCAAGATAAGAGGTAACTTTAAAAAATATATATATATATTTGGGAATTGATATACTTAAATTAAGTAAATTACAACCCTTGGCCAACGTCATTTGAATGATGGATTGACCTGTAAAATTTTTCTTATTGGGTGACCAAACTATCAGAATGCTGTGCCTAGTTAGACAAAATTATTATATAATATGTTTATTTGGGCCAGAACGCCTTCAATAATGAATGTCGTCAATATATGATATGCGGAAGTGGATACTATCCAGGTTCTAACTATTTGAGAGTAGGAGTAAGCCTAAGTTGTGTTGAATATATATAGACTACATTATATCAATTTAATGATAAATCATATATATGTCACTGATTAAATTATATAACATATATTAACAGAGATTGTTATAAAAAAAAGTTAAATGTCATCATGATTTGTTTTAAAAAAATATTTTTTGCAATGTTTAAAAAACGAATGAAACTTTGTTTTAAATTAATTACACTTGTAATTTATTAATAAATATATAAAGATGTCGAATCAACAACAACCACAACAACAAACACAGAATAACAAAGAGAAACATCCAATGTTGGATCCAACTGCATGTAAAGATTTAAAAGATAGACACGATCAATGTTTTTATAAATGGTATAGCAACAGTTTCTTAAAGGGTAACACCAGTGCAGAATGTCAAGAAGAATGGGAAGAATATCAAGTTTGCATTAAAGTAGGTCCAGATCAATCGAATCAATTCATTGTGTTCATACATACTAATCAAATTTCACATCTATCTAATATATAAACAGGATAAATTGAAAGCATGGAATTTAGAATATCTTTTAGAGAAAAATAAAGAATTACAACAAAAGAATAATAATAAATAAGAATAAGCGTTATATATATTAAGATCGATAATAAGTAATAAATCAAACACATATTTATAGTAAATATTAGTTATTTTTTTTTTGTTTTATTTTTAATTACATTCAATAATGATAATTGAATTCGTATGATTTATATATGGTTCAATAGAGTTACAAGCATTGTTGGGTTTATTAGTAGTTGGTGGTTGGTTGGTTGATGTTCTTTAATAAATAATGTTAACAACAACAACATCAGTGTATATATTTCATTCATCTAAAGTTCAACTTGGTTTACTTTTTCTTTTCTAGATCTGTCAACACTTTATCCCAATAAGCAAATTTCATTGAAAGTGATTCAATCTATAGATTAATGATAATGATTCGATTCGATTAGTTTGTTAGTTATTAAAAATAAATTTAAAAGTTGGTTTGTTTTTGATTGATAGTTACAATATCATTATATGATTGTATTCTTGATTCTAATTTCTTGTTAAGTGCAATGGTGATTGCCTGTTGTTCATTGTGTAATGATTCGATTGGCTGTAACTGTGTGATCATAGAGGGTATTGACTCTAAAGTAGTTGGATTAATGAATTTCTCTAGTTCCGCTATCTTTTGTAAATAGTTTGCTGTATAAATGATCTCATCCTCTGCCGACAATATAATGGACAACTTCTCAACCGGTGTCAATAACTCATCATTCTCTGCAATCTCGCTAAACAATTTTTCATTCTCTTTATCTGATAATATATATATATATTAGATTAATAAATTACATCATTGCATTGTTATTTATTATAACATGATATCTATAATTTTACATACATAAAGTCATAAATTGATTGATTGATTCATGATCTGATTTTATATGTTGTAAAGTTGATTTGAATCGATCGATTTGATCTACTAGAGTTTCGAGTGGTATGTTTGGAAGTGGCGATGTCGATGAGGTGGTTGTATTAGATCGTTTTCTATTACCAGTGATCAATGGTGATTGTGTCTGTTGTTGATGTAGCTGCTGTATGTTTTGAATCAACAATTGTGTTGCAGATGCACCCGATGTATTGGGTAACGGTTGACTCAGTACACTATCACTTGAATATGGCTGATATCCAAGTAACGCTATTTCCAATTGTCCAACTCTTCTCTCTATTTCATCAATAGTTTGACTATCAATTGTTTGTGAATCTGTCATTATATTAATATATCTATCTATATTTATAAATATGATTAATTATTATTCAAAAAATAATTAAAAAAGTAAAAAAAATAAAATAAATATGTTCAAAAAATACAAGCAATTCATGATCAATCACACCAATTAATTTATTATTAGATACATTAATTTTATTTAAATAAAATATATTATATTTAATATTCGAAATAATTTAACTATTGATAGCTTGGCATTGCAACTGGCTTCTTTTTAGTGGCAGTTTGATTCTTTTGTTTGTCTATTGGTAACTCTTCATCTTTTTCTTCTTCATCACTTGGTTCTTGTTGTACAATATCATCCTCATACTCTTTTTCTTCTTCCTCACCTTCCTCAACTTCCTCTTCTTGAATATGATGATGGTGGTGGTGGTGGTTTTGTTGTAGTTCTTCATTCTCTTCTTGTTCATCTTCTAGATGTTGTTCTATCTCCTCTTCATCGATTGTATTTAACGACTTTTGTTGTTGTTGTTGTTTCTGTTTCTCCATATCATTCAATCTTTGTATGATACTTTTAGTATTGTTGGTTGTTGGAGGTGTTCTAAATTCGGATGCTTCAGATATTTCAGAGACTGTATCAGACACTCTTGGAGCGGTTGTCATTTCATGAGCATCGGCAGGCACTTCACTAACGGCATCATCATTTCTAGTATCTTGAATCTCATCCTCTTCAAATCCGATCGACTCTTTTCTAAATCTATCAATCATTGCAATTCTACTACTAGTAGGATGGCTTGATGTAGCTGTAGTGGTGGTTGTTGTAGTTGTAGTTGTATTACTTTCAACATTATTATTATTCTTGTTTTTATTCTTATTATTATTTTTACTATTATTATTATTATTCTTTGTTGATTTCTTCTTTGTTTTTACTGGTTGTTTTCCTTTCTATAGAATTATTTAAAAATATTTATATTAGTATATGAATTAATAATAATATATTCATTATAATCTTTAAATTAACATACCAAAAGTAAATTTATCTTTTTAATCTTCTTTTGTATTGGAGCAGAATCAGTCTTTAACTTTAATGCTTCATTATAATAAACCAATGATTCTTGATATTCAGACTGTGCATACAATGCATTTGCTTTTGAATAATATGGCTAAAATAATAATAATAATAATAATATTGATAATTAATATTGATATAATTATAAATATATATATGGTTAGTTTACTTACTAAATAATTAAATTGTTTATCAGTCTCTTGTATTTCTATTGAAGTATTAGCATCTTCTATTGCCTCTTTGAATTTCTTTTGTTTGCAATAGGACATTGAACGATTGGCATACAAGATATTGTTGAATTTATCGATGGCGATCGCTTCAGTGTACATCGAGGTCGCTTCATCATAGCGCTTCTCGTAGTAAAGTTGGTTGGCTTGCTTGAAGAGTGTCTTTGCTTCGGTGGTCGACAACTTTATCAGCTCGTTGATCCATGTTAGCATCTCTTCAAACTCCACACAATTGTAGGTATTGATAGCCTTGACGATGCAACGTTTCGACTCTGAAAACTTACAGCTTCCCAAGTAGGCAGTTCCCATTCTTGCATAGGCTCTCGATTTCATCTGCAGGATACGTGCCATATCGTCTTGATCGAGTGGAGGTTGTATAGTGTTGTTGGACTGCGCAGCTTGGTCATTGTCTTCGTCGTCATCGTCCATATTGATCTTATTTACCATATCAACGGTTTTCTGACACTCCAAGATGGCGGCATCGAAATTTCCAGAAGAATTTAGTGCTGCTGCTCTCGAGAGTGGTAGTTCCATATTGTTTGGATCTGCATCGATTGCTTTATCGAAATATTCCAACGCACCCACATAATTTTTATTCCAAAGTTCCAAATTTCCTTTTTCTTTTAGTGCTTGTGCTTGTGGTAATGTTGTCAACATCATAACTATCTTTTATTTATTTATTATTCTCTACAAATTATTATTTTATTTATTTTTATTTATTATTTAATAATACATATAAATATAATTATTATTTAATTAAATTAAAAAATGTAATATTGATAAAAGAATGTAAATTTGATCTGGACTAACAAACAAAAAAAATATAAAAATAAAAAAAAAGATAGAGATAGAGATAGATTGGATAATTAAATATCTGTCTGATTACTATGAATAATATTAAATCACTATTTTATCTAGAGATAATTATCTATCTATACGTTTTCTTCTAATTATTTGATTTAATAAATATTTTAGGTTTGTTTTTTCAAAAACAAATAGATAAAGTGAGTTCTTTATTATCAGACGAATTTCTTTTTTATTATATTTTTTTTTTGATTGTTATACACTCCATTAATATTAATTTGATGAATGGATGAATATCAATAAAACCACTCATTGTTTCAATGTTTGTTTGTCAAGTGTGGGTTGTGGTTAATTATTTTTTTACAATGAGAGAGTTCACATCTTTTTCACACTCCACTCCACACACACACTATCATAATTATCATATCCTTAAATCACTGATTCTATCCTTTTATACAATGAGTTATATGTATGGTTTGTCATTTTCATTGTATAAATAAGATAATTTATTATTTTTTAGATATTTTTCTCACATCAAAATTCACTTGATATGGTAAACACATCTCCTATTCATTAAATTCGATGTTCTGTATTATCACACCATCATCAATCATTGGAAAATGGATGATCCACATCAATATATAATTAATATTCGCTTAACTTTAATCTATTCGTTTCGAAATATTTGTGTGTGTGATTATATATATTACTTGACATGTTAATTCTAATGTCACTAAAAAGTTAATTAATAATTTTGTGATTTTTAAAGTTTTATAATAATATTGTTATTATTTATTTATATGACCTATGTGAACTTATAATAACTTATTGCTTATTCTTGTTGTGAGTGTATGCAAATATCTAAAATAATAATAAATTTTTAGTATGAATATAATATTATTATATTGTTATAGATAATAACTTACTTTCTTTTGAATTTCATATACAACCAATGTAATACCAAACAATGGACTTATAATCATAATTCTTGGAACTAATCCTTTAGTAAATGCTTTTGGTCCTTCATTTTCTATTATAATGATGATTTTAAAATGATAAAGTTAATAAAGATTATTTTTGTTTGTTTTGTTTTGTTTTGTTTGTTTTCTTTGCTTACTTAATGTTTTCTGTACACAATCTATGATACCGTTATATGTTGGATCACCTGGTTTTGGTTTAACTTGAATTCTTGTTTTGATTACATCCATCGGTGTGCTGAATGACGCTGCGAAACTACCAGCTATAATACCAGAGAGAAGGATGTGACCAAGTGAGATATGACCGGTTTGCTTGTCTGTGAAGTAACCTTTGATACGTGCATACATCGAGAAATAGACCATGGAGAATGGCACGTCACGCAACAGTGTAGCGGCAGTTCCTTTGTAGAGTCCACGCAGTCCGAGTTCAGAGACGACCTCACGCAGCGATGCTTTCGCACCACCTTCACCACTGATCTGCATACGAATCTTGACGATCTCCATCGGGTTGGTGGCAATCACCTGACAGAAACCAGCACCGGCACCGGCCAACACCTCTTGACCGATCGTAATTGTCTTGGCATCGCCCTGTAGTATCTGACGCAACTGATCGTTGACAGCCAACTTTAGTGCTTTCTCTGGTGTGATACCAACGAGATTGGCAGACAAACCACGATAGAGTGCACGAACACCACCTTCATTGGCGATGATCTTTCTCGCACAATCGAGTGCACCGTTATATGTTCTCTGTCCATTGGGTAGTACCTTTTGATTCTGCAATCTAGTCTTTATCATATCGATTGGGAAGATAGTGGTGGCACCAATGATACCTGCAATTCCACCAGCAATCAAATTTGCATAAAAAGGTGGTTTTGGTTGCTCTTCATATTGAACTTTTGTTGGTACTTGACTATTGTTTGACTAATAATAATAATAATATGAAATTAGAAATGATAGTTAAAAATAAATTATTGATGTTCATTCATTTTACCATTTAAAAAAAATATAAAATATAAAATAAAATACAAAGAAAAATAAATAAAAGATATCTAAAAAAATATATTGAATTAAAAAAAAAAGATAATTATATATAAATAGTCAGTCGAATTTGTTGATATGTATGATGTGATTGTTACAGAGGTGTGAAAGTGGGTGTGAGTGTCTGTTTTGACACTAAAACAAAAAAAAAAAAAAAAAAATATTTAATAAATTAAAAGAAAAATGGTGATCATTCAATGCCCGATTTTGAAATTTCCCTTTGCGATTTTGCCGATTAACAAAAAAAAATGATTTGCAAATCAAACAAAAAAACACTTATTTGTTATATTTTATTATTTATTGTAATACATTTAGATTTGTAGCTAGTTAGTTTTTAATATTTTTATACAAGCACGCGCGTGATTTAATTTGATGTATAATAATTTTAATGATCGTCACATATATATATAAATAGTTAGTTTATGTCCATCCCATTAACATTAAGGAACCAACACATGTTAGGAATACAGTGATATTATCCCAATCCTCTAGTGGAATAGATTCGACGGCTGCGCATATAATAGTTACAACAAAGAGTGATGGCATATACTCTATAATAGAAAAGTTTGCTAGATAACCATAACACTGTACAATATATAATAGTATCGGTGTAAATACAATCGAAGAAACTATGAATGCCAATGTTCCACCAACTGTTTTAGATTTATTATGTGGTAACCTTGAAGTTTTAATTTCTTGACCAATCTATATATATATATATAGATAGTTAAATGAGAGCATTAGTAATCTACAACTTTTATATTAGTACAAAGAGCAACTTACTAAACCTGCAAAACCATCACCAACAAATAACATTGATAGTGCAGTTATACCGATGGGTGAATGCATCCAGTAGACAATACTAGTTACTACAAAGATGACTCCGTAGCTTGCAGGACCAAGCAGAAGTTCTCTTGGATCACCTGTTCTAGACATTGAATTGACGGTTTGTTGATCTTTCATAACACCAAAGCCAATCAATGAGAATTGAAGTGTGACGATGCCAGGGATCAGAGCTGCGCAGAATCTAGACATTGCATTATGAACTGGAAACAATCCCCATGTAAAAATAAATATAAATCCTGTACCAATATGTATCTAATATGTAATAAATCATAATTTAAATTAATATTTAATAATTTGATTAATTCTTATCTTTCGAATGATAATAAAAGTAGTAATGAGTAACATACAAGTTTTCTTGTTTGAGGAGATGTCAATATCTTTTTATGTGCTGATATTTGACATATTTTTAGCCATAAAAGACAACAAACACCTGTAGATATTGTTGCTGCTAATAATGAATTCATTATTATCTATCTATATATATTTAATGTAATTTAAATGATAAAATTAAAAATCAAATAAATTAACAAATATTTTTTTTTTAGGTTGATCCATTTTAAAAAAAATCACGTAATTTAAAAATAAAAAAGGTTGGATTTATTATTATTGGGGTGTCGATGTGATTCACAACAACAATTCATGTTGTTTAATGATTAATCAATCGAACATTCAAACAAAAAGAGTTTAAAAAAATCGATAAATCTTCGAAAATTAAAAGAATTTTGAATAATAATTTTTATTTTATATAAATATTTATAAATTTATATTTATTGCTAATATACATATAGTTAGTAAAACAAAAAGATAAATTGATAATACAGAGACGATGACTTATAATGGTTATTTAGATTTGTTGTGTCCATACTTTGAGAGACAGTAACAACGATAAGATAACAACAAAATAATATGTAGCTTTTATAGATTCAAGTTTGGCAATGATATCTTATGGAAGATCTCTGTTGAAATGATAATCTGTTAATTAATCGTACCGAGTAGCCACCAAATTAAATTTGATAAGTCAATGGTAGCGGCACCGTTTTCACATAGCATGGAGATAGCGTAACACTTTTTACTACACAAGAAGACTCAACATTCTAAAGTGCATGCAGAATTTTAACTTCTGATTTCTTGTAAAAAATATTTAATTTTAATTTTTTTTTGGATCAAATTATTGTTTGTATTACCGGAGGATCAGTCGCAACAACAATTAGCTAATCATATATATTTAAAATGGATAAATCATTAATTATAAGATTATTTAATAATAAATTTTTATTTAACTATATCTTTATAGATTGTTTTAAATATATACATAGTTTAATATTCTCAAATAAATTGAATAGTAAAACCTATAGGTGGCATGAATTGATTAATAATACAGAGGTGATCGCTGGTAATGGTTATTTAGATTTGTTGCATCAATACTTTGAGAGAAACAATAACAACAATAGTAATTGTGACAATATATGCAGCTCTAAAACCATTATCAATGCAATCAAGTTTGGAAGTCTGAGAATGCTACGCTATCTTATGGAAGAAGTAAAGATTGATGTACTAAGAAAAGATAAGTTGTTAAACTATCATAACGATGTGCTTCGCTATGCAGTGCGATACTCAAAGTTTGACATTATCAGATACCTCTGTGAAGAGTCGGTAGTAGCAACCAAATTGAATTTCAATCAAGCAATGATAGAAGCTCCGTTTTCACATAGCATGGACATTCTAAAGTACATAATGGAGCGCGATTCAAAGACAGCGAAATTCAGTAGTACCATTGAGTATACGCGATTAACCGTGTCACCTTTTGATACGGCTGCCAAAGTAGGTCGAGTTGACATGATCGACTATTTAGCGACAAACAGATCCAGTGACCGAAAGTACAGTATGATGTATCATAATGCGATCATAGCAGGACATGATAACGTAGTGGAGTATTTATTACGTGAGAATAAGGATGTAACGTCGTTCAATGAGGATGATGAAGTCGATAATCTCTTTGGTTTGGCGGCAAGAGAGAACAATTTCAATGTTTTGCAAATGCTTTACAATCATAATATTGTCACCAATCCAGAAGAAGCAATAGAAGGTGCAGCTGAAAATGGTAATATAGAGATGCTGAACTGGATCAACGTTAGGATACCATCATGTCCAGTTGGCAGTGCGATCAATAAAGCATCTTGCAAAGGTCACTTGAAAGCAATAGAATGGCTATTCGAAAATAAAAGTGATCAAATAGCTAGTCAAAATCCTTTTGCGCAAACGAATCCAATTGTTGATGCTGCAATTTTTGGTAATTTAAGCATCATTCAATGGTTCCACTGGAATCAACATCATCACTTTCAATTCAATTCGAATGTTATGCACTCAGCTGCTTTGAATGGTTTTACTGAAATTGTAGCTTGGCTGCATCAGAATCGCACTGAAGGTTGTAATTCGAATACATTTGACATCACAGTAAAGAATGAACACTTTGATGTTCTTAAATATCTTCATACTCATAGAATTACCAGTGCAACTGATAAGGCAATGAACTATGCTATTGAAAGAAATCGAATGGATATTTTAATATGGTTGCACGAGAATCGTAGTGAAGGTTGTTCAACACTGGGAATGGATATAGCTGCAAGAGATGGAAACTTACCAGTCGCTCAATGGCTCCACAATAATCGAACTGAAGGCTGTTCTAGAATGACATTACATTTAGCTGTTAAATATGGAAAGCTTGACATGGCTGAATGGCTAATGGCAAATAAAACAGAATGTACAATTCAATCGATATCATACAATGATCATCTAACTCCTATATTGTCTAATATCATACGAAACGATGATTATCGAGCAATGGAATGGCTTTTAAAGAGAATTCCGGCTGAAGGTATTGAACATTATAAACATTGGGAACCAAAGCCTCATGCCTCAAATAATACAGCAAAATTAATGCGTAGTTTTAATCCAAATAATAAATAACTTTAAATTTTATATACACATCCTGTATTTAATTAGTTTTTAAAAGGGGGTGATTAACAATAAAAACGTTCCTATATATATAATAACTAAAGAATAACTAATTTAATACTATAATAATGCTAATGATGATAAAATATAACAATGTTCTTTATTTTGTTTGTTTAATTGATAAATACATATTTTAATTGATTTAAATTGATTATTTTATATATATTAAAGTGTTACTATTTAACATTAGTACAACCAAAAAACCATTTTTCTTTTATCCTATTATTCATTATTTTTGAACTTAAACTCCAGTATTTTCTAGTAATGTACATTCATAATAAAGTGAAAACTTCATTTCACGTTAATTACGGTATAAAGGAAAAATAACAATAGGTATGCGAATTTCATTACTGAGTATAAATCATTAGTCATTAATTATACGTACGTAGAGCGCGCGCTCATGATCAGTCAACAAATTACAGGTATTGATATTAAGCTGAAGAATCTATTTAAGGCGAATGTTTGGTGGAGAGCTTCTATTTTCAAAGATTTTAACAGTGATTTTTGAGGGGCAAAATTTTAAAATTGTGTGCTCTACCGCAGGCGGTACATTACTTTTATAAAGATGAACCTCCCTATCCGGGAATCGAACCCGGGGTTTCAGTGTGAAAGACTAATGTGTTACCACTACACCAATAAGGATTTGGGATGAAATTGCATTCTCAAAATAATTTTTTAAATGTTAAATTCCGAAACTATACCAAAAAGGATTTAGGATGAATTCTTTAAATATATTGTTTTTAATTGATTTATTCTCGAAAGTGAATAACAAGAATAAAAATAAACTAACATCTGTAAAGATATTAAAAGATAAAAAGAATCAATTTTTAAGTTTATTGAATGAATACAAAAAAAAAACAGTGTATGTCTCCTCAATTAAACTAGGAAATATGAACAACATTTTAGATCCACGACTTCAATCCAATGATTTTCTGTTGTAAATCAGTAAACTGTTCTTTATCTAAATCATTGAGTGCTTCTTTGATCTTATTACATCTCAATTGGGTTTTTTCTTGGTTAAAATAAGTTGAAACACTCACTTTAATAAATTGACTAAATCTTGGATATGAGCTATCATTTGGAGAAGATCCATGAGCCATCTTTTGATTCCATAATACCAAACTACCTGCCCTTGCTGTAACTCTTACTGCATATTTCTAAATTTTTATAAAGAATATTTGTTGAAAGTTAATTATCTTTAAAAAATGAAAATGTTTATAAAACATCTACATATAAAGGATAAGTTCCTGGAATAATAATAAACTTATTTGCCAATCCAAAAACATTTTTTAGTTCTACATTACTTTAAGAGAAAGAATTTTAGTATCAAAAATAATATCTAATTTAATAGTTTTGATAAAACCATACTTTTTAGCCCATTCTTCAAAGTGATTTGGGAAACCGGGAACAACAAGGAAACCACCATCCGAAGTCTTATTGTCTGCAAAGTTTAAAAGTCCTTGGATATGTAGTTCATTTAGAGTCTTTGGACCTACTTCGTTATTTTCAAGTTGGAAATCATTTGACATTGAATTCTCATACTCTAATTTCTGAATGATCTTTTGTCTTGTTTCATCAGAAGTCTCTTCTAAAAATTCGAATGGATTCAAATCAAGATGTACTAAGATAATTTAATTATTATTAAAATTACGATATTAATTATAATATTAATTATTTACCGTTAAAAATTGTTTTCCAATCATTTTTTGATTCGATTTTCACTGCATTCATCTCACCTAATCTTTGTTTGATCTCAGTATGATGAGGTGTCATTTTTGGCATTGGATTTAAAATGTTTTTGGTTGGTCTGAAGAAACCGTAACGATCATGATTGATAAAGAGATCGTTACGACCTAGTAATGTTGAGTAGACTCGATAGATATTGGGATTGGCACGAGTCTCTACAGCAGTCTTTGAAAACACAGATCTGCTACCTAAAAAACCTACTTGATGAGATGTTGGCCAACTTTTCACCCATGTTTCTGGTTGGTCCTGCTTGACTTTCTCTGACTCGGAATCATTGGTTGAATTCACTGGTTCTGTTCTCCATTGCTCTTTCAAAATAAAATTCCAGATATCATCAATACTAGCTTGACATTGTTGATCATTAAGAACATCTCTGATAATAACAAATCCATAGTGATTAAAAAACTTAAAAAAAAAAAATATATATTGTTAACAAATTTTAATTTCCTAAACAAAAACTCTATACCTTTAAATATTCATTCTCTTGGTTAATTGTAAATGATTGCAAATAACCTTCATCGTCTATTGGAACATCGTATTTAGGTGGGCAATAATTACTGTTATCTTGATATTCTATATGATTAAGATGTCTATTTGGATCATTAACTGACTCCTTTTTAATAATTAATTTTTTGATATCTTCGATTTCCATTATAAACTTCTTTTATAGTTTATATATTATAATTAAACTATCTCTATAATAATTTAAGGAAATGAGTTGGTTTGATTTCATTCTTTTTCTTTTTGCTTTGTATTTAAAAGATTTGAGATATAACTGTAATTGAATTTATTAATTTTAGATATCACCACATATCTATAACCACTTGCAGAGAGAATTCATATAATAATTATTTTAATTGGATAATACTTATATTTACTTTTTATATACAATTAATATAGTAATTATAAAGATGCTTTGATGATGAAATGGTGAAACAATAAGTTAAATATATGATGAAACACAACCGAAATATGTTGTGTCGCAGTTAACCCGAAAAATGTTGTGTGTGTCACCAAAATGAAATAGTTTTTAAAAAAATTATATTGTGTAAATCAGTTGTAGTTTGTAACTAATAAAAGATTATTTAACACAGATATTCTATATTATTCGAAGGACTATTATATCAAATGAGTAGAATTTATTGATTTGTTTTGTTTTTGGGGGTGATTTTGCTATTATTTTATTTATTTATTTATTTTTAGGATTTAGAGTTGTTTTGGTTTTGAAACTCTATCTTGAGCAAAGTGAGACAATGTCTTTTGACCAAAGAAGACGGTTGGGATCAAAAGCAAACCAAGGTATCTCAAGGTGACGACCATGGTCAATGAGAACCAGTAGGTGACGATCAACAATCCAACCAATGCGGCACATCCAATGAAAGCAACGGTGTAGATGAATCCCATACCACCTGGGAATCTGTTCAAGTTGGCACCCAACACTGGCAAACCAATGAGGAAGATAACGAATGGTGCCAAAACGAGGAGAGTAAAGGTTTGTGAAACAACTTGTGGTGGACGGCTCTCTGGAACACGGAAACGGTGATCAATTGGTTGGTGAACTGGATAACGGGTAGTTCCAGTGGCAGCTTGATCAAAGTTGAGTGTCAATTGTCCGACTTGCCAGTTGAGTGGTGCAATCGAGGAGTCACCGACCAAGACATCGACGGCGTAGGCACCGCTCTGGAAGTTCAAAAGCTTACCGAGGTCACGGCTGTTAATGACATAGCTGTAAGAGTCAACGCTGAATACGGCTTGGACAACGGTTTCAATCGATGGGTTGACCTTGGAGACGAAACGAACTCCGACTTGTTGGGCAACGAATGGTTGGTCACCAGAGACGACACGGAAGAAAATACGGGCAGTCTTGGCGGCTGGCAACTCGAGGGACAATTGGTTTTGTGATTCAACTGTGAAGATTTGCTTGGAGTTGGCCAATGCTTCTTTGTTGTCGGCGACAATCAATTTGAAGTCACGCACAGCGGCAGCACCGGAAACAGTGATGGTACGGGTGACAGTGAATGGATGGAAATTGTCTTCGGATGGGTTGATCTTGATGTCGGCAACGTATGATCCAAGCTTGAGTTCGGAAACATCGAGTTGGTTGTCGGACAACTCCTTGTTGGAGATGACGGCAGTGTTACGGGCGGTGGCCAATGCGACCTTGGCGACGGTGACTTGGGTGGCAACTGGGTGGTCGAAAATATCGTGGATTTGGACAGTGACCAACTTCTTTCCAGAGGCCGATGAGTCGAATGTAGTTGGATTGAGGACTACGGACAATGGTTGTCCAATGGAGTTCTTGGCGCAACTCTTCAAACCGATGACCAAATTGAAAGCATCCTGGAGTGAGGCGGTGCTCTTGAATCTGAGGAGGTAGTCTCCGATTCTCTGGATTTGGAGTGGAGTGATTGTGTTGGCGACTTTCTCGCTTTGCGAGGTGAGAGCTACGATACCACGGAAAATGGAGGATGTGGTAGCGAGGTCGTGCCAGACGAATCCACTGGCAGAGTCAGAGGCCGATGAGACAACCGATGGCAACTTGGAGACGACCTTATCGACGAGATTCGAGATACCAGCGACTGACTTGAGACGGTGGGAAAGACGAGCCATGGTGAAGTAGGCGACTCCATTGTTGATGATGGAAGCATCGTCGGAACCAGACTCGAGCTTGAACTCTCCATCGGCGTCCATCAAGGAAACCAAACGGTTGGCGGCGGATTCCAAGTTGGCGACATCGTACGAGATGGATTTGGCGTCGAGCAATAAGAATACAGTGTTGACGGCGGCAGCCAATTCATTGATGTTACCGTTTTCCAATGATTTTTGGACGGCGTTCTCAATCAATGAGAGTGGTACTGGGTTGGCGGCCAAACATTTGATCTCTGACAAAATGGAGACACCATAAAATACAGACTCGATATCGTTGCTACGTTGCTCGATTAAGCCACGTACTTGTTTGCAGAGCTCGCTATCCTTTACGATTGGTTGGGAGAGACGAGTGAGTGCACCTACAGCGTAGAATGTTTCCTTAAGATCGTTGTCGTACAATCCACCATTCGATGGACGATGTGATTCAATCATACTGCTCAATGATTTAATATTGCTTGCTGTCAGTGTCGATGACAATGATGATGGTGCTGTTTTAGCAGCAGAGATCATACCGATAGTCAATGAGACCATCAATACAACCATCATCAATCCATATGAATTTTGTTTATCTATAATATAAGTGATAATAATAATAAAAAAATGTTAGATATTTAGATAATAAATAATTTAGTTTGTTTTTTTTGTTTTTAGTTTTTTCTTGATTCAATGTCCAACATCTTAACCAATCAATCAATCAATCCAAAAAGATCTATATATAATTATGAATATTATTTCCTATCTATATATTTCAATCTAAATATTCTGTTTTATAACTTATTATATTTCTTCCTAAATCTATTCCAAAAACTCTATTTTTATCTTGTAATTTGTTGATTGAAGTAATAATTTGTTTAATAGTATTGTGGGTAGCTTGTTGGTTGGTTTATTGATCATTTTGAAACATATTTAAATCTGACTGATTGATTGATTGATTGATTATTGATTGTTGATTGATTGAAAAATTTGGTTGATTGTGCTAAATTTAAATTTATTAACTATTGAGACCTACACATGATTGATTAAATATATATAGGTATATAAAGTTCCTTTTTTTATATTAAATATAAATATTGATTATTGAACTATTAAAATTCAATCTTGATAATCAATAATTATTTTTTGAAAAAAAGGTTTATTGCTAGGAACAAATACAATTTCAATGAGTTAATTGATGATTGTGAACTGCCTCTGATTTAAAAAAAAAAAAAAAAAAAAACCTATACATCAAAATTTATTTTTAATAAAATTAATTTAATCTACTGTGGTGGTGTCACTGTATTGATGAACACCTTTGCCCTTATTGAAAAAAAAAATTTGGTCAAGGTTTTTTTTCAAATTTTTTTGACCACAATTTTATCATATAAAAAAATTTGTGTGAGGTCTCATTAATTTTTTTTTCAAAAACACGAATTTCATTTTTAGAAAAACAATTTTTTCATTCACTCGGTTGTTGTGTGTGTGATTAGTTTTATGCATAGTTGATCAAATAAATTGATATCATACCCACCACCACCAATAATAAATCAATTAATAAATCTCTTTGTTCATATTTATAATATTCAGTAGTTAATCTATAGATATTCTATATAGATAAAAGAGATACAAAAAAAATGATGATCAATATACTCAAGAGATCAAATATCACAAAACAGCTCATCGAATCTAATAAATCTGCGATTTTGAATTGTAAGAAAAGAATTAAAATTGAAATGGCAATAGTCAACAACAACAGAAACAACAATGACAATAATGACAACAATTCAACAATGCAACATTAATACTATTTGTTGCATTGTTGTCATCTTCGAATAGTATGAATCAACATGACTTTAAGATAAAGATAACATAATGCACATTTTGAATCAATATTAAGATTTCAAACAAACTCATTAATGTTTTCGGATTTAATATAAAAAATGGTGGAAGTTAGTAGATAGATATATATAAGATTGGTGAATATAGATTATTGTTGTCTTTGTTGTTGTTGATTATTATGATATCATTTCTTTTTTTTTTTTTAATAATGTGACAATATTAATTAATTTTCGTCTTTTAACATAATTATAGCATTTAGATATTATTCATCATCATCAAATAATAACAATGGAAATAAAGTTGGATTCGAAAATTTAAAGGATTTCACAGATCAATTCAAGAATCCAAAACCATTCGATTACAGTCAACCAATTGATTATGGATTCATTTCAAAGGAGTTGAATCTACCGATTTCAGAGAAAGGTATCAATTTAGATAAGAATCAACTCGCTAGCTTGGGTATCGATATGGATTTGTCGACAGCAGAGAATCATCAGGGTCTCATTCAGTTGGAGCGTCTTCTTCGTACACCAGAGGGTAAGAGTTACCTCAATCTGCTGATCGCCGACATCAAGTCGTCGTTCAACATCGAATCAGAGGAGCAAATGAAGATTCGTGTCAAGCAGCTGACCGACGAATACTCGCTGAAGCTCGGTGACAATGTCAAGATCGATCAATTCATCAAGGAGAATCCCGATCAGACCAAACTCAGCGCTCACCAACGTGACATCGTAAACGATTATATCGAGCGTCATCCATACATCAAACACATTCGTCAGACCGCACTCATCATGGATCTGGTGGATCTCGTCGAAGTCTACAACAAGTCGGACTCGCAGACATTCCAAGCAGAGTTTGACAAGAAATTCCTCATCAAAGGACAAGACAACGCTGAGCTCTCACGTGAATCCGAGAAGAATTTGCGTGACCAACAATTCGTTGGCCAAGAAGAAGTCGATGACGACCAACTCTTTGCCGAGTCGACCGACAAACAGAAAGCACAAGACAACATCTTGCGTATGATTAAATCCGACCAGTTGCCAGCGTATCTCGACCAGCTGTTCCTGAGTGCACAACAGACACTCGTGCCAAAGTCGGCGGAGCAAATGGAGCGTGAAGCAACCGATCCAATGTTCAACGAGTTGCGTGCAATCGAAGCGGACTTTAACGAGCCGTTGTTCCCCGATGCCGACCTCGTCAAGCCGGTCGAGATGCAAGAGCAAGCCAAAGATCCAAAGTCGTTCCTCAAGTACTACCAACTCTACCCGGCCAAAGTCAGAAAGTGGATCGACTACACACACACACCACTCGGTTTCTACACTGGTCTCGGTGTATGGTACAACTTCCCAGAGTGGTACTCCAAGAATTTCCCAGCGATGAAGCCAGAGCAGATCGTCACAGAGGAGAGCGTCTCCTCCAAGTTCGAAGAGAAGGAGCTACCAGAGGACTTGAGAGAGGTCTACCGTTTCGGTGTCACCAAAGAGGAAGCAGAGATTCTTCATCCAAAACTCAGAGACTTCCTTTCATTCCGTAACGCCTCACAGGGTGAAGTCAACGCATATAGAAGACAAGTTTGTATTCAAAAGTTCGGTAACGATAAAAATGATACTGGATCAACTTCAGTTCAAAGTAAGTATTATAATAATAATAATAATAATATAAAAAAGTTGTGAATGAAAACTAATCAACATCTTTGAATCAATAACAATTCAATAGTTGCAATCTTTACTGAAAGAATTAATTATTTAGAAGCACATATTCAAAAGAATAACAAAGATAACGTTGCAAAGAGAAGACTATCATTATTGCAATCAAAGAGAAAATCAATGATTAACTATCTAAAGAGCAAGAATGTCGAAGAGTATTTCCGTGTAACAAAGGATTTGAAGATTAGAAACTCAATTTTATAAATTAAAAAATAAATAATAAATAAATAAACGTATATAAAAGTAATATAATAAATCAATTATTTTATAACTTTTTTTTTTTTTGTTTTTTTTTAATTTTAATTTACAAAGATAAATAGTTTTATCTTTTTTTTATTATATATTATATATGATAGCTTTGTTATTATTATTGTTGTTGTTGTGATAATAACTTAAACATTAATTTATATTGATCTAGTAACAATGGTATGTCGGAATACTTTAGATTATCGATATTGGTTGTTTCGAAGCTAAATTGGTTCATATTTACAGAGTTGTGAATTGTTTGATTGTTATTATTATTATTGCTATCTTTTTGATTGTTATCTTGTTGTAGTAAAAGTTTCTTTTGTAAGTCTTTTATCTCTAGTTTATCTTTGTGTGTCTGTTGTTGAAGTTTTGTTATCTCACTCTCCTTTTGATCTAAAAGTTGTTGTAAGAATATCATGGATGGTGGTATGTTTTCATTGATTGTATTGTTGCTATTATTAGTATTATTATTATTGTTGTTGTTGTTATTGCTGTCAGTCAATGACATTGGATAGGTTGATTGGTTAACTTGAAGGTATCCTTGGTGTTCTGCAATCATGTTGGTCACACGATTCACCAGATCACTAGGTGACAATTGATGCTTGGGTGATTTATGTTTGTGTTTGGTGTCGATATAGGTAATACAATCTATCAGATACTGTGTATGACAATCAGGGAACATCTCTGCAAGCGAAGCGAGTGCACCATCATCAAACACCGACGTCTTTGGTGTTGATTTTTCACCACCACCACCACCTGACGATGTCAGAGAACCACTACTACTCTTTGTATTGCTTGTCGATGTCGGATCCAAAGGATTCGAGCCCGACATCCAAAGATTATATTCCTTCTTATCAATCTTTAATGAATCTGCATTTATATTCTCAATGAAATAGATTACAGCTATCAATTGTGTCATATAATAAAGTGCTTCAGAATCAGAGTTGTCTGAGAATTTACTTATAAATCTATATATAAAAATATAGATATAATAATAGTTAGCTAAGTTATAGCAGCGCTGCCAATATATTGATAAACAACAATAACTTACGTAACATTTGAATTTAAATATTGTGGATTATACTTTAAAACTACATAGATGAGGTGTGGCAGTAGAGAGTCAGCACCATGAGATTCACCACTGTTTGCAGAGAGATGGTTGAGTATTGATTTACAACTCTTTACGATGTACATCATTTTGTGACGACAACTCTTGGTGATGTTGATCTTTGCAAGGAATTGACCTGCTTCCTGCCACATTGCTTCACTGCAAGTCTCTGGCGGTATCTCGAGATGTGCTGGCTCGACAAAGTGTAGCTTCACGATCATCTTGTGCAGTGATTCGTCCTTTTCGATATCGTCGTCCGTCGATCTAAATACATAGTCATAGATCTTCTCTATTACATATTGCTGAAGATGGTGAGTAGTATAGGTGTACTCTTCGTCACTTGCATTCTCCCAGTGTGAATCGGAGCTGAGCGAGTGCATCATGTTCGAAACAAAGTCCATCAGAGCCTCTCTAAGGTCATCGTTGGCTACTTTACGATTCTTTAGCTTACTAACGAAACTGTCAATCGATGACTTTATATTGGTTGCACTGTCTAGCTTCTCGAGGAAGCTCTCATAGGAGTACGGCTCGCTCAGTTCAATCAACTTGGCAAAGTCCTTTGGTTGTACATTGCCAAGTGGTGAGCTCGGTGTGGAGAACGATATTGGTATCTGACTAGACTCTGAGTATTGCAATGAAAATGGTTCTGGTTTTGGTTTGGCAGATGTCTCTTGATCTTTCAATTGCTGTTGTTGCTGTTGTTTCTTGTAGTCGGGTGTTGGTGGTGCAGACTTTGACTTGTCACCGGGTGTTAAAAGATTTGAAAGTGAATTAAACAATGATACTTCATTCTCTTTAACTGTTGATGATACACTAATAGTTGGATTGTTTGATGATGATGTTGTTGTTGTATTGGAATTTACATTGGACGCTGCTGTTGCTGTTGCTGTTGCTGTTGCTGTCGAAGATGTAACGGTTGGACTAACAGGTAAGGAGTTGGCTGGAGTGCTGGATGTTGAAGGTGAAGTTTCCTCTTTGATAACTGATGTCTTTGATGTATCTCTTCTAAATATTCTTTTAATAAAGCTTGTTTTATTATTGTTATTATTATTGTTGTTGTTGTTTGTTACTGTTGAAGTAGATGGTGAGACAACGGATGGAAGTGATGAGGTTGAACTTGACATTGTTAACGAAGGTAAACTAGATGACGAGGAGGTAGGTGAATATGAATTCGATGATAGTAAACTGGTTGTAGTAATGGCAGCAGATGTTGATAGAGATCGCTGATGGTGTGATACTACTGGTGTAGTTGGCATAGCCATAATGAGTTGAGGTGACTTTAATGCTTGTTCTTTTGATGTACTACTATTTGATTCTGTAGCAATAACTGTAGTGGAAATACTACTACTACTACTACTACTATTATTATTATTATTGATAGTCGTAGAGGAAACAGAGGACATTGATGCAGTTTCAATTAGTTCAGGTTCGGGTAGTATGGCAATGGTAGGTTGAACAACGACATATGAGCTAGGCTTTGGCGACGTTCCCATTAAATTTTCAGATGACGCTGAAATTGGAATTGAAGATTTACTTGACTCTTCTGTTGTTGTTGTTGTTGTTATTGTAGAGGTTGCTGTTGTTGATGATGTAGATGTAGATGTTAAGTTTGGTTCTGTCAATTGTAAATCATCTAAAAAGTCAAGACTCAATTCATTCGTAGACTTTATTGTTGTTGTTGTTGTTGTTTCTATTGTTTTTGTTGATAATAACGATGATGATGATGATGTGGTTGTTGTTGTTTGTAATCCGTCATCTTCCAATTGAATACTATCTTTAGACTCTACTTGAACTTCTTCTTCTTCCTCCTCTTCCTCTTCTTTTGTATTGTGTGATTGTATTGGTGAATTTGAATCAATCGATGCCAATGATGAATGTTGAGAACTGACACTTGAAATATCGGTTAGACTACTATTATTACTTGTATTCTTTAAAATATTCTCTTCATCACTTGAGCTATCCTTTTCATTGACTACTAAGTCAAAATAATATTAATATAAAGAAAATATGATATAATTAAAAAATAGGTCTATTAAAAAAATATTGAAATTATAATAATATTTACATTCTTCTTTTTGTTCAACCAATATCAAAGTACTATCTTTTGAATCTTCATTTGATTTTATGTCATTGTTATCATTGTTATTGGTTGGTGTAGTTGTAGTAGTGGTGGTGGTTGCAGGTGATAATATTTCCTCATTATTACTTATCATCTCATCGAATATAAAATTAACAATAAATTATTGTTAAAAAAAAATATTGTTTTTTTTATTCTCTAATTTTTAATTTGAATATATATTTTATCTTTTAAACATATATAATAATAATTATTTTCTAACTTTTTAAAAATACTTAATACTTAATTAATTTAATATTTGTTTTTGTTTTTTGTTTTTTTTTTTTGTTTTTAAACAATGCAATGTAATGTAATATATATTAATTGTTTATATATCGATTAGGAATTTTATGTTTATGTTTAATTTTTTATTAAATTTTTTTGTTTTTCAAGATAATTATTTTTTTTTTTTTTTTTTTTTATTTGTTGTTTTTTTTTTTTTCCAATTTATTCAAATATTTTCAACACAATTAAGATTGAATGTCAGATAATATGGTGAGAAAAAGATTGCATCAATCTATTTGTTATTAAAATTTTTTTTTTGATTAACTTTTTTTTTTTTAAAGCGGTTGAAAATTTGTTGTTTTTTTTTGTTTTTGCTATAAAAAAATAATATATATTTTAATTTTTTCTGCTAAAAACAATTGTTTTGTTTCAACTCATTTGAGGTTTTTTTTTTTTTTTTTGTTTATATTTATTTTATTTATTATATATTTATTGTGATAATCCAAAAATTGAAGGAATACATTATATATTCAGAACGATCGTTATTAATCGACATTGTGAATGTAAGTTAAATACACTATTATTATTTTGATTTTATATTTTAGTTTAAATCATATCTAACTAAACTAATTTTATAATGGTTTATTTTCATTTTTAGATTAAAAATAACTATTATTTGTTTAGTGAGATAGAGAGAGAAGAGAAAGGAATATAGCATAAGCAGCAGCAGAGAAGTCAAGTCAAGTCTTGAAGAGACTAGATCTTGTAGATCGATTCAGATAGAAACAAGATAAACTACAGCACCGAGATTTGCCTTTGGATTCTACTACACCGCGTGTTCGATTGCCACGAAAGAGAGAGAACAAAGCATATAGAGTAGAGGCGCCTTTTTTCTCTGCATTGAATTCAAAACTCTTTGAAGCTGCAGCGGAAACAGTAAAGCGTCAACTACTTTATATATAACAACAAAACAAAACAAAACAACACAATAACAAAAAAAAAAAAAAAAAAGAAGAAGTATCGATACTCTAATAACAACAACCAAACCAAAACTTTAGTAAAATGATGAGCATGTTGAAAAAGAAATCAAAGTCAGGTATGAATAATATAATCCTCTCACTCTATATATATATATATTTTGTTGTTGTTGTGACAACCATACAAATTTTCAAAGTTAACTAACTTACGAATTTTTTTTTTTTCAATTTTTTCAAATTTTTTTGAAATTTTCAAAAACACCAAACAACAGAGGATTGGGAGAAGAAAGCAGCATCTAATAATTCCTCGAATGGCTCTTCCAAGAGTAATGGAAGTAATGATATCGATCACTCTGATGCTGATAGGAAAAAAGTGAAATCTTCATCGTCTTCATCGTCCGGTTCATCGTCGTCATCATCATCATCGAGTAAAGTAAAGAAGGAAAAAGATGATAGAGAGGAGAGCAACAACAGTAGCAGTAACGGCAAAAAGTCGTCGTCTCAAGAGAAATCATCGTCGTCGTCCTCTTCATCGTCATCCAGTAAAGTAAAGAAAGAAGAAAAGAATGATAGCAGTAGTAGCAGTAAATCAAAGTCATCTACCAACTCATTTGTTAGCGGTACTCCCTTTAGATATGGACAGACTGTATATGGACGAATGACAGGTTATCCACTTTGGCCAGCAAGAGTAAGATAATACTATAGATAGTTCATGATTTTCAAAAACAAAATAACACAATGCTAATTAATGATTTATTCATCATTTTAGATTCACAATCCACAAAAATCACCGATTAAAGTAGAAGTACAGAAAGCACAACCAAAGAATCAAAATGTAGTACTTTTACACTTCTTTTATTCAAATGATTAGTATGTATAGATTTATTGTTAAAAAAAAAAAAAAACAGAAATTCAGCAACAAGAATTTGAAGTTATTGACGAAAATTCATAATAATTCTTATAGTGCTTGGTTACCACCAGATTCAGTTTTTGATTTCAAGTCGATTCCAATGAAAAAGAAACCAAATAAGAAATCGTGGCACAAAGCATACAATGCAGCACTTAAATATATTGAAAACAACGAAGAGTCTGGTCCAGAAGCGGATTATGATTCAGAGTCGGAACCGGAACCATCTCAATCGGAATCAGAGGTCAGTGATGACGGCTCTGAAATGACCGACGAAGCAAGTGATAACGATGAAAAACCTGTAGAACAATCAAACAATAACCACCACAAGAATAATAGCAACAGCAACAAGACCGAAACACCATCTAAAAAACCAACGAAATCAACACCGAGCAAACCAACAGCCAGCAAACCATCACTACCACCATCAACACCGATATCATCAAAGAAATCATCGTCATCCTCAAGCAACAGCAACAACAGCAGCAGCAGCAGCAGTAAATCAAAGTCGTCGTCATCGTCTGACAAATTCGAAAAATCAGCAGTAGCGGCGGCAGCAAGAAAAAGAAAAAGCTTCAGAGAGATCATACCGAAAAGGAAAAGTCATCCTCTGCCAGCAGTAGTAGTAGCAGACAAAAGTAGTAATAATAAGAAAGTGACTGCCAAGCGTAAACAACATACAGTTGATTCAGACAGTTCGAGTTCCAGTGACGACAGTTCAGAGAGCGATTCATCTTCAAGTGATGCCGAGTCAGAGGAGGATGATGATCTCTCTAGTTTCAGCGAGCCTAGCGAAGTCGAGGATAACAGTCGAAAGCACAAACGTCTCAAGAAGATGAAGGACAGCACGAGCAGTTCCAACAGCAACAGCAGCAGCCGAGACAGCGGAAGTTCGAAAAAGAAGTCATCGTCGTCGTCATCATCCAAGAAGGAATCGAAATCCGATCGATCCGCTTCGAAATCAAAGAGTAGTAAATCGCCAGTGGTTGCACCACTCTCGTCAAAATCAATGACAACAACAACCACTACCACTACTATTATCAACCGATCATCACCACCCAGCCTAGACTCTGTGGTTCCGTCGGTAGGATCGAGTCGCGCACTCAGCAGTTCAGCAAGCAGCACTTTTACTATCGACGAAACTAAACCATATTATAAGGAGCCACTCCGTCAGATCATCTCACAACATCCATCAAGCGCAGCCAAGAGTAAATCAGTCAGTCCAACTACCATACATTCACCGTGGTCGATCGACACCACCGATATCAATCGACCACCTCCACCACCTCAATCGTCAACAACCGCTGGCATTTCGCCACTCACTTCACAACAGACAGCCGGTCTCTCGAGCTCACTCCATCCACATCTCAGCCACCACGAAGCCTACAGAACGACAGCAATCGATCCATTACTTACATCACCCTACAAGTCGAAATACGACGATCTTTACTTTGGATCGAGCATCACAACCAGTTCACTCGGATACTCTAGCAGCGCATATAAACCAGCGAGCGACTACTCACCACTTCCCAGTGCGAAGCTAGACTATGGTCATCTGCTTCACGAGTCACCCTATAAACAGGTGTCGTCAGGCTATGGACTCTCACCAACACCCGCACCAACCAACAAACTTGTCGATCCCCTGTTGTACCCACATGCAGGACCAGACAATCGATTATCACCACCACCACCACTTCCATCACATCCACACATCAAAGATCCTTACAATGATGATGAATACAGGCGCGGATATGGTCGTTATTCAGAAAGAGGCAGAGACTATCCACCTCCACCCATCAGAACGGGTGGAAGTCGTGGTCGTGATGATTATGGACCACCACCACCATACGATCGCATGGATACCTATGGTGATCGTGGAAGCCGCGATCGTTTTGGTGGACCACCACCTCCACCATACAAACGAGGACCAGACTTTTATGATAGACCTCCTCGCGATTATGGAAGATACAAATATAGAGACGATGCTCCATGGGAAAGAGACCGTGATTGGGACAGAGAGAGAGACCGTGACAGACGCGGTTGGGACAGAGACAGACGTGACTTTGATAGAGAAAGAGATTGGGACAGAGAGAGAGATATGCGAGACAGAGAAAGAGATTTACGTGATAGAGACAGAGAATGGGAGTTGGATAGAGAACGTGAGAGAGACAGAGATAGGGAGAGAGAAAGAGATAGATGGGGCGGACCTGATTTTTCAAGAGATAGATTTAGAGACCGACCAATGGATCATCCTCCTCCTCCTCCAACTTATTCAGGTTCAACTCTACCAGATAAACCAAAGGAAAGTAAATGGGATAAAGGTGTAGTAAATGGTGTTCCAATCAATGTAGGAAATAACAACAACAATAACAATAGCAGCAGCCACAACAACAATAGCGGTAGTAATCATCCTCATAATGCCAGTAGTAGCAACAGCAACAATAACAGTAGCAGTGATTCACTTACTTCAACCTCAACTACAAATGGAAATAATATACCAATAAAATAAATCATTTTGTCTTGTTATCCATTCCTTGATATACAGAAACAAAAAAAAAACACTAGTACCAAAAAAAAAACAACATTTGTCAACAATATTATTGGTTATTATTTAAAAAAAAAAAAAAGGCAATTGATTTTAAGATAATAGTAATAATAAGATAATTTATAAGATCTAATGGTTTTGAATCAAAAAAAGTAAAATAGGCAAGAAAAGACAAGATCATCTTCCAATTGGTAAATATCAAAACAAAATATGATGTAAGTTTGTTAAAAGGTAATGAGTATGAACAATATATATATTTTGATAATGTAAATCTTTTTTTTTCCTATCAGAAATATTATTAATATACCATTTTAATTATCTCCATTAAATCTCAATAATTTACCATTGATTAAATTGAAAATTCTCAATTAAAAGTAATAATAATACAATAAGAAAAAAAAATATAATAAAAAATCGAGAGATGTAGAATGTCACACCAAATACAATGTCCACAAATGATTAATAACACACAAAAAAAAAAGAATCAAATTACCATCATTATCATCAATTCAATTTCCTTCTCTATAAAAATTATTCTTTACTTTATACACCACCCACATAACATAAAATCTATCCACAAAACCCACAGTTAATCAATCACATCACACATTACCACCACACCACAAATAACACACTCTCACACAGATAAACAAACAATAACAACAACAACATGTGAATTTAATAATAAATATATTAGTGTTAGAAAAGACGAAACAATAGACAGATAATTTGTTAATATCAAAAGTAGTAGTGCGAATGTTTACCTTTTATATATAGTTTATTAAATTTACACTTTCTTTTCCCATTTTCATGAGAATTGATTATTTGTTGATTCAACAATTAAAAGAAGTGTGGAAATTTTAGGTAGTATGATGAAATAAAAAGGAGGGGTTTGTCCTGTTGACCCATTAAAATCCAATGGTTAAATCACCGCTTTGACCCCCACTTGACTAAATGAAATTTATTTTATTCTAACTATTTTAGTCAAAGTACAATGATTGTGATACTTTCTACATTAGGATAATTAAATAATGATAATTTGGTCAAATTTTATATATTTTTAATTTTTTCAACATTAATAATAATAATACAATCAACTAAAAAACAGTAAATTTAAATAATAATCAAAGAATAAAAACTAACAAATAAAAAAATTAAATTTACTTTTTGTTTTTTTTCATTCCCATATCTATAAATAAATATAAAATAAAAAGGAGGGAAATAAATAATAAATATATAAATTATGTATAAATAATTTAGTTTTTAAATAAAAAATCAATTCAAAAAAATATAACAAATTTAAAAAAACAAATATTTGTAAATAAAAATAAGATAAAAATATATAAAAGGTAAAAAAACAAATAAAAAATACGAAAAAATAAATATTATTTTTCTTTATCTATAATTTAAGATTATTCTATCTATCTTTCATTTGTTTTATGTATTCATTAATCAAGTTTTAAAAAGTGTGTTAAATTTGCAAAGTAAAGTCAGAAAAATAAAAAAACAATATTATTTTATGTTCACCACCATACAATGAAAATAATGTCTATACAAATACACCAAACCACACACACCAATTGAATTCTAAATAGGTATTCCAAAAATGATTATTTTTACCTTATATAATTAAAAATAGTCAATAGTCTGACGAATCTTTTCAAATACAATGAATTTATATTTATTATTTATCTGTTGTTAGAGTTGTAATTATTATTTTTTCTGTCATTCAAATAAAACCAACTTAAAGGTATTATTCTACTTAAAATCATTTAAAAAAATAACATATAACAACAACAACAAAAAATCTTTCACCACACCTATATACCTAATAAGAATAATATCTTGTAATGTTTAATAAATTTATTTTTGTTGTTCAATGTATAATATTATTTTATTACTATTATCATTACAATAGATAGGATAACATTACATTTATTTAAATTCTTTAATTATTAAAAATATTAATGTGGAATATTTTGAATAAAAATAATAATTATAATAATAATAGATAGATAAAAAGAATATATAGTTATTAAAATAAATTACTAATAAAATAAAATTTCCAAATAAAAATGAAAATCAATGTAAAGAGAGATTTTTTACAAATAATGGTAGCTGGTGTAGGAAATAATAGACTGAGGAAGAGATTCATGTCTGATTTTTCATATTATTTCAATAATCCAGAATTGTCAGACATCATGGTGCAGGTCGTTGGATGTTCAGATGATTATATCGAATGTAGTAGTTCTGACAAAGAGAGAGAGTTGCAATCGAGTGGTGGAATTACTGGAAACAATGGTACAGATACTTTCTATGCACATAAATTCGTTTTGAGTGCAAGATCGCCGGTTCTCATGAGGATGTTATCTTCTTCAATGATGGAAGCAGCGTCATCCGTTATCTCTATGCAATTCTCAAAGGACACTGTCCAATGTATTCTCAGATATTTGTATTCCGGTCAGATCGATTTGGTGCCTGCACTAGTGTTGGACGTACTTTCCTGTGCAGATTACTACAGTCTTGAAGAGCTACGAGAATACTGTGGTTGGTACTCAATGAGAATCTGCATGGAAGGTGATCCCGAGATGGATATTTGTAAAGTTCTATACGCAGCCGAGCGATATCGTTTGGACAAAATTAAAACACTCTGTTTTGAATTCATAACACAACACTCTATGGACATATTGTTGTCCTCTCCAAACTGGCATTTGCTCACCGAAGACAGTGTAATCGCCATTCTCAAACAAGATAGTCTTCGTGTCCCAGAGGTAGAGATATTCGACTCACTAGTCAGATGGGCAAAGAAACAATATTCAATACTTAAAGATATTAGTTGTGAAGAGATAGTAGAGATTGATTTTTTAAAAAAGAAATTACAAAAACCATTAGAAGTAAGTTGATCAATATTAAAATAGTTGTTGTTGTTGTTGTTGTTGTTGATAATTTTGTTATTAATTCATACCATCCAAATACTAGTGTATTAGATTTGCAAGTATGTCATCACATCAACTTAGTAAACATATAGAAGCATCTGGTTTGGTCGATAGAGATATAATGTATGAGGCATATAGATATTTGGCAACGAAAGAAACACCAAAGCAATTGGATATGGCAGTTGTAAGACAGGGTGTTACGGATTTCACATTCTCAACTCCAGGCGATACAAAGGGTGTATTCTATTACTTTGGAACAGTGGAGGATACCGACGATTACGAATCACCATCGATTAGAAAGACTGTTAAGGTCAGTTCCTCCAGCATGAGCATTGGCTATCCAACACCGTTTGTTAGTCGCACTCCGACCAATATGTACACCGACAAGTTGCCAAACTCCTACTATTCGGTGGACATTGGAAGCAAGTACGTTCTATGTCCAAACTACTATACGATGAGATATGCCGGTGATAGTCAAGGATCGATCTACGCAGCACCAAAGAACTGGCAATTGTTGGGATCGTTGGACGGTGAGCAATGGGACATCCTAACGACTCACCATAATGACACATCACTCAAAGAAGGATACAGTATATCGGGATGGCCAATCGACTCTATTCACTCCTACCGACATCTAAAGATACAAATGACAGGTCCAAATCAAAGAGATGGTGATGAACTGTGTGTTTGTTGTTTCGAAGTTTACGGTAGATTAGTTAAACTTGAAGAAGATTCGAATTTAATTACCGAAGAAAATGATTCATCTGAATAAATTATATTTATATGTATATATGTTTATTTTTATTTATTTAAAGTTTTAAATAGTTTTTTTATTTTAAATATAATCTAAGAGTCAACTTGGAAGTTGGATTGTTGTATTACTTCTTGGTTAACACCAATTTAATTAATGTTTGAAGTTTTATTGTTGGTGTAGAAAATTTTAAACTTAAAAAGTACTACTTTTTTTTCCAAGAAATTTTTACTCATGATCAACATAAGCAAAAACATACTTCTTTGTTTGTAAACAATATCTTTTAATGATAAATTTATTATTATTTAGCACAGAATGTAGATTTCTAATTAGAAATGTCGATGATCAACAAAAATGATATAAGTTTTGATTTCGATATATCTACTTCTTCAAATGAAAATATTCAACTTATTAATCATCAACAACAACAACAGCAATTATCATTTAACATCAGTAATAACAATAATAATAATATCAGTAATGATAGCTTTAAATTTGAATACTCTGATCTAGATATCAAGATAAATCAACAAAAATCACAACTAAATAAAAATGAAGAGAATAATAATAATAATAATAATAGAGACAATGTTTGCTCATCGATTTCAACATTACCAAGTCAAGAGAGATCTACACTGCCACACATGAATTCAATGATGACTATCGATCACTATCGAAAGAGTTATAACGATATACGTCGATCCAATATATTCTCTTTTGTCGATCCCCAATTAGAATCTGAAACCAGCAAGATATTGGCAAAGCAAGCTAAATTCAAGTGTTTATTCAGTGCTGCAAGTTATTTCAATGATGATGATGATAATAATAATAATAATAATAATAAATCGACAACCACAACGACAACAACAGCAATAACATCAGCAACTAAAAACAATTCAATATTAAAAGATTCAGTTTATTTAAACCAAGAATATATGAATATTGATAGTGTAGCTGGATTACCTATTACCAATGATACAGTTAATTCAGCGACAACGACAACATCAACCTCGACAACATCTACATCAAAATCAAGTAGTAAAAGAAAATCAAACGACAGCTCAAAAACTAAAAAGAAAAGACATCATGAACCAACTGATATACCAGTGCAACAACATCATGTTGAACAGAAATCACCAACTAAATCAAAAAGGAAAGCAAGTAGATCTAGTAATAATAATAATAATAATAATAGGGTAAAAAAGAGGAAGAGTAACAATACTGACATTAACAGTCAAACAACTACGACAATTACAACAATGTCCACTCATATCACTACTACTGACATGTCAATCGCAACTGCAACATCGACCACTACAACTACAATTCCAATGATACCAAATCTATTAAAATTTCAACCAAACATTAAAGCACATTCACCACAACTACTACTTCCTCTACCTCAACCTCAGCCTCCGATTCAACCTAAACTACCAGCACAAAAACAATTACAAATATTACCACCACAACAGAATCAGATTGTACAACCAAAACCATTAGTTTTAAATTACAGTAAGAAGAAACAGATCATACAGAATGCAATCAAAGAGAGGAATGAAGAGTTGGATACAAGCTTTGAATCTAGTAATAGTGGTGGATGTGGCTCGTTCAACCCCGAAGATCTTCAATTTCATCCAGCAGTCTCATTTGATGACTACACCAATACAAAGATTAAACAGAGTGTACCAAATCTTCCAGATTTTGATCGTAATACTCTAGTTGGTTGTAAGCAATATGGTTTGGTCAATCCAGCTGGATTCAAATATGAGATAAGACACATCAACGATCGAAACATAGAGTGGTTCAGAAAGGTATGGCCAATGCAATTTGAATACTCTATAAGTCTGTGTTTCAGTTTGAAGATGTCTAGTAATAATAATAATAATGATAACAACAAAAATAACACTACTACAACATCAACAGCGAAAATCGATATTGAATTGGTGATGAACGATGAAGAGACATTCTTCTTACCGAAACTGTTTCATGTAGAATCAATCATTGTCTCTTGGTCACCTGGATTGGCAGTCTATCAACTGCCACTTGCTCCGAGTGGAGGTGTTGCCGACTTTAAACAGTCGTTCTACAATGATAATTGGAAATTGGTTAAACAAGTACTGGAATACCCATATAGCTACAAACATATTTGGAATTCCAAACCACAATTAAAGATACTGCTATCGAAAGGTATCTCGCTGAAACACCGTTTAATTGATCCGAAAATTGCACTCTGGCTAACTGATTCCGATTTACATAAAGACAAGAAACTGGAATATGTTTACATGGACAATGCAAAGGGTAGCAAAAAGATGATTGGTGCAACTAAATTTCATAATATTTCAAAGTTGGCAACACGATCTGGAAGTACAAATCACTTTGATCTGGCATATCAGGCTTGTTACCAAACATTGATACTTTCACAGCGATTGTTGAAGCAGCTCGATCCTAGCAGTTTGAAGATTCTCTTTGAAATAGAGATGCCGGTCACTCCGATATTGGCGCGTATGGAATTCATTGGTATTGGATTTGACGATGAAATCTGTCAGAATACACGTGAGTTGGTACAAAAGAAAATAGATTATCTCATTTACAAAGCACATCTGTTGGTGCCAAGATTGAAATTGGATATGGAAAGTAAGATACAGATGTCTGATGTAATGTATAATTGGTTGAAACTGACCAAGCCAGATTCACGTACCAATAAGAAGGTTCTGAAGGAATCATACAGTACCAATGCACACCATTTGGAAACGATTTCACATGAACATCCATTTCCAAACATCCTGATGGAGTATCGTAAGTTGTCACATCATATCAACAACTATGCAGACGAGTTGAGAAAGTATTGCTATCGGTCCACCGACAACTCCATGAGAATATATTCAACTATTCTCCAAACCATCGTACCTACAGGCCGTCTTGCTATGGTATTTCCCAACCTCCAATCGATCGCACATCCCATAGAATTCAAAGTGGCACCAACATTTACACCGTCACCTCTTTCAATCGCCAGTAACAGTTCCGATATTGAAATACCAGCGGTTGACTTGGAAAATCATTCATCACAATATAATGTAACTTTTTAAACTATTTAATTCATTCAAAAAAAAAAAACTGATCATTTTATTAACTTTATTACCTCAGAATTTAGTTGCTATGGAATCTAAATGTGAAACACTTTCCATAAAAATTAGAGATTCATTCTTACCGAAACAAGGTTATATATTTTTATCAGCTGATTACTCTCAAATAGAATTGAGAATATTGGTAAGTTGAACTTTAAAATAAATATTATAAAAACAATTTATTAAATAATACTAATATTATCTATTTATTAACAAATTGTTTAGGCACATTTTTCACAAGATCCAAAACTTTTGGAAATATTTAATAATTCAACGGTTGATGTATTCAAATTGATATCACATCAAATGTCAAAGATACCGCTGGAACAAATTAAAGATAGTGATAGGACGATTGCCAAACATTTATGTTATGGTATTCTCTATGGTATGGGTATTGGTAAGTTGGCACATGATCTAAATACCACCAAAGACAAAGCAAAAGCTGCTTTGCTTCGCTTTAAAACAACCTACCAGGTTCTCACAGACTATCTTACATCGGTTGGTGATTCCTGTTTGAAAAATGGGTTTGTAGAAACTTTTTTTGGGAGGAAACGTTACTTTCGTGAAGTGTTTGAAGTCTACAAAGATACAAAGGTCACCAACGAGGTGAAAGAGAGTGCCAAGAGAAAAGCGAAAAATACCATACCACAAGGAACCGCCGCAGACATCTCAAAGTTGGCAATGATACAAGTCGATAAGAAGTTGAATGAAAGAGGTATTCCCGCTGAAATTGTTTTACAAGTACATGATGAATTGCTATTGGAAGTACCTGAATCACAATTGGCAGAAGTTGCTGTAAGTAAATTATTAAAAAAAATAGATAAGAATTAGGTATACTAATACCACCACCTTTTATAATTTAGCTAATAGTCAAAGAGTCAATGGAAAGTGCAGCCAAACTTAGTATACCAATACCCATTAAGATGAGTATAGGTAAATGTTGGGGTTCTTTGCAATCATATGAATTACCGACAACAACAACTTTGAATACACAATACCATCAACAATAAGATCATTATAAATAGTATTATTAACCAATTTTATTTGGATTGGGAACTGTTCTCATTTCACAGAACCATCGCGCTTGGTGGTTGATTGAATTTGATTCGCGAAAAATAAAATCACTAATATATTGAAAGATTGTTTATTATTTCAAAAATCATTTAAAGCTAAGTTTGATGAAACATTTGATTTATTAAATCCAACATGTTAACGTAATAATGATGAAAAAGATAACCTAAAGATTTCGGTTGAATACTATTTAACTCTATTAATAATAAGGCTATTTATATTGATTTCAGATATTTGCAGTATAATATTACACCTATTAAGATGAACCGAAAGAACCTGATGTCGGAGATGAATCTTTCGTTGACATTTCAGATTTTAACTTTGAATACCAAAACATATTTAACTTTGCAATGATACGGATAGCTTCCAACAACATCGAATAACAACCATTCTCATGTACATCTCTATGTCAACTAGCAATTGACAGTATCAATATCAACCAGATAACTTATTAATAGTAAAATCAACACCAACATGATCATCTTATCCTTTATGTAGGATATTTGCTGTTGAAACTTTCGATACTTACCAAGAAACTCTGTTGTTAAAAGGTAAATTTTAAAATTTTGATTTCTTAATCCATAAATAGTTTAACCTTCTTTTTATTGTTTTTGACACATAAACAGAAAATAATAACAACAAGTGGTCACTTTCGGAAGTAAATCGTATGTTACAGTTGCTTTTTCACTAGTGGTTGTTTTTAGTTAACCGCACCCATTGAAATTATGCACCATCCAACAAACAATGTTGGCGATGATTGTTTCAAAAAAATAAAAATTAAAAGTTCATTAAAATCACCTCATATTAAGATCGATTTTTGTGTTTGCTTCTGCACACATTTTAATTGAATTAACTTGATCAACACCAAAATAATACCCCAAATGAGATATATTCAAAACTTCTAATATTAAAACAATAGTTGATGTGCTATCTCTACTTTATCTGCTTTTATTTTAATTTTTAATATAATTGAGAAATTTTAAATAAGCTTATTTATTTACATTTAATTAAAACGCATTATAATGATTGTTTTAAAAACAAAACATAAACATAGAATATAATATAATATATAACTCTCTTTTAAATAGTGTTGTTTAATTACATCAACATTGAACAGATAGCACACCACTTTACTTCATCATATATCATCAAATACACCACATTATTTGTATACTATTTCGATATAACATATTTGGTTGTTTTACACCCAACAAAGTGACACTCCACACTGTACCATACCCACAACTACATAAAACTATCAAATAAATAACATATATATCAAGTTCATTTATACTATCATCATCAGAACCAATCAATACGAATATTACCACTACCACCACCACTTGTTTGTTTACTATTTCTAATAACCCCGTGATGTTACTGTTCTTATTATTGCTGTAGCAAATATTTAAAATTAGATTACTTTAAATATTATAATCATACCCTCTACATCTTACATCGGTAATACCTCTCAACTTCATTATAATATTTACTTCCTTAAAAAACAAGCACTACAATTTATTAGCAAAGAATTAAATAGTGTTCATTATAACTAATAATAATAATAGTAGTAGTAATAGTAATAACTTAAGGTGTATAAATATCCAACACATTTCACACAAACCAAATAAACATTCCAAAAAAAGTATACTTCCCAACAAATTTTGATAGAGAATTGAACCAATCATATAGCCCTGGTTTGTTTTAATTAATACTAGTATTTCATGTTTGGTTGATCATCCAACAAACCAAATTATTAACTAATAAAGGTTATCTATCAATCAAATTAACAACCAATCACAAACAAAACAAAACCAACTATTTAGTTAATTGTTTTTAGATTATATAAAAAAAACTATACTTTTTTAACTTTTGATTATATATTCATTTAATTAATATTATAATATATAATTAAACACCAACAATCCAATCCAATCAAATCACCAAACATAAAAAGTAATATTTATTTTTTTTTATTCATAGTTTTATTTTATTTTTATTTTAACCCACACATTTAAAGTAATTAGTATTTTTTATTTTAATTACCCCAATCTACAATAACAACGACAAAACAGCTCTTTCTCTGATCATCAATAATTTATTTTGTAGCTCAATCTCTGAGCTAAGAACCAAAACACCACACCTCTTACAATCTATAGAAATATAACCAACTATAATAAATATAGTTGTTGATCATTTTCCATTATTATTTTTATTCTTAAATTTTAACTAAACAGTTGAAATAGTTTAAACTTTAATATTTATTTCTAAAATAATTATTTATTTTATATCAATATCATTATTTTAATTTATTTATATATATTTATAAAATCCATTTAAAAGTTGTTCAAATGGATTTGGTTAAAATGCAAACCTTTGATGAGGATGTCGATGCAGAGAAAATGCTAAAGATCATTGTGATTGGAAATACCAATGTTGGAAAAACATCAATTATAAATAATCTTTGCTATGATCAAACTTTGGCATCAATAAATACTGTAAGTTGATTGTAAAAATTACATGAAATTTAAAATACAAAGTATTAATAAAAATTAATAGATTGGTGTAGGTTTTCATCAGAAAAAAGTTAATATATGCGGGAAGGATTTAAAAATATGCTTTTGGGATTTCTCTGGTCAAGATCGTTTCTTATTATTAACAAGAGTAGTTATTAAAAATTAATTTTAAAATAACAACTTGGTTTATTAATGTAATTAATTATTTACTTTTAGTGTTATTTCAATGATGCAAATGCAGCATTGGTTGTTATGGATTCAACCAAACTAGATTGTACAGTGAGTGCCAAGAATTGGAAAAAAGAATTGGATAAGAATTTTCCAAATGAACCAATACCTACTTTTTTATTAGCTAACAAAGTATGTATGATAAAATTAAATAATTTGATCAAAAAAAAAACAAAGTCATTAATATAATTAAATTAATTTGTATATAGTTTGATTTAATAAGTGATGATCCAGATTTAGAAATGTTAACCTCCAAATTTCAAAAGTTTTCGAATGAAAATAATTTCGATGATTGGGCATTCACATCAGCAAGAGATGGTTCTGGTATTTTGGAGACTGTCGAAAACCTGGTCACTCTAACAATAAAACAAACTATGTATAGGACTACCAAAGATAGAGATTCATTTAGATTGTCGGATCCACCACCTACCAACATTACATTACCAAAAGAGAAAAAGAGATGTTGTTCTTGATCAACCAACCTTTATATATTTTAACAAAACATGTAGATAGCTATTAACACTTACAAGTATAAATGAGATTAAGAATTCTCATTTAACACAACATCTAATTAGTTAGTTAACTAACATCAACAAACCTCTATGTTTATTAATATTAATTTAAATCATTAATAGATAATTATGATTTAAGAAATGATGTATTCAAAACAAATAATCATAATAATAATTATAACAATAATGTTTTGAATATAAAATAAAATATTATAAGATATAATTTTAATTAATCTAATTAATTTATCAATCAATGTAATACATTAATGAATCAATACTTAATTATGACCACACACCTGCTCATAATGATGATGTTCATTCGTTTTTTTTGAAAATTTTTAAAAAAATTTTAATTAATTTAAAAGTAATATTATTTTAATTAATAGTAACTGATTTTGGTTTGCATACATAATTAAAAGCAGTTTGTTTGCAAACATACATACTTTTGTAACATTTCGAAAATATCAACAAGATTTATAAATAATTAATTACCATACATATATATAAATATATTTAAATATATATAACTTTTTTATTTATTTTTAATGTTAAGATTAGAGTTAAGATGTTTGTTTTATCCAAATTAATTTCTAATACAACTAGAAATAAATTACTATCAAATATAAATATAAATAATAATAGTTGCTTACCAGTATTACTCAAGAATAATCAATTCAATTCTCTATCTACTTCAAATACGACCCATAGTTTAAAACATAGATTAAATATTATCAATAATGATAATTGTAAAATAAAAAATTATTATAACAGTCAAAATAATTATAATAATAAATCTATATTGTTTTCAAGATCTATTGTATCAAAGTTTGAAAATAATAATAATAATAATAATGCGAATAATAATCTTGGTCAACAAAGACATTCCTATTCAACTGCAAGATCAAAAGCATTGAATAAAGCAGATGAAAACCCAAAAGATGAAAATGCTCAAGAATTACTCTATCATGAATTAATGGATATGGGTGATTATGAAACGTATGTATAAATAGAATGTTTACATTTTATTAAAATGCTATTGCAATCAATGTTAATGTTCTAATAACACCATTTATTTTTATAGTATTATTTCAAGATTTGAATCGATGGCATATGCATCAAATGAAGAGTGTATTAGATATTACTTTATGTCGTTGGTCTATTCGAAAAAGTTGAACAAAGCAAACATATCATTGCTCAAGGATCTCGAAGGCTATTCACTAAAGTTTGGTACCACTGATGATGTAAAGGAGAAGATCAATCAACAACCAATTATACCGTTGGTTAAAATCAGTGATTTGGGTACTGTCAAGATGTCGACATTCGATAGAATATCATCAATGATTTGGCTACCTCTTCTGTGTCTACTGGTGTACTATATCATGAAAGACTCTGACGAATCATCGAGTAAACAATCGTCGGTTGCCAAAGAGTATAGCGAAGCGTCGAATAGCGCCACCTTTGAAGATGTCAAAGGAATCGACGAAGTCAAACACGAATTGGAGGAGATCGTTGATTATCTCAAGAATCCAGAGAAATACGACAGGATCGGTGCGAAGCTGCCAAAGGGTATTTTGATGTCTGGCGAGCCAGGCACAGGAAAGACGCTGTTGGCGCGTGCCATAGCCGGTGAAGCAGAGATTCCATTCTTTTATACGGCAGGCAGTAGTTTCGATGAAAAGTATGTTGGTGTAGGAGCGAAGCGTGTCCGTGAGTTGTTTGATTTGGCCAAGTCGAAACAACCGTGTATTATTTTTATAGATGAAATCGATGCCGTCGGAAAATCAAGACACTCCACACATTTCAATGAGACGCTACTCCAGCTGCTCTCGGAGATGGATGGTTTCTCACAGAACAACAAGGTCATGGTGATTGGCGCTACAAACTCGCCAGAGTCACTCGACCCTGCCCTGACCAGACCAGGCAGATTCGACCGTCTCATTGCCGTTCCCATTCCAGATTTCAAGGGACGTAAAGAGATTGTCGATTTCTATCTCTCCAAGGTGGTACACGACAGGAATGAAATCAGTTCCGAGAGGATTGCACGTGCCACACCTGGCTTCACCGGTGCCGATATTTCCAATCTAATTAATACCGCTGCAATCAAAGCGGTGCTACACGGAAAGGATCAGGTCAGTTTGAAGCTGATCGACGAAGCCAGAGACGACATCTTGATGGGCAGAGCCAGAAAGTCTGCCATCATCAGCGAAGAGGTCAGAAAGAACACTGCATACCACGAAGCTGGTCATGCTTTGGTTGCCGCACTTTCTGACTGTGCTGATCCAATTCACAAGGCAACCATTGTTCAGCGTGGACATGCACTCGGCATGGTAAGTCAACTACCGGAGAACGATCACATGCAATTCACAAGAAAGCAGATGATGACCAGATTAGCAATTTGTTTGGCTGGCAGAGCTGCTGAAGAGATATTCTTTGGTCACGATAACGTAACCAGTGGTGCATCCTCTGATTTCCAACAGGCATCTAAATTGGCATTCTCAATGATTACTAAATGGGGAATGTCCGATAAACTTGGATTTACATATCATCAAGATAAAATGTCACCGGAAATAATGAATATCGTTGATAATGAAGTTAAATTATTATTAGATGTAAGTTTTATATATTTAATGAATAGATAGCTCCAGACTAATATTTAACATCTTTTTTTTTTTAGTAAACAATATAAATGTGCTAAAAATTTAATTGTTGACAACAAAGATAAAATGGACAAGTTGGTAGCAGAACTATTGGATAAAGAGACATTAACAGGTGAAGAGATATTAAAGATTTTAGGAATCAAAGGAAAAGATCTTGGATCAACAACGGCTTCAAATCATTTCTAACAAAAAAAATCAAAATATAAACTTTCTATTTATTCAAATATTCAAAAAACAAATTTATTTAAAAATTAATCAAGAGCATCCCTTCAATTCAATTTCCCGTATAACTAGAATCAAGTTGTTTTTGATTTTGGATAAATCTATTTAAAAAAGAAAAGTAATGATTTTTCAAAATCTTCCAGGATCTATTTAATAAAAAGAATAAACAAACCCTTGTTTTCAATAGAAAATATTAACGAATAAATATCCTAAAACGAGTTATATAAATAATTGAAAGGAATTTTAATTTATTTAAAAAATTTTTTAGTTATTATTAATTTATTTCAAAATAAAAGTTGAACAAAACCCACATATGGACCGAATTTGTGGGGTTTGTTTGAAAAAACAAATTTTTTTATTTTTTCCAAATATATCAATAAGATTAGATTGGAGACTCTTTTGTGGACCTTAATTTCACAGAAGTGGTGAATGAGACAATCGATAGTTTTCTAAAACCTCAATTCACTGTATGAAATAATAACAGACATTGTCAACCTAATATTTTACCCCCTTTCATAAGTTACTTTTGAAAACTAAATCTTTTAATACAAAAAGACACACAAAATTCAATCATCAATAGTTTTTTAATTAATTTTTTGGTATTTTTTTAATATTTTTAGAATTATTTCTTTGTTTTTATGATATTTAAATGATTAGTATTTATTTGTAGGAATAAAAGGAAATAAAATAAAGTAATCAAATCAATTATTAGTACAATAGTAGAAAATAATAATTTTTAAAATAGAAACAGATATAGGTAAAAAATATATAATAAAAAATAATCCAACTTTTTTGATTTTGTAAATTTAAATGTATGTAATTTTTATTATAATTTCTTCTTAAAATAAATATCTAGTAGTAAACATTTTTAGTATGTCAAAGTTTACAATCAACATGTACAGATAATAATATTAAATATGATTTGGACCAACAATTAAAAAAAAAAACGAAGAAATAGATTCACCACACTTTCAATCTTTTTTTTTTTTTTAATCTAACTGACCTCCCACTTTTTTGAAAAAAGTGGTTGGAATTATTTTTTTTTGGATTTATTCCACATTAAACAACACTCGTCTTTTGATTTTTATATTTATATTTGCAAATATTGATTCAGTTTTAAATACAAACAAAACAACACACATAAACAAACACACAACTGAGCTAACAAAGACAAACACCTAACACCAAACATACACAGATAGGGTTTTTGTATCGTCTATTGAATTCATCAACATCATCATAATTTTCATCAACATCCATTTCTTTTTCAGTATTTATAACAACAATCTACTTATAGATATTAGATTTAATAACAACAGTCAACAACACCAACAATCAACTACTGATCGTAGCAACAAACCCCACTGAAAAAAAAAAAAAAAAAAAAAACTTTTTCAAAAAAACAATCAATTAAATATTAAAATTCATTTTATTTCTCAACTTAACACACCAAAATCGATTCCAACGACCAATATTAAAATATCAAACCATTGAGATCTTTTAATCTCTTTCCCTTTCTTTTTCTTTTTCGTTATTATCAAAATAATTTAAAACAATAATATATATATAATAACAAAAGATAGGTTTTTTTTGTTTTTAAGAAAATTGTTATTTTTATTTTTTATTATATATTTAATTCAATACCATCCTTGAATTGGTATAATTTTAATTATTTTCCTTTTTTTTTTGTATATTTATTATTTCCAAATACCTTTTTTTAAATATTATTATTTTAAAAAAAGTTATTTTGAAATATTTGTAACATTAATCTATATTTTTTCCTTTTCTATCTAAAAAATAAGATATTGATAACAAAAAGTTATAACTTATCTTATTTTTTCAGAATAACCGACTTTCAATCTTTTATTTTTAAAAAAATATATTAATATAAAAATTTCACACATTTGTCACATCATTCCAATATTTTTTTGTTGGTAGATTTGGTGACATTTTAAAACCAAATATTTAGAACTGTATCAACAATTTCAACAACATTTAAATATATCGGATAGTCCACAATCCAACAACAAGAGAAAGATGGGCTATTACACAGCAGAGGAAACAGAACAACTCTCTAAGCAATACAACCAGCAAAGGCCTCGTCGTCCAGATACCTCTGTCAATGAAGGTGATGGCGACCACGACCGTAGATTGGATTTTAAAAAGGCAACCGAAACTGCCACCGATATAGAGTCAGCTTCAGCTTTTCCAAACCTTGACACCGAATTCCAAGAAGGTGATTCACCTCATCAATACAATGAGATCCACTCCCAACTCTCTGATGAAAACTGGATAGACATTCTTCAGTACCTAGATCATAAATCTTTAGTAGCACTATCAGAAGTATCTCATAGTTTCAATAGATTATCAAATGATAGATTTGTATGGTAAATATTAAAAAAAAAAATTTTAATATATTAAATTATTTAATTAACCAAAAAAATTACTTTTTTATTTTCTAGGGATAAATTATTGAAAAGTAGAAAGAAGGAAAAGTTTTGATTTTGCCACAGAATGCAGATCTCACCAATCCAAAATATATTTATAAGAATCGTCGTGATTTCAATACTCTAACGGATGCATTGTCAGCTTTGGTCGATCAAAAGAGAGAAACGATATTGATTGGACCTGGTTTATATAAGGAGAATATTTCCATTGACAAGCCGGTCGATATTCTAGGAGAGAAGGATGTTGTCATTGAAAGCTCCAGTTCGAATACCGTTTCCATTTCAGCAGCGCATGGGTCGATCACCAATGTGTCGATGCGTCAAACAGGTCATTGGTTTTGTATAGATATAGAAAAGGGTGGATTCACAATCAACAAATGTGACATTACAAACACAACACTATCAGCAATAAAGATTGGAAAACACGCATCACCTTGGATTACAGATAACATTATTCATGACTGTAAGGAGGCTGGTATTGCAATATTCGGAGGAGAAGGAACCATCATTGGCAATAGATTCACTCGTAACCGTTATGGTTCAATAGAGATTGTCTATTCAACTGCAAAACCAACCATCAAATTGAATCGTATCTATCGGAACAAGGGTTACGGAATTCATGTTCATACCAATGCCGGTGGTATTATCACTGAGAACATCATTGAGGAGAATGAATCCGATGGAATTAGCTGTTGGGGTGGTGCTTCGCCTGTCGTTTCAAACAATAAGATCTGTTATAATCTCGAAGATGGTATCTATATCCACGAGGATGGCAAAGGTGTATACGAACACAACCAGATCTACGGACAAAAGTTGGACGGTATCAGAATCTCCAAGTCGAATCCACAGATTTCACACAACACTATTCACCACAACCAAGGAGATGGTATACGTCTTGTAATCAAAGCCAATCCAATCATCACCGAGAATCATATCTGTGAGAACAAGCGTGTCGGTATCCATATCTACCGTGAGGGAATGGGACTGGTATCAAACAACTATATCTACGGTAACAAGAATGCAGGAATGCAAGTGTATTCACGAGCCAACACCACCATTTGTAATAATAAGATTATCCAAAATCGTTGCTCCGGTATCTATATCTCTGATCATGCCATTGTCAATATCAAAGGCAATGAAATTGCAAACAATGGCGAGGTCGGTGTGGAAATAGTGTCTGGCTCGAAGGCGCTGGTATTCGACAACAACCAGATATCGAGAAACTGGGAAGCTGGACTCGCCTACTACACAGACTCCAAGCCAATCGGATTCGAATCCAACAACACGTTCACACTCAACGGTGAGAACGGCAATCAACAATATATACTACGCGAGGGAAGAGAACTGATGACCATCAACAGTTTGAAATCGAAATCGAAATCAAACAACGATGAAATGGAACCTATTTCATTCTTGGTAGAGAATGCATTACAAGTTGGTTTATGTACATTATCATATACAAGAGGTAACTATTATTTACTACTGTAAAACACATAATATATAAAAAAAGTAATTTATTAATCTGATTATGTTCTTTCTAGAATACTATCATGCACAATATTGGTATGAATGTAAAACATGTACGGAACCAAGAAAGATATTGGGTAGAAGTGAAATTGCAGTGTGTGAAGAGTGTGCAAAGAAATGTCATGCCGGACATGACATCGGAATGAGAAAGTATGGACATTTCTATTGCGATTGTGGACAGCAAGTTGCGTCGCCTTGCAAATGTGTCAGCAATATCAATCGACCAAAAGCGCCATCAAACGAAAGTAATTATACTCAGAGTCACAGACATGAGTTGACGGCAGCTCCAAGATAAAAAAAAAAACAAAACAATAACAATAAAAAATAAACATTTATTAAAAATGATTTTATTGCGAGAAAAAAAAAAGTAAAATAATATCCATTAAAACTACTATTTTTAAAATGTCATAGATGAACACCAATCAAACCAGCGACTGCTGTTCTTTTCAGATCTGATAAATAGCTATTGTTACATTGTAGAAACCACAACAAAGTTGTTTAAGTACATTGTTCAAAAGCATCAAAATGTTTCGATTTTTGTTTTGAGATAAAATTAAGTGTCATATCTGAATTGCGACAACATTCCACCTCTTACACATGTTAAAAAACCGTCATGTTCGATCCATTTTGAAAATCGTTGTACAAAACAAAAACAAAATATTGGTGGTTTTTTTAGTTTTGTGTCATCATTTCTTTTCTTTTTTTTAATAGTAATAAGGGGTTTGTGAAAATATTTTTTGATTCATCAAAAAATCTGCTCACTGCAGTGTGTGTTTAACATGTTGAAAACCACTATATAAAAAAAAATCTGAAAAATTTCGAGCCTCTGTTGCAGTATTCTAATGACCAATTATCTAACAACTTGATTAACCTTTCAAAAACAAATGTACATTAATAGAAATAAATAAATGTTTGAAAAATGATTATGATCAATAGGTGAAAAGAGGTTGATTCATCACTCATTCCAACCTCTCACAATTAAAAAAAAAAACATTCTCTCTTAAAACACAATCTACATAAATCTATTTATCTCAAATAATTAATATATAATCTTCAGATCTAAAGGTCAAATTCGATCAAATTATTTTGCGTGTTTAGAATAAATTCAAAGATTTTTTTTTAAAAAAAAATAATCAGATATTTTATTTTTGGTATTTAGATGTACCAAATATCCCATTGATTAAATTATCTTGATTTACTTCATTTTTCATTAAAAATATTAGTAGCAATAACAAATATCTAAAAATAAATTTATTTATTTATATAATTTTATCACTTTGCTTTATATCTTCTTTATAAGTATATATTTAATTTAAATATTGACAAATCAATGCCAATATCTCCAGATTCATTCACAGGAAATGACCCATTAGATAAATTAGTTCTATCTTTTTATATAATACGTATCATCATTCATTTTGTAATGATGGTACTTTGTATACCTCAGTTTATTTATGACATTATATATTTTTATCAAAAGAGAAAACGACCAAATGCAAGATTTTATGTTTTAGTAGCATTAATTTTATTTCCTATTTGTAAATATCGAAGATAGTTATTTTATTTAGTATAAATAGTAATAATCTTTTTTTTTTTCTTTTTTACAGGTAGAATCCTCTATTGTGGATTCTTTATTCAAACTCATCAATATGATTTTGGTGAGAATAAAACTTTATATACATCAATGTGGTCAACTGTAATCTATTACAAATACGAAAATATGCTAGATTTAAAAAATATTAACTTTATTTTATTGTTTTAATTAAAAAAAAATAGCTTTTCCAGTTTCAAATTTGGACCTTTGTACAGTGTTTTTGGATCCAATTATTATATACATTCTTTATTTCAGAGACAATCAGACTTGAAAATCATGAAAGATGCTGGAAATATACATGGGCACTATGGTCAATATGTTTTGCATATACTGTAGTCTTTTCAATCTTATCGATATTCGTGAGTGAGAAAATAAAGTCACTCTATTATACCATTGGTTTCATAGTGCTGTGTGTCTATGGTGGTGGAACTACTCTGATCAATGGAATGGTGCTGATCAGACAGATGCACAAACACGAAGAGAAAACCATCAAAGAGGACACCAATCATATTATCCACGGAATGGTTAGAAAAGTAAAGTATCTCTCGTTGGTAATGTTGGTGTGTCTACTAGTGATGGTCTCGAGAACCCTGGTATTCTACGTATTGAAAATTCAGAAGGATTCAAATCTCAAACATGTCTCTTCGTTTATCACATTCTGTACGGAGACTATTACTGCGGGTGCCGTTATGATTGCCATTGCCGATTGTCCAAACAACTACTGGTATGCCAAGCCAGTCATGACTGTAAGAGGATCCAACAAGAATTCGACACACGGTGGTCATAGCAGTGGTGGATCGTTCCCATCGCACACGGTTGGAAACTCAAAGAACAAATCAACGATCTCCTTAGAGCTGATCGACACTGATAATTTCAATTCCAGAGAATTCGAAAACACAGGTTCAGAAACAAATATAGAAATGATTATAGTAGATGACTAAAATCATCATAATAATAACGATTTAAACAATAAATAATAATCGATTTTGTTTAGAAATTCTCTTGTAATTGTTTTTCAAAGAAACAATCAAAACATAACAATATTTTAATTCTTCTTTATTTTTGATGATAATTCTTGTAGTCTTTTCATTTTCGCATGAAGACTATCGTTTGTAAAAGTTATACTTATATTATTGTCATATCTATCATTATAATTATTTGTATTTCTATTAGAATTATTATTATTATAATTGGTTTTAGGTTTGTATTCTAAATTTGTCGATTTCTTAATATAGTTATTGTAAGATAACTTTGGTGAAGATTGTGTTGTTTGATTAAACTTGTGTTCAGACTTTTGATATTCTCTTGTTGGTTTGTTATCATTATATGACTTGTTGTTATTATTATTATAATTATTATTAATTATTCTCTTTGTTCCTTTTGTTGCAGCAGCATTCGATTCGGTAGTTACTTCTAATCTATGTTTCTTTTTCGAATCTTGTTCTTTTAGTCTATCTTCTGAAGGTGTCCAATTAGATCTAATGATTCTCTTGATTGCCTCTTTTGAAACTCTATATTGTGTGACTAACGATTCAACTGTATGTATATCTGGATCCTAAAAATAATAAATACGATCATCGTTGTTAATATTATATTATATATATTATTCTATTTACTAACTACAGTTTTCATACTTCTTTATGTAATCTCTTTATCTCTGACATCTGGTCACGACTCAATTTCTTAATTGGTTCCCAATTACCGTATTTCTCTTTGATTAGGATCTTGTGTAGGATCTTGTTGGCCTTGTCACCATATTTATTCTTGATGATCGCTTCTAGGTTCTTGTGTTGCTCTGACTTTTCTGCTCTCGTTGGTTTCTTTTCTTTTTCTTTTTGTAGTTTCTCTTGTTCCTCCGATTGTCTGATGATATCTAACATCTCTTGTTCAGTCTCCAATGTCAAGTTATCTTCTTGATCGACTTGATCATCGTTATCATTGTCGAACTCATAATCCTCCATTCCCTCCATTCCATATTCATCGTATAATTGATCGTGCTTGGTGGTATCTGCCAACTTTTGATTCTCATCGAACAAGTATACACCATCATCTGCATCATCTTCAACCTGATCGTGTTCATCATCAACGTCTACATCCATACCATAGTCATCAAGTTGTTGTTCCGAATCGAATTGTTGTTTTTGTTTACTATTTAATGTGTTTGCTCTCTCTACCTGTTCATATTCTTCATCGTACAGCTCATTATCCACCAAACCAAACTCTTCATCGTCGTATTCTTCTTCTATATCATCAAGTTCATTATCAACTTGATTTGTACTCTTAATATTATTATTATTATTGTTATTATTAAATTGTATTTTCTTTATTGGTGTATTTTTCTTAATTTGTTTCTTTTTATTTCTATTATTCTCAAGATCTTCCATCATTTTCAATACAGTAGATCTTGTATCATCGCTTGTTGGTTTAATAGTAAATGATACATCGTTTACAAAATTATTGTTATTATGATTATTACTAAAATATCTATTTTGTTGAAATTTAAATATACTACGATATATATTATTATTATTACGTTGTTTATTTAAAATAAATAATAAACTATTCATCTTTAAACAAATTAAAGACTCATAAACGAATCATTAAAATCAAACAAGCTGTAGCTCTTGTCCCAAAAAGATTTTGGTATGCCAAAAAAAAACGTTTTAATAAAAATCAAATAATTACACAAGTGCACCAAAATAACACTAATATTTTATATATTATTAACAAACCTTAGATATGAAGGTAAATCAGAATGGTATTGTGAATATTAAGGGCCAGATTTATCAATTGATTATATTATAAATACATAAAGTATATATTAGTTAGAATTCCTTTTTATTTATTTTAAAAGAATGGTACCATATTATATCCTATTTCATCAAGATAGTTACATGCAGGAATATCATTGTCAATGTTGTCAGCAAATGGATTAGTATCGAAAATAAGAACATTGTTTTGATAAGAGTTCTCTGTGTATTTCGACCAATGAATTGGTACTTGATATCCCAGGTTTGGATTTTGGTTCGTGACAAAATTGGTCCAATATTTACTTATATGTTCTCCCATTTGACGATCATCATCACTTATATTCAAACCAATTGTTTTAAAGCTATTAAATATATATGGTACCACTATTTTTATAACATTAGTAAGTTTATAAATATTTAATATAATAATAATAATAATAGTCTATAATAATTATAACATACTTTTATCACCATGACATGTTGTTGTATTTATACATAATAGATTGTTTGCGTGTTTATAACGATAGTAATATACATTGTTATTTACATTGATGTAGTTATAGTAGTTATAGTTATTATTACTCTTACTCTGTGAGATACATCTTACGATGTAACGAGAGGAACAAATGAAGACGAGATCATTTAGAATGTTGCTTAAAAGTGGTCGGTGATCATCATTCTCGTTGAGATCTCGCAGTGTTATCAACGATACTTTAGCGGTTGGCGAAGTAGCGGTTCGGTTGTAAAGATCAATGATCTTATTCCTCTGAACGCTGTCTTTGAATACCTTGCCAAGGAATCTGGTAAAGCTCTTGCGATTCATTGGTGTGTCTACTTCTGCTGGGCGATATTCTTTCATCATGATTGTAGACTCATCACCACCCAACATAATATTTACTTTATTAAAACAACCAGTTTCCAACATTGGAATGGGTTGATCTGGAATCGAAGATTCATCGATCATCGGGGTCCACTGCGCCACCACAGCCAACGGATTATTACCGCTGAGCGCATTGACCTCTAAATCTATATCCATTTGAATGGCAATGATTTGATTGACAGATAACTCTTTAAGACAGTTCAAAGTGAAGTTTCTCTCGTAGCTAATGTCTTGGTAGTCCGGGTAGTCTGGGTAGTCTGGGTAGTAGTCGTCGCTGCCATCATCTGAATTGAAGTTGCTGGTTTTTGGCGCAGTACAATTGGTTCTCTCAAGTAGTCTATGAAAGAATTCCTTTGCTGTAGCGTTGGTGTGATATCCAATGGTTGTTGGAGAAGATTGGATAATGACTGACTGGAAAAGACCGTTGGACAATGGCGATATTAGATGAGTGAGCACTGAGAGTGCTCCAGCAGACTGCCCGGCAAGAGTTATCCTCTTGATATCACCACCAAATGCACCAATGTTCTTTTGTACCCAACGTAGTGCAGCCAACTGGTCATGGAATCCAAAGTTACCATTGATACCAGCTTCTTTATTTCCAAGGAATCCAAGTATTCCCAAACGATAGTTTACAGTTACCAAGATGATGCCATTCTCTGCGAATTGTTTACCATCGTACAGTGGTGACTCACTACTTCCACTGGTAAACTCACTACCTGGTATAAATACCAACACCGGTCTTAATTCTGACTCCTTTTCATTTCCATTAAGATTGTTATTGTTTTTGTTGTTGTTAGTTAGAGGTCTAACATCACTGCTATCACTATCACTATCGCTACTACTGCTACTGGTTTTGGAAGACGGTGGTGGTCCTAGAGGTGTATATATAGTAAGATATAGACAATCCTCACTGATTCCCACCACAGGACAAGTTAGAGATAGTGGCTGACATTTTTGTGGACACGATTCCCTCTCGTAACTACAATCTCTTATGCCATCCCAACCTACGGGTTCAGTTGGATTAGACCATCTCAAATGACCAACTGGTGGTTGAGCATAGGGTATCTGTTATTGATTAAAATATGTTGTAAATGATTCAATAAGTAAGTATATGTTCAACTAATCAATATCAAACAATATTTATAATAATAGATACATACACCAAAGAATGTACGATGATTTTTAAACAACAATCCCTTAACGATGCCATCTGAATATTTAACTGTCGATAAATCGTTTCTAATACAACTATGAGATCCAATAAAACAACAGTTAGCAACACCTAAGCATAACAATAAAAATAAAACATTTACTAAGCAACGCATTGTTTACTTTTACTTTATTTTATTATAATAGAATTAAACTATTGTTGTTGTTGTTAGAAACTTGTTAAATGTATTAATAATAAACAAACTTGGATATAATCTAACAATCAATTTAAATTTGTAACTTATTGCTATTGATTAATAAAGCTAGAACTAGTTCTAGTTGAATAGGAGAAACATTAATAAAAAAATGATTGATATAATCATTATCGATCAATAAATTCATATCTATTAAATATATCATCAACACAACCAACAACAGCTGCAACTACAACAATATATAATTTATAAAATCAAAAAAATAGATAGTTTATTTATGATTCGACTGACATTACCATCATTAATTTTGATTGATATATCGTATTAGATTTTAATTTATCGATAAATTTATATATAACCCACCAACAACCACCACAAACAACTTATTTTTATTAGTTTCTTGGTATTTTAAATTTGTGTCGATTGATATTTATATATAAAATGATCAACTTTATATATAAATTAACCCTTTATCCCATCAATGTAACTCCACCAGTAGAAAAGTAAAATAATTGACAAACTTGTTATACTTGTCATATCAAATGCGTAATTTGGATTGCGAATGTCCATCGAACTTTTACAATACCGATGTTGTTTGATCATTTAATTTTATGTTTTTTTATTAATAGAATTCTTTGAAAATTAATTTATATAATAATTTATTAATCACCAAAACAATAATAAATTAATTAATATCATTTATAAAAAAAAAAAGTGGGATGTGGGTATTAAAATAAAAGAAAACCCAATGAAAATTCATATTTATTAATTTTTGTTTTTACCTAAAAAGTCAATAAAAATAAAGAGACAGATTTTTATACCTACCAATTTATTAAAAATGGTGTGAGTTCACAGTTCATTTCCCTAGAGTAGTGTTAAACGAAATAATTTTAAAAATATTTATCAAGTTAAATTAATTATTTTAGTTATCTCTTTCATTTTATTTTTTATAACTTTTAAAAATATACTAATAATATTAATCTTATAAAATAGTATTCGAATACTATTGTAATTATATTTTATTAAACTGGGTGTTCAGAAGAAACAAAAAATGGTAAAAGTAAGTAATTCAAAGAAAATAAAGAGATATTAAAAATATAATATTTATTTTCATATCATAATGAAATTATTAGGAAAAAGAATATTATGATAGACTAGGTGTTGATCCTAGTTGTTCAAATGATGATCTAAAGAAAGCCTACAGAAAAATGGCTATGAAGTACCATCCAGATAAAAATCAAGGAAATAAAGAGGCAGAGGAAAAAGTATGTAATAATTTAAACTAACAAGAAATATATAATTATACTAATTCATGTTTTATTCTAGTTTAAAGAAATTAGTGAAGCCTATGATATATTGAGTGATCCAGAGAAGAGAAAGATGTATGATAGCTATGGTGCCCAAGGTCTTAAAGAGGGAGGGTTCTCACAACACTCTGCAGAGGATATCTTTTCTCAGTTTTTCAATATGGGTGGTTTCAGTGGTATGGGTGATGACGAAGCAGCTGATTTCGGTGGTTTCGGTGGTTTTGGTAATATTTTTGGAGGAGGAAAGAGAAGTAGAGGTCCTCAACGTGGTGAAGATATTGTACATGAGACCAACAGAACTCTTGAAGAACTCTTCAATGGTAAAACTGTTAAGCTCTCTATCAATAGAGATACAATTTGTAAAACTTGCAATGGGTATGTAGTATTAATAATTAATAAACGACAATCCAAAATATACTTATTTTTTATTATATTTAAAAAACAATATAGATCTGGAAGTAATAAACCAGGTGTAACATCAACATGTCCAAAGTGTCATGGAAAGAAAGTTATTTTTGTAACACAACAAAGAGGTCCAATGATTACCCAATCACAAGCCAAATGTCCGGAATGTAATGGTACTGGTGATAAGATAGCAGATGCCGACAGATGTCCAACTTGTAAAGGAAAGAAAGTTACAGTCACCCAAAAGATTGTCCAAATCCAAGTTGAAAAGGGTATGAGAGATGGTCAGAAAATCGCACTACCTGGTATGGGTTCTGAAGCTGTATGTAAAATTATAGAATAGATAATGTTTGTTATTTATACTAATCAGATATTATATATAGCCTGGATGTGAACCTGGAGATGTTATCATTATTGTTAGAGAGAGACCACACGCTCTCTTCCAAAGAAAAGGAAATGATTTGTACATGAAAAAGAAGATAAAACTTCTAGACTCTTTGGCTGGTACTTCTTTTACTTTCAATGGAATTAGCGGAAAGAGAATTTGGGTGAATCTAAAGAAAGGTGACACTATCAAACCTGGAGATATCAGAGCAATCGTTGGTGAAGGTATGGTGGTGTATAAGCACGAGAACCAAAGAGGTAACTTGATTATAGAGTTTGACGTTGAATATCCAACTCTCTCTGATGATAACATTAAGAAGCTCGAAGAAATTCTTCCAAAGACATCGTTACCAACATGCTCCAAGGCAGACTGTAAAGAAGTATCGCTAAACAAGGTTAACTTACAATCACAACATCAAGCCAGTGGTGGATATGATGATGATTTTGATAGAGCTAGAGGTCATCCAGGTGTTCAAGCTGCTAATTGTCAACAACAATAAAAAAAAAATAATCAAATAAAACAAACATATCACAATTATATCTAATAATGGTTGAATGAACATAACCAAATTTTTATTAAAAAAAAAATATATTAATTTAATACATTTTTTTTTTTGTTATTAATTATGTTTTATTTTAAATTATTAGTATTTGTTTTTGTGTGCATGTCAAATATCTTTAGACAAGAGCAGCAGAAACAATACTGTTCTCTTCCTCACGTAGCTTTTTACTCAGTTTGGTCAAGTTATCGGCAATAATGCCATCTACTCCTAAATCGTTTTGAATCTTTACATTATTTGCATCAACACTGAATTAAATAGAGAGAGAAATAGTAATTAGTATCAATATCTTCAATCAAATATTATCACTAAACATACTTTTTACTACCATATGTAAATAATAACAGATTCTCTTGGTGAACGGTTTTAACAAACGAATGATTTTGCAAAATAGATTCTGAATCACAAACGATACCATCTAGATTCACAGTCTTTACAAACGAAACAGCATTGAGAATGGAATTACCTCGAGAATCATTTACATTTACGTCTGGGTCGAATACACTATAAAAGCTTGGAGTATCACTGCAAACCAAAAACAACACTGGGTATCTGAATTGTTTGGTTCGTAAAAGGATAGCAATATCTGGATCAAACGTTAAAAATGCAATTCTTCTTTCACCTGCTTCATTAAATACAATCTATAATATTATATAACTATTAATAAATGAAATCTATAAATTATATTAAAAACAGTATAGTAAACTTACATTCAAAATGATATCTACAAATTCATTACGCTCTGGAGCTGAAAACTTTCTTAGATTTTGCATTAAGAGATTTGGATATTTAATTTCCACCATAAATCCGACATCGTGTGGAACAAATGTGAAAGCCTCTTGGAAAGTTGAATATCTGTCATGAATAACATTGGAATATGGTTGTGTTGTCGATAGCAGTGGATTGAAAGAATCTTTGTCTGATACAGAAAAGAGATCTCCTGTACTTCTAGATAGTCTGTGTTTCTTCATATGACTAATTGCATTTGATATTTGGTCAACTCTAAACAAATAGTTATAAATATTAATAAAAATGATTACGAATAAGTTTTGATAATATATTTACTTTTTCTGTGGTTTAAGTCTTAAGAATTGTTCCAATGTTAATCTATTGATTGTTTCTTGCATTATTACACCCTCTGATGTTTCAATATCGATTTCATAATTGTGGAAAATAACTGGTACATTATCATATGTCAATTGTAAATCAAACTCTATCATTTTTGCTCCGAATCTTGCAGCGGTAAGGAAACTTAAAATTGTGTTCTCAGCTGAATATAAATATACACGGATTAGAATGATTTGTTTTCATTAAATATACTATTATTACTACTACTTACTAACAGCACTTGTATTGATACCAAAATTATTTTTTCCATTACCTCTATGACCGATAAGTGAATTTGGATGCTCAACGAATGAGTGCCATAATACACTCAATGAGTTCAGTGGGTGGACGAATGGCAAGACAACAATGAAATTACATCTAAACTCTCCAATGATACCTTTCTCTGTAAGAATTGGTGCAGAGATCTTTCCCCACTTATTTGTGATCTGACTTGAAATGATGAATACTCTGCCAATCAGCTCACCAGGCAATATACCAGGTGAACTTGCACCATTTTGATTGATGGCAATGATACTTGCTGAGAATCCAAGTTGTTCAACTGAAGGTGCATGTAATACCAACTCTGAATAATTTAATAATGGTAATTGGAAGTCTTGACTTAGACCATATGGCTAAAAAAATAGATATTAACAATAAATATGATAAGATTGGATATTAATTAATAAAAAGCAAGCTCAACTTACATCATGTATTCTTAAAATTAAGTTTGCTTGAGAGTAATTTTCGTTGTATAATTTAACTGGGTTTTCGTCTACTTGAAGTTGAACACGCAGTTGAGTTTCATTTTCTGGTAACCAACCACGTCCAATCCAAGGTTGTGATGCAGATCCCAATACACCAAATATACCATCGTTAACAAACATATCCTTTCCTTCTACAGTGATTGACCTAGAAGATCCTTTTGCTGCCTCCCATTCCACAAGTAATGAAGGTACTCTAGACTTGTTGACCACTATATATTTATAATTAATTTTTGTTGAAGTAGGAAAAATAATTGTAGTTGTCCAAACTAAATGAGTATCACTATGTAATAATAAAAAGGTTAATTTTTTCAATTTTGATTTGATAAATATTCTAATTATTTACTTTTGTTCAGTAACTTGTAATTCTATTGAACCTTTAACATTCCAATTTCCAATCTCTAAAGAATCACCAATGATTGCTACGACTTGATTTGCTGGAAGTTCACCGAGCGGAGTATCAACCTTGAAAGTTACTCTTGTCAACAAACATGAATCCGAAGAACCCGATGCACAATTGTTATTAGAATTCGATGGAGGTTCTTGAGGGGGCTTGACAATCACCATGGAACCACTGTTGAAACAATTGTTTGGACGAGCATTGTGATTATTGTTATTGTTAGAACTTCTATTTAAATCGTGATCTTGACATAGTTTATGATAACGATCACAACCGGTTATATAAATAACCATAACTACCAAAAAAACAAAAATATGAAACTTGTTGTTTGTTTTTGTTTGAAAAAACAAATAATATAATATATTTGGCAAAAGATAAGATAGATATAAAGAGTAAATAAATAAATAATTGAGGATAATAAGATTAAGACCGATGATAATATATAAATTTAATAATTATTATTCTAGACATAATAATTTAATAAATTCGGTAGGAATATTTTAAATTTTGTCAAATGACAGAAGATTATCAGCTTACAGGAACACCATCAAACAAAACAAAAAAAAAAAAAAAAAAAAAAAAAAAAAGAAAATAACATAAATATAGATTTGTATGGTTATCCCAATTATCAATATATTTTAATATGTTAATAAATTGGAAACACACACAAAATCGTTAAATCCATCATCATTGTTGTTAACCAATTGAAACAGTTGATTGGCAAGACCTTTAATACGATGGAGCCCTGTTTGATAAATGGTGTGGAAACTATACTACCTTAAAAGTAGACCGTTCACGCGTGAACACCTTTATTTGCATTACAATGACCTTACTGTGTGTGATACCATATTTGTACAAAGTTTAATTTGAAGGTAAGGTGGAACCGTCGGTGGTATATTTTTTGAATTTTTTGTTTTTTTTTTTTTAAAATTAAAATTTTGGTTTCTTTTTTGGGGGTTGGTGTGTGGTGTGGTAGGTTAATTACAATGACATTTTAGACGGTTTCCAAAATGAAGTTACACTTTTACATATTTTTAATAAAGTTATTGAATTGTTGATATTAACTATGAATGATTGGGATAATATATTATTATTGTGGTGTTGGTGGTCTTAAAAAAGTTGGTTTCTCTTTTTGATTTTAAAAATTTATAAAATTAATTTAAAGAAAATGGTCTATCTGTTATTCTGTTACTTTTTTGTAATCAATCGGTGTAGAGAGACCAATGAAACAACAACAAAATCAAAACAAAACAAAACAAAAAAAAAATACGAAAACAACAATATTTCGTTTTTGTAACATATTCATTACCTTTTTTTATTCTTTTTTTTTCTAATTAATTTAGTTTGTTAAGATTAGATTGGTTTGATTTTGCTTTTTAATTAATTGAACTTTGATTATTGTTGTAAGTTCCAATGTCGTTTCGATTTCAAAAACTAAAAACAAAAATTGTATTTTTATTTTTACAAAGAATCTTCTTTCTTCTGTTCTTTAGCTGTTTCTATTCAATCTTCTGATATTTTTAAAAGTGATTTATTTATATTCGAGATCTTTTGATAAAAGTTAAACAAAAAAAGCAATTCTATTCTAAAGTTAACTATAGTTTGTTATAAAAAAAGAAATAATTATTTAATTAACTACTGTATGATATTAAATAAAAAAGTAATACACTATTCCTAGTGAATAGTTAAGTGAAAATTTTTAATTAAATTAAAATTAATATAAATAAATAAATATAAAGGAAGTGATATGTCTTTGTTTGTTATTGGTTACTTTTTTTAGTGTGTGTGTGTGATAAAAACTAAACAAAATAAGATGAAGAGGTGTGTTTATTGGTTGAAACAGCACCATCTTTAAAAAGATTATAATGGAATTTTTTTAATTTTAGTTTTTTTTTTGGTTTTTAAATTTTTTTGTCGAATTAAGAACCAAGCAAAGACACATTGACAACCTGTTTACAAAATATAACACCATTTTTAATTAAATATCAAAAAAAAAACATGTTTTTACACCTCGTTATTCAGAAAAGACGAGTGTAGAATGACAACATGCACTCTTTTAAAAACAATAATTGATTGATTTTTAGCCCCACTTTATTTTAATCGTAATAAAATTTGCCCAATAATAACCCATCCAATAGATTGCAAAGTAAATGATAAACAAAGTCGAGCGAATTAAGTTATCTTGGTAATAAATAATAAAAAGCTCTAATTGTCTTTGACGTTTGTTTATTGTTAGTGCTTTTTTAAGATAGGTGTTTATTACTAGTGGATGGGTGTTTTAAAATTTGATTAAATTTACATAAATAAATGAAGCAAAAGATTCAGATTTTTTTAGTTCTATCTATTTAACTATTATTTCAATATTAAACTTAATCTTTATTGTTAAAGAGAATGCTATGGCCAAACATATTATTACTATTTTATACTTGAATTGAATTGAGAGTAAATGACAACGAGAGAAATGTTTTAAAAGTCTTCATCGGTGGTAAACATTCGCATCGGTGGTTTGTTGTTAGTATCTATTTTTTTGTCACTCTCTGCAGCGGCATGGTAGGGGATTAAAGTAGGTTCGGAGGTTGATTAACTCTATCCAGTGGAATGGATTGGTGGCGTTGTAGATATTCTCGTGGCCAAGAGAAAAGAGAAGATTGTCTGCAAAATACTCGATATATTGTGACAACAAACGATTGTTCATCTCGATAAGGTCGAATCGGAGTGACTCTTTGATAAACTGCTTCTCACAATCGACAGCATCACGAATGATCGATTCAATCGTTTCAGCATCCAACTTGTTGATTAGTTTTGAGTGGAGTAGACATGAAAATCGGCAATGAATACTAAAAAAGTAAACGATCTTTAAAAAATATAAATAGTTTTTTTTTGGTTTTATTTTATTTTGCTTCCATTTTCTTTTCTAATAATATTTTAATTCCATCAGCATATTGGAACTCTTCTGTGTTATTAAAGTATTCGGTGACATCCAATGCGATGAGACAACTCTCACTGACAATTGGCTCAGCATCTTTGACAAACTCTTCGAGCAATGGCACTGTCTCGGTCGATGCAATAGCACCGAGTGCTTCAGCAGCCTCGTGTCTAACCATAGCCGATTCTTTGGCATCTCTCAATACGGTTGTGAGTGCAGGTAAAGCAGCACGATGTTGTAATTGTCCCAAAACGAATGCAACCTCGTGCTTTAGCAATGCACTCTCATCGTTGAAGCCATCGCACAACGCTAGTACCGACGCTTCATCACCACGATCTCTCAACGAAAACAAAGCTCTGTATCTATTAAATATATCCAATTCGCCATTCAAAAAGTCTTTCTTTACCTCCTCAAATGGTACTGTAGTTGGTAAAGAGGGTGCAGGATCAACCGAAAGATATGATTTATTCTCAACTGATTCTGGTCTAAAAATAAAGTCAACAAAATGATTATGATGTTAGTATACAAGATTATAATATTCTGTGTGAGGAAATGCGATCGATAAACAAACTCCACAACAACAGAATTTGGCAAAGAATTGCTTGGTTTCTGAATCAATTATTAATTGGTTTTTAGTTTGGTTGAAACCTAACATACTCATTTTTGGTATACCATTCTAATCTACTGAGTGCAAGTTGACAGGTTTCAGCAACTTCTCTGGTGATGTCGTTGGCGTGTTGACGGAGAGTATCGTATGCTGTGGTGTCACCGATGGCACCGAGTGCTTCTGCAGCTTCGTGTCTGACCATTGGGTGTTCATTCTGGTCACCCACTATTGTGATGAGTTGATCGACTGCGTGACTGTCAGTCATCTGACCGAGACAATAAGCAATCTCGTGTCTGAGCAATGCAGAGTCATCCTTTAAAGCCGAGCACATTGCATCTATTGATAAACGACCACCTAGATTTCTCAGTGTAAACAACGATCTGAATCTCTTGGCAATCGGTTGATTGACATCGGTCAAAGTTGACTTTAAATGATTGACAACCTCTGGTGTAACCTCTATCTTGTGTTGTTGAGCGAAAATACTATCTCCTGTTTCTGATTCCATTATTCTATATATATAATATTCTTAAGATTTAATTTAAAACAAAAAATGAAAAAAAAAAAAAATAAAACGAAAAATTAATTTTTAATTTTTTTTTTTTAAAAACGTACATTTTTTTTTTTGTATCATAAGCTATCCCAATGATTAATAAATATATCATCAGACATCTACATCTACATAATAATTACAACATAAGAGGTTCAAGATAAAAAAAAAAAAGATTTTAAGCTGATTAATAATATTTTAATACATATTTAGGCTGTTATTAATGATGTTGGTGGACATATTGACCATCATCTAAAAGTATGCTACTGGTAGATGAAATGATTATCATAAGAATGTTTTTAAAATACTTCAATTGAATTGAGAGTAAATGACAACGAGAGAAATGTTTAAAAGTCCTCATCGGTGGTAAACACTGGCTTTGGTGGTTTGTTGTTAGTATCTATTTTTTTGCCACTCATTTGAATGCAGCAGCAGGGTGGCATAACTAAGTTAGCTGCGAGGCATCTTAAATCTAGCCAGTGGAATGGATTGGTGGCGTTGTAGATCTTCTCGTGACCAAGAGAAAAGAGAAGATTGTCTGCAAAACACTCGATATATTGCGACAACAAACGATAGTTCATATCGGCATGATCGAATCGGATTGATTCTTTGATAAACTGCTTCTCACAATCGACAGCATCACGAATGATCGATTCTATCATTTCGGTATCCAACTTGTTGATTAGTTTTGAGTAGAGAAGACGTCCAAACTCGCAATGAGTATATTCATTGCTAACGATAAAAGAGTAGTATTCGCTCAATTTGGGCATCAAAGAACGCTTATGGAACCAAAGTATTACACAGAAACTCGCAGAGTATAGTATACTTTCCACAGCAGCAAATGCAATCAATCTCTCAGCGAGTGATTTGGAATTGTTCATCGATTTCAACAGCCATTCACATTTTCTCTTGACACATGGAATTGATTCGATTGCATTGAATATCTTTGATTTCTCATCTGTATCTTTTATATATGCATCGATTAATAAACTTATTTTATAATGATAAGGTATATCATATAGTTAGTATTATTATTATTATATTAAACAGAAAACATAAAGAAACTTACCTATATTTCTCTGATTGAATATTCTCCATAGCAATCTGCATGCTATAGAAAGTACGAGCTTCAGGTATTTGCACTTCTGACATGAAATGTGTGATGATGTTCTCATTTATAATACCTGCAATGCTCACGAAAAAACCAAGAATATTGCTAATTAAGTAACGCTCATTATCATCGAGCTTACATTGCCAATCTCTTACATCATTGAGAAGAAACAAGTCTTCGATGTTCGTTGTATCATCATGACATCTCCAACGTTCGACTTTGAACTTTGCTCTTTCATATAATCTATACATATCTTCATTTTTGGTTGAAATACGTCTGATATCTTTAAATAAATAGTTACGCATCTCTATTAATTTTGGTTCTTCATGTTGATTTTGCATCATAATTATGCTAATTACAATGTATCAATAAATCTTTTAAAAAATAGTAAGTAATGTTTTTTTTTAAAAAAAGACATTGTTTTTTTTTTGGTAAGCACAAAGTATCTTTATTATTAATAAATGTTAAATATTATAAATTCACATTAAAAAAACAAAAAAATAAATCAAAAGGATCAATATTGACTCGATGAACACTACGCATCATCCTCTGGCTTAAAGGTGTACATCTCTTTATCCATAACCTTGTTAAAGTAATAGAAATCTCCTATAATAGGTATAATTTGACTCATAAACAACTTTGTGACTGATCTTGCAATTTACTGTTTCTTATTGGTCTAAAATTGCAACCTGCGCAAAGATATAAAATAGATTATTTTTGATAATATATATGTATATGTAAAAGATGAGTTTAGATAATGATGATGTCAAAGCCAACTTAATTCCCCTACACTGCCGCTACATTTTCGAAACAATGAGTGACAAAAAAATAGCCGATGCGACAGTGATCGAATCGGAGTGACTCTTCGATAAAGTTTCTCACAGTCGACAGCATCGTTAACGATCGATTCTATCGTTTCGGCATCCAATACGGTAGTGAGTGCAGGCAAAGCAGAACGATGTTGTAATTGTACCGAAAGATAAGTTAGCGATAAGTAAATTACTAAATTGATATCACTTGACCTATATTGTGAAGAACATGAATAAATAAAAAAAATTGATACCTTGTCATTGTTTTTTAAAAAACTTTTTTTTAGTTTTTTTTTTAATTATTGTCAACACAGATATTTAAAGAAAATATCTTATTTTCTCATCCCATGGGATTGGCACCAGTGCCGAGATCATTTTGCTAATATCTAAATTTAAATCATGATTTCAGGAAAGGTGTCATCTTGAATAGGGGGACTTTTGTTCAAAAACATTAGAAAGTATCAAAATATTGTTAAGATTTTGTTTGATTATTTAAATGCTATCAATAATCTACAATTTTTCAAAAGAGAATTCATATCTAACAACAAAACGATTATAATATCAAGACCTTGATATTTATAATTGTTTTATTTTAAAATAATATAATTTGGAACCTAAATACAAAATATATTTGATTGATAAAAGTGATGATGTGTTACTTTTTTTTAACAAACAGTATTACACAAACAAATAACTTAAAATAATGAAAACAGAAATAATATCTATTTTATTATTTATTCTTTTTATAAACACTAGTGATGCTATTAGATTAAAACCTACTTCCACTCCTACACCAACACCAACTCCATCAAATGCAGCATGGGTATCAATTGATACTTTCAATCAAGATAGATGCTATTCTAGTTCAAACATTGGTGGTATTGTAATTCAAAATGGTGATTGTTATAACATGAAAACAATAGTTTGCGATGGTGATAAGGTCATTATATTTGAGTACAATGATAAACAATGTACTGATAGAAAGATCAAGCCAACTACATATCCAATTAATCAATGTGGTCCAACAGGAGCATGGGGTTTCAGTAAGATCTATAGATGTCTATCAGCACCACCTGCCTATCCAGAGCAATCTTTGGTAATGTCACACTACAAAGGATGTGGATCAGGAAATACACTTTCATTCTACCGTTGGATTCCAACTTATACCTGCGTTGCTATAAATAGATGGGCATTGGATCCATACACTGGTTCAGGAGCATTCGAGATTCCAGAGTCTGATTCTGCTTCTTATTCGCAAAGAAATTCAGACGATGATTACGACTCTGATACTAGATCGAAACTTCAAATGTTTTCAGACCATATCGATTATCTCACTGGTTTGTCTGTTGAGCATAAATTAAATAGTGCTGGAAAATTCAAGAGTAGCAGTGGATCTGGTGATAGTGCTTCTGGTGATGGTGCAACTGGTAATACTGGATCAGGTGGTGACAGTATTACTGGTTATACAGCATTCAGTACAGGATCAGGTGGAACCGGTATCTATACCAGTGGTTCAGATCCACAAATCAATTCTGTTACATTTGCCATTGCCGAATGCAATCAAACAAGATTTGCATACTCCACATATAGTGTTGGATACTCTGCAAGTGGTACTTCCGGTGGACCTCTACCAACTGGAGAGTATACCTCTGGAGATCCATATGGATCTGAAATGACCGCACTTCCAGGTTCAGGATCAGGATCAGGCTCAGGAGCTAGCGGATCAGGTAGTACAACAACCCCACCAATGGGATGTAGCGGTAGAAGAAATCATCACAATGACGGCAATAATAATGAAAAGTGTTACAATGATAATACATTATTTACATTAACTTGCGTACCGCCATACCACTCGTAATAAATTAATAATTTTTTAAATATTTTTAATCTTTTATAAAATACTAGTAAAAGAATAAGTAAACTTGCTGTATGTTTTACACTTTTTCTTAACTAATACATTACAATTAATATCTATATTCTATTTTGTATACATTGTATGTGGTACTGAAATCTCTATGATCTGGATTTTCTTCTTGGTGTAGTTCATTACATTGTGATCCGGTTTATAGATCTTGCTAGTCGAAATCATCTACTCTGACTTTATACATGATCTCTATCGAGTGTTGCTTTAGCTTGGTGTTTGATGTTGTGTTGTAGGTTTAATGATTTACTTGAGTATGACATTTGTTAGATCGCTCATACCAACATCTATAGCGATAAACTGCTTCACACAATCGACAGCATCACGAATGATCGATTCGATCGTTTTGGAATACAACTTATTGATGAGTTTTGAGTAGACGACGTACAATTATTCAATAGCCAACCACATTTCTCTTGACACCTGCACCTATTAATAAACTAATTTTATAATGATAAGGTATATCATATTGTCAGTATTATTAATTATTGATATATTAATAGAAAGCATCGTGCAACTTACCTATATTTCTCGGATTGAATTCCCCTAGAATCTGCACTCCACAGAAAGTACGAACTTCAGGAATTTGCACTCTGACATGAAATGTGTGATGATGTCCTCATTTAGAATACTACAGTGCGCCAAGAATATTGCTAATTAAGTATCATTCATTATCGTCGAGATTACATTGTCAATCTCTTACATCGTGAGTCAAGTCGTTGAAAGGTAAGTTCGACATATCGCTACGATTCAATATTCGATTGCAAACCTTACTCTTTCATACAACCGATACACATCTTCACTTTGAAATCATATCTATCATTTTTCTCTTTTAATATTGGACTAAATTAAATATGACATCACTGTTCAATTTCTGATACCACTCATTGCCATCATTTTTTTTTTTTATTCAACAGATATTTAAACTAAAAAATCAGTATTTTCTTTTTATTTTTTTTTGATATTTAGATTGACCAGGTGCCGATATTTAGCAAAAAATATCTAAAAATTGATCATCTTTTCAGGGAAGGAGTCATATAGAATAGAAGCTTTTTTGCCATTTAGAAAGTATCAAAATAAGATTTTGTTTGATTATTAACCTTAATATTACCAATAGATATTAATCTCCCAATTTTTAAAAAAAAATTAATATAATCTTGATATTTAAAATGATATTTATATAGATTTATGATAAAAAAATAAAATTTGGAACCTTTATATCTCATAATATCTTGTATTTATAAATGAACGATTAGTAATCTTTTTTTTAATTTTAATTTATTAAAAAACTAAAAACAAACAAATAACTTATTTATAACTATGAAAAAAATAATAATTTTATCTATTTTATTAAATATTCTATATATAAACAGTTGTGGTGCTATTAGATTAAAACCTACTTCCACTCCTACACCAACACCAACTCAATCATGGATATCAATTGATACTTTCAATGCAGATAGATGCTATTCTAGTTCAAGCGTTGGTGGTATTGTAATTCAAAATGGTGACTGTTATAACATGAAAACAATAGTTTGCGATGGTGATCAGGTTATTGTTAATGAGTATAATGATGAACAATGTATCGATAGACATTTCAAATCAACTACCTACCCAACCAATCAATGTGGTCCTACTGGAACTTGGGGTTTCAGTAAGATCTATAGATGTCTATCAGCACCACCTGCCTATCCAGAGCAATCTTTGGTAATGTCACACTACAAAGGATGTGGATCAGGAAATACACTTTCATTCTACCGTTGGATTCCAACTTATACCTGCGTTGCCATATCTAAATGGGCATTGAATCCATATACTGGTACAGGAGATTTCGAGATTCCAGAGTCTGATTCTGCTTCTTATTCGCAAAGAAATTCGGATGATGATTACGACTCTGATACTAGATCGAAACTTCAAATGTTTTCAGATCATATCGATTATCTCACTGGTTTGTCTGTTGAGCATAAATTAAATAGTGCTGGAAAATTCAAGAGTAGCAGTGGATCTGGAGACAGTGCTTCTGGTGATGGTGCAACTGGTAATACTGGATCAGGTGGTGACAGTATTATTACAGGTAATACAGCATTCAGTACAGGATCAGGTGGAACCGGTATCTATACCAGTGGTTCAGAGCCACAAATCAACTCAGTTACATTTGCCATTGCCGAATGCAATCAAACAAGATTTGCATACTCCACATATAGTGTTGGATACTCTGCAAGTGGTACTTCCGGTGGACCTCTACCAACTGGAGAGTATACCTCTGGAGATCCATATGGATCAGAAATGACCGCACTTCCAGGATCAGGATCTGGTTCTGGATTATCAGGGGATTCTAGCCAACCGATGGGATGTAGAGGTAAAAAAGCTCAACACAATGACGGCTATAATAATGAAAAGTGTTACAATGATAATACATTATTTACACTAACTTGCGTACCGCCATACCACTCGTAATAAATTAATAATTTTTTAATATGTTATCAATTCAATTGGAAAGAATTATTTATTGAGATGCCTATCGGCAAAAACTTTGAAAGGACAAATTTTTTGTTAAGATCAAAAAGCATTCAAATTCAACCAGGGATTTCTTTTTGAAGATACTATTGACATATCTAGAAGATTTTTCTTTTTTTTAACCTTGAATACCAACCTTGAAAAAAATGAAGTGGGATTTAATATCTTCAGAACAAATCAAAGGTAACTTTTAAAGAAACAGTTTCTAATTTATTTAATTAATTAAATTGAAAAGTAGAAAATTCCTTTTATTTTTCCACTGATAATTTTTTGTCAAACGAAAGTTAAAATACTTAATAAATTTCGATAATAAAAATTGAAAATATTGGTCTCGACCTTATCTGAAATCAAAATTCAAAACCATCTCTTAAATAGATATTTGCAAAAGATGATATTTTTTCCGACTTTATGCCAAGATAATAAATAAATATTAAATTTACGGTGTTGTTGCAAATCTAACTCTTAAAAATGGTAATCGATAAATGGTCAACTTTCTTTTCATATTGGTTTGATAATATAAATATATAATTATAGATACGCAAAATGAGACATATATTATTTTTATCTATTATAGTATACATTTTGTGTGTTAACAGTGGTTGTGGCGCAATTAGAATACCAGCAACTCCATCTCCAACACCAAATAATAACTCAACCTCTTGGGTAACCGTTGAAACTTTTAATGAAGGTAATTGTCCAGATAGCTCTAGTATTGGTGGTGTTGCAGTTCCACAAGGATCCTGTTTCAGAACATAGTACAGTAGTTTGTTCAGGTTACAAAGTCATTGTATCTACTTATGCCAATGCCGAGTGTACTGGTCAAGCTAGCCAAGTTGAAACCTATAAATCCGGTGTATGCTCTACTGCCAATCATTGGGGATTCGCCAAACGTTACACATGCTCATCAAGTCTACCAGCATACCCAGAGAGATCATTGGTTTTGGCTTACTACGAAACCTGTAACAATTCAACAACAAACAATACCCTTGAAATGTATCGTTGGGTTCCAACCTACAAATGTATGGCACTTACCAGAGCCTTTTTGAATCCATCTGGATCCGGTTCAGGTTCCAGCGCTTCATCAGGATCAGGTAGTACATCAGGATCCGGTAGTTCATCAGGCTCAGCTAGCGCTTCAGGAGGTAGCGCTTCAGGATCAGAGACTGGTCAACAGGGAACAAGATATTTAATGTCAAAAGAACTCGACGAACCAGTTGACCATACCAATGAGCTTCAATTGTTCTCAGAGTATATCGATAATGTAGCTGGATTTTCAAATGTAATCAAGCAAAAACATAGCAACAGTATCACTGTTGATAAAGAGGTTGAAAAGGATGGAGTTGGTTCAATTTCGATTACCGGTGAATCAGGAACTGGTTTGTTGTCCTCTGGTTTCAACACTGGTACTTCTGGATCCGCAAATACCGGTTCCAGTCAAGAGGTCAACGCTGTGCTATTCGCTTTGATCCAATGTGATCTAGCAAAGTTCAGATATGCCACTTTTGCTAATGGAGCTGTTAATTCTGCTACTGCCGGTGGTACTCTATCGACCGGTGAATTCACAAGCGGTGATCCAGAGGGATCTCAAATGACCGGTGATTTCACATCGGGTACTGGAGATTCCAGTGGTGGTTCAGGAGCATCTGGCAATTCAGGTTCACAGTCATCACAAAACGGATGTTCCATTACACCAAACTCTGGTTATGCTGGTACAATTCAACAATCTTGTGTTAAATCGAAATCTCTTTTACAAGTAACATGTGTTCCACCATTCCATAGTTAAATGAGACTCCCACTTTATAATAATAATAATAATAATAAATAACAACTAACAGTATAATGTATGATTGTTTTTATCAAACAACAATTTAAATAAATATTTTAAATATAATAGATTAAAATTATATTGAGTTAGAATATATATATTTGTTAACATCAAGATAAGAGATATTTAGTTTTTATTTTTAGATATAAAAGGAAAAAAAGAAATAAGTTGTTGTTGATTTAGGCTGTTATTATTAATAAATTAAATAATAATGGTTGAAGAAATAAAAAGTGGCTTTGATTTTAAAAGGGAAAAAAATGGTTGGTTCATTGGTAGATGATTTGTTTGACATTTAATTCTGGTGGATTTGCACCTTCTAGAATGAAACCGAAGGTGTAGCTGGCACCAACATTGATTGATGTTTGATAAGGTGAGAGTGTAAGATCACCTTCCTTTGATTTCTCGACGTTCCAAATGTCTTTGTTATCACGAACTTTGAATGTTTTTGGATCTGTTCCACTATATTATTAATTAGATATGAATAAAATGGAATGAGTAAGAAGTAAAAGTTATTTAATTAAAATATTACTTACATGACAAAATTCTTTAGATTTTTGTTGGAGAGATTGGTAAAGATGATATCATATTGTGCAAATACTTGATTGCCACGGCTTCCATCATTCCAACGTCCAATGAGCTTGGTAGTAATATTGTATGACTTCTTATCAACTTCAACATGTTCACCCTTGGCACCTTCATCTCTGCAGTGATCTTGAGACTTTGGCTTCTCTTCAGCACCACCCTTTGCACCCTCGTCCTTTGATTTTCCACCCTTGGTCTTGGTATCATTCTTTCCAGCATCATCTGGCTTATCAGAAGTCTTTGGTTCCTTTGCTGGCTTATCTGATGGTTTGTCACCATCCTTTGGTTTCTCTGGTTTATCAGATGGCTTGTCACCATCCTTTGGTTTCTCTGGCTTATCAGATGGCTTATCGGTTGGTTTATCAGATGGCTTCTCAGTTGGTTTATCTGTTGGCTTGTCAGTTGGCTTGTCAGTTGGCTTATCTTCACCCTTTGGCTTATCACCATCCTTTGGTTTATCACCATCCTTTGGCTTATCACCATCCTTTGGTTTATCACCGTCCTTTGGTTTATCACCATCCTTTGGTTTATCGCCATCGTTTGGTTTATCGCCCTTTGGTTTATCACCCTTTGGTTTATCACCCTTTGGTTTATCCTCACCCTTTGGCTTATCACCATCAGTCACCTCTGGAGCTTTGTCATTTGGTTTGTCTGTTGGATTCTGTTGATCATCGCTGTCTTTTGGTTTCTTTGCAGATACCACCGCCAAACAAATCAAAAAGATACAAAATAAAACAAGTGCTTTTCTCATGTTTGTTTTTGTTGATTGTAATTATTATTTAAGATTATTCTATATATTTATTATTATTATTATTACTATTATTGAATAATTGAAATATATTGAATAGTTAAGCGGTTCGAGTTTACTATTTATAGGTTTGTAATCTTAACCTTGTGCTCGCTGAAGTGAAGGGTGAAGGAGCAGAGCTGTGCAGCTCAGTATAGCATAGTAGTAGAAGTAGTAGTTGAGGTCATTGAAATGCCAAATAATTTTAGTGCAATATGTCATTGATGACGAATCTGGACATGTCTAAAGATTGCGAATGTAGTTACATCACCAATGCGCATTGAACATATCAACACCAAGTAAAAACATCTATCTCTATACATCATACCTCCGATTTTACCAATGAAAATAAAATAATACTCCCTATACAAAAAGGTTTGATGTGTATATATACAACATTGTTTACTTCATTTTATTTTTATTTAAAATATCTATATTATATTTTTTCAATGTTAAATATATAATATAAAATTATTGATTATTTTTTTTTGTAATATATTTATTTGAACCCCCAAATTTATATCGATGAAATGGGTGTTGTATTTCATTTTCGAAAAATGTAAGGTGAATTTTCCAACTGAATCCAATAACTATGAGATTTGAAAATCATAATATTTATATTTTTATATTGGGTGTAGATAGATAAAATTAGGAACAACAATTCAACTCCTCTTTTGGAAATTCTATCGATAATAATATTCAATTCAAATAAAATGTTATCATTTAGAATAGCAGGAGTAAATATTTATTTAACTGAAAAATATCTATATAGTTTTGATTGAATGAAATCTTATATCAAATTATAATAGATAGATTTAATATTATTATTATTTTCTTTTCAGTTTTGAGAAAAAAGAACATGTTCAAGATTTTTTTATTCTAATTACAATTATAATGAATGTTTATATACTGGAACTTGATTGAAAATTATATATGATTTATATTTACTAGTAGGAATTGATATTGGAGATTTTTTATATATTTTATAAACTATTTATATTATTATATTATTCTATTTTTTTGTATTGTTTTGTTTTTTTTTTTATCTAAGAATACCAGTTGAGATTGGTTTTTCTAATGTCAATGGTTGATTGTTGATGTGAATTGGAGCACCCTTGAAGAGAATCTCACCGTCTTTGACCTTCAAATCCAATTTCTTGAATCCTTTGACATAGTCCATTCCTGGCTTTGGTGCCAACTTCATACCCTTGACGTTGATCTTGGTTCCGAGCTCAGTGTTGTCGGCAACCAACAACAATGAAACAACTGGTGATTCTTTATTTTCATTGTCGGCTACAACAACCATACCTTCACTAGCGACACCTTGGAACTTGGCTGGCTTCAAATTCAATAGCAATGCGATCTTCTTGTTGAGTAGCTGTTCCTTGGTGTGAGTTGCCTTGAGACCGGCGACAACAGTACGTACCGCACCTCCTGCCAACTCTGCCTTGAGAACGTACAACGACTCTGCAGTTGGATGGTCAGCGACCTCTTTGATCTGAGCAACCTGTAAATCCAATGGGAATTCCTCGAGAACTGGTCCAGAGAATTTGGAACGGAATTTTTCGAGATCGGTATTCTCAATCTTGTTGATGAGTGGTACGATATTCTTGGAGATGGCATGTCCCTCGGTGATGAGGAATTCGAAATTCACAGAGTATTTAGTTGGTTGCATATTGAGTTGTTCGTGGACTTTGGCGGTGATCTCTGGGAGATATGGCTCGAAAACGGTTGCCAACAGCTTGATGGTGTTGACGAGTACTGTCAAGATGGTTCCGAATCTAAGTGGATCCTTCTCCTTCAACTCCCATGGCTTGTTGGATTGCATGTATTGATTTCCAAGCTTTGACATGGACATGGCAGTTCTGAGACCGTCCTTGATATGCACATGCTCCAAATCATTCAAATACTCAATGTAGAGCTTGTCGACATCGGCAATGAATTGTCTGTCTTCGTCGTTCAACTCGATCTTGGGAATGACACCGTTGAGATCCGAAGATACCTGTTTCAGCACACGATTTACAAGATTACCAAAGTTGGAGAGCAACTCTGTGTTTGTCTTCAATCCAAAGTCTGCCCACGAGAATGTCGAGTCGATCTTTTCTGGACGGTTGGAGAGGAGGTAGTAACGCCAGATATCGGCTGGTACACCTGTACCCATAGCATTGTCACCGAAAACACCGGTATTTCTTGACTTTGAGAACTTACCAGATTCATAATTGAGGTATTCGGTGGTTGAAAGATTGTGGAGCAAAGTGTATTGATCGCCAGAACCAATCAAAGACGATGGGAAAATAACAGTGTGGAATGGAACGTTATCTTTACCCATGAACTGTACCAACTCTACATTCTTTGGATTCTTCCACCATTGTTCCCATTGCTCTGTATATTCCTTTGTAATCGAAAGATAACCAATTGGTGCATCGAACCAAACATAGAATACTTTTTCTTTAAATTCTTCCAATGGAACTGGTGTACTATAGTAAATAAAAATAATAATTGTTAACTTGTTTGTTAAAACTATCTATCTATAATATGTTTAATTACATACCCCCATTTCAAATCTCTTGTGATACATCTTGATTTCAATTCACCTTTGACCCATGAATTAGTGATTCTTTGGGAATTTTCCGACCAGATTGGAGATGATTGAGTTACAAAGTCATCTAATCTCTGTTGAATCTTTGGAAGTGACAAAAAGATATGTTTGGTTGACTTGAGAACTGGTGTGGTAGAGTCTAACTTACAACGTGGTCTAATCAAGTCGGTTGGATTCAACATCTTTGTACAATTATCACATTGATCACCTCTTGCGTCTTCAAATTGACAATGTGGACATGTTCCTTCAACATATCTATATAAAAAATAATATTAAATATTAATAACTTATAACTATTATAATTATTATTTTAATAAACTTACCTATCAGCTAAAAACATATTACATCTTTCACAATAGAGTTGTTCGATTTCTTCAGAGGTTGTCAGCTCATTCTTGTAGAGCTTCATGAAGATGTCTTGTGCGATTTCAGTTTGAGAGTCGGTCGAGGTACGTCCGAACTTGTCGAATCCGATGTTGAACCACTTGTAGATATCACGGTGAATGACGTGATAACGATCGCAGATCTCCTTTGGAGTTACACCTTCTTGCAGTGCCTTTGTCTCTGTTGCAGTTCCGTACTCGTCGGTACCGCAGATATAGATGGTGTTGTATCCACGCATACGACAGTATCTAGCGTAGACATCACCGCTCAGCACGCAACCAATGATATTTCCGAGATGTGGAACATTGTTGACATAGGGCAACGCCGATGTAATCAATATATTTCTTTGTCCTTCGACTGGGAGTACAACTTCAGATGGTGGAGCACTCATAACTATCTAAAAATTAATTTAACTAAACTAACTATAACTAAAACTATAAATTCTTATCTTTTTCTTTAATAATAATAATAATACAATTAAATATTAATATGTATTATTATTTATTTATTTGGTTGGTTTATTTTTTGGTTTGATTTCAAATTCAAAAAAAGAAAAATGTTTAAAATCATAATCATAAAAAAAACAGCATCTCAGATGTCTTTTTATAATTTTTTTTGCAGTGAATGAATTACAAAAAAAAAAAAGTAAAAAAAAAAGTTTCTCAAAATTATCTCCCCGTTTAAAACAATCTTATTAATTTATTAGAAAGTCACAAGATTAATAAATAATATAAATATTTATTTTTAAATTCTCACTTTTTAGTTTATTAATTTGGATTATTTTGTTCAGTCTAATAAATCTTATTAGAGAAGAATATATAAAATTTATATTATTTATTAATATAATTATAACTTTGCATTATTATTTTTTATATTAAACAGTTGGCAAACTTAAATGAACAATTAATTTATCCCTGATTTATTGTTGGTGAACTAATATTTTTTAGATTGTTTTTTTTGCTTAAATAATTTATTTATTTATATGTTTGTTTGTTTTTTGTTTCCATTTTTGTTTTTTTTTCTCCTAAGCGAAGATTACTAATTGTTATCCTGGTGTGTACTCTTTCATATTAAAGAGTCGATCACTATTGATAACTGAGCTGAGCTCTTGGCATGAGATCTGAATTCCTCTATACTATTGCCGTGTGTATCTTTTAGTTGAAGACTGAACAATGACCGATGATATCCTTATAGACAAGAAGAATCTTAAACTAGGTGTCTTGTTGGATCTTCACTGTGATGAAAGTTCTATAACACGGGTATCCATCTTCAACGATGTTATACTTCTAGGTTCAAAGCAAAAAAAAACACAAAAATGAAAGCACATCAACAAAAACAAAAAATAAAAGTAAATAAATAGATTATTATCTGTTTTAGAAAATCAAAGGGTACGATTTTCTAAGAAAAAAAAGATAATCATTTATTTTGATGATTATCATCATCCATGTTCAATTTTTTTTAACAAACAAAAAAATTTTAGTTGATCAGATTTGAATCTATTATTAATTAATTTTCTAATACATTTTGATATATATATATGATATGTCATATAAAGGATCTACACAAGTAAAATCATGGATATTCACAAAACAGGAATTAGAGCAACAAAGAAACTCTGTTAACAATGCATTTTGTGAGTCACTGAAAGCTGCATCGGGTGTAAGCGATACTTCTAATCTTGTGACACCTTACGAAGAACAACAGCTCTTGTTTCACTATAAAAAAATGATAATGCAAATAGGTCAACAAATGAACTTACCAGATGCTGTTTATGTATGTAATGAATCATAATATATTTGATTTTGACAATCTTAGGCACTAACTCTTAATTTGTGGTTATCTATTAATAGTGTACAGCAGTTGCATATTTAAATAGATTCTACTTGAAGAGATCAGTGATGGAAGTCAATCCCAAGCAGGCAATGAAAGTTTGTATATATGTAGCTTGTAAGACGGAAGACAATCATTTGGAGATTGATTACTACTCGAATCTTGTAAAGACAACACCGAAAGCTATTGTAGAGATGGAAATACCGTTGTTGGAAGCACTGATGTTTCACCTGATTGTCTATCATCCTTTTAGACCACTGTATGGTTTGCTATTGGATATTAATGATCTCGTTGCAGGCAACCAACATTCGAAATGGCTAAACTCATCAACCTTTACATTCGAAACAATCTATGAAGCTGCAAAGAAATTCGTATTAAAATCGGTTGTCACTGATTGTTGTTTCCTCTATCACCCATATCAAATAGCATTGGCATGTCTAGATTTAGCATGGCCACCATTTTCAAAGTAAGTTTTAACATTATTTAGTTGTAATAATCAACTCTTTATTAACAAACAAACAAACAAACAAACAAACAAACAAACAAACAACAAACAACAGTTATTTTGAATTGAAATTTAAACCATTTGATAATCATCAACAAATTCAGACAGAGATAAATGAAATTAAAGAGATACTACTGAAAGTACCTGATAAACCAGATATAGAATTGGTAACGAGTGTAGATAGAAAGTTATTGTAAGTTGTTTAATCATGATGATTTAGTTCACTTGATATTAATGATATCACTCTCTTTCTTAACATTGTAGATTATTAATTAAATCAAAGAAAGATGAAAAGAAAACAAAGAAATCGTCTTCGTCATCAGGTAGCAATAAGAAACAGAAAACAGATAAACAATCTCCAGTAAACTTGAGTTCACCTACTACAACGGATGGAAATAGCAATACAACATCGGATCCTATGGCAGTAGATGTACAAACTACAACTCAATAAAAAACAATAATAGATATATTTATATTTAATTTAAGATACAATTTTGTAAATAAGGAATTTTATTAGTTATAGAATTCTCTTATTTATAGTTGTCTTTTTGTTTAACATTCTTTTGTTTTTGTTGTCATATTATAAAAGTTAGTTTATGAATAATTATTAAATTTGTGGAAGTTATGTTGTATAAATTTGATTATTATTTAGTTTGTTAGTTTGTTTGTTAGCTATTTAATTTAGTTTGTTATTTAAACAGAGATCTCAGCATAGGATTTGTCTGATTCCTTCTTGGTGGCGATATATTTGATGGTGTTTTGGAGGTAGACTGAAGCAGAGTCACCTTCCTTGCTGTGGGTGGTACGAATGAGTTCGACGAGATCGCTGATGAATTGTGGTGGTACAGCGTCGGATTTCTGGTCAAAGAAGTAGATACATTCGTTCAAGATCTCAACAAACACAGAGAGACCGGCATCCGATTGGTTGGTGATGATCGAGAGCGATCTTCTGAGAGCCTGGAGAACAGAGTCTGGGTTCTTGTATTGACGGGTGTCGTGATCGACCCAGAAAAGATGTGAGCACAACGAGATGAGCTTCGATTGATCGTGTGGAGTAAGGAGACGAGTGGCTTGCTTGATGGTTTGACCGGCCAATGTCTCGTAGAGCTCGACATCGGACAACGACAACGAGTTGAGTGTGGAGATGAGCAAGGTCAAAGCATTGACTTGTGCCTTGAAGTCGGCAATGTCCTCCTGGAAGATGACCAGTGCCTTGATGGCAAAGTCGTAGGTGATCTTTTGGAGGTTGCACTTGTCGGCGGTTTGAATGGCTTGCAAGTAGAGACGGAATGAGAGTTCCGAGAGTTTGATGTCGACCAACGCCTTGATGGTCTCCATGACAAAGTTAAAGATCTTGGTACCGATCAAAGTCCATTGGTTCTCATCGAGTGAGATGATACCGTCGTCGACTTGCTTCTTCAACTTGGTTACAAACTTTAGTGAACGGAACACCAAGGGTACCAAGGTGTGTTTGATACGTTGGGCACCTCCCTTTCCAAAGTGGGAACGTGCGACGATGTAAATCTTGAAGAGCTTCTCTGGATCTTCGCTGTCGAACAAGTGGATGAGAGAAGCAACCTTGTTTTGCTCCTCTTGGAAGTCTTCCTTGTCGATCTCGTCCATCTCTGGCTGGTCGGTCTCGTCCTTGATCAAGGTCTGGATGGTCTCCAACAAGCTGTTGACATCCTCTGGCTCTTCGATGATGGTAGAGTTTTTAATTGTATTATTAACGATATCCAACGATACCTTCTTTCTGTTGTTATACGACAAGAATTGGATCAATGGTTGATAGCTTGTCAACTTTAATACAGCCAAAACATTCTTGAAAACTTCCAATGGAATTTGCAACAATGAAATGATTTGTTTGACACAAGTTGGTTTGTTGATTTCTTCCTTGCTAAAAAATAACAACAACAATAATAATAATAACAACAATAATAATATTAATAATTGTTGTTTTTAGAATAGATAGATATAAAAGTTACATACCTCTTGTTGGTAAGAATTTGTTGACAAAGACCGAGAACGGCATTGGCATTCTCTCTCTTCTCTGGGTAACACTTGAGAGTGAGATTCAAAAGAGATACATGTAAACCAAGGATGTCTTGGAGCTCCATGTTGGCACGGTTTTGGATGATCTCCTTGACATTGTTGAAAAAGACAGCAAAGATGTCAATGTTTTCTGGAATGGTATTGCGTGAGGCATAGTTGGCCAATCTATCAATGAGTGATGCAATGATAGCTTTAACATCAACACCCGACTGCAATTGTGAGCATGTAGAAAGAATTGTATCTAAAGTAGCCAAATGGAATTCATCTGGGAATACCTATAAAAAATAAAAATAAAAAATAAAGAAAAAGAAAAGAAAAAGGAATATTATTAATATATGATATAATTAACTAAATATTTATAATTATCAAAGTGTTTTTTTTAACTTACTTGAATTAAGATTTCCATGAGATATTGTTGAGCAATCTTTTCTTTACAGTTGATGATTTGTTCGACTACCTTTGGTAGGACGGTCTTGGAGTAGACGTTCTGGTCGACACCCTCGAGTTGAGAGAGACGTGAGAGATTCTTACCGACCAAGACTCTGAGATCTAAACGTTCGTTCTCTCTTCTGTCTTTGTCTTTGGTTGGTGCTTGGTGTTGCATTCTTACCCAGAGCTTGTTCATCTCTGTGAAGTTCTGAACGATGAACTCGATCGAATCGAATACGGTACCACCAGACTCGTCGGAACCGACATCTGGGAGCTTATCCTTTGTGACCTCACTCAAGTAGTAACGAAGGAAAAGACCACGAGTTGGATGCTGAACACCACGACACATCTCAATCAAGTCCTTCAAAACATCCTTTGCTGGTGCTTGTTTAGTCTTGATATAAACGGATCCAACTGTAATCAACAAGTATCTTTTTTGTTTTTAAATTGAATTAGATTAGTGTTTTGTTAAGTTAAACAATAATTAATTAATGTTATCAATAATAGAAACTTACAGTCTTGGTAAAACATTACCGGCATGTTGTACGACTTCGTAGAGTTCAATCATACGCTTACCATGCTTCTCCTCAAAGAGATAGGAGTTGAGATGTTGCAGGTAATCGAATGCAACCATGTAGAGTGCATAGTATGATTTTGGTGAGAGCAACGATGTACGAAGCTCGTTGATGATGTCTGAGGTGTACTTGAGAGCATCCATCAACTTTCCATTGTCAAGTGCAACCTTCATATGATGACCTTGTACCATAACATTGTTCTTGGCTTCCTCCAAGAACTTCTTTTGTTCTTCCTCTGGTGAGAGTGTAATTGCAACTGTACCCTTACTATTCATCTTCTTCTTCTTCTTATTACTATTATTTTATTATTAATCTATTCTGACAATCTATATTCTTTAATATAATCTTTTTATTATTACTATTAAAACTAAATAACAAACAAAACTTTTATAAAAAATAGAATATTAAAAAAAAAAAAAAAGAGTAAAATGTAAAAATAAAAATAAAAATCTAGATTACACGACAAAAGAGTATAGATTAGTTAATAAAATTAGATTACAATATTACTATTGATAATGAATGATGATGATTATAATAATATTTAAGACAATGTATTCAAAAATATAAGAGGGTTGAAAGAGTCAGACAATAAAAAAAAAATGTGGATTTTTTTTAAAACAAAAAAAAAAAATTAAAATATTTAAAAAAATCTGGGTGCATGTTGGTGAGAAGAAAAAAAGCAAAAGAAAAGTTTTATAAATCACTTCATTAATTTGTGTTTATTAATGTCCGAAAATTTTGTTTGTTTTGTTTGTCCTGGCAATCATTATTATATATCTTTGACTATCAATAATAATAATGTTCGTTATTGATATATTTTAAAATAATATTAATTCATTCACCTTTAAGGAATATATAGAAAGACAAGTTCAAACACTTAGAAACAAAAAAAAAAAAGCTTTAAATAAATGTTTTGTTGTTTTTTCTTTTTTATATATTATTTACAAAATATTTAAATCTTATTGATTGATTGATTGATTGATTGGTTAGTGGATTGGTTTTACGTTTCGGTTATTAATGATTACTATTTCATTGATTAGTCAGTTACCCATCAAACTCTATCTTTTCACTGATCATGCACTACCACCATTTTTTTTTCATTTGCATTGAATGCTATTACCAACAAACATTCATTTGACAATTCAATTGAAATGAATCTGATTTCCGTACAATTTTAAAAATTATTTCTTCTTTTGATAGGGTTCTGCATCTTCAGTTGCATTATACTTTAAATTTATAAGAAAAACAAAAAAAAGTTAATAAAAAAATAGAAAGTAAATCTTGTAGTTATTCATTATTCAGTATAATCTACCTTCTTTATGATCCAATCAAGATTATTGTAACCTTTTTCAATAAGTAGATCTATATCTCTGGGATCGGTTTCACCTTTGTGACCTGCAAAGTGCTAATAATTTTATTTATAAATAAAAAAGTTGACGTTCGTCAAAATTTATATTGATTAATTAATTAATGACTTGAAATGACCGAAATGGGAGTGAATCAATACATCATACCTCTCTTGTAAATGCCCAATAATAGTTTTGTGCTTGCTTAGGTAGCTTCGTATTAATTGCTCTAACAATAGTTCTATACAATGCTATTGATTTCGGATTAACAACACTCATCTTGAATATAGATATATAAACAACAATACAATATAAATTGTAAAACAAACAAATTAATTTGTTAAAATTTTGATGATCACCAAAAAAAAAATGAAAAATAAATAAAAAAAAAGCTTAAAAAAATCTTTTTTATTTGTTTCGTTTTGTTGTTGTTATTGTTAATGTTATTGGTTCTATCATCATTCTTTTAAATACTAATTATTGTAAATCAAATCAGCAAGTCAGTTAGTAAAGGGTTAGATTCACCGGTGACTCAAAGCAAAGTCTTCGTTGGATACAGGGGCAAAGGTTCTCAAACAACAATAATTCAAGAAAAATGAAATTTATTTTTTTACAAAATGTATGACTGATCAAATCTCGGAGGTGAGATGGATCTGATCGGAATCTCTTTTGTACAAATGAAATGAAACCTTTCATTTTGACTTTAAATAACGATAAAATCATTATTTTGATTCCCAAAGAGATTTTTAAATTGACTCTACAGTTTAAAAACCATTCATTGATTCATTTTAATAACTCTAATGAAATCAATTTGTTTCCAAGCTAATAAATAAATAAGTGTACAACTAGTAATCATAATAATAATAGATAATGTATTTTATGCATAAACAATTATTATTAATATAATATAAATAAATCAAATAATTTTTTGAAAAAAAAAAAAATAAAAAGAAAAAAGAAACTTTAAAATTAAAAAAGTAAGTAATATATATCAATTGATAAATTTTTGTCAAAAGGATATTTAATATGGTGGTTCCTTGTTTTGATATCCTATCTTTTTGTTTTTTGTTGTAGAAACCACACCAAACCACAAAAACCATCAAAACTTAAAAATCAGATATGATGATGTGACCGATTCCCTTTTTCTCACTTTAATAATGAAAAATATCTGTTTTTCTCTAAATCACTTACAATCTTAACCTTTTAATATAATTGTTAAATTGTTATGAAACACATATTTATCAAAGTTCCCAAATCTATTTTTCTTTTTCGTGCGTGGTGTTCTATATCTTCGAAGATTCATTCATTCTAAACAGATTAACTATCAATCTTCATAATTATCTATCAATATTTAAAGTATAATTATTATGAAGTGACTATATTGACAACAAAAATAAAAACTACATCGCGAAATTTCTTTAAAAAAAAAAATCGTTCAAAATAACTTTTGGAAGATTCCAAATAAGTGTTGATAGAAAATTTATTTGTTTAATTTGATTTTTATGTGTTGTTGGAAATTTTATTTTTAAACATATCATCGTCGCAATGTGTTTAATTTGTTTTGTTGATAGAGTTCCTTAAATTTCCACCAGTCAATGAAGATGAAGGAACTCTATCAACGATATTGATGGTACACCAACCTACCAGTGTTGGGGGTGGGAAATTAATCTACAATAATCTAAAAAGCATTCGGAAGCTCCATCAACAACAACATTCCTATTACTGGTGTTTTGTGCTAGTTATTAATGTGAAGGAATTTCAATGCAGTGGTGTAAGTTTTGTTTTGTTATGTCGAGTCAAATCAAAGGAGTCATGCAAATTTCAAAAAACACCTTTTTCTTGATTTTTTATTGCAAAATTTTACAACAATTGTTGCAAAAATCATTGTCATACGCTAGTGTATGAAACAAGCCCAATCAACGTCTCAACCCCCACCTCATAATTATCAATATTTTCGAAACTGCTTTTTTTTGAAAAGAAAACTTTTTTATTAATCAAGAAAAAAACATTACACTTTTACAACTTTGTTTGAAATTTGTTTTTTTTTTTTTTACAAATCAAATCAATGAGTTAACAGCACGAATAATCAAATAACTAATTTTTATTAACTAATAAATAAATAAATAAATAAATAACATCAAACAATCAAATAACATTAGAGAATAGTTTAAAATTCGTTAACAAGAAATTTAGATTTAGATTAATAAAAAAAAAAAAAAAAAAAAAGTTTTTTTTACTTAAGTAAAATAATAAAAATACAGTAAAAAAAAAAAAAAAATCAATCCCCACAAACCAATCAAAAACATAGGAAATATAATAACAACATTGTAGTATCAGATATTAAAATAAATAGATAAATAAATAGATATATATATATATTGTAATAATAGTCATAAGTAATAAATAATAGATAGTAATATCAACAGTCAGTAATATCAACAGTCAGTAATAAACAGGTAGAATATTATTATTTTCTACAGAGTTGTAGTTAGTTGTAGCATTACTCAGGTTTTTAGGTGTGATCTTTTACGCAGATCATTGTTACCAAAAAAAAACAATAGTCTCGTGAGAAGAGCAGAGAAGTAGAACCAATCGATTCGGTTAGTGTGGTTAGTCAGAGTAGTCATTATTATTTTTTTGGTGGTGGTGAATGAAATATCAACTATCGATCATTGGAGATGAGACCAGACTCGATCCTCAATCTTTTACTGCATTCACTGTAAGCGTTGTTGTTTGTTTGTTTTTATTTTAAATTTATTTTAATTTTTATATTAATTTCAACAAAATATTTATATTATGTTTGTTTGTTTGTTTGTTTGTTTTATTTAGGTTTATATGGTGAGTGTGGTAACACAATATAAACAATGGAATATATATAGGAGGTACAGTCAGTTTCACGAGTTGGATATGCAGATCAAGGTATTGTTTCCAAAGATCAAGCTGTCTAAACTCCCAAAGAAATATATATTCAAAACCAGCACCAATAAGGAGTTGGTAGAAGAGAGAAAACGTCTTTTACACAAGTATCTCACCGATTTATTAAAGAATGAAGGAATAGTAGATAGTGATGTTTTATCACAATGGTTAGCTCCAAAGAATGATGTATGTACAAACATGTAACAAACTTATTAACATTACTAAAACACAACGAAAACAAACTAATATAATTAATTACTATAATAGCCTGCATTTACATCATTAGCAAATCCAGATAAAGAAGGTTTTCTAGTAAAAGAAGGACATGTAATAAGAAGTTGGAAAAAGAGATATTTTATATTGAAAGACGGACTTATATATTATTTTAAACATCAATCTGTATGTTACTTTTTTCTTTGTTTATTTAAAGATTAATATCAAACTAATAATAGTATTCTTATATATTGTGTGTGTGTGTGTGTGTGTTAAATAATTAGGATCCAGAACCAACTGGTATGATACCTGTGATAGGTAGTACAATAAAGAGACTTGGAGAAACAGAGCGTAGATTTACTTTTCAAATTATACATAATCATGACTTGTTCCCGTTACTCACCATTCAGGCAAGAGACGAGACAGAGTGTGAAGCTTGGATTCATGCGATCGAGTGTTCACAGCAGCGCTACGCAGAGGAAGAGATGTGTAGGCGTACCGAGGAGGAGTTGGAGCGACAGAAACGAAACAATGGCGCCATCATCAAAAAGTCAGGTTCTTTCGAGTTCTCCACGTTGACATCGGCATCGGCACCGACCTCGCCAATGCAATCGTCGTCTGTTCCCACTGACTTGAGTCGTCGTCCGCCACAGAAATCGAAATCCGACTTCAATTTGAATATCTCTGGATTGTCGAGCAGCGGTGGCGCTACCTCTACCACAGCATCATCCTCCTCACCACTGCTCTCTGCCAACAGCATTGGAACACACTCATCATCACGTTCATTCAACGATAAATACACACATCATCAACACCATCATCAACATCAACAACAACATCACCTACATAATCCTCAATATCATAGCCGTCTTCTTCCTTCGCTAAACAGCAGTGACGATGAAGAACCGGAACATCAACAATCCAGTCATAATCCACATTATTTCTATCCATTGAGCGCTTCAAACAACAACAACAACAACAATAACAATAACAACATTAGTAGTAACAATACAAGTAACAATAGTATCATCAACAATATCAGTAAAATAACTAAATATCAATATAGTAGTAATAGTAACAGTAATAATCCAACACCGAATACATCACCATTGATCAATGGTTCATCGCAATCGTCATCGCCAATTATTTTTTCCAATCAAACCTCGTCAAATTCGTCGGCGGCATCGTCGACGTCGTCATCATCATCGTCATCGTCTTTTCTCACAGCCATCAACAATTATTTGAACCCGAAATCACCAAAGTTATCACCGAAATCTCCGAGTCACACCAGAAACAGGTCGTCACCGGCAGTTGTACCTTTACCTTTTAGTCTCAACCCAAACAACAATAACATTATCACATCAGTTTCCACCAACAAATCGAATAACAATCCACCTACTACCATCATCAACAAACATATCAGTCAGCTGAAATCTGACTCCTCACTATTATCACCGAACCTCTCATCGTCATCGTCGTCGTCATCGTCGACACTCTCAACAGCATCGTCTTCCACCACCATAAACACCGCCAATTCATCTTCAACTACGTCGTCACCTTCACATCATGCACCACCTCTTCAAAAGACATCGTCACTCTCAGAGTTTATTGGAAACTCCAAGAGAGAACGAGAGAACAACAAGAACAAAACAAGCAGCAACGGCAACAACTTGCAAGACAGCAGCGGCAGCAATCGATCACGTGCACTTACACTACCGGTCAAACCCAACGAGTCGATTCTCAACGTTGTCCACTCCAAGAGTGCGTCAAAAGAGAGAAAGTACAACTCACAGCGAACCACCCGATTCTCCAGCGATGGTCGTCCCACTTTCGATATCAACCAGAAGCTTTTTTCAACTAAAGAGAGTGTAGACCGCAAGATTCAAACATTCTTGGATGGCATCAAACAGGATCAATCGAACGAGCAAATTGTCGCTGCCATCAAAATGATATCGGCTCGCATCTTTTCGTTGTCGGTGTCGGAGCAGCGTGAGCAGTGTTCTCAGATCGTCCAATCGATTCAATCGCTGTTTTCCAACCATTGTTGTAACAATAGTATTGGTGAACGTGCTTCATCAGCCACCTCATTAGTTTCCAGAATGCTGTTTATCTTCTCAGAGTTTGCAAGAGTCGTAGACGTTCTCAATCCAACCAACTACCAAGACAGCATCAATAAGATTGTCGAACCATCGCAGTTGACTAGATCGATGTTGTCGATGAGCACAGAGATCTTTGATACCAAACGTCTGTCTCGTAGTCTTCAAAACTTTGATAGTATATCACCACCCAATCCATTGATCTTCCAAAACAATCAGCAATCGACATCGTATCGTGAGCCATCAGAGTTGGCAGCAATTGCCAACAACACTGCCAATCTCAGTCAAAGTAATCTCAGCAGTACATGCTCGAGTCACAGTAACAGTAGTAACAGTTTAGATAGTTTTGTATTGGTATCTGCTAATGTCAATGGTAGTAATAACTTTGGTAATTTAGTAGAGAAACGTTCAGAGTTGTCAGATTTGATGCGTGGACAACAACAGATGCAACAGCAACAACAACATATACAAGAACAACAATTACAGCAACAGATATTCATTGGTAATAATGAGCATGTTGATGATGAAGATCGTTTAGTTGTTTGTAGGATTTGTGAGGATTCATACAGCACTCGTCAACTCAAAGTACACACTCCACTCTGTGCTCTAACCAACAAGCATGATTTCAAACACTCGACTCACGATGAACGTCTCTATTCAATGCTGAATCTATCAAAGGGAATTCTAATGGATTCTCTTGCCAGTCCAGATTCATTCAGCAATTGCTCCTACTATATCGATGACGATATTATCATGCAACTCGAACAGGTCGTTGAAGAGGTGGCAGCCATTGCCTACGGAACCAAAGAGTCGGTAACTCTCTGTCAAAAGGCAATCGATGCAGTACAGTCAATCATCGATGAAAACGATCAAGACGTTGCTCTTCTCACCTTTGGAAAGCGTATCCTCAAGATACTCGAAGAAAAGAAGGTTACCTATGTACAATACACACAGTTCCAAACAGCGGCAGCAGCAGATTCCTCCAACAGCAAAGGCAGTAAGAAGCAATGGTCGATGTGGGGATTGCTCCCATTCATCAAATCCATGTCGAATTCACCACAGAAAGAAGTACTACCTTCACCAGTCACCGTTGCCACACCCACCACCAACAACAACAACGCCAACAAGCAACAACAACAACACAGTTTGAGTATCTCTGACTTTGAAATTATTAAACCAATTTCACGTGGTGCATTTGGACGTGTCTATTTGGCGCAGAAAAAGAAAACCGGTGATCTCTATGCAATCAAGGTGCTCAAGAAGCTGGATACCATTCGTAAGAACATGGTTGATCACGTCATTATCGAGCGAAACATTCTCGCCACTGTACAGAATCCATTTGTTGTCAAGTTGTTCTACGCATTCCAATCGACCGACAAACTCTATCTCGTCATGGAGTATCTGATCGGTGGTGATTGCGCATCGTTGTTGCGTGCCTTGGGTTGTTTCGATGAGACAATGGCTCGCCACTACATTGCAGAAACCATACTCTGTCTTGAGTATCTCCATAAACACTCGATTATTCATCGTGATCTCAAACCCGATAACATGTTGATTGACTCAAAGGGACATATCAAACTGACGGATTTCGGATTGTCCAAGATTGGTATTCTCGAGGATTCCACCAAGCAGCATGACCAACAACCGCCTTCGCCAACCACCTCGCCCATCCCAATGGGTTTCAGTGCAAATATTATAGCTGCAGTGCCGCCAACCAACTATCCAAGAAAGCAGACACTCAAGAAGAAACCTCTGAAAAAAGTCGTTGGAACACCCGACTATTTGTCGCCAGAGATTCTGCTGGGAACTGGTCATGGCACCCCAGTCGATTGGTGGGCACTCGGTATCATTCTCTATGAATTCCTGACTGGAGCACCACCCTTCAACGATGACACTCCAGAGTTGATTTTCGAACACATTTTGAATCGCGATCGTGAGATCGAGTGGACCGACGTCAGCCACGAAGCCAAAGATCTCATTTGTAAATTACTCAATCCTATCCCCTCACAACGTCTCGGAGCGAACGGCGCCAATGAAATCAAACAGCATCCGTTCTTTGCTGGACTCGACTGGGAAACCCTGATAGACCAGGAGATGGACAACATCTTTGTGCCGAAACCACAGAGTGAGTTTGACACTGATTACTTTTGGGATCGCCAATCGATTTACAACGACGACAAGGAAGACGATATCCTCAAGACCAGTGGCAATCATCGAATTGGATCCGGTGATTCACATGGCAGCGGTGGATATCAACAGATCACTCACTCTGAACGCAACCTACTGAAATCATCAGTGGACGATTTTGACCAACACCACAAAGATCCCATCAATTTTGGTAATTTTTCATTCACAAACATCAACCATCTGAAGGATATGAACAATCTATTTTTGAAGAACAACAACACCAAAACATAACAACAACCAATTTAATTTTTTAAGAAAAAAAAACCAATAAATATAAAATTCTTTGGTCCTTTTTTTTACCCTTTTAAACATAAGTTTTGGTCCACGTGATTTTTTTATTAAGATAAACAATACAAAAGAGAAAAATTGTAGTTGAATTTAATTTTTGTTAAACAATCAGAATAAATAAATATGTATTCTTAAAGATCCTTCACAATAGTACTTATTTAAATTTACAGTTTTATTTATTTACATTATTTTTGCTTGTTCAATTAGTGCAGCCATTGCTTTAACTTTATTTGTATGTTGTGCTTGAATATTTTCAATTGCGGCACTATGATTTCTATTTTGTTCTTCTCTTTGGGCTAATACTTGATTTCTTCTGTTGGTTATATCTGTTAGGATGTTCCTTTTGGACACTGTTTCTTGAGTTAGATTGTTTAATAGTTGTCTAGTCTGATCTTCAATTCTTTTTCTTCTATCAATTTCACGTTGATCAACAATATTTAGAGCTTTAACTTGGTTGGCCTCAAGGTTGTTTGTTGATAGATTATTTACAAACTTTAAGAGTTTGAATCTATGAATACCTTCAAGTAAAACGTTATCTTCATCTTCCATCTTTTGATTAAATGGCAGGTATAGAGTCGAACTTGGTTTCCTGTCCAGTCTGACCATGGCTTCGTTTAAGATTTCAGGAGAATCTTGAATTGCAGTCATTGTTTTTTTTGATATCTTATTTATAATTAATCCATAGCTGAAAGTGGTGGAGGTGATAGCTCTTAGAATGGTGTTGATACACTCGATATCTTGCTCCTTGATTCTGCCAGCCTCTAGACAGATGACAAAGACAGCTTTGAAATTGGGATAGTCTGTTAAGATTCTCTGTATCTCCAAGGCAGCTCGATCTCTGGTTATAACATCTAAGAGTCCTGGTGTATCAATGATATTCCCATTTATAAATTTCTCATTGGAAGATGCTTTTGTCAAACCAGTTCCAATTGAGATACCACTATTATGAAAGGTTTGTCCGGCCATTGCATTGCAGAGTGTCGACTTTCCAACACCTGGATTACCATAAAAACCAGTTACATTAATATTGGACATTATTTAAAAGCTATCTTAAGTTTAATATTAAATTTAAATATAAAAACAAATCAATAGCAATGATATATATTTGAAACTGAACTTTTTAATTTTTTTCATTAAATTTTTAAGTTTTTCCCCACTGTCCAAAATTAAAATTTTAATCACTATTATATTGTTTTTTTTGCTTTGTAAATTTGAAAGGCAGTATTAGAAAAAAAATCAAATTTTTAGATTTTTGAAAAAAAATCAAATTTTTAGGTTTTTGAAAAATAATCAAATTTTTAGATTTTTGTTTCTACAGGTATTTATTCGAAGTTTCGACACAACCAAATATCAAAAACTTCAATATTATTTATTTAATACAAAGATATGAATCCAACACCAACAATTATTAGTTTCTTTGGTAATCCAGGTAAGTTTTGTCTTTTGAATATTTTATCATATTATTAAATTATTAACTTTTTTTTTTCAAGGATCTGGAAAGAGTACTTTATGTAATAGTTTGATTGGATATATAGCTTTTAATTCAGGTGTCAGCATTGGTCAGGGAATGACTACTAAATCACAAACATTTCAGCTTGGTAGTAAAATTATAGTAGATTCTCCAGGTATGTTTTTAAAGATTCATTAATAATAAAAAAATAGAAAAATACTAATTCTTATTCTTTTACAGGTCTAGCTGACCCTGTGATGAGAGAAAGAGTTGCTGTTGAAATTGAAACTTCACTAAAGCAGGTATGATAAATAAATATTATTAATTAAGGTTGGTTTGCTTTATTTAATACTAACATTCATTTTAAAGAATGGAGATTATAAAATAATCTTTGTTGTTACATTGGATTCAGGTAGAGTCAAAGTACAAGATCTAGAGACTTTAAACACCATTATCCGATCTATTAAAACACCTTTTGAATATGGTTTGATCATCAATAAGGTTACACCGAGAGTTGCCGAAAAGTTGAAATTGTGTCCTGCAGATTTGCAAGCGTGTATTAAGATGGTTGAGAAGATGCCATTTGAAACATTGGTCATCAAGAAGATCAATGATCTTGAAGACCAAGACAATGTGTTGATTGAAGATAGTTCTATCAAGCAAGAGCTATTGGCTTTCTTTGACAAAATCCCAAGTCGTCTAATCAGAAAGGAACAAGTTGGTAAAGTAGAAGTTAGAGACTATGACAAGAAGGTGAAAGAAATGGAGACCAAACTCACAGAGCTAACTCAGCAAATACAAAGAAGTCAACAAGAGAACGAGAGGCTGATGAAAAATACAGAGAATATGCAAAATCAGCTTAGTAGAGAGATTGAAGTCAATAGAGAAAACACAAAGCAACACGAACTACACATGAACAATATGAAACTACATAACGATCAAATGATGAATGTATTGAATAACAATCTTCAGGAACAAAGGGCATTGACCCAACAAGCCATTGCAAGAGCTGAAGAGGCCGATCGAAAAGCAGAGGAAGCAAGAAACAGAGGTGGAGGTGGTGGTGGTGGATGTACTATTATGTAAAACTAAAAATAAACACTGCAAAAAAAAAACTAAATTATCTAAATTTAAAATTTTTTTTTTTGATTTGCATACATTTATTTTGAGAAACAACAAAAAGATCAAATAATAGGTGAGAACAATGCAAGAGCGGATGAAGAGCAGAAGAAGCAAATAGAAGAATATGTACTTTTATTTATTCATCAATGAAAAATTTTAAACAAAAAAAATTTTTCAAATATTTATTTAATCGCGATTCTTCTTCATTTATTTTTCAATATCTACATACTTTATTTTAATTAAATTAAATTACAACAATTGATTTATTATTATTATTATTATTATTATTATTATTTGATTGATTTGTTTTTACTTATAAATATAATGCTGAGAAGCTTTTTTTAACTTTTCATAAATGATGGATCAAGCATAGTGATGGCGCTTTGATGCTGTTGAATTGGAACTGTTATTGTTTGTTTTTTTTTAATTATTTTATCTTACTAAAGATGATTTCTTTTCATCAATGACAGATGATAATGATTGTTTTGCAATATTGTATTTCTCCATGATTTCCTTGATTTTCTGATCTTTATCGAGTTCGATTTCCTCGAGTTTCTTTTGTAGATCTTCCAGTGAGAGTCCAGAGTATTTGCTGTTTGTACCACTGTTGGAGTTGTTTTCTTGTTTGGCAAACTGTGACATATATGCTGGAACGAATGGTTTCTTTGAGCTGTTCATCTTCATGGTTGCAGAGATGTCGTTGTTGTCATCGTCGTTGTTGACAACCATTGTGTCGTAGTTGTTATTTTCTGTGATTACCATGGTTCCACTGTCGTATTGCTCCTCTTCGTCATCGTCGTTATGGTTGTTTCTTCTGGCTGGTCTCATAGTGCCCTGGTCGCTTCCACCGGATTCCTCGTCGTCCTCCTCTTCCTCCTCTTCTTCGTCGTCCTCCTTGGTGTCCAATCCAAGTGCAGCCTCACGACCTTTCTCACCGATAATCTGGTCTTGCTCGTCAATCAGTGGAATCAAAAGTGAATGTGACTTGGCGCGTGTGATAAATGGATGTTTCAAGAGGTCGACGGCAGTGGGACGCTGCTCTGGCTTTCTGGTGAGACACAGTGCGATGAAATCGTTGAATTCATCCGACCATTTCTCGGGTTCGGTCAACTTGGGAGGTGGACGCGATGGATTCGGAATCATAAAGATGACACGCATTGGATGTACGTTGAAAAGTGGTGGTTTCGACTCGGCCATTTCGATACAGGTGATACCGAACGACCAGATATCGGCTTTGTAATCGTAACCGACCTCTTGGATAACCTCTGGTGCCATCCAGAATGGTGTACCAATGACGGTCTGTGCCTTGACGATCGATCCATCGAGTTGTCCACTGACACCAAAGTCGGCGAGCTTCGACTCACCGTTGTTGTTCAACAAGATGTTTCCGGCTTTGATATCACGATGAATCTTACGCACCGAGTGCAAATAAGCTAGACCCTGTAGACAATCCTTGCTAACCACTGCAATCTGCTCCTCAGACAATGTCTTTCCTGTGATTTTCATTGCATCGCAAACCGATCCAGCACCACAATACTCCATTACGATCCAAATTTCATTGTCCTTCTTGAAACTACCGTGATATGTTACAATATGTTGACTCTTGCATTGTTTCATGAAATTGATTTCCTTTTTCATATCCTCTAAATCATTGTCTATTGAAACACGCTTAATAGCAACTGGAATACCAGTTGCTTTGTTTATTGCTTTCCAAACTGATCCATATGATCTAAAGTAGATATAATTTAATAATAATTATTAAAAAAAAAAGTAAGATTGTGATCTGTTGTTGTAGTCGTCTCTATTTGCTCTCTCTAATTCGAATTCATACCCTTCTCCAAGTTTTTCAACAATCTGAAAATATTGTTCTGGATCTTTCTTACTCATAATTTCATCTGGAATATTCAATTTCTTTGTTGTCATTTTTATATACGATGTTTTTCTGTTGTCAATATAGACTATATACTGCTGCTCTTTTAATTACTATTACACAATTTGAATGAATTGAACTTATATTTTACAAGAACATGTGACTGTTAATACACCAAAAATTTGTTTGTTGTATTGGTTTTGTGGGTGTTGGTTTGATTGAGTAGTTGGTTGGTTGTTTGTGTGTTGTTTTTGTTTTCTTTATTTTAAATTTTTGATCGATTGATTCACAACGATAATAAGATTTAAGTGGTTTTCAAATGTGAAAAAAAATAAAGATTCAATCTTCTAAATTTTTGAATATGATATGATATAAAAATATATATAATTTATTTTCGATCAGCAGTTACAACTTTTTTAATATTTTGGATGGATTGAAAAAAAAATCAAAGAAAAAAAAAAAAACAAATTTTAAAGAAAAAAGTTTTTTGTTGTGCAAACTTTTTTTTTTTTGTGACCATTTTAATTAAATTTGGTCATATGTAAAGTCAACAATCAAGAACATGATTTATTCGCCAGAGAAACATAAAAAAAAGTTAATTTTGTGCTTTTCCAATATGAAGAGAAAAACGAAATGAAGATCAATATTTATATTTATTTAGATATATCAGAAATCAGAAGAAAGTGAAATGTTCTTTCCAAATTCAAACTGTAAGATGTTTTTGGTAATAAAGATTGTTTGTTTAGTTTGAATTGTTTAGATTCTTTTTAAATGAAATCACTTTTAACTAAAGGTGATGAAGATGGTGATTTGTATTACTTTGTTCAATTGATCCCAATAATACAAACAAATATTATACTTTAATTTATCTATTCAAACAACCAACGCATGTGTACATCAACAATAGTTAGTAGCGATAATGATAGTGATAGGCAAATTAATGATGATGATGTGACAACAGGAATTACACACACAACCACACTAACACAATCAATCAAACATATAAACAAACCATTAATTTTCAAACACATTTCCACTCAAAAGAAAAACAATTAACAACTTTTTTTTTTTAATTGTATATACAAAAGTAATAATATGTATGGTTTTAACTTTGATTTTTAGATATGTTTTATTTTTTTGTTGTTGTTAAATACAACAACAACATCATTAGTTAACCACAGTGTGAGGTAATCAAAATTGTTTGGTATCTTGATTTTGTTGATGGGCACAAACAGCATACAATTTAATATTTGATTATTAATTGATTGATAAATACCATATGTTCTTTGTTTCAATTGATTTTGTTCATGATCACCATCAACAACAACAATAACAATAACAATAACTTTGTTTGATAGTGTAATGGTAGTGATGTATACGTTATTTATTTGTATTATTTCCATAATGAGTGTTTATACAATTCAATTGGATTTTAAACTTTAACAAAAACACAGAACAAGAAGAAAAGAAAAGAACCAAACAAGTTAGTGTACATCTAATATACAATAAACAAATAATCTATCAAATCAATATTTATTCTCTTATTTTTTACCCACAATCAAACAAACAACTACACATCAATAATAACAACAACAACAACAACAACATTGAATCAAAAACTTTACCTCTATTATTAATTTAATTAATTATTTATAAAGATAAATATTATACCGATCTTATATGTTATTTATTTTTTTATTTATTTTTTTTTAATCATTAACCATCAAAACATTAAATTGTCCAACCAAGAATAAAATAGTTTAGGAAAACTTGACATGGTTAACCATTTGTTTTTAGTTGAAAGATATTAATATCCCAACTGCAAAAAAGATAGACATCATCAACCAACAAGCAGAAAATCAGATACAAATAGTAAATTTACTTCCAAACTTAGTAAATTCAGTACCAATAGCTTTGAAATCATAGAAAAATAAATTATTTATTTTGTAAATAACAATAAAATAAGATAGACAGGATAGATAAGATAAAGTGTTACTCCCTCCCATTTCTTTAGAAAGATTTAATTAATTTAGAAAAGAAGGAACAGGTTCATATTTAGTTTAGATTTTTTATATTTTTTTAGATTATTTTAAACATAGGTATTTTATTCTTTTTTTTTTTTTTTTGTTCAATTGTGTTGTTGTTCTAAAAAGTTAATAATAACATCATCTAATAAGAAGAAAAATTTATATAAATTATTAATAGCAAAAAAAATAGTTCTTTAATAATACCTAAAAACAATTCGTTAAAATAGTGTTTAAAATAGATGAATAAATTCTTATTATTTTGTAATTGTTAACAAGAAACTGAATTCTCAAATTAATTAAATGACATACCCCTCATATATTAAATATTTAGATTTTCAAAAAAAAAAAAAACAAAAAAAAAAACTAACAATCTATTTATACACCAGATTAAATGTGTGTTAAAGTTGTTCGAAAATCTGAGATACCGAAACATTTTCAAACTTTTGTAATCAAAAAAATCCACAATGATGCCTCAATTTAACAGAAATTTAGTCTTTTGATCTAAAAATCAACACATCCCCACAAAACAACATTTTTGTAGCCCAAAAACAAACACTCTATTGATGAAATCCCCCACCACCGCCAACAACCCACACATTTTCTAATCGCGATCAAAAGCACGTTTTTTCAACTATTTTTTGTTTGCTTTTTTTAAATTTTGTGTTTTTGGGCATAGTTTTTTTCAAAAAACTAAATTGAAAAGCCCAATTTCCTTATTTTGGTGACCAAGAGAGTTACAAACAATCAAGTGCCATCACCACCTAACGATTGAAAACACACTCTCAATTACCACTCCAGTGTCAATCGCGTGATTATATATAAAATAATACTCATATTATACTTATTATTTTATTACTATTGGTAAGTGCGTCACTGGTAGTAGGGATCACTATACAACAACTATTTTAAAATAGTGGTATTCCTACTTTTTTTTGTTTTGTTTTTTTTTTTTTAAACAAAACAACAATTGTAGTGGTCTCTGTTGTTGTTGCTTATTGAATCACAAAAACATCACACAACTCTCCAACTCATCATTTTAAAACACACAATATTCATTAACAGAATAAATTTATTGTATATTAATTGTACATGATACATTGTAAACTTTATATTTAAACTCTTCTTTTTTTTTTTTTTTTTTTGCTGTTGGTTGTTGGTTATTGTGTGTTGCTTTTTTTTTTGTGAGTCAATCTCTAAATCTCATTTCATCAACAACTTGCAAGTTATAATCACCTGAAAATCACTTAACCACTAAAAAAGATACAATAACCATTCCATAACAACTTACAACACTCATTCATTACTTTAGTATTTTGTTTTCTATACAATCACCTCTTTTCTCCTTTGCTATTATCTCTTTATTAATCTTATTTATTAATCTTATTTAGGAAATTCAAATATTTTAACCATATTTTATTCCACTTCCAGTCAATCTAATAATTATTCCAACAAAACAACAGAAGCAACAAAACAACTCAAAAACAACTCGACTTTTATATATATTTATTATAACCTGTGTATATTTATATAGATAAATTGTAATATTTTTATTATGAGTTCAACAAACGAAGGCCAATCCGGCCAAACACAACAGGTATTTGGCTCGAAATATAAACATAATTTCAGAAGTCAATATTCAACTGATAAAGTTGACAAAAAATATAATGATATCATCGAGGTATGTTCGAAATTGCAAAAAACAAAAACAAAAAACAATTTATGGATTTCCGTAATAACCAATTTTTATTTCTATTTATAGCTACTACTATCACCTCAATTTGAAATAGTAAATGTATTGTGCTCGATCACATTGGTAAAAGAGACTTCAAGAGAAAATACAGTTAATATATCAGAGACATTGGTTAATTTTTTCGAAATTCATTCATCTTTGAAATCAAGTTATCTTTTGAAATGGGCAATCGACAAGGAAATTGAATGTACCTCCAATGGAGCAACTCTTTTCCGTGGACTTTCAACAGCAACTCGTTTGATTTCATCTTTTTATAAGAAAGTTGGTGACTCTTATCTTAAATATCTACTGCAACCATTCGTTTTGGATCTTTGTTCAAGAAACTTTTCTTTTGAAATCGATCCAGAAAAAGCAGGTAAAGGAATGGATGTAAAATCAAACCTTGAACGTCTAATTACAATCACACAACAACTATTAGATAAAATATTAGATTCTTCAACATTTTGTCCAGTGTAAGTAGAAAAAAAAAAAAATATTTATTTGTTAGAAGAAATTAATTAACAAAATGGTATTTTATAAAAATATTTAGTTCAATTAGAAATATACTTCGTCATACACAAGAAAGAGTAGAAAAGAAGTTTCCAGAGATGAAAACAACAGTGATTGGTGGATTTATGTTTTTGCGTTATATATGTCCTGCTATTGTAGCTCCAGAGGTTTTTGGATTGATTCAGGACATTCCAACGACAGACTCCCGAAGAGGATTGGTTTTGGTATCGAAATTACTACAGAATCTAGCCAATGAAATGCCATTCGGTGGCATTAAAGAAGAGTATATGACCTATTTGAATAGGTTCATAGCAGAGAACTCCAGTAGAATACATGTATTTTTCAATGAGTTGGCATACGACACCAATCCACTACATCAATCATCAATCAATACCTCATCCAACAACTTTAGTATCTCCAGTAACAACGGTAGCAACACCAGCAGCAATAACCTAGGTAGTGCCAACGGTTTGAACCAATCGACTGCCTCGATCTCAACCAAAGACCAATCGAATAGAATAAGATCTAGATCAGAGTCACCTCCACTCAAACCGATCGGTTCAACTCAGAAGCTGATAAATACAAACACGCAAGATATTTCATTTACCGATGACCAGATTCAAGAGAACCTAGCCACTTTGATAGGTCAGCTATTCGAACACAAAGAGCGATTGGAAACAATCATTACCGAGTCACTGCCGAACGGTTCAGACTTGGTGAAGAAGATAGATAGTGCTTTGGCACACGTTGCCAAACTTCATCAGAAATCAATACAATCGATGCAAGCAAAGATCTCCAGTATGAAGAAGCAATCGTCAACCGCCAACGGCAGCAGCTCAACCACACCCGCCAAAAAGAAACAAAGCTCATTCAACAACAGTCAGTCAACTGGCAATCTCAGTGGTTTCACAAGAGATCCTTCACATACCAATCTTTTACTATTCCAATCAGAGACCGAAGAGGAGTTGAATAGCCAAATGCATCGTTCCATCTCTGAGGTTGTCAATTTCTATCGACACCAACTCGATTTGAAAGACCTAGAGTTGAAAGCCAACCAAGACGAACTTGCAATGGTCAAGAAGGAGTTAGAAGACTCTAAATCGAGATCCGGTACACTAAAGAAACTGAAGGAAGAGTTTGATATCGAGAGAAGAAAACGAAAGGAAGCTGAACACCAACTAAAGAAATGTATAGAGAAGCTAAAGTCTTCGGGATTCGAGCCAGACACTGTGATGCTGTCGCGCGACGAAGAGTTCTCAGAGATCTCCAATGACGATGTCTCTGAGAGTGCCAGTAGTGTTCTCAACCAGAATGCAAGAAAGAAGAAATCCGGTTCCTCTACCAATCTCAATAACTACGTAAGAAAATCAGAGTCATCGACATCGTTGGTTTCGATGGCATCGTCGGTTGGACCATCGTCTCCTCAACCAACATCGACAACACCACACCACAATGTTGACACCATGTCGACATCGTCAATCGCCCAAGACATCCTCGAGTCGACTGGTATCAACGGTGCCAATCAAAAACAATCGTCGGGTAGCAGCAACAAGCCACAGACTCTTACCAGTCATTCGAGATCGAATTCCGCCTCGGAATTGACCAGCTCAGAGTCGCAATTCGACCATTTGGAGACAGAGGATCGTATCATCCAGGCATGTGTAGACGGCGAGATCTCAGAGGATGACGAAGGTCTAGATTTGTTGGAGTTCCTACGTGAGTACGGTGAGAAGGCACAGGCATCGAACAGCGCCATTCAAAAGTTGCAGCTCGAAGACAATTCTACCGAGAAAAAGAAGCGTGGATCCGGTATCTTTAAGCATATGCCATCACTCAAGATGGGAAAGAAAAAGAGTAATAGTAAACACAACACATTAAATAGCAATAGTAATAACAATAGTAGTAGTACTAGTAGCAACAGTGCATCGAGCAGTCCATCCAATTCATCTCCCGTAGTAGCACCGTCAAACTCTAAAGAAATAACAGATAAAATATAAATTTGTAAACAAAAAACAAAAACAAAAACAAAAAACAACATAAATCGATTTATCCTTTTCCCCCTTCCAACCAACTATGATACATATATATACCAATAAAAACCTGTAAAAATAATATCATTAAATTAAAATTAAAACAAACATTATATAATATAATACTTTGTAACGTTGTTGCTTATTTCAAATCCAATTCAAAATTTACTTATTTTTTGTTTTTTCAAAAAAAAAAAAATTTTCGTCTTTATAAATCGATTCCTGCGAAAACTATTTCATCATTCGAATATGGTTAATGTAAGTAACTAAATATTATCTATGTAGTTTTATAATGGATTTGAAAGGACTATCAAAAGTTATAGATAGTGGTGATGATGACAACAACCTGATCAGAGTCGTATGATTCCTGTGATATTCTCGGAAATTCAAAGTTTTTTTGACTCTGAGACCCTGTCTAAAGGTCCTAATGATTCAATAAAGTTGATCCATTCACTGAACCACTACTATAACTTCAATGTTATCTTATCAAGTTCAATATAAAACATTATTGTATTACTATAATTATTTATACTAACATTTGATTTACCGATTTAATAGATATATATTGATAGTTAGGTCTTGTCTCCAAATTTTGATACCACCGCTCTGATTTAAAAAAAAACACTTTCAAACAATAAAATAGTACATTTTTATTTTTCAATATAAACAACATTGTTATTATTTATTACTTTAATTATATTTTAAAAAGCAAACAATATGATATCCTATATTAAGTCACACTCAATAATAAATAAATAAAATACAAGTAGAATTAATTATATTATTGTCATCAATCAATTTATTATCTATAAATAATAGATTATCAAGTTTTTTTTTTTTTTATTTTTTTTTAAATTGTTAATAATCCGCAGATTATTATCGAGTGTAAATAAAAGATGAAGAAAAAACAACCAAAAGGTTAGGAGTGGGTATGACATTACAACAACAAAAATGAAGGAAAAGAGTGTAGATATAGATTACTGAAGTAAGTCTTGTTGGATTTGTTGATAGTTTTTTCTTTTTATAAATAATTGTGATTTGTAAATCTAATTTTTAGCTGTGTTACTGTGTTTAATAAGCCAGTCCAGTGTGATATCTATGTTTACGCTGTTCTTTGCTGAAATTGAGTAACAACAAACTTCTCTTCCTGTAATCGCTTTTAGTTCACTGTATAATAATGTTAAGCGATTAGTAATGCTATTGATTAGTGATAATCCTAATAAAACTTACAAAGTATCAATAATTTCGTCAATTGAAGCAGCGTTTGGTAAATCATTCTTATTTGCTACGACAAGCAATGGAATCTTCATTAAAGGTGGTTTATTAATTAAATCTTGTAGAGCCTGCTTTGATTGTTCAAACTTTTCGTGATCAGCTGCATCGACCACATATCTGTTAGGTTTTTTAATGTTAATGATCAGTGATTTCGTTTCATTTGTTACTGCTACTACTGCTACTACTAATACTTACACAATTGCATTTACACCTCTACAGTATCTTTCCCACATTCCTCTAAATCTTGGTTGACCACCGATATCCCACAACTTTATAGTTACATTTCCTTTGGTTACTTTCTTCATATTAAATCCTACTGTTGGAATCATATCTTCAGCGAATTGTCCTGACTGTTTTTTTTTTTTTTGTGATTAATTATAGTTAGGTTAGATCCGAAATGATCGTTGATATTCATGATTTGTCGATACCTACAGATATAACATTTACTAAAGTTGTCTTTCCAGAGTTTTGTAGACCTACCAAGGTCAACTCCATCTCTTGCTTCCAAAAGAGACTTCTGAACCAATTGAGGATTGAATCTATAAAGTTTTTGAACATTTTTTTATATTCTGTGATTGTATTGTATGAAAAAAATAATAATAATAATCTAAACTAAACCTATAACTATTTTTACTGATAAGAAATAAAACAATATTAATTCTAATTCTATATTTCTATAATTCTATTATTGTAATGTAATTAAAAATGAATGTGTGTGAATTTAAACAACTTTGTCAATAATTTAATTGGTAATTGGTAAATGTTGTGTGAGTGAGAAAGTGTGAGTAGTGTGTATTTATTTGTCTTGTGTAACATTTTGTGAGAGTGGTCATGGTAGTGGTGGTAGTGGGTAACATTAATTTATTTTCATATATCTATTTATATATTTAATGTTGTTGGAGGTATTGTATCGTATTGTCATTCACATATTTGTGTTCTATTATTAACAAAGATAGACATAATTTTATAGTTTTTATAAAAGTTTGAATAATTTGAGTCCTCAAGTTCAAATCACAATGATATTAACAAAAAGCTTGACAGGTCGTACAAATGTATATTAAAACCTACCTACAATTAATTAAATGTAATTATAGTAGTACGAACTTGTATATATATAATACCAAAAACTAAAGGTATTTTTAAAAATAAAATAAAATAAAATAAATATATATAAAAAGATTTAAAGATGATAATTTAAAATCACTTTGAGTTGATACAAAAATGTCGATTTATAAATTAACTATATTTATTATAAAGATATGATTGTTTTATTATATTGAGTAATGAAAAAATAAAATCAAAATTTTTTTTTTTTTTTTGATGATAGTTTTTTGCACTGGTCATTAGAAAATTCCATTCCTTTTTAGTGTAGTTTGATATCTTCACATCAAGTTTTATAAAAATCACTAAACTTTTTTTTTATTTTTGTTTTTTTTTTCTTTTTTTTTAAAGATGAATAGATAATAGATGGTTTTCAAAGTAAAAGATATTTTTATTTTAAAAATAATAACGATATAGATATTATAATACATTTATTACTTTAAAATTAATTGAGATTTAATTTTTATTCAGTTCTATTTTTTTTTTTTAGATTGCTTTGTTGATGGTATTTGATCGACAATGTTTGTAAGTTTACTATACTCTGATTTGAGAGTAGCAATCAATTGGTCTAGGTATCTGATTCTGGTTTGATGATATTCATTCACTGCTTTAAAGACATCATCATTGTTATTGCTATTATTATTGTTGTTGTTGTTAGTTTCAGAGTTGTTATTGTTATTGTCATGATCGTTGTTGACATGCTTTGGTGTGGAGATCAGTTGACGTTCTTCAACGAGTCGATCGAGTGTTTCAACTATCTTTTCTACCTCCTTATTGAATACACCTTGTTTCTCCAGTCGATTCTTTAGCGAGATGTAATAATCTCCGATTGGATGAGTTGGTGGTTTCATATCCTGGTAGCCAGGGAATATACGATGGAAGTTGTGTGAGTGAGAAACCTGTCCCTCTTGTGTCAGTGTTGCAAACTGTTGCTTGTAGACAATGTCGACAAATTCCATCTCCATAGCGCTAGAGACCCACTTCCAAGTGTGATTGTTGTCTCCATAGAATATGATACCGAGGTTGGCGATAAACTTGGCGTATCTACCCTCGTAGATCTCATGAACGACCTCGTGAATCTCTGCAAAGGTGAGCGATGGCAGTGACTTGTTATCGCGGTAGAACGAATGGATGATCTGTCCGAATGTCTCGAATGCCTTGGTGATTGACCAGACACCGCTATCCCAGTAGTCCGATTCTATCTCATTGATGACATCGGTCATAGAAGGATGCACAAAAAACATAGGAACTACCTTTGGTACCAAATCCAATATACTGTTGTCATTGTCATTGTCATTGCCATCGCCATCGCCATCTTCATCGTCATCATCATCCATCATTTTCTCAACATCATCACCATCGTCATCATTCACAACATCATGTCCTGCTTCATCATCGTCTTCATCGTCATCATCTTCAGTCTCCAAGTCAGTGCTACTAACATCCGCATTACCAGTGGCAGCAGCAGCAACAACAGCAGCAGGAGTAGCAGAAATACTCTTTGAAGTAGAATATTTTACAGAATCATCATCAATATCCATTTCCTCGTTATCACTTCCATTGTTTACATTACTTTCGTTATTTCCATTACTTTCATTACTGGTACTAATACTTTTGTTATTATTATTCTCATCTTCAGTATCATCATCTTCCTCTTCTTCATCTTCATCTTCTTCCTCCTCCTCTTTACCAAGATCATCAAGATCAATGACATCGTTATCGTTGTATGCATCAGTCATTATATCTTTGGTGGATAGTGGTGATTCGTCATCTATTGATTCACCATGACTGTTGAGTTTCAGTTCATTATAAATGATCTGTGTGTACTTTGCCCATACGAATCTGTACCAAAGTTCCAAGATGAAGAAACCAAACCAAACCTTGAGATAGCTTGTCTTTGATTGTGATTCTTTCGACAACCAATCATTAGATTGCTTGATCCACCACAATTCCTTTTGAACCTTCAACATCTTATTTTGATCAAGTTTTCCACTTTCAAAGTTCATAGAGTATAAACATTCGATAGTATCTAACTTTTGTTGATTCCTACTTTCATTCAAAGGTGAATTGATTGTCTCTAATAATGATTCTTTTGATATAATATCTATATTTACAATTTAAATATTAATATAGATAATAGTGTTTTGTTTTTTGTTTTTTAACTTACAATTTTCAAGTTGATTCAATAATGTTTCACTTGGTTGAAATGGTACTTTATATGATAATATAATACTTTCATTTCCTTTATCATTATCATTATTACTAATGTTGTTATTGTCACTCTCTTTGGAATCAGTAGTGGTGGTGGTGGTGGTTGTTAAGCTAGATGATACAATCTCTTTTGATTTCCACCATTTCATTAGCTCTAAATAGAATTCCCAACAATGAATGGGTGGTGTAGATACCAAGAAGCTGAATGGCTCCAACTCTAACAAACTCTTTGATACTTTAACTTTCTTTTCTTTTTCTTTCTCTTGTCTTCTTTTATACTTTTATTTGGTACTACCATCACTATTACTATTTACATTACTACTATTATTATCATTCTTGTTTTTAGATCTTGATCTTTCTCTTTTAGTTGTCTTTTTCTTTTCTTCTACTCCACCTGAATTATCTTGACTGATTCCATCTTCAATTCATCTTTCTTTGATTTTCTTTTCTTTCTCTCTTTCTTTTCTGTTTTATTATTATTTACATTATTATTATTTTTATTATTATTATTATTATTATTATTATTATTATTATTATTATTATTAGCTTCATCGATAGCGTTGTTTGTTGTAGTTGATATTGTCGAATTATTCGTATTATTATTGTTGTTGTTTGAGTTGATGTTCAATATTATCTTTGGTTGATTATGCATCAATGAGAATTGATTAAACATAGAGGTGATCGATGATGTCAAGTCATGATTGATATTATCAAAAGGTCGTGAGACTGGTGCTGACGCAGTTGTTGTTGTGCTTATTGTGCTAGATATTAAGGTTGGTTGTATTCTCTTTTTAGTTTCTTTATTCATATTTTTAGTTGCTGATGTTGCTATTGTTGTTGGTAGTGAAGGTGTAGATACAGATGAATTTGAAACTGTCGAGTTTGTTGGTGCGGAAACAGTATTCAACGATTCTTCACTCTTTGTAGTGGAATCTTCGACCATCATCGTAGAATTGGGTGTATCCATTATTATTACTAATGGGTATAAATAAATCAAACTTAATTATTTATTTATAAAATACCAACTTTAAATTAATGCTAAAATAATCAAAAATATAAGTTTCTAAGAATTTAGATTTTTTTTTTAGAAAATGGTTCAAAAATTTTTTTATGTGTATTTTTGCAACAGATGTTTTATCTAGATTTAATTTTATTCAAATCAATTATAACAAAATATCTTTATCAACTTATAATTGTAATATTTTGATGTAGTTACCATTATGAATAAAAATGATTATTTTCCATAAGTCTCTATAATGTAAGAAAAAAATCAATCTCCAAACATTAAAACAAATGTTATAATACCAACAATGATGACGATGACAGTAACCACAACTACTAGTCCATCAATAAATCATTCACATATGCAAGATATATCAATTCTTTGTGAGATGTAGAGGATACTATTGGATTTGATGAGTATCAAGAAAGTAAGTAAGGAAAAAAAATATACATTTTTTATGTTATTTTAATCAATTTTTATTATTTTATTAGGAAACAAACTTGAACTTGAAGAGTTAATAAATACCTCCAACAATATTACTCAAGAATGGATGAAACCAACTATGAAATCAAGAGTTTTCAGTAGTTCTAATTGTTAGAGGAACATTTAGTCAGCATTTAGAATCTATGGATAACTGAAGAACAGAACACAACTACATTCCAAAATCACTGCAGAACTATTTTAAATAAATATTTGTTTTCGTATTCTATTAACGTTTTTCAAAAGAAAAAGCTAGGTAATGATATTACAATTATTTACCTTGGGGTCATAGATTTAGTTAGTAGAGTATTTTTGTAACTGCAGAATTGAAATACATGAATATAAGAGTTGAAAGTAGGGAGGAGAGTAGATAATTTGTAGGTTTGATAATAAAAAGATTCTATAAATATAAGAATAATACAAATTCATTCTTAATATATAAAGTTGGGTAAGCATAGATTAGGATTGGAATTTTCGAGTTACTGAACTTGAATAGAGTTGATTGCTTAAGACCACCTTGACCGACTTATAGTAAAAATCCAATTTATGTGTTAATGTACAACCGCAAGCGGTAAAATTATTATTAAAATTTATTTGTGGACAGATGGCGAGGGTTTCAGACAATTGAATTTTAGTTGATTGCTGTAAGGCCACCTTGAGATATATTATGAAAAAATCGATTTATAAGAAATTCGTTTTTTTCATTTCTAAAACTTATGGTTTTGATCAAGATGTCGTGTGACCAAAAAAAAAAAAAAAAGTTTGGATCTCTGGTACCAGAACAAAAAAACGAATTTCTTTTAATTTTTTTCAACTTGTTTTTTTTTGCAGTCATGACAATTCTTTTGTTGCACTTAAAAATTCAAAGTTACAACTCAGCAAATGAGAACTTTTTATTTATTCGTATGCATTAAGACAGTAAAAGACAATTTTTTTTTTTCAAGTAAATATGCAATTTTTGAAAAACAAAGAACAAAAAAAAAAACTGTTTCAAAAAGGAAACACAAATGTCTCGCAACTGACTTTTTTTGGTGTTTTTCGTGTTTCATCAAGTTGCTATGAGCAACTTATTAATAACCCCCACTAAATAATTGATTTTCATTTTTGTAAATTTTTTGCAATAATACATTTTTTAATTAATTTTTAAATAAAGGTTGTTTTCACACCCTAATACATTCAGGATCTGTATTCGTTCATTAATCTAAAAATCTTTAATCAGTTTATTTAAACATTGCACCAAACAAACAAACAAACACACACACAAAGTACAAGTACTATACAATACTACTACCACACATACACATACACACTTGTTTTTACAAAACAAACTCTTAAACCAAACACTAATATTTCAAAGTAACAAAACACCCACCACACACAAGCAAAAAGAGCACATAATATTAAAAAAAAACGACATTATTATAACTTTTTTATCAATTAATTAATAAAGTATGTTTTCAAAATTCAAACAAACCAAACAACAGTAGATCATATCTTTATCAAAACAAAATCCAATTTTTATGATAATTGAAATTCTCTAATTTTCAATCATATCAATTGATATTTATATTGTTTAGAGATCTTAACAATATTTTTGTATTTTTAAAATTAAATTGTAAAACTAATAATTGTAATTGTATTTTTTTTGTATTATTAATAGATAGTCTAGATAGATATAAATATATTAATTAAATAATTAAGATGAATAAAATAATATTTATATCATTTTTAATTTTAAGTACGATTTTCATGGTGAATGCAATGTCATCTGAATCTTTGGTGAGTAAACTCGCAAAGGAATCATATTCGAAATTGCTCTCTGATGTCAAAGCTGGAAAGTATGAATCGCTGATGGCACAAGGTAATAATATTGTGGCAAAGGACGAGAGTGAACGTTTGAAAATGCAAAGTTCTTATGATCCATCGACTCGCAAAGGATATGACTGCCAACACGACCATATCATGGAGAGTAGAATGAAGAAATTCAAGCAATCCAACAACATTAGACAGATTTCAAAGTTGGAGGACATCGACCAATCGTCGTCGTCGTCGAATCACCAAAGCCACTCGAATTTGAAACTGAATAGCGTTGGAGCCACTGGTAGACTCCCGATTCGTATCTCTTTCAACTTTACATATCTCGATGCCAATGTCGATAAATACTCATGTCGTTACGTCGGACAGAAGATCCTCACCGGTCAGCCAAATTCCGGTTCAACACCACCGGCCTGTGACGGTACACTATCATACTGTACCTACACTTGTCTCTCCAAGGATATCTTGTCGAACGATCTCATCAATATTATCACCGACACTGTAATCCCAACCATTCAAAACACTTTCCAACAGATGATCTTGGTCGACCGTCCCAATCCAGATCGTCTCACTTTCAACTCTGAAGTCTACGATGAATTGAATGGTGAATGTGACTATGGTGTTGATATTCCACTTGAATATACAACCCTTGAAGGATCACCAACTGAAACCGATATGATTGTTTGGGTAACTTCTCGTCCAACACCATCAAATTGTAAGTTTTCCAAAGAGAAACCGTGTGTTTTTTGAATTCAACCCAGTTCAAGTTCTAATTCTATGTTTTTTTTTTTTACATTGATAGCTACTATTGCTTATGCTTTATCATGTAATTTCCCATATTTTAGAGCAACAGGAACATTAGGTAAACCAATTGCAGCCAGCATTAACTTTAATCCACAATACTATACACAATTCCTTGGTGTACCAGACACTTCATTCGCATTCAACGAGTATATCAGAGTTGGAATTCATGAAATGACTCATGCTTTAGGTTTTAGTTCAAATTTTTATTCTTCATTCACTTCACGTATGTAAATAATATATATTTTGTAAAAGTTTTTGATTATTAACATTTTGTATTTCTTTAACTAATTAGCTGCTGCTGCAACTGTAACAAAATATGGAACAACACCAGCCGGAAACAAATATTCTTATCAAACAACCGGAATTATCTCACCAAATGTTGTAAACTTTGTGAAAAATCACTATTATTGTCCAGTGATAAAGTATGCAGAGTTGGAGGATATCGGTGGAAGTGGAACTGCCGGTAGTCATTGGGAAAAGAGAACCGCCGGTGAAGAATATATGATTGGTTTCGTATCACCAATTGCACCAATTACCAACTTGACCATGAATCTACTCAAGGATTCCGGATGGTATGACATTGCAGGTGAAACCGTGGAAAAGTTGATCTGGGGTAAGAACGCCGGTTGTGACTGGCTCGACAATTGCTACGGTGACACCTGGAACTACCAAGGTTACTTCTGTACCTCTGGAGGAGCATCTTCATGCACTGCCACTCGTATGGGTAAAGGTAACTGTTTGCTCTACCGTTACAACGTTAACCTGCCCTCACAATACCAACACTTTACCAATCCATCGATCGGTGGTGCCGATGCCGTCGCCGACTTTTGTCCTTACTACATGATCAATCGTGGACCAACCGACCCTGAGTCCAATATCTACTGTGTAGATCCAGCCAATAAACCACAGGCAGATGCAACCATCTCTGAGCAGTACGGATCGGACAGTCGTTGTTTCGAATACACAAGCGGCAACACATCAAACACAATCAAAAGTGGATGTTGGCAACAACGTTGCAATGGAGTGAATGTCGACATCTTGGTTGGTAGCACCTGGTATCAATGCACCTCCGATCTCCAGAGAATCTATGTCAACTCTGACCTCACCATCGTCTGTCCCAATGGATATGCCGAGTGTGGTGGTTATCCAAAACCAATTGACATTATCAACAGTTCAACCAAAACATCCAGCCAACTCTTCACAACACTTTGCATATTATCATTGGTTATTGCTTTAGTTAATTTAATTTAGATTGTTTTAATTCACAGTAATGGTCGCGACATATTAATTACAAAACACAACATTGTGACACTACTTCGAAGTTTTTAAAAAGTTAATATATTTTTTCAAATAAAAAAAATAATCGATTAAATTATTTAATACCAATGTGGTAGTTTGTAACAATACATCTATATAAAAGTGACCTTCAAGTTATTTATTACCTATATAAATAATATTTGAAAATGAGTAATAATTGAATGAATGAAAACACCTGGAACTAGTTGGAGAAGGCTACTTTTGTTTAAAAAAAAAAAGATTTGCAAGTGTGGCAGGTGTTCGAAAACCTATACATGATCATCCATTGTATCAGTTCCACTAAAACATCCAGCAAACTTTACAACACTTTTATATTTTTATTTTTAAAAATAAATTTTAATTTAAAATTTTACATAAAAGAGGCTTTGAGTATTAGATGTTTTAATTTTCAGACGTTAGTTAAAATGGTGATAGTATAATAATAAAAACGGGATTTTAAAATATATTATTTTTTAATAAAAAAAAAGCTAATGACAATAATAAAAATACTAATTTTAGATTATAAACCAATTACATTAATAAAGTTGTTATATTTTTGAATTATTTTAGTTCAACACTCACTTATATATATTTCACATAAAATTTTTATTTTTATTTTTAAATTTATTTTTTGTTACCACACGAATAATGAACATTCAATATTAATTTTTTATATTAATTAATTATCTAAATGGGGTTAGTTTATGTATTAATTCTACGTGAATGTAATTTCAACACACATATATTTTACGAATGTTCCAAAAGAAGGGGGTAATATATAAAATGAAATTTCATTATTATTTAATTTTTGAGATGTAGATCTATAATAGTTGTTCAAAAATAAAAACAACTTTACTTTTAACTTTTAAAATATAAACAAAAATAAAATAACAATAGAAAGATACATATAATAACAATAGGATAGTATAATAAATAATCTAAGATTAACACTTTCACACTTAAGTATTGCATATATCTAATTAAATTCTTGTAGTATATCCTTCACACATCAATATCAATTATATATTCATTATAATTAGTTTAAATATTCAAATATTATAAATAATGAGAATTAAAAGTAGTACTTTGCCATACTTTGGCATTGGATTCATTCTATTATGTATTATATTAAATTTACAAGTTTCAATGGGAGAAACACCCGATGAAATAATAAACAGAATATCGAAAGAGAACTATCAGAATCTGGTAGAGAGTAGTAGAGATAATGATATTTTCCATAGTTTTTTTCAACTAAATAAGGATAGTGGGTCCGATGGTCACCTTCCTAATCATCAATGTAAACACGACCATTTCGCATCCAGCTTGAAGGAGAAGATGCTGTCAACACTCCAGACCAAAGGTCTAAAGAGTGGTGAGAGCACCATCCAAAAGTCAAACAAAATGGTTCAACAAGCTCAAGAAACTGGCAATCGTGGACCCATCCGTATCAAGTTTGATACCTCTCAGATTATGACCGATCCTTATGCCTGTCATGAAGCTGGTGACAGAATTCAAACTGGTCTAAGTCCACATTCGCAAGCCGGTAACTATGGAGATCTACCAGAGTGTACTTCCGATGGTGATGATCCATGTATCTATGTCTGTAAAGACTACGATGTAATTACACCTGCTCTATTCAATGTAACCCAATCTATTCTCGATTCAATGTCAAAGATCTTTAGCAGTTTAATTTTGGTTGATCAGGCACCCGTACTCCAACTTAGTCAATATGCCTACGATGCCTTTGGTGGACAATGTTCCTACGGTGTAAATATTCCAAAGACTGCTGTTTCTCCTGGTATTCCAGATACTGATTTGATAGTCTATGTAACCATTAGACCACCAACATCTAACAGTAAGTAATTTGTTTATTAAAAATTATTATTAATAATAATATTAATATTTTCTTACTTTTTTATTTATAAAGATATTATTGCTTATGCTATGGCATGTAATTATGATGTAATTGATGCAAGTGGTGTATATGGAAGACCATTGGCTGCCAATATCAATTTCAATCCTTACTACTATCGTAATTTCGTTGGTACAAATAGAGACGAGTTCACTTATAACCAATATATCAGAGTTGGTATTCATGAAATGATTCATGCTCTCGGATTCAGTAGTACATTTTATGATTCTTTCGTAAAGCCAGATGGTGAATATTATAGTAAGTAAAAGATTGAATATATTTTTTTACTTTTAAGATAGTAGATAATTAATCAATTATAACTTTAATATTAATATAGGTGCTGCTAGAACTGTAAAGAGATCGGGTACCACTCCAGATGGTAAAACTTATAGTTATTCAAAGGCTGTCATTGACTCACCAAATGTTGTTAGCTTTGTAAAAGATCATTATGCATGTGGAACTGCATCTTATGCCGAGTTGGAAGATGCTGGTGGTAGCGGTACAGCTGGTAGTCATTGGGAAACTAGAACTGCTGGTGAGGAAATTATGGTTGGTTTTGCTAGTCCAGTCGCTCCAATCACCAATCTTACATTGAGTTTACTCAAGGATACCGGTTGGTACGACATCAACTATGATAGAGCTGAACCATTAATTTGGGGTAAAGGTCTTGGATGTGATTTCCTTGACAATTGTTATGAATACACATGGAACTTCCAAGGATACTTCTGTAAAAAGACAGGAGGTAACTATAACTTTAAAGAAGAAATTATTGAAAATGATGAATTACATAGAGTCCAATTGGCAATCATCACAATTATTACTTTAACCTTTTTATTATTTTTTTTTAGCATTATGCTCAAGTCCAACCAACTATTTATCAAAAATCAGGATTCATTTACATTCAATTCAAAGTTCAATTCAATCTTCTCCATTAATATTAAAAGGCAATCAAATATCTTCAAAAATACAATATGTTCAATCAATCAATCAATCAATCAAAGTAATGAGAACCATTAAGTTATATATATAAGAGTGTCATTTCCAGAAATGAAAATCAAATATGTGATTTAAATTATATTAGCATCTACCTTTCATCGATTAAATTCAGTAGAATTTGTGGTAACTAACTTGTTTAAACTTAATTAAATTATTTATCATTCGGATTAACTACACAAATCTTTTTTTCTCTCAATTCTTTTTCTCTTTTCTCTTATTTTTAGATATGAGATGTACTGGTACAAGAATGGGTAAAGGACTGTGTGTAATCGAAGATTATAGTAGCAGTCTGCCACGTCCATACCAGCATTTCAAGGATGATGCTCAAGGAGGTATAAACGAAGCTGCCGATTATTGTCCTTTCTACCAAGTTTCCAAGTCACTTCCACTTACTCAATGGTGTGGAGATACCTCTCAACTATCTAATTTGGATTCTTCAGTTGGTGAAATCTTTGGCGAAAGTTCAAGATGTTTCGAATACAGAGCCGATGCCAAGTCCAATCAAACTGATATGGCATGTTGGCCAATGCAGTAAGTGTTTAATTCTTAAATTTAATTATATTCTTTAAATTTATTAATTTTTTTAAAAATCATCATTTACAGATGTGCTGGTACCAAAGTTCAAATTCAAGTAGCCGGTACATGGGTAACATGCGAAAAGGACGGTCAAGTACTCAGTGTAAACAATATATATGTTGTATGTCCAGAAGGTTTCCCAGAGTGTGGCGGTTCGGCCAATTACATTGACATTGACAACAATAATTCATCAGCAACCATATATTCTGATATCACAAGATTTTTGTTCATTACAATATTATGTATACTTTTACTATAGATATAAATTATAACATTAAAATAAAATTTAAAATCAAAAGATCTTGTATACATTAATCTAAAAATAAAAAAGTCGAAATATTTGTGATTATTGGTGACGAATAATCATGTTTCTGGTGATGAATATGTATCTCATGTTGTATTAAAATTTAAAAACTAAATACTTTCACACACTCACACTATGCACAAAGAGTGTGTGAATGTGAGTTGTTTGTGTATGTGTGTAGATTAAAACAATTGAACAATCAATAATTTGTTTGATTGTTACAACTCTTTGTTAATAAAAGACATTGGTTATGTATATACATCATTAAAAAAAAAGTGTCAATTTATTATTCTTTTGGATAGTTGTTGAAGAAATATGTGAGCTGTGATGATAGGCTGTTTTTTTTATTTTAAATTATAAAGGAAATTATTATTCATTGACGATGAAAGTGCGATTATCATTAATTATATAAATATTGACACTGGTTACTAAAACAAACAAAAAACAACAAATTAATTTAATTTAATTAATATATTGTTATTGTTTATTGTTTTTCTCATAAAAAAAAAAAAGGATAGATAGATAAAGAAAAAGATATTTATATAATTAATTTTATTTATATATATAAAATACATTAATAAAAAAAAAATATGAAATTATTATTTTTTTATTTTATTTTTGTTGTTTTATTTGGATTTCCATTGTTTTGTCATGTTCTGATCACAAACATAATGAATTCAATATAGTAGATAATATAGTACAAAGACAATCGTTTTTGAAATTTCAAAATATAAAAAGTGATATTAACGATGGGTTATTTAATGGTAAAGAATCAAGTGTATATACTCCACTTCCAAGCTACAAATGTCAGCATGAAAGATTGGTTGATAAATGGAAGAACCATTATTCAACCGATGGTTTGACTCATTACGATGATCACCTACATCATCAACACCGACAACAAAAACAACAATCTTTGATGAAGATGGTCTCGCAACAGTCAATGGATTCCACATCATCTCATACCATTAGAATTCTATTCAATACAACTTACTTGGAGAACGATCCCTACAGTTGTAGCTATGTCGGTCAGAAGGTGATGGTCGGCGACAGTTCAACTCCCACAGGAAAAGTTGTTACCAATGCTTGCACAGACGATGGCGCATCCAATGAATGTATATATACCTGCCAGCAGCAGGATATTCTGAATGTTGACTTGCGATCGTTAATCAATCAATACATCATACCAACAATCAAGTCTTCACTTGAGAACTACATTAACATTCCAGAGTATCAGTCACCGGATGTACTCAAACTATCTACCATCTGTGCAACTCTAACCAAAGGACAGTGTATCTATGGTGTTCAAATTCCTCACAACTATCTAACTCCTGGTATTGCCAATTATGATATGGTTATTTGGGTAACTGCAAGACCTGCAAGTTCTAAAGGTAAATATTAAGATTATTATTATATTATCATAAGAATATTAATATATTTTATATAAATAGAAACAATTGCATATGCACTACCATGTAATCAAAACATTTATACTAATGGAAGATATGGTAGACCTTTGGCTGGTTCTATCAATTTCAATCCTTTGTTTTTTACACCATTTATCAAGTCATCGAATAAATTTACATTCAATGAATACATCCGAGTTGGTATTCATGAGATGACTCATGCTCTTGGTTTTACTTCAACTTTATATAATTCCTATTTAGATAGTCATGGTAATTTCTATGGTAAGTATAGTTTATTAATAATGATAGTCTATTAGTTACAAATTTTTTATTGATCTATTTGCTTGCTTATTTCTATTTTATAGATGCTTCAACTGTTATTACTAAAAAAGGTGTAACACCATCGGGTAATTCCTATTCATATCAAAAATATGCAATCGATTCACCAAATGTTGTTAATTTCATTAAGCAACACTATCAATGTGATAGCATAAGGTATGCAGAGTTGGAAGATTCTGGTGCTGCTGGAACTGCTGGTAGTCATTGGGAAAAGAGAACTGCCGGTGAAGAATATATGATTGGCTATGTATCACCAATTGCACCAATCACTAATTTGACACTGGCATTGTTACAAGATACCGGTTGGTATCACATTAACACAACAGGTGCAGAAACACTAGTTTGGGGTAGAAATCTGGGTTGTTCTTGGCTGATAGACCAGTGTTCCGCCCAAACTTGGAACTATCAAGGTTACTTCTGCGAACAGAGTGGTGCTGTTGGATGCTCGCCAACCAGAGTCGGTAAAGGAATGTGCGGCAAGACTGCATTCACACAATCGTTACCTGCTCAATACCAGCATTTCGCTACTAGCAATGTTGGTGGTGTCGATGAAGTTGCTGACTATTGTCCTTACTATCAGGTATTCTCCAATCAGAAACAAACATACTATTGTGGCGATACTTCGAATTCAGGTGACAGCTCTGTTGGTGAACAATTTGGTACAGAGAGTAGATGCTTTGAGTTTGCAAAAGGTTCAGCTGTAGGACAGGCTTGTTGGCAACATAGATGTGTAGACACTCACGTTGAGATCAATATTAAAGGAACATGGGTGGCATGTAGTAGCAACTCAACCACAGTGACTGCTAATGGTGTCACTGTGATCTGTCCAGTGGGTGGATTTGCAGAGTGTAACGGTGTCCCAATACAAGTTTTAGTTCAAGATTCATCATCAGCTATTTCATCGAGAGTCCAACGGAATCATTTAATTGCACTATCAATGGTTATGCTTTTAGTAAAGTTTTTTATATAATCAACAATAACTACATAGATAGATAGATAATAGATAGAAACTTTTATATTTTTTTTTTCAAATAATATATAGATATTTTATTCTTTTTTTTTTAAATAAGTCGAGGTGTATATTCCATCCAGTTACTTCACCTTCTTAGTGGCAACGAGTGATGTTGGTACTTTCTTAGTGATAATAATTCTTGTTTTCATTGGTCTAAGAGTTCTTTTTAATAGGAATAATAATAAAATTAATATTCGATTCATATTTTAAATAATTAATACTTTATGTTTACTTACTTTTGATTATCAATATTGTTGTTTTCTTCAATATTGATTTGTTGATTGTTCTCGTCGGGAGTGATGGTAGGTGGTTGGTGATTTGGATTGAACTTTACTCGTTTAACAGCATCTGTATTACCATTTACTGCTAAATTTGAATTGATTGTTGGTTGTAATGTTTTGGTTGAATTGGTTGGTTGTGGCTTAGAGATTGGTTGAATAGGTTGGTGTTGAGTTAAAATTGGATTACTTTGTAGAGGTTGTTGTGGGATACGTTTTAATTGTACAGATGTTTGTGAAATACCAAGTGGACGAAGTTGTCGAACAGGTTTAGCGGCTGGAGGTTGTTCAGGTACCTGGTTATTATTTGAAACTTGAATAGCTACATATATTGATTAATATTATATTTTCTTCTTTTTTTTTTTCTTTTTTTTGTTACTTACCTTCTAAAATAGTTCGACTACCAGGTTTATTAGATTGTAGTGTTGGTTTCTTCAAAACTCTGGGTTGTTCCTCCATTGGACTATTGCTATCTTGATCCAAAACTCTTTTCTTTGTTAAAGTCGGTACCAAATTAGCTGCTGGTGCTGGAGTTTTCTTTAATATTGATTTAGGTTGTCGAACTGGTTGTGGTTGTTGTTGAACTTTTTGTTGAACTGGTTGTTGTTTCTGTTGTTGAAGTGGAGGTGATTGTTGATCTTCATTCTGAGAAGAATTTAATTGTTGTTGAACTAGTTGGTGTTGTTGTTGTTTTTGCTTTGGTAATTTCTTTGCTGACGAATCACCACCATTCATATATCTATTTCTCAATTTCGAACATATCAAAAAATTATTTACAAACTCTACAGGTATACTTGTATTTGGAACATTATCTAAATTAAAAAGTTAGTAAATGAATTTATAAAAATATATATATTATTATTTTTTTACCATTAATAATTCTCCAACCCTCAGTGAGAGCACTATATAAAACATCGATAGCCTGACAATGATTTTTCTCCAACTGGGCCATTTCATTGATTCTTTCCTGTTGTGATTTATTCTGTTTGAGGAACTTGTCACTAATATCCCATCTATCCAACTCCAAACTGGCAGCTCTTGCCTGTTGAATCAAATAGTTTTGATATTTTTGGCATTTAATATTGGATGGTAAGTCCAATTGTAATTTCTTTCTCCAAGTATCTATAAATAAAGAATGTTAATATTAGTATTCGAATGAATTTATGAATCTAAAAAATATAAATTATGTATAATTTACCCTTTTCATTTAAATCTACTTGAATCTCTGATTGTTTAGTTTCAATAGATTGTAATTCTTGTTTCTTTTGTAGGTATTCCTCTTTTAACTCCTTAACTATCTCTGCCTTATCTGGATCGTTGAGGAATGTATTAATTATCGATCTACTGTTATCCATAGCCGATTGGATTTGTTCGGCTTGGTCATCGAGACAACTTTGCATCTTTTTCAGATTGAGCGTTTCATTGAGATTTTGGTTGATTTCGTCTGAAATCTGGTTGACATAGGTATCATCGAACGTTGAATCCATAAGAGTACTACCATTCATAGAGTTATTATGGTGATTATTGTTATTATTACTATCCTCCATATCGCTTGCCTCTATTTCACCTCTATCCGATAGTTTATATTTTAGAGAACGAATCTCCTCTCTTAGCTCTTTGATAATCTCTGTGTACTGACTGAGATGAGTGTTTACGTTGAGTACATTCTTGGCGACACGTGTCTTGATGTCTTTGGCACGATTGGCATACACCAGTGTGTTGTGTGTCTCTTCGTAGGATGTCGAGTTTGGACTGATATTGGCGATCATGACGGTCTTGCAATTTCCACCTAGACTGTCCTTGAGGATTCTGGTCAGCTTCGAGTCACGGTACGGAATGTATTGTCCGGGCTTACCGGCGAGTGCATTTATACAGTTGGCAAGCGAGAGCAACGATTTGTTGATATTGGCACCTTCGACTAGTCTGACGCCGCGATTCATTGTTTTGGCGGCACGCTCACTTCCAGCGAGATCGATCAGCGATAGTTTTCCGCTGGTGACATTGCCACTGGTGTTTGCAGAGCGAATAAACACCTGGAGAATGGCATGTGAACGAGATGACACTTTATTGACGTTGGTAGGCGATTGCTTACGATTGGTGTTTCCAAACTCCAGCATTTTAAAGACCTCGTTCGATGATGTCGGATAACGCTCTGTGAGGTCGGCTACTACCACCTGACGGCTGGCGTCCTCTCGCAGTCCCAGAGGCTTACTGTCATTCACCAGCAGATCGTATATATTCTCATTGTAGATCTCCAGATAGGACATAGAAATCTTTAGTTTATTATTGTTCTTCTCGACCTCCTCAAAGAGATCGCGCATAGTCAACACCATGACACCAGGTCCACTCTTTTCATTGCCAATCATCGTATGAGTTTTACCTGCTCCAGTTGCTCCATAAGCAAAGACAGTTGCATTGAATCCATTTACCACATATTTTATAACATCTAAAAAAATCATTATATTAATAATTAATTCAGTCAGTCAGTTTGTGTCTTTCTAAAATAATAAATAATCAATAATAATTATTCACCTTTTGTTGTATTTTCGAAAACTTCTTTTTGTGTGGCGAATTGATCAAATACACGATCGAATATGAAACGTTGTTCAGAGTCATTCTGCGAGTGTTGTCGTAGTCGGATGGAAGGTGGTGATACAGTGTCGAGTGTAATTACATTACTATCGACCACTCTGACAACTGTTTTTGTAGCACGATCGTTTATCTCCTCTTCAGTCTCTGGTCTGACTCTTATAGCTACAAATATATTACTACTTCCATTTCCAGTACTAATATTACTAGTATTATTATTATTGCTGTTGTTGTTGTTATTTTTAAACATAACTTTCTATATTTTTGTTTCGAAAACTAACTATTGAACTAAACTATTCATTGAACTGACCAAATTTAACTGAATTATTATAAACTTTAAATATATCTTAAAACAAACAAACAACTAAAAAAAAATAATTAAATAATAAAATAATGTTTGAAACTTAATTCTAAACTTATTTTATTTTAAAATAATTGTATATCTATTATTCAAAAAAAAATTGATTGATACTATTCATATCTGTTCATTTTTAATTAACTTTTAAATTTTAAAAATGTTAACGGACAAATTCAAAAAAATAGGCGCCTTTTCATTGTCATTTTAAAATTTTAAATTTTGGGGTTAAAACTTTTTTAAATGTTTAATTAAGAAAATTCATATTATGTTTTTTAATTTATAAATTTTGTATTTGTCATTTTAATAATTCTAAAAAAAAAAAAAAATAAATAGATTTACTTTGATTAACTAGTTTTTAACTTATTTTTAAAAACATAAATGTTGTTTGTTTTTTTATTTTTTATAGTTTCCATAAAAGGGGGGCACTTATTATTAAAAACTAAAATAGTTGAAAAAAGTCAGACAACCATTTTAACCCCCATATGGTTATCCCGAAAATTAAAAATAAATTGGAACAACATGAATTCAAGTTGGTTTTTAATTACAGTAATTTAATTTTATTTTTTTTGGATTTTCAATTCTACAACAACAACACACGAGAATATTAAAAAGTGTATATACAACCCATTCAATCTGTAATCTGTAATTTCTTATTTTAAACAACCTCAGAACACATATTATACCACACCGATACTGTACAGACACTCCATTTTTTGAAAGTATGAACAAACTATCTTAGAAAATAAAATTACCACAATTTAATTTAGATTTCAATTGGACTTGTGCTATCATTTCAAACACCACCAAAGAAAAAAAAAGAACACTATAACCTCTACAATATCAAAAACCAAAACCATTGAAGATCGAATACCACTCGTATACTTTACAATTAAAGTTTCTTTAGATATTTCTATTTGACAATAGATTTAAAGAAACAACACTTTTATTCCACAAAAACAAAAAGAGTTTAACACTCCCTTTTAACTTTTAAGCCAAAACTCAGAGTTTTTCCACATTCTTTTTTTGTAAATAATTTATTTATTAAATGTTAGTGTAGAACTAGTCAAAATCCATATCAACTAACATACTAAGAATATTAATAGTCCTAAGAAAATATATATTTTAGTAGTTGTATAATAAATAGATAGATAGTATTAGAGAAATAAATAATACAAATATTTTACTAAACATATTTTCTATTTAAAACTATTTTAATTAATTTATTTATTTATTTTTAAATCTAATTACTTAAATTTAGATCTATTAAAATTTTATAATATATTTATTTTTTATTTATTTGTTTATATTTTTTATTTATTTATTTTTATCATTTTATTATTATTTAAATTTAAAAAATAATTTTTTTATTAAAATAAATATTATTATAATAATGGCAGAGGATGATGTATTTATTACCAATCAAAACTTTGAAGAAAGTTTGTTGAACAATGCAGAGAATAATGAAATAGTTCAGAGTAAATTAATGAAGAGAAATAAAAAGGGTAGAAAGAAATCTGCTGCTCAGAAATTAAAGGAAAAGATGAACGATTCCGATTCAGCCTACCAGGAATTGGCAGATTCAGGGAAAGAAAAAGAGATCGTTTTAAACGTTGTGGACGATGGATCGGTTACACTCAAGAAGGAATCGGATATCAGTATTGATGATTCATTGAAACTGGACGAGTCGCCACCGGAAGTTCATCGTGAAGTTCACAATGCAGTATTGACCACCGCCACCCAAGATGGACCATCCCTAGAAGAGTATGAAGACGACAAGGAAGATGGATCCAACATTGTTTTCCAAGAGACTCCAGTCAATGAGCGTATCACTCTGCCACTGTCTCTCGAGAAGAAGGAATTCAAGTCGTCGCCATCGCTGGTCGCCTCCAATTCACGTGTAAATTCGCCAGCTCTCAACTCACCGAGAATCATTGGAGCAAGATTTGCCATTGATCCCAGCAACAATCCAATCGATCTCAACAACAATAACAGCAGCAACAACAACAACAACAATGCAACCAAAGATCAGTTCACTACTATTCCTTATAGTCCAACTATCAAACCTTATAGCACTGCGTCCAATTCGTCAGAGTCAGAGCTACCGTTCTTCCAACCGGATCAGCTACCGGCAGCATCCAACAATCGCTTCGGAGGATTCAACCGTTCGATCACAGAGAATCTAGAACACGTGCCACTGGACAACAGTCGATTCGCAACAGTAACTCACTCCACACAGAGCAACCCACTGACAACAACAACCACCAACAACAACACCACAGTGATACCAATGGTGGAAGTGGACATTCTCCCAGAGATCGGTGCCGCCAACGGAGCAGAGGAGATCGAAGTACCGGAAGTTACACGTCCCGCCAACAAAATAGATGCATTCCCAATCGTACTTTGTATAATATGCTTTTTAGTTCTAGTAGGTGTATCATTAGCAATTTTCTTACTTTAAATAACTTTAACTATTTAAATTGATTAAATAAATCAATGAACAGTTTTCAAAAAACAAAAATATTTATAAATAAAATAAAATAAAAAAAGAACAAAAACTATTTTAAAAAAAAAAAAAAAAAAAAGAAAAAAATTGAACTACAAAAATAAGTTATCATTTTTTGTGGTTTATCTCTATCTATTTTATTTAATTTAAATATATTTCAACAGATAAGATAAGATAAGATAAGATCGAATGAAGTTGAGAGAGATCATATCATTGCTTCAATCTAATCCACTATTTAATGGAGTGGTGGCTCAGCCTGTGCCATTGAAGATTGAAAACATTAGCAATGATGAACACTACTTTCTCAAACCAAAGAATCTTATATCGATAGACAATCAATTTCAAGAGATCTACTATCTATCTCCAAAGACAAGAAAACTCTTTGTCATTAGAATAGAATATTCACTTGAGAATAATATTGATACTGTTTATACTATTAAATATCAAGTTTGTATTAAATTAATATGTTGATTGTTACAACCAACCTATTATGAACTTATTATTAATAATATACTCTCTTTATCTCTATCTGTCTCAATAGGAATTGATTATAAATATTGATTTCGATGTTTTTAGAATAGTATTAAATGATAACTCTAGATATCTATGTTTGATTGGTAATTTCAAATGGTGTTTGGTCGATTTGAATCCTTCGATGCGTTCTTCATTCTTTCAGAGTAAACCAACCAACATCTATAGCGATATAAACACAGAGGAATATACATCAATCAAATGCAATACAATCTTTTTAGACAACAGTTTACTAAAGTTCAAAGATCTATCGATAAACATCCTTCAAATCGATTGGCATCCACTAAGTAACACTCATCTTTTAGTTTTATATTCAAACAATCAATTAAAGTAAGTAAATTAAACAACAATAATAATCGTTCTTTAAAAACAAAATGTTAACATATTAATTAATTTAAACATAATTATAAACGTCTATAGGTTATTCAATACAAATCATATTATAGATAATAATAATGATAGTAGTAGTAGTAATAGTAACAATGTTGAATATGAACAGGTATTCAATCTTGCAAAACTTTATATTCATACTGGCGATTCTCTGCATAAACCAGCCGGTACTTCAACTACCAATAGTGTAAAGATAGGCAATGTTAAATCATTCTGTTTCGGATCGTTGATAAACTACTGGTCGAGATTCTCTGTTTATCTTTTAGATAGCAGAGACTATGTATATTGTCTGTGTCCGGTGGTGCCAGACAACTGCTTGCTAGACACTCAGTATCTAATGAACCTGTACAAGTCGTTGATAGTTCTAAAGTCTGAGAATCAAAAGAACTCCAACTACTACGATAATATTCTAAAGTGGATGTTGTTGTCCACTCATTCAAAGTCGGTCGATTCGTTCACCAACCGACTACACATGAATCAATGGATCAAGTTCAAGTCGATCTACAACAGCACAGAGCATTTCTACGAGCCGATACTCCAGCGAATCTCATTGGATTTGCAATCGTCATCTCGAGACTCACCGTCGTATCGAGCCATCGGATATTCTATTCACCACTTTTCTTCGTTGGCTTCCAACTACAACTTTGAGGAGGGCACATCGGAGCAGCACTACAATATTGGAACCGACAGAAACACAGAGGAGAATAACAATCTTATTAGCGACAGAAAGATTTCTAATGAATATAATATACATTTGCCATACTCATTGTTAATCGTTAGAAAAGATGGAACCATCGACATCACTGTTTCCACCAATGAATCATTACCAATCTGGTCAATGACCAACGGATATCCAAAATATGATAATGTAAATATCTATCCAACAACAACAACGACAACAACAACAACAACAACATTCATTTATGAATTCTTTATACTAATAATATTCTATTATTAATAATATAGGATTGTCAATATATTCAATTAAGTAAATATTCAAAATTAGATCTTGAACTACCAGAGAAATGTAGAGTTCCACCGACTTCAGTGGAACACTATACATCATTTTCATATCCAGGTATCTTTGTAGATCAATTGAATGAATGTGTCTATGTCTATTATAATTGTGGTGTCAATGTTGTGCAACTCCCATGGCTATCGACACTTGCTGTCATGCTCAATACCAACGTGCCAAACGATAGATTTGGAAATGTCTATCTCGAACCAACAACAATGTCCACCATTATCGTCACCAACCCAATCAGTCTAAACTCACCGTCTCCTATCATCTGTCTCGATATCATCAACGATATCAAGATTGGAAGATATCTGGTGACACTCTCGAACCGCGACCAATCATCGCCGATCATGTTTGATCTCAATGGGTTGGCACAACTATCATCGCTGCAATCCGCAAATGCTGAACTCACCAAGAACATCAATGACGACCTCTACAGATCACCACTCACCGATCTAATCACACCACCCAATCCCATTCCAAGACTACAGATCCCAAAGAACCTATCACTCAAGAACACACTTGCACTGGTTGCCAAAATCAAAGAAACTATTTACAATTATCAGCAATCTATTAATTTATTAGATGCAACCATTCAAACTAGGTAAGCAACTAACAAACAAACAAATTAACATAACAATACATTTTAATCAATGATTATTATTTACTTTTATATTTAGAGTTAAAACATTAGCACAAATATCAAAAGAACAACAAAAAACAGTACAAGAATTGAGAACCAATATAGAGGATATAAGAAATCGGCAAAACACACTCCAAGAATTGGTTACTGGTAAATGGGAGGAACAAAAGTTTTATCACGATCAAATCTCTGAATTGTCTGCTCAGTGCAACAGAAGTCTTCCTCTTTCATACGATGAACAAGAACTACGTTCTGAACTTCAGATGATGTCAAATAAGATTGAAATCTATAAAGATAAACTAAGCTATGTATGTATAAAGTATAATCTATTAAAAATAAATTACAAACTTTAAACTAACCAAACATAATACGATATAGTTTGATCAACAATTTAAATCAAAGAAGCAACAAATCGAAACAACTAAATTGAAATACTCTGATGAACCTCTATCAACAAAAGATCAACTCGATATTCAAAAGAAAATTAAGTTACAATCCAATAATATCAATGATTCTACACAACAATTAATTCAATTGACTAATGAAATTCAAGATTTGAAATTAAGATATAAATAAACAATTAAAATTAAAAAATAATTTTACAATTACACAATATTTTCTGATTTGTATATATGAGATTTTATGTATATATATTAAAATTTTATTATTACTATTATTTTTGTTTTTTTTTTTTTTATTATTATGAGTCGTATTTTTCGTCCATCATTAATTTATATTGAGGTGAATCCATTTCAACTGGGTGATGATATCTTTTAGTCATCGACTTATTGATTAGGTAATATGCAAGTAAACCAATAAATGAAACACCAATGGTTACACCTATGATGATACCTGCCAATGCTCCTCCACTTAACTTTGAACTTCTTGGTTTCTCTGTTGGTGCAATACACTGTTTTACAGAGATGTTGGTGTAATGAATGGAACAGTGGAAGTTGGATTCGATTAAGACTGTGTAGTTGGTATTGTATAAGAGGTCGGTGATGCTGATTGCATTGCTGGCGGTTGAGTTTACTGAATATTTCTTGCCATCCAAAATGTTGGAACTGTTGGAGATTGTTATAGTATATAATGTGAGTGGTGTGGTGATGTTTCTGTTTCCACCGTTGATTGTTATGAAAACTGTGCTGCAATTCGATGTGTCAAAAGTGGCCTCGAAAGTTCCATAGTTCTTCTCAATGCTAACAGTGATCGGTGCAAACTTACGTCTGCAAACTGGATCTTTAATTTCTGCTGTCAATGAATAATCTCCTGCAGCAAGATGTGTCAAGTCCAGGTGTGTCGAGTTGTTGGTGCTGCTCAAGTTGAATTGAACGGTATCCAATGGATAACCGATTTGTGGTGTTAAGTATCCTTCAGACTCAAGGGAACATGTACCATATGCCAAATAAGAGAGCTCTGGGCTATACTGCGATGAAACAGAGACACTACTTGGAACTGCAGAAATACAGAATGGGTTCTGTAAAAGACTGAGCTTTGATTGATAGGTACCAGTGGCGAGATAATTAATGGCATTAGATGCTTTTGATTGACGACCAACCATTTGGTTGGCACCGTTGTAGAGTCTAGAATAATAGTTGTCACCAGAAGTCATTGTAACTTGTGCATTGAAACTACCTGGACATGTTTCACTTGTGACACTGTACGCGGATTGATTGACAAAGCTAGACAAACTCTCAAAGTTTGGAATGCTTACTGGAACTGATTTCAATCTACATCCAGTTGGTACATGTACAGCGGTAAATAGATATTGGGTATTGAATACCAATTGAGTGAATTCTCCCGTGGCTGACATGTCAATAGATTTACCTGCGCCACTAACTGGTGTGAGATAGGCATTGGTGTAACTTGTGTAATTGATGAGAAGTAATGCTCCATCTACCAATAGACACGATGGAGCTGTGAAACTGAAAGTTGGTACTGGCAATGATTCGGTTTGAGGAATTGATACAACTTGTGAAACTGTACAAACATTATTGTAGGTAATATTGAGGGTTAGGTTTTGGTTTCCTGCGAGTTGGAGAACATTCCATGTAGTTGGGTCGATATTATTGATATGTCCACTCGATGATTGGATGCTGGAAATGGTGACACCAGAACCTGAAACAATCTTTATCATTCCATCTTGATTCTCACATCCAGATGCATTCACAGGGGTAATAGTGAATGGATTCTGAATAGTTGGAACAACAACACTCTTGCTTACTTGACATTGATTCACTGTGATAGTGAATGTTTGCTCTCCTGTTGGTACATTTGAATAGATATTTCCTTGGGTTTCTTTATCATTGAGTTTAATGGATGTGATAGTGACTGCTTGGGTTGGATTTGATTGGAGAGTGGCTGTGAACTTGATGGTTGCATCGGCTGATTGATTGCATGAAGCAGCAGTAATTTGGTGATCAATTACATAAACTGGTGAGGTATCTAGACCAATGCTTCCATTACACTTTTCAGATATGAATTGGAGGGTATGAGAACCAGAGGTGACATTCCATCCCTTAAGTGCTGTATTGTATTCTTGGGTATCTAAAGTGACACTGGCCAAGTTGGTGATATCACCAATAACAACTAGAACTGGGATATCTGCTTGTCCACATGTATCTTGTAGTGGGTCGACTGTGTAGTCAATCTTGAATTCGTTGGTGGAGGAAATAGTGAAATTCAAACTGGCATCGGCAACACACAAGTCATAATATTTGACAACAGCACTGTGGGTTCCAGAGGCAAGTCCAGTGACCTTTGAGAAATTCGGTTGCTCTATACCATCTACCAATACCTTGGAAATATTAAAGTCTGGATCAGAGAACTCAACGATGCTATCCAATTGGTAATCACAGGTATTTGGCTGGTTAACTTTGACGATTGGAGCAGCGGTGGCTGGAGCAGGGTCGGTGGTGTTTGGTGATGTCCATATGGTGTGGATCTCACATCCAGAAGCACTTAGAAGCTCAACACGAATGGTCTGGTTTGGAGCAAAGCTATATGTGACATTGGAAACATCTGAAACTACTGTTGGATCAACGAAAAAGACAGCTGTACCATTGGAGCATGAGTTGGCATTCTTGGTGATACTAAACTTAATGATTGAAGAGTAATCTAGGTCTAGATTGAAATCGATTGGAATAGATCCACTTGGAACAGTGTAGCTGTCATTGCACTGGTTGGATTCACCAAAAGTGTATTGCATTGAGACAGTGACATTGGCAGTGGATGGAATGTCACTGAACAAACCATTCAATGGGGAATTAGTGGTGATAGTACCATTGTTATTGATTGTCAAACTCAATTGTTTGAAATCAGCATAGTTCTCTACCTCGAAGGAGTTGGCCTTACAAACTGTTGTGCTATTGGAAAAGGTGATGATAGGTGATGGTGAAACCACTTGGATTTCTCCAATGACTGAATCGGCAGCCAATGAACACTTTTCACTCTTTACAGTGTACTTGGCACCATAGGCAGAGGTAAAACTATTTTCGGTGAGTGTGACTGGTTTGTTATCTGCGGAGAAAATCTGAATACCTGGATAGCTTGTGTCAATTGTAACATTGGCAAATTGTTGTACGCATGCTGTCTTGTCTTCATTGGTTGACTGAGCAGTAACTGGAGTTTGTGAGTAGAAGAATGGATAAATGGTCTCGAGTGATTGGATGCTCAATTTCTCGGAGGAAGAACAACCATTGGAAGTGTAGGCCACTACGATATCGATACCCTTGTATAGTGCCAAAGTGAAGGAATTATTTGTCAATGGAACAGTGTTTACTGTGAACTGTGGATTTTCATCAAACTCCTTTGGTAATGTAACTTTAATTGTGGATTCTGCGGGACAAGATGATGGTGTGAAGATAAGTTGTATTTTTGGGCTAACTGAAACCAATTCAATATCAACAACTTGGGTTGTACATGTGTCAGAAGTTAAAGTCAGAGTGTGTTTACCGGCAGAGAGCTTATCAAAAGAGGTGGCATCTGCGGCAATAGGAGTACCATCGAGCGCAATGCTTTTATATTTTGTTGGGTTAATAATAGTAATCGAACCATCTTTGTTTCCACATGTCTCATGTTTGACAGTGAATTGTGGTGTTTCTTTATTGACTAGAAAAAATATTGGAAAGAAAAAATAATTAGTGTTGGTACATTTGGATCTGTGGTGATAATAAAAACAACTTACATAGACCATATTGGATAATAATATCTGTTTCATTAAGAGTTAATGGTTGGGTATATGTAACGGTGAGCTCATAGAGTCCTGGTGAAAGAGTGTATGGTGTGACAAGCTGTGTATTGTTGATAAAGAATTTGGCATTCTCTTGCTTAGATACTAACTGTCCAATTCCAAAAGAACAAACTGGTTGTACCAATTCAAAGAGAGTAAGTGTGTCAACTGGTGGTGTGGATGGTCCATCTCCTGTGGTACTTCCTCCGGTGGTTGAAGTTGTTCCTGTTGATGAACTACCTCCAGTAGTTGAGGTCGTATCTGTTGGACTTCCTCCGGTAGTCGAAGTTGCATCTGTTGTTGGATCTGTGGTTGAAGTTGTATCGGTTGGACTTCCTCCGGTAGTTGAAGTTGTACCTGTGGTTGAAGTTGTATCTGTTGTTGTGTCTGTTGTTGAGGTGGTAGAAGTTGTACCAGTGGTTGAAGCTGTATCTGTTGTTGGATCTGTGGTTGAGGTTGTGTCTGTTGGACTTCCTCCGGTAGTTGAAGCAGTGTCTGTTGTTGGGTCCGTGGTAGAGGTTGTATCGGTTGGACTTCCTCCGGTAGTTGAAGTTGTACCTGTGGCTGAAGTAGTGTCTGTTGTTGTGTCTGTTGTTGAGGTGGTAGAAGTTGTACCAGTGGTTGAAGCTGTATCTGTTGTTGGATCTGTGGTTGAGGTTGTGTCTGTTGGACTTCCTCCGGTAGTTGAAGCAGTGTCTGTTGTTGGGTCCGTGGTAGAGGTTGTATCTGTTGGACTTGCTCCGGTGGTCGAAGCAGTATCCGTTGTGGCTGTAGTTAAAGGATCTTGTGTTGTTGAATCATTTCCATCCTGTGCATTAATCGAAATTGTTGCGAAAAGAAAAGAAAAAACTAAAAATAATAATAGATATTGTTTGAATCTCATTTTAACTGTATATAAAAGGCATAAATATCACCTCTTTATTATTTATACTTGGATTCGACGGCAATATTAATAAATAACAAGGTTGTTGTTTCTTTTTTTTTCTCATAAAAGCCTTTTTTTTTTTTAATTTTCATTTTATTTTATTTTTTAATTTAAAAAATTTTGGACTAACTATTTAACTTGAGGGAGATACTGGTGGGGGATGGGGAAAAAAAATGAAAATAAAAAAAAAAAAAAAAACCGAGTGTGTGTTGTCGAGAGCACCCTTTCAAATAAATTTTGGATTGAAAATTTTTGGAGGTGCCTCCTCAGGTTATATTACAACAAAACACTTTTGTAATATTTGCAAAAAACACGAAACTGGTTAAAAGATCCTTAATTCCCAAGAATCACACCATATAATCCAACTTTAGTCAACAATTAGGTGATTATATGTTTACAAAAATAAGTTGTAAACTACAAAATTATTTGAATAAATATTAATAGTTTGATTACTTTACAATAAACAAATAAAATGGGATGAGCTCTTAAATAAATATTGATCTGCTAGATAATTTATAATGATTGAGAGATTAGTGATAGAAACTATTTTTTTTATAAAGAAAACTATAATAATTTACAATTGTTTTTTTTTTTTTTTTTTTAATTAATTTAAAAAGGGGGTAGTTTTTGGTTTAATTTATTTGGTTTGTCATAATAAATAAAAACTATAAAAGTTTATAGATAATTTAGAATGATTGGGTGATGTTGAAACCAGAGTAGACGATATCGTAGATCTTGGAGTGTGGGTGTGGGGAACCGCAGGTACCTTCGCAAACGGCAGCTTGGACAGTGTAGTTTCCTGGTTGGAATGGCTCACTTTCGGATGGTTGAGCTTGGAATTGGAAGTTGGCGTTGTAGGTGTTTGGTTCAGTGTTGACCAAGAGATCACCACCACCGAAGGAGTTTCCGAATGGGTCGATGACGTTGATGGCAATTTGACCAGTACCGAGTTGGCTGAGAACTTGGAAGGTAACAGTGATGGTGAATTGGGTACCGACTGGACCAGCTGGTGGGTCGACAATGACGGAGGTGATGTTAGCATTACCAGAGTCACGAACTGGGCAAACCTTGATTTGCTCGCAAATGTAGACGGGATCTGGGTCAGCGTCTTGGATGATCTTGATGAATTCCTCAATACCGACGTAGTCGCACAACAAGTCACAGACGACTTGCTCGTCAGACTTGGAGAGCTTGCTGCAGAGATCTGAGCATGATCCCAAAACACCGGCATCTAGAAAAAAATAAAAAATTGGAAAAAAAAAACAAAAAGTAAATTAATTAATATATGAAATTGTTTATTTCAAACTAGTTTAAATTAAATTTATTTTATTAATTTAATACATACTCATGATGATATTAATGAGTTCTTGGATTGACTCGTCCATGAAGTCAACACAAGTTGGACACAAGTCCAAAGTGACAGCACGGGTCTTTTGGTGTGGAACAACGGTACCGAAGGTACAGATGACCATAGATAAAACTAAAATGGTGGCAGTAATTAACTTGAACATTTTCTATTTATATATATATATAATTATTATGTCTCTGGTTGAGAATGAATGATTATGAAACTCCCAATTGCTGGTACTTGTAGTCGGCTCTGGTGAGTGAAGGAGGTGGAAGATGATGAGCAAAAACAAATCCAAAAAAAAAAAAAAAAAAATACAAAAAATAACATTAATGAGCATTTTAAGGTATCTAGATACTTTTTCAAAAAAAAAAAACAACAAAAAAAACAAGAATCAACCATATCAACAAGCGAGATTTTAGAAAAATAGTTAATCAAACCACACAATCAACAATCCAGTGCAATTCAATGGCACTTGTTTTTTGGTTTTTTTGACACTTTTTGTCATCTAAAATTCTTTCTGATTTTTTTTTTCTATTTTACAAATATTTTTTGTGCTTGAAAAAGCAAAAACAAAAAAAAAAAATTCAAAAAAAAATCTAGAAAATTGTGCAAATAATCTTTGAGTTGAAGCTTTGATCGAGTGGGTATCACCACTACAAATGAGGAGGTAAACACAAGTAATTAATTGAAGGACCTCAACCAATCCACCTTATGACTTTAATCGGCTTGCAACAGTAACTATAAAAATTTAAAAGACAAGATTAATAACAATAATAAATATTTTTGATATTTTTGAGTGCAAAAATGATTCAAAATTATGATTAGAAAGATCATTATGAATTGATCAAACTTGTTTATCAGTTTTTTTGTTTTTTTGTTTTTGGGTTTCAAAGGAGATGATGCAATGGGTAAAAAACAAAAGAAATTGGGGGCGGCAATTCATGAATGTATACAGTTATTACCGGTCATTTTTTTATGTGTTTGAAATACTCATTTTCAATAATATCATGATTATTCATAAAATTGGTGTTTTATTTTAAAACTAGAATATCTATTCTGATAAAATTTATAACTCTAATGTTAATATAAATATCTTCAAAATTCTCTTTGGAAGAATCAATATGTACTCCTACACCTTTTGACACCTCATTTTTCAAAAGAATATAAAATGTGCACATTTTTATTTGCAGCAAGACATAATTCAACACACATATCTATAGTCCAATTTATTTATCCAATAGTTTGATTGATGTATGGGTCTGCAAATTAATATATTAGTTTAATTGAAGATTAAGATCAAAAACTGTTTGGGGCTAAACAAAAAATAAATTAAAATTAAAAAAAAAACGTTCATCGACATCATGACCACTAACTTCATCCAAATTCTAAATTTCCATTTTTGAATATATAATGGGAAGAAAAAAGACGAATAAACAAATAACCCACTCCGCTCTTATCCTTATCCTTATTAAAGTAAAGTATTATCAGACTAGAGCCAAAGAATGCAAATGAAAATAAATAAATTTAAATACAATACAAATTTATTCAGATCTTTTTTTAAGTTATCTTTTTTGCTATCTTTTTTTTTTCTTTTCTTTTCTTTTTTTTTTTTTTTGATTTTTTTGTTAGGTTGAAGGATGATTGGTTGTTTGTTGTTGTTTGTTTGTTTTAAAGTGAGGTTATTGTATAAATATAAGTGGATTAAGATACTATTAGTTGTGTTGATGTTTTTTAGTTATTATTGTTATTTATAGTTTTGTTGTTGTATCGATTCGAATCAGATCAAACCTCTTTGAAAAGTTAATTGGGGAATGGGAGTTTTTTTTTTTTAAAACAACATAAAAAATTTATTCAGCATGATCTTCACCAACAAAATAATGAAGTACAATATCGAATCCTAGTAATATTGATAAAAAGATAATTAAATTAAAAGAAAAGAAATCTTTGATTAGTAAATGAAAAAAAAAAACAAAAAGATTGTTAGATGATGATTGATATCTTACCTTCTTTGTATACAGTATAACCAAAACCTTTTTGTAAGAATTGATATTCAACGTAGGCTGGACCGACTCCACCCAATTGTTGTTCGAATTTAGAAATCTTATCTTTTGGTGCCATTTGGTATTCCATCAGTTTCTCAACGATATCACGCGATGGCTTTGGAACTAGAAGACCGAGACGTACAAAACCTTCGCTCGAAGTGATAACGCTCAGACACAGACCACCGGTGGTGTCGTTGGAACCTTGACGCAAAATATTGAGGGCATCGTTTGGAAGTGCTGGGAATTGGAATGTTTTGAATGCATCGACGGCGAGGTTCAATTGTGCGTTGAAGTCTGATCCTGGCAGCTTGAGACGGATCTCTGTTTGTCTGGGTGGAGCAGCACCCATATCTCTACCGACACTATAACAATTCAATACTTCGTTGGCTTCGGCCCATTCTGCGAGCTTACGAGTGGGCTCACCGATGTCCGATGCCTCAATGGCCAACTTTAGAGGAATGTCCACTGGGAAGTACCATCCACCGTCCATACCACCCTTGTCGGACATATCGATCCACGAACCAATCTTTACTGGGTTGATGAGAGCACCAACGTCGTTCAATCTGTCGATTTCAGTCTCTGGGGCACCTACATTCCAGAAGAAATCTACCATCTTTTGAATGAAAATATTCTGTGGACCTGCAGTTCTCCATGTCAACTTTTGCATATCCATAGAGGTGGCAACATGGAATTCAATTGAAGTGCCACTTTGCAAATCTCCTTGTGGTGGGATACTCTCTGACCAAATTTGCCAGAATTCCAATACTTTAGAATCATCCTAAATTTCGAGATATTATTAATTAATTATCGTTTGCATTTGAGATTCAATCGTGTTATTAAAAACTTACATCTCTTAAAAATTGAATGGTAGTCTTGGCATTTGAAATCTTTGCTCTTGGCGAAGAAGCACTAATTGGTTTCTCGATTGCTGGAGCGGTACCGTTGGTTTTTGGTGTAGCGTCGATTGTGGTGGTGACCTTTGGTGTTGGACTGGTTGATCCACTCGATCCTTCACCCAAATTACGTCTAATTGATTCGATCCATTGTTTCATGTCAGTCTCTGACTCTGCATAAATATAGTAAACTCTCTTTGATGTACCAAGTGAAAACATAAACTTCTTTTTCTTGTCTTTATCTCTTTCATCCTTTACGAATGACTCTGGTTCGAATTCAATTAAACCTGTTGCCTCTCCGTCCTATAGCATATTTTAAAAATAAATATATTTACAATAAAAATAAAGATAATTATGATTAATTAAAGTTTTTTTTTTTTTTTAATCTGATATATCTAAAAAAACTTTCAAATAATCAATCGATCACCCAACATCAAAACACATCCGCCACACCAACCAATTTTAGTCTTGACTTATGAAAAAAAAAAACAATTTTTTTGAATTTTTTTAAAACTTTAAAAAGTTTTTTTTTTTAAATGTTTTTAAAGATACAAGATTAATTGTAACTGTTTGATATTTGGTTTGGTTCATCGATCTATTTTGAATTGTGATTGAAAAGTGAAGAGATGAATGAAATGAATATGATGATTGATTCAAACTTACGGTCTTATTCTTAAAATAATACAGTTTCTTTCCTTTCAGGACGAACCAACGTCTTCTCCATGTTTTAATGGCACCACCTTGTTTAGTTAACCAACCTTCACGGTCAGCTGGTGCTAATTGAGCTACAGAAACCTGTAGTTGTTGATCTGGTTGTTGTGTTGCCATTGTTTATAGATTATCGCTGCTGCTGCTACCTGTTATCTTAACTTTATATATTACAATATATCTATATTAACTAATAATACTGTTGTTGCTGCTGTTAACTGTTATTGTTGTTCAAATTTGAAAAGAAAAGAAAATAATAATTAGTAACCAATATTAACTAAATTAATTATTTAGAAATTTAATTCAACCAACAACAAACTAACTAAGTTTCACAAAATAAAATAAACAAAAAAAAAATGAGAGAGATGATGATGATGATGATGTTGATGATGTTAATGTAGATGATGATAAAATTATTATATTTTTAGTCAAAGTAGATATTCTAATACTATTATTATTATTAATATTATTCTATTGTTATTGAATTGTTTTGATTTCAAATAAATAGTAAGTATTGTTGTTATTATCTATATCTTGATATCACAAACAGGAAAACAAAAATTGAAATAAAAAGAAATAAAAATAAAGGTGTGTGTTGCGTTGTATTGGGTGTGACGGGCGTTGATTGTATTACTATTAAAAATGTAGTTGTTCTTGAAATTGGGTGTGTTATTGAAGTTTGCTTGTAGGAATAACTTTGTTTTTTAAAATTTGAGTTTTTATTTTATTTTATTTTATTTTATTATTTATCTTTGATTAAAAAAATCTTTGTTTCTTTTTTTTTTTTTTTTTTTTTATGTTTCTTATTTGTTTGTAATGTTGTGCTAATGAGATTACTAATCATCATGATCTTAAAAACATACATATAGATAGATTTATAGATTAATCTTTCTCTCTCTAAAATAACTGACTATAACTTAACTTAAATACTTTACTTTAATTATTTATTTTTATGTTAAGTAAATTAAAAATATATATATGATTTTAATCTACTAAATATAAATAAATAAATAAATAATAAAAAGTATTATTATTGATTTGATTTGATTTGATTTATATTTATACAACTAATAAACTACAACTCCAAACAAACAGTCTCACTCTTTATTTTTACTAATTTTTGTTTTTTTTTTTCTATTGTATTCTATCTCTCACACAAAAGACTGCTGTAGATTTTTGTTTTTTTTTTTTTTTTTTGTGCAAAAATTTTAATTGTTTTTTTTTTTTTTTTTTTTGTTGTTTCTTTCAAAGACTCTGAGTGAATGACTTTTTTTGATAAAATTTGTGTGGAAGCCAAACCAAACAAAAAAAAAAAAAACAATGATAAAATTGATAGCGGATATTTATTGTTTTGCAAAAAAATTTAAAAAAAAAAAAGAAGTTGGTTCAAAGATTTAAAATGAGTTTGGGTTTTTTTTTGAAAATTATTTTGATGAGAGGATGGTGTTATGTGGTGTTTTTTTAATAAAGATATATTAATGTCAGATAAACCAATTGGCTATAAAAAAAAAACAAAAAAAAACAAAAACAATTAAACTAAAAAAGGTGCAAACACATTTTTGAGTAGGCATGTAACTATTAAACCAAGTTTCAATCAATCAATCAATATATTGTCAATTTCATTGTAATTAGATTGTGATCTCCAGTGAAATTGGAATTGGAAGTGGTGTGTAGATTGATTGATGAATGATTAATTGTTTATAATTTATCGGTGTGTTTGAATGCGTGACTGACCGACTGATAAATTGGTTGATTGATTTGATTAATTGATTTTAAGTAAAAGAAATGATAAGATATACATACATATTTAATATATTCAAATATTTATTAATAGAGCAACTGTTTATTCTAAATACGCTTTGTTTAATTTTTAAAAAAGGACACGCCGATCTGTTTGATTCCAATACGAGATGAGATTATCTAGTAGTTGATTCTATATTCTTTCGTTTCAAAATGTTGATGACTAACGGATTTAGATTCGAAAGAATTGTCCAATATAACAGTATAGTAATAGTGAATTACTAAATAAATAAAAACAAATAAACTTGCAAAAAAGTAATGCGTCGGAAAACAATGCTTATAAAAAAACCAAAACCTTTTTAATGTTTGTGGTGCAAAAAATTTTTAAATCTGCAGCCTGATATTTGGTTGATCTTTAAAGACAAAAGAAGTTCATTTTACAAGATTATAATTATGATTTCTAATATTTGATAACAACGAGATAAAAATAATTTTCTTTATTTACAAGTATTACTTACTATCATTTACTTTCCAATTAAGTAAATGATATTTTAATTCGCTTTTCATCTTTTACAGATGTAATTCATTGGGTTATAATCAAAGAATATCAATTAATTGAAAACATCAAATTTTCATATATAATTTTATTTGATTGACGAAATTCAATTAATTGGTATTGTTCAATGTTTTAATATTATTACATCAAAGATTTTCGCTTTTTTCTTTTTTTTTTTTGTGTTTTCATTTTTTTTTATAGTTTTATTTATTAAAGATGGATAGTGGTGATGAAGATGATCATCATCAAAGAGAAAATGATGGTAATAATAATAATAATAATGATGAAGATGATGAGTTAGATCAACAGAATATTGATAATGATAACGATGACGAGCAAGAAGTTGAAGAGCAACAAGTAGGTCCAGATGGAAAGAAGCTTCGACCATCACAGATACTATCACTTCAAAGAGCCAAAACAGTACATGGAAAGAATCCCACCTCTCTAGTTGAAAAGATCGTTAGAATAAAGATACAATCTCATCCATATTGGAAGGAGAAATGTATGGGTTTAAATGGTAAATTATAAAACCTGTTTAAATTTTTAAAAGAAAACAACATAAAGATATCAATTTACTAACCATCTTTTTTTTTTTGTATCGATCATTATTAGAGTCAACATTGGTTGATAGAGCAATGTCGTTGAATTCATTCGGTGGTACGTTCGGAGGAAATAAACAACCGACACACTTTTTGTGTTTGATGCTAAAGATGTTGCAGATACAGCCGTCGATGGATATCGTCGTTGAGTTTATCACTAACGAAGATTTCAAGTATGTGACGGTGTTGGGTGCTTTCTATTTGCGACTGGTTGGCAAGCCTTTGGAGATCTATAGATACTTGGAGCCGTTGTACAACGACTATCGAACGATTAGACTACAGTTGGACATTGGATATAGAAAGCTATCGATGGATGAGTTTGTCGAGGAGCTACTCACCACCAACTATAGTCTAGACATTGCATTGCCGCATCTTCCACCTCGTTCTTCACTCGAGGCAAATGCAGGACTAGAGAAGCGTATCAGTGCATTGGTAGAGCTAGAGAAAATCGATATCGATGATTTAACACAACAGGTCATCGATGAGTTGGATCAACTCGAGAATAATAATAATAATAACAATAATTCAAATCAAGAGAAGACCAGTAAACCAAAGAAATCTACAGAGAAATCAGAATCAGATATCACCAATAATAATAGCAATAACAACAAAGAAAAGTCAAGAACCAGTAAAGATAGAATGGATATAGATAGAGACACTCGAGATAGAGATAGAGACAGGGACTATCGTGACAGAGATATAGATAGAAACAGAGATAGAGACAGAGATAGAGATAGGGAAAGAGAGAGAGACAAAGACAGAGACTATCGTGACAGAGATAGAGATAGAGATTATAGAGACAGAGACAGAGGTAGAGATAGAGACAGAGACTATCGTGACAGAGATAGAGATAGAGATTATAGAGACAGGGACAGAGATAGAGATAGGGATGGATACAGGGACAGGGTCTATCATGATAGAGATAGAGATAGAGATAGAGATAGAGATAGAGATAGAGATAGGGATAGAGCTTATGGTAGAGACAGAGATGGAGATGAAAGAGATAGTAGAAAGAGAGATAGAAGTCCAGTGAAAGAAAAGGAGCAAATTTTAGGAGAAGAGAAAATCAAAAAGAAAAAAGATGTTTCAAAATATGAAAAAGGATCATCGTCTTTGTCGTCTTCGTCGTCATCTTCTTCTCACAAGAAAGAGACAGAAGGAAAATCAGACCAACAAGAAATTGATGAAATGAATGCACTCAGAGCTAAATTAGGTCTAAAACCACTTAAACCATAATAAAATATATATTTTTTATATAATTTGATTTTATTTCCAATTTTAGTAAAATCATTTTGTAAAAAAAATAATAAAATGGAATTAACAACAATTTTTTTACAATTTAACAAACACAGAAATCTTTGCAAAAAACACTCTATTTTGGGGGTGGTGGTATTGATTTTATTGATTGGGGGTATTGAACATCACTAAAATACAATTATATTTTTAATTATTTTTATTGTTTTTTTTTTTTTACCGTTATTCTTCCAATATTCAAAAAAAACAAACACACTAAAATTCAAAATTAAAAACAGTGTATTATATTTTCATATTAATCAATATTATCTATATTAATATAAACTATATATATATCCATCTTACCAGATCATCATATATTTATTCATAAAATTCAAAATTTTATTTATTTTTTAAATTGGTATGTATTTTTTTTTAATCAAAAAATGTAAATTATTACTAACATTAATTATTTATTATTTATAATCTACATCACACAATCAACTAATCTATAAATTAATTCATTCATTAATAGTTAAATTAAAAAACCAATTAAAGTTTTTTTTTTCCAATCATTTTTTGTTCAACTTACAAAAGTTTCAGAATTGGAACGATCAATCATCAATAAAAAATGGCAAGAACTTCAGGAAGTGGAAAGAAATCAAAAAAGTCAGAGGATGTAGAGAGTGACGATCCACAGGAAGAGGAGGTTAAGAAAACAACAAAAAGAAGTAAATCAAAAGAAACAAATGATAAAGAATCATCAAAATCATCAAAATCATCAACAACATCATCATCATCGAAATCTAAATCATCTTCTGCAGCAGCTTCTTCTTCATCATCGAAAAAGAAACCATCAGTAGTTGTCCCAGAACCATCACCAAAAACAAACTTTGTATCTGAAATCGAAGATGATGACGATGAAAACCTTCCCTATGGATTGAGTGACAGCGATAATGATGATGATTATGATGGTGAACAGAAACACGAATCGATTGTATCATCAAGATCAACAAAGTCGAATGGATTGCAACCGGAGTATGAAGAGTTATTTTACACACCAAAGAAAAGACATCATAGAAAGGGCAGTCGTGATAACAACAAAGATGATGACGCCGAAGATAACGATCTGATGTATAAGCGACCGGTTGGCCAAGCGGTAACACTTCTTCAGTATTACGATCAGACTGTAAATTATACTCGTGAGATGTTGGAGCAGTTGTCTCGTCAGATCCGTAGACATCCAATGTTGGCAGCTCGCTCCTATCGATTCCTCCACAAAGGACTGACCACAAAGATTAGACATCAAAAGATTCAGGTGGCGATAAGTGGATTGTTGGCATTGTCGTTGATTGCACTCTATATATTTTCACCACTGCCATCGGTACACCGTTTTGAGTTGTCACCGACATCACCCACCATGCAAGAGGACAAGAGTTCACCGGTCGGTTTCGACGACGACTTTGACTTGCCACTCCAACAACACAATCATACTGCATTCAAAGAGAATTGGGCACGTTTCTCTGTTGTGGGAATCTCCAACTATCTCTGTGGTAATTACAACTTCAATCCTATCATGGATGCTATGATGCCGCCTGGCGATGAGCTGCATAATGTACGAATCTTTGGATCGGCACTCTTTGCAGGAGTTGTTTTGTTTGTCTTGTGGTTGTGCGCTACTCGTTTGGCAGAACGCGAAATCATTTTGGATTCAGGACTTGCCGGGCAGATTACACATGGTATACTGACAATCGTTGTCATCCCAATAGCATCATCCGCATTCTGGGCATTGCTCGCACTCTACTTTACTCAGACGATGGTTGTTTCCTCTGGCGTGCCAAATGTAACACAGGGCAAAGAGGATATATTCAAATGTGTCAGCAAGCTAAGCAATGGCATGCAGGAACTAATGACATTCTCACCGATTCGCGAGTTATTGGTGGGAGCCGTCGGTATCTCTGTGAGAATCGCCAATGCCATGTGGAAAACTCCGGTTCAGGCACTGGCTTTGCACGACCGTGCTGGATTGCCGGCAGAGGCAATGGCGCCAATCTCTCTCATGTGGTGTCTGGTGATAGGAACAGCGATCTACTATCTCATTACGATTGTATCATCGATCTACACGATCTTCCACGACAACAAAGTTCTCAATCATCAATCGCAGTACAACAGGCAGCAGTTGATCGATCAAGAGCTGATCACTATCGATCTGAAATCACTACCGTCGTTCCTTCCCGAGGTAGTAGCAACACAAAACTTTATAGTCACAGTGATCTTGCTGGCAGCGGCCTTTGCACTCTGGATATTCGGACTGCCAAAGTGGAGAGTCCACGAAGGAGAAGCATTCTACGTATTCTTGGCATTGATGCCATTGATCAAAGCAGTCTACAATCTAATCGTTATCGATCAGCGAAAACAAAAGATACCAAACCCACAACCACATTTACAAACAATCATTGATGAAGATGTAGAATATGATTAAAAAACAAAAAAAAGAAAAAGAACAGATATTTAACTTTTAAAAGAAGAAACAAAAAGAAAAAAAAAAACAAAACTTAATCAAACAGAATAATAATTTAAATTAAAAATGTATTAAAGATTTTATTTCACATTAAAATATTAAACGATTATTATAACAATTCTAATTTATATATATATATTCTTTTTATTATTTTTTTATAAAAAAACAAAAGTAAAAGTTGTTTGTTTTGTTTTGAATTATTGGATCAATATGTGATTCATGAAACTTTGGGGATTTGATTGTTTAACGAGTTACAGAGTAGGATTTAACAGTCTTCAAGAGTTGAGCAGCCTCTTTGTTATTGACAAAGTGATCTCTAACTGGTTGGAGAATCTTGTTGAGGGCGAGGGCAACAGCTGGTTTCAAATCAGATGGATGAAGTGCACCGGAAGCATAGTCGGCCTCGAGGTCGGCGTATTTGGTGTAGGTCTTGGTGCCACCGTTCTTCTCGTCACGAACGATGGTGAATTCCTCAAACTTTTGCATGATGATGTGCTTGATGTAATCGAGGATTGGATTCTTCTCGATGACACCCGGTGGGCAGTAACCCTTCTTGATCTTCAAGTTGACGTCAGATTCAGTGTCCTCCATGAAGATGGCAGACTCTGGGTCGGACTTGGACATCTTCTCTTGACCCTCCTTGAGACCCATCAACATGTGATGCGAAACAATGACTGGCTTGTGCTTCATCTTCAACTTATCGCAGTATTCCAAAGCCAACATGTTGACCTTACGTTGGTCCATTCCGAGCTGACAGATATCCGCCTTGAGGTAGAAGATATCGGCACACTGCATACATGGGTATAAAACTTGGGCGACCGAGAGATCGTCCTCGTCGTTACGACCCATAATTTGGGCGCAACGCTTGATTCTTGGGATATTGAACTTTCTTGAAATATCCATAACCTTTAACCAATAGTCGTTTGCATTCTTATTGATCTCATCAGATGACCACAAAAACTTTACATTTTCCATATCCATACCGGTTGCCTTCCAGATCTATTATAATATTGATTATGAAATTAATTAGTTAGTTAGTTTGTTTGTTTGTTTATAATTAATAAATATAAAACTAAAAAAAGATTATAATAACTTACTTCAATCAAATATTGACCAACTTTTCTAATTTTGTTCAAGTCACCACCCATTTTGTTGTTTAACATGGCGAACCAATCAGCAACCCAAAAAACAAAGGTGCAACCTGCTTTGGTCATTCTGTTGACATTGATAGACTTGAGAATACCTTGAGCAATGTGCATTCTACCAGATGGTTCGAAACCGTCATAACAAATCAATCTTTCTTTGGCAGTCAAAAGCTTTTCGAGATTCTCTTCACTGATAATCTCTTCACCTACCAACTTTATAAGTTCAACTCTTTGAGCAACAGTTAAACCGGTTCTACATTATTTAAATATATAAATATGTTAATATCGATTATCAGACTTATAAATATAAATATATATTGAAATACGTAAAAAGATCGGAAGACCGATCTCCTATTGCAATGAAATACATTGTACAATATTATTAACATTATAATTAAATAAATAAACAATGAAGACAAATAGATAACGTTGTTGATATGGTTGATGATGATGATGATGACGACTTACCCAAGTGGCTTCTCTGGAGCTGGAGTAGCAGTGGTGGTGGTGGTTGAAGATGATTGTTGATCTTCAATCTTTAATTCCTCAACTTTCTCAGTAATGTTTGTTTCAGACATGATTTATTGTTTATATTAAAACCTAGTAAACAATAATAAACAATTATAAATTGTATACAATTTGATAAATATAGATTTTATTTAAAATTAAACCAAAGATTAATCTGGTTTTTAAAGTTTTTCTTTCAGTTCATGACAGTCCAAACAAGAGAAATTCTTAAAAAAAAACAAATGAAAGTTTTTCTCAACGTTACAATACCACACACAATCTTAAACAAATGAATAAAAATAAAATAATACAAATTATTGTTATTTTATAAAGAACACAAACAAACAAAAATGTTTAACACATTTAGTTATTGAAGATATTTTTGAAACGAATATTTTTTTATAATGATTTTTTAATGTGAGAATACGATGTGTCATTAATGAAATACTCCTAACAATTTAATTGTTTGTTTGTTTGCAAAAACAATTCCTTTTTTTTTTTTTTTCAGATTCGAACATTAATCATTCATTAATTTATTTAATGATAGTAAATCATATCATTCATTTGTAGTAATATTACATAGTTATTTATTTATTTATATAAATTCAATTACCAACTGAATTCAACTCAGTGATTAGATAGATATCTTATTAATTAATTAAGATAGTTACATCAAAAAAAGAAGAAGAAAAAGTGAAGTAAGAAGTAAAGATCACTTTCTAGTATTTATTATATATATATATTAAAATAATAACATATTATAGTAAATAAATAATTTTAAACAAAAATATGATATCTGGAGTTACACAGTGGTTAACATGTGGTGGAAAGAGTGTTGATAAATGGTTTTTTGGTGAGGGCGAAGACGAGAGTGATTCCAGTGATAGTAATGAATCTCTTGGAAGTTCAGAGCGTTCAGATGACTTTGACGAAACTTCTGAAGATGATTCCGATGGAAGTGATACATTAAGAAAGTCAAAGAAGAAGAGATCTCAAGAAGATCAGAAACAATATGATAAATACAATAATCCACAATACTTTGGTCAACTCTATAGTTGGGGTTATAATTTCTATGGTCAATGTGCATTAGATAATAATCATAATCATAATAATAATAATAATAACAAACAAACAGTTGATGAAGATGACGATGATAGTAATTTTAATATTATAAAACTACCAACTCTAATAAAACAAGGTTTAATTGTATCGATGATTGCGTGTGGTGATAGCCATGCGCTTGCAGTGCTACCAAACGATGCTACAGTGCTGTCGTGGGGTTGCAATCGTTGGGGTCAGCTTGGTCTTGGTGACCAGGTCAATCGTTGTCATCCTACACCGATATCGGGACTATCGCAGTCGATTCCGGTGTTTGTAGCGGCTGGTTCACAGCATTCTTTTGTACTTTCAAAGTTTGGCGAGTTGTTTTCGTTTGGGTGTGGAACGTTCGGTCGTCTCGGTCATGGTAATGAACTGCCGTCATTCAATCCACGTCCGATTTCAACGCTGGTTGGCAAGCATATTGTGAGTGTCGCCGCCGGACTGATGCACTCGGCAGCGGTCGACAGTCAGGGTGCTCTCTACACATGGGGATGGAATCGCTATGGACAACTCGGACTTGGCACAGTCAAGAAACACACGCTTCCCAACAAGAATAAAGAGTTGGAGCGTTTCAACATCGTAAAAGTGGTTTGTGGAAAGAATCATACATTGGTGCTCGACGTCAATGGTCATGTATATAGTTTTGGTTTTAACGTGTGTGGACAACTCGGTATTGGAAGTTACACAGATTCGATCAAACCAAACAGAATAGATTTGGATTTGAAACAAAACGATGAAATTATAGATATTGCTGCTGGATACTATCATGTATTATTATTAACAAGTAAGTATTATTATAGAATAGAATCAGAGTAAAGTGTCATTCTAACTAATCTTTATATTATTGTTTTTAATTTTAGAAAAAGGATGTGTTTATTCATTTGGATATATAAGTGATGGTGCTCTTGGACTTGGTGATGTAGTTGGACATCAAAGTAGGCCAAAGTTAATGCCTTTCTCACATTTCAATCATGAATTCAATGATTCGATCGATTCCTACAAAGAGATTTATGGAGAGTATAACAGTGATAGTGAAAACGATATCAATAATAACAATGCTAAACTGCCACCCAAAGTGGTTGAACTACATAATGAGATTGGCGATGTGGCCGTAAAGATTGCTGCCGGCGGTTGGCACAGCGCAATCATTACAAGTTCAGGTCGATTGTATACTTTTGGATTGGGTGATAACTTTAGACTGGGAAATAACTGTCAAGAAGATCAAGATATGCCGTGCATAGTCAATAAGGAAATATGGGGTGTCACCAAAGAAACTACCGATCTCAACATACTACAGAATGATTTAGACTCGATGTCACTACTGGAGAAACGAAAGAATCGATCAAAGAGTCCGAATTCAATGACAGGTGTAACAACCAACCGAAACAATTTAAACAGCAATGGATTACCACCAAGAGAGAACATAGAAGAACCAACAGAATCTGAAAACTCAACGACAAACCAACCAACAACGACAACAACACTCAACAATTCAAATAATCATAATTTAAGCCCACCAACTTCACCAGAAAGCAATCATTCAATCAAAACTGTCAATGTACATACAAAAGTAGTTAATGTTGTAATCGGATCTGCATTTACACTGGCAGTCGTTAATTCAACGGTAACGAAGACTTAGTACAAAGGTGACCTCCCTTTCCAAACAGAAAAAAAAAATGAAACAACAAAAATCAAATCAAATCAAATAAAACTCTTTTTGTTAAAGAGTTAGTTTATCTGTATTTAAAACTCAAAGAATATGGAATCAATCTAAATTATTTTAAAATTAAATAGTGTTATTATTCTTTGTTTATTCGTTCGTTTATATAAATATATTTGTAAATTTTGTCGTTAATTAATAATTTAGAATTTATCGATATTAGCAACTTTACCACCTGTAAAGATTGGAACTGTCTTTAATTGGATTGGATCGTCAATCTCTTTAACTTTAGTTCCTATCGCTCTTTGTTTGTATTTATAGATTCCGAAAGCGGCCAACATTGCAACTAAGATGGCACCGATAATTACAGCCGCAATCCAACCAAGGTTCTTCTTTTTAGCTGAGCAACCATCGATTGTGATGCTTTGTTGTGTCGATGAACATCCAGAATCAATGTTAATAAATTGTACAGTGTAATCTCCAGAGTCAATGTCGAGTTTAAATTGATTCGAGTTGGTTTCGTTGAAGGCATAGGTGAATGAGAGATCGTTGGTGGCGTCCTTGGAGTTATTGATGTTGATTCTGTAGTTTCCAGATGCTGGTGAGCTGAGAACTACTGTCTCACAATCGGAAGTGTCAAGTTGTGCCTCGAAAGGTGTCTGAACATTAACAGAGTGGGTAACGACAGGCAATCTTCTACGACAGATTGGCTCGGTAATGTTGACTTGTACAGTGTGATTGGCTCCCGGTAGTAATTGAAGATTGGCGTGATCTACCTGTAAGACACCATCGATCGATATATTGTAGGCGAGCGAGCTGTCGATTCCAAATGTGATGTTCAACGAAGATGACTGAGTGGCAGAGCAAACCTCCAATGAGTTGATTGACAACGATGGTTCGTTTCCAGTGATGATCAAGTCAGTTCTTACTGGACAGAATGGATTGTCGAAATTAGAGTTGATCAGAGTGTAGAAACCAGATGGTAGATTTGTAAAGTCATTGTCACTCTGTGCAAGATTAAGGCCATTGATAGGGATATAAAGGTTTGAACCGAAAACAGTTGGAAGTGTTTGTTGGTCGAAGGTTTGAATAGATTTTTCGAGTATTTCTGGACCTTCAGCAGTATCTAATCCTGTCCATCTGATCAATTGGTAATTTCCTGAGGCTTTGGGTAATGAGAGTGTAGCATCATTTGCACCGGTACAAACTTCTCTAGTGGAAGAGGCTCCTCTTGGAAGAGTGACATTCAACTGGAAGACAAGATCTGGACCACTGTTATTTTCCATACAAAGAGCTTCCTTATAAACGTAACTTATTGCATTATTGCCGATATTTGGAATATAGGTCAACTGTCCATTGGAGTCAAATGGAATACCGTCCATCTCCAAAGTTGTAAAGAGTTGATGATTTTTCACGGTAACAGTAATGTTTTGTTGTCCACATCCCGATGCGTAGGTGACTTCATAGATGGGTACTGGAGTGACTGGATTGACTACTTTGGCAGTAAATTTCTTTTGACAAACATGATTCCAATGGACGGTGAATGGTAGATCAAAGTTTTGTTGTGCCGAAGCATAGAATAGTTTTTGTGGGTAGAGTGCGGAGGTGTAAGCGTTGGGGTCCGAAGAATTAACAAATCCAAAGTCGACATTTGGATTGGCCACTTGGATGTCAATGATTGGGGGTGCAGTGCATGTAGCTTGACTCACTGTGTAGGTAATCTTGGGGTCGTCCAAATCAATATCCAGAGTATCTTCAAAGACACAACTTCCAAGGATTAATCTGAATGTCTGGTTTGGACCTGGTGCGACTGGGACAGATGTGTATGTGTATCCAGTGTTACCCAAATATATTTCAGCTTGATTGGAAACGCCATCAACTGTGAGATTGTAAGCAAGCAGACCATCAGTATTGCTGCAGGTGGGTTTCTTGATGAACTGGGGCACCATAACAACACTTTTGATGTTCAGGGAAACTTTATAAGCTTCAATAGTACCTGCACAAACACCCATATAGTCAAATGATATTTGTAATGTTGGATATTCGAGGTTACTAATGACACCATCGGTTGCATTTACACCGAGATATGATAGTTCTGTGTATTTTTGATAGTCGGTAACTTTGATTGATGCAACTTGGTAAGCAGTACAATTAGTGATACCTTGGGTTTGTTCATATTGGAATTTGTAATTGGGGAGATCGTTGTAAACGGTAACATTGAGGGTGTAGGAACAACCTTGAGCAGCAGTAGAGGTTGGGGTAAACACAAATTGATAATCTCTTGGTGAGAGAGTGTAATTGTTCAGACCGATTTCCAAGGTTGCATAATAGGAATATCCGTTGATTGAAACTGCCAAATCGTTTCTAGTACTATTTACAGTGACTTGTCCTTGAGTGTAGATACAGGATGCATTCATTGTAACACTGATCGTTGGTGGATCTGCAATAAGTGGGAATGTTGGTCTGGTAAATTTAATACCGTCGACAAAACATGAAGGATCTCTTCTGGAAACAAACTCAAAGAATCCATTTGCAGAATAGGTATAATAGATTCTTGAATAGCTTTCGGTTGGAGAGGTAAAGTTTACATCGTATACAACACCGTAGGATTGTGAATCGCATGTGGGGTAAGGGTATTGTGGAGACAATGCCATCGTGTAGTTGATGTCATTAGCACTGGGATTTTCGTACACAAAATAGAGTGTGTCCAATTTATCCAATTCCTGTTGAATTCCACATTTTTTTCCATCTGGTGATTGATAATTGTATTTCAAATTGTATTTAGCTTTAACACGAGGGACATCCTCAATACGTCCATCAACCATGGAATACTGCATTCCATCATAACTAAGGGCGACACTTGAATACATCTCAGAGTTGGCAATGGTGAATGCGGTATTGTATAAACATGAACCATGTCCAGCTGGGAACTCATCTTCGACTAAAACTGGATATGGTAAAACGGGCATGATGGAATATGATGTATCTGGTCCATAGCAATTCTCTGCGAAAATATCGTATTGCATACCAAACTCCACCTCAAAAACCTTTGATTCAGTGTCGTTGAAAGGAATGGTAATACCATTGGAATCACGAACCAATGAAATATTGACATAACTTGGATAATTCAATGTCACCAAACCCTTACCACTACACAAATCAGTGTAATTAACAGAGTGTGTAATTGACATATCTATTTGTGTGAATTAATAAAAATTGTTAATTATTAATTGATTGATTGATTGAATAATAATAAAAAATGGATCATACAGGTAGTTGGTTGAGAATAATAGGTTCTAGAATAACACTCTCCATATTGTGGGAATCCAGCTTGAATTGAATATCTTGATATTGGTTCAATTGTAATATTGTTTGGACTCGGGACTATTCTATTATTTACAATCCATTGCAGAGCTGAGGCATTATAACCTTTGATCGAAGCACTGACTCTAAAGTCAACTGGACATCTGACATCGGGCTCAATGTCAATATCAATACTTGCTGATGATTCAGTTATTTGGATAAACATCTCTTGAGTTCCGCAGTCGTCAGAGTCTAACTCTAAAAGATAACCACCACGGGTTAAAAATTGATAATCTCCAGCGGTATCCGTAGAGATCTCTGATGAATTACTCAGTCTAATTGCAGTGTAGGAAGTTGGCGAATTCACCTTGATACGTCCATTTTGTCCACAAAAAGCATCGGTGACATCTACTTGAGGGATATTTTGTTTGATTGGTGAAAGAATACCTATTTCATATTGGTAATTGTTGTTTTCTCCTGTTTCGCACTTAAAGGTGTTGCTCTTAAAGGGTCTGGAAGTTGACAATTCCCATGGTCCGGTAGTCGGCATTCCATCGTCGTTGATGTTCACAACAAAGCAAGGCTCACTAAAAGTGATGTTGACCTTGCTGGCATAGCATTTTGGTTGGTCGACAGTGAGACGTGGAACGGTGATTGGGTAACTAGCGGTGATACTAGTTCCATCCCAGCAATTAAAGGTGAAATTATAATTACCACTCTGGTGGGCAACAAAACCTGGGTTTGTCTTATTGAAATAAAGACCCTCGAGAGATATAATCGATTGGAATTGTGAATTTATAAAGGGATATTGTACATAGAAATATCCTTGGCCATTTGTACCTCCAGGTTGCGCTATCATACTGGGTTTACATCCATTCGTTAGATGAAACAAACAGCCAAACGACAATACTAAAAATATTATTGAAAAATTAAATTTCATTCTTTTTCTCTCTGTACAACTAATATATTTGTTATTTTATAAATAAATAAATATATATAAAAATAAATATATCTATAGATATACAGATTTTGTTTTTAAAAAAGGCTTTAAAAAAATATTAAAGAAAAAAAAAACAGATCAAGTTTAAAAATACCTTTTAAAAAAAGTTATTAATATCCAAGGGCAGTGGGTGATCATTGTTGTTTAAAAAAATATTAAAAGAAATCAATTTTATTCCCCACTTTCACACAATGCGATATATCAAAATCAAAAAGATTTGTATCGAAAAAAAATTCATCGAAAAAACAATTTTTTTCAGTGTTGTGTAAACGTTTGCAGCAGTTTGTGGATTGGAACAAAAAAAATCAATCATTATAACTTTATTATAATAAACAATAATATAATCTCGATAAAAAAAATAAGCGTGTGTAACAGAATTGGTAACTTCAGACTCTATTACCACTAATTTTTTTTAAATTATTGTAGAACCCACTTGAGTATCGCTATTTGGATAAAATTGTTTGTGATTCTTTCTAATGTAGGACAAGATTGCAAGGATTCCGGAGGGTGTCACTCCTGGAACTCGACTGGCAGAACCTAGTGTAGGTGGTCTTGCCTCAGAAAGTTTCTGTTTGATCTCTGTAGAGAGTTGACCTATCTCCCAGTAGTTGATGGCCTCTGGTATCTCTCTGGATTCTTCCCTCTTGAAACGATCGATCTCTGCTTGCTGTCTGACCAGGTAATCTGAATATTGACACTCTGACTCGATGACCGGCACAATCAGACTTGGTATGGAACTATATACATTTTCATCGATCAAAGGTTTCAACAATGCCAAACTTGTATGTGGTCTCTTTAGAATTTCAAATATTGATTTCTTTGATCCTATATTTTCAATACCACATTTCTCTAAATATTCTGTTTAATTAATAATAAAAGATATTAATATTAATTAACATTTTTGTAAATAAAATAAATACAATAATAATATTATTATATACTTTACCATTTGGTTGATATTTTGTTTCCTTTAAATAATTCATTGTTTCATTTATAATTGATTCTTTTTGTGCGTAACGATCCAATCTCTCTTTGGTGACACTGGAATGTTGGAAACCCTTTTGAGTTAGACGTTGATCAGAGTTGTGTGCACGAAGTGAAATACGATATTCAGATCGTGAGGTAAACATTCGGTATGGTTCTGTAACACCAAGTGTTACGAGATCGTCAATGAGCACTCCGATGTATCCTTCGGAACGATCGACGATCATCGGTGATCTCGATTTATCCAAGGAGAGTGCTGCGTTGATACCGGCAACAATTCCTTGTGCTGCCGCTTCTTCGTAGCCAGTTGTACCATTGATTTGTCCAGCAAAATACAGTCCTTTTACTTTCTTTGTTTCCAGAGTAGAACGCAGTTCTCTCGGATCGACATAGTCGTATTCCACAGCATAGCCAGGACGTAACATCACCACATTCTCTAGTCCCGGAATTGTTTTCAGGAATTGTAGTTGCACATCTTCAGGCAGAGAAATACTTATTCCATTAGGATAGATTACGTCTGTATTGTAGCCCTCTGGTTCAAGCCAGACCTGGTGAGTTCTACCTTGGAATCTCTCGATTTTCGTCTCAATGGAAGGGCAATATCTTGGACCAAGACCTTTGCCGTCGACGCCACTTTCCAGTGCTGGTCTAGTGTCCAAGTTGTCCAAGATAATCTGATGGGATTGTTCGGTTGTTCTCGTCATGAAACATTGAAGTTGACGATCACGATACTTTACAGTGTCGTTCAAGAATGAAAATGGAGTTGGTTTCTCATCACCGTTTTGAATCTCCAAACCAGTGTAATCAATGGATTTACCATCTAATCTTGGTGGTGTACCTGTTTTCAGTCGTCCCAAAGCAAATCCGAATCGCGCCAATGTCTGTGAGAGCTTGGTAGCTGCGCGGTCACCAACACGTCCAGCCAGAACCGTCTTGTTTCCAACATGAATAACGCCACCCAAGAAAGTACCGGTGGTAATCACCACCTTTTTCGTCTTTATAACCGATCCGTCGTTAAGAAGAACACCGACAACACTATTGTCAGTGTCATCCAACAACATATCCTCAACCATGGCTTCACGGATATTCAGATTGTCCTGGCCTGCCAGCAAAGTGTGTATCTCCTGCTGATAGAGATCGCGATCTATTTGTGCACGTGGACCGTGCACTGCGGAACCCTTTGACTGATTCAATATCTTGAATTGACAACCGGAAGCATCGGCAGCCAATCCCATCACACCACCAAGTGCGTCGACTTCGCGCACCAAGTTACCCTTTCCGATTCCACCAATCGATGGATTACAAGACATAACACCGATGGTATTGATTGACTGTGTAATGAGAAGTGTCGAAGCGCCAACTCTCGATGCGGCGGCACATGCTTCCGTACCAGCATGACCACCACCAATCACGACGACATCGAAATCGGTACGATCCACACAGTTGGTCAAAGGCGATTTAAACCAAAGATTGGGTGCACTACTATTTGGCATCATAGTTTTAAATAATTTCGAGTGATCCAATTCATCTTGTTGTTGTTGCTTATCGACATTGTATCCATTAGAATAGAATCGTTTGTTGTTTTTCGATTCTTGTAGTAAAGATATTGATATACCTAAATCACATTCATTTCTATTGTGATTGATATTACTATTTCTAGCTGTATTATATATATATCTTATACTATTGATATTTCTTGTATTTTTACTACTAAACAATCGAATCATTTATAATTAATACAATGATATACATTCATATTTCAATAAAGTAAAACATTGATCGTTTTCAATGAAACTATCGTTTTTTTGGTTTTTTTTTGCAATTTATTTATTTTTTATTTTTTGTAAATAAATATTTTGGACTATCCACTCAATTTAGGATTTGGGTTTGGTTGTTTTTATTAAGCTAAGATAATATGAGGTTATCATGAAAAAAATAAAAAACTTATTCTTTATTCATTTATACTCTATTTAAAAATGTTACAGATTTAATTGGGTTGAATTAAATTTGAAATAAAATATCTCTAAGATTACGATTTTGAAGTTTATTTAGGAAATTATTTTTGTATAAATATTTTTTTAAAAAAATAAGAATCTTAATGAGAAACAAAATAAGTATAAGATTTCATGATTCTACCTAGATTCTTTATGTATAGCTTCAATTTTTGAAATGATGGAAATTCAATAAGATAGTAGAAAAATCGTTTAGTATATATACAAGCAAAAAGATCTCTATCTCCAAGAGAAAAATAGTGAACTCCATTCCAAATATTTTTATTTTTCTGTATCTACATATTCTTACATAAAAAGATTTTTTATTTACCTAAAACAAAATGATTTTTAACATTTTACATATTTCTTGATTTTTTTTTTATTTTATTTATTCAAATTTGTTTGTTCTCTTTTTAATAAAAAACTATTCAAAATTAACAAACCGACATTTAATTATACAAATGATTCCTGTTGTAAATAAATTTCATGAAAAAAAATGAATTTTTTGTTCCGATGACCAGTGGTCATCTTGCCTCAATCTACCAAAAAAAAAAAAAAAAAAAGATTCTTTGCAAAAATTGTTCTCGAAATTACCAGTACAAACAATTTTTTGATTTTTCATGCATTTTAGATGTGGGTTTTTATTTTTTAGTTTACTTTCAGTTCTATTATTCTATTTATTTTATTTGTTTTTTTTTTGTTTATTTATTTATTATTTGTTTGTTCAATCATCGATCGATCTATTATTTATAATACTTTTTATATATTTATATATTTATATTTGTACTACATCACTTTGTAACATACAGACAATTGTACTTGAAATAGAGAGATAGAATCGTAACGATTAGCAAGAGAGCAATCTTTTTTTTTTTTGATCAAAAAAACACATTTAGTTTATTTGTTATTAGCTATATAGCGAAAAATGATACACAAGATTGGATACTATAATCATATACCATGGTTCAGTAAGCAGCATATCGGTGATTGGGTGATGTGCATTGTCATCTTCCTTACGGAAGCAGTGTTGTTCAATTTCTTGATACAACCATACGATAGATATATGCCAGATGGATTCGCATTCCAACTGATTCAATACCCAATGAAGCCAGACATCGTTCCAACATGGGCGTTGATGTTAATCGCATTTGGCATACCAATTCTTATTTTCTCTGCATTCTACTATTCACATCGTTGTCTCCATGATTTCCATCATGCATGTCTCGGTTTAATTCAAGTAAGTAATATATATCTTTATAAATCAACTGTATCAAACTATTATGTTTATTTATCAATGAAACTTATTAATTTACTAACTCTTTTTTTATTTATGTTATTTAAATAAAAGACATTTACAATGACAATGTTATTTACAGATTTTCTAAAGGTTTTGGCAGGTCGCTATAGACCATCATATGGAGCCAGATTCGATACAGAAAATAAATCGTTGATTCATGATGGTAGAATGAGTTTCCCATCGGGTCACTCATCGATTTCATTTGCAACAATGACATTCCTTTCATTGTATCTCTGCGGTAAACTAAAGGTGTTCCGCAGAGAAGGTGCACCAACCTGGAAGATTTTCATCGTTCTTACACCCTACATGTTATCTGCATTCGTTGCTGTTTCAAGAACCATGGATTATCACCATGATTTTTCAGATGTAAGTCTTTTATTTATATAATTATCTCTTTCAAACATCAAATTGATGAAAACAATATCTAATATTCATTCGCTAATTCATTTTAATTATTTATCTAGATTTTAGGTGGAACTGTGATTGGATTGTGTATGGGTGCATTTTTATATAAAACCAACTTTAATGCTCTGACATCAAAGGAGTGCTCATTACCAAAGAATCGTATCAATCCACACTATGCAAAGGATGGACTGCTATTTGCTGAGAAAGACGATACTCTATTATCGATAAATGTACTCTGAACATCAATATTGATCACTCACTAATCAGAGTAGTAGTAATAATAATAATAAATATTTAATTTAATAAAATAAAGATATCTTTTTTTTTCTCTTTTATTTTTATATTTAGATTTGATTGGTGTCATAATCATATTCTGATTCATCATCAATCACAAAGTTTATCCCCCATTCCAATAAATTAAATATTTTTTTAAATAAATTTCAAAATTTTCAAAAAATTTTCTTCCTTTTTTTTTTAATTTAGTTTGGTTGATGATTTGTACAAAACAAAAGTTTTCATCAAACTATTGTTAAAATATTCATACATATAAATATAATTCTTTTGTATTATTAACTTTTATATATCTAAAACAAACTAAACAAACACAAAGATGTTGATTAAAGTAAAGACTTTGACTGGTAAAGAGATTGAAATCGATATCGACCCAACTGACAAGGTATTGTATTAATCAAAAGATAAATAGGATAGCAAATGTGTTTGTCTGTGACATTATCTAACATTTGTTCAATTAATTACTTATTTAAATCTGTGTAGATTCAACGTATTAAAGAGAGAGTTGAAGAGAAAGAAGGTATCCCACCATCACAACAAAGACTTATTTTCGGTGGTAAACAAATGTATGTTTTGATTCATTTAACTTTATTCAAAAGTGTACTTTTGAATTTTCTTTTCAATAAACTTTACTAACAATATAACAATAACAACAACAATTGATAATAATAATAGGGGAGATGAAAAGACTGCTAAAGATTACTCAATTGAAGGTGGTTCAGTACTTCATTTGGTTTTAGCTCTTCGTGGAGGTTTTTAAATAGAAATAAAGACAACTGTTAATTTAATATAAATATCTTTCTTTAAGATCATACTTTTTCATCTTTACTCATCAAAAAAAAAAACTAAAAAAAATATAAGATAAGATTAGATATAAATAGAATGAGATCTTTAAAATATAAATATTATTATGATTGTATTATATTGTTGACATTTTTATTTATTGTACGTATTTATTATCTATTTATTATTTAAAAACTATAAAGTAATATTAAAACAACTTGAAGTATTGCAACGGCAAAAACAAAGTATTTTCTCTTGGTTGTTCCTTCAAAGTGATGCATATCGGAGTGCATATTGTTGTCATTTAATAATACAACCCTTAGAGTGCAAATCTATAATTGAATCAGCGAGATTAGTAATCAATCTAAACTAATTGGTGTGGTGTAATACTCTCTATTAATTAATGATTACATACCATAAACCATCCAATACAAGCAATGGTGTAGAGACGAACGAATAGCGATACTGCACCACCAGCCAACATTGTTGCTACCATAGTTAATACCAACCTAAAAAACACAAGATTCATTGAATCAGTTAGTAAATTAAATAAATAATAATAAATTATTATTAGAGTTGATACTTACAATACATATTTATAACCACTGTATGCAATCATATCGTACATTGGAATGGAATAGGAGTTTGTAAAGAAGAATCCGAGTTTGAAGAAACCGATTTCCAACAACCAAAAGATGATACCTTTGCTGATGGATGCACCAAGCTTGTCTGGAGAGAAAGAGTTTTTCATTCCCATTTGGAATCCGAATAATAAAAAGTAAGTTACAAATGCCATCATTGGAATATATAAATCGGGTGCATTGATATCATCTCTTGGTGGAAGATAATGGTCGTTATCTCCTTGTTTCAAAATTCTTCTTTTCCACAACTAAAGTGTATTTAATGATATTTTGAATGTCAAATTAGATATTACTGATTCATTCTAATACCTAGTTGTTAAGTATATTATTATTATTTACCTTTTGACGGAATGGGAATAATATTAATTTAATCTTATTGAATACATATGATGTATTTACATTGAAATATCCCTTCAACGATGAGAATGAAATGTATTTTCCAAGCTAATCATATTTATATTATTTGATTTGATTTGATTTGATAAGTAAACTAATATATTTAGTGTAAGTATAGATGATATACATACATTTGAATCTACATATTGCTTTCCACCATTGAACAAAGTTTGACCATAGTTAATACCGTATGATAAACTTGCTTGTGCTAATGGGTTGCTTGAAAAGTTTGAAATAAATTTATTACTATCAAAGTTACCATCGGCCAATCCAGGTGGTGAATATTGTGGATTCTAATAGGCAAAGTCCCAAATCGAGTATTAGTATCATTCATTTAATATTTATAAACGATCTAATAGTGACAACTTACATGTCCGTATTGTGGTACATCTCTGTGGAATGCTGGTTGTTGAGTGGCATATTGATTTTGATTTGATTGATTCCATTGTTGTTGACCTTGCTGTTGTACATTGGAGTATTGCTGTTGTTGTTGTTGACTTGGTTGTTGTGGTGATTGGTTGTAGTTTTGGTTATATTGATCTACATTAATGTATATATTTATATATATATTGGATTAAAATTAACACATTTTTTCATTCTATGAATATAGTTTTAAAGTTGTAAGATTAATGTATGAAACCTACCCATTGATGGATAACTTGGACTACTCATTTTTTTTAAAAATTTACTTTATCTAATTGTAACAACTAGTTATTTTATATAAAAAGTAAAGTTAATATTATTATTTAGTTATAGTACTTGACTAAAATAATAGATATAATTATTATAAAGAATGGTGAAGATGTAAAAAAAACTTCAATGTTTTAAAAATAATCAAAAAAAAAAAAAAATTTTTTTTTTTTTTTTAAGGGTCACCAACAACAATGACTCATGAGCAGCATTGTTTTTTCCTAATTTAATATATTTCATTATCTTTTTATTATTATTGATTGAAACAAAGACGTTATATTAAAATTGGGTATTATTTCAATAAATAAATACAAATTGTTATAATTGTTAGATTTCTTTAAAAACAAATAATTTATTTATTCCATTTTCTTTCAAACGATGTTGATCTTGTTCTATGTGGTGTTCTCAAAGGAGATATCGTTATTTCAGTATTTATATCATTATAATTATTGTTATTATTGTTGTTGTGTGATGATAAAAACATTGGAAGTGATGTGGATGGAATATTATTAGGTGGTGAAAAGTTTTCATTGTAAAAGATATTATCGTTACTATGATCATTATCATTATTCAAATCATGTATGGTAAGTGGAAGTGTTGGTGATAATGAATGTATATTTTGATGATTTAAATAGAGTGGTCTCTCTATTGTCGATGATGATGATGTTGTTATGCTTGTTGATTGTGGTGTGCTAAGATGATCATAGTCCTGTGGTCCAAAGTCAGAGGCAGCAGCCGTTGGTTGTTGTATACCGCCATTCTTCTTGGCGTTGTTATTGTTGTAGTTGTTGTTCTGATGATTCGTACTAGTACTTGGTGTAACAATGTTGAAACTAAAGACACCCTGAGAGATACCGCCAAGAGTACGTCGTTTCGATCCCGCCAACATATTCGATATTATCTTATTGAAGAAAAGATCCAGTTTATTGTAGTTATCCGATTCCTTCTTAAAACAATTGGCTTTTAATGCTGACTTTTTGAATATTCAGAAAAAGTTAGTTCTATAAAATATTTAGAGGTAAAGATGATGATTGATATTAATTTAATACTATACTTACAACAGAAATACTTAATTTACCAAGTTTATCGTTTGCAATATAGTTTCCATCGTGATAGAGATCCGATTTGTTACCGAGTATGAGTAGCGGTATGCTGGGTGCTTTGTTGTTTTGATGTACAATGTTTTCGAGTTCCAATAACTTTGGATTCTCTGTTTCTTTTAGTTGCCAATTGGCTGTAGATGTAGAAATCTTATTAAGTACTTCGAATATCCATTTTTTAACATTTGAAAGTGAATTCTTATTGGTTACATCGTAGACAACTATTAAACCATTGATACCACTGTAGAATAGCGATCTTGTTATCTTGTATTTAGCTGATCCACCAACGTCTAGAAACTCTATAAAATAATCTTTAGAGTGATATTCATGTATCTATTTTAAAAATAACAATAATAACAGTTATTAATAATTAGTTTCTATGTTGTGTAGTTCGATTAGTAGTATATTCATTACTTTAATATCAGTATTACAACCACATGTCCATGAAGGTGAATCTATAACTTGATTTTTACAAATAAGGTTGACTAATGATGTTTTACCTGTTAATTAATCATTAATCATTGATCATTAGTTAGATATATATGAATGATATCATAATAGTAATCATGATTTGCAACACAACATTAAACATACCTACTGTTGTATCACCAACTACAGCAATTCTAACTTTATCAAAACAATTAAAACTATCAAAAGAGTTGGTTGACAGAAGTGATGCTCTTAATGAAGATGAGCTATTGTTATTATTACCAACACCACTACTATTATTATTTAGACTATTGTTATTGTTTGTTGAACTTTTAGTAAAGTTTGAAAAGAATGATTTCATTATATATACATATATACATATTAATAATATAAATACAAAAGAAAAATAAGAAATAAAAAGATATTTATTAAAATGTTAAAAAATTAAACAATTATAATGGTGGTGGTGATTCATCAACAGTCATAACTCAAAATCAATGAAGTGCTATCTTTAAAAATGAACTCATCAATAAAAACGAATTAAGTTTTTGATCTCAAGTTCAAACAAATACGTTTACATTTGTATTATTAATATAATTATTTAATATTATTTATTAGTTAGAGATATGGAATTATTACATTCATTTGGTGTTGGATCATCAAGATATATATCATGTATCAATGATGATGATAATAATAATGAATTTGAAATAACACTTGCTATTGGACCGTCGGTTTGCAAATGGGATATAAAAAGAGGTAGACAATTATTATTTAAACAGTTACATTCAGATGTTATTACTTGTTTAGTTCGTTTGTCAAATAGCTATTATATCAGCGCATCTTACTCTGGTGATGTCGCTATCTACAACCATCAATGGCAGTCGCTGGTCGAGTTCAAGCTACCTCTTAGAGAAGATATACCTAACGATTGTATAAAGATAATGCATCTCTCTTATTGGATAGATCCAAACGATAGTAATCTTATTTACGTTGGACTATCGAGTGAGCATGGAAATTGTCGTGTCTATATTGTCAAATTTGATATGACTGAGAAGTTGGCGAGTTTGGCAGCGACTCTAGATGGAAACCTTTATTTCTATGGTGAGCTATTCGATTGCGATAAGATACTGGTCGTTAGACAGGACGTAGGAAAAGACGGCTATCAAGATGCACGTACACTCAAGGTTGGAGATAATAAGATAGAATTGGTCACTCTGAATTGGCGCACCGGTCAGACACTGAATAAGCTGGAATCACCTGGAAAAGGTTGCACTGCACTGGTTAGAGATATATCGAGCAACATCATCACTCTTACTCGTGGAAGAGTAATCCAAGTATTAGATATGGATACATTAACTATCAAATGGGAAATAGAAACAGCTGGAAGTGGATTGATTAAAGATCTTCTGTTAACTACCTCCACCAATGAATCTGACCAACAAAAATATCAGATAATTGTACCATCTTCAAACTCAATGATATATATTTATAATAAGATTGGAAACACCGACAGTAATAGTAGTGGTAGTAGTAGTAGTTATTCGATTAAAAGTTCACATGGTGTTGTCTATGCAATGAGATGGGCAGTTAAGAATCAGAGGATATGGATATTCGATGAATCAGGACTACACAATCTATCGATAGAGGAGCAGTTCAAATATGACAGTAGTAAGGTGGTGTCACCGATTGCACCTATATCACAACAAGATGTACCACCATACTATCAGTTGAAATTCCATGAGATTACATGTTGTGGTGTTGATTTCAACGATGATGGTTTGATGGTTGCTTGTGGTGACTTTATGGGTAATCTATTGATTTGGTCAGTTGCTGACGATCACATCGGTGAACAACCTATTCAAAGTCACATACTAGGTGTTCCAGTACGTAGTTTAGCATGGAATGCCTGTCCAACTCAAACATTCATCATCGTTGGATTAATGGATGGAAGTTTAATGTACTATTCACTAGAGACAAAGAAATCTACAATGATTGATAATCTTAATGATGGAATAACAGCAATTCAATGGTATAATAATAGTAATAATAGTAATTCACCTTTATTGGCAGTTGGAACAACAGGTGGAAATCTTTATATTTATAAATATGATGATTATGCTATTTGTGAAGATGATGAAAATGAAAAAGAAGATGATGAGGAAGAAGAGGAAGTGGATGAGGATGAAAAAGAAAAGATTAGAATACAATGTAAATTCAAATTAACGTGGAAGAAACAGGTTCATCTACCAAAGAAAGGTGAACCACAAGATTTAAAGTTTGGATCTATTATACACTTTGCAGAGATTTGGTCGTTATGTTTTAATGATCAAGGTGATAAGATTGCGACTTGCTCGGAGGATCAGACCATCGCAGTTTGGATGGTGACAGATGGCGCAGAAGTATCTGTGATGCAAGGACATACATTGGCAGTGACTTGTGTAGATTGGCATGATAATATTCTAGCGAGCTGTGCTGATGACCATACCATAAGATTATGGAACACTACCAACTGGACAGAGAATCTTAAATTTCAAACTACAAACGATGTTGGTGAGTGGCATACCGTTACTTATTTATCATTGGTGAAAAAGACAAATAGTATCAACAACAACAGCAACAACAACAACAGTAATAATATTAATAGTAATAACAATACTGATAGTAATCATGACAACTACAAAAACTATCAAGTTGTATGTGCAACACAAAACGGTTGGATATTTATATTTGATTTGGAAACAAAAGTAATTATCAACACAAACAATATTGTTTTGTCTAAAATTTACATATCATGATAATCGATTTATAAATAACTAATTTTATAATATTTATTGTTTAGACAAAAGTATATAGTAAGAGAGTACATTTAGGTTCTATAGAAGGTTTAAAGTGGAATAAAAAAAAGAATAGAGTATGTACATACTTGCATAAACATAGGAGCAATAATATCTTTTATCTAAAACTAACATTATAATATCTAATTAGATTGTATCTTGTTCAAGTGATTGTTTAATTCATGTATATAAATTATTAAAATAATATTTAAAATATAAATAAAAAGAAAAATGACTTGTTGTTTTAAAATGTTATTTACTTTACATAATTATAATACATTGAAAATCTATACTTTATTATTATTATTGTTGTTGTTTTGTTGTTGTTCTTCGTCTTCTTCTTTAGTATTCTTTGTTAAAGGTTGTTCTAAAAGTACTAGATCATCACGAAAAGCATCTAAATCTATATCATCTTCTTTGATATTGTTTATCAGTCTATCAGCGTTGTTTAACTTCTCCATTGATATTCTAATACGATGACCTTTGCCAGTGGTAAATGCAGTCTGACTCTTTGCATCGAATTTATTCTTTTTGTACTCTTCTCTTGGTGCTCTTTCATTTCTGATATCTTTATCACCTTCTTGATTGTCGTCATCTTCCTCACCTTGTTGTTCATTCTGTGATGATTGTGAATAGAATACATCATCGTCATCACCACCACCACCATCTTGATTATTATTATCATCATCATCATCATCTCTATCACGTTTACCCAACCATGAATCATACTCTTTTTCCTGTATGGAACCAACCATTTGCTCTGCCATACTCAAAGAATCTTTTGACACCTTTATAGCAACACCATTTCCATTAATAAAATTATTCATGTCCATCTAGTATATATATATATATCTATATCTACTCTACATAAAATGACTACAACAATGAATTAATCAAAAAAAAAAAAAAAAAAAAAACTTTGTTTGAAATGTATATAAGAAATTTTCTTCGAATTTATTTTAAAAAGGAAATATATAATATACTTATACTAAGACAGGATATTATAATTGATTAATTTACATTGGTTCTTCTCAGAGGAAGATATTCATCATTCTCGATCTTGTGAACTTGATATAAAACGATCGATACCATCAGTGTGATAAAGGAACAAATCATTCCAGTGAGTATAAAATAAAATCCACCTAAAGGTCCCCAGCTATATTGTAGTTGATTATTATCCGCACTGTTGCTACTACTACTATTGTTGTTGCTGTTATAACTGCTGTTAATGTACAATTTTTGATCGATAATAGGTTGATGGTAATCCGCTTTTTTGTGGTAGTCTGTTGAGTCACCTTTGAAGTCACGGCAGAAATACTCTCCTTTGCACTCCATAAAGTTGTCGGCCTTTAGATTATCGGTCAAGCTAAAGTATGTGGCGAATCCAACCAACTGAATAATGAACGCCATCGTTGAAACAGCAATCGCTGACAGAGCAAGCTTACGTTTGTTTGTCATTTTCGGCAGGAACATCAGACAGAGGAATGCCTGTGAGAATGCCGGTATCAAAGAGATCACCAGCAACACAAAGGTAGCTGTTATAGTTAGATGTATATGTAATCCTTTATAGCTATTTGTATCTACTTTTGTTCCATCGGAAACCTTTAAAATTAAGATGTTACATAAGTATGCTAATTTCAGCTGACTCGCAAAACTCTAATTAGACTTACATAGGAAGAATATTTAGACCATTCGAATTTAGTATATTGACTGATACCATCACCGGACAATGTGGAAATGATGTACCATGGCTGTGTTAGTGAGTATATAATCAAAGATAACGAAGATGCCGATATCAACAATAAAAATAGTTCTAATAATTTATTGGCACTAAGCATTTCTTTGTTATAATATTTCAATTTCTATAATATTATGTTTGTTATTTGTTTCTCTCTCTAAATATTTTATTTTATTGCTCTATTATATTAAAATATATACATTTTTTTTATTTATTACAAACAATAATATTACTAATGACTGATGGATGAATAATGATAAATGAGACCGATTTTTTGAGTAAAAAGTAAAAATAAAAAGTTTTTATACAAATGATGTGTTTGTTTTTTTTAGTTGTCGGGAATTAAATTTCTCTATTTTTTAATATCTGATCATTGAAAATCATTATTTAAAGTGATATGTATAGTCAATATTAAAATAATTTTATCCTTTTTTTAAAAATACATGTACACACATTATTCAGTTATTGTACATTGGTTTGTTTGATGATAACGCTTATCATAAAATATTACATATATTGGAATATCAACGTTGTTATTACTTTAATATGTCCGATAAATCGCAGTGACTAGAGCTCACTCTATTTATTCAAATTTCGTTAGAAGTACTTGTTTACCATTAGATATGATCAGTGCCAGGATTGCCCAACAAGAGAATGATAAATTGTGTTGTGACATCATCCTAATATATTTTTAGTATTTTTTTATTTTTGCAAAAGGAAGAATCAAATACTTATGCAATAATATCTAAAATTTAAGTGATTATCTATTTTGTCGTCGGAACTCATCAAAGAAAATTCGAAACACATCATCTCGAACAAGATAAAAATTTTGATCTTTTAAATATCTTAAGATTCGCAAGGATTTTTTTAAGTTTTAAACGGATATTCAATAAAATGGCTATCATTTTATTAAGTTTTAGATGAAATATTGAATTTTCATGATATTTAAAAATATCTTAAAGTTTCATTTTAGTCTCCTCAATCAAAGAATAATAACTATAAATAAGATTGATCAATCATCGTAATGATATTAATTACTTTTATCTAAGAGACCAATTTTTTATTTATTATCTTTATTTATCTTTCAATTAGAATCAATCATATATATATATATCAATAGTTTTGATTTCAGAAAAACAAAATGAGAATTAACCATTTATCTATTATTTATATCGTCGGATTATTAGCTTCATGTTGTTTGGCAGCCGATAACTACTGGTTGCAAGAGACTTTTAATGGTGGACCTTTCTCCACTTGCAAAGGTGCACCTCTAACCGCACAATATTACAAAACCAATATTTGCTTCAATTCGATCTATGTCACCTGTAGTACAGAAGAAGGAGTTTCCACTTTTCTTACCTATGAATATGACAATTGCACTGGTGCCGTTATGACAACCGACAAGTTTGAACTAAAGTGCACTGGAGATGGTCTTAAAACTACTTGTGAAGACTCAATTCCAAATCTCCCCAACACATTTGGTACTTACACATACTTTGACTCTGAAGATTGCTCTACCGAGCCATTTATTGTACAAACGGTTACTACCCAAATATGCCAAAATAATGAAATCGTTTTCTGCAATAGCACAGGAGTTCATACAACTTACTACCAAGATCAAATCTTTTTCGGAGAATGCGAAGTTGTAGAGCAAGTACAAGATTCACTTTACAACCCCTACTGTACAATAAATGGTCAAAGTCAATCAACCATTACAATTTGCGCGTAATCTCAACCAATAAATAAAACCACACAAAATACAACATGGTGAATACTCTTCACAATCTTTAACCAAGTTTTTTTTATACTATCACTAACTATTTTTGAACAATTTAATTTTAAATCATTTTTTAAATCTGTTTCTAAGTCACAAACATCTGTATTGAATATTAGTCACAGATTATTATTTTTTTTCTCTAGTTAATGTTAGTATTTGATTGAATATTTGAGAAACAAATTTGTTCAGTTAATTGTGATATCGTAATCGGATACCTATAGATTAAAAGATTGCGTTGTAAAATAAATACAGGTGAGAAAGTTTATTATTTTGGATATTAGCTATAATGACCTATAGTTGAATCTTTGTTTGATAAACTGGTGGTGAGGAGGGGTTAAAGAGAGTCTATATACTTTGATAAAAATAGAAATCATTAAGAAGTCTACTCAGTGAAACTCTGAGTCAGTTGATCAGCTTATACGTGTACAACCGACTTGAAATGACTGCCAAACTGTGCTGGTAAAATTGGTTTTTATATGTTTCTCTAGATTGATTGATTCTACCGTAGAATCAAAGAAGTTGTCTTTCTTAGAGTTACCACTAGTGAAGCTAAAGTTAAGAGGAATCCAATGAATTGCAGTGCAAACAACACCACCTAGCCTAGTAATACATTTACATCGGTATTTCAAGTTTTCAAAAAAAATTGAAATGACATAGTAGATTGTTATGTCAATCGAGATTCTGCTTAGTAAAAGAAAATAAGGAAATGAATTCTCGTGGCTGGGTTAATCAATTCCAAAGAAAATTCAAAATCATTAAAATAAAATTTTAAAAAAGATCTTTTAAAATATCATTGAATTCTTATTCTATAATGGATTTTTTTTTAAAAGTTTTAAACAGATATTCAATAAAATACCTATTATTTGATTAAGTTTAAGATGAAATTGTAGAATTCTTAGATTTTAGATCATGAAAGAATAACTATAAATAAGTTTGATTCAGCCATCCAAAGGCAATTATTATTTTAGCTAAGAGACCAATTTTATTTATAATCTTTATTTATCTTTTAATTAGGTATCAGTCTTATATAAATATTGAATTCAGACAAACAAAAACAAAATGAGAAATAACCATTTATCTATTATTTATATCGTTGGATTATTAGCTTCATGTTGTTTGGCAGCCGATAACTACTTGATGCAACAAACATTTGCACCATATTCTAATTGCAATGGTGAAGCTCTAACCACACAATATTACAAAACCAATACATGCTTCAATTCAACCTATGTTACTTGCAGTACAGAAGAAGGAGTCTCCACTTTACTTACTTATGAATATGAAGATTGTAGTGGTGCCGTTATTACAACCAATAAGTTTGAATTAAATTGCACAGAAAATGGTCTTAAAACTACTTGTGAAGACTCAATTGCACAGACTCCCAACACATTTGGTACCTACACATACTTTGACTCTGAAGATTGCTCTACTGAGCCATTTATTGTACAAACGGTTACTACCCAAGTATGCCAGAATAATGAAATCGTTTTCTGCAATAGCACCTATGTTAAAACAAACTACTACTCTAATAACATCTTTTTTAGAGGATGTAAACTTCAATTCAAATCTTCCGATGTATTATACAACACCAATTGTATAAATAATGGTGAAAACCAATCAACCATTACAATTTGTTCATAATTTCAATTAATAAATACATTGTATTGTAAAACCATCAATCAAAATACTGTTAATCATTAATACCACCTATAAACAATTTTATCTTTTTGAGCGATCTTAAAAGATTTTATAGACATACAAATGAATAAAATTTGAGTTAAATATTGATTTATTAGTTGATTGGTTGGTGTGATTAAATATAATTGCATTTTATCTTAATGAAATCTATATCAATGATTCACCTTGATATCCAGCGATGGTATCGTTTTTATCAACAGTATTGTTACTAAAGTTTTCCAAATATTGGCCAATTCTTAGATAGCTTGTGGAAGGAGGTGGAGGTGGGGGAATAATAGAGGGCTGATTATCGTCATATTCAAAAAGATTACTTCCATAATTAATATCACTACTTATATTAATAGAGAATAGTGAATTGGGATTAGGTTTACTGAATATATTATTACTATTATTATTATTATTATTATTTTCAAGAATTGATGATGATGATGTAGGTGGTTGTGAAATATTATATGATTGATTTGTAGTAGTAGTTGTTGTTGTTGTTGTTGGCGTCGATGATGGAGTTGTTATATTAATTGAGGTATCTACTAAATTTACTGTTTCTTCTTTGTCACTGTTAATCGCTACTCTAGATGTCCCAATTTTAATGTTGTTGTTGGATGATTGCTGTTTGATATTAGAGAGATCTGGAATTGAAAATTTTGGAATAGAGTTGTTGAGGAGGAGATCGTTGGTATCTGTATCGTTTTGTACTCGTTGTTTAAAGCTGTAGGTACGTCTTCGTCTGCTTAGTCTTCTAATTCGCTTGATGTTGTCAAAGAAAATGAGGAATCCATTGTCCTCTGGAATCTTTGTAAGAATGAAACTCTTGTAATAGTAGAATATGCAGAGCAACAGAATCAACGATTCAGCAATGATCAGTGCCAAACACATCCAGAAACCATTGAGTGGCTGCCACCTCCAATCGTTCTCCTCATTCTGAAAGTACTCGCCGATGAACGTCGTGCAGAATGTCTCTGGTGCCTGCTTGTAGAGCTCCTGACAATCCAAAAAGTCATCGCTATTCAACGATCCAGTCAATCTGAGGAATTGAAAGAATGAGACAAACAGCATGGTCAGTGTCAAACTCGATGTGAAGCACGACAACCTGCTCATATGCACTGACTTTCGAAGGAACAGATAGATCGAACAGATCGCAGAGAGCACCGATGTAATCAATGATAGAAACATGAATGTAAAACTAATTGCAAACATTGTCTTTATACTACTACCACCTTGAAATGAAAAACTATCTAATTTATCACCATCATTCTATTTGTTTTTTTGTTTTCATTTTATACACCAAAAGTTAGATTTCAATATTCATATACATGTGTGTTATGTGTTTATAATAGTTGCTACTATTGTAATTTATGATACTTACATCATAATCAGATACAGTGAACCAATTGAAGTAATAATAGGTTTGACCATTTGTGATAAGATACCAAGGTGTTGAGAGTGCATATATGACACCAGCTACAATTGCAAACGTAACCACAAGGATGATTTTCTTAATATATGACATTTTATCATCCCTCAGGACCTAATCCCTGGTTGGACTGACTCCCACTTACAAATTTTTATTTTTTATTATTTTTTATTTTTTTTTTTGATTATTGAAACAAACAAATCGTTAAACTAAAAAATAATATATATATAAAATACTAAAAAAAATTTTAATATAACTATTTACAATTAATAAATCACTTTTTTTGTAAAATAAAACAAGAAACCTCTTCATCAAAAAAGGAAAATCCTTTCTCTTTTTTTTTTACACCTTTTAATTTTTTTTTAGATTTTTATTTTTTTCACGAGCATGGTGGATGGTCCAAAAGAAAAAAAAACATTGAACAATCAAGAGAGAATTATGATTTTACGAACAATGAAATATTAAACCTATATCTAATCATTGTCTTTAAGTAAGAGAATTGACAATACATAATTTTGCCTATAGTAACACCAAATTTCATTATTTAGAATTCCCAAGTCTTTTTATTTCTGATTTTGGAAATTCTCAACAAATATTTTAATGACTTTAACAATTATACATTTTTGCACAGACTTACATCTTAAATGAGTTGGTCTATTTTCAGTACACAAAAATGATTAAATATAAAAAATTTATTAATAAAAAATAATAAAAAACCATTTTTTCAAAATCGATATTTTTTTTTATCGATGTTTTTGGCGTGAGTGTACACCGATTCAACGAATCGAATCAATAGCCACCCGTTAAAAAAATGTTTTATTATCAAGATCTTTTATCTATAAAACATTGTTTGGTTTTGGTTGTTTCAAACAAATCAAATACTTAAATTTAATTATCTACTTATATATATATTTTTCATAAATAAAGGATGTCTATTTACCAAGATATTATCACCGCTCAAGTTGACAGAGGACAATTCGGTGGAAAGGTAATTTATTTTTTCTTAGCCCTATTTTATAAATCTATTTTATTTATAGAAATAAGCTAACACACTTTTTAATCATTAGAAAGGACCATTGGGATTCTTATCATCAAAGAACTTGAAAAAGTCAAAAAAGAGCAGCAATCACAACTACAATTCATCAAAATATGAATCCCGTACTTGGATTAAGTTTGAGTTCCTGACTGGAACTGTTGCAGAAGCGACAGATTCAAATGGTTTTTCTGATGCGTTTATCAAGATCGGTATAAACAAGCCAGGAATCTTTGAAAAGAAGTTCCTTTTGGAGACACCAGTCAAGAAGAAGACTTTGACTCCAGATTGGGAGGGTTGGTCATCCACTCATGTAATGGACCCCCTCGGAAAGCACAAGGTAATTAATTAACTAAAGAATCGAAAAAAAATATATTAAAATATATGAATCATATTAATTATTTTCTTTTTCAATAGGACATCATCATTGAGATGTGGGATGAAGATCCTTTTAGAAATGATTTCATTGGTAGAACTACCCTTGATCTCTCCAAGGATATCTATCCCACCATCACCAATCTTCCAAAGGAACTCAAGTTGGACTTGTTTGCCAACGAAGGTGATGCCAAACCAAGTGGAACTTTGAATTTGATAATCACAGTCGTTCCAAATCCAAAGGGACCTGCTTCAAGCTACATGTCAAGTATTTGAAAAAAATCAAATTAAAAAAAAAAAGAAAACAAAAAAAACAAAAAATACTATATATATATTTGTAATAATAAAAAATCAAATCCATAAATTGGATTGCTATTTCTTTATATTTTAAATTAATGATTTTGTTTTTTTTTTTTTGTTTATTCTATTTTATTCATCATCAGAGAAGCTTAAATCTTCAACAACATCATCGTTTGTAGATTCTTTAAGTACTTTCTTTGATTGTTTGGCTGGTTTTGTTTTCTTTGCTGGACGCTTTTGTTCTTCTTCGTCAACTTGTTCTTCATCTTCTTCCTCCATTTCTTCGTCGTCATCATCTTCAAAGTCTTCATCATCTTCCATTTCTTGATCGTCATCCTCTTCCATTTCCTCATCATCTTCTTGCTCTTCTTGATCGTCTTCGTAATTGTATTCCTTTGTTGATTGTACAAACATCTCTTGTTGTGCTTGACTCTTCTTCTTAAGATTGTTGAGCAATACGGTGAGTGGATTTCCATTGGCACCCAATTGCTCCTTCAAGTGAGTCGAGAAAGCAGCAACCTGCTTTGTATCCTTTGGTGAAAAACGAACTTGATCTCTCTTATTTTTAATATTTCTAGATTGTTTATTAATCTATAATGATAAAGGTCATTGTTAATAATGAGTTGGGTTTGACTAAAGCCTATATAAATTACTTACAGCATCAACGATTTCTTTCATTTGTTTGATGGTCTTTACATTCTTAATGTCCTTAATATACTTCTTGAGATGCAAGATAACCGGAATCGACAACTCTGGGAATCCAATTTCGCATGAATAAATATTGAGGTTCTCAACGAGCAACAAAGCAAACTGATCTCTGGCACCATCACGGAAAGAACGGGTGTTGATGTAGGAGTCTTGAATGGAAAGTGAAGTGAGGAAGTTGATTTCTTTGTTCTTTGATGCAGTGGCACCACCGTCAGAGGTGAACTCCTTGGTGGTCAACAACTCCAACAGGTAGGGTGCAGTGTTGATAAAGAGTGAGTTTGACTCGGCCAAACGATTCAACATACGAATGCATGTGAAACGCAGTGGGAAGAACTTTCCAGAGTTGGTCAGTCCGATTACACCGATCAGCAGTTGTGTCACTGGGTATTGGAGGAGTTTCAACTGTTCCTGTTGTGGATGTGCGGCGATCAGCTCAACCCATGCTTTCAGACCGTTGATGTAAAGCCAATTGTAGATGTTCTGGATCGATTCTTTGGTTAGCTTGTTCAAGGTGTTACGAAGATGAATGGCCAACTGACGGATATAAACAAAAGCGTGACGGTACGAGGTGGCAAAATCCAAACTGAAAATCTCAACAACGCAATTGCACATAAAGTTGATAATTGGCAAACTAGTGGTACTCACAAACTTGCTGTTTCTAACGTATGTCAAATAGACACCCTTGAGACACTCGTCGATGAATGGATATGGTGTGTGAATTGCCATCTTTCTAATACATAAAAATGCAATGATTCTAACTGCTTCATCTGAGGATTGCCAATGTTGAAGTAAGGACTATATATAGTGGTAGTAGAGCAGTTAAACAGTTTGATTAGTTAGCTGAAAACTACTATTTTGTTAAAAATGATTTTCTACACTTACTTTCAAGGTTAATTTAGAGGATGGTAAGAAACAAGCGAGATAGCAGACTACCTTCTCGAGACCCTTGAGCGCGATGAGAATCATCTTTGGATCGGTGAGTTGATCGACAAGATAGATGAGATTCTTGATGTAGGTACGAATGACAGTGAACATGGTCGACCATTTCTCGAGAGTGTTTGGAAGCTTTGGACGTGTTGTCGATTCGTCTTTGGTGCTATCGTAACCCAAGAGCTGATCCAAGTACTTGGGAATGTTCTGAAGACATACAATCAGAGTCTGGTTGAAAACAGTGTGATGTATGATCTTGAATGGAATGTCACGACTACTGATAGAGTCGGCATCACGAGTATCATCGACCTTCTTCTTTTGAGTGTGAATAGAACCAGACATACCGGTATGACATGCCGACTTGAAAGCCAACAACAACTTTTTCAAACTCTTTAATGTCAATTCTTTCTCACACTCACTAAACCATGAATCCAACAATTCACTTGTCAAAATTTCTTGTTCTTTAGTTTTTTCAACTTTTTGTTTCTTTTTCTAAAACAAATAAGTTAAGTTAATATATTTATTTTTGATTGTTTAATATATATATATATATATATCTTATTTTATTTACCTTTTCTTTCTTCTTATCTTTAGTATCTGCTTGATCTTCTTCATCTTCACCTTCTCCTTCACCTTCTTCGTCTTCATCTAAATCATCATCTTCATCTTCTTCCTCATCTTCATTGTCGTCGTCCATACCAAAGTCTAAAAGACCAGATTCATTCTCACCCAAGAATTTAAACAACTCTGGATCTTGCTCTCTAAGTTTAGCAAGATCATCACGATGTTTAGCGATTTGACCTTTCAATGACTTGACTGGGTCAGACTCTTCGTTGGTTGTGCTTGTTGCATCGGCACTCTTTGTTTTCTTGTTCATCATCTTCTTATCTTTCTCTGAGAACAATTGTTTATCTTCTTGGTCGTCGGCATCGTCATCCTCTTCATCTTCCTCCTCCTCATCATCGAAATCCTCTTCATCTTCATCCTCATCGTAATTCTCCAAATCTACATCGTCATCATCTTCACCAGCAACAATATTTATATTCTTCTTTGCTTGTTTCTCTTGTTCTTCCAACTCAACATCTTCATCATCTAAATATAAAATAAAATCGATAATTTATTTTTAAAAATTAATAAATGAGAATAATAATAATAACGACAATCTTATCAATATTGAAATAAATTTACCTTCACCTCTCTTATTTCTTCTGTTTGTTAATGTCTTTAGCTTTTTAGACTCTACATTGTGAAATTTTCTGATAGTACGTCTCTGTTTCTTCAATGCTTGGACATCCAACTTCTTTGTTGCCTTGTTTGCTCTACCCATTTTTAAAAACTATCTATCTAATCTTTTGAATACTAGTATTAAAAATATTAAATAATAATAATAAATAAATGAATAATAAACGAAGAAATAATAAATCAATAGAATTTTGTTTTTTTTTTTGTTTTTCATTTTTTAAAATTCATTCGTTCGTTTTTTGACTGTAACGTTCCAAAAAATTCAAAATTTAATCAAAACAGTTTTAATCAAAACTTATCATAATCTTTTTATTTACTAAAGTTATAATTTATTTATTGTTTGTAATCAAATTTTAAATAAAAAAGAATAGAATATAATCAAAGTGTTTTGGTTGTTCCGACTGTTCTTCATTTAATAATATTATTTGATTGCACACTGCACCTCTATTCTAGAAAGTCAAATCATTATAGTAAAGAAGAAAATTTGTATAAATTAAGATTTATTTCATCCTAAATTGTTAATGATTGTTAGATCCTAATAATAACAGTAAAACTGTAATATGACAACATTTTTATTTTTTTAAACAAAAAAAAACACAATTTAGTGAATTTTTTTTATGATGCCAACATGTTCGGAACATGGAATCTAATTTAAGAATTAATTGTATAACAATATAAATAATGAAAATTCAATCATTCTAAATTCATCAAATTCAATAAAGTTAAATATATTAAATATATTCAAATCAATCTTCATATCCTATATTATCTTTTAAATTAATATCTATAATAAAACAAATTATTTATATCTAATGTCACAACCAATTTTCCATTATGTATGTAAAAAAAAAAATTATTATTAGAAATATAAATATTAATTAATTTAAAATTTGTTTAATGCCAGGGGTCGTGGTGAAGAAATAAGAATCCTATTAAATTATTCAGGTGTAAAATACACTGAGGATAAAATTGGACCATTAACTGATGAAATTCGTTCAAAATTAACTTTTGGACAACTTCCATGGTATCAAGATGGATCTCTCAGCATCACTCAATCGATGGCAATTGAGAGTTATATTGCCAGAAAGTACTCATTGCTTGGTGCAAACGAAGAGGAGAATGCTGAAATTTTCAGTTTTGTTTTGTCGGTTGCCGATATGTTGGATTCTTTAATCAAAGCAATAATGGGTGGTCCAGAGCAGAAACAAAACTTTGAGAATGTGATTGCACCTAGACTCATCAAAGCTTGGGAATCGAAGATCAACATTAATGGTCATCTCTTTGGAAACAAAACAACATGGGCTGATTTAGCTGTCTTTAACAGTGTAGATTATTTACTCTGGACAAAGAATGATAAACTCTTCACTCAATCACCAAAGTGTCTTGAACTTCACAAGAAGTTAACCGAATCTCCACAATTGAAATCATACTTGGAATCAAGACCAAAAGATTCAAAATTTTAAAAAAAATTTATAATCTAATACTTTATATATTTAATTTTAAGAAATAAAATTTATATATCACTTTCATTTATAAAAATATAGTTATTCAATATTTGAGATTATCTATGATTTATCTTATATAATTTTATTTTTTTGATTTGATATTACTTTTTCACTTTTTTTTTTTAATTAAGGTTTGTCTTCGAATTTCTCATGGCAAATGAGACCTTTGTTGGACAAATTGGCCATATCAAAGTTGATATCTTACCGGCCAGTGTCATTGAGCAGATTCTGAGTGAGATTGCTGATTGGTAGTTTTGAATTTAAATGATTTTGTTCAAGCATGATTTCATCAGAAACAACTGTCTTGTCCCAATGACTACCTTGGTTTAGATCCGGTTGTTGGGAACTTCATACCAGCAATAAATTTTCCTTTATAGTGGTTATAGAGTGCGTTCACGATCGACCTTTAGTAAACTAGTGAATATCTTGTCGATTGTATCAACAATGGAATCGGTAAGATTTAACATTTCGGGAGTGACTACATCATAGTCTTTGCAGAGATATACACACGGAGCAAAATTATTTATTTCATCGAGACCACTATTTCCACTGACACCAAACACAACACGATCACCTTCGTGTCGGCAAGCATATGGATCCGAAACTATTTGTGAAGAATCGAATTTAATAGATTCACGCTGTTTGATCTCTTTGACCGATTTTCTAGACTTGTGATTTGCTGTTTCATGATTATTATTATAGCTGTCGAAATGCGAAATCTGTAACAATGTCTCAATAAGACTATCATGATTACATAGATGAGTAGGAGGTTGATCTTTAATCAAAGACTTTTCAAATGAAATAGAAAATAATCTTTTTACTATAACTAAAACTTAACATCATAATAACTACAATAGATAGGAATACAAATAACTATGATATAACATGTTGTTTCATTTTGATCTATAAATTTAAATGTATTCTACTGGGTGTGAGGAGATGGCAATATTCATCGATCGACACAACACAGATGTGTGGATAAAAAGTGTGTGTTATTGTATTCATACAATAATTTGGCGATTACTTTCACTATTTCATCAATAAGCTATTTTTATCTATATTCATTAACTATTGACTTCACTATAATAATGGCTAGTAGCGCTATAGCTTATATGTATAAGGTTGGTAAAATTGTTACTAAATATATATAAATATTTATTTTTTGTTTATTTATTAAATTCATAAAAGAGGTTTGTAAATGAAGTGAAACACAATTCGAATTACTTTTCTAAATAGGGAAAAGAATTTAACAATGAAAAGTCCAAAGATTTATTTATTTATTTTTTTTTAATTTTTAATTTTAATTTTAAATTTAATTAAATTTAATTGGTTTTGTTTTATTTTTTTTTGAGAACTTTAAAGTGAAGGAACCAGGTCTAAATTGGGATTCATAATTGTGGGGCATGATGCAAAGCGCAAACACTCAATTGACACCCACTTTTACCAAAAAAACAACAACCTAAATCCTTTCCCAAAATCAGTGTGGAATCTGGATAAGAAAATATAAATAACAATAGTACTTACTTTCAAACACACTAAAAACACTTTATCGTTTAACTTTACAATAACAATTAAATCGTCAAAACATAAAAGAACAAATAATATATTATTTATATTTTTATTTATAATTTCTTATTACTTTATTTTTAACTACTTCACTGATCAGATATAATTATATAATCTTAGTATTTTTAATATTAATTCTCAATAATCATCTCTCTTCTCATTTATTTAATTATAAACAAAACCTAGTAGTCATTAGATTCGAATTTATCTATTATTCATAGTTTATTAATATTAATCAGTATATATCTACTATACATAACTTGAATCTTATTATATTAAAACCATTTTATTATCATATTTATCTTTGTTATTTAGTATTAAATTAATCATAAAAGAGAAAAACAAAAAAAAATTTTTAATTTTATATTTATATATTTATTATTTTTGTATTATATTTTATTTTGTTGTATATTTTATATATATATAAATATCTATTACACCTTAATAGTTTAATCTATTATTTTTATTTAAAAAAGTACTACAATCAAAAACAAAAAAAACATTAATGTAAGTCTTAACATTTTTACCTCATAACACATTGTTGGTTGACCTCAACAATATTATTTATTGCTCTAATCATGTTATTTGAACGAAAATGTATTATGTTGTAAAATTAACATAACATAAAATATTTGTATACCACGTTTGCAAAAAAATGGGAAAATTATTGTCAAAAAAAAAAAAAAAAAAGTAAACATTATATTATTATGATATTCAAGTTATACTTGTTTTATACAAGTCACACATTTATCCAAATCTGTTTTTGAATTAAGGGAATCGGTTTTTTTTTTATATTCTATTCATAAAGCAGGAACATCATCCACAGCATCATACAAGTGAAGCAACACACACAAATAATATTGTTGTTGCTGAATACTAAAGACCAAATTAGTAATCATATTATTGTTTTTATATATTGTCACATAAATTGTGTTTGTGTGTGTTTTGTTTATCATATATTGTGCTGTTTTGAATAGGAAATCATCAAGTGTTCAATTTGAATCTCTCTCTCAAAACAATTTTTTTTGTTTTTTTTTTCAATCTCCCACCTACCTCTAGATATACATGTTTATTGTTATTGTTGGTTGTTGTTTTAGTTTTTCTATATTCCTATACCAACTCTGCACTGTAACACATGCTAGTATAGAATAAATTCTTAAGAAACAAAACATCATGCTATTATTGTTGCTACTAATATTACTATTTTCACAAATATAAAAAATTAAATCAATTAAAAAAGAAATTGACAGAAGTAGATACACTATATGACAGCAGAGTCTAACTACAATTTTTTGTTTCATTTTGAACGATTAAAGAGTTAGCATTTCCTTTTATTCATTCGATTAAATTTGCAATTACAATTTTTTTAATCAAGAAAAAAAGAAAAAATATAATGTAAATATTTTATTTATCTATTTCAAAAATCTATTTATATTTTGCAGTTAGTTTGGTTTGTTTATTGTTGCTTTTCAGTCTGTTTTTAAATTTCAAATTGTAATAACAACTGTACTGTGTTCTTCTTCCTCTTTTAATCTTATTGGCCAGTTTCGAATATAATTACTTAGCATTAATTAATTTTTAATGTGTTTATAATTATTTCAATACCAATTATTAAAGTTTCCCAAACTAAAATTAATTTAAAACTTGCTTTCGAAAAACTCCATTCTTTTGTTATCATTTCGTTTGCCCAATTTTTTTTATCATCATCATCCATAATCGTCAAATTTTCTCAATTTACTGGAAATCCCAATTTTGATTTATTAATATTTTTTTGTTTTACAAAGAAAGCTTAAAACACATTTCGTTCATTTACATTGGGGATAAGTTCAAAGTCTATACTATTGATTCTTCTTTCCAACAAACAAAACAACACATTTGATAAATTTACTATAATAGTATTGTAAAACATATACTAATTCGTATATACTTGTAGTATTCTCCTTTTTTATTATTATTAAAACAAATGAACATGGATGACGTCTCCGTTGAACAATCATCTTCATTGATGGTTGAAACAATGTTAAGCACAGACTTTACTCACTTGAACCGCCAAGACGAGGAAGAGAATGATTCGGTCGACGACGACTTCCATCACGACGACTCTGACGATGACTACGATAACTCCGAGGAGCAAGAGTACACATCACAAGCCGGTAAACTTTTAATCTATGCAGATAAATTCATCCGAAATGAATTGATAGAGATTATGGAGTATCTAAAGAATGCCGACAAGGACAGACCAGTGGAAGAAGTCAAAGTACATGAAATTTACCTATAGGTGATAAAATTGGTTAAAATTCAAATAATTTAATCCAGTTCCAACTTAAATATATTTATATATATAATTATTTTTGTATAGAAAATCAACACAACAACAACCACCACCCAACCAACCGTATTTATTTCAGTGTGCACTTACCTTAAACAACGATGTCGGACAATGGTTCATTCAAATTTAACAACTAATCCTTGGATATGGCTTCAACTAACAATTGGAATTGTTTAACTCGCCAACGCATATTTCACTTTTTTTAAAAACCATTGCCACAAACAATACTTTAAATCACCAACCTTTTAATTTGTATATTTTTAATAATAAAAATAATTTCTTTTTATCCAAATCGATAAAAATAAATAAATAATAATCTAATCTTTCCAAAAAAAAAGAAAAATACATTTATACATCGGGTTTAATGAAAATTTGATAATAAAAGAGACTGTATGATTGTTTGTCGAAAATAGTTGTTATATGTATATTGCTTTAGTTTTCAAAATAAACTTGTAATAAACTGTCTTCTGCAGGCACACCAACTCTCAAAATCATTGAACCAAACATTGATCTGGTTCCTTGTCCACTATGTACATATAGGTAATTATAAGCGTTTTGCCACAACGAGTGATCGGGGACACCAGATAGTGAAACTACACTTAAATTGATACCCAAACAGTTCAAACCAATCTGACCACCATGAGTGTGACCACTGAAAACAAGCATACCATAGTCGGCTGGTATAAATTTAAATGCACCTGGATCATGTAGCAATCCAATTCTAGGTATGTTGGGGATGGGTGGGTATGCATCACAAATAGTTTGAACATGTTCCTGTCTTGCCTGTGATCTATAATCAAATCCAACGATTTGTACCTTTCCAATTCCTTTCGCACATATAATTAGTACAATGCCTAATGCAATGAAGATATACATAAATCAAATACATACTAGTATCAGTAACAACACAATTATCAATAAGTAAACAACAATCTATTGTGTTTAGTGCATTTCTTAATAAATCCATACATCCTTCTTCTAAATCATGGTTCTAATGTTTATGATATATGTTAATAAATTGTGATTGTAATATGAAATAATTTAACTCAAATACGATTACATACACCAACACATGCAAATGTTTTACCCTTTAACTTCTTTAGTGGTGCCAAAGCTTTCTCTACTGCACCAGGTGGGTTGAAACTTTCGAGTGTAAAGAAGTCACCTGTCAAGAAAACTAAATCTGGATTCTATAATTATTATCAAAAAAAAAAAAAAAAAGTTAAGTATATAACTATAATTGTAATAAGATTGTTGTTTGATAAACTTTACCAATTTAACAGCACTTTCGCAGATCTCCTCTAATCTCTCTGCCGACATGATTGGACCGATATGTGGATCTGCAATCTGGATAATTGTGAGTGGCTGTTTGAAATCTACGACCTCATAGGAATCTGGCGATGTGTGACGAACTCTTTGTACTTTACGACGGTTCAAGAGTTGGTCGTCTTCATCTTCGAATGACTTGCGAATCAAGATATTCTTTACTTCCCACTTGTTGGGTGGACGTGTGATCAGTGTTTGACGCAATCCAATCAATGAGAGTACGAATGGAATCAACACCACTATCAGTGTGCCAGCAGCCGGTAAGAGTGGTGCGAATGTCATCAAAGGAAGCGAGAGTATGATCGTAGTGAAGAATACAGATGCTGGCCACCCAACGAAAATACGATACCTCAACGAACGGAGAGTACACTGCGATAGTAGCGTTAGCTGCACGAATACACACGCGTGAAGATAGGCAATCGGGAGAGCGATCAACCAGCTTGCAGAGTGATAGTACTCTGTCTTGATGTCATCCACTGTCTTACGATTGTAGAGTGGACTTAGCAGGGATGCCAGGTAAACGGGCACAAAGAATGTGTAGACAATCGAGAATACAGTCATCATGGTGAGAACAGGATGACGAGTTACGTGATGACGCTGTCCACGCTTACGATATGTATAGTAAAGGAATGGAACGAATACGATCAACGTTGGGAACACCACAAGGAAGAAAGGGAAGGTGAGAGCATCGCCAAACGATTTGATGGCAACCACATATATAATGATAGGCAATCCTAGAGCAATGAGCATCAGTACAATCTTTTTCGATTTCGAAATGGGATGTGCTGATACCATGCCCGTTTGTGTGTAAGTTTCCAATTTGATGGAAGGCTTCACATATTGATATGCTCCTGAGCCTGAAGCAGCAGCAGCAGCATTGACATTATATTGATTGTTACTTGATCCACTTGCAACAGATGGATCACCACTGCTACTACTGCTCTTCAAAAGTGTGTCGGAGCTGGTGAGAGAAGAGGTCGAAGTTGTAATGAAATCTGTATCCCAAGCAGGCACATTATTATTACTATTGCTACTCATCCTATTCTTTAAAGTTGGCGTTGATGTTGACTTTGGATCAATCATGAACAACAACCTACTACTTTTACTATTTCGATATAATATTAGATCAAAATTTAACTTTCTTTTTTTAATTATCTGTATTGAAGTTAACTACTGAAAAAATAACTACCATTCAGAGCATTTGATATTCAAAGGTGAATTTTTTTTGAAAATTTTATCAAAAATGGTTTTTTTTTTTTTAAACAATCTGATTTTTCAATGAACGTGTTGATGTGTTGATGATGGAATCGGATTAAAAAACAACTTAAAGACTAAATATAAATTTATTTATATATTTTTTTGTTTTATTTTTTTTTAAAAAAGGTTAATTGTTAATTGTTTTTAAAAAGTGTTTACTACACCAAAACAACTATATAGTTACAAAATTAGATAATTAATTATTTTGTTTGTTTTGTTTGTTTTTTTTTTTTTTGTACTTTTTGTTTTTTGTTTTTTTTGTGTTGGGTGGATTGTTTGTTGTTAAATGATTGACTGAGTGAAGCTGAATTGGTTGATTTAATGATTGTGGCCCACCAACAAATAAAATACTGCAAAACCAACAAATTAATCGGTTGGGATTGCTTGAATTTGTTTTAACAAGAATGCTTTCTCGTCATTGAATTGATCTTCCTCTGTAATAATAATGATGATAATGATTTAAAATGATATCGTAAATTAGTTTAAGCTTGGCTTGTCGAATGACTAAAAACGATTAAATATAAAAACTTACCCTTGTCAGTATGGAACTGTGATAAAAATACTATAAGTTTCTCTTTGTTTTTCGAAAGGATATCCAGAATTGGTTTGGTTTTGTTTTGGATTGGCAACGAATACTTTAAACACATGGAATGCTTCATACTGAATACTTTTACTCTTATCTCTCAGAAGATTCATCATCAGCTTCAAATTAACTGCTGAACTAATATATTTAGTCATAATATTAAAATTGGAACGATCTAACAGCAATTCTCCTAAAAGCTAATAATATTTTAACAAAAAATCAAATTACAAATTAGTCTATCATAATAACTCTGTTGTTTGTTTGTTTGTTGTTTGTTACAGATCTGTTGAATGCTAATTACATACTTTAATAGATTGTCTTCTTGTTACATAATTCTGTGAATTCAATAAGACAGTGTATCTTTCAAAAACCTAATAATAATAATTAATATAATAAAATAGATTAGTTAATTGTGAAGATTGTGTCTCTGATGGTATGATTATAATAATAATAATAAATACTTGATCGTAATTCTTTTCTAAAAATTCAGCACTCAGTGCTTTGTGCTTGGTAAGTAGCTCCTTGAAGGTGGCAAAGGTGTCAGAGGCGACATCGAAATTAGAGACTTCGACGAAATTGAAAAATTACCCAAAAGTTTTGTGAATAAAGTAGCTCTTTAGCCAAGTTTTCATGTTTGATACATTCTCTAAGCATAGTTCCGCAATTTAACGCAATATCTTGTTGTTCATATCTAATATATATATATATATATATATATACATGTATTATAATAATAATATTAGAAACCTTTTGTCGTTGTTGTTGTTGATGTTCTTGCTGTTGTTGTAGTAGTAGTAGTAACTCACCCTTTGACTAATGAATTTAAAAGATCTGGGTTCTTTGCAATATAATCTACAGTAGGTGAACGAGCACCACTCTTAATTCTCAAGAGGTTGTTGAATATCTGAGCGAAATCCTTCTTTGCCTCAAACTCTAATTTACCGAGGTCTCTGATAATCATCGACAACAGGTCACTCGAACATATCTCTGTGGCCAATATCGTTGCATTCTCTTGATTCGGCTCGTGCTCTGCATCGCCATACAATATCTTTTTGATGTCTGTAAGACATTTCGAGAGCTCCTCTAATGCCTGTGTAATATACAAAACATAATAAACACGATGGTATTAATTATAATGGTACTAATTGTTGTTATTGCTAAAGTGCTGCTGTAGAGTGTCTGTTCTATTCTAAATATCTATCTATCTATCTATTTAACTATCTAATTCTAATGACTCATAGCTAAATCATATATTTATCGGTGATTTGATCAAACAATTTACCTTTTCTGTATTTCTAGAGTTTGGTCCTGATTTCTCAATGATAATTAAACTCTCTTTGATTGACTTTACCAAATCGGTTGGTGTTTTTTGTTTCTTATTGAAAAAGATATTCATTCTCTACCTGTTTATATCTATATATATAACTAGATATAGATATATATATTAAATATATTAAATTTAGAGTATACTCTCTCTAATTCTATTATTAAAGTATCTAAAAGCAATTTGGAAATACAAAAAAAAATAAAAATGAAAATAAAAAAAGTTTGAAAAAAAAAAAAAATAACAAAAATGTTATTATTATTAATAATTTTTTTTTAATTGAGATGACCAACCAACCATAAAACTAAATAATACATATGTTCTTACTTTTTAATAGTAACAGAGATAGAGTTATAATTAATTTAATAAATATTATTAAATCGTAATTTTTTGTTTTTTTTAAAAAAAAATTTTAGTTAGGTGATGTTTAATGGGTGATTCTTTTACTCATCTCAGCTTTTGTGTGTGATTTTGATTAAAATAAAGGAGACTAAAAATAAAAAATCAAAAAAAAAAAAAAAGTAATAAAAACTGCGATTTATCGGCAATAACAATCAAAATAATATTAATAATAAAGTAATAACAACATTGATATTCATGTAATATTTTATGATAAGTGATCTATTTTCATCATCAATAGATCATTTCATTTATATCTATGATTGAACTTCAACACTTGATAATTAAAATTAAAAATTAAGGTTTGGTGAAATTGTTGTGGATCAACCAAAACCAATGAGAATCTGAATATTTAAAACTATAAATAATAATATTATTATAATTAAAATAAAAATAATTATAGAACCTGAATAGTGGAAAATACTTTGGTAGAACACAGAATTCCACCCAAAACAAAAGATTTAATTTTTTTTATTTTTTTATTTTTCACTTTTTTTTTTTTTTTTTGATTTTTTCAGTCCAAAAGATTTTATAAATGGTGTGAAATTTTATTGTTGGTAAAATCATTCATTTCAAATTCACATCTCTTATACAATACAATATATTATAATATAAAATGACTACTGTATGTTTTTATTATTATATGATTTCTATAGTTAATACTTGTTAGACATCTTGTCTAAAATGAATATTTACTAATCATTCAAATATATATATGTTTATATTTCTATTTTTTTAGTACACTTTCAATGTTGACATGACCTGCGGTGGTTGCTCAAAGGCTGTAAATGCTGTTCTTTCAAAGCTCGGTAGGTTAAAACTATGATGATAATGCTACTTAAGTTTGAAATCATTCAATCTAACTGTTTGTTTTTATTTCATAATTAGATGGTGTCTCAAATATCAAGATTGATTTGGCCACCAAGACTGTTGTATGCGACAGTGCCAATCTTTCTGCTCAAGACTTGTTGACCAACATTCAAAAGACCGGAAAGAAGGCCTCTATCGTTGCTTAAACTATGTACTTTAAATTTTTAATAGTAAAATAAACAGTGTAGACAAAGAAAGATCAATAATAACAACACACAACAATAACAACAACAACAACCGACAATAAAATTACATTAAAACAAAAATACCTCTTCCCTCCCCTCCTTAACATGAAAAATACATTTCCCCTTCATTCCTCTTCATAATATTCCTCTCCTTTTCTCATTCCCTCTCGCTCTGCCTCTCTCCCTGATAATGAGGAATCTCAATTCTCATAGTTTTATTTTATTATTGATTCTAGGCTGATCCAACACTCAAAAAACAAAAAAACAAGATATCCACTTCTTCTTCTTCTACTATGCTCTATGGTAGAAGCAGCTATGATCATACAGCACATCATGATATGTCTAAAGACAGAAGATAGAAGAAGGAAGACAGAAGGAAGTCAAAGAATCAGAGCATTCGAATCGCACTAGATTATTTGAAGGAGGAAAAAAACAAAAAGCTCATATTTTTCAACCAAATCCATCCATCCTGGGGAATAGATTTTTGCAAACATGTTTTTTATGAATCATAAAAAAAAGACTCTCTTTGAAAAAAACTGTTTATAAACAACACAGAAATCATTTATAATAACATACAGAATATATATACAAATTTATATATATAAAAACTACAAAAAAAGAAATGTAAATTTAACACTATAAAAAACAATTGTGCAAGAACTTCAAACATTTGTTTGAAAACTTTAGCTTGAATAATACAACGGCGTTGATTATTTAAAACTACTTTAAAGGTGATAATTAGTTATCTTTACCAAATGATTAAACTTTTTATATTCCTTCCATTTATGAGTATCAAGAAGGTTTTTGTTTTTGTTTGCAAATTTAAAGTGATACTTTCGCACAATAAAAACTTTCAATGAATTTAAAAGTTGGAATAAAATTGAATTGCAAGCATTTTTATCTTTTTTTTTTTTTTTTTATTGATCTTTGTGATTTAAGGTTTATGATTATTATTAGTTATTACCATTAGGTCATTTATACAATAAATAAAGATAACATTGCTATAGTTAAAATAATAGAAAACAAAGTCAAGAATAAATAATAATAATATTAAATCAATCAATAATAACAAATCATTCCATCTGTGTACACACAAAGGTTGAAGTGTTTTTTTTATTTTTTTGTTTTTTTGTTTTTTTTTTTTTTAATTTAATTCCAATTTTAATTTTTAATTTTTTTAAAAGATTAATAAAAATTATTAAATCAATAACAATTTATAGTTATATAATATATATATATATTGTTTATAAATAGATATTTATCAGAGTTGTTGATTTCTTTTAATTTAGCTTTATCAATTTTATATTTAATTTTTTAAATTTTTTAAAATTTTTTTTAAGATTCCGATCAAATTGTAATCAATATTATAAATATAAATATAAATATAATAATAATCAGTGCATATTCATTATTTCCTATTTTATTTCAAACAATCAATTAGTAAAATCAAAAATAGTTGTACAAACAAACAAAACATAAAGTAACTCATTAAACAGTTGAGAAAGTGATATAATACATTAAAGTAGAATAGAGATTGATCATTAGTTTGGTAGATTGTATAGTAATAGTTAGGAATTAGCAATGGGAAACAGTCCATCAAAGAAAGAGAAAACACCAACTACCCCAATTAAAAAGAAGCCTGGTAAGTAACAATCAGTTATTGTTGTTTTTTATTAAATCAATCAATCAATCAATCGCATGCTGTTTTCTTGTTGATTGTTTGATCCAACTCCAATGTTTGTTTTTTAGATAGATCATGATATATTATACTATTATTATTATTATTGTTATTATCATATTAAAAGGTCTTTTTATTTACTTGTAGATGTAGTAGGAACAAACAACACCACTCAAACCGGTGCTTCAAGCACCAATACAAATATAGCGTCGAGCAACACTCATCAGTCGAGTAACAACTCATCGTCGGGTGCATCGAACAACGCCAATAATGTCTCAAACAGCAAGCCAAGCAACCAAACACAGAATGTGACTTCCTCTCACCAATCGACCAAGTCTACCGGTAACGACAAGGAAGATAAAAACAAGAGATTGGATGAGTTTTTCGAAAAGTATAAAGGTAATCCTATAAATATATATATATTTAATACAATCATTTGATTTCATTCATCTCTAACATTCCTAAATACATTACTACCTAAATATAGAACCAGATACAAATCAAATCGGACCAGATGGAATGGTTCAACTTTGTAAGGATATAAATGTAGAACCAGAGGATGTATGTATAAATTAATTTGATTATTATTACTATTGTTGTTGTTGTTATTGTATTGCATTCTTATCAACCAAACATTATTATTATTATTATTATTATTATTATTATTATATTTAATTAGATTATTGTTCTTGTTTTAGCATGGCGTTTGAAGGCACAAAGCATGGGATACTTTACAAGACAGGAGTTTGTTACAGGTCTATCGGAATTAGGGTACATTTATAAATATTATTGATTTGATTGTTAATTGTATAACTAACACAATATATAATATTGTTCTATTCTTATTAGAATTGATTCACTTGCAAAGTTACAATCGTATCTACCAAATTTCAAAAAAGACTTGGATGATCCAAACAATTATAAAGATATATATAGATTTGCATTCGTATTTGCAAAGGAAAGTGAAAATAAGATTCTTGAACTTGGCAACGCCTGTGACATGATGTCACTCGTATTGTCTGTAAAATATCCACACATCGATCAACTCGTCGATTACCTAACAAACCATGTAAATATCTATGTTCATATAGTAGTAGTAGTATCTAAACAATCTTTATTTACTTATAACAATCAATCAATCAATTATAGCAAAAGAGTTATAGAGGAATTAATATGGATCAATGGTTATCTATTTTTGGTATGTTAAAAAAAAACAAATAGTTAAAGTTGTTTAGAGTTTACAGAGCTAACTAACTAACTAACTAACTAAACATTGATATTAGAATTTGTTAAATCAATAAATGCAGATGCATCAAACTATGACGAGAATGGAGCCTGGCCAGTACTTTTGGATGAATATGTCGATTGGCTAAAGACTAAATCATCATAGACTTTTTACCATTACTTTTTTTAAAGAAAATATACATAGATCTATTGTTATTGGTGTTTACTTGACCACCCACCCACACAGCACAGCCTCCTTACTCTATCTCCTTTTTTATTATTCAAATTAAAAAATTAAAACAAAACAAAAAAAAAAACAACTAACTAATTAGTTGAAATAGATATATCGACAGTTATTCTCAAAAACAAATAATCAGCATCATAAAACCTAATAACCAATAGGATTGTATATAAAATTTGCAATAAAATAACAAAATGTATTATACATTCTTTGACTTTAAAGTATACCAAATTAATAATCATGATATAACTTTATGTCTAGGACTTTGACAGTTTCGATCTTTTAAGAAATCTGAAAAACTCTTTTCTAAATTCAATGAAAATTTTTCCACTTTTGAAGAAGCTCCAAAAATAGCAATCTTGGTTTAAAAATGGTGTAAAATAAAGTATATCTGATATTCATTCTAAAAAATTTTCAATTTTTTTTTTAATATCTTTATCTCTATCCTATTTATTATTATATATTGTAATATAGAATAGCATAATACAAAAATCAATTATTATATTGGCACCCACACAAAACATATTCAAACACATTATCATTGAATTGAAAGTGTTATAATATAATAAAAAAACGGTGAGTTTGTTGTTGTATATTGTTATTTTAATTTATTTATTTAAAATCAAACAAAAATATCAAAGTGTGCAAAAAATAAAAATAATAATAATCAATATGATATAGATAATAAAAATAGTTAATTCATAAATTTTTGACAAAAACACTCACTTGTTTGAGTGAACAACACACCAATCTTGTATACTTTCTTTCCTTCCAAATCTTATTTTTTAATATTAAAAATAAATAAAATAAAATTATTATTATAAAAATTATTATTAAAAAAATCAAGATAAAGATAGAATAAAAATAAAATAGATAGGAACAAAGATTTAGTTTTGTTTTTTTTTTTAATATTTAAATAATAATAATTAATAATAATCATAAATTTGATCAAAATCAAATCTGTTCAAAAAATTTTTTTTGGATCAAACCAACCTTTTTCTTTATATTTGAATTAAAAAAATTGAAATCAACAAACATTGATATTATTATTTATATTTTTGTTTGTTGTTTTTAAAATATTTTCTTTTATATATTTGTTGTTCCTTCAAACATCACAATAGTAGAATATATAATTAAACAACAATTAAATAATTATTAATCTTTTTATATTATTTTTAAAAAAAATTGAAAAAAAAAAAAAAAAAAAAAAACAAATTTAATTTAACTTTAAATTTATTCATATATATAATAGATTAAAATTATTTAAATAGTCAGATTGATACTTTAAAAACGATAATTATATTAAAAGATAAGAGTACCAGAAGAATAACAGAATAAAACACAAACAACTTTTATTTTTTTATAATATTTTTTATCAACCTTGATTATCTACCCAATATATGATAGTTTCAAAATAAATAGATAACAAATAAGTAAAAATAATGATAGATACACATCACCAACATACAAAACAACAACAACAACAACAACAGCAACAACAAAACGATAATAGATCATTAGATAGTAGTAATGGAAGTGTTAAATCAACAACTGAAGTTGTAGTCGATACAAATAATAATAGTAATAATATTAATAATAACGATAAAGATAAAGATAATAATAGTATAAGTAGTAGTAGTTCAAATGTAGATAGTAATAGTAGTAAAGATGAAAGAAGTGAACAAAGAAGAATTATAAAAGAGAATTGGAAGAATGAACCTCTGACAGCTGGCCAAACAGTTAATATTATCTCGGCACACTGGCTGAGACTCTGGAGGAATTATGTACGTTACGATGAGAATTCACCAAAGTCAATGACACCACTGACCAGCGGTGGTGGTGGTGGTGGTGGTGGTAGCAGTGTCAATAGCAACAGCGGTGTGTCAGGACATGCAGCATTAAAGTTGAGTGCAGAGTTTGATATTCCAAAGCCAGAGACAATCAACAACCGTGATCTCATCGACAGAGAGGATTCAGAGGGTGGACATATCATCGCAGAGTCTCGTCTAGAGGGCGAAGATTTCGAAATCATTCCACAACGAATTTGGGATATTCTGGTGTCTTGGTACGCCGGTGGTCCAGAGATAAAGCGAACCGTCATTGAAATGGGTGTAAGAAATGAGAAGCTGGTAGAGGTGCGTCCCATTGTCATCATGATAAAATCACATCATATAGTCAACGGCAACAGTAATAGCAATTATCTTACTTCAACAGCAACAACAACAACAACTACGACAACAACAACTACCACCACTAATAACAACAGTCAGCAATATAGTAATGGTAGCAGTAATGATGGTTATCGAGTTCCACAACAACAACAACAACTGGCAAAACCAACTTCAAAGCCAAAATATGATTTTCTCATTCAGCGTAGTAGAAAGTCAATGTTAAATGATATTCGAGAGTTTATATGCAAGAAGGAACTGTTGGATCCATCAAAGTTAGTAATCTACAGACATACACTGAAGCAAAAGGAGAAAGAGTTGAAGAAGAATCTTACTTTGGAGGATTTGAAGTTCGAGTCAATCAATTTTATATCTTATCATTTCCAATCAGATCATCAAAAGTCTATCTTTGGTAAGCTTAGAGATAAACTCAAGAAGAAAAAGACAAGAGATCAGATGATAATGGATCCCAGAGCATCTGCCATGTCACAATCAGCCAACGGTGGAGCAAACAGACAACCAAACGGTGCAAATGGACACTTGGAGAATGGAAATAGCAATATATCAAGTGAACAGCAATCCCACAGTAAAGAGATTGTTATGCACAAGAGTGTCTGTGGACTTTCGAATCTTGGAAATACATGTTTTATGAATTCATCTGTACAAGTAAGTAACTTTTTATTTATATAATGAACAATCTATTTATTTATTTATTTATTTCTATTTTTCATAATCAAACTATTAGTGTCTTGCACATACTACACCATTTGCAGAATACTTTTTATCTGGAAGATATACATTGGATATCAACAAGGTAAATCCGTTGGGAATGAAAGGTCAGATTGCAGAGATATTTGGAAAGTTAATGAGGGATATGTGGTCTGGCGACACTTGTGTAGTACCCAAGAATTTGAAATGGGCTATCGGTAAATATGCTCCTCAGTTTAGTGGAATTTCCCAACAAGATTCACAAGAACTTTTATCGTTTTTATTGGATGGTCTTCATGAAGATTTAAACAAGTAAGTCAAACTTTTTTAAATAATCTTGTATGTTGTTTATATACTAATTGTTTATTCTCATAATTTATTTTGTTATAGGGTCTTAAAGAAACCATATATAGAGGAAAAGGAAGAATCGAAAGAACCAAGAGAAGATGCGTTGGTTGCTTCTGAACAATGGGAAAACCATTTAAAGAGAAACCAATCGGTTGTTGTTAATTTATTTCAAGGTCAATACAAGAGTACTTTGGTGTGTAGCCAGTGTTCTAAAGTCAGTATTACCTTTGACCCATTTATGTTTGTTACATTACCTATTCCAGTGCCAACGGAGCGTCTCTTTGAAGTGCTCTTGTTTCGTTGTAAACCAGTTGGTCAACTTGGACCCGATTCCACTGGTGTCTACTGTCTCAACTCTGCTATGGCACCAATTCACTACTGTCTTCGTTTGCACAAGCGTGAATTCGTACAGACACTCCGTATTGAGCTTTCAAAGGTGAGTGGTATCGAAACACCTTGCTTGGCACTGGCAGAGATATTTAGAAACAGAATCTACACGTTCCTTAGTGACCAAAAGAATTTGTCGTTCATCAAGGATCGTGATGTAATTATTGGTTATGAGTTGCCAGTGGCTGGCGACGATGTCTCTCGTCTGCATGTCATGCAGAGAAAGAAACAGGATTTGATACTATTGCCTTATGTATTATTAGTAAAGTTTGGAGAGATCACTTGTAAAGAGGTCTACAGAATGGTTTGGGAACGTGTTGGTCATCGTGTGAAGCGAGGATGGAAAACTGAATTGCTGCGTCACCGTGCCTCCAAAGAGAGTATGACCTCAACTCCAAACAGTTCATCTGCCGCCTCGGCAACCGCCAATCTCAATGGCAAGATCAACAGCAACGGCAGTCATACCAACGAGAACTCATCGTCCGACAAAGAAAGTCCGATCAGCTCACCTGAGGGCAGTCAATTCGGAGGTGTCGAAGAGGACGATACCAGCTCCATTACAGACGATGAATCAGATGAATACATCTATCCATTCCTACTCAAGACAACCAATGGCTATGGAAATAGCTGTGATCGCTGCCAATCCAATTGCAACGGCTGTATTATCCCTTGCGATGGTAGAGTGCTGAAAGAGATATTCAGAACACCAAAGTATTGGAGTGAGGGCTGCAGCAACGTCACCATTGACTGGCGTCCAGAGATTTTCAAATATCTAGATGATAACGATAACATCGAAAACACTCAGCTTGTAAAGCAAGACCAAAGTGTTGCAATCAAAGCTTCAATGGGAAGTGATATTAATTTGAACGATTGTTTTTCATTATTCACAAGAAATGAAAAGCTTGGTCCAAATGATACTTGGTTTTGCCCTCAATGTAAAATACATATTGAAGTACGTAGAGAAAAAAAAATAGTAATAAGTTGTATACTAATATGAACCACATTTTAATAGGGTAACAAAAAACTTGAGATTTGGAGTGTTCCAAGGATTCTGATCATTCATTTAAAGAGATTCCAATTCCTTCACAGACACGAAAAAATTAATGCCTTTGTTGATTTCCCTCTTGACAATCTCGATCTTTCGAAATGGGTACTTAATAAGAGTGGTGTACCACCAATATACCAACTCTATGCTGTATCTGTATGTATTATCAATGTTTGGTTTTGTTTTTTAATATTTAAAATATTAATTCTTATTATTTTTATGATTAGAATCATATGGGTGGTATGGGAGCAGGACATTATACTGCATGTGTCAAAAACAGGGATAGATGGTTCCTAATTAGTGATTCATCATATCATTTAATTGATGAGTCTGCTGTCAAAACATCTGAAGCATATGTATTATTTTACGAATTGAAGAAGCCAAATCAGTAATAAATTATTTTTTTCTTTATTCCCATACATGCTTGTTCTAATAAAATGAAGTTATTTGAAGCAAATATTATTATAAATACCATTAACATTGTATAGTTTTTAAAGAAATTTACAATGATTTAGTAGTCATCAAAGAATTAATAATAGAAAGTTTAAAATTAGTAAAAAAATAAATATTTGATAACATATTTGTAACCATAATTTTATTCAATAATAAAAGCATTTTTAATTGGATGTGGAGCAGTCATTGCCCTATACACATCATTACGCCACAATAGAATCGAGCAATTCTTACTGACAAGCACTTTTATATCGGTTTGAGACATCCAGAAGTTAAGTCTATTCTTACGATCTGACCACTTTAATACTGTAATGACTTGAACCATTTCTGGGCCGTTGATAGTATCGAGTAGATTATATCTGTACTTGCTATCGGTTGGATCTTGAAGGCTGGAGACTACATCCTTCAACTTGTATTTTTCAGGTAGATCACCATAGTAGATGATTGCAGAGACCACTGGAACTTTAGGATTGAATGCCACATTACCAAAGAATTCGTCAGCAAATTTAAAGTCCTCGATTTGCCATTTTCTGATATCGGTCGGAGCCGGAAGTGGTATTTTGATTCTGGTGTTTAGTGATTGTGAGAGCCAGAGTGAAGCAAGTGTTCTAAGTTCCATATGGAATGCATATGTGTATTTCTTTTGTGGGCTACCACTAGATACACCACATTTAACTGGAACGACACGAGTATCGTGGAGACATGCTAAAGTAGTTGTTGTACCAGAGAGGATTTGTTCCAAGAAACCAGTGATCCAATGCGCTGGATATCCAACAATGAGCAATCTTTCGAAAATTGAAAAGAGTGTGCACATATTGTCTGGAGAATTGAATGTGTAAGGGGTGTTTGGTGGTGTTGGTGCTGGCAAAAATAGATTGAATAACACTTTGTGTAACCAGAGTGTCAGTGTCTCGCGACTGGCAAGCTTTTCAAAGTCAGCCTTTTCGTTTGGTGATCTGAGATGTGTCCATTTAATATCATCCCAAAGATTGGAATTCAGACATTTGACACCAAGGAATTTTTGAATTGAATCGACGTTTGCAAGAGTATGTGAATGAACCGCTTCATCGAAGCCCTGGAACATACCAGTGTTTAGAAGAATACAATATTGCATGAAGTTGAGTGGACCAGGTTTGAGGAATTTGATGACTTCAGTGTAAACCATCAGGAAACCAGTGTGATCAGGTACGTTACTCAGGAAGAGACGGTCAAAGGTAGTTGGTAATTGTTTGTTTCTACGGTCTTCATCTTGGTCGAGATGTTTAAGTGCTTGGAGAAAGTCTCCTTCATTGAGCTCAAACATCAGACCACCTAAATCTACCAATTTTCTAAGTCCACTTGCACTTTTGTGATATACATTAATAAAATAATCAAACATCATTGGTTGATCCATTGTAGGTTCTCCTAGCCACTATAGTATTAAAAAAAAAAATCAGTATTATTATTCTATTATGCAGTTGAATTGTGAGTAGTGATTAACTTACTTTCATTGCACAGAATGTTGGGAAATTTAAATATGGATTGAATTGAAGATAACTAAGATCAGGATAATCTTTATCAACCATTGTGATATTTGGTTTCCACTTGGATTCGATGGTTTTGGCTATTTGACAAACGTTTGCATTGACGTTTTGATCCAATACTCTTTTCTTGGACAAAGCCTGACGAAGTACTCGGTATTCATTTTGAAGCTCATGCTCGAATGTTTTCTCTTTGCCAACAAGCATCGGTGCTGGCACTGGTAATGTCTTGGTTTTTTCTGTCCAGAGATGGTCGCATTCGAGTGGTAGTAAGATCTCTGTATTCAAATCGTTCTGCGATTTGGCTTCAATGTCTGCTCGCAGTTGAGGTAAGATTTCCTTGATCTCCTTCATGCTCTTGTCTGGGAACATCTCCTTTAGGAACTTGGGATCCTCGAGATTCTGTAGAATCGATTTCTTGTTTTCCTCGCCAATCTCCATCGCTTTAATCATGTCTTCGTTTCTTGGTTGTACTTCTCCACCGTAAATCTTATAGTCGCTGCTCAAACTGTGGCGACTCAATAGGTCGGCTGTCGTCATGTGATTCATCTTGTGCCAGAATGCAAGAACATTACGTATGGGTGGCCACGAACTCTTTGAAATGTAGATCCACTGTGGAAGTTTACCAGCGTTGCCCAAATCCAAGATCGACCCAATACGCTTTACCAATCGCGCGTGTAAACAAGCGGGCATTGCTACACCAAAATACATAAAGTAGAGCAACGAAGCGTCCTCACCGAGCTCTGCATTCGAGTAGACCTCCTTCAGTGTCGACTTTCCCATATCGTAGAATATCATGTAGATAATCAGATTACGAGCGAGTGACGTTGGATTGAGATCGTTGATTGTGATGTGTATCTTTGCTTTTGCGCTTGCCGAGTCTTGAAGTAGCTGTCTGTTTATATCGGCCAAAGTCAGGAGCACATGACGACCATCACCAATACCACCGTAGAAGAAAGCCAGTTTCGGATTCTTTTTGAGAGTCAACTGCATCTTCTCATCGTCCACTGTTCTTGCGAGTCTACCGTCTTTTGGTACGACAGACTTTTTGTCGATATTGATTTTTTCGCCACCACCGAGTGCACTGACCGGGTCATCGTGTCCAACTGCGTAGTACTCTGGATCGAACGGGTTTCTTCTGATCATATAACGAGGAAGATCGCGAATATCATAGGCTTCTCGACTCGTTGACTTTTGACGATTCTTTGTTTCGAGATCGAACGACTTTAACATTGGCGCTGAAGTAGAGTCGCTCTCCAACTGTGCACGCACACCCGGCGATTCAATGAGTTTCGTTAGGACCTCACGATCACCAGAAACAAACAACGATCTGAAGGTACGCATTATATTTTTTGGAATCAACTGCTTTGGATCGGTGGGTGTGTTTTTGAGCACATTGTCAATGACCTGATAAGAGGCTTCAACACACTTTTGATATTGACCCAATTCGTAGTAGCATGCAGATTCATTCGAAGTGAACACAGGATCGTTGGGACTGATTTGAAGTGCTTTCGAGTAAGCATTCAATGCCTCTCGATACTTCTTGTCTGTGAATAGCTGATTACCTTGTAGCTTCCAATCTTCTGCTGTCTTATTATTTGTACTCATATTGAAGATCTTGTTAACTATGAAATGACAATTAAAAACGAAATTGACAAAAAAACAAACACACTTCTTTTTAAGAATTTTTTTTTTTTTTAAAGTGTTTGGTCGATTTTTAAATTAAATATGAACATTAAAAACAAACAGATATAATTTATAACAATCCTTCGGAATACAAAAGAAACAATAAGGTAGATAAAAAAAAAAAGATTTTGCAAATTGCTTGATTATCATTTTGAAAATTCTATTATCTATCTTTTCTTTAAAAGCCAATGGAGTTCAGTTACAATATTATATCTTATTTTTAATTTCAAAAACAATCAAGATTCAAATGAAATTTTATTGATTCTTTGTTTTTTTTTTGCGTGACAATACAAGATGGAAGTTGATAAACACATCATTCGTACAGAGGGTTTTATTGCAACTAATATTTCAAAGAAAATGTAAAAAATTAAAAATGAATTTTTCAAAAATCAAAGGGCTTGTAGCTCAGATGGTAGAGCGCTCGCTTAGCATGCGAGAGGTAAAGGGATCGATACCCTTCTAGTCCATAAAAAAAAAACTTTTAAAAGTCTGTGACGAAATTTCGATGAAAACTCGTGGAAAATAAAAATAAAAAATAAAAATAAAAAAAATAAAAAATAAAAATAAAAAAAATAAAAAATAAAAATAAAAAAAATAAAAATAAAAATAAAAAAAATAAAAATAAAAAAAAATAAAAATAAAAAAATAAATTAACACTTGTTTTTGGTTTGACTGCTGCTGTTGATAGTCAACAAATTGCAGGTATTGATATTAACTATTAACCTGCTAGTTCGTGTTTTATATTATATATATATATACGTGAGAAATAGCCAATAAAATATTATTATTATTATTGTTTATAACAGAATTCTAGCAATATTGCTTTATCATTCGAGTTTAATAACAAAATATTGATTATTTTGTTGATGTTCATTTTATTTTACACTGAATGCAATTTCTTAATATTACTTAAAGAATGGTCTGTCTTGCCTTCTCAGTTTATTTAATTCCTTTATTACAAAAATTTTGTTATTTTCTTTAGTTTAACAAAGGAATTAAATTAATTGATTGTAGTTGGATTCTTATTAGAAATGAAATGTTCAATCAAGTTTATTCAATTAATACGATAAGGTTGTCACAATATTAATATCAAAACCTATTATCCAATCAAAGTCGTTAGATCAACAAATACACAACCTTTATTCACAGTCAATGCATTGCAGCTCGTTTCAACAGTGTGGAAGTTGTAGATATAGTTGCTCTATGAACATCTTTCGAAAAAAAAAAAAAAGAATTCTTAATTTACTATTTAATATAAAGATCTTTAAATAGATCAGTTAAATCAACACATGACATCATTAAAGTTGATCAACAGAGGCAGTGGATCATTCGAATGACAGCATCAAACAATAGAGGTATGAATTTTTCAGATTATAGTGAATTCAAAGATACCATCACCTTCCAATCAAAATTACAATTTCACACCCAAATAAATATAATACCAATAAGCGCACACAACTTAATAAACAAATCATTTAAGTTTATATTAGTTATATATCCCTTATTTAATTGATTGCTCTTAACTTTGTTACTTGTATTACTATTTATTATTGCGCTAACCATCATTTATTTCATCATATGTACTTTTGAATGTTAAATTCGACTATGTGTTGGTCAACTATATAGTCAACTATATAGAAAAGATCTAATAGATAACATTCAAAAGTTCAAGAGACGTTTTCAATTTAATCATTGGTGGTGTCATAGTGATGATTCATGTTTTCGCGCATACTCTATTTCTGAATCTGACATCCAACTCATAAATCTTGGAAGCGTTACCTAGGTACGACACTCGTGCATCTTCATCGAGGAGTATACTTTAGAATCTGTAATGTTTTTGGAAGTGATGGTATCGTAGCATTCACTAATATCTGATGAATTATTATATCTTCAGTTGTTTAATGCTGTCTTTTGATCTAGACCACTTCTTCAGCAGATCGAGATAACCATTGCCTGCTAATATATGTGGTTGATCAACCATTTCATTCCAACTATAAACTTTACAACTTGGTTTACATCTGAATAAATATAATTTACTAAATATTAAATTACTTAAAACAATAATACTGATAAAAATATTGAATACTGATAAAAATAATGTTTTATTCATTCTTTTTAATAAAATTGTAATTAATAAATTGATTTGACAGTTGTAATTTCAAAACTGATCAGAACAATGTTTTGATTTTTAATAACAGTTCACCAGTTTTTTTTTTTAAATAATATTAAAAGTTTTTTTTTTTAAAATTATTATCGAATAAGTTGGTCGTCTAAGATAGCAAGAAAGTTTAAATGGTAGACTTGAATTTCAACATACAAATATTAATAAATATGTAATCAGAACAATTCATTGCAACTTTCAAAAGGGATGTGTTCTAGCTATATCATTGTATATATAATATATTAGTGTATAGAATGTTTTATTGGTCCATTAACAAATCTTTCTCTAATAAGTTATAGGACTTGTTTTTAGGCTACGTAGATGTCATGCAAATATAATCATTGATAAAAAATTATTAATCACAATCAGAATAGACATGTCATTTAGTACTTTTATTCTAATGTAGTTCCAGAATTGTGAGTATTAATCACTATATTTAAATGTAGAATAGAGATTAGACCATTTAATCAATGATCAATGATCGCTTCACTTGTCTTTCATCAAATCTGGAAATTCTATTGTAAATCCATTTGGGCGGCACTCCTCTCCACGAAAACAACCTACTATCTAACGAATCTATCATAAATGAATATATACAGCACATATCAATAACTTACAATCCAAACTTAAATAATCAGTTATCACTCAATTGAAAATCAAGAAGTGTATTCTCATCAACTTAATAATCTATAAAATAACTATAACTATAATTATAATAAATAATTATTTAATAATAATTAAAATAATAATCAAAATAGAAATCAATTTGCAGAATTATGGAAAAATAAAACTTAATAAATCAATTTACTTCTTGAAAAAAAAAATGTAAGAAGGTTCATCTGTGATGCTTGTGGAGCAGATCATAATTAGTTAACTTCCCTTTTCGGATAGCTAGAAAACCCATTGGTTACATTTTTTTCAATTACCTCAGATTAGAGCTCAGTATTCTTTACAAGAGTTTAAGCTCAGTATTGTAATCTGTTATAAGCCGATCGATTATCATCCATACTATCATTTATTAAATGTTCTGTAATCTTTTTATATATGATAATAATTATAATTGCAATTGGTGGTTAATCAACTGAAAGATGATCAATACTCCTAAATATAATAAATAAATACTCAACTCAAATATTAAATTTGAATATTTAATATTTATTATAAATATATATCAAATATATTTAAATATAAATATTAAATAAATAAACTTTATTAAATTTATAGATCTATAAATTAAACGAGAGTAGTGATGTTGTCCTTTCTTCTTACCAACTGATACGCATCTTCCATAGTCCAATCGAATTGTTGACCACCTGAAAGCTGTAAGGATTCAAGAATGGTGTTAAGATTGAATCTGTGCTTAACTGCTCGACAATTAAAGAATGTATGGAAAGATGGGTCAGAGCAGTTTGTGAAGCACAGTTCACATTCTTTGTTTTTGTTGAAAGCCAAGCCAGGAAGCGAACCAGAGAAGAGCCGGAAGACAGTGTTTCGTCCACGCTGGTGTTTGATAAGCGATACATACGTGAAGATACTGTCGTTAGATGTGTAGTCGAATTTGGTTGGTGGTAGAGATAGTTGGAACTGACCACCAGTTAGCGGTGGAATGCTATGTTTTATGATCAATAGGTGGTCGTAGATTTTCTTTAGAGTGGGTGGTAGACCATCAATCAGAATAGGTTTAGCAGATTTTATTTTGTTGTCCGGATGCTTGAGATGAACTACCAATCGGTGCAACAGAGTGTAGCATAGATTGAGATATAGCGAGGTGATAGATCTGCATTGGATTTAAGATAGCCAACTGGTATAATAACAAACTTTGGAAGAATCAAAGGATTAAGTAGGAATCTATTGAATATCCACACGTGTTGCGCATCATTACGAAGTTGGATGTCCCTTAGCGAGATGCCACGTAACCATGCTTGTACAGCTCTGGTCTTTTTCATTGTGTTTTTATACTTCTTGGTTGCATTAACCAGGGACGAGGTGGCATCGCAGAACATATCAAACATACGCAGTTTGGTATTTAGATCATTGAATGAAGCCTACCAAATTGACACCGAAAGTAACTAGTAGGCATATCATAGGTGAACACTGAGTGGTTTACACACGTACCCGTTTTGAATTCTAAGTGGCTTAATTTCTCCGTCTGCCAAACCAAATCAATGGCATCATCCCTTACTCAAAAATGATGGCCATCTCAGCCGGCCTGTTGCTGAACTACTCCAACAATAAATAAACACGAACTGTAGGCTAATATCCAGCTCTACACCTTGACTATCAGTAATGGTAGTACAATGGTATTAATATCATATTATAATATATATATAAAATATAAATATAATACGTACAAATTTGATAAAAAATTAGGAAGTATTACTTTTAGGAATAGTTTTGGTACAAGAAATATGGATTTAATAAATGTAATAAAGTTAGAGATATAATTTACAGTATAAGATTTAAAGATAATAATTTATTTGATTTACAATTTGAAGATAAGAATAATATTTGATAGTGTTGAATAAATGTTGGATTATTGTTTAACAGTTGGATTATTAACTTTAGTTATTTGAAATCGCTTCAATAAACTGTTTGAATTGTGATGGTTGAATTCTTAATAATTATTGAAGTGTGAGTTGATTTGATTATTATAATTCTAAAATGTTAATTTTAGTACAATTCTCTTTGCTTTTTGAAGCAGTTGTCTTCTTGTCATTTGTTCACCATTTGGAAGTGTAATCGTTTGTTTGTTGTTCTGCAAAGTTAGTCCAATCAATTTGTAAACCATACCTCGTCTATGACCTATTCTTAGTGATTCCAATAATAGTTGTTGCTTTGTCATTCGAACACCATTATGGAGTGTTATTGTTTCATACCGAGATAGTGTAATTGCAAGGATACAAAATGAATCGTATTTGCTGGAATCACATTCTATTGATTTCAAGTATAATTGTTGTGCAGTCATTGGTTGTCCGTTATTAAGTGTGATTGATTTCACCTCTTGAAAGTGTAATTGCAAGGTTATGATATGAATCGGAATTGGTTGGATCACATTCTATTGATTTCAAGTATAGTTGTTGTTGAGTCATTGACTGTCCATTATTAAGTGTGATTGATTCACCTCTTGAAAGTGTAATTGCAAGGTTATGATATGAATCGGAATTGGTTGGATCACATTCTATTGATTTCAAGTATAATTGTTGTTTTGTCATTGATTGTCCATTATTAAGTGTGATTGATTCACCATTTGAAAGTGTTGTTGCAAGGTTATTATAAGAACTGTGACTAGTTGGATCACATTCTATTGATTTCAAGTATAATTGTTGTGCAGTCATTGATTGTCCATTATTAAGTGTGATTGATTCACCATTTGAAAGTGTTGTTGCAAGGTTATGATAAGAACTGCGACTAGTTGGATCACATTCTATTGATTTCAAGAGTAGTTGTTGTTCTGTCATTGATTGTCCATCATTAAGTGTGATTGATTCACCATTTGAAAGTGTTGTTGCAAGGTTATGATATGAATATGAATTGGTTGGATCACATTCTATTGATTTCAAGTATAGTTGTTGTGCAGTCATTGATTGTCCATCATTAAGTGTGATTGATTCACCATTTGAAAGTGTATTTGCAAGGTTAATATATGGATTGATATATGTTGGATCACATTCTATTGATTTCAAGTATAGTTGTTGTGCAGTCATTGATTGTCCGTTATTAAGTGTGATTGATTCACCTCTTGAAAGTGTCGTTGCAAGGTTATGATAAGAACTGTGACTTGTTGGATCATACTCTATTGATTTCAAGTAGAGTTGTTGTCTTGTCATTGATTGTCCGTTATTAAGTGTGATTGATTCACCATTTGAAAGTGTATTTGCAAGATAATAATAAGACCTGTGACTGGTTGGATCATACTCTATTGATTTCAAGTATAATTGTTGTTTTGTCATTGATTGTCCATTATTAAGTGTGATTGATGATCGATTTTCAGCTTTAAGTATTAATGCCAACTGGTAATAAGTATTAGCATAGCTTGGATAAAGATCGATTACTTTTAATAAAAGTTGTTCTTTCGTTGTTGATTCACCTGATGGTAGCACAATTGTTTGTTGATCTCTATTAACATGATCAAATGCCATTACAAGTTGGAGAAGCGCATCATTATCAACATTTGAACTGATATTATTCTGATCATGTTTTCTTTTCATTGTTTTTTAATATATATGAATAATCTTTTGATATCAATTATCTAAATATCGATAAATAAGAAAAATATTTAAAGTGTGGTAATTGATAAAAACAGTTTGATCCCTCAACACCCTTCACCGAAAAGTAAAAATTAAAAATTAGAGGCAAAAGGCAAGATCCAAATTTTTCATGCAAAAACAAAAAATTAAAGCCTTGTGATATTTATTTTATTAAAATGGTAGTCATATTAGTATCATATTTTATTATCTTCTATTTTTCTTACTCTTTCATTTTGGTTACCAATATAAGATTCCATGAATTTTGCAAATTCACTAAATTTTAATTTTATTATAAATTTTAACCAATAATAAAGTTTCCAAAATTAAAAAAAAAAATAAGTAAATTATACAAGATAATACAAAATTATTTAAAAGTATCTCTAGATATTCATAATTATGATAAGAACCGAAACGAACTAGTAAAAAAAAAACAAAAAAATTTTTTGGTCGATCAAAAAACTTCTCATTTAACTTATTATGGATAAATTTAAATGTATAATTAATTCTTTAGTAATCAGACATTGTATATTTAAATATGTACGTGAAATCAATAGATTGTTTATAGATGATCGAGAATTCCCAAAGACAAGATATTACAATTATTATAGTCTATCAGACAACCCTATACAGCTTGTTTACTATAACTATATTGATAGATATATAAATGAATTAGATCTGTGTTTGAAGGAATCAACAATTAATAATCTACAAAAATCACAACAAACATCAAAACAATCAGAAAAATCACCACCAACAAATCTTTCAAGAGAATTTAAATTATTATCATATACCTATTGTTTAGCAGATGCATTTAGACGTGCAAGATATAATGGTAGTGATGAACAGTGTACATTAATTAGAAGTAGATATTCAGAGTTTATTGATTGCTCGGTATACGATGAGAGGTTCGAGACAAAGGTGTTGGAAGATGCATGTAAGAGCGATCAATTGGAAATAGTTGAAAAGGTTGGAAATGGTCAATTGAGTGGTCATATTACTGACAAAGTTTTACAACTAGCAATACAAAGTGGAAGTCTATCAACTGTAAAGTATATAGTCGAAACACAGCCACACGATCTCTTTGATATCGGCAGAGCAATGAATTTGGCAGTGACAACCAATCGAACCAAAATATTCGTGTCTATCTCGGAATCTAAAATCCCGAAAGTTTCGGAATACTATCTATTCGATCAAACAATGATAAACAAAGCTATTGAAAATGGTAATTTGATGGTAGTTCGTAACATTTTCGATCAAGTAGATAGGAGTCACCTTAGTTTGAAGTCTGCACTCGATAAGGCAGCAACTATAGGTGATCTTTCAATCCTTGACTACTTTATTAAAGAAAAACAATTGGAAATCAACATCTTCTTGATCAGGACACAATTTCAACATGCGCGCAAGTAGGGATTCCTTTGAGAAAAAGAGGACGCCCAATGTGGGGCTCGAACCCACGACCACACGGTTAAGAGCCGTGCGCTCTACCGACTGAGCTAACCGGGCGCTGATGAATATAAATTTCAAAATAAAAAATTTCAATTTTCGATGTTTTTAACTCTTTACCTTATATTTTTTTTCTTTTTAAACTATTATTATATTTTGGCTTGATTGAATAATGGAGGAAATTAGCCAAAATACTTAAAAAAGACTTCAATGAAAATGAATTCTTAACCAATTAATATAAAATGACATGATTTGATGATCAGCAATTAATTACTCAAAGATGTCGTTGAGTAGCAAAACATCAATATCAATTCAAATTTCTCTTTTCGTTGCTTCAATTTATTTGTTTAATCAATTCAAATTGAATGTTCCAGAGAATTATGTAGTATGTTGATTAATACCCTATTTTGGAAAATAAAGACTAATAACTCACACATTTATATTATTATACAATAGGATGAAATATTTCACGTACCTCAAACCCAAAGATATTGCAATTTAGAATTCAATCATTGGGATGACAAGATAACAACACTACCAGGTCTATATGTATTCTCAGCGTTCATAGCACATATACTCCGAGTGGTAGCACCAAGCTTGCCATTCTGTTCGACTGATTCACTAAGATTGGTCAATGTATTTCTACTGATACCCGGATACTACTTGATCTACAAGTGTCTCTGTTATACACAAGCAGATACCACCGCATTCTCCAACAATAAAGACAACCAAGCCGACAAAAACAAACAACTCACCAGATACCACTACACAATCGTTGCTTTAACACTGCTACTACATCCAATCTATTTCTTCTTCCACCAGTTATTTTATACCGATGTACTTTCGACACTCTCTGTATTATTAGTATACTACTTGTCACTCAAGAAAAGATATACATTATCATCATTAGTAAGTTGTTACTTTTCAAATGAACACATTCATCTAAACATTTCTAACACTTTAGAATTTTGTTAAACATTAGGTTGGACTGTTCAGTGTATTCTCAAGACAGACAAATATTGTTTGGATATTCTTTATTGCATTGGTTTCCATTGAAGATATTTATAAGAACAAACAAAGACCTAGACAAGTTGTTCCCAGTCTTGTTGGTGAGATCTTTAATTTCATAAAGTTTGCACTCTCGAATTTGTTGCTGATTGTTCGATTGCTATATGGATATATATTTGTTGGTTTGGCATTTGTAGCATTCCTAAAGGTGAACGGTGGTATTGTTGTTGGAGATAAGAGTAACCATGAATCGGCATTCCACTTTGTACAACTACTCTATTTCTCATTGTATTGCTATCTCTTTAACGCACCGTCTGCCACGCTCTCAGTATTCTCACCGATTCACTTTGCCAAAAGTCTACTTTCACGACCAATCAAATCGATTCCTCTTATCACCATAATATCATTATTCCTCTATAAAATGATCGATCTATTTACGTAAGTTGATCATAATATCTCAAATCCTTTCCTATTTTTCGATTAGTTACTAATCTATGTATATTTAACATAGATATACACATATATTTATTTTATCAGATAATAGACATTATAGTTTCTATTTGTGGAACAAGATATTCTTAAAGTATCCTCTATCGAAATTCGCATTGATTCCACTCTATATCTATAGTGTCTGGATGATCTGGAAGAGTTTGAAAGCAGGTGGAAAATCAAATCTGTGGTGTCTGTTCTTCTTCTCGAGTGTATCTATTGTGCTATTACCATCGCCACTCTTTGAGTGCAGATACTTCATTGTGCCATTCTTTATATATCAACTAAATTCAATCAGACCTTCTGCATTCACCAAAAACAAGTCAGCACTATCATACAACACAACACTCGATATACTATATCTAATTTTTATCAACATTGTCACCATTTTCATATTCATCAGCTATCCATTCATCTACCCCGATAATACTGTAGGAAGAAGATTTTGGTAAAAAAAAAATAATGGATATCCACCCTATTTTTTTCTTTGATGCAACACAACAAATTATATCTGAGAAAATCAAAAGAATTAAAGATTAAATATTAAAGAAAAAACATTATTCATTGTATTATTATTTACCATAAACCTTTTTTTAATACAAAAATAGTTAGTTTTTTAATAGTACCAGTCTATTGGTAAGTTGGGATTGGCCAACAAATCACTTAAATTGTCAGACTCCTTTCAAGAACTCATGACAAGCTTACTCAAGCTTGAAGAATTACAAACATGATTTGAATCGTTACCATTCCTTTTTTAAATTTGTGATACATATAAAAATTTGAACTTAATTTTTTCTTGTCAACTAAAATTTTTTTGTGATCACACATTTTTTATTTTCCTGGAAATTGATGCACCAAAATTTAAGTTTATCACATATTTTTGAGAATAATCAAATCTTTTGATTTCTTACCGACTGAGTAGAAATGGAATATTTTTCAAGAGTGTTATTACCAAAGAAAAGGAAAAGCGAAGATAATAATAATAATAATATTAATAATAATAATTTACAATTAAGTTTACCAAATAATTATAAAAACTTTTATGCAAAGAAATATAATAATGAAAAGTATGATAATGATGATAAATATTATGCTTCAGATATAGATTTTGATAAGATTTCACCAAAGAAACAACTGACTATCGATTCGTTAATGGGAGTCAAGAGTGTAGGAGAAACTGAATTTGATGTGCCAAATCCACTTCCACCACTTCATCCAATCCCTTTGAAAAATCAAACTGGAATGCTTTATTGGTGTAAGCATTTTCTAAGTCAGAAGATGTCCAGTATTCTGGAGAGACATCTTTTACAGGTGCTGAACTTTGAACAGCACGAGATGAAGATGTACGAGAAAATAGTACCGCTGCCAAGACTTATGGGTTGGATGTCAGATTCAGATTTAGAGTACGCGCGAAAACATGAAACATCACCATGGACACCACCAATGATTAAATTGAAAACGTCTCTTGAAACATTGTTGAATGTTAAATTCGACTATGTGTTGGTAAACTATTATAGAAATGGAAAGGATCACATCGGACTGCATAGCGATAAGGAAGCAATCAGTGAAACTACAAGGACGATTGCATCGGTATCTCTTGGTGCCACCAGAAGATTCATCCTCAAACCCAACGATGGAGAGGCAGATATTGAATTCTCATTGAATGCAGGTTCGTTGTTGGTGATGGCTGAGGAGACACAACTCTACTGGAAACACTGTGTCCCTAAAGAACTAAAGGTCATACAACCAAGAATCAATCTGACGTTTAGATGTATGAAAGAAAAATCAGAAACATATACTACTCTATCCCCTCAATCTCAATCTCAATCCTCTCCATTGGAGTTGCCACCTCCAGTCAAAGATAGTAATTATGGCACCATACCTTTTGATACAGATGAAATTAAAGCATTGACATATACAACTACTACCACAACCACCACATCAAGCCAACCAATATCACCAAATAAAATCAGCCTATTGCCATTCCAAACCACACCAAAAATAAAAAAAGACCAACCAAATCTTATACTTTCCAATGAACCAAAACAAAAATCACCAATTCTACTTCCATTAAAGCCATCAATATCCATTAAATCACCAACCCCACTTTTATCATCCAATAATAATGTAGATATAGATGACTTTACTTTGGATTTCGACAGCATTGAAGAAACCAACAATAATAATAACAATAGTAATAATAGTATAAATGTAAATGTAAATATTAGTTTAAGTGATGATGGAGAAATAGATTTTGATTTGGATGATGTAAATGAAAGTAATAAAAACAATAATAGCAATAATAATAATAATAATAAAATAGATAAACCAATTATAAAACCAATAATGATTAAACAGATTATAAAGATTAAAACACCAGAAAGATCTGGAGTAATAGATAGTTCATCATCGGTTGATGAATTTAATTTTGAAGGTTTGGATTAAATAAATAAACTTTTCATATATTTTTTTCTCTTATGTCATCTTTCTAAATAAATCTTTTAATTGTTCATCTAAAAATAAAATGAAATTAGAAAATAAAGAAATCTATCTAATAACTTGATATACATACATGATGCAATTGTAATAGCATTTCCAGGAGCTATCCATAAAATTCTAGCACCCATTCCTTTAACAAAAGCTCTTGGACCTTCTTCTTTCATGATCTTCTGGAATCCATCGATGATACCATTGTATGTTTTGTCGGATGCTCTCGACACTTGAATTCTAGTCTTGATTACATCGAGTGGACAGGTCACAGCAGCAGCTACCGAACCAGCAAAGAATCCACTTGCCAATTGATAAGGTAGTGGTAACATCTTTCCGGGTTCAACACCAAGCACACCAGACACTGTTTTCTTTGTCTTTTCATAGGTTGCAAAGTAGATACCAACCAATGGTCCGAAAGTCATTAACGATGGGAAGAATCCTTTGTAGAAACCTGCAACACCTTCCTCTTTCAAGATGACTTTGCATGCATGGAACGAACCTCTATAGAAAGTCTGTGTAGGATTGGTCAGATAAGTTGAGTTTTGTACTTGAAGACGCTGTTTGATAATATCCATCGGTGTCCAAATCATGGCACCTGCAATATCAGCCACCAAACCTGACACAAAGTGATTGAGTGCACCATCTCCCAGTGGACCTTTCAAATATTTCTTTGAGTACTCATAACCAAAGAAATAGAGAGCGTGTGCAGGAATAGTTGCTGTAACCACAATAGGGAATCCTTTATATAAATATCTGACACCTTCTTTTTGAATGATCGATTGAAATGCATTGAAAGTACCTGTATATCTTTGTTGTCCTACTTTCTATTTGATTTATATTTAATAAACTTCTTTTTTAAAAAAAAAAAAAATCTAAGAAATAGCTATCACACATACCTCTACTTGTAATCTTGCTCTTATAGTATCTATTGGATGCATGATTCCGTCAGCTAATACACCGGATGCAGCACCTGTGAAAAGTTGTAAAAAAGGTGATTCAAATTCATTTTTATTACCACCACCCATCTTTATATATCTATGTCTATTAACTTTTATCAATATCTATTAATATGACTCTACTACTAACTATTTCTACTAGAAAATCAAAAATGATGAAAAGACGAAAGTATTCGTCAACAACAAGTTTTTAATGACATAATTTTTTTTTTTTTTTTTTGATCGGTATTTTGTTAAATTAATTAATGATTGCGTATCCCGACATTAAAATAAACTCATTGGGTGATCAAAAAAAAATCTGATTATTTAAAACTATAATAATAATAATTTATTCTGTTATTATTGTAAACAGATAAATGTTTTGTTTATGAAGCAGAAGTATAGAAGTATCTGGTTCTAAATGCGTTGATATAATTTAAAAACCATCCTATAAATATTGAAAATCAAAAACATGAATTAATTAGTTTAAATTTCAATGAATAATAATAATAAGTTTTTTGTTTTCAACTTACCAACCAAGATCTTTAGGATTGGAACTTTCTTGAAGAAGTTTAAGATTCTAAATACAATGCCATCACCGATGAAACGATCGTAGAATGGTGATCTCAATAGGTAATAAACCAAGAGTCTTCGTCTTCTACTGATTTCATCGCTCTCCAACTTTGTGGGAGGTAGGTGATGTATGACTGCTCCATACTCTGATATGGTGAGACTTGCATATTCCATACCCAGTGAGATCAACCATGGTTTCCACGACTTCTTGCCATAGGTCCATCTGGTGATTGAATAAATCAGAGGACGTAGAATAAACAGCAACTCACTGATGATCTTTGGGTATCTATCGACCGGTGCGCAAGGTGGTAACAATGGTATCAAAGTAGAATCGTCTCCAACATTCTTCTCACTATCTTCCTTTAGTTTATCATGAAGTGTCTTTCTCTTTCCTCCGTAAACAGGTTTCTCACTTATAATTGGACTACATTGAATACATAAATTAATAAAACTAGTAACTATATAATATAATTGTTGATGATAAGCAATACATACTTTGATAATGATTCAGATAATGCTTTGATGTCTTTTGAAGGAACGTGGAATGAGTGATGCACCAACATATTTCCATTGGTCTTGAATAATAATTTAATTCTTAAAAAAGCTCTGTAAACGATTATAATGTTAACTATTAATAACTACTCTTTGAATCTAAACTTCTTGAATCAATTCGAACTATATCTTACTTTAAAGCTTCAATACCAATGATTGCTGGCCAACGATATTTAGATTTACTATCACTTCTTGTACTAGCATAAACTTCAACAAACAATTCTATTATTTTGATATCAATATTAACAATAAACTCTTCTTTATAATAATTAGATAGATAGATAGAATGAAAACGTACCGATATTCTGAATAGATACGATCCATGATAATATATCTAGGTAGTAAGGTGGTGGTACAGCTTCCTCTGTGGATGTCCTCGATTTGTTGTGTGAAAGCATTATCTTTGATGACGTCAAATCCACATATGTTTGAAATAGATTCACCAAACTATATACTTTTAGATATATAAAGAAACATCATCAGAATGTGTTAGTGTAAATCTACATTATTTTTATTGATAAAAGATCTTTTAGTGTTCATTCAACATACATGCTTCAAGATTCAATTCAGAATCACCGTAACGACCAGGCAGAAACAATATCAAGTTTCTCATCAACGAAATATGATCACCATTCTCAACAATAAACTTCTTGAGTGTCGACATTGAAGTTAGATTGTTATTATTACCACTGACATATGTAGAGTAGCTACTACTCTTATTATTTGTATTATTTACATCATTTTGTTGCTGTTGCTGTTGTTGTTGTTGTTGTTGTTGATTATAACTATTACTACCACTACTACTACTCATTATATTATTAAAATAAAATTAATATTAAAAAAAACTATGAAAAAACAAAACAACAAGTACAAAATTTTTATTAAAACTAAAGAATAAATTTTTGAATTTAATTTAAAATAAGGGTTGTTTGTTTAATAACCACCAAATAATGGCAATGCAACATTAAACCAATCCTTCAAAGGTTTTGATCAATCTTAGTTTATTTAAATCTATAAAATTTGTGATTCTTTAAACTTTTTAAAAAGAACAATTGTTTTTTTTTTTTTTAAATGTTTGTAATTAACAAACATCAACATGTTGGATGATACAAAACATTCTGTAACTAACATCATTAAATAAAATAATCTATACACAATAAGAATGAGCCTATTAATGATTCATAAAATTTATACATTTTTTTATTTATTTAAAATATCTCTATTGTCAAAGAAAGAGTACTTTTACATGCTTTTTAATCTAAATATAAAGTGATTAATGTTGAAATAGGTAGGTGTCAGTAAATAAATAATCAATGATTGATTTGTTTTTGATTTTGAAAATTTTTGGTAAAAAAGAAATACATACTATTTAAATATTTTATACACTTGTATATATTATCTAATAAAGTGTATATGTATATGTTGGTTATTGATTATTTAATCGGGGGTTATTTATGGTTGGTTGTTTTTCTTTCTATCACCAACTTTGAATGGGACTACCTGGATACCGTCTTTAGAGATATATTTGAGAGTGTATTTACCACCGACCAAGAAACGAGTCTGCAACTCCTCGCAGCACTTGTGCATCAATTCGACACCTTCCTCGTACGACATGTCCTTATGGTGAAGACGATCCAACAGACCGAGCAAAAAGTAAGCGGCGTAACCATGACAACCAAAGTCGAGTTTCTGTAGCGATGCTAGATAATCCATGTAGTAGACGGCTGGACCGGTCTTCTCGTCGTATCCGGCAACCAAGAGGTTTACATTGTATGGATTACGACGCAGTGCAGTTGCGAGCTCGTTACGTATAAAGTGGGCGGTTGCACTGGTCGAGAGTGAGTATCCATTACGCAATTGATACAGCTTGAGATTCTTTGCTATAAACTCACAGAACTGTGTACGATCTCCTGGCTCACCTGCAGAGCTCAACAACTTGAATTCATCCAACACTGCAATCTTATCTTCATCTTCCTTCATCTTTACAATCGAATGGTTGATATTAGAGTCTGCCAAACACAAAACACCATCTGCAACTACAAAAGAAAGTAATGTCTCCATTATTTATCTATCTATCTATATGTAATATATATATTAAAAATTATAAAAATAAAAATAAAAAAAAGTAATAATAAGTTGTAAAAAATTTAATTATTAAAATTAAATAAAATAATAATAAAAAAAAACACTCTAAACTTTAAAAATTTTGAACATCACAAAAAATAAAAAATTTAATCAAACAATTTGAAAAATAAATAAAATCAAAAAAAATTGAAAAAAAAAAAAAAAGTAAATTAATTAAGTTATTTTATTTATTTAGTTTAATTCTATCTTTATTTTTATTTTATTTTTTGATAAACACAATAAAAAAACTTCATTTTTATTATTTGATTCCTTTGTTGATGATGTATTTATGATATAGTTATTTATTTTAAACATAAGAGATAAAGATGTTGTCAGAGAGATGGTCAAGTTTATTCCAAGATATTCTTACTAAAGACATTTCTTTTATTACCATCGAAGCAATCGAAATTGAAAGATTACTGGCAATTAGAGTAATAAGATGAAGGACAACCACCAAAATTACTATTTTAGTAATATGGAATAGGACCTTAATTCAGGAAAATATCGAAATGTAGTATCAATATTTTCAAAATTAGAAATTTCTTTATCATAGACATAACTGTAAAACAATGATTTTGAATTGTCAAGAAATATCAATGATTGCAGATTACATCATTTCGTTCCAATAGAATGTGGAATAAATAAAAATAAGACGATGTCTTTTGCCATAATGTTGAAGGGCGTATCATTTATCACTGTTTTCAATGAAACTTAATCATTTGTTGTTTTTTTTAGATATCAAATTAATTAGTGTCAATTGATTAATAAAAATTTTTTTTTTCAATTTTTTTTTTTTTCTAAAAATTAGATGGATGTTTGTTTGACAATCGAAAAAGACAAGACTCTGATTAAACGACTCCCACCACTCATTTTATATAAGCTGATCGTGTCACAACATTATCCTTTCGTTCGTTTAAATTCAACTTTTTTACCTATAAATAATAATTATATATTATCATTATTATTATTATAATTGTTTCGAAATTTCTCTTTGTTTTTTTTTCATAAAAGAGAGATTATTATATAATATATTAAATCGATAAACACACATATACACACACTTGATTATATCAAAATATATAAATAGATTACAAAAATGGGTCACGATCATGGTATGGACGATGATAATGAAGGTGGATCTTTCCATGTACATTTGGTAGCCGGTGCAATTGCAGGTGTTGCAGAGCATGTCGGAATGTACCCAATCGATACAGTTAAAGTAAGTTACTATTGACTCAATAGGATACCAATTGTTATATTGAATCTGTTATTAACTCTGCTTGTTCTTCTTTTCTATTTCAATTATATAGACTCATATACAAGCGGTTACAGGATCATATCAGACATCGGGATTACAAATGACAAGACAAATCATATCGAGATCTGGTGTCAGTGGTTTATTTAAAGGTGTAACTGCAGTTGCTGCTGGTGCTGGTATGTACACAAACAATACAATCAATCAATAATATGTGAAAAAACAATGTTTATCATAAATCAAGACCAAAGACGAAAAACAAAAAATCTGGTTGATTGATTTTATGAAAAAAAAAACAATCTAAAAGGGTAACATTTTTCTAATATAATTATTAAATTCATTGATATACTATTGTAGCACCTGCACATGCAATTCATTTTGCAATTTACGAGTATCTTAGACATAAAATATGTGGTGGTGACAAAGCTCATCATCATCCAATTAAAACAGGTGCTGCCGGTGCTTTTGCAACTGTATGTATATTGTAAAATACTACCAACTTTTATAAAAGTTGATTGGAATAATTAGATGACTGACTGATCGACATTTGATTGCTTTATTTCTATAGATGGTTAGTGAGGCAGTTGCATCACCAATGGACGCTGTCAAACAAAGAATGCAATTACAAATAACAAACTACGGTGGAATGGTAGATTGCATGAAGAGTATGTGGACAAGAGAAGGAATAAGAGCATTTTACGCAGGATACACAACTTCACTAGTCATGAATGTACCATATTACGGATTTTATTTCGCTTCATATGAGAGTTTGAAGAAACTGATGGAGCCACTGCACAAGAAGAACGAAAAGAACTATACATTGATGCTGCATCTAGTGGCAGGTGGTGGTGCCGGTATGGTAGCCGCCGGTTTCACCAATCCATTCGACGTTGCAAAGACCAGACTCCAGTGTCAAGGTGACATCGGACGTCACTACAGCGGTATGGTCGATGCTTTGCGTACCATTTGGAAGGAGGAAGGTGTTGCCGGAATGATGAGCGGCGTCAAGCCAAGAATCGTTTTTCACTCTATGAGTTCCGCCATCGTTTGGTCCGTATACGAATATGTCAAGCACGTAATGGAATAAATATTCATTACATTGTTATTTATTTTTTTCCTTTATATATATATTTTCTTTTTTTTCCTTTTCAACCAAGACAAGTTGAACATACATACATTAATGTATGTTAACATTAACAACATTGAAAAAAAAGAAAAGAAAACAATCATTCATGCATTTATTGAATAAATTTAAAATGACTAATAATTATTAGTTAGTCATACATATCATAGTATAAATAATTGTTTTTGTTTTGTTTGTATTCTAGTTTGTTTTATTATTATTTGAAATTTAATCAAAAAGTATAGATTGTATTATTATTATTATAAGAATGAATTATTATTATTATTGTTATTTGATAATTGAACTGAAAAAATCTAAATCTAAAAATCCAGGACTTGATGGTTTTGTTGTTGGTTGTGTAGGTGAAACTGTCTGTTGTGTTGGTGATGTCTGTTGATTGTTTGGTTGTTGTTGTAGCTGTTGTTGTTGTTGTTGTTGTATTAGTTGTTGTTTTCTCTTTTCAATAGTTTGATCCAATGCTAAAATCTTATTTTTCAATGCAATCAAATCGGAATTTGGGACCTCTGCTTCTTTGTCGGCGTCCAATCCTTTTTCTTTACGTTGTATATCTATGTAGGTATTGTCAGAGTAGTAGTTATCCTCATCCTCATTCAAACCCTGATCGTACTGCATCAAGTTGGGTGCAGATGCTGTTATTTGATCTAATTGTGAATCCAGCTCATCAAGACTAGACGATGGTTTCTTATGTATATCTATTTTTTCAATTGATAATATAATTATATATTAATATCATTATGATAACTGTTTTAATATAAAATCTATATATATATTTACCATCTGTATCGAATACTTGAGTTGTAACCTTTGATATATGAATGAAATAGATCCTCCAAAATACATCATCTTTCATATGTAAAGGACATAATTTAAATCTCAATTCATTCAAAGGTTCTACTATAGTTATAATCTTATTGACATGTCTAGTCTGTAATGAACTTAATCTAAATTCTATTGTTGTAAATATATATAGGTTAGTAACATTAAGCTAACTAACAAGATGAATAGATATAGAATATACATACGTGTATTATTCGAAAGCGTTTGTAATGGGAAATCCTTAAAAGACTCTGGATACTTTGAGATATTCTTTACGAATGCAATCAATTCATCGGTAATACCCAACTCTTCTCTTTCTCTTGCATCGTCAGGCTTAACCTCTGGTATATCTAATAGTTTTCTAAAGAAATTCATCACCAAATATGATCTTAAAAGAAATAAAAACTCTTACTCTAATAGTTATTATTATCTTTTAATATTGTAACTAGTTTGATGAGATAATGAGAAAGGGTTTTTTATTAATAATAGAAAAAATTTGACAATTTTTTTTTTTAATATTGCGAAATAAGCAAATCTGTGGGTGATTTCTAAAATTTGACTTCTTTGTTTTAGGGAAAGAAATAAATATTTGATGAACACTCATATATATATATATATATCATCTTTATATTTGTTTGTTCATATTATATAAAAAGCAAATCATTTGAATATGTAACATATTCAACATTTAACAATAAAACGATTATTATTTGTTTGATATGGTCTTTTTTTTTTTTTTTTTTTTTGAAAGTATTTTATTACTCTGATGTTATTTCTTCATCAGAGTTTTTATTACTGTTGTTAGTGCTTGGTTCGGATTGATCTTCTTCGACTGGATCGGTCTCTATTATTCTGTTGTTTCGAGGATAACGAGGTAACATCGGTAGACCATTTTCATCGAGTTGTCTTTGAACAATTCTTCTACCACTACTTGTCTGTTGAATCTGTGTGGGACCGTTGCTATTGCTGCTATGATTGCTAGTGGTTGTGGTGGTAGTGGTTGTGTTGGTTGCTTGTCTCTTTCTTGGTCGCAATCCAAGTATTCTATGTTGCATTTCGTGATGATCGAATTCATCATCGTCGTCTTCATCTTCTTCATCGTCGTCTTCATCTTCACCATCGTCATCTTTATCGCGACTGTTAGCGCCACGCTTTCCATTCTCTGCTCTTTGTTTTCTTCTTTCTTGTTCCTGTCGTTCCTCCTCTAGTTTCTTGATTTGCAACTCCACCAGTCTTGGCGAACGGAACTGTCTTATCACCAAACCGGTATTGCCAGCGTTATTCAAAAATTGTTTTTGTTGAGCTTGTTGTTTCTCGCGATCCTTTCGTAAGCGGTACTTGTGATAGGCGTCCATCTCTTCGTAGACGTCCGGCAGCAGTTCTGTCAGTGCCTGATGCAGTTGTTTCTGGTTGGTGGAATCGCTGTTGTCAATGTCCTCCAGGAACTTTGTCCACTCCTCTTTGGTGCTGCACACCAGTTCCCAACGCTTCTCGCCCTTCTTTGGCTTGGTTGGCGTGGAAGTGCGTCGTGTGTTTATCTGCTTTGGTTCTCTGTAGAGTCGTGTATCGCCAAAGTACCAGTAGCACAGTTTATCTTTATCATATCCGATGGGTGACACTCTCAAATTTTCTTGCTCCTGATTGGAGACGGTCTCACTGATATTCTCTAGTAGTGGTTTCGACTTTAGCAGATGCAGATCACACAGACCCTTCAATACCAACACTCTGTCGACCAACGACAGACTTGTAAAGCTTTCGGAATCCTCTGGGTACGGACTCTCAACGAAACAATCGAATGATTTCTTTGATACTTCATGTTTCAATACACCTTCCCATGTCTCTGGACTTTTTTTTAATTGGTAACAATGAAAAATGATAGATCAGTCAGTTAGATTCCACTTCTGTATACTTTTCAAATAGAGACACCTACTTTATACCACCAGACTTTGGCTTTGCAACTGGACGTAATAACGGAACGAATAGTTCAGTTAGATAGGTTTTAAATTCATCGGGCTCTATCAATGCATTCTCTAGTTCATCTATATAGATTGTCTTTACATGCAGTGGTTTAACAAACAGCGTTAAGAAATGATGTATAAATGCCATTTGCCACATCGATCTGATTTCATCTTTTTCTAAGAATATGAATATTTAGTAATTAGACGGTTAGTTTGTTGTTGTTGTTGATGATCATCATAAATAATTGATTGATAGATTCTACATACTATCGACAACTGTATCTGTGATCATTGAAGTATCTTTATCATCTTCTTCTTTATCACCTATAGTTGATTTTAAAACACCATGGTTGGATGTTCCATTTCCATTTGTTGTTGTTGTTGTTGTAGACATTTCGTTCTTATAAGAAATAAATAGATAGATCAATCGATCAATTTAAACTGGAAAAAAAAAAAAAAACAAATTCCAAATATTAATGGAAATAGAATGAATAATAATAATTGTCGACAAATGGTTTTTTTTTTTTTTTTTGTTCAATTTTTCAAAAAGGGAGTGAGTGTATAAATAAATACAACCAAAGACTAATTTATACAAAACTTGTTTTTTTTTTTTTTTTTTTTTTTTTTTTTTGTTCAATTTGATAAATTTAGTATTTTTTTTTTTTCAAGATCTAACAAACAAAAGTTAACTTTTGTGATTTTTATTTTAAAAAAACATTAAATAATTTTATATTAAAATTTATATTATTTTGTCAAAAGGTAATAACAGTGATAGATAGATATACACAAACAATAATTATAATCAAGATACACACACAACACACAACACACAATCAACCTCACACTAGCAAAGAGAAGCATCTAACACAGTGATGGAAATATCATATATATAGAAAAACTAAAAGATTCGCTATCTTAGATGATAATTATTACTATTATTGATATTGATTTAAATTAATATAATAAATCATAAATTTAATAAATGCTGCTATATTTATTTGACTCCAGTACTACCAACACGTCTTTCATGTTATGTTCTGTTGTGTTGTGTTGTGTGTTTTTTTTTTTTTAATCAAAGCGAAAAGTGACAGCAGAGTGTGATGTGTGAAGTGTTTAATTAAAAGTTATGGCTGTTAATGTGGCTATTGTCAATACATATAATATATATATATGTATAAATATATTTTATAAATAACAATATCAAACATTTATAATTGCCAATATTGTGTTGTGTATTGAGTGTTAAATAAGTTGTGTGTGTGTGTGTGTGTGTGAATGAATTAATCTCAAGTGTGTTACCAAGTCAGTGGTCAGAGTGTGTGAGCGTGAACCAACCCACACCCCACTTGTGGGTAATGTAAAGATTCATTCAATAACAAACCTAAATAATAAATAACATCATCATTTTCATCATCATCAAACAAAAACATTAATACTAATAGTAACAAATATATATATATTTATAAATATAAAATTCTAACTAAAATTCAAATATATATTTTAGATTTATATATATATATATTTAAATAACAAGATATCTAAGATAGACTAATAAGTAACAAAAGTATAACCAACATTATTAAGATTTTGTTAACAACACCTAGACAACTGTTAACATCGGACAAATCTAACCAGTCCCATTAAGATATCATTATTATTACCATTCTGTATATTCAAATTTTCCAAATCCAATCAAACTGGAAAAAGAAAAAAAAAAATAGTAAGATCAAACTTTTCAAGTATTTATTGATTGCTCGAGTTTGTGTGTAACAATTACCACCAAAACAAAACTCGATAGCTATACCTTCACCTTTACTTTGTTCCTTTTTAAAGAGAATTTAAACATATTCACTCTCTATAATTCAACATTAATTTCACAAAAGTCAAACAAATACAATTTCATTGGACCAAAGCAAAGATATTAGAAATGTTTATTGTTTATTAAATTGATTGACTCATATACAAAATATCAATAATACTCAATATCAATGTAATCAAACGAGTGACAAAATTGGTTGTTTGTTTATTTAGCATACAAGTGCAATTAATTACATAGTAAACAATAACAATAGTAATAATCTTATTAAAAAAAAAAACAACAAAGTAGCTACTCTTTCCTCTCTCTCTCTCTTTCTCTCTCAGCTTTTCTCTTTATTTCTTTATTTCTTTGTTTCACTCAAAATCACATATGCCATCTTTCTATCTATCTGTCTATCTTTAGCAAAAATTCACTCTTTCCGTTCCTATTCTTCCCCACATCGATGCTACTTATTGTTCTCTATAGAATCGGTGTTGTGTGGTTAATTTGGTTTCCAACACCCACCCCCGCCAAATGGAAAAAAAAAAAAGTTTGGATCACACTGAAAAGTCGTGTGTTGTCAAATCCTTTTTTTTTTTTTTTTTTTTTTTCTAAAATTTTTTTTGTTTTCATTTGGATGGAGCTATGACATTCAACTGCGTGGTGTGGTATAAGCCCACCACAGATAAAACACACACCTTAAGAATTACCCCTCGGTGGGGTGGGGGTATTTGAGTGTGGGTTGTGTGTGTGTGTTTTTTTAATGGTATTTATAAAAAATTATTGTTTTTTGTTTTGTTTTTTTTTTTTTTTTTAGAAAGAGTTAGTGTAGTAATAAAAAAATTGAGTCAGTGAGGATTCAAGACCATTAAAAATATAATATAATAAAATTATAATTATATAAATATAATAGCTCACACACACACACAAAACACACGACACACAACACACCACACTACAGTCACACAACACAGCACACTACATATATTATAACTCCAATTGTATAAAAACCATTCTTCTCATTATCAAAAAAATATTTTTGTTTATCATTTAGTATTACTTTAATATTTTCAATATCTTCTTTTTCTCTTTGGGTAAAGTAAAGTAAAACAATATTTCTTCTCAAACCAACAACCAGCAACAACAACACATACAATAATACATACACTAAATATTACATTATTCTATATTAAATATAACCATTCAATTCAATTTAGGTTTTTAAATTTAATTCCTAATCTTTCTCTTTTCTTAGCTTCTACTCTTTTTTTACCTTTGTTTTATGGATTAAGTTTTGTTATTTTAATTTTATTTTTTAAAATTTGAAAAAACAGCAACAACAACAGTAACAACAAACAACACAACAACCAAAACAAAGTTAACCAACAACTAAACAAATCAAACAAAGAACTTTATTTAATTTCTAAATATTTCGAAAAGTTGAATGTACATAATTAAAAGTAGTAACATACGTCAACACTTTACGCCACTCTTGAATTTCTTTGTGCTTCTTTTATTATCACAAAAGCAAAAAAAGTAATCATATTAATCAGCCAATCAATCAATCAAATCAATTTCATTTTTCGATATCAACACCAACACCATCAATCATATCTTTGTCGTATATCCAGTAATACAAAACAAAGAACTGGGTCCAACACACCCACATTTGCGATTTTTTTATTTTTTTTTATTTTATTTTTTTTTTTCTACTTTTGCACAACACAGGTGACCTGGATTGTTTCATTTGCCCAATATTTTTATTTTTGATCCTACCTGCACCACAACCAGCCACTATTTGTTCGACTTTTTGTAAAAAAAAAAAATTACTGATCCTTCAAATAACCCCACCACCATTGATCCGACACTTTTGGTCGTATTTTTCAAAACTAAAATTTACTTGAGAGAAAACTCAATTATTTTTTTTTTTTTTTATAAACACTTTGCGTTTTTTTTTAATTGCTCATCTAAAATCAAGATCATAACAGTTTATTAATCTTTTTTTATTCTCCTTTTTATACAAATAGATAACAACAGGTATAAATTATTAAATATCATATACAAACAATAAAAATAAGAAAAGACAAGAATAGATTAGATATAGTTAATATGTATGTTGTAACAAAGTAAAAGTAGTCTCTATTCTAGATGCTTATTTATTAACTATTAATAAAACATTAGATAAAAGTCAGTTGTAATTAATAGTATTGTATAGAAATGGCTACAAATGACCCATTGAAGATATTGGAGCAGAAATTTAGGGAGCAAAATGAAAATGTTTGGCTTCGACTAGGAATGTTTGCAGAGCTGATGGGAGAGCAGGATAAAGCACTCTTTTCATATGAGAACGCACTCAAACATAATCCTTTTTCAATTAAAGCACTCACACAGATCGCATCGATCTTTAGAATCAAAGAGCAATTCCACAAGGCATCCGAATACTTTCAGAGAATCGTCAATATAGACAACAAGAATGGCGAGGTTTGGGGTGCAATGGGACATTGTTTCTTAATGATGGACGAACTGCAAAAGGCTTACAGTGCTTATCAACACGCTTTATATCATCTTCCAAACCCAAAGGTATGATTACAATACAATGGTTGTAGCTATTGCTTTTTTTGTTTACTAACAAACACAATCTTAGGATCCAAATTTGTGGTACGGAATTGGTATTTTGTATGATAGATATGGTTCATATGATCATGCCGAAGAAGCTTTCACTGCAGTACTAAAGATGGATAGTAAATTTGAAAAGAGCAATGAAATTTACTTTAGATAGTGTTTTGTATAAGCATCAAGGAAAATATGAGCAAAGCTTAGAGGTATGAAATTTTAATATCATAAAAGATCAAAAAAAAAACATTTAATATCTAATGTTATTATTATATTTTAGTATTTCAATAGTTTACTAAAGGCACCACCAAGACCTTTGTCAACTTCAGATATTTGGTTCCAGATTGGACATGTTTATGAATTACAGAAGGAATATACATTGGCAAGAGATGCATATGAAAAGGTATTGAAAGAGAATGGATCTCACGCTAAAGTACTTCAACAATTAGGTTGGTTATATCATCACAATCCAACTTTCTCGAACCAAGATTATGCTATTGGTTTCTTGATGAAATCTATCGATGCTGATCCCTCTGATGCCCAGACATGGTACTTGTTGGGTAGATGTTACATGATCCAACAAAAGTATAAGAAAGCCTACGATGCTTACCAACAAGCTGTTTACAGAGATGGAAGAAATCCTTCTTTCTGGTGTTCAATTGGTGTTCTTTATTATCAAATTAATCAAGTAATTATCATTTAATTATATAATTATAACATTATTTTATTTACTAATTATATTATATTATATTTTTTAATAGTATCGTGATGCTTTAGATGCTTACACAAGAGCCATTAGAATCAATCCATACATTAGCGAAGTATGGTATGATCTTGGTACCTTATACGAGAGTTGTAATCAATACACAGATTCATTGGATGCCTACCAAAAGGCATCAGAGTTGGACCCACACAACAAACACATTCAATCAAGGCTTGCAACACTTAAAGGCCAGATTGCGTAAGTATTAACATTATTGATGATCATTTTATTACAACTTTTTTTATTAATATATTGAATAATTTTAGAAGATCAAAGGACAACTACATTGATAACAATGGTGAGAAGGAGCCAAGTGATTATGTCAGTGATAAATCTACTCCTATGATCATCGAACCATGTTCGCCAGGACACACAATGGATCAACTCAATAGAAACGGTAGACCAGGCATTGGTAGCAGTAACAGTAACGGATCGAACGGACCAGTTCCAAATCTCCCAGAGTTATCAGAGATTGCCATTTCCGAAGATAGAAATAATAGTTTACCATCTTCACACGACTTAAATTCATCTTTGACCGACAAGAAGACCGAAAAGAACAAAGGTAAAGAGTTAAATTCAGCATCCAGCCCAGAGACTAGACACATGGACGAAAAGGAAGAGTACATCAATGGCAACAATAACAACAACAACAACAACAATCATCATGGCAAGTCAGAACTCAGCAAACTCAGAGAGATTGTAGATCTCGAAAGACCAATGGTTGTTGAGAAGGAAAGAATGAGCAAAGAGTTTGACGAGCGTCGTGAGCTTCCATTGCCAAAGGAGTTTAGAGAACCACATCCACATCAACAGGAAGACAAAGAGTTGAAGGAGATCACTGAGCGCGAGCGTGAACGTGAAAGAATGAGAGAACGTGAAGCCGAATTTGACAGAGAACGTGAACTTGAAAGAGAAAAAGAACGTTTAAGAGAGCGCGAAGCCGAAAGAGAGAAGGAAAGAGAGCGTGAAAGAGAAAGAGAACGTGAAAGAGAAAAGGAAAGAGAAAGAGAGCGCGAAAGAGAAAGAGAACGTGAGAGAGAAAAGGAAAGAGAAAGAGAAACCGAAAGAGAAAAAGAGAGAGAGCGCGAGAGAGAACGCGAGAGAGAAAGAGAAAGAGAAAAAGAAAGAGAACGCGAACGTGAGCGTGAAAGAGAAAGAGAAAAGGAGAGCGAGGCTGAGAAGGAAAAGGAAAAAGAAAAAGAGAAGGAGAAGGAGATTTCAAAAGATAAAGAAATGACCGACGATGATCAAACCAAAGCCAAAGAGGAAAAGGAGACTACCAAAGAATCACCATCTGTAGTACCTGCGCCCAAGGAGGATGTCGAGATGAAGGAAGTCGAGAAGCCAGTTGAAGTCAAGCCAACCAAAGAGGACAGACCAGCTTCGCCAGCCAAGGAAGAGAAAGAGGAAAAGAAGGATACCGAAGAGACCAAGTCAAAAGAGGAAGCTGAAGTCAAGCCAACCAAAGAGACCTCCGAAGAAACCACAACCAAGTCTCCAGAGAAGAAGGAAGAGAAGGAAGAGATTGAATCGTCCGCCTCTACTTCATCAACATCACCAACCTCGACAAAGGAATCAAAGGAATCACCAAAGGAATCTGTTGAATCCAACGATGATCCAAAGAACAACGCTACCAATAACAATGGTACCTCGCCTCGTTTATCACCGCGTCCAGACCAAATTGAACCTGGACAAGATGCCTCACAAGAGGAAGTAAACAAGAGAAAGCTCGACGATGACACAAACAACAACGATGCTAACAAGCGTATCAAGGCCGACGATGACGAGACCCCTTCATCGCCAAAGCGTAGTGAAAATGAATCACTTTCACCAGAATCTAAAGTCAACAAGAGTGAGCGAGCAAGAGACAGAGAGAATGACAAGAACCTTCAAACATACCGAGAAAATAATAGAGAGAAAGAAAGAGAGAGAGGTGAGCGTGATAAAAAGAAAGAATCCTTGAAAATATTCAAACCCTCCAGTCGATCAAAGTTATCTAATAACAATATTAATTGAGAAAAAATACCATAAAAAAACAAAAGAAAAATCACAAAACAAAAATAATGATAATATTTATAAATAATTAATAAATTAAACATTGTATAATTGAAACTTACTTTTCATTTTTCATTTTTATTTGTCACACAAATAATAATATTTAGTTATTACTTATGAATGAATTACTAAAGAGATTAGAGGAGAATGTATCTCCAATACCATTTCTTAAAAAAGATGTAATTATAAAAGCAAATAGTTTATCAGATAGATTTATTATAACTTCATCCTCCTTAATCAAATATTGAACATGATTAGATGATCTTTTAACATTTTTTTTATAAAAAGGATACTACAAATGAAAGTACAGATTCAAATAGATTGTCTATTTTGAATAACAATGATTTGAAAAGTGATTTATATGATTCTTTTAGTTTGGTTGGTGGTATTGATTATTTGGCAGATCAATTTATCAGTCAGCATCAACAAGATATTCTAAATAAAACCCAAGAGAATATCGATCAAAGTCATGAATTCAATACAAAGAGACAACATTTAGAGCTAAATGAAGATCAACAAAACAACAACAACACCACCTTGGAGCATGATTTGACACCAGATGAAGTTGAATATATTTTGAATTTGAATCAAATGGTCAGTAGCTTTCAAACATCAATGGAGAAGGTTGTCCAAGAATTTAGATCAGAGATTGAAAAGGGTCTTGATGAGTATTGCAAGAGTAACTATGAGGAAATTCAGATTACATCAGATTCACTGAGACAGTTGATCGAAACCATGAAACAGAAATTGAAACAAAACAATAGAATTCGAGATAAGATATTATCTTTTAGAGAGGAGATCAAATCATTATATCAAATGGTGTGTAATAGTCAACAACAACAACAACAACATGAAGAACAACAATGAATAAATAAATAAATAAATAATATACAACTTGTTTTGTCATTAAAGAAATAATTTTTATATTTTAAGTTGTATAATCTTTTTTTTGTTAGTTTTCTTTTTCTCCTTTGATAGATGATTGTGGGTTTGGACTGATTGGGGCATCATCAGATGGTCTAGTGCATTGCCAAATCAAGAGGATAATGAGTATAAGGAATACTCCAATGACGTGATAAGCGTAGGTGCTGAGAAGTTCGGCAGTTCTTAGGAAGTAGTATCTGGCGACATCAGTGTATTTCATATCGACTTTACCTGCCTTTAGATCATTGAGGAACTTTGGTACTTGAATTTCATCCAGTTGCTTCAATTCTGGGTCATAGTAGTAGATGTCACCTCTCTCTCTGATAACTAAAACGGCTGGATATCTTTCGATTGCAAACTTCTTTAACCATGATCCATAGTTCATCTCTACAATGTAACTGTATCCAAATTCAGATGGATCGTCTGAGATTTGAACTTTAGCAATCTTTTTCATCAAGTCGATCTCTCTAAATAAATAATAATGAATCGTTAATATTTTAAAAATTCATATATGTACAGTGTTAATTATATTTACGATTGATGTGGAACGTTATCATGAGCAAACATAACCAAGTATTTGAATTGCTCAGTCAATGGACCGAATGAAGCATCGGTAATTGGAGAAAGTGTTGGGAATTGTTGTGATTTCATCCATGCTGGTAACTAAAATATTGATAGATAGATAATCATTAGTATTTTTAATTGTATAGTTAGAGAAGATTCTTATTTATATCATAATTACATTTGAAAGTGGTTTGGTAAAGACAACATATCTTTCATCCTTATATAGTACAACAGATGGTTGTTTAACTACAATATCCAAAGCTTTGACATCTGATAATTCAATAAAGTTTGGACTGTTTGTATCGAATAACTCCATTGCTGTATCTTTGAATGATTCATACTATAACAATTATAATAAGAATAAGTATTATAGTTAAAAAAAAATAATAATGATTGATTTGTTATATTTACCAATGGATCAGAAAGTGTCTTCTCTGCTGATTCAGCAACGTAGATGAACGATACTTTGAATGGGTCGGATTTAACTAGTTTATCAAAGGATTCCTTATCGTCAACCTTTGTGATGTAACCACCCAACATTTTATCAAGATAACCGATAAAAGCTTCTTTGGTTCTACCACTTCTGTACTCTTTTTTTGTTCCGTTGACAAAGAGTTTGATGGTTGGGTATCCACGAACATCGTTCTCACCACATATTCCCTTGTTATCATCACAGTTTATTCTTGCGATATTGACATTCAACTTGTTACGATGAGCATAGATACCTAACTCTGACCATACTGGTGCTAATCTCTTACAGTATCCGCACCATGGTGCATAACTACCATATATGACAATTTTTAATATGTAAACATTATAATTATATTGTTTATAGTGATTACATACAATTCGATGAACCATATTCCTTTCTTTATTTCAGCACTATCGGCATCTGTTAAAGTGATCACATGATCGGGTACTTGATCATTTTCTGGTGATGACTCTGCAGCTGAAATCAAACCAACTGATACAAAAATGACAGAGACTGCTAAAACAATAGTATATAGTTAAATTTCATTATTACCAAATATATATATAAATGTTTAACAATCTTTAAATTAATTAATTTGTTTTAATAAAAATTTAACTTTAAAAATAAATGAAAAAATTGTTGTTCAATGAATCACTCAACCCCAAAGGCAAAATTGAATCAGATTTAGTGATCTTGCAGTTTATCAGTACAATTAATTGAAAATAACAATAAAATAATAATTAAAATCTAATTTAAATATCATACTTAGGAATCCAACTAGATCTTGTTAAGTGAGTTTAAAGTTGTTGCATCTGTGACATTCTCTTTAAACGAGAAAGCAAAACCCTTCAAATCAAACCAACGCATGTACTTCAGAAGATCACTAGAACTGGAAGCCAATTTCTGGAGTTTCTTTGACCAGAGCTACTTCTAAGAATCATGAGTATAAAATTTTCATAGCTTGTTAAGATTTTAAAGGTTACCTTTTTTTTATTTGAACAATCCTACAATTGATATATATTTTTTTTCATCCAAATACAAATTCAAAGTGTCAATCTTTGAATCTAGATCTACTTGTTTAGAAGGAATAATACTAAAGAAATCTTACAAGTTAATACAAGAAAAACTTTATTAATTTTTTTTTTAAAGTCGACAATTTTTTTTTTTTTTTTAGAGTTTAGCCACAGATACCAGTTCAAAGTGTCAATCTTTAATCGAGAGCTGCTTATTTAGAAGGTTGGTACTGCTTCTACTTCCACATAGGTCACCTCATCCGTAATGCCACACAAGTTTTGACCCTCTCCTACTAATATGTAACCCTCCATACCCCAGTCGGTTCCCCAGGAATTACGGACGATGTAATATGGAGTGTTAGTTGACTGTTCAACGTCATATCCTACAATTTGAACACAATGATCCAATTCATCTGGGCAATTAGAGTTCAAAACACCAGATTGGTAGTTCATCCAGGTTTCGGCGTCGACACAAATTGACAATGGTCCACGTGCAGCAATGGCTTGCTTCAATTCAGTTTCGTTACCCTTGTTAGAGGCGTAACCGTAGGAAGCGATTTGAGTGAATTTTGGTGTGTTTTGAGCATAACAGGTACCATCGGTGGCAGTGTATGGGTAGTCGGTATTGGTAGTGATACCACCAGCAGATTGGACATATTGATAAGCAGTCATTGGATCTCCACCACCACAACCACCATCGTATGGATCACAATCAACAATTTGTTGTTCAGAAACATTTTGGGCAGCATTACCAGCCATAATGTAAGCAGTTTCGATTTGTTCACCAGCAGAAAAAGCCCAACATGATCCACCTAAAAAAAAATTTTATTTTTATATTAATATTTAAAATGTATATTATATTTTAAAAAAAAACAACTTACATTGTTCTTGGTTCTTTACTGGAGTAACGAATCCCTTTTGTCTCCAATCGAGTGAAACTGGGATGTTTGCTGGATAGTCAAAGTTTTGTTTGGTGGAGCGATCCTTGATGAGTTTGTTTGGAACATAGTTAAGATAACCAGCACGGAACTCTTCAATGGAGAGATCAGAGAATTTGTTTGGAGCAAATTTGGCCATACCAGCGTGCTTCTTGTTGTAGTCGGCAACGGTTCTCAAGTTCTTGATGTAGTGGGAGAGACGGAGATAATACTCAGAGTCATCAGCATAAGATTTCTCGTGTTTGGTCATCCATTGACGGAATTCACCCTCAAAGTCACGAGCACGGTGGAATCCACTGTTGTTTTGGATACGAATGGCATCGACCGATGCAATCGCTACCAAGCATACTAAAAATGCAATTAAGTATCTCATTCTTTAAAAATAATTCTAATATTATTATTGATCTAAAGATTGGATATTGATTATTAATTTTAAATTAAATAGATATACAGATAATAAATAGAGATAAATATTTAAAAATATAAAATAAAATGATTGAATGTAGAAGCTGACTCCTTGGTTCAATATTTATATTGGATGGTTTCAGAAGAACAAGTAGATGGAAGATGTGTGATGAATTAGAAAATTAATTGCTACTTTCCAAACAACTTTTACCAAATTATAAATTATTTAAATTTAAATCAGCTGCAAATATTAAACAGCAAATAAAAACAAATATTGATAAAAGCGATAACATCATTTGCCAACCAAACATCACCATCCAAGTGCTCCTCACACCAAAAATGAAACAATAATTTCAACATCCAGCCGATCTTAAATGAAAACCAACCCAAAAATAGTGTACCAATATATGTAAAAAATAAATAGAAGATTGAATTCGAATCAAATTTCTACCACTTCAAGGAGTTATACAGATTTTGTTAAGCAAAAAAAAAAAAATTCTTTCCAATAGTTGTAGTAGTGTTATCATGTGTTAAATTTATTATAAAAAAATAAAATTTATTGGTAAGTGGGAGCTAAAATTGATGATGGTGTTGTGTGATTGAACTATTATTATTTTTATTGGTTTCACTTTAATCATGAATTTATCACCTGATGAATGAACACCATATTAATTAAATGTGTTTAATAACACACACCACATCTAATCACATCAAAAATAAAAAAGAAAATTTAATTTATCACCCACTGATTGAATAAGTTTAGAGTTCTAACACTTTTTGTTTTATTTATTTAGTTCTACAATAAAGGAGGTCCTTCAAATCTTATCGTGTTTAAACTGCCAACTACAACAAAAGCAAATATATATTTTTTTTATATCTTAAAACTATTCCGAATTTTGGTACTTTTAAATAATTTAATTTTATCCAATCAAGATTGCTTCAGTTGAAACTCAAAATTCAGTTTTTTTTTTATCCCAAATAAAAATTGCCTAGTTTTATTCATTGGTTACAATTTATCTATGATGGTATGAAACTCTTTGGTGAAGCTGTATGAAAAAGTGGCAAAAAGATAGATATTTTTTGTCGATTCCGAACCAATAAGTTATTGAACAATAATCATAGAGTGACTTTTACTTTGATTTGGTGTTGGAAAAGTAAGAACTGATATGGTTCTGTTCTTTTTAAATCTTTCTTTTTTTTTTATTAAAAAAAATTTGATTTTTTTTCTTCTAACAAACGACAGATAAAAATATTTGTGGTTAACCATTAAGTACAAAGCGTAATGAATATAGGTTCTTTTTATATATTTTTAATACCAATATTCTTTTTTAACAAAGAATTTTGAAAAAGCAAAAACAACTGCATGTGTACACACTAAGGATCGATTTAAAATGTTGTTTGTATATACACCCATCGCACCTTGATTACTTCTAACATCGAATGTGCAAGTGATTTCATCCATTACCTGTGATAACTCTTTTTCTCCTGCTATCAATGGCTCCATTACTTTGGTTGGTAGTTCATATCTTGAAGTTGATGCAATACCTTTATTACCCTTTTCATTGTTTAATAAATAAATGAAAATAATAATTAATTAATTATTAAACCAACACAAAGATCATCTATTGATATATATCACTTACTTTTCTATCTACAATTACTACCCAAGTAAACTCAAACCAATGATCACCGACTTTATTAACACCACCTTCAATTCCTATTCCATATTGTACTTCAGAGTCATCGGTCGATTGTGACAAAGCAGATTTTGCACGATGTACAGCTCCCTCGATGGTTTCGTCATCGGTCATTGGTTGTGCTCGTACACAAGAGACCACAGCAACAGGAATTACTTTGTGTATTGTTGTATCATTTGGCCATATCAAACTCAACGCGTCTTCAACTGCCTTTACTTTTGCTTTGTTTGTAGTTCCAACTGCAACAACTACCATCGCTCCTATTAATATCTAATTGTTGATAAAGATTTGAATTGATTTGCAAAGATCAGTAATACACCAAAAAAAAAAAAACAAAAAAAAAAAACGAAACGAAATTATTCCATATTTTTAAAAAAAAAAATAATATAATTTAAATGTACAATCACAGAGAATAAACAAAATGATATCATTTTGCCTATGTTATTCAATTAAAAATTATAGAATAAAATGATCAAAAGTCAGTTAATCAAGATTATCTAAAAAAAAATCATTATTAGATTGATCAATGAAATAATCCCATTATTCACCCAAAAAAACATTTAATTTTTTTTTTAATTAAATTCAAATTTTATAGTAAAAAATAAACCAATGATGATCTGATTTTGGGCAGATTTGATAGATTAATTTAATCACCCAACCTATTTAATTTATTCTTCCCATTTTTTTCACTTTTAAGAATGGTGGTTTTTCATGTATTCTAGAAAAATTGTTTGATTTTTGTTTGAATATAATCAGGGAGGTAAACAATTGTTATTCTTCTTTACATTCTTTTAATTGATCATTTTTAGGAGTAAAATCATTTAAATAATTATTAAACTTTTTTTTTTTTTTGTACATTTTAAAATTTAATCACATTTTGTAAATTAATCACAGTCCTGTCATATATATATATTTGTAAATAATGTTAAACTAATGACAGATCAGAGACAACTTTACCTTTTATAAACAACTTTAAAAATACATATATAATTGTACATAGTTAAATTTTTTTATTATCATCTCTCTATCTCTCACAAAAATTTTTACATAATCACACACTCTATCTCTATCTGACTGTTGACCACTAACTCACTCAAAACACAACCACCAATTCAAAGATAAACACAAAGCTCGCTAAATAACATTTAAAAACAATAAAAACACAAATATTGTGTTGGTTTAACTTTTGTGTTTTGTTTACATCATCTTTCATTTTATATTTTTATTTACTAATAATATAAATATATATTTATATTCTCCATCTTTTATCAAATTCTTATTTTTTTTTATATTTATAAACTGAATAACATACATTATAAATAAATTTAGAGATACAAGATAATCATATTGATTTTGGACAAAACTAAAAATAATAATAATAATAAAAATGTTAATTAAATCTCAGTTGGGAGAAGATAAAAGAAGATTCAGACTCAAGGAAGCTAGCTTTCCATGTCTATGCTTTACAATTTCATCGCTATATTGTCTCTCTAGTGACTCAATATACACAATATCCTATTTAGATGATGAAAATGAGTATGTTACCTTGGCGTCAACAGAGGATCTCAAAGAAGCTCACTCAATATCGCCCACAATGATAAAAATATTAAGTATGTCATATAAACTATAAAAATCTATCATCTTTTTCGATTTTATTAATTAAATATAAATTTTATATCTTTAGTTATCAAGTGTGATATAAATAGAAATAGTAATAATAATATTAATAATAATAGTAATATATCTGATATTAATAACTGTAATAATGTAAATAGTAACAATACAAACAATAATAGTAATAATAATAATAGTCAAAATAGAAAAGCTGGAAATATTGAAGATATTGCATTGTCAATGCTGTCAAATGATAAGATTGTTTCCAGCATTAATTCACTATTGTCAAATACTTTGACAGATTATTTACCATCCATTATAAACACAACAATTCCCTATACAATTCCAATTCTTGTTTCAACAATTTCCAATATGAAAAAGAATGGTATGATATCGATTAAATTTAATACTACCATTAAGTTCCATTTCTTACAATTTTCTTTAATTATTCAGGTGATAGCGATCCACTTTGTTTAGATGTACCAATAAGCTCAAGGGAAAAGAGATTCTCTTGTTCTGCCGAAGAGAAGTTTTTAGAGCCACTACGATCATCTCAGACCCTGTTGAATGGAAGTGGTGTTATCACCTCACTCAACGGACTAAACAACAACTTTAATAATATCATAAACAACAATAGTCATAGCTCAATACTATCACATTCACTACCTGTATATTCACAAACACCAACATCATCTATTCAACCGGCTGCAGAAGTCACTGTATCATCGAACCAAACCAACTCCTCACCTCTCAAAGACTCTACTCAAGATTTGATTCTACCTCCACCACCATCTGCCACACCATCGGCCACTTCCTACCGAAAATCCAGTTCACCGATCCCATTTTTGTTTGGAAGCAGAAACGACAATCAAGTGGTACCAGAGTCTAGCTTCAGACCTATCTCACCAGTCACCACAGAACTCATCAATCAAACCGCTACTGAAAATTCATCACCCAATAGAAAGAGAACTACTTCGCTAAAGACTTTTTTCACCTCTATTCTCAGCAGTTCATCCAGTATCTCAAACAACAACAATAATAATAACAATAATATAAGTAGTAATAGTAATACTATCAACACAAATACCATCAGTAATGGAACTATTGCTGAAGAGCCAAGCACTCCAAAGCAACAGACCCAATCCAGTGATAACCCATTCATTAATCAACCTACCCTTGAACAAATTGTTTCTTAACTATATATTTCGAGTTATAAATACACAATCTTTATAATCTATAATAAATTTATTGGAAAGGACTTAAAAGTACATTCTAGTATATTCTTTACATCAAATACATATCCTTTACCCAAAAATCAATAATAATATTATTATTTTAAACTCTTATTATGAGTCTAAGTTTGAAAATATATGTTATAATTTGTTTAAAGTACAACGGTGTGACATCTTGATATTTATTGTTGCTCTAATTCCTATTATTAAATTGTTTAATATCTATATCTTTTTGATTATAAATAAAATTTTATTATTATAGTTATTTATATATTAGTTTATAAAGTTAATCTAAATGAAAATTGTTTGTTGTTGTTGTTGTAGTAGATGTATTATTATTATTATTATTATTGTTGTTGTTTCCTTCACGGTTCTGTCTATCGTTTTCATATTCTTTATCATCAGTCTTTAATTCATATCTACAAACTGGGCAGCTGTTATGCATTTCTAGCCATGGTACTATACAGTTGGGATGATATATATGAGTGCAAGGTAGCTCAAGGTAGTCTTGTCCCAATTCAAACTCTTCCTTACAAACGGAACAATCGAGTTTCTTGTCTACAATAGCTTGATTGACTTTGTCTTTTTTTAATTTATTAATTTCATCCTTTGATGCTGGTGGTGTTCCCTTTCTATTTAATTGATTAGTAAAAAAAAATAAACAGACATCAGTAAAAAGTTGTCAACAGGTAAGTAGTATGATCATCATCATCATCATCATAATAATGAAATAATTACTTTTGTGATGCTTGGAATAGTTGATTTAGCAGACCTTGCCAGTCTTGTCCAACGAAATAGTCACCAGGATTACCAACATAACCTGGTCCTCCCATAAATATGTTCATAGGTTGTACTCCTGTCCCTGCAGTAAGTGATTGTATAAAACTATAGTAATTAAATAAAAAACAACATGTTAATATACAAACATACATTAGATTGTATGATTTCTACAGAATGTTAATAACAATAATAATTACTTGAACATCATTTGATCAAAGTCTGCTGGTGATTGATTTTGTGGCTGATTGAAAATCGAGTTGAACATTGATGTCAACTCTTGTGGTACTGGTGGTGAAACACCGGGGGTTGTTCTTGCTGGTCCACCAAGAGAATTTCTAGGGAATGAGAATGAGAATGTCTGTGAGAATCCTGGTTGTTGTGGTCGTGTTTGTCTGTTTGGCATATCATTGGTTGGAGGTGTAGTCATAGGCACTGTAAAAGGACCAAATATATTGGAGAATAGTTGATCTGCACTTGTATAGTTTGGCATCGATTGTTGTTGTTGACGCTGTTGTTGTTGTTGCTGTTGTTGTTGTTGTGGATAATCAGCTGGATCAACTTCCTCTACAAAGTCAGAGTCACAGTCAGGACATACCAATTCCTCACTATTTTCTATATCTATATACTTCTTACATTGGTGACACCAAAAGTGTGGTTGTCGGCTGCTCATTTTTCTTTACTATCTTTCTTTCCTCTTCTTCTTTCTCTTAGCTTTAGTTTGTTTTAAATTGAAAATTGACTGACCTAAACCAACCAAGCAAACTAATGAAAGTAAACAAAGAAACTATCTGTCAATCTAAGTATCTATGTTTCTTTATTGATATTGAACGAACAATAAGAATAAACAAATAGAGATTTCGATGAAATTATAGAGAATTTCAAATTAAATTGACTTTTTTCAATATTTTTAATTAATTTTATTTTTTTGAACAGACTTCAAAAGTTTGTTATGCAAGAAAAAATTAAAAAAATAATAATGATAATGTATGTTTAAAAAAGTAAAGTATTTAAATAAATAAAGAAAATTCAGGCTGTTGAATAATGTTTGAATCGATGTCAGTAAAACAGTCAACACACCAAGTCAAGATTCATTCACTCATTTTTTTTTTAATATTATTTTTTTTTAATATTATTTATTTTTTTGTTAAAAGAATTAAAATGACTTGAAAAGTAAAGATAAAAAGAATATGAAAAAAAAAACAATTTAATCTTTCATTGTAAATCAAATATTTTTAATTTATCAAGTTTTTTTTAATAAAAACTAATTTCAATGATGAACATGCAAAACATTTAAGACTAAAAAAGTAATAGATACAACCAATTTATTACATGAATAATCTTTTTTTTTTTATTGTGTTTTTTATAATCACCTTCACATAACACATTTTTTTATTATTATTATTATGAATAATGAGTTTAATATTTAAATAACAAATTTGGTGTTGAAACAAAAAAATAATTAAATGAAACATTAACTATGAATAGAAATAAATAAATAAAATGTATAATAATAACAATGATAGTAATATTATGACAGAAAATAATAATCAGATAAATAATAATAATGATTATGGTGATGATGTTAATAGGAAACAAATGTCAGGACAACAATCAAAGCATGGTCATAGAATAGTGTTACATCGGATTATTCGGAGAATAAAGAGAATAATTACTTGTGGCTGCCTTAGATCATCAGATAAAAACATTGATTACGGTGAACACCGCAATAATCCACGTAGAAAATCAGAAGCCTCCACAAGAGATGCCTTTGATAAACGAAGAGCTCCAAACACCACTGGTGATATTGAAATGGTCAACAGAAACCATCTGACATTTAACAATAACAATGCTGACTATCCAGTATCTACATCGGACAACACCAACGTTGTCATTCCAACTGCCAAAAATATAAAATACCTAAAGGAACGAACCGACAGTGAATTGTACCTCGGTCAACTAAATCAAATGGAATCGAAATATCAACGTGAGAAACGATTGTCAAATGGACATCCATCCACTGACATCTCTCTACAATATGCAATTGCATTATCACATTCAGAAAAACACGATACCAGAGCTAAATCATTTCCAATTTTATTAGGTAAAACAAATTTATAATATTTATTCAAATTTTAATTACTCATAATATTTATCTTTTAATCAAACAGATCTTTTAAAAGAAGATAATGAAAATAAGAATTATTTAATGAATTTAGGTACATCTTATTTTAAGGATGAAAAGTATCAGATGGCACTGGAGTGTGCAGAGCGAATCCTTCGAATGAATCCATTGGATAGTGAAGCAATGTCATTAAAGTATCTGGCGCTGAATGGAATTGAATATCAGAAAGTTGACGAGCCACCTCTAACTATGAACGGTACAAAAGATACAGATATACCAAAACTATCTCCTTCAATTAAACATCAGATTATCGTAGAAGATGCATTGGAAACAAGTAACAAAGATATCGATGGTGATAATGATTCAACATCTGATTCATCAACCAGTACTGAATCTGATTGATAAGATTAATTTAAATAAAATAAAATATAAAAACAAATATATTTAATATTTTAAATTAAAAAGTAAAAGTTTAAATACAAAGTTTTTAATTGAATTTTAATTGATTATATTGGTTATTGGACGTCTTTGTTACAATTATATAGTGATGATTTAAATTAATGAATAAGATTTGAGATTACAGTATTAATTAATTAATTGTTGATTGATTGATTGGTTGGTTGGTAATCTTATTTATGTTGATTTGATTTGGTTGATTGAATTTTGATAATTATATTATATGTACTGATGTTGTGATTCTGAATTGAATTGAAATTTTAACCATTTTACATTTCCCTTTTTTTTTTTTTTAATTTATAATCTCTGTATGATCCATAATAATATTTTCCTGTTTCCTCTTATCGACCGTAAGATCAAAATATTCATTACTTAAAAATCAATTTGGAATTTAGTTTTGGTGTCGTCGTCATCACCATCATTATCGCTATCATTGGCATCGGAATCATCTGAATAAGAACTCAAATCGCTCTCTGATTCACTGTCTTCCTGTTGTGAGTTTTTAGTTGCGTATTTATTTACAAATTCTATAATAGTAATAATGATTGTATTGTCAATTATTAGTATGGAGATTGGTATTATTGCTTTGTGCTGTATGATGATACATTACCCTTTACTTTTTGTTTATATTTCTCAGGCTCTTTAAGTAACATTGATGCAGCTTCACCATTCAATGGATCGGTTGGGTTGGGATATAACAAAAGTTGTGGAAGGAATACCTCGAATATATTGATAAGATCAAACATTGGACTCCAAGTCTGATTAATTACATCTAAACAAACTGACCCCGATCTATTTATAGAATAAAAGAATTAGTTCTATGACAAAAAATAGAGTATAGCTATTTGATTATATTGATTGATACATACGCTAAATCTACATTTGGATGGTATATCTTATTTAAAAATCCAATGGAAGGTGATTTGTAAGGGTAGTTGGGAGGTAATTCAACTCTGACCTTCCATGTGCCACCAAAGTAAGGGCTATCTTTAGGTCCATAAAAAGTGACGGTGAATTCTGCCATTGAATCGGTAGATATCGTAACCTCATAGTTACTCATCATCCTAGATAATAATAATAATAGATTGTTGTTGTAAACGATTATCACACTGTTAGCCAACTCAAACTCTATTGTAATGTTGAATAAAGACCTTTAATACTTACAATTTAGTGAGATCTAGATCTCTTCTTCTATTTGGTGATGACATTCTATATAAAATAAATACTATATGATAATAAACTATTTAAATACTATAAATATACGATATATATGAAATTTAAAACTATTTTATTTGTACAATGTTGATAATGATAATATATATATTAGAGTTACTTTACAAAACAATAAAAAACAATTACTTTTAATCGTATTAAAAAAAAAAGTGAAAATTAAAAAAAAAAAGACTTTTTATAAAAAAAATTAAAATTAAAAAGGAATAAGGATTTTACTCTTTGCTCTGCTCTTTGATTGGATTGTAATTAAACTAATAATATTGATAGTTTTTGGATGTAATAACAAACAATAATAGTGTAATAACAAGTATTAATAATAATGATAATGATGATAGTAGGGAATATTTTAAATCTATATACAACGTTGATCAAATGGGAATTACAAAAATAAAAACTTTTAAATTTACAAATATAGCTAATTAATTGAATTGATTTGAATGATTAATAAAAGTAACTTGAAATTGAATTGAATTTATACAATATAGAACAAAATTGAAATACTTTTAAAGTAAAAAATAAATTAATTATTATACAAATAATTTTTTGTTTGTTAAGAAAAATCATTTTTTTTTAATTTTATTTTTTATTTTTTGATTTTTTATGTTTTTTATTTTTTTTAAAAAGTGATAACGTTTTTCTTATAGCTCCAAGTTTTATTGAATTCAATTCAACAATAACTGACTTATCTATAGCTTTACAGTAGATGGATAAAAAACTAACAAAATTTTTGATATCAATAATTTCAAAAAAAAACAAATAAATAAATAAAATTTATAAAATTTATTCTGAATGTAAATTCCATGTTCAAGAAGTCATTAATTTCTTCATTCTTGCTATTTTATTAAAATAGAATAATATGATTTCAGAACTAGCCATTTAGATATTTTTTAATTCTTATTCTTTAATAACTTTAAAGTAGATATAAAATTCTTACAAACCATTTCCCCCCAGATTAGAACGTTAATGAGCCGCCCCCTTTTTTTTTATTTTTCATCAGGAAATTTCAAAAGAAAGGTAAAAAGAATGATAGTGTGTAATCGATCAAACATCCAATGTTTTATGATTTTTTAGTAAAGTGGTTTGAAGCACAGCAAACGAACTTTGATCAAAAAATGTCACTTTAAAAAAAAATTAGTAAAAAAAACATAATTTTATCCAAAAAATACTGGCTTGTTGAAATCACGGAGTTTAATATTTAAACTGTTAATATTTATTCAATTGTATTGTATAAAAAATATTTGTTTTAAAATAGGCATACATTTAGTTTAGTTTGTAACTAATCAACTTTTTTTAAAGTATCAATATTTTTTTATAAAAATAGTTTTTTATAGAATTATAAAATTGTATCACTATATATAAAATGAAATTACTATTGTTAATTTCATTAGTAACAATTTGTTTACTTTCATCATGTATCATTGATGCAAAGATGATCAGACATCAACGTCGTGTCAATGGAGACGCGAAAGGACAGAGTGATGGAAAATCACGTGACCACACTCAATACAAGAATAAGTTGGAGCGTCTCATGCAAGCTAGATCCACTCCACTCAAACACCAATTCGATAACCCAGAATCATACGAAGTTCTTCCAGGAACCATGCCAGGTTTGTCAGTAGATATCGATATCACTCACTATGCTGGTTACATCACAATCAATCAAACCACAAATGCCAACCTTTTCTTCTGGTTCATCCAAGCCAACGCTACCAACCCATTGGAATTGCCATTTTTAGTTTGGATCAATGGTGGTCCAGGTATGTAGTTAAAACATATTATTCAAGAAAGTAAATAATTTACTTACTTTATTATTATTATTATTATTATTATTATTATTATTTTCTACCTATTCAAATCAATAGGTTGTTCATCAATGGATGGTCTTTTCATTGAGAATGGTCCATTCCGTTTGGCTAATGTAAGTGGTGAATATGTTGTAAATATTAATCCATCTTCATGGCACAACGTTGCCAATGTCTTGTACATTGACGAGCCAGTTGGAACTGGTTTATCCTATGTCTTGGATCCATCTGGATATGTCCGTGACGATTCAGATTTAGAGTTGGATTTCTACATTTTCCTCCAGGAATTCTTTGGAATTTTCAGCAACTATTCCACATTGCCATTGTTCATGTCTGGTGAATCATTTGCCGGTCATTATCTCCCAATCTACAGTAGCTACATCCTGGAAGTCAATGCCGCTATTGCCAACAAATCAGTTCAAACTGACGATATCATTTTGAATCTCCAAGGTCTTTTAATTGGTAACGGATGGACTCACCCAATTACCCAATACGACTCATACGCCAAGATGGGATATGCTTCCGGTATCATCTCTCTCGACCAATACAATGCTTACCAACCATTGGTTGCCGCATGTCAAGCTCAAATCAAGAATGGTGTTTATGACTCTGACGAATGTGACAATGTTCTTGGAACACTCTCTGACGATTCTGGTTCAAACACAACCACCCAAGTCAATGTCTATGACTACCGTCTCTATGATTCCAGTGGTGGTGTTAATTGGCCAGTTGGAATCAACGACGAACAAGCCTATCTCAGTCTCCAAACTGTTCGTAATGCATGCCATGTTTATGATGCACCAGTCGAATGGGCTGAATGTAATGGTACCGCCTCCCAATTCTTAGTCAATACTGATGAGAGTACACTTCACTTGTTCCCATATATGCTTTCCAATTTGAGAGTACTCGTTTACAACGGTCAGTTTGATATCATCTGTAACCATGTTGGTACTCAAGAGTATTTGAATGCCATGGAATGGAATGGTACTGAAGAGTGGAATGCCGCTCAACGTTATACCTGGACTATTGAAGATTCCAACGGAAACTTGGAGACTGCAGGATATGTAAAAGGACCAGTACAAAATCTTACATTCCTTTTGGTATTAGGTGGCAGTCACATGGTGCCAATGGACGTCCCACAGTACGCTTTGGGTATGGTTGCTACATTCCTCAAGAACCAATCCTATGAATACACTGAGCAGACCATCGGTGCCCCAACACCAACTCCATCCAAAGTCATCACATCACCTTTGACTCAAACCGCCTGGATCTTGATTATCTTTGCTGCTTTCGCTGTTGGTATTATCATTGGTTTGTCTGTTGTCATTTTCTATTTCAGATCAAAGTTCGCATACACCAGAATTAACTAAACTTCTCAACTCCCCCTCCCAAAAATAAATAATTTATTTAAAAATTTCAAATCAAGTATTTTATTTTTTGTTATTCTAAAACTATTTTCTTATATTTTTATTTTATTAATTAAATTTTCAAAATAAATCCAGCTGGGATATGTAAAGGATCTCTATATCTATTCATATAGAATCGAATGGATTGAGTGATTGGATCGAATTTACTATAACCAATTTTCTTTTCAATCTTATATGTATCGGAAGGATCCTTTAAAATAATACAATAAACTCTGTCTGCAACCAACTCGATATTGAAACCATGTCCATATTGCAACTCTCCAGTGTTGAAACGAGCATAGAGTGGACCATTTTCATTGTCATATCTAATTTCACCAGAGATTCCAGGCAAATATGGCTCATCTTCATCAATCAATCCATTTTGATTTACATCGTGCCATGTGATTACGGAGACAGGATATTTATTCTCTTTAAAACCCGCAAAGTATCGGAATACACGACCACGTTCGTTGGTAGTAGTTTGTGGATTAAGATCGAAACAATATGAACCATTGGGATAGAGCATATTGTTGGAGCTGAGGACCGGACTAAACTTGTGAAGTGTAGAGTCTTTAATAGTGATACAATATTGAGCTTCTCGCAAAGCAGGAATAATAAACGATTCCTCTCCGTACATTGTTCTGAAATGTGCGATTTGTTTATCAGACTTGGTTAGAAACACTTCCAAACCATCGATTAGATGCTCGCCATCGTCAAACTCGCCATTTTCGTTGGTATCCAAATAGACATGACCAATTACTCTGTATTGTACATAGTATTGTCCATTTCCAACCGGTGGAATATAGACTGATAATACAATATCTGGATACAAAGTAAAATATAATACCAATAATCCAGAAACTACAATGAATAGATTATTATAAAATTTCATTTAAAAATAATAATAATTTTCTCCAAATATTTAAAAAAAAAAAAAAATTTAATATAAATAATTTAATGGAAATGAATAAAAAGGTAATAAAATTATATTTTAAGAAGTATTCCACTGGTCGGATGGTTGGTTTGATTTTTTTTTTTTTTTTTTGTTAAAAGGAGATACACCATGATGTTTCGATATATGGATACTAAATACCACCATTTTTTATTTTTAAAGTATAATCAAAATTTGTCATGTTTAAAATTGACTTTGGAAATTGCTAATCCATCAACACCTTCTAGATACTTTAAAATAAGATCTTAAATAAAATCGTACGACTCTGTATTTTTGTTTAAGATATATTTGTGTGTGTGTGGTAAACACATATCTTTGGAAATTCTTTGCTGATATTAAAAAAAAAAAAAAGTAAACAAATAATCCCCACATACCAACATTTATGATAACAATATCGGATTAAGAGAACTTACCTATCTATTACAATAATAAAATCAAATAGAGATAAAAATATCTGTTTTTTGATATACATCTAATATCTATCTATCTATCAATCTTGTAATGTAATATTTTTTTGCAGCATTTTGTGTGTAATAATACAATTTATTTATTTAAATATTATATGATATTTGTTTGTTTCTATAAATTTATATTCCTGATGTAATTTGATTTGTGTTGAATTGTTGATTAAGAAGAATTAGTTAAAATACATTCTTTAAACCAAAAAAAAAAAAAATAGTTGAATAATAAACTATAAAAAAACAAAATGATTTATTAATTAGTAAACTTTAATGATTAGTTTATCGATATTTGTTTAATATTGATAATACATACTATTGATTTGATAAGATTCTGAAAAAAAGAAATAAATAAACAAAAGCTATTTTATAATTATTATATTATAATGATTTAATTTATAAACCAGCTCTCTTTCTTCTTCTTTCCTCTCTTTCTTGTTCGAGACGTTTTGTTTCCTCGGCAAGCTCTCTATCTTTTCTTTCACGTTCGAGTTTACGATCTTCGATTCTTTTCTTTCTTTCCTCTTCAATTCTCTTTTCTTCCTCTTCAAGTTCTTTCTTCTTGGCTTCACGTTCACGTCTACGTTGTTCATAGTAGTCTTCACGTGAGATGGATGAGCTGTCAGTTGTGGTGGTTGCAGATGTTGATGTTGATGATGATGATGATGACGATGTTGAGGTTAACGATGGACTCTTTACACCAGGTGAACTATCAATGGAGGATGGTGTCGATGACTCGCTCTCCTTTCTTCTCTCTTCACGTTGTCTACGTCTCGCTTCCTTATCCTCTTCGAGTCTCTTCTTTTCCTCTTCAATCTCACGCTCGATTTGTTCTCTTCTCTTTCTACGCTCTTCCTCACGCTTCTCTTTGGCGAGTTCATATTCATCGAGTGCCTTGGCAGTTTCTTTCTCTTTCTGCAATCTTTCGCGCTCCTTTGCTTCTTTCTCTTGTTTGAGTTTCTCGAGTTCCTCTTTCTCCTTGTCTTCACGCTCTTTTCTTCTGGCTTCACGCTGTCTGTTGACCTCTTCACGTTCTCTCTCTCTGTCCTCACGTTCTTTTTGCTCTTTATCTCTTTGTTCCTTCTCCTTTAGCTCTCTTTCTCTTCTTCTGGCTTCACGTTCCTTCTCTCTCTCTTCACGTTCTCTTTCTTCCTTCTCTCTCTGTTCTTTCTCTTTTTGTTCTCTTTCTTTCTTTCTTGCCTCACGTTCACGCTCACGCTCTTCTCTTTCTCTTTCCTCCTTCTCTTTCTGTTCTTTCTCTTTTTGCTCACGCTCTCTCTTCTTAGCATCTCTTTCCTTTTCTTTGGCTTCTCTTTCCTTGTCTTCCTTATCCTTCTCTTCTCTCTCCTTGGCTTCTCTCTCTCTTCTTCTAATCTCTCTGGTATCTATAATCTTTTCAGCGACGGCCAAACGTTCTCTGACTTCCTCACGCTCTCTAATCTCACGTTCACGATCCAACTCTTCTTGCATCTCTCTCTGTTCTTTCTCTTTGAGTTGTCTCTCTTTCTTGAGTGCCTCCTTTGCTTCTCTTTCTTGTTGTAATTGCTTCTCGTTCAGCTCTCTCTCTCTTTGCTCTTGTCTGGCTTGTCTTTCGAGTGCCTCTCTTTCCTGTGCCTCTTTCTCGAGTTTCTCTTTCTCTTCCTTCTCCTTCTCTCTTGCCAAACGTTTCTCTCTTTCTCTTAGTGCGAGTAGTTCTGCCTCTCTCTCCTTCTCTTCCTTTTCCAGTTTCTCTTTGAGTTCTCTCTCCTTTTGTCTCTGTTCCTTCTCTCTTTCTCTCTCCTTTTGTCTCTCTTCCTTCTCGCGTTCCTTCTCCTTGAGTTCTCTGTCCTCCTTTTCCTTGGCTTCCTTTCTGGCATTCTCTCTTTCCTTTCTTCTCTTTTCCAACTCTTTCTCTTCTTTCTCCAGTTGATACTTGGTTCTTTCTCTCTCTGACATTTCCTCGAGTCTCTTGGCTTCCTCTTCGTCCTCTTTCTTCTTTCTTTCGGTAGCTTCCAACTCGTCTTTTTCTCTCTGTTGTCTATCTTGTTCTTCCTTTTGTTTTGCTTCCTCTTCTTTTTGTTTTTGCAACTCTAATAGTTTAGCTGTATCCTCTTGTGTCTCCATTGCTTGATCGACAGACTCTGATTTAACAAAAGTAGAATCATTATTATTATTGTTGTTGCTGTTGCTGCTGCTATTACTATCGGCAGTATCATCTCCATTGATAGCCATTTGATTGAATCTGGCAATCTCACCAGACAATGTAGATTGACTCATACGCTTGCTGTTTCTATCGAGATGCTTACGCTCTCTTCTCTCTTGTTCCTCTTCTTTTCTCTTCTTCTCGAGCTCCTCCATCTCTTTGATTCTCTTTTTCAAGTCGTTAGCAGAGCCAGACTTGTCGACACTTCCAATTGGAATACCACTTTGTTGTTGACGGAATCTGGATACCTCTTCTTTCTTTCTTGCTTCTTCCTCTTCTTCTTGACGACGTCTGATACGTGCGTCTTCCTCGAGCTGCTTTCTACGCTCGGCACGTTGTTTCTCTTCTTCTGCACGCTTGGCAGCCAATGCTGGATCCAGAGTTGGCTTGGCATGTCCAGCTGGCTTGGCAGAACCACCACCCGGTGACATTGGAGTACCCAACTTGGTTTTAATTCCCTTCTTTTCACGCTCCTTAATTAACAACTGAGTCAGCTGCTCACTGTTGAGATCCTGTATACTGATACTGATACCTTGTTTCTTGTATGGAGAGTCTGGTGAAACTGGATAAGCTTTCTTGAAATGATGATACAACTCTGATAGATATGTCATTATACTTCTTCGATCTAATCCTCCATCCATTAATACTACAAATTAATGATTAAAAGGTTAGTTAGTGAATGTAATTGTTTGGAAATCCAATTTTTGTTTTTTCAAAAAAAAAAACATACAAAAGTCTGGATCCAATAAATCTGGAACACCTAGTTTCAAGGCAGTGACAAAAGCCAATTCTAAATTATTACGTCTATTCGATGCGTTCAACTCATCATATTTAAATAGTTTATCACCTTCATAAGAGTGAACTAATGCACAAAATGCTAATCCTAAATTGTTTGTTTGATTGATAGTTAGAGTTTGAAGAGATGTGTGTAACTACCTAATATTGTGATCATAAACACATACCATCACCCCAACTATCAGTGAAATTCTGAACTTTTACACCTGGATATCCATTAGTTCTCAACTGAGCCCAAAGAAGCAATGCTTCTTGTCCTGTTTTAACTGACATATTATAATTCTAATTAAAAATACACTGATTTTGTTTTTTTTATTTAATTTTCCTGTTGTTTTTTTGTTTAAAAATTTAATTAATTTAATTCTTTGGAAAAATATATTGATAAAGCTTAATGATGAAATAGAATTGATTGAAAATGAGATAGAGAAATACTGGTATTTGATTATAATTATAAAAAAATGATTATATTAATTTGAGATAAAAATAAATAATAGACTGGCTGAGTGAGTAAGTAGAAGTAGTAGGTGGTGGCAATCAACTATCAAAATTGTATGATATGATATGATAATTTTATATTGAGATTTTACAACTTGCTTAGAATGGTTAAGTTTTGTTGTTTGTTTAACAAATTGATTGATGATTGATCCGGATGCTATTGGTGTTGTTACTCTTATCAATCACTCTACAAACATCATGCATTCACACACATATCAATGGAATAAAATTGATTGATGATTGGGTGTGCATTGTTTATATATTTCATTTTTATTTTTTTAGCAGTGTTGTGTGTGTTTATTTCTGGCGGCAACACAACAAAAAATTGTGTAGGCGAGTGGGTTGGTGTTATTGTTATTTTTGTTGTTATCGTTTTGGAAAATAGGATGAGTTTTAACACATATGTATATTGTTATTTGATCATGATCAGATTTTATATGGCTTATAATTATTCTTCTTTCGGTATTGAGTGATTGATGATTGACTGAGTTTAGTGATGTGTTGGATCTACAAACTAAAGTTTAAAGTAATTTTTGGAGACATGACTAAAACAAAAATAAAATAAGAGTGAAAAAAAAACAATAATATGGCTTGTTGTTTAAAAATGAATATTACTTTAAAAAACTAAATAGACTTTAATATATAGCAAAGTAACTTTGTGATGATTCCCTTGTTGTTTTCTTCTGCTGTTAAAAGATTAATATTACAATTGTTCTGTTATAAATAAAGTTGTAAGTAACAATGTTGTTGTGCTTATGACTAAAGATAAAAAACAAAAACACCTTGCTGAACCAAAATGAAAAAAATTAATCACAGTGTAAAAAAAAAAATTAAAAATTAAAAGAAAATGGGTTTTCGAAACGATTGTTGGCAAATTATAATAATCATCCAAAAAAAGAACCCAAAAAATAAAAATAATAATAATTGTTGCTAATATATCTAATGAGAAAAGTGTGAAGTCGATCATATTTAATCATAATTTAAAAAATATTAAAAATGTAACAAACCAATTGATTTGACAAAGAAGTGCTATTATTTTGAAAGTTCTCAAAAATAACATATAAAATGAATTTCACACCAATTAAAAATCCTTTTTCTTTGCGATTTATGTAGGTATAAGGTTAATTTAAGGAAAAAGATTTACATTGTTTTCAAAGATAATCAATCATTCACTCTCCAAAAAAAAAGTCAACAAACTAATTTTCTTGAAAAATTTACAAAAAAAAAAATTTTGATACCAAAACAACTCAAAGGTCAATGTTGAATGTTGTTTCACTAGATAAAATAGAGTAGATCAATTTAAACAAGTTGTTTATCATTTATTTATTTATAAAGATTTAAAAAAAATGACAAGTATGTTTTATTTTTTTTTTTAAAAGAGAATTTGAATGTTTTTAATATACAATATTCTAATTGATAAATATTTATTTTTTTGATCAAAAAAATAATAGGAGGTAATCAAAGAGAAATCGATAGAAAGAGATCGGAGGCCAGAAAAGCATCGGGACCAAAGAAAGGTATGGAGGGTAGCATGGTTGATAGAAAAGAGAGGTAAGTTGTTAGTTTAGAACAATCAATGAAATCAATGAATCAATGAAAATAAAGATAGATGATGTAACCATTTTATTTTTATTGTTATTTTTTTCTTTTTTTTATTATTGTATTTGTTATTATCATTATTACAGAGACAGATTGGCAGTATTAGAAAAACAAAAAGCATTTGATGACCGAAAAAAGAAAGAGGAGGAAGATGCTGCAGCCAAATTAAAGAAGTGATCGAATCGCATCTAGATTATATTATTAAAAACAAACAAAGAAAGCTACCACAATCATCAGCAAACACAGATCTGTAAACAAACAATGTAAAATTTAAAACAAAACAAACCAAAACAACGAACCAACAGCCTTTATATATTAAATCTAATATATTAACCTATTGAATGATATTGCGATATCATTGCCCCTCTTCCAATATTATTAAGAAGTAATAATAAAAACTATATTATTGAATGATTATTACAAATTAATAACTACTATCACACCTATATATATATATATATATATATATAGAAATATTAAAGTATTAATTTCTTTATTTTTTTTTACTATTTTAATAATAATAATAACTCAAATAATATATTTGAGTTATTTATTAAATATTTTATTATATTTCGAGTTTTATATGTATATGTTTTAATTTCATTGAAATTGGTACCTAAGTAGAATGAATGAACTGAATGATTGATTGATTTGAATGATTTGGGATTAATTAAATTTGATTTGATTTGATTTGTAATATATATTGGTTTTGTTTTCTTTTTTTTTTTAAAAAAAACTATAGTTTTGATTAATTATTGTATCAATGTATTAATATCAGGAGATGCTTGAGAAGGAGGTGAACTTGGTGTTTGAGCGGATGATGGTGACGAAAAACCTTCGGTGACAAAGGAGTTGAGTGGAGTGTTTCCAGTTGGTGGATTGGTGGTTGGTGTATTGACGATATTGCTACTGCTGCTACCAACAGAGGTGTTGGAGGCACTGAGTTCTTTCTTCTTTTGGTTCTTGAGGTAGGTATTGACATGTGTTCTGACTTGATGGTGGTTTCTAGATTTGACGTGCGCAGCAATAGAGTGGTAATCTTTGATTCCAAACTTTGCAACCGCTTCCAAAAACAGTTGGTGTTCCTCTTGTGTCCAGTGGGAGGTCTTCTCTTTGACTTTACCCTTTTTATCGACTTTTTGTGTGGCTGGTGTTGTTGTGTTGGGTGGAGACGATGGCTGTTTCAGATGGATTGCTGCCGGTACCGATTGTTGAGGTGGTTGGAGTGGTTGTTGTTGCTGTTGGAGTGGTAGTGGTTGTTGTCCTGGCTGTGCTTGTGACATCTGCATTAACTGTTGTTGCTGTTGCTGTTGTTGTAGCTGTTGTTGCATTATAAGTTGTTGGATAATGAGTTGTTGTTGTTGTGGAGGTGATGTTAGAATCTGTTGGAGGTAGTTGGCATGGTCTGTAAAGCTCTTCAGCTGAACCTGGAATTGTGTGTATTGCTGTTGTTGTTGTGGTTGCCATGGTTGTGGAATAGCTTGGAATTGTGTGAGCATCTGAGTGACATTTTGTATTTGATTCTTTGAATTTTGAAGTTGATCTTGGAAATTCTTTATGTGTTGGTTGAATATATTGACTGGGATTGCTTGTTGTGTAGGTTGTTGCATATAAACAGGTTGTTGTTGTTGAGATAGTTGTTGTTGTTGTTGTTGCTGTTGATTTACTTGTTGAGGAGTAGTTGATTGTTGTTCAATATGTAGTTGTTGTTGTTGTGGTTGTGCTTGTACTTGTTGTTGTTGTTGTGCTTGTTGTAGTTGTGCTTGTGTATTTTGTAGTTGTTGACTGAGTTGTGCTTGTTGTTGTTGGAGTTGATTCATTGCGAGTTGGTATTGATTGTGTGAGTTTTGCATGTTAGTGATCTGTGCTTGTATTTGTGGAGTAATAGGAACTTGTGCGTAGTAGTTATTGAGTTCTCGAAGTTGAATAGCTTGTTGTTGTTGCTGTTGTTGTAAATGTTGATATTTCTGAGGTATTGAATTAAGTTGTTGCTGCAAAAGTACTATCTGTTGTTGAAGCTGGGCAACCAGTGATTGTGTTTGAGCTTGTTGTTGTTGTTGTTGTTGAGCTGGTTGTTGTTGTTGTTGTGGGATGGGAGATGGCTGTTGAGGTTGTTGTTGTTGGTAGTTTGGCGATGGTTGTTGTTGAGTCGGCTGTTGCATTGGTGAAGGTTGTTGTTGCTGTTGAATGGGTGATTGTATTGGTGAGTGGCTATTTGGTTGCTGAACGGATTGTCCGATGTTTGCCATTGGCTTATTTACCATCATCGACTGTTGTACGAGTGGCGAGTTTTGTTGCACTACAGTATTGGTCGTGGTGGTTTGTTGTTGCTGTTGATGTGGTGAGTGTATTTGGTGAGGTGATGCAAGTTGTGCTTGTTGTTGATTGACTGGTGGTGACATTGCATTGGGTTGTGGTTGAGGTTGTTGTTGTTGGTATATAGGTTGTTGCTGTTGTTGTGGTAACTGTCCTGGATATCCTTGTTGTTGTTGTGGTTTCTGAGCAACAGGACTATTATTAGCTTGTGGTTGGCCAAGTTGCTGTGGATTGGGTTGTTGTTGTTGTTGTTGTTGGTTAGGTTGTTGCTGATAATAATAAGGAACAGGTGTATTTGGTTGCGGGGATGTTTGATTTAGCATTGCTTGTTGTTGTTGTTGGTTAGGTTGTTGTTGTTGTGGTGATTGCATTTCCTGTGGTTGGTTAGGTTGTTGTTGTTGTTGTTGTTGTCCCACCATCTGTTGTTGAGTTGGAATGGCATGTTGTTGTTGTTGTTGTTGCTGTGGTTGTGTTTGTGAAACCATATTATTGGGTTTCATGTGAAGAGCTGCATTACCTGTGTTTACCACTGGTGATCCATAGGTAGGTGATTGTTGGTTAGGTTGTTGCTGTTGCTGTTGCTGAGGATTAGTTTGTTGTTGTGTTGGATTCTGTTGCATTGGTTGCTGTTGAGCAACTTGACCATTCAATAGTGGAGGTGTATTTGGCTGTGGTACTTGTTGTTGTTGTTGTGGTTGCTGTTGCTGTGAAGCTTGAGCTTGTTGTTGTTGCCCTGTATTAGCACCACCCTTCTGTGTAGCTATAGCTTGCAATGATAGATTGTTTTGCTATTTAATAAAACAGACATGATCATTAGATTAATATTTATAAAAAAGTATATCAATTATTATATAATAATAATAACATACATGTTGTTTTTGAGATTCAGCAACAGTTGCAAGTGTAACTAGATTGTTTTGTAACTTTATTTGATATCTATTCATTTCATAATAATTAAAAAATAATCAAGAGATTAATTAATACAGCTATAATAAAAACAATAATAATAATAATATTAAGATTGATGTTGTTAATTTAAACACATACCCAACGCAATCTTGTAATCTATTTGAATTCTGATTCTCCAATATAGTAGAAATAAGAATTTGGTTCTCCTCTAATATCTATTTATTATTGTTGAATGTTAATATTAGTTTTAATTAATTAATAAGCTAAGTCGGAATATTACTTACTTTTTTAACAGCTTCTTGTGTGTATATTGTATTTGCTTTTGCTGGTGCAGGAGCATTTGAGGTTGTTGTTGTAGTAGATGATAGTGATGGTGAAGGTGTCATCACATTATTTGCAATTGTATTCATTACTTTTTCTTTTATTAAATATATGTATATATATATTTTTAAATTAAAAAAAACAAATATTACCTATTTAAAATAAAAATATATTATAATGACTGTTGATAATCTAATTGATAACAATTGGTTGAAATAATAATAATAACAACAATACGATCTACTTTATTATATTAAAAATGAATGAACTAAACTGTTGATTGACTTAATAAAAAAATAAAAATAAAAAAACAAAAATGATACAACGATATTAAAAATGATGATAAAAATTAAGATATAAGTTAAGATATAATTATGTGATTATGATATGTATGATGATGTGAAAAGGCAATCAATCAATCAATCAAACAGGGAAAAAAAAAAAAAAAAACAAAAATTAGAATGTTAGAAAAAAAAAACACACAAATTTATAAAATAATTTAAACAAATAATTGAAATAAAAGTGAGTTGAAAAATGAAGAAAATCTTGACAAAACAAGAACAAAAAATAATTTTCAATCTTTATTTCTCTCTTTTTATTATTATTTGTTGAATTCTAAAAATAAACCTTTAAATTATTAGATTGAAAATTTTGTTTTGATCAAAAAAAAAAACAAAAAAATAAAAAAAATAAAACAAACAAAAAATTTTATTCATTTTTTAAATTTCTTGCAAAAAAAAAAAAAGATACATATTTTGTAAGATTAATGTTTGTTTCTAAACAAATAAACTAACTAACCATTCATTTGTTAGATCATATGTATGAAGAATTCATTTAACTTTTTCAAATTTGTTATTGTTAAATTAGTTTAATTTAAATTTCTTTTTTCATTTAAAACACTAATTTACAAATTCTGAGGGGAGGCTGATTTGATTGTGTGTTTTTGTAACCTTAATATTAAAAAAAAAAACTGTCTAATCTTAAATTGTTTGAGCCATCAATTAAGGGGGTTTGATCAATGAAACCTTAAGTAAATTTACTGTTTTATAAATAAATAAAAAAGGTTTTTGGGACTATTTTTGAAATTATAGTGGCTAATTTTGATGTATGTTCTTAGTACTAGTTAGCTTTGGGTCCAAGACTTAAAGATCGATATAGATTTTGAACCTTTTTAAATCATTGCTAATTTTAAATGGAAACATGTGTGATAGAAATTAATCATTCATGAGATTAATAAATCATATATTAAGATTTGTGATACACATTAATCTTTTGAAATCCCAAATAGCAACATATATAGAGGCCTATCAAAAAAAAAGATATACTTATCGAACTTTAAAAACCTATAAATACTGAAATAGGAATGGCCTAAATCAATATCAAAACAAAATAAAACCAAATAAAAAAAGAAATTGTATCTTAAAAACAAATATCTATATAACATTAAATACTATTTTTTTAAAAATGAATTATATTTCTATTCTATTTATATTATCAAATATTTTATTATCCGTTCAAGCAATACTTCCAGTTTGTGATTCTGGAATGAAATCATACTATTTTCCGACCACTGCCAAGAATGTTTTGTTTGCTGTAAATCCTTAAAATATTCAATTTCTTAAAAACCATAAAAATATTATTTTCCAATCTATATATATTTCTATAGGAAATAACAATAGTTGGTTGGAATGGAATATTTGTATTTAAATATATTCCAAATAAAAAAAAATAATTTTTTAAAAAAGAAATTACTAACAATTTTTTGAAATTTAGGATATTGAAATTATTCTATCAGCTGGTGATACAGTATTAGGAGGTTATGGTGCCGGTGATTCAACAACACTCTCTGTAAATGAATATCGAGGATTTTCATTCGTAAATGGTAACACCACAAATGCATGGACAATTAAAAATCTGTTTTCACTATCGATAGGCTCACAGTTTCATGGTGGTTCCTCTAATCTATTAAATGGAGTCAGAGCACCCGGGGTTTATTATCCTTCTTATGATGGTTTGAATGGTGCCTCTAAAGGAAATGAAGAAAATCTAAATAATCAGATGAAGTAAGTAAAATATAATATTTCTTTTTCTTTTTTTTTTATCATTTTAATTAATAAACTATTTATTTTAAAATAGCTTTCTTAATAATCAAGCTATTCGATATTATGGATCAACCAATTTCCAAAACAAATGGAAACTTTTGAATATTTATATTGGAATATTCAAAGCATGTAGCATGTGTACTTCAATCGATGCAGAATTTCAATTGAACCCAGTATATTGGGGATCATATTATCTTGAAATTTTAAATAATATCACTATATCATTCAACCACAGAACAATCATCAATATGATTGCATTACCACAATTAAATCAATGTAAGTAAAATTGAACATTTGTTTTAAAAAAACATTTATATTATAAATATACTTACAAAGTTTTTTTGTTGATTTGAATTAGTTTATAGTGACACTTCCTCCAATTGCAAGATCTATAATCAAAACAATAATATTTGTCCTTGCCTGTGGACACAATCATCTACAGTTTTGACTGGTATCATCAATGCTGCCAACCAAGGAATGAGAAATGCCATTCAAACATGGAAATCAAACGTCGACCAACAAACAACAACAGTTGGTGTCATCTATCAACCATTCTTGGTGAATACAACATTCCCAGCATCGTTGCTCTCACCCGTCGACTGTTTCCATCCAAACAGCGATGGTCATAAACTGATGACCGTTGGACTATGGAATAATCTTCGACAGAAATCCGTTAAATCAGGATCTGTCTCTACAAGTGATTCATTGATCTGCGAGGAAACATTTGATTCTCTATATGATGAAACATCACCTTATTAACTTTTATATTACTTCTAAAAATAATATTTTATACAATATACTTTAATATATATATACAGCTTATATTTTAATCGATGAAATAAAAATACACTGTTCAATCAAAATAATAACTTTAATATTAGGGATCAATATAATGATGATGATTCAATGATTTTAGATTTAATCCTACAGTCAATATGATTATTGGTTGAAATGGTTATAGTTCGTAAATTGTGCTTTTTGATTTTCAAAAAAAAATTTCAAAAAAAGCTTGGAACGACTTGATTAATTTGTTTGAGTTCTTTTTTATTGCATGGAACAAAAAAAGATCAAAGACAAAGAATTGTTGGAGAAATTAGAATTAAATGATGAATATATAAGGTCATTATTGAAAAATGGCACTAATAAAAAGTATATAGAAAAGGTAGATAGTGATTTGAACACATCTAAATCAAGTAATAATCATGATCTGTATGTATCATTATATTAGGTAGTCGTTTTTTTTTATTAATATTAAATACTAATAATATTATAACTCAATTGATAAAGTAACTATGCGTTCAATGATAAGTTTAGTGGTAGAAATGCATCCCCGAGCATCACATACCTAGAGAATGTTATCAATAAAACTGTAGACCACAACACTCAGTTGTTGCGACAAGAAAGAGAAAAAGAACTAAGAGATCAACTAAAGTTGAAATCATCGAGAGATAGATATAAGCCATATCAAACCAGAGAAAGAGAAAGAGAAAGAGATAGAGACAGAGATAGAGACAGAGAAAGAGAAAGAGAAAGAGAAAGAGATAGTTATAGAGATAGTTATAGAGACAGAGATAGAGACAGCAGAGATGGAGAAAGAGTAAGAGATGTTAGAAATCAATGGGAAACCGATAGAGAAAGACTATCTATACAAAGAGAACTTAGCCATAAAAATAGAATGAAATCTCTTTTTGACAGTAATAATAGTAGTAGTAATTCTGCATCACTTGGTGGTAATAATAATAGTAGATCGAGATACTTTGATGATGATGACAATGTAGATAATAACAATTCACACTCTCGTGGCAATCAAGACAAAGAGTTTGACGATGATATTCCAGAGATCTTGAAAACTACTGCTGTCAGAGGAAGAGGTCGTATCGGTAGTAGAGTTCATGATGAAGTCAAAGATAAGCATCTAATTAAGAATCTTAATAGTAAATATGGTATAGATTTAGATATATACAAAGATGATGATAATAATAATAAAGATAGTGATAGTGATAATAATAATAAATATAAAAGATCTCCATCTCCATCTCTAAACTCATCTTCATCGTCTTCTTCGTCGTCGTCATCATCGTCAGAGGATGAAAAATCAAGAAGAAGACGAAAAAGAAAAGAGAAAAAAAAAAGAAACTTAAAAAAGAAAAGAAAAAACTAAAGAAACAATTGAAAAGAGAGAGAAAGAAATCACATCACTCTGACACCAGTGACGAAAGTGATGACAGCTATGACTAAGTCAATTTTATACAAATAAAATAACCGGAAATAATAATAACAAACAAACTAGTTTAGTTTATAACTTCAAACAGTTTTTTGTTTTGTTTTTTTTTTTTTTGAATCATATTTGACCACTTACATTGCAAAATGGTTTGATGGTGATCAATTTTCATTTGCAACGCTATTGTACCCTTTTTTAAAAATCGCAATTTTAAAAATGTGTTTTGAGAAACACTGAGGCCGATGAGATTGGTTTTTTTGATGTGTGTGAATTTTTTTAGTGTGAAATTTGAGTGGTCTTTTAAGTAATTAGGGGGCTTTTTCGGGCACCAAAAAATGACATCAAACCAAAGCAATTAAAATCTAATTAGATAAAAAAAAATACTATTTTTTTTTGTTTTTTTGAGGGTCTCCTAAATAATAATTATCTAATTAATAATAATTTTTTTTTTAAAATATTGATTACAGTCAGTTTTGCCAAACAGGATTTCTGCAGCAAAACAATACCACCTGCTATTGATCATATTAATATCAAACACCACATTAACAGATATACATTACACATTTTTATGCTATGCAAATATAAGCAATCCTTAAAATATCATTTCATATTCATTCATACATATAATCATATATTTATATAAATAATCATATCATATTCAACAATCAATAATTATTTTTAGAACTAACTTTTCTTTTTTCTAAAATTTTTTTTTTTTTTCTTAAATATAAAACTCCAACCAATTTTACAAATAAATAATAAACTTAATAGACATTAAATCAAAATAATGGGAAAGACTGCAGTAAGTATAATTGTGATTCATTATTAATTTATCATCCTCAAATCAGAATGATTGAATCTAAACAATTTAATAAATAGGGAAAAGTAAATTTGGATGATCGTAACAATCCAGATATTGAGGGATATTTGGTCAAAGAGGGAGGAAGCGTCAAATCGAAAAAGAAAAGATGGTTCTTATTGAAAGGAAAGAAAGTTTTCTATTTCAAATATAAAGGAGTATGTGTTTTGCTATTAAGTTGATAATTGTTGAGTAAATTAACTGACAAAAATGTTTATTTTTTATTATTTTTTAAAAATAGGATCTATTTTGTAAAGGTTTCTTTGAATTGGACGAAAAGTCAGAGGTTAAATTGGTTCACGCTAAAGAGTTTCATATTATTACATCAAAGAGAACATACCCATGTGTATCGGACACAAAGGAGGAAGCCACTCTTTGGGTTGAAGCAGTCCAAAAGAATTTAAATATATTGAAGGGTCTGCCAGCCGTCCAGATTGTTCAATCGATAAGCCAATTAAATCTCTCTGGTATACAACAACCAAATCCAAATATTCCACCCGCTCAACTTCAAAAACAATCCTCACAATCCAATATAACAACACCAACACCAATTGTACCCATTCAACCAATTCAGCCGATTCAACCAATAACTCAACCAGTTGTCGTTCAACCAACACCAGTTGTCGCTCAACCAACACCTATTGTTGCAAATACTGCACAATCCTCACCACCCAAATCAGCTACACCACCTCCCCAAACAAGACCAACAAGCGCAACCATCGGAGGTGGACCAATCCCAACCAATATTAATTTAAATCAAGCACCTGCTCAAGGAACTCGTCCATCAAGTGGTACCATCAGCGGTCCACCACAATTCATTCCACCAAGACCAACTACCGGTCCAATGGCTCCACAAAATATAGCTGCACGTCCAGTCGCCGTTGGTCAACCCCAGACTACCGGTGGTCCACCAAGAAAACTACCAGCTGTAAATCAAGGTTCTCAATTAAATTTGAAACCCGCAGCTGTATCAGCACCCGCTACACAACCAACCGAGAATGGCTCAGGTGCTCCACCACCACAATACCCACCACCACAACCAGGTGCATCTAAACCACTCCCACAACCAAATCCACAACAACTACCTGGACAACCACTAAAGGGACAAGGACCAATTGCCAAACCAGCTGCTGCCCCTCTAGTACAAACTGCACCTGCTCAAACTTCTCCAATTCAATCTGCACCTGTTCAAGCCGCTCCACCTGCTCAACCAACTGGTCAACAACAACAACAACCACCATTCAATCCAAACGATCCAAATCAACAACAAGGATTTTACTACCCACCACAACAATTTATGGGATATCCACCACAAGGATACTATTACCCATATGGATATCCAGGATATCCACCAATGCAACCTGGACAACAACCACCAGCACCCAACGCCGATCCAAATAATCCTCAAGCACAACAAGCACCTGGACAACCACCATTTACAGGATATCCACCAATGCAACCTGGACAACAACCATTCCCATATCCACCACAACAAGCACCTGGACAACCACAACAACCTGGTACAGCAGGTCAACCACAACCCTATCCATACCCACCAATGCAACCAGGTCAACCATATCCATACCAATACCCACCAATGCAACCAGGTCAACCACCCTATCCATATCCAGCTCCAGGACAACAGCCAACGCCATATCAATATCCATATCCACAACAACCCGCTGCCTCAGCTGCTCCTACAAACGCCCCACAACCAATAAAATAAAACTAATTATAGTTTGATATATTTTTTTAATACTTAAACTAAACATCTTTTATAGAAGTTTACCACCAATATCATGGCTGTACAATTCTAATGCTATTATTGAAATTTAAATTGTTAACTTTATAGAATCGGTTTTAATTCAATGCTCACTAAAAGATCTTTTATAATTATTGTAATCAGAAATAAATAAATTAACAATCAATGAAATGAGGCTGCAAAGATCATTTACCCTTTTGAAAAAAAAAAAAAATTCAAATTAATTAAATTTTCTCAACAATTCGTTTTTTTTTTTTGACGTTTTTAAGAATATATTCAAATAGTAATAAATTAACACACAGATAAGATATATCATTATTTATATATTAGTACCAATTTGTAATATTAGTAGTTGGTTTTTTCAAAATTATATATAATTTATTTTTGTTTGTTGATTTATTTATTATCACTTTTTTTGAAATTATCATACAATAATTGTAAATGACAAGAGGTGAAAAAAGACCAAGAGAGTTGGATATTGCAGGTATTGAAGGTGAGGGTAACAGTGTAATCACTCAGGACCTCAACAATAGATTGTTCTTTTCGAGTGAAGAGAAAGAAGGCGCAGAAGAGATGTACAAGAATTCGATTATCCCGATGTTCACAACACCGACAACCAAACTCGGTGGCTATCAATTTTTCAGAGATGTACTCAAGTCACCGAAACACGTTGTGGCACCGATGATCGACCATACCTTCCTCGCATTCCGTATGCTCTGTCGAAAGTACGGAGCGGACCTCGTCTACACTCCGATGTTTCACAGCAAGAACTACGCAACCAACGCAACCTACAGACTCGAAAATTTTGAAATAGCCAAAGAAGATCGACCTCTTGTTGTACAGGTAAGTAGTAGGAAGTTTTAGTTGCAACTCATCGATGAAATATTTACTGATATTGATTTACTACTATAAATATATCTCAATTCTAGTTTTGTGGAAATGAGGTGGATTATATTGTACAAGCAGCAAAGATGGTGGAAAGTCAGTGTGATGCTGTCGATTTGAATTTGGGTTGTCCACAGGGAATTGCGCGTCGTGGAAACTATGGTGCTTTTCTGCTTGAGAAACCAGATGTTATCTTGCCAATGGTGAGGGCATTGCACAAGGAGCTTTCAGTGCCAATCTTTTGTAAGATTCGTTTGCTCCCGAATTTGGACGATACCATCAAGTTGGCGTTGCAACTCCAGGAAGCTGGATGTCAACTTCTCACCGTCCACGGACGAACCAAAGAGCAAAAGGGACACACACAGCCACACGCCAATTGGAAGGCGATCCGTGCAATCAAAGAGGCACTGGTCATTCCCGTCATAGCGAATGGCAGTGTTGGCGAGTGGGGGGACATCGAGGAGTGTCTCAAGGAGACCGGTGCCGACGGTGTCATGTCGGCCGACGGCATTCTCAACAATCCGGCGATGTTCAACGGAGCGGAACGCATCGGATCGACAACACTCTGCAGAGAGTATCTCGAGATGGTCAAGAAGTATCCGACACCCTATCAGATTGTACGTTCACACTTTTACAAGATGCTCAAGAAGGAGTGCGAACACTACGAGGATCTACGTGATAAACTGGCGCATCTCTATGAGATGCCTCAATTCTACGATATCCTCGAGGAAATCGATAGAAGATACCGCGAAAATGTACCAAAGATCAGAACTATCACAAACAAAGAGAAACGTGAACAAAAGAAATTAGAACTTGAATCGACATCAACAGAGACAACAGAAACTACAACAACAACAACAGATAATCAAACAACTACTACAAATTTAACAACAACAGAACAACAAAAAGATGAACTATTGACGACTGACAAATAAATAAATAGTGATAATAAATAAAAGTTTCAAATGATTCACGTCGAGTATCAATAGTAGTAACTCTTTCATTTTCTCTCTGTTTTCTCTAACATCTCCCCAAAAGGAATACAACATACAATGTCAACCCGTTAAATGATGAGATGATAGGAACCAAGCCACCAACTTTTTGTTGTGGATGGTGTTACAAATATCATCCCGACTATAGGGTGATGAAATAGAAGATCATGTGATAAGACATAACACAATCCTAAATGGGAATGAAACAACATAGGAAGTTGGTTCGAGAAAAAAAGTTACCAAATGAATAAAAAACTTTGAGACTTTTCATATTATAAAAAAATATAGAACAAACTGATAAAAATATATCAACAGCAACAATAGTATAACAATAATATTAAAATAGTAATGAATGTAACTATTATTTTTTTTTGCCCCAAATTAAAAAAAAAAATAATTCTAAAAATAACTTTAGGTCTTTTTTCTTCTAAAAGCGGATAAATATTAATTGTTTGCCTAAAACTGTTAACTTTGTAATGATTAATTTAAATTACCTTTCGTTAATTCATTGATGTTCTTTGGCTTTGAGGATTTTTAAGGCAAAAAATAATATCCTTTTTTTTTTAATCACTTTTTTAAGTTGTTCATCTTTATTTCTGTGAAGGTCCTCGTTGAAATTTTTATTTTGTGTACATAATCGATTGAGTCAGTGATCAAACAGTTTAAAAAACATATGCAATGACGATCTAAAAAAAGAAAACACAAAAAAAACAAAATCTTCTCCAATTTTTGTTCCATGAATTTTTTTGTACGAACACTTTTTAAGGTTCAAATTTAACACCAGGTGTTGTGTTGATATTTAATTGAGAAACACAATTTTTGATCAAAACACGAAATTAAATTTGTTTTTTTTTTTTTTTTTTTGCAAAGTGCACTTTAATTGATATTATTAAGTTGCAACAACTAGAAAACACATCAATCAAATCACCAAAATAAAGATAAAAAACAAATTAAAAATAATAATAATAATTATAACTTAATTAATATAAATATTCGTACCCTATCATTCTCAAACAAACAAACAATCAATCATTCTGAGTGCAAAGAAGCAGAGTGAGTTAATAGATAAAAGTAAATGATCAAATCAAAAATCAATTAATCAATCACAATATAAAAATATAAAACAAAAATAGTAATAAAAATTAAAAATTTAATTAAAGTGTGACAAAAAAAAAACATTGACAAAATCAAAAAATATTGTTTAACACACAAACTTAACTAAACACATCAACAACCAAAACAAAACCAACAACAACAATAAAATAACTACCACCTTCAAAATCACAATCATTATACGTTTTTTTATTTTGTTATTTTTTTTTATTTACACTTTAAGCTTATTGATTGTCCTTTCCAACAAACAATCAATAACAATCAATAATAGTAGCAATAATAATAAATCTATTTATATATATTAATAAATTTTGGTATTTCCTCTCAAATATATTTATATTTTTATATAATTTCATTCAACTTTAATTTTGGATTCAAATTTAGCTATATACTATCTTTCTATTTAATTAATTTAATTTATTCACATTGATTATAGTTGTTGTAATTTTAATAGTAATTTCATTTCACTCTCACCCTAAATTTGCACAAATCACAAATCCATTCACATTTAGATAAATTTCAATCTTTAACTTTATAATAATTTCATCTTTTTTACATATATTTATATTTATATTTATATTTATAAAAAAATAGTTAATTTAAACTTGTTTGTTAGTACGATATAGAGTTATTGTTAAAATTATATTATTTTTTAAAAAAATAACTCTTTATCTGAAAACCACAACATCAGTTCGTCAACCAATCAAATAATAGGATAAATTCAAATTTGTGTTGGAACCGACCGACCAACTTTCGAAAATATATTAAAAAATAATGGCCACAACAGATATTGTAAATATGATTAGAGTAAGTGTTTTATTACTTCTTATATTATTGTTGTTTTGGCAATGGAATTATTTAGAAATGTTGATTTAATTTGATAGGAAGAAGACTTGTCAGTTTCCAGAGTTACTCCGTTGGTCGAGCGCAATATAAATGGTTTGAATGAATTGGTACAGGTGATGTTCACGACACAGGCAGCATCGCCCGATGTCTCTTGTAAGGATAAACTTTCGAAATCACAGAGTAACAAGCTGGTTACCTACCACCGTAGTCTGGAGCGCCTACGTCAGAGAATCGTTATATTGATTGGAAATTACATGCAGCATGAGACGCGACTCAACGAGCTGCTCGTACTACTCGATCGTATCGATGACATACTAAAGATCGTAAAGATCATCACATCCGAGAATGAAGAGTTGCACTACGAAATACCAGAGAGCACCAACCAATCGATTCAGAGACTCGGTGGTAGCAGTGGAGGAAGCATGCGTCGTAGTGGCGGTATCGGTGGTGCCGCTCCAAACAGCGACAACAGCGATTCCGATGGTGGAAGTGGATTCGTACCATTGGGACCACCTCCACAAGAGTTATTTGAACATAAAAAGACAAGACCAAGTATATTCCTTTCACTATTATCAAAAAAGAGAAGAGTAAGTTTGTTTTCTTTTGGTTGGAAAAAACATAAAATAATAATATGGAAAGAAAATATTAATATTAATTTTTTCCAAAACAATTTTTAGAATAGTGATACAAATAATGTTGTAATTAGTAATCCAATTAGTAATAATAGATTAAATAATAATGGCAATAGACAAAATAGAATCATTAGAAGACAAGTTTCAGATGAATCAATTTCTAGTTCTTCTTCGGATTCAGAGTCCGAGGAACGTGCTACTACAACTACCACCACAACTACTACCACCACTACAACAAACAATCAAAATAATAATAACAACAGACAACCAATAAGACCATTGAGAAGATCATTAAAGAGAGTTGTTAATACACGTCCTGTATCAGAGTCTGAGAATTCATCGGAATCGGAATCGGAAGTTTCCGAGGAGGATGAAGAAGAAGAAGATGATGATGATGATGTCGATGAAGATGAGGAAGCCGATGAGTTGGACTCTGAAGCTACCGAATTAGGTCGTCGTACAAAGAGTTTGAGTTACTCACCAAGATTCTTGGGAAGTAACTTCTTGAAACAAGCATCGGCAGATATTCCAACACTTCCAAAAAGACCACCTCCACTTGTCTTACCAGCACTCCGACCAAAACCAACCACTACCACCACCACCACCACCACAACAACAAACATCAACATCAAATCAATGGCTGAAAATCTAGAGGATTTATTAAGCCAATTGGACGGTGTAAATAATAATAAGAATTTAAGTGCTAGTATCGATGGCGCCGATATTGGTGTTATAAGAAAGAGACATTCTATTTCAACTACCGGACTCCAAGGTAAACCAGCTGGCAACCTGACAAGATCAAAATCAGGTACCAAGACCAAACCAGTCGTTGGTAAATTGGAGCTCCACAGCGAACTCAAGAGAGAAGTAAAGCGTAGAAATAGAGTAAATGTTGATAGTTTATCAGCATTCAAGCAAGACTTGCGATCAGAAGTTCAAAGAAGAAGAAGAGTGTCTAGAGTTGCACAATCAGACTCTGAGGACGATGAATCAGATGATGAAGACAGACCAACCACCACCACCACAACAACCACCACCACAACTAACAACAACAATATTAATTACAAACGACAATTCAAAGTTGGAAATAATAGAGAGAGTTTGACAAGTGCTGAAGTGGAGACTATTATCAAGTCACTCTACGATTCCTACCACTCGTCAGACTACGACTCAGAGTCGGAAGATGAAGAGCCAATTCAACCATCGGCAGTCAAGAGATGGATGTCATACCATGGTAAGCATGCTGGATCGAGCAGCAGCAGCAGCACCATCAGTGTTGCTGCCGACACTGGTCCCAAGAAGCTCGACACCCCAGTAGAATGTAAGATTTGCTACTGTGAATATGAAATGTCGAATGAAGTACATGCCTTCCGTTGTGGACATCAATACTGTGTCGACTGTATCAAGCAATTCTTGACCAATCACATCGTAGAGGCAAGAGTGTTGGATCTTCTTTGTCCATTCCCAGCATGTCGCAGAGAGATCACCGAGGATGAAATTCACAAGTTTGTAGACGAGCGTATTTGGACGAAATACCAAAAGTTCTCGATGATTGCCTCGATCAAAGCAGAGCCAATCAAGTGGTGTCCAACCCCCGATTGCGACACCTACGTTCTGGGCGGTAGCTACGAGAATCCAGTGTTGAACTGTCCAAAGTGTCACCATGAGTTTTGCTACATCTGTGGTGAAGAGGCACATCCAGGTTACAAGTGCGGTGAGGAAGCACACTCACTCCAGGGTCGCAAGGAAAAGTCAGTGTCCGTCGCCAAGAACCAGTTTGACGAGTGGGTCAGTTCGAATACGTTCAACGTCCAGCAGTGTCCAAAGTGCAATGCTTTCATCGAGAAGAACGAGGGTTGCAATCATATGACCTGTCAGAACTGCCAGCATCAATTCTGTTGGCTGTGCAGAAACGACTACTTTGCCGGTCACTTTATGGATACAAACTTCCCGGACTGCTACGACAAACAATACTATACACCCATGTACAACTACGTGCCACCTGCACCAGCCAGACCAAGATACCGTTCAAAGAAGGCAAGAAACATTGCAATCGGTGTAGCTGCATGCACTGTCGGTCTACCACTTCTACTGGTCGGTAGTGCCATCTACGGTTGTGTACGTCTTCACAAGCATCTCGGTAGAAGAAGAGAAGAAAGAAGAGAAGAGAGAAGAAGAAGAAGAAACAACTATGTATATTAATTAATTAATCAACCAACCAATCAAAATATTTTGAAACAAAACCAAACCAAACCCCAAACATTCATTCTTCTCGTAAAAGATCATCAACATCCATGTCGAGTCCAAGTTGCACCAATATATACTTTTACTTATATATATATATCTCAAGATTTACCAAATGTGTTTTACCCAATTAACATCAACAAAAAGTTTAAAGTTAATAATAATAATAATAATAATTTGTATAATAGTAAATATTAATCTAAATTTTAATTTTATACCTTCATCTAATCTAATAAATTGGTTGAGTATAATAATAAGAGTTAAAATAATAATAATAATCAATAATCAATAATAATAATAATAATATTAAAATAAAAACAATGTATATAACATTTGTTGTTTAAATTATTACATTGTTAAAAGCAATGTAATAAATATATAGAATATCTATTAACTTTTTTTTTTTGTTATACAATTTTGATTTATTCTTTTGCTCTATTATTATTATTATCTTTGAGTTATTTGTGCAATATAATCTAAAATCTCTGTTCTCTGTGGAACACGAGTGTTTCCACCGATATAACGTGTATTCAATGCACCGGCAACACATGCAAAATCAAGACAAGTCGTCAAAGAATATCCTTGAAGCAGAGAGAATAACATTCCAGAACGGAATGAGTCACCTGCACCTACAGAGTCAACGACAGGCTCTATCATCTTTGGTGCCAATCTCCAGAAAGGCTGTACATATACAGGCTCGGTCGAAAGTCCAGTGTGAAAGTGTCCTCCTGCTGCCAAACCATTAGCGCCATCAGTTATAATGATAAACATCTTTGGATACTTTGTTAGTAACTCTCTGAGTGTACCCAAAGTGATTTCAATTGAACCTTTCTTTCCGAGGTAGTCTGTCGATGTTTGATAAAAGAATGCCGATCGCATCGTTGACATCGATTGAATTTCATGTGGTAGCACATGATCCATCACATAGAGATTAACACCCGTATGAATGGCCCTATCAATAATATGATCGGATATCATCGATGTATTATAATCGAATGTCAGCCAAGAGTCTGGTGACCAATGAATCAATTCGAGCAATTGATCTTTGACTGTGCCAACATACTGATTCATAGATTCGAATCCGAAACCAAACATCGTTCGCTCAGAGTCTGATGTCAGGAAGATGTCACATGCCGGACTGCTGAGAAGTTCGCTTGATACCAAGTTGGGAATGCGCAGTTCTAGATAGCCTCTATAGTCGCTCTCATTACCCAATCGATGGCTGAGCAATGAGAGTGTTCTCTGTCCAATCTGATCGTCTGAGATTGGCACTGAATTGAATCTAATAAACACATCTTTATATTCACCGAGATTACTATTCAAGTCATATCCATTGTTGTTGTTGTCATTGTTGTTTTGAAATTCAATGTTATCTTTAAGTAACTTGTATTCCTTGAAATCTCTAACCAATTGACATAAACATATCTTTTATCAACAACAACAGTGTTGTATCAAATGAATATTAATATCAGTCCTATCAATTGATTGAATCTCTAAAATATATATATATATATATGTTTTCAACATACTAATGTATTGGCAGCCTCGCCACCCAACAATGTACACTTTTTCTTAACTTCTGTATATGAACCCTTAGTAAAATTCAATGTATCTATAGACTTAATAATATCCATACACACATTTCCAAATATGGTTATTTCTTTCATTTTTAATTTATCGATTGCAATTTAACAAGATGAGTTTTAAGTTCACATTTGAAGTGAAAATTTTTTTTTATTTATGTGACATAAACCAATTGGAATTTTTTATTTTTTTCAAAAACAGAAAAAAAAATGAACACTAAGCCACTCTGACAGCTATCACTAACAGTTGATTTGTTTTAATATAGATAATATCAGAGAAGGAATTTTAAATCAAACTCTACACATCACACATTATTTATTACTATTATTATGTATATAAATTCTAAGAGAATTCCTTTCAAATCTAACGGTTGGTGGACTATGAGTAATAGCAATATTAGAAGCTTCAGCATTACCAGCTAATATCAGTATTATTAGATCTATCATCCAATTCGCTCGTATCTAAAGTGGAGCAGCAAACCCACCATTTACCTCCAATCTTCCTGATGATTGGTACTCCGCCTCTATGTTTTTATTGTAGGTGATATCGCTGCTGAGTTCTTTTTCCCTCTTCTGGTATTCTCAACTGTTGTTGTTCCAAAATTGGGCTATCCATCTTACTTTGAAAGTTGTAATGCCTATTACATATTGCTTGATATCTGCTAATGTGTTCCAAGTAGATATCTTTCAATACTCTCTTGTTACTGTTGCAATGGAGACATCTCCAAAAAACTTGGTAAGTAGAGAGCTCAAACCATTCAAAGTCACACCTTACAATAACCGACCAGTAATGCTTCTTAATATGCCTATTCGCATCACTAATTAATTTGATATTACTCCCACACTCTGAACAATCGACTCAATCTTTATGCTTCTTTCATGTCCAACATTCGATAAATTACATTTGATGCTACCTTTACATCCATGGTACCTCTTCTCATGTTTATCTCCCTTAGATTCACAATCTAACTCATTATTTTATATTTACAATAATGTCTACACTTATATATACATCATACAAATTAATTTATATAAATAAATTTTAATTTTAAAAAATATGCGCATGGATATTATTTATTCTGCGGGTGTAATTTTCAAACTTTTTTTTTTTTGGTTTTGTAAAAAACAATTCTGATGCGGATTGAAAAAAAACAGAAAAAATGATTGCGCAACTTGATCAACGATTTTTTTTATTTTTTCTTTTTTAAAAGGGTTTTTATTTCATGACAAGTGATCAATGATATTACTGTGGTGGTATTACTCACAGGCCATTTATTTTTATTTCTCAATAAAATTTGCATATTTATAATTATATATATTTATAAATATATTAGCACATAAATATATATGTCCATCTGTAAATATTTGATGTTCACACATTCACGATAATACTATTCTTTATTTGTATTTAATAATAATAATAAAAATAATAATAATATAATGAAATGAGATAAAAATACTAGTTTGGTGTCATTGGATCAATGACCTAACAACTTGTTATTTTGGTTTTTTTTTGTTTGCAAGCTGTGCAAATGTTAAGCTTTATGAAGTATTTTTATTATATCCAATAGACATTTCATTATATTACACAAAGAAAGAACTTCTTTATTATTGTTCTATTCATTCTATTTAATAAATCGAATAATATTGAAAATGTTTTTTTTTTTTTTTTTGCACAACATTGTAATGTTGTCGTAATATCACAGAACATATAGCAAATATAACACCACCACTTACATTACTGTGAGAGATTAATTAGTAATTCCCCACCCCACCCTTCACACATCATCAATCCAATACAATACATCTCACATTTATTCACCTTTATTTCGTTTTAATACGTATTCATTCATTTATCTACTCATTAACCAAACTTATAACATTAAAGTAACACACTCACTCACTAAACACATAACATTACAGTGGTTTTAGCTTTTTTAGTCGATATGAGTATGTTCATCGTTTATCATTCTTATATAACTTATTGAACTTAAAGTTGCTATTGTTGTTTATTTGTTTGTTTTTTTCTAAATTTACAACAACAACAACAATAATAATAATAATAAATTCAATATTGAGTTCCTAAATTTTATAAATAGTACTACCACTACCCACTACCACTACCACCAGTAACAAACAAGAAAACCAATTTCCACCCCACACACACACAACCCAACATCTTTAACTTCACCAACACAAGTATATTAGTGCAACAAAACATTTAAAAAGGATAAATTTGATTTCCAACTTATTTGTCTTTTTGTAATACCAATACAACTATTTCTTTTATTCTCTTTATTTTTTCTATAACATTCCAATCCATATTTGTAAATCATTTATTTAAATGTTACAATTCATTCCTACCACCACTACTACTACTACTGCCACTATCATTGATGTAATATCGATTATTATCACTATATCAGACATCGGATGTTCAAACTAAAAAAAGCAAACAAAAAAAACAATCAGCTTACATCTACTTTTACCACCACAACACAATAATAAATGAATAATAATAATAATAATAATAATAACAACTTCATAACCCAACACTTTACACTTAACACTTGGAATCAAATCAACAGCAATCAAACAATACACCCACACAAACTTTGTTAACCAATACAATTCTAAACAATATGATAACAATACCAAACAATACCAAAAACCAACACCTTATTTATTGTGGTAAGAACTATAAAGAAGATAGTATGATAGCTGCTCCACATTAATTAAAGTTTCCAGTATAAAAATAATTATTATTAATCATCGACATTGTGAACTGTGTCACATTTATTTTAATCACCATCATCATTTATTTATTGATTTACATCATTTCTTTCATTCCACACTTAAATTCATTCAACATTCTATAACTATATTATTTATATCAATAATATTTATTTATTCATAAGCATAGCATTTACTTACTTTACTATCAATCAAATCTAATAAAACAACAGGAAAATGGATACTGAAGATCTCAACAGTAATGTTTTTCTAAAGATACTGAAAACTAAACATCCGAAAATATTCAATGCAATCGAAACCAATTGTTACCTTTTATGTATTCCTCAGTCACTTTCTCTCTATGGAATGAATATTACTGCTAAAATTATAGGTATGTCTTTTAATTGATATTTGTTTGATAGTGATGGTGATGATGACGTTCATCAGTTATTTTTTTGATTTACAATTATTTTTTTAATATAATTTTTAACTAATTTTTTTACTATTTTGTTCAAAAATAACAAATAAACAGAATCACATATATTAGTTGGATCGAAATTCTATCAAGACGAATACGAATCACTTAATAGAGATGCAAAGTACAATATCGAGAATATGTTGATCACCGACAAGAGTGATCCAACCAAGCAGATCAAAATTCTCTTTGCCGAGATGTGTTACAACAGAGAGTACAAACCCTATCGATTCTACTGCATTGAATATCCATTGGTTGGTGGAACAGGAATTAAACCATCGATCTCTTTCGACAATGAGGAATTTGGTATAATTAAACCACAGAAACCAACTTTTGAAAAGTAATTATCATTACAAACCTAACTAACTATAGTATCATATTTACTAATTTTTATTATTATTATTAAATCAATATTTAAATATGATATAGTGCAACACAATTCCTATACTCTCAACCATTGAACTCACCAAACTCTATCGTAATGAAAAAAGTGGATAATGAGATCATGTTTTTCGAACAAACAACCAATTTGGAGAACCACAATCAAACTCAAGTCACAGAACTACTCTCGCGAATGAAAGAGAAATTTATGGACGATCTAGTTTGTGCAAATGCCGAATACAAAGAATTACAAACCAATGAGAAACAAATGAACAATCTATCACTTTTACTTGATAGGTAAGTTTTATAAACAAATTATAATAAGTATATTCAAAAAAAAATAGAAATTAATATTTTATTTATAATATATTATAAATAGTTATTTAATAGGTAAACTTTATGATAAAATATATATACAATTAAAAGAGATTTACTCTGAGAAGAATAATTATTATTATGAGAAAATGGCAATGCTATCGAATTTGACGCTGGAAGAGTTGGGTATTCGTAATGAATTCGCTCCGCATCTAGCGCGTGCCACTGAGATTATGATACAGTTTCAAATGGATCAGACACCGATCGATAAGCTCCTCACTATCGTGCAGGCATCGAATGAGATTGAAAACTCGATAAAGACATTGTCGCTACTCGAACTCACCGATGACAATCCACTGACGATCACCGGTGACGATGCACTGCCGCTCACCTCATACCTGCTGATACAAGCACATCCACGATTCCTCGAGACCGACCTCGTCTATTGTACAAACTATATATTCACCGACGTATCCAATCACTCATTTGGTTATCATCTCGTCAACTTTCAAGCCGGTGTCGAACATATCAAACAACTGATCGATCAATTTGCACCGAACACCAATACCAACCTTACAAACAACATCAACAACATAAACAACAATGAATCATCAATCATAAATAACAATATTAATATTCTATCACCAAATCAACATTTAAGTAAGTAACGAAACTCATTAACCTTTTTTTGTTTAAAAAAACAAAAGAACCAATTATTAATTTTAATCCATTGTTTTTTTTTTATAATGTAGAAGTAAAATCAACATCATTAAATTTACCGACCTATTTAAGTTCCAATTCATTGCTATCAAACTACACACAACAACCACAACAACATCAACCAACAATCATAACTTCACCGCCAGCCAATAATAGATCTTTAGTACAGAACCAATATACATCATCACCTAACCTATATAATTATGTTTCGACAACTTCCTACTCATCATCTGTCACACCATTGTCACCCAGAGGTCCCGACGTACAGAAATCATCTCATTCTTCATTTGCTCCGAGCAGCAGTAGATACAACACTATCAATAGCAACAACACTATCAATAACAACAACAATAATAATAATAATCTGACCTCATCGTTTCAATATCATAAATATACAAAACCTCCTTCTGTCATTAGATTGGATGAAGATGAAACTGGTAGTCCTTGGTAAACAATAATCATCACAATCATTCATTTTCAATTTAATATTATTAAACTATTATTTAATTAATTAATTCAGACCACACAACCTTTTTTTTTTTTTTTTTTTTTTTAATAATAATGATCTACTCTATTGGTTATACTAAATATTCACCCACAATTAATGTTTACCACTAGAATAAATGGAGATCATTGTTGAACGAAAATCACTCACTTTTTTTATTTTATTTTATTTATTTTTCTTGAGAAATCAAAAATAATTCAATATTATTTAACCGATCGGTTGTTTCGGAACATGTTTAAAAATATCGCACAAAATTTTTTGGCTCACAACACATGAAACGTCGAGTTATCGATCTTTTTGATGATTCTTAAAAATTAAATTCACGTGATAAACAATTCATGGTGTTAGTTTTTTTTAAAAAAAAACTAAGAAAAAATAAAAATTAAAAAAAAATAAAATGTTTGATTAGAAGTTACATGACAGGGTTATCTAGATTTTCTATCACAAACACGAAAACTTATGATGATAAATGGGTTTGATAATAGTGGTTTAATGGGGTTATTTTTTTTTTGCAAAAACAAAAAAAAATTCAAATTATATTTTTTTTAATCAAAATTTTTTTTTTTTACTCTCACATTAAAAATTGGTAAACATAACACTGCACTGTTACCAATAATTAATTCATGCACCATTATTATAATAACACACCTCGTTATTGTTTGTATTAATATTTTTATTTTATTTTATTTTATCAAACCAAAAGAAAGGTAGTTGATTCAACAGAAAGATTCTTTATAATCCATCCTTAGAAACAAGTTTATTGTTAGCAAAAGTAAATCATCAATACAAAATTGATAGCAACAACAATAACAACAATCAATAGTAATATAAAAAATATTATTATTGAATAAATTTAATTTGATAATATATATTGTAATAGTAATAGTAATAAACACATACATGTATTATTTTTGTTATTAGTAACCAACTATCACCACACGTTTTATTTATAAAAAGGACCTACAAACAACAACAATAATAATTATAAAAAAACAAAACAAAACAAATATATTTTATTCCCAATTAACCGAGCTTTAAACTAGTTTAAATAATAACAAACATTCAATATATATAATACATACTATCTATAATATAAATATAGAGTTATTAGTACACATATACACAAGTTATATCATTTATATAACAATAAATCAAAAAATATATATAAATTATTATTTTTAAAAAATAAAAATAAAATAATTTATTCTTCTATATTCTATCCACTCAACTCTTAACATTCTATAATAATATATACAATATTATTATATATCTGTATAAACAAAACCAAACAAATAGAATCAAACATAAAATATCTACAATTGTCAAACCATCATCTGTTTTTTTTTTTTTTTTTTTTTTTTGGGGTTACTGTTGTCCACTTTCCACACTATAACATACACTCATTATTAATATAATTAAAATTAAATATATTTCTCTGGTAACCAACTCCTTCTCCTTCCCTTCAGTGTGTATGCGTGTTTAATTTTGTGGTCTCACATACTATAACTATTGGTAACACTTATTTAATTTCACATTTATTTTTGTACAATATTTATTTATAAATATATTTTTAGTTTTATAAATAATAAAAAAATAACTATATAGTTTTATTTATTATTTATTTTATTTTATTTTATTTTTCCTGAAAAAATCTTTTAATTACAAACAATTAATTAATTAATTTTATTTTACTTATTCTTTTATTAAAGTTTAATCAGCAAATCAATTTTTATTTTTGATCATATCTATTATTTCTCTCTCCCTCTTTTTAATTTTCTCAATCAAGAATGAATTCTACATCCACTCTCAACCCAGTCCCACTCTTCTGTTTCGACAAGTTAAACAGTAGAATGAATGATAGCACTGGTACTATCACACCATTCAATATGGTCAAGTTGGAAGAACCATCCAAGTCTTCAAACTCACTCTCCAACGGTGTCACTCAACAATCCGATGATTATTTCGACATGTAAGTATTGGATTCTAAAAGAATATTTATTTATCATTTAATTAATATTGTTTAATTTAATAAAGCTGCCTTGGTATGATTGGAGTTCCACAACCACAACAACAACAACAATCAAATTTTGATTCCAACAATAACTCTAGCAACAACAGCAATAACAATAGCAACAATACCAGTGATTCGTTATTGTTCTCACAGCAATTTGCACAAATCACAAATGCTGTTGCTTCCCAACAACAGCAGCAACAACAACAACAACAAAACAACTTTGATTCCAACAATAACACTTGTATCAACTTCAGTCCACCAGAATCACCAATCCAAAACGGTAACACCCCCAATATCTACAATTTGCAATCAACTGCTACAGCACCAGTGTTTTCTAATTTCTTGGAGGACTTGGGATCATCGCCAAGTGTAACCTCACCAGCTGTCTACTCAATCCCATCTCAATACATTCCAAACTATGGTATCGTATTGAATGCCAACAACAAGAGTATCCTTCCACCACAAGCCTGGACCACTCCATCCAACTTTAACAACAACAACAACAACAACAACATTGCTACCAACAACCAACAAGGTATGAATTTGCAATTCCAACTCGGTAAACCAAATTCCAATAGTCCAAACCAAAAGCAACAACAACAAACAATCTTCAACGGTAACAACAGTATCCTTCAATTCCAACAACTCGGTTCCATTATGGGTCTTGATTCCAAAGGATTATTACAACTTCAATCACTTCCACAACAATCACAAGCCATCCAAGTCAAAACTCAACAAGTTGCCGTAAATTCTACATTCTCTCCAAACCATTATCCTGTACACTCTGATGACTCCTCTCCGGATGCCTACCGTTCACCACCAATCTCTCCAAACAGCTCAGAGTTCTCTACTCATTGGGAGACTGGACTTGCACCAGACTCACTCCAGAAACAACACGAACTCAATCCACCAACCGTTATCCGTTCCAGTGTCGTCTTTTTCGAGCCATACATGTCGGGTGAAGTCGGTCGTCACCGTGCCTGTTGGAACCTCATTGACCCAATGCATCGTAACTACTACCAGCCAATCCAATTCAAGTTGCCAAACGAGAATAGTTCGCTTCAGATGGGTGCCAACATCAATGATTTCAATGCCCAACAAATCATCGACCATCAGTTCTTCACCAACCGTTACGAAGGTTACAGAATTTACATTCATCCTTCGATCGGTTACTCTGGTAATGCCAAACGCTTCAAGCAATTCCCAGAGCCAAACGAAAAGGCACTGATTCTCGACGGCAATGTCTACGACGGTCACTTGAATCCAATCTATAACTGCAAAATCTGTACTGAGTATTATCAGACAAAATCGTACTTCTCTGCCAATCCACATGCCAAAGGAAAGGTCTTGTTGATCAAGAACAACATCCTCACACGCATCAAGGATGGCGGTTTCGTATTACATTTAAAACCAATGTGCTGCAGTGGTCATAACTCACACATTCCACTCTACTTCCATTTCACTTTGACTGATCCATCCAGTAATGAAGTCGTACTTCAAAGTTTGGTCAATGTCAATGTCAAACAATGGAAAAAATCTGTGCAAAATAAGAATAAGAAACAAAAGGTAGAATCAATGTAATGTATTCATACTATTGTTTCGATAATTCAACCAACAAACAAACAACAAAACAAACCAAACCAAACCAAACCAACTTCAACTTTCTTATCTTTGTTTAACTCAAAACAATCCAAACCCAAGATTCATTTTTTATGTATATTTAACTGTCTATTTATTTATATTTTTCAACAATAAAAATAAAAAAAACTTGATGTTATAAAATTTTTGAATTCAAAAAATTTTTTTTTTGGCGCTTTAACTTTAATGTACCGTTTGGAAGAATATGAAAAAAATGTAATTTTTGTATTTTTTCAAAATAAACTTTAACTTCCTTTAATATTTTAGTTTTTAAAATCAAGATTATAGTATGAGTATTATAGATAAATCATTTGATTTTGATGCACCTCAGTTTGTAGATTTCTCAACACCTAGCAAAAGTGATGATTTATGGTTTGGTAAGTTAAGACAATGGAACAAGTTTCTTGAAATAAATAAACTAATTGTGATCTTTTGTTTTTTTTTTTGGCGCTTTTCAGATCGAAAATTAAGTTCAACAAAAAATAAACTTACACTTTCATTCCAACAACTAGATAATAATAATAATATTGAAAATAATAATTTATTAGAGAGTCAAAAAGATTTAGAGTGGGATCAACTACGAACAATCAGAAGAAAATCAGTACCTCTTAGACCAATGTTTTCAACCCCACAAAAACTAATAGCACCTCAACAAGCTTTGACACCAAGTGCACCACCTGCCTTATATCCATCGTTAAGAACAACACCAGACAACAAACCAAAGACACCACAACTCTATCCAATGCTTCCCAGTTCATCATCTAAATTGACACCAATGCGTAGTTTCCAATTCGAAAAGAGAGGATCTACCATTGGAAATATGTCACTCACTCCATTCTTGGAGAAGGTAAAGTCCACCACACTTTCCTCTGACAACAAAGAGAATATCTCCAATATTTCCAATATTATCGAGTCTTCTATGGTTGCCAACCAGAAACCAAAGGTTTCAGAGGCAGTCGATCAACAATCATCTACCGCCAAAGAAGCAACAAAGAAGAGAACTAAAGCCAAAAAGACAAAGACTGTAGCAACTGTAATTCAAGAACTTCCAGCTGCTGACAATCAACCAGCAGTAAAGAACGAGGAGAAGGAAAAAAAGAAAAAGAAGAAAAAGAGATCCGAAAAATCAACAATCGTTGTATCGACCACTGACAATATCTTCCAACAACAACCAGTCCAAGTCATCAGGCAGCAACAACAACCACCAATTCAAGTCGTCAAACAACAACCAAAAACACCACTCAAATCAATGACACCATTAAAGTCAATCACCCCAGCCAAGCCAATCGAATCAAAGACATTGACACCAGTCAAAGTAGATTTCGGAACCACTTCACAAGCTAAATTCGAATTGTTTTCTACAACTCCAGTCAAGCAAATGGAGCAACTAAAGTCAACCACCCCGTTGAAAGTCGAGTTAAAACCAACAACACCGAGTAAATCTAGCCTCAGAACACCAACCAAACAACAGGAGCCAAAGACACCGAAGCCAGAGAGCACCGTAACTTTTGGTCCTACCACTGTACAAGACGATATTGAGCCAATCCCAGTTCTGAGCGAGACCATCAGAGAGGCTGAGGAAAGACTGGAGAAATCACCATTCCTCCAAAACTCACTAAAGAAAAGACAATCCACCATCGCCTCAAAGAGAAAGTCAGTCAGTATCAATATGCAACCAATTATTCATCCAGCTTCCCCAGCTCCCGATTGCTTGCCAATTCCAGTTATCACTGCTCCCCAACTCAATTTAAAAACAACCGAGCAGGCTACATCATCCGTTAATCTCGCCAACACAATCAATCAGTTGTATCAATCGGTTTCAAATATTAGAGCCAATTCTCCATTAAAGAATTTACCAGAGTCATCACAACAACAACAACAACAACAACAACAATCAAATACAACCAACCAATCTGTATCATTAAAGTAAGTTTATTTATGAAAAGACAAAATGATAACATCATTTACTTATTAAATATTATTTTCTTTAAATCTAGGAGAAAGAGTGTAGGTTTCCAAAATATTACTGATACGGTTGTTCATGAGATTATGAACTCACCTTTGAGAAAGGTTCAACAAGCTCCATCCACTCTGGAAGCAAATGGTGGTGCTGAAAAAGTTATCAAGAAGCAAAGATTAACCAAAATCACACCATTCCATTTCGATACAGATAAAAGAGTTGCTACCCAACCACCAAAGACCTCTCTTACATTGCCATCGCACCAAAAACCAGTTATAGCTGCACCACTCACACCAATCCCAACTCAACAACATTCCACTTCGACCTCAAGCGCTAACAAGGTACCAATGGCCAAGAGAAAGTCAGTCAGTGGCAAGTCACATGTGACCGTTCCAGTCGGTTTCCACTTCGAAACTGCATTGAGAGCTGAGAGATCGACAAAGACAGGTCCAACCTCTACACCAACACCTGCAGCACCAACCGCCACCTCAGCCACAACTACCATTCACACCACCACCGTTCCAATCAAGAGAGCATCCTTCAAAAGAGATACACCTCACAAAAAGGAGATTCCAACCAAAATCAAGGAATTTAAATTATCAACTATGAAGAAGTAATCAATCACCAACAACGAATCGCATAACCAAATTTTTTTTTGTCTTTAAAACCAATTCATATCAATTTCTCTGTATTCTCTGATTAAAGTATCAAAAGAATAAAAAATAATAATAATTTATAATTACTGTATGTTTTTGTTGTTATTGTAATTCTTTATTTATTTTTTAGCTGCTGCTTTCTTTTTGGCAGCTGGTTTCTTCTTTAAAAGTGCCACTGATAGATCTTCTGAATCTTCATCCAAATTAATTGGTGATGCTTGCTCTTGTTGTTTAGCAACTGCTGGTTTAGATGTGATCGTTGGTTCTTCTGATTTGGTTGTAGTTGACTTTGCTGGGTTATTAACACTCGGAGTTGTTTTCGTTGTGTTTGTCGAAGATAAAACAACTGTATCTTCCTCTTCACTATCACTATCACTATCAATTTCAATAGTTTTCTTTTTATCTTTCATTTCAATATCTGTATTCTTCACATTTGAGGTAGTACTATTGTTATTATTATTTTGTTGTTGTTGTTGTTTTATGGATGACGTATCAACTGTTGTCTTTGTTTTTGTTTCTTCTTTGTTATTATTATTACTATTATTGTTTGTTGTTGTTGTTGGTTTAGATGTCGTTTGTTGTTGTTGTTTATTATTTGTATCTATTTCCATTTTAATATCTACAGTTGTACCAGCGACTGTGGTTGGTTCAGGTACAGAGTGTTCAACGATTTCAAATGGTAGACCTTTTCTTCTGGTCGATGGTTTCTGTCTCGATTGAATATTCTGATGTAATGCTTCTCTGATCAACTGAGTGATTTCAGTTGCTCTGATGACCGATATCTTTGAACATTTAATGACTTGTTCTATGGTTGTTGACATTCCACCACCCTTTGAAACACCACAGATCTCTTTGTGCACATTTACATAAAAGCTAAGTTTTCCATCCATAACTTGTTCTTCTTTATTATCTGGATCGACAATCATAATACTTTAATCAAAACAAAATCAGTAAGTTAGGAGATAGTTGGTTATCAAATCGAGAGTGTTTGTTACTCTCAAACCATATAATACATACGCCTTTGGGAAGAATCCAAATGTAATAGAAATTGGAGTATGATGAATACTCAATGGTACTGGTTCTCTTTCATCTATAGGATGCTGATTAACAATATTGTATTAGTTCAAACGGTAATCTATTGGCTATAGATAAAGTTGAATATGATATTTACGATGGTTGCATCATTACCAACTACGGTGACATCTGGTTTTCTGAAATGTAGCAGTGCAGTGATTACAGAGATCGATGCACAATCCAAAAGATTTCCACAGTCGTCTAATACATGAACGTTTGTTTTAACTTTCCAAACTTTTGAACCTGCGACGATACACAGTGCTTCGGTATCGATCGCTCTGCTCTCTTTCAAACCACGTTCAATCAATCTACCAAGTTCAGCTTCGACAGGATTACCTCTGGATGAGTCCACCGATACACTTGACATTGGTGATACATCTGTATTGAAAATAAAGAAACCTTCGTTTGGTCTCTCTGGTTTTGGTTCTGTAACTTCACATGTAACCGTTGTATATACTCTTTTTTGTTTTTTTAAAATATAAAAAATAAATAACAATATTATCATTAGCTTAGCTTTCCTCTTAATAGTATTATTCGGATTCTAATGTCTAGACATACCTTGTTCTACCTAGTTGTACTTCTACCATACCATATTGCTTACCGAAATTGATCTTTATTGATCGCATATCATTCAATCTACGACCATCGACTCTTAAACCTTGGTCAATAGACGACAATATGAAATCCTTTTCATTCTTTGACAATATCTCTTTCATCTTCACTATTTGTATCTCGTGATTTCAAATAAAAATCGTCGTCTTATTCGTTTAATAAATAAAAAAAAATGAAATAAAAAAAAAAAAAAATTTTATCTACAAAATCTAAAAGATAAGAAATTGAATTGATCAACTTTAAAAATGAAAAGGATAAACTACTATAATACCAATACTTTTATTCACATGTGATCTAGATCATTTATTTAAATCCCATCTTAAATAGTTAATTAAAAAACCCTATCTATTTTGAAAAACAAAACCAATCAATCAATCAATCAATTATTAGATAAAATGGTGTGTGTATTTATTTGTGTGTTAACAATTTAACTTTAAAATGTGATGTGTTGTAGAATATTGGATAGTAAATTATTTCTTTTATTATGATCATATAAATAGATAGTAATTGCAAATAAATAGATGGCATCTTCAACATATAAATCAATATTTAATATAAAGATATTATTTGTATTTTTGATATTTAGTATTATTTATTTATATATATTCTATTTGAATCAGTTATATTCTACAACTTTGAATCAATTGAACAGTAAAAGACTACAGGTTGAAAATAATCTACTCCACAATGAGTTGACAATGAACAATCTAAAAGATGAGATCGATCGTTTGACCTCTATGAATACTAAACAATTAAATAGATATCAATTCGAGCTAGAACAATATAAATCGATAATAGACGAATTAGAAATACAATTACACAACCAAATTGAATCGATCAACTTTAAAAATAATGAAAAAGAATCAACTACTATAATACCAATACTTTTATTTACATGTAATAGATCATTTTATTTAAATCCATCTTTAAATAGTTTATTAAAGTATGTATTGTATAAATATTGTTATCTAAATATAAACTTGATAATTTGTTTTTTTTAGTTTAGCTAAACTTCTTTTTTTTTTTTTAGAATTAGAAAAGAAAAAGATAAAGTTAGACATCCAATCATTGTTTCACAAGATTGTGATGATTTACTTACAACTCAAACACTTAATAGATTTAAAGATGATATTATTATATTTAGAGTAAGGCGTTTCAAAAATAAATAAGATATAATTAAAATTAAATTAACCAAATATTTGTTCTGACAGCATCAAAACTATACAAAAGTACCATCGTATGAAGCTATTGCCAATCATTATAAATGGGCATTGTCTCAGGTGTTCAGATTACATTTTGAAGCAGTCATTGTTTTAGAGGACGATTTGGAAGTGTCACCGGATTTCTTGGATTACTTTAACTATTTCTATCCAGTGTTGCTTGAAGATAGTTCATTGTTTTGTATTAGTGCGTGGAATGACTTTGGAAAAACGAATTTTACCAATCCAGATTGGAATAGAGCAGTCACTACCTTTCAGAGAACAGAATTCTTCCCTGGATTAGGTTGGTTATTGACATCGAAATTTTGGAATGAAATAGTTGAACAATGGCCTACAAACTATTGGGATGACTTTCTAAGAACAAAGTTGGTGACCAAAGGACGACACTGTATACAACCACAAGTTCCAAGAGTGAAAAACATTGGACATCTAGGGACAAGTGATACCGGTGTCTACGATAAGCATCTCAAAGACATTGAATATAATAACAAATCAATAGATTATTTTAAATTCGATAAAAATCAATTTAAATTAGTATGTAAATTTATACATAAAAATATTTTATTTATATATATATAACTAACAAACTACTTTAAGGATAATTATATTGCTAAACTAAAGAATGATATAGAACAAGCAAAATTGATTCAATTATATGAAATAGATGCATATGGATATAAGAATATGACTTTGAAGTATGAGTGCGAGAATCTTGTAGATGTCAGGATGTTTTTGTATATCAATGGATTGATGGATGATAACATAGAGGGAATATTTAGGTCATCTTTTAAAAATATAGTTTCAATCTATTACAAAACTAATCTACTTTATTTAATACCTAAAACAGGTATCAATTGGGAATTTGAAAATAAATAAAATGTATTAATTTAATCACATATGTGATCTTTAAAGAATTTTTTTTCAGAACCAAGTTTAAACTTACCTGTCTAAAATCTAGATAAAACTTTGTTATCATTGATATAATCTAAATATTCTATGAGACAATTAATTATAATATTTTTTTTCATTTTTATTTTCTTTAATTTGAAAAGAAAGAAAGTAAACTATCGGCAATGGTTTTAACAATTTCTGATTCATCTTGTTTAGAAATACGTTGGAGGATGGGTTTGAGTGAGGTTTGATTCGAGTTCTTCTGGAGAACGGTGCCAACGATTTTCAAGAGTGTAATCTTTGATACTGAAGAATTGTCGAGTTCCAGACATTCGATGAGTGAGTTGACAAGACCAACTTCAATGAGACGCTCTGTTAGCACTGGCGAAGATTGCATCAAGTGTAAAAGTGGGATTAGTGACTTTGAGAACGATGGATGTTTGATGTGACTGGTGTGTACAATGTGTATCAGCAATTGGCTTGGTTTCAGCTCGTTTGTGAGACGTTCGAAAACCGGTGTTGACTCGAGCGATGCCCATGCAGCAATCGACTCGATGGCGTCGGCAAACCAATTGCGGTCCTCAAGTAACTCTAGCAGTTTGTCAAGAGTATTGCACTCCCAGAGTTGTATTCTACTGGAGGACGAAGACAATCTCACAAGGTCAAACAGGATTGGCAATGCCAATTCTTTCAGTGGACCACGCGAGTTGATGATGTAGTGGAGTGGTGGTAATATTCCGCATTTCAGTGCTTTGTCTTGTCTGGCCTTATCGAGTAACAACAGATGATAGAGTGAGTGGAGCACTTGATTGTAGATCTCGGTAATCTTGTCGATGCCATTTGGCGAGAGTCCAAGGAATCCAATCAGAGTTGGAATCATATCGACATTGTCAAGTTTGATTCTGTTGTGTTGGTCCATCGAGAGATTCTTGATAACCTTGAGAACTCGCAGTAGAAAAGCACGCACATCATTACCAATCGTTGTCCATGTGCAAATCTCACCGAGAACACCACGAATCGATTTCATCACTGTCTCACTGGAGAGTTCTTCTTTGGCCAGTGCATCACCAGTCGAAAAGAACAACAGAATGTCTGCTGCCTTTACAGAGTATGACAATACACGTTCGAATGCATCTTTTGATAGTTTCTGTACACTTGATGAGTGACGATGATGTTCAGCACCGCCAGCGCCATTCTTGTTGGTATCGCCACTGCTTCCAGTGGTTAAAGTAGCGGTTGGTATGAAAATTTGATGTAACAATAAAGAGATTCTATTTAAAAGTTGAGTTCTCGCAAAGAGATGGCATAACGATGTTTTGGGGAGTGTAGAATGTAGTTTGAAGACTTGGGAGATCGAATCCAGTGTGTTGTGGATGAGTGTCGAGCTGTTGAAGTAGTCAGAGTCGACGAGATCCACGAGTACTCGGCATCCGCGACTTCCTGCGATAAACATGTTGAGTGAATAGGACGATGATTTACATAGATGAAGTACAAAGATAGAGACTTCCTCACGGAGTTGCTCTGGGTAGTTTCGGCTGGCAAATTGTGTGATGATGGGAATACCGTTCAAAATACAGATGGTCTCCATGATGGAGCTGCTCTCTGACATTGCCTGGTTGATTAGCTTCAGTGTGATGTGGTGGTGCGGACTGTTTGGCTGATCAAGCATCTCGAGGAACATGATAATGGGCAGACGGAAGTAGACGCCAAACTCACCGTTGCTCACAAGGAGACGACGCTCGTCAGGGAAGCGGTCGAGTAGCTCCATCAGCTTCTCGAGGAGTGAACCGGTCTCGCTGGAGGCGGTATTATTGCTGTTGTGATAGTGATTGAGTTGCGAAATGATATCTACAATTGTTTTGGTGATTTGTTCTCTCTGTTTGTCTTGTAAGTTGATGGTGGTTTGAACATCATTGTCTGTCTCTGTCCATTGTGAAATGCTATCAAAGGTATCTTCGATTTCGCTGTCCCATTCCTCGTTGTTGGAGGGCAGCTTCAACTTTAACGAAGAGAGATTCAGTGGTTGGCTGTTTCCATCTTGATCATTTTCATCGTCATCACTGAAACCATCGAATCCACCTTTATCGTCCCAATCCGATGATCCACTATTGCCCATCTTTAACTGTTGTCCATTGGCTGGACCACTTCCAAAATCATCATCACCTTCTTCATCTGCAAACTTTTCCAATTTTTGTTTAACTACTTGTTTCTGTTGTTGTTGTTGTTTATTTTGCTGCAGTTTCAGTGGTTGTCTAACTGGTTGTTGTTGTTTCTTTATTATGATATCTCCAAAATTATCATCATCATTATCACTCTCTATAAATCTTGATAGTTGTCTTGTTAATTGTGCTTTTCTTTCCTTTTCTTTGTCATTGACATTATTATGATGATTACTATCTTCAACTGTATTTCTAGTATTGCTATTATTATTATTGGTTCGTGGTGAAGCCAATGTTAATCCAGCATTAATAGTTCGTGAAGTTGCATCCTTTGTTGAATTACTTTGTATCCATGACTTTGATTGACCACTACCTTGTTGTTGAACTACTTTTTGTTGTTGGTGTTGTTGCTGTTGTTGGTGTTGATGTTGTTGTTGTTGCTGCTGTTGTTGTTGTTCTTGATAGTTTCCACTTTGTTGTTGTTGTTGTTGTCCATTTGGAACAGGAGGTTGTTTTGATCTTGGTCTTGTAGATGGCTGTTGATCCAGCGTAGAGGTTACCTCTTGTAACTGTGTGTTATAACTGATGATTTCCTGTCGTGCGTTCTTGACCTGATGAGTATTGTCAAGATTTCTATTTACAATGGCCTTTATCCACGGATGATTCAGAAGCTGCTTGGCCGAGCTACGCATATTTTCGTCCTTCTTGAAACACTGCAGTAAAAAGTCTTTGAGTGCCGGCGATATTCCCTGTGGAATTGGTGGGTGGTCTTCTTGCACGATCTTGTAGAGGGCAGCGGCTGGCGCCAGTCCAAAGTAGGGCGGTGTTCCAGTGAGCAGCTCAATGATGGTACAACCGAGCGACCAGACATCACAAGCCGTAGATACACCTTGCATCTGTATAATCTCTGGTGCCATCCAATAGGGTGTACCAGCAAAAGAGTCATCGGGATTGTCGGCAGAGAGATCCGACACTTTTGTGGCGACACCAAAGTCGGCCAACTTTATGGAGCCGTCAGTGGAAATCAAGAGATTCGCTGCCTTGATGTCTCTGTGGATGACACCCTGTCGATGCAGATACTCCAGTCCCGACAACACCTGTGCAATATATACATTAACCAGACCCTCTGGTAGTAATCCATGTCGTTTTACAATCTTTTCAAGCGATCCATTCTCAATGAACCTATAGATAGAAGATTATTATGTAATAGATGTTAGTTTTTGAACCTCGCTAGCGATAAACAACCAACCAACCAACTAAAAGGTAACTAACAACTTACTCCATGACAATATAGGAATGTGAAGTGGTTGGTATATGATCATAGTATCTAACGATGTTATGATGTGATAGGACTTTGAGTAGATTGATTTCCACCATGAGCATCGATTGTGACTCTGCAGTCTTATCACCTTTCTTTCGCTTTGTGATCTTGATCTTCTTGATCGCTGAGAAATGACCTTTAGTTTTATGTAATCCTTTATATACAACACCAAATCCACCTTTACCAATGATATCAATCAATATCTATATTTAGAAATAAACAAAAATAATTAACAAACAACTCAAGAATGCAAAATCTATTATAAAAACACATACATAATCACCACATGCTTCTTTATCAACTAGAGTTGTTATAGTGGTACGCTTTTCATCGGTTAGAATTTTAGTTAGAGATGAAACTGGTGGTGGTGGAGGTGTTGTTATCTTATTATTATTACTACTATTGTTGTTGTTTGTTATTGATGTCATTGCTGTTTGTTGTGTTGTGCTGTGCTGCTCTTAACCTGAGTCAGGCAGCTGCTGTCTTGTATTAATTTAATGAAAGAAAATAATAATTTTAAATCATCAATCATGTAGTAGCAGCACAAAGAAATAGATCTATTCAAACAAATTCTATTATAACTAAATATATATTGAAATAAATAAATAAATAAATATGCTTTTAAAATTTTAATTGATTTTTGTAATTTTAATAAAAATTATGTTTTTTAATTATTGTTTTTTTTTTAATATTTTTTTTACAAAAAAAAAAAATCGTCAAATATAAAATCAATCTTGAATGGATCTCAGTTACATTATTCATACACCTTTGATTGATTTATATATTTAGTTACATTGTGTGTTGTGTGTTCTGTGTGTGTTACAAAAAACAATTTTTTTTGAGTTCATAAAAATATTATCTCTTTGATTAAAAAAAAATAAAAAATGTTTTACTACTTTTGTTTTGTCTGTAATATAAAAAGACAACAGCAGTAACACTTGTGAACCATGTTTATTGATATTTATCTATCTGTATTTGAATAAACCATTGATTCTTTAAATTTTCGAAATTAATTTAAAAAATTTTTTTAAATTTAAAAAATCAGAACCACACACATTTATTCTTTCGTTTTTTTTCTCTTAAATTTATCAAATTAATAGATCAATAAACAATTCATGAATACCTTTTCAAATTGTTAAATAATATATTATTTCTTTTTATATATTATGTTTAAAAATAGATTACCAATTCAAATCTTTAGACAAAAACATATTTGTTCATCTTTTTTATTTTTAAATAATAACAGAAACTATAATAACAACAACGTCAGATCTTTTAAACAATACTCAACAACAGCAACAGCAACAGCAACAACAACAGCAACAAAAACAACAATCAATAATAATAATAATAATAGATTTTTTTCACCAAAAACAAATATTTCAATAAAGATGAACACTACTTTATCATTCAATGCTAAAGCGGTGATTGTCGATTCACTTGATGATCAAGTCATGCTGGAGGCGGCCAACAAAATAAAATCGGGTGGTCTCGTTTCATTCCCAACAGAGACTGTCTATGGACTCGGTGCCAATGCTTTTGATACCGATGCAGTGCTGTCGATCTTCACTGCAAAAGGCAGACCTCTGACCGACCCTGTGATTGTGCATGTCGTCGACGCAGAATATGGCGCGACTCTGCTCGACTTGTCGCCAGGTCAGCGCAAACTCTACGATTGTCTCACCTCAACATTCTGGCCGGGTGCTCTCACTATTGTGGCGCGTGCATCTTCATTGATACCACCAATCGTAACGGCACAGACTGGCTTTGTCGGAGTGCGTTATCCACGCCACGACGTCGCGTCGAAACTCATCCGACTGGCGGGTGTCCCCATTGCTGCGCCGTCGGCCAATCGATTCGGACACGTCAGTCCAACCAGCGCCATACACGTCTACGACGATCTCGGACACGCCGACATCACCATTCTCGACACCACCACACAATGCAAAATCGGAATTGAATCGACCGTTCTAAAGATTGTCGACGACAACAACTTGGTCATCCTACGAAAAGGTGGAGTATCCGAACGTGCCATCAGAGATCTCCTGCTGGCGACCAACGGCCAATTCAGCAACATCAATATTACAGCCATCTCCAAAACAGTGTCAAACAACACCAACAAGGACAAGAGGCACCAGGTCAATTGTTAACTCATTATGCACCTGATATTCAAGCATATATATTAAAAGATATAATAACCGATGATCAAAATAATAATAGTAATTTAAATAGTAATAATAGTAATAACAGTAATAATAATAATAATAATAATAATAATATAGAATATAAACTTTCAGAATGTGTATTTGTGGATTTCGGAAAGAATTTAAATGATAGTTTACAATCGAAATTTTTAGCTTATAGAGATTTATCATCAAACAATCAAGTATTGGAAGCTGCCAACTGTCTATTTTCAACACTGAGATGGAGTGAGTCTGTACAGGATGCAAAAATCATTCTCCTACCAGACTTGAGATCAGATAAAACGAAATCTTTGGAGCATAGCGATGCCGTTTTCGATAGAATTTACAGAGCTGCAAGTGGTAAAACCGCAGTATTAAACCTTGTCAATCAATCTATTACAATAAATTGAATTTAATCTTAAATAACATGTTATCTTAATTTGTCTTTGTTTAATTCATTTTATTTTGTTCTCATCTAGCACATCATTTTAATTATAGTCTAGTCGAAAATGGTCATAGATATGAAAATTTATTCAATCAATAATTAATTTTTCGTTCGTTTTTTTTTTACTTCATTTTTTTTATTTTTATTTTTTTTTATTAATTTATCTTTACAAATATTATTAATTTTTATAGTTTTAAAAACTTTATATAGTTTTATTTAGATTAGATAGTTAATAACAAAATGATTAGAAGAAACACAAGATTAAGACAAGAATATCTCTACAGAAAGAATCTGGAGGGAAAAGAAAAAGAGGTATACGAGAAGAAGAGAAAGATAAAGAAGGCTTTGAACGAAGGTAAACCAATACCTTCGGAGCTGATAGACTTTGAATTCAATGCTAGAAATGAAATCGAAATGGATGGTGAATCCGACAGAAAAGTAAATATAGACGATGAGTATGCTCGTGCCGGTATTGCCGACCCAAAGGTATTCATCACCACCTCGAGAGATCCAAGTTCACGTTTGGTTCAATTCTCAAAGGAGTTGCGTATGCTCTTCCCGAATGCCACCAAAATGAACAGAGGTGCTCACGTCATCAAAGATATCGTCGAGGCTTGTCGTGCCAACGATGTTACCGATCTTGTCATTGCACATGAACATAGAGGTGAACCAGGTATGTTTCAGAAACCAAACATAATAACAACAACAACAACATTATTAATTATATTAACTAAATAATACTATTGTTTATATATAAACAGTTGGATTAGTTGTATCACATATGCCATATGGACCAACAGCTTATTTCGAAATTGTAAATTGTGTGATGATTCACGATATTCAAGACGCACCACCAGCTTCACTAGCTTATCCACATTTGATTTTCAATAACTTTACAACTCCACTTGGTGAAAGAGTAAGATATGAATAGATATATAGATGACTGTTTGCATGGTTATCATTAAACAGAAACATCACTTTACTAACTAAATATTTGTAGACTGAAACAATTTTAAAGTATTTATTCCCTGTACCTAAAGATGACTCAAAGAGAATTGTAACTTTTTCAAATAATAGTGATTATATTTCATTTAGGTAAGTAATAAATATTTATTCTTTTATTTATTCAATTTATGAATAATAATTAATATAATTATAATTACTATAATTACTATAGACATCATTTATACGAAAAGGATGGACATAAGAATGTTTTATTAAAAGAAGTAGGACCAAGATTCGAATTGAAATTATACAAGATACAATTGGGAACTGTTGATCAGAACGAAGCTGATATTGAATGGGTATACAAACCATACATGAATTCAACAAAGAACAGAGTATTCCTTTAAATAATAATAATAATGAAATAAAACAAACTATTAAATACAAATATACTATAACTATTATTACTTGAGATTGGTAATGATAGTTAGGATCTTTTTTATTGAATGTTCTACTAAAGATTTTTTCTTTTATATAATATTGTCTCATTGTTTGAGATTAATCAGTCAAAACAATAATCACTTTGTATTGCTTCTTGAATTGAAGTATTGATATTTCTTTTTATTGTTAAAATTTAATATTATCTCTTTAAAGATATGCTTTTAATAAATCAGCAATCTCTGGATAACCTCTTCTTTGGGTTTCTTCGACGGTAAAGCTAAACAATCCAACTCTGTCGAATCCTTTGGACAAGATTAAGTCGACTATAGCTTTTCTTCCATTGATAGCTGCGTTGTGTACAGTCCAACCATTGCATCCTTCAGTTCGGTTGTTAAGTAAGAACTCGCAAACTTCCAAACTGTTGTATTGGGCTGCATTGGTCATTGCATCCACTGTGAATACTGGCTTTGTGTTTGTTTCTGACAGATTCTCGTGAATCCAACGAATCAACTCTAACGATCCATCCTTTGCCACATAGTCGTAGTTATGATTGAAATTGACAGCTGTCCAATTCTTATGAATCCAATCGATTGTATCACTACGTTTATTTCCACACATGTTATAGACTAAAATTCTGACGTTTGCCAATTGTTCGTCGGAAGGTCTGTGATGTTGGTTGATCCATTCGAGTATGTGTACATGCTCACCTATTACAACACTTGTAGCCACTTCTGCCCAATCAATTGGTTGTTCTCCCTCGTAGTTTTCAAGCACCCAAGACAGCACCTCGAGATTACCTGAGCCGGCAGCAGAACCCACAACACTTTCCTCCAGTTCCAGATGAAGATTGCTACGAATCCATTTCATTGTGTTGAAACCATTTGGAAGACCCGGTAACATTCTATAATCAACCGATGAGCACTGGAATATCTCCAAAGCATTGTTCTGATACATCCATTCCAACATCTCGATATTGGATTGACCCGCTGCCGTACTCATCAGACGACATTCCAACAAAATCTCTCTGATCTCTTCATCAATTCCCTTTGAAACCCAACCACAAAGATATTGCAATATTCCAAGTCTTTGATAAGAGACAGCCCACACAAAACACTGTGCAATCTCATTTGCATCGGGAGTGAAGCCTTGCTTCTGGTGGTACTGAATCAATAAATCAAGATAGTCATTACCAATCAAAGCTTTTGGTGTCACTAGCAATTGATTATATCTGTGCACCTTGGTTGGTCTTGGATATACAGCCCACTGTTTATTTACTGAATAAACTTTTTGAAATATTTCATTTCTAATAACAGTATTATTAAATACTTTTGAAAATAATGTATTTGTTAAATTATTTATTGACATTATTGGTAAATAAACTTCTGTGAGGCACAACGAAACCGGTTTACATTTTTAAACTGCGATAATCATGATTTTCCAGGACGATACAAAAAAAGTAAAAATTAAAAATATCATGATCAAAAATATAGATTTTTTAAATATCTTTATAAAATAAAATTAAATTAATAAAAAAAATATAATAACATTACATACAATACCAAAAAATGAAAAGTTGATAATACATTATTGTTTTTATATCAATAAACTTTTTTGGGTTTTATTTTTAAAAAAAAAAAAAGATTAAGTTGTTCAATTTATTAATAAATATAAGTTGGTCAATCATATTTATTAATAATTACTTTTTTCTATTTATTATTATTTGTTAAAAAGAACCGCATGCCAACCAAAAAAAAAAAACCAAAAATATCACAAGGGAAATTTAATATGAAACAATGATAGTTTATTATTATTAAAATACTTTTCTCTTAATAAAGTAGCAATATGAGTATACCCCTTTCTTTCAGTTTCTTCAATGGTAAAGGAATGCATTGCACTATTAATCTCGTATTCTTGAGACAAGAGAAACTCGACTATATCTTTTCTTCCATTGGTTGCTGCGACGAATATTGCTGAGCCAATGCGTCCTTCAGTTCGGTTGTAAAGAAGGAACTTAACAACTTCCAAACTGTTGAAACAAGCTGCGTTGTTCATTGCTTCTAATGTGAATAAAGGTTCTGTGTTTGTTGCTGACAGATTCTCGTGAATCCAACGTATCAATTCCAACGATCCTGTCCTTGCAACCGAATCATAGTTATGATTGAAATTGACAGCTGTCCAATTCTTATGAATCCAATCGAGTGTATCACAACGTTTATTTTTACTAATAAAATAAACTATATCAATTGTTGACAATTGAGTGTCCGAAGGTCGATGATGTTCATTGATCCACTCGAGGATAGGTACATTCCCATTGTTCGCAGCAGCATCTAAGGCCGCCTTTATCCAATCTGTCGATTTTCCTTTGTGGTTTTCAAGTGCCCAAATTATTATCTCCATTCTACCAGAAGCAGCGGCAGAATACACAACAGTCTCATCGAATGCCAGAAGAAGATTACTATGAAGCCATTTCATAGTTTTAAAACCATTAGGTCTCTTTGGCAAAAATAAGTAAATATCCTCTGACGGACATTTGAATAGCCCCAAAGTATTATTCTGATTCATCCATTCTAAGATGGAAATATCGCATGCCAAAGTAGCTATACGCATCAGATTAATTGTTATCAATCTTTTTATGATCGCTTCGTCGTTACTATCTGAAACCAAAGCATAAAGATATTGTAGTATTCTAAGATTTTGACATTCAACTGACCATATAAAATAATGTGTAATCATGTTTTTATCTCCATAAACACTTAGATACTGAATGAATAAATCAAGATAGTCATTACCAATCAATGCTTTTGGTGATTTTATCAATTGATTATATCTAATGACTATTGTATTAATTGTTGACAACATCTTATTTATTGAATAAACTTGATTGAATATTTCATTTCTAATAACTATATTATTAAATACTTTAGAAAATGATTTATATGTTAAATTATTTATTGAATTATTTATTGACATTATTTTTATTTTCAATAAAATGATATTTACCATAAAACTAATACCTTTTAGTAAATTTTTTAAAATTTTAAAAACTTTCTTCAACAGTTTATAACAAATAAATCAAGATAGTCATTACCAATCAAAGCATTTGGTGATTTTATCAATTGATTATATCTAAAGAACGATTTATTCTCTTCTACTTTGTGAAAGATGCTCACGTATTAGAGAAACAATCTCTGGATAGAGGTTTCTTTCAGTTTCTTCAATGGTAGTTGTAAACATATCACTCTCGTATCCTTTTGACAAGAGAAACTCGACTATGTCTTTTCTTCCATTGATTGCTGCGTGATGTATTGCTCTTCCATCACATCCTTCAGTTCGATTGTAATGGAGGAACTCTACAACCTCCAAACTATTGGAACGAGCGGCGTTGTTCATTGCTTCCAATGTGAATAAAGGTTGTGTGTTTGTTGCTGACAGATTCTCGTGAATCCAACGTATCAGTTCCAGTGATCCATACGATACAAAAGAATCATAATTTTGATCGAAATTGACAGCAGGCCAATTCTTATGAATCCAATCGATTGTATCACAATGTTCATGAGTACTGAGGTCAAATTCTATACCGTATAGAGTAGACAACTGGTGGTCATCAGGTCGATGATGCTCGTTGATCCATTTGAGAATATGTACATGCCCATTTCTTGCAGCAGTCCTTGCCACCTTTGTCCAAAGCTTAGGATTAGGTTCATTAGGATTGCCTTTGTAGTGTTCAACGACCCAAATCAGTGTCTCTAAATCACCAGAACCAGCAGCAGGATATATATGATTTTCATTCGGTTCCATATGAAGATTACTATGAAGCCATTTCATTGTATTCAAACCATTTGGTCTACCTGGTAAAAATTCAAAATCAATTTTTGAATATTGGAATATCTCCAAAGTATTGTTCTGGTTCATCCATTCCAACATTGGAATATTACATTTTAATGCAGCTTTGCCCATCAGATGAGTAGATTTCAATCTCCTTATGATATCTTCATCCATAACCAAAGTATAAAGATATTGTAGTATTCTAAGATTTCCAAGTGCAACTGACCATACAAAAGAATATGAAATCTTATTCTTATCTAAGCCATGAACATTTACGTGCTGAATGAGTAAATCAAGATAGTCGTTTCCAATCAGAGCTTTTGGTGATTCTATCAATTGATTATATTTAATTGTTTTTGTTGGATAATTTGAGTTTTTAAACAGTGTCAACATCTTATTAATTGTATAAACTTGATTGAATATCTCATTTCTAATAACTGTATTATTAAAGACTTTTGAAAATAATATATTATTTAAATTGTGTATTGACATTATTATTATTTTGTACACAAATGATCATGCTTGATTATCACTTGTGACTTTTTCTTAAGAAAAATTTAAAATCTTTATGATCGATCTCCATTTGCAGATCTAAAAGTTTCATGACAAGATTTTATTCTTTAATATTAATTTTTAAAATAGAATAAAGAATAAAGTAAAAAAGGTTTTTTCTACTATATATAGAATGCTCATTAAGGATTTCATTGTTCTTTTTTATTTTTTCGAAAGATGCTCGTTTATTAAAGTAACAATCTCTGGATAACCTTTTCTTTCAGTTTCCTCAATGGTGGTGGCCAACATATCACTCTCGTATCCTTTTGACAAGAGAAACTCGACTATGTCTTTTCTTCCATTGATTGCTGCATAGTGTATTGCTAAACCATTACATCCTTCAGTACGATTGTAATGGAGGAACTCTACAACCTCCAAACTATTGAAACGAGCTGCATTGTTCATAGCTTTCACTGTGAATACAGGTTCTGTGTTTGTTTCTGACAGATTTTCATGTATCCAACGTATTAATTCTAGTGATCCCGACATTGCAACTTGATCATAGTTATGATTGAAGTTGACAGCTTTCCAATTCTTATGAATCCAATCGATTGCTCCACAATGTTTCTTCGTACAGAGGTTATAAACTAAACCATCTAGAGCAGACAATTGGTGGTCGGAAGGTCGATGATGTTCGTTGATCCATTCAAGTATATGTAGATGCTCATTTCTTGCAACACACAAGGCCACCTTTGCCCAGTCTATTGGGAACCCTTTGTAGTTCTCAAGTACCCATATCATTGTCTCGAGGTTTCCAGAACCAGCAGCAACTTCCACATGGCTTTCATCTAGTTCCAGATGAAGATTATTGTGAAGCCATTTCATTGTATTTAAACCATTTTGTTGAGACGGCAAAAATACATAATCATTTGGTGAACATTTGAATATCTCCAAAGTATTGTTCTGTTTCATCCATTCCAACATATTGACGTTGCATTTGAAAGCGGCTGAACCCATCAGGTTAGTTGTTTTCATTATCTTTATGATTGCTTCATCGTTTCTCTCTAAAACCAAAGCATAAAGATATTGTAGTATTCTAAGATTTCCAAATTCGACTGACCACATGAAGTAATATGGAATCTTATTTTTATCAAAGTCATGAACATTTAAGTACTGAATGAATAAATCAAGATAGTCATTACCAATCAAAGCATTTGGTGATTCTAACAATTGATTATATCTAAAGACTTTTATTGGATAATAAGATTTTTTATACTCTGACAACATCTTATTAATTGAATAAACTTGATTGAATATCTCATTTCTAATAACTATATTATTAAAGACTTTTGAATAAAATATATTTGTTAAACTGTGTATTGACATTGTGATTATAATTAATTATAAAATATTTGGAATAAAGTCAAAGTGCATATAAAACAATGATCATTTCGTAAAAAAACGTTGCACGACAGTTACGATTTTATTCTTGCATTTATTTTACATTTTTATTTCTTTATTTATTATTTATTATTATTATCCACTGATTTGATTTGTTAATATACTTGCTTTCTCAATTCTTTTGTAAATTTTTTATATCCTGTTCTTTTACAGAGATACACCAATTTAGTTGTGGAACAAGTGTTTGCTCGTCATCGAATACTTTGACAGAGTAGTGACCACCATACAACTTTGAAGCGTATTCAGTTCCGTTGTCATCGATAATCACGTCCAATTCGACGAATCCAGTGGCAACGTCTTTAGTGTCGACGAATGGCCATTCCGACTTTTCATTTACCATGAATGAGACTGCGTGTTTGTCGTCGCCGTACCATTTGCCTTCCGGTGAGAACACGGTGAATACGGTGATCCACCCGGACAACCAGGTCGGTCCCGATCCACCGCCGATGTGATTGGCAATGCAATTCCACCAATCGACAAGATCTTCGTCTAGAAAGCCATCGGCATTCACCGAATCGGTAAACCAGACATTTCCGCTCACCGAACGAATGAATTGATCGAGAATCGGCAGTAACATCGCCGACCATTTACTCATCAGCTTCTGCTCGCCGACGTCAAACTCCACCAGCCGCTGAGCTTTCTCTTTCAGTGATTTCCAATCTTCTACCGATCCAAGCATGGTTACTGCTGGCAATCCACAGCGCAGTGAGTATTTGAAATTATAGTAATTCTTCATTGTCGCCATGAGACAGACCGCTCCAACTATTCTATCGTTGTAGGTTGTCGTTGAGAATGATGGCATTGACCAATCTCTTATCGACGGATCTTTAATGTTGCGGGAAATCAAATCGGTCATTGCCAGAGTCATTTCGTCGTAGGGAGCATTGAATAGCGTCGCATTGGCAACAACCTCCAGATCTTTCTTGCCTTGGAAATCGACGAGTTTCTCTCGGAGCTGTTCAGAGTTTGCATTCAAATAGAATGAGAATTGTGTCATTATCGCTATCCAAACGTCGTCTGGTCTAATGACAAGCTTATGATGTTGGGAATACGCGTAGAAAGCTGATTGTACAAATGAATTTCTTCCAATGAAAAAGTGATTCTTCGCATCATCTGCTTCGATACTCGATTTCAATGGAACATACAATGGTTCCGGTACTTTCGCAACTTCATATTTGGATGTTGGTTTTTTTAGATGTTCGGTGTGGTTGAACTCACTGAGCTTTGAAACCTTAGAACGATCTTCTCTAATTTCAAATGTAGTTGATTTTACATCTGAACTTAAATTTTTATAATAATGTGACATATTTTTAACTATCTATTGTCTTTTTCTTTTTAACTATCAAAAATAAAAATAAAAAAATGATTATTTTTAAATAAACAAAAATCGATCTATCAGCATTCTTTCTTTAAAAATTCTAGTTTTACAAATATGGACTTTTTGTAACCAAAATTACCAATTAGATTAAATTTTAATTTTATTCTTGCATTTATTTTACACTTTTATTTCTTTATTCTTTCTATTTATAAGTACATTAAGAGTTCTCCTTTTTTCTCGAAAGATGTTCACGTATTAAATTAGCAATCTCAAAACAACCTCTTCTTTCAGCTTCCTCAATGGCCAAAATATCACTCTACTATCCTTTAGACAAATGAAACTTGACTGTATCTTTATTGTTATGGACTGCTGCGTGATATATTGCTGAACTTCATACACACTTGTTCACCTAGGTGGACCACAAAATAATAAATTATTGGCAATACTTTATTATACTTTAGATGTGTTAATAAAAATAAAATATTTTCTGTAAACTGATTTTGTTTCAATACTATACTTTTATTTTCCTTTTATTATACTGTTTAGCACATATGTGCTAAAGCAACAATCTTGGGATGTTGGTGATATTAGTCGGGAGGAGAATCTTGACTCTGACCTTTTTTCCATAGATTATAATGTAGGAAATCTGTAACTTCTGCACTGTTGAAATACGCTGAATTGTCTATAGCGTCCATTGTGAATACAGGTTTTGTGTTTGTTGCCGACAGATTCTCGTATAACCAACGAATCAACTCCAGTGATCCCGACATTGCAACTGAATCATAGTTGTGATCGAAATTGACAGATCGCCAATTCTTATGAATCCAATCGATTGTATCACAATGTATATTTGCAGATACGGAGTGAAGTAAATCGAAATAGGTCAATTGAATGTCGGAAGGTCTGTGATGTTCATTGATCCACTCGAGTATATTTACATGCTCATTTATTACAACCGATGTGATTACTGCTAGCCAATTGATATCTTTACAACCATCGTAGTTCTCAAGTACCCAGGTCAATATGTCGAGATTGGCTGACGAGGCAGCTGCTTTCACAACACTTTCATTCAGTTCCAGATAATGATTCCGATGAAGCCATTTCATTGTGTTCAAACCATTTGGTCGACCAGGCAACATTAAATATTTAGATGATGATTTGAATATCTCCAAATCATTGTTCTGGTTCATCCATTCCAACATATCTACGTTGCATTTATAAGCGGCTAAACTCATCAGGTTACAAGGTTTCAAACTCGTTATGATCTCTTCATCTATACTCTCTGAAATCAAAGCATAAAGATATTGTAGTATTCTAAGATTTCTAAAGTCAACTGACCACATAAAGTAATGTGAAATCTTATTTTTATCAAAGTCATGAACATTTAAGTACTGAATGAATAAATCAAGATAGTCATTACCAATCAATGCTTTTGGTGACAATATCAATCGATTATATCCAAAGACTGATGTATTATTAATTGTTAACAACTTCTTATTAATTGAATAAACTCGATTGAATATCTCATTTCTAATAACTGTATTATTAAAGACTTTTGAAAATAATATATTTGTTATATTATATGTTGACATCATTATTATTATTTGTTTTAAAGTCGAAACCAACAAAAAAACTCACTAAAAACAGTCACTTTTACTCTTAAATTTTTGAAATTTTTGAAACACTAAAATAATCTTATAAATAACCATCCAACCTATTGGCAAGTAAAAAATGAATGAATAAATCTATCAAGAAAGGCATATTATCAATTAATTATTTTTGTGATTCTATCAATTGCTAAAGAACCCATTTATTCTATTATGTCGGTTCATTGAAAATTAATATATATAGAATGCTCATTAAGGATTTCATTGTTCTTTTTTATTTTTCGAAAGATGCTCGCGTATCAAAGTAACAATCTCTGGATAGAGGTTTCTTTCAGTTTCGGCGATGGTAGTTGTAAACATATCACTCTCATATCCTTTAGACAAGAGAAACTCGACTATGTCTTTTCTTCCATTGATTGCTGCGTGATGTATTGCTCTACCATCACATCCTTCAGTCCGATTGTAATGGAGGAACTCTACAACCTCCAAGCTGCTGAAACGAGCGGCGTTGTTCATTGCCTCCAATGTGAATAAAGGCTCTGTGTTTGTTTCTGACAGATTCTCATGTAACCAACGTATCAGTTCCAACGATGCATACTGCGTAACTGGATCATAGTTATGATTGAAGTTGACAGCAGGCCAATTCTTATGAATCCAATCGATTGTATCACAATGTTCATGAGTACTGAGGTTAAATGCTATACCGTATAGAGTAGACAACTGGTGGTCATCAGGTCGATGATGTTCATTGATCCATTTGAGAATATGTACATGCCCATTTCTTGCAGCAGTCCTTGCCACCTCTGTCCAAAGCTCAGGATTAGGTTCATTAGGATTGCCTTTGTAGTTTTCAAGTACCCAAATCAGTGTCTCTAAATCACCAGAACCAGCAGCAGGATAAATATGGTTTTCATTCGGTTGCAGATGAAGATTACTCTGAAGCCATTTCATTGTATTCAAACCATTTGGTCGGTTTGGTAAAAATTCATAATAATTTGATGAGCATTTGAATATCTCCAAATCATTGTTCTGATTCATCCATTCTAACATCGCAATATTACATTTTAAAATAGCTGAACCCATTAGATGAGTTGATTTCAATATCTCTATGATCTCTTCATCGTTTCTCTCTGAAACCAAAGAATAAAGATATTGTAGTATTCCAAGATTTCCAAGCTCAACTGACCACCTAAAGTAAAGTGAACTCTTATTCTTATCTAAGCCATGAACATTTAAATACTTAATGAATAAGTCAAGATAGTCATTACCAATCAATGCTTTTGGTGATTCTATCAATTTATTATATCTATGCACTTTTGTAGGAATATTCTCTGACCACATCATATTAATTGTATAAACTTGATTGAATATTTCATTTCTAACAACTATATTATTAAATACTTTTGAAAATAATTTATTTGTTGAATTATTTATTGACATGATTATAGTTTTGAACAATAATCGAATTCTTTAAAATTTTGATTTTACAAAAAAAGAAACATCGCAAAAGCTCACTGGATATACGAAAATTGTGCAAAAAATTGCAAGTCTAATTAAGAACTCTTTCCTAGCTTTAAATTTGACAATCAATTCGAAAACCATTGTAACTTATGGAAAGTTTAACAGCAATAACAATATGAGCCAAATTTCAAATGGTAGTCACGATCACTAGTCGTCAATCGAGCTAGTATTTTCAAATTTGAAGATTTCTATTACTCCTAGCAACACTAATATTATATTATAGTAAAAGAAAGAACAATGATGATTGTTTATTTATCTTTTTCTTCTGTACTTTGTGGTCTTCTTGTGAAGAAATTACCACGAGAAGGTGTTGTTGTGCTTGAAGTCGGGTTAGACGACGATGAAGTGGAAGTAGAGGTAGAGGATTGAGATGAGGTATCTTTGGCCAATGCTCCAGAACTGGAATCACTCTTACTAAGGTTGGGTCTGAGGATACTACCCCAATTCTTACTGGAAGAGGATGATCCTGATGAACCAGAGGATGACGATGATGTTTTGATTGGTGAAGTGGTTGGTGATGTTGGATTGACTTGAGCAAGTGGTTTCAATTGTATCGATTGACGATTTGGATTGATTGGAGATGAAAGTGTAACGGATTCTCTCCAAGTTGATTTTCCAGGTGTTTGTGGTGCAACAATTGGTGATGATGTTGAACTAGATTGTTGTTGTTGTTGCTGTTGCTGTTGTTCTTTTTGTTGTAGCTGTTCCTTTTGTTGTTGTTGTTGTTGTTGTTGTTCTTTTTGTTGTGTTCCAATACTTATCGATGTATTATTGTTTGTATTTGACTTTTGGCTTGGTTTAACTTGTTTGAAGATATCCAGCTCGGTGCTGCTACTGAATACCGGTGTTTTGTAATATTGATCTTCATCGAGCGATTGGAAAGTGTTGGAATAGTTTTGTTGGACTGACAACTCGCGCTTGAAAGAGATGGAGATATCGTAGATCATTCTTCTTCTTTGAATGAATGGATGTGAGTTCTTGGTGTCACTGGTGGACAACTGTTGGAAAGCATTGACAGCAGTCGACTTGGTAACCTCGTGTAGTATATGCTTACTGACAATGATATCATCGTTTACGATTGGACCGAAACCAGTTGTCTTGTTGAAGACACCCTTGTAAGTCTTCACCCTAAACAACTCGGAATCCAACGGTGTAATAACGATTTGGATACGCGAGGAAATCGTCTCTAGCTTCAACTGTTCATATTGCTCGAGTGTTCCTTCGTACCAAACGATGACAACACTGTCTTTGCTCAGCAACTTTCGTTTGTGTTCGATGGAGGTACCTTGATTTGGCATGTGTGTTGGCACGTGGAATATAGTCTCCGTTGCACTGTTGGCATAGTAAGGTGCATACTTTCCGTGCATTCCTCGGGTGTCCAATCCACCGAGGTATCCTTTGTGAGTGGGCAGGTCAACCATCCAACCGAGCGAGCTTACATAGTCAATGTAATCCTTGGGAGTATCGCTTTCTATAACATTGCTATATACCTCCTCCTCGGTGGTATCGTTTTCCTTTACATACAACACTCCGACTCTGGATTGCAGTCGCTCCGGTACTTGATCGAGCGAGCAAATCGCTTGGTAGAATGTAACGGTATTCTCCATTTGTGAAACTTTTCCTTTGGATTCCAACGAGAGGAATCCAAGGTTGGAAAGAAGCAATCTTGAGTTTTGGAATTTACAATCGCCTTGGTAACGATTACCAACTTTGACTGCTTGCAATGCAATCTTTGGTTCCAAACCATAGTTTAGAGTTGATAGTACATCGCTTTCCGTTTTGATAAGCGATACAGTCGATCGTTGGAATATAGAATCCGATTTATTAGAGAGATAACTCTGTATCTCTGTGAAATCTTCTTGGTTGCTATAGTTGGCAGTGAATGGTTTGTGACCGTCGGTGCTGCTACGCGCTGGCAGCACTGACAGTGGTTTGTCTTCTTCCCAAGCGCCGGCGACTTCACTGTCACCAGCTGCTCTATCACCTCCGTTTGCCAATCCGTCGTTTTCATCCTTTGGTTTGAAAGGCAAATACGCCAAGTCGGCATTGATAACGTAACGACCCGATGAATCACGGATGATGATCGTGGTGTAAGGACCGTTCGCTCCAAATGGCTGATCAATCATTGTAATCAATGTCGCGTCATTAATCGAGTAGAAACGAATGCATTGTTCCACAGGGAAGTTGGGTTCGCCGGCCTGTTTGGCTTGTGCGCGGATCGACTCGATAATGTCGTCTTCCTTCCAGGCCGATGAGGTTTGAGAAGTCGGACCAAAGTTGTAGGGATTTGGAAAGTTACTCATTCTATTCATTATGGTATCGAATGTACATTGTGCAATATCTTTGATTCTCGATGGAATATGTGGATTGTTTGTGATTTTGCGCGTCTTGGCTGGTGTTGCCGACGCTGCACCGTTGGCGCCACTAGCAGTCGACTGACCACCGGATGAATTGGACGAGGAGGAAGATGATGTTGCTGGGCTGTTGGTGGATGCAGAGGCAGGTGGTTGGAGTGAACCAACACCGAATGGCGATGATTGCGATGATTGACCGCTGAGTGGAACGCCAGAGATTCCACCGCTTCCACTTCCGGTCGAAGCATTCGAGGAAGTTTCCTCGTTTGGATTCTTACCGCCAAGTGCAATAGTAAGTGCATCGAACAACATGTAAAGAGTGGAAGTGTCAGTCTTGTAGTTGCCATCAAAGATCCAACCACTGACTACCACCCATTGGCCAATGGTGTGTAGAGCCAGTACAATCAACTCTTCATTCTCGATGGAGATGGGTACTTCGCGTGACTTGAAAATGATGAATTTACATAGCTTTCTTACGACGGTGTGAGCCAGTTGCACAAACGTTGGGATCGATGCATGGTGAGTAGCCAAGACACTGAGCAACTGGAAGGCATGGGTGATAACTTCCGCTGGCCATTGTCCGGTGAACGACGTTGCCTTTTTCAAGATGATGTTGATGCTTGTGTTGATGAAAGCAACGGTCGAACTCTTACCGTCGGGCATCAGAGTGACATTGCGATGTTGATGCTCCAATTGGAACTCCAAAATGTACCAGATCAAAGTGGACAAGTTGGAAGGCGATGTCTCAGTGTTGAGCGACGAGAGAATCAAATGGGCGACATGTAGTCGAACGTCACGGAATACATTGAGATCCGGTTGGAGTAGCTCGTGCTTTCCAGTGACGTCCGATGGCAGTGGTGGGTAATACTCCATTGGACGCTTATTGAAAAAGTGGTAGAACTGAACGTTTTCGAAACGATTCGACAAACACATGATTTGTCCCAAGATTCTAATGGCGGAACGACGTAGATATTCACTCGATGAACCTGGAATAATCGTTAGAATACGTCCGAGTGCACGAATGTAAGATGGCACGAGAATACGGCAACCTGGAAGTTCTGTTGCCAGCAGCATCTGAGTGTGAATGATACCAGAGAAAAGGATTTTACCGTCGCACCAAAGCACCTCTGACAAACAAGAGTAGAAACTTGCCAGGTAGATCGGCTCAAACGAGATCTTTGCCGAGCAGATATGGAAGATGTTGGCAAGAATCTCTGTTGCAAGACTTACACCCTCGTCGAAACCAAAGCGAATTGTCTTGATTGCCTCGAACAACCACGAACCAAAGATAGCTAAAATCGAGTTACCGTCGTGAGTGGACGACAAGAACATAGTCACCATCTGGAAGATACCACTGATAGCAGCGGCAAAGATGTTTGGATTCTTAATGGCATTTGGATTGCCAATGGTATGGAGGATTCTATTCCACAGGTAAACAAGATAGTCCTTATCAATCTCCATTGAAATATCATCCAACTTCACAGTCATTGTTGTTTTAGCTTGTTGTTGTTGTGCCATATCGACGCTACTACCACTGCTGGCGACTCCGCCAATACCATACATCATCTGGATAAGTGGACCGGTCAGTGCCAAGCATGTCAGATTCCACTGGTGAATCGTTGGCATGTGGTGCAACCAGCCAAAAGCATACTTGTGCAGACTTGCCCAGAGCTGTGCGTTGCGTGTACGCGAGTGCAACCACACCTCGAACAACACCTTGAGAAGCAACGGACATATAGAACGACTGAGAATCTCGTCAGTTTTCGACGCGACACCAAGCGTACAATCGGTGACTGCCAGCAGGAGAGTTATCCACAGCTCAAAGGTTTGTGTGGAGAAGTTCTTGGAGAGTGCACGACCGATGTCCAAATACAGCTGCAACACCTTCTGGCAGAGGATGATATGAGTGTCCACCGCTTCTTTGGTGGGTGCAGGTCGCGGCTGGAATGTGAGGGTCAGGTGCTCGAGTATGCGCTGCATGTAGTACTCGTCGGTGTCCTCGGAGAGTGCTGCTGGTCGCGACTTGGCGTCGAACAACCAACGTTTGTACAACTCGATACACGCGAATATCGAAGGTGACTCCTCGAGAGGCAAGAGAAAACCTTGTTCAACAACCTCCATGATCCACGACAAGTGTTGTTTACTCGCCACAATGTTGGGCATCGATGTATTCGAGTCCAACAAGAATGAAGTCACAACATTATGAACCAATATCTTTTTCACTGACAATGGGAAATCTTTTAATATACCTGTATCTATAAATAAATATTTTTATAACTATTAATCTTTTTTTTCTTTTTTTTTTTTTTTTTTTTGCTGCTAAATCAAAAGATAAAAAGAAATCAACAAAACTTACTTTTCTCATTATCAATGAGGTTTAATGTGCATGCCCAATCTATAAACATTGTATTTTTAATATCTATCTATTGTATGTATTTTATGTATATCTTTAATTTTACTATTTAATTATCTTCTTTATCTTAAAGATAACATATCTATTATTATTACAAATCTATTAATTATATATAACTTAACCTTATTAAATTTATTCGTTCGTTATTTTACTTATTACTATTACTTAGATATAATATGATAAAATGAATGTTAAAGAATGAATATCAATATTATTTTATTTTATTTTTGATGTTGTTGTTGTTGATATTTAATAGTTGAAATTAATTTGATTGGTTTGATTTACAACTTATCTACTTTTCTGATTAATTGATTATTAAATGTGGTTAAAACAAAAAAAAAAAAAAAGAGTAAAGATGACGAAAAAAAAAAATCAAACCATTATAAATTAAAAGATTTTTTTTTTAGATGGAAAGCAAAAAAAAAAAACAAAAAATTCTTTTTAATTTGGTTTTGATGAATAATATCTTTGTGGTCTTTTCTATTTGATGTATGTGTTTTATTTAATCAGTAGGGTCCATTGTTAAATATCTATTTCGCTAGTTGCCAATCATTGATTTTCTCATATAAATTTCCCATATTACAATAACCATTTTTTGAACACCAATTTTTGATTGAAGATCTTTGAGAAATTGATTGAATCTTTCATATCATTGATAAATATATCTGTCCCTGTATTCTTTGATCTCGGGTTCGTTGTAGCTTGCCTACCCTATAATGCCGGATTGGTCTGTATCAAATAAGTTAGTAAAACATTAATTGAATAATGTACAGATGGGAGTCTTCATCTTTTACATCATTCGGTAATATCAGAATAATTTGTCGTAGGCATACAAAATCGGATCTAAGATGTTGAACATAAATTAATGACATACGAAATATAATAAAGAAGTAAATAAAATTTATATTAATAAAATTAGAAGCGTACCTATATTGGACTATAGTTCTCTTGATTAAAAAAATACAAATAAAATGTCAAGTATCCACTCATGGGTAGAACTTTTACAGTTTCGTACTAGAGTATGTCAGGGAAATGTAGAATCGAACCGACATGTGTCCAATCAGTTTTCAGTATCAGGCTCTCGAGTCGAAACGAATTAGGTTTGGAAAACTTTCAGATCAAGATTGAACTCTCACCGGTGTACTATTTCAACTCTAATCAATAAAAGAATTTGAATCATCTCTCACCTTTAAGACTTTGTTTATTATCATTCATTGAATCATTGTGATCAATCACAATTGGAGGTGAGGAAAGGATGTGAATCGAGAGTGGTTCTATTGTGATGAGAGATAGAATTGGAGGGATGGTTTGGATGAGGAATATATACATTGTCTTTATTGGATTGTTGTTGGAGACTACTGGATCAAAGTGCTCTGCGAGAGTTGGATGCTTCATCACGGGAGTTTTTGGTTGGCAATTTGTTGGATGGAATGCAGGTCTACAGCGTAGAATGGAGGAATAATGACACCTGGTGGCAAGGGTGGTGCTCCATTGAACAGTTCAACAGTTGGTATCTGGAGTTGGTAAAGTAAAAGACCAAGTGCATTACAAGGATTTTGAAGGTTGAGGGGATTGGCTGGATTGGCTACAGGTGGAGGAGGCCCAACTGGAGGCATGACACCTTCATAACCATGAGGAGCAGCATATCCTGGTGGAGATATGGGAGGCAAGTGTCTTTGGATTGTATTGGTGACATCCAAATGTGTCGTTCCACAAGAGATGATCCTGACAGGATTTGCTGCTGCACCATTCTGATAGTACAAAACAAGCATCGCAAAGTCTCCATTGTTTCTGGGATAGATCTTGACACCAATAACGATCCTAATTGTGCTTGGTATTGCAGCCACAGCAGGGACACCAGGAGCAGGAAGCACAGCAGCAACACGATCCATGAAATAGTCGAGGCACTTTTGATGTAACACTGGAAGTGATTGAGACTTGGCTGCTTCGATGACCAATGTTGGGTAAGGATTTCCATATCCATCTGCCGAATGATTGTTGGGGACTTTGGGTCGAAGAGGTTGCAAAGATTGGTCTGGCTCAGCATTTGCATGTCCTGGTTGGAGGATCAATGTCGCATTTCCTCCGGTGTGCAACAAATGTTGGTTTGGGAATGTTTGATACCGAATGATATCATTGATCGCATTGACAGTGTATGAATGCGCCATTGAGGGTACTTCATAGATCCATGCCCTTCCATCTCTAAACCATATCCTCGACTTGAACTCAGATCTCTGTCCATCCTTTTGTCTTCTTGCTATAAAAGTATTATGATTGATGGGTCCAAGTTCAACTCCTCCATCGGGAACATATCCTACCTGGATATAGATGAGGATGTTAGTGATATATTTCCCTGCAATATAATTGAAGTCATACTTGTCTCAAATAATCTATTTTGTTGGACCAACCTCTGATCCTGTTGACTGCATCAAGCACTTCCTGTTGTGTGTGATCTTCTGCTCCTTCAACATCTGTCAGTTGGGCTGTCATGGTAGGATTTGTTGTAGGTGTTGGCTCTGTTGACAAAGGTTCATTCGAGGTGTCCAGTTGGTGAGTCATTGTTTGATGATCACCTCTTTGTTTCTTTTGAATAGTGCCATCACTGCCTTGATTTGATCTCTTCAAATGAGTAGAAGTATCATCGCCTCCAAATACGCCTGTAGTTGTCATGACAAGAGTGTAGGAGACTCGTTATTTGGTTCAATGTGTACCAGATCTTGATTTGAAGATATTTGTGTATGTATTCCTTCTATTTGTACAACTATAAAGAGAATGATGATTTGTGAGGAATATAAATTATCACCTATCTTAAAAAAAATAAACAAATGATTGACAGAGTAAAGACCTATCTTTTCGACGAGTACAATACATCCCAAGTAAATATAATATAAAGCGCTTATTTAAATTCATTCATTTATTAACAATTATTTTTATTTTTATTGTTTTTTCACAAAATAAAATTATAGATTTTGCACCAAAGCTAAAGGAAATGGAAAAGTCAGATGTCAAACGAAAAGAAGTGTATAAAGCCGCCAAAATCAAAGCTCCTCCGAAAATGAAATGGTTTCACCGAAAGATGTAAGTAAAATGAAATTTTTTTTAAAAAAAGTGAAAAGCACAAAATTAACTTTTTTTCTGTTTCTATTGAGAATAAATCATTTTTGATCAAGAACACCTTTGCAAAAAGAATCTTATCTCAAACAAGAAAAATTCAAAATCTAAAAAAAAATTCAAATTTAGAAAAAAATATTTTTTTTATATTTTTTTATATTTTTTTTTTTGTTGATCAAAATTTATTCGTTATTAAATAGGATAGTGGTTTGGTTTGCAAAGCTCAAAAATCCCTGATTAATAATCAAACAAAATTGTAATATTAAAAAAATAATAGTAGTAGTAGTAATAGTAATAATAATATATAAATACGAAAATAACAATACAATATTTATTTTTAAAAGATAGATTTAGAAAAAAGATATTTTTAGTAATTTGACAGTTAAATAATATTTAAAATTCAATGTAATTATCATATTATCTTAATTAATTAATTTATTGATAATGTAGTTCACTTTAGTTGGTTATTTGTTAATTTAATAATAAATAAAATAATCAAAATCAAATCACATAACAAATCAAATCAGTCGCTTTCGCTATTGATTTATTATTAAAAAAAAAAAAAAAAGGTAGTGGTCTGTTTGGTTTGGATCAGTTTAGCTTGGTTTGGTTTGGTTTTGATAAGTTTAGTATTGTATGTGTGTGTTTGTTTGACACTATAGTCATTAGTCATTATTAAAACAAATAATTGTATCATAGTGGTGGTATTGATGATGTTTATTAACGTGCAAAATGAATCCACCACTACCATCAACAACAACAACAAATATCGTAATACCAACACCAACACCAACACCAACACCAACACCAACACCAACACCAACACCAACACCAACACCAACAACAACAACAACCAAACAAACACATATTATATTATATTACCAACAACACATAAACACACACAACCCCCAAAACCTATCAAACAAGAACAACAACTTAACATTCAAACAAACAAACAAACAAACAAATAACTAAATAGCTAATAAATAATGTGACATTACATTATTTATCATCAAATAAACAAACAAACAAACAGAACAGTTTGTTAACAAAATAAAATAAAATTAAAAATACGATTTGATGTTATCATAGTTGTAGTTGTAATTTTTATCAATAAAATTGGACAAATTTATATATACTTTCAATTAGCTGTTATAAAAATCATCATCATAATAATAGTAATAATACTTAATTTGTTGTTGTTGTTATTTTTAATTGTTTTTTTATTTAAATAGATTATAATTAATAAGGAAAAAGACAACAGTTTTGTTGTTTTTTTTGTTAGTTCCAAATAAAGTTATTGGAAATTTGAACTATAGTTCATTTCGAGGAGAAGAAAAGAAGAAGCTTCAATAATTTTTAATAAACCCGATCAATCAACTTTAACTTCTGCCTCTTTCATATTATTATCATCATCATCATCATAGTGTTTTTGTGTATATCATGTGACAGTCACATAACTTAACTTTAAGAATATAATATAATCAGATCAAATCAAATTAAAATCATAGAGTTTATTATTCTTTTGTTTAAATAGCAATAAATAAAGTAAATAGTTACTTATCAATCAATAAACAAAATTTAGATTTAAGTAAAAATACAAATACAAATATTAATAAAACTTTTTTTTTTTTTTTTTTTTTTTCAGAATTGTAAAATTAGTAAAAAGAAAGTAAAAAAGCAGAAGAGAGAGAGAGAGAGAGAGGAAAAAAGATAAGATAAAACGATGAAGAATATATTTAGAAGATCAGTTCAGATCTTTCACAAAAAAGATAAGGATAAATCAGGAAATAGCGATAGTGATGGAAGTTCAAGAGATAGCTCACGTGGTGGAAGCAACAATGATTTGAATGTCAATGGCATTCACAGTGGAAGCAACAGCAGTAAGAAGGATAAAAAGTCAAAGAGACACTCAAAGAACTACGATGCGAAACACTCGGATGTCTCGGCATCATCGGAATCACCACAATCCAGTTTGCGTGGTAGTCCAGCGATCTACTCACAGAAACAACAACAACAACAACCAATTCCACAGGTTATTGTTTCGAAACCGAGTGCACGTCGTGTATTTGGTGTACCACTTCACGAGGTACCGTGTCGCGACGACTCGAACGTGCCGATCATCGTCGAGAAGCTGGTCGACCACCTCGAGTACACGGCACTCTCCACCGAAGGATTGTTTAGAATTCCGGGTCGTGATGTCACCATCATGGAATTCGTTAGGTTGTTTGACAATTTCGAGGAGGTTGACGTGTCTTCGCTCGAGCCATACACCGCCGCCGGTCTTCTCAAGCGTTTCTTTAGAGATTTGCCAGTGTTTGTACCGCCACAGATCAACAAGATGGTCGCGTCTCTCTTTGTAGCGGAGGACGGCAAGAAGAAGCAGATCGACATGGAGATACTCGAGCGTCTGCGTTATCTCGTGCACTGTTTGCCACCCGTTCACTTTGAGGTGATGCAGTCGCTCACTTCTCTGCTCTCGAAGCTGCTACTGAAGAGCGAAGAGAACAAGATGACCGTAACGAATATCGCCATTTGTCTGGTGCCAACACTCAATTGTGTTCCCGCCATTGTAACATATCCCATACAGTATCACGACTTCTTCTTTAAGGAGCCGTTCGCCGAGCATCATGTGCCCTCGATGCGACCGGTTCTCAACAACTTCTTGTCGCTCGAGGAGAAGCCAGAGTTGGTCACAGAGATGCAGAAGCGATACTCGCGTTCGCGTCCCGCATCGATCTCCATCTCGGGACTGCTGCCTTCGAACCAGCCACCCAACCAACAATCATCGCCATCGAGCTCCACCATCACATCGACAACGATCACCTCGCCACACGACTCTGTAACACCAATCACCTTCACTGTAACAACAACCTATTTAGATCAACTGCAGCAGCAGCTACAACAACAGCAACAGATACAACAGCAGCAACAAGAACAACAGCAACAACAACATCAACACAACCTCGAAAGAAGAAAAGCAAAACTGACAGCCGAGGATTTACAATACCAACAGTTTATCGAAGAGAATCAATTCTTAAAGAATCAATACGCACAACAACCACAACAAATAAATCAACAACCATTACAACTTCAACAACAACAACAACAGCTTCAAGTTCCAAACGACAACAGTAGCAATGGAAGTAATAGTAATACCAATATCAACAAGTATTATCGTCGTAGTGTTGCATTTGGTACTGCCAATAGCAACAGCAATAGTATCAATAGCAACAACAATTTGGTTAGTGATGTTGCATCGGAATCGGGATTGCAATCACCGAATATGTTGAACAACAGCAATGGCATGATGATAAACAATAGTATTACCAAAGCGAATATTCAACAACTCAAGGAGAAGATCGATCGTTACTCAAAGGAGAAGATGAGAGAACTCAGAGAATCCACTCAGTCAATGTCAATGAGAAGAGGAGATATGGGTGCAACGTTGAGCAACCTCAATCCACAGGCTGCGGTGGGATCGTCGACCACTCAGACATCGACAACCTCTACCAACACCTCTGGTGCCATCGAGAAAGACAAGGAACGCGACAAACTACTACGATACAGCGTCGACTTTGAACGATTCAAAGAACGACACCAAAAAGAGATGGCCGAGAAGCGTTGTTCACGTGATATCTCACGTGAGATTGAAAGAGAGTTGGAGAAGCGTCTCAGTCCAAGAGAGAGAATCTCAATGTTGCTTAGCAACAACAATAATAATAATAATAATAACATTGGTGGTTCACTCTCTGGACAATCCAACAGAATTGGTGATCGCGAATCAAGAAGTTTCAGATACAGTGTTAGCAGTCAGAATCAATATAATCTCTCGAATATAATGAACAACGGTGGTGGAAAAACCTATGGAAATTCATCGCGCGACAGTGGAAATTACAACCGTTACTCCAAGGATTATAGATACTCACGCGAGTTGGACAACGAGGAGTTGGACTTCCTCTCACGTCAACAACGTTCACAAAGCTGCTTTGACGACAACATCCCGAGAAACGGCAGCAGCACTTCAATCAACAATAACTATGAAAACACACAATATCAATCGATTCTACTCGAACAAAAGTTGGATAAACTGAAAGAGACAATGAATAATATACGTACACAAAGAGACGATCGAACCTCGCGTGACTACACACTCTACATTCGCGATATGGACGAGCTGCGTGCATCGCTTGCCAAAGAGACAGAGACCTCTGAGTTCTTTGCCACCAAGAGTTTGGAGTTGGTCGAAAAACTGCGCAAGGAGGAAGAGAAGAATCAAAAGCTGATGGAGGAGATTCAGCTGATGGAATCATACTTTGCACTGAAGGAAAAGTTGAAGCGTTCCAAGCGTCATTCCATAAGCACCAAAGAGATACTCACAAGAAGTAGATCACCTACATTACCGACCAACATAACATCGACATCGACAACAACAACAACCAACACATCAAACAATAATATATCAGGATCACCAAAAGAACATATTTCATTATCAACATCATCATCATCTATCTCTACATCCTCATCGAATTCATCAACATCCAATAACGCTCAACTGAACAAAGATCAAATGATGAATCAACTTTTAAGAGGTGGAAATAGTTCGAGAAAACTTGTAAATCTAGTGCAAAACTAAAACTATACCAAATAAGTTGGTTGGTTAGCAGTCATCAATGTATACGAAATGATTGAATTGTCAATTCATTCAATTTATTTTTTTATATAGAAATAATAAAAAATTCTTATTTATACTAAAAAAACACTAATCACAAGATCAGTTTCTTCAAAAAACTTTACAAATTTAAATATGTAATAACCATCTTTACAAAAAAAAAGGCAACAAGTTTCTTTCATATTTCTTAAGATTCATATCAATTAAAACTAAAATGAGAATCAAAAATGAAAAATTCTCGTTTAATGGTTTGTTCAAAAATGGAGAGTGAAAATCAAACAAATAAACTAGTAAATCTATCACATTTTTTATTACGTAAAATAATTTGTTTTGTAGATGAAGATATTGATCGAATAGTTTTCAGTTTGGTTTGCAAGAGATGGTTCAACGATCGACATAGCTATCTAATATTCAATAAGATCAGTATTGCTGGAATTGATAATATCGAAATCAAACGAAATCATGAACACTTCAAACTACCATCCTATGATAACATCTTTTTAAAGACTATTCAAACAAAAAGTAATTGTTCATTGTTGATCGCTGATCCAATGACAGATTTACTTAATTTTAGGCATTATGATTTTATTGTAAAAAGTTAGTAACTTTTAAACCACAGAGCATTCGAGCGAGGATATTTATATACCAATTATACTAATTTAATAATTTCACAAACAGATATTACAGATCTTAAATGTATTCCGTGTTATATAAAAGAGATAATCAATTTATTTCCTCTTTCAGATGATCACTTCAAATATCTTTATCGTTTGTTATCGGAATCACAATCGGTCACATCTTTTTTGGGATGTAGTTCATTGGAACAAAAGCTACCAAACTCTATAAAGACATTGGAACTCACGAACAACTTTAAAGGAACTCTTACAAAAGAATCGATGCCTGATTGCTTAGAACTTCTCTTTTTTAGAAATGGATTCACTCAGAGGATTGAACCTGGTGTGCTTCCTGAGGGTTTGACAGAGATTACTTTCTCTGGTGAATACGAATGTGAATTTACACCAGGAGTATTCCCTTCAACTCTAAGAGTTCTTAACATTGAGAGTTACAGATTACCACTCCAACCTGGAGTCCTGCCAAACAAGCTTGAGAAATTAGAATACTCTGGTGCTAGAACTCATTTGGGTGCAGGTGTATTGCCATCATCACTCAAAATCATCGTTAATGTATCACCTTCTTGGATTCCAGAGCTAACTACACTATCCAACCTCGAAGAACTCTTCCTGAGAGACGACCCACTATATCGCGAGCTACTGACTCTCAACATGTCTCATCTACCTTCTTCACTGAAACTATTGCACTTTGATCGGCCGCATCCATTGGTAGGAACAATGCCCAACTCAATTCAAATTCTCAATTTTAACAAGTGTCCATTCAAATACGATGAATTGTTTCCATCTTCATTGCAATATCACCTTACAACATTGAAATACTATAATAATATGGGAATAGATCAAATTCCACCAAATGTAAGAGTGGATCGATTGGAAGTAAGTGGAGTGTTTTCCAAACCAATTCAATTACTACCATATAATGTGGAATCTATCTATTTACATTGGTGCAATTCGCCTTATTTGTATATTAATAGAATTCCTCCAGGTATCACAGAGTTGCGTTTGCCTAATTTTGGACATAATTCTATTTCGTTACCAAACACCATCGAAACTTTAGATATAGGTATTAATGATCTCTATAAATCGATAGATATGATTCCACCATCAGTCAAAACTCTTATCTTTACAAGTCGATCATCTTTCGAATTTCAATTTCCACAGCATTTTAGAAATAATATTACCAATATCTATTATAGAGGTATTGGTACATTTAATAAGGACTTTACAATCAGAAAGCTAAATGATCAAAGTTATTTGGTATATGGCTCTTCCAACGGATATCTATATGTTAAAATGTTTAATCAAAAAGATTTAAGCAATCTAATATCGATTATTACAAAACATGATAAATAAATTTTTTTTTTTTTTGGATAATATAGAAATAATTATAAATCTTTTTTTAAAAATTATTATTTACAAACCCTCACATTTTATTATTTCCTTACTAAAAATATATTTTTAATAAATATTTTTAAATATTATTTCATATTGCTATTGAATTATATTAAGATCAATCTTGTCACATAATAGAATAAAAGTGTGAACAACAAAGTATGAAATAACCACATTTAAATTATAATTGACTTTTTTTTATAGCCCATCATCTAATAAAATTACTTTATTATTTAATAAATTAAAAATGAATGTATGTATATTATTTATTTTTAAAATAACTTCAAAGTTTTAGTTGTTTATTATTTATTATTTGTAAATTAAAAAGTATAAAGTATTAAATATTTATTTTTTATTATTTATTATTATTTTTTGATTAAATTAAAGTGGATTTTGGTGATATATAGGTTCAGAGCATAATTAAATTTATATTAATGTCCACAATTGAAACAACTAATTTCATATCAAAGGTAATAGTTAAATAAGACATATTAAGAGTATTTTAATTTAATTAAGATAATTTTGATAAAAAACAGGCACATATTTTAGTAAAGAAAGCATTGGAATGTGAAGAGTTTGGCTTGATAGAAGAGGCAATTGAATTTCATTCGCAGGCTGCCAACTACTTTAACTTGGCTATTTTACAAACAACGAATGATCAAACAATCAATGCTTTGAAGATTCTCTCGCAAAATCATGCATCGAAAGCAAATGACCTAAGACAATATCACGAATTGACAATACTTAATAAATTACAAAATAACTCGAAAAATAATAATAGTTATCAATCATATAATCATTTTAATAATTATAATCATTCTATAAGTACAAGTACAACAGCGTCATCATCATCCATTATAAACTATGCTTCGCCTGTGACACCAACTACAGAATCTGCACTACTAAATAACAATGATTTCTATCCCAATTTGAATTCAACACCACCAACACCACCTACATCTCATAACCACTACAATGAATCCTATAGCAACTCCAGTAATACCAATAACAGTTCACCTCTTTCCAACTGGTTTGGTATAGAGAAACTAATGGATATATTACCTAAACCTCAAATTATATTCCAAAGGAATAAAAATAACAAAGATAATAATAATAATAGCAACAAGAATAATAATAACAATAGTGGTGGTGGCAATAAATTAGGAATTGTAGATGGTTCTTTATTAAATAGTTTCTATATGGTTGAATCGGAAAGAGAAAGAGAAAGTGAAAGAGATTCATTCGATCATTTTAGTAGTAATAATAATAATAATAATAATCAAGGAATGCTAGGAAGAAGTGATGGTAGTACGTGTAGTAATAGTAGTAGTAGCTATATAGATCAAAATTTGAATTGTAGTACGAGTAGTAGTATGATGGAGGTAGAGAAACTAGACAATCAAATAAAACTCCAACAAGAATTGAATTTGGTGAATCAAACAGTGAAGGTGTTAATCGATGAAAACGAGAGAACCGCAAGATACCTACGAAATATCACTCAAGAGAACATCTATTTGAAACGTTGTATCATACAGTTTCGTCAGGAAATGAATAGAGAACTCGAGAAAAAGACATCCAACTTAAAGTATTCCGATAATAATTTCAATAACCACAATAGTACTACTACTACTAATTATAATGATGATAACAACAATAATGATAGTGAAGTTTAAAAATAAAATAAATTATAATTCTTTATGTTTAAAAAAAAAAAAAAAAATGTTTCCGAAATTCATCCTAAAAACAACAAGCATCCAGATATAATTCTCTCTCTTCTCGTTTTCCAATAACAAACACCAACTATTTTTCATGATAAAAATAACCAACACACTGTACTGTTTTGGAACAAAAAAAAAATGAAAAATAGTGTTCATTTTTAGACCATCTTAAATTAATTCTGTTTCACATAAACTGAGTCATTCATGTCATGTTTTTTTAAATTAAAATAAAATCAATTAATTAATTTTTACGTTTTTTTTATTACCTGTTTTTAAATTATCATTATTTTTGTAACACTCTATATATATAATACACCAATTTTCATCATTGTCAAAATAAAACATCAACAACAGATCATTATCAGTATCTTCAATCTCATATTCAATTAATATAACATAATCATATAACACATTATAAATTAATATTTTTTAATCTTTTTTGAAAAAAAATAATTAATATTTTATCTCTACATATAATTATATTCATCTTATTTATCATTATCTATATCTATATAAATTAAATAAAATTAAAAATATTAGAATAAGAATTCTTTGATGTTTTTTTTTTTATATTATTTTAGTTTTTTAGTTTAGCATTTGCACCTTTTTTTTTTTTTTTTTGGATAAAAGGATTTAATATCAGTTTTTTTTTAAATTCTTTTTTAATTGTAAAAATATCTAGATCTATACATATCTAGTAATAGTAGTATCTATATAATTAAAAACATATAAATATCAAAAGATGTTTTTAAAATCACATAAAAGAACACCTTCTGGTAGAAACAGAATCGATATCACTCTGAATGTAGAGAAGATGACCAGTGAAGAGAGACTGAGCCGACAGCTACATACATCGGTGAGACGTAGTCCGACCGGCGAGAGAGATCGTTTGTTCGAGTGGTTTCTGGTGATTGGTGCGGAGCGTAAGCTAACGGAGCAGTCGTCGTCTCCACCACTACAAAGATCGTCAGAGTTCAACGTTTCACCACCGCCATCAAAGCATCAATCACTCTCGGCTTCATCTCCAAATAACTCACCATCTGGATCATCGGCATTTAAATTCCTCTCACGGTCACCTCCCCCACCACCCAAAGAGACGAGAGTAGAGCGTGACCTTCCAAAGATACTCTACCAGTATCCACCAGATCGTTCACTCGGCTCGATCAATGTATATGATTTTCCATTCCCTGGCGGAGTGCCACTCAGCTATCAATCTCTAGGTGCATCCAACACCAATCTATTCACACTTCTTTGTTCACAAAATCATTTAAAAGAACCTGAAGATTCATTCGGTATGTAATTAAATTTGTTACAATCGTTGGTTGTAGTAAACAACTTACTAACTTTGCTGAAATTATAATATCTACATGTAGTGTTTATGTTGACAGACGAAAAGAAAGATGTTTTATATGGCGTTTGTACGTTTAAATCAGCAGAGGTTGGGCATAGAATGAATGATATCGATATCTATGAAGATTCAGTCTTTAATATGAAAGATACAATAGTTACTGCACCCAAATGTTATGTCATTCTCACAAAGTATCCATTCTTTTCACTGCATTTCAACATTCTCAATTCCATTCTAAAGATTCAACATATGCAACAAGTTGAATTGTTTCAAAGTTATTTAGTTTCCTTGAGAAAACCTTCGCCAATTCGTGAATTAAAAGAGAAGGAACAACAGCAACAGCAACAAGCTCAACACCAGCAACATGTCATTCAACAACCAATTATTAGTATAACGGTTTCAAGTGAACCACCACAACAACAATTGAATGGTAGTGGTGAAAGTATTTCATCTTCAACGGCGGCAACAACAACCACCACAACAACAACAACTAGCACTACAATCATCACCACACCACCTAGTTTAACTCCACTTTACAAATCAACAGATGGAGATATTTCAATGACAACACCACCCTTACCACCACAAACAAATCTATCAGCATCAGCATCATCATCCTCCTTATCGACACTCCAGATTCCACATAACATCAAAGCACCAGACACACCAATCAGAGATCTAATTGAATATTTCTATCAGCAATCAATACCTAAATCCGGAGAATCTATCAAATATCAAATCGATTCACTTGGCAGAAGCATAGAGTTTAGAAGAGAAATCCTTTCACATAAAGATGCAGACTTTAGTGGCTACATCATCGAGTATGGTTTACTGATTACTCTACAACTTTTATCACATGCTGCAATCATTTCCATCCTAAACTCTATACTACTTGAAAGAAAAATTGTATTTTATTCGAAATCACTTAGAAATTTAACTTCTGTTGTGTAAGTAGCGGTAATTCATCGATCATTCAATAGCTATTTGTTATTAACATAAATATTCATCTATCTATATTTAGATTTACTATGGTTTCACTTATTAAACCATTTGTTTATCAATCTGTAATGCTACCGATTATACCAGATTCACTGAGAGATATTTGTAGTGCACCAGTACCCTATATCGTTGGTACCTGCTCAAAGAGTATGATTGACGAGGTGGATTTGACAGAGACTATCGTTGTCGATATCGATCTGAATAAGATTATTCATAAGGCCAAGGTACCGGATGTACTGTTCCCCAGCTCCAATGAAATTGCCAACAAGTTGATCGATGCTCTCAAGTCATTAAAGATGCACATGGAAATCAGGAATGCACACAACTACTCACCGAGCGAAGGACAAGTACCGATACTCAATGCTCTCGTCACATACATACAATCACATTTCGAAATCCTATTTGAAAATTTCAACAGACATTGTGTAAGAGATGTTTCTCAATTGAAACACGTATCGGTTTTCGTCAAGGAGACTTTTGTAGAGGTAGAGTTTGAAGAAGAAGTCGAAAGAAAATGGATCAAAGAGTTTATGTTGACACAGATATTTTCAGTTTATCAAGACAAAAAGTTGCGACAATCTGATGGTGATGAAGAATTGTCTTCTTCATCAGATAACATTACAGCTTAAACACTATATTTATAACTAGATTAGCTAAAAAATAAATGATTAGATTATTATTTAGTGTTTTTTTTATACATTATTATTATATATTTTTGATTTCATTGCATTCCTTAGTTATTATTATTATTATTATTATTATTATTTATAAACGAATAAATCAAAGAGATGCTGATTTCTTTTCGGATTTTCTTTCTTTAATTGGTACGTATGGTCTTGATTCTGGTCCGGTGTAGATTGCAGATGGTCTGATCAACTTGTTGTCCGAACGTTGTTCGATGATGTGAGATGCCCATCCTGTGGTTCTAGAGATGACAAAGACCGGTGTGAAGAAGAGTGTTGGAATTCCAACTTGGCTGTAGGCAGAGGCAGAGTAGAAATCGAGATTTGGGAACATCTTCTTCTCACGGAAGACAACTTGTTCGACACGTTCACTAATCTCGAACAACTTCATATTACCACCTTGTTCATTGGCCAAACGTTTTGACCATTCTTTAATAATTGGATTTCTTGGATCACCATTTCTATATACACGATGTCCAAATCCCATAATCAATTCTTTCTTTGCTAACATTTTCATAATCTATAATATAAACAAAGAAATGATGAATCAATTAAATTAGATTGAGATTTGTTATTCAATTCATTCATATTATTGTTGTTAAGTATAACTTACACCAGATTCAGCATCATCGGGTGATGAGTATTGAGCTAAAAGATGCATGGCAGCTTCGTTGGCACCACCGTGGAGTGGTCCTCTCAGAGTTCCGATGGCAGTGCAGATCGAAGAGTAGAAATCAGTGAGTGTAGAGGTGGTGACACGTGCGGCAAATGAGGATGCAGCGAGATCATGCTCTGCGTAGAGAATGAGTGATACGTCAACGGCACGCACATGCAATGCCGATGGCTCCTGACCGTCGTAACGCAACAACTTCAAGAAATGCTTGGCAGTCGAGTCCTCTGCGAGTGTCAAACAGTTGATTCTCTTACCGCTCGATACCCAGTGGTGCCAGTAGAGCAACATCGAACCAAACGAAGCAATCAAACGATTGGCGATTTGGAATTGGTTGTTGGTCGGTGACTCTGGCTCCAATGTACCCAAGATGGAACAACCGGTTCTCAGGACATCCATCGGGTGTGCCGACGCTGGGATTCTCTCGAGACAATCTTTGAGAGCACCCGGAATATCACGTAGTGAACTCAAGGTTCTGCAGTATCCCAAGAGCTCCTCTTCAGTTGGAAGATAACCATAGATAAGCAAGAATGCAACTTCTTCAAATGTTGAATTTGCAGCCAATTCTTTTTTGTTATAAAAAAAAATAAATAAATAAATTTTTAATTTAACTTAACATTGATTGTGAATCACACACAATTTTATTGATTTATACCTTTTATATCATATCCACGATAGTTTAAACCAGCACCTTTTACACCAACAGTACAGATGCTTGATTTAGCAACATAAATACCAGCTAGACCTTTGGAATATTCTTCTGCACTACTCATTATTTATCTTTTGATATATTTAGATATAGAATTATAGATATCTAGTTTTAATAGTCAAATGATTTGACAAAATTAAATTTAATGACTAATAAGTGTGTTTTTGATTTTTTTTTTTATCATTTGTTTAAACCCCAATAAAAAACATAAAAATTGAATAAAAAAATATAAAATGAACAACACAAATTAGGGGTGTTTGTTTAAAACGAAAAAAAGATATTTAATATTATCTTATATATTTACATATAATAATTTGTTTTTTAAAATTTGTTGTTGTTTTTCATTTTCTTTAAAAAGAAAGTCAAAAAAAAAACATAAGAAAAGTAAAAGAATATTGAAATTGAATTCAAATTTTGTTACTATAAATAATAAATATATATCAATTTTTTTTGAACCATCAGCAACTTCATAATAATTCAATCAAATTCACAAACAATTTTTGTAAAGTTGTTTTGATACAAACAAATAATATTATCTTACTTTTTTTTATTTTTATTTTCTATTTTTTTGTGTATTAATAAGTTAAAACTATGTATAAATCAGGATTAATAAGATTGTTGTATTCAGATGGTATTCATGATGTTTTGCATCATTATAATATCGCCAGGTTGAATTATGTTCAGAAACAGGTGACCGACAAACTCTACGTTCAATTCATTGATTTCAAGCCGTTCTGTAAGATGCCACCAACACAAATACAGTATATGCAACAACCACTCTACAATGACCTGAGAGTAGCAATCAACTTGCTAGTCAAATCGATGAGACAACCAAATGTTTCGCTTGTCGAAGACCTCCAGATGCCAGTGTTGAGCAAGCACATCACTCAGCTGAAGCGATACGAAGCAATCTTGGACACCTACTACAAGGTTCTCTACGGTCTAAACATGAAGTTGGACGTCACTATAATGCCACACATTGCCAATGCGCAGTTGTTGGCAAGCCAACCGAACGCCGCACAACCATTGCAATCCACCCCGTTGGAACAGGAGGTCGATGCCATCTTTGTCGACAAGATCGACTATGACTTTCTGGCGGCGAACAGCAGCAGCGAACAGTCACTGTCGTCGTCGCTCTCACCAAAGATGAAAATCATCGAAACACAATCGAGTTATCCAACCGACTTTTATTACTCTAGCTACGATATCGGCAAGATCGACAACAAAGAGTTGTTCACACCACCATTCAAGGGTGCAGTACTCGGTGGAACATTCGACAGAATCCATCCAGGTCACAAAGTTCTGCTTTCGATGGCAGCACTGCTCTGTTCGGAATACATGGAGATAGGTGTCACCGATAACACCATTTTGAAATCGAAAAAATACAGTGAGCTGATTGCTCCATTCCAAGAGAGATCGGATATCACCTATAAATTTATGAAACATTTAAATCCATATGTTGAATATAATGTAACTATCAACAACAACAACAACAACAACAATAATAGTTAAATATGAATGATTTAATACTAATTAATAATGAATTGTATATGTTTTCCAGATGTTAAGATTATTAGAACCATATGCAAATACAAAGGTTAGCAATCGGTTGGAAGTTATTATTGTATCACCAGAGACAAAGAATACGGCGTTGCACATCAATGAAGAGAGAGTTAAAAACAATTTGAAACCACTTGAGATCTACGAGATTACCTATTTCGATGGTGTCGATCAAGGCTCGGATTTCAAATTGAGTTCATCATACTTGAGAGAATTGGATTATAACAAATTACAAAATAATAAGTAACACTTTAATAATATTTTAATAAGAAATATAAAATAAACATTTACTATTAACATTGTTATTTTGATTTATTCATTGACTTCGATATAGGCTTTAGGAAGAGTTTTCTTTCTTTTACAGTATCTAATGGTGCATACAACAATTACGACAACTATTATTATAAATGCAACGACTGTCACTGGTATTATAATTGCAACGACAAGAAGTGCTCGACCAAGTGCTGCACCTTCCCTTTCATCATCTCTACTATCGTGATAACTATAGGTACTTGTGAAATAGAACTTGTCAGATTCACCATCGCCAACATAAACATAACATTGATCTCCTGCTGAACTTTCGATTCTAATAACAATGGTTGTAGAATTTAAACTTATAAATTCATAATAACCACATGCTGATATATAAGTTTGGTTTGTGAAGTTTCCAATTACATATGTTAGCCTTTCATCTATATTACTGAAAACACTTGATATATACGGTACTTCTATAGTTAGATAATATATGAGGTTAATATTTATTAGATCAAAAAAGCATAAAAATTCATTTAATACAAACTTCTTTGAAATTTAACATTTTCATTTATAATCAGATTTGTTTCATTAAATATCAGAACTTGATAGATATCTTCATTCAATGATGTTTGATTGGACATATAACAGCTTATTTGGCGATCTTTGGTGGCGATAGTGGTACATTCAGTATTATTGATTGTTATATTTTTAATTGAAGGGAGTAAATAAATTACATAAATTGATAAATTCAATTCGATTTTGGTGGAACCTGATTGAGTAATTGTGTAAGTTCCATTGTTTATATAGGAAGTTGAAGAGAGTGTTGATAATTCGGAAAAAGTATTGTTATTGTTATTTGTACCATCTATTGCATAGACATTGTTCTTTGCAATAAAAATAAGCAATAGATAAAGTGAAAATATTATTGTAATTATTTGATTTTTCATTTTTAGTATTATATTATTAAAATGTTTGAATTAAAAGTGATATCATTTACATTTAAAAATTTCTCTATTTATAGAATGACTCTTCAAAAAAATGATTGATCAACGTCGAGAGTTCTTCAAATACAGAGAATCTAATTAATTAAATGATGTGTGACCACTCCCCATCAGTTTTTTCAATATTCAGGAAAAAATTTATTTTTAACTTGTGAACACACAAATTTTTATTTTTTTCGGATTTTAATATTTGTTTAATTACATGGAAAAACAGAAGCAAATTAAAAAAATTTGAGTGGTTGACCCCAAATTTTAATTTTTTTCCAACTGTCATTAAATGGAATTAAAAATTTATCAAATCAAATAAAAATATTTTTATAATTTAATTAAAAATTTATTAATAAAATTGTTTTGCAAAATATATCATTTTTTATCGTTTACCAAGTTTGTTGAAGTTGTTTTAAAAGAGTTTATTGAAAATTTTTTGAACTGCACTATTTCTTTTATGTTCAATGATTTTATTAAACATAAAATTTATTTCTTTGCAAATTATTATGAATATTTATAAATGAAAACCATCTGTAATAAAGTTGTCTGAACATTCTGTTTTCCTTTAGATTACATATTATCAAGTGTTAATTCAAAAGTATAATGAAAATTGAATTTTATTTTATTTTCTAATTTCCTATTATTCATATTCAAAAATTGGATGTTGTTTTTAAATAATAATATCCAGATACAAAAAATGAGTTATTTTATCAATATAGATTTCAATCTGAGTTCATCATAACATAGAGTATTTGATTTTATAAATTTCAAAGTAATATAAAGATACATGGAATATAGATTTATTTGTATTATAACAATAATAAAAAAAAAAGATATTTATCTTTATTATTAATAATATTATTATTTTGATTTATTCATTGAGTTCAATATTGTTTTTAGGATGACTTCTCTTTCTTTTACAATATCTAACAGTGAATACAACAATTATTACAACTATTATTATAAATACAACGACCGGCACTATTGTTATAATGATAATGATAGCAAGTGCTCCTCCAAGTGCTGCACCTTCCCTTTCATCATCTCTACTATTGTGATAACTATAGGTACTTGTGAAATAGAACTTATCAGATGCACCATCGCCTACATAAACATAACTTTGATCTCCTGCTGAACTTTCGATTCTAATGACAATGGTTGTAGAATTTAAACTAATAAAGTCATAATCACCACATGCTGATATATAAGTTTGGTTTGTGAAGTTTCCAATTACATATGTTAGCCTTTCATCTATATTACAGAAAACACTTGATATATATGGTACTTCTATAGATATATAATATAGATTAATTATTAGAACATAAAGTTGAAATTTAGTAATAAAAATATAAAGTTGGATACAAACTTCTTTGAAATTTAACATTTTCATTTATAATCAGATTTGTTTCATTAAATATCAGAACTTGATAGATATCTTCATTCAATGATGTTTGATTGGACATATAGCAACTTATTTGGCGATCTTTGGTGGAGATAGTGGTACATTCAGTATTATTGATTGTTATATTTTTAATTGAAGGGAATAAATAAATTAAATAAATTGATAAATTCAATTCGATTTTGGTGGAACCTGATTGAGTAATTGTATAAGTTCCATTGTATATATAGGAAGTTGAAGAGAGTGTTGATAATTCGGAAAAAGTATTGTTATTGTTTTTTGTAGCATCTATTGCATAAACATTGTTCTTTGCAATAAAAATAAGCAATAGATAAAGTGAAAATATTATTGTAATTATTTGATTTCTCTTTTTTTAGATATTATTAAAATGTTTTAATTAAAAGTGATATTATTTACATTAAAAAATTTCTCTATTTATAGAATGACTCTTCAAAAAAATGATTGATCAACGTCGAGAGTTCTTCAAATACAGAGAATCTAATTAATTAAATGATGTGTGACCACTCCCCATCAGTTTTTTCAATATTCAGGAAAAAATTTATTTTTAACTTGTGAACACACAAATTTTTATTTGAATTGCCATCGTTTAGAGAGGTTGGTGTAGAGTTCTTTGGAGGTCTGCCTCTTTTCATTGGGGTGGCATCACTGCTGGATGAGGATTTAGGGATTGGAGCGGTATCATCAGTTGATGTGGATTGACTCTTTGAATTGCCATCATTTAGAGAGGTTGGTGTAGAGTTCTTTAGGTATATAATGTTGCACCATATCCATAGTAATTGATTGTAATAGATAGATCTCAATCTCTGACTGGTTGAGCTTGGTTTTAAGGTCATTGACGTTAGTCTCTGACTGGTTGAGCTTGGTCTGAGGGATCTTATCTATATTATTATTCACAAAAGATATTGAATTGATATTGATATTGATATTGATTTGGTTGTTGTTTTGTTGTGTTGATAATTGAGCTGAACTGATGATAACTTCCTGGCTTCTGCTAATATCGGATAAAGCTATGTTTTATATTGTACCACTGGTGGTATTTTTTTTGAGAATTGGGTCATCTTGTGCTGAGATTGGTTCTACTATTGTTGACGATAATAATAATAATGAATATCATTAGATAATGTTTGTAATATAAATTTATATAAGTTACTTACTGGGTGGTGCTCTAACTATATAGTTATTCGATGAGTGTAATGATGATGATGAAGAGGATAGTGTTGATGATGGTGTAGATGATTGTATATTTGTAATTTGTTGTCTAAATATCTGGTTAAGTAGATCCCAATCACTTTTGCTAGGCTTAACATGTTGTTGTATTTCTGATAGATAGCACATTACTCTTAATAAGATGAGGTCACACAATAGCCTGAGTTTCTTACTAAAAGTACTTCTTGTACAGCGAGGCCAACTAAGTTGGGTTCTGTACAAGAGCTACTAATCGTAGTGAAGCAGCAAGCTAAGTAGCAGAAATGAATTAATTGATCCTTTATTAAAACTTATGCCAAATTAGTCGAAGTTGTTTTAAAGTTATTTATTTAATTCATTAACTTCAATATAGTTTTTTGGAAGACTTTTCTTTCTTTTACAATATCTAACAGTGAATACAACAATTATTACAACTATTGCTATAAATACAATTACTGACACTGTTGAAATAATAGCAACTATAGTAACTACTCTACTTAGTGCAGCACCTTCTCCATCGCCTGCTTTATAATCAGTGTAATAACTATAGGTACTTGTAAAATAGAACTTTTCTGATCCAATAACAGAAACATAACATTGATCTCCCAATAAGCTATGGATTCTAATAACAATTGTTGTAGAATTTAAACTTATAAAGTCATAAATATCACATGCTGATATATAATTATAGTAAGAAGTTTGGTTTGTGAAATTTCCAATAATATAAGTTCGTAGCTCATCTATAATACTGTAAACACTTGATATATATGGTACCTCTATAGATAGAAATGTAAATATTAGAACTTAAATTTGAAATTAAAAAAACATAAATATATTCATTCAGATACAAACTTCTTTGAAATTTAATATTTTCATTTATAATCAGATTTGTTTCATTAAATATCAGAACTTGATAGATATCTTCATTCAATGATGTTTGATTGGACAGATAACAGCTTATTTTGCGATCTTCGGTGGAGATAGTGATACACTCAGTATTATTGATTGTTATATTTTTAATTGATGGGAATAAATAAATTAAATAAATTGATAAATTCAATTCGATTTTGGTGGAACCTACTTGGGTAATTGTGTAAGTTCCATTGATAACATATGAGGTTGAAGAGAGTGTTGATGATTCGGAAAAAGTATTATTGTTATTGATATTTATTTCAAAAGCATATGCATTTTTCTTTGCAATACATATAAGTAATAGATAAAACGAAGATATTATTGTAATTATTATTTTATTTTTGATATCCATTTACTAACAATTATTTTTATTTTTATCCATTTAAATTTTTTTTCTGCCTCAAGAGAATAAATCATTTTAAAATATAACCCCATCCATCAGTTTTCATCGAATTTTTATTTTTAACAAGATTGATTAAAATAAAAATAAAATAAAAATATTATTGTAATAATTCACCAATATGTTCAAACACATAAATTCGTTCAAAATTTTGGGAGAGATTATTGAAATTATTAAATAATTTCAATACAAAGAAATTTAATTTACCAAAGATATAAAGATCAAATTCAAAAATATAACAAAAAAAGATTTTCGGGTGATAGAGAATAATTGTAGATAAAAAGATATGATTTTCTATCCATAGTCTGCCAAAATTTGAGAATCCTCAAATTTCTATCTTTTTTTAAAACTGTGTTGATACTTTCCAAGAATGTTTAAGGTCGTCTCTGTAAAACATTCAAAGATGTCTCCACCTAGGTTTCCTTTACATTGGATTTCTTTATTCTTAATTTCCAATACACTTAAAATAGGCTTGTAATTTATTTTTAAAATTGATTTTTTATTTGATCTTTTAGGAACTCCCTCTCAATAAAAATCTTTTACATCATCAGAATGTAAATTTCTCATAATCTTTTACTTCAGAAGAACTAGCGGGCGGATTGAAAATTCAATAGATTTTTCGAAAAAGAGAACAATTTTAAAATTGAGATCGTTTAAGTTTTGGATTATCACGGAACACACGTGTGGTTGTAAAAGAACTCATGTCTTTAAAGATATTTTTAAAAATGGTAGAATCTAAATTTTAATTTTCATGCTTTTTCTCAAATATTCATAAAAATCAATTTAAAAATTTAAATTGGACCAATGCCTCTACTTCAAAAAACAACTCCTACAACTATAAATCACAATTGTTAACTTTACAAATCATAAATTAAAACTTAAATCAAATCATGAATATTAAAATCAACGTTTTAGCTTTATTCTTTATTGCTCTATGTTTCTTTGGAGTTGTATTATCACAACCATGTCCACATGGATAGTATGTATTATAAAAACATTGTTAAACATGTATGTATGTTTTTTCAGAAACTCATTAATTATTTTATCACTATCAGCCCAAGATGTAATGGTATATGTGAAAACCCATGGATGGGTCCATGTAATGTTGAATACCAATGCCCAGAAGGTTTGGTTCTCTGTAAGGAAACCTTGTCTTGCGTCATGAAGACTCACCCATGTGCAACTGCCTACAAATCATTGATTGAAAACTAAATATGTAAAAAATAACCCAACAATAAACTGTAAACAAGTAGAAAGCACCTTTTTATTTGTTCTGATTATTGTTCATTTGATAAATTAATCTTTTGTGAAAGTAGAAAGTGGAAAGTTGACAAACTTGGTTCCCTAGGCCTCTTAATAATTTTTTTATTTTTTTTTGGTAAATTGTAATTTAAAATAGTTACTTTTAAAGAATTTATTTTGGGAAATTAATATCTGTTATTCATAGATTTAATAAAAAATAACAAAAATATTTATTTATATATTTTGGAAGTTGCAAAATCATTTTTACCAACTTTTAACTTGGTCATAAGTTGATTCACTGAGTTTAGTGTATCTGGCACCAAAATATTGTTCAGTTGTGAATCTGTGGAATGGAGATCCAACCTTGTCAAGACTACGGAGCTTGGTGCATGTTTCAGCCAATTTCACATAGGATGAGTCAGAGATATTCAATGATGTAACAATAGATAGGTTGATAAGTGTATAGATGTTATCAGATGAACACAAAGCAATGATGGAAGCATCGGTAATATCGAAACACGATTCCAATCGGAGTGATTCAAGTGATTTAACGTTCTCTAGCAACTTTCTGAAGCATGTATCGTTGACGTTGACTGGATTCGATATTTCCAATGCTTTGAGTTGAGGGAAAATCAAACCGAGGTTGATGTAGTTGTTGGTTGGTGCGCGTAGTCCACTCATCTTTACCTTGGAAAGAGTTGGATGTGGTTTCGGTTGTGGTGTCAATTGAATGGCATTGGCATCGAACCTGAATGCCTCCAACAGTTGAAGTTTATCTATTACCATAGTGAGATGACCGTCATCGAATTTATAACAACCAAGATCCAACTTTCTGAGGAGTGATAAAGAACTGATGGTTTGTCCAATAAACTCAAAGGTACCGTAGGAATTGATGTTTAGATAGAGATCCTCGATGCTATTACCCCAGACATCCAATCCCTCTTGCATATTCTGCTCGCTGAGAATGGCGTTGTTCAAACCCAATCGCAAACGTTTGAAAGGATATTTCTTGAGGATTGCCAGCTCGTCATAGAACTTGTGACCGTAGTTCTGAATTTGTAGGTCAGTGATATTTGGACACTGTTTCATGAATGGCTCGACAAATGGCTCGCCTTCAGGATGACTGTTAAAATCGGAATGACAACCAAAAGAGGTGATGGACGATGGCAATTGTTTAACATCGACATAGTGAACAGAATATAGTTCCAGATGTTTTAGTTTGTTCATAGATTGGAATACCTCGGGCATTTCATCCATTGGGACCCTCTCGAGAATCAAATTCTCAACAACCGGCGCAATGATTTTGAAGAGCGATTGGAATGATGGAGTCTCAAATTCAATGTCTCTGAGCGATACTTCCTTGAGATTCGGACAGCTGATAATAAGTTCGTCTGGAACAACTGGATTTGGTTGGGTGTAACGCACCGATGACATTTTAAAGGTGGTCAATGTTGGTTTAATACAACGGAACATTCCGAGGAATGCTTCGTCGTCTTGGAGGTAGATATTCGTTATCACCATTGTTGTGAGATTGTTTTGGTATTGTAGCAAGTTGACAAAGTTTGGATTGGTCTTACGGTAAACCAGTAGATCCAACTGGCATTTCAATTTTAACAATGATTCTAAAGCATCGGCATCAGTAAATAAAGATTCCAAATAATCATAAGAAATCGATGATAGTGGATGACTTGTCAAACTACGAACGATAATTGGCTCAAGCGAAGGAACGTGATCGATATATCTCACGAAACTATTAAAGTGTACACTTCCATAGTTTAGCTTGGTTGAAGCAAGCAGTATATCGTCAAAGATTGCTGGGTCATATTTTAAGACACGCTCCATAAATGGACCAAATGTTTTTGCCAAGCTAAAGCTATATTCCGCTGCTTTCTCTGCTGAGGGATGCAATATATCGTGGAGGGCCTCTAGGATACGAGCAACCTCGCAATTCTTCAATGAGATGCTTCTCAGTAGAATAACACAGAGAATCTTATAGCTGCTATGTAGATACTGCTTGACAAGCTGGTGGTCCGCTGGCAATGACTCTAAAATACCGACCAAAATGAAAAGCTGATGTGCGGAAATGGCGAGGTATGAGAGATGTTTGGGTGTGGTGAAATAGGGTGCGTAGAGCGATGCACTTTCATAGAGACTTGGCACGAATAGTTGTGGCTCGAATGCTTTCAATCGTTGGTAGGTGGCGTGTGCCTTGACATGATCGGATCGCATGTTGTGAACAGTGGCAAGTGTAATAATAGGACCTGGCGAGTCATGGTAACCAAGCGATGCAATCAGTGTCTTCTCTGCACGTTTCAACATCAAATGATTGTTTCCGTGTAGATCGTTGGCCGATGAATTCCAGTTGAGCTTAACTTTTTCAACGTCAACCAGTCCGAGAAGATGGTGGAGAGAAGCGTCGGTAGTTGAAGATCTCGAAGCCAACTCCAATTTCTGACGACAACTGTCAAGTAAACTATGCTCCTCAGCAAAAATCTTACTGAAACGAGTGAAATCGGGCTCCTTTGGTTCCTTTCCATAGTAGACTGTGTTGGCATAGATGAACTCCAGTGCCTTCATGTAGAGGGAGATACCTTCGGATCTGGCAATGAGGTTGGAATGCTTGATGATGGGTCTGACCGACTTGACATCGGTGTACAAAACCATTGGGAGAGAATTAACATTGCTGTTGGAGCTGTACTTCTCCAGTATTGTCTTGATACGCGATGACAATTTGATTCCAGTTTTCGCTTGGAATCTGCTCATCACCTCGGTGATGGAGATGGAGTTGGAAAGATCGTACTTCGTGTCGAGCTCATCCGGTGTCAATCCACAGTTACTTCCATACTTGTCGAGTAGCAATGACTTGATTGTTATAGTCCAGAACTCCTTCTCATTGTTGAATCTATTGACATTGAATACATGATTCAAGAAACTGACGATGGTATCGATACACTTCTCTTCGGAACCAATAAAGTGACCACGCAACTTGATACGCAACTCATCTTTGATCTCACCCTTTAGCACACGCACAATCATCTCATTGAGAATATGCTTACGAATTTGTTTCTTGTGGCTATCGATCTGACTACGCAAACGACCAAGATGACGAAGATTGATTCCCAGCTTGTGAACTTCGACGGCAACATCGAAACTTTCTTCATCCTCTGTTCTTGCCTCTAACTCCAATGCCGCCTGTCTTATAACAACATCAAAAAGATGTTTAGTGGCATCGGCAACATCTTGGTTATGTTGTTCCTGATCGGGATCACAACTACTCCATCCAGTGAAAGCATCGGAATTCAACGGCTTCTCCCATGTCCTTAAGAACTCCGGTCTCAACAATCTATAGAATACATCTCTATGTGCAATTGCATTACTATAATAGATAATCAATGGTTAGTTTTAGTTTAGTTTGGTTTGTTTATATTATTAACTTGAACTTACCCTGAATCATCGAAATAAGCTTGGGGTGGAAGTAATCTGGCGAAATCCAATGCGTAGAATTCATTGTTTGCCGATTGGTGAATTTCAAAATCACCAGGTCCGTAGATGAATTTGGGATTGATACCAGAGAGATGACCACTGAGATTCATTCCTTTGGAGACACGCTCCATGATTTCATTGACTTCCGGTACGTCGTCATGTACTGTGTTTCCACCGTCACAACTTCCATAGATGAGAGTTTTTTTGGTGATGGGCAAAAGCGAGATGGCAACGAGACGATATCCATAGTAATCGATGATACACATCAGTGGAACATTGATGCGATCGGCACAATCATGATCCATGATATTCTGGAAGAAGAAAGAGAGACCACGCAGCTCATTGCCGGCCGCTTTCGATGCACCGAAATCCGAAGGCACTTTTCCACCGTATAGCCAACTTCCTCCTATCTTTTGGTCGTAGGCAAACTTGAACAAGATGTTCTGACAGATGTACTTCTCACCGCCAGCAACCCCACCGATATCGATAGGTGGAATCGTTTTACTCTTGACCGGCATGAACATCTCCTTGATAATGATACGTCCATAGGTCTCGGCAGCCTTTACAAAATCCATAGCCATAAAAGTCAACTTTTGGAACTTATCCAATGTTGGTTGCATTCTCAACAGATTTTGGAATTCACGATTCCAATCTCTACCGACATCCTTCACTTCTCTACTTTGAAGTAATGATCTTTCACGTTCTGTTCTATTATCATTCCTATTATTATTATCATAAGCATCATTATCATCATCTGTTGAATCACCAATTGGTTTATCAAACTCCATACTATCATTGGAATAATTACTGCCATTACTATAGTTGATATTGTTGTTGTTGTTGTTGTTGTTACTATTGATATTTGGAGATGATAAGTTGTAGAAGGTAGAATAGGTACTTGCTCCACCGGCAGAGTAGGATGATAGTGGTGTGTAGATTGATCCAGTCGAATGAATTGGTGAGTATGATGAGTAGGTAGATGAATTGTAGGAATTCTCTGTATCGGTGACAACTGTGTAACCAGAGGAATTGATTGGACGATCTGCCCCATCAACATTGGCATAGGCAGAATTAGATGAGTCAGATGATGATATATTCAATCCAGCTACTCCTCTTCTGAATAGATTACGGTTGGACTCTCTTTCACTCTCGCTACCTGACGACATTGGCATTATAGAATAAGCGGAAACCGGTTGATCTTCAGATTCATCAACCTTTTCATCTGAGGCAGACGATGCCTGATATCCTCTTAGATTAGTTTGATATGAATTATTTATAAAAGTGACATTATTTTTAGGTTGTTGTTGTTGTTGTTGAGGTTGTTGTGGTTTCTCTTGTTGTGGTTGTTGTGGTTGCTCTAATGGTACAGGTTGTTGTTGTGGTTGTTGTGGTTGTTGTTGAATTTGCGACTGATTTACATTGTTGTTTTGGTTTAACTTTTTAGGAATTATAATTGGTCTAACGTTGTTGTTGTTATTATTATTATTATTTTGTCTGTTGACATTCTTATCTTTGACCACCCAATATGAAAAGACATTAGCAAACGTCTTATTATGTTGTTGGTCGTCAGACATATTAATTAACTAATATATATATAAATATAATTTATAAATAGAAATTATTATTATAACTATATAATTACTAATTTAAAAATATTATTTAACAAAACAAACTTATTTTTAAACCATTTTGTTTTGGTGATGCATAGGTCAAAAAAGGAATCTTGAAATTTTATTAAAAGGTTTTTATGCCATCCAATTTTCTGTGCGATTCATCCAATCATCGATTTTTTTAAGTATTTTTTGAAAAATCTTGTTATTTTAATGAAAATTGGGATAAGTTACTTTGAATTTTATTTGTGTGTTTTTTAAAGGCACAACAAAACTAATTGGTTAGTAATGATTGTCCAAAAAAAAGAACATATCTGATTTTTATATTATATTTTTTTAAAAAATTATAAATAAAATTTTATTAATTAAAGAAGATGATAAGGACAGAGATACTTCTTTTATGTTTTTAAGTTATGCTATGTCTAAAAAAAAAAAAATAACATACAACAACAAATAAAGAATAAATAGATAAGATAAGATTGATCATTAAATAAAAATATAATAATGAGAATAAAAAAAGATGTGATTGAATTTTTTGTTTTTTAAAAGGTAGGTATCATTATAAACGTTTTATTTTCATCAGCTTCCAACTGATTGGGGAACATTAACGATGCCTAAGCATTGTTAATTATAACCCAAAGTTGGTGTCTATGACATACAAATCGAATTCGCTGGTTAGGAAATAAGAGGGAGCAGGAAGTTTAGTAGATACGGTGGGATGGACCCATGGAGGACTTGACGTAGAGGGTCTTGATGTTTTGCCATCCCTTCTTCAAGAGGGAGATCAAGAAATTGATTGATTGCATAACGTTGGTGGCAATTTCTCTTTCGGAGAGGTTGACGTGACCGACGGCAACGGCCAAACAGAGAACCTTCTTCAATTGGAACTTGACGGTGCACTTGACTTCGTTGATCTTGGTGGCCATATCTTCAGAGTGAGTCAAGAGCGATGGGAACTTACCGACCTTGTTGAGACCTGGACCCAAAAGCTTTGGAACTTGACGCAAGATGGTTTCAGAGGCGAGGAAAGCATCGTACTTCTTGGAGAGCTTCTTGATGGCCTTCTTGTTCTTTGGACCGATCTTCTTCAAGGCTTCGATATCCATGAATTCAGCTCCGATCTTTTGGGCTTCATCACAATGTTGTTGATCACCGAAAACACAGACGTTCATCTTTGGCTTGGTGACGGTGGACAACTTGATTTGACCAGAGAAACGCTTGTCCTTCTTGGTATCGTAGTTCTTCAAGTTAACTTGGAGCTCGACAGTCTCCAAGAATCCTCTCTTGGCTTCCTTTGACTCGTTCAAAAGTTGAGTGATGATTTGTCTGACTTGTTCGCTTTGAATCTTTCTATATTCATTTTACAAAACATAACATTATTTTTGTTAATATCAATTTTCTATTTTGTTTTTACATATCATTTCATTATCATCAAATTTGATCACTAATCAAACAAATCAATTGCAAATTAGTTTTTTTTTTTTTTTTATTCTGTTGCTATTCTTTAATTTTTCTAGCATTGTTATTTTTATTATTTTTTTTTTTTTTTGTAGATTATTCTCTGTCTGTTTCTAAATGTGTCTGATTGCTAATTGAATTGCTTTTGTTTTGTTTGATCGAACGATTATAAAATGATGATACTAAAATGAATAAAGTAGGTGTAGAAATAGATAACTTACGACATCTTGAATAATACCTTGGTGAAACAACAAAAAAAAAAAACTTTTTGTTTTGTAATTAATTTTGTTGTGTGACGAAAAGAAAAATTTTAGAAATTGAAAAAAAATAAGGAATAATGATTTTTTTTTGGTTTTTTCGTAGTTCGTTTTCATTTTTAAAAAAAGTTTTTTAATCACTCGTTTTTTTTGAGTTAAAATTTTTTTTTACTAAAAATTAACTCGCTTGACTGAACAAAAAGGTTTGCATTGAGAACAGATTCATTGTTATTCAAAGCAACTTGTAAGTTTTATCACTCTATATCTAATATCTCTTTATTTATATATTGTTATTTTTTTGATGATGATTTTTACTTAACCCAGCTCATTTTGAACCCAGAATGAAAAAAATGGTTATTTGACCACACCTTCTGACAAAAAAAACTATTTATCTATCTATTTATTTCTACATCAAAGCTTTCTTTATTAAAAATTGATTAAAATTAATTTACTAACAAAAATCATTTTCTTTTTAAATAGATTGCACTTCTATGATTCAGATTGCCTTTGTTACCGAGTTTGAGTTCCTTATGATTTTAAAAAATAAAATAAATATTTTAATTAACTTAATCGAAAAACTAAAATCCAAGTCTCTTTCTTTAAATTCACTTTTTCAAACTTTTTTATTCCCAACAAGTTTAATTGAATGACATTATAACTTAGTATGTTTGGTTTACTGATAGTAAATTTTATTATTTTTACAAGATTAATTTTTTTTGCTTAATTCTTAACGTTCCAATTTTTTTATTTATTCTGAAATGCAACGAAATTTTATAGAATTATTAAATGCTCACCATAAATTTTATTAGTATCGTTTGTTTGTATGATTTTTAAAGTTACACATTATATTGATTAAATAGGTTTGTGAATATTGGGCATAAAGTTATCGTCATACTTTGAATAAATAAATGACAACAACCAAATTAGAAATAGTGCACGGGACCCGACCGCCGTCGAGAGGGAGTTGATGCTTATGCAACGACTTCGAAACAATGGTGGATTCATGATCACAATGTGGTTATGATGAAGCAAAAACAACACCTTACCAACTCATATAGAGAAGGTATCCAACTTTCCGGATGGTCGGATCAGACGTAGCGCAATCTCAAATCACAAACTCGCTTTTGATCTATTATTATAGAAAATTTGGTAGTTTACAAAGATTATCTATAGACCAAAAAACAAAATACTAATAGGTGCAAACTAAAAGTGTTGAAATATAATATTTTTTTATATGACAATTATTAATTAAAGTAGATGGGAAAGGTATATAATCTTAATCTTTTTATTATTGACAATTTCAAGTTTATTTAGTAAATTTGATTTTCTTCACCTTTGGGCTTTCCAGATTAATCTCCAAAGGGAATCCGTTAATCAGCAGAAGCAAATTGATGGTCCTCATCTCTTATTTTGTGGGGGTAATAGTCTAATAATAAAATTGTTAGATTAATTAACTTTATTCCTATTTTTTTTTTTCCAACTAACCTCCAGCCGCCAAGCAGATTCCAATAATTGCTAACAAAGTGTCAATAATAATAACAATTTAGACATTTGACTAGTTTTAGAAAACTTTGAATTAATAATAAGTATGTATGATTAATCACAATGGTTTTGTTCACTGAATTTATAGAAAAAACAAAAAACCAATCCAAGTTCATTATAACAATGGTGTATTCAGGATCACAATGTGGTTTAATAAAGCAACAACACCTTACCAATCGAATAGTCGAATCAGACGTAGCGCAATCTCAAATCAACTCGCTTTTGTTTGTAGATAAAAATAGAATAAAAAAAAAAAGTATTATGCTGTATTTAATAGTTTAAAACTTGAGAAAAGTTTATCTATTCATTTCATGAAAAAATAATAAAAAAAAATTTTTTTTTAACATAACATTTTAATTTTTATTTTTTGAATATTCAAAAAAAGGCGCGAATGTTTTTAAAATTTTAATTGATTGACAAAGTAAGGTCTTAATTATTATAAATTTCTATCTATATTAGAATATCAAGAGAATTTAATAATTAAATTATAGATTAAAAAGATGGATGCAGATGAAATTGATGATTTCGATCTTACTTTAGATGTAGATAAAAAAGATGAAGTAAAGCAACAACAACAGTTTGTTTCAACACTTACACCGGAAGAGCAAAGTCTAAAGAAATACTATGGTTAGTATAGTATTACCAATACAATACAAATTTCAAATGATTAAACTAAACATTTCATTATATATATAAATATATTTATAATTTTAATTTAGATGAGAAATTCCCATGGGATTTGTTATATGAATGGTTATCATTCAATCATTTTGGTGATTCTAGTGATGGACAATCCGAATACTTTGGAAGACGTGAGTTCTCTGTATCGTATACACGACCGGACAAACAAATTGTATTGCGTAATCGATCGTCTCCCGATGTCAATAATATCAAGCTGTTGATCAATGACCTACTCCCGGCGACAACAGTGGTCGGTGCAAGTGGCGAAGTAAAAAGAAAGACAATCGGTGGCAGCGGTAGGCTAGTATACGATAAACTCGATATCGGTCCAGTCTACAACAGTGAACCCATTAAAAAGGATAGCGTTACTAGCTATTCACCGGTGGAGCGTGAGTTGGTGTTTGATATCGATATCAACGACTACGACGAGGTGCGTGCCTGCTGCAAAGGCCAAACGCTCTGCAGCAAGTGCTGGGGACTACTTGCACTGGCGGCCGACTATCTCACCTACCAGATCAACGAGTGTTTCGGATTCGAGCAGTTCCTCTATGTCTTTAGTGGTGGTCGTGGTCTTCACATTTGGATCTCTGACAAGTCAGCGGTAACACTCACCTACGAAATGCGTAAATCACTCGTTTCATTCCTAAGAATGGATCATTCATCCGATTATTTACATCCACAAATAGAGTATGTTATTGTTATTGTTTGTTATTTATATTTAAAATTGGTTATTAACAACAACAATGTTTTATTTGTATCTATCTATCTATCTATCTATCTACTAGTGAATGTTTTAATAGATTTTTCTTAAAGTATTTCGAAGAGCATATGATTGAAGATCAGTTGTTGTTGAGTGACGAGAAGCAGTTGAAACAGTTTTTAGAGCAATTCCCAGAGAGTTATGGAAAGAAAAAGATTAATATTAGAGAGAGTGTAGAGCGTGTTCTAGAGGAGAACAGCGAGGTTTCATCCGATGTCGAAAAGTGGATGGCTATCAAGGCATCGTTGGCCACTCTCAAGGAGAATATCGATTTGCAAGAGATCATCTTCCGTGTCGTCATGTATTATACTCATCCACGTATAGATGAACCGGTAACCATTGGATTTAACCATCTTTTGAAATCACCATTTTGTATACATCCAAGAACCAGTAAGTAATAATAATTTTAGGATAGATCTTTAATAATAATATTGGTAGATTAGCAATCACTAACATTATTAATATAATATCCATTTACTATTTACTATTTTAATAGAGAAACTATGTGTTCCAATTGAATTATCAGAGATTCACAAGTTTGATCCAAACAATGTTCCAACTTTAAATTCAATTTTAAATATTAATCAAGATAACAACAACAACAACAATAATAGTAATCAAATGGATATAGATGATGAAAGTAACAACAAGAAGAAAAAGAAAAGTAAAAATCAAGATAACAATACCAATGATTTCCAAAGATACCGTAAACAATTTAGTTTATATGTAAACTCACTGAAATCATCATCCATTGGTAGTGATCAACCAATGGATTTTTAATAATAATAATAATCATATAATAATAAGTTAACAAACTAAATAAAATGAGATTTGATTAATTTAAAATAATAATTTTTATTGAATCTTTATTACATATTTAATATATAGTTAAGATAATATAATAGAGGGAATAGTTATTGCTGATTAGAGTTTCATCAACACTTTGACCATTCTTGGTATATCCAAATCTGTAGGAAACAATAATCTATTTCCTTCTTATTATAATTATCATAGAATGGGTTTTATTTGAAGTGGTAAGAGTATTTCGTAACTGGAAAATGCAAATATAGAATTCTATGATCTTTGGTGGTGCCCAGACAGCGCTGATACATTTAGGAATGAGAGATTTGAAGAGAACGCTTGTACTGATTTTTAACTCCATAAATAGGGTACTCTTTTTTGAAGATCTGATAGAAATACTAAATAGGAATCGATTAGGTCGATAGTCTAATCTTTATCCAGAAAGGCTGTCACCCTAAATAATCAGCAATAACTATTCCACCTATTTAAATCCTGTTGACTCTCTATCTACTTTGTGATAAAGAATAAAAAAAAATAATGAAAATAAAATCAATTGATGATTATGATCGATAGTTTATCATAGAAATGTCATACAAAAATTCATTCATTTTCAGTCAAAGAGATTGAAACAAAGAGTTATTGGAATTATTACTTTTTTTTTTTTTTTTTTTTTTAAAGAATTAATCTTAAATCAAATAAAATTAAAGATTGAGTTGGACTGATCAGTTGTTGTTACAACATTACTTACAAACATGACCATAATCATGTTTTGTATCTCAATCGTTTTTTTTTTCGTGAATTTATTTGTTTGTCGTTTTTTTGAAAAAAGTTTTCATTTTTTTTAATTTTATTTTTTTTTTAACAAAAACATTTTTTTTGTTGGAAACGAAATCGAATTTGATGTGGATTAAGCTAATTGTTTTTATATTTAGTCGACTCTCCTTATCTTTCTCCTTATCAATCTAACTACTACCATTTTTATTTTGATATTTTAATTAATTAAAGATTATTGTCTTGTTGGTTGTCATGACTTTATTTTTATTTTAATTAAAAACCATATTCAAAACGATATAATAATAATAATATATTATAATAATAATAATAATAGAGATTTTAAAATAGAATAGAATAGTTAGAATAGTTAGAATATTAGATATAGATCTGATTTGTTTTTACTATATCATTTAGGATTTAAAAGTTAACTTTTTTTGAAGAAAGAAAGAAAAGAAGAAAGAAAAGAAAAAAAAAAGATGAGTAGTAAATCAACAACACAATTGGATCGTCAGTTGTCAAAGATCAATGAGCGTGCTCATCGTGTAGATACCAATAAATATAGAGATTCATTGTTGTTCGATGCGAAAGAGGCAGCAGCGATCGACTACGAGGCGGTGTTGGTCATCGGACAGGAAGGATTGCGCGAGTTGATTCGACTCGATCAGCGATTCAAAGAGTTTGAATCGAATCTCTTTGCACCATCGTCTCGCTCACACAATCGTATGCAGATCACCGCCGAGGAGTCTGACCAGCTCGACACTGACATTCATCGGTTCCTCCGACTGTCCTCCGGTTACTTCCTCCTCAATCCAGCACAGAAAGCATTGGAATGGCTGATTCGTCGTTACAGAATCAACGAATTCAATATCGATTCTCTAATGATCTCTGTCATTCCATATCATCAATCGAATACATTTGCCAAATTAGTATCAATCTTAAGATTTTCGTAAGTAGCAAATTAGTTTTTTTTTTTTTTTGCCAAAACACACACATTTAATTAACTTTTTAATTCTTCTTATTTCTTATTTCTTCTTCTTTCCACCCTTTTAAAAGACGTGACGGAAAATGGAGTTTCTTATCAGAGACTAAAAAAAATAAAGTATCAATTACAAGAGATTTCTTTGTAAAGTTGATGAAAAAGAATGGATTTTTTTCAGAGTTAATCTGTAATGCCATCATCGAGTATGAGAACAACGCAACACTTTCAAAGACAATGGTCAGTTTCTTCACTGCCTTGTTGATCGACCTCGTTTCATCGTCCAACTCTGTTCCAGAGCATTTCAACCGTGTCGCCTTGCCATGTTTAAATTATTGTTTAAAGAGTAGTAATATTGAATTACAAGTAAGTTATTTCGTTGTATTTAAACACACAACATTCACCGAAAACAACCAAACATTTATTAACCTTCATCACAACAATCATCATCATCATTTATAGCTTGGAGCATTTATGATTTTAAGTAATATAGCATCAAAGGTTCAATTTTCGAATGAAGCAATCGAGTTGTTGATTCGTTCCACCTTGAAGAATTGTCAGGGTAGTTTGATGGCATCGTTCACCTTCCTGTTGGTGCTTTTCCAAAAGCAAAAGATTGAGAGTCAACTCTCGGTCACCACTCTGGAGATGCTCGTAGATACACCGGCACTCGGTGATATCCTCTTGGAGCTACACCAACAGAATCGTTCACTCGACCAATTCATGGCGGTCACTCTCAAGTACCTGCTCGACACCTACTCGGAAAAGGCAGAGTCATTCGACTTGCTACTGTTGTACGTCACCGAGTTGCCATCGACCCAGATGCAACGTACCACCATCGTCAGTACTCTACTCAAGCAGTATCTAGTTCTCAATAGCAATACCAGTTCCAACGGTGCTGCTAGTAGCACTTCTGCTGCTGCTGCTGCTTCTTCTGCCGCTGCAGATTCCTCCAAAGAACAAGTCTTGGATCTCGACTTGATGCGCAAGTTAATCCGTGCCGTCGATCCAGCACTCGTGCAGACCGTCATCAACGCCTGTACCGAAGGTGACCAGGCGCGTCTAACCGAGTTCCAATCGTTGATTTTCGCACAAAAGTTCCTCTCCAAGTCAAAGGCCAACGAGCTCTTCTTGCGTCTGGTTAGTCCAGCTGTTCAGTCGCGTCTTGAAGGTGTGCGCCAACTCGAGTCACTGCAGTCGAGCGGCACCAACATCGACTGGCGTTCATTCAGCGACAGTGTTTGCGCACTGCTAGTCGACTCTGACCACACAGTAGTCCAACAAACCTGGTCACTTACAAATCTCAACAACATAGTACAATTGGATCAACTCATTGAGTCGATGCAACGTTGCATAGCCACACCTTCACTCTCACAACCAATCAAACAACAAATAGTAGAAAGAATGTCAATTGAATTTTTAAAACAACAACAACAATCACAACAAGAAGATGATAAAGAAGAAGAACAACCACAAAAACAAAAACAATCACAACAAGAACAACAATTATTTAGTACACTTTCACAATTCTTTTTAATTTTACAACCTGATAATGGATCACATAAATGGATCGTTGAATATCTCTCCAATAAGAAACACCATTCAATGTTCAAGGGTTTGAAATCGGATTTCCACAACATCGACATCGTAAGCACTCTTGGAGAGAATCTCTTGAAGAACACCGAACTTCTCCACTCACTCATCGAAAAAGCATTCACCAACATCGACGACTACTCACTTCTTCCAAACGATAAAATTTTATTACTTTTAATTTCATCTTATACACTACCAAAACTGAAAAATGGTAAGTTATAACTTAAATGTTATATATCAATATTAATCAATTCAATACTAATTTATTTCTTGATATACATATATATAACTATAGCTTCAGATAGAATCAAATTATCAAATATTATTTTACAATTTTCAATCAACTTTTTATCTTTAAACAATATAAAATCAGCGATAAGATCTATTTTTACTTTGGATAGTCTCTGTCAGTCGATAGAGAGTGACTACCATTCTTTGGTGGTACCAGCTCTTACTTTGGCCTTGACTTTTGATTCGCTTATGGTTCCAATCAAAGACGATGCCATTCTTCTCGAACAGATCAAAGCTTTCGAACAACAAGATAGGAGCACTGATGGTGCGCACGAGCCAATGTATTTGGAGTTGCTCCAACAGCTGTTCATTGCCTCGATCACCATGACTTCGACCAACGCCAATCTCTCGACACTCTTGATTCAAAACTTTATCGGTAAGATGTTGAATAAGAACGAACAGCTCCTGAAGTACTTGTCGTTCATGTGGAGCAGTCCAGTGCAACCCGACCACATCCGCTTGGCCGCTCTCTCCATTTGTCACTCCTTTATGAACTCCAAGTGTTTCTTTGAGTTGGCACAGATCCAGTGTCTACTTCCCTCGCTACTTCTCGGTCTCCTTTCAGAGTCAACTGAAATTCGTTCCGTTGTCTGTCAGTGTATTGCATCCATAGATGCATCTCTCACCAAGTTAAATTCATCTCAAGAAGAGGAAGATGAAGAAGAAGATAAAGTCAACAACAACAATAGCAGCAGCAGTTCAAGTTCATTCGAAAATTATTTAACTAATGAAGTATCTCAATTGGAACCAGAACAATATATTACATTGGTTCATTTAATCTCTGACTACAGCTCAGAGTTTACCATGAGTGGAACATTCTTCAAGTCGTTTGTCGGATCGGTTTTGATGTCGCGTACTACCAAGACATTCAGCTCCAAAGAAAGAGAACAGATTGGATCGTACTTGGTGTCTTCTGCCATGGCTTTGGACACTCCAACTCAACGTTCCGCCTTGTTGGCCGCACTCTCAGAGATTCGTGAGCCATACGTCTTCAACATCTGTAACCGTTACATGGAGGAGTTGCTCGAGAAATGTCAAAAGTCGACTGTCTCCATCGAAGAGACAATCGTCCTAGACGTTCTCATTGAACAGCTAGTTCAACTACCAGTGTTGAACAGCAAGAAAGGACACTTGCCAATGTTGATCAAATCACTCGATATCAATACCGTCGTCCAGTTGAGCGCCACCCAAAACTACAGTGTCATTCAATCGATCGAGAAGCGTCTAACACACTCGCTACTCGTTGGGTTGGCCTACAAAGACCAAACTACACTCCTCGAGAAGCTACTTGACCTCCTCCAATCCGATGAAGTCGCCATTCGTGACTCTACACTCTTGTGTCTTGGCGAGTTGCTCGTCGACGCCAACTCTATCCTCTCGGTGCTCTCTGTAAAGTCAAAGAACGAAAAAGTGTTGCCAACCATCACCCGTTTGAATTCACTCATGGATATCATCAAGAACAACGCCGGAAAGATCAAGGATGTACTTATTTTGCTCGGTTCCATGTTCTCCACTTTGAAGCTGTTGCTCGCCAACAGCAGCGAGAATGAATACTCCAAGCAGTTGACACTGCTCGCCATCACCAATGTCATTGATAATCTTAATATCGATGCCAGTGGAAGAGACACTGACTTTGTTTCTTTCGATGTTGTCACCGTGCTCAACGCCATCTCCAAGTCGGACGACGCCCAGACTTGCAACTACGGACTGTTGCTCATCGCCAAGATTGCCAAACTCGCGCCATCCAGAGTGATTGACAACTTTGAACAGATCATAGAGATGATAAAGATCACAGTTTCAAGAGACGACAACCAGACATTCTCTGTTCTCAAGAGATTCCTTGCCGATACATTGCCAGTGTTGTTGGAAGCCGGTGGAATCACCCTCACCGCCGTCTTTAGAATGTTCATCAAAGCATTCGACGATATTCCCAAACAGAACCGTGTTGAACTCTTCTCAATGATGATTCAATCGATTAACTATTCCAAGTTGGCCGTATTCCTCACCCTTACCATGGAGAAGCGTATCGACTTGCTCAGAAAAGAGACACTGTTGGCATCGTCCAATGAAAATGGAATGGATCTATCCGACGAAAAATCCAACGGAAAACAATCAGAGTCAGCAGTATTTAATGAATTTGTTACCGCTGTTGCTAATAAGGTGCCAGCCGTGCCAATGTCTTTGGCTCTGTCGATCTTGTCGCAGGCAGTCAACACCATCGCCTTGGAGAGTGCAACAGTCGATCAAGACCAAGAGTTTGCCAATGACCAACTCGAAGAGATCGTCAAACTCTTTGAGAGCAGCGCTGCCAAAGACAACCGTTTGATCCAAGCCAACATCCTCGATTTCATCGATGAGCGTTTGTCCGCCACCACCTATCTCGAAGATCTTTCATTCCGTGTCAACCCAGAGCAACGTCAACAAATCGAACAATTCTATCTCGATGCTTTCTCATCGTTGTTGGTCTTGCTCAGAGGTATCACCGAGAGTTTGGAATCACTCAAATCCGACCCAGCCGCCAAGAAGGGCAGAGAGAAATACTTGAAGAAATTGTTGTCCTCTGTCAACCGTTGCATGGATCGTTACAACCAATTGCTATCGATCGACGGTTTCGTCATTTCCGTCTCCAAGTTGTTGCACCATGCCGATCCACAGGTTCGTCGTCGTTCTCTCGTCATCTTCAATGAGAAGATCACAGCACTCAAGAGCAAACTCACCAACGAGCAAATCCTCAAGTTCCTCTCACTACTCAGCGATTTCGCCAAGATTATCGAATCGTCGAATGAGAACGACACCAACAAGCAGACTGCACTTCTCAGCTTTGAGATTCTTGCACGTAACTTTGCCATCAAACACAGCAGCGTCTTCTTGAGACAGATGCCAACCATTATCAACGCAATGGGTTCCGGCAGTTACATGGTAGTTTCCAGCTCGCTCATTTGCATTGCCACTCTCTGCTCTGAGCTACAAGCCAAGACCGTTCCACACATTCCACAGTTCTTCCCTGTGCTCCTCAACACTTTGACAGGCAGCTACAAGTCGACCGAGGAATCGGAATCACGTTCACTTCTCCAGTTGTCGTGTATCTCATCGTTGGAGATGATGTTGAAGAAGATCCCCAAGTTCTTGTCGCCTTACCTCCCACAGATGTTGAACGCACTGTTGCATCCACGTCTGACATCGACTTCATCCAAGGTATTCACACAGGTCAAGAAGATCTTGACACTTCTCACCAAGAACATTGAATTCCGTCTGCTCCTGCCTGCCATGACCTCGGCCTACGAGTTTGCAGTACTCTCTGAAAACGACCAGTCACTGATCTGCCTGTTTGACTTTATCGGTGACATCAGCAACAATCTCATTCCAAAGGATGTGGCACTCTATCACAAGGCAATCTTTAAGTTCTTCCTCCAATGTTTTGATTTCCGTCGTAAATACAGCAGCAAAGTCAAGAATATCGATGAAGTTGAAGATCATATCATCAGTTCTTTCATAATCTTGATTATGAAACTCAATGAAGTTCTCTTTAAACCGTTGTTCTTGAAGATCTCTGACTGGGCAATTCAACCACAACAACAGCAACAACAAAACAAGAAGAAAAAGACTGGCCAAAACGGACAGGTCGCCGGCGAAGCACAACCGGAGCTCGACATTAACAACACACTGTTTTTCTATAAGCTCGTCAACTCACTCGCCACCAACCTCAAGTCTATTTTCGTGCCATACCTATCATACTTTTTGGACAATGCAATTCACCACCTCGAAACACTGGTTGTGAGCACTCCACACTCCCAACAACTTGACGACGGCATTGTCATCACCAACGGAAAGAGAAAGAAGTCACAAATGAACGGTGGATCATCGAATAACTCATCATCCACCAACAGCAACAATAATAATAGTGTAACATTGGTACAAGAAGATCTCTTGTGCAACATCATTTCATCGATTCAAAAGTGTCTGTCATTCGACAAGGACGGATTTTTAGATAAACAAAAGTTTGAAAAACTCTTGCCGGCGTTGGTCAATCAATTGGAGAACCAAATGGGCAACGAAGAAAGCTACAAGAATAGAGTGGATCGTTATTTGGTGCCTTGCATCACCCAGCTCGCCATTACAATTAACCAAGAGATGCTCTGGAAGCCAATGAATCATGCTGTGCTCATGAAGACAAGAAATCCATATGCCAACGTCAAATTGTCTGCGATCGCAGTCATCCAGTCACTTTACAAGCGTCTTGGAGAGAGACTACTGATTCTTCTACCGGAATCATTCCAATTCATTTCGGAACTCCTAGAAGACTCTGCGCCAGAGGTAGAAAAGGCATGCCAAGATTTAGTAAAGACTATAGAAGCTCATCTAGGTACAGAGGAATCAATATCTTCATACCTATAAAAACAAATCAATCAATATATATAAATAAAATAAAAATAAAAAATTATAATTCTAAATAATCTTTGGTTGCATTTGAAATCAATTTGATACTGATCATAATTTATATCCCAATAGTGATTGGTATAATCATTCGTTCATTCCATAAAAGTTAAAATAGTAATTTGAAGTAATGTCATTCTTAAGTGAGCTATTTCACTTCGCTATCAAATAGATCATTTCAAATACAATGCTTTCCATTATTATCTGCACTAGTACAATAAACAATAAAATATAGATTTCAAAAAACTTAATGAACAAATCGTTATTATATTGTATCAACAAAGACTTGTTATTTTAAAAATTAACTGCATTATTAAAAAAATAATAAAATATTAAGATTTATGTTATTTTTGGAAATTTTTGATCTACTTGCAAATCTCATTTTTTTCTTTGTTTTTTGATTAACAAATACTTTAAATATCGACGAATGTGATTAATTCAGTTCATTAAAAATTAATATCAAAAATGACTAAAACTAAAAGAAATTTCAAACCACATAATAAAAAGACAAAAGTTCCTCAAGCACCAGCAACTAGCTCAACAAATTCAAAGGATGATAGTAGTTTACCAGAGGTAGAAGTCAATCCTTCGTTCGTTTTAGATGGATCGATTTTAGAAGGTGGAGGTCAGATTCTCAGAAACTCAATTGCTCTATCATCGCTATTGAGCAAACCAGTGAGAATCGAAAAGATCAGATACAACCGTGATCAACCCGGACTGAAAGCACAACACAAAGCCGGTGTCGATTTGGTGTCACGTATGTTCAAAGCACACACCGATGGCGTCAAACAAGGTTCAACAGTGCTCTACTATCACCCGAGAATCTCAACCACCAATATCAAAGACCAGTCGATCGAGGCTGACACTGGCACCGCTGGAAGTATCACATTACTCATTCAGATTGCATTGCCATGTTTGCTATTCACACCGAAATCAACAAAGCTTGATCTTGGCGGTGGAACCAACGTTGACTTTTCACCGGCTGCCGACTACCTAATGAATGTATTCTTCCCAATAGCCAAACAATTTGGTATCAATTCAAATATGGAAGTTTTAAAAAGGTAACAAACAATAACAATAGCAATAACAATTCCCTTTTCTAACTGATTAGGATTAAACTAATTTATTTCTTTTTTTTTTGTTAATAAAGAGGATACTATCCAAGAGGAGGTGGAAAAGTATCGTTGATTACTCAACCAATTAAAGGTACACTCAATCCCATTTCCATTCTGAAAAAAGGAAACCTTGTAAAGTTCACAATTAGAGTATTTTTTACCTCAACAAGAATTTCAGCAGAGGTTGGCGATCGAATGTTGAATGCAGCAAGAAAAATGATAAAGAAAGATTATAAAAAAGTTGAAATCGTCGAGGAGTTGGTTGATACTGCTAAATATACATTTGGTGATGGTTGTTGTATTTTGTAAGTAATATGTTATTTATTGCTGATCATAATGTCACTAATAACTTTTAAAAAAAAACACTATAGTATTACTGCAGAAACAGATACAGGATGTTTGTATGGTGGCTCTGCAAATGGAGCTATAGGTGTACCTGCTGAAAAGGTAGGAGAGGATGCAGCCACTTCAATATTAAATGATTTACTACATGGCGGATGTATGGATGAGTATTTACAAGATCAATTGATTATCTTTATGGCTTTAGCAAAAGGTACCAGTCAGATCAAAACCGGACCAATCTCACTTCACACAGAAACTTCTATTCATTTCACATCTCTACTGACAGGAGTAAGTATAATATAATCAACTGATCTATCATCTAAATCTCTAACAAACCAACAATAAATGAATTAAACTATTATAGGCAAAATTCCAAGTTAAACCAGCAGAAGATAAACAAAGAGGTGAAGATACATTTATTATTACTTGTGAAGGTGTTGGATTTGAAAATAAATCATCTGAAACAAAGAGTGATGAGGAAATTACAGAACAAAATGGAAATGATGATAATACTTCAACAACAACAACTACAACAACATCTTCATCATCGTAGAAATAATAATAAAATTGTAATACAATTATTTTAATAGCAATGATATGTATATGATTGTTTAATTTTCGATCGCAAATATTCCATTGAATTTAAATGATTTTGATTATCATTAATAATACTTTCATCTGGAACAGCAGTATTTGGTTGATTTTGATGATGATGATGTTGTGGATTGTAAATATATATAATGATTAAATGACCTAGTATTGAATGTAGATATGAATAGTCCAGTAGTAATTGCAGTGATTGTATATCGTTAGCCAATAAATAGTCCACGTTGTCAATTATTAACACTGGTGACTTCACATGACTGATCTTGTAACGTTCGGATGCTTCATCAAGAAGATACAGCATCTTTTTAAACTGTATTGAAATGGGCTTGTCTTTTTCCTTTGTACAACACTCTGCATCGCCAACCACCTTCTCCAAAATCCAATCACAATATTTATTATAAACATTGTAATCATCTTCATATCTTAGAGTTTTAGAAAGAATATTAAGAATTGTCAAACTATCTTTATCTTCCTCTTCTTGCTCTTCTTCTTGTTCTTGTTCTTGTTCTTCTTCTCCAACTAAAACTTCATTGCTATTCTTATTCTTATTTTCTTTGATATTGATACTATCTAAACAATTTAAATAGATTACACCATTCTTTATGATATTACAAGTTTCTATTATTTCATTGGAGGTAATTCCTTCGAGTATATAGAGATGTTCGGTCGGTTGTTGGTGTTGAACAAGTGATAGTAAATGGTTGATTTTGGACCGACTATGATTGCTGTCAAAGTGTAGTGGATAGCTGCCTTCTTCGAAAACCTCCAATACTCTCTTTCTCTTTATATATTGCTGATAGCTTAATACAGAGTGATATATAATCGGTGTAACCATCTCTTGTATTGCACAGTAATATGGATACAACTCATAGAGATATTCTATCTTTGTTGTTACATGTTCAATCAATTCATGATCTCTCTCTCTTAGTTGAACATTTACAATGAATTGTTTTATATTCTTAAATAACATCTTTTTTTTTTTTTTCTTCTTTTTCTTTTAACTACAAAATATATATATATAAATAAAAACATAAATATAAATATATATATATCTTTTCTTTGACTAACAAATTATCATTATATAATTATATATCATTCTATTATATTTAATAATATTATTAAATATATCTGATTTATGATGATATATATCTATCCTTTTTTCTAAAAAAAAAAAAAAAAGATAAGTAGTGTGAGAGGGTGTAAGATCAATTGTGTTGGGGTGAAGTAAGATAAGATGAGATTGAAAAATTTATTAACTATTCTTTTTCCAAAATTAGCAAATAGTTTAATTTGATCATATGATCATGTTTTTTACATTAAATTTAATATTTATTAATTTATTTATTTATTTATTTTCAATTGATGTTAATTTGATTATAAAAATTATTATATCTATTTAATGACATTATCTTTTGAATGGCTTCTAGTACTTTGTGATCTTGTAAACGATTGCCTATGAGTTGTAGTGAGAGTGGTGTGGGTGTTGATTTGTTGTTGCTTTGTGAGTGCGCCAGTGGAATCGATGCCGATGGCAGACCGGCAAGACTAGCCGGTATTGTCATGATATCATTGATGTACATATCGATTGGATCTTGATTGTCACCGAGTTTGAATGGTCCCGACGGTGTCGTCGGTGTAATTAGAATGTCGACACTCTGTCGATTGAAAACCTGGTTAAAGTCATCGGATACCAATCTTCTTATTTGTTGTGCTTTGTTATAGTAGTTGTCGTAGCTACCACGTGACAATGACATGGTTCCCAGTAGGATACGTCGTTTAACCTCTGCTCCGAAACCTTCGCTTCTTGTTTCCATGTACTGTTGCTTGAGTGACTTGGCGCCGCTCGTTGACGCGCCATAGCGTATACCGTCGTAGCGCGCCAAATTCGAACTGGCCTCCGATGTCGCCAGAATATAGTAGGCTGGCAATGCGTATTTAGTATGTGGGAGATCGACTGCTACAACTTTTCCACCGGCTTGCTCTATCAGATCGACTGTTTCTCTCCACAAGTTAATTATTTCCGGATCCATTTCCTTGACTAAATAGTCAGTGGGTATACCAAATACCAAACCTTTCATATCTTGATTATTATCTCTGCTATTTAGATATTGTTGGAATTTCTTTTGCATTGGATGCTCGATTGAAGTGGAATCGTTGCAGTCTCTACCGACCAAGACGTCCAAGAGTATGGCAGCATCGACTGCATTGTGCACAAAGAATCCAGGTGTGTCTAGTGAACTGGCAAATGCGATCATTCCATAACGCGAGATCGATCCATAGGTTGGCTTGAATCCTAGAAGACCGCAGTATGCGGCGGGCTGACGAACCGATCCACCGGTATCACTTCCAATCGCAGCGGAAACTGTATTCAACTTGACAGCGACAGCACTTCCACCACTCGATCCACCGGCAACCAATGATTCACCTGCATCTCTCGAATAAGGATTGATCGATGCACCAAAGTGACCGGTCGAAGTAGATGAACCCATTGCAAACTCATCCATGTTTGTCTTTCCAACGATGATAGCACCAGCCTCTTTAAGACGACTGACAACAGTAGCATCGAAACTTGGTATGTAGTTTTCCAAAATCTTTGATGCACATGTCGTCTTTAGCTTGCTGGTTGAGAAATTATCTTTAACTGCAATAGGAATACCTTCTAACTCTCTCTTTACACCTGATTGTTGTTGTTGTTGTTGATGTTGTAATCGTTTATCAGATTCATCGGCATCATTCAACAGTTTCTCTCTATCTTCCAGAGTGATATAAGCATTGAATTTCTTTGTAGCATCGATCCTATTTAAAGAATCGATTATCAATTGTCTAGAAGTAACTCTTCCACCAACCAACAATGATCTAACCTGACTTAAACTATTCATTTCTGATTTGTAAAGTTATCAACCAACTAATAAGTTGAAATCTTCATCATTTAAAATAAAAAAAATTGATCAAATTAACCAATTTTTTTTTTTCATTGCCAAATCAGTCTACATTCGTTCGTTTTTTTTGCAATATCATAATTTATTTATGCAATAAATAATATAACTACAAGTTATAAAAATGTTAAGATCTATTAATAGATTAATAAATATTAATATAAATAGTAATAGATATAAATTAGGATATAAAAGTTATCATGCAAATAGATTTTGTTCGATATCTACCAGTTCTACAACACCCTCTTCTTCGTCAGGAGCAACAATATTAGAATCAATTAAAAATAATATTATTCAAGATATAGAAAACAATAGTAATGATATCAATAGTGATAATAGAAAGTTTGATGTGAAAAAGAAATTAGAGAATGTACCTTCGTTAAATGAATTCATGAAAAACAATATTGATAATCAAAATGGTTTGGTAGAGGATACTGGATTGGATGTAAATCATATCCCACCGTATTTGGAGATTGCCGATGCCAGTGGTGAAGGAAGATCGGTATTCGTTGAGAGTTATGGTTGTCAGATGAATTTCGCAGACACGGAAATCGTGTACTCTGTCATGCGATCCGCTGGATACACTGTTGCCGAGAGTGCAAAGTCAGCCGACATTGTATTCCTAAATACCTGTGCGATTCGTGAGAATGCAGAAGACAAGATTTGGTTCCGATTGTCGGAACTCAGAAAACAGAAGCGTCGACAAGGCACGGTTATTGGTGTTTTGGGTTGCATGGCAGAACGTCTGAAACAAAAGTTGTTGGAATCAAACAAGAGTGTAGATTTGGTGGTTGGACCGGATGCATATCGTTCCTTACCATCGTTACTCTCGCGTATTGAAGATGGCGATCAAACTGCAATCAATGTAATGCTATCGGCCGATGAGACATACGCCGACATCGCACCAATTAGAACAAACAGCAATGGAGTATCCGCTTATGTTTCCATTATGAGAGGATGCAACAATATGTGTTCCTATTGTATAGTTCCATTCACCAGAGGTAGAGAAAGAAGTCGTTCCATACACTCGATCGTCGATGAAGTTAAACAGCTGTCGGCAGATGGTTACAAAGAGATTACATTGTTGGGACAGAATGTTAACTCTTACAATTTCATAGACGAGGTAGTCGAGCCATTGGCTGAAAAAAAGGAGAAAGAGGTGTTGACACCAAGAGAAGGATTCAATACTATTTATAAATCACCAAAACGTGGTGTTACTTTCACAGAACTAATGGACAAAGTTTCTCTGGTGGATCCAGAGATGAGAATTAGATTTACCAGTCCACATCCTAAAGATTTTCCAGATGCTCTGATCGAGTTGATCAAGCAACGACCGAATATATGCCAACAACTACACATACCCGCACAAAGTGGAAATACAGAGGTGTTGGAAAGAATGAGAAGAGGATACTCGAGAGAATCATATCTTCAGCTGATCGATCTCATTCGTCGTGAACTGCCAGACGCCGCCATCTCATCGGATTTCATCAGTGGTTTCTGCGGAGAGACTGAATCGGAACATCGCGATACCATTTCACTGTTGAATGCGGTTGGCTATGAAAATGCATTTATGTTTATGTATTCGCTGCGTGAGAAGACACATGCTCATCGTACAATGGCAGACGACGTCGATGTCGAAACGAAAACAAGAAGACTCCAAGAGGTAATCGATACCTTCTATAGCAACCTACGTGGCAAATCGAAAGCAGAGATCGGAAGACGTCATTTGGTGTTGGTGGATCGTATCAGTCGTCGTTCAAAAGATCACTTTGTCGGTCGTACCGATACCAACAAGAAAGTTATCATCCCCAATACTCCAATCGTTAATCCAAGCAACTCCAACAATATGGAGGATATAAAACCAGGTGACTATATAATGGTTGACATTGTAGATGGATCAGAGATTACATTACAAGGTAAACCAATTTGTAAAAGTGGAATTCAACATTTCAAAAAGAATAAATCAATTTTATAAAATTTGTAAAAAAGAAAAAAAAGAAACAATAAGTTTATATAACTGTTATTTATGTTATTTTTAAATTATTAATGTTTACTTTTGTTGTTTATTAATTTAATAAATCTTCAACATTGCACATCCGTGAGATGGTACATTGAGGGATACGTAAGATCCGGTGTATTGACCGACATCAGAACGTGCCCAGAGATCACGGACAGTCATAGTGGCAGTGTTTTGTACATAGATATCAACCCATTCAAGTTGAATATCGGCTGAAATCGAATCGGTGTTGAATAGAACGACTACTCTTGAACCATCAGCCATTGGTTTGGCCCAAACTTGTTGGAGTCCACCATTGTATGAACGTACCAATGCACCTTGCTTACCGAGTGGATCTTGGTTGACTGCAATAACCTCTGGTGCTGTCAAGATACTCAAAGTAGTTTGATCGATATTTCTTAAATCATTACCTGCAATCAATGGAGCATTCAAAATTGACCATAAAGAGAAATGTGAAATGTATTCAGTTGTTGTCATTCCACCATTTCCAACCTGTTTGTTTGTTTGTTTTATAGACATATATTAATAAACAATAGTTTTAATCAATTTTGAATATTTAGCTAGCTAGTTACCTCTAACATATCTGGATCATTCCATCCACCAACTTGGGAGTAGGAAGTAATTGGGATTTGAAGGTTAAGATTGTTCATGAAACTGGCCCAGTTGTCTTTGATGTCACCGGTGGTTCTGAATGAGTTACCGACAGTTGGTCCCCATTCCCATGGATTATCGGTACCCCAGTCACAGAGAGAGAAGAAAATTGGACGACCAGTGGCGTTCAATGCTTGTGACATGATGGAGTATCTTGACAATGGTTGATTCGATCCAGTGTTACACCAATCTTCCTTGAGATAATCGATTCCCCAAGAGGCATAGGTTTGAGCATCGATTTGCTCATATCCGAAACTACCTGGACGACCAGCACATGTCTCAGTACCAGCATCAGTGTAACTTTTTTTACAAAAGTAATTAGAAACGAATTAGTTTTATATTAGCAAATAAATAATGTTGTTGTTTATTAATAATACATACATTCCCAACTTCAAACCCAAACCATGAACATAATCAGCAATATAAGCAATTCCATTTGGGAATGTGTTTGAATCTGGTTGAATAACACCGTTTTTATCTCTGGATTCAGCCCAACAATCATCTATGTTGACATATACATAACCGGCATCCTTCATACCGTTGGTTGCCATAGCTTTGGCGGTTTCCATAATAACAGTTTCATTGATATTACATGCAAAGTAATTCCAACTATAAGTAATCAAATAATAAGAATTTATCCAATTGCTAATAAAATATAAATAATACTCACCTATTCCAACCCATCTGTGGGGTAAGACCTAAACCATTGTTAAGTGCACTGATTACACTAACAAAAGCTAATGTAATAGCTAAATATTTATAGATATACATGTTTTATTAATTGAATTTATGTTATGTTCTGTTTTGATTTCTCCTCCTTTAATGACTCTAATTAAAAATCAAACCAATTTCGGAATTATAATAAATATGAATGATGGTGCAATTCATGATAGTGGAATCGGATATTTTTTTTATTTAAATAAAAATTTGTTTTTTTTTTTTTGATCACGCTACAAATTTTTCGAAATATCTGTGGTGTATGATACCATTCCACAGATTTTAATTTTTTAAAAATAAAATATAAAATATCTTTTAAAAAAAATAGAAAAACAAAGGGGTGTTATTTATTTATGTAATAGTTTCTTTTAAAAAAGTCTAATGGGAATTCTTAAAGGTCAAAATCTTTGCAAGATTAAGTTGATTTTAATTATTATTTTCTTTTATTTTTTTTTTTAATAAACTTTCAACATTACACTGCCATGAGATGGGATATTCAATGCAACGTAATAATCAGTGAAAGATCCCAGGTCTTTTTGTGACCAGAGATCACGAACGGTCATCGAGGTGTTTGGTGTCAAAAAGATATCAGCCCAGAAAAGTTGAATACCAGCTGATGAACTGTCACGGTTGAAAAGGACGGCGGCTCTCGATCCATCAGCCATTGGTTTGGCCCATACCTGTTGTAATCCACTGTTGTACGAACGAACCAACGATCCTTGCTTACCGAGTGGATCCTGGTTGACTGCAACGATCTCTGGTGCTGTGAAGATGTCTAGATACTGTTGATCTACAGTTCTCATATCGTTACCGGCAATCAAAGGTGCATTGATAATAGACCACAGCTGGAAGTGCGACAAATACTCTGTGTATGACATACCGCCGTTGCCGACTTCCAACATGTCTGGATCGTTCCATCCACCGACTTGAGAGTAGGAAGTGATTGGGATTTGTTTGTCGAGATTGTCGAGGAAACTGTCCCAAGTGTCTTTGATGTCAGAGGTGGTTCTGAATGAATTTCCTACGGTTGGTCCCCATTCCCATGGATTATCGGTACCCCAGTCACAGAGTGAAAAGAAAATGGGACGACCAGTTCCATTCAATGCTTGTGACATGATAGCATATCTATCTAAAGGATTGGAAAGGAATGCCCAACACCAATCCTCCTTTACATAATCTACACCCCATGCAGCATAGGTTTGAGCATCAATTTCTTCGTGGTCATAACTACCTGGACGACGTTGGCAAGTCAAAGGACCAGCATCTGTATAACTTTTTAAATACAAAAAAAAAAAAAGAAAAAAATAATTATTATTTGATTGACTAATCAAAATAAAATATATACATACATTCCTAATTTCATACCCAAAGAATGAACATAATCAGCAAGATAAGCAATTCCATTTGGGAATGTCTTTGAATCACTTTTTTTGACAGTGTTAGTTTATAATTGAAATTCACTTATGTTTTGTTAATTACATACGCTTGAATGTGACCTGATTCATTTCTATGTGATGCCCAACAATCATCAATATTTACATATATATAACCTGCTTCTTTCATACCGTTGGTGGCCATAGCCTTTGCTGTTTGCATAATAATATCTTCATTTATATCACAGCCAAAGTGATTCCAACTGTTCCATCCCATCTGTGGTGTCAGTCCCAATCCATTTTGTAATGATTGAACTACAACTGAAAATATACAACAAATAGAAATTAAATTATATAACAACTTCATATCTTATAAAATATATTAAACTATGATTTAATGAAATTGTAATTGATAAAATATGATATTTTTTTATTCTACACAAAATATATTTTTTAAAAAAAATTATATAAAATTAAAATATAATACCTTTCGGCGTGATGTGAGATTGGGGATCACAGAATAAATTTAGAGTGCATTGAAATTTCTGATCATTTGCTTGGCAAAATTTAAATAAAAAAAAAATCTGGGCAAGAAAAAATATCAACTAGAATTTCGGAATTGAAGATATTATAAAATAAAATAAATAAATATAAAAATTTAGTTTTGAAGTCTTCCCAAAATGGGAATAAATGACTCCTATATTATTTGATCAGTAACATCATCAAATAACCTTAAATGAATAAATTCTATTGATATTTTTTATTTTTTTTTTAAAAAAAAATTATTTTTATTTTATAATAATGATTAATTATTATTGTTTGATTAATATCGTGCACACAAATTGATTAATAGCGGAGTTAGACCGTTAATTTCGCTATTCATAGGTTATTGGGGGAGTTTTTTTAAATGTAAGTTATAATTATTGTCTGATATTTATAAATAAAGAAATAAATTGTGATACAAGGAAAGAATAGAATTGGAATATATAATATTATAATATTGTTTTTCCAAAGAGTGGAAAGAAATAGTAATTTTGAATGTTTGTTTTTTTTTGTTGTTGTTTTTTTTGTTTTTGTAATAATAAGAAAGAATAATTTAAAGAAAGTAAAGTAAAGTAAAAATATAACAAAGAATTTTAATAGAAAGAGTAGAGTAGAGTAGGAGTAGAATAGATAAATAGAATAATAATTGATTGAGGGATTGTAAGATAGCGTCTAAAATCTTGACCTCAGTCTCTTGGTATTGCCGCTCTCGAAAATATAAGTAAATGGTAGTGGATTACTGTAGTTTCTTCCATCGTTGGTGATGACTACTTGCACGGGCAATTCGGTTCCGTCGGGTGGACAAAAGTTGGGTGGTGCTGGATACTGTGGCAGTGTGAAGAACAACACCGATTCACTGTACAGCTCAATGTTATTGGCTGGAATATCACCGTGTGGTGTATGGAAAATACAACGTAATGAATTACAACGGATAAATGGTGATCCAACAACATGCATTTGGTCTCCACCAATAGTGGACCCTTTGTTGGAGCTTAATGTTCTCAATGTAACATTTCCTATAATAATAATAATAATAATAAGATTTTAGATTAATAGGTGTAAACAACAAAAACAACAACAATAATAATAATAATAATAAGAGTATAGTTAATAACTTACTTCTTCTTGATAAAACTTTTTGATTGGAATAAGCATAGAATGGTCTGGAACGCTTGAGGAATGGAGTACCGTTTGGAAGAATGAAACGTTTGTTGTCGTCGGTCAACAAAATATATTCAAGACAAAACTCGTTCTCTTGATGTTTGGTGGAAGCCTCTGTCATAGATAGGCTATCGAAAACGACTTTTCCATCTTTTCCTACGGGTACCACCTTGTTACCACCCAAAATATCTTGTGATGGACGTTCGGTGTGCGAATTTGCATAGGCAAGTTGTGCCAACACAGTCGTAATGTTATTCTTTACATAATCACCAACTACTCTGATAACACAATTGAATGTTCTACGATCATTAGGTGTACGTGTTCTAACATCAGAGGGTGGTTGTTGTTCAATTGTAATATCGACATCTCCACTAATAATAATAATAATTATAAATATTAATTATCATTTGATTATAATTAAAATCTTATTATTGTTGTTAAACTTACATTAGTACAACGGTTTGTGCTTGAGTCAATGGAAGTAATGATGTATTAATAATTGAATTGGCAGTGAATTGTTGTGATTTTAAGAGTTGATTGTTTAAGAGATACGCTGAGGTGATGTCGTCGGTTGTGGTGGTGGTGTTGCTCAAGTCTTGGAATAGTTGTTGTGGTTGGAGCGTTGTGTTTTGCTGTGGTAGTGTATTGATTTGAATATGTTGTCCACCTGCTGTTTGTAATGTCGGTGAAATATATATGGGTCTGGTGGTGGTTGTCGTCGTTGTAGTGGGTGCCAATGAAATACCGAGTGGTTGCTGTGTGAAAATATGATTTGCTGTTGTGGTTGTTGTATTTTGCAAACCATTGCCGTTTGGGTAAATTAAATTAATTGGTTTTATACTATTATTGTTGTTGTTATTAAATATATTGTGTTGAGATAGCTGTTGATTTATTTGTTGTTGTTGGTTGAGCTGTTGTTGTTGTTGATTTAGCTGTTGTTGTTGTTGGTTCAGCTGTTGCTGCTGTTGCTGTTGCGGGGTGAGTGGTTGATGTTGATGTTGTTGCTGTTGAATGTGATGATTGATGAGTTGATGGTGCACCGAGTTGATTAGGTTCGACGGTGAGACGGTCGATGTCATCTCGCACACCGAGTTGTCCATGGCTGGCACGTTGTTGTAGTAGTTGTTGTAGGTGGGATAGGTTGATTGTTGGAGCAACTGCTGGAACGACTCGGCAGCGCTGTTCTGCAGGTCGGTGGTTGATGGTATGTTGAGTGTTGGCAGCTGCAGTGCCTTGATAGAGGTGGTGATCGAAGCGGCAGTGGCCGGAGCCGACAGCTCTTCAATGCCAGCGGTGTTGAGCATGCCGCTGCCCGACATCTGTGGAGATGGTGGATTTTCGATCTTTACATTTATCAAACTCGAATCAATTCCCGATCCATTCAGATAGTTTTCGAAACTGATTAAACTTGAATCATCCATAACTAACTATATATTTTTGACTATTTCAAAGAAATCTTTCTTTTCTTCGTTTTTTTTTTATTTAGTGTTTGTGATATTATTGATTATTCTGATCCTAAAATATTTGTAAATCAAATGAAATGATTATCTATTTTATATTCCTATGAATGAAAGATATTTATTATTAATAAATTAAAGTTATATAAGATTGTTATTTATGTTTTGATTTGAGATGATTATGTTCAAAAGGGTATGATTATTGACTGACTGTTTGACTGGCTGATTGAAATATTTTTCTTAGTAGTTTTTTTTTTTTTTATGCTTTTTTATTTTTGGTGTGTTTTTTTAGGTTGATTATATCAAAATATTATAACACATGGTAGGTAGTATAACATAATATAAAGTGTTTTAAAAATAATGTTGTTTTTTAATGAAATCAATCAATCAATCAAAAGTGTGTTGGTGAAATATTTGTTGGGTGTTTGGTTAGCAGGTGTTTTTGGGTTTTGTTTCTATCACCTTTGACCACCCACAAACTCATAATAAAATTTGTGTGATGGCTTTTTGTTGAATGGTGAGTGCAGTGATTTGTATTTGTTTTTTTTTTTTTTTTTTTGTAAAAAGTAAAGATATCTTTTTTTTTTTTTTTGCTCTCTCTTAAGATACATACAATAAATAAATAAAAATAAAAATAAAAAAAAACTAATTTTTTTTAATTATTATTATTTTGTTTGATGAGTCAAAGTTGAACAGTTATGTTATTTGTTTGTGTAGTACTTTGTTGTTGCTTTTATCAAAGTTTGCAAAACTATCTAAAAAAAAAATAATTATCTATGAAAAAATATAAAAAATATAAAATAAAAAAATTGTTTGAATTTAAAAAAAATAAAATAGGTTGACTTTACTTTATGCATGTGATCATTATAATTTGCTATCTGGGGGGAAGAATAAAAAAAGGCTTTTTTGATTTTTTTTTTTTTTTTTATATGATTTTTTGATTATTTTTGCAATTTTTTTTTTTTTTAAAAAGTAGGTTAGTAAAATGGGTGCGGACCTATAAAGTCTCGGTAAATCAATACCAATTATTATCCGATCCGTTTACCGTGGAACGGGCCTCAACGATCTAAATTGATTGACTTTTTTCTTGGATCATTCTAAACAAGCAAATTGTTGTCGATGCATTCGAGTCAATGAGGGTTCGCGCGCCTTTCATTTAAATGAATTTATTTTTAATTAATTAAAGTAAAGTCAAGTTAAACGCTTGATGAATAAATTGAGTCAAACAACAATCAAAACTAAACTAAACTAATCTTAGATCTAATGATCTCTATTGTTTTTATTGGTTTGGTTATGGATATCGATATTATAACCAATCAATTTTAAACTGCTTCTCTATTACTACATTTATCTATTTTTTCTAACTAATAAATAATAAACAAACTAATAGGTATAATTATGACAACAAAACAAACAATCAACCAGATTATTTTTATTTTTAGATATTTATTTTTTTAAAAGTTCTAAAATTTATTTAATTTTTATAAAAGTTAACAATCTAGTAATCTTCATAATTGTTATAAAATGGGTTTCTAACTTGAGCAAGTGTACTTTACAAAAAACAAAAAAGGCAAACATTTTTAAAATAAATAAAATAATCATTTTTTTTTTAGTAACCCAAAAAAACTTTGAACAACCCCCGATGATAATCATTAAAAATAGAATTAATTATATTAAAATATTTGCATTTTAAATTAAAAACATATCATACATTTTTGGTTTTATATATTTAAAAATTCATTTTTGGTTTAATTGATTGAATGAAATGAATCATAAAAATTAGTAAAATATAATATATAGATATAGTAAATTATATATATTTATAATAGAATTGTTAATTAAAAGATCACAATCGTCATTAGAATAATCAGAAACAGAGAGAGATGATGGAATCGATAGAGTCAATAAGGAAAGAAGCAATCAAATGCTATCAGAATGCAAACTATTCAGAATCAATTAAACTAATAAATAAAATTATACAATCAGATAGAAATGATTTAACTGCAATATCGTATGTTTATTATTATTATTATTATTTTTTTATTATTTTTTGAGTTTAATTTTTGCAACATTTTTTTAAAATATTAATAATTATTATTATTTAATTTATTATTAAAAATTATTATTTTCAGGAATAGAGCAACATGTCATTATAAACTTGAGTTATATCAACATTGTATAAAAGACTGTGATACTGTGCTGGCAAGTCAGCCGAACAATCGACTGATGATAATGCGTCGATCCATGGCAATGTCCAATGTGAAATCACTTGCTGAAGGTGCACCGCTTCTCATTGAGAATGCCATAGAGATGTGGGGAGACTTTGAAATTACCGACCTTCTCATGATGAACCATCATAAATCCTGTAGTGTCAGTCCAACTCTTACAAGCCGGCATCAACAACAGCAACTGGAAGAATCTATAAATTTCTTTGCTGCCTCTAGTCAACCTCCAACTACACCAACTGCTACTGCAGCACCTCCAACACCCGAATCTTCATCTTTCAACAGCAACAACAACAACAATAATAATCTATCTAGTTCAATTGGCGGTGGAAGTGGAGGTGGTGGCTACTCAGAATTGAGAAAGTCTACATCGGCCGAGGAGTTGAATGATTTGTTGGAGCAGCTTTCGACTGAGAATTTCGCTTCGGAAATATCAAAGGGAAATTATATGGTGAATTCCGGACTCTATGAAGAAGCGATTCAGTTGTTCACGCTGATTATCAATTCCAATCCGTTGATACCGTCGGCCTATCTCGGAAGAGGAACATCTAACGCTATCACTGGCAATCTAGATGATGCTATCTACGACTTCTCCAAGGTGATAGAACTCGACAATACGATGGGCGATGCATACAAGCGTCGTGGACAATCTCGTGTTGCTAAAGGCATGGATTTCGAGGCGCTCGAGGATTTCAATCAGGCCGCTATCTTTGACCGTGACAACGACTCGGATATCTACTATCAACGTGGATTGCTACACTACCAGATGCGTAACTACGAGCGTGCACTTAAGGATTTCAGAAAGGTTGTAGAGTTTGACCGTCGCAATAAACTCGCTTGGAATCGTGTCGGTCTTTGCTTGAATATCAGAGGATTTCCACGTGAAGCATTCGATGCTTTTGACAGGGCAATCGAGCTTGACTCTCAGTTTGAAGCAGCGTTTACCAATGTCGGACAATGTTGGAAAGAGATTGGTGATTACGATCGATCCTACGATGCATTCACACAGGCACTTAGCATCGCACCCAACTATTCGAATGCACTTCATCTTCGTGGTATACTTTTCTTCAATTCCGGAAAGCATTTACAAGCCATTCAAGATTGGACTGATTTCCTTGATCAAGATTCAACCATTGCTGACCTCAGACAACTAAGAGCTATATCGAATTGTTCAATAGTAAATATATATATATATAACATCAAACTAGTCAAAAATTTAATGAATATTAACTTTTTCTTGATAATATATTAGGGAAAATATAGAGATTCAATAGTTGATTTCAATTATATTGTTGAAAATAATCAACTTCATTATTCATACTATCAGAGAGAGATTGCTTTATTTACACATCACAGATTGGATACACCTTTGAATGGTTATAATATGGATCGATTAATGAATGTTTATATAAAGACATTCTTGTGTCAACGTGTTGCACCTTCATCATTGGTTGGGTACAATCCCCAAGCAGAACTGTCAGAATCTATAGTTGATGTAGATTTGAATTACAAAGGAAACGAATCCGAACAAAAGTTGATTGATAGTGCACTTAGAATTGGAAGAAAGCTACAGTATGACTGTGAGGGTTTCCTACCAAATAAACGTCAACATCTTCAATGTGGATTGGCAGCAATAGATATTGCTCAAACCTTGAAAAAGATATGGAATCAAAACAATGGGTATATGAAAGCTAACAGTGACGATACCAAGGTTGAAATTAACTATAAGGTGGATGGTAAATCCAGTTCATCTTGCAACACAGAACACTCATTTGGATGGCGTGACCTCTATGATATAGCAGTGAAATGGCGTCAGTTTTCAGAGCCAAACGATCCGGTATGGTGGGTCGACCTCCTGAGTAAAGAACAGTTCCAAGAGGGATTCGGTTCGCACACCCCAATCATCACTGGACAGACCAACGTAGTGAGATACTACCCTATGTTTACTCGCTCACTGGAGATCATGAAGCAGTTACTACCTATCCAATTCAAAGACACGCTTATTCAACTACAGAATAACAACAACAGTAGTAGTACAAACAACAATATTCTCAACGAACTCTCAGCGGTCCAGAGTTGTAAGGATCTCTATCGTGTGATGAAAAAAGACTTTTTCGTAGTCACCCCCTGCTACAGTAGTTATCGTCCCAACACAGTCATGGAAGGAACACGTCTCACTCTTCAGTTTGTCTATCCAGAGGGCTATGAATTTGCCATAAGAACACCATGTACTCCAGAGCGTTGGCAACTCTACGACCAAGAGATGACTCACATCTGGAATGAACTATGTTCAAGTGTATATAAATTAAAAAATAGCTACAGCAGCAACAATAACGACAGTAGTAAAAGTATATCGGAGCAAGAGGAACAGGAATTGATAGATTTGGTTAGTGATCAAATTTTGAAACTAACATTCTATTGGTATAACTTTATGCCGCTGACAAGAGGAAGTGCAGCAGTTGGATACACGGTTTTACTCGGTCTGTTCCTTTCGCTCGATATCGAAATCGGTACCAATATCATAAAGAATCAACAGCCTGATTGGGAAGGAATATTGCGTCCAACTGTAGATTCATTCATCAAAGTGATCAAGCCTTGGATGTACCCAGCCAGACAGAAACCAGAGACTGACCTGGGAACTCTACCAAACATTGCTGAATCAATAACCACACTTCGACATTTAATTCAAATTCTAAACCAATCATTATATTAGCTTTAAAAATAGTTTTAGTTTTATTTGAATAGAATATATAAAAACTATAATATTATTAATATAAATAAAATAATGTACACATATATAAAAAACATTTTTTTATGTAAAGAAACATAATATTGAGAATTTTATAGTGGACCATTTTTCTATATTTCTTTAAAAAAATTTTAACAGTATTGGATAATTTCAAAAATTCAAGGTATTAATCACACCTCCTTATAATTAGATATTTTTAAAATAATAAAATTTAAATTTTAAGAAACTAGAAAAATAAAATAATTAAGAAGTTCCAAATAAACAATCAATTTTTATTATACTTATGAAAATTAGCACTAGGAAAAGGAAAAAGAAAGTTTAGACATATTTTATGTTACAGATTGTTTTCATTTATAAATATTAATAATAATAATTTGCAATGAAATGAATTTTATCTTTATTAAATCCATTAAAATAAAAAGAATTAGTGCAGATCAGAAATAATATGTTAATATACAATAAACTCATTGAAAACAAATTGAATGAATAATGATAAATTTTCCAAAATAACTAGATCAAAAAAAATTTTAATTAAATTATAAAATATTTTATTTGATTTAATGATATAATAAAAAATCCGGATTTTTATCGATAAAATCTGATAAAAATAAAAATTTGTGTTTGCAGGATAAATTTTTTCCTGAATATTGAAAAAACTGATGGGAGTGGTTACAGATCATTTAATTAATTAGATTCTCTGTATTTGAAGAACTCTCGACGTTGATCAATCATTTTTTTGAAGAGTCATTCTATAAATAGAGAAATTTTTTAATTTAAATGATATCACTTTAATTAAAACATTTAATAATATAATACTAAAAAAATGAGAAATCAAATAATTACAATAATATTTTCACTTTATCTATTGCTTATTTTTATTGCAAAGAACAATGTTTATGCAATAGATGCTACAAATAACAATAACAATAATTTTTCCGAATTATCAACACTCTCTTCAACTTCCTATATAAACAATGGAACCTACACAATTACTCAATCAGGTTCCACCAAAATCGAATTGAATTTATCAATTTATGTAATTTATTTATTCCCTTCAATTAAAAATATAACAATCAATAATACTGAATGTACCACTATCGCCACCAAAGATCGCCAAATAAGTTGCTATTTGTCCAATCAAACATCATTGAATGAAGATATCTATCAAGTTCTAATATTTAATGAAACAAATCAGATTATTAATGAAAATGTTAAATTTCAAAGAAGTTTGTATTAAATGAATTTTTATGCTTTTTTGTTCTAATAAATATTAACCTCATATATTATCTAACTATAGAAGTACCATATATATCAAGTGTTTTCAGTAATATAGATGAAAGGCTAACATATGTAATTGGAAACTTCACAAACCAAACTTATATATCAGCATGTGGTTATTATGAATTTATAAGTTTAAATTCTACAACCATTGTTATTAGAATCGAGAGTTCAGCAGGAGATCAATGTTATGTTTATGTTAGAGATGGTGCATCTGATAAGTTCTATTTCACAAGTACCTATAGCTATCACAATAGAAGAGCAGGCGATGGAGAAGGTGCAGCTCTTGGTCGAGCACTTGCTATCATTGTCATTATATCAATCGTGTCGGTCGTTGTATTTATAATAATAGTTGTAATAATAGTTGTATTCACTGTTAGATATTGTAAAAGAAAGAGAAGTCATCCTAAAAACTATATTGCAGTCAATGAATAAATCAAAATAATAATAATATTAATAAAAAACATAAATATCTTTTTTTTATTATTGTTATAGTACAAATAATATTCTATATTCCTTGTATCTTTATATTACTTTGAAATTTATAAAATCAAATACTCTATGCTCTGATGAACTTCTCCCTCCAAGATTCTATACTGGGGCATTATTTTTCAAATTTCATAATATTTATATTCAAAAATTGGATGTTGTTTTTAAATAATAATATCCAGATACAAAAAAAGCTTTATTTTATCAATATAGATTTCAATCTGAGAAGATGAAGAGCAGCCACATTGCATTGATACACCAAACTTTTATATTTCACCAAATAATCAATACTTCTTCTATAATTTGTCTCCCTGTTTGCACACACTTCGCTTATTGGCCAGATCCTGCTAGCCAAGAAGAATACTAATGTTATTATAATGATAATTTTGGTGTAAATTATTTTTCCAACTATTACATGGCAGAACTATAAGTGATGTTTTATTGTGATGACGTTTGTAGTACTGACTGGCCTACATATGGAAATTATATTGGTTGTGGTACCTCATTTGTTGTATCAGGATATAATATACTGGCAAATGGTATTTGTGGCGATAGATGTAAAGGGGCAATACCATGCAACTCCACGGGAATGAAGTAGTTTTAATTTGTACAAATTAATAAAAGAAAATACCCCCCAAAAAAAAAAAAGAAAAATAAGAGTTATAGTTATAAATTCATATTTGAACATTTCATCTTCTATATCTGTCTATCAAGACTACTTAAAATAAATATTGAAGAATTCATATTTATTGTTTGATTAATTGATAGTACTTAAATAGAAATATATTTTTAACATTTATAGATTACTAATTTTTTTTTGAATATATCTATTCTCAAATAAAGTTCAAAGTAAATATATATTATAATATGTTTTTTTTTAAGATGACTATTATAGATATCCTGTAAAAATTTTTATAAATTTTATTTTGATGAATCATAAATCAAGAGCAACAATTTATAAATAATTTATTGGAGTGGCTCTAGGTGGGATTGAATCCAACCTTCAATTTGTTCTGGACCATATCCAATATAATAAGCAGTACAATTTTGAGTTGTTGCAAAATTTTTGAAGAATTTGGTTGTTGGGTATACTGCAACATCATTACACCACATATTATTCTTGGTAATTGGTGAACCCTTAGGGACTTGGAAAAAAACAACATCTGGGTATTTGTTTGGAAGAGCTCTCATAAACGCCTTTTGGTCATCACAAGCCTTACATGGAAATTCAGCAAAGTATACAACAACCTATAATAAAAAATATGAATAAGTTTTTGTCAGTATTTTTCAAAATTTTATTTTGGTATCACTTACAATTTGATTTGGATAAGCTTGAGAGTTGAGGAAATTCATTAAAGTATTTGATTCTTGAACAACTTCAAAGGTATCAATGATTTCGTTTGGGTCGAGAGCAACAAGAGACATTTTTATTTGTTATATCTATAAGAAATAAATAATCTATAGTGAATTTAAAGATAAAATTACAAATATTTAAAGAATATTTAGATAAATTTTGATTTTTGATTTGATATTGTAAATGATAATTGAATGATTATCATATTTATAGTCCTTTTTCATTATGAGGGATTTGATATTGATAGGTTTTTAACTTTACACAGTTAGTTAACCAGAAATAAAATCTAAAGTTTTTCATTTGCAAATATTGAACTAGAAATGCCACGTAGTAAAGTATGATAAATATTAGTTGTTAAGAATCAAAGAATTTCGGACGAAACCAAACTATATATTTGTTTCTTGAAAAAAAAAAACAATATCAAAATGTAAAACAAGACACTATATCCCTATGATGTTCCCACCAAAGATGGGTTTGCTAAAGTTTTTCTGTTCTGTTCATGATTTTCTTAAAAGAAAAGATTATTTTTTGAAAATTCATAACATTAACAAACTTACTTTTATCAAATTTCTCTTTAATGATGAAGATGATTGTGTGGTGATGATTCCTTCTTGATGTTCCCAACGCTTATGACTTTAGTGGATTTTGTAAAGAAGAACTTTGTGAGATGTGTTATTGATGACATTTGTAGTATAGGTGCGCCTCAAAATAGTAAATATGTTGGCTGTGGTACAACAGCAGCTGAACATTACAATGGACAATCAATGGTATTAGTAATGCTGGATGTCATAAAGGAGCAATACTTTGTAACACCAATATACTAGAATCGATTTGAATTAAACTTAACAAATAAAAATAAATTATTTATTTTTGTTAAAGTTACAATCATACAAATATAAATGTTTCATATTTGAACTACTTCTATTTCTTCTACTATTTATATATAAAAATCTGACAATGTACGACTAACTACTGATCGATACTACTGTTATAACAGTTGTTGTTTAGTTTTGTTTTTTTTTTTTTTTAAATAAATTAGTAATAGATTTATTATTATTATTATGCTATATTTTTGTGTTGTTAAATGTTTATATATATATAGTTTTAACAGAATTTCTATATTTGTTTGTGAAATGATTAAACAAAATTAAAATAGAAAAAAGAATAATAATTTGTTAGTTTGGTGAAAGTAGCTTGGTTTGCATTGTTTTCAATGAAACATACCCATCTATTGTTACAATTTACGCAAGTTACAAAAGTAGTTAAAGGCTCATCAGCAGATCTTGTTTGAAGTTGGAAATATGTACACTTTCTCTGTTTACATTTACCACATTGGAATTGATCGGTTGTAGCAGCATCTCTACTCAACGTGGCTGCTTCCTTTGAGAATTTCAACATTTTCTTTCTTTCTTCTTGTAACTCTTTATTTGCCATTTCCTTAAGAGTGGTAGTAGTAGTAGTAGTAAATAGATTAGCAATTATTATTATTATCATAGGTTTGTTTATAATTCTGCTTAACTAACTAACTAATATTAAGAAGTAGTAGTAGTAGTAGTACTTACATTTGAATCCATTGAACAGAATCTTGTGATCGATATTTCGGCACTCAAGATTGAATCTCTGAGTGCTTTGTTTTGTTTGAGGTTAAAGATGATCGATCTTGCTTTGGTTCTATATTCGGTGGTTGGTCCATTGAAGATGTTGTACATCTCAGACTCGATCGCTGCTGCAGCTTGATTGTGGTGCATCAATGTCTCAACACCCGATTTGTCCTCCAACGAATCCGCTATCAACTTCATAGTCTTGGCACGAGTATCGTCCGATAGATATGGTAACTCTGTACTATAGGAAGTCGATCTGCTGGACTGTTGTTTCTTTACGCTAATCGGTGAGTATGGTTTTGCTGCTGTTGTCGATGCACTACTACCATCTTCATTTTCTTTCTTCTCATCCTCTACACATCAATACATTAACATCATAAGTATTATTAGTATATTTATTGATTTGATAATATTATATTGATATCAATATCTAACTAAACTTACTTATATCTAATTTTCTCTTTAATGATGGTGTTAATGAAGATGATTGTGGTGGTGATGATTCTTTTTCTTTTTCTTTTAAGTCTTTTTCTTTCTTTACTGATGATGATGATGTAGTTGTGGTTGTTGTCGATTCCTTCTTGATGGGTGGAGTAGATGATGCTGGAGTTGTCTTTGTTGCCAACTGTTCTTTCCACTTGTCAACCAATTCGAGTGCATTCTTTGAGATTGCTTCGTTCTTATTCTTTCTCAATAATCCTACTGATTTACCAATTGCTGTTTTCTATATGTTTATAATGTAATTAAAAATTTACCAATCAGTAAGACAAACAAAATCTAATCTAATGTATTCAAATATTTATAATATGTTTTTCAAATTACTTGTAATAGATCTTTTGAAATATCTAATAAAGAAATTGCCTTCAACAATGCTAAAACTGTATCTAAATCCTATTTTATTGGTATCGATTATTTTGAAATAACAGAGTTTCGATTAGTTTGAATATTAATTATATAGCATATAATCTCTAATCTTACATCATCTTTGACGGCATTATCAAGTTGTTGTTTAAGTTCTACAATTTCACCTTCCATAGCTAAGTTGAATCTCTAAAGATCTTTATTGACTAAAAATATATAAGATAAGATAAAAATGATATATTGTATATGTTTTTAATTAAAAAGAAATATACGACCAAACGAACAGTTGCAGAACACAATTAGCGAAAGATAATAGAATAAAAAATTTAAGCAATGGTGATGAAAAAAAAAAAAAATTTTTAAAAAATTTAAAAAACTATAGTAGTTTTGAATCCAGTAATTTCCTTTATTGGAAATATACTTTTTATTTATATAAATAGAATATCGTTAGATTTTATTATTACTATTGTTACTCTAAGCTATAAAAGAAAAAAGTTTTAAATGATTATTGTTTTTGAACAACTATTCTTTTTGTTTTTTTTTCTATCTAAATGAATGAATGATTGAATGATTTATTATTTGATATGTTTATTAACAAATATCAAAACCAACCAATAGATCTTCATGTATTTAAAAAAATAAATAATTTTTATTTAGAATCCGTTAAAACTTGAGTGAACTGAACCTATACACATTTGCAAAAGTTTGAAAAAAATCAAACCTTTCTTGGAATTTGAAATTTGATGTTATTCAATTTCATAAAATCAAGGTTGTCAATTTAATAATGTAATTTAAATCGATGGATAATAATAATAACAATGATAATCAGCATGCTGCTGGTATTAGTAGTAGTAACAGTAACTATAGCTTTGGTGCAGAGTCAACGGTGGAAGTGAACAGATTCTTTGGTAAACCATGCAATAAAGAAAATCAAGAGATAATCACATTTAAATCGGATATTACCTTTCTAATTGGCCCGCCTAAATCGTAACTATCAATAATTACTATAAAGTTTTGTAGTTAATATAAACAAACTCACACTAAATTTCTTAAAATCAATATTTGTTTGTAAACAACAACAACAGATGTAAATCATCATTATTATTTCAATATGGATATAGCTATACTAAACAAGGATACTCTGTACTATATATATGTGAAAAGAAAAGATTCAACTCTTCACTACCAATGATGTCCAACTCTGAGAAGATTTCAAACAATCAAGTTAATCTTAAACATTTAAAGATAAAGTATGTTGAATAGAATTGTATAATCAATCATAGTATATATAAAATCAATAATATTACAATTGCTAACTAAATCAATCAATGAATAAATATAAAGATATATAGAAAAAGAAACAGATTTTAAGAACTACCTATTGGAATTCCCAATGTTAAACCTATTACCCGATTTAATATTGATTGATGATCTCTCTTCTTTCTTTGGAATGAATCGCTCAAACATGGGAAGATCACTAGGTTTCCTAAAAGATACATTAAACTATATAAATAATCAAAGGTAAATTAAAAAACAAATCAAATCAAATCAAATCAATTTTCTCATTGTATTCAAACTGTGTTGGTTCAAAACAAATGAATATAGACAAAATCCAATGTTAAAGTGTAAAGCGATAGTAACAGACATTGAAAGTAACTTTTATATTGTACAACGATGGGCTAATCTTGCATTACAAATCAGTCATTCACCAGAAATAACATTACCATCTACTACTACTACGACCAACACAAATACCTCTGATATACTTTATAATAATAATAATAATAATGATTCAAGTAGTTTTCAACAACCAACACCAATATCGACAACGAACACAACCCAACAACAACAACAACAACAACAACAGAATACAGATCAAGATAGAAAACTATATTTATTATTAAGAAAATATGATCAAACACACAACTTTATTAATATTCAATTCACAGTTCAACCTTCAATATCAACTTTTAAATTTGATTGTATACAATTTAATCAAAAAAATAATAATGGTAATAATGATAATGATAATGATAAATAAAACCAAAAAAAAAAAAAAAGAACAAAAAAAAAAAAAGATAAAATAAAATAATTTGTGACGTCCAATGAAAGTTATCAAAACGAGTTAACTGGTGTTGATTTGCAGTGTGGTTTGGTGAGGTCATCAATCAATAAAAAATTATCTTATATTTTTATAAAAAAAAAGTAGATAGACTTTTCCTGTTGATTAATTATTATTGTTTATGTTATTGTTATAAATAATAATAATAATAGTCATTTAGTCATAGTGTTAGAAAATAAAAACTAAATCAGATAATTGTTTGTTTTGGTTGAAAAAATAAAGATCTTTGGATAATTTTGTGGTTTTTTTTTTAAAATTTGCAAAAAAACATTATAAAAATTGAAAAAGTGAGTATCCTCATTCTTCAAAACTATTCTGTTACCTCTCTGATTTTTAGACATCAGCATCATCACCAAACAACACTACACTTGGTTTTGGTCAAAACAAAACAAATTAAGATATATTTTTTATCTATCTTATAATATCTTTTATTTATTTATTATTATTTTTTTAGAAAGAATTTAGAGAAGAACTTTTTTTTATTTTACTACAGTTTGTTTGTATTAATTAATAATAATAATATTATACATAATTATAATAGTTTGGTGTTTGTAATTTAAAATAAATATTATATATTATCAAATCAAATCAAATCAAACCAAACGGAATCAGATATCTAGATATGTCATATGTACATAGTACACTTTCATCTAAATCGATTAGAGAACAATTCTCAGAGGCTAAAGCACTCTTGGATCAAGTTCGTCAATTGATTGACAGTGGAAGTCAAAGTGAGGTTGCAAAAGCATCTTCAATTTGTAAGTATTAGCTAATTAGAGAAATCATTACATTAATCATTACAACTTTGCTAATTTGATTGATTAATTGGTTATGGTTACAACGTTTGCAGTGAAATCTATTCTACCACTTTATAAGGATATCACTGCGAATGAAGAGAGTAAGATACCCGAGTATTTGGAGCAACTCAAAGAGATTAAAGTAAGATTGACAGAGGAAACAAATAGAGTCATACAGAAGCGTGATGAAGCAAAGAAAGCTGCTCTTACCAGTTCGTCTTCCGCTGACGATAGACAACAACAACAAGCACAAGCACAACAACAACAACAGCAGAATTCACCATTTGTAAAGTCAGAGTTACCTCAGAGACCACCGTTACTACAAGGTTATTTGAAGAAACTCGGTGAGAAAGGACTGGTTAAATCCTATAAGAAACGATGGTTCCTACAGAAGGACAATAAACTTTACTACTACGAGAAGGAGGGAGATACCACTAGCTTTGGATTCATTAATCTACCGGATATGATCGGTGTCAAAACCATTGATTCCGGCTTTGAGTTGGTCACCCCCGGTAGAGTGTACAACTTCCAAGTGTTGAAAGCTGCCGATCTAAATTACTGGACCGAAGGTTTGAAGGAATTCAAAAAGTATTACACTGCATTGCAAAACAGTTTGAAGCAAGCCAACTCTAGTTCAATGAGTGACTTACCAAGTAATCAAATGAGTCTTGGTGATCTTAGAAGACTTTCAACAATTGATAATAGTAGTGGTAGTGGTAGTACAAGTACATCTGGTGGATCACAACGTGATTATAGAAAGATGTCAATGGTTGATGGAAATACTAATACAACTACTACAAGTGGTAATAGTAATAATAATAATAGTAATAATGGAACAAACTATGGTAGTTATAGTAATGGTGGTGGATCAATGGAAGCGATGATGAAGAAGAGAGAGGAAGAAGAGAAAGAAGCAGAAGCAAAGAGACAGAAAGAGAGAGAAGAAGAGAGACAAAGGAAAATTAAAGAAGAAGAAGAAGAACAACAAAGAAAAAAGAGAGAGCAAGAGGAAGAACTTAAAAAACAACAGTTGAATGATGAAAGATTAAAGAGAGAGGAACAAAAGATTGTCGAGGAAATGAAGAAATTTGATGAAGATAGAGAAAGACAACAACAACAAGATAAAGTAAAAGATGAAGAAGATCAAAGACAAAAGAAACTAATTGAAGAAATGAATGAGAAACAAAGAGAAAGAGAAAGACAACAACAACAACAACAACAACAACAAGATAATAATAATAATAATAATGATAACGATCAAAATGATTATCAAAATGATAGAAAATCAATTAGTTTAAATTCAACACCAATCGTTTCTTCACCTGCAGTTGTAGATTCACCAGTTGCCACACCAACTTCATCTACACCTGGCGTTGTCGGTAACAATGAATATTCATCACCCTATTTGAAGAGTTCATCTTATCCAAATACACCTGCTGGATATTCACAAGTCGATGAGACTGCTCTAAGGAAGAAGATCGAAGAGGAAGTAACCAAGCGATTGATGTCACAGCAAGATGAACTTTTGGAGATCGAAAGACAACGAAGACTTTCGCTAGAGTCAGAGATTCAAAAGCTAAAGGAAATCATTGCAAAGCAAGCACAGTCAGAGAAAAGCAATGCCAATATCAAGCTAGAGCTGCAGTATCGTGACGAAGAGATTGACCGTCTCAAGAAAGATCTATCGATTGCCAACGACAATATCACCACGCTCCAAAAGGACAATGAAACACTCGCTGCCAAACCAAAGGAATCGTTCCCTCACGAGTATGAATGGGCCGCAGAGATTTCCAATCGTGACCGCGAGATTCTCAGTTTACGCGAGCAAATCGGTGAGATCTCTGCCAACTTGAAGTTGAAGGAGAATGCAGTGTCGGTCATCAAACGTGAGAATGAAATGTTGCGTGAGGAAACCGAGAAGAAGGATAAATACATAAATTCACTCAACGAGAGAAACCGTGATTCCGCGACCATCAAGTCCGGTGCTTCTGGTGGCGGTGCCGCCGGAAACAAGGGAACGATCGACATCAACAAACTCAAGGAGTCGGTGCTCGCTCACCAATCGCAAAACTCATTCTTGATCTCTGAGATCCAACGTTTGGAGACCGACATGGAGCTACTCAAGGAGATCAAAGCGGAGGAGACCGAAGAGTTGACTCGTTCACTCAACGAATGTATATATCAATATAGAACACTACGCGAAAAACTATTGGGTACGAACGAGACAGAGTACTGCAAGAAGATCGAGAAGGAAAATCTGCTCATCAAGAAGGAGTACTTCCTTACACTGGCTGTCTCTGTAAAACTACATCGTGGAATGGCTGGAGAATCGACCAACATCAACATCCACAATCTCTATGACGAATCGATACGCGCCAACATCGATTATAAACAGTGGCCAGAATGGATTTCATCGGTAATCGAAGATAAAAAGAATAATGTAAAATTAAACTCAACCTATGAATCAAACAGACGTAGTAGATCATCTAAATAAGATGCATACAAATAAAACAATTAATATTAATTTTGAAAACAGACTATTTTATTACAAATTTAAAAAAGTCATCATTTACTTGGAATTAAATTTAAAACTGATATAATGTAAATTTGATTAAAAGAAATAAAAAAAATCAAATTAGGTAAATATTAATAACAATAATTCATTGATAAATCTGGATCACTAACAAATTTATTTCCTTCAATCTATTAGCTGTTGTATTTGCACCAAATCTTTATATCCCACCTAATACACTTACTCCTCAAGAATTATTGTTGGCTTCAAACAAAATTGTTTCATTTATAGAAGATTGTATCATTTTAATGAAAAATAAACAACTGTATTAAGAGATAAATAATTTATCTGTTTCAGCTTCCAACTTAACAATTTATTTTAGAAAGGACAATTACAAAGTTAATTAATAGGGTAATATAATTTTTTATTTTATTGATTACTCTTAAAAATACATAATTCTTTTATTTTTTTTTTATTTTTTTTAATGATTTAATTTAATTACTGTTGATTATTATTGGGTTGTCTATTTTATTAGATTGATTACATCATTCCATAGAGAATTGGATAATGTGCGATTTATAGGCACACCAAAACTATTGACATAATAAAAGAGATTGCAAAGTGATTTTGATGTGGTTCGATATTCTTGGGTGTAATTCTTGGTTTCGTGTGCAACACCTCCCCTGAGACGTGAAGACAATCCCAAGTACTGTATCTTGTCTTTCTCAATCAGGCATTCGAATAATCGCTTATTTGCTTGCACGAGATCCGGTAATATCAAATGAGTAATCGTTTCGTTGGTTTTAAATGCCTCTTCAATATGATAGCCACCTGATACATGATTATTAAATAGCGATAGGAAAGTGATTGTCTGATTGTTTTGCGCGAATTTCTTGAAAGACAACTCTAGTTGATAGTCATCTTGAATACAGTTGTGGAGCAAGAGGTGGGTGATGGTCTTATTGATTTCGAATGACTCAAAGAGTTGCGAGCAAACAATTAATCTCATGCTGTCAAGCAAGAGGAATTTAATCGTTGTGTTCAATGCCCATATCTGAGCAAAAGCTTGTTGAGATTCTGGGGTGATCTTTCTATGGTTTGCAGGGTAACACCAATTTCTAATGGAAAGTCTTTTGATAGTTTGATTGGAAGCTAGTGCTTTGCATACTCTGTTCCAGTTCTCTGGATCATCCATGGGGACACCACTATGCTCGTTGATACCATAACATTTGCAAAGTCCTTGACCATCTTCACTGCCACCAAGATGACAGAAGGAAATAGCAACTGCCAATGATTCAATATGTGGACATTCGCTGACCGCAACGAGTAAATCACGTAGTTCTATTAAATCATCATCAATTCTCAAGTGTCTGAGTGTCTTGATTCTAAAGAGTGTGTTGTATCTAGTATGCATTCTGGGATTCTCGTCCCATACGTTTTCGAAGCGAAGATTAATCGAATCTGTTTGCCACCATCTAACAAAATTGTAAAAGCTTTCTGTCACTATTTTCTTGTCACCTTCCATCTCGACGTCTTTTACTTTCATTTTGATAGACTTTATGTTTTTAAATTTCGAAAAGATCATAGTCAATGGTAATCTCTTCAGCACCAAAGTCGGGGAGGAATTTATGATGAAAATCAACTTTTACTTGAATATCGATATGTGGATAGCTCTCGGCTAGACAGTCAACCACCCAATCACCAACTTGAGTTCGAATGACAATGGTTGTGAGATTTGGGAAATTGTCAATATAGCCACACACAATGTCCAGTCTATCTTCATCAGACTTTTGTTCATCGTTCCAACCAAGCTCTTGGATTGTTAGTCTGAGAATATTATCAACGTGGTAGAGTGACCACGGTGTTGGGAGGATAAGACGACTTTCTAACTTATCGAATTTACTACAATCGCCTTCCCAAGCTGCATTGAATCGAGTGAGTCGACATGAAACATATTTAAACCATGATTTGCAAACCAATGCGAGCGTGAGAAGTTTCTCGAAAGAAGGAACTCTGTTTCCACCACTATCTGAAACCTTTTTTCTCATCAGTGGAACCAAGATATTATTTTGTTCAAACAATGCGAGGTATTGATGCAAGGCATGCTGAACGATATAACTCTGATCAAAAGATGGCAATTGACAATGGATGGGAGTAAGCACCCTAGTATCAGGTGGCATACTACCATTATCATCGTATACATCTACCTTTGAAAAGGGGACATTACTACTATATGATACTTTTGAACGTGGAGATCTCAAATGAGACATTATTTATTTGTATAAAGATGTTTGGAAAAAAAAAGGATGAACATTTTAATTATATAATATTTTAAGAGGGGTAAATAAATTTGAAATGAGGCAATAAACAAGTGTGATCAAACTGAGGGATAAAAAAATTTTGTAATTTAGAGAATTTTTTTTAAAAAACAAAGAAATTCTCTAGTTTTTTGGTCAAACTAATACCCATACAAGAGATGTGTTGTTGAATACCGAGTTCCATATGGTTGAGATTGTGATTGGCTTGGCTAATTGCTTAGCCTGAGATGGTTGCGAGAAGCCAAAACCGTTTTTGCTCTAAACTATAAACGTGAGGTTTTGAAGGTATTTTGAACTTAATCTCTATTTTACCCCCCTTTATCATACTATTACCAAAATTTTTTTATTTTTTTGTATTAATTGAGAACTCATTGCCTTTTATAAATTATTTGTTATAATATCATTTATTTTTATATTTTTATAAGTTTTCGTTTTTTTTTTTTTATATTTTTATCATACTATATTTATATAAAATGAGAGAATTTAGTCATTATCAATTCACTTTTAAACTGGTTCAATCGAGATGAAATACACGATACCCATGACAATCAAATGAGTTCGTTCTTCAATGATTCCAGAAGTTTCCAAGAATACTGGAATCTCATCAAACTTTACCAACCCAGAAGGCAGTGTTTGTGTATCTCTGCCTAACCTACACTATAATATAACGACAACAAGAGAAAGAAAAAGAGCAAGAACAAGAAAATTTTGATAATAATGAAAGCAATCAAATGGAAATTGACGTTGACCACAGTAATGAACATAAAGAGTTAGAAGAAGTAGAAGTAGAAGTAAAAGTAAAAGAGAAAAGTCAATGAATCAGTATAGTCTACAGTACAACAATCTCCAACAACGGTCGATAAAGATTCTCTTACTTTTCTATTATTTTTATTAATTATTCTGCATCCTATTATATTGATTTTTTTTTTTTTTTTTTTGCAAAAAAGATTTGTTGACTCATGATCAGTCAACAAATTGCAGGTATTGATATTAACCTGCTAGTTCGTGTTTTATATTATATTTACATTCTCACACAGGCCGTGAGAAATATAGCCAATAAAAAGTTATTATTATTATTATTATTATTATAATATTATTATTGTTATTATTATTATTATTATTAGTTATTATTAATTAATAAGTTGAGTAGTATTAGGATAGAATAGATCTAACAGTAGTTGCGTGTTGATGAACAACAGTATAAAGTGGTGGCACGTAGTTGGAAGGATTTAGATTCCAATCAGATTTAAATTTAAGCGTTAATGCAGAGCAATCGACAGTGATTCCTTGGGAGATAGAATTAGCGATTGTGAAGTTAAGCTTGTGGTAATTGGCATCGATTAATTTGGTGTAATGGGTGACTGCTCTTGACGGTATTTTCCAGCTTGTAATGGGTACCATCACCAAACATTTCACAGGACAGCGCCTGCCATAACGAATGTACGATAGCAGCAGTAAGGTGGGTGAAGTGGACAGTAGTACGAATAGGACCGTCGAACTTGATGCACGAGTGCTTCCAATTACGGAGTCTATAGTTACAGTACTTATGGTATAAATGTTTGATAAAGGAAAGGAACTGCTGTGAAACTACATTCCTGCATTTAAAGAAGAAATGCTCATGTGGGTTGCAGAGCTCAGTGAAGGTGTCACCACAGAACTCACAGACATGACCAGTGCGCTTGGTTTTGTTTTCAAAAAAAAGTCCGCATGCGGTCATAATAAAAATTTATTAAAATTAAGTGCTCGGACCTGGAATCGAACCAGGGTTAGGAGGACCACAACCTCATGTACTGCCACTATACGATCCGAGCATATAATGATTCCCAAATTTATCGTTGGTGCGTTATGGCATAAGGAATCTGGTTAATCCTTATGCCGATAAGCATACATACGTCAGTGGTATATACTTCCATTACACCACTATTCCATCGAGCACACCTAAACTACTTTAAATATATTCGAGTCTCAAGATCCTATGCTTCTTGTTAGGGGATTACAAACGGAGGATCTAATCATAGCAACGTTTCCATTCATAATTCTAAGAGCCCGCTGTGACTCCCTTAGACCTACATCAGTAGTGGTATCATGGTGGTCCCAACCTAAGGAGAACAGATATAATTTCCCCCGCCTGGTCTTTAGTTGACGTTCATTTTAATTAATTACTAGTTGCAATAAAACACTCGGTACAATTGTTGTGTTTTGAATATCTCAACTTCCACCTTGTATTATCACTTCAAAAAAAAAACTATTCGATCCGAGTATGTGATGGTGGCCTCTTTTCAATCCGAGCACATGGCTTTTTGGGATCATATGTTAATCTATTTGAAAATTGAACTCTGGACAAATAATTTTTTTTCATTTCTTTAACTATATGAACATGAGTTTGATTTAATAGTGGTTGTCGATATAGTAATATAATTGGATGATCAATTTTTTCAATCTCAATTAGATTTCTAAAAATAAAAATTTGTAAACAACTACTACTTTTTAGAAAGTTAATAAAGATAAATTTAGTTCTTTTAAACATGCTTTACAAATATAATATATTAAATCATTTTTTTTGTTCAAAATACCAACCTCTTTGACAACATTATCCACAATTCACAAAGATTACAACAAAATCTTATTTTGTTAATCCAAAGGATATACATAAAAACTCATTTTTTGGATTAACAAAATCAGAGTTTGTTGTGAATTGTGGATAATCCAAAAAATTCTGTAGAAATTTTCTTTACTTTTTAGTCAAAACACAAATTGATTTATTTAAATAGATAAATTCTTTTAAAATAAAAATATATCAAACAAATTAGAATTATATATATTTAAAAATTTTAAAACTTTAACTATTTAAAACCGTTCTGAATATTAAATTATTAAAATTATGTGTATCCTATAAAATCTCAAAACTGTTAAAAATAACAACTATGTAAACATTAGTTAAACAATGAATAATTCCTTACCACTTCTGATGTTTAATCATTTTCAACTAAAAAAAAATAATTTAAATTAAATAAATTTATTAGTTGGGAGTCCTTTGCCTATTATTAAAAACATATATTACTAATTTTAATTTTAATTATTGGAATTTGAATAATTCAAACACCGAAATTAACCGGTATTTTTGAAATCACCAATATTGGAGCTCATGATATTAAGAAATTTGGTATAGTTATGATTACATGACAAAGCAAAGAGAACAAGTTTAATGCCTGATAATCTAAAGAATTTTCTCAAACATTCTATATTGCTTTTCTGTCACTCACTAAATAGTTCCTCATCGCAGTGATATATCGGGTGATTATATTGACCCATTGTTTTTGATGTTATTGTTATTGGAAGTTACAAAGGTTAATGTGGTGGTTTTTTTTATAAAAAAAGATAAAAATGATCATTAATCTAAAATCAAATCTCCAACAATACAATTGTGAATTCTATTTGTTTATATTTTAGTTTTTATTCTTTTAATTTTCGGTATATTGACATCAATGTGTACATCCCAACAACTCACACATCAACAAGTATATAAATTGACACCCCAATTATTAAAATCTAGACGTTTGTCGACTGAATATTAAGTTATCAAAAATTTGTTCCTCAAAAACAAACCCCCGAATCACGAATAAAATGCATTTTTGGTGAAAAAACAAAATGCCGTTTTTTATTTTTGGTCTCCAAATTTGTCTTTGCTCCTTGTGGATTTATCATTCTTTGCCCAATGTCGCCTTTAATCCGGTGTTTAAGTGTCATAAACTTTTGTTCTGTTTAAACTGATGATGTGTGTTGTATTCCAAATTGCCTATATATACTGATGAATTCAATTTCAATTAATGCTTTTTTTTGTTTTTAATCTATTTCATCTGACACTTACAAACAAATAAATTATCTATTATTCTTTTTATATATTCTTTATATCATTGTTATGATTTTTCTTTTATTTTTCTATGTAAGATCAGGCAGGATGATGTGGAATCTCTTTAGATTATATTTTTAGATTATATTTCTCTTTTTAATATTCTTAACTTTTTTTTCTCTTATTTTTTAAGCAAAAAGGGTGGAAATAAACAAAATATATTATATAATATTATGAAGTTGCATAATTATTATTTGTTTAATTCTTTTCTATAAAATAAGTTACTAACAATTAATTACTTAAAGATCTTTAAAAAAAAATTTTTATAAAGAAGAAATAATAAGTTCGTTGAAAAAAAAAATATTTAAGGTAATGTTTATTGTTTTGAAATCTGGGCAAAAAGTTTAATGATAGATATAAAGGTAAGGTTGTAGTTTAGTTGGTCGTGGCGAAAGTTAATCTATCTATATAAAAAAAACAAATAATAATAATAAAAAAAAAAACAAAACATAGTTGGTGCGGTAAGTTGATGTGTTGTTGTGTGTGTAGTTTTTTGATGGTAGTATAAGTTATAATTGATTGTTGATGTTGTTGAAGATTTTAATGATTGATATCATCTAATTCAAGACAGGCATTCTTAAAACGGTATTCTCTAATTACATACTCGGAGGAGATGTCCTCACGGGTTTCGTTGTGTTTCTGAAGGATGCTGACTTCAAATGATTGGTAGCAAGTGTCAAAGGCAACCAAGATCGTTGCGGACAGGTATCCACCTTGTTTATGTTTGAAAAGGCATGGACGTTGGAACTTGCGTATTCCTTTGACGACTGCTTCCAGCGCGTAACGGTTTGTAAATTGGATCACTTGAAAATGTACAATATCATCCCAGGTTAACTGAGGTGAATAGGTCCTCAGATCTTCTTCCGACTTGAAACCTAATAGCTTGGCAAAGCTATCGTTCATGTCTAAGAGATTACGATCTGGGAATGCCCATCTTGAAAGCGGTAAATTGTTCTTTACCTAAAATAATTAAAAAAAAAAAAAAACAAAAAGAATTAAAAATATTAATAAGTTGATCAAAAGAAATGTAGAGAAAAATGATTCTCTTAAAGATATTTTACCGACTCTGAGCAAGGCAACCAAATTCCACCTGGAATGAGTGGATTTTTGGGTGAGGGAGAGTAAAGTGGTCTTTGGATATTGGGGAACTGAAGGAATGAAGTAATTGTCTCAAGAGATTGATGAATCTTCTTGAATTCATTTACTAGAACGTCAGGTAAGATTGTATGTACAGGTGAGTTACTATTGGTGTTGTGGTTGTTGAAGAAGTTTCCGCTGTTGAGAATTGATTGGATAACGTTGTCTCCAATCAATTGTTGTTGAAGTTGGTTGTTGTTGTTGTTGTTGTAGGCGAGTTGAAGTTGTTGTTGTTGTTGTTGTGCGGATTGTTGTTGTTGTGGAGTACCGTCCATTGAGAATGGACTCTTCATGCAGTATCCGAATGGTGAAGAACCGACACCGATTGGTTCTTGGAAGCTGGAGCTTGTACTGATGAGATTGGAGAGGTTGGCACATACGTTTTCAACAACGGTCTGGATTGGTGAGATGGCACCTCCAGTTGCGGATTTGGAGTTGTTGGTGTCTTCGTTATTTGTGTCAACATATGGATGACAGAGTGAAGATGAATTGTTGAGTTGTTGGTGTTGGTTGTGTTGTTGTTGTTGTTGATGGTGGAGATGTTGATAGTCTAAGCTAGCGTTGGTTTGGAATATCATATCAAAGTGAGCGTGGGGACTTGCTGGGGACGAGTCGGAGGAGTAGGCAGAGATTGAAGGCGATGGTGTTGAGAACGCAGATTGTGGAGACGATGGTATACTTGAGGCGGGCGAAGTACCATTCATTGTTGGCGAGGACATGAATTGAATGCTATTGTTGTTGCTGGCAGATAGCTCACTTTTGTTGATGGCGTCGACTGACGACATTTCCTTATTGTCGATGTTGCTATTAAATACATAAGGAATAAATATGGGGTTACCAGAGGCAGTAATATCATTCTCTTCTTTAACAGATTGATGTTGTTGGGGCGATGATTGTTGGTGTTGTTGGACGTTGTTGTTTTGGTCAGTAGTACCAACAAACTTGAACATCTGTTGATTACCATTAGTTGAGGATTGAATGATATTACTACCTTGGTTGTTGGTTGGTGAGGGTGGTTGAGATTTGTTGTTGTTGTTAGAGGTGAGGTTGAGATAGTGAGGGATTTGTTGTTGGAGGTGTGGGTTGTTTTTGATACTATTTACAAGACTGGAGGTGTCTTGAATTCCAGGATAGGTTGTCATTTGGGGCTTGGGAGCATTGGCACCAACTTTGGAGTTAACCTTTTTGGCAGAGGCTCCTTGTTGACCGACTATGGAACCATTATCTGTGAGCAGGATGATTGGCTCGGTAGTGGTGTGGACGAGCGCAGAAGATGGCGACGAATTGGCATCCTTCTTGAGACGCTTTCCGACAACCTTGGGCTTTCTTGGAATATCAAGACAACTGTCCTCAATTCCATGTTTTGTACATCTGAGGCAGGGACGATTGTGGTCACAGGCTACCTTGGAGGAACGGCAATTCAAACAAGCTTTCTTGGCACGTTTCTTGACTGGTGGTTGTTGTGGCTGTTGTTGGTCAGCAACAACTGGGGCAATGGCCGATGGGGCAACAACTTGAATCGATGAAACTTGTTGTTGGATTTGATCAGTCAAGAGACTGGAAATTTGTTGTGAAACAATATTATTGTTGTTGTTGGTAGCATTGTTGTTGTTGTTCATAACGTTTTGTAACAACTGTTGTTGTTGAACATTAACATTGTAGTGTTGCATTGGTACTTGACCTGATTGATTGATAATATGTGTGACGTACATTGTTTGACAAAATAGTTGAATTTAAAATTGATAAAATAAATTTAAAATTATAATTATTATTATTGAATTATTGTTGTTGTTGATTGTTGTTGAATTATTATTGTTGTTGATTATTGCTGTTGTTTGAATGGAATTAAGATTGTTATTGATGTTTGTTATTTAAATTGCTTACTAGTTTGGCAAATTATAACAGTGGAATTGAAGACAAATTGTAGGACGGAATTGATGTTTAATAGAGAGTGTAATTTTTGAAATAATAAATTTTCTGATATATATATATATTTTGGTGAGGCGGTATGATTGATTGTGAAAGTGGGATGAAGTATATAATATAAGAAGAAAATTTTCTTTAATTAAAACTTATCTTTTGTACGAGAGAGAAAGAAATAAAGAGAACTCGATAGCAGTGGGCACCTTATAGATCTTAAATAACATTAAAACTTTTCTGGTAGAAAAAAGTTTTATATGTCACTGAGAAAAGACAAGGTGAGAGACAGTTTAAGGTTGACGTTGTGAAGTGATTGTGGTGGAGGTATTTTTGAACGTTTAGGGTTGGATATACAAAATAAAATGTGGAGAAGTTGAACTTTTCAAGGGAGAACTACGGAGCTGACTGGCGCGATGATGTCTTTTCCAAAAGCTGATTCCCGAGTTGGATATCTTTTTTTCTGTTGAGTATGTAAAGAAAAAAAAAGATTTGATCTGATAACCTAAAATAAATCTAAGAAGAGGAAAAATAAGAAGAAGAATCAGAAGAGATGAAAGAAATGAAGAGGGATAAAAAATAAATAAAATATTTAATGTTAATAAATTATTTTTGTTTTTTCATATAAAAAAATAGTTTATAAAGATGAAATAAATTAAATATGTATTATGATTGGCCAATGATTATTATTTGATTGTTTATTTTAATTGTTTTATTTGTTGTTCAAAGTGTATAATTTTTTTTTTTTTTGTTTATTAATATTTTTTTTTTTAATTTGCGAGTAATTTTACGAAATTATTATTATTTTGAAGATTTAATAAAGTCTTTTATATTACTTTTTATTTATTTAATGTTATTTGTATTTTGTAAAATGATTTATTAGATTTGTATATTATGTGTTTAATTTATTGATTGAGTGTTTTGTGTTGTTATTTATTATTTATGTTCATTCATTACCTTTATTGGGATTGAGATATTTGGTAAGGTTGAATGGGTAAGAATGTTAAGGGAACAAATTTGAGGAGGAGCCAAGAGTGAAGAGAATTCCAAAAATTAAAATAAAATTATAAAAATCAAAAAAAATATTATTTTTTTTCAATCATTTGTAAAAAAATATCAAAATCACTGAGAGCATAATAAGGCACCAAATTAGATGTTTGTTGATTTGTTTTTTTTGAAAAAACAAAAAGAAAAAATTGTAAAATTGTATGTGGTGGGTCTCACACTGCTAAACCCAATTTTGAATCAAAAATACCCACAAAAACAAAAAAATACGAAAAGTGAAAAATTTAGTAAAAATTGATTTAAAAAAAAAGACACCCCCATCAAAGACCAACATTATTTTGTGTTTTTTAAAAAACCAAAAAATATCTAGATTCACAATCACAGGGGTATGTGAGCGCAGGTGTTGTTTTATTTATTTTTTCTGCAAAACCATGAACCTACCATCTTCTTTTCAAATTGATCACTTTTTATGTGCTTTGTTTGCGCTTGCCTAAATTCTCGCAGTGTTTTTGCTGATGCAACGAATCAAAACTATTTGTCTCGCAATGCTTTTGGGAACTTTCACCATGAGGAAACTAGGAGCATCACTGATTGCCACCCAGATCAAACTCTCTGAGTATGAAGGAACAAAGTTATTTTCACTATCTTTTGATTTTTTTTTTTTTTTTTGTTATTTTTTTTAGGTTTTTTTTTCTTTTTCATTTTTAAATGGATGGTGTTGAATTTAGTTGCATTTCGATCTCCATATATAGAGATTTTATATGTTTAAAAAATGATTAAATTTTGGGATGGAATGGTTGTTTAATTTTGCATACAAACATATTTATGCTGATTTTTAAAAATATCTTTAAGAAAATGAAGTGTGAATTTTATTATTATTAGACAAGTGAGGCACTCTCAATCCTCAAATTGCAATTACATCAACATCAATGGCGATACAATGCAAAAAGCAATTTAATTTAATTTAATATTTGGAATTTCTCAAACAAGAGAGAGATATCTTTAAAAGAAATATCAAATTTCCCAAAAATTGTGGTAATATGGAATGGGTGTTGACTTTTGAACAATTGGGTGTTGTCTTGTGGTCAATTTGATTATAATATTTCAATTAAATAATTTAAAAAAAAAAAGAAATGATATCAAGATATTGAAATTCTTAGTTTTTAGAATCTAAAAATAAAAACAAAAATAAATTAAATCTATACCAGTCTATTTTATTTCCGGTTCTTCTTTTTAGTTCAAGAAATTGTTTTCGAAATAAGTCACCAGTCTATCGATATTAAATTTAATATAACAAATTGTTATTTTTGGGGAGTTTTATTTAAAATATAATTATATTTATACTGTTCGTATTGAATAATAATAGTTTAAGTATTTTTGTTATTTGTTGGTTGTTTTTTAATATACACATATATAAATTGGTTCTTTTTTTTTCTTTTTTTTTTTTTAATTTAATGAGCTATATCTGGCTCTACGTTTTCTTTCTCTACAACACTTGACTATAACATAAACAAGGAAGGAGGCAATCACCAAGAATATAAGTGAGAATAATACAATTAGGAATATGATGCTGGGTGGTAGCTTGTTTGCAGGGAATGACAATGTAAGGTATCTAGAGGATCCGGTGATGTCAAGTTCACCATCGGACAAAAGAGTTTGCTGCTGGAATTTACCAGTGATATTACTGGATTGACTTTCCATAATGTTGTATTGTTTCGATTTATCGATAGAGTCCTCACTGATATCGATCCAGCCCGACAGGTATATCGATCCAGCCGCGACAATAGGCGGAACCAATTCATCGAATTTCTCACGATAGATACTGAGTTCTGTGTAGTTTGATAGTATGAGATCTGTTGCCACATAGAGATCGCTCGATACCAACGACAGTTTCGACAACTCTTTGATGTTGAAGTTGGCGATTCCCGCGCTGCTGTTGGTCAGTGTCAGATAGCCGGTGCTCTGGAAACTGGTAAAGTTGAGAAGCGGTGACATGAAGTAGCACTCGGAACCATAGGCACCTGTGATCGACCCGATTACGATTGGAGTCGAGAGGTACAGTGAGAGGGCAGCTTTCTCACCGACATAGAAATGGCTGTTGTTTCCAGATGTCACCAAACCACTGTTTACAGTCAGGTTCGAATACATTTGAACGCTGGCCGAGACAATCTTGAGATTTTCAAACACGACGACACCACTGATCAAAAGGTTTCCAATAAGAGTACTTCCATTCGAGTAGATGTAGTTTACACTGCCACTGGTCACATCAAACATGATCTCTACATTGCTATTATCTATCGGTGTAGTTCCATTCTGCCAACTATTAGGATCATCAAAACTACAACCGGGTGAGACTGTACAATTTAAACTACTTTTAAAAATATATGCATCTAAAAATAAATAAAAATTAAATATATGTATTTTAGTATTTTCTTTTAAGATTGTTATACAACTTAATAGTTAAATAATACACAAAACAACATGTATTCTTACCATTAAATTGTTGTGATTTACAGTGATAAATCACATTGATTAAAAGTAATATAAATAATGAAAACCTATAGATATTTCTTTCGTGGATCATGAACATTATCAATTTTATAACTAAATGGGTAATTATATGTTCTACTCTAATGATGGTGTAAGTTTCTCGAGATTATAAAAAAAGAAAAAGTTAAAAAAAAATTTAATATCTTTTCGTAAGTGCGCACAGATTTTATATTATCGGAGTTTTGATTTTTTTTTTTTTACTCAAAAACCAGGGTTTGGAGTGAAAATTTAATTTATTTGAAGTGAATCGACACAACACCTCTAATAATAATAATAACAAAGTAATATTGAATGAATGAACAAATAAATCATTAATTTCTATATATCTTTGATTATGGCTGTGTTGCGACATACAACCGTCAGTCAAGGCATATAAATGTTGTGATTTGGAATAGAATGTGATTGTAAACTAGCATAGTCATGTGAGAATTATATACGACAACAACAACAACAACAACTTTGGTAAAGTTTAGTATTGTACAACACCAGCTAATTTAGATTATATTTATTTACACATTTTCTCTATCGATAGTCATTGATTGATAATCTCTATCTTTGTTTACTTGTTCATCTACTTGGTTTATGTTGATGTATTGTGATCTCTTCTTATATCTTGCCAACAGCTTCGAACCAACAACTATAAGAATGATTGCAGTGATAACTGCAACAATTGGTACTACGACATCTTTGACAAAACTAGGGAATAGGACCACTTGCGATATCTTTAAAACTAAGAATTGATTATTTCTTATTTCAGTTTCAGCATTTTCGAAAAGTTCAGGAAAGTATAATGAAAAGCTACCAGAAATGTTATGGTTCTGACTCTCCAACAGATAGTATTCACCGGTAACACCAGTGGTCACTTCCACATAGCCATTCAAAAAAATATTGCCTGCAACGATCATTGGTGGAGGTGCTGGAATAGCATTGAATACATCTTGATGAATATACAAAGTAAAGAGATAGTTACTAACAATGAAATCCGATGGTACATAAAGTTGGCTGTTGTAGAGTTTGAATTGCCAGAGATTGGTTGTGTCGATAGTTGTGATCCCTACTACACTGGTATTGAGAGTGACATAGCCACTACCGGTTACTTTGGTGATATTGATAAGTGGTGCTTGTAGATTGCTATAGGAACCATCTTCGGTGATCAGCGTTGCGAATTGTACAGGCGATTGAGAGGTGAATGAAAAATCAGACTTTTCGCTAATTGTAATCTGTGAGTATTCGCTATTGGTATAGAGAGTATTGGTTATCATTAGGGTGGAGCGAGCATTCAGTGTAATATTGATAACATTTAGGTAATCAAAGACCACATTACCAGTGACAGTGATCGATCCCATCATCGTAGAGTTTCTCGAGTAAAGGTAGTTAGGGAATCCAATACCATCAGGAAAAAAAACAACAACTGCATCACTATAGCTAGATGGAACCGATGCATTCACCCAATTGGCTGGATCTAAAAAATTACAACCCCCAGAATAAGAGCAGTCACTACCATTAAAAATAAATTCTATTTCAACATATTAATAAGATATCCAATAAATAATAAAGAAAATTAAATACCTTTTACATTATTAATGTTATTAACATTTGCAGAATAACTATAATTTAAAAAAGTAAATATGACAAATAAAATGGTTATTATTTTAATCATTTTTTTTTTTTTGATCACTTCTGTGAAAATATTAATTATTATTAACTCTTTTGCAAAAGAAAAGATGAGAGAATAATCATTTTGGGTGAGGTGTAGATCTTTTATTTATTCTTCTTTTTAAATCATTTTATCAAAATAAAAAATAAAATTAAAAATCAAAATAAATATTATTTTCGGGGATTGGGAAGTTGGGCAAAGGGGTGGAATCGACGTGGTGGCTAATTATAAAAATTTTAATTCGTTTTATTAAATAATAATATATTATTGATATTGTTTAGTTTTGATTTTGATTTTTTACAACTTGATGCACACTGTCTTTAGCTCAGTGTAACAATCGTATGAAAATTCACCACCCTCACGTCCAACACCACTTGCTTTCTGACCACCGAATGGAGTTCGTAGATCACGAATCATCCAACAATTGACCCAAACAATACCGGCCTCGATACGCGCCGCTACATTGTGAGCACGATTCAAGTTTTGAGTCCAGAGTGATGAGGAAAGACCGTATTGATTGTCGTTGGCATATTCAAGTGCCTGTTCCTCAGTGTCGAATGGACAGATGGTAACGACCGGTCCAAAAATCTCTTCTTTCATAACACGTGATTGTGGTGAGAGTCCGGTGATAATCGTTGGCTCATAGAAATAACCGTTTCTCAATGGACTGTTCTCCTCTCCTATGACAGCACGCTTTCCACCCAACTCTATCTTTCCACCCTCTTCACGAGCCAAATTAACATAGTATTCGATCTTGGCGAGATGCTCTGCGCTGACGAGTGCACCCATGTCGGTACCCTGTGCAGCTGGATCGCCAACCTTCCAGTTCTTTGCCTTCTCGACGAATTTACTTACAAACTGTTGGTAGATGGTGGATTGAACGTAGATTCTCGAGTTACAAAGACAAATCTCACCTTGATTGTTGAATGACGATCGCACAGAGGTGGTGACGCACTCCTCCAGGTTGCAGTCGTCAAAGACAAGCGATGGATTCTTTCCACCGAGTTCCAAGCTTAGCTTCTTGTTGAGCGGAGCAGCCAGCTTTGTAATGACCTCACCAGTCTTGGTGCCACCGGTGAACGACACCAATGGGACACTGGGATGCGACACCAGCGCACTTCCAGCGTTTGGACCAGTGCCAAAAACGATATTGACGACACCGGCTGGAACACCGACATCTTTCATCACCTGACACAACAGCCAAGCAGTGTAAGAGGTGATCTCCGATGGTTTGCAAACACAGGTATTTCCAAAAGCGATGGCCGGTGCAATCTTCCAGGTCAGCAAGTAGAGCGGTAAGTTCCATGGTGAAATCAAACCTGCTACACCCAACGGTGAACGCACAGTATAGTTCAACGCTCTAACGGGTGTATCTGTCATATAGGTCTTCTCTTCCAAATACAGAATGTAGCCAGCAAAGAATCTAAAGTTATAAGCTGCACGAGGAATGTCGAGTGATTTTGCCAATTGTACTGGTTTACCTTGATCTCTTGACTCTGCCTCTGCAAACTCTTGTAATCTAGCTTCAATACCATCAGCAATCTATATTAAATAATGATAATAATAAAATTAATATTACATTCATTTCATTTAATATTTCAACATTTAGTTCATTACTTTATTAAGAATAGCTGATCTCTCAAGAAAAGTCTTTGATCTCCATGCTGGGAATGCTTTCTTTGCAGCTTTAACAGCATTATCTACATCCTCTGCATTCGAATCTGGTACATAACTATAAACCTAATAGTTAGGTATTAATATTAGTATTAATGTAAGGTTTCAATTCTATAGAAACGTAATATACATACTTCTCCTGTAGATGGATTATAGTTGTTTACATATGCCTTTGACAATGGCTCAACAAACTCACCATTAATAAAGTTTGTCAAATTTAATTTACTTTGCATTATTTATTATCTTTTTTTTATTGTTTAAATACTTATTATTATTTACAATTAAATATTATTAACTATATATTATATATATATCCAATAAAAAATGTTCTCCTATGAATATCGAAATTTCTTGTTGTTTGGTTTTTTTTTTTCATTTTCAAACAAACTTTAAAGTTTTTTGCAAAAATAATAATTAATATGAACATATATCTAGCACAATGTACATAATTATTGGTATATTTTTGATTGTTTTTTTTTTTTTTTTTTTGATTATAATTATTTTAATGTGATTTATTTTTTAAAGTATTATATTTATTTATTTATTTTATTATTATTATTATTATTATTATAAAATCAAAGTGAAAGAAGTTGTTTAAGCAGCCTCACTTTCAGCACCGGCAGCCTTAATCTTGGCAATAATCTTATCTGCTTCCTCCTTTGAAACCTTGTCAGCGATGACAGATGGTAACTTTTCAACGAGACCCTTGGTCTCCATTAAACTTAGTGATGGCTTGATCTCTCTTAACTCTTTAATAATCTTGTATTTAGCACCCTCTGGTACCTTTGTCAAACGTACTTGGTACTCTGATTTTGGTGGGGCAGCTGCGGCGGCTGCTGGAGCAGCAGCACCAGCTGGAGCAGCACCACCTCCCAATGATCCTATATCAATATCTGGAATACCTAATCTAGTCTATATTCATTTATTTATAAATTAAATTTGATTAATATATGATTGTTGTTGTTGTTGTTGTTCGTTGTTGATATTATTGGAGTTGATTTGTCATCCTATTACTCTATCTCTCTCTTTTTTTTTCTCTCTATTCTATTCTATTTCTGTTATTTCTTTTTCTTTTTTTTTTTTTTTTTTTTTTTGTTTAATGACATACTTGTAATAAACTGGTCAATTCAATAACTTCAAGTAAACTCAACTTTTCGATTTGTCCAACGATATCTTCGACTTGTTTTGAGACATTCTTGTCAGTTGAGAAATAACGATTTCCAATCATTGAAGAAGCTCCATTTATACATCTTTGTGAGTTAATCATACATCTATTGTTTGTTATTGAATAAAAATAAGTATAATTAGTTAAATATTTCATGATTAACCTTTTGATCTCTATCTATTATCTATCTATCTATTGATTGATTAATTGCTCTTAATATCTAATCGATTATGTCATTCGCCATCTGATATGAACTAATTAATTCTATAATTACTAAAAGTGAGTCACTCACTTGTAATTATCAAATTTTGATTAGATTCAATTCAATTAGGAAGTTGACAAAACCGATGAAGTTTGTTGTTTGTTGGTGTTGAAAATCCATGTTGAAATCATGATTAATGGTTCATTTCTGTAAGTTCCTGATTATCATTTTACTGATTGATAAATTTTATTTCTATCCTGTACTCTGACTGCCAACTACGTTTCTGTTGATTTTGATTTTATTATCCTTCTTCTTTTTTGTGATGATCTGATCTACTGTGATTTATCTGATTTCTATAGAATCCAGTTATTATTTCATTTATTGATAATGAACTGCCTACCTTGAAGAGTATGAAAACAATCTGAGTGATCTTGACATCATTTTTTATGGAATTATATATAAAATGATTGTAATACAACAATAAAAAAAAAAGATGACACTAAAATGATCAAAAAAAAAAAAAAAAAAAAAAAAAACAATTCAAAAAAAAAAACGAAATGAAAATTAGTGTTTTTAGACGATCACACACTAACAATGAAAACCAAAATCTCAAAAAAAATAAAAAGTAACGTTGGCACAAATAACAGTGCTCATACTTTAAGGGGTAAGACCATTAACCTTTATAAAGTTGATCAATGTCTGAATATCAAATAAAATTAAAGGTTATAAAGTTGACTTTCTTTTTGTTGTTAAAATATAATATATAATATATGATACAAAATTTTTTAATAATAGATTTTTTTGTTTTTTTTTGAAATTGGTTGTTTGCTTCAGAATTGTACAGTAAATCGTGAAACCAATTGGTCAGTTAGTTGGTTGGTTACTACTCGTTTTTTAAGCCAAGGCAAACATGTCAAAGAGTTGTTGGAGAGTGATGTGGATCATACCAGTTCTCATTGGGTCGGACCATTCAAACAATGAACGGGTCAAAGCAACAGAGGCACACAAATTCAAGTATTGTGTGAATAGGAGTGGTGCTCCTGTTGGTGAGTATTTCATAAAGTAGAGATTGACTGTTTGGAATGGTAAGCTGAATCCTGCAGAGGCCAAAGCAGAGTAGATTTCACGAACATCAATAGTTCCAGAGAAATTCTATATTATTAAAGTGTTTTAATGTAAATTAATGTTAGTCAATCAACGATCAATATTGTTTGTTTAGTTGAGCTTTCAGTATAACATACTCTGTCGTTGGCAGCGAAACATCTATAGAGGTGGTTGATGAAAGCATGGAGAGCGGCATACTCGTAGAAATCGATTTGACCATTTCTATTTCTGTCGAAACATCTAATCAACTTGTTGGCAGTATCGATACCGAGTGGAGTTCCACCGATCACAAGATATTGGAGTTCGTGACTGCTGATTGTTCCAGATCTATCTCTATCCATAGAAATGAACCAAGCATTCATTTCCATGAGTTGTTGTTGTTGTAATTGAGCATAGAGGTTGTAATACTATAAAAAAAATAAAATAAAAAAACAATTATTAGATGATCTGATAATCAGATAAATAAAACTTTTTTAAAAAGTAAAGATAGATATAAAAAAGATAGATAGATAGATAGATAGATATAAAAATAAAATTGATTTTTTTAACAAACTTGACTTACCCACATACCCTGCATAACGACAGGGGCTTGGAATTGAACGACAGTGGTCATCATTGGTTGAGCTTGAAAGTACATATATGTTGAAGATTGGATAAGGAGTAAATTGAAGCCTTTATATATTAGCAAACAACACTCTAACTCTTTGAAATTTGAAAAAAAAAAAAAAGATTATTGGGATAAAAAAAAATTATTAAATATTTAATAATTAATTGTATGTGTGTTTTTTTGGTGAAATGATTTCAATTTTTTGTGACATAAAAAGGGTTGAGTCTCACCAAACAAGTTTTAAAATGTTTGATTCTTTGAAGAAAACAAACAAAAAAATTTGTGTGAAAACGCAGTGCATATTCAGACAAAATCAAAAAATAAATTAAATTAAAAAAAGTGATATTTTTAACTTAAAGCTATAACCTCAGTTTGTTACCTCTAACACTTTAAAGTACACTTACTGACAAATCATTTATATTCTATTCTATCCTGGGGTGTTCAACGTTTTTTGTTTTAATTAAAATTAAAATCTAATTCTTAAAAATTCTTTTTATAAATAGATCTACATAAAAATATTATATAAACCGAAAATAACTAACCAGATAAATAATGAAAAATAAAAAATAAAAAACAAATATCATTTTAATAGGATATGTTTAGGTTTCGTGTAAAGATATTTGGGAATATGAACTTATCAATGTTAAAAATTCTATTTGTTAAAAATCAATGTTTATTTACTTTCCAAATGGCACAGCAATGATAAAAAAAAATAGTTCTCGAGAGTCTATTGTAATAGGTTGGGAAGTAACTTTTGTGAGTGTTATGCTTGCCGTGAGGATTTAAGATTAACCAAAGATCGCTTTACCTCTTTTAATAACTATCTAGAGAAAAAGTAAATATATTGAGTGAGGAAAAAACACAAATTTTTTTTTTTTTTTTTTTTTTTTGTGAAAAAAATTGCATTTGATTCGTTTTATTAGATCATTTCTGCAACAGACAATATAAATATATTATTTAATTTATTTAAAAAATGAATAGAAATATTATTCAATTATTTAATAACACATTAAAGAGTGGATGTTTCACTGTTAGATCATCACCATCGATCAATTCTGGTGCATTCTTGTTACAACAACAACAACAACCAGCAACTTTTTATAGATTACCAGAGGCAGCAACTTTCGAACAATCAATGGAGACAGTCATGAACAAGACATCAAGAAAGATGCTCAAAAGACATAGAAAGAAGGTCAACGGTACCAAATCAAATATGAGAAGATTATAAATGCATTTAAACAAAGTAAGTGTTATTGATTATCTTTCAGTTTAAATAATAAATACGAACTAACCATTTTCACTAAACTAGTTAGAATAAAACAAATAGAAATTAAACAATATCAATAATCAAATATTTCATTAGCAACTATCTTTATTATTATTCATTGGTCATCAAAGTTTCTTTTGTTCAATCTTGAATTCAAACAGTGTCACGAAATCACAATATTCATAACCGGTTAAAACTCTTAACTAAATTAGTTGATCAAAAAAGGATGAATATGATTTGAAAAAAAGTAGGGATATATTAATTATTATAAGGGGAGACGAGACAGACAGTTAAAAAAATATTTTAAAAAACCAATTTATTATTTTAATCAGATGGATTGATAAGGGCTACTATACTCTGCCATGTACCTAGTACGGTTGCACCAACACCGAAAATAGAGATGATGATGTTGAAAACAAATTGAAGTCTGCTTTGATCTGGGAAGAATTTAATGTGAACTAATGGGGGAACCACGAAACCAGCAATGGCCAACATCAGAGATCCAATCAGAGATGTGTACGATCCAAAGTTGGTGATGGTGGTGGCGACCGCTGCCAAAGCGGCAGTCAGTGCAATACGGAGAACGTAGAACTTCCAGTTGCGGGAGAAGAACAGTTTGTCGCCGTTGTCGTCGGTGTCACGCTCTGGGAACGCCGAGAAGTGACGGTGGAAGAACTCAACCGATGAGTCGACTACGTTGAGTCCGGCACCGCAGACGATCGGGAACGAACAGGTCAACTCGAACACCACACACATTCTCACTACCTGTGCGAAAGCACCCTGTGGCAGTGCTTGTGTGATCGAGGAGGGCACACCAACGTGACCCTTGGCATCGACGTAGAAATCAAAGTAGAGATAGGCGAGTGTTGCAAACACAACATTGACAATGGTGATAAAGATCATTGCGTAGTCGAGAATACGTGGATAACGGGCACAGTCGCCACTGGCGTGTGACACCGGAATCACAACGATATGATTACAAAAAAAGAAGGCGGCTACACCAAACCACAATGGAATATTCGCGTAATCCACCTTGTAATCCTCGTACGGTTTAATACTATAGTTGATTCCACCATATGCCAAAACAGTTCCCATAGCAAGCATCAACGATAATGCACCAAAGATACTAGTATATCCTAAATATTTCCTGGAGAAATCAAAAAGATGTTAACAAACTTTTTCCAAAAAAACAAACAAACAAGCAAACAAACAAAAACGAACTTACATATCGGTTAAAAAACATAGGAGAATAATTACGGGTAAAACGAACCAGATGATAACTTGTTGATTGTAGTGACAGAGTTCACCAAAGTTCTCACCGATCAATATCAGATAGGCGATACAGATGGACATTGTCACTGAAAAGTTCATGAAACATACAAAGAGTTCACCGATACGACCGAATGCACGACGACCTAAATCCGCATAGGATGGTGGTCGTTCAGAGTCCATCTGTTGCGATACAAACTCTATATTACATTTTAATAGCAGTCCCATCGTATAGTTTGAGAGTAAAGCAATCAGTACTAAACCGATTGATCCAATCCAAATACCAGCTTGCGAAACTGCCCATCTATTATATTATAAATTATATAGTTCATTTTAAATTCGTTAATTATCTAATAATAATAATAATAATAATAACAATAGATTGTTAAGTACTACTTACGGTAGAGCGAATGAACCAGCACCTGCGAATGCCTTTACGGTATTCCAGAATGCTGGGTGTGGTGAGAATTTCTTGCCTGAATCGTGTGATTCAATACCTATATCACCACCGTTGATCAAAGGTGATTTCTCATGTGATGACATCCTATTTTTTAACATTTATCACTTTCTTTTGTTTTTTTCTTTTTTTCCTTTTTCTTATATGATGTATATGATGTATATGATATGATATGTATTTATTTATGTATGTATAAGATCAACTTAAAAAAAAAAAAACAATAAAATCTAATCTGACAAAGTAATATTACTAAAATATATTATTATTATTATTGTTGTTATAATTAATATTAAATAAATAAATATGAAGTTATGATATCATCTATAGATAAATTTGAATTGAATTCAATTAAACAACTATGATAATAAGCTATAACTGATCGAAAATTGGGTAGTGTCGGTGTTTGTCTTGATAATATCAAAAAAAAAAAAATTCTTCTTTTTTGGTTAAAATTTTTTACAAAAATCAATTTAAAACCAAAACAAAAATAAAAATTCCACAAAATTATTTTAATTGAATAAAATGTTTTTATTAATTATAGTAGTAATAAATATATGATATATTATATTTGGATAAAAGAAAAGTTTGTGTAAATAAGTTTATATAAATAAAATCAAAATTTTAATTTTTCAATAAAGTGTTATAATTTTCAATTGAATTTTCTATTTTTTTAAAGTAGTTTGTGAGTATAAAAAAATAAAAAAGTAATAAAATTAATAAAAATACATCAAAAATCAAGGTTCTTTCCCACTACTTTTGTTTCTATTTTTCAACCGACGTCAACACAATTTTATTCTTTTGTTGGTGTTTTTTTAGTTTTTTTTTTGATTGAAAAGCACCAATGATGGAGTTGCTTCCGCCAATATATATCTTTACCTTCTTTGTTTTAATTCTGATTTGCATTCAAAATAAATATCATTGGTTCCATAGATGGTTCGGTTCGATTGATATGTGTTTCTTTTTGCCATCTTTGTTTACTTCGTATCAACTTATTACAATAATATTAAAAATATCTATCCAATTACATAAATACATACTAATAAAGTATAAATCTTTAAGTTTTTATTTTAAAGATTAGAGATTGAATTTTATTGAAATAGAAAATAAATACAGCTTTAAAATTTAAAAGAGTAATAAAACACACATGTGTACTAATTGTGCATTGAACACAAGTTTGTACTTATAAGTATTTTGTGAATATTGGTTTTATAATAAAGAAATAAAATTTATGTATATTTTTTATCTGCTGCTCTTAACTCTTTTGTTCATTATATATTTAAATAAACCAAAAAAAAAAACAAACATGAATCGAGATATCTCACTTGATTTCGACACCAATCAGGTGATTCTCTCTACTTAGCAGCCGCCAGTCAACAAGATTCAATCGAATAGCAACAGCTGGACAGTCTACCAAATCGCACCGAACGACTATGACTTACAAAGCAATGCAATGTATTGATATTTAGATGCAAACGTCCATCAGCTACACCCACCAACACTTATATCTCATCATCTTGCCAATCCATGCAAAGGTACTTTGGTTATTAACTTAAATTATACAATCATTAATAAGTTGACCAAATCATTTTTTTTTTTTATCTTTATATTTTTAACTTTTAAAAAAAGTGGGGAATACTGTTGAATATCAATATGAAACTACATTTAGAAACTCTAATAACTCGATTTTTGATACCTTTCGGTGATCTTTAGACTAAATGCAGTTAATCTTGAGCATTGACTCAAAAGAAACCCAAATGAAAATTAATCCAACGTTGATTCTTAAATAGATGAAAAAAAAAAATGAAAAAAAATAAGAAAAAAAAAACTAAAAAAAATAAAATAAAATAAATATAGAGAATTCGAACTTCTTTTTTAACATCCCTAAGAATCCAACTTATAGGATAAGATTCTGTTTGTATTATTTTCTTGATATGTTTGTTCTTTTAGCTAAAAATTTTTAATTTTTAATTTTTTTTAGAACTTTTTCTAAACAAAAAATCGTATAAAAGTTTAGAAAGAATTCATAATGAGAAAAAACAAAAGATTGTAATTTTTAAAATTCTAATATTTATATTATTAATCAATATATTCAATTGAATGGAAGATAAAAGACCCATTTATAATACTTTTAAAAATAAATATTTATTAAAAAAGATTTTACAGCAATGTCAGAAAATAAATAGAACTATAGATATTATATCGCTTGGCGATAATCAATGGCGATTCAAATACGGCCACTACCAAAGATTATCAAATGTAGTTGATTCCGGTCACTATGGTCTAATTCTCGATAAGATAAAGATTACACAATCGCTGGCGATCACCAATGAGTGCATTGGAAAGCTAGTTAGATCGAGTGGTGTTGACGATCAGCTCTTCAATGCTGTCTATCAATTGAAACAATGGATGTTTAACGATGAGAATCTACTGTTCTATGCAGTTGAATCTGGCTCACTGGAAAGAGTAAAGCTATTGGTGAATCAAGAGTACCCAGTGGTATTGAATAGATTGCCAACTTCAAAGATAAAGATGAACATTCAGACTTATGCTTGGTGTCAATTGAAATTCGAGATATTCGACTATCTGTTGTCTGACCAAGTTAAACACCATCAGGATGGAGGAGAGCTAGCAGATATATCACCGAAATTGAAAGCGGAATGTCTTCTTAGATCGATTGGATCACTTAAAGATTTGTCTATTTTCCAAACGATCTGGGAGTCGGAAGAAGGTAGCACGTTGTACAATATCAAGAAAGAATTGATGCTGGCAAATCAATTTCAATATCCAAAACAACTCATTCAAAAGAAGAATGGAATTTCAATTGCCAAAATGATGTTTCCAAACTACAAACCAAATCTTGACCATCTAGATGTGTATTTGTTTAATAGTTCAAGTCTCGATAATCGAGAGTATCAATTGGAAGTGATGAATTATGTTGCAAAAAATCATAGAGGTATGGAGAATGGACTACCGTTTGACAAACTAAAGTTGGAGGTGAAACAATCCTTAGTTTCTGCATATGAGAAGCTGTGTTTAGATGGTTATCAAATAGATAGGTCAGAGTTGGATAATCTTGAAAAGTTTGAATATCTTATGCTTATATGCAAGTGTATCGGATTGTTGGAGAAAGGTTATGCTTCAATTCAAAATAGCCCGCTTTATTGGTTCAGGTTGAATCTTTACAAGCATTGTGGTTTAATTGGTTTGATATTTATACTATCGATTTCAGTGAGTAAGATGACACTGCTAAACGAGTTGTTTACTCATGGCACACTGGAACAAGTGCGGCTTGCAAGAAAAGTATGGGTGAGCATCGGGGGTAGACATATGGTATTCGATTGGTGTAAAGCTAGCTTTGATAATCCAGATCCATCAGTATTTAAATATCTTATCTCACTCTATGGAATGGAATATTTGGTTAAACTGTTCCAGCATCAATATAGTTCCATATCACCTGACACTACTGATAGATTGGAACTTTGCTTGGCGATAGATCCCGGGCTCAGTTTTGTCAGATGCGTGGAAAGGTTTGAATTGCAATCGATTACACCGGAGTACATAGACCAATTAATCATTCTTTGGAAGAAGGAAATCCATACTCCTGCAATCACATCGATGATACATCTGTGGCAAGGTTGTTACATGAACAACGATATTTATAGCTTCGTTAAGCTGTTGGAGATTAGAGACGATGTTGAATGTGAAAATTTTCATTACCTTCAAAGATTGTTAATAGCTTCGATTCGCTCACAAAAGTATCAGTTTATCATTGCGATATTGAAGAATCACATTTCACTTTTGGAGAACGTCATTGATGAAGTGGGAATTTGCGGTGACATTCGTGTCATAGAAACTGTGATCGAGTGCTCACCCAACGGAAAACTACAAAATAATCAACTCAACACATTGGCTCACTATCTATTCCAGAGCGGACATTTCGAGGCAATCGATTATCTAAGAGCGACATTCCCAGAGAAAGAGTTAAATTGGTCAGGTTTTGTGGTGTCAACTATTTTTCTCGGTCGTTTGGACGTAGTGAAATACTATATAGACAACTTTGCCGATGATATTAGTCTACCATTGATTCTCAGTCAATCTATAGTCTGTGGTCAATTGGACACATTCAAATATCTAATTGAATACTCTAACAATACAGATCATGATACTACTTATTTGCTTCAAACATTTTTTAATGAGCCTAACCTCAGATCAATATTGAACTCATCGTCAGCAGCACTTATACTAAGGTATGCAGTAAGTCTTGGTGCTAAAATAGAGATAAACGAAAAAATTCTTCAAATAGTACAAAAGAAATCGATACAAACAATCAGATTTTTCAAAGAATATCAAGAACAACAGCAACAACAGCAACAGCAACAAATTGAATAAAATTTTTAAAAGTTTAAATAACCAAAAATATAACTCTGAACATTTTTTTCCAATACCAACACCACATCATCTTATAATTCTTTAATTTTTGAAATTATTAACTTATAAAACATCACACAGATCACGAAAAACAAAAAAAATAACAAAAAAATTATGTTAAAATAACCTCACAGTTATAAAAGGGGTTCTATTATGAACTTTTCATAATAAGCCTATTTTTAAAAACTGCAGTAATAAATATATTCTCTCTTGATGATTGTTGACATGTCTTTGATTATAAATAGTTATGAAAACATATCATAAATTGTTAGTTAGTTAGCTATAACTTTATAACAAACAAACAAATAATTAATTAATTAAATAAATAAATAATGATAAAGATTAATAAACTATATTTATTTCTTTTAATACAAATAATATGTTCATTTTTAATAGTTTCAGCTAGATATGATAATACTGATGATGATCCTGATTATTGTTGTGAAGGTTATTTTGATGACAGAACAAATAAATCGGTGTGTACATCGAAAGTATATTCAAAGAGTTCATGGTACTACTATCATTGCGGTTCAGTGGTGTCCTATACCAATAGCTATGATGGTGAAGCACTGGTATGCGATGAATGCATCAAAAAAGACACAACCAATTTAATAATAACAATAATAATAGTATGTTGTATTGGTGGATTGTTAATCATTGGAATAATCATAGGAATAATAATATATAAATGTAAAAAATCTAAGAGAAACAAAAAAAACATAACAACCACTTCAAATCTGGAATAACAAATAAAATAAAATAAAATAAAATAAAATAAAATAAAGATTGTATTGTATTGTAATAAAATTAAGATCTCTTAAACATCTTTCTACACTGGTCGTAGACTTCAGATGAATATATTGATTGTTTTGATTGTAGAAATCTCCCCAAAGAATATATTCTAGAAGTTTGAATTATTAGGGAATTCCACTCGAGTGTGTTTTGTTTGATTCTGAATGATTGATTTACTTAATATCGAGGGATTACCTTTTCATTGAATGATGTCATCCATCTGCCTCAGTAACACACAAAAAGATGATCCGAAGTTGAACGACCTTTTTAAAAAAATAACAAAAAGAAATTTAAAAAAAATTCATTCATCATCTGAAGTTTGAAAAAAAATCTAATAAAAAAATCTCTTAAAAAAAATCATCTAGTTTATTTTAAAATTAATTAATCTGTTTTATTTTTGACAGTCACATCACGACATTTTCTTTTAAAACAAGATCAATCAAAAAAACAGTATCTTTTTCGAAAAAAGCACAAACTAAACGCGAAAAGTGTTGTGTTTATACAAAATATAAATATCATATAATATAAAAATTTAGTAGTACAAATCTAGACGAATCTAGACAAATCAAAACAAATCAGAACAAATCTTCACTACAGCACAAATCAAGACACATTATATCAAGACATTTTGTATATATTTAAAGATTATTTAACTATTTATTTATTAAGTTATTATAGATTTATTTATTTATCATTAAGTTGGATTATTATTTTAAACTTTATTATTAAGGATTCGAAAGTCCGACTTTTTTTTTTTATTTTATTTTTTTTGCCGATAAAAACCCAAATATCTTTATTGTAAGTAAATAAACACCACGTCTATGTTGCAATCAGACATTACCCATTGAAAAAACAATGATCTTTAAACAAAAAACACCAAAAAACAAAACTTGATAAGTTCCCATTTTTAACATTCCATGGAATCATGCAGCTTCGATCAAGTTTTTTATCCTTTCACATTATTTTTTTTGTGCAATTTTTTCATCATGGTTTGCAAAATTTAACCATATTTCGAAATAAAAGTTGGAGTAAAAGTTGTTGAAGAAGTTGTTTTTGCTTTACATTCATAGCTATATTATACTTACAATATATATATTCATTTTATTATAATTAAAGTTGTTCGAGACACTAGATACAGATAATTTCTGTGTGAATATAATATACAGAAACAAGAATCATTTTTTTGTAAATACTATTTATTTATAATAACAAAAAATTAATTAAATATTCCATCCATTTCAAAATAAAAATACAACAAACAAAACAAAATAGAATAGAATTGTTGAAAACTTTGTAAGTTAAGGTTATAAATATCTGTCAGTTTAGTATGATTTTCTCACCTAGAAAGTAAAAAAATTAAGAATAGAAATAGAATTCTTGATAATTATGTTGTTGGAGATTGTTTTTTTATTTTTTTCAGGCAAATGAATCAAAATTTCTATCACATATTAATGTCAAACCAATGATGTAAAAGCAGAATAACAATTTATTATTCGACAAATTTTAATTGTTTTTTAAAATTTCACCACGTTTCACCAACAATCAGATTTTTTTTTATAAAAAATTAATTCCCCATTTTTCACACTCTTAATCATTTTTCACCCAAATCACCAATAAGAATCATTATTTATTTATTAAAGTTTCACCAAAGTACACACAAATATCGGGTAATTTTGAATATACCATTCATTAGTTTTTTTTTTTTTGCAAATAATGATTATTCCATTGGCAACCATCTAATGTTACCCCTTTTTTTTTTTGTAATTACAACCATTAATAATTAATTACCATTAATAAGGGAACCGACCACCACATAATCATATTTTTTTGAAATAGGAGGCGTCGGGGGATTCTAAATCTCAACACGAAATAATTGCAGAAAAAAAAAATTAATAAAAAAAGAAAAAAAAATAAAACAAAACTAAATCCAGCGACGCACAATGATCAATTGACATACCCAACAAGATCTACATTATCTCTACAATCAAATCCCATTTTATTTATTCCTCACATCACACAAGATTATCATTTATCATTTTGTAATAATTCTTTTTATTTTATTTTATTTTATTTATTTATTTATTTATTTATTTATTTATTAATTCAGACATCAACAACAATAAATAAGGACAGACAACAAGTTATCCTTTCCATTTAAGTTTACTTTTTAATAGTAAATAATAGTAAATTAATTAAAAAATGTAATGTATTTATTTATTTTAAAATTTTGATTTCCAAATCAATTTAAACTTAATATGTTAATTAAATGTCAAGTGTGTTTTTGGTGTTTTTTCATTGGTAAACAAATTTAGATTTTTATCATTGTTTTTTTTTTTTTTTTGGTTTTTCATCAATTAACAGTTGTTGTGGTTGTTGTGTTATTTAATTATTGTTTAAAATAATAAATTAAATATTCAACAAATTATTTAAAAATTGAATAATTGGTGGTGATAACACGATATATATTGTATATTTCGACTGTTGTTTCCAATCTAATGACATTTTTGCATTAAAGGTCATCTGATAAAACTACACATATCCACAATATTTAAAATATATTTGAAACATAGAGACAGATGACAATAAATCAATAGTTACAAAGCAAACCTCTATCTATAAGAAAATGGATAATTAGGTTCATTCAACAACATTTCAAAATCTTCATTGATAAATTTATCTTACTTCTTTTATAAAATTTAAAACCACAAAATATTATAAATATTATTACTCTTTGTATACATTTTTATACCAACACATTAATAACAATAACAACAACATTCTATCACTACTTATCTGTTAATAGAAATTAAATCAACTATCAAACTCTTAAATTATCAAATTATCAAAACTAACTTTACTAATTATCTAAATTAAATTAAAATTTTTTATAAAACAGTATAAATTTCTAATTTTAGAATTAAATTATATATTATATATAAATCACTTTGTAAACAAACTGAATATTATCATAATTATTTGTAAATAATCATAGAATCAGTATCAAAATATAATATCAAAACAATATATAAAGTTATAAGAATGGGAGTACCTCATTTCAGCAAAATAATAGCAGTGACATTGATTATATTTTGTTTAGCCAATGTTAGCCATGGACTACGGACTAATCCGTCATCCCAACACTCTGTTTCAAATTCCTACACAGCATATAACCCAACATTGACCAATCATTTCGAAAGTCTTGATTCTACCGGTTGTCATGATTGCTTAATGGGATATGTTTGTATAAATAATAATTGCTCGTAAGTAAAAGAAATAATAATAATTAAATATCAAATCAAATTGAGTCAATCAAATAATAATAACTTAAATACACAAACATAGTAAATGTCATACCGATGAACAATGTAAAGATAGTATGGGATCACAAGCCGTTTGTCCTGCAAGCGGTATCTGTCAACATAAATCATTGTTCCACAACCAAATCACTGCACTCGATATTGTAGGAATGGCTTTACTCTTCTTGGGTTGTGCATTGTCATCCGGTGGTGGTGTTGGAGGTGGTGGAATCTACATCCCAATTTTAATTCTCGTTAATAAGTTTAGTCCAAAGACTGCTATTCCACTTTCAAATGTAAGTTATAATTAATTAAAAACAATCAATCAATAATAATAATAATAATATTAATTTAAAACAAAAAGTGTTTGGTAGCAGGTTGTTCATTTGCAAATTTAATTCAAAACTTCCCAAGAAGACATCCACATGCAAACAAGCATCTTATCGATTATAGTGTAGTGCTTCTGATCGAACCACTCACTCTTGGTGGAACTGTGTTTGGTATCTACTTGCACACTGTCTTGCCACCCTATGTCATCTTGATTTTATTGGTAGTCACTCTGACTGCTACTTCTGCAACCACCTTTAAGAAAGGTCTTGATTTAAGAAAGAAAGAAAACACCAAGAAAGAATATTTATTAATTAACAATAATTCCGATGCATATTTAACACCAGAAAAGAAAGTTAATCGTAAGTAACTTATAAGAAACATAAGAAGTTATAATATTATAGACAATGATTAACTAACTAATTAATTAATCAAACTATTATTATAATGATTACAGCATTCTTAGATGCAGATTGGGTAAAGATATTCGCTATTCTATCAATTTTAATATTATCTACAATGTTCTCTGTGTTTAAGGGAGGTGATTCAGAGGTGAGTTTGATTGGAATCAAGTTGTGCTCACCACCATATTGGGTGTTGTCATTTGCTATCTGGCCGATCATTATCATCACATGGATATTCACTGCAAGATACTTGTATGGTCAATGGTTGAGAAATCAGGCAGATGGAACAATCATTGAGGGTGACATCCGTTATTCACGTAAAACCATCATCTTGTTGGGTATTCTGAGTGTGGTCGCCGGTATCTTGGCATCGCTACTCGGTATTGGTGGAGGTATGATTAAAGGTCCAGTTCTGTTGGCAATGGGTCTGAGTCCAGACATTGTCGCCGCCACCTCTAGTTTTATGATTCTCTTTACATCGGCATCGTCTGCCTTCCAGTATATCCTGTTGGGTAAGCTTCGTTTGGACTATGGTTTGGTCTACTATATCATTGGTTTCGCAGCTTGTTTCGTCGGAACTCAAACCTTGATCTGGGTGGTCAACAAATACAAGAAGAGATCCTACATTATTTTCTTGATCACAGCTATCATTGTTATCAGTACCATTCTATTGGTCGTCACCGAAGTATTGGATTTGGAGAAATACAAGAATCAACCATTCCAATCCATCTGTTCTCCAGGTTCAGGTGGAAGTTCTTAAAGAAACTATTTCAATTACCACTTACTTTTAAATATATATACATATATAATATTATAATCATTAAATTAATCTTTTAATACCCATTCCCATCATCACAAAATTTAAACATTTCTTTTTTTTATTCTACTTTTTTTTTTTTATGTAATAATATTTATTGAATTGAATTCTCTGAAACTCAACAAAAAGCTTTATTTTGCGATCTCTGAAAAAGATTTTATTTGAATAATTTAATTATTTATTTGTTTAAAAATATTTTTATTAATAATAGATAAAACATTTATAATATTATGATGTATTATTATATCTATTCACACTTTCAAAGGAATAAGTTAGCATTAATGAAAAAGAGTTATTAAGTGTTTACAAGTGTTTATTAAAGTTTTCAAAATTTGTTCATTTTTTTTTGTTTATTATTATTTAATTAGTTAATTATGAGTAATAATAATAATAATATATACTTTGAGAAACAAAGTTTGAAACTATGTGGTTTACACACTATTAATAATCTTGTATGTATAATAATATTCTAAATGTTATATAATAGTAATAAGTATTACTTTGATAGTAACAATCTTTGTTTTTGCTTATTAAAATAGTTACAATATAGAGCATATACAAGAAGTGAACTTGAACATATTGCTTATGATTTAGATCAAACAAAGAAATGGATAAACCCTCATAAAAACTTTTTGTAAGTAGATAGTTGTTGATGGTTGATTACTTAACGTAAAGTGTCTGACACTCCTCCTCTTATAATTCATTGTCTTAGTGGTCTGGGTAATTATGATGCAAATGTCTTGATTGTTGCACTGAATAGAAAAGGTTTTGAAGTTAAATGGTTTGATAAAAGAAAGAGTATGTTTTGTTTGTTTGTATTATTGTCGCATGCGATATTCAATAACTACTACATCTTAAATAAATATAGGGTTAGATGAAATTGATTTTGATAAAGTATATGGTATCATTGTAAATTGTATGCTAAAAAAGATAATGGGACTATGGAATTCAAGACATTGGTTTGGAATAAAGAATATGAATTATATATCTACAGAGTCAAAAACAACTTCTGAGACTACCACCTCATCTACGCAACCACCCTTAACAACAACACCTTTCAACTATTGTCTTTTGAATTCAGAGACAAATCCGATAGTATTTCAAGCAAAACAAAATGTAATAACTTAATAGCTATCTAATGCTCTTAAATATTAAACAAAACTAACATCTAAACCTTTACACTTTCAACTTTATTAGTTAATAAACTATTTAGCATCTTTTATCAATGAAAATGCAGAGGTACTATTAGTTTACGAACAATCTACACTTGCAGAACAAGAAAAACAACAACAATAGTAATAATAAATAAGGCTGTACAGGTATTAAAAGTCTCTTTTATTTTTTGATGGTTTGACTTTTCATATGGGTTAGCCAGCATTGTATATGTTTTTTTATCAAAATATCTGATGAACTTACGTAAAAAAGATATTTTTGATTTTATGTTTTAAATTTGTACAGCGATCCTTTTAATTTTAAATCTTTAAAGATTATAATTGTAAATTGTTCAAAACAATAAAAGAATCAAACTTAAAAATGAATAGTAATTTTAGTAGTGAAAATTTATGTTAATTACATCAAAAACAATTCGATTATATTTGCTTAAATTGTTTGTTCTGGTTGTTTTGCTAATCATTCAAATCATAAGTTTGAGAATATAAATAATATTAAATTAAATTTAAAAAAGAATGGTATCAGTAATAGTAAATCAAATGATTGTTTTATAAAGAGTGAAATAGCTAAATAACTATGATGATTACCCAATAGTCGATCAATCAAGCCAGCTAACATATTCATTGGAGATTCAAATCTACAAAATCAAACAGTTGGCCGGTATTTATAGAGTGGCGAATTAGAATCAACCTTTGCTTTTTGCCAATCTTGTATTTTTTTTTCATTTTTCTTTTACAGTTAATTTATAATGGATGTTTATAATTCTGAAAGTATATGTACATTAGAGCATAGAAAATCATTCATTTGTTTAACTTGTAATATTCTTTTGTGTTCACAATGTGTTGTCAATCATTATAATCACGACAGTCAAGATGTTGAAACATTAAAATCAAATCTCACTCTCTCATCCACTTCATCAAATATAAGTACAATTCATAATAATAATAATAATAATTTTAAAATAAATAATCAAATTGAATCGATATGGAATCAACTTAAAGATAATACAACACAATACAATCGATTCGAATTAAGATCGAATGAAATATCATCACACTTTCAAACACTTCATGAATATCTTGTCGTTGAAGAACGTCGCTTACAGAAACCAATAGTAGAACGAATCGATCAAATAAAACAATCAATACAATCACAAATCGTTCAATTGAAATCATTAGTTAATATTGTAAACTATACTGTCAATTCAAATAGTAATAAAGATGGTGGTGGTGTTGATCATTCCATGTCAGATGAAAACAGCCAAACATCAGATGATGAAACAGATACAACTGATAGATATCAATTGGAAACATTGATAAAATCAATAACTATTTCAAATTCATTGGAGCAATTCATTAAACTTCATAGAAATACATTGTTCTATCATCAACAAGATGAACAACACCAACTGCCAACCGATACTAAGCTATTAGATTTAATTCATGAATATCTCAAACATCAATATCAAGTAGAACAACAGAAACATCAACAACTTGATCAACAACCACAAAATGATATCATTGACTTTGAGATATTTATCAATAAATTTAAGAATACTCAAATGAAGGGTGTTGTTCGTGATACGATTGTGATGCATCCGAGGCTATTGGACAACAAACATCTTAAGAGAACAATGATACTAAGCAGCGCTACCTCTAGCGATAACAAAACTTCATTGTCGCTGTTTGATATCACTGTTCCATGGACATTGACATCACCAGACAACGAACAAACTCTAATCGAATCAAAGGAAGTAGACATTACGTTGAGGCGTACATACAATTCCATGGTTAGAGTGAACGATCTTATCTATATCTTTGCATCGCCACCATGGAAACCAGAGAATAGATTATTTATCTACTCGATTCAAACCAAATCAATTGTGGAAACAATCGATGTTGATAAGAAATACGGTGGTGGCGGTGTATCTGTTTGCTTTGATGGTGACGACTATATCTACATGATGGTTGGCTGCTACGGTAGATCTGCAGATTTCAACAGAAAGATCAATCGCTTCAGAGTGTCTACCAGAGAGTTCGAGGAGTGTTTCACACTACCAGAGTTGTCATACAATCATATACTCTCGTTCTTCTACGAAGGAATGTTGTATTCACTGACAATACATCATCAGTCACTCTACATTTTCGATCCGAAGGCAAAGACGTTGTCATTCTTTACTGACAAGAATCTAGCATATCCTTATGCAGCCTGTACCGACGGCAATGGTAATATCTACTTCCACTCAAAGGATCAGACCTTCACCAAACTGAATGTTATCACCCGAGAGTTTGAGACTCTCGAACCAGTGACTCGCACAATGTCCAACGTATTCTCTATGATCTACCAACACAACAAGTACTATAGTAGCAGCTACATCTATTTGTTCGGTGGTAGCAACATAGGAAACTATATATATTCCATTGAACATAATGAATGGCAACAGGTTTTCAAAAAAGACACCAATGAAAGAATGTTATATGGTTCTGTGTTGATCGAATGAAAATGAATGAATGAATGAATACTTATATAAGTAATTTCTAATATGAATTTATAAAAAAAGAAAAGATAAGAAAGATAAATAAAGAAAAGAATGGTGGTTTTTGATGATTATATATGCAATACTAGTATATTTTTATTGAATAACAGTTTTAACTTTAGATATTTAGAGTTGTCTCTTGATGAAAGAATTTGTGTAACCACAGCTAATCGTTGAGTATCGTAAAAGAATAAGAGAAGAAGGTTTGCATGTGTATTATGGTAACAACCTCAAACCTTCGACAAAATGTGAATTGTCACTAAATGACTGGGATATTTGGGTTAAGCACGACCAACTTTCACAGTGACAGTATTAGTCGGATTGTGTTGAATGTTCTAGATCTCGCTCGTACCATTCCTTGTGATTCGTTGATTTCTACCAATACTTCATAAATGATAAACTATTGCGAGAATGGACCTATTCACTTACTGAACAGTTTCTTACTATCATCTAGTTATCCTTCTAAGGAATAACCATCTGGTTGGCTAGGATGCGTGGTCTGTCTTTATCTTCATCTATATATGGTATCTTCATATCTCTGGTCTCCTCCAGGGTACTGTGATATTGTTGGATTGTCTATACTCTTCTTCTTAAGTTTGCCATTGTATTATAATATGATTCAACGAAACATTTTTTGATGGATATGTTTTAAGACACGTGTCATTCATTTTCTGTGAATCATTAGAAAAAAAAAAAAAAATAAACATATTAATTTTAATTTCATCATTTTAATTATTTTTATATTTATATATTACATTTTTACATATAACAACGAGAGTAATACTCAAAGATGAAAACATTATTTAAAGAGATAAACACGATAGAATATCAAATTAGAAATGAAATAGTTACACTCTCACATTCCAATTCGATATCTGAAATACAAACATTACATCACTCAATAAAATCAGGTCTAGATAATTTAAATCAACAAATAAAAGTAAACTATCGATTAATTACCTCTTACACTCACAAATCAAATTAAATTCTAATTATCTTATCTTATTGTTTATTATTATTATTCTAACTTTTATTTATAGAAAGCGTCACAAAAGATTATAGAAAAGAATAAATCTGCAAAACTGAAACAATATGAAAAGGAATTAGCAATACATAAAGAGGAATATCAAAAGTAAATATATATTATTAATAGACTGTCAAACTTAATTAAACAAGTATTTATTAAACTAATCCGATTCATTTCATTATCAATCAAAACATATTATTACTATTATAATATTACATCTAGTTTAACATCATTACAAAGAAAACTAAACCTTCAAGCAACAAAGAATTTACAAGAGAAATATAAAAATGAAAGAAAAGAATTGCTATCAGGTAGCTCAAATATAACTCATCAATCAAGATTAAATAAAAAGTATGTATATATATTGTTGTTGTTGTTGTTGTCGTTGTTAAATATAACCATTGGTTTTGTTAATATTAATATTAATAATTATTATTAAACTAAATGTAAATGAAGTTCATCAAATGAAGAGATCATAAAGAAATCAGTTAATATAACAGAGACAATGAAGAGAACACGTAATATATTGAATTCACAGGTGATTAGAAGTTCAGGTTTGTTGGATGAAATCGATGAATCGTCAAAGGTCATCGAGAAAACATTGGTACAACAGAAGGAGTACTCACAGAGAACCTCAGAGTCAAAGTCACTGATGACAAAACTAAAGCGCAGAGACATGACCGATCGATTCCTCATCTTGTTTGGATTCGTTGTATTTCTGCTAGTGGTACTCTACATTATAAAGTCACGTGTTGGTAGCTGGCGTATCTTTGGTATCTTTAGTGGCTTGATACCGACTTCCATCTCACCATTCTCAACACCCGACGTTGATTCAACAGCAGCAGCAACACTCACAGCGTCAACATCATCAACAACATCAACACAAACCACAAATATTTAAAAACAAACAATAATAATAATAATAATATTAATTGTCATGTCATGTTACAAAAATGTTAAATGGTTTATTCATTGGCTCTTAAATTTCACCTGTTTTTTAATATTTTTTTTTGATGTTTTTGGAACGTAATTTTTTACCAAAAGTGGTAATTGATAGATCCTCATTTCCGATGAGTCTTTCCGCACAACTTGAAGCGAAGAACAAACAAAAAAAAAAAACAAAAATAAAAACACTAAATTCCCAGTGTTTAAAACATCTGTTTGAAGATGAATCTACCCTTATTATTTGTTGATTGGATTTTGTTGTTTTTTTATGCAACTAAAGGGGCTATTGAGTGTATGTTGATCCCAGAGTGTTTATTGAACATCCACGCCATTTAGAAGAGTTCTAATGCATACCCCAGAAAATAAACCAAAATTAACAATATTTGTGTTCTTTAGACATCTAAATAAAGTAGTTTCTTTTGTTATAAATATCAACAAATTAATTAAAAACAACTGATTTTTCATTTGTTTTTAATTTTTTTTAAATTCCAATAATTATTTTTAGAGCCATATACCTTATTTATCTATTTTTAATCTTTTTACTTTTTATTTGTATAGTTTGAAAGTTTTTGTTTTTTTAAAATTTATTTAAATAAATTAAGTATTTTCTTTTTTGAACTTACGAATTTAAATTTGGTATATCACAGATACCAAATCTACAAAATTAAAAATTAAATTGATTTTAAAAAATTTTTTATTCAAAACAACAAATAATATTAAAGATAATAAAAACACCTATTTGTGTCACATATTTTAAATAAAAATCATAAAAAAAATAGTTAACCACAAAAATCCCAATAAGAATAAAACATACACACATATTACTAATAATATTTATACGTATTATAAACACAAACACACCACTTTGAAAATTTAGAGTCAATTACAGCAACAACAAAATCTGTAATTTCTGAACAGTTATATTTAATTGAAATTTACTATTCAATTCAATTTTATACATATAGTAATTTCTATTTTATTTTATTTTATTTTCAAAACATACAATTACTTTACATTTTTATTAGAAACAATAACAATAAAATAAATTAAAAAAAATAGTTCACTATTGCTCACTCTCTCATAGAATACCCCAATTTTACACTGACACTAACACCAGGTCATCTTACATTTTATTAATTTTTGAGCGCTAAAATAACAATAAGCAAAAACTCAACACCTTTCAATAACATAGATAACAAGCAAACACCACAACTGAAAAACAAAAAAAAAATTACCAATTATATTACAAACAATAAAATTCTTTATATGATAATAACCAACAGCCAACTAATAACAACAACAACAATAATAACAACGACTACAAACAATAAAGTAACAAGAAATTAAAAATTAAATTAAATTTAACAATCAATCAAATTTCAATTCAATTAGAATAGAATTCAGAATATTATAAGAGTTAAATAGCTTAATAAGCACAAAATCAAAATCAATCAATCAATAATTAATATAATTATAAAGTAGAATTACCATTTTTGATACTTTCAGTCGTAGATTTCTAATTTTTTTTTAATTTTAATTTGAGAACGAATAAATAAATCATTAAACAACACAAATTCACAATCACAATAATCAACAAATCAAACAACAACAACAACTAAAATATTCAAATTCTGCAAACAATCAATAACACCAATATCTTTTATAACATCAACATCAATAGATTTACTAAAGTTAAATTTCAAACTCTGTACAATCAAATAACAAACTATAAAAAAACAACAACACAATTGATTTCAATTCGATTAAAGAAAGAAAGAACCAGTTCCAATCAATCACAATTCAATTTAATACAATCAACACACATTAATATAATATAATATAATATAATTAATCAATCTTGCTTTACATAACAACTTTATGTATAAATATAAAAATAAGTTTTATTTAAATTATTTATTTATATATTAATAATAATAACTACTGTTAAATCTATCTCTCTTCTCTATATATATTAAATAATCATCATAATTATATATTCTTATATATATAGAACAAAATTGTATATAACTTATCTATTATATTACTTTTCACATTGATTTAAAATTTAAATCATAAGATTTTCTTTATTATTTATTCTAATTTTTAAAATAATATAAATTATAGTTTTTGTATAATACTACTTTATATATATATATTGCTACATAATATCTTTAATTTAAAAAAAGGTGGTGTTGCTTTTACAAAAATAACAAAATAATTTTTAAATTGAATCATCATGGTTTTTGTTGTTTCACCTGGCAAAGATAAAACAGATTTGGTGGTTTGTGATGCTCTGTCGAGTAACTCTGCTGCCTTCTCTAAAGATAAGATTGAAACCATAGTGCAGGAATTGATATCGAATGACAATGCAGAGCAAAATAATGAACAACAAAATGAAAACAATCAACAGAGTCAACCGACTTCACCTTTCTCTTCGATAACCTTTTCATCTCCGCCACCCTCACACACAAACAAATCATTGTTAACTCGTCTACTAAACCATCTATCGGGATCATATCTATTCTTCTGGATTCCAATAGCGCTAAATCTTTTCCTAACCATTCTAATGTGGTTATTCCCATCATTCTTTTTAAGATCAAAATTAAAAAGAGTAAGTTGTTTAACATAATTATTATAATAGTTTTTCATTCTTTTTCTTACTCATAATAATTATTGAAAATAGGAAAGAACTGAAAGAATTAAATATTTAGATGAAAAGATGAAGAATTCAGATAGCTATTTGGAGTGGTCGAATTGGGCAAAGGAATTGGATGTTTTGGATGGCAAGGAAGAGTGGAGAAGTGTCGATGAATCACCTTACTACGATAGCAAGTTGATTAGATTCAGACTGGCAAATCTCAGATTGTTGTCGCAAAAGGGTGATATCCACAGTTTGATTTTGGCATTGCGTGCTGGTCTGCTGAGAAATCTCGGTGGTATGGGTAATGTCCGATTGTTCCAAGAGAGTCGCGTCGGAACCAAGTATGTCATTGAAGAGTATGTCGATGAGGTGGTTAAGCAACTGAGATTCATCCATGAGATGCCAGAGAGCGATGAGCATACGCTTGAGAAACGTTTCGATTTCTTCTATGAGACTCGTCAGGCTTTTGGACGGTCGGCACTCTGTCTGAGTGGTGGCGCCACCCTTGGTATGTACCATCTCGGTGTCATCAAAGCGCTGCACGAGAATAACCTGCTGCCCAGAATCATCTCGGGTTCGAGTGTGGGATCGATTGTTGCATCGATGGTCGGTGTCTCCACTGAGCAGGAGCTGGCCGACGCCTTTAAGCGCCAGCACTGGAAGTTGGACGCGTTCGACTCGGGTCGCTCAATGAACAGGAAGTTTGCACGTCTTTTCAAGAAGGGTGTGCTGATGGACATTAAGAAACTCCAGAAATGTGTTCGCGAGAACATCGGAGATCTAACTTTTAAGGAAGCGTACGACAAGACCAAGCGAATCCTCAACATCACCGTAGTCACCAGTGGATCGTTCGAGTTGCCACGACTACTAAACTACCTGACTGCTCCCAATGTGCTCGTTTGGAGTGCAGCATGTGCGAGTTGCGCATTGAAGTTCCTCTTTGAACCGGTGGAGCTAGTCGCCAAAGACAAGAGCGGAAACATCGTGCCGTACCATCCATCGGGCCTGGTATTCACCGACGGCTCCGTCGAGTCTGACCTGCCAATGAACCGACTGTCCGAGTTGTTCAACGTCAATCATTTCATTGTTTCACAGGTGAATCCTCATGTTATTCCATTCATCAGCGACAAGACTATAAGTCCGTCGAGTTCCATCGTCGATGCAGTCAAATACCTCACAGAGTCAGAGATGAAGCATCGTGTTCTCCAAATGGCATCGCTTGGCCTCATCCCAACGAGAATCAGTGGAATCACACCGCTTCTCACACAAAAGTATAGTGGCGATATCACGGTAGTACCAGATGTCGAACTAAAAGACTATGCCAACATCATAAGCAATCCAACAGATGACATGATGAGAAACTATATTAAGAAGGGTAAATCGAGTACATGGTCAAAGATTGCAATATTAAAGTATGTTGTTTTTTAAACCTTTAACTAAACTATTAATTATAAATCATTTTACTAATTAATTATCAAACAAATAACTATATATAGAAATCATTGTAGAATTGAATTGACATTGGATTCAATTGTATCGGATTTAAGAGACAGATTATATAAAAGTGATAATACACAACAAAAGCACAAATTTATAAGAGATGATCTAATAACTTATTCACCAATGATACTTCATACAAATAATAACTATAGTAACAATAAAGATATAGCTGAAAAAGTATTATAAAGCAAATCAATTAAAAAGCAACATAAATTATAATATATTTTGGGAAGAGTACTAATACAACTAAATACAACAAAATATACCGACTTCCAATTCTTTAAATATATATATATACATTTAAGAATGTGTGGAGGTCAATATAATGTTAATTAGTTTAACTTTAATTATCTATTAAATGTCAACCAATTTTGTTGTTGTTGTTGATGTTGTCGTTGATTTATAATAATTATTATTATTATTATTGTTATTATTAACAATATTATTATTATTATTATTATTATTATGAGGAATATATGGAGTTATTGGTACCATTGGTGGTGCCACTGTAAATGATGGTATGGTTTGTGATGTTACTATTGTTGTTGTTGGAAGATGACCATGACCATTGCCAATACCGATTGTAGCCAATGTAGCATTGTTGTTTGTATGATGTTCATAGCTGTAGGTGGTTGCAACTGGCTGATAACCACCGGTTGAGATGTATGTGGTGGTGTTGTTGTTGTTGCCAACACGCAATCTACGTTGACGACAGCAACAACAACAGATGGCTGTGCAAATGATGATCGATCCCAGTGGTAATACTACAATAAGAGCGATGGCACCGTTGGTAATAGAAGACATACAGAGATCACAAATCTGGATTTGTCCATTCTGAGACATCTCATCGAGTCCACTGCATTTATACTCTATAAAGAATGTATCATAATAGGTTCTTCCAGTGCAATAATCCATATTACCAACTGATTCACAACACGATCCATCCACTCCATTAAATGAATTTAAAAATATAAAAATAATTAAAATTAAATATATTTTTAAATTCATTTTTCTATTTTCTTTTTCTTTTTCTATTTCTATTTTTCTAACTCTTTCTTTATTGATTTCCAATCTTTCTTTAAACTAACTAAATAATTACTTCTTAAACTAAAAATAACTAATCTTATCTTTGTATTTTATACTATTACTATTTATTTTATTTTTTATATCTTGATTTGTTTTATTTTTGATTAATAAATGTATATATAATTTATGTAATATTTTGTAAGTTTAAACTAGAATATTGAATGGACCTATCAATTAATTAAATAATTAAATATTAATCAATCAAAATGTTTTAAAAATTAATTGATAAGTTTAATAATGAGATGGTTGTCATCCAAACTAAATAAATTTAAACCACGATAAATTATATGTTTATTAAATAAATATATGTGATTTGTGTGTTTGTGTGTGTTTTATAGTTATAATTTAATTGGTTGATTATATTGTGTGTGTCTGTCAAATACACAATCACTCACAAAAATTAAAGGTTATAGGAGACCCAAATCCCACATACCTTTTCATACCCCATAAAAAATGAGTGCAAATTTGCACTGAAAAAAAAAAAAAAGCATTATTATTTAATTATTTAATTTTTTCAATTTTCAAAAAAAATGAAGTTAATTTTTTGGAATTATTTTTTTTAATTTAATTTTTTCTTTTGCTGATCGAATTTTCGCCACACTATTTTTTATACTAAAATATCTTTTAATAAATCTTAGCTTTTTAAAAAAAAATATAAATTTTGGACCACCTCACATCATCATATTGCACACACTTACAAGTTCCAAACTATAATACAATAAAATATCGCCAAAAAACATTGCGAAATGGAATAAAAAATAAAAAACAACCGAGAATATCTTAATAACTATTATTTAAACAGCATCATTACTTCGAAGACAACAACAACAAATTAATAGTTCCAATTCATAATTTTATATAATAATTTTATATCTTTCTAAAACAGATATATAAATATTTAAACAAAATGATGAATAAAGCTATCATTTTATTATTTATTTTTATAAATATTGTATTTGTATATACAACTACTCCTTCTTTTCAAATAGATAATCAAGCAACTGTTACTTTGATTAAACAATAGTAAGAGAGATTAGATTAGATTAGTTCATTCCTTTTTTCTAATTAATATTTCATAAAATATAGTAATCAAAGTCAACTTTATGAAATTTCATCATTTGGATATGCACAACCAATTTATGTTGCAAATTTAACAGGTACTTCCTATGAGATGGGTTATGCCTACGGTTATTTCTTTGCTGAAGCCATCGTAGAGTCATATCACTCACTTTTGGACAATGTTTTACCAAACCAAGAGGCTCAAGATGTATTGGAGTTGTTCTTGGATTGGCAATTCAAAGATTTCCTCTCAAAGCAATTGCCACAACAATATTTCGATGAACTCAGAGGTCTTTCCGATGGTGCCAACGAAGCTGGTATGCCAGATGTCTCTGTTTTGGCCATTCGTACAATGACCATCGCCAATTTCCCAGGAGACATTCAATCCAACATTGAATATTTATTAGAAAAGTAAGTGCGCTTAATGAGAAATCTAAACTGGAAAAACAAAAAAAAAAACATTTGGAAAATTAATTTTTATGTTCAACCTGAAATAATAATAATATAGCGAGGCAGAATCATTGGTATCCTATTTATTCACAGAGGAATACAAGAATATTATTGAAAGTGGAAAGTTTGTTAGAGTTTTAGAGCAATTGGCATTGTCTGGATTCAAGGGATGGCAATGTTCACACTTCTCCGTATGGGGAGACAGAACTGTCAACGGTGATATGTTTAACGGTCGTAATTTGGATTGGTTCCCAGGAACTGGAATCTCTCAACACAAGGTGTTGGCAGTCTACCATCCAACCACTGGTGGTTCCGCTTTCTTGAACGTCGGATTTGCCGGTTTGCTCGGTTCCATCACCGGTATCAGTGCCAACGGTATCTTTGTCGCCGAGTCCGATTCCGACACCCGCCCGGTGACATTCGACGGTTTCGCCTGGACATTGAGATTGCGTTACGTAATGCAATACGCATCGACCATCGAAGAAGCTCTGAACATCTGGCGAACCACCAACAACACTTTCGGAATGAATCACATGTTGTCGTCGGCATTCGAAGCAAACACCGTCCAACATCCAGCCTACGCTTTGGAAACGATGAAGGGATACACCGCCTACTTCCCAGACAACGATCCAAGCGAGGTCTACTACTACAAGGACACCGGTGTTCAAATGGGATACCCGATTCCACAGGCTGTCTATCGTACCAATCACGGATACGACCAGCGCATACGTCAGGAGCAAACATTCGTGCCAGCTCCAGGCGATGACACAATGGTTCGTTACTTCTTGTTCCACGACAACTTTGAGTATTTCGGACAACAGAATGCCATCGGTGATTTGGCAGCAGTCAACATCACATCGATTCTCGGTGACAAGAACAATACCGACTTTTACGATTGTTCCGAGGCTTACAACGGTGCCAACGTAGTATCGGCCACTTTCCACTCACAAACATCAACCATGTACATCGCCTACGAAGAAGGTTCAGGTGCACAAAGAAAATGTGCATGTTGTGGTGTCTACGTTAAAATTGATCTTGCACAATGGTTCGGATCCTCTATTCCATCGACTGCCACCAGATTTTCATCGTCACCATCAGTCAACATCAATCATAACAGAAATACTAAAAACTCACACAACTAACCAACCCTTTACTAAATTAATAAAACAAAATATCATACAAATCATCATTTATTAATAGATGTGATTGATTTACTTGTATACTTGTAAATCCAGGATTTATGCATTTTAAAACCTGGTTTGGTTTGGTTTGGTTCCTATCATTTTTTGTGTTTTTGTTTGTTCACAAATTTTTAGATACACGTGTCAGCAACATGAGTCATCATTTTTTTAACGACATTATTTTTATTTTTTATTTTTTTTGAAACAATTCGCAATTATTAATAAAAAATATCAAATTTCAAAAAGTTATTGCAACCCCTCATTTATCAAACAAACATTAATTTATAACTTTCAATTGACATCTTATAGTTTAATATCAAATCAAAATCAAATCAATAGTTATTTTAAGAAATAATCATACTACTTCTTTTTGATGATTTTAAAGTTAATTATGTTTACACATTTATAAGATAGATATTGTGTTTTATTTATATATTTTTATTTTTTAAACCTTTTTTTTTTTTTTATTATTAGTATTGTTTTTTTTTAACAAACAAAGAAAACTAAATAATGAAGAATAATAATTATAATAATAGGATTGTAAGATTACCAACAACCATTATTTCAAAGCCAACAATGTTGCTGTTGTTGGCAATTTTATATTTTATATTGGCATGTTGTTGTCCAATAGTACACTCTCAAAAGGTGTATGCATACAATGAACTGCAGAAACAACAACAACCTCCACTCAACCAAAAACTTGTAAATAGTCATCTTGCACAGAACGATATGTTATCAAATGATAGATTAATCTCTGATTTGTAAGTGTTTGAATAATCCATATAATATATAGTAATCAATGTAAATAGTTACTAACTAGCTGGTGGTGTTATTACAAAAATCATAGAAATCTATTAGTAACTACTTTAGATGGTAGTATATATTCATTTAGATATAGCGATGGTATGCTAAATTGGATTGTAGAACAAGATTCATTGTTTTCGACATCGCAGCAGATCACCTCCACTCAACAGACGCAATCGACAGCACTGTTGATTCCATCGATCGATGGCAGCGGTGAGTTCTTTCAGTATAAAGACAAGACCATTCAGAAACTACCATATACAATGTTTGATATCGTTCAGTCTTCACCGCTACTCAGTCACAATACCATCGATGGTGATAGTGACGAAGAGACAAGTACTCTCTACGTCGGTAGCAAGATCACTACGCTGTTGGTTGTAGACCCAGAGTCTGGAAAGGTAATAAAGACACTGACACAATCTGGTGTCTGGGAGGAGGGATGTCCGTCGGTCGACCTCGACTACCAAGACGATCCAACACTACTCTTTACGCGATCCGACTACAAGGTGATTGCACTCGATCCGAAATCTGGAAAAGAACAATGGAATATCTCACTTGGTGAGTACTTACCGTTTACTTCCAAGTCGTCGTCATCTTCCAAGCCATCGTCAAGTTCATCCTCTACCAGTGGTAGTGGTGGTGACAAAGAGAAAGATACACTTGGGGATGCATTGATTGAAGTATATCCTGTGAATACAAGATACAAGATGTTTGTAAAGAAGCAAGAGGTAATGACTCGTTACAACTATTGGGAGTCAATGTTGGTTTCACCACCTGTTTCGATCTATGCATACTCGAGATCAGCCAACCTCTTGAAAAAAGTTGATTTCATAAGAAAGTTCTCGGCACAGCAACAGTTTGATATGTTACCACACCCCGGTTCGACAACAGGTGATCTAGTTCCAAGTGGATGGCATCCAACTTATTTGTTTGACAGTTACGATGGACAGATCTACATTGCCAGTGAGTCGACAAAGAAAGAGGATAATGTTATCACCATTGACGATAACAACAACAATCCACCAAGACAAATCACAGATGGCCAAGGTGGTGACAGTAGTAATAATACACCAACCAAAAACAACAGCAGCCATAACACCCCATCTACAAATCAATCGTTATTCGACATGTTGGAATCTAACCAAGTAAAGATTGGATTGGTTGTATTTGTTGTCGGTTCTATTGGACTGAGATTGTACACCTATCTCAGGAAATGGTATAACAAATCAAAAACAACGCATAACCATAATGTTCCAAAGAAGACACCTTCAAAGAAACAAAAGAAGAAGCAACAACAACAACAACAACAACAACAACAGCAACAAAAGAAAGAAAAGGAAGAAGATGGAGAAGATGGAGAATTACAAGGGGAATCAATTGTATCAGAGGTTGTTGAGAATATTAATTTGATGAAGCAGATCATTGACCAAGCAGATGAATCAGAGAAGATTACACTCACCAAGAGAATAGAATTGGACAATGGTAACACTCGTATTGGAAAGATCGAAATGACAGCCAATGTACTTGGAACTGGAAGTTGTGGAACCATTGTTTATGAAGGATTCTTGGAGGGCAGAAAGGTTGCTATCAAGAGAATGTTGAAACAGTTTATAAAGTTTGCAGACCGTGAGATCTCTCTGTTGTTGCACTCTGACGAGCATATGAATGTCGTTCGCTACCACGCCAAAGAGGAAGACAGTGAGTTTATCTACTTGGCACTGTCGTTCTGTAAGCAATCTCTGGATGGTCTAGTCGACAGCAAGGCGTTGTCCGACTACAAAACCATCCAGATCATTCCACAGATGAAACGAATGATTGTCGATCTGTTGGCGGGACTGTCGCATCTCCATTCGATCAACATTGTACATCGTGATGTCAAACCACAGAATATATTGGTCGATCCAAACAATCGTGTAAAGATATCGGACATGGGACTTGGAAAGAAGTTAGATGCCGATACACACTCACTGACATTCACATCCGATAGCTATGGTTGGCAGCCAGCAGAGTATCTCAACGGAAGCAACAAGAGCACAAAAAAAGTCGATATCTTCTCAATGGGTTGTGTTATCTATTATCTGGTGACCGGTGTCAATCCATTCGGTGGTCGTTTCTCACGTGAAAAGAATGTACTCAAAGGAAAATACGATATCGATGCCATTCAACATATTCCAGATCTTCACAACTTAATATATACAATGATTCAATTTGATCCAGAAAAGAGGTATGTTCACAACCTAATTGACTTTTTAATATATTTTACTCATACCATTTATTTTATTTCCTTATTTTAAAGACCAACAATTGAAGAATGTGAAAATCATCCATTCTTTTGGGATACTCATAAACAAATGTCATTCTTGGTGGCAGCTTCCGATTACTTGGAGTTTGAAAAACCAACTTCACCTCTGATCGTAGAGTTGGATACTCTGACAGAAGAGGTCATCGGTGGTTCACTTCCTGTCGGTCAGAATGAATGGTGGTCCAAGTTGGATCAGCTGCTCATCGATAACATCGGTAGATACAGAAAATACAATGGAAAAAGTCTACGTGATCTCCTGAGAGTCATTCGTAACAAATTCAACCACTATCGTGATCTACCAGAAGACGTACAACACTGTCTAGGTACCATACCAAACGGTTTCCTAGAGTATTTCAAACAAAAATTCCCTAAAATTATTATTTGTACATATCTTTTTATAAAGAAAAATTTGAAACAGGAGGCTTATTTTAAACAATTTTTTATAGAAACAATTACAACTAAATAAATAAAAGGTTTCAATATTAATATATATATGTAAAACAATTTATAAAAAGATTCATTCTTCTTAATTGGTTTTTATTCAATCTACCACCCAAATGATTCTAAAACTCTGTTTCGATCCAAGTTGGTTCCAGAATTTGATTTTAAATTAAAAAAATTAAAAAGTGTGAACATCAAAAACCAAATTAAACACATGATTGATCATTTAATTTTGAAAATTAATTTATTATTGCATATTATCTACATATAAATATAAAATGAGTTTAGAACAATTACAAAAAGAGTGGAATAGAGATGGTGTCACTGTATGTGAAGATAAGAATCTGATTCAAGTTCGACTTGAGACACCAACATCATCTTGCTCAATCTATTTAAATGGTGCTCATGTATCTTCATTCATTGTAAATGGTGTACAACAGTTCTTCTTGAGTGAGAAATCTGCATATGAACCAAAAAAAGCAATCAGAGGTGGTATTCCATTGATCTATCCACAATTTGGTCCAGGTAACATACAAACACATGGTTTTGCAAGGTATATTTATCATAGGCTTTGATATAATTTGAAACTCAACAAATATATATTAATAAATCTTTGCTATTATTTATGTGATTTAGAAATATGCAATGGTCAATTAAATCTACATTTTCCGAGGGTAATGGTACTATTGGTATAAAGTTTGAGTTGAAGGACGATGATTACTCAAGAAACATTTGGCCAAATTCATTCCGTGCTCTCTACTCTGTTATTTTGCATCCAGCTCACTTGGAGCTGAGATTCTCCAACAAGAACACCGATATCAAGCCATGGAATTACCAATTGGCATTCCACACCTATTACTCAATCTCAAACATTCAGAATGTTCACGTTGAAGGTCTCTCACAATACGAATTCATCGACAAGATGAAAAAGGCTCAGAAATTCACAGAGTCACGTCAAAATGTTACTATTCAAGAGGAAGTCGATCGTGTCTATGTCAGCATCAAACCAGACACACCTATTGTACTGGTCGACCAATCGAATCAACACAAGATTATATTGAAATCGGAAAATCTAAACGATGCAGTTGTTTGGAATCCATGGGTTGACAAATCGAAAGCAATGGCCGATTTCGGTGATCTTGAATATCCAAACATGATTTGTATTGAAGCCGGTCAAATAGAAAAACCAAAATTACTTTCACCAGGTGAAAAGCAATGTCACAAACATTTCATTTTCCCATCATCCAAACAATCACCATCACTCTAAAACCATTTCAACCCAATGCTATTGCCAATGAGTTTACATAAATAGATATAGGGTAAACAAAACAATATAAAATAAACAAGACATAATTTTAAATGAAACAATTTTTTATTTTTTTTTTTATATTTATTTATTTTTAAACTATATTATTATTATTATTATTTTATTGGTAATGGTTGTTGATACGTGTGTAATGAGAGTCTTCATTGTCGATCAATGAAATCTTGTGATATGCGTATTCACCGTGTTCAACCAAATCCAAACCATGTTCCTCTTCGGATTCTTCGATTCTGAGTCCCATGATCTTGTCGATGAGTACAATGATGACGATGGTGGCAAGTGCCGACCATGCAGCGGCAACAACGACAGCCATAACTTGGATACCGAGGAGACGTGCATTTCCGTAGAAGAGACCGTTGGCTCCTCCGTCTGGATTGATTGACTTTTGTGCGCAGAAACCAATGGCGATAGCACCGATAATACCGGTGAGACCATGGACAGAGCTGACGTCGAGAGCATCGTCGATGTGCAGACGGTGCTTCAAGAGGTAGACCGAGAGGTAAGAGGCAAGACCAAGAACAACACCCAAACCAATCGAGTATTGCGAGTTGATGTAACCAGAGGCCGGGGTGATACCTGCCAAACCGGCAATGACACCATTGATGACGGCCACGGTCGATGGCTTACCCTTCAACCACGAGAGAATGATCCAAACGATGGCAGAGAAGGAACCACCGATCTGAGTGGAAGCAACAGCCGAGGTAGCAACCGATCCAGCGGCAAGAGCGGAACCAGCATTGAAACCGAACCAACCCATCCACAACAAAGCAGCACCCAAAGCAGCCAATGGAATATTTGATGGTGGGAATTCACCTCCGTACTTTTCAAAATCTTTTCTTCTTCCAATATCTATTTAAAAATAGAGATAAATAAAAGTAGTAGTCGTATAAGTATCAAACAAACTTTGAATTAACATTTAGCAAGATTATAATGAATGAAATATCACACACATACATAAAGCAATAACTAAAGAACTAACACCAGCGGTTGTGTGAATAACGATACCACCAGCAAAATCCAAGACACCGAGATTCTTCATCCATCCACCACCCCAGATCCAATGAGCAACTGGGTAGAAGACGATAATCTCCCAAAAGATTGTCAATACAATGAATGAACGATACTTGACACGCTCGGCATAAGCACCGGTCATCAGCAGTGGTGTGATATTGGCAAACATCATCATAAACATAGCGTATGCCGCTGATGGAATATGTGGTGCATTTGGATTACAATCTTCATAACTAACACCAATCAAGAAAGCATGATCTAAATTACCAATAATACCTTTCTACAAAATAGATAATAATATAATAAATATTAGTAATTCAAATATTATCACACACACTCACACACAATGAATAACTATTATATTTCTACATACTTGATCTGGACCAAAAGTTAAAGAGAAACCAAAGGCTTGCCACATAACAGTTAATACTACAATACCGGAAATGATTTGTGTGATAATAGACAATGTATTTTTCGATCTCAAAAGACCGGATTCAAAGAAAGCGAGAGCTGGCATCATACCAAGTACAAGAATAGTTGAAAGCAATACCCATGTGGTATCACCGGTATCTGGTGCTTTACCATCAGCACAATTTTGGTATGTAGTGTTATCTGATGACTCTGTCAATGCCATTTTTAATAAAACTACTATTTATATGATTTTGAATATTATATATATAGATAATAAATATTTATACTAAATACTACTACTAACTATAATAATAATAATAATTTAGATTGATTTGATTGTTTTTATTTGATTTTTGATTATAATCACACACAAATAAATTGAAATAAACACAAATTTACAAATAAAATAGATTAGAAAGTTCTATCTCTCGTTAATTCTACTCTATTTTTTTTAATTTTTATGAGTTGCTTGTAATTGGGCTGTGAGAGTGTGTGTGTGGTGAGTTATAGGTGAATGAAGTGAACAGGAATGAATTTGAGTGAAGTGTTTGACTCTTTCTTTTATTCCTGGTTATATATTTAATATTATTATAAATTAATATTATATATATATAATTATAACTATGCTTAATATAATAATGTTAACAAAGCAAAAAAAAAATATTGAAAAAAAACAAAAAAAAAAACCTTTTTTGATCTTGGCTGTTTGATTCTTTCTTAAATCTGTAAAAAAAAAAGTAAAAGTAAAAGAAATAATAATAACTGTATAAGATTAGTTAGCTAACAGGTACAGTTATATATTTGTAGGGTTTTGGAGAAAAAGATGGAATGCTCTCTAGTGGTCAGGAGATGTTTTTGTTTGTTTGCCAATCGCAATTAGATTATTTTCGTAGGTAAGCTTTGGTTGTATCTAAAAGCTAAAAGGTAACAGAACTTTCAAACAAAAAATACCAATCTATAATAAAAATTGTTGTTTTGGAACAATTCAGCTGTTTAAGCCTGGGAGTGCTGTTGTTGTTGTCAAGGCACGACTATCATTTTTCATGCCACCAATATCAGAGTTTTGGTGGGTTTGGTACCACTTTCAATTCAAAAATACCAAAACAAAAAAAAAAACAACTAAACAACCACAAAAAAAGCAAAAAAAACATCAAACATGTTTGAGTTTAGCCTGGTTTTTTGTTTTTTTTAACATCAAGCCAAAACAAAAAAAATCTTATTTTATAGTTAAAAAAAATCAATAAATTCCAAAAAATGAAAATAAAAATATCTATAAATAATATATATTTGATGTTTCTAAAATAATCTAATTGTTACATATATATTTAAAAATTTGAAACGAAATAATAATAATATTAATACTTATTTTTTAAAAAAAAAAAAATACTAATTAATCATGATTATGTTATAAAAATAACATTATTATTATCGTTATCATTATATTATAAAAGATTGAAAATTGCAAATGATTAAGCTTTGAAAATGATAAACTGAGCAAATAGATAGATAGATAGATAATAGGATATATTTAATATTAATGATTTGCATTGGTATACAATAGCTATGATATATAATACTGGTAGTCATATATTTAATCAATATGGTTAATTTTGGTTACATCATTTTCTTTGCTTGCTCCCCAGTAAAATAATTTGTGTAAAATTAGTTGCGTTTTTGCTTGTTTTTTTTTTGTTGTAGTTTTTTTTTTTTTTAATTTTTTAATTTTATTTTTAATTTTTTTTATTTCAAAAAGTTATTGTTGGAAATAACACTGATAAAAAACCAACCATCTGTCTGTTTAGAATTAACACACAAAACACAAACAAAAAAACAAAAAGTAATCTGTCGTTTTAAATTTCAAGATTAGAAAATTATTTATATATCTTAGTTTTATTAGTTTATTTTAGTTTTTATAAATAAATAAATAAACTTTTATTAGTATTTCTATTTTTTTTATTTGTTTAGTTTATTTATATATAATAAATTTATATAATTTATATTTTTAGAATATATTTCAAATTGAATTTACTTTTTTTTTGAAATATTTTATTTATATAGTTATTTTTATTTATTTGCGTTTAATCAAATACTAGTTTTATAGTAGCTTTTGGTTAAAAACAGGTTTTTAGCCTCTAAGCTACCGTCAGGAAAAGAAACAAGATTCACTCGATTTGCACTATTGATATAACGGAACATCAGCGGCACCAGCCACCGAACCAATCAAAACTATCATGTCAACTAAAATCACACAACAACTCTCGAGATCCATCGATTTACAGTTCGATGATCTCTTTCCAACTTCTGCTCATCACCACGATGGTGATGACCGTGACGAAGGAGGTGGTCACCAATCAACCATGAACATGACCAACATCAAAGGTTCATGTGCTTCAGAAATGAATAACAACAACAACAACAACAATCTAACATCATCATCATCTCCGATGTTTGTAAAGAGATCAACTCCAACTCCAATCTCAACAACAAAGACACCAAAGAAATTCATTTTCAACAACAACAATAATAATGGTGCCGTTGATGTTCCTGTTACAACTTCTAATAATTTGACAAAGAAATTATGGTCACAAGTTGACGCTCATTCCAACAATGACAATAAGTTTGTTTTCACTGGAGACTGTGGTGTGGATGCTACACCACCATCACGCACACTTGCCGATCTGCCACCGATGATGATGATGATGGAGAGTCTCGATTTGGGAGAGCATCGCATCTATCCAGATGAATCGGAGTTTGAAACGGTTTCCTCCGACGAGTCCGATGGCAGCACCGGTATCTCCACAAGTGGCGACGAGTCAACTCAACAGCCGATTGACAAAGAGGATTACATTCCGCTGAGCTCATCAATCAAGAATGTAAAGACACTGAACCTCTCCACCACTATCAACCTCTCCAGTTTCACTCAATCACATCTAGTTGGAAGAGGTGGATTCGGAAAAGTACACTTGGTAACAAAGAACGATTCCAAATGTGTCTACGCTTTGAAATCAATCAAGAAGAATCATATCATTAAGTATAAAAGGTAAAAGTTAATTAATTAATCATTAAAACAAACAACTACTAACTCTTTTTATTTTTATTTTCTAAATTATAGTGTTATTAATACACTTGCTGAAAAAGATATCTTAAAGAAAGTTAAACATCCATTCATTGTTCAATTACACTATGCCTTCCAAGATGAAAAGAAATTATATCTTGTTATGGATTTTGTAAATGGGTAAGTAAAATTAATAACAAATGATTTATTTTATTTATGAATAGTTAACTAACCAGTTTGTTATTGAATAGTGGACAATTGTTTTATCATATGGTAAAGGAAGCAATGTTCTCAGAGGCACAAATGAAATTCTATGCTGCCGAGTTGATTCTTGCTATTGAGCACCTTCATAGCTTGAATATCATCCACCGTGATTTGAAGCCAGAGAATATTTTGTTGGACTCTGAGGGTCATATCATTTTGACCGACTTTGGCTTGGCCAAGGAAGAGGTCAGTGAGGAGGGATCGACCGGTTCCTTCTGTGGCACCATCGACTACATGGCACCGGAGATGATCCAACGCAAGGTCTATGGAAAATCGGTGGACTGGTGGTCACTCGGTGTCTTGATGTACTACATGATTGTCGGCAAACCACCCTTCACCTCGCAGAACAACCACTCGCTGCAGGATCGCATCATCAACGAGAAACTCAAATTCCCAAAGTTCATCTCGCCACAGGCCAAATCGGTGATCACCGCACTCCTCATCAAGGATCCAAAGAAGCGATTGGGATGCGACGGCAACGGCACCCAGAAGATCAAACAACATCCATTCTTCAAGAGTATCCAGTGGCGAAAGTTGGAGGCACGCGAAATCGAAGCGCCATTCGTCCCAAAGACCACCGACGTCGGTGACATCAGCAACTTTGACATCGAGGGACTCAGAAAAGACAACCGTCCATCGATTTCAACTTCACCAACACTAAGCTCATCGCAACAAGCATTCTTCCACGGATTCTCATTTGTAAGAAGCCCAAACTTTGGACCACTAAAATGACTCGCAGGAAGCCAACTCTTCTTTCTTCCTGCATCACCATGCCAATTGTTTTCCAATCATAGATTATTATATCTCAAATTTTCAAATATAATAGCTATCCTATTTCTTTTTAAATCAAATTTAAATAAAATATTTTTTTTATCCATTAAAATTTTGGTTATTATTGACCAATCAATCCTTCCTTATTTATCTATTGATGAAAAGTTGGAAAACAACTGAAATTTCTGGTTTGAAAAACTGAAAATATTTTAGTTTGAAAAAAAGAAGAAGTTGATGTTGTTTATTTGTTATTATAATAGTATAGATATATTTATATAGAGATATGGATTCAGATGATGATTTTGATGAGTTTCAACCAAGAGCATTTGAGGTTGATGATTCCGAACCGACAGATCTCGATAGTGAACCTCTGACAGGTGAAGAGTATCTGAGGCGAGTTAGATGGGCAGCCAACAAATGTCCAAAGGTAGTCGTTGCCAATATAGACTACTCAAAGATTAATAATAGACCTTCGAGTAAATATTTTACACCACCACCAAAGCTTGCGGCTTGCAAACCAGAGTTACTACCGAGCGAAGAATGGGAAACAAACTTCTTGGCAACTTTCTCTGACTATAGACTAAGATTACAACGTCAGATATTATCACAGGATTCACAGCAACAACAACAACAACAACAACAACATATAAAGATTCCACATCAAAACGATAAGAGATCATGGTTTATATTCTGTTTTGGTACACCTATTCCAACTGTTTCAACTGGTACATCAACTGTTACATCAACAACTTCAAATGTAAATAATACAACTACAAGCTCAACTATAAATAATACAGTTAATGTTGGTAATCAACCGAGTCCAATGATATTAAAACAATTAGATCATATTTTGGTTGTACAACTTTTACAATATCATATCGAATGGCTAGAATCAAAGGATCTAACGAAAGAACGATCATTTTGGTTGTACACTTTACTCTCTAGATTAGAGAAGCCACTGGATGCTGATACTGGTGCAAACTTAAGAGTGTTACTAAGAAGATTAGCTGTTTTAAGATCAAAAGTTGTATGTATTCATAAATATATATCTCTCTTTTATATTATCGACTACTTTACTAACATAACATAATTATTGTATTTCAATCATTTAGGAAAGTACAAACGATATGATCTTACCATCTATTAATATACTTATGACAATTATATCAAAGTATTTCAATCAGAGAGAACCTAATGAATGAGATTGAATCATCAAACTATAATAGCAATCTCCATGGAATTATGATTGTACCAAATGCCCCCTGCTTGCTTAACATCATGCATGACGGTTTTGCTAAAATTGTAAAACTAGAAGAATATTGGAATTTGACCAACAAGTCAATTAATCATTCTTCTTTTCTTTTCTTTAAATACAACAAGCTTCAATGTGAATAAAACATGTAGTGTAGTGTATCTGAATGTACATTTAATTTATATTATTATTCATTGTTTCGAAAAGTTGGTTGTTTTCTTTTGTTGTTTATGTTTTTTATTTTTAAAAAAACACCAGTGTTCCCAGAGGAAATTTCGGCACTTTATTTGGTTTGCAGACCAATTCATTGTAATGTTGTTTTAGTTCATTGTTATTGTTGCTTACACTTTTTGATGTTTAGTATTTGCAGGTAAAATAATAATACCGTTTTACATACTTACAGTCAGTCAATCAACAAACAACTTCAAATGAATGTTTATTTTAAAATCTACTCTACATTCATTTAAATAACTTCCACTTGTTAGAATGTGTAAAGATAATAGTAATAATAATAATAATAATATTGATAATTCATTAATAGTATTACCTTATTTTGTTATACAAGAGATAATAGAGTATTGTTGGAATAATAAATACTTATCTTTCACATGGAAGTTATCATTATCATTGATTTCCACAAGAATTCATCAGTTTATCTATAAAAGATTACTCAGTCACTTCAATAACAATCTGTTTGAATCGACAACCGATGTCTTTTTCCACCATAGATTACAGACATCTATAAGTATTGGATCGCTTTGTTGTAGTGCTCGTTCCATTGCTTCATCAAGATTATATCAACAACTTTACCAATCATCCGCTGGTGTTATAGCTACTGATCATCCATTCACCAATATCTTTAGATATTTACAATCGTTGGATATCTCATTCAATCATCCAAAGATCAGTGTAGATATCGTTGACTCGGTGTTTCGTTTGCTCAGACAACAGGGTGCCACCACTTCAGTGGAGCATTTGACACTCCATTCATTTAATAGCTTCCCATTCGAGTTGCTTTCAGAGTTTGATTCGATAAGATCGTTGGAGTTGGATATATCGACCTTTGGTTACAACGCTTCAAAGCAACAGGATTTCGCCAAGCTATCAGAGTTTCTAGAGAGTAGAGCCAAGTCGATTCGATCGCTCTCTGTCATCAATGTATCAGCGTTCAAGCCAACCCTTACGCTATCGTCACCGGACACTGCATTCTCCAGAATGATAGCATCCAATCAAATTATAAGCAAATCAGTGTCAACGCTTACCAGTCTCTCGCTAAAGAACATCAGTATCGAACAACCCGATTGCTTCTTTAGTGGTCTTAGCACACTTCTATGCTTAACAACACTTAGATTTAAACACCTGGTCTATACCAATAGTACTAGATTCAACTCTGCCTGTACAAGCTATCTAAGATCGAGTCAGCAGTCACTGCAATGCCTGGAGTTACCGTTTGCAATCGGAGAGGAAATCACAAAGCTCTTTCCAAGTAACAATACTATCGTTGCTCTCTATATCAACCCAACTTTTATCGTAAAGTTCAATCATTCGCTAACGAAACTCTCATTGTACGGCATCGATAATTATACCTTGGATGAGTTTGCAAAGATGAATAGAGGTATTGGACTGCGTATACTGAAGATCAGTATAGTATCGAATACCATGCCTTTGCAACTGTTTGGTGGAATGACTCATTTGCTCAGATCGACCAGTACTCTTACGACTTTGAAGTGGACAGCAAGTAATATGCTTTCGTTCAAACCGCTTATATCATCACTTCAACACAACACCTCCATTCAAAAACTGATATTGTGCTTTTCGGATGAACTACTATTGTCTGACGATGAAATTGACGATAGTTGTATTCAGGAACTAGAGGAGCAAGTCAACAAAACACTTTCATTGCTTCTATCAAATGTCGATACCTACAAAGAGAACATTCAAACTATATGCTTCAAGTCAAATTCATTCCAACCAAAAGTAAATCATAGATTTACATCAAAATATATTATTTCCTTAAAAAATACAAACAATTGTTCATTTTTTAGGATCAATAATAAATTGTTTGTATAGCCATATACAAAATATGTAATTTACTTTAATCATCAAATTTTATTTATTTACTCTTTTTTTTTTTTTTTAATAATATTTTATATAAGATAAAATAATCATTTTAATATTGAAAACATATTTTACTTTATAATAAAAGCGAGAGTAGAAATATTCAAAGTATGGAAAATTTACAGTCTTTATTGTTAATTCAAACAAAAGGTAAAATATGTATATTTTTAATAAGGAGGAAATTATTGTCTGAACCAAAAGTAACCTGTTGATTGATTAGAGGACTGACCAATTAAAGATCCATAATTTGAATTTGATTGTTGAATATTGATGTTATTTTGATTTAACATAATATTAGATGTTGATGAGGTTTTCAAGTTGATGGCAGAAAGATTTTCTATAAAATAAAAACAATTTAAAGTTAGATAATAATCTTTTGTTTTATCCTTTTCAAAATTCTACCTACTGATTAACATTTTAATATTCTGGAATTTGAGAAAAATATAAAGATTTAGTTTTAGAAAAAGTTCTGGAAATAAAAGATAGAAATAATTATTCAGGTTTTTAGATTTGAAGATATTGGTTTTCGGTTTGGTTTGTTTTGAATATTATATCTAATTTTTTTCTAATTTATAGTTTTTTTCTTCTATATTATTTAAATGAGGGTTCTAAAAATTATATATTCTTTCAACAAAAAAATATCAAATAAGATGTCTCTTTTTTAATATACAGTCATATTGGACTTTAAATCAATTGATGATATAATGAGTGTTTGATCTCAACCTATCACAAAAAAATCTACAGTGATCATCGCACTGATCAAAAAAACTTTTTAAAATAAAATATTAAAACAACACTTGAAAGATATTAAACCTTTTAAATAATCAAATAGTTATTTAAAAACGTGTTTAAAATCCAGTGGGGTTGAAAATCTGGTTGTTGAGATCGATATTGTACACACAATATTATTTCAAAAAAAACTTATACAACAAAATTTTGTTGTTTGACAGTTCATCATCATCAGTGGTTTGTCAAAATAACACTACTTTAAGGTGTGGATTATTTATTTATTAATTATAATATTATAATTTTTTTTATAATATTTTAATTAGTTTTTTAAGGGAGGGAGTTTTGAATAAATTCAAAAAGGGGGGTGGTGTGGTTTTCTTAAGTTAATGTTCAAAAGATTGATCACTGTGTTCGTGAGTCTCCGATTGAATCTTTAAGAAAACTTCTTCGAGGGTTGTCATGGAAATACCTATTCTCTTTACAGAGAACTCCTCTTGCCTGGATTCAACTTCTTGGAAGAAATCTGACAAGTTCTCAGAGATTTGATGTGATAACGAGTATGACAATTCAAAATCACCGTTTTCTTTTGGAATGTTGGAGTTTTGTTTGCCTGGTACAGCATCTTTGAATCTACTCATAAAGTAGTCTTCAAATGGTTGGAGAGATTTGACATGACGATCGATGGAGAAAGAGATTATATATCCCAAACCAAAGAGTGCCTTCAATTCCAATGCCGTACCCATACAACGAAGTTTACCTTTCGACATAATACCAATAGATTCACCAAGTAATTCTGCTTCTTCCATAAAATGAGTTGTCATTACAATTGTTTTTCCAACTTTCTTTTTTTGTAGCAATTCCCATACCTTATATATAAAATAAAAATTATAAAAATTAGTATGATATTAATTAAATTTAATAAATAAATATATTATTATTTTTCAAACATACTTGATGACGAGCCATTGGATCAAGACCGGTAGTACATTCATCCAAAAAGACAATGGATGGATCACCAATGAATGCCATTGCCAAACTCAAACGACGTTTCATACCACCACTCAGGGAAGAGGAGATGGTGTCTTTTTTTTCGCTCAAACCAACTTCTTGGAGTGATCTGGAGATCGAAGATTCTAATTCATTTGCTGGGACACCTTTGATCTTTCCAAAGAGTCGAAGATGTTCGGCGCATGTCAATTGTGCATAGAGAATATTGTTTTGTGGACAGAATCCAATGCTTCTACGAATGAAATCCATTTGATTCTTAACACTCAAGCCATTGATGAATGCATTTCCGCTAGTGGGTGGAATCATACCACACAAGATATTCATTGTAGTAGATTTACCAGCACCATTATGTCCAAGTAATGCAAAAATAGTACCTTGTGGAATGTTGAGTGACAATCCATTGACTGCGTGAACTTTCTGATCTTTGACAGTTGGTGAGTTGTATTCCTTGTAGAGATCACGTAGTTCTATACCGTGACCACTGCTGCTGCCGTTGATTTTGCGGATCTCTGAGCTGCTACCATTGACATTCTTTCCATAAACTGGAGCGGAGGATTGGAACCAGTAGTCTTTTTGCAAGAAGAACAAGTATGGCTTTCCGGTTCCATGTTCACCTGGGTACACTTCAATTGCATACCATGCAATGACAGCGTAGAGAATAAAGTCAATCACCAAGAATGCAGTGGATTCAGTAAAGTTTGGATCGGTCCATGAGACGGCAAGATTTTGATTCTCTGAGAATGAGAGTTGAGAGAGGAACGCACCGAATGCACATGGTGAGAATAAATAGAATAACCATTTAATGCTTGGTACTTTGGTATTCAAGTAGAATTGATAGAGACAAGACAATCCAATTCCAAGCAATACAATGAGAGCGGACAATGCGCTACCTGATTTTGGATTGCTTAAAAATGCTGAAATTAAAAATCCCAATGATGACAATGTCAAAGAGTATAAAAAGAATGATATGAATATCATAATTGGTGAACTAAATAAGATGTATTAGATTATTTTATAACATAATAAGAATGTATATATAAATAGATACATACCAGTAATGGAAAATCTTTGTAGCATAACATAATATTTCGACTACTACGATTAAAAGGATATTCATTACAACTTGCATGATAATATTCGATGTCCAGTAGGCACTCTCACGCATACCAGATACTTTCAAACCTTCTTTGATTCCGTCTTTCTTTTCGGTGACCAACAAGATGATCAATTGTTGTAATGTGTACATAAAGAATAGAGGGAAATAAATTGGGAAAAGGTAATTAAAGATAGTCTTGCTATATGGATTGACAGGAACTGGATACTCTGTTGTAGTAAGTGTTAAATTAAGACTACTATTTCCTGTTTTCATTTTAACTTTTTAAATAGAGAAAAAGGTGTTATGTTAATATTGATTTTGATGTTTAGATGTTGGTTCGTTCAACTTACTGAATGCAGATAGAATATTTTGCTCTATATAAGGATATGGTGATCCTTGGATATTGTTTGAATATGTATTGTTTAGTCTAATGGTGTAGTTGATAATGTTGTCGGCTACATCGATGGCATTAAAGATGATACCACCCCAATACTTTTCGGGATTGTCAAGGTAAGTGTCAATCATGGAAGATTCATCGGTGAAACTAACCATTTTGTCGATCGGGAAATCTGTATAGTTGAAAAGGCTTCGAGTTGTGTTGGATCCGGTGAGATCTACGTAGCCAAGCAATGGCATCGTGTTGCTAACCACATAGTTTGGTGATACCGGTGAGTAGACACTACCACTCTGACTGATCGACGGTAAGGTAGCCTTCAAGATAATCAGAAGAATAACATACTGAATACCAATAAAGAACTCTGAAAATGTTTCTACCTTATTCTTTTTCTTAATGATTGCGCATTTCTGAAGTAATGCTGCTACTTGTTGTCCAAATGTAGAATGCATTGCGATTATTTAAATAAATAAAAATAAATAAATAAAATTTATTTTATATATATATATATATCTTTCTATTTTATTTTTCCTCTAAAGATTATAGATATAGATATAGATTTAAATCAATAACAGATATTTATTTCATTTAACGAAATTTTACAAAAAAATTAATATTAAATAAAATTTAGTATAACCAATTAGTTATATTATTATTTAATATTGTTATTTATATATTTATATCTTTAAAGTATTCAGCTGAATTGATATTTATAGCTAAATTAAAAAACATTATCGATCATAGGACTTTCAGAATTTCAAAACTATTTTAATTTAAAAAAAAAAAATATTAAATTTTTTAAAATAAAAAATCACCCTTTTTTTTTGCTAATACAATTTTTTGTTCACCTGGTTGGTAATCTTTATTAATAGAGAAATTTGATTATTTTGGTTTGCATAAATTAGGGGGTTATATATTTAAACTTTTTTTATGGAAAGGAGTAAATTTAAAAATAGTCAAAATCAATCATGGTCCTGGGTAATTAAATGGGATCTGAAAGTCTGGTAAATTGATATTTTCGCACTCCGTCATGATGTCAATCAACTTGAAATGGAGACACCGAAATAATAGTTATTTTCTTAAATTAATGTTTTTTATGAAAATATCAAACTCTTTTTTAATTTATTCTTTAATTTGTTGATCATTTTGAATTGTTGAGTAACAACTATCACAAACTCTTACTTGGTTACTAATTCTGAATTTGGGAATTGCGATTTTTGAGGCTGTACATTTCTCACAGAATACCTTTCCACAGTGGTTACAATTGAATCTCGTTTGTAAGAGTGGCACCATCTGATTGAGTAAGCCAAACGTTTGTTTGCAATTGGTGCAACTGGTAACTGAACCGTATGGTTGTTTCAGTGGTGGGATATGAGCAACCGGGAGGTATCGGTGGAAGTTATCGAGTGCATTCTTCACTCCATTCTCGTCTTGGAATTTCTTTGACATCAACTTGACTTTGGTGTCGACATCGGGATCATCGATCAACGAGAGAATTGCAGAGGACAACGATTTGGCAGAGAGCGTTTTACTGGACAATGTTTTTCCGATACCCAACTCTTTGACTCGCTCTCCCCAGAAGAACTGGTCTCCAAAGAACGGAACGATAATAGTTGGCTTACCACTCAATATACCTTGCGAAGTTGTACCGGCACCACCATGATGAATCACCATAGAAACTCTTTCAAACAGCCAGGAATGCGAAATCGGTTGTTCCTGAAGGTAGATATCGGGATTTGCTTCACCACTCAACTTTAATCCACCCCAACCCTGAGAAATTATAGCTCTTCTCTTGGTCAACTTCATTGCTTCTACGATCAGCTCCGATAGAGAATTTGGATCCTCAATAACAATTGAACCAAATCCAATGTAGATAGGTGGACTACCCTTATTTAAGAACTCAATCAGCGAGTCAGGCGCCGGATGGTCATTTGTCTCTGGAAGGAACCAGTGACCAGTCAAACAGATTTCATCACCCCAATCGGGTGGCTTTGGAACCAAGTGTTTACTGAAGCAATAGAGATATGGAAGTCTGTAGGTTTCGTTGATTGAAACAGACGAGCTCCAAACTGGTAGCTTCAGAGTCTCTGATCGCCAAGCATTGATCTGACCACTTACCGGTTGCCACAAGATCTTCTCCATCATAATATGAGTTGCCAAATTGAATACACCACCCATCTGAGTCGATGCAAACGGTGCAAATGGATTGGGATACATTCTAGTACGAGTAAAAGGCATGGTAAATGAGTGGAAAAACGGTATCTGTAGTGCCTCTGCAATGTGAGGACCAGCGAAACATCCAGGTGTGGCAATCAGAGCTTCTGCACCCTGTGCTGCCAACCAACAACTTTGAAGTAGATCGTCAATAAACTGTCTAAACTTTGACAACGCTTCTCTAATGAATTTCGGTGTAAAAATTCCGTTTCTAACACAGAGATCCATCAATTCCTTGGGATCTCCACTTAGGGGTGCAAACTTCAAACCGAAATCGTTTTCAATCATATTCCTGTAGAGTTCGTGCGATGCCAGCGTTACAGAGTGTCCAAAATTCTTGAGTGCAATCGCCAGTGCAAGAAATGGTTGAATATCTCCACGCGATCCAATAGTTAGGATGGTTACTTTCAATAGCTTTGCTGGGATCGGTGAGAGAATGACAGGTGATCCAGTTGCAGAGGCAATCTGTGGAGATGATATGCTCATGAGATCGAGCTTTGGCATTCCATTGCTCTTGTAGAGTGTAGGCGTTTCCGATGCTTGATTTTGTCTCCACAGTTTCATAAGCTTATCATAGACTTGACCACGTTTCAAGAATGAAGCAAACTCAATGTCCTGTTGATTGGTAGTGATTTTCAAACCGTTGGGAAGCAGGACTGTGTGTCTTTGGATGTCTGTAACCGAGGAGAATGGTATGACAATGATTCGTCGCTTAATACCAAACTTGGATCGGAAACAAATGAAATGTTTGGTGAGATAGAGAATTCCATACTTCAGTTGGGCACCCCTAAAGTTTGTACAATTGAACCAGGTTATGAGAGGTTCGTCGTTTGGCAGTCCTAGATTCTCTCTAATTCTAACGGACTCCAAAGGTGTGAAAATGCCCTGTTCATGCTGTGCCGTAGAGGTGTGCCAGATGTCCAAAAGCAACTTGAAAAGACTGTAGAAATTGGTAATCGATCCAAATATCCATTTATGATCACTGGTGATCACTTTGATACAAGGCTTGAAAAAGACGACCGATCTCTCTTTCTTTATACCGATCACGTCTTCAAAGGGAATTAGAGCTTTCATATTGTTGGATTGTTCTTCTTTGTTGTTGCTGTTTGTTGGTGAAAAGGCAATATATGATTTCGTGATAAATATTTGACCTTCAATGAATGTATCGGTTGAATAATAAAAAAGTGTACATGTTTGATGTGAAATGATCGGTTCGTTCATCGGCAGCGCCGGAAAGTCTTTGTGAAGCATTGATATCATATTGGGTTGAAGATTCTTTTGAATAAATATAGTTTTGTCATGCTCTTGATTCGCTGCAATACCAGAGCTACTACTGAGTGAATTGCTATTTACAGGACTAGAAGATAGATTACTACTACTTGTACTATTACTACTACTAATCTTTGCTAAACTATTTACATTTGTTGTATTATTATTATTATTGTTGTTGTTGGGTGATGTCAATTGTGCGCTTGATTTAGATTTAAACATTCCAATTGGAATGGAAATTGGTATTGATTTTGGAAGAGGAATGGTTGGTAGGAAAGATTTGAGTGTTCTCCATCTTGAACTATCTTTTTTCAGTGGTTTATCAGTTGAGAGAGGTATGTTGTCGAGTTTGCTGTATGCCAATGTAGGCTTGGTTTTGGTGAATGCCTCTACTATCTGATCAAAGAAATCGTCATACTCTTCAATCAAATCAAAGTTGAAAACCTCATAGTCCTCTGTAACCACTTTGATTGCCTCTGGCGAGTCAGACTTTGTATCAATACAAATCGAAATGATATCCAATATCGGAATTATCAAAACCACCGCATCATCATGACTGTCATCGGAATTGAAATATAGTCCATCCACTGTCAAATAAATATTACCCTCCAACGATATATCATCATTAAAGAGTAAACATGTTTTCACTAAAATTCGCAATATGTGTTAATTAATATTATAAATTTGTTAAATATATATTAATTATTCTTACCATTTATAATATTAGGTCTTTGAGTAAGTCTAAATATCTTTTGGAATTCAATGTGTCGCAATGCTGTTGATGTACTTAGTGGTCGTTTCTCGTTGATTTTGCTTGTTGAGAGATGCCAGACGTTCAACATTAGTTTGTAGATATCGATTGAGTTGATGGATGGCGTGACAATGTATTTTTCACCACGCTTGGTGGTCATGTAGATTGCATCAAAGAACAAAGCAGCATCGCTTTCCATCTCGATCGTTACAATATCAGAGAATGGCAATATAACCGTAAGATTTCTTTGAATTCTCGAGATTTCTGAACACCAATGATTCAACTGAATCTCTGACTCTGCTTGAAACAAATACATATGCGAGTTGGTGACAATCTCAAAGCAGAATGGACGCGAAGCATTTTCGCGCGGTAGTTTTTGGATAGATGTAATTTTGCGTAGTGGAATGGTTCCGTTTGGATAGAATGTTTCTTTGGCTTCCGATGTTCTGTACCATGAGATAGAGTCGTGACTCAACACGAACCAATATTTCTTCCAGAAGAAATCGCCTTTCATCTGAAGATAACTCTCGAGGAAATAGCCCTTGGGAGCTAATTGCTTGGGAAGAAAACATAGATTCTCTGATGTGATGATTAGATTCGCAATATTCAAATGATTGTGTAGCAGAGTACATTCACAAAATCCATATATTTCAGGTCGTTTCCGGCTATTATCATTGGTATTATTAGCTGATAGTCCTGCAATATTACTTTCTCCACCTGCAGCCAAATCGATACTATTCAATTCCAAATACAATAACTCTTTGAATCTTAAACGCTCTTCCAAAGTATATTCGAAATCATCTAAATTATTATTATTATTATTATTGATAATCTTTTCTTGAATTGGTAATTGTTGTTGTTGTTGTTGTAGCTGTTGTTCTTGTTGTTGTATATCTAATAGTGGTGGAGGTAATGGTATAGTTGTTGGTGTTGGTGTTATTGTTATTGTTGTTGATGGTGGTGAGGAAGATAAAGTTGATGGTACTGAAAGGAATATAGGGGAAGTGGGGGAAGATGAGCGATTTAGAGCCTGATTGAAAATGATGAATCTTGGGACTGGAATATCACTCTTGGTGTCGGTTCCAAAAGTGCTACGAGGAGAGAGAGGTGCTGAAGATGTTGGGAGATCCTGTCTGATAGCATCGGAGTCGATGACATACTCATCGCTTAGCAAGTCATCGTCGTCGTGGCTATGGTCATCGTCTAGATTCTGGCTGGAATGCAACCGACTCAATGAAGAACTAAGACTATCTATAGAAATCTAATGATTATTATGATATTCCGGCATGTACCGTTTATGTAAAAACGAGAAAGAATGATGATATTGATTAATACCTGCTGATTTATTGATTTGAATTTGATTTCGATTTCGATTTCTATTTGAATCATCAGAGTCTGTATTATTATTATTATTATTATTACTAAAACTTAAATCACCACTACTATTACTAACATCTCCTCCACCACCACTTCCAGCCCCAACACTTTCACCATCATTTTCAACACTACTACTATTATTACTTTTTATTTTATTTAAAAGATTATATTTAATATAACTTGTACTACTTGAATATTCAATAATAAACATATTTTGGTGATATATAATTATTATTATTATAAAAGAAATGTTTACAAAGTTAAAAAAGTAAATAAATATATATTTATAAAGTAAGATTTAATTTAAACTATCAAAATCAATCGACTATAATAATTATTATAATAATAAACAAACAAACAAACAATGAAATGATATATAACATGTTGAAAGTAATTCATATTTTATAATCCTTACCTGTCTTAATAATCTACTTGTATTATCAAAAATGTCCATTGTATGACTTTTATTTATTTTGATACTACTATTTATTTTTTATTATTATTATATGCTATGGTAATATTATAGTTTATATATTATTATTATTACTACTATTGTTATTGTTATTGTTGGTGTTATCTGTATTTAAAAAGGTTTATTGTTCAATGGAATTATAAATGAATTAGTTTAATTTAGTTTGGTTGGTTTGGCAATAGATTGGAAAAAAAAAAGTAGTATATTGACTTAATATTTTGTTTTTTATTTTTTTGTTTTTTTAAGATTGTGTGTTAAAGTTAAAGATGATCGACTCATTCATTGTCTAACACACACATATTTGTTGTTTTAATATCAAATTTTAAATTAAAAAAAAACATTATAATTTTGTTGTAAAATTTTTTTTTTTTTTTTTTTGAATGGTAAATTTTAAAAACCCAAAATGACGTTAAATTAGGGACATCTTTAAGGCATTAAACAAATTAAATTATTTGGATAATTAATCTAAACAAATATCATCAAATCAGATATTATTATTATTATTACTAATGTTATAAAATAATTAAACTTTAATTTATCATAATTAATTTAATTATTAAAAAAATCTCTAATTTAAATATTTATTTATTAAAATCACATTATTGAGTGAATGTTTATTTATGTTCCTATTAATTGAATTTATTTGATGCTGATGATGATGATTATTAAGTCCAATGACGGTAAAAATGATTGTTTTTTTTTTTTGATCAAAAAATTTCAAATTTTATTGATAAAATTTTTTAGGAGTTTGATTTTTTACCTTCTGATTAACATCGGATGTAAAAAAAAAAAAACAATAACAGATTTTTTTTGAAAATCTTTTTTTTTTTTTTAAAATGAATGATTAAAATTTCAAATAATTTTAATGTTTATTCGTATTGAGTTGGTTCCCAAATAAATGATGTGGCGTTGGTGTGGATTACGATCAATCGAATGGGTATTCACAAGGTTTTTTTTTATTTTGTGGATGGGACATTGTTGAGGGTCAAAGATATTAATAATCATAATATTACAACAATTTTCCCATTCTATAAATTATAATAAAGTTATAAACCTTTTAAAGTATATTGGATTCTACGGTCGGAAATAAAATTAATTTGGTAAATACTAAATATTAAATTAAATGATAGTTTACAAATGTCGAATGCCCAAGTTTAGAAAACTGCAATTGTAATGAAACAATCAACTACCAATTGGGTATTATTAATCAAGAGATGAAATAAACAATGAAACAATGAAAGTATTTATTCTGCCTTTAATATTCAATATTTGCATTTTAATATTTATTTATTTTTATATCTTTTTGTTTATTTTTTGAATCTAAGATTATTTGGAGAAAAATAACATTGTTTTGTTAGAATTTGATTGATTTAATGATCATGTTATTTCTGCGCTACACTACAAATTAACTGCACCCAATATCATACTTTTTTAGTTCCATCGCAATTCAAAGAGACATTGATTCATTTATCTGGGATCCAAACACTTTTTTCTAATACATCAAAATGCAAGCGTTTTAGCATTGATCAATGTGGGTCAAATTTTTTGAAAAACTCTTTTTTTGTTATCTACGATCCAAAATACAGTGTGTGTGAGGTAAGTGGTTAGCTACTTTTTAGGAGATTGGTGATCTTTACGGTTTAACGGATGTGCTTTGAGTGTCTAGTTTTTAGAATTATTATCATTCATTTTATTCAATGTTTTGTGGTTGTTTTTATTTTTTATTGTTGGGGGAGAATTTGAGCCAACCGATCATTCAATAGGGTTTATTTGAAAATAAAATCAATAGTCAAGCCATGGCTCCCTCCAAATTAGAATGAAAAAAAAAAAAACTAAAACAAACAATCAAACCAAACAAAACAAAACTTTAAAAAAAAAAAAAAAAAAGGAAAATGTCACAAGTCAGAGTGCTTAAGCCTGCCAATATGCTAGATTTTTCGAAAATTTTCACTTGAAATAAAATATTAAAATCTTTTTTTTTTTTGAATCAATAAATTTTATTTTTTTTAGATTTTTTATTTTACGTGTTTATGGCATTTTTGATCACTAAATGCTTCGCACCAAAAACATTCAAAGAAAAAAAAGTTAATTTTTATTTTTTGTATTTTATAATTAATCAAATCAGTTTCTTTCTTCTTGGTTTGTTTTGTTTGTTTGTTTTTGTTTTGTTTGTAACGTCGATAGGCTACTTTGCGATTGTATAATTACTTGGCCAATCAATCAATCAATCAACATCTGAATAATTATATAATAAAATATTCAAACATATACACAAAATATTTTCAATTATATATTATTTATTTATTTTATTGTAAAAATTAATATTATTTATTTATTTTACCATTAAATTAATTTGTATACATAAATTTCCAATTTTCCAACTACCACCAAATAATTGGATAAACTCATCACAATAAAATCATGAGAACTTTCACTTTTACAGCAATCGTGCTGTTGGTGTCAGTATGCTCAGTACTTGGTCAAATCGATAATCATTTCCAAACCAAATACTTTAGCATTGGTAGTGACACCACACAATATTCAACTGTTGTCCAGAACAACGCCGGTTACGCACTCTCATTCGAGCGTACCACCAACATTTTTTCAGCAAACATCACAGCAGAGTCAGGAAGCAAAGTCGATCCAACCAGCACTTTTGTCAATCAAAAGGGTGACACCATCGGTCAATCCTCCTCGGTCTCTGTCCAAGACACTGTGTACTCCATCACCACCAGTTACATTTTGGCTATCAATTTGACTGATATTCAATCTGTATTTTTCGGTTACAATGGTTCCTACCCAATGTCTTCCATTGGTTCATTCTCATACCAACAACCAGGTCAACCAAACCCACTCATTTTCGCTTTGTCCCCAGGTAACAACAAGGTATACTACTTCCAATACAAATCCAACGTTGTAACTGGTAATGGTCCAATTGACATTGATACTCCACAATCAATTGATATTCCAGCTCTTTCTCAAACATGGGGATAGTAAGTTATTAATAATAAGAAATCATTCGCAATCAATCTCATAATTTGATTCTAATATTTTCAAAAATAACAATAATTATAACTATTATAGTGCTTTGGATTTGGTCAATGGTTACTTATTTGTTGGTGATGACTCTGGTAAGATTTCAGTTGTCAATTTAAATACTACCACTGTCATTGGAACTCATACTCCAAATGGTAATATCCAAAGAAGTGTTGGTGTAGTCGATCCAAATTTGCACAATTTGTATTTCTGCTCACAAAACTCTAGCCAAATCTCATTGGATGTTTTCAACTACAACACCTCCACTGCTGCCAAGCCACTCACTGAGGTTGACAGTCACCAAATCAACTCATTGGTCACCTGTAGTTTTGCTGCCTACGACGATGTTCAAGGTCAAGTTTTCGTTGTCGGTGCCGACTCTTCTTTCTTGTCGGTTTTGGGTATTGGTCACGACGGTGGTAATCCAGCTTCATTCTCCTTCTCAGAGGGTGGTATCGAAGTCGAAGCCATCGGTGTCATCGTCCACAAACAAACTCACGAATTGATGATTTTCACTCCAACCAGAATGTTGCAAATCCAATACGAATCCAACTGTCCAAACGACTGTTTCGCTTCGAGCGGACAAGGTGTCTGCCAAATGGGTGTCTGCCAATGTGATATCAACTACAACGGTACCGACTGTGGAACCAAGAAGTGTTTGGGTGAGTTGAATGAGTGCAGTGGTCACGGTTTCTGTTCCAACGGTTTCTGTGTCTGCGACTCTGACTACATGACCGTCGCCAACTGTTCCATCCAAGGTTGCATGAAGAACTGTTCCAACCACGGTACTTGCAACTTCAACCCATCGAACCCATCTGCCTCCACCTGTACCTGTTACGCCGAATACTCTGGTCAATACTGTGACCAATCCGCACCAGCCCCAGAGTGCAGCACCCTCGAAACCAAGTCTGTTTGTATCGATCACACCTACTGTGGTTGGTGTGTATCCACCGAAGAGTGTCTCACCGGTAACCAATACGGTCCAGTCGAAGGATTCTGTCGTGAATGGTTCTACGACGAAGACGTCGAGATTGGTGTCGTCGTACTTGCCGCCATCTTCATCGCTTTGATTTCCATCCTCTTCTTAGTCGACATGATCACCACCATCCCACTCGATATCGACCGTGCCAAGAACTACGAAGTCGAGTTCCGTACCGGTACATATCCAAAGGCATCGCACGAGGAGGCTTCCGTCCTCTGGTGGCGTGACCAACGTTCCGCCAAGGCCTGGACCTTGATGGATCAATTCCAATACGTCTCACTCATCTCACACATGGGTGTTGTCTTCCCATCGCGTTTCCTCAACTTCACCGAATATTTGGACTGGACCAATCTTGGTATTCCATTCCCACAATCGATCCGTGACCAAATTGCCACCCCAATCTTTGAGAGCCGTAACTTGTATGACCCATCCGTCACCACTGCCCGTTCCCTCATGACATACGCTCAATACAACAACATTCTCGAGACCACCTCTACCTACCATCTCGCCAACATTCTCTTCTGGTTCATTATCTTGGCCGCCGCTTTCATCGTCCCATTGTTGCTCGCCTTTATCATCCTCAACTTCATTGAGAGTTTGGTTCACTGGAAGGAAGTCATCAGAAACAGATTAATTCACTGCACCATCCGTATCCTCCAATTCTCCTACATTGGTGTCATCTCCGCCGCCGCCTTCTCGATTGTCGCCAAGCCATTGGCCGCCAAGACCATCGTTCCAGGTGCCATCTTGATTGCCCTCTACGGTATTGGTTTCCCAATTGCCATTTGGTTCCTCCTCAAGGTTCCAGAGTCACGTCTCCACAACCCAACCTTCAAGCAACAATTCGGTTGTCTCTACGTCAACTTCAAGCCAAAGACTGACCACCGTTTCGTCGTCTTCTCATACATCAAGCGTTTCATCATGGCAATGATCATCGGTATCTTGGCATTCAACATCGAACCATCCTACCCATTGTCAGGACAAGCCAAGGCCGTCCCAATCGCCCAATGTATCATTATCTGTCTTGTCATCGTGTTGTACGTTGTTTTGCTCGCCATCCGTAAGCCATACTTTGATCACTACCACTTGTGGTTGGAGTACTTGTTGGCCGTCCTCAACATCGTCTCGGTCGGTGTCTGTCTCTCACATTTGAAGGAGCCATCGGTTGCTGGTGAGTTGGTCGTCTGTGTATTGCAAGCTTTGGCTTTGGTCGCTTGTATTGCTGCATACTTTATCTCATGGTTGCAAATGCGTTCCAGTTTCCTCAACAAGATTTCCAATGTTTTATGTTGTTGCTGCAAGGGTGACAAGGTCAAGAAGAACGAGGCTGAATTGAAATAAACACAAACAACACCTCTGAAATCAAAAACACCCAAAGTTCCAGTCAATATTTAAATCTTTTCAAAATTTTTTATATATAAAACAAAACCAATTGAAATAATAATAAAACTTAATTTATAATAATACTCTGGAGACTTAAAGTTTATGCATTTGGAAAAAGATTAAAAATAGTCACATGTCAATTTCGAACCACTTTGAAAAAAAAAAAACACTCTTTGAAATCTTGATGTTTATCTATTTATTTACAAGTTTATTTATTTACATATTCTTTTTTGAATACAATGTTATTATTTAATAGTTTGTATCATCTGAATCGTGAAAAGCACCTAAAAATAATAATTCATAAAGTTAATATTTGGAAATTGTTGTTGTTTTTAGTTAAATTAAATATTTACTTTTAATCTTTTCACCTAGATTATCAACCCAGTTTTCTACTCTTTTATTTATATAATCTGATTCTCTGTGCAGTTCTCTTGCATCGTTGTGCACTTCTCTTCCAAACTTATGCATTCCTTCTTCGAATTCATCTGCACCTTCATGGACTTCTTCTCTTGTTTTCTCGAAATCCTCGTGCATCTTTTCACTGTGTTTTCCTTCCATTTTTATGTATTTGTTTATCTTGGTAGTTTTTTATCTTTGCTTGTTCAAAAGTGTTTTAATTGCTTTTAAATATTTGACTTTCTCAGTTTCGAGTCAAAAATTTTTCCTAAAACCTGTAAATCTAAAATTACTTTATTTGGCAAAAAACCAAAAAACAGTCCTTTGTTTTGAAGAAGAAATCAATAACTCCAAATCTAATATATTTATTATGAGGAACTCCTTAAAAATAAAGAAAAAAGAAAAAACAATGTTATTTAACTATTACTAAAAGAGGAAAATTGTATTTTTTAAAAAATATTAAATTTTTTTGTAGATTTAAAATTTTTTTAAAGAGAATTGGTTATTTTTTAAACTAACACCTAATTTAATGGAGCAAAGATATAATTTCTAGACGAGACTATTGATCTTAAATTATTTATTATTTAATTATATTTTTTCTTTGATTTTTTTTAATTTTTTTGTACAAAAAAATTTATTTTAAATAACATTAACGAAAAACATAAAAGTTTAGGAATTAGATAAACTCTAGACCTAAATAAATGATTTAATTCAATTTTACAAAAAAAGAAAAGTGATTATAATACATATATATAATGAGGATGAATAGTTTTAACTATTCAAAAAAATAAAAATAATAAAGATCATAGAAAATAAAATTAAAAGTTTAAGTTTGTGTAATAATATTTATGAGAACTTCTTTGTATACTCTCAAAGTTGTTATTATTAATTATTTTGTTTTTTTTAATTAATTTTATTATCACTCTCTAAAGTTTAAAAGATGGTTTTGGTTCAAAAAAATGGATGAGTTGTTTGATTGTGTTGTTATTGTTATTTTGAGTGTTGCAACTTCCATTGGCAGAGTCAAACAGTGGACTGCTTGGTATCGAAGGTGATTTTAAGACCGGTCTGGCAGAGGTTGAAAGTGGTTGTATTGGTGAGACCATAGAGGACTGTTTGCTACTGTTGCTATTGTTGTTGGTGATACAGCTGCTACTAAGTGGAATTCTTGGTTTATTGGAGTTGAATATCTGTTTGTTACTGCTGAGTGTGTTGTATTTACAAGAGGAATTGAGACGTTGGGGTCTTGGACTACCTTCGGCTGGTGAAGAAGGCGATGAATTAGATCCGCTACCACCTGCAACTATCAAGTTGCTTACAGTGGTTGCATCGCTGAAACAAGAGGAAGTGCTACTCGAGCTACTAGTTCCACTACTGTTGATTTGATTATTTGTAATATCATTCAAACGGATTCTTGAGTTGTAAAATTGTTGTTGTTGCTGTTGTTGTTGTTGTTGATGATGATGAGATTGTGAAGAACTGATTCCTGTCATTAGTGATTTGGTGCGATTGAGTGGTGAGTATGGACGTTCTTCGTTGAATCGTTTCAGTGCTTGTGATGCACTGGTGGTTGGCGATGATGAGGAGTGAGCCGGTGAAGTTGAGACCGGTGACGATGAGGAGATCGTTAGTGGATGAGGCACTAGTTGGTGGTGTTGCGATTGGGTGGTCGGTGTGTTGGCGGTGGCGGTGTTTGATGCGGTTGAGGGTGGTGTTATGTCGATCGAGGAGTTGGCATCGCTAACCGACGATACCGATGTGATGGAAATTGAGAGTGTTTGGGGTGAGGTGATGGTCGACGATGGCTGAGAAATAGAGTGTTGCAAAAATGTACAGGATTTCGGTTTGAGAATTGGACTGGATTCCAGTGGTGATGAGGAAGTCGATGTTGTGGTGGAGGTTGTATCCGAGATGTCATCTGGAGAGGTGCAAATTGGAGGTGTTGGAATCAAATGTTGTTTTGATGTCTCACATCCATTCAAAAGTGAATTATTACAAAAATTATCATCGTCATTTTCTTCTTCTTCTTCTGTTTCATGAACTTCTTGATCTTTTGTTATTTCTGGTTGTTGTTCTTTTTGTTGTTGTTTCGATTCTCTTTCTTCTTTTTGTTGTTGTAATATTTTTTGTTCGAAAATTAGACTTTTTTTCTTTTCACGAAGATAACGACGATAGGGAGAAGCGTTGGCGGTTGGCGGTTTGCTGAATATGAAGGTCATGGCATCGTTGATGGAAGCAATAGCATCTTCGACCAATGCTTGTTGCGCCAGTGATGTCGGTTGTTGATGATCGTCGGGTGAAGCCGGTGGCGTTTGAATGGACGGACTCGGAATGGAGATGGTCGAGTCACTGAGCACAGCCGTTGGATGTTCGATTATGTGACGAAGATTGTTGATGTCATTGCGATACTCACTGAGTAGCTTCAGTAGATATTCATTGGTTTTCGAGAGATCTCTGTTCTTTTTCTGCAGATTCTGTATTTCTTCTTCACTCTTGAATTTATCCTTCAGGTAGTTGTTGGCCGCTTGATTCAACGATGCCACTTCGCTACGTAGTCTATCCATTTCCTCGACGTTTTCGCGGAGTTGTTGTGATTGCTGTTCGATCTGCTGTTGCTTTTTCCTGCTTCCACCGAAATCCAAAAACATCAGACTTTTCTTGGAGGAGAGTGTGGCGACTGGCGGTGTGTTGGTGGCGGACGACGATGTCGGTGAGAGAGGTGGTGAATCCGGTGGTGAAGGTTGAAGTTTCGGTGAGAAATACATCGATGCTGACGACGGTAATCTAGAGCTGGGTGAAACCAATTCATAAGCAGATTTATGTAGCTGTCTATTGGATTGGAAAGTATTGGTTGTTGTTGTAGTGGTTGTAGTGGTTGAAGTTGTTTGTGATGTATTACTAAAATTATTATGATTTTGAATATAACAGTTATTACTAGAATTATTACTGCTACTATTATTATTATTGTTGTTAATATTATTTAATTTATTTTTCTTTGGTGAAACAACGTCGGGTTGATTTGAATTTGGTGAGTATGATAGACTTTTCTTTAGGTTTGTACTATTGGCAATCGGTGATGATGAATATGAAAATGATGAAGATGATTGAACTGGCGATGATAATGTATTACTTGGTTTCCTAACAAGAGTTTGACTTGCTGACAATTGATTTGCATTTTGCATCGGATTTAAACTATTTTCTCGTCCAACAACATTATTATTATTATTATTAATATTTAGTTGTTGATTTTTATTTTTCTTATCATTTTTAATTTTCTTTATAAAACTAGCCATTTATTACTTTAATTTCCAAACCTACTGTTTATATATTGTTGTTGTTGTTGATTTTTTGTTAAATATATAAAAATAATAAAGATAAAATATATTTTTTATCTATTAATATTTAAAAATAATATATATATATATAGTTATATTATAATAATAATTGACATATAAATTAATGATTTTGAAAAGCAATTATACTTTTTTGTCCAGAATTGAACTGGGAATTAAATTTAGTGAATTGACCTATTATTCTTGAATAAATAAATATAAATATAAATATAAATAAGAAGATAAAAAATTAATATCTCAAATTTTGATTTATTTTAAATAAATAAAATGAAAATCTATCTTTGTATATCTGAAATATTGGATGAATGTATAATTTTGTTAATTGTGTGATTAGTTTAGTGAGATTTTGATGGAATCGATTGATTGAAAATATTTGTGTGTGTTTGGTTTGGTTTGTGTTAAAATAAATAAATAAGTAGATAATTAAAAAAATAAGTAGATGGATGATATAGATATGTACTACTACAAAATATAATATAAAAATAAAATAAATAAAATAAATAAACAAAAAGAATGAATAAATATTGAGATTTTATAATATGAATGGAAAAAACAAAAACAGAAAACCTTTTTGATTATAAATTGAGAAACGGCGGGTATTATTATCTTTGGTTTTCAATTTTATTTTATGTATGTATGATTATACTCTTGATTTTATTATTACTGATAAAATATTCATATAATTTTAAAATTGTTTAGTTTTTTTGTTTTGTTTGTTTTTTTTTTTGGTTTGGTTTGGTTGTTCTTTGATGATGTTGATGTTAATAACTATATTGATGTTAGAGATGCTGTAGTTAATACTATCACTCACTCTTGGCGTGTATAACAACAAATTGGAAGAAGTAGTGAATAGCATAATATATATTGCATTGTCACCGATGATTTGTTCATTCAGTATATTATTAATAATTAAATAACAACTAACTATCACATCACATCACACAAATAAACACAACAGAGGAGAGGCAGTATAAAGATAAAAGTGGGATCATCATTGATTACATTACATTACACAATATTTATTAATTACATTCATAATTCTCTCTCTGTAGAGGAAAATAAATTAAATGTAATATATTTTAATAAAAAATAAAATTGTTTTATAAATTAGGAGTTTGTATATCTAGATTTGAAGTGATGTTACCAATTCTATTCTTGTTGACAACAGAATAAATAGAATATATTTTAGTTATTGAAAACTAACCAACAATATCCAACCATCAAAAACAAACTAAATATATAGTGGTTGGTTGTTATGTGTGTTTAAATTGATTATATTATATATTTAATAAATTTAAAAAAACTCTTCCATTTCAAAACCATTCTATATCTTACAACCAACTTTTTTTGGTCCACAAAAGCATAGTATATCAATAAAAAAAATAACAACAAAATCACACAAACACACAAACACATCAAAAATAAAAACAACACACCCATCACATAATAATTATTATAAAAATTATTAAAACTTTGAATTTTAAATATAAGTTTGATGGTGTTTGGTGTTTTACTCGTTGTTATGTTAATATTATCTTTGATGTTTTTTGTTTTGATGATGATGTTAATGTGTGCAATATCATATCGAATAATTTATAAAACAAAATAGAAGAGTTTAAATATCTGTGAGAGTGTGTTAATATTGCAATGACATATTAAAAAAAACAGGTACAACAAGTGACAATTCTTTAAAGAGTGAGTTTTTGTTTTTGGAAAGTTGAAGTGTTATTGAGTTTTCACATTTTTTTGTTGTCTGTGTTGCAACACTTTTGATTCACAGTCACACTGTAATACCTTACTGAATCATTTAAGAGTTTCTTTCTTGGCTCTTTTTCAATTTTTATTTCTAATGAAATAATCGACTGAAATGTGAAAATGGTGTTTGTTTGTTTGTTGATTGAAGATATCCGAACAGAAATGAAAAATATTTGGTGCTAATGGTCTGAGACTATTTGTTATTAGATATGAAATCATTGGGTGGGAGTGAAATGGACGAAACAATTGATTATTTGAATGAAAATCATTTGAGGTTACTATGATGATTATTTTATTTTATGAAAGATAGATGAATATTTTTTACTAACTTTATGAATATTATTTTTATTTAGTTTGATACTTTAATCTTCTAACTAAAACTCCAATCGATTAAAATAAAATATCAAATAAGGAAAATAAATGTTTATGAATGATTATTTTGACTGACTGATGAATACTAAATATATTTGAAATCACCGAAATATAAAACTACTGTTGTGTAAAATATTAATAGAGTTAAGAATATTTATATTTTTGAGAATTACTATTAAGTTGTTGTTGTTTGATTGACTATCACAAATATGTGAAGATTTGGAAAAATTATGATTTATAAAAAGTGAAATTTTAATTATTTCATGAATTTGATGTATTTGAATTTACCTACCTATTCTATGTTGATATAATCAAAACACTATACTAATATAAAATTAAATTTATTCTGTTGTTGATATGGTTTATCGGAATTTATTGTTGTTACTAATATTGTAATAAATTGGAAATATCGAAAATTAGAAATCTTATGTTTGATTTTTAGCAATTTAAATGAACTAACAGATATATCACAAAAAATATTTAGAATAGTTTACTTTTTTGTTGTAGAAATAAATATTGCTGTTGTTGTTGTTGTTGTTGTTGATGATGGTGTCGGTTGGAAAACTAAATGATAATGATTACTATTATTGAGTAAAATATAACTATTCAATAGGCTATTAATATATTTATTTTATTTTTTTGTTTATGATTTGATTTGATTCTGTCTGATGAACTTGGAATGAATAAATTAATGATCTTGATTAATAGGGTTCCATTTAATTTTTTGGACACAAACAAAACTGCATCTGAAGCATCGCATCGTTCAGCAGCAAATTGAAACAAAAAAAATGAATACAACAGACCAATAAACTATTGTTGTTATTATTGTTTTATCGACTATCCAAACAATACTTAATATATATTTAGGAAATCCAAGCCAACAACACACCACTCACCAACAACAACAACAACAACAACATTCTTATTTTATTTCTCCACATGTGTTGTTCTTGGTGAAAATACATTCCATATTTTATAAATATGAACACTGTCAACAACATATATTTCATCTTCAAATCTCGTGTTTATTTTTCACTCTGGTAAAAAATGATACTATTACAATTTAACAAATAAAACAAATCACATATGTTTTTAACACTAACAAACACACCACTATTACATTCACCTCCATATCGAATCTTGATCTAACAAACATCTTCATATATAACAAATAAAAAATAATACATAATTATAAATTGCATACATTATTATTAATATTGTGTTTTGTTGTTTTGTTGTTGTTGTAAATTATTAATTATTGATGTTAATTCTGTCTTTACAATCTATACTTTTTTTTTTTTTTTTTTTCTTTATATTTTTTTGTTAAAATAATTATATGTTTGATTTTGACTAATACTACTACTATTATTAATTGTTATTTCCAATTTGTTTCTCACTCTGCCTACATTCCTATATCAAATAAAGTTGTAAAGCTGATCAAGAGAATGGAATTTGATTGATGAATTAAAGAAGAAGAAGATGATAGATGTTGTATAATAAATTAAAATATTAAAACACATTTAATAATTACCCAAATCAGCACTACCACTTTCTTTTCCCACATTTTAATTAAACAAATATTAATTTGTTATATGCTATACTATAATGAAGTTTATTTGATTGATTTATGTATGGTTGGGTTTATTGATTGATTGATTGACGATGATGTTGTTATTGATGATGTTATTGCTATTCTATTCTAATGTAGTTCTCATTCACATATTCTATTATTACTATATTATTTACTATTATGACTATTTAAATCAATAATAGGTGGTGGTAGTGTTGTGGTATTCAGAGTGTAATTGTAAATGTTGGGGTTGTGGCATTTTTAACTAAAATAACACATTCTTCTGTTGTTCAATTCAATGGTAGAAAAGTGATTGGATAAAGGGGCGGAGCTACTTCCATGGAGATATTAATGTGTTTGTTTTGGAGAATAAGTGGAAGTGGAATAGGAAGTGGTAAAACTTTTACCAAACCCATTCAATTTGATAATAACAATGCGAAAAATAATTAAACACACTCTTGTATTATATTATATAATAAAAACAAAAAAAAAACAAAAATAAAACGAATAAATTAAACACACACATGTCAATCAAAAAATTTTAGATATATAAAAAAGAATTAGTGTGTTACATCACCGTAGAATCATTTATTTTATTGATTGAATTTATATAGTAATTATATCTATTAATAGCCTTTAAATAAAATAAATTATATAAATCCTTTGGGGAAAAGATGTTTGATTTTCTTGGTGTTTTAAAGAATATAATTGCAAATGTACTAATTTAATTTACTATCATTATTTTAAGAATCATATGATTAAGTATCTATTTTGTAGAAAGCATCTTATTGTTATTTGATTTATTTAATGAATTAATAGATGACATTACAATAGTTATAATTATTATTATGATTATTATTGAATTTGATTCAGTATTATTGTTATTGTTTTTGGTGAAATTTCTTTTTTAAATATATCTTCAATTTGAACAAACAAAATGATCATCAATTATTTACTTTTTTTGGGTTTTTTTTGTTTTTTAATTTTTATTCGTTTATCTTATTTATTTTTAAAAATATTTATTAATAGTTTAATTATTCTTTACTATTATTTACTATTGCTATACTGTATTATTCTATTTCTTCTATACTAATAATTGATTGATTAATTTAAATTTAAATTGTTTGTTTTAAACAATGTTTATTATATAAGATAAATAAATAATCAAATATCAATCATTGCTTATAATTAGACGAGTCATTTTAAAATTAACTTTTTAATTTCTGAATGATTTTATTTCATTGTGTTTTATTTTCTTTTTTGGTGTTTAATGAGAGTTTCACCAAGTTGAATGATGATCCGTTACACAAACAGCAACCACCTCATAGATAATAGTAACAGCAAATTATCTCATTTTAAATGAGACACAGCACCTTTTTTGTTTGTTGGGGTGCTGTGTCAGGAAACTTTTGTGTGAGTCAAATTTTGATATCAAAAAACAACAAAAAAAAAATAAATCTTTGAATGGAAAAACCCCGAAACTGATCAGATGTGTGGTTCCAGGGAGTCTCTTTGCAAATTTCAACGATGTTATTTTTGATTTTGATTATTATAATAATAAATATCAGAAATGGGCTATTATTATTTGTTTGTTACTTTTTTTGTTAGTTTCCAAAATTGATGGACAACTATTTTTTTTTGTTTATTTTATTTTATTTATTTTAAAAATACATAAAGAATTCTTATTATAATTATTATTTAAAACTAGTTTCTTTGGAAAAAGGAGAGGGTATGTTTGATCTTTGTAATTAAACAAACAAACGAATAAGGGGGAAAATATGAATAACAACATAACAACATGGAAAAAAAGGTTTTGTTTTTGTGTAGTAAAATATAAGATTGGTTGGTAAGTTGAAAAAAAAAAAGTGAGAGAGAATGGAGAGACGATATACTCGACTCTTATTGTCTTGGCTTTTGTCCGGTGACTATAATTCTTGGACCATCATTTGAACCACTATTATTGCGCAGTGATTGTATACAGTACTTGGATGCCGAGTGGATATTGATGAAACCAGAGGAGAGAAGTAGCAGTTGGAGTTCCGACAATGTAAAGATGGAGAACCGATGTGTCTCAACGACATAGCTGCCATCGCCATATCCATTGCCAAGATCATCACTCTCACCACCGTCCACCGAGAAAAAGATGTCTTCGTGACTCCAGATGGCATTGTGTAGGTCAACCTGGGAGTTTGAGATACGCTTTACCGGTACACCGTTCACCAGCATCTTTTGTTCGCAATGCGAACGGAAATGAGTGAGACCACTCAAAAAGTTGGAGACGTCCAACATGACGACACCGCCTGGCGCCAGTGACTGGTAGATGTTTCTGAGGGCAACGAGACGGTCTTCCAGCTTGGTGAGATATTGGAATGGTCCGTGAACACACGCCACCATGTTGTATTTATTCAACACGTTCAAGTCGAGGAATCCACCGTGATAGACCGAGACTTTGTCGCAAGTGTGACTGGCGTGCTCCAGAGAGAACGAGTAGTAGTCTTTGTCTGGCTCGAAGGCGTCGATATAGTTCCACTTGGAGGCTTCCCACTCTGAGAACATACGACCGATTCCACAGCCGAGATCGAGTAGGTGGTTCAAAGGTACTTTGTAAACGGTGGCAATCTGCTCGACAAACTCGGCGATATGGTGGACTTCGTGGTGACGTTGAATAAAACAATAATACAGTAGATCTCTCTTTCTCCAACTATCCGTATTATCATCTGAAATATCAATATAACTTGATATTTTGCTTATATTACTACTATTATTATAATTGTTATTATTGTTGTTGTTGTTATTGTTGTTGTTGTTACTTTGATTTGGTGAGGTGGAACCATTTAAACTGTTGGTGGAACCACTTTTTTTCATTTTTGATTTTGAATTTCTCTGTGAGCTTTCCTCTAGAGATGGGAATTCTTCTTGGTATGCTTCAAACTGTTGTTGCTGATGTCTTTTTGAGTCTTCTTGTATGTGTTCTCTTGGTATCATTCTCATCGTATAGCAGATTATACATACTAGTAAATCAAAAAATTAAACTTGAATAAAATGTAAAATGTTTATTTTTGCTTTTAAGAAAAATAATAAATTTATTATTATTATTACTAACTAACTGACTTGGCTGACTGACTGATTGTTCTATCTATTTTTTTTGATTTGCAACTACTTTTTTTTGCGAAAAGTCCAATTCAAAAAAATAAATTCAAGAAAAAGAGAGATTTTTTTTTAAATCTAAAAAACAAAAAAAAAAAAGAGAAAAAGGATTGATTTAAATTAAAAATGATAGATTTATATAACTAAATTATAAATTGAAAAGTTATAATTATACTAAATATAATTATAAAGAGAGTGAAAAGAGAATGAATGTATTAATGAATTTGATGACTACTACTTTTTTTTACTTTTTGAAAAAAAAAAAAACAAAAAAACGAAAGAATTAATTTAAATAATAATAATTTGTATATATGTGTATGATTATGTGTTGTTGGTGCTGTTAGAGAAAAATGAAACCTGTAATACAATATAGAAAATGTGTAATTTCATTTTTTTAAAAAAATGAGAAATTTTTAATAAAAAAAACCCCAACAAAGTTTTTGCAATACTGAATCATCATTAAAATGGTGACCAAAAATAGAAAATCATTTGTATTCTTCGACACATCTTTTAAGAAATTTCTTTAAAATACAAAAAAAAAAAAAAAAAAAAACAACATCATTTTACCAAAATTATTTTTTACTTAAAACAAATAATTTTTTTGTTGCTTTAGTAAATAATAATAATTTAAATAGTTATTTTTTTTTTTTTTTGAGATTATATATTTTATTAATAACCACCACCCATGAAATCTTTTTTGGGTGCAGTCTGTTTTGTTTGATTTTTGAGTTTTGTACAGTTGCCAATACGATGACCTCTTCCTCCGCAATAGTCGCACTCGTCCAATGGGTTGTCGCTCGATACCATGTTGTTGTCGTCTTGGATCTCCAGCAAAACTTGTGGAACCTTTTGTTTGGATTCGATCAATAGGTACTTGAGATCGAGTAGAACCGATTCCGTTTGATTCTTGTTGATAAAGGTGGTGGCGACACCGGTCTTACCGCAACGACCGGTACGTCCAATACGATGAATGTAATTCTCAATCTCCTTTGGCATGTCAAAGTTGATGACGTGTTGGATGTCCGGAAAGTCGAGACCCTTCGACGCAACATCGGTGGCGATCAACACATCCTTCTTGCCCTCCTTGAACATCTTTATGGCAATGTCACGCTCCTCCTGTGTCTTGTCACCGTGGAGCGACACCGCCTCCACCTGTTTCAACAAAAGATACTCATAGATGTCGTCGACATCCTTTTTATTCTCACAGAAAATCAAAACGGGTGGCGGTGTCTTTTGTAGACACTCCAGCAGATAGACGATCTTGGCTTCCTGCTTGACGTACTCTACCTCCTGGATGACATCGAGATTGGCGGCACCGGCTCTTCCGACGTTGACCTCGACCGGTCGCACCAGAGCAGACCGCGCAAAGTTCTGAATCTTCTTTGGCATCGTCGCAGAGAACAACAGTGTTTGTCGCTGCGCAGTAAAGTTGTCCATGACACCACGAATCTCCTCTTCGAATCCGAGATCGATGAGACGATCGGCTTCGTCCAGTCCCAAGTACTTGCAGCTGATCAGGTTGATCTTCTTCTTGTTGAGCATGTCCAGCAGACGGCCTGGCGTCGCGACAATCATGTGCACACCCTTGCGCAACTCGGGCTCCTGCTCACGAAAGTCGATTCCACCCATGCAGAGCAGTGTCCGCAGTGGCGGATAGCCGCCGGCTTTGCTGAGCGCGCCAGCCATCTCCACGACACCGTCGTAGGTCTGACGCGCCAGTTCTCTCGACGGGCAGATGATCAAGCCGAACGGACCCTCGCCAGAGATCAACGGCAGCTTCAGCTCCATCTCCATCGCAAACAGCACCATCGGCAGTGTGAACACCAGTGTCTTTCCACTTCCGGTGAATGCAATTCCAATCATGTCTCGACCCGACAAAATCACGGGAATACCTTGAATCTGAATGGGTGTCGGTTTCTTTATGCCCTTTTTCTTTAGGCAATCGATAATGGCGTGCGGTAGTTTCATCTCGCGGAACGAGGTGATCGGTGGTGGAACGTCTTCGCCACTCACCAAAATATGAAGATCCTGACGAATCTTTTGATTCTCTTGATCGCTTCTGTTTCGAATGTAGGTGGGTGCTTTCCAACTCGTCTTTATACTATCTTTGTAGACGATATCCTTTGCACGATCTTTCACCGACACCAAAGGCACCAGCGTAGCTTGCAACGACTTTAGAATCTCTTCTTCCTCCTTCTTCAGCCGCTGTGCTTCCAGTTGTCTCGGATCATCGGATTGCACTTGATTTCCTTGATTTTTCATCATCTCTAATTTTTGATCTATTAAACTCTTTTGTGGTTGTTGTTGTTGTTGCTGCTCTTGTTGTTGTTGTTGTTGTTGTATATGCTGTACATTATCCTTACTATTATTACTATTGCTATCTCTTTCATCTATATCTTCCTCTTGTTCTTCTTCTTCTTTCTCTCTTTTCGCAGCAATAGTATTGTTTATCATCTTTAACTTTCTCATCTTTCTTTCTTTGAGAGGTATCCACTTTTCAACAACATCTTCATCCTCTGCAACACTACCACCGCCGCCATCAACGTGTTCATCATCATTATGTGATCTCTTTCCTGTTAAACTATCTTTACTACTCATTTTTTGTTTTGTTATATACAAATATATATATATGTTTTACTAATTTTATTAATAAAAACCTTGATTTTAATTAATAAATAAAATCAACAATTAATTTGAAAATGCAAAAACTTTAACTATTGTTGAATTTTCCGAAATAACTACTGTATTAAATAAATAGGTATAAAAAAAAAGTGATTTATAAATATCAACAAATATGAGAATATAAAGATCAGTTTATTATCTTGATAAGTTATATAAATGTTATATTCTCAAGATAATAAGATACAATTATTTACAAAAAATAGTTTTATTTTGTTTTAATTTCGTCGATCGTTGGTATATGATTATTTATAGATAAACTATCATTATCACTATTTATATTATCGTTGTTTAAAATTGTTATCGTTGTTAAATTCGTTGTTAAATTTGTTGTATGTATATGGTTGATGCTGTTTATGTTGTTGTTGTTGTTGTTATTTATGTTTGTATTTGATGATGATGATGTTGAAGATGAAGATGAAGATTGCTTAGATGCTTCATATCTTATTTGACTGTACCATATAACACCTAATACGGCAACACCACATCCCAATGCATTTAAAAAGTTTACTTGATTTCTAAAGATGATGATCGATATCGTGATCGAGAGGATCACTTTAAGGTTACCCGAGACAGTGTAGGTCAGCGGTGAAGTGTATTTAATAACGAGAAAAGTTGAGATGTTCAGGAGAAAAGCAATGGCACCGCTCACCAGCAGGATGACAAGCGGTTCGGTCTCTCCGTAGTGCTGCCACTCGGCGCGCATCGCCGGCACCTCGTAGTAGAGCGCCACCGGTGTCAACATCACCAGCGAGTAAGGCGCCATATAGTAGAGCAAATTGATGGGATTCAGCTGTTGAGTCAACAACTGACCGGATACCACCGCGAAAATCGCAGAGATCACACTAGACAAGAGTGACGCGTAGAATCCGGTGTGGTTGTAGTTCACCTCGGAGAACGACGCCAAACAGACGCCGCCAACAATAGGCAGCATCGAGAGGTACGTCGATTGCGAGAATCGCTTGCGCATAAAGATCGTCTGTGTTATCACGGTGAAGAGCGGCACCGACGACTTTACCGTTTGCATGAAACTCACGGGAACCCAGCGCAGACTGACATTGCCAAGCACGATGTTCGAAGCAAAGAGAATCGCCAGTGGCGCGATAGACCGCAGCTGTTGCTCCAGCGGAATGTGTACGCGCGGCACTATTTCGAACCAGTGCAGTGCAATGACCGAGCCGATGCAGCACACCAGCATGTGAACGGCAGTCAGCGAAACCGGATACATAAACTGTAGGCTGGCAAATATATATTTATTCAGTATCAGTGTACTGATATTGAGAACGAACCACATAAACAATGAGAAGAATGCAATATTGCCATTGGAGATCTGTAGTTTAAATAACCTTTTAGCTGATATCGTTGAAAACATTTTGTTGTTTATTTTTATGTTTTAGTTGTTTTTTCAATGAGAACAAGAACAACAACAACAACAACAAATTATTTGTTGAATCTGCTTTATTTTATTATCTCTAAAATATTTATTTATCTATCTAAATACTATTGTTATTTTATACAATTTGGTTATGTTTAAAGTATGTATGTATTAATCAATATTTCGTCAGAATGGTGTTGGGTGTGTGGTTGATGATTGCAATGATTAAACTTAAAAGAGGGTGTTTAGTGATTTCGGTGTGTGTGTCTGTGTGTCTGTGTGTAATGTTATATAAATACTAAGTTATAAATATAAATTTATATATGTGAAATTTCACCTTTTACAATTTAAAGATTAAGGTAAAAATGAATATGAATATAATCTTTCTAGATCATTGTTGCTTAAAGAAAGTGATGATGTAAATATCTTTTTTTTGTTTTTATGTTTGTTTAATAAATCATCAGATAGTTGTTTTCTCAAGATAATGTTAGTGGTGACCTTAAAAGTTGGAGGAAATTTACAAAAAAAATCTAGATTTATGTAGCAGAAAAATCGTTTGTTTTTTGCTCGTGGTATTATCATTTCAAAAAAAAAAAAAAAAAAATTTTTTAAGAATAGTTTAAATTATCTCTGACCAGTGTTATAAGTAAACCAATATCAAAATAAAATCAAAGTAAAATCAAAGTAAAAAGAAGTTCACCTTAAATTATTGGTTTTATTTTAAAATTTATAATTATGTCTGAAAAATCAAATTCAACTTTTATCTTTTTATTAAAAATATATTTTATATCTTTCATTTTTAAGTAAAATCTTTTTTTTTTAAAAAAAAAAGTTAAACCAAACATATTGAGTTCAAAGTCTACTCTCACATTTGGTTGAATAAATTAAATGTTTCTTCTAGAAAGTGATGGGGATTAAGATCATTTCCACATTTATAATGAATGAAAATGTTCACCATGCAAAGTTATACCATTTTAGTGTTTGCGATCTTTAAACTTCTCACCCCACTAAAACCCTCCCCACAATCATCAAATCTCAAGTTAGTTTTTTTGTTTTTTCAAATGAGGTTTGAAAAGTTACAAAATCAAAAAAAACTTGAAAACAAATTAAACAACTCAAAAAATTACATGAAATTTGAGGCGGTTCATCGCAATTCTGAAAAAAAAAACACAATCCTTGTAACTATTTCGTTACGAATTATGAATGAGCGTATTTTTGTTGACGTGATAAAAATAATTTTATTCATGAAAATCATTTTTTTTTTTGTGGTGGATTCAAATAAGTATAAAATTATATCAACCACCACATCAAAATAAACATTCATATGGATAATCGTCGACAATGGTTTTTTTGTTCGATCATTCCAATCATCCAATTATTAACATTACCTCCTCCTTTTTTTGATTATCGCAATCAAGTTTCAAAAAAATCAAAAAAAAAAAACAACAAAACAAAACAAAACCAAAACAAAACTAAAAACAACAAAACCAAAACAAAACAAAAATATTTTCAAAGATAAGATAAATCTTTTTTATTATTTTTTTTCATTTTTCATTTTTCATTTTGCAAAAAAAATAAAAACACATATTTATTTATATATATATTTATTTATTTAAATTGCGTGTTTTGGGCAAAAGTAAAATTAAATTAAAGTTCATCAGATTTGTTTTGCCAAAAAAATAAAAAAAAAATAACAAAATAAGAAAATAATATTACCTTTTTAGTTTTGGTTTTAAAAAAGAATTTTTGGTGGTATTTTTTTTCATTAATTTGAACATTCCCAATTCTTCCACCAACCTCCTCATCTATCCAATCTCTTTCTTCTCTTTTCCCTCTCTTTCTTTTTCCACATTTCACCTTCCATCTTATTTATATTTCACATCACACCTGTAACCAAACAACAAAAATATAAAACAACAAACAACAACAACAAATAAACAAACAACTACTATGAATAATAGTTTTCATTCGTCAACTCCATCGTCCACTTCAGCTTCATCTGATACAAATTCATCGATCTCCTCATTCACTGTAGATTCCAGCAATCTCTCGTCGTCCTACTCTTCAACGTCATCGTCATCGTCGTCGTCGTCAAGTTCCTTCTTTAATAGTCATAATCAACACAACAACAATCCGCAACAGAGTCAGCATCAACATCAACATTCACATTCCGCTCCACAGTTATCAACAACAAAAACAAAAACAGATTCAGATTCAACTGTTTCCGACAGTCCAAACAAAAACAAAACCAGAAACAAAGATGGTAATAGCAGTGTCATTAACAATAACTTAACAAATACAAACGAAATTGAAAGTGGAAACGAAGGAAATAACAATAATAATATAAGTAATGAAGAATGCGACAGTAATATCAATAACAGTGAAATAGATAGATTCGACTTTGAATTACTTCCAGATCAACCGCTGCATCTTCAACGACATCAATTACAACAACAAGAGTTGAATACCCAGATTCAAAAGTATCAACTTCATCGTCATCTGCATTTTCAATCGCCAGCGCCACTACCTCCAGGTCAGACACTCTCTTCACCCATCCCCACAGCAACAGCAACAGCAACAACAACAACAACAACACAGACACCCTATCATCATTTACATCATAACCAATATTTCGAATCGACAGACACCAGTAGTAATAGTAGTTTCATCAGCGGAGGCAGCAGTAGTAGCAACTTTCATTTACTGAGTGACACAGACGACAATGTTAGCAATAGCAGCGAGAACAGCGAACGTCGTATAACGCTACAGTCCGAGCCAGTCGGCAGCATTCCACGTCCAAACTACCTGATAGAGGCATTCGCCGATGTGAGCAGCGGGAAACTGCCAATGGAGGCACTGGACGACCTGTTTCAACGCGCGCTCATTGACACAGTCCACGGCTTTGAGCAATCGGGGTCGAAAGTGATTACGGACGGCGAGCAGATGAAGCCGTCGTTCATCACCTACTCTATAGACGGCTCGGACCAGCTGATACGCGGCGGCACCAGCATCGTCTTTTGCGACGGCCACTGCCGGGAGATGCCGGTGCTCAGCGGCCAGAACCTGCCGTTCCGCTACAAACACTACGCGCTCGAGTACTATAATAGGTGCCGTCCGCTCACCGACTATCCCATTAAGCAACCGGTCATCTCTGCCAGTGCAATGTCGCTGCTCTACCCACTGCACAGCAGCATTCCCAACTATCCACGCGAGCAATTCATCGAGGAGATGCTCAACGAAGTCGAGTACGACATCCGGTCGTCGCTCAACGCTGGCGCCGCCGTCGTCCAGATCGACGCGACAGAAGCGCGTCTCTCCATGAAGCTGGATCCGTCGGGCCAGCTACTGAGAGAGTTTATCACGCTCAACAATCGTGTGCTCTCGCGATTCACCGACGAGGAGCGCAAGCGCATCGGAGTTCACAGCTGTCCGGGCGGTGACCACGACAGCACGCATTCCGCCGACATTGGCTACGAACTCATCATTCCCTCGCTATTTCAGCTGAATCTGACGCGATTCTACTTGGAGTACCAGTTGGAAAACAACAAACCCTCGATTCTCAAGTGTATAAAACAACATATCAAGCCACATCATCTAGTTTTTTTCGGAGTCATCAACGTTTTGGAACCAAGAGTAGAGACACCTGAAGAGGTCTTTCAAACGATCATGGAGATTGCTAAATTCATTTCTCCCGATCAAATTGGTACCACCGACGACTGTGGTTACTCGCCATTCGGTGATGACATGACAACCTCTCGTGAAGTGGCATTTGCAAAGATTAAATCGAGAATTGAAGGTACAAAAATGGCAGAGGACTATTTCAATGCTCAATATTCAAATTTAGATATATAATATAATCGAAATCCAATCAATTCAAACAACATACCTACATCCTTTTTTTTTTTCAAATTCCAATTTTAAATTCAATCAATCAACAAATCAAAACGATCATCTACACTACTACTTTTTTTCATTTAATTTAATTAATTTATTTAAATTTCAATTCAATTCAATTCAATTTGAATAGAGTGAAATACAATTCAACTCGAATATAGTATAATATAAATCAACAACAACAACAACTTTCACAAACATATAAACATAAAAAATAGTGATAATTAAAACAAAACAACAACAAACAACATTTCCAACAACAAAAACATTACCAACATCAACAACTCCCAAAAAATTTAAAAAAACATATCAAGAAAAATAACGATAGTCAACAACAGACTGGCATCCCCTCGATTTAATGGTTAACTTTAATTATCAAAACCCAAAACATCAACACTCGCAATATTGAAAAAGCACAAACCTATACCCAGGAATATCTTTGTGAATATGATTGCCATCTTTTCAAACCGAAAATTATAATAGAGACTCACTCTTTATTATCAAAAATAATAAATAAATTTAAAAAAAAATCATCCTCCAGTCACAAAAAGTTTGAACTTGTAAATAGACTAGATAGGTTGGATATAGAAATCAATCTAAAATTAAATACTTATCTAAAACAATATTACTCTAAATCAAACAACTAATTAGATTTTTAAAAGAGCTGAGGAATTGATATCACCTTCCAGTTCAAATGTGATAATTGAATTATTATCAAATTTTTGCATTTTGAGAAATATCTTCAGTAATTTAAAGGTCTAGACAATTCCAAACTTTGTCCATTGGAGTTCAATGTGATTGTTCTGAATATGTTTATACCTTACCGAATAATAAATTTTTTGTTTATAGCAGTTTTCAACGAATAAATAGATATCTCCTTAGTCGTTGAATCACAGAGATTCATACTATACATTTGTTCATGATTCACAATACAACTGAATCATGAACACCATATATATTAATATTGGAGAATATTCAAATAATGTTTGTATTTGTACAATGTGTAGGAAACAATATTTATTTTAGATTTATTTTTCAAATATGAGTGTTCTTGAGGAATAAAATTTTTGTTTTTTTGAGGTGAAATAGGCGCGAACTTGTTTTTTTAAAATAGTGAAATTCATCCCATAAAGAATATATTTATAAGATATTGATAACAGCTTTTGTTAAATAACTAATCAGACATTGCATTTCTTGAAAAACAATACGTATATGCGAATCGCCTTTTACTATTCTAGCATCCGTGTTTATCAAGAACTAAAATGCTTTCACCATTTTTGTGAGGGTATTCGTACCCTTATCCCAAATTAAAAACAATGATAAAATATATATTAATTGACAGATTTTCTTTAACAAAGTAAAGTTATTATTATTATTATTTTTAAAAAAAAAAGACAAACTTAGCATGTTTTAATAATTTAGTTCTCTACCATTGTTAGCTGATTTAAAGGAGAATAAATGGATTGTCGTAAAATCTAATTATAGTCAATTTTACATTAATAGTAATTGGGTCTACAGATAACTGTTGCTAGAAGAGAGCATAGATAGCTTGATTAGTGAGCGGAGGTGAGGACCATATATGATCCCTCTAATTACTTGAGTAGGTAGCTGAATAAGAGTTGATAGATAGACCTGGTTTAGCAGTTTAAAACTTGTTATCTTATCTCATCTCCACTTAGGTCAAGTAACATTAAATCATATTCATTGGGATTATAATGGATACAAATAAAAAAAAAATTAACAGATAAACTCATATTCTTAAATCTTGTGATGTAACTAAATCAGATTTGTAAATATACAACAAACAATCACAGTATCTTTGTCATAAAACACCAACAGTTTTTATTCATCCAACAAGTTTTTATTAATTTTTTTTTAATTTTTTTAAAAAAAACGAACGAAAATGAATAAAGTGTTTATTTTTATTTTTGATTTATTAAATACACAACAGCATTTCATTTATATTATTATTTATTTATTTAATTAATTTTATATTTATTAAGAGGAATGTTGAAATTTCAAGGATCAAGTCAATTCAGACAGAGAATAATATGTTCGACACTGAGTAGTCGACCGGTGAAGATTACGAATATCCGTGACGATCAAGAAAGACCCGGTCTGACAGACTACGAGGTATCGTTCTTGCGTCTTCTCGATAAGATTACCAATGGTACAAAGATCGATATCAACGGTACCGGTACACAACTTACATATATTCCAGGTTTGCTCATCGGTGGTAAACTCCAACACGACTGTCCAGTCTCGCGTGGCATCGGTTACTTTGTAGAGGCACTCATCTGTTTGGCACCATTCTCAAAGCTACCACTAGATATAACACTAACAGGAATTACAAATAATGATTTAGATTTAACTGTATGTATAGATAATAATATTATTATATTAATTAATTAGTTAGTTAATTTTTATTGTTTTTTTTTTTCGATAATCAAATCAATCTTAAAGATTGATACAATTAGAACTACAACATTACCGATTGTTAGAAAGTTTGGTATTGAAGAAGGATTACATATAAAGATATTAAAGAGAGGTGCACCACCAGGTGGAGGTGGTAGTGTTATCTTTAAGTGTCCGATCGTACAACAACTCAAACCGATCCAGTTGTTGGATGAAGGTAAAATCAGAAGAGTAAGAGGTATTGCCTATGCAACTCGTGTCTCTCCACAGATTCCAAACCGTGTTTTAGATACCGCCAAAGGTATCCTATTAAAGTTTACACCGGATGTCTATATTTCCGCTGATCATTATAAAGGTGGTGAATCAGGACAGTATGTATACTCTTTAAGAAGATAATAATAATAATAACAATGTTTATTTATTATTTGTCTAACTTGTTATTTTTAATAATTAATAAATAGATCACCAGGTTATGGATTAACATTGGTAGCAGAGACAACAACAGGTTGTTGTATTTCAGCAGAGTGTATGGGAGCTGCAGGTGAATCACCAGAGAGTCTCGGTGAGAGAACAGCAAACTTTTTATTGGAAGAGATACTCAATGGTGGATGTATAGATAGTAACAATCAGAGTTTAGCATTGTTGTTCATGGTTTTATGCCCAGAGGACATCTCAAAGATTAAACTTGGTAAATTAACACCATACACGTATGTTATTTATAATAACAATTGTATTGCTACATCTATTCAATATAATATACTAATGTCAATACATATAATCGTATCAATTAATTTAGAATCGATTTTATTAGAAATATTAAAGAATTCTTTGGAACTGTTTTTAAGATTGAAACAGACGATGACTCTAAAACGATTACATTCACATGTCTCGGAACAGGATTTAAGAATATGGCAAGAAAGACCTTCTAAATTAATTGACAATATTCAATGTATTTGTTCAATACAATCAGATTATTATAATAATAATAGTAATAAATATAAAATTATATTGATCAAGTTTAGTTTAAAAAAGTAAAAAAAAAAAAAAAAACAAAAAGTAATATTTATTTATATTTATTATTATTATTATTAAGTTAAATACAACAATAAGATGAGGTTCTAATTCATCATTATTTAAAAACCGATCGTTTCTAACTATTATTATTATTATTATTATTAATCTTGTTTTGTTTGTTCTGGTTTGACGTTACCAACTACTTCATAACGTTCGTCAAAGAATGAAACCCAGTGATTGAGTGAATCCATTTCGTCTTGGTTGAGAGATGAGGTATCCATTTTATTGAGATTCACTTTGTCGAAACTGCTCTTTGCCAGACAGGTGGTAGCGTCGTGACCAGCAAACAATTCGTACGATCCACCTGGACCATAGACAGAACGCTTCATCGAAACATCGTAGATCTTTCCTTTGATAGCAACAAACACAGCGTTGGTCTCATCGACACCGACAAACTGCTTCAACTCCTCCAATGTGTAGTCACGCTTCTCATAGACTGGCTTGGCACGACGAACAACAGGTGGTGGTGCTGGAGGGAACCAAATTGTCTTTATCAAATAAATAATGACACAAACCAACAATCCCCAAATAACTTCTTCAGGTACATCCAACATCTTATAATCTATTATATTATATTATATATATATAAAAAGGAATCTAAATAAGTTAAAAACAAATTAATAAAAAAAAAAAAAAAAAAAGATAGATGTAAATTTTTTTAAACTTTTAATCAAAATTTATTTTTTTATTGATTTTACCCACACACATCTTTTAAAATCTGATCAACCACCACACATACCAAATCAGGATTATGCAATCAATTTAATTTATCTAAAGTATTTTCTTTTTTTTCTTTATTAAAAGATTAAATTCCATATAGTAATGTTGTGTTGATACGACATTGAGTTAAAACTTCTTCTAATGAAAGTTCTTTTATGCCGGCGATTACATTGGCGATTTGAGGTATATGACCAGAGTTTGCTATTTGACCACGGAATGGCATTGGTGTCATGTAGGGTCCATCGGTTTCCAAGAGGATTCTGTCGATGGGAACGACAGAGACAGAGTCTCTTATTGATTCAGAGTTGTTGAATGTGATGCACCCGGTGAATCCGATGTAGAGGTTAGGGAAGTGTTCGAGTAGTGCCAGTGCGAATTCAATGTTCGATGTGAAACAATGGATGTGAATCTTCCAGTCTTTCGGGAGGTTCTCCTTGAGTAGTCGGAGTGTGTCTTCTTCGGCTTCACGTGAGTGAACGACCACCGGTTTGTTGCACTTGACTGCCGCTTGCAGCTGACGGGTGAATGCACTGAGTTGCGCTGGTCGGGCCGACTTGTTATAGAAGTAGTCGAGACCGCACTCTCCCCAGGCCACCACCTTTGGACTGGCCATACGCTGTATCAGCTTCGCTTCGATGTCGTCGTTGTACTCCGATGCGTTGTGTGGGTGCACACCGTACGCAGCAAAGATCTGGTCGAATGAAATGAGCATATCGGTGTACTCGAGCGACACCGGGTCACAACAGACCTGGACGAGACGCTCGAATTGCGGTGGGAAGTTGGCAGCTGCGAACATAGGGAATTGATCCAATGTCATATTCATACGCATCATGATCTGATCGACATGCACATGAGTATCGACATATTTAGCATCGACAGGCATATCTACAACCTTTGGTGTTGTAAACTTATATTTTGATACCTCTGATTTATTTCCTTTTGATTGTGGTTTCTTTTCTTGTTGTTGTTGTTGTTGTTGTTTTTTTGGTTGTTGTTGTTGTCTTTGCTTACCACCACCACCACTACCACTACCGACACCACAGCAATCACCACCACCACCACCAGTTGAAGTTGTAGATGTTGAACTCATATTTCTATTTAAGAAGTTATTACTATTATTATAGTTTTTATAAATATTACAATTAAATAAAGTAGTTATATTACTAAATTTGTTATTATTATTATTATTATTATTATAGTTAATTTGTTTAAAAAAGAATAAAGATGTATTTTTATTTAACAACGATCTCTTAAACATTATCAACAACAGAAGAATGATGATTGAAACAAAACACACACTAAAGTTGTGAAATTAAGAAAATTAATAAATTATTAAGAAAATTTCAAATATTTAAATTTTGATGTGTTTTTCAACGGGCGCGAACTTGTTGAACTAACACTTCATTGACCATGACTTGAAGTTGGTGTTTTATTAACTTAACTTAAACCAAAATAAAATATAATTAAATATTATATAATGAATAATAATAATGTTAACTTTAATAATAATATAAGATTATCACCACACAAGATATGTTTATGTGCATTGATTGATCATTATCTAAATGCACAACTTCACCCTTTTCAAAAGAAATCATTGTCAATCTTACTTTTAAAATATATTAAAGTAAATATCAATTGGACATGTTTTATTTTATCTTTAATTATAATCTAATAATTATGAATAATCAATCTATTATTATTTTATAGAATCCAGATAGTTATAATGAACCGACATTATATGATATCATTTTAGAGCTTAAAAAGATAAGAATATCAAATGTATTCTTAACACAAGAGTTAATTGAATATGTAAGTTATTATTATCATTTTTATTATAATACACTGTAGTATTAACGTTATTATAAACAAATTAAATTAAATAGATTACATTTGAAACAATAGATGATTTACAACAATTCTTTAGTTCAATAAAGATATTCTTTGAAAAAGAGAGACAGGTTGATGAAAATGATGAAGATGAAGATGATGAAGAGGAACAACAACAACAGCAAAAGGAGTATTTAGATGGAAAGAGTGTACTTGGTCTATTTGTTAAAAAGGTGTTATTGATATTCAATCAATCTTTATTCGATGGTTTAATCTCACTTTACAATCAAATGCGTGATTATATCAATCAATATCATTATGATCTAGATAATAATAGAAACAACAAACAAATACAAAATAATAATAATAATCAAACAAATAATAACAATAATAATAATGGTAAAAAGATATCATTTCTATCACCTATGGAACAAGAGAGATTTGTTTATGAAGAAATATCAAAGATTAACAGTAAGTAACACATTAACAATACAGTTAAGATCTACTACATATACTAATGTATAAAATGTATTAGATTCAATTGGTAAAGTAAATCCATTAGATATTAAAGAACATATCGATATTATAAAGTCGGTTTTACCAAACGTTAACAAGTCAAGATATATTGAGTAAGTTATAACATAATCGAAATGTTTATAAAGTAGATTATTTTACATTTTTATTAATAATATGTTTTGTGATAGTTTGATATCTAGTCAAAGTCATATGGATTATGAACAGTCGGTGGAAGAGTTGCATCGTTACTTTGACTATTGTAATGGCGATGGTTTGTTGTCAAACAACGCTTTGTTGCCGTATGCAGTGTTCAATCTTTCGAAGCTACACTATCATTTCGGACATTACGAACAGTCGTATCTCTCACTACAGGAAACCATTAGAATTGCACAGGAGCGAAACGACAACTCCTGTCTGGCACTGGCACTAAACATGCTCTCCAAATTCCAACATCGATCGGTCATTATATCGATGGACAACATCGACCATTTCCAACCGCACAGCCAACAGGACATCCTAGACAAAGGAATACACCGTGCTGCCGAACTAGACATGTCGTCGCTATCATCCATCAATCTACTATCGAAAACAAAGCTAAACATGAATGTAAACAGCAATACAAATAGTAGTAGCTATAATAATAACAATTTGACAGCCAACAGTAATATAATAAATAGAAGTAATAATAATAATACATCTATTAATAACAATAATAGTAACATTACTAATAATAATAATAATAAGTTAACAATTAATAATAATAATAGTAATTCTACAAACAATAACAATAATAATAATTCTAAATATTATAATGATATCTTTTCATTATTGGAGAGTTCACAACGTATCAATCGTAGTAACAATCTGTCGATTCTACAGATGAAATCTACAGTCTGGGAAATCTTTGGTAATTTGGAGTTATCAACCTATTTCAATGAACTATCATTCCGGTTCAACAACAACAACTCACAACTCAATGAATTCATACATTATCAATCAAACACAAACTCTTCAAAGGATACAATCATTACCTATTGTAAATTAGCTTTAACAGTAAGTATCTAATTAATATTAATATTAAAATGAATGGTAATTAATTTAATAACTATTATATAATATTGTAGCATTGTAAAAAAGGTGATTTTGAATCGGCACAAAATATCATTGGCTATTGTATGAATGAATATCCATATCATAATCATATAAAGTCAATTCTTTTGTACACTAGTTTGTGTATAATGTTTGAGGTGGCGTTGGCAGAGAGTAATTTGGATCGTGCTCATTTGGTGTTGGAGTCGCTACTGCCGCTGTTGAATCGTTTGTCGCCAGACGACTCGGAACAAGCTGGCTGGTCACAGATTTTCGCGACCTACACTCAGGTCGGTCGTTACTTTATCAAATCACGACAGTTTGATGTCGCTCACCAATTCCTGAACGATGCAATCCGTTTGGCAAGAGACAACGGCTACGAGTCACTGACTACCGAGTTTCATGTACTGCTGGCGCAACTCTTCCAGGAGTGTGGCGGTGTACTCTCCATGCAGTCGGGAATGAGCAATATGTTGTGCGCACTGTCGCTATCCGACCACTATAACCAGCCGACACTCTCTGCCGAGTCGAATCTACTGCTGATCAAGACACACCTGGAATCCGGTGATTTCGAGCGTGCTTACTCGCTGCTGGAAATCACACTGCCAATGGTTCTACAGGATTGCCAGCTGCAAGCAAAACTCTATCTACTCTATGCCAAGACTATATTCCGTGAGAGTCAATTCAACAAATCCGTCAACAAAAAACTTGGAATCGAATACCTGGAGAAAGCACAAGCCTGTGCAAAACAATTGTCAAACAAAGAAATGTTGAAAGAGATATCAAGTTATCTTATAAATACAATGACAAAATAACTACAAGACATTTAATTAAAAAAAGTTAATATAGATTTAAGAATCAATCAAAAATGAATTCGATTGTCCTTTTTTTTTTATTTAAAAATTAAGTTGTTGTTGTTATAAATAGTTATTGTTTGTTTTTTGTACAAAAAAAAAATAGTTGATTATTATTATAATTATCTTTTTATAGGATCATACAACCTGAAGAGACACCATATCTCTTTTGTTTTACATCGTAGATTGGAATGTTTGTTGATACTCTAATACCTTCGTCGAAAACATTCTTAATACCCTTTTGAGTGAGTGCAGAACACTCGAGGTATTTCGAAGCTTTGATATCTTTCATCTTTCCTAAACCTTGTTCGTAGTTGATCGGTTGAATTTTCTTTTCACGAAGACGATCGATAGTTTCTTTGTCGTCACGCATATCGGTCTTTGTACCAACCAAGATAATAGGAACACCCGGAGCATGATGTCTGACTTCCGGTGCCCACTTGGCAGAGACGTTTTCAAATGATGACGGTGAGATTACAGAGAAACAAATCAAAAATACATCGGTCTGTGGGTATGACAGTGGTCTCAGTCTGTCATAATCCTCTTGTCCGGCAGTATCCCATAATCCCAAGTTATATGGTTTACCATCTACCATTGTATTTGCACAATAGTTATCGAAAACAGTCTATAATTATAATTCATAACAATTATTATCAGTTATTTATTCTTATTTATAATTATGATTTGTATTCAAATTTTAATTAAATAATAGATACATACTGGAATATATTCACCTGGGAATTGATTGGTAGCATAACTTATCAAGAGACAAGTCTTACCAGTGGCACCATCACCTACAACTACAAATTTAACAGCTCTCATTTTCTATTTATTGATTATAATGAAGATTATTTATTATTAGTTTGTTTTATTTTTTGATTATTTGTAAATCAAATAGTGATTACTTATATAGTAAAGGTACATCATACACTGATAGTAACAGTACAAAAAATAAAAATCCAAAAATAGTATTTTGGTGAAAAATTTTCGTTGAAAAAAAATAGAAAAAATTTCTGCATCTACAATTAATTATTTCCGATATTAATGGAAATCGATTGATTGAAATATAAATTAATTATTTTATTAGTTTAAACAAAATTCAAAAATACTAAATATAGTTTAAAGAAATAAGATCCTCATATCAATTGAAGTAGATATAATAGCTTCAGACTTGGTCTTCTTACTAAATAGAAAATTAACAATATTTATTATTTTGATCTTTATTTAGACAAAAAAAAAAAGGAAACTTATTTTAACATAATCATCAAATTTAAAAATAAACCTTGAACAAGTTAAATGAAAACTAAAACAAAAAATACAAATATTTTAAAAATTAAAATTCTTTGTATTTTCTGAATTTAATATGTTAATAAAAGATCAACATAATGATTTAGATTCAATAATTTTAGATATTATTCATATATACAACAATCACTTCAATAATATAATATTAATAATAATAATAATAATGATAATGATTCATTAAGAGTACCAACCATTGGGCATAAAATAACAACTAGAGAAATTGTTTACCACCAATTGCAATCAATAATAAAGAAATTTAATAATGTAGTTTTTATAACATATTGAAGGGTAATATCCCATTCCGTAAGTCAATTTATTTATATATGTAACTATATCTATTTTTCTCTACCATCAAACCACTCTCATATAAATAATTGATATTTCAATAAAAGTATCACAGGTAGACAATTCTATAAAAGTAGCACCATCAGTAGTAAGCAACAAATGCAGCGACCAGTATATCTTTTCAACACATTGGAATGGGCTACTCTGATCAATACATCAAAGAATGATCAGATAGAGGAACTGAGTTTTCACACTTGTTTGATTATACCTATGCATCGCTCATTTCAATGGGAGAGTATGTTTATATATATCGGAGGATATCAGAATGAGAATAAATGGTACAAGTTCTCTGTGAAATCGAAATCAATTGACAATCCAGTGAGATGAAATGAATCATACCTGATGTTTATATATCAGTTGTTATGATGGTATGGACTATATCTATTTGGTTAGTGGCATTGATTGCAATAGAATAGACCGATTCAACGTGAACACATCTGAATTCGAGAAATATCATAACTTACCAAAAGATTAATTCAAAATACACGTGTATTCGACGGTCTATCAAGGAACACTTTATTCAGTTCCACTACAACAGGTGTTTGTTATCCGGTTGACCTGAGGTGATGGCAGAGGAGACCGGTAACTTCGAAGTGGCCAGACTGGATTGGAACAGATCAGATGAGAGTAGATCTGGGCGAATGCTGGTGGGAGTTACGTCTGGGAATAGAGTGGAAGTTGATTGAATTGAATCGTTATTGTTGTTACTTTCAATGTCACTCATGTTGAGGTCACTCGTATTAGTTGTTGGATCTGTAGGTACTGTTGAACTACTAGTTGTTGTGGTTGTGGTTGTTGTATTTGATGACTGATCAGTTGGATCTACCATTTTCTTATTTAATTAATAATCAATAATAATAAAATACTATTCTTAATAATGTTTTTATATAATTTTAATTTAACTCTAATTTAATCTTTTATTTATTAATTAACTTTTGATATCTTATATAACTTTTTAATCTAATAATCTAATTAATTATTGAATGAATTGAATTGATTTAATGAATCGAATCTTTAACGTCGCGTTAAACTCAATATATTCATTATTGAGAAGCTTGACGGCTGAGTGTTGAATACTTAATTTAGAAACAACAGATTCTAATTTAATTGTTATTTCGATCTGTTGTTTTGAACTATTACTTATTTAGTTGATTTAATTAATTTAATTAATTATAATTGACTATTACTATATGTTGGCTGATGTATATTGTTGATGTTGATTGATAGGTATTGATATTGCCTTGGCGGCTACCTTATTGTCCTTAGACGGACAACAACAGGATTTATTTTAATTCGATTTTATAAAGAAGAGCATTACAAAACGTACACTCAATTGAAACTGATACATTCGAGTCATTCATGGTTGATGATAAGAAAAAACGAGTTCGTTGTGGATCTGCATCTCTCACTTCAATATAAATACAAATGTTGTTCAACCTGTTGGTTATTTAAAATAAATAAAATAAAAATAGTTTTAATCTTTTATTCTACTCATAAATTCATCTGTCATATATATCTGATTGTTTATATTGTCTTATATAGGAGTTGTTATCAATGAGAAGATTTTGTTTATTGGTTGAATTTGTTATTACGCTTAAAACAAATGTCTAATAAAAGCATTCGGATCTATTTGTTTTAAGAAATAATGCAACTTCCAAGTGACCATTTCTTTCAGCATTTTTTCTGGCATTTGACGAGCACCCTTCAGTTCTATTTTTTGATAAGAATTTTACCACTTGAAGATGACCAGCAATAGAGGCAGAGTCGATAGCAAATTTGGTACAACCTTCTGTTCTGTTGTAGTGGAGCCATTTAACGGTTTCGATGTGACCATTTTGTGAAGCTTTGTCTATTGCCGCTTTAGAACATCCTTCAGTCCTGTTGTAATGAAGCCATTTTACAATATCTAGGAAGCCTGCTTCGGCAGCTTTGTCCATACTCTTACTTTTACATCCTTCAGTTCGGTTATTGTGCAGCCAACGAACAAGTTTTAGATGGCCATTTAATGCCGCGTTGCTCATCGCCAAAGTGGAACACTCATCTTTTCTCCTGGCTTCACTAATCCAGCTAATAACATTCAAATGTCCACCATATGCTGCATTATCGATTGTAGAAAGTGTTCCACCTTCAGTTCTATTGTAATGGAGATAACGGATCACATCCAAGTGGCCATTTTGTGCGGCCAAAACAAAAGCCTGAGTTGTGCATCCTTCCGTACGATTCTCATTTAACCAACGAACAACCTCCAAGTTTCCAACAGAGGCAGCAGCATTCATGGCCTGGAAAGTTGCTCCTTCAGTTCGGTTGACATGTAGGTACTTAACAATGTCGAGGTGTCCATTTGCACTAGCCATGTCCATCGCCAATGTTGTACATCCTTTGGTTGTATTTTCGTCCAACCATTCTACGATCTCCAATGACCCGCAGGATGCAGCTTTATCTATTGTATTTGAATGTACATCTGTATGATTCTCGTACAACCACTTGACAATTTCTAAATTTGAATATTCCGTGGCCAAATCTATAAAGTTGGAAACTTGAGCTGATTCTTTAACCAAGTGTTTCTTTAGAAATATCAATGATTCCAAGCTTCCACCGATAATAGCATTCTCAAGAGCATAGGAACTGTACTGAACCGTTGTATTCGTGTATAACCAATGGATAATCTCAACAAAATCTTTGTAGGCGGCATTACTATAAGCCATCCTTGAAACTTCACCAATATTGTTGAGTTTCAACCAATTAAGGATCGCCAGACTTCCGTACAGTGCAGCAGTGTCATAAAGCTTATATTTATCATCGGTATGTCTGTCGTTTTTACTTTTAAAATACTCGAGAATCTCTAGATTATTGGTGGCTATCGCTTGTTGATAGAGATTGGAACGGTGTCTTTCAGCGGATCGGTTGGTAGTATCTAGCCACTCTAACATATCTATTCGGGCAACACGAGCAGCAGACTCATAAACTGAATAGGTGTCGAAAGCAGCTTTTCCTCTTGCTCTATTAACCAACAGCTTTAGCAGATCAAAGTTATTGGAGAGTGGTGCAACTCCAATTGCTCTATTGAAATTCCAGCGAATCGGTAGAGAATCCTCATCGGTTAGACCAAGAAGATAAACGATAATATCGATCCAACCGTATTTAGATGCAAAGTACATAAGATCTTCTTTCTTGGCGGTTGCTACCGTCCCGATTAAAACACCACTATCCACTTTGTATTGTTCGATCATGTATTGTACGATGTGAAGATGTCCTCCGATGACACTATTCTTTAGGATATAGTATTTCTTCAATCGATTCACTTGATTGACGTGCAATTCAAACTCCAAATTTGAAGGATCGAGTTCCTCGAGATACTCTTCCAATAGTTGATAGTAACCATTGCCTGCCAATATCTCTGGGCTCACACATACCTGATCCCAACTGAATCTTTCCCTCTTGAAATCTTTACCTTCATATTTCATTAACAAATTGTGATGAATCTTCTTTACATGTCCAAATACAATATTACTAATATATGTATTTTTCAATACAAATAAAATTAAATCTTTGTTCATTTCTTTATTAAATTTGAGGAAATAATAAAGAAATGATAATAATGACTATTGATCTGTTATAAAGATTTAAATACATTTTTTGTGTGAAAAAAAAGAAAATCAAATAAAAATCAAGATAATTTTTAATAAAAAAAAAAGAAAATCATCATTTTTATAAAAATTATATGCTTTTTGTTGCCTGCTAGAAAGAGTAAAGAATAAAGATAGAAATAATAATCTTTTTTCTTATGATATCACAGAGCAAATTGCTGTGTACTATCAGTTTTGAAATTGATCAACAAAACGAATCTCATTTATGAATTTAAAAAAAAAATATGTAAAAATAATAATAATATTATTAGAGTTGTTTTTGTTATTTTATTTATTAATATAGGTTACAGGTAAGAGTAGAGCTATTTTTGCTTTGCTACGCGTGTAGGATGAAAGTAACTGTTGTTTGACTGGGCAAACCCTGCCCATAAACTATTATTTACTTCTGCAGTTGTCGACCAATGTAACATTTGATCGTTGTCTCTTAAATCATCAGCTTCCATGGACGACATTTTCTCTACACTGATATCCTCTGGATTCGTCCATATAGCATCACATTCTTCACAGTACAAAATTATTGATTGATCTGCAAGTGTGTGGAAGTGTCTACAACAACCTTCACATGCAGGGCATAAACTGGGATATTCCATTTCCATTGTATACAATGGTTTTTAAAATAAATATTTATTTTATTATTATTTTTATTTGTTGTTTTTAAGGTTATGTGATATATAAATCTTAATAATGTTCTTTTCAAGATCGTAATTTTTAAATTTTTTTTAGCAGATCTAAAAATTGGTTAAAGAAATTTTTACAATCATATTATATTATAAGTTATCGGTCTTTTAAAGATTGAATTCAAGCCTATTCGATAAAGTTATAACTTTATGTTTATTTAAGGTCGAATCTAAAAATACAATAGTTATCAGCTTCCCAACAATTTGGAAAAAATTAACAATTCCTATTTGTTTGTCTAAACCAAATTAACATTTTATCTTAAGTCACAACTTGATGATCCATGAGGTGTAACTTTTGAACAAAACAAAAAAATAAAAAAATCTTTTTTAATAAACATTTGGTTGGGAAATTTGCTTTGAATTTTTGTAGATTGATCAATTTTTTTTTTTATTTGCACAAATCCTTTTTCGTAAAAACAAATAAATCTTAAAGAATAATTTAAAGATGATATCGGTTGAGTCAAAGAAAAATTGTGTGTTTAAAACTTTAGAGAATAACAGTGCTGACAGTATAGTTGTATGCTTAAAGAAAGCTTTTATTGACTATTTCGTCAGTTTCCAAGCTCTTGAAACACAGTATTTCGAAAATAGATGGCGAGTTGGAATGATCGATTACAAGGCATCCATTGGTTCATTCGATGTCGAAACCAATGAATTAGTAGGAATAGTTCTATGGTGTATCGATTCTAATAAAAATGGTCAGCGTGTTGCCTTTAACATTGCTACAGGTAAATATATTTGATTGTTTATTACTGAAAAAAAAAAGAAATAACTAAAATAATGATTTATAAATAAATAGGTGTACAACCAGAATATAGAAGAGGTGGATTAACCAATCGGATGATTGACTTTTCAGTTAAATTACTAAAGGCTGAACCATATAGACTTGACAAATTGATATTGGAGGTGATTACAATGAATGACAGAGCAATCAAATGCTACGAAAAGAGTGGCTTCAAAATCGATCGAACTTTAATGGTTTTCGCTGGTAGTATAGCGTCGTCGGAGCAACATCAAGAGGATCAAGTTGTTTCCAATCGCAATAAAGTGTTGGTTTTGAAAGGCAAAGATATTCCAATCGACCGACTCTCGCCAAAACCAATTTGTGAAACACCATGGGAATACCAACCGAAATGTTTAATTACCGATCCTGACAATCTCGAGTGTTGGTCGTTGGTTGACGATGACAGAGACAGTGGAGAACCCGGTAGAACCTACCTCTTAATGTATAAAACAAGAAATCTAATTGGATACGCTCATTTCGAATCGGTGGAAAAAGGTATTGAGCTCATGAAACAACTTTCTCTACAATTCCCAAATATTATGGCATTGCTTCCAGATGAAGAGGAAACAATTATTTCAGTTTACAAACATTTCAATCTTAATAACAAATTAAATGAATATGAAATGTCCAGGCCAATTGATGTTTAATTAAATATTTAAAAAATAAAAAATATTATTATTATATATAATCATTAAATAATTCGATTAGTATTAGTATAATAAAATTATTAATAGTTTATTATAATTTTAGAAAAGTAAATAAAATTTAAGAAAATGTTCTTATTTGATTCAAGAGCTATATATTCTGACAATGACCAGTGATTCGTCCGTTAGCAAACCTAAAACCCAGACTTAAACTTTTTCATCACATGTCCTCTCATAGTTTTTTTCAATATTAAAAATATATCAATGATGTTAGTGTTGGTCTTATTTAACTCATGTTTATTGTATTGTTTTATTTGTGTTGCCATAGGTGACTGTCAAAAACTCTACAATCTCATTGAATTCATTGAATGAAAACTTTGAAGAGAATTCAATGCTGAATGCATCCCTCGAATTCAAATTGTAGAAATCTTTCCAAACTGAATAAAGTTCCAACGTTCTATCAATAAAATCATGTGTTTTTTTATCTATTTCCTCTAGAATCTATTAAATAAAATAAGATATTAATATGAAAGCAATTACTCTATAGGTAATAATATTAAATTATAACATACTGCTAATGATTCATCGAAATGGCCTTCTCTCTTTGAAAGTATTAGAAATAATTAAAAAAGTATTTACACAACATAGATTCTGAAGAAATAAATTATTAAGTGATAAACTGTAAACTAACTTCTCCAAGATTTCAGGTCTCTTTTCATAATAAACAAAATTAAATAATACATAATCTACATTCTATAGAAATTATTTGAATTTATAAAGAAGTATTTTATGTAAGTCAATAAAATGAAATTAATTTATGATAATAGCTAACCAACTTACAGTATCCAATAGATTATTCTTCTTTAAATTAAAATGAGAGAGTAGAATCGCTCTAATAAAAACATTGGCATCTATAATATTTAAAAGTATGATGTTTCGAAGAATCGAAAATGACTCTGGTTCGTCTATGCATATTTGATTGAGTGTACGATAAAGATGTCGGTCGTTCTTGAGTAACTCTCCCAATATATCGAAATTCATTTGATAGAACATAGTTTTGCCAGAGAGGAGCTCTCTGAATAAAGAATTGAGCAATCCTTGCTTTGCAAGATATGGTGCAACATTACAATTTGGTACTCTAAAAGATGATTGTATACAACAAGTTAAGAAAGTTCTAATCATATTATGAGTTCAAAAAAAGGTTAATTTAACTGTCAAATATATTGTTTGTTCTTTTGTTCCTCTTTGTTCCTCTTCTACTTACCTTTCTTTTTCAATAAATCCACATTTCAAAAAAGAATCATAAAGTGTTTGAATCCAATATATTTCACCTTCTTTTGGTTGCTCCAGTCCATTGATGACATTTCTCTCGTGTTGTGAAATGATTAGACAACCATTTAGATTGGCAATGGTCTCTACATCGAAATAAAGATAAACGAACCGCAGTAACTGTATTTTTTTAATATAATGTGGATTAACTCTTAATGCATCATTACTTAATAATGATAAATAATAAAGTTAATATAAATGTTGTTGTTTTTGTTGTTATTATTATTATTATTATTATTATTTATAATTAAATAAATATCATACTCTTCATTGAATTCAGATTTAGTCCAATCTATGGTTGTTATAATTGTATGTAGTATCTTTATGAATCCGAATCTTTCCAGTGCCGATAGTACTTGGATCTTACGCGGACCGTTTGCAAGTCCGTAGAGAGTGAGAAGTAGATCGGATTGATACGATGACTTTGAATAATCACTGAGGAATTGATAGGGATCCTCTTGGTCGCCCATTTGCATTTCGAGATTCAAACTCTCAATAATCTGTAGCAGCTGGTCGTTGGTGAAACTAATTCGTGTCACTCTATCCAATTGATTCCAATCGTCTTGATTCGTAGAGATACCTGCACCTTTTCGTAGCGATGGTGATACCCAATCATTTTCCGTTGATTTTCTTAATAATATACAAAGCTTCTCTAATAAACATGGTGAATTTAATACTAATGCTATATATGGTCATACACAAATATATTTACATTATTAATAATCGATTGATTGATTGATTGAATGTTTGATAGTTATTGTTCATTTTCCTTACATTGATTTGTATTATATAATGTATTTATATTGTTTCTGAGTTGAATGGATTGTTGAATGGTAGGTGCATCGTATGGATCGGGAATATAGATACAAGTCGATATGATCTTTAAGAATATGAATAGTCTAACACTCGATAGCTCTGATATCAACTTGTAGATATTCTTAATCTTTCTTAAATCGTATACATATTGTGTTTGATTATATAATAATATTTCCTTTGTAATAACAATCATATTTGATAGTTAGATTTAATAATGATAATGATATTGATATTAATACTTACATTAATACTTGCAATTGCAGAATCCAATGGTTCGATTGCATGTAATGAATGGAAGAGGTTGTTCATCAACTCATCGTTGTTGATGATCCATTCGTGTATGTGTGGTATCGACGATACCTCGTTGATGATCGCATACAATCTCGAGAGAATATCAATGATATTCTTATCTTCACGTTTGATTGTAGTGGTTTCACCGTTGTCCTTGTCAGCGCCACTCTTTAGCGATTTGATATCAAGCAATATATCGACTATCAAGAAATGACCATGCAGTGAAACCAATTCAAATGACATCTTTTCATTGATTAACAATAACACTCTAAGATCTTCCAACAAAGTCTTTATCTAAAGAAAATGAGAACATAAAAACATAACATATATATATATGTATATATATTAGATTCTATTTCTTTGTTTTGTTTTGTTTTGATTATCTTTGATTTGATTATCTATTCTTTTTCTTACCATTAATATATGTTTTATAATATAATATTTTCTTAGCTTAATAAGTAGATCCATTATCTTTTTTGTCTTGTTTGAGAAACCCTCTAGCAAGACCGGTGAATCCAGACGTCTACTGATAGACTTTGTGGATCTTGCAATCTCACATAAAAAGAGACGATCATTGAGTTCATTCTTATTATTCATATATTTGATAATATATATTTATAAATATAATATTATTATGATGATTAAGTCTTTACTTGGAACCTTTATTGATTTATTGAATAGAAACAAAAAGAAGAATATTCATTTATTTTAATTTTTTTTGGATATTTTTGTTTTTTTGGATAGCAAAACATGTTCTTTGTCCAAACCAATCCTTTTTCTCAATTTTTTGTGAATTTAATCTATTTGAGATAATTAATTTTTGATTTTTTTAATTGATTTATTTATTTATTTCTTAATTTTGATTTATATTAAATTTTTTTTTATTGAACACACTATAAAACATTTTTAAAAATAGTAGTATATTAACAAAACAGACATATAAATACACACATTCACTTTTTCATTTTGTTGTAGAACACAGTAACATTTTGATATTAATATATGTGTGATGATAAAAAAGATAACTTAGAAATACTAAATCTTCTACTTTTTTATATTGTTTTTTTTTTTTAATTATTTTAAATAATAATTGTTTTTAATTTAATATTAGAATAGTCCATAGTTTGTTGAGCTTAAATACTTTTATTTATAATTTCTTAATATCTATATAGATATCATAAAATGGATAACTATTTACAGTTTTTTAATCATTTTGGTAAACATTTGTTAAATTTCAAACATTTAACAATGATTTTTATTAACCATATTAAAAACAAAATATAAATATAATAGTAGAAACCAATTACTCAAGCAATGAAGAGCTCATAGAGAAGTTGAAATCAAAGTATTCAATAGATAATCTAGAAGTTATAGATGCATTAATTACTATACCAAGAGGTGATTTCATACCTGAAGAACTTACCGAACAAGCTTATCATGATTCACCTGTATGTTTGGTTTTAAGTTTATTTTTATTATTTTTTTTATTAACACTGTTAATATATATAAATAGATTAGATGTAGTAGATTAGGATTCAATATTTCTGCTCCACATGTAAGTAGTAATCTTACTTACTTACATATTATTTAAACAAAAAAAAAAATAACAGTCACACAAAACATAGATTTATATAAATTGTTTAGCAGAGTTGGATATCAAACCTGGTAATAAGTTCCTTGATATCGGTAGTGGATGTGGACATTTTACATGTGTAATTATCATCCTTTTTAACATTATCTTACTTAAATAGTGATATTAACTAACTAGAATATAGCTAGCTGGATACTTAGTTGGTCCATACGGACAAAGTCATGGACTAGAAATCAGTGAAGAGATTTTGAATTTCGGTAGAGACAATCAAATTAGATTCTCAAATAAATCCGGTATCGATTTGAGTAATGTCGAATTCAAGTTAAGGAATTGTTTTCTACCAGATAGGGATGATATTCTTTATGATAGAATTGTAAATATAACTATATTTATAAATATTCAGTTTATTTTAAGTTTTGTTATCTATAGGTTTATGTCTCTGACATTTTTCATTTAGTATGTAGGGTCAGCATGTCCAAAAAAAATGATGGCAAGAATATTGGATAGATTGGCGCCCAATGGTATTCTCATTATTCCAATCTCTGATGAACTGAGAAAGTATACAAAGGATGAGAAGGGTGAGTACACCAAGACCACTCTCCTGGGAGTAAGATACTCTGAACTACAGATACCAACCGATCAAGAAATTGAGAATGCAAACTTTCTAGTGGAAAGAGGTAAGTAGCTATAAATGTAATTGAATGAATGAATGAATGATAAACTCATATTGTTATTATTATTACACAGAGAGGAAATTAGAGATAAAGATTCCGTCGGAGAATCTGTCGAAATCTTTTGGAAATTTGGTGAATAGCGAATTGGATTCCGATATCATTTTCATGGTGATGGCCGATGAAAAGCAAAGAAAGATCAACGCTCATAAACTGTTCCTCAGAGTGCGAGCACCGAAATACTTTGAATCGATAGAAGAGCAGAGCGTGATAGAGTTACCGATCGAGCTTGACTATGAGAGTGTTATGATCGTGATGAACTATATGTATTGTGGCGAGGAGCCAATGGAGGTAATCAATCAGAAAGCGGTACTTGCATTCAGAGAGCGACTCTCCAGCGTCGTACTGGTATGCCAGTATTTCGAGCAGTTGGAACTGCTTGCCTATTGTCAAGAGTTACTCGAGCTCTACAAAGAGGTCCAAAGCGACTCGGACAAACTGACAATGGTCACCCCAAAGACCAAACATCACTTTGAACAACTGCGATGCACCGCCAAACGCACCTTACAAACTCAAATGTTGGAACTATCGACTTCCTCATTGAACTCTGACATAACTCTATCAGTTGGTGGGTAAGTGTTAAGTGTTAAGTGTTGTTATTTGAATATCATAACAATCTAATTAACCAACCAACTAAACTAAACTAAACTAAATAATGTAGAAGTAAAATCAAATGTCATAAACTTATACTAAAGTCAAGATCCAAGTTTTTCAAGTCATTCTTTACTTCCGGTATGAAAGAGACGTTCAGTGATATGATTGAAATACATGGTCCTTTCGATCTATCTAGTTTTATAGAGTATATTAGATTTGTATATAGGTATGTTTTTACATTATACTGATAAGAATATTTTCAGGTTATTCTACAACTTTATTGACTAATTACTTCTTTAAAACAATATTTATATATATAGTGGTGATAAATCAATTATCAATAGTGATAATGTTATAGATTTGATGTGTGTCTCTGATTATTTTAATGATAATTGCTTAAAGAGTCTGTGTGAAGAGTTCTTGGTAGGTGTTTTAGACTCTTCGAATGTGTCTTCGTTTTTACAAGCCAGTTCAAACTATAATGCTCTTCAGCTGAAAGCAGTTTGCATGGAAAAGATATTTGAGGTAAGATTGGACCAACACCCACAAAAGATAGTTTTTTTAAATTTTTATAAACTTTTTGATTGTGTGATCAGAAATCCCAAACCAACACAACATCAGTACTTGGGATTTTCTTTTTACTTTTGTTTTGTTTTATATTAATATAAATTTAAAAATATCAATCTCGACTTTTGTGTTTGGATCAAAAGATATTTTATTATATATCTATCTAATCTAACTTGTTTGTTAATCTAAATTAAAATTATTATTATTTTTAGGAATTTGATACAGTTTCGAAAATGGAATCATTTAAACAATTGGACAAAGATCTAATAGTGAATTGTCTCTCTGAATGCTGTCAATACTTTAAAAAAGTGGTCAACAAACAACCAGTGGGAACAGGAACAGGAACCTCAGTGCCAACTTCACCTTTATTTTAATTCAAACACATTCAGTGTTGCTTTTCAAAATAACAATAATGTATATAATTTTTAAAGATGACATCGTTGTTGTCTTTAAAATAAAAAAAACCGAATAATAAATTAAATCAATCTTTAAAAAAACCTAATTAATTATTAATATAATAGTTTCTTTGAATTTCTGAATCGATAATTTAAAAACAAAAACAAAACTTAACTTTTGGGCAATCAAAAAAATGAAAATGGTGGTAGATTTTTCAAAAAAAAAAAAACCCATTTTTCAAATAAATTTTTGTAAATGGATTTAAAATTTTTTAATTTTTATGTGAAATTGTTTATAACTTTGGCGCATCTATTACTGTTTGTGTTGGCCATCATAGAACAACACACCCTTTTCTCTTTGGATAATCAATTGTTTTGTCTGTCAGCCGTGGCAAAATTCAAAAAGAGAGAAACAAAAAAAAAACTAAACCAAATCAAATCAAATCAATCAATCAATTTAATCTCAATTTGATCCTTTAACTTTTACTTTCCTCTTCTTCTTTTATTTTATTTTATTTTATTTTCTTTTTTATTTATTATTGTTTTTATTATTCTATCTATCTATCTATTTATATATTGACTAATATTAAAAATAATTAGATTAAGATTAGCAAATATTAACAATAATAATAATAATAACAATAAATAATAACATTAACAATAACAATAATAATAATAATAACAATATAACTTAACTTGTGTAAATAAGATTGGTGTATATACAACAACAAACACAACTTTCTAATTTATTTAGTATTTATTTATTACATGTTTTAGGAACACACATTCAATTCAATTCTTACAATTTTATTTATTGCTTTGTATCATCACTGCTTCTTCTTCCCGTTTCATTCACACCACGATCACCACCTTAAAAACAAAAAACCATATCAAAAACCACACACAATCACCATTGGCATCGAGACAATAACAAAATTTTATTTTTTATTGTTAACTTACCTTTTTATTATTTAAAACAAAAAGAATTTTAATATATTTAGTTATTCATTACAATCAAGGTAAGTTAATAATAATTCAAAATCATCATTGATCATTCAAAGTATATTAATTTAGTAAATCAATTCATAGTAGTAGAGTAGTAATAGCTTAATATTTTATAATTTTGTGTAAAATTAATTATTTATTTCAAATCAACTATATATATAATCAAAGTAAAACAACAAAACACTAAAACATTCGAATAAAAAATGGCCTATAAAAGTCAACATGGTGTTGATGACATGGTCATGTTGTCAAAGATTGCAAATGATTCGATTCTTGACAATCTAAAGAAACGTTATGCTGCTGATGTTATTTATGTAAGTGATGCACCCTTTTGAATAACTATTGATATGTTTGAATTTGGAAAATTAACTTTTATAACTGTGTATTCCTATATATATATAGACATACATTGGAAATGTATTGATTTCAGTGAATCCATTTAAACAGATTAAGAATCTTTACTCTGAGAGAAATCTCTTGGAGTACCGTGGAAAGTTCCGATACGAATTGGCACCACACGTGTATGCGGTGGCCGACGATATGTATCGTAGTATGTATGCAGAGGGCCAGAGCCAGTGTGTGATTATCTCTGGTGAGTCTGGTGCCGGTAAGACCGAAGCGGCCAAGCTGATCATGCAGTACATCGCTGCGGTCAGTGGTAAAGGTGTTGATGTAACTAGAGTTAAAGATGTAATTCTAGAGTCGAATCCATTGCTCGAAGCATTTGGAAATGCTAAAACTCTTCGTAATAACAATTCATCTCGTTTTGGTAAATATATGGAAGTCCAATTCGATGGAAAAGGTGATCCAGAAGGTGGAAGAGTAACAAATTATTTATTAGAAAAAGTATGTTGTTGTTGTGTTTGCACAAACAAAAATATTGAAAAACAACATATTAATTTTCCATTACTATTTTTCCTTTCCAGTCTCGTGTAGTTTATCAAACAAAAGGTGAAAGAAATTTCCATATTTTTTACCAATTACTTGCTGGTGCCAATGCTCAATTAAAGAGTAAGATATAATTTTATGGAAATACAATTATTATTATTGCTATGAATTTGTTTTTTATTTACAATATATTATATTTTTATAGATGAATTAAGATTGGAATCACCAGATAAATATCAATATCTTAGTTCAAGTGGATGTTATACAGTGGATGGTGTCGATGATTCACAAGAGTTTCAAGATGTAATCAAGGCCATGAAGGTCATTGGTGTTACTGAACAAGAACAAAAGGAAGTATGGCGTCTCATTGCTGCCATTCTAAATCTTGGAAATATTGGATTCAAGAATAACAACAAAGATGAAGCTCAAATTGATACTTCTTCAAGAAAATGTAAGTTTAGTTGATTAATATTTCTAATGATAAAACAAGAACACGAGTAACTAACTTTACTTGTTATTGTCATTTTTTTTTTTTTTTAGTCTTTGGAAACATTTGCATTTTTGATGCAAACAGATGTTACATCTTGTGAGAAAGCATTGTGTTATAGAACGATTTCAACTGGTACTCAAGGTAGAAGTGCGCGTGTCAGTACTTATGCATGTCCACAGAATTCAGAGGGTGCATACTACTCGCGTGATGCCCTTGCCAAAGCACTGTACAGCAGGCTGTTTGACTGGATTGTTGGTCGTGTCAATATTGCTCTTGGCTACAAGCACAATTCGTCGTCGTTGATGATTGGTATTCTCGATATCTACGGTTTCGAAATCTTTGAGAAGAACGGATTCGAACAGATGGTTATCAACTACGTCAATGAGCGTCTACAGCAGATCTTCATCGAACTCACTCTCAAGACGGAGCAAGAGGAGTACTTTGCAGAGGGTATCCAATGGGAGCAAATCGACTACTTCAACAACAAGATCTGTTGTGATTTGATCGATGCAAAGAAACCGGCCGGTATCCTCACCGTCCTCGACGACGTCTGCAACTTCCCCAAGGGTGACGACGACAAGTTCCTCCAGCGTATGAACGAATCGTTTGGTGGACACGCACATTACATGTCTGCACAACAGGCATCGCGTAATTTCACTATCAAACATTATGCCGGTGACGTAGACTACTGCACCGATGGATTCGTCGATAAAAACAAAGATTTGCTCTTCAACGATTTGGTGGAGTTGGCTGCGTGCACCTCGAGCAAGCTGATTCCCCAGTTGTTCCCAGAGATCAACGCTGAGAAAGACAAGAAGAAACCAACTACCGCCGGTTTCAAGATCAAGGAATCGATCGGTGCTTTGGTGCGTGCACTCTCTGCTTGCACTCCGCATTACATCCGTTGCATCAAGCCCAACGGAAACAAGCGCGCCAACGACTTTGACACTTCGCTCGTCATGCATCAAGTCAAGTATCTCGGATTGCTAGAGAATGTCCGTATCCGTCGTGCCGGTTACGCCTACCGTCAGACCTACGACAAGTTCTTCTACCGTTATCGTGTGTGCTGCAAGGAGACCTGGCCAAATTTCACCGGTGGATTCGAAGCCGGTTGCGAAGTGATTTTGAAGTCGATGGATCTCGACCCGAAGCAATTCTCCAAGGGAAAAACCAAGATTTTCATTCGTGCGCCAGAGACTGTGTTCAACTTGGAGGAGCTACGTGAGCGCAAGGTATTCACCTACGCCAACAAACTACAACGTTTCTTCTTGCGTTTCACTCTGATGTCCTACTACTACTCCATCCAGAAATCGGCAAACGATTCACTCAAGTCCAATAAGGAGCGTCGTCGTCTCTCGATCGAACGTCCATTCCAAGGTGACTACATCAACTACCGTGAGAATTTCCCACTGAAGGACGTCGTCCAAAAGAATGGCAATGAGAAAATGATGTTCTCACACGCCGTCAACAAGTACGACCGTCGTTCTCGTTCGCAACGTCGTATTTTGATTCTCACCGATGTCGCTCTCTACTTTATTGCCATCGAGAAGAACAAAGACAAAGAGGACCGTAAGAAACGTCCATGGATCTACGTGCAGAAGCGTAGATGTCTCCTCACCAACATTGTCTCGGTCGAGTTGTCGCGTTGGTCCGATGGATTCGTCATCGTAAAGACAATGACAGACCACGACCAGATGTTTGAATGTCGTAGAAAGTCCGAGTTTATCGGTACCCTCATGAAGGCATACAAAGCGGTGCGTGTCAACTACAACAACGGAATCGGTGTCGCCATCAAGGCGTCCAAACAAGGTGGAAAAGGTAAGGAGCGTCAAATCTCTTTCGAGAAGGGTGTCAAGCCCGAAACCTCTATCAAGGGAACCAAGGTGTTGGCACCAAACGACGGTTTGCCAGCTGATACCGTCCCCAATATCACTCCACCCGAGGCATTGCCAGTCGTTTCCATTCCAATCTACCGACCTGCAATGAACTCAAAGGTTGCCGCTGGCAGCAGTAGCAGCGGTGCTTCCACCGCCAAGCCAACTGCCAAGGCACTCTACGACTTTGACGCGGAATCCGGCATGGAGCTGTCATTCAAGGAGGGTGACATCCTCACCGTCATCGACCAGTCATCCGGCGACTGGTGGGATGCCGAGCTGCGTGGACGCAAGGGTAAGGTACCATCGAACTACCTCCAACTCCTCAAGAGTAGCGCACCACCAACCCGTGCACCGCCACCCTCTACCTCCACCTCGACACGTGGTGGACTGCCACAACCTGGCGCGCCAAGAGGTGGAATGCCAGCCCGTGGAGGTGCTGCACCCAGAGGTGGAGTTGCACCTAGAGGAGGAATGCCAGCCCGTGGAGGTGCTGCACCCCGAGGTGGAATTGCATCAAGAGGTGGATATTAAATATATTACAACTCTTCAAAAAACAAAATCACAATCATAAAAAAAACAAAAACTAACTATACATACCGCTTCATTCACAAAAAAAACAAAAACAAAACAAAAACAAAAACAAAATCGCCCTATTCAAAATTATATAATAATGATCCTTAAAAACATAATTATAATTTATTTATTTATTCATCTATCTATTACTTCTAAAATAAAAATTCTTTTCATTGTATTTTAAAATTTTATTATTTATTAATTTCGTTTTTTTTTAATCAAATTTATCTAATCATTTTAAATGAAAAAAAAAACAATACAACTCAATATAAAATTTCCTATTCAATATCAAAACCAACATCTTTGCTCAATGAATAAAGAAACCGACAATTATAACTTAAAAATAAGTAAGTTCAATTGGATTTTCCGCACAGAAAAAAAAAAAACTTTCCTTGGTTCAACTTTAAATTTAAGTTATTCATAACCGGAGAATAAGTGGTTATATTATTAATAAGGATTATTATGATAATCGAATATCGATTATCATTGAATTGTGAATGAATTAATTAATCATTTATTTTTTGAGGAAAAGTGTTTGACCAATAGGATTCAGACCTAAACAAAAAATAAATTAAAAGAGAAACACTGTATGTTGTCAACAAGTTTAATTGTTTTTTTTTTTTTCTCTTATTTTCCAAAAAACAAAAGATCTAGATAGATGATCTATCATCACTGCCCTCTACCATATCATTGACCTAATTCATAACACACCGCACAGTATATATATTTGTATAAACAAACCATTTACAAATATATTTAGAAAATCAAAAATCAAAAAAAATCAAATGTTTATTATTTGACGAACAATATTGTTAATTAATTAAAAAACCGCCAATCAAAATCATCAGACTTGTACCCCTAAATCTCTGTAAAATTTAATTAATAGTTCCTTGTTTTTATCGATAAAAAAAAAACAAAAAACCAAAAAAAACATTCGTTTGGTCTCTACATCCTAAATTTTTTTATTTTTTGATTTTTTGAGATCATTGCTGTTGGGTTTAACCGATTTTTAAAATTAGATTTGTCGCCAAAATTAGCGCTAATTTTGTTTGCTTAGATAACCAAACCTAGGAAAATAGTCAACGACTTATGACAATCAAAAACATCCATCACACCGACAATAAACCCAGTTGCAACTAACCAAACAATCAATTTATCAACAGCTGCACCTTCTCTAACACACATATATCTAATGGGACTATCATGTAAGCATTTTTGTTGTTGTTGTTGTTGTTGCAGTAGCACCAGCACACACTAGCATATTCTATTATCATTCACTCATTTACACATTCATTCATAGGGCGTCATACATTCATTCATTACATTTAATTTGTTTGTTGTTTGATCAAAGAAAGCAAGTCATTTGCAAAAAAAAAAAAAAAAACATTATTTTTTAATTTTAAAAACCATTCAAGATGCTTTTGTGATTTAGTTGAGTGTTTTTTTTTATTGCCGCCACTTTAAAAAGTGTCTGCTCAATATTCCTCCAACTCCAACGAAATAAAAAAGTGCACTTAGGAGTGTGACTGTTATAACAATTAAGATTGTAACACACATTCATCCATCCAACCATTCATCAATCTATCCATCGAATCTATCTTGTCAATCTATTTATTATTATATCTATATCGTCAACAGCGTCTTTCGAAGATAACCCATATTTTGAATCTTAACAAAAAGTAAGCCAAATTTTTATTTCATTACTTTCTGCACACCAAAACAACAAAAAATCGGATATCTTTTATTATCTGTATTTCATTCACATTCCTACCATTAGCCAGAACCAAACCAACCCACCAAAACACAAAAGTAAAAAATAATAATTTTCTTTTAATTTTTATTGTTGATTTTTCGAACCATCAAAACGAATTCCAAAAGATCGTAAACACTCCAATTCATCTCCACCAGAAATTATAATATTTGGTTTAAATCTATTAGATTATCGAATTTAAGAGACAGCCAATAAAAAAAAATCATAGTGGTAATTATTATTATTCAGACTGAGTAGTTTTGTTTTTTTCTCAATAGAATTAATCATTTGTTTTGGCTAAACAACCAAAAAAAAAATTATCTGTACAATAATCATTAGTAATTTTGATCATTAATTAGTAGGTAAATAATTAGTTAGAAATCAAAAAAAAAATCATTTAACATACTTGGAAAAAACAAAATCAATAAACAAATTTGCCTCCAACTCTAATATCACAGCATCCACAAATTTTTTTATATATTTATTCAAATCATATATTATTTTTCAATATCAATCGATTGTCGATTTAGATTGGACTGTCTTGGAACTCTTAATTTTGTTTTTCTAAAATATCTTAATTATCACCTCCGACCAATTCAATCCTCATTCGAGCCTGAAAGGTTTTAATGTGATTGTCTGTTTTCTTTGTCTGAAATACCCCAAAAAAAAAAAAAAACAAAAAAATAATAGAGGCACTCACAATGAAAAAATCAAGATAAGCAAAAAGAAAAAAAAAACCAAAAAAATCTTTCGATGAACTTTTTTTTTGTGTTTTGTTTTTTTTGATTTCCTTTGCAAATTTTTTATTCGACTTGGACAAATCAAATGTATCTGCGTGTCTGTCTCTTATGAGACGTGTGGTAAATTCCAACACAACATAGTATCATCAACATCTTATTACCCCTATCGTAGTTTACTGTTTGCCGACTAAATGAATGATTGATCATTATGTTTCAGAAGAAATATATTGTTTTAATTTTATTTTAATTTTTTTTCAATTTTTTTTTTTGTTGTTTGATGTCCTCCTTCTCCAGTAAATGGCAATATATCACACCATCTTTACCCTCCATCGTTTCCAATTGATAAAACAAACCATATATATTGTTTATTTTTAATAATGTTTATTTATACTCAATAATAATTCAAGGTGTTTGTTTCAGTTTGCTAACAGTCAAACCTAATCAAATCATTGAATTTCAATTAAACTAATAAAAGAATAGTCACAGAGAAAGAGATATAGGTTAGGTTTATCTGAGAACAGCATATAGCACAGCAGTAGTAATAGTAGTAGATTATAAAACTATCAGTATAAAGAGACAAGTCATTGATTGTAAATAGCTAGAGGTGTGGAAGGATATTGATCTGTTTTTTTTTTTTTTTTTAACATTCAGTCAAAATCAATATCAAAGTCAGAGGAATCAAAATAACAATACAATATTGTAAGTAAAACTTGAATTCCAATGTGAATTTAAAACAATCCAATCAGAAACCATCATTTTTATTTATTTGTTCCCCAAACCACACAAAATTGGTACAACTTCCCTCAATTTTATACCCCAATTAATTAATTAATTGAAACCAAGCACATCTTCGAATTTATTTTTAAATGGCATGCCTGTCATCATCAAAACACCATCAATCACCTTTAGAGATATTTTCTGTTGTAGTTGTTTTTATAATTTTTAGTTTTATATACTTTCCTACTATCCTTGGTTTTGTGAAAGTTTGTTTACAGCTTGTCAGCAACAAATGAAAAGACTCATTACAGTAATCCAAAACAAAGCAAATCAAACCAAACAACAAAACAAACCACCAACACATCCTTTTGGTCAGTCAATCGTCAATTGGTGATTTGAGTAGTGATCGATAGGCTTATCACAACCACTGCTCGAAAACACACACACACACACCACACACAATTTGACCAAACATAAATGTCACCATAGAATGTGAATTCATCGACATATTCCTTCTCAAATCTCCAAATTCAAAATATCTAAAGCAAAAAAAAAAAAAAAAAAAAACAATTGCAAAAAACAGTGGATGTGCAACAACACATTTATTTTTTTAAAAAAAAAACTGTTAGTTTTTGTTTTTTTTTTCTAGTCGTTCATTAAACATTTGTCACCCCCTATCATACCAAAAGTGAAAAAAAAAACCAAACAAATCAGTTCAAAGCCCTTTACATATTTGTTTTCTTTGCTTTGTTTGCTGATCAACATTTTTTGTGTTTTGATATTTATTTTTTTTTCTTTTGTTTAAGAATCTTGGGTTACAACAAATTTAGTTTATCTTTGATTTCATTTTTTTTGTATATTTTTAAATGTGGTCACACCTCACAACTATCTATTGATTGACGAAATTTGATGTGCCAATTCAAGTGAAACTCAATATTGACCAGGCATCATTACATTACACACTCGACCGAATGGAGATGTGGGTGTGGATGCCCATCAACAAAAAAAAAATTTGCAAAAAAAAAAAAAACTACATATTCATCTAATAAATCAATCATTTTCAAACATTTAAACAAATTAATATAAAAAAAAACAAAACATTCTCATATATTATGTTGGTGGTTTTCTTTACTCTCGAGATTTGTTGTTGATCTATAATAAATATTGTGGGAGAGCTTCAAAAAAAAAAAACAAATTTTAAAATAGGAATAGGTTTGTGTGAAACTTTTGTAGTGGAAACAGCAGCTACTACATCGATGTGTTGTAGAGCTACTCTCCATAATACTTCATTTATTCAGTAGTATACAAAACAAACATATAATATCTATTTTTAAACAGTATAGCACCACAGAGCCAAAATATATATATTTAAAAAAAGAAAAAGTTCATACAACAACAAATTTTTTATTTTTGTTTTAAGAGAATTTTATTCATTTATCATCGGCTAGGTGAGTCAAAGTTTTGTTGTTTGTCGATAAAATCATTTTAAAATAACAGTTATCCAACTTTCCACCTTTTTTTTATTTTTATTTTTATTTTTTATTTTTATTTTTGTTTACAATCAATATCTTTTCAATGAAATTCAAACATTATTCATGAATGAGATCAAAAAGAGGTTTTTCAATGTAACATTCTTATCTATCTCACTCAACCATTGCACTGCGTGCATCTTGCCACATTCAAACATCTGTTATATAACCACCACTCCAAAAAGTATTAAAACAGCAACCACTAAACTAAAAAAAACATCCATCACACTCTAAAGGTGTTTGGACCAAACTATCTACACCAAAAATGGTTTTAAAATATCTGGCCTTTCACTTCACCGTTTGCAGTATCTCATCTTGACAAGCATCCACACCACCCAAACACACAATAATATCATTTCAATCTGTATATAAATCGTTATCATGATCACGTGTTGTAATTAAATTAGAGATCCTTGTGAAGTGTCGAAATTACCAGACTATTATTAAATAAACCAATGTTTTATGCTTTTTTTTCTTTTTCTTTTTCTTTTTTTTTTATTTATAATCGTCGTCGGTAGAAATAAATAAACGCTTTTACAGTTACAATGACCAATCTAGCCAAATAAACAAACAAACAAGTTAAAATAACACTATGATATCCAATTCATAAATCATCGGCTAATAAATCTGTTGTGTATGTTTGTGTGAAAATTCATTTGTATCATTAAATTCAAGAGAAATAAACTAAACCAAACCACCAATATAATAATAAATTAAAGCCCACCAACCCGAAAGATATCCAAAATAAGAAAGTGGATGTTTTTTTTTGTTGTTGTTTGTTTGTTCTTGGTGGAACAATATTTTTATGATCATTAAAAAATGAAACGACGGCGGCTACTTACTTGTAGTGCAGAGCACCAATAATAATAATAATAATAACAGCAGCCGCAACAACAACATTTAAACACCTAGTTACCTAATCTATTAATCACGTTTTCACTTCAATTCATTGTTCACACTGTCGACATCCTCACACGTACACAATCTAGAAATTAAAATTAATTAATGAAAGTGGTTGATTGCAAGTTGTTGTTTTGTTACATTCAACTACTCTTTATTTTGGATTGGTATTTTTATTTTATTTTGTTTTTTGGTCTTGGTTCACATAGTTTTATATACATATCTAAAGCTAAACCACAAACAACCCCCCTTTAAAAAAAAACTCACACTTTGTTTCTCTTTGATCTGTCAAAAGTCAACTGGATAAATTACCATTTTTGATCAAATTCACCTGATCAGGATGATAATTTCATCTTTCAATATTTAAATTTTTAAATCAAGTCAATCTAACAATAAATGAATAGAATTGAACATTGAATCGGAACTTTATAAATCATTTAAAACCAACAATTATAATTGTTTTATTATTGTTCTTGTTGGAATTTTTTTTTTTTAATCCAAAAAAAAACATTGAATTTAATTTATCTGACTTGTTCACTAACCAACTACTATCTTTAATTTAAATTTAATAAACAGATTTGAAAACAGAGCATATCAATATAAACAAACACAGAGACAATATACACACAACTCTCACACACATATATATATTTATAAATTATTTAAACATTCATTAATAGATAGATACATCAGTAAGATTTAAAATCAAGATATAATACAGCAGCAGTAGTAGTAGTTTCGAGAGCACACAACACTCATAGCAGTCGAAATAGTTTTCTTTCTCAATTTCAAGTTCACCCCCCAACTGCCTTTTCCTACCACACACCACCAAAAGTCATCAATTTAGAAAATCAAAAAGCAAAATTAAAACCAAAACAAAAAAAAAAAAAATCTCCAAACTTTGATATAATACAAAAGAGATATCATTCACCACACACTCCAACAAAAACAACTAGTTTTGAAAGAGATCCCCTCTATATATCAATCGTGCAGATAACACTGCTTAATGGAAAGCGCTCCTAGCTAAAAAATAGGTTCGTGAGTATCAGAGGAGGAAACAATTCTCATCTTCAGTGTTCAACCAGCAGCCACTTTCTGTTGGAATATGGATAATAACAACAACAACAGGCCAAATAATCAACAACAACAACAACAACAACAACAGCAACAACATCACCATCATCATCACCTTAGTCAGCATCTAATATTACAACTTCAACAATCACCTTCTTTAAATATTCATCATCAACATAATCACCATCATCAACAACAACAACAACAATCAGAACAGTATGGTATTAATGAACAACAACAACAACAACATACAATACAATCATATAGAATGAATCATCCATCTCCAACAGAATCACCAATATACAATTTGACACAAAATCAACAGCAACAGCAACAACATCTTCAAAGTCATCATCATCACCATGCAATAACACAACCTTTAATTTTGCCAACAGTGTCACCACCGTCTTCAGCATCGTCGTCATCATCTTTGTCAAACCAGTCACCACACCCAATATTGTCAACACATAGTAGCCACCATCATCACCCACATTCCCACATATATCAACCACCCCCATTTTCAAGTCACCACACATCCTACCCACCCATTTCGAAAATCAATGTCGGTGGTGGTGGTGGCAGTAATAGTAGTAGTAGTAGCAACAACAGCAACAGTAGTAGTAGCAGCAGCGGCAGCTCCAATAACAGCAGCAGCGGCAACTCCAACAACAGCAGTGGAAGTGGGAGTGGTAGCATTGGTGGAAGTATTCGAATGACAACAATTCCATTTAGTAAAAACCATTCTTCGTCTGCTTCGTCGCCAATGCCTGGACATCAGATTTCGCCGTCTCTCGAGAAACAGTCTTCTCGAAACTACCACAATTTCGTCGATGCTGACTCTAATGTTCCGAGCTCACTGGTAAGCAGTGGCAGGTCGATCATACCGCCAATGATAGCACCCGGTAGTCCAACCAATCATCACAACAATTTCGCATCGGAATCACCGCACAGTAGCTACAACAGCCAACAATCAAACCAATCTCATATATCGTCAACAAACACTCCACAGAAATCGCCGAACATCTATTTTACCAGTCAGCCACACTCTGAAAAACGAAGAAAAACCGCTGATGGTGAGCAACAACAACAACAACATCACCATCATCTTCAACAGGATGACTACAACTCATCCAGTACATCGTCATTCTACTCATCACCTCCAAACTCACCGGAATCATCGACACCTCCACCACCCTCACTACTGTCATCGTCATCGTCTCTTCATGTTGCCCAACTACAGAGTCCCGATAGCAGTAGTGGCTATGTTAAATTGTCAAACTCACAATCCCACATCAACAACATCACTAGTAGTAGCAGCAGTAGTAGTAGTAGTAGCGGACCAACAACAACCACAACAACTACATCGAATTCGACACCGCCTATTCTGGTGACTACTACTTCAACTCATCATCATCAACAACAACAACAACAACTACAACACATTCCTGTATTACCACAACAGCCAATCCCAATTTTCGGAGTGATGCCAAACGAACAAGAAACATGGATTGAAATCAGAGATTTGAGTTCAGAGATTTCAAAGATGGCCAAATCAAGCCTGACCAACGGTATCACTGAAGAAATTCTCAATGACATGAAGGAGAAAGGAAACGATTTGATGCGGATGATTGAGAATGTCACTCAAAAAGAAAAATTGGAAAGAAAATTTAATGAAGAGGAACGCTCTCGAATCAGTGTTCCTTTGACCAGACCAAGGCGTTTCAGAAAGAAAAAGAAACCGACCGCCACCGGTCTGTCAGATACCACCAACACCAGCTCTACCCTCGGTGGTGTTGGAACCACCACAAGCTCTCTCACCACTACCAACGCCGCCGGCGGCCACCTGTCCAACAGCACCGGCCAACTCAACGTTGGAAACTCTGCCCACACCAGTGGCACCGGAAGTGGTAGCTCCACAGTCGGTAGCTCCGCGGCCTCCAACCCAGCTCTACAAAGCGAAGGCTCAGAGTCAAAGAAGAAAAAGGCAGACACGCCTTTTTGTACATCATGTGGAACAACTCAAACCCCCGAATGGAGAAAAGGTCCTGCTGGTGGAAAATCGTAAGTTATTATTCAACTGGCTAACAAATTCGCAATAATTTAATTGAAAATTCTTACTTATAAAATCTATATTTTTATTATTTTAGTTTGTGTAATGCTTGTGGTCTACACTATGCAAAGTTGATGAAAAAAGAAGTTAAATCACAGTCTCAACAACAACATTTAATTTCTCCATCAAATAATAATAATAATAATAATAATAACAACAATAACAATAATAATAACAAACAAGAAAACCAAACTAACCAGACCAATACCTCTATGAACGTTGTAAATTTGCTTAACTAAATCACATCTTATACTACATCATATACATATATATATAAATCACATACAATGCACACCAAACAAAACCAAATCATAATATATTAAATTACCAAAAGAATCCACTCCTAAAAAAAAACATCAACAATTTCCATTATAGTATATTTTAAACAAACTCAAAACAAACCAAACAAACCAATATATTCAAATAATATTAATAACCAACCAAATAATAATGATAATAATAATAACAATATTGATAATTAAAACAAATCAAATATGAAAAAATAATTATATTACACAAACCTAATATGCATATAGATCAATACTTTACAGCATTCAACTAAATGGAAATCCAATCGACTCTAGAATAGATATCTAAACCAATTAGTTTAATAGTCAAGTACTTATTTCCGAGTATATAATAAATTTTTTCATCTCATGCCTGTGTACAACAGTCATTTCCCCCAAAACAATCAATCAAGATCTACAGCCCACCTCTAACCAAATCAACTCCGAACTATAAAGCTTTATATATAATAAATTTTTATTTTGGACTTTATGTTTAAACTTTGATAAAAATTATTTTATTTTTTTTAAATAAACAATGATCAAATTTGTATCCACAAAACAAAATCAATAATCATTCAATAAATGTGAACAAAACCTTTTATTTTATCGATATGCTAAAAATATGATCAGGTTAAATTTTCATATGAAAATGAACATCAGGTTGTCGGTTACGATACATTAAAAAAAAAAACAAAATAAATAAATTGTTTATATCTCTGAAAATGGGTAGATAAAATCGACTGGGGTAAAAAAAATGGTGGTTTTTTCAATTTATTTTAAAAATCAATGAATTTACCAAATATTGAACCCATTTTTGTTGAACAAACAAACCCATTTTTAATGGATTTTTACTTCGCTTCAAAATGATTTATTTTTATTTTTTGATTGAATTTTTTTTGATGAAAATTGGATACTATATAATGACCAAATTTTCATTCAAAGACTTCATCATTATCACAACCTATTTTATTAATTAACTTGTATAAATTATTTGTATTTTATTTTTTGTATTTTTCTAAATAAACCCTATATAAACTCAATCAACAATGGAAGGAGAAGACGTTACTGCTTTGGTTATTGACAACGGTTCCGGTATGTGTAAGGCCGGTTTCGCCGGAGATGATGCCCCACGTGCTGTATTCCCATCGATCGTCGGTCGTCCAAGACACACTGGTGTCATGGTCGGTATGGGTCAAAAGGACTCCTACGTCGGAGATGAAGCTCAATCAAAGAGAGGTATCTTGACCCTCAAGTACCCAATTGAGCACGGTATCGTTACCAACTGGGATGATATGGAGAAGATCTGGCATCACACTTTCTACAACGAACTCCGTGTTGCCCCAGAGGAACACCCAGTTCTCTTGACTGAAGCCCCACTCAACCCAAAGGCCAATCGTGAGAAGATGACCCAAATCATGTTCGAGACCTTCAACACTCCAGCCATGTACGTTGCTATCCAAGCCGTCCTTTCCCTCTATGCCTCTGGTCGTACCACCGGTATCGTTATGGACTCTGGTGATGGTGTCTCCCACACTGTCCCAATCTACGAAGGTTATGCCCTCCCACACGCTATCCTCCGTCTCGATCTTGCTGGTCGTGATCTTACCGACTACATGATGAAGATCTTGACTGAACGTGGTTACTCATTCACCACCACCGCCGAACGTGAAATCGTCCGTGACATCAAGGAAAAGCTCGCCTACGTTGCCCTTGACTTCGAAAACGAAATGCAAACCGCCGCCTCCTCATCTGCCCTCGAGAAGTCATACGAATTGCCAGACGGTCAAGTCATTACCATCGGTAATGAACGTTTCCGTTGCCCAGAAGCCCTCTTCCAACCATCCTTCTTGGGTATGGAATCTGCTGGTATCCACGAAACCACCTACAACTCCATCATGAAGTGTGATGTTGATATCCGTAAGGACTTGTACGGTAACGTCGTCCTTTCTGGTGGTACCACTATGTTCCCAGGTATTGCTGACCGTATGCAAAAGGAGTTGACCGCTTTGGCCCCATCAACCATGAAGATTAAGATTATTGCCCCACCAGAACGTAAATACTCTGTCTGGATCGGAGGTTCCATTTTGGCCTCCCTCTCCACTTTCCAACAAATGTGGATCTCCAAGGAAGAGTATGACGAGTCTGGTCCATCCATCGTCCACAGAAAGTGCTTCTAAACAAACAAATATAAATCATTTTGCAAAAAGTTATAATAAAATAGTGATAGTTGATCCTCGTCGTTCGTTTTTGATATGTTGATATTATCCATATCGATTCGGATGACATGTATACAAAAAACTTTAAAGTCTTCAAATTATTTTATTCTGATCAATATCTTAATTAAACAAACATAGAAACTTTTCTTCTTCAAAATAACAAAATAAATGATCATTAAAGTTTGAAGTTAAACACACAGTCATTTGTTAAAATAATAATTTACTTAAATACAAAGATGTTAGTTTATTTATTGGTTGGGTTGATATGTTTGTTTGCAATGAGGTATTCAACAGTAGATTTAAGAGTATTATTCAAGTTGGCTGGCTCTCTTTGAAGTTTAATTGGGGAGATTGATTTGAAAATATAGTGATGAGGATCTGCAAGTGTGTTGGTTGCTGAGCTATCGGGTGTCGAGTTGGTATTGAATTCGAGATGTGGGAATAAAGAGGCTGCACGTTGACCGAGTTCCTTAAATGTCATGACTTCGTTAGCAACGAGTTTTCTATGTAGGTTGAAGTTCTCAGAGGTTTCCATCACGTAGGTAATGATGTCTACAACATCGTGGACATCGGTAACACCGATTCTTCGGTTCTGTGGACTACCAGTGAGTGCCTCTGCGAATGTCTTGATACTGGTATTGATATGTTTGGCAAGTGGTGCACCAAGTACAAATGCAGGATTGATAAACACTACTTCAAAGAGATTGGGATTGGTCTCACGACGCTTTTTAATCCAATCGTGAGCACGCTTCTCGGCCAAGTACTTTGAATAGGCGTAAGGAGCAGCAATGGAGGTACCGTCACTCCAGTCGTCTTCAGTGTAGACATCCTTCTTCTTTGAGGCATCGAAAATGGCAGCTGTCGATGAGGTGATAACGATCTTCTTGATCGATGGTATTAAAGCGGCTGCTTCCAGTACAGAGATGTTACCTTTGATGGCTGGCTGCACAATATCACGCTCGGGATCATCGGCGGTGTAGATGTAAGGTGAGGCAGTGTGGATGATATAAGTGGCATCCTTGAAAATGGTAGAGTAGTCAGCAGTGTCTAAATCACCTTCCTCAAGAGTCAAACGGTCTGAAGCACCATCTAACTGCAATAAGTGTTGCAACTTCTCAGTGTTACTCTTGTTTCTGACGATTGCAGATACATTGTAGCCCTTTGACAAGAGGTCTTGAATCTGTATACCTGCAATGTATCCTGTGGCGCCTGTTACAACTACTTTTTCACCAGTCATTTATTATTTACTTTAACTTTCTTTAGAAATTGTTTATATAATTTCAGCTGATTTCAAAAAAAATAAATATAGTGGTTTGCAAACCATTTAAAAAACAAAAGTAAAAATACAAAGCGTGGTGGCAGACCGAAAGTAAATTTAATATGAGACTGATCCACTATAAATTTTGATGAGAGACCTGCCACAGTTCATTTGGTTTAAAATATTTTGCAACACAAAAAAAAAAAAATGGTAAGTGAATATTGCGTCATAAAAAGATTTTTTTGAAGATTTTTTTTTCCCCCACACTACTTTTTTTTTTTTTTTCCTTTATTATTTATTATTTTATATTTTTATTTTTTTATTTTTGTTTTTTATTTATTATTATTATTTTTTTTTTCATATATTTTCATTTTGATTTTTATAAAAAAAAAACTATCAATTTTTGATTATTAATTTTATACTAATTTGGGAAAATGAATAAAGAATTCACAGAAAAGAAAATCCACTTTCCCTGAAAGACTAAATTGCTATGAAACTAGAACCACATTGACTAAAAGAAGATCCAAGTCAAAACAAGTAGTATCTTCAGTTGTTCCATCTGTAGCACCAACTCCAGTTATCGCACCAACTCAGGATGTTCTACCCCCCATCGCACCGGTTGCACAGTCTCCAATCATTACTGCCCCACAACCAACTACAGGTATTATAATACCTAGCCCAATACCAGTTATCGATCAGTCCCCAGTCGATACTTCAAATATAGTTCCAACAACACCGTCTCCAATCAATGCTCCTGCAGCTCCAGTGGTTCCTTGTCCTCGCAGAGAAATAATATGGGTGGATGCTGATGATAAGAGAATCATTCCAGACCAGTCTCTTGAGGTTGTAGTCTTTGGTCTCCCAGTATCTCAAACTCCCATGGTCCATCACTTGAAAAAAGTAGAATTATCGTATTATTCTTGCCCAAATATCTATTCTCCGCAATATCCGGTCCAACTGCACCCAGCACGTGCTCTGGCAGAATCTTCCATATCAACAAATCATATACACAATGTAGATGAGAGCAACATGGACGACCGACAGTTCAACTCAGTAGCAGTAACAGTTCCATCCATCAAATGTAATCAAAGTAAAGATCCACACAGATTGATGAGCACATCGATGAATATCGTCAAAAATACCAATATCGGGAATGAAGTTCGTATTACAACAGAGGATTTAGTGCTTCAACATAAGAGATTAATGTTGGACCAGTTTCTATTCCTGGCTGAAAACAGAATCAATGACAGACTAGGGGTACGTGGCGGAAAATGCGTTAAAAATCTGGATATTGGAACTGTGGAGTTTGGAGTGTTGGTGGCACACTTTAACAAGCATCAAACAGGTAAGTAATTATTTTTTTATTTGTTTTTTTATACGTGTACACATTATATTTAACCAAATTAAATACTATCAGATACAAACATGAAGATGACCAACAAAAAAGTAAAATATAGTATTGGATATCAAGATGTCCAAACTCCAACTACTAAGTTTGATTTTTCTAGGTATAAATCAAATTCGAATATGAATGAAGAACTCTTTAAGCTACCACCATTATACACCGATGGATGGCACCAGAATGTATTTGCAAGGACATCTGTTTCAAGTAAAGATATAATCAATTCAAAGATAGATTGTGTGTCTTTTGTATACAATCATTATACTTGGATGGTCACTTGTAATTTCAAATACCGTAATTGGAAATGTGATGCTGCCTGCGTTCGTGGCGCTGAACCACCAAAAAAGACCTTGGTTGTGGATCATTTAACTGGTTGAATGACTAGTACTCATTTATAAACTTTTTTTATCAATCTTTATAATAAACTTCCATACAATTTTTTCACTTTTTTTTGCAGTTGTGTAAAAATGTTTTCAAAACAAAACTGGCTCCCAACAACTTTCGCCTGCGCATTAATTTTAAAAAAAAAGTAAAAATTAAAAATTAGTGGGGTTAATGTGATCAGAGTGGTTTTTTTAATTTTATTCGATTTATGGATACAAGCAAGAGCCAGTTTTGTTTTGTGGAGAATCTAAAAATTTGGTGTCAAGAATATTCGTATAAATAATTGTATTTTTTTTTTATTTTATTTAATTTTAGTTTTGATTTTATTTAATTTTTAGTTTTTTTTTTGCTTTCGGTTCAACAACACAATTTTTTATTTAGTTTTACTTATTTTTATATTCATAGTGAAATAAATGGAACAAGATCATGTATTTAATTTTACAGGAATTACAATCTCTGTTGGGCGTAGTGATGAAACGGATAATGTAGTGAGACCCCAAGGTTCATTTAATAGGTTTTTCATTGATATAGTTAATAGTGACAATATCACCAATAATAAAGATAGAGCACATATAAAAGAATATAAATCATTAAAGGATACAGATTCAAAAAAAAATAGAATAATGACATTGATAAATATTATTTTATCGTTGTTTACTATTTTTAAAGTTAGTAATGAAGAGTTTTTTGCAGAAGTAAATAGCAACACAAAATATCAAGACCTTTTGTATGGTAAAGACAATCGTGTTCAGATAAAAGTAATAGTTGAAGAGGAACATATCATTAGAACAACAATCTCATCGAAATGCCTTGGAATTTCATATGGACAGTCTCTACTCAGCAACAATATTCTCAAACCTACTTCAGATAAATTGGTATCAACAAACAGTATTAGGAATGCGTCAGCTTTTTCAGAATGTACGTTAATGCAATCAATTGTGAATGTAGGTTACACTTCAGTGGGTTCTTTGGAAGTTGACAATCCAATTTTCTTTCCTATCTCTCCCTGGCAAAGATCTTCGAGCAATGCTGGTGATTTTACCAATGGAGACATATCAAAACATGTTGAGACAATTGCACACTCAGTATCTAATGATCGTATTGGCGAAAGATTTTATCAACTCCTACTGGATTTTAGAAAACAATTTTTACCCAGAAATTCAGTTTTTTCGAGCATTTGTCTAAATGTGGAACATGTCATCAAATATATGTTTCAATTGTCTTTCACAATTTTTTTTATGGATTCAAAAAAACATGGTGTTTTTGACAATTCTAATGATACTGAGAATATCAATCAGCTAAAGAATAGTAAAAAGATTTTTGAATCTGAATACTTCAAAAGCTTTTTGCAAAAGGTTAAAAATATGGGCATCTTCAAGATATCATCTGATGGAACACCCAAAGTTAATGAAGGGTTGTTTGGAATTGGCATAGTCCCATTGTTTCTTGCAAATTTACCCTCACAGTCATGCTCTTCGATTCTTATGTTAGGGATTGGTTTTGGAAAAGAATCAAATACTGCCAAATTTCTTTCTTCTGTAATAGAACAAATTAATTCTATTAAAGAAGTTACATTCAATTTTGCAAATGATGTTGTTACAATTCCCATCAAATTTTTTTCCTCAATCGATCTAAAAATGGCTCAAAATCTCGCAAGAGACAAATCAGATTATAACGGTGAATCACCTTGCCCATGTTGTAAGAAATCAGCCGATTATTTCAAAGCCGCGCTTTTGGAAACACAGATTAATGATGCTAAATGTGTAAATTGTAGAGATGAGGAAAATAATCTTTTTCCAGGTATAAAATGCGAACACACTGGTGAAGCCAATTGTAATTAATGTAACTTGAAGGAAAAAACAATTTATAATTTGGTATTAATTATTTTTATATAGGTGCGAACAATAGTAGAAATCTCGTGGACATATTACTTATTAAAGCAATTTTTATTATTTGTAGTCTTCATTGTAAGCTTATCATAGATCAATTGTATTTCTATAAAAAATTGACTTAATATTTAATTATTTTACTAGGTAAACAAAGAATAACAGAAAAGTTGTTGAAATCAACTTTTTCTATTCATACACATCTCACTGCCTACATTTTGGAAGCATTTCAATCAATTCCAGAGCTTAAAAGTATAAATCCCAAAGCAAATTTGTTTTCTCAAAGTCAATATATATATGTTGATGAGGTTGGAATGCTCACCGGTGGTGAATGTGATGCAATCTTCAAATATTTACCGGGAATTCTTTCAGAGTTTGACAAAACCGAAGAAGCTAAGATTGTGAAACAATTTCATAAGAATAAGCTTGGCGATCTACCAATTGGCGAAAGTCTATCATTGGTATTCAAGGAAGCATCGAAAGTCTTTAATAAACTGGATTCAACAAGTCAAGAGATTAAAGAGATGACAGACAATGAAATAGTTTCAATTCAAACGTTGTGCAATCAATTTTTAACACTGTTTGTCGATCTCTTTGGAGTTAGAGAGATGACTTATTACACTCACATACTATTACATATTGCGCGGTATTTGCGCATATGCAAGAAACATGGACTAAGTTTAACAATGATCAACAATGAAGGTTTCGAGTCAAATTGGAAAAGATTTTTGGGTTTCTATGGAAACAACAACAAAGGCAATGATTCATTGATTCAATTAATGAATACCCACTATTATGTTCCTATTCTCACTATTAGACTCTTTGTAATGAGTTTAAACTTTGGGTTTAACGATGCAAGATCTTTGCGAGGTGAGCACATTCGACACACCATTAGTTTGCATGATGGATTTTATACAAATGTATATTCTCAAATTCTTGATATAATAAAGGTGAAGGCAGAGAAAGATAAAAAAATTTTATCTGATGCTCAGCTTGTTGATGATGAATATACAGGTCTATTCGGAATACAAAATGAACAAAGTATATCAATAGAGAAACTTAACAAAATACTACAAACATGTAAGTTATAAAAAAATCGAAATGAAATTTAAACTAATTATTTTTTTAAGATTTAGAGAAAATTTTTGTTGGAACACTTCAACCAATCTTCGAGATTAGTTCTTTTGAATTATCTGACATTCCAAAGCCTATTGCCATTGGTGACAAAATACAACTTATTATTTTGTCCCAAAGTGCAGCCAAGATTAATCAACAGCTTAAACTCCTCATTGTCCCATCGGAGTTCTGTTCAATGAAAACACCAATGTTTTTCTATATTTGCCAGCCCAATGGTAATGTGAAATCATATTTAAAGAGAACTTTAAGTACAGATTTACTTGAAAATCATCCACCTGATTTTTTTAAATTTTTCAGCACGATCGAATTCAAAGATGTACAAATCTATTTCAACTCTCCAATATTTATCTCCTTTTTATTAAGTTATATTCTACAGAAATCAACTATAGTAATCAACGACAACAACAACATTAATAATATTAATAACAATAATAATAGTAATAATAGTATACATCAACTTATTTTAGATAATATAATAAAAATAATTACAGTAATATATAAGAAAAACCACAGATCTGAGAAGAATAATAAGAATATTAAAACGGTACCAAAAAGATTAATACGAATAGCAGAAAAAATCAAATATCATGTGGAAACTCGCAATCCCGATTTTAAACCAATTTGTGATGAAATCAGAGACATGGTTACAACTGGTTCAGAGTTGTACGATGAACGTAAGATGAAGCAAGCAATTCCAACATACTCAGAATCAACTGAAGATATAGATCGTAAATTAGATCTTATCAAAAATAAATCTGAAAGATCAGTTGGAGTTTTAACAGATATCACAATTGAATTGTCGAAAAAGAGGAGTAAAAGCGAGGTGGACGAAGTTGAATTAAGTAAATTCATGAAAAGGCATAAGAAAGATAATGCGATCACTACATTTGTCATGACCACAAGACAAAACATAGGTTCTCCTCCCGTAGTTACAACTTCTTCCAGCTCAACATTCAGTACCACACTAAACTTAAAGGAATTTATCGAAAATTTTTTTGACAGTCAAAATTCAACTCAAGACTCTTGATATCCTCGCTGCAATGGATCATGATTTCTACGATGTATTAAAATAAATCTAATTTTATAACTTTTAATATAAAGTAATACAATTAATAAAACGAAGTCACGTTGAATATAATTTTTAAATTTATTGATAGAGAGTTTTCATCTCGGTTGTTAACAAGATATGATTTTTATATATATTAATTTTCAAATAATTAATTATACAGATATGATATCTCCATTCCTCTGCTTCTTCATTGCTATCAAAAAAACCATACTCTAAAAGACCATTCTGACTTTGTCTTTTTAAATCGATTTTGTTGTTCTGCTCCCATTGAGTTGGTAGACCATTTTTGAGATCATCTAAAATTTCATTATTGTCTATAGAATGGAAACATTCTTCAATATTTCCACCAAGTCGAGGCAAAATAGGAATATTGGTTGTTGTGTGGTTGTAATGATGACGAAAGATGAAAAATCCATCATTAAAGTCTTTAGGGATCATTTGGGTACCATAATAGTGATGATTAAAATAATGAAGGAGCTGAGTACGCTCTAATGATGTAATCGTATATGGATTAAAAGCTGTGTGAGGAGTCTTATATTTAGCACCTTGACCATGAGCTAATTCATTGGATGCACAGTAGTATGCAGCCAAATTAGTTGATAGATCTAATCTGATTGTTTCAAACAATGGTCTGATGGCATAGAAATGGTCTTCACGCACTCCTTCTTGGTTTAGCGGCATTGGGTCCAATTCTACTAGGTCCACTAATGTCGGGTATGCATGAATTGGGTCCAATTCTACTAATGTCGGGTATGCGTCAATTGGGTCCACCTGTGTTAGATCCACAGCTAGTACTGGGTCTATTTGCATAGGGTCCAACTCTACTATGTCCACTAATGTAAAGTCTACATCTATTGGGTCCACCTGTGTTAGGTCCACTACTCCATGTATTGGGTTCACTACTAGTGTCTCCTCAGGCATTGGCAAAGGACCGTTGATTCTGGTGGCTAACTTATAAATTTCATCTACAACAAAATAATCATTAAATAATTTTTTATTTGGGGACACTGTTCTTTTTAAAACTGAATTATTATTATCCTTATATTATTAAAATAAATAATATTAATAAATAATTTTAAAAATAAATTTAAAAAAAAAAAAAAATACAAAAAAAAAAAAAATTAAAAAAAAAATTAAAAAAAAATCTTTTTTAAAAAAAAAAAAACAAAGAAGTTTTTCTGACACAAATTTTGCTTACCATTTTCGATTTTTTTATTTTCTGGGATTTATTTTTTTTTGAGTTGCAAAAAATCTGTCTCCCCTTTTTGATCTTTTGAGTGCCATATTAAATTTACTTTCGGTTGTTTAAGACCTGCCACCACGCTTTGTCTTGTTGTTCTGGAATGTCCGTAGTTATTTTTTTTTAAATTAATTAATAGTTGTTTTGATTAAAGCATAGTGATGATGTGTGACATCTATGACTATTTTGGGTAATGATTGAAATTTTTTTTTTTTATCCATTCTTTTGATGATTCTGAATGCATTGAACAGACACTTGGGAACCTATCAATCTTATAGAATATTCTTTTAATGTTTTTGTTTATTTATTAAAGCATTTTATTTTATTTATAATTTATTTATTTATTCTTTATAAAGATGATAGTTTGTAAATATAAAGTAGTGTTTTAGAATAATCGATACCATAGGTATCCTCTAATGCTAAATTCTCGACGGTTGTTGAACAATTCAATGAATCTTGGATAATCCATAGATTTGGTTCGTCTTTGTTATCAAGATACTATATTTATATGTATATTTATAGAATAAAAAATATATTAGATTATTTGAAGATAGTACAGTTTGAAAATAAATAAAATATTATCTTACCAAAATACTATGAGTCTCGTAAAAGATATTGGAAACTTCATTGAAACAGTCACTTCGAAGTTGGAGAGTTGGACATGCTTCGATATTTGTACCATTCAACTTAGACCGATCGATATCAATGAAAAGATATTGGGGTACTTCTGCGAGTTTGATATCTGAATTTCCTACTTCCATGATAGTATTACACTTGTCACATCTGTTATTTTTTGATTTAAATTTTAGTAAAAAAGGATTATTTGGTTATTAAAATCATGGTATATAACATACGTTTGGGATTTAAATTTCATGAATTCTATTATGGCATTATCAATGTGACCTTCCAATTTCTGTTCTCCAAGACTTCTGCAAATCAAATGTAAAATCGATGGTTGTGTCTTTTCAGACTTACATTTCTTACATTGATGTGAGATGATAGAGTGGAACAGAGGATTGACCTGAGAAATGGTCTCGAGAATTTCAACTAGGAGTTTACCAGGTTGTTTGCCATTGATTACGGTTGGTGAGAGCTCTTCTGAGATAAGACCGAACAATTCTCTGATATCGATGTCATCGGTGCCTTTATCATGTTCCGATTGGAACTTTTGGAATTGGTTGGCATACTTTGGTAGGATATCGATTGTCTGTGGTTTGAATCTTATCCAATTGAATAGACAGTGTGCGAATCTACTATTCTTGATTGGTTCAATACAGTTGTGTTGATCTCTATTCAACTTGGTGAATTCATCCAACATATCATTCAGATCGTCTTCGTCATCGGCATTGGAATCCAATTTTTTAAATTCATTCTTAATCAATTGATCTGCCTCGTCACTATCATTATCATTCTCTCCATGAAGTTCTTTGTAACCAGCCTCTTTGTTATTGTTATTCAGTTGTTGTTGTGATTTAATACAGAGTGGTGAGAGTGCTTCATGGAATGTTCTGAGTAAGATGGCATAGCAGTTGAGATTCGATTTGTTTGGAACGAAATCAGAGTGATTCTTAAAGTTGGTAAGAATTGGTATAGCAATCTCTCTGGTATATTTTACAACGATGTTCGTGAGTGAATGGTTTGGCTGAAGGCTTCTGATTTCCGATTGACATTCCAGAGTGGTTAGATGATTGATGAAATCCTTGAGGAATGAAATCCATCTATCCGAAGCTTTCTCAGATTTCAATTTCTCGAGTAGAGTGTCAAAGACTTTGGTTTCATAGTGATCTGGTTCTTTCATTACATTGGAATAGAGATATTCACGTGCAAGATAACTCTCGGTAACAACACTGACAACATCTTCGAGATGCTGCAATTGGATTCTTCTGAGATGGTTAGAGGTGGACTGATGAATGTCACGTGTATTGTTGATAATGATACCTCTCTTCACTGAGAATTCGTAGATTGTTATAGTGGTATCGATCGATCCATCTTTGTTGTTCAACACATGAGAGATAACACGAGTGAGATAGCTACACAACTTCTCATAGTCTGAATGTAAGAGTTTAGATCTACATTCACTTTTGAATGGAATCTTGAAGTGGTTTAACAGCTTTATGGTCATATTCTTTGGGATCTCGTGTTTCAATTTCCAAAGCTCCTTGACAACGACAGTGGAGAATTGGTCGAATACCAGCGAGCTGATATCTTCATTGTGTTGACGTTTAGTTGCGAATTGGAATGGTGTCTGATAGGATTTCATCTGATTTCCAATGACTTTGCCAGCGAGGAAATTACAAATCAATTTGTTTTCAATCGATTGGAAATCGGGTTTGAATTTACTTCTATCGAATGTTTGATAGTGTGAAATCTGTCTCTGAAGGAAATTGCTGAATGTATACAGCTCAAAGTTTGAACCAATTAGCAGGTAGTTCGATCCAAAGTCAAAAGGAACAGTCTCCAGATCTGATTCTTCGAAATCATTGTTTACAATTGTATCAAAGATTGTTTCATGACCGATTTGATCTTTTAGCAACATCGCTTTCACCTGAGTTGTAGTGATCCAATTGTTGATGAGATCGATTATCATACCATTGCTATTGGTCGAATCATCCTTTATCAGCTGAATCAAAAGAGTTGAATCGTCAATTGTATCGATGATCTTTTCGTATTCCGGTGTTCTATTGCATCCTCCTTCCATTGTCTTAAGATGATCGGTTATCTTTGACCACGCAACTTTCAAGGAATACCAAGTTTCATCGATAGTTTCAATAGTGTCACTTGTCTCTGAGAAATTTTCTTTGAGGTAATCAATACATTGTGGAATTGTCATATTGATATACTCTGGCGAAAGTCGATAGTTAAAGAGTTTGTAGAATACCTGGAGGAATCTAATCAGTGCTGGGAAATGAAGTGACAAACCGATCATCTCTGATTTTACAGTGAACAACTGCAACAGTTTGAAAGATGTCTGATTGGTGATGATGCTATTGATAAACTCCATATCGTAGATTGGCGATGGGAACAGTTTGCTATAGTCATTTCTAATCAATGAAATAGATCCCAAATGACTAGATTGTCTCTCTGCTAACTCTATTTTACTTGATTTCATCTGTGGATAGCGATTCCAAACGAGTTGAATAAGTGATGAGAGATAGGCTTCGTAGGCTGGAACAGCACTTTGGTTGAACTGGATTGAATTAGCATTGAATGAATCCTTCCATATCAAATAGAGTAGCTCAGACATGAAATGAGCGGGTTCAACATGTTGATCTTTCATCTGTTGATTTCTCATAAACTCGGAAATCGAGGTCAGTGAACGAGTGTTCACATAGTCTGTCAGTGTCTCTTGCGTGTTGTTGTTATCGTTGATTACAAATCCAGAGTTTCTTATTCTTTGGTACATAGAGGAATCGCATACCGATACAGTCCAACTGAATGCACCCCAAGTAGTACTGCTAATCAGGAACTTGTTCAAAAGATTACCACCCATCGACGATGTTTGGAGTCGGTCATCTCCGACTGCTCTTCCACTCTCACGATATCTCATTCCACAGTCTTTGAAGGCACCTTCGTTGGCGGGATATGGTCGAACAACAATTGAGAGAGGATCTCTGAAAATGTTGTAGAGGTAACATTTGTTTGAACAACCAATAGAGACTGCGATGAAATTTACCATCATATTAGCCATGGCATTGGTATCCTGTGTCTTTTTAGCATTCTTTAGAATTTCGTCAAACTTGGTATTTCCAAATTGCTTCGAAAGGATCTTGTTGAAGATTGGTTTGAAAGGAGTGAGGCTTATTCTATCACAAAAATGTGGGGACAACAATGATGATATGAAATCAGTTGGTTTACCTTCAGAGTAGAATTGGTATGCGATCAAGAACAGTGACAATCGGAAGAATCCGAAATCAACTGGATTAGCACATTGCACGACCATTAGTTCAATATCTTTACTGGATTTCTTTTCAATAGCATTGTAGAGATTTATGTAGGCTTTTCCATCCTCTGAATTATCGATTGTGAAAGGCATTTGTGACAGCTGCTTAATGGTGATATCCTCGCGAATTAAAAGTTCTTCCATTCCAATGGCTTTCAACAATTGCGGTGATTTCAATGTGTTGATAAGATCTTCTTCCTTTTCGATCTTGTTTAGCAAGTAGACTTGATTCATTTTATACTTGGTTGGAGATTCGCTTTCGATTACTTCCAACTGTGATTTGATGTATGAAGCATAGAGTGGATTGGAATCCAAGAATTTGAAAACAATCTCTGGTTTCTTTGCTTCGTTGATGAGACTGGCGAATTTCTCAAGTAGCAAAGTGAAGTATACATCGCACTTGATGTTGGAGAATATACTGTTACTTTCCAATTCTTCAATCTTTTCTAATAGTAAAAGATCTTGTTTGAAATCATCTGATTTCTTAATATTATCATATAGACAATGGAATACCATTTCAGCCAATGGAGAGTTGGTGTTGATTTGATTGATTTGACTTGGAGGAATGTCTAAAAATTTCATTGTAGGCAGTGAAGTTTTACAAAGATTACGAATGATAGGATTGAATCTGAAACTAATATTGTTCTGATCGTTATTTATATAGTCTTCCACCAATTCTGCCTTGGTTACAAGATTGAGAATATGTTGAAGTATATTGGTGCAATATCCAAACGAAAATTGTTTTGGATGCATCTTTGCATCACAAATCTTTAGGAATGATTCAATGTTTGCAGTCTTCGAGGTGATAAGTGATTCAATAGTGTCATTGAGGCAGGTAAGTGGAATGGTTGGAATTGGTTGTTGACCAAATTTTGTTGATATATTGTATTGTTGAATCGATAGGTTGAGGGCATCGAATGCATTGATTAACTCTAATATATCGGTGGTATCGAAATTCTCACATTCCAACAAGATCAATCCGTGTGATGAGATGAATGATTCCGACTGCTTTTCATCGACGTGTGAGCATTGCACTAAAAATTGATAGATACAATAAAGTTGAACCATTTTACTGTTGCATTTCAATGTTACAAACAACGATTCGAAATCGATTCTATTGAAAATCTCCCTAGTAACTGAACACCAAAGAATGATTGATTCTGATTTGGTTGCTTGTTCAACAATAAATAGTGATAGAAATTCGACACTCTTCTTTGCCAACTTTTCTTTGATAATTTTAATGTCCTTGGGATAAGACATCTCTTCGAAAGTCGGGAGAATCGAACGATCAAGTTTAACCAATGGTGAAATGAGATGTTTGATAAACCTGATATGCTCCTTATCGACATGGAATTTGATTGGATAGAGTAGAATGGTTTCCGATTTCTTGTCTTTTGTCTCGACAATGTTTCTGAAGAATGTTATCCATTCTTTATCATAGTTGAGTACTCTTGTAATATAATCATTGACGAATGATTGGAAGAGTTCTGGATTTGAATCGATGTGGTCAATCAATGGTTTCATTGGATGTCCAGATTCCAAATGTTTCTTCATGGAGCTGAGAATTGAATCAACACTATTGTTACGATGCTTCTCGCTATTCTTCAAGGTATATTCCAATACATTGCTTATCGATGAATAAATGGTATCGAACAATGGAATTGAGTATGGTCCCTTCGATATGTTCTCTGGAAGTGACAGTTGAATTGATTCGTATCTCTCTTCAATTCTTACATTCTCTGGGATATTGATACTTTCAAGGAATAGTTTGATCAATTTATCCTCTGGGGAATTATCAACTATGGAGTTGATCATCGAGAATTGTAGATGGTTGAATAGATGTTTGAAAACATTGGAAACCACTGGATAGAAGTGAGAGCTAAGTGAACTCTTGATTGCATCGAGAATCGATAGGCCTGGAAGTTTACCAGTGAGAATAAGATTGCAAATTCCAGAGATGATTGTATTGAATTGATCTTTCTTGTCCCATTTATCTTCGAATGATCTAATAATAAGTTCGAACCATCCAGAGTGTTTTTTGAATAGTTTTTCAATCAACTTTGGTCTAATTTCATTATCGGTGTAGAACTGACGCTCCAATTCATTGCTATATTGATATTTGGTGAGGATGACGTTGGATGTTCGAGATACTTCATTGAGATGAGCATAGAACATCTCTTCGAATGTCTGTTTCAATGAATAGTCATCTACATCGACTGGTCTTAGTCCATAGGTTTTGGCAACCCATTTTCTAATGTCGGTATCGATTTGTTTAGATGGATCTTCCGATTGCGATGATTCAAGTTTAACACCAATCGAATCGATATAAACAAATTCAAGATCGTTCAAGAAGATTGAATTCAATTTGAATTGTCCAGAGATAGATGATTCCGGTGGGTAATGGCAGATTGTCACCAACAGTTTGTCAGTCTTGTTGACTTTGTTGAGCATTCCAACAACATAGTTGATTTGATGTTGATTAATAATTGACATATCTGCAATCACAATACAGATTCTACCGTCCTGATTGTCAATGAATTTGTTAAACTCTTGGGAACAATCTTCAGTTGATTTCAATTTGTTCAACTGAATGATTTTGATTGATTGGCAAACAAGTTGATTGTTTTCAGAAGGTAAGAACTTTAGCAACAGCTTTTTAAAGTCAACGGTTGAATCATCCAGACGATGAAGTGATGGCGATGTTCTAGTGTAGATGATCCATTTGTTTGAAATCGATTCATTATCATCTTGAGCATCATCGTTGTTAAACGTCCTTTTAATTAGATTCTGAAGGAATCGCAATGTGTTGAAATGATCTTGACGAAGTAAATATTCTTCAACATATTGTCTTGGCAAGTTACTATTGTAGATGGTCTCTGGTCTTGCAATTTGTAGTAACTTTGAATTGAATCTTTTGAAAATGGAGTTACTTTCCTTGGAGAGAATGAACTTATCATTAATAGAAAGATCTTTAATGATGATTCTGTGTGGATCGATCTTCATTGGTTCATTTCTTTCTATGGAATTCTTTATCATTGAATAAAGAATCGATGGAATAGTTTCGGAATCAGAGAAACCTGCCAATAATGATTTCTGGATGTGGAATGTATTAACAAAATGATTGGCATTTTCCCTTATCTTCTTGGTGTCATCTTGAAGATCTGGTCTATTTTGAAGTTTACTATTCATCAAATTATCAATGGATAATCTGTACTTCTCGAATCGATTCAACCACGGCAACTGAGTTTGATCCAATCTCGAAATTGGCACATGAATGATTACCTTGAAATCTGGGTGAACTTGAGTGTGATTCGAATGGTTTCCAAAACTAACATTTGCCAAGAAATGAGTTTCATCCGAGATAATTGTGAAATACTTGTTGAATACCTCGTAGAAACAAGCGTCAATCGATTGACTGTTGACAAGAACAACATTCTTTCCAGTGCTCATATGATTCTTGATTTGTGAGACAACTTTAACCAGTGATTCTTTACTGTTGTCCTCATCAAATCCACCAACTCTGATGACAGTGTGTTCGACACCCATTTGATTGAGAATCATTATAGAGGTTTCATTTTCGGTTGGATCCAACAGCATCATGTAACGGAATGCCGTTGTATTTGGATTCACTTTGATATCGAATTTGTCAGCCAATGACTGTTTGATTCTGTCAATGGTGTTGTCTTGTTCGAGCAATGCCAATTGATTGGGCAATTCAAAACCAAGATTCACAAAGAATACCTTTGCCAGTTCTTTAAACTTGTGTGGATGTATTCCACCAAAGTTTCTTTCGAGAGCTTCCAAAACGATCTCTGGTGTCATCGATGAGGTTTTCGATCTCAGCTTGGAAAGATGTCTGAGGAAATAGACAAAGTCACGTTGATGGAATAGATTCTTCTTGGTGTCATCTGTGAATTCATTGACTCGACGATATGACTTGCACATCGCTTTGACAATCAGCAAGTCAGAATATTCAAGTTTCTCATTGTTGAAAAGACATCCCTTCACCAATGCTCTCTCGTCTTCTTTGTCGATGATACTCGAATGAACCAATTGAAGAGTACGATTGGTTTTAGCAGCATCAAGAATCTTATTGGAAAGGATTACAATTGCAATGTCAGTTGATTGAATCTGTTGTTTCTGGTCGACTTTATCGAGATAGTCATGCATTACTTTCATTGGAGATTCTTCTTCATTGACCAAACCAGCTTCATCCAAGAATACAATGCATCTTGTGTTGTTTTGTTCAGTGTCGTAACCACGCTGTCTGTTCAAAGCTTGTTCGAATCTCTGTTTGATTTCAATGTCGGTTGTATGTGGAGTGCATTGATAGTGGAATTGATCTACTCTTGGCATCAATGCCCACGGTGTCTTGACATTGATCTTGTTGAGTTTGAGGTTATCCACGACAATTGAGAAACTGAGTGTTTTAGAGCAACCAGGTGGACCAACAATACAAAGTGGAATCATACAATTGATGGCAACAACATTGAAGAATATATTCAACTGTAATGATTCTGTCAGTGCAATTCCAGGTGGTAGCAATGTGTATTCTTTCTGACAGAATGATGAATATATCTCTTTAAAGGTCAAATTGAAATCGAATTTGAATTTGAGTTTGCAAGTGTCGTTGATAAACTTTTGGAAAGCGATTTGAATCTCCGGTCTCTTTTCTTTGCCGACTCTAAGATAATAACTCAATGCCATTGAAGTTATCATGGCCAACCAATGGTGTGAGTAATCATCGATAGCAATTGGTAACTGTAGTTTCGTTTGAACAAGAATATCGGATTCCTCGATTGAATCATTTGGGAATGAACAACCAATCATTGATCTTCCAATGGTTGACATGAAGAACTTGTAGAGATCGATCGTTCTAATGATATCTCTGATACTCATATGAACTCTTCCCTCTTTGGCTTGACGGAGTGCATCTTGTCCAAGAATGATAAACTGTTTCAATTCTTCGGGGTACTGACAGATTGTACTCTTTAATTTGAAAAGATTCTCCAAAAATGGTTCTTCATGTTCTTTTCTGAATTTTCCATATCGCAAGAACAACTTTTCCATTGAAGGTGGTGGGTCGTTTACAATGAAATCTAAAGTCGTGGTGGAAGTTGATTGTCCGGTGTGATCAATCGATTGAGATGTCGAAATCTTCTTTGGATTCATCGCACCAATCCAAAATATGTTTTGTGGAATACTATCCTCACCATCCAATGTTCCATCAACAAAGATCTCGTTGATCAAAGCCAGTGTATCTCTCGGTGCTGTATTGAATTCATCGATGAATACAACCATCTTGATATTCCTATCGATGTTCTCGAGTTTTATTATTTCCTTTATATCTTGGACGATTCTCAATATTTGAATCTTGAATTCCTTGGCAGTGTAACGCTGATGCATAATAATACGATGGAACAATGATCTGAATATAGTATTGGAGATCTGATCGATTGCCGCGATCATTTTTTCCAAACTATCGATAGTTTCTGCCGATGTCGATCTAATCTTGTACAATAAACTATCTTTGTTTTTGGTTTCGATCAAAGGATGATCTTTCAATAGTCTTCTAATAGTCGATTGAATATCCGATGTCAAATTGGCACGACGAGTTTGGAATAGTTGTTCTGTCTGACCATTTATACGTAGACTATACAATTCATTGATCTTATCTTTCATTTGATCGAGAGTGATGTCATTGCCTCTCAAAGATTCAACATTATTCATTCGAAGTGTTGCACCCAAAGTAGTTGCAGTCCTAACACTAAGTGAATTTGCCGATTTAATTTCCAAATTGATTCTATCCACACATTTGTTTATGGTTTCTTTGATTTCATATTGGATTGAAGGAATTGCATTGTTACTGGTATTGACCATCAAAGAATAAAAGATGAGAATGAATGTCTTTCCAACACCAGTGTCACCAGTTAAAACCAATGATCGCTGATTCTTGATTTTGTTGTGAAGAATCATAAGTCGTAATCCGAAATCCGGTGTCATAACAAAGCTGTACTTTTGACACAATTCATTGATGAGATAGGTTCTCGAAGCAATTCCAAATGTTGTGCAAACCGATGCCTTAAAAGACATTGGATCGGCCAATGCTTTCTCCTTTGTGATAAGAGAAGCTACCTTTCCTTCTAAAACCGATTTTTTCTCTGAGAAGTCGACGAACCCAATCTGAGCAATCACTGGACAAGAATCTGGTTCAGGCGGTAGTTGCTCAACATAACGGGTTGAAATCAATGGAGGTTTCTTTTGAACGTTCTTATTGGATGAATACAGAGGATCGGATAGCTTGTATGATTCCCATACGAAAATACGATAGAGATCTTCTGGTGATAACATTAACATCGATTCAGGATTACTAAATTGACTTAAAAATTTGTATAGTACTTTATAGTTATCCAAGAAATCCAGACGATCGAGAACGGATCTAAGGAAATTGGTCACTTGATACTTGCTCTGGAATTTTACATTATAGTCTGGCTCCTTTACTCTGACTACTTGAGTGATGTGGTTCAAATAGCTATTGATATCATGAGTATCAGCAGCTTTGAAACATTTCTCTTCCACTTTGTCTGTTGTCAACCATCTTGCTGTGTCATAACTCTTGATATCCGACAGTTTGTAAATGTAGGAAATCGATTGTTTCGGGTAGTCTGCTCGATCTTTGAAATTCGATTCTTTCAAAGGATCACCCAATTCAATATAGATATCCAATTTAATTGACTCTGGAACATGATATACTTCACCGACTTGATTTCCAATGATGAATCCATAGGTTATCAGAGGATAGATGAATCGATCGAAACTGTTGAAATCGGTATATGGTGAAACATTAAAGTGAATGAGGAATTTGACATTTTTTGGAACTGATAGAAGAATATCGATGAGTGATTTCGGTTCGAATCCAGGTCGAATAGATATTGTCTTTGAACATTGTATTCCCCTGTTTTCAGGTAGGATATATTGTTGTTTAAGATCTTTGATGTAGTATGATTTACCAGTTCCACTAGCTCCGAAAACCAAATTCAAAGAATTGATTGACTTTGATTTAGTCCATTCAGATTTGATGTTCGACCATGAATCTTTCAATTGTGAATCATAGTGGTTTGTCAATGGATGGTAGAACAATCCATGACCATCACTCAAGCTAAGAGAAATGATATAGACTCTGTTGAGTTGAGATCTGGTTTGTTGACAATGGTGTTTGGAAAGCCAATCAATGAGAATCTTTTTGTCATCTGGTATTCCAATGAGGAAAAGAACGGATCCTTGAAATCTCTCTGAAATATCAAAGAAATACTTGTGATCGACTTCAAATTTTTCAGCATAAAACACCTGAGATGGATGAGGAATCCTAAAGTTATTTAACTGTGTAATAACATTCAATACATCGCTTCTCTCAATTCCAGTCAACAAGTATGGTTCTTTTTCTTCACTATCAACCATTCTGAATACATTTGGTTTGGATATCCTAATGAGTTTAATTAGATTGTCAAAGAATTGTTGGTAGTTTGGCATTGGTTTCTCTTCGAAAAGCATTGGATTGTCTCTCATCAATGTTAAGAGATTCACTTCGGTGATGGATGGGAATGAATATTTGATATAGGGAATCAATATTCTAGATAATTCTCCAATATGTACTTCTGTTTCTTTCAAATTCGTTTTATAATCATTAAACTTGTAAATCAATGAAGATAATCCATGTGATCGAAGTAACCAAAGCTCATATGGTAACTTATTGATTGATTCTTTCCAATTGTTAATATCTCTAACTAACTTGGACTTTTTCCTAAATAACCAAAACAAAATAATTAATATACCATATAATTGGTGAATAAAAAGTTAAATTGACTTACTTTTCCAAACTATCTAAACTATTATTTTGAATATCGATTTTAACCGTACCATTGAAATATTCATGATGATAGAGTTCATCCAATTCACAATGAAGCTTGTGGATATCTCTCAATAGCTGCACCATGTAAGTGAACAATTTCATATTTGCTTTGTTCTCTTCTGAGATTTTGTTTTCCTCACCCTTGGTCCTGTCACTATTAAACTTGATTCCTTGATCCATATCCTCAATCTTTTCCTGTCCAAATGTCTGGTTGGTAAGACCATCTTTGAGCGACCAGCCAGGCAAATTGTCTTTGTTTTTCGAGGTATAAGATATGAACTGTGAAGATTTCGAGACATTGGCGATCGTCTTCATGTTGGATTGAAGTCCATGTACACCACCGGAAGTAGCATACAATCCAGCAATATTCTGCAAATTGGTACAAACTGATCCTAGCTTATTGGTGCATTCAAGTAAGAGTCGCTGGTCTTTTGGAATCACTCTGGAAACCGCAAGACAAAACTCACTGAGATTTGTGTATTTTCCAGGATTTGGACCGTTTGGATTGATTGGTTTATCTTTGTTAAGATAGCATACGATGAATGGTTCGAGATAATTATATACAGAGATGGTTTTCGAATGGAGAGCATTGTTCAAACTGTCATTCACAAGATTATTGGTGATAATTGAATTCTTGCTATCAAAAGCATTACGCGATTTGAATTGCGAGTAGAACTCTACCAATTCGACGGGGATATGACCAAACACTTCCAGCTGGTTGTAATCTAGTTCTCCCAAATGCTTTTGCATGTCACTAAAGAATTTGTCTCGATCGGAGACACTCGTTTGCTTTTCCTCCTTGAATACCTTGATTATACTCTTGATTTCTTTGAGATTGTTGTTAAAGTTGGGAATTGTAATGTAGTGTTGTGAAATTTGCATGAATCTCTCAAGGATTTCAAGATTCTTTTCGATACCAAAAACAGAAGTTACACGTGTCCAATAGTTGAGAATATGACCAACCATATCACCCATAAACTTTCCAGGATAGAAATGATCATAGATAGATTTGATCTCATCGATATTATTGACTTGACGCAATGAAATGATTCTCTGAAGAATGTCATTGATCTCCACTTGTTTCATATCGACAATATCTTTCATGAGCTGTCTTGACTTGCTACAGATATCCTCCACTGAGAATCCGTTGTCTTTGAAATACTTGTAAATGATTTTGAAATACTGATTGTTGGTTTCTCTTTGGAAATGACCCAAGAACAGCGCTGATTCAATGTTGTTAATATGTTTGGTAGATTTGAGTATTTCCTCTAGTTTGAGCAAGATCTGATCAAGCATTCTAAAGTCACACACGAGATGATTAATTCTGGAATTGCAATTGAAATCTTGATTCAACAACTTGGCACATTCATAGAGATTATGATATCTAGTAACTTTAGTATTCTGCTGCTTCACAAGTGAATCGAATTTACTATAATCCAATTTGTGGTCGAAATATGTATTTAACAAAGTGATAATTTGTTTGTAATCCTCCTTCAGCCTTGTGTGTTGTTCAGAGTTGACATTGAACATATCATAGAGGCGATATATTTCTCTTCCCAACTATTAATAAAAATATACCCATTAAAATTGTTAATCAAAATGTTTTTAAAATGTTAATTAAAGATACAATACCATTTCTCTCTTTTCTCTATATTCCAAAACTTGTTGATTCCAATGAGGATAGTCATTCGGTACAATGAAAGCCAATAGTCTGTTTAGCTTAGTGTATTGGGTGAATAATGATTTGAAGTTATAATTTGACAAAACCCAGTTGAAATATAAGATGATTGGAAGTGTACATGGAATAGAAGCATGTCCCATTACTTGAGTCACATAATCAAGCTTGGTAACATCGACTGTATTACTATCGAAACAAAGATTACAAAACTCAAAGTAACTTTTGAATATTTGTTGAGACATTGGTTGATTGAGGATCACCTTATTTACAAACTTGGACTCCTCCTCTGCAATTTCTTTAATCTTTACATGAGAAAATTTGTTTGTATTTTGCTGTATATAATTGAAAATTAATACATTTATTCTATTTAATAAATCAATATCAAATACTTACAGGTTTGGTAAAGCTGTAGGATGGCACCATTAGATAGAAATAAGACAATTTAGAGGCAGAAGAAAATCCTATCTGGGAAAGAGAATAGCTTTGCAACATCCCTAGAGTGGGATAATCTTGACTGCTCTCCACCAGTAGAATTATAATATCATTCTCTTTTATGACAATTTTCTTCTCTATGAATGCAATGAACATTGGACCATAGTACGGATGCTTGATAAATCTCATGTACTTTTCAATGGTATTATCCTTGATATCGGCAAAGACTTGGGAATAGATATCATTACCCAGTTTGGTGAGCTGGTCAGTATTGTATTTGGTGGTAATCTTCTCGAATTCATCTGGGAATTTAACTAACAGGGTGAATAGAACGAGTGAATCCAAATGTGGATTGAGTAATGGACTGATCTCTCTTAGACATAATAACTTGGTCAAACAATAACCCTTTAGATCTATGTATATAGATTAGTTTAAACTTCAATTCATTTGATTTGATAGACTTACTATCTTTGATAAAATTGTACCAGGCATCACCAAATTTGGATGATCTTTTCACTTTCAACATTGAAAGCAATATATCAAATCTCTCTTTGAAATCCTCTACCTAATTTTTTGATTTTCAAATAAACATTGTTGTTTTAGTAGAAGATAAATATTATTTGAATCATCTGAATGAGTAATCTTTAATATTAAATAACTTACATCGTTTACTGAAAACAATTTATATTGAATAGAGTAGAGGTTTAAGAATGCAGTGTTGTCTCTGAGTCTCGAGTATGGAAGATGAAGCTTCGATTTACAGTCTGGATATCGATCCAGATGAACCATCAGCATTTGGAAAATCTCTTTGAATCTATGATTGTCAGCACCGTTTAGATCGTGAATATTAAAGAATTCACAAGTCAAATAGACAATAATACTCTTCATTGATTCATCCGATACTCTATGGTCTAACTCCTGACACAAAAACTGGTAATAGATATCCTTTAGCTTTTCATTTCTAATGTTGGGTTCAGATGAACCTCTACTCTTTAAGATAGATTGGAATAGATCTGATTTCTCTGGAACATCTTTTATCAATCTAGATAATAGTAATACAGAAAGATGTAAGTGAAAAGAAAGCTAACTGGTTTAAAATAAATGGAGAATGGACATACGTTGTGTATTTCATTAGGAGATAGAATTGCAAATGCCACACCTTCTGGGATGAGTCTGTCAATTGTTTGAGGATAACAGTATCGACCCCTTCACTCTTTGGAAGCTCTGAGCTAAGGATTCTTTCTTCCCAATGAATTACCTCTTTGTTGTTCACTGAAACAGCATTCAGATACTCATTGATAATCTTGACCAAAGATGTCGACTCTTTGTTGCTTGTAATACCAACAAAGTTACCAATAGTTGATGCCGCTGAGGAAACCTTGGAAGCAAATTTGGATAAGAGAGATTTACTTGATGCTTTCTCGCCGTCCTTTCCCTTCTCTTTCATTATTTTGTGACACTTGTATTTATTGTTTTCGAGTATAGTGCACATGCTTTTTATATCTTCCTGTCGGCCTGTTCTCGAGATCAGAGTCACCTCTCCATGTTGAAACTTTGTGAAATCCAAATCAGAGAATCTCTCCATTGGTTTTCCCCTCTCCAAGAGAAAAGGCAGAACTTTTTTTTTGCTCTCAAAACTTAGATATGAGTACTTGTCAAGGTTTTCATAACTGGGAATTGGCCAAGTTATCAATTAATTAATCAATGATAATAGTATGATTTATATTAATAAAGTCATATTCATACCTTATTTCAAGATCATTTAGATCGAATTGAATAGCTCTGTGGTGGTCAGTGAGCAGAATATGTTTCTGTTGAAAGTCAAAGTGAACATTGATACACACGGAATCACTGACCTTTGGGTATTCCAATTCACCAAAGAACAAGCTTTCTATAACGTAATCATTTGGAAGTGTTTTTCCCATGATTACATATACTTATAATAACTAAAAATATAATATAATATCAAAACTACGTATTACAATATAATAACAAACAATAAAATAAATGAAAATATTAGATTTTTTTTTTGATTGACCAAAAATATAATTATTTTTACAAAAAAATAAAAAATTGGGTGAAATTAAAACTCAAAGTCGAAACTTAAAACTTCACTTAAGAGTTTAAACTCATTGTTTAAAGTATTATTTATCCGCTTTATTCTTCATTTATTAGACAGATGTTTCTTTTAACTATATTAATTAACTATTATTGGTCAAAGTAACTTGATATCGAAATTTATTATTATTTTTTTAGAATTTCTACAATTTATTAATTAGTAAAATCTTTAAAAAAATATGTTTAGATAAAATAATTATTTTTGTTAGATATTATAATTTCATATGCATGTTTGATTTTTTATCAATTTTTTATCCTATTTTTGGTTGTGAAAAAACTTTTTGCAAAACGGTAATACCGATTTAAAAACAAAACATAGAATTGATTTTTTGATCAAATGAGGGATTTGTGGTAGGGTGTCTCCACAAATAGCATAAACTAAATATAGTGTGTATTCTAATTTTAGTGAAATTTAAACCTAAATGATTTTCTTGATCATTTGCGGAACCGACTTTGATCAAAAAAAGATTTTCTTCATTTTTCATTTTTTTTCATTTTTCATTTTATGTTATTTTTTTGTTGATGTTGGCAAGGATCAAAAAAATCAATAAAATCCTTTTGTTGATGTGGTGTTTTGTGATTTTACTGGGGGTACTGAAAAATTCCCCTATTTTGGTTTTATTTTTTCTGACTTTGGGCGCACTGATCAAAAAAATATCAAAAAACAAAAAACAAATGTAATTATGAGGTTATGGACCTATGAGATAAGCAAAAAAATAAAAAAATAATAAATTGAACGAAAAAAATTAATAAAATCAAAAAATAATATGTTTGGTTGTCTTTTGAACAACCATATTAAATACGAAATAAGCCCAACAACAGCAAATTATTTAACAAAATAACATTAATAATAATAATTAATAAATTAACAACAAGTAGAATTACATCAACAATAACAATAAAACGATTATCAAGTGTTGTTTTCTTTTAAATTTAAACTAAAAATAACAACAATTTAACCGTGTGTTTGTTTGTTATCTTTGCAAATTAGAATTTTTAAATCAATCAAATCAAACTAAACCATCACCAAAAAAAATAATAATTTCTATAAATAATTTGTAAGTAAAATGTGGGCATTTGCTCATAACCACAAAACACAAACTTCATCATTCATTTAAATTGAAACGTCGTTCAACCAATCATTGGAGTTGTATTTGTTAGAAAAAAAATACATTGATCTTCAGATACATATTTATTTATATATTTATTTATTACTTGAAAATTGTAAAAGTGTAATTATAGGTGTAAATATCCCTCCCCCATTACCACCTTCAACCTAACCCACCCCCTACAATCATCATTTTTAAAGTTTGATCTACATACATTCAATCAACCAAAATTTTTGACAATTGTTAAAACAAACATACACTCACCACCCACTCATTGCTAATCAATCGAATCACTACAGTCGAACGGAAACACAACACTTTCAAAAAAAAAAAAAAAAGACAAGTAAGCATAATAACAAAAAAATTAATTTTTGTTTCAATCCATAGATTCAAAGAACAAAAAACAACAGATCTTCCCTTTTTTTCTTTTATTTTCTTCTCCTTAAAACAATAGCAACCCATTTGTTGATCATAAAACACTTGTGAAGTTAAGATATAAAAATATGGTTGTTTTTTAAACCTCACGATATTTCAAAAGTCCCGCGAAACCAACAACATTATTCAATCTTTCACAACACATGTGTGGTTTATAACAGATCGAAGTAAAAAATATAAAATTAGACATATCAGTTTTTTGCTTGAATTGGTCATGTTGTTAGATCACCCATTAAATCAAAACAAAAAGAGAGACTTTTTTTCATTTTTTTAATAACCCAAGTCAAATGCTTGTTGTTGTGGTTGTTTGTTTATTTTGTGTGTTGGTTTAGTTTTTAGATTTGCTAGTCAATCATTGTTATTGCTATAATAACCAAATTCAACCTTTTTTATTATTGTCATTCTGCGTACCCACATAATGATATGTATCACCAAGTACAATCTCCTGTGTCATGACACAGTCCACCATCAACTTACCACCACACCATAGTATAAAGAAGCAGAATTCAGTAAATGTAGTTAGATGTAGTAGATGTAGAGAGTAAAAACAAACCACCACCAATAATAATAATAATGTATTTTTATTTGTTATTTTTTATTTTTATTTTATTTTTTTATAACAAAAGCCATCACCACCCAAGTCATCAAGAATTTAATACAACAACAAAAGTAAAACAACTACAATTCAATCATCATTTTGTAAATAATAATATATGTTTACTTTTTCAATATATACGCACAATAAATAATTAAAAATAAATATTCATAAAATATAAAGACTGTTGATCATTTTTTTACAATTTTTTCAACCAACACCCTTCCACCTTTCCAACTAATACTTGGTATTTCAACAATATATATATCCACTTCACAACACAACACAATATATAATTTATAAATAAATAAAAAAATAATAATAACCAAGCTAATAAACTTTATTTTTTTTTTTAAAACAAATGAAGATAATGAAAATTTCAATATCAAAAATTTTTAGAACTAGTTCTTCCGATAAAATTTCGAAAAGAAGATCAAGTTCTTCATCTTTGACATCGTCGGATGAAGATTCTCCTTTGTACATTTTTGATCCAAATTCCACCAATATAAGTCACCTACCATATGACATTGTCCAAAAGATTCTCAGTTATGTTCACGACAATGTGATCCTCACACATACTTTTATCAATGTCTCTCTGGTCTGTAAAAACTGGCGTACTCTCTGTAGAATCAGCGGTCACGTGTTGAATGTCAACAACTTTTTTCAACGTACTCTACAGCTGAAAATGAAGTCCGATGTCACCGAGAAGTGTTTGACCTACATTACCAATGTCTATCAATCGTTGGACACCATCGTTCTCTCCGGGCAAGCACTCACCAACCCAAAACCCACACTGTTCCTCTTGGACCGTGTAGAACGTCTCTCAAACATCCATTTGGATCTCATCAAATGCGACAACAAAGTGCTAGGCCAACTGTGCTCCTACCTCAAAGTAAAGAAATCACTACGAACATTCTCCGCGGTCAACGCTCACACCGACCATTTCTTCTCCGTTTGCGACCTCCTCGAACACTGCCAAGGAATCCGCTCGTTGACTCTCTCCAATATTTTCTTTAGTTCACCGGACGACGCCAAAACTCTGAACAACTATCTCAGAGACAACAACACCCTCACCGAACTCAATTTAAATCTCTCTGGTTGCAGCAGTCTCGATTCCGTCAAGAACTTAATGGAGTCCAACACCAAGTTAAAATCTCTAAACATCCGAAATATGAGCAACACCACATCCGATTTCAGTTTTGTATATAACAACCAAACACTTAAGCAACTCTCTCTCTCCAACTGTCATCTAAACAACACCGACTTTAAACAACTCACCGATATTCTCGCCACCAACAGCTCCATAGAAACACTGGATCTCTCGTATAACAAGGTCAGCAGTGAATTCATTAATCATCTGATAAACGCACTCATAAACAACAAGAATCAAGCCATTACACATTTGAATCTCTCTGGTTTAAAACTTGACGACAGTTCTATGACTCTGCTCGGTACTTTTGTAGGTCAATCCGGCTCGAAACTGGCGCGTCTAGAAATATCGGATTGTCCCAACACTTTCAACGCAGTGCCTTTCCTAGAGTTTGGAAAAGGCATAGAACTCAACAAAACACTATCATCACTCATCCTCAACCGCAACAAAGTATCACACACTGATTCCTACCAAGAATTAATTACACTCTTTGAATCAAAAGAATTTCACAACCTCGAGACTCAAGGTACATTCACTTTTCACACTTTTTCATCGCCACAACCATCACCACGCTCACCAAGATCACCCTTACCCAACAGAAAAGATTCCGGAAATCAAAAAAGTTTAAATTGTCTCAGCAATTGTAATTCAATAATAGAGATTTCCAATTGTGATAATAGATTAATTGTTTAAAAATTTGTAATAAAAATAATGCATTTTAAAAAAATATAAGTCTAATAATATTTAATTTAAAAATATTTAAAAAATAAAATCATATAGTCAACAATCAATTGTAGCTATAAATAATAATAATAATATTTGAAGAAAATAAATAACTTTGAATTGATTTGTTTGAATAAATAGAAAGAAGAATCCAAACATTAATTATATAAACAATTGATTTTCTTTTTAATATATTTTGGTTTGCCATCTCCAAAAAGAGCATAAAAAATAAAATTGGCAACAAGCAGAGAAAATTGGCTTGTTGCCAATAGGAACTGTATGCACACTTTGAATAATTTAATTTTTTAAATTTGTTTTGAATAAGTAAACTAATTTGCTATTTATTATTATGTTTATCGCAAAAATTAAAATTATTATAATATATTTGTAATTTAACTATTTAAGTTTCTCGATATCTTCTCTTAACTTTGAAATTGTTGCGGAATAAATTTGAATCTTGTTGAGTGAACTATTGATTTTCTCGTTCTCTGCGTGTACGTAGGAACTGAATGGACTGATTCCATCCTTCATCTTTTGAATGCCAATTTCCAACTCTGATTCGAAATGATGCTTCAATAAATTGGAAAGATTGAAACGTAAATCGTGTACCTTGGCATGAACAGTCTTTTTCAATGCCGACTTCTTAAGAGGAACCAAAGCCAATCCACTAATTGCTAAAATACCAACACCAACAATACCAGACAAATCTAAAAGTGAAGCTGTCAAAATTGTACCCAAACCAACTGCTCCCAATTCAACTGCTGCCGTTTTAAATACAGTATTTCTAATCTATAAATTATACATATTAGTTTATATTTATAAATACAAAATAAACATATTATTATTATTAGCAACTTACTTCTTGTGAAATCTTTGTTGATTCTTTATCTTTATCGTATTTGGAGAGTGCATCTGAGGTTCCTTCACCAATCGATTTCAAAAGGGTCATTCTGGTGTTGAGGAAGTCACCGGATCGGTTTACATTGCCAATGAATTTCTCGAGTCGCGAGCTGGAACGGGTGTCAATATACTCCATGATGGCGCGCCACTGTTTGGAGTTCTTCTCGACGATCCAATCGATCAGTGCAGAGATATTGGTTTCGATTTCATGGGATGTGCTGCTGACCACCTCCTTTTCGAATTTCAACTTTAACTCCTCCGAACGCAACAAACCGAGAATGTTGCTGAGCTTGATATTGTCGTCCAAGAATACGTCGGCTCTCGTCTCCATCTTCAGTAGGATATTATCGATACGCTGCAAGTGGAATTCCAAATCCTTTTGAAGCTCTTTTCTAAAGGCATCGAGTTGTTCCTCGACGTATTTCAGGGTGCGTTGGTCGACCGACAAAACTTTGGAGCGCTCGGCCAACTCTGCCTGGAACTGCTGGAGAATGTTCTCGGCGACACCGAGTGGGTTGAGCAACTTCAACTTGGTGCGTTGCGAACTGTCCAACGTGTGGAGAATATATTTTTCGAGTTCGGCGAATTTACTGGATTTCCAGATTTCGCTGTTGGCAAGCTGGTCGCCAGTCTTGGCAGAGGTGAGCTTGGCTTTTAGCGCCAGCTTCGAACTGACTGGAAACAGCACTGGACTGACACCGAGCAGCGTATTGAAATTGTCCTGAACAAACTTGGTTACCTCGGCGAGGTCGGCAGCTGCGTCGGACATGGGATTGTGCTCAATGAGATCGGCTTTCGAGAGGATGACAACGATCTTTTTGCGCCAGGCGCGAATGTTGCTGAGGAAGACACGCTCGCTCTCTGAGAAGGCGCGATCCACCGAAGTAACAAACAACACCATATCGGAGCGCGGAATGAAATGCTCGGTGATCTGCTGGTGACCTTTCACCACTGCGTTGGTTCCGGGAGTGTCGACCAGCGAGATGTCACGCAGCCAGTTGACCGGTAACTTTACGATTTCCTGTTCGTCGTTTCTGCCTGGCTGGTGCTCTAGTTTGTCGCCGTACCTTAGAATGTTGATCTTCGAGGTGGTTGGAGTGATACCCTCCTTGAGATAGGTGTTTCCAAGCAGTGCATTCAAGAATGAACTCTTTCCACTGTTGAACTCACCGACCACCACCAACAAAAACAAACCATCTTTCAACTGCTCGATGGCGTCTCTGATTTGTTGTCTCGACTCTTCGGGTGCACTAAAATCCTGCAAATCATTCTGAAGTTGTTCTAACAACAATGAATTCCTATCGAATAATGCTTGTTGTTCTGATGTAACTACTTTTCTTAAAATTTGATCCTAGTAGTTTAAAAAAAAAAAAAAGTTAATATTATTTTTTTGATCATCATATGATGATTTTCTTTTGTGTAATGATAACATACGGGTGGGTTTGAAGTAGAATAGTATTTATTGTTATTATTATTATTATTATTATTGATACATGAATTTTGTTTATTAAATAATGATGACAAAGTTGAAATTGTAGTTGATTTCGAATTTAATAATGAATATTGATTATTGTTAGAGTTTATATATGTTGTAAATGATTGTTGTTGTTGTTGATGTTTATGTTGTTGATTGTTGAATAATGAAGATGAAGAGTACAATGATGATGTTGTTGTTACAGAAGTTGTTGTATTTCTAATATTATTATACAATGTTTTTTTTACTAAATTAATATTTGATTTCGATTTTATTGAAGATAACATTTTCTGAATTTTATTAATTATCTTCTCTTGATCAGATGATGATTAATAAACTATGAAAAAAAATGAATAAATAATTAATTAAAAAATATTCAAAAAAAAATTGTAGTTTTAAAATCTTGCAACTGTGATGATCATCAGAGTTTGTGAACACACAAAAAACTTTCGCCCAAAATTCTTATTTTTCATTTAGACCCCATTTATTTTTATTTTTTTTTAATTAATTCTCTTTTTTTATTGTTTAAAACAAATGATTAGCTTATTGATCACAACCACTTTTTAAATTAAATTAAATTCAATCACTTATCTTTTTTATTTCTTTGTCACAACATAATTAATACCTAATCAACATGTCAATTTCATTAAAATTAACTATTGCAATTCTTTTCGTTTTCATTGGTTTGGTTTTTGCTGAAGGTTTGTATCTAGATTTAGTTACATTATGATCATAGCTTAGATCTAACAATATACTATTTCAAAATATATACAACTATATATTTATATGTACAGGATCATCATCAAGTAACAACCTCATTGCCAACAGTTTAATGGTTGCTACCTTTGCTGGTATCTGTGGATCATTCATCAAGACATTGGCTCCAAGATTCATTTTCAGTCTTTTGCCATACCACTCTGTTTCATGTTAATACAACATGAAAGAAAATCAACATAAATGTACAATCAATTCAAATTTATTCACAAAAAATAAAATAATTAAATGATATCATTTATTTATTTTATTATTTGTTAAAAAAAATATTAATTATAAACTTGTTGTTTTTTGTTTTTTTTTCTCTATTTATTATTATTATTCAGTGTATGACGAAACATTGTCATCCATTTCAACAGGAACTACGAATTTTGGTAATTTCTTCTTTTTAACTCTCTTTTCTTGATAGCAATTACAACAGGCATTAAAGAAACTGATAATGTAGAAACCAATCAAAAAGAAGATATCCATACCTTGACCGGCTCTCAATAGATGATATAAATTGGAATTTGATTTATACTTTTAAATAAATTAATAAGAGATTAGATAATATTGTTAATTAAAATTTAAAATTAAAAAGACAAACTTACACATTTTGAAAATTCAGTTCCTCTTCTAAGATATTCACATATAATAAATAGGATAACAGATAGACATGTGTAGAGAACGAATGAACTCAATCCACAATCTTGAGCCAAGAAGACTACTGATTTTGGCTTTCTATTCTTCAGAGTTTTGTGAAAGTATAATCCATAGAGAATATTGATTGCAAATACATAAATATAGATAATAACGAATCCACCGATATAACTACAATCGCTAGACCATCTCGATGCTGTCAATATGATCAAGAAAACGAAAATTGGAATATTTACAATCATTGAGAATATGACAATCCATGGGAATGGTCTTAAAAATTAAAATTTTAAAATAATATATTAATTAATAAACATATGAAAAATAAATTTTTATTTTATATTTAACAATATTACATACTGATTTCTCTTTATAAATCTTCTTAATCTATTTTTTTTATATTTCTCTTTTATTGTACCAACGGTATTGTGTATCATCTTACCAGTTGGACTATCTTTAAAACTATTCATAGCCATTTTAATATAAATTGATTGATTCTAAATATCTAAGAAATAAAAATAAATAAATAAAAATATTTTACTGTGGAAAAATAAAAATAAAAAAATGATTGTAATAGATAGATAAGCTATGATTATTAATAATCAAATACTTTTTATTTAATTTAATTAAAAAATATTATTTATTTTTTTTTAAGGAAATATATTAAATAATTCAATTAGATCTTTTATATAAAAAAAGTGTGCATATTGATAAAAATAGTAAAACTATAACCCATGATTATTCGTCAGTGTGGTTGATTGCCAATCATTTTCCACACATTTTTGTTTTTATACGTATATATAAATAATATTAAAAAAATAAATATTTATAAATGTAAAAATAAAAATATTAATTATATTAATTTAATTTATAATTTTTTGCTTATCATTGTGTGTTAAAACAAAGTTAATTTGTTAGCAACATGAAAGTAAACAGTGATATGATATCAGATAACACAACAACATCGACTACAACAACATCTGATATAACAATTGAATAGAATTAATAATTAAAAACAGATAAACTTTTAGAGATATGTCAAAATAGCAGTTTTAAAATCATTTAGAACTTTCGTTGTCAAAATGATGTCTTCAACGTAAGGGTAATCATAGTATGATTACAAGTACCGATATTAAGAATGGCTAAAATAATAAAAAAAAAGAAATATAAATAAAACTCACCAAACTAAAATTATAAAATGTTATCTTTGATTTTTTTTTTTTCATTCTATTTCAAATAATGGACCTTAATATATATTCATATGTTAGCAACATGACAGTAAACATTGATATGATATCAGATGAAGATGACACTCCGTTAACTACTACAACTACAATTGAATCAAGTCAATCAGAATTAAAAAAGTTAACAAAAGATAAACTTTTAAAGATATGTAAAAAGGATAAAATACGAGCTTCAAAATCATTTAGAAAAGATGAATTGATTCAATCGATATTGGACTTTCATTGTAAACCTGACTTGATTATTCCTAGTCAAGAAGATGTGGTAGACACAACACCAAAGAGTAATCATAGTATGAATGAATTTAATAGTGATTCCGCTGAGTACTCTCTTCCTACTACAACGATCATAAAGATATTAAGAAGGTGTTGGATATTGCGTTTACAAAGTGAAGATATTAAGAATCGCTACAGAGAAGCATTACAGCTGACTAGTATCAACAAACAGTTTCATGCGATCGTTGGTAGTTGGTTCACACATATCAGGAATATCGATAAAAAAGGATTGGAGAGAGCTATTACCAATCCTATGAATCCAATAAAGAAAATAGATTCTATTGTTTTCTCTGGAGGCAGAATTAATCGATTCATAACCAGACCATGGTTTCCACTACAATCGCAAATTTGTGGATCAATTAAGAAACTTGAATCCTCTGATGATCTGTATAGAGCATCTCCATTCAAAAAGGCTATCCAAATCACATTGGGACTATTCAAGAATCTCAGATCGATCGATTTCCTTCACGATCTGAGTGTAAATGACATGCTCTACCTGGCTACCATGTCGACATTGTGTTTATTCTCTAGTTGACCAGGTACGATAGAGGAAGAGATCGGAGTCTTGGATGCGGCCAGAGTCGCTTGGAATATATCGGATGGTAGTGAGTCTGGGCATGTGACGGGAGGGACGATATCAGGAAACAAAGTAGAGGTTGATGGGATTGAATCATTATCATTATTGCTTTCGAGATCGTTCATTGTAAGATCATTTGTTGTGGTTGTTGTTGTTGTTGATGTTGGATCTGTAGATGCCGTTGATCCAGTGGTTGTTGTGGTTGTGGTGGTGTTGGGTGTTTCTGTTAATTGTTCATTTGGATCTGCCATCTCTCATGTGGTTTGTAATTAATAATAATAAAGAGTTATTTCTAATAATGTTTTATATAATCTAATTTCCAAGTTTTATTTTATTTATTTAATTTCTTTAATTTTATATCTTGAATATTGAATCCATTGAATTAATCTTTAACGTCGCGTTAAACTCAATATATTCATTATTGAGAAGCTTGACGGCTGAGTGTTGAATACTTAATTTAGAAACAACAGATTCTAATTTAATTATTATTTTGATCTGTTGTTTTGAACTATTACTTATTTAGTTGATTAATTAATTTAATTAATTATAATTGACTGTTTCTTATATGTTGGCTGGTAATTATTATTGATGTTGATTGATAGGTACCGGCATTGCCTTGGCGGCTACCTTATTGTCCTTAGACGGACAACACATTGGTTAATATCAAAATAAGCCAAATTCATTATGAACGCAGTACACTAAAATCTTTCTATCGTGCAATCGATTATCCATTCAGAAAGATCATCTTTGGTCGCATGGATCCCTTCGATCTCTACAGTTCATTGCGTCCAGAATTTCATAGTTCTCTTAAAACGATCGGTGTGATCTCTCGAGAAAAAAGCAAAGTTTTGGATTTGAATCTCGCTCCAATCACCAATGGCATTGCCAGTCTCCGAAAGCTACAAACTGTAAATACATTTTACTTTCGTCATCCGGAGCTTCTCTTTGAGATATTCGATGTGGAGCACCTGGCAATCACTCATCTCAAGTTATCTTTTATACCCAAGTGGATTCCAATTATATTAAAGCTGCGATGTCTTGAAACTCTAGAAGATGAAACAGAACACGCTATAACATGTGAAACATCATCAGATGATGAAGAGGATGACGACGAAGAGTACTTATTGGAAGATGAATCATCATTTGGTATCATGAGAGTGAGTCCGAGTGCAAAAGTATTACCAGTGAGTGACTATCAACAAATAATTGGCTTACCAACGCTTTGCAAGTTCATTCTTAAATTCGATTCGAATCTCGAAAAACCGATGATCAATGAAATCAACCAATCACTCACACCATTCAAATTTTCATATATAACTGCTAAAAACTATGGAAAGGAGCGATATCATTTTAAAAAATATATTAAATAATGAATAATAATAGGTTAGGTTAATATATTCAAATAATATATTGATCCAACAACCTAAAATAATAATAAAATAGATTATTAACTCAAAACAACACTGTGCCTATCTTTACCTGTATTCTTTGTCATATCAAAAGTCATGGGGAATAAAAATTTCATAAATATTTTTTTACATATTCCATAAGGATAGATTCTTGACCTATTTTTATGCATTGTTTTGATATTCAGCTGAATCAAATAAAGTAAATCAAAGATATTTAACTTTAATATATATATATTTGATACAACATGATAAACAATGATAATACTACGACAACACCAACAACAACAACAACAACAACAACATCTGATACAATTGAATCAAGTCAATCAGAATTAAAAAAGTTAACAAAAGATAAACTTTTAAAGATATGCAAAAAGAATAAAATAGCAGCTTCAAAATCATTTAGAAAAGATGAATTGATTCAATCGATACTTGACTTTCATTGTCAAAATGATGAGGTAAACATTACACCTAAAAGTAATCATAGTATGAATGAATTTCATCGTGGTTTTGTCGAGTATTCTCTTCCTACTACAACGATCATAGAGATATTAAGAGTGTGTTGGAGATTATGTTTACTCAACACCGATATTATGAGACGATATAGAGAAGCATTACAGCTGACTTGTATCAACAAACAGTTTCATGCGATAGTTAGTCGATGGTTCACACGTATCAAGAATATCGATAAAAAAGGGTTGGAAAGAGCTATTACCAATCCAATGAATCCAATAACCAATATTGATTCTATTGTTTTCTTTGATGGCGAACTCATTCCATTCACAAACAAGCGAATATCACAACTACAATCAAGAATTTGTGAATCCATTCAGAAACTTGTATCCTCTAATCCTCAGATGAATCAATTACCCTTCAAACCGACACTCCAAGCCACATTGAAATTATTCAAGAATCTAAGATCGATCGATCTCCAATATCATCATCTGAGTGGAGATGACTTGCTTCAACTGGCGACCGTACCGACATTGATCAATATCAAAGCCAACGAAATTCGACTTACTCGTGAGAATCTAAGATCTTTCTATAGCGCAATCAATCATCCATTCAGAAAGATCATCTTTGATCATTTGTTTCCATTTGATCTCTACAGTTCGATGCGTCCAGAATTTCATTGTTCTCTCAAAACAATCGGTAGAGTCGCCAATGAATATAAACCAGATTTGCTATTGAATTCCACTCCAATCACCAATAGCATTGCCAGTCTTCGAAAGATACAGACTACCGCTTTCTTTCGTCATCCCGAACACATTTTTAAGGTACTCGATGTGGAACACCTGGCAATCACGCATCTCACAATAACATCAGTAACCATCTGGATTCCTATCATATTAAAGCTGCGATGTCTTGAAGCTCTAGAAGATACAATTACACACAAAAGAATCAATCGAAACACAACACCAGATGAAGAACAACCTCAGGTCTCAATGAGAGATGGATTACCAATTAGTAGCTACCAACAAATCATTAAATCACCAACGCTTGACACGCTAATTCTTTATTTCAATTCGAATAGCGAACAGTCAATGATCGATGAAATCAACCAATCACTCACACCATTCATATTTTCACATAAAATATTAGTTGCCAACACAAAAACTGATTCAAACTATGAAAAGCATCGTTATCATTTTAAAAAATGTATTAAATAATAATAATATTTTTATTCAAGTTTCAAATAAAACTGCTCTGTTCTGAACACCTTGGTCATCATTATGCAAAATAATGAATAGTGACAATTTATTTATTTACTTAAATTTATCTTTATCTACTCTGAAAATCATCAGAGCTTCGTTAAAGTATGCTATACTTTCATCAATACTTTTCAAAAAATTAACTACTTTTAAGATTTTTTTTTTTTTCAAATCGATTTTATTTTTATTCGAATGCAGTCTTGTTCAGCCTGCATTAACTTTAATAAAAATATATATATATATGTGTTATTAAATGAAAGTAAAAAGTGATATGATATCAGACAATACTTCAACATCAACTACAACCACAACAACAATAGCAATAACAACAACTTCACAAATTACAATTGAATCAAGTCAATCAGAATTAAAAAAGTTAACAAAAGATAAACTTTTAAAGATATGCAAAAAGAATAAAATAGAAGCTTCAAAATCATTTAGAAAAGATGAATTGATTCAATCGATACTTGACTTTCATTGTCAAAACGATGCTTTGAACACAACACCTAAAAGTAATCATAGTATGAATGAATTTCATCGTGGTTTTGTCGAGTATTCTCTTCCTACTACAACGATCATAGAGATATTAAGAATATGTTGGAAATTACGTTTACAAAGTACCGATATTATGACTCGATATAGAGAAGCATTACAATTAACTTGTATCAACAAACAGTTTCATGCGATCGTTGGTAGTTGGCTCACACGTATCAAGAATATCGATAAACAATCATTGGAGAGAGCTATTACCAATCCAATGAATCCAATAACCAATATTGATTCTATTGTTTTCTTTGATTGCGAACTCATTCCATTCACAAACAAACGAATATCACCACTACAATCAAGAATTTGTGAATCCATTCAGAAACTTGTATCCTCTAATCCGCAGATGAATAAAACACCCTTCAATAAAACATTCCAAATCACATTGAAATTATTCAAGAATCTAAGATCGATCGATCTCCAATATCATCATCTGAGTGGAGATGACTTGCTTCAACTGGCAACCGTACCGACATTGATCAATATCAAAGCCAGCAATATTCCACTTTCTAGAGAGAATCAAATATCTTTCTATCGTGTAATAGATCATCCATTCAGAAAGATCATCTTTGATAGTATTCATCCATTTGATCTCTACAGTTCGATGCGTCCAGAATTTCATTGTTCTCTCAAAACAATAGGTCGAGTCGCCAATGAATTTGACCAAGTTTGGTTTTCGCGCAACACTCCAATCACCACTAGCATTGCCAGTCTTCGAAAGATACAAACTGATTTTTTCTTTCGTCAACCGGAACTTCTCATTAAGATATTCGATGTGGAACACTTGGCAATCACGCATCTCACGTTATCTTTGGTAAGCAGCTGGATTCCTATTATCTTAAAGCTGCGATGTCTTGAAACTCTAGAAGATATAAACAAACACAAAGCATTCTGTCAAACCGCAACACCAGACGAAGAACAACCTCAAGTCTCAAAAAGAGGATTCCATATCAGTGGTTATAAGACAATCATTTGCTTACCAACACTAGAAAAGTTAATTTTTTATTTCAATTCAAACAGCGAACAATACATGATCTATGAAATCAATCGAACATTCACACCATTCACATTTTCACATAAAACATTAGTTGCCAACACAAAAACTGATCCAAACTATGAAAACCATAGATTTCATTTTAAAAAGAATATAAAAATAACAATTAATAACAATTCTTAAAGTTAAATATTTTTTTAAATAAAATAACTAGATATTACAACTTTTTTTAGGAATAAATTAACAATCGTCTTGTTTATTTTTGGTTTTTGTTTTGGTTAATAAATAATAAATATTATTGATTTTGTTGGATGGATGGTTGGTTATTTGTTGTTTGGTATTTTTTTTTTACATTAATATAAAGAATGCAGATAATAAAACTTGTGATGATAACAATAATGTCGAAGGTTTAATTCTCATTCGTCCGAGTGACATTGTTAAGAATTGACCGAAAGAAGCGGTTTCCTCATACGGAGCCGGTGAGTACTTTGCAGTTACGGAACAGCCTGTGAAGAGATACTGATAGATGGTATTTCCAGTGGTTAGTCTCTTGGTATTGACAACGAGCGATACCGACTGAAGATTCTGTCCGTTCGGTGGTTTTTCTATGGTACAATTACACTGTGGACAAGACAAATTGGGGATAATAACAATCGATTTATTGAACATCGTCGACATTGTATTTGGTTCGTTTATCTGGCAAGAGTAATCATAGAGAAATCCGTCTTTCGATGGAAATGAATAGTTTTGTAAATTACCATATGAACATATTGGACTTACACCATAAAACTTTTAGAGAATTTATAAATTAGTTATAAACTTGAAAAACAACGTTATGATTATTAAATTAATACATACTGGATTGGATCCATTCGAAAATAGGAAATGTGGAAAGAATAGACTACTGTCTCCGTCACCTCCTTGAACTATTTTTCCAATTGTAAAGACACCTTTTAGGTAGTTTGTTGGTTGTGGATCGACCTCACAACATGCTTTCTTGGCATAGCATACCACTAGACTTGTAAGAAAAAGAATACAAATGAAAATAGTAAACTTTATCATAATTGCTATTTTTGTAATCTATTTTATAATTATCATCTATAATAATATTAAAATGATACTGTAAATCTAAAAATCTAAAAATTCTATTCTAAATTTCCTAATATTATTTTACTCTCGAACTAGTTTGAGAAATCAACTTGCAATAAATCGTTTAAGAATATACTTAAATAAAACACTCATTCTTTAACTTTAAAGATATTAACACATAAAATGCTATAATGATTTTTTTTTTTTAAAATCATGTCTCATACCACCTTGCCTAAAATAAAATAAAGTTCTAACTACTTATAGTATCTATATTATAATTGTGTGTGTGTGTGTTGTTTATCTGTTGTCTATGTGTTTTACTGAACTATATTATTATTTGTTTTTTAGGTTAATGGTGAAGTGTGTGTTTGAAAAATGAATTGATTTGGATTCAAATCACACACTTTATTTAGTTTTTCATTGTATTCATTTTATCTCTATGTTTCCAACATTATCTATCTAGCTGTTATACTATAAAACAAATAAATAAAATAAAATAAAAAACTATTTAAAGAAATAAATATAAACTAGTCTTGATTTCTGTTATATAATATTATATTTTAATTGTTTGTATTATTTAATTTTAATTTTAATTTATAGCCATTTATTCTTTCTTTCAATCTTGTACATAACTAAACGATCCATTGCATCTTCTCTTGCTCTATAATATATAATTGTAATAGTAAATTCGTGTTAGAACAAATTATTAACATACATGGATGATAACTTTATTGTATCATAATAAAATGTTTGATTTGGTTGATCTTGATTGATTGCTAAAATTCGGTTGATATTGCTAGCATTAATATTTAGTGTTCATATGACTTACGATTCTCTAAGTGTTTCATAGTTATCTACTGTATATGTTAAAAATTGACCCCATTTAATTCTTTGTACCCAACGTTTACGCAAGAACAGTTGACGAGACTGCTTCATGTGTCTGTCGAGCTGCATTTTTTCGTTTTGATGTGATTCGTCGTATGCCACTTTGTCTTCGTAGAGATCTTCATCGAAATCGTCGTCTTGTTCTGCTTCGAGTTGATTTGGGTTATCTTCATCTTCATCTTCATCCTCTTCGACCTCCTCTTGATCGTCGACTTCGACTTCATCGTCGTTTTCATTATCATTCTCACCCATTTCTTGATCAGCCTCCTCTGGATGTACTTTAAAAACCTCTTGTAAACCACCACGCTTTGTAACAAACCATGGTTCTGGTTGAACTCTAACTAAATTTCTAATGAATGTAACTTTTTTTGACATCTTGCAATATATATCTAATTTAAACAATTATCTAAAATCTAAATCTAAATCTAAATCGATTGATTGAATATATTATTAAATATAGATATATTAATAATTGTTATGCTGATGATGGTGATGATGCTTAAACACAATTAATCAGTCATCAAAAATAATGCATGAATGACCGAATGATCAAAAAAAAAAAAAAAAGAAAAAAAAAAAAAGAAAAAAAAAAAAAAAAAAAGGTTTTTTTTGAAAAATATAAATTGATCAATAGTGACAAATATAAATATGGAATACTATATTTGTTTTTTTTATTTTATTAAAATATACAATTCTCTCATTGGTAATTTATTTATTTAAAATTTAATCAATTATTATTCAAATATCATTATTATTATTATTTTATAAAATATAATTATTATTGTTGTTGTTATTTCCTTTGTTTTGTTTTTTATACTTTATCGCTTCGATTAGTTTGATAAAGAATACGATCATAGAGAGACCGAATGTCAATCCCATCACCAAGAATGTGATCTTCCACCATGTCCAACCTTGTTTGTGGTATCTGTGGTGATCCGGTAGTACTTTTCCTGGTATCTTGATGCTATAGAGTTTGCTCTCACTGGTGAGGATGATAGCCCGTTGAGTGTTACTATCAATGTTGCCACTGGTGATGTAACCCTGTAGCGATAGTACAGAGTTCAAATCGAAATACATTTCATTGCCATCGTTTATATTGATATTGTTGTTGTTATTCATATCGATAGTCAATAAATAGATTTCATTGCCAAATGCAAACAATGCACCGTTGTCATAGTTGGATAGTGCCAAACGAGGATACACATTTCTCAGTGGAACCGAATGGTTTGCAATCGGGAAGAGTGTATCTTTGTCCAACATCATCAGTACAACTGGATCCATCTCGATATCTGGAGGAACAATTGCTGCCAATATCGCTTGATCATTGTTCACCCTGGTAATACATCTTGGAAAGAATCCAAATTCATATGATAATCTATACATATATATTTTTAACATAATTATTAATATAAACTTCCAAATTTTCAATCTTTGTTCGTTCTTTCTTTCATACCCTTGTTTAATTTCCAAAGAATAGCGATTCACAATTAAAAATGTTGGTTTATCATCATGAGATGTGCATCCAATATAAATATTTTCTTTTATAGCTGTAGCACTCTGTGTTAATTTACATATTCCATCAATTGGTAACTAATATTTTTAATAAAAAATATATTAATATTTTTACAATCAAAAATCTGGAAATATATTTACAGTTTTAATAATTTTCATGGTTGAAGCTAAAAATTGAACTATTTCCTGTGATACTATTACTGTTACAATATCACCATCCACAAACATTGAATTATCATTAAAGTTTATATTGGTATTATAAATCTATTATTTAATTTAATAGGTATTAAAAATAATTATTTAATAAAATAAAAAGATAATCTTATTTTTATTAACTTACTGTTAAAGAGTTTCTAAATTTAAAGCTATGAATACTATATTGATTTATTATAACTTTGTCATCACTGTTGAGACTCAAATAATAATATCCACCATAAACATCAAAGAAACCTGAACCATCGGTGAATGATTTCGGATCCAAATTCATTCTGCTCTCAATGTGCAAGTCATCCATTGATACTACATAGAACAATCCATCATTTCTTGATGCCACCATAGAATGATTTGAATTTCCTTTATAAACAAATGATGAAACATGATGATTATTCTTTGTCAAATAAATATCTTCACTTCCAATAAAAACCTCTTTCTCTATAATAAATTTAGTTTAATAAACAGTACTCCAAATAATTATTGTTATTAAAATTGTTTAATACTTACCAATTGTCAATGATTTTATGGTAATAATATTTATATATAGTAATAATACTATAATATAAATATTCAAATTAGTTTTTAATTTGAACATTGTTTTGTTTTTAATTGGAAAAGTTTTAATAAGTACTAATTAATAACTACTCATTAATATAAATATATATCCAATTCCAAATTTTAAAGAAAAAAGTAAATATGGACAAATAAAATAGTCTTGTTATTAATATCAATATATTTTCTTTTTATTTTTATTTATTTTCCCTCTTTTAATTATTTATTTGTTATTTTATTAATATTAAGAATTAATGAAGCTATTATTAATTTATATTATTTCTACAATATGTAATATTGTAGGTATGTATACATGAACTGAAAAAGATAATTAAAATTGTTTTAATGTTTTTTTTGTTTATTGCTTACAGGCTATAAGATAAGAGGGTAAGTTCATCAGTAGACTATAGAATGATTCTTTTTTGTCAAATAACAAAATACAACAATAACACTCTCATACACACTAAAGTCAATACAATACCACTACTTCAAAACAATCAACATACAAACAAACAAACCCTACTTTTGAAATCATACAAACAATCACTTTTTCATTCACTTTTATTTGTATAATATTAATCAAATTTAACACTAATTCAACGTAATAAAAAAACAATATTTAAAAAATAAATTAATTATTGTTTGATTATGTGTGTGTGTGAGAGTAGTGTGTCAGTGATCAAACGAAAACATTATATTTTCATATGACAATAAAGTAATGTATGTACATGGAGATCATAGGGGGTACTTGTGATTACTTTTAATTAATTACTTTTATATATTGAAGTGTACAATTTTTAGTTTTTTTTATTATTAAAGTTTGTTTATACAATTTATTATTACTGTTTATTTATGATTGATTCGATTTCGGAGGTTTAACATTTACTAAATTAATGAAGCCACGCCAATTGAGATGTCTCGGTGATTCAGTCTCCATATCATTTCCAACTAAAATATAATCAGCATCTTTTTCTTTATCTACAATAGAACCTCTTCCAATCTAGATAGATATGAAGTGGTTGGTTAGTAGTTAGTTAGATACCGTTAATGTAAATGTGTTGTTTTTTTTTGTTTTTGTTTTGATAATATAAACTTACATTTGTAATTAGTGCACGAATATTTCTTTTGGTGAGTGGTGCTTTCTCTTCGAATGGTGGTGTTATCATGATCTTTTTGTTCTCTAGTGGTCTCTCCATTGTACGATTACCATAGTATTCTTCGGAGAGGAATCTGCCTGCCTTGAAACTGTCGACTATCCACTGAGTGGAAACTACCCAGTTGTTTGTGAGTGCACCTGCGATCGACTTCATTGTTGGTGTTTCAAAACTGGCATTTACTACATGGGTTATATATCGATCGAATTCATTGGTCGATCGGACTACACCACCCAGCTTAACAGCCATCTCAGTGATTTCATCCTTTTCCTTATCACTCTTGAATCCTGTCACCATCATATTATAGCTAGTTGCGGTCTTTGCTCTCTTGTTCGCAGGATTGACTGTTTCTGTACCGTTACTGCTGCTGCTACTACTTGTAGTGGATGTTGTAGTTGAATGATTTGAAACGGTGGTGGTTGTAATAACTGTAGATTGCTGTTGTTGTTGTTCTGTTGTTGATTCCAATTCTCTTTTCTTGGCTGGCAGCTTCTTGATGATCTTGAGTGGTTGTTTTTTGATTGCCGGTAGTGGAGGTTTAGGTAAACCAACAACAGAGTTTTGTTGGTTCTCTTTGTTGGTTGTATCTGTTGCGGTTGTGGTAGTTGATTGTTTGTTCGATGTATCGGGTGTTTCGTTGTTTGCTTGTGGAGTATTAGCAGTATTGTGATTGGACGATGCTGTTGTTTGTGCTGATGGCAATTGTAAATCATTATATACATTGTTGATTGGATGATTCGATTGTAGTAGCTCGATCATATTGTTCTTTACTACTAGCAGTTTGGAGAGTTCGTCCATTTTCAGTTTGACAAACTCCAGTTCTTTCTTGGTGGTTCGCAGCTCGACGTCTTTCGGACCGCCGGTAGATCCATCCTTGAGAAGCTTCATTGACTCCAACGATTGGGCGAGTTTGTCACGCTCCTTGGTCAGCTGCTGACAGAGATTCGACAGATCTTCATGGGCAATTACAGTCTGTTCATATCGCTGTTTGATATCGTTCAACTCTTTCATATGCTCCAGTAGCTTAGTCTTATATTCAAAGGCCTGTTGATTCAAATCATCTTCGCGTTTTCTATGACTATTCGACTGTTGCGATTGCTGTGATTGTAGAATTTCAACGGTTTGTCTAACCTCTGCCAGCTCCTTCTTCAACGTATCGATCTCCACCTTATTATCCTCTAGTTGTTTCTCCTTCTTCTTGAGTGTATCGCTAGTGGATTGCAGTGAGAATTGCATTGTTTTCAGCTCCTGTGCAGTCTGGTAGCTCTGTTCCTCCAACTCTTTGTTACAGGTTTCCTGTTGGTCGATGCGATGCGATAGTTCATTGAATTCACTCTTCTTTGTCTTGTATTTCTTAGTGAGTAGATCGACTTGCTCCGTCTTCTCTTGATACATTCTCTTCATAGTCGAGAAGTCACCAGCCAGTTTGTCAAGCAGCGTAGTGTTGGCGCGGTGCTTCTCGATCTCATCGCGCAACGGAGCAATCTGAAGCTGCGCTTCTGTCTTTTGTTTCAAGAGATGGTTGATCTCTTCGTCCTGCTCGTTAATTCTCTGATTCAAGACATCCATCCTCTCAAACAACGAGTCCATATCGCTCTGCAGCTTCTTATTGGCTTCCTTGCTCTCGCTGAGTGCACTGCGCATTCCATTGAGCTGTCCAACATTGTTACTGAGCGACTTGACCTCTTCCAACTGCAGCTGTTTCTCTGTCTCCATCTGAAGTGCCTGATTCCTGAGAACGACCAACTCCTCTTGCAGCTGTGTGATCTGGTGTGTCAAACTCAGCTCTCTCAACTCCTTCAATTTCAACTTCTCCTCGGTCTTTGTCAGGATCTGAGCGATCTTCATACTCTCCTGTTTCGACTCTTCAATGGTATACTCGCTCACCGTCCGGTACTCCTCATACTTTTCGGTCAACTTGAAACTCGACTTTTTCGACTCCTCCAGTTGCGACTGGATCTGCTCGCTCTGTTGATTCTTCTCTGCCAACTGCACAGACAACTCATCGATCTGCTTATGAAGGTGTCCATTCTGCTCTTGCTGTGATATCAGGTTACAAGATGCATCGTTAATCTCTTGATACAAACAGGTAATCCTGAACTGCAACGACTCTGACTCCTTGTTTCTCATTGCCAAGTCGCTCTCTAACTCCAGAGTTTTGGCACGCATCTCCTCCACCAGATCCATCGTATTGAAACTAACGTCATTATCGCTATTCTCATTATCGCTACACTTCTTTGTCGACGCAGCCATCTCTTTCTCCATCTGTTTCTCCAACTGTTTCAAAGCATTCATCTTATCCTCATAGTAATATAACTCTCGCTCATCCTTTTCCTTTAAGAACATCTCTATTTGTTGTTCTTTCTCACTTGTAGACTGTGCCAGTTCCTCTCGTAGAAATTCAATGCATTCCTTCAACTTGTGAATCTCCACACTACTAGACACATTCGATTCAATCATACCTCGCAGCTTGCGAATCAACGAAGAATGTATAGAAACATCGGAACTAGTCTCCACCCGCAGCAATGAGATTATCTCCTTGTAGTGTGCATCGAACCCAGTAGTTCCACTCGGTTGAGTCAACTGAAACTCATCCATCGATACCGAATTATCCATTTCATCACCATAGCAACTCGTTGAACTATTATAAACTATATTACTAACATTATTACAACTCTGATTATTATTATCATCTAAAATATCTAAACTTGAATTATTACTAATGTTATTGTTATGGTTATTGTTATTACTATTATTTTGTTGTTGTTGTTGTTTTGACATATGTAATAATTGTTGATTTAATTCTGTAATTTGTTTGTTTAGATTATCATTTAGCTGATTTGTTTCAAATTCATTCTTTTCAAGGTGTTGTATTGTTAGCGCGAGTTGGTTGTTCTCCTCTTGGATACGACTGATATTGGTGGTAGAAGTCAACTCGGCATTCTCCAACTCTAGATCTTTAATACGGTCTAGCAATCTCTGTCTTTCTACATTGTCACGTTGTTTCTGTGATGACATTTGGTCATCGTCCATACCACCATGTTTATCGGCATCCAGCGATGATTCCTTCTCTTTCTTTGTAAAGTAATCTAAAGTGCTAGTAAGTTGTTCCACCACTGCATTTCTCTGCGCATCCAACTCTTTCAACTCCTTATTCTCCTTCTCAAGTTTCTCCAATCTTTCAAGTTTAATTCTAATATTATCATCTTCATAATCTTTACCATCATCATCATCATCATGGTCATTATTATTCTGAACATCAGGTTGTTGTAATTGTTTGGATTTAGTTGATAATGATGATTTGGATGACGATGATGTAGTTGTTGTGGTAGTGGTTGTTGTGGTGGTTGTAAGTTGAACTAGTTTGAACTCCAGGTTGGAGTAGATGGTCTCGGTGTCACATCCAGTGATATGAAGATTCTCGATGAGATGTTCGATCAACTCGAAGCATCTGTTCAACTTGGTATTGATGAGCAGTGTATTACTGAATGACTTTAGATTCTCTTGGAACTGTTCCAATATCACTTGGAAATTGGAATTTACCATCTTTAGACGTTCGACGTGTGTATCCAATGTATTCTCCATTGGTTCTCTTTTGAAAAGTGATAAATACGATTGTTGTTTTTGCTGTTGATTCTTATTATTGATTTCATCCATTAAAATATCCATATCTATTATATGATCATTATTAGGGTTGTTGATATTGAATTCTTGTGTTTGTGTTGGTAGTGCAATACTAGTGTTATTAGGATTATTATTATTATTATTATGATGTTGGAGTAGTTGTTCATTTAATTTAAATGAAAGAAGTTGACAGAGTTCATTCAATCTAATGGAATGAGATTGTGTTGAGTTTACAATGTATTCAAAGTCCTTCTTGAGGACTGAGTATTCATCTATTAGATTCTCTTTATTATTCTTGGCAACAAGTGGTTCAGATTCATCCAATACCGATTGATTCAAAGCCATCTTCTTATGCTCTTTGTTGTAGTCGTCATTGTCGTTGTCTTTGTCATCTTCATTGTCATTATCAATTTCATTCATTGGTTTCTGTGTACTTAGATCTATCATATCTTCATCTTCTTCATCCTCTCTATCATCTTCTTCTTCTCTATCATCTGAAACAATTTGAATTGGACTATTATCTTGTTGTTGTTGCTGTTGTTGTTTGATGTCAGTTGTTGGTAAATCAATTGACTTATCTAAACTATCACCATCATCATTTTCATCATCTGTTTTAGTGAGTGCAGCTAATTGGTGTGGATCGAAACTAGATGCATCAACGGACGACACAAATGAATTGTTATTAATGTTGTTTTTGTTGTTGCCATTACTATTTGTTAATTGTTTTGAATGTTGTTTCTCTTCTAGTAGATCTCTTGACAGATCATTTTCATTATCATCAATATACTGATTCTGACAACTACTACTAATATTATTTGTTCTACTACTACCACTGCTCCTCCTCTCACTTGCTGTCATCTCTAATCTATGAATCTTTCGATTACCATAATCAAGTAATTCATCTATATAACATGGATACTTTGTTATAAAATCAAATAATATAACTGAAAATATATATCATTAGAACATAATTATTTTACCAAGATCTTTATGTAATCTTACCATGAGATTCCTTTATTTTCAAATAATGATTCAATATCTCATTCAATATGATATTGAAAGTGACATCATCACTATTCAACTCTTTTAAATTCTGTGACATCTCGCTCTACTATTATTATTAGTACTACTAATCTATTTTTCTTTTATATTTTAATTCATCTAACTATTTTTTGTCGTTAATAATAATAATATGTATAAATAATATTATCTGGTGATTAAATTTAATAACAGTCATCTCCAATCGTTCAAATTATTCAAAATAATATGAGTTCTCCCGCCAATTTCCAAGAAGTTTTAAAAAAAAAAAATTTGGTCAATGAAAAAAAAAAAAAATCAAAAAAAGAATAAATATTTAAAAAGATAGATAAATTAATATCATCTATATGTTTTGACACCTTATTGAGTTAGATCTTATAAATAGATATATTTGATTATATATAGCTCTTTATTTTTTTTAGTAAATCTCCTTTTTTTTTATAAGTTAAAATATACATTTACACTGATTCAAAATAATAATAATAATAATAATACTTGTTTAGTTAATTAATTTATAATATGAATATGTGCACATTCTGATGATTTGATGTAAACTAAAATAAAAAATAATATTTTGAAACAAAATTGGTCATTCTTTTCAATTAAGAGATTGATTTTACGATCGATATGATTATTCATTTTTTATTTATTTTAAAAGTTAAATTGTACATTATTATTATTATTACAAAGATAAGATAGATTTGATATCTATTATTATTTTATATTATTTCAATACTCGCACATATATGTTTTTAAGGTTTTATCCAAAATTAAAACATCTAAAATCAAGTATTAGATTCCCACAAAATGGTATACTACCAATATATAAGGATATCGGGGTATCTTCTGCAAATGTTACAAATGTAGAGTAGAGTATATCTATAACATCACATTACATAAATCAACTACTTCATATATAACTAATTAAAAAAATATATTTAGATAATAAAATATCTGTCTGAAGATAAGAATTTAAAAGTTGGTCATGGCGGTACTTTAGATATGGATGCAAGAGGTCTACTTATAGTTGGTTTCGGTAATGGTTGTAAAGATTTAAATCATTTTCTAGGTGCTGATAAAACTTATAATGCAACTGCATTCTTTGGATATGTATGTGTTTTTGTTGGTTGTTAGTAGATTATATAACAACACACAAAGATGATGATATTAATTAATGTATGTATGTTATGTTTGTGTTTAACTTTAGGAAACAAATACATATGATAGCTCGGGTGTGGTGAATCATGACAACAAGAAATCGATCGATCATCTAAACTTTGAGTTGTTGGACGAGCAGACAAAGAAACCGGGGTTCATAGGTGATATTCAGCAGGTGCCACCGCGATACTCTGCCATCAAGGTGGACGGCGAGCGACTCTCTGACTGGGCGGCCAAGGGTGCCTCTGTCATCCCGAAGGCGCGCGATCTCAAAGTGTATAGTGCGCGATGCACTCTCTACAAGGCGCCGTTCGGTGAGTTTGAAATGGAGGTGTCGTCGGGCTTCTACGTGCGGTCGTACCTCACCGACATTGCCAAGTCACTGAATACCGTCAGCTATGTCACCGACATCTATCGTACACGAGTCGGTCCGTTCTCCGTTGAGAGTGCACTGCGTGTCGACGAACTGAACGAAGGTGCCATCTACAACGGTCTGATGGCGACGAAACGTCTCTACAAAGACTACTTTAAAATGAACGAACTGACAGAGATTGAAAAGCGAAATCAAGAACACAACAAACATTTGAATATGAACCGACCGAAAAACGCATTACTCTTTGATTATTCAACACCGAAACACTCTAGAACCAGACCCAGGAAATCAACACATTTTCATAGTAATAGAGAAAACTTTGATGAATAAAATATAATAATATATAAATATATATATATAAGTAATTGTAAAAAACAATAACAAAAACAAATCAAAACAATATCAATTTGTAATAATTATTTATTCATTGTATTTATTTATGTACAAAGTCCAAAAAAAATAACACAACATTTTATCTTTTATTTTCATTTTATTTTCAACTTCAACACTACTCTTAACTAAAGTGAGTTGTTTGTAGTTTTTGTTTTGTTTTGTTGTGTTGTTATATGAGATTTATTGGTGCTTCATAATTTCACGACTATCTTTATACATAAAACTTGGATGTTTAATATTTCTACATTTCTCTAATGGTAAATGCATATGATCAACATCTTCAAAGTGACTAAAAATTTAATTTAAATTATAAGAATTTATTTATTAGTTAGAAAATACATAATCTGGTTAGGAAAATTTATATATTTACTTTTCTTTATTCATAACTCTTAGATTACGAACAAACATTCCAGTTCCAATTAAAGATACAACTGTTATATTGGCCACCAAAATAAGATTTTCTGCATCTAATTTTTTAACTAAATTAAATAATCCCATTTTATTATATTATATATATATTTTATTTCTTTATATTATTATTAAGGATTATTATTGTTTTACTTCTAATTAAATACTTTATTTTAGAATGACATTTCTTTAATTAAATATTTTTTAAAATTAAAAATAAATAATGTTCATTTTTTAATTTACTTTAAAAGGAAACTTTAGATTAAAAATCAAAATCTTTTGAAAACTAAAAGAGATAAGTTTTGGTTTTTTAAAACTTTTTAAAAATTATAATTGGTCTTATACCATTTATATTCCATTTTCATATAAATCAAATGTACTGTAATGTTTTTTTTGATATATATAAATTGAGAACAATTTTATTAATTAGTCATTGATTAAATTAAAATATTTATTTGCATTTTAAAAATACTCTTCGCAGAAATGTAATAAACCAAATTAGATTCAAAATATTGATGAACAATACAATAGTTGTTGTGGATGTAAACAATAACTTTATTTTCTAAAGAATGGTTTTTACAGTTGATTCATTTTTTTCAGTTCTAACTAGAACAGCTCTCCAATATGGAATATCTTTTTCAATGTAATAGTTCTGACGAGCGGTAACCTCAATATCCCATTCATTCTTTGAGAAATCAATCGATTCAAATGAACTATTAGAAATGAAATGATTCAACATCTCATCATATAATTCATAAACATCTGACATTAAATATACCTATAAATATTTTTATAAATTGTGTAGAATTTAATTAGTTTGTTTGTTTGTTTGTTTGTTTTTTGATAATTTATAATTGAAAGTTTTTAAAAAAGATAACTTACTTTGGCACCGGGAGGTAATATCATTGCAACTTCACGTACAAAGTTGGCATTTACGATACGACGTTTGATATGCTTGCGTTTGTGCCATGGATCGGGGAAGAGCAGACTGAGTTTCTGGATGGAGTTGGTCGGTAGCGATTTGGCGACGTTGAAGAGATTGACACTGACGTTGGTCTCTACAAAGTGAAGGTTCTTGATCTGTGTGTTCAACTCAAACTCGAGTAGACTCTTTGAGCTGTTGGCCATCTCTATGCAATGATCACGAATATCGATACCGAGATAGTTGTAGTCGGGCTTCAGTATCGCCGATTTCACAAGCATGTCGCCCTTGCCACAACCGAGATCGATGTGAATCGGCAACGTCAAATCGGCGAATATCTCTTCCCATTTCGGTGGATCCAGTGTCATCTGCAAACGATAGCTGAGTGGGTTGACGTGTTGTCTGTGTTTTCTCGATTTTTTTGTGTTGTTTGTGTTGTTTGTGGTGGTGGTGTTATTGTTGTTGTTATTTAAATTAACTTTTCTGCTTTTGTTATTTGCTTCACCACTAGTGTGTTCATGTTTATCTATAAAATCATCATCTTCATCGTCGTCTATTTCTTCAAATTCAAATTTCTTCTTTAATTCATTGTGTCTTGCCAACATTGCTTCTTTTGTCGTTTGTGTTACTTTTCTAATATTAAAACTACTACTACTATCTTTATTATCATTACTGCTATTACTACTATCATTATTATCAATATTATTATTGTTATTGTTATTGCTATTGTTATTATTACCAAAATTTAAACTATTTAAAAAATCTAAATCTCTTTCTACATTATTATTTAGTATATCTTTTTGATTATTGTTATTAATGTTAATTTCTTTATTATTAAGTATATTGTTACTTTCTTTTTTATTATTATTATTATTATTGATATTGTTTAATTCTTTTTCTTTTAAATTTTTTAAGAATTCATCTACAAAACTTGCATATGATCTTTGACCGAGCATTGCAATATTACAACTATTCAATGTTTGAGAGACATGACTATTTCTACCACTGTATCTGACAACTCTACCAGTAAAACTTGTTGTAGATTTTAATAATAAATTAAACATTCTATTTTTTGATCAATCAACTTATTATTTATTTTTAACACTGAATTTGGTGCTATTTCATTCAAAGATGACATATTGTAAAGTGTTTACAGACGTTTTCAAAAATTTCGAAAAAACATTAAAAAAATAAAATAAAGTTTAAATTAACGACATTTTTGTTGATGAAAATCACAGAATTATTTTTCGTGTGAAGAAGAAATTTTAATCTCATTTTTTAATTTATGTTATCAACTTAAAAATAGAGAAGATAAATATAATATGATATGATATAATAAATATATAATTAATTAAATCATAATTAAAAAAAATAGTTATAAATCAATAAATAGTTGTTAGTTTTTATTATAAAAATAAAATACCGACAAAACAAAAATGACAAGAGGATTCCAAGCAGGAGGAACACCTAATCCTTTATTGGTTCGAAAGGAAGTCAAACATGATGGACCAAGTATCAGAGATTATATGGCAAGACCGAGATTAACATTGGAGGAATTCAAGAAAACTGTTGCCGGTGATGACAAGAAGATCTCTTTTGATAAATGGGAAGAGTTATCATCAAAAGTTTGTATTTAACCTTAATTCTAAATGTTTAGAATGAATTGAATAATAATTATTGATATTAACAATGTTTTTTTTTGTTTTAATATTAATAGGAATATAGAGATGAATTAGAAAGAAATAGAGAGAAAATAAAAAGAAAAAAAGATAAAGAAAAAAAAAGAAAAGAGAAAAAGAATAAGAAAAAATATGAGAGTAGTAGTGATAGTAGTAGTGACGATGATAGCAGTAGCAGTAGTAGTGATGACTATGAAAGAAGAAGAAAAAGAAAGAAGAGAAAATCAAAGAAATCTAAATCGAAATCTGGTGGTTCTGGTGGAACTTCAACTGGAGGTCCTGTAAGACTATCAGAGTTTATGAAGGATACATCCGATGAAGATAGTCAGACTGATTCAAGTAGTGACAGTAGTAGCGATGATGATGATGAAAGATCACATAAAAGACAAAGAAGTAGTCGTTCAAGATCGTCTAGAGACACCGATAGACGAAGAAGTAGAAGTAGAAGCAGGGATAGAGATAGGGATAGTAGAAAGAAAAATTATAAAAGTAGAAGTAGAAGTAGGAGTAGAAGCAGAAGCAGAAGCAGAAGCAGAGATAGAGATAGAAGTAAAGATAGAAGTAGTAGGGACAGATACAGAGATAGGGATAGAAAGAAAGATGGTAAAAGAAGTAGTAGTAGAAGTAGAAGTAGAAGTAGAAGCAGAGACGGTAGCAAAAATAGAAACATAAATATGGAAAAAGACAAAAAAACAAGTAGAAGTAGAAGTAGAAGTCGTTAAATAAAGGAATTTAAATCAGATTGAATTGTTCAAAGGTTTCTCTTTGCATGTAAATTGAAAAAGGAGGTACATGTATATCACCACTCATTCTCTCAAATTTGAGAAGAAGATCTTAATACAAATAAACTCAAAATAAAATAAAGCTAGTTGGTTTTAATCAATCAATTGATTCTATTCACTCGTGAGTCTATCTCTCTCTAATGAGTGTTTGGGAGATGTCTCCCTTGTTCACCATTACAGCATAAACTTCAAACAGTTTTCAGTTAATCCTGTTGCATCAATCTACTTTTTTTTTGGTTCTATCTGGTGATGAGCGTATAGATTGGTAAAAATTTTATAATCTACTCTGTTTATCTATCATGACAAAATTGTTAACAGAATCCAAACCAAATGCCCTAATATTCTAGAATTGCTTTAAAATAGAAATATGTCAAAACACTTTTCTTAAAACATTTGATTGATTATTCTTTACACATCAAGAAACTTTTTTTTTTTTTTTAAACTTTATATCCAACTATTATTTCTTATCTCTTATTTTTAGAACATATATTCTATACATATCACTTATTTCAAATTAATAGTTTGTAATAGTTTTTTTTTTTATCATCATTTTACCATAGTTATTATTTATATAATTAAAAATTAATTATTATTTATTTTATATATATTAATAATATTAATAGTTTATTATTCATCTATATATTAGTATTTTTATTTTTTTATAGTATTTTCACCAAATTGAGTCAAGTTCCAACCATGGAAACTTTGGTACTCAATTTGGTGAAACAAATGAATTCAAGAAACCTCATTATAAATGATTTTCTTGGAAGAGATCCAATCAATTTATAGAACAAATAAATAATATTACACAAAATAATAATAATGTTGATAATTTAATAAATAATAACAATATAAATTATTTCCGAAATTCAAGAGTTTACAGCTAATGACTGAGATACACAATGAAGATTCTATTCTCTTTAAAATCAGATTCAGATACAGTGAACACGATGAACAACAAAGAAGAAGAGTGTTAAACATTTTCGCCAACTACCAGCACTCTAAACTAGCTACAATAGCCAATCATGGAATCGAGTGTTACCCAATTGATCCACCATTATACAGAGAAGATACTAGTGTTGCAAACAACACCGTTTTTATGTTCATTTCCTCTCTGATGGTTGCCCTTTTAGTAATTGATTTCCAAGGATTTATAGGTGTTCTAGCCACTACTAGAGAAGAACGAATTAAAGTATAAACAAGTGTGAAGAGCATATTCCAGAGGCGCACTGGAAACCACAAAACAGAAAGGTGCCTCTATTCGAAAGTACTCTCCGTTACAACAGGAAAGGAGCCAATAACATGTCGTTGGTTGGTTTATTTCTTATAAATCCATCTTTCGAAATTTGCTTTTTTCAAAATAATTTTTTTCACACAACTTGGTTAGTTATGATCTATCAAATCTGTGCCAGTCGTGAAAAAAAAATTATTTTGAAAAAAGCAAATTTATTAAATTTGACCTTTCAAAAACAAATAAATTTCTCTTGCAACACCTTGTCCAGTCTTTACTTCAGGTTGTAAAAACTTTATTTTTTTTGAATTAATTGACTACGCACTTACTATTTCGAATTTGAAAATTAATGTGTGCAATTATCACAAGTGAAAGGGATATATCTCTTTTTTTTTTTTGATAGATATTAAAGTTAAAAATTATAGATAACTGTAAATAATGAATTAAAATTTAAATAATATTTTTTTTAATAATTTATTTAAAATTTTTTTAAATTTGTTTTTGTATTTTATTTTTTTATTTTATTTTATTTTTATATAAAATAAAAAGTAAAAGTTATTTGTTTGTTTGTTTGTCAGTGTTAATTGATCGTAATTATATAAAATGAGATCAGATACAGAAAATAAAGAGAACGATATTGATATCACTCAAAATAATAATAATAATAATAATGCTTTAACAAAAGTAACAAGATCATTCTCTGGTAGAAAGAGATCAAATAGTACAAATTCAAATATAGATACAACAACAACAAACAATGATAGTGAAGATCATAATGATGATGACAATGATAATAATAATAATAATAATATTAATAGATCATTATCACCTCCATCTACAAAAGTGATTATTCGTTTAAGTAAAAGGAAATTAATTAGAGAGTCATTAAAGAAAGATCATTATCCAATCTATGACGAGACTAATCATGATGAAGAAGAAGAAGAGGAGGAAGAGGAACATGGAGAGGAGGAAGAAGAACATGAAGAACATGAAGAAGAGGAAGAAGAGCAAGAAGTATATGAAGGAGAAGAAGAACATGGGGAGGAGGAGGAAGAAGAACATGAAGAAGAGGAAGAAGAAGTAGTTGATTCAAAAGTAGAAAAGAGATTCAATCTTAGACCTAGAGTTAATCTAAAGAGACTGTTTAATACCGATGAAGACGATGAAGAAGAGGAAGAACAAGAATATTATAGTAATAGATCAACACGAAGACAATCAAGTACAAGAAGAAATCAACAACAACAACAGCAAGAGCATCAACAACAACAAACACTTAGTAAAAGATATATTAGACCAAAGGTTGAAGAAGAAGAAGAAGACGAAGTTGTAAGTAATAATATAACATTGATCCATAAAATATGCTTACTAACATCAAACATATTGTCTAGTTTCAAGCTGCAGTTACTACGAGAGCGGGTAGACTGATAAAAAGACCGAGATATCTTATAGAGGAAGATATTGAAGAAGATGTAAGATCATCCAGACAACAATCTTCACCAACTTCTACATCTAGGAGACAACAACATCAACATCAACAACATTCACCACAACAATCAGAACCACAACCTTCATTTAGATCAAAGAGATTACAACAGCAACAACAGAGAAAGAGAGTTGATTTCGACGAAGAGGAAGCAGATGATCAAGAACATCATCATCAACAACAGCAACAGCAACAACAACCAAATTTAACATCAATCAAAACAAGAAGATCTTTGGATTTATCAAATGTAGATGTATCCAGCTTCCTCAATCGAAACAAAAAGTCAACCGCCAAACATTCTTCAATACAAGATATAAATGATCAACTGCAACAACAACAATCTCACAACTTACTTTCACCTTCGAAGAAACAACAACAACTGCTTGCAACTAGTAAAGATGATATTGATATTGTTGGAAGTGGATCAGTTAATACAGATGATATAAATAGTAATGATAACACTACAGCTACAAATACGACTTCGACTACTTCTACTTCTTCAACAACAGCAACGACATCAACGGCAACGACACCATCTCCGGCAAAAGGAGGAGCATCAAGATCAAGATATAAAAGTACAGGATTGGAAATGGAATTACCACCTATCAATTCGCGGCGTGTAAGAACACCAACGAGCAGATATATGGTAACGGATTACACTAGGACAACACCGGCTCGATCGAAACCACTGCCCGTTCCACATCGTTGGCGAAACAATCAAAACACATCGAATAGCAATGTTGTTGATTCCGACGACGATGACAATGATAATATCGATAACTTTCAACCACTTGCTAGTAATAATATTAACAAGAGGAATACAACAACAACTGCTACTACATCATCAAATAGCAATGCTCCACTTCCAATCAATCTCAATGATACTGAACCACTGGGTGTTGATACCAGTACAACTTTCAACTCTGTCGGTGGATTGGATACTCACATCCGACTGCTCAAGGAGATGCTCATACTCCCGCTGGTCTACCCAGAGGTATTCTCAAAGTTTAAGATTCAACCGCCGAAAGGCGTGTTGTTCTACGGTCCGCCAGGAACCGGTAAGACTTTGTTGGCGCGTGCACTCGTCAATGAGTGCAATTTGCGTGGCGGACAAAAAGTATCGTTCTTTATGAGAAAAGGTGCCGATTGTCTGAGTAAATGGGTTGGTGAAGCGGAGCGTCAACTGCGAATGCTCTTTGAACAAGCGAAATCGATGCAACCCTCTATTATATTTTTCGATGAAATCGATGGATTGGCACCGGTGCGTTCGTCGCGCCAAGACCATATTCACAGCAGCATGGTATCTACGCTGCTCGCGCTGATGGACGGTCTCGACAATCGTGGACAGGTCGTGGTGATTGGCGCGACCAACCGAATCGACTCGATAGATCCGGCACTCCGCCGACCTGGCCGATTCGATCGTGAACTGCTCTTCACGCTCCCCAATAAAGAGGCGCGAAGAAAGATACTTTCGATCCACACTGAGAAGTGGGAGCCGGCGCCCGACCACGACACGATCGACAGCATAGCGGATCGCGCAGCCGGCTATTGTGGCGCGGACATCAAGTCGTTGGCAAGCGAAGCAGTGCTTGTATCTCTCAGAAAAACCTATCCACAGATCTACCAGACCGCCGACAAACTGGCGCTGAACATCGATACTATTCGCGTCGGAAAATCCGAGTTTGTCGAAGCGATGCAAACCATTGTGCCGAGCTCGAAGCGATCGGTCCAATCGTTTGCCAATCCACTGTCGCCATCGACCAAACCACTATTACAACCAAGTCTAGAACAAGCACTTCATTTAGTTGATTCAATATTTCCATTTCTCCAACAGCAACAGCAACAACAAACAACCTCCAAGTCTGCAACGCCAACCAGCGTTTATCGTCCGAGAATGTTAATCTGTGGAGATCAAGGACTTGGTCAAATATTGATTGGCAATGCGATATTATATCAGTTGGAGGAGTTCCCATCGTTTAGTATCGATATTTGTTCGCTGCTGGCCGATCCCGTTGCCAAGTCTATTGACGAATCTTGCAGTCGCACTCTGACAGAAGCCAAGAAGGTAAGTCCGAGCGTGCTCTATCTTCCAAACATCGATCGATGGTGGGAAACCTCTGACTCACTTGTACATACACTCCTGACCTATCTCAACAACATCGATGCCAATCAACCGCTATTCATCATCGCTACCATCGAACAACCGATCGATGAGATACCTCACGCGATTTCAGTGCTCTTCCAATGTAGAGATGATAGTATACTTGAAATAGATTATCCAAATCAAGTATGTTACATATTATTACTTATATTTATTACTAGTAAACTAATATTCTTTCTTCTCTTCACCTCTACTACTACTCTTCCTATATAGGAAACATTGAGAAACTACTTTAAAAATCAATTGTTAGATATTAAAGAAGCTATTTATCAATTTGCGTTGAGTAAACATATTACAAAGAAAGTTTTAGTTCAACTACCTGTTGTCCCGAATACCAATGAGGAAAAGAGAGATATCAAAAGAGATAAGTAAGTAAACTAAATATAGTATAGTTTAACTAAAGTAGATAGATAGATTTGAAGAAACTAATTTAAGGTGTTTTATAGTCAACTACTTAGACAACTTAGAATTTTATTAAGAGAGGTATTGGCAAAGATTATCTATGATAGAAAGTTCTATACATTCTTTAAAGATGTTGTAAGTTATCTATTCTATTCCATTATGTTTTATAATTGTATTAATATATATATGTTTTGTAAAGAGTATTCAACAATATCCAGAATATTATGAATTGATAAAGAATCCGATGAGTGTATCTTCTATCTCCAATAACTTGGAGAATCATAAATACACGACGGTATCGTCATTCCTCTCGGATATCGATTTGATTGTTATCAATACTATCGAGTACTACCAGGTGCATGATCCCAATGGAATCGACGGTGCTAAAGCGATATCGAGAGCGAAGCAACTCCAAGACGAAGTCTATGCCATGGTCGATCAAATCGATCCGACACTCATATCGACCTGTGAGAATATCACGCTCAAGCGAGCGAGCGATGCCAATCATGGAAAACCACCAATGAATAATCATACAGACTATGGTACAACTGTTAGAGAAAGAGATAACAACAATAATAATAGCAATAACAATGATACAGCTACTCAACAAGATCAACAAAATAACAACAACAACAGTTTTAAACTATTCACAAGAAGTGCAAGACTTAGAGGAGAAGGTTCTGAAATCACCAAAGAAATGATGGATTCATTTATGAAACCTATTAGAAGAAAGAAACACTCCTCAGATGCAAATAATAACAGTAGCAACAATAACAACAGCAACAGTAATGCAACTTCACCTATTTTAAATAACACAAGCTTACCAACAACTCCAACCACTCCACACGTGGAAGATCATCAAGATAACCAAGATCATCATGACAACGATAATAATAGCAGTGTTGATGAAATAACAAAACACATTGATATAGATCACGAAGATGATAACAACAATAGCAACAATAACAACAATAATAAGGAAGAAAATAATAATATTAATAATAATCATGTAAATGAAGAGAATGGTAGTAAAGAAACTATGGATATAGATATGAATTCAATTGATAATGATGATCATGAAACTACTAGTGCAACAACAACAACAACAACAACTACTACTACTACTACAACTACAACAACAAATCAAAATGGTCATACTGACAATAACAATAATAACGATAATAATAATAATGTAGATAATGAAGATAATAATAATAATAGTGTAGTGGTTGAAACAGAAGAAATAGTGATGGATGAAAATATAGAGTGGTATAGAACTGTAAATAGTGAGGTAGAAGAAGATTTTATTCAGAAAATGGTCGGGTTGGCTCATAACAAAACAATTGAAAATCTGTTGTGTCACCAATCGAAATCATTTGATATTGTAAGAAGAACTATCTCATCAACAAACAGCTCTATTAACTCTAATGATTTATACCAATCTATCATTAATTCAATATCAGATATTAAAATAAACTAAAAACTTTTTTAGTGACTTTTGATTATTAATAATAGTATTATTGAATATGCATAATTATTATTCTTATTGCATGAGCACATTGCCTGATCAAAAAAAAAAAAAAAAAAAAAAATCAAAAAAAAAAAAAAAAAACGAAGAATTAGTTTTTTTTGATCATTGTTCATTTTATGATTATAATCATTATTAAATTGTTATTTATTTATTATTAATTTAGATATATAAATCTTTAGATTTTGATATAAATAGATTTCTGATCAGATTTAATCAATCAGTCAATCCAACCAATCGTTTTTTGTAAAAATAAAAGATATAGAGAAAAAGATTTAAGATATTAGATATCAGAATATAATATATATATATATAGAGTAGAAAATGATTTATCATCAAATGGGATATAGAAAACTCTCTAGAGAGACAGCACATAGAATGTTGATGTTGAGAACAATGGTTACACAGTTGATTCAACACGAACGTATCAAGACTACTCTACCAAAGGCAAAAGAGTTGACCAGAATGGCAGATAAAATCATTACAATCGCAAAGAGAAACACACGTGTTGCACACAAGTTGGCATACGGTATGGTGACCGACCGTCAGGTGCTACCAAAGTTGTTCAAGCAGTTGCGACTTCGTTTCTTGGAGCGTCCAGGTGGATACACTCGTGTCTTGAAATGCGGATTCAGACCGGCCGACAAGGCACCGATGGCTTACATCGAGTACGTAGAGAACGACCTCACTCCACTCCGTGACCACAAGGCAAACAACGCCAAGTTTGGAATGGTCGTAGAGGACGTCGAACAAGGCAAAAAGTTTAGCTTCACCGAGAAAGCCACGGGAAGAGTATTGTCATCGGCTATCTCACTCAACAACCGTTTGAAAAAAACAGAATTATTTAGCAAAGAACAAGAACAACTGGAAAAGAAGAAATTAATTGAAGATTTAAAGAAATCAGTATAAATAAAATAAATAGATTAGATAAATAAATACATTATATAATTTTTAAATAGTTCATAAACAAATATAATATATTTGTTTATTTCAGAAAAGAATAGAAATTTAAAAGTTTTATTGTTTTTATTTTATTGAATATTAAATATTTCTCTTAAATGATGTATTACTGCGTCATGTTCATGTGATCCAATGATTTGATTGTTTGGTAGTTGATCTTTTAATCTTTGTTGTCCGTTTTCCATAATCATTCCTTTTCCTACACGTGACAGCATTTCAAGGTCGTTCATGCTGTCTCCAAATGCAATGACGTCTTGCATGGTGTGACCGAGAAGTTCTACAACCTGTTCAAGAGCATTGCCCTTTGAAACATGTGGTGACATCACCTCGAGAGATAATGGCGATGAAAAACAGATGTATGCGCGATTACCATATTTCTCGAGGAGTTGCTTCTCGAGTTGAAGCAGTTTCTCTTGGTTCCTCGATACATAGAAAATCTTATAGACAGAGTCGGTGGAAATCGTTTTGCTTTCGTCGAAAAGCTTATAGGTAAAGTCAGAGTTTGGAAAATACTGTTTGACACCCGGATAATCTTGACTCATGAACCATTCGTCGGCGCGGTATGCATTCGTCAGGATTTCCTTGTCGTCTAGAACGACATCCAGTAGATCGTGAACCAACTCCTCCTCGATCGTATGGCTAATGATGACCTGACCAGATACGTTCTCCACGAGTGCTCCATTCGATGTAATAATATGAGCGTCGATTCCAACTCTTGCACGAATGCCACTGACATCGACATGATTTCTACCGGTTGCCAATATTACATGTACACCTTTTTGGTGGAGTTGTTTCAGTGTTTCCACTGCCAACTCTGTCAGATCGTGTGTTGGTGACAAGAGAGTTCCGTCGAGGTCAGATGCTACCACTTTAAACATTATTGTTTGTTCAATTGAAAATAGAAATACAAAGATTGAAATGTACAAATGAATTGAATTAATATCGAAATTAAAAAACAGGTTTTAAACTTTACCTTGGGAAAATGAAAAAAAAAGTTGGGTTACATTATTCGTGGCAAAGGCACAAGTGTTTTTTGCAGCTATAGTATACCCAAAAAGGAAATTATAATAAATTAATTTTACTAAAATTTAAATCGTAAATCTTATTTTATTTCCTATTTCTTTATATCATTATAAAATTTTTAGAAGAAATTTAGAATTTGCCATTAATTTAATTAAATTCTTTCCATGGAATTTATAAAAACAAAATAAAATAAAATATTATCTTAAATTTTAGACTTTTCGAACACAGCGCCCGGTTAGCTCAGTCGGTAGAGCGCACGGCTCTTAACCGTGTGGTCGTGGGTTCGAGCCCCACATTGGGCGTCTTCTTTTTCAAAAATCTAGCCCTCTATGCGCGCATAATGGTTTACACAAGGTTTTGAAAAAGTTAATGAATCAAGCGTGGCTGTCACTCTCACACGAAGGTATTTCGTAGATGAATGATCTTACATATCTTTAACCTACTCCTAGACTTTAATTATGATTGATTTCCATCCTGTTTTCTACTTTTTAAGAGCATCAAGACTGTACAGAATTCTAACAATGAATTTGATTGAATCTATAACAACTATATAGGTAAATCTTTTATTTTAGTTGATAGTTGACAATAACTACTATTCTAACAATACCAAAAACATACCTCTTATAACTAACTATTTTGTTTGGTTCATGACCATCCTTTTTCATTAGCAACTAAGTCTTCATTAAAACCAGTTCATTTTCAATGTCACAGAATTTGTACATGTACTTCACTTTGATATCTGTCATTGTGTGAACAATCAACAGTTTAACTAGTTATTTTATGTTAATGTAAATAAAACTAATGAAAAGAAACGTCGAAATACACGTATATAATGTAATGTAATTAAAAAAAGACTATAAAGAAATAAAAAGTGAATTGATGTGGAAGAACATATACTATGTATTAAAAATTAACTATGTATCTATCAACAATGATGATTATTGTTATATTTTTATTATTATTATTAAAATGTTTAAAAAATAAAACCAACACTCTTTTAATCATCAAAAATTGATCAATTTTTTTTTTGGGTTGATTTTTAGATCACCAAGTTTTTGTATTTATTTTTATTTAAAATTGTAATAATAATCAAATCAATTAATGGAAAGATCAAAGACAATTGCTATTGTAGGTGCAGGTTTGAGTGGTCTGGCATCACTAAAGAGTGCCTTGGAAAACGATATGATGCCGACACTCTTTGAAAAGAGTGATGATATTGGTGGTGCGTGGTCATCCTCTACCAGTGGTTTGATGTGGGATACTCTACATACGAATGTCTCAAAGTACACCTGTATGTTCTCTGATTTCATGTGGAGACCAGAGCATCTTCAAGACGCGAATCAAGATTACTTTCCAAGTCAAAAAGATGTCTATCGTTACTTCCTAGACTACACCAATCATTTCAATCTCAAACCCTACATAAAATTCAATTGTAAAGTAACCAACATTAAGAAACAACATCAACAAGAACAGCAATTCATAATAGAATATGAAGATAATAATAATAGCAATAATAACAAGAAAAAAACAGTCATGTTTGATTATGTAATAATTGCATCCGGTATTTTCTCAGAGGGAATGATTCCAAAGATTGAAGGAGCTGATAGTTTCAATGGATTGGCTATGCACTCGGCTGACTATAGGAATGCTAAACCGTTTGAAGGAATGAGAGTAGCTGTCGTCGGATCTTCGTCGTCGGGATCAGAGATCGCTTCGGACCTAGTCAATAGTTCACTTGTTAAAGAGGTGACTACATTTGCACGTACCAACATATTTATCATTCCAAAGAGTGTAAAGACAGCGAATCGATCTTACAAAGTACCGTTTGACTATGTTTCATTCTCGCGAAAACGATACTACGAAGACAACAGATCGACGCCAGAGAAGAACCGTGCCAAACAAGCATTCATTGCATCGGTATCGACACAACAAGATATAGAAGAGACAAAAGTTCGGTCATCACCTGAACTACCTTTGTTTGTCGGATTATCCGATGATTTCATCTCTCTAATTCGATCGCAACACATTAAATATATAAATACAACCATTAATAGAATAGAAGGAAATAAGTTATATTATAATCAACCTATATATAACAATAGCAACAACAATAACAATGATAATAATAATAGTAATGACGATAATGATATTAAGAAAGAAAAAAAAGAAACAACTGTTGAAGTGGATGCTATTATTTATTGTACTGGTTATTATGTTAATCTAGAGTATTTAGATAAGGAGATATTGGATGCAATAGAGTTTGATCGATCACATAAGATTCAACCGATACTTGCTTATAATACGGTGTTTCCACGTGGTGTTGATGGTTTGGCGTTTGTCGGGATGTATCGTGGACCTTACTTTGGTGTGTGTGAGTTACAAGCGAGATGGGCCACCGGTGTATTCTCTGGCAATGTAAAGGCACCAACCACCGAAGAGATTGCAGCAGGTGTCGAACTAGAGAGAGCCATTCGAAACGATAAGAATCAACCACAATTCCCACATTCCGACTATGTTGCATTCTCTGATCTCATAGCTAAATCAATAGGAGTATTACCTGATTTCAATGAACTTCAAAAGCAACAACAACACCAAGCAGAAGAACAAAAAGAAACAACAACAGGATCATCAGAAACAACAAAAACACATTTATATAAAATGATATGGGATGGATTCTTTATACCACCAACCTTTAGACTATATGGTTTGGGTTCAAATTATAAAGAAGCTGTTGCAAACATTGAAGAAATCAATAATTTATTTACTAACCGATAATTATAATTGTAATGATAACTTTATTTTTTAATTAATCTTTTTCAATAAAATTTATATGTTTTATTTAAATATTAGTTTAATGCTTTGGATAATAATAAAATCAGTTAATAAAACTATTATAAATGAATGTCTTGAGTTTAAATAGTATTGAAATCTTGTTGTTTAGTAACATTAATATTTTCAAACTATTGAATACTAGTAATATTCAAAACAATATCTATAATAATGGATCATCATGATCTTATATATTTATCAAAAAAGATAGAATATATAATAAACAAGAAGGTGGATCCTTTAGTTCTTGGTCAATCATCAATTCAAGATAAATGTATTGGAATAGAATTTCAATTACGCAATCTATGTGACAATTGTAACAAGGAGAGAACCAACTTGGAAGAACAAATTAGAAATAGCAATCTAGAAATTATTTCGCTGAAAGAGAAGATGGACTTCTTGGTCAGTGGTCAAGTAGCAATTAAAGCTGAAATTAAGGAGCTTGAAAAACAATTGCAAATAGGTAAAGTCAAACTTAGTAAACTCGTTGAAGAAATTAATGATTCACCTATAAAGAGAGTGGAAGAGATGTTGTTGAAGAAATACAATAAGTTGAAAGTAAAAGAGTCGAGACTCAAAGAGAAATCGAAGGAAGTACTTGAAACTATTAAATATGAAGGAAAATCAATCAAAGGCAAATTCAAAGACAACCTACATTCATTCAAAAGATGAATCAAACACTTCTCTAGACAACATTTTAATACCAACTAAATTTGGATTAAGAATCTAATGTTTAACACACTCACACACCATCACCATCCTACATTTTTTATAAAATTAGATTTTTTTTATTTATTTATTTATTTTTTTAAACTATATAACAGTAACTTTTTTTTTTTTAAATTAATAAATAAATAAAAAACTATAAAAATTCTTAAAAATTTAAAAAAAATAAAGAAATCATTCTACAAATATGTATTTCCTAAAAACTTAAAAAGGAAACTATTTTTTTTAACTATTTTAAAAATTTAATTTTTCAATTTTTTTTTTAATTTTTTGTATCAAGGTTAATTATTCGTGTTTTGTACTTATTATTCATAATTATTTATTATTATTATGTGTTGGTTGGTTCAAACACACACGCAAAATAATAATAATAAAAACTTTTTTGAATTTGACTTTTTAAAATAAGTTTATTTTTAGTTATTTTTAGTTAAATTTTAGATAATTTTAAAGATATATTATTTAGTTAAATATCAATAATAATAATAATAATAATAAAAATAATAATAATAAAGATAAAGATAAAGATATCTATGAAAGTTTAAAAAGAAAATATTTAGATTTTTATTTATATTTATATTTAAATAATATCTAATATAATAAAGAAAATGGAAGATCATCAGAATGAATCGACATCGAAAGCAGCAAAGTTTGAGGAATTGCTGAAAAAGACGGTTGCTCAACTAAAGGTGATAGTGATGAACTTTGAGGAGAGTCACGATAAGAGATTCAAGATACCAACAAGAAAGAATGAAATCATTCAACTCATCATCGACAACGATATGTACAAATCGAATGACCACGATTTCGAGAAACGTACGAAACCATCAACCAAAAGATCTCTAATAGATAATGAAAGTGATAACAACAACAACAACAACAACGATGAAGAACAACTTTTATATAATAATGATGATGATGATGATGAAAAAGAAGAAGGTGAGGACGAAGAGGTAGAACAAGATGAAGATGAAGATGATTCTATGATGGAAGGTGAAGGTGAAGAACAACAAAAACAACAACAAAGAAAACAACATAATAAACAAACAACTACAACTACTACAACCACTAGTAATATTAATATTAAGAGTATTGTTGTTAGTAATAATAACAATAATAAAGGACAACCTGTTGATCTTCTAAAGGAGAATGCAGATGCATGGTTCAATAAGGTTCAGAGCGATGTTGTTACAAAGAAGAAACTGATACGTTCATTCGATGACTTTGACCAACGTGCTGAAAACACCACCACAATCGACGATATGTTTCGTTATTACTTTAGAGAGAAAACAAGTCTTGATATATTCACAACAACCAACTTTCCAATACATGGAACTACAAGATGTTCAAATTGTAATATACATAGCATTCATATTCCAACGTTCAATTGAAATTTCTAACATTGTTATTATATATCTATAGATTTATTCAGAAGATGGCATTTCATTTGTTTAACATGTTCAACTGTTGATATTAAATATTGTATGTAGCTGGTAGAATACTTGTTGAATTCATAATACTCTGACCTGATACATAACATACTAACTTGAAATTTACAATATTTGTTGTTTGTTGTTTGTTTTTAGGTGTCGATTGTTTTTTAAATGGTATACATAGAGAGGAGAATCATAGATTCTCATTGGTTTATACACCGAATATATCTTGTGTTTGTGACTGTGGAGATGGCGATGTGATGAAGACGAGTTCGTTTTGCACGAAACATCGATTCGCCACGAATATTCAGCAGAAGGAGAACTATATCAATCAGTTCCCAGAGTATCTACGCGATGCCTTCAAGACGTTTTTCAATAAGTTGGTGACGCGTGCTCTCACCCTGAATCGTCAGGGCTCGGGTGTGCACGAACTCGAGATCATCAATATCACTACCTACCTGGGCAAGGCGGCGTCACGCTCGCCACTCTACGCCAAGCTGATAGGCGAGGAACTGACGCTCATGAATTTGGATCTCAGCAACTTTGACATTAGCAATCCGCTGAGGATTGCATCGAACAATGCTCTGGCGGTAGGTGCCGCGCAACAGCAACAGCTGCAGCAGAACAACAAGCGTCAAAAGACAATTCCCAACTCGACACCGCTCTACACACTGTTTCACACACATCTCGATTTCTCCACCAAGTACTTCTATCTGTTTGCCACTGTATCCTATCATAACCTACCATTTGGACAGGTATTCTTTCACCATTATCTCGCGAATTTCAGTCACTTGATGCGACCACAACCGAGAATCGCCATCGCCGAGTCGTGCTATCATCTCCAACAATTCTACAAATCACCAAGCAGCATACTGATACCGTTTGCCACTGGCAAAGTAAACAGTAACTTATTTTTAGTTTTATTTCAACATTATGTAAGCGCAAAGTGAAAGAGAGAATCATCAAAGTGTTTACTCTGACTAACGTTTATCTATCTATCTCTCTCCCTCTCTCTAGAAATATAATATGGATACAATTCACAATAGTTTTGTTTTAAACAAATCAACCTATGAATCATATAGGTTTGAATCAAAGATGTTTTCGAGATTGTTAAAGATCGAGGAGTGTGCAGTCTATTTCTCAAACAATCAGATGATACTAAAGATCTTCTTGGATATCTGTCAGAATCTTCATTTGTTTGCTTCGGTTGCTTTCAAGTTTGAGAATATTCTCAGAGAGCTGAAGGATTTGATTCACTTGGAGAGTTGTCTCATCAATGGATTCAATCATATGCTTCAACATCTACCGGAAGCAAAGATCCAAGAGATGACCAAGACCATTATCGACCAGGCAATGGATCTATCCACCAAGATCAAGTATCCGGTGTATGCACGCGACAAAGGAACGCGTCTTTTATTCCCACTGCCCAGAATCATTGCACTCTGTGTTTTGCACTCGAGTGCCAACAACAATATCGACCACTTTATACAACTGGTGAAATCGGATTACGAACACTATTCACCGTCGATCGCTGATATGGTATTCAACATAACAACGTTTCGTGCATTCTACTATGCACATTGCTGTCGTCCCCGCAACCAGAATCTCGACAGTCACGTTGTAGCGTCTCCAACCGACGACGACCGATTTAACCGCTTCTTTACACAAAAGTTTATGATGTTGGACTTTTTGATGTTACAGTTATCTTTAATATCGACTGGACCATCAACCTTTTTATACCAGCTTTTAAATGAACCATTTAGTTGTAAGTTAAAAAGATCTTTCAATTACTACAAACATTTACTAACATTATAGTGTAGATTCAGCAACAAATAATGAATGGTTAAAAGTTATTTTTGAAATAATTGTCAATGTTTTGCAAACTAGAGCAACTATTAAACCAACAGAGGAGGATATCGAGTATCATTATATTCAGGCTGCTGCATCTGGCTACTTTTATTATAGTGAAATGTTGAATTTCAAATTCATCTATAAGAATATTCCAATGGAGACCAAGGAGAGAATCATTGCCAAGGTCGTCAAGGATGTAAAGGCACCAAAGATGCAGTTGAAACCAGAGTACTGGTCAAGATACGATCCATACTACTGGAGCTTTGAGTATGTATTCAAGATTCATCTACAGGAGTTGGCGAAAGAGGAGTTCACCAAGTATCAACGTGAGAACAACATTCCAGAGTGTTTCCCATCGTTGCCAGCTCTGCTACCGCCACTGGACAACAAGCTCGATGGAATCTATCAACTGTTCCACGAGAATGCCCTGTATGAATTCCTTCATTACACCACCATGAAGATTGTCTATCCAAACTTCAAGGGTTTCAAAGATTTCGAGAAGAACACAAACAGCTTCTACGCCAATCACAATCTCTTTGGAAAGATTTCGACAAGCGATATCATTGTCATCAACGACATCTACTACATCCTGTTGATGGCACTCCGTCATTTCGACCAATGGATTGTCGAGCAGTCGGATCGCGATGTTCGTGCCATTCGTCACGAGGTCAGTCAATTCCTCTCGAACAACAACTACAAGAAACATCCACAGCAACGTCCACTCTACTTCTGGGAGACAAACAATGTTGTCACCATGCTCCTCAGAGCATACACTCCATCATTCAAGAACATCAGAAAGAAGCAATCACAGTCGTTCCTTGACACTCTGATCTACTGCTGGAAGATCAATTCCACCGACCAGAATCCACTACTCCAAGAGATCATGATTTGGTTCGGTCAGTTTGATGATTCGATCAACGATTACTTTGAAACTCAAGGTATCACCGATTTCGATCCAAAGAAGCGTGAAGAGGAGGAAAGAGAGAAGCGTAGAAAGATCATGCAAGCAAAGCGCGATGAAATCATGAAACAAATGAAAGAGAAACAGAATCAATTCTTACAGTTGACAGAGAATCAAGATTTATATGATGAAACAGAGGTTTTAGAGAATAATACAACAACATCAACAACTACAACGAATAACAATAACAACAATAATAATACATCTGAGGATTCAAGTAATAATACTAGTACTACTGCTACTGCTACTGCTACTACAACATCAGGTGAACAACATCATCATGATGAATCAACTGATAAAATATGTATGATCTGTAGAGATACTACAAGTACTGAACCACTCTATACAGTGGCAAGAGTAACCAATTGTACGTTGGCAATGAATCAGAAATCGACTTCACTCTACAAGTTGATCAGATCTATGCCACAATCCTATTTAAATACAACCATTCAGAATCTGTTGGAACACCAAGAGAATATCTTTTTCGATTCCAAACGATTCCCAAAGAGTGTAACTCAACTCTATCCTTTGATGATAGAATTCTTCAAGTCGTACTATCATCTGCCGAGTTATATTTCATCGTGTCTGCACTACACTCATCGCTCATGTATAGACCAGTCGGTTCACAACTTTGATTTTGGATTCCAATGTCCACAGTGCAATGCCAACTCGAACATCTTGATTCCAGTGGACGTTGCCAATCTCACCATCGAGGAGGTCATGAAATTCTTCCTCAACATCCAAGATGCCGGAGAGATCGATGAGGTATTCGAGCGTCACTTTTGGGGAATGGTTCACTCCAACATCGACGTCTTTGAGATGAAAACTCGTCAGATCAGCAACTACATCGTTGACACCGACCAGTTGCCCTACTACTTGCTCACCGACCTGGAGTTCAAGCAGGAGTTGGCCACTCTGAGAATCCTCTTTAAAACGATAACCAGTTGTGAGGTACCTCCATTCGCTGAGGATTTGATCGATGTTGACGATCATCTCAAATTCCATGTCGATCCATTCTTCCTGTCGACTTATCTTGTCTACCTGAGAAAGCTCGACTACAAGACAACCAACAGCCAGTCGATCAAGCAATATCTCTTCAATTATATTCTAATGGAGGCAATGAAGCTACCAAAGTTCAAGGTTACTCAGTCCGCTGATACCATCCGACAGATCTATGCAAATCTTAAGGACAACCAAGAATCACTGAATAGCTATCTATTCCCCGTTCTGAGAAAGTGTTATCTCTACCATTGTCTGGCAAGCTATCCAACTCAACCAGCTCTTATCAACCAACTCTCACAACAACAGTTTGCCAGTTTTGAATACATAAAGACCTCATTGAACATCGGTAATACCACTGAGATTATCAGTCAAACTGAATTGGAGGACTTTATCAACAGATTCAGCAATTTGAAGAAAGGTTTTGTCAGTTTCATCCCATCTTCATATTTACATTTACCTAAATTAAAGAAATTACAGCCTAAATATATTGTAAGTTAAGAAATTAACCAAATCTCATTAATTTAATTACAAACTAATCTCTTTTTTTTTCAAATATCAATATTAGGATTTTATTATCAAGAATATTCCAAACACTGTCCAAGAGGAACAACAATTTATGTGTACATCATGTGAGAAAACTCAAAGTTTCAAATGTCTGAGTTGTGGATCCACTACTTGTGCACCCGATTGTATTCATTCATTTGTTTCAGTAAGTTAAAAATTAAATGATATCTTTGTTGAACAGTTGTCGAAATAGTTTATTAATTGTTTGATTTAATTCCCATGTATAGCATCCTAAACAGTGTCCAAATGGATTGCATCAAGTATTTTTATTTATTGATATCACAACAGGTTTACTAAAGGTAGTGGATTTAGATAAAGATGTTATTCTTTATAATAACGACAGTCTTTGTGTATATTTTAATGAACACAATGAACCATCGACTATTACCAACAATCAGCTTACTCTATCCAACAAGCACCTGCAGTCTGTATACAAGAAATGGGTACAAATGATTTCCACCAACACCATTCAATCTATGGATATTGATTTACCAAATACTCTGTTTCTATAATTAACAAAAATAAATAATTTTAAAATGATTATTTATTAAACTAATCAAATTAGTTGTATCTTTTACAAATGAGCTTACCCGTGCTTTGTCGATCATATTTATATTCTTGAAAATTATACATTTTAATACGATAAGTATTAAAATATAGATATTTATCTGTTTCATTGAACCATCTTTTACAAACTAGATTGACACATATTCTATCTATGTTGTCTTCAAGATATTATCTTTGATAATAATAAATGTGATTAATTATATTTATAAAAGATCAATAATGATCTACAAATTTGATAAAAAATTAGAATTAATAATAAATTTTAAACAAATTAACTTCTTTTTTTTTTTTTTTAATTAAACAATAAAGTTTGACTTATATAAATTTTTATTTGGTTCTTTTGCAATAAAAGTATCTGATTTTGTTGTTTATTGATAATTAGTGGTAATGTAGTCTTAGATTGAGTATTTAGTTCATGCATGAATGAATTCTGATAATATACGTGATACAATCCCAGCATGGAATTTGTATCTTGGTTGACCAAAAATGAGATACTGATCATCATATATCTTTCGAACATGGAGATCTACTTGTTGTTTGTAATCGACAAAACACAAGTTGGTGACTGATTTAGGTGTGTCGAAAACTTTGTCCAACAAATTAGAAGGAACAGTCAGTGATTTTACAGAGTGTGGAATCGGTATACCTGTGAATCGTTCGGAACTAGAAAAATATTTTATCACGACTTCTTCGACACTGTTTGGAATTTCGGATTCAATTAGATTGATTGTTTTATAGTATTGACATATGATCTTCCTCACTGACGATGGAATTGAGTATCGATCTTTTTCAGCAAATTTAAACTGACCGTTTCCAAAATATAAAGTTTCTACACCATATGGAATATACCTTAAAATCGATTCACTATTGCCAAATTTCAGATGCAATTCCTTGATCTTCAGATTGTCAAGTGATTCTTGTTTGTTTCCATCGACACAGAGCCTTTCGAAATGATATTGTGATCGATCTTTGAATATCTCATCGATATCATATTCTGTTGTACGGTGTATATCGAGATATTTGATTGAAGGTGATAGAGATGACACGAGACGACATGGAGATTGAAAATCTAAACTCGTAAGAGAATCTGGTAGATCTGACAAGTCTATTGTGCCAGTGGAATCATAAACTCTATTAAAGAGTGTTAGAGTTGTAAGATTGTTCAGCGATTTTATGAATGGAAACCATTTGAAATTTCCAAACACCAAAGTACAAAGTGATTCTGGTAATACTCCATCTGATATCGCACTTCTACCCTTATGAATAAGGACTCTAAGATTTGGAGGAAGTGATCCAACTTTAAGTGGTTTATCATAATCACCTCCCAATTCTAAGAATGTTAAAGATGATGGTAATACATGAGGTTCGAGTCTTTTGTTGAAGTATGGAGCAAATTTCAGTTTCTTCAATGTATTTGGAAGAACACCTGCCAAGATTCGTTCATCAAAATCTGATTCCCAATCAAATTTCAGTTTCTCTAGTTTCGGTGGAAGATAACCTGCCAATGACCCTTTGAATTCATGATTAAATGTTATCGCTGTCAAATTCGCAGGTAATACACTTTTTAAACTAGGTATTTTTTTTAGCTTGAATACATTTGAATTCGATATCATTCCATAGAGTATCTCTGTTTCCTTTTTGCCAAGTTCATCATTTGTTTTCAAAAAAACTTTGGTGATATTTGGTGTAATCTTATCTTTTGTTTTGCCTCTACCTGTATTGTATATTTAAAATAAACGATTAGCATTTGTATATTTTATAAAACAACACTGTCAATACCAATATCTTACCTAAATCTATCGAATAGTCTGTTTCATAAGAACTACTACCATATCCATATGACAGAGTGCAATTACTCTTTTGATTGAATGATCTGAATAATAATGATCGATATGATTCTAATGTAAATACACTCTTACGAAAATCACTTTCACGATCTTCTTCTTGAAAACAAGACATTTTAATATTATCGGTATTAAAATATAGATATTTATCTCTTTCATTGAACCATCTTTTACAAACTAAACTGACACATTCTATCTATGTTATCTTCAAGATAACTAATTATCTTTAATAACAATAAATGTGATAAATCAACAATCATTGAATTTTGAAAATAAATATTATAATAGAGAGAAGAAATATATTTAATATTTGTCAAACAAAAAATAAAAATTACACAGGCGACCCACATTATTTTTAAATGGGGTTCTAAGAAAAAAAAAATTACAAATCATATCCCTCATAATGTTACGAAAGCACGTTTTTTTATATGAGGGTTTACTAACATAATATTCTGTTATTAATTATCAATGTATGTAGTTAATAAATGTTCACTCTTTAAATTTCATCTCTCTAAAGATGACAAACTAACAATTCAACACATAAATTAGTAAATCTTCCACATAATCTCAACGATTGTTTATAACTTTAAAGATATTATAGACAAGATTTGTTTTACTTTAGTTTGTAAAAGATGGTTCGATAATAGAAATGGATATCTATTTTTTGATACCAATAGTTTATATTGTATCTATAAAGATAGTTCAGGAATCACATTGAATTCATATCGATCTTTAATATCTGAATCACTTGACAAAAAGAAACAACGTACTATGTTCATCACACCAAATAAAAATAATTAGATATAGGTAAAATTGTTGATTGATCATGATTATTTTTAAAACTATATTATTAACTTATTTATCTTATATATATTTTCATGAAATCGATATAAAACATTTTGAAAGAAATACAAAGCTAGGAAATGCGATATAGATATGAGTCAGATTCAATAAATAAATCTACACAGTTACGATATATTTGGTAGCTATACAAATAATTGTTAGTAAATTATTATCTTTTTCTTTTTTTATTTATTTAATTCTCGCTTTTTGAAGTAGTTGTCTCCTAGACAATTGTTCACCATTTGGAAATGAAATTCTAGTGTGTTTGTCTAAAAGAGTTAATCCAATTTCTTTATAAATATAAGTTTGTGTGGGATCACAATTAATTGCTTCTATCAAAAGTTGTTGTTTTGTCATAGTCACTGAATTACCGAGTGTTATAGTTTCTTTTGATTCCAGCTCTAAGGCAAGATCATAGTATGCAAAGTACGAAATTGGATCGATTTGTATCGCTTTTATGTATAGCTGTTTCTTTGTCAATGTTTCACCATTGGGTAGAGTTATAGATTCGTCGTGTTCAAGATCGTTTCCTAGATTATTGATTGCCGAATAGTTTGAAGGATCAAGTGATATCGTCTTTAAATTGAGTTGTTTACTATTCATCGATTGACCATTAGGAAGTTTAATAGTTTCATTTCCAATTAGTAACATGGCAAGGTTAACATATTGTGGTGGATAGTTTGGATCATTCTCTATTCCTTTCAATAGCAGTTGTCGCTTTGTCATTATTTGTCCATCGTTCAATCTGATTGATCCAAAATCAGTGAGAGTAAGTGCAAGATTGTTATAGCAATCGGAATTGTCGGAATTGGAGTGCTCTATTGATTTCAAGTAAAGTTGTTGCGCTGTCATTGATTCACCGTTCAGGAGGGTGATAGTTGTCTTTGATTCAGGTAGTGTCAATGCAAGGTTATAATATGAGTTTGAATAGAATGGATCGATATCGAGTGCTTTCAAGTAGAGTTGTTGTTCGGACATTGATTGACCCGATGGAAGAATAATCGATAATCGTTTCTCCGATGAAATATTCACCGCTAACTTGTAGTATGCAACGGCATTGTTTGGATCGAGAGCAATAACTTTCCAAAAGAGTTGTTCTTTCGTTATTGATTCACCTGATAGAAGTAATGTCGTTTGTTGTTCATGTTTATCTAATATCATTGCAAGTTGAAAGAGTGCATCTCTATCATTTGAATTGATATCAATCGCTTTCAAATAGTCTTGTTTTTCGTTTTCCATTCTAAATGAAGAAATAATTATTACAATAAATATTAAAAACTAGTATACTAGTTTTGTTTTGAGGGAATGATTCTTGGAATTTTATTTTTTTTAAGATAATCTGAATTCATTTGCGATCATATTTTTATTGTTCTAAAGATGATCAATAACCTAATCTATTGTCAATCATTGTTAATAATTTGAAAGATAATATCGACAAGATTTGTTTAGTTTAGTTAAGAGAAGAGAGATATTGTTTAGACGAGACAGATAAACTATTTATAAAACTTTATGATTTGATAAGCAAATCTAAGGTAACAAGTATCGAGGATTGTCTGATTTGAAAACATAGAATACCAATGAATATCACCACACTTCTTATGGACATTGATATTGTTCCTTTGTCATGGATGAAGTCAATCAAGTATCTCGAGAATCCTAGATCTCTTGTGTTTATAACCTTTATGGTAGTTTAGATCTACCGAAATCACTGACCAAACTGGACATTCCCCACCCATTAAAGTTACAATCGGCATTGCCTAATTCCATCAGAGATCTGATACTTGCCAACTCAGAGTATGACATTGACGAATTATTGTTCGCAGATCGCACACTTTATCATTTGGAATTTTATAAAAAACCAAGAATACCACAAAGAATAAAACAATATTTTTTTAATTTTTGTTCAAATCTGAATTGCGATCATATTAATTTCATCTCTCTAAAGATGACAAACAATAACAATTCAACACATAAATTAGTAAATCTTCCACATATTCTATTGTCAAACATTGTTAATAATTTGAATGATAATATCGACAAGATTTGTTTTAGTTTAGTTTGTAAAAGATGGTTTGATGATAGAAATAGATATCTATTGTTTGATACCAATAATTTATATTATATTTATAAAGATAGTTCCAGAATCACATTGAATTCATATCGATCTTTAATATTAGAGTCACTTGACAAAAAGAAACAACGTACTATGTTCATCACACCAAACAAAAATTATCTTTATCTATATGATCATTTAATAGATCTAGGTAAATAATATATCTAAAAAATTGTTGATTGATCATGATTATTTTTAAAAATATATTATTAACTTTATTTATCTTTTATATTAAAGATTCAATTGAAAGTAAAGATGAAATCGATCAAAACATCGTGAAAGTAATACAAACCACGAAAATGCAAAATAGAGATGAGTCAGATAAACTGTTTACAAAACTTTAGTAAATCTAATGTAACTTGTATAGAATTGTCTGACTTTAATGTATGAAATACCAATGAATATCACCTCACTGGTTTTCGATTATTCAAAGGTTGTTTTCCACCCAAGTTGAAGAAACTGAAATTTGATTACAATTTCAATCAGGTGATTGAAGTAGGTGTATTACCTGATACATTGGAGAGTTTAGAGATTTTTTATATCCACCAAATATTGGAACCTGGAGTATTACCGACATCACTGAAGATATTAAGAGTCATTGGTCTCACACCCAATAAATATCTCAAAGTTGGATCGTTACCACCAAATCTAGAGGAATTCACTCACAATGGAATAGATATTATAGATTTTGGTCCAAACATACTACCAAATTCGTTAATCACACTGGAAAAAGTTCCTGTCTCATGGATGAAGTCAATCAAGCATCTAGAAAATCTTAGATCGCTAAAGTTTTGGACAAATATTGGTTGTTTAGATCTAAGTGATCTACCGAAATCACTTACCAGGCTAGAAATTTCCCACTCATTAAAGTTAACGTCGGCATTGCCTACTTCTATCAGATATCTCAGACTTGCCGATTCAAATTATGACATTGACGAATTATTCCCAGATCGCACACTTTATCATTTGGAATATCTACAAGTGTCGGCATTCAAACAAGAATCACTTGATGGTTTGGATATCAAGAGTTTGTGCCTCGATAGAGATTTTGGCTTTCGAGAGAAATCGGAAACACTCAGAGTCATTCCATTTGGTGTTGAAACACTTGATATGAGGTTAGCACTCCAGTTCAAACAGGATTCACTTCCATCATCTTTGAAAACACTCGATGTTAACAATATGAACTGTTTCAAACGTCCAGGAATTATTCCAAACTCTGTGAATAATCTTATTATTCGAGAGCGTTGTGAAATAGAAGATGGAATTCTCCCAGATTCTGTTCAAAACATTAAATTGAGAGAAGTTCTATTTCCAACCAAAATGGTTGACAACATTACTATCCAAAATTCCAAAGATAATAAGTGTTCGATTCGAAAACTGGATGATCAATATTACATTGTTTTTGGTCATCAAAATAACCAATTCATTGCGAGTCTATTCCACAAATCAATGCTTTTTGACAAAGAAAATATTGTAAAAATAATTTGTGGTAATTAACGTAAGTGGAGAAAATATTGTACTTATAGATACCCTACTTACATATCAAATAAATAAAAATAAAACATTTGGAGCAAAAAAAAAAAATCGTTATATTGGGTTACAAGCAAGAGAATTGTAACCCACTTATAACACAATGCAGAAATATCACACTTTTCTGACAAATTTAACATAAAAAGAATAGAATTTTATTCTTAAAATATTTTTTTTGTTGTATCTTTAATGAATGTTTGTTGTTTTTTCATTTCATCTCAGCTAAAATGACAATAAACAATAACAATTCAACACATAAATTAGTAAATCTTCCACATATTCTATTATCAAACATTGTTAATAATTTGAAAGATAATATCGACAAGATTTGTTTTAGTTTAGTTTGTAAAAGATGGTTCGACGATAGAAATAGATATCTATTGTTTGATACCGATAGTTTATATTGTATCGATAAAGATATTTCAAGAATCACATTGAATTCATATCGATCTTTAATATCTGAATCACTTGACAAAAAGAAACAACGTACTATGTTAGTCACATCAGGAGAGATCTTTCTCGGTATTTATGATCATTTATTAGATCTAGGTAATTATATTCTTTACAAATAATATCTTTACAACTATTGACTGTTTATTTCAACTCTATTTACTGATTTACCATTATTTTACTTCAATTTTCTTCAGATTCAATTGAAAGTACAGATGAACTCGATCAAAACATAGAGAAATTAACATTGAACAGAGCAATACTGATTAGAAGCGAACCAGTTAAACTATTTACAAAACTTTATGATTTGATTAGTAAATCTAATGTAACTTCTATAGAGGATTGTCCAACTTTAAAACATAGAATACCAATGAATATCACCTCACTGGTTTTCGACCATTATTTTAATGAACCATTGTTCAAAGGTTGTTTTCCACCAAACTTGAAGAAACTGAAATTTAATCACAGTTTCGATCAGGTGATCGAAGTAGGTGTATTACCTGATACATTGGAGAGTTTAGAGATGTTTAAACTCAACCAAATATTGGAACCTGGAGTATTACCGACATCACTGAAGATTTTTAGAATCTGGAATATAGCACCCGATGACTATCTCAAAGTTAGATCGTTACCATCGAATCTAGAGGAATTCATTCACAATTGCAGTGATGTTTCTATCGATCCAGAAGTACTACCAAATTCGTTAATCACACTACAAGATGTACCTTTGTCATGGATGAAGTCAATCAAGTATCTCGAAAATCTTAGGTCCCTAAGGTTATGTAACAATCCTGGTTTATTAGATCTAAGTGATCTACCGAAATCACTAACCAGATTGGACATTTCCTACCCACTAAAGTTAAAATCGGCATTGCCTACTTCGATCAGACATCTCAGTCTTGCCAATTCTGTTTATGACATAGACGAATTATTCCCAGATCGTACACTTTATCATTTGGAATATCTACAACTATCGATATTCAAAAAAGAATCACTTGATGGTTTGGATATCAAGAGATTGTGTTTGGAATATTATTATAAAGGATTGGCTCCAGTTGAGACAGAAACACTCAGATCCATACCATTTGGTGTTGAAACACTTGAGATTTGGTGCGACCTCCAGTTCAATCTTAATCCACTTCCATCATCTTTGAAAACACTCGATGTTTACAATATGAAAAGTTTCACAGGTCCAGGAATTATTCCAAACTCTGTTAATCATCTTATCATTCACGAGAACGGTTCTCATATCGATATAGCTGATGGAATTATCCCAGATTCTGTTCAAAACATTAAATTGACAATATCTTTATTTCCAACCACCAAAATGGTTGACAACATTACTTTCGAAGATTATGATAAAAACTTTTGGAACAATTCTTTAGATCTAAGTGATAGTAGTTGTTCGATTCGCAAACTCGATGATCAATATTACATCGTGTTTGGCCATCACATTTACCAATTCATTGCAAAGTCTATTCCACAAATCAATGTTTTTAGACAAAGTTAATGTTGTAAAAATACTTAAAGATATTAAAATAAAATAATAATAATAATGCTATTATAATTATTACCAAATTGTTTAAAGAACATTTCTTTTTGGTTTTTTTTTTTGTTGTAACTTTGCAACAATTTTTCAAGCTTTCAAATTTAAAATCTTAAATATATCTTAAAAATTGTTGATTGATTTTTAAAAATATATTATTAACTTTATTTATCTTATATTAAAGATTCAATTGGAAGTATTCATGAAATCGATCAAAACATCGGAAAGTAATACAAAGCAAGGAAATGCGAGATTGATATGATTCAGATAAACTGTATACAAAACTTTATGATTTGTTTTTAAACCCTAATATAAAAAAATTTTATTTTTTTTGGACCCATGCCAAAAAGTGATTTTTAGTGTACCCTCATATAAATTTTTTGTTTTTTTTTCTTACATCAAACCTATATAAAAAGATGATGGGAGAACAGGAATTGAACTCTCATTTTGAAAAAAAAATAGAAAATTGCAAATAAAAATGATTTTTTTTTGACCTTGATTGTGACAACATAAGATTTTTTGTGAAAATATCAACAGATCGAAATTTGGATTTCCTTATTTGTGTTGAAAACAAGATAATGCGCAGACGAAAGGTCCAATATCACACTTTTCTGACTAATTTAAAATAAAAAGAATAGAATATTTATTCTTAAAATATTTTTTTGTTTTATCTTTTAAAACAAAATTTTTTTTGATTTGCGATCATTTCATCTCAGCTAAAATGACAATAAACAATGACAATTCAACACATAAATTAGTAAATCTTTCACATATTCTATTATCAAACATTGTTAATAATTTGAAAGATAACACCGACAAGATTTGTTTTAGTTTAGTTTGTAAAAGATGGTTCGACGATAGAAATAGATATCTATTGTTTGATACCGATAGTTTATATTGTGTCTATAAAGATAGTTCAAGAATCACATTGAATTCATATCGATCTTTAATATCTGAATCACTTGACAAAAAGAAACAACGTACTATGTTAGTCACATCAGGAGAGATCTTTCTCGGTATTTATGATCATTTATTAGATCTAGGTAATTATATTCTTTACAAATAATATCTTTACAACTATTGACTGTTTATTTAACTATATTTACTGATTTACCATTATTTTACTTCAATTTTCTTCAGATTCAATATGAAAGTACAGATGAACTCGATCTCAACATAGAGAAATTAACATTGAACAGAGCAATACTGATTAGAAGCGAACCAGTTAAACTATTTACAAAACTTTATGATTTGATTAGTAAATCTAATGTAACTTCTATAGAGGATTGTCCGACTTTAAAACATAGAATACCAATGAATATCACCTCCCTGGTTTTCGACAATTATTTTAATGAACGGTTATTCAAAGGTTGTTTTCCACCAAACTTGAAGAAACTGAAATTTAATCACAGTTTCAATCAGGTGATTGAAGTAGGTGTATTACCTGATACATTGGAGAGTTTAGAGATGTCTAAACTCAACCAAATATTGGAACCTGGAGTATTACCGACATCACTGAAGATATTAAGAGTCATAGGTGAAACACCCGACAAATATCTCAAAGTTGGATCGTTACCATCGAATCTAGAGGAATTCATTCACAATTGCAGTGAGGTTTCTATCGATCCAGAAGTACTACCAAATTCGTTAATCACACTACAAGATGTACCTTTGTCATGGATGAAGTCAATCAAGTATCTCGAAAATCTTAGATCTCTAGTGTTGACTGATGGTACTGGTTTATTAGATCTAAGTGATCTACCGAAATCACTTACCAGATTGGACATTTTCCACCCACTAAAGTTACAATCGGCATTGCCTACTTCGATCAGACATCTCAGTCTTGCCGATTCAAAGTATGACATTGACGAATTGTTCCCAGATCGCACACTTTATCATTTGGAATATCTACAACTATCGGCATTCAAAAAAGAATCACTTGATGGTTTGGATATCAAGAGATTGTGTTTGGAATATTATTATAAAGGAGTTGAGATAAAAACACTCAGATCCATACCATTTGGTGTTGAAACACTTGAGATTTGGTGCGACCTCCAGTTCAATCTTAATCCACTTCCATCATCTTTGAAAACACTCGATGTTTACAATATGAACTGTTTCACAGGTCCAGGAATTATTCCAAACTCTGTTAATCATCTTATCATTCACGAGAACGGTTCTCACTTCGATATAGCTGATGGAATTCTCCCAGATTCTGTTCAAAACATTAAATTGTCACATATCTTTATTTCCAATGATTGACAACATTACTTTCAAAGATTTCAATGATAATGAGTTTTGGAACGATTCTGGTTGTTTAGATCTAAGTGATAGTAGTTGTTCGATTCGAAAACTCGATGATCAATATTACATCGTGTTTGGCCAACACAATAACCAATTCATTGCAAGTCTATTCCACAAATCAATGTTTTTAGACAAAGTTAATGTTGTAAAAATACTTAAAGATATTAAAATAAAATAATAATAATAATGCTATTATAATTATTACCAAATTGTTTAAAGAACATTTCTTTTTGGTTTTTTTTTTTGTTGTAACTTTTAAAACAAATTTTTTTTTAATTTTTCTTCAAATTTAAAATCTAGGTAAAGAATATATTAAAAAATTGTTGATTGACCATGATTATATTCAAAAATATATTATTAACTTTATTTATCTGATATTAAAGATTCAATTGGCAGTTTTCATGAAATCGATCAAAACATCGGAAAGTAATACAAAGCAAGGAAATGCGAGATCGATATAGAGACGATTCAGATAAACTGTTTACAAAACTTTATGATTTGATTAGCAAATCTAATGTAACAAGTGCAAAGCAGTGTCAAACTATAAATTATGGAATACCAATGAATATCACTACACTAGAATTTTCTTTTGATTTTAATGAAGGGTTATTCAAAGGTTGTTTTCCACCCAATCTGAAGAGATTGAAATTTCTTGGCGGTTTCAATCAGGTGATCGAAGTAGGTGTATTACCTGGTACATTGGATATTAGGTTTATTATTATCATATTGTTATGTTAATCCTTACATATCAAAAAAAATAAATTAAATTTATATATAAATATTCAATATTGAATTAAATATGGTTAATGAGAAAAAAAACCGGTTTTCAAAAAAAAAAAACTTTCTTTCATCTAACGAACCCCTTATAAAACGATGATCGGCGAAAAGGAATTGAAGTCTACTGTGGAAAAAAACAGAATTTGCAGAAAAAAATTATTTTTTTTTGACCTTGATTGTGACAACAACAGATTTTTTGTACCGAGCTTGAAATATCAACATATCGAATTCCATTATTCAAATTTAAAACAAATTTAATAAATACGAATTTTTTGACTCGAAATAACATGTTTTTTAAATTTTTTATACAACATTTTGTTTTGGAAAAATCCAAGAATGAATTTTTTGTCTGTTGCCCGAATTTAGCACACTTGTATCTTTTAAAACAAATTTTTTTTTAATTTTTGTTCAAATCTGAATTGAGATCATTTTATCTTATCAAAAATGACAATAAACAATAACAATTCAACACATAAATTAGTAAATCTTTCACATATTCTATTATCAACGATTGTTAATAATTTGAAAGATAATATCGACAAGATTTGTTTTAGTTTAGTTTGTAAAAGATGGTTCGACGATAGAAATAGATATCTATTGTTTGATACCGATAGTTTATATTGTGTCTATAAAGATAGTTCAAGGATCACATTGAATTCATATCGATCTTTAATATTAGAGTCACTTGACAAAAAGAAACAACGTACTGTGTACGTCACAAACGATACAAGTTATATTCTTGTTGATCATGTTATAGATTATGGTAAATATATCTTTAGAATTGTTGATTGATTGTTTTATTACTATTATTATTAACTTATCTTTATATATTTCTTCAGATTCAATTGAAAGTATGGATGAAATCGATCAAAATATAGTAGAAGTAACGGAAACTAGTGATATGCAAAAGAGAGAAGATTCAGATCAACTGTCTACTAAACTTTATGATTTGATTAGTAAATCTAATGTAACTAGTATAGTGGGTTGTCAAACTTTAAAACATAGAATACCAATGAATATCACCTCACTGGAATTTGGTTATCATTTTGATGAACAGTTATTCAAAGGTTGTTTTCCACCCAATCTGAAGAGATTGAAATTTCTTGGCGGTTTCAATCAGGTGATCGAAGTAGGTGTATTACCTGATACATTGGAGAGTTTAGAGATTTATACACTCAACCAAATATTGGAACCTGGAGTATTACCGACATCACTGAAGATATTAATAGTCACAGGTAAGACACCCAATAACTATCTCAAAGTTGGATCGTTACCATCGAATCTGGAGGAATTCATTCACAATTGCAGTGAGGTTTCTATCGATCCAGAAGTACTACCAAATTCGTTAATCACACTACATAATGTTCCTTTGTCATGGATGAAGTCAATCAAGTATCTCGAGAATCTTAGATCTCTAGTGTTGACTGATGGTTCTGGTTTATTAGATCTAAGTGATCTACCGAAATCATTGACAACACTGCACATTATAAACTCACTTACATTACAATCGGCATTACCTACTTCGATCAGACATCTCAGTCTTGCCAATTCTGTTTATGACATTGACGAATTGTTCCCAGATCGCACACTTTATCATTTGGAAAGTCTAAAAGAAATGGCATTCAAACAAGAATCACTTGATGGTTTGGATATCAAGAAGTTGTCTCTCCATTATTATTATGATGAGAATTCAGATACACTCAGAGTCATTCCGTTCGGTGTTGAAACACTTGAAATTAGTGTATGGTTTGCCTTTGATATCAAACAGGATTCACTTCCATCATCGTTGAAAACACTCAATGTTCACAATATGAACTGTTTCAAACGTCCAGGAATTATTCCAAACTCTGTGAATCATCTTATCATTGGAGAAGATAAAGATATTGTTTTACAAGAAGGAATTTTACCAGATTCTGTTCAAAACATTGAATTGAAAGCTGCTTATTTTCCAACTACTAAATTGGTTGACAATATTTCTTTCGAAGATGATGAAAATCATAAGTGTTCGATTCGAAAACTTGATGATCAATATTACATTTTGTTTGGCAAGCAAACACACAGACGATACTTTATGGCAGGCCTCTTACACAAATCAATGTTTGAAGAGAGATTCGATGTTATAAAAATGCTTAGTGGTAAAGATATTAGATTATATCATTTACCATAAAATAAGATCAATAAATAAATTTTTATTTAAATCTCTATTAAATTTATCAAAGAAGGTGTAAGTACAGCCAGAATATGCTGTTTCGTAGCACTCATGTTCAGTCAATTGCAGGTATTGATATTAACATGCTTGTTCATGTTTTATTTACGTTCACTCGGCAGTGTGAAATAGCCAATTAATTATTAACATCATTATAATAATTATTTTATTGATATTATTAAATAATAAGTTGAATAGTATTAGGATAGATCTAAAAGTAGGAATGTGTTGCTTTTTTCAGTAAAGAGTTAGTGATAAATGACTATTGGATATTAATTGAATTTTTTGCTGTTGGTATCGTCAATTTAGTGCGAGATGTGGCTGTATTCGGTAAGACAATGGCGAGTACAGCAGTGAACTTGAGACACTTCCTATGAGAGCAGAGAGAACAGAGATAACAGAGAACAATTAAGAGTTTTTAGAAACCTATATGAATGAATATCTCTTTATTTATTTGTTTACCTTTAACTTATAAGTTATAAACTTATATGAATGAGTATAACTTAAAGATAGTTTCTTTGAGAATAAAGAAAGAAAATTTAGGTTCATCTGTGTGATGCTTGAGGATCAGATAATATTTCGATAACATCCCTTTTGGCGTAGCGGGAAACCTGGTTATTTTTATTTTTATTTTTTATATTTTTCCAAACCGCATGCGGACATATAAATAATATTTAAAATGATTTAAGTGCTCGGACCTGGAATCGAACCAGGGTTAGGAGGACCACAACCTCATGTACTGCCACTATACGATCCGAGCTTATGATGATTCTCTTTTTCAGATCTAAGCCCATGAATCTTGAATAAAGAGGTCCTTCTTTCGCCATATCATATATATATAGCCTTGGGTACTGGTTTTGAACCGCGCATATGTATTCACTTCACCTTTATTTGGGTGGGTGAAGTTCATCATGGGTAATAGGGTTCTAATTCACCCGCCAACACATGTTCTCAATGACCAAAACATGTGTTGTGTCTGACCAATCAACGATCCTAAGAAAATAGCTAAAGCCAATCCAAACCATCTCAACAATCTCAATCCAAACCATCTCAACCATCTCAATCCAAACCATCTCAAGCTAAGCAATTAACAAAAAACTCAACATTTTAAGTGAAAAAATTTTTATGATTAAAGATTTTTTTTTTATTGTATATTATTTATTGTTTGTTATTAATAGAGAGAGAGAAAGAGAAGAGAAGCGAAGAGAATAGAAGAGAAGAGAGAAGAGATATAAATCATGAAAGCATTCTTTAATAAGTTATTAACGAGTGATAAGAATAATAATAATCACAAACAAAATCAAAGATGTTTAGCGGATTCTTTGAAAAAGGATGAGAAGAAGATGAATCATATTTATTTTGATCATAGATGTACAAATAACAAATTAAATATTAACGATCGATTGTTTATGAATGAAATATACTCTGGTAGACAACAAAGACTTAACAGCAGTAGTAGTAGACAATCCGACTATCTCGCTTGTCTAAGCAATACGAAATGTGCATTGGAATCACCCGAAACCAAAGCAGCAAGAGAGAATCAAGATTCTCATTTACTACAAACAAAACTAGTGGAATTAAATAGTTTTATTAAATTAAATAATTATACAGAGGTATGTAATGTTGTAATAACAACTATTTAATTTCGATAGATTCGATTCTTTGTGTTCTGTATATTAATATAGTTCAACTATATTTAGATGAAGAACTTATTAGATGATTTAATGGTTATTGTAAATGATACAACGTTAATGGAAGAGTTGGTGGATTTGAAGTGCCATCTGTTGTTGAATGATATCTTGGTTAGAAATGAACAGACGATAATGGCACCGAGAAAGAAAAGTCGTTCTTGGAGAAGAGAAGATACATTGGATCAAATATTCCTCTCGGTCATCTATATCTTGAATCAAATCTGTTCGACACAAACCAATGTAAGTGAATGGGCATTCGAAAACACAACACTCATCAACCTCTTGGTGTATTCACTGAGGAACCCAATCACCGCAGAGACTGCAGGTGCTTGTCTTAACGTACGTATTAAACAACAACAATAATAATAATAATACACAATTGTCTAACTTTCAACTTATATATATATAGTGGATATTTTCAATTAAAAGTCCATATGATCTTAGAAGAATACATAAACTATATGAATTTATCGGTGAGTTGGGTTCGGTTAGTCTGTTTATCTTTATCAAGGTGTTGTCTGCTTGTATTCATCCGCCAGATCCCAACGATGTCCAAACCATTCAGAAATCAATTGAGATTAAAAATACACAATATCCATTGTTTCAAATTAATCATTGTAAGTATATATATTGATAAAAAGTTGATTTATATATGTATATTAATAATAGTAATCATCATAATCTTAAAGCTTTATTATTAAATGCACCTAAATTAATTGAGAAAACATGTTTACTACTGGAGAAATCGACTAATCCGAAGTGGATACCACCTTCACTGCGACAGAACAATGGATTTACGAATGGCGGCGATTGGGATAGTCTGGATAGCTACGTACCGATGCATTTCAATAACGATCATATCCTAATGATATTCCAAGAGTTGAATCTCGACTCTGAAGGTATAGAGCCGTCAACTTACCTTAAACGCTACACCAACTGTGTGTTCCAGACGGAGCTACTCGTTTTCCTCTATGGTATCATGAACGGATCACGAAAACTTCAAACACTCTTGCTGATACAGAAACTAGGTTTCATACCGACACTCTACAAGATTATCAATAGTATCGATTGGACCAAATCATATTCCGATGAGTAAGTTGTTACTTTAAGTAAAAAGTCAATCAATCAATCAATGTCTAATTGTTTTTGTCTATCAACAATAACTACTACTAGTTATAATCCATTTCACATTCAAAAGATTCAGTCTTTGCGATATATTATATTGTTCTTTGATGTCGAAGTAATGTCGATTTTGAATGACTGCCTCTTGATTCCACAGTATGAAAAAGACTATATCAATGGTTTGACAAAGATGGATCAATCGAAAACCTATTGGTTACATTCAATCTATCAATCCTATTTGAAATCAAAGCATATTGATAAAGAAAGGTAAGTTAAATAGTTAATATAAAAACTATCGGTAGTAGTTGTTAACATATTAATATTGTTATTGCTTGTTGTTTTTTATATGCGCAGAACTTTCTTGATGTGTTGTATTCAATCATCTTTAAGAATGTCAAATATCCAAGTGAAACAATATTATGTTAATTTCGGTTTGATGGATTCACTCTACCAAGAGATCATCGAACAGAAACAACAGTTCTATCAGATGAATTTCGATCTGCTAGGAGAATTGCTAAAGAACAACTCACCACTGTACCATGATTTCACAAAGCGATGTACAGCCGATCCAAGTTCATTTAAACTACTCCAAAAGATTGTAATGGAGAACATTATCGATGCCAATGTATTTCTACGTGCAATCCTCTTGACTCATTCAGAATTACGATCATCCAATCAACTTAAATTCCAAGTAAGTAATCAAAAAAAAGAGTGTTATAATAGATTAAGGATCATTCAATTAATTATTACTCTAAATTCTACTTTTAAAACAAAATAGGATAATGAATATATTTTATTCGATTATATTGTCAGACAACACAGAAACAACATTTTAGAGACATTGATAGATAGTTTATCAGTTGAAACTTTACATTTAGAAAGTAAGTAAAAACATTAAAGTTAATAATAATAATATAAACTTATTAGTTAATTAATAATTATTTTTAATAGATCTATGTTGTTTAAATACTTTCTTGTTTATCTTACATGTATCAAAGGATTTCGGATATTTTGATGAATCTATAGTTGTATGTAATAATGATAATCGTTAACGATTTATTCTGATGATCACATATAAGTTTACTAACTTTTAACTTAATAATAGATGTTAAAATTACTTTGTAGGAATTCAACTGCTTTCACACAAAACTTTTTAGGTGTATTTGCTCTTTGGAAGAGTTTCTATGATCAAAACTCAAGAGATATCTTTAGTTTGGAGTACACTTCGAAATTGAAATTCCATGAAATCGCCAACCTTGTTACAATGATTGAAGAACAATTTACTGAACTTAATGTTTGAATCGGAAATAAATTAAATAGTAATAAAGTGTTCATATTTTATAGTAACTTTCAACTAACTAATTTAATCCATTCTTGACTCAAATTGATACTAATTACTTAAGAGGAATATATAATATATTGAAAAGATACTATGTGAAGAAAGAGTTTATTTATTTTTTTTTAAATATATTAGATTTTCTTTCAAAGAAGTACCAATGAATGAAGCTATGTTCAAAGACTATACAATTTCAAATACATATGTCGTTGGAAAATAACAATATCGAATATATAAAGATAAATATTATTTTCCAACAAAGAAATTGATTAATACCTATCTAAACTCATTAATTAATTAAAAAAAAAACAAAAAGGGAAAAAATTTTTGGAAAAATAAAAAATAAGCCCAAAACTTTCTTTTTTTATTTGAAAATGGGTGAAAGGGTGGTTCTGCAAAAAAAAAGATTGAAAAAGATTTAAAACAACTATTTTGGTCATTTAAATTTTTTTTTGAAATCACCAACACAATTGTGCCTTTATAAGAATCAAGTAAACAATTGTTTTGTTTTTTATCAGTAAAATTTGCATCACAAAATAACAACATCATTTCAACAAACGAGCATCATATATCTTTATCTTGAATCATTAAAATAAATAAGTGTGTTGTTTTTATTTTTTTTGCCACCAAAACAGTTATTATAATAAAAAGATTCAAAAAAAAAAAAAATATAAAGTAAAGTGTTGTTTGATAGTAGTGTGGGGATTGCAATAGACAAAAGATAATAAGCTGTAAAATTGATGACTATTTTAATCAAAAGATTAGATTAGTTTATATATACTTAACAAGAGGTGCAAACATTTTTTATAATAATATATTGTTTTTAAGATAAAAAACAAGGTGATTGTTTACTCCTTTTTTTATTTTATTTATTATTCTTATTAATAATATTTACAAAGTTTGTTTTAAACAATAACGCGTGCACTTACGACAGTTTGTATTTATAGTCTATATATTATTTATTTATAAGTTAAAAATAATAAATAATAAAAAAAACAACAACAACAGAATAACCATAACAAATGAAAGAGAAACTATTGATTTCGGTCAACGGAGGAAAGAATTTAAAGAAAAAAAAAACATGGATATTATGTATGTATGAAAGTCTGATTTTAAATTATAAAAAAAAATATTAAAATAATATTAATATTTATTTATCTAACTAAATATCAACAACAATATTGTTGACCTCTTCATTTATATTTCATTTTAACAGTAAAATTAAAGTTACACGACGCAAAGTATAAAACAAAATATGTATATGGTGGAGAGAATGTTGTGTTTCAAAAAGAGACATTTATATTGTAAGATTAGATTATAAGATTAGATAGATAACTTTAGATAGACGAAGATATATTAATTAACTATTTATATATCTAGTGAGGTAAATGAAGATGTTTATCCAGCAGGTGATTTAGAGATTAAAGTAAAGACATGGGAGATGCTAAAGAAGGGAGAGGTGTTTGCATTTGCAACGGTACCGTTGGCACCTATCACATCGGAGATTAGAAGTATTGGATCGAGTGAGTTTACAGAGATCAAGAGTTATTCGATATCGGCATCACTCTCTGATAGTACATCTTCAGTGTCATCGACAGCATCGTCATCCACCACAACTACAACACTATCGGCATCGGCGTTGGCCAACAGCAACAGCAACAGCAGCAGTCACATCGTTACAAACAACTCGATTCAAAAGAGAATTGCATTGAAATCAAAGAAAGGCGATGAAACAAACAGTGATCTAACGATATCTTTTGAATTGGTACCAGAGAGTGAATCATCTACAACAATGGTAAAGTGGTGTTTATATATTAATATAACAAAGTTATTATCAGGTTATTAACAACAACAATATTATTATTATTATTATAATATTAGAAATCAATACCATTGTTATTTAGATGGTTTCCAGATTTACCACATTCAGAGACAGTCATCTCAGAGTGTTATTGTACAAAGGAAGCAAAGAAAGCAATTAGTATGTCACACAACGGTACGATGTACATCACACAGAATTACCTGTGTTTTAGAAGTCCTTCGCATCTAGCAAAGAACAAAAAGACAATGATACACTTTAAGGATATTACAAGGATTAAAAAGAAGATTGGTTCTTTTTATCTACCGAATGCAATTGAAGTTAGAACATCAAAAAAAGTAAATATATATTATTAGTAATATATCAATTCTTTATATAGTTAGTTACTAATATTTAATTACTTTACTAGAAATATTTATTTGCATCGTTTATACATAGAAGTAAAGCATATACTTTATTGATAAATCAATGGAATCTACATGGTGGTAGTGAGAGAGACAGTGGAAATTCAACTATAGATGAGGATGACGATGATAATGAAGATGATGATAATACACCGGATTTAGAGGATGACGAAGAGGTGACATCGATCATGGTATCGCCATTAAAATCAGGTGGAGGCGGAAGTAGTTTTATTTCCAATGTTAGATCGTTGTCTCCACTTTCAAAGTTGACTGATTCCACTGGAAGTAACAGTAGTAGCAGCAGCGGTAGTAACAGTATCAGGAAACCACGTTCACAATCTATGGGTTCAAACAGTGCATCTTTGACATCTTCCTCTTCGTCAAAGTCACCAAACAAACCTGGAACACCCACCAACTCCATCACTGAATCGAAATCAAACAGCTCTGGCAATCTCAATCCGAATCAACTGAAACTCATCATTGAGATTGAGGATTTCGAGCAATTCGGAACCAACAATCATCTTATGATCAATGTATCCAAAGACAACACCATACAAGATCTTCTTGATAAATTGAAACTTAAATTAACAGTATCAAGTAAGTTTAGTTTATTTTGAAACTAATTAAGTAATAGTTTATTAATTGTTATTTCTTTTATTTTATCTTCCTAGGTGATGATAAATTCAATCAGAATTATATATTAGCGATTGGAAAGTTGAAAAAGAATAAGAAGAATAAGAGAGGATCCGGTGTTTATCTTCCATTGGATCAATTGATGATGGTAAACCAGCCGTTGGAAGACGATATCACATCGTATGTCACATTGTTACATCGTGCCAAGTCAACAGGTGGAAATGCAATGGTAGAACGTAAATTCATCATACTCGATAGACATAAGCAACTGTCTGCTTACTCTTTCGAGAGTCAAGATATCATATTCCTAAAGAAACCAAGATATATCGAAGATGTTAATTTATGTTTTGAAATAGTTGAAGATGTATGTTATATTATATAGAGTCTATCAATTTACCAATTACTAATCAATTACTAAAATTTCTATAGAAATCAAAAGTTATTAAATTGATATTGAATGTTGATATTAAGATTTCAGAGATTTTCAAAGAGTTATCAAAGTATTATAATAAGAAGTTTTTTGTTGCCGATTACTATTTATATATTCCAAAGAATGGAGAGAGAGGAATGGTTTTGGATTCAGAGATGACGTTGGCAGATTACAATGTCGGTTCGAATTGTACCATTCAAGTTATGCGTTATCCTCCATTCGATGGATTCACTCAGAAGTTCAAATACAGCAATTCAAGATCGAAACGTTCATTACTCTTTGAGCTGATTCAATCTTGTTTGACACTGTCGATTCCAACCACTCAGATGCAACTGATGGACAGACCACAAGAGTTTCTCGATCGATTGCAACAGAAACTACAGTTGGACGATGTCGATGCAAAGATGATCACAGCCAATGTTCTCTCGATCAATTCCTACAAAGACGAAGGTTTGCTGGTGGAGTTGAAGAGTAGATGTGAGATGTTAATGTCAAAATACGATGTCGATCCATATTACAATGCAGAGTCGTTAGGTGGAAATAATGAATCCTACCAGATTTGGCGAAGACTGGAACTGAATCATGTTGTTCATCTCATGAAGAATATCATATTCAAAGAAGATTGTTTCTATGGTGTTATATTTGTGCGATTGATTGAAGCAGAGGGTCTGTCATCGTTGCCCATCAACCAGTATTGCATATTCTCAACACCCTATCACAGAGTAAAGTCTACCACTCAGTTGAATACCAACGAACCGGAATGGAATCAATCGTTTCTACTAAAGTTGAAGAAACCAAAGGGAAAGCTAGAGGTTGCTGTTATGTCTTCAACGGCAAGTACCGATACACTGCTCGGAAAGATCGAAATCAATATTAAAGACCTAGAGGATACCAAAGGTAGTCCTAAAGATATGTGGTTCTCACTTCCCACCAGCGGAAGAATACATCTCTCGCTGGAGTATCATTATCAATACAGCGAGTACAATGATTATCTCAACAATATACACTCAACAACGACAGGTGCCACAGATGGATTCATCGATCAATCACAAGAAGAGAATGAACACAATCAACAACACTCAGTTAACAAAGCCAATTCAACAGCTACAACAACCAACACATTCGATTTATCAAAGCATATACCAATCGATCATATTGCACTCTACAAAATACTATTCAATTTCATCATTGAAGAGAGAGATAGACTGGCCAAGTTGAACCAACCCACTTCTATAACCTCATCTACAGATACATCATCGACAACAGAAGCATCGATTGAGTCCAATGGTAATATTGATGATTCAGATTGGTTAACTATTCCATTTAGATCATTGTTAAATCAATATTGTATGAGATTTGGTGTTTGTAAAACATCATCAAATATAATGTAAGTTTATTATAATTGTTATTTACATATATTCATTTTCTAATAATGAAATTTATTATTATTTTTTAAAAATATAGACAATTTGAAGTTATGGTAGAGAAATATTCAATTGAAAAGAATTATATCTTTGAATTGGAAGAAGTAACAAATACTATTCTTGATATTCTCAATGGTAAAGATGAAGGTGTATTTACTGTCAGTGAATTGCAATCACTCAAACAATCATTGGATAAATTAATTCCAAAAGTAAATTATAATATTGGAAGATATTATGAATCATTCCCATCTGTAAGTTAATAATGTTACTAAAAAGATTAATTTTCTCATATTAATTACTAACCAATTATTTTTTATAAAATAGAATAAACCAAGAGGATGCCTTAGAAGTTTAGTAAAGATTTTTGAGAATATCTTGACATTGCGTGGAATAATCAATAAGAATCCTGTTACCAATTTCAGTCAGAGACTATCGTTGTGTGTTCAGGAGGAGTCGAAACGCAAGTTTGAGGAGAATATCGCTGCACTTGGTTTCATGGCGATGGAGTACGATCAGAAAGTAAAGGAAGTAGGAACCATCACCAATATGTTGGTGGAGGTTATGGCTATCATTACAGAGGAGATTGACCAAACTATACATTTCGAATCGGCATTCCCTCAGGATGTAAAGATTACTTGTGATGTCATTGATGCCTGGGGTGATTGTATAGTAAAAGTTATTGAGGATTTTTGTAACTGGGCACCCTACTCACCAAGCATTTTGACACTTGTCAAGAAGCTGTTGGACTACTACAATTTCACAAAGAAGTTGACAGGCGATAGATTCAAACCGTTGCCTTTGAAACAACTGTTTATCACCTATGTATATAAACTACTCAAGGCGATCAAGATTCAGTTGAATTTCAAGCTGAAGGATTCCACTGAGAAAGACGACAAGAAATCAGTGTCAATCACTCAAGGTGTATCGTCGAGTTATATTCTATTCTTTGAGGCATGTGATGCTGCCATCAAAGATTTTTCATCTCTAGCGTGGCTACCGGATTCATTCTCCTACGTCCAACTACTTGAAGTTCTAACTTCAGAGGTTATCAACTATTGTCAGATCATATCCGAGCAATTCGAACATTATCTAGAACATACCGAGGTGGAACAACATGGCAAACCGACTCTATTCACTCTCAACGTTGAGCCGGTTGTAATGCTCAACAATTTGGATGCTGCCAAGACTCGTCTAGATCTCTACGGTCAAAAGATTGAGCGTGACCTAAACAGACATCTTGGAAGTAGTCAGGCTGCTCATCTCGATGAAAACTCCAAACAGTGTGTCACCAATTCATTCAAGTTGTGTATGGAACAATCACAATCGATTGTCTCTGAATTCTATAATCGATGTATTCAATCGCTTTCCGATCGTATGAAACAACATGTATTCTATCAGTTCCAAGAGGTATTGTTTAGCGAACCATTGGTATCTCTCAACAGTCATCTGAACGTTGCCAACGAAGATGATATCGAGAGTGGTGTAGTCACTACCCAAAATAGCAATGCAGCAACCGTTTTGTTTGAACCGGTACATGACACATCTGTACTTCTCAACAATGCAGGCTCAGCAGCTACATCCACTATTCCAACAACAATCAAGACTAGCATCAATAACAAAGAGAATCTTAAATACGAGAAAGCAATTCTCAGCGTAACCAAAGATTTCCTTTCACCTAAAATCGAAGAACTCTATAGCAAATTGAAAGAACCACTGTTCAAATTGTTTATAAAGAAACTTTGGGGTGAATTAATAGATGTAAGTAACATTAATACGCGTTTATCTTTATTATATATTTAACATTCATTTTTTTTTTTTAGGATTTATTATATCTTGTTGTACCAAGACCAAGTGATCTGGTGTTATCATTCCACAGTCAACATTTAATTATGGCGGATGAACAGATTTCAATTGTAAATAATTGTTTGAAGGATCTAATTATTATGTTCCATAAAGGTGGTGCAGGTTGTCCAACACCGACTTTGGAGGAGCGATCCAATCCATTGAAACATATGTTGATTGCAACTGGAATGGAAACAACCCCACTCATCGATTTGTATAACCAGAGAAAATCAATGGTTTCTTCAAAGACCATGAGTCTCAACACTGTTACCAAAGACCATATCATTGGTATTCTTGGAACCAGAGTTGAATTTGACAAAGAAGCACGTACTTTTGTCAACAAAATCAATGGAGTAACAGAGAAACCACTAGATCCTGAAGTTGAACAAATCAAAGTTGTACCAGAAACTGAATTTATCATTGAAAGTAAGTAATCAAACAATTTATTAATCTCAGTGCTATTATTGATTATTAATTCAATCTTTTCAATAATAGGATATCATTGTTCATTAAATGGTCAACTTGGAGTATTAATTCTAAGTAGTCGTTATTTAGGTTTCCAAAATCTATTGAAAGAAATCGGTGTAAAGTTAGGTACTAAACTTTCCGTTCCTTTGGTTAACATTGAAGAGATCAAAAAGACCAAAATCGCGTTCCTATTCAATGCTATGCAAGTCAACACCAAGGATGGTAAATCATATACTTTTACAGGATTCTTTGATAGAGATTCGGTATTCAGAGATCTTTCCAGTCAAATGAAAGTTGCCCAAAAGAATCAAAAATAACTAAACAACAAAGAAAAAAAAAAAAGATACATGATAGATAATCTTTAAATCTTTAAACTTTTTTTTTTTTGTTTAAATTATTATTACAGATTCAAATAAATAATATCTTTATTTATAGAATATATGTTCATTATTAAAATTCATCAATATTCAATTTGATTGCTTTCAATAATTTCGAATGATTATACTTATTAGCTTCGTTGATGATATTCTGTTTCCATAGTTGATTGTTCTTTGGGTCAGCTACGTATTCGTACATACGATAGAGTTTAATAGATCCAGATGTTCCGATTTGTTTTTGAAGTTCGAAATGTTTGTAATTTTCTTCGGTTATTGGTTTACATTGGTGTTTTTCAATTGCTTCTACCATCCAATCAAAGTCACCAAGATAAACAAATACAATTGGATCGACCAAAATACGATATTCTTGAACTGCCAATTCAAACTCTTCTTTCAGATGCATGATAACCATGTTATCGATATGTCTTTCTGTGATTAGCAAGTTTTCTTTTCCATACATCTTGTAAAGTTGCAGGAAATTCTTGGCAGTGTGAAAGTATTCATTGGTCAATCTATTAATTCCATGAGACGGTCCGAGGTAGACAAGATCCATTTGTCCTCTGATCAATGCACCAGTGAAGATAACACTGTTATTTTGATTTGGGATTGGTGGGAAATTACGAATTATATAATCAACTGTTGTTGCATTACCACGTCTAGCTTCCTCCATTAGAACTTCATATTCTATCTTTGTATTTGGGAGATTACTCTTTATGAGTGTGAGAATTTCGAGAGTGTCATCTTTCGATAGAACTTTAATCGATGGTAATGTGTCTGGTATATAATCAATGAATTCCATAATCAATGAAATCATTCCATATCCAATTAATTGTTTGATAATCGTTTGTTTTAAATTGGTTTTGCTAAAGATATTTGAATCGATAATAGCATGTATGAAAGTTGAATTCCTAAAAGTTACCAATTGATTGAGCGTGTGTGGTAGATTTGGAGAGTTGATTTTCTGAAGCAGTAATACAAGTGAGTAGAATGCCATTTGGTTATCAGACAGATTGTGTGGATTGACAGTTCGATCGAGAAATAACATTGCGTTAATAACATCGATATCCAATGTTCTCCAGAATTTCTTGATACACAGATAAACCATTACGTTAAAGTGATTCCACGTAAACTGTTCAACATTTATATTAATAAGAGTTGTTTCGTATAGATTCATCTCCTTTTCCAGATCCAATGGTGAAATTGAATCCAAAAAATATTCAACCACCCCGAGATGGTTGATCAACAGTATTCTCATTACGTCTGTCTTTTCCTTTGGTTTGTAATAGCTAGAATGTACAATTGCCAATATTGTATCTCCATTCCTACTTGAGAGTGCCTTTTCAAATAATCTATCTAGATTATCAACAACAGGAGAATATTTCTTGGCGATGAATTTGACTATTTCAGCTTGACCACATTCGACTGCCAACTCGAACAGATTCGGAATAGAGTTGAATTTTAACAGCTTCTTGGCACCTACAATCGTCAACTTTTGAAAGAGAATCAAATTGTCAAAACGAACTGCCGCTTCTAAGAAAGCTATAGCACAGTCTGAAGTAGAGTCCGCCAGATATTCAATGAGTGATTCATCTCTAATTTTTTGGGCTGCCAAATTTAATGCTTCTGTGCTCCATGTCAACTTGTGCTCGGTGTGATAACGTTCAAGGAACATCTTTAACTTGTAGAACAGTGCGGTGATGTAGTTGTTCTTGAGCATCCACTCTGCACTCTCTAACATCCTAAAGCTTTTATTCGTATACATTATTGCGGGGTAATAAAGAAATCCCGCAGCAAATAAACTCTTTGGGAGTGCCAAGTGATTGGTTCCCCAAATATATTTGCAATTGACATCTCTAACATTTGAATATATATTTTTATATAATATCTTATTATTAAATACTTTTTTAAATAAAAATGTTATATCTCTTTGAATTATATTAATATCCATTTTTTAACAATATGGTTTTATAATTTAAGGTTGTTTTTTTCAACCGTTTTTATTTGGATATTTTTTAGTTTTTCAAGAAAAGAAATTTGCCCAGGATCAAAAAAAAAAAAGAAATGATCTGATTAGTTATCGATGGCCCTTTTGAAACTACGGTGAAAGTTATGATCAAAAATTCTATAGTTGATCTTGAAATAATAGTACGAGTGTACATCGAATAATCGTAGTTCATTAGAAAATAAGAAATGACTTTAAAAAACTACTAGACTTGTAGATAGTTAGTCTATGATAAATTTGAATTAAAAAAAAAAAATTACAAAATATCTTGTGTATGAATTATTAAATCAAAAAAAAATCCTATTCAAATTCTAGACAAATGTTAATAAGAAAAATATTTTGAAAAAAAAGTTTTTTCTATATATTCCTTTTTTAGAAGTTTACTATTTTTTGATGGCTTTAAAAATGATCACCATTTTAAAAAATAAAAAATAATGAGAATTAATTGCCTAACAAGAGACCACCATTTTTTATAAACAATAACAGTCGCCTAATGAGGGATGAAAAAGATAGTTCAAAAAAAAATATCTTGTTTACAAAAATCATTTTTAAATAATCTTGAAAAGAATTATGTATTTATTGGTGATAAAACTCTTCGTTGAAATCAGATTTTTTTAATAAAAACAAACTTGAACACAAAGGTTATTTATTTTTGTTTCGATCAAAAGTTGGAATAGGTTGTTTTATTTTCATTAACTACCTAAACATGAATATCTACTCAATAACCATTCTACTCTTTATTTTAGTTGTTACTGCTTCAGGACAGTTTTGCAAGTATATTACTATGACTGCTTGGACAGCAGAAACACCCGATCAGTATTATTCTTGCACAGCCCCTGTCAGCCAATACGGTTTTGGTAACTGCCAAAATAGCGAAGGATACTCCCTTTCAGTATCCTCCTTCAGTTCTCAATCAAATTTAGGACCCACTGGTCAAATTTCAATGATTGATAGTAGTCCCTATACAACTGGTATGTAAATTTTATTATCACTATCCTAAATGACTTCTAATAGATATTGTACATATTAGTCTCTGGATCTCTTTTCCAGGTAAACTCGACCTATTGGGTAAGCGCTCTCTCTGCTTCATGGTATTGTGGCAACAGTGACAACTTGCAGAGTTTAACAATGAATCTTAATGTCTATTGTGTTGCATAGTTAACAAATCAAAGTTCTAAAGTTTATTTCACCCAACAATAAAATGTGTAAATAGACCATGAAATTGAAAGTTGCCCAAAAGAATCAAAAATAATTAAACCAAGATATTATCTTTAAATCTTTTTTTTTATCGATTCAATGAATAATATCTTTATTTATTGAATTCACCATTAAAATTCATCAATATTCAATTTGATTGCTTTCAATAATTTCGAATGATTATACTTATTAGCTTCATCCAAGATGCTCTTTCTCCATTGTTGATTGTTCTTGTCCATCACGTATTCGTACATACGATAGAGTTTAATAGATCCAGATGTTCCAATTTGTTTTTGAAGTTCGAAATGTAAATGTTTGTAATTGTCGTCGGTTTTTGGTTTACATTGGTGTTTTTCAATTGCTTCTACCATCCAATCAAAGTCACCAAGATAAACAAATACAATTGGATCGACCAAAATACGATATTCTTGAACTGCCAATTCAAACTCTTCTTTCAGATGCATGATAACCATGTTTTTGATATGTCTTTCTGTGATTAGCAAGTTTTCTTTTCCATACATCTTGTAAAGTTGCAGGAAATTCTTGGCAGTGTGAAAGAATTCATTGGTCAATCCATGGATTCCATGAGAAAGTCCTAGGTATACAAGATCCATTTGTCCTCTGATCAATGCACCAGTGAAGATAACACTGTTATTCTGATTTGGGATTGGTGGGAAATTACGAATTATATAATCAACTGTTGTTGCATTACCACGTCTAGCTTCCTCCATTAGAACTTCATATTCTATCTTTGTATTTGGGAGATTACTCTTTATGAGTGTGAGAATTTCGAGAGTGTCATCTTTCGATAGAACTTTAATCGATGGTAATGTGTCTGGTATATAATCAATGAATTCCATAATCAATGAAATCATTCCATATCCAATTAATTGTTTGATAATCGTTTGTTTTAAATTGGTTTTGCTAAAGATATTTGAATCGATAATAGCATGTATGAAAGTTGAATTCCTAAAAGTTACCAATTGATTGAGCGTGTGTGGTAGATTTGGAGAGTTGATTTTCTGAAGCAGTAATACAAGTGAGTAGAATGCCATTTGGTTATCAGACAGATTGTGTGGATTGACATTTCGAGTTAAATATAACATTGCGTTGATATCATCGATATCCAATGTACCACTGAATTTCTTGATACACAGATAAACCATTATGTCAAAGTGACTCCATGTGAAATGGTCAACATTTATATTAATAAGATTGGTTTCGTAAATATTCATCTCCTTTTCCATATCCAATGGTGAAATTGAATCCAAAAAGAATTCAGCTACACCTAGATGATTGAGAAAAAGTATTCTCATTACGTCTGTCTTTTCCTTTGGTTTATAATAGCTGGAACGTGCAATCTTCAATATTGTATCTCTATTCCTACTTGAGAGTGCCTTTTCAAATAATCTGTCGTGATTATCGATAATGGGAGAATATTTCTTGGCGATGAATTTGACTATTTCAACTTTACCACATTCGACTGCCAACTCGAACAGATTCGGAATAGAGTTGAATTTTAACAGCTTCTTGGCACCTACAATCGTCAACTTTTGAAAGAGAATCAAATTGTCAAAACGAACTGCCGCTTCTAACAAATGTAGAGTATAGTCTGAAGTAGAGTCCGTCAGATATTCAATGAGTGATTCATCTCTAATTTTTTGGGCTGCCAAATTTAATGCTTCTGTGCTCCATGTCAACTTGTGCTCGGTGTGATAACGTTCAAGGAACATCTTTAACTTGTAGAACAGTGCGTTGATGTAGTTGTTCTTGAGCATCCACTCTGCACTCTCTAACATTCTAAAGTTTTTATTGGAATACATCTCTCCTGGGAAAGAATGTATTCCAGAAGCAAATATACTCTTTGGTTGAACCAAGTGATTGGTTCCCCAAATGTATCTGCTATTGACATCTCTAACTTTTGCAAATATATTTTTATATAATATCTTATTATTAAATACTTTTTTAAATAAAAATGTTATATCTCTTTGAATTATATTATTATTATTATCCATTTGTGTAATTTCATTTTATCCTCCATCCAAAAAATGAAAAAATTTTGCATAGCTTTTGAGAGAATACAAAACAAGGTGTGTTTTCTCTCATTATTTTTGGCAAATGCACACAAAATGAAACAACACGTTTGTATACTTTATAGGTGATTTTTAACAAAATGATTAAATTTAAAAAATTCAGTAGAATAAATATTCTGAAATTTTTTATTTTTTCAAGAAAAGAAATCCCTCTTTTACCCAGGGTCAGAAAACAATAAAAATGATCAGAATAGTTATCCATTTTAGTTTCAAATTTATGATCAGATTTTTGTTAAAACAAAAAAATTAAAAAAAAGTGTTGTTTGAACCAAAAAGGGTTGTTAAATTCATTGAATTATTTCATTCACATGATCAGATCAATTAGTATCCAGTCAGATAGATCTATAGACTGTAATCACTACCATGACAATCATGATATTGATACAAGTTTAGTTGATCTTGAAATAATTGTAGACGGTAGTAGTAGTTCATCGTCATCATCATCATTAGTAGTAGAAATAGGAAATGACTTTGCAACACTACTATGGGAGAGTAGTTTAGTACTCAGTTGGTATCTTATAAATGTTGAGTTTGCAGGTTGTACTGATTGTTTAATACACCGACAACAACAAGAGCATAGAAATAACAATAGCAATAATAGAATTATAAGAACAATAGAGATTGGTGCAGGAATTGCTCTACCTTCGCTAGTTGCATGTTCACTCGGTGCATCTGTTATCATTACCGATAGAGAAGGTAGTACAACCAACAGTATATTCCAAGGTATCAATAGTAACATTCAGCACAATCAACAACGATCATTGAAAGGTAGAATTCCACCAACACTCATAGAACTGTCATATGGTATCTTTTCAAATGAAGTATTATCTCTACCTCCTGTAGACTATCTATTTGCTTCAGATTTATTTTATAATAATACCAAAGGTAAGATTTAAATCTTATAACAATCACGATCGTCATTTTTAACTAACTTGATTACATACATTTTTCATTCTATAGATTATGACGATATCTTTGCAACACTTAGTTATTTCATTAATATCAATCCAAACATTATTATTTTACTTTGTTATCAAATAAGATCGTATGTACATCTCTCTCTCATTTAATTACTATTCCATTTTAAAATCTGATTCTAATAGAACCTATTATTATAATTTATTATATATTGATTATTAGTGTACAAAAAACCATTTCACATTATCTTTATAAATGGGGAATGATAGGTGAATCAATATTAATAGATTTCTTGCCAATCGATCAAGAATTGAGATCAGAGATAGAGTTGTTCAAAATAACATCAGCAAAAGTTAGTGAAACCAATATGAGCTCAACATCGATTGTTGTTGAAGATTCTGGCTCAGATTAAATTTAAATTGTTGTAAAATAGTCAAATATATTTATAGGTTATAAACAAATTAATTACAAGATAAGATAGAATGTTGTTTATGGTGTTTAGTTTTATTGAGTTTTATTTATGTTTTTTTTTGTTCATGGTCATGATCCTATTCATTCCATCATATTATTTCCATTTAATACAGGTACTGGTACTGTGATGTCATCGGGTGTGATAAAGTCAGCATCGATATCTCTGCATGTTGTGATGGCATAGAGAAGTTTCTCTCTCATGATCTCCTGTGAGCTGTAGTTTGGAAGTGTGAGTGTGAAGAAACAGGTTTGTGCTTCCGGTAGGTATTCATCTTGATTCTCATCGATTGACATTCTGCTCGATGAGCCTTCACCGTGCAGTCCACTCTCGTAGTCGTCGTCGTAGAAGGTCGATTCATTGCGAATGAACACTTGCAATTGGAATTGGAAGTTGAATTCGTTCGAGGGCGGCAGACGTGAACGTCCCCAGACGAATCGGAGGAATAACGTTTGTTCCTCCGAGGAGAACGATTCGAGCGTGCGCCAGAACCAAACGACGCGTGGCTCATTCGACGACAGTCCATAGTAACGAGTGTGACGTTTCAGCAGTTTGAGATCGAGTCCTGGCATGCCGCAGACGCGCATCTCCAACTCTTGCCAAGTGTAGATGTTGAGCATGTGCAGCGGAACGATCGATGCTACACCTCTCACCATCGCGTCGATCTGAAGTTTGAATTCATTGAGCTTGTATTGTTCGAGTAGCTTTACAAACTCGAGACGATTGCTCCATGTCACCGATTGATTCTTTCCGTCTTGAACGAGCTCCACTACGCTGTTGTCAATGGAACGAGTTGTGAAATTCTGGAAGATCAGCTCGTTGAACATTTCCTGATCCAAAGAGTTGCGTCCAGTCGGTGACTTTTCCATCATTTCAAAGAGGTTGGTCGAGTATTTATCGATCGCCTCTAGGTCTTGACGATCGACTTTGGCGCAGACCAACGACTTCCAAAAGATCGAGGGGAATGAAAGTTCAATGCAATTCTTGGTACGAATGGCAATACCGATGAGTTTACCAACGAATTCATAGAGATGAAGAGAGAATGGCGAGTTCTCCGATGAGTTGGGTACGAGTTTATCACGATTGAATGCAACGTCGCCCTGTGCATTGTGACAAGGTAGGAAGAGATTCATCTCCGATCCTTGAATCTCAGATATGATTTGTGTTATGCACTCGCGATAAGGACCACCTGCATCTCTGGCACCTTCACGCTCCAGTTTCACTTCGAACGCCCTGTCATTATGACGGAGTCGCGACGGATCTATCATTCCAATCTGGCGGAACAGCTGAAGGAATAGCGATTCCGGTTGATGGTGATGTGCCAGCTGTTGATGCTGAAGCAGTAGGTGTTGTTGTTGATGGTGATGTTGATGAATCTGTTGAGATTGTTGGTGTAGCAGATTGAGGAAATCGCTATTATTGAGATTCGATTGATGATGACTGAATCGGTTGCCAAGCATTTGTTGGCCGGCCGAAGTCGACGAGCTTGCAGGACCGTAGAGTGATCCATGGCGGTTGAGATAAACAATGGGACGACGTCCAAATGTTCTGGAATTCTGTATGGCATTGCCAAGTGCTTCAAGTTTGTGGTCGTAGAACAACAGACCACGAAGACTGCACAGCCTATAGGCAATCGACCAATCTTCACTGGCACCACGCAAGTCAACATACTGAAGGAATGATTGAACACATGTATTGAAATGTTTCAGCACATTGAATCTCAAATACAATACCAAAGGATCCTTAATTTCATACAACAATGGGAATAATATTAAATATTCAGTTGTACAACATTGTTCAAATCTATAGAAAATTATCAAATTGAGGAGAAATTGAGTGAGTGAGTGAGTTTTCTTCTTCAGAACAATAGATAATAGATAATGATATTATTACTTACACTAATTGAGAAGGTGTCTTCTTTTGTTTCTCACAGACTGTGTTTACAAATTTAACTAGTTCCAAGTCGAGACTGTGATTCCATGGTTTCGAAAGAAGGAATTCAATTTCTTGATCGTACTGCTGTTCATGTTCCTTTTGGACTTCTTCAGTAAAGAGTGGTGTCACTGTGAATCTGAATCCCCATTCCGATTCGTGAGAGTCAGAGTAGAATGACCAAATGAAACGATCGCCACTGATTAGGATCGGTGTCTGTGGGAAGTCACCGGTAAAGAAACCAAGATCATCACCTCCCGGTGTGATTCTCGAGAACATGAGATAGTCGACATACGATTGAGTCTTGGATTTCGGTTCGAAATCAACACGTAGTGACACGGCGTTCGGTATCACAATGTTGGCTGTTACACGAACACCTTGAGGGTATGGATGTGGACTGTCGACCACCTGTTTGAATCGCGTCTCAATGAATGCTTCTTTGATGAACTCGCGATTCAATCCTTTGCCCTTGAAGAGATTCTCAAGAATCTTGTAGGTCTTGATGATGCGGTGGAAAACTACACGTGGATCCTCGATAACTATATCCTTGTTATCCAACTTGTTGTTGGAATTCGACAGCAGATTGTTGCTGCTGGCAACAAGAGAGCTACCAATAGTAGGTCCACCACTACCACTACCACCACTGCCGCCGCCAACTCCACTGTTTGTATTGATATTGACAGTGTTTGAGGAGGAACTGGAAGCAGATGAGGAACTGGAAGTGGATTGGTCCAAGTTGATAGTTTGCCAATGAGCTTTGTTGATTTCCGAGTGAATGCACAGCTCAATAAGTCGTTGTAGGTACTGTGAGTAGAGTGTGTTTGTTACGTTCAAATTAGTTTCGAATCGGTAGAGTTTGAACATCTCTTCTTTGAGGTAATCAAGCTTGTTGGTGTTTTGTGGCACTGCCATCGGTGCTTCACGTTGTTTCTGAAGTACACGTGTGAGGAAGTTGATTACTTTCAGTTTACGATCCAGCGGTTGATTGTTATCGAGATGATGCATTAACAACTCGATCAGGTCACTCGAGAAGAAGTAGGGATAGCGCGCGATAAAGTGGCTTGGTTCCAGTTGGAGTGCCCAATCCACGAGGAAACACGCAAATTCAAAGTTTGGATTGGGCAGTAGACTGACGTCACTGGTACGCAAACGTATCGGGGTGACAGTGAACTTGTATCCCCATTCAGAGTTGGGTGAATCCGAGTTGAAAATCATCCAGAATTGACCGGCTTGAACGAGCGTCGGTGGGAACGAGGTGATCTTTCCGCAGAATGAAGCGATCAAGTCGGTACAGCACGGATCGTAGAAGAACTTTAGCACACCATAGCCAGGCTCAGTGGTTGTGCGAGAGTCAAACACCACGAGCAGCGATAGAGCACCCTCGACACGAATGATCTTTTTGCATTTGTAGTTTGGAGGGTATGGATGTGGTGATTCCTCGTTGAGATGAGGTAGTTGTTCGTGAGCGGTTTCCTTCAGTTGCAGCGAACACTCTTTGACGAGCATCTCAACCAGCGAGTTTGATGAGAGTGTGTTGGATTTCGAACGGAACGACGCACTAGAGATACAGGCGCTATTGATAATCTGTAGCCAATCGTTCAACTCCTCTTGCGAGGGTGCTTGGAACAAGTGAGTTTTGTTTGAGGCAACTGTCACTTGGAAACAACAGTCCTTCTTATTGAATATCTTGTTTTGCTTGGGAATCGATATCTGTGTGACAGAAACAATGTCACGCAAGTCGATCGATCCAATCGGCGAGAGTGAGAATGTGTCTTTCGAGAAGGAATGCAATCCCGTTGGATTGGCAGAGTGCGCGCCAATTGTCGATTGGGATTGTTGAGTTTGACTCTGTGATTTGTAGTAGAACAGTGCATCACTTGAGAGAACAACGAACACACGTTTCCAAAGTTTGATAATCTTTTGTTGTTTCATGAGATTACCGGTTTTCAGTGGTTCTCCAAGTCCGCTGTTTACACCAAGTACCGGCGGCTTGTAACTCTTCCATTTGGTGCCTTCAGTGCTGGCACTCAACGAGTTGGAATTGGCCTGGTCAACAGACACTGAAAGACTTGAGGTAACAGTGAGTGACGAAGACAATGACAGTAGATTCTTCTCGGATGTTGAAAACGACTTTTCCAACTTGTCGCTCGACGAAGATTTCTTTCCACCACTACCACTTCCACTACTGCTGCTACTACCAATACTATCTCTCATACTACTTAAGCTTCCAGAATCATTGTTATTATTGTTGGGAATGTTAGAATCTAAATGGTGTTGATGTTGATGTTGTTGAGATTCCTGTCGGACGAGCAGCGTCAACTTTGATTGCAGTAGCTTTAGATTCTGTAGATCCTTTTGCATGAGAACATTGTTACTGATGTTACTAAAGAGTTTGGTGATGTTATTGTTGACTTTACTCGATCCAGCGAAACTGTTGAGCAGCGAGGTGTGAAGCGTCAACTTGAGAATGTAAATGAGATTCTTGGCACCACCGAATGAACTGTAGGCAACTTTAATGTTGTTGGGAAGTGAAACGAGCAATGAGATCAATGCTTGTCTGGCAAAGAGAATGGAGAGAGCCATCTCTGAAGATGCATCCAATTGAACGAGTTGAGCTTGTGAGTATTTATCGATCGATTGTAACGGATTCTTGGAGGAACGATCGGAAGTTGGTGGGAGAATCAGTATCTCATAGCACAACCACCAATCGACAAGTGAGAAAGTATCCTCATCCAACAAGGTAACAAGAACCTGTTTGTGTTTCTTATCGATGTTCTTGACGATTCCAACGGAACCGATGATACGATCCATGTCCAACACCCAATTGCTTCGACACAGTCCGAGTTTCTCACGTTTTCCAACCATCACTGACATTCCCACTTGAACTTCCGTCCACGGAATACGTTTTCCTGGAATTCCTTCTTCAGGAATATCATCTTCAGTGATATTTTCATCGTCATCCGTTGTAGTTCCACCGCCATTTTGTTCAACTTCATCCTCTGGATTACCATTGTTATTGTTACTGTTGTTGTTGTTGGCAACTGCATTGTTGGTATTGTTACTACTACCACTACCTCCAGTATTACTATTGTTATTATTATTATTATTTGTAACACTTGATGAATTAGCAGAGTTTTGACGTGATTTAACATCACTTCCTTTCTTTTGATGTCCACTCAGACTGTTACCACGACTTCCACTTCCACTACCATCTTTACTCGATCCGCTGGCATGATGATCTTCATCCTGATTACGATTGGAATCTAGTGAATCATCACCCTCCAAGTCAATCATTCCAAACTCATCGAATTCCTCGGTTTCATTCAACTCATTGTCCTCGTCGATATCGAGTTCCGTAATGAGCGGTTCGTCAAAGCTGTCCGACTTTTTCATGGACATTGAACTGGCGGAAGCAGCAGCAGTTGCAGCCGATTGCGATTCACCTGTGATGAACAACTTGAATGAACTATCATAGATACGTTCCTTGAGAATAAAGGAAAGACGTTCCATCTTTTCGATCTTTGGTTCATCCAAAAATTGAATAGGACGACCCAGAGCAAACTCCACCAATATCGGAATCAATATTTCATCCAAAGTGTATTTGGCACACTCTGGATACTTTAGCAATGAACCTAGAATCTTCATAACACGCGACTTTATAAAGAGATAGATGTTTCTTTGATTGGTTCTAAACATCATGGTTGTTGCAGTTGATGTTTGATTCTTTGAGGATGACGATGACGATGAGGAAGTTGATGAATTAATGTTGTTGGAAGATGAGGAGTTGGAATTGGGTGGACTGGCTAACAGTGGAGGTAAAGAGGTTGTGGTTGGTCTGAGGAATACAGAGAGCGATGGAAGTATTGAGGATAGCGACGGTAGGAACTGACTAAAGTCGATCGATACCTCGGTGATTGGCTTCAGGTATCGACGATGGTGAACAGTCTTGGTCAGTTTGGAAATATTGCTATCGAGCAGTACACGACTTAGATTGCTAAGTGGCGAATATTCAATGACGGTTCCGTGTTCGAATCGACCGGATCCCAGCTCCACTTGGACTCTGGCGCCCACCCATATACCATCGAGGTGACCCGCCAGTAGCGTGATCGTGGAGAACACATGCAGGAGTGACTGTGTCGAAGGTGGAGCAGTTGGTTTCATCGTCTCAAGAACAATGGTAGAGGGCAACAGCTTCAAACCGTCTTCAATATGCTTCTGGAGTGACGGTTTCCAGAGTGGAGTGCGTAGGAGTATACGCAGGAGCGAGACAACCTCGGAGACGTAGGAGAGTGCCATCGAAGGTTGATTCTTCTCGGTGAGTGCGCTCTCCAAGTGTGAGGAAATCAGCGGTGTTATGTCATAGAGGAATGGAACGACATGGCCAAAGTTGACGGACAACGATACACCGGCACCGAGTTGGACAGCCGGGAAGTAGTCGCCATAGACATTCTTGAAAGCGGTTCCAAGGTATTTACCGTTCTTGGTGAAGAATACTTTGCCTTCCTTGCGATTCCATCCACATCCAATGACATCGTTACGAGTGAATGTCGTTGCGTAGATACGTGAGCGATACGCGTTGATTCTATGACAGACTTTGTGGCCGTCGCGAGCAGAGAATCCATAGCCATACTTCCAGTCACGAAGTGAACGCAACTGCGCCAAATGATTCATTGGGAAGAGACCAACGATACAACTTAGTTCGCGACTCAACGACTCATTGTTGTCGTTCTCAATCTTGACTTCAAAGTAAAAGAGTGGAACGTTCTCGGGGATCAAGTTGTCAGAGCGCACAATGGGCGACATCTCATTGGTGTTGTTGGTGCCTGAGAATGTAGCGATTTTGGCATCGTTAGAGAAACGCAACATCGTTGTTGCTGCGCCGCCACTCGTATTATCCCAACAGGAAGGGAACACTGTTGTCTTGTCAAACATCGAGAAGTAGGAATGTGACGAATCAAACTTTGTACTATGATTGTTACTAAAGAAAAGATTGTAGTTTGAAGAGGTAATAAAGAATCGAGGATCGATATACTTTGAAGTATCCAATAGATCCGAGGAGCATCCCCAATAACTTATTGCACCAACAATATCAATGAGTAGATTGAACAATGATTTCGAGTTGTTACCACTGCCACCAACTGTGTTGGAACTGCTGTTGTTGCTGTTGCTTGAATTTGAGTTGGACGATTGCGAAGTAGTGGAAGAGGACAACACTGCTGCAGCTGCAGGCGATGGAGTTGAGCTGGAAACAGGACTGGCTGTCGACACTGACGTCGGTGGAGTAGAAGATTGCGATGTGGAATTCGATCGTTTAGAAGAGACCACCAATTTGTTGGGTGGAGCATACGGAAGAATTCTTCTAAAGATTCGAAGTGTCAACTTCCGGTGAGTTTCATCACCGACCTGCAAGATACAATGGAATATATGAAGGAACGACGGTGATATCAAACGTTGTTTCACCGAGTTGAAAGCAGAGAGAATGTAGAGGAGTGACAATCCATCACTGAAATCATAGTTTAGGGTTGTACGTTCACCTCTCATTATTCTACGTCCTTTGTTGGCGATCGACGTCGGTGGTGAAGAAACGGCGGCTGGAAGATCGGAACCTTGCCAATAGGTCTTGTTCTGCTCTTGCAGGTAGACCAGTGAGGAATCGAGTTGTGTTTCCATCAGGTGGAAGAATGCATCTCTGAGTGTGTCCAACGAGCGATTGGTAGTTCCAAGCAGACTCAACATTGAATTGGTCATCGAGGTCTGCTTGTTGTTATTGTTTGGACCACCATCGACACAAATCAATCCGAGGAATCTAAACAGTGCTTTGGCATTGCGTTTCAACTTTTCTTTTTCGACGCGTTCCTCCTCGACGAAACCAGAGTAGTTGTTGTTGGCAGAGAACAGGTTGCTACTGCTACTGCCACCACTGCCAATCGAGCTTGAAGATTGTGAGTGGAGCAAGATCGAATTGATAGGAGATTGTGCGCTCATTACACTGTGGCTACTCGACCACAATCCACCCCAAATCGAATCGTTTGTCATCAATCCGTGAATCTTGTTGAAGATGTCGACACTCGTCAACAAATCTGCGTCTTCCGATGTGAAATTCAGAGTGAATGCATCGAGAGCATACAGTTTCAGAGTGTAATCACTGTTTGGATCTTGTAGCAGCGACGCAATGTCTTCCATGAGCGCACGGAAGTTACGCTTGATGTCTTTGAATAGACGAGATCCACAACCCTGAAGATGGTCGAGATAGTGGAATGGAGGAGATCGCTGTTTCACCAGTCCACTGTTTCTGAGTGCCGGGCCAATATAGCAGAGTGTCTCATGCTTCATGGTGTGATCGGATGCACAACGCAAGATGTCGATCATCGCCTGCAATCCAATGCTACGAGTGTAGGCACGTGAACGTCGCCCAACCAGAATCTTCTTGATATCCTCAAGCGAGACATTCGACAGTACAAACTGGATAACCGCGGAAACTATTTCATTCCAAATCTGGCTGTTGAGAGTTGCACGCTCCTGATCCTTGGGAGTGGGATTCGCCAACAACGTTTCATTGTCGAAAAACAGCGATTGCAACTCCAACAAAAACATTGCTTTCTCCAGAAGTTTATCGGTTATCTCCTTGTAGATTGTTTCCCTCAGGGTTGCATGTGCATGGATCGATCTTCGCTTGGCTGTTTCATCCTCGGGAGCAACAACAACATTCGACGTTGAATTGATAACGTTATTGGTGTTCAAATTCTCTTGGTGACGTTGGATAATTGCAGTACGGATTTGGTTCACCGACTTCCAAACATCGATGAGCTGTTGTGGTGGTTTCAACTGAGGTTCGGCGGCAGCAACGCTGCTGGAACCACTTGAACTTCCAGCACTGCTAGTGGAACTGGTGTCGCTAATCTCACTGGCAGCCAGTGCCATTTCCTTGGATTTCGCTTGCATAATTTCCAACGCGAAATTCATCGCCAGTTCACCCAGGCCAAGATGTTTGAGCATCGCTGCAATAACCGCTTGTTGCGCTGTTCTAATGTTGCCTCTACCACGCACTTTCTCACCGGTGATATACTGCCACATAAAGTCAGAGAGTGACTGTGAGAAGATCTCTCCGGAACGCTTGGCAAGCGATACCAAGAAACGTTGAATCGCTTTCCACTGTGGAGTCATCAAGCTTTGCGGACAGACATTGACATCGATTGGGTAGGGTTGTGGCTGTGGGTTTGGATGTGGACTGGCAGTGATACCGGTGTCACTTCCAAATAGGACATGTGAAACATACTCCTCTTCGACACCGCCACTAAATAGCGGTGACTCTAGGATGGCGCGATTCTCCAGTTCCAACTCACTGAGCGGGTCGCCACTGATGAGCGACGCCGAGAAACGACCTGCCAGACAACACATGGTTTTCTCAAGATGCGAAGACCATGGCAACGATGTCTTATCGGAATTTGGCATGTGTCCAATGATGTTGCAACGATATCCCCAGAATGCGTAAGGATTGGATGCGCCTGTTGCCGAGCCGGTGATGAATTGGAATACGACGGTGTCACCGGGAATCAAGATACGACGCTTTGGCCATTGAGCCAAAGAAAATTGGTCGATAGGTTCTTTGGAATCTGCAGATTCAAAGATCTGGAGAAGATCGTCTGGTGTGCTGGTGGACGACCGCTCGTCAAACACCAGCGACAAGAAGACGGCACCGGGAATCGACACCAGCTGACGAGTATTCATAAATGGATGATAGGGATGTGGCGATTCAGAGATACGCGAAGGTCCCTCAACAAAACTACTACGTTTTTGTAGAGGTTGTCTTCCGAGTTCCGGTCGATTCAACAGTTTTGGAAGACGACGGTTGACGCGATCCACCACGCCAATCAGAGGAACAAGCGAGGGAAGCAGTTCTTTGGCCAACCAGATATGATAGGAAAATAAAAAGAGTGAATGAATCAGTGTTGGAAGCAATGCACCGACCACCGAAGATTTAAAGTCTGTGAGGAGAATCGATTGATTCCTCTGAGTCGACTCAGAGTCGAGCACGCCAAGCAACAGCTCCTTACACTTGTCCATGAGAAGTCGCGAGTAGGCAACCAGTGCTTGTGACGGTGCATCGGTTCCAACAATGGAATTCTCAACTCTCAATATCAGATCTTTCTGAATTGCTAGGAGTAGTCGCATGGCTGGCGACGATGTGCTCAGAGGAGGTGGTGGTGCCGATGAGAAGAATGAGAAACCAAGATGCGACTGAGTGGAATCGTGTCTGGACAACTGTGGTATGCTCTGCTTGGGAATGGTGGCCTGTGCTTCCATAAGCAAATGCTTGATAATCGGAACGAAAAGATTGAGAGGATCGAACGGTTTGTCCGACAACTGATACTCGGTTCCCTCGAAATTAAACACAGAGAATGGCGACGGAATCTCAGAGAGTAACGGTGGCAATGCAAAGAACGATGCATTTGGATGGTTTGCCAACAGCGATAACACCGAGTTCAATAGCATCGAATAGCCTTTCTCACGTTCTTTTTCTTTGGTCGGTTTCGTTCCGGGTATAGTCGGAAGCGATCCAGCTTTTCTGTGATTCATCACCTGTTCCAGCAAGGTCTTTACAAAGTTTGCTTTGTCCAGCGATGTTGGATAGAAAAGATCCAAACCAATGGTGAGAATCTCACACGATTCCTCCATGATCGTATTGAATTCCGGTAGGATCTCTTTGGAGGTTCCATTGGTTTGTGAGGGCAGTGCAGAGAGCGACGACTGCTTCACTAGTGGTGGAGGAGGATTGGAAGACGATCCTTCGACACCGTCGATGACGAAACCCAAGAGAAGATCACGCAATTGATGTAAGAAAGTCTGATCGATACACTTCAACAGTGAATCACGCGATGAATCTTGGTAGTGTTGTTGACTACGCTCCAAACTCCTGATGTTCGAAGTCAGACGGAACAGATTGACTTTTAGCAATCGCAAACAATAGATGATACAGCGTAGAATGTCAATGGTTTTAGGTGAGGTCAATGAGTAGCCGATTCTCAGCTGTCCTTGATAGTGCTTCAGAATGGAGTACAACTGTGAGAAGGTATTGAAGTTCACCTCAACACTGTACGGTTCGTTCAGCTTGTAGAGATGATGAATCGTCGATGCCGAAGAATGATTCGAATTCTCAGAGACCGACGGCATATAATCGACGGCCAGTCTACTCAGTATGCCAAGCACTGTTGAGACAACCTGCTTTGGCTCCATACCCATATTGTCATCGGATTCGACCATCGATGTTGTAATGGTAGTTGAAATCATTGTTGCGTTTGACGATGTCGTTGAAGTGGTAGAGATTGTCGAGGTCGATGTCGAGGTCGAGGTCGAGGTGGACGACGAAGATGTCGAGGTGGTCGAGGAGCTGCTGCTACTGCCGCTGGCGCCCGTAGTAGTGGAGGAACGCGACAATATAATAGGGAAGTTGTGTTTGGGACCGAATCCCTCGTTTCCATAACGACCGATTTCCGATTCGCTACTGGAGTAGTTCCATATGACGTTGTTGACAAAGTCGTAGGTCGAAGTGATACCGATCGGTTGATTCTCCAGACAGTAGTTGCCAACGAGCGATCCATCGCTAAGACTAAACGCGCGACAAATATACGATTTCGTATCGAAATTGTAGTCGGTTCCAAGAGGTGGCGGTAGAACCACCATCAGATAATGTCCGTTGGTATAGAACGATCCCAGCTCGAGCACCGCCGGATTCAACACTAGCTCTTCGTTGACGTCGGAATCGGGATAGCGCAGCTCGATTCTCTTGATGTGTTTGAAGCTGGCGAACGGGTCGTACATGTCGACGATGAACTGCTTGTTGTTGTAGCTGTGGAATCGCTGCAGCGTCAGGATGTAGATGTAGCGGCCGTCGGTGAACATAGGGGAACGCGTTGTTATCTGGTAGTGCGGTGTGAGAAAGATCGATTCGTCTACAGAGGACTGCACTGTTTCCGCGCCAAACGGCAACGTTAGATTGTTGGTGGTGTTGAGTGAACCACCGCCATCTTGGTGGATGCGCGCAACCTCTTGGAGAGTGAGCGGATCGATAACAATCAACGCCGCAGGATCGGTGGATGGCGATCGATAGTAGAGATGATTACCGACCGATGCCAACCAACCCTTCTCCTTTGGATACCAATGTCCGTTACGAGCATAGATTCTACCCTGATGTGTTCCAAAGTAGCCAGTACCGATCTTTGCCAGACCACAATTATCATGAATATAAATATAATCACCGTCCGAAGTAATCGTTGCAATATTGGTATTCGGTGAAGACAAGAAAGACAATGAATCTTCAGATGCATTATCATTCCATAATATTGGCCATGTTGCTAATAATAATAATAAATAGTTACAATAACAATCATTAGTAAGTATTGTTGTTTTAGTGGTGGTGGTGATAATAATAGATTACGACGATCTATGTTAACATACCAAATAATAAATCTCTAGATAATGGACTTAATGGTAAATCTACTTTCCATTGTTCAAGTTGTCTAATGAATGGAATCAATCTCAATGAGATTGGTTCTGTATTATTACTATTGTTGTTAATATTGTTGTTATTAATGTTGTTATTAGTATTGTTATTACTACTACTACTATTTGATGTATCGGATGTTATATGTATAGATTCTGGTATGCTACCCATACTACTACTCTGTCCAGTACTATTAGTCTTGAAACTAGATATATGAGGTGGTGGATTCAATCTATTAGATGAATTATTAACACCATTCTTTATACTATTATTACTGTTGTTACTACTACTATTACTATTGTTGTTAATGTTGTTGTTGTTGTTCGGTTGTGTTTGATTGCTATTATTACTATTGTTGTTCGGTTGTGTTTGATTATTGTTTGTTTTGGTATTACTATTATTACTGGTGCTACTGCTGCTGCTGTTTGGTGTCAATTGATGTTGATGTAGTTTGTCGGGCATGATGATGAGTGAGAGTGCGAAAAGGATGGAGCTGAGCGCACCTTGACTGAGTGCCAGTGAGATGAGTGACTCCATTGCTTCACGTTTTATATGTACAATGTTGGTGGCGATGGCAGAGAGTAACCATCGAGTGAGACTATCGATGCAATCTTGTGGTTCGCCCGCCATCGACAGCGCCGGCAACTCTCTAATCATCGAGTTGAATGACTTTAGCGTAGGCAGCGATATACGCTGTTCAAACACCTGCTCCTGCAGTGTTGTTATAAACAATCGACATGCTATCCTAATTGAAATCGGTGGTGTATGTACTTTCTTTGTTCTCGTCTTTGCTTTTGAATGATATACTGAATCAAATAACTTGAATCAAATCATAACATAATAATAGTTGTTTTGTTAGTTAACTATAGGTTGTTTGTTGATCAACAACAATAAATTGATTGAATAACTTACTTTCTTTCTTGCAATTTCTCTCTTTAGTGCTAGATGTATACGCTTTAGAATACATAGACGCTTCTGTAAGAGTGTTGAATAGTATGCTGTGTTGACGTTGGACTGTGAGTAAAGATCTTCCAGTATCAAAGTGGTAGTGATTTGATGAGTGTGAAATGGATCTTCGTCAATGAGATACACAGGTATATTCTGTCGATTCTTGTATTCCTCATGGAATGGATTGTTGTTGACTATCGTCTTGTTTCCGCTGGTTGTAGATTGTGAACTACCACCACCTGCTGCTCCTCCTCCTCCTGGTGCTGTAGAGTTTGGTGAGTTAGCATTATTAACATTTCCACCTGCTGCAGATGATGTTGTTGTAGTGGTAGTCGTAGTGGTTGTAGTAGTTGAATTGCTATTATTATTACTATTTGTTACATTGTTATTGTTGTTGTTGTTGCTAGAGGAAGATGAAGATGAACTTGCTTGTTGTTGTTGACTGTTATTCTTATTTGAATTTGAATCAACATTGTTGTTATTGTTGTTGGCACCGCTTCTTCTTTTGTTTCCGCTACCAGTAGTACTGTTGCTGTTGCTGCTGTTGTTGTTGTTGTTATTGTTGCTATTGTTACCAGAGACAGGTCTACCAGTGTTATTATTACTATTTACAATATTGGATGAACTATTTCTCTGGTTGTTATTGGAGTTTCGTGAGTTGTTGTTGTTGTTGCCACTATTGTTTCCTGTTGCGACAGCACTGTTGTTACCGCCTACATTGCTATTGTTGTTGTTGTTGTAATTATTGTTATTGTTATTGTTGTTGTTGTTATTACCAGTAGGTGTGTTTAGTGTCATTGTCGATGCAGAAGTTGGAATAGAACTCGGTTTTGTTCCTGTATTACTAGTGTTACCACCACCTCCTCCATTGTTGTTGTTGTTGCTGCTATTGTTGTTGTTGTTGTTATTACCAGAAGTATTATTGGCACTGTTACCTGTTCCTGTTTTCGAGCTATCTTTACCAGAGTTTCCAGAAGAGGAACCGCTTGCGGTACCATCTTTATTCGACTCTTGAACACCGCCATTCTCATTGCTATCGGACAACTCGGTGAAACGATCCTTATAGGAAGGGAAAAACGACTGTTCTATCTGCTCAATCGATTTGAAATGATCTGCATCCTTAAAGTTTGAGAATGGTTTACTCTGAAGCATATAGTACTTTTCAATCGTAAATGAATCATTGAATAAGTTCTCCTCCGGTATACCAAGCCATACCTTATCATCGACACTAACAATTATTATTCACATTATTAATTATTATTGTATTGTTTTGTTAATATATTGTAAACTACTCTTTTTTTTTTTTTTCTTAATCTATCATATCTATCTATCCATCTACTAATTATATCTATTACACTATTACACTTTCCAATTTTAAAAATAAAAACTTCACAAACACACACTCACGCTCACTCTTCACTCCACTCTCACAATCACTTCCAACTTTAAATTTTGTTATATTTTTTTACCTTGTCAATGTCAAAGTACGAGGAGAGAGATCAATTCTCTCCTTTGTTTGCAAATTACCCATTTATTATGAGTTTAATTCAGTTAATTCTACCTATCTTTTGTTATATTATTACTATTATTACAATTTAATCTAAAAAAATTACTATTCTATTATTACAATTTATTTATTTATTTGAAATCTAAATTTAAATCTCATCTAAAATCTATATTTATCTACTATATTAACTATTATATCTATCTATCTACCTATTTATCTATCTAATAACTTGAAACTATATGTTTAACTTTATTTATAAAAAACTATTAATTATTATTCAAAGAAGTAATAAAATAAATAAATATTCTTAAAAGAGATTGATTTAAATTTATTTATCAATCAGAATCTATATATATTTAGTTGCAAAGATGATTATATTAATACCATTGCAAATGAAATATGATGATGTTGGTGATGATAATTGCTGATGATAAAAATAAAAATTTTTTAGATTGATTAATTTTTAATAATTCATTAAAAAAAAAAAAAAAAAAAAAAAAATTTTTAAAAAATTTTATAATAAATTGATTGATTGATTGAGTGTCTTTGTTTTATTTTGTTTGTTCTACACTAAATCTCTCTTTATATTACTGTAACATATAATTTTGTTTGTTCAAAACAAAACAAAACAATATGAACTAATTTGATAGATTGATCAGAGTTTTTTTTTAATTCATATTATATTTTTATCATAATTATTGTTGATTTGATTGGTTGTTTTTGGTTTTGGGTGTGAATTGTGTATGCACTCAATAAAAATAAAATTGGTTTCAATCAAGCCCCAATAATCACAAATTTATATATAAAAAAAAAAAATGAATGTTGTTTGAATGGTAACCATTCAATGGTTGGTTCCAACTTCAACCCAATTTCATTCACAACCAAAATCAAACGAATTCGTTCTTGTCATTTCATGTTTGTTTAATTTTAATTTTAATAATAAAAAAAATACTTAATTTTTATACCTTTTTGTTTTATTACCTGATGTTTGTTGTTTATGACAACAGAAAATCAGAGGTCAATGCTTTCCAAAAATTAGTTTTAGTATTATTGACGTAGAGTGTTCGAATTTCCTGTGGATTGAATTCGTTTAGCATAGGTGTAGATATAATTTGTGTCTAAAATAAAAATAAGAATAAAATAATGTTGTTAATGATGATGATGATGATGATGATGAGATAATTAAAAGTTATTGATTTCATATGATAAATAATAGATAGATCATAACATCACACTTAGAACATTAACAAAACAACACACTTTGCACACACACTCTCTTCATACTTCCCACACGCACACACACACACAAACACAGTAACAAACAATTAAAATAAAAATAGTTATTATGCATACCAAAATAGTTGAACGTTTTTGATCTTTTTGTTTGTGTGAAATACTTAGGAGTAATTCAAGAATAGGTAGATCCCATATATATTGATAGTAATTGATGTCCAGTTGGTTGAAATCGTCTTGAATGATCTTAAAGACATTGGAGTAGAGCTGACAATTTACAGGTAGCAACTGGCTGACTATGACTGCTTGCATTGAAAACTGTAACTCTTGAAGACACTGTAGTATTCTCGGTGCCAACTTATCGATCATATGTTCTGGAGTCATTGAATGTTGATGATTATTACTATTACCATTACTATTGCTACTACTATTACTATTATTTCCTAGTGAAAAGAAAGATGTTTCCATTGATAATCCTATTAGATAGTATCTTAGAGCATCTGAGTATCGCTTGGCATCAAAGTAGACATCACCAATCGCACAGAATGACTTGCCTCTATAGCAGTATTTCGATGTATGGCACGGTTGAAGTCCTATCGCATTGATACGTAACAGCGTATTCATAAGAATCTCCACATATTCATTACAGTTAATGTTGATATCGTTTATCGATTGGTTAGTCAAAGAATTCGATACCAATGTTGATAGTTCACCATAGAATTCTAAATTGATTTCGTTATGTGTCTGTAATTAATTAATGAAATTAAAGTTTGTTAAAAATGAATAGATAGATATTATAAATATAATGTTAAAATGTTATGTGTTCTAATTGTAGATAGTTACACTTTTCTTTCTATGACTTCTAAATATATAACCAATTATAATATCAACGATTAGATCCAATAGTACTGTGTTATTTATACAGTTGAGCAATCCGTACTTGGTATTGTTGGCGACAAAGCTGAGCGAACCACTTCCATTTACAATGGGTTGGTCATTAACAATGAGTTGTGCACCATTGTAATAACTAGCGTTAAACAACCATAGTTGTTTATTGAATGTCAACTTTGTCATGAATGTTTGGAATGTATTAATTATATCTTGTATCAATTTAGTTTGATCTATATCTATTAATAATAATAAATATTAATATTAATATTAAAAACAACAACACTTTAATTTAACTTACCCATTATATCATTTGAAGATGTACTACTACTGCTATTATTATTATGATTGGTTTGTTTAGTACTATTTTGATAGATATCGAATTGATTTAATAGAGTTGCAAGTTGTTCAAGTGATAACATTATAGAGATTAGATTTAACTCTGCGTTGTATTGTTGAAGAAATTGTTGTTGTTGTTGCTGTTGTTGTTGTGGTTTATCCTTTTGTAAGAGTAGATTACACAGTGACTGTATCTGTAAATACTGCTTACTATTCAGTAATGTCGTGAACATGCTTAACAACACCGAGTAGTCTGGTAGTGTCGGTTGCGTTACATTAACATTGAAAATCGTACTGAACTTTTCAATAAACAATGTTTGATCTGACACACTTGATTCATCTCCACTACTATTATTATTATTATTATTATTATTATTATTATTATTATTATTATCTATGATTTGTATCAATAATCTTAGATATTCTATTGATTTCATTTGTTTTGTTGATGTTGATGTTGTCATATCTAATACTTTAATAGCAATATTATTCTTTGAATTAGCAGTTAAATAGCATGCTTTCTTATATATTATATTATCTATTTGTTGTGGTGTGAATTTGAATCGTTCTATTAGTATTGTCTTTAGTTGTATAGTTCTCTCCAAATCTACTTCCTCTGCCATAAACTCATTATATACACCTAGAACTGTTACACTTTCATTTGTCTCATCTACCTCCAATAGCTGTTTCTTATTACTATTATTACTATTACTAGTAACACCATTAACTTTATCCTTATCATTCTCCTCAGACTTTCTCTTTCTAAAATTACAACTTTCAACATCTACTATTACTATTAAAGTAGATACTATTAAATTTAAACAATGAAAAGTTGTTTGTTAGTTATTTTAAACTTATAATAAATAGTTTCTTGTTTTTTATATATTTATATAATATCTTACATTTCGATTTAAATACATTCCAATATAGATTACCTAAATTGCTATTATCAATATGTAAAAGTTCATTACCAAGCTTGTTTAGAGTGAACTTTAATCTATTACAATAGAGATCATATCGTTTGTTCTTACTCGACTGCAACTCTTTCAACAATGATTCAACTGTTTTAAATAAATAGTTTATAATATCATTATTATTAAACCATATTAAATCAATTGAGAAATATACTAAATTAAATAACATGTTAGTTATTATAGTCTTAATAAGTTGTTATTGTTTAATATGATAATATATAATTTGACTTACAATTATTAATAGATGATTTCAATAAATTTAAACAATAGATTGAATCTCTTGTTGTTGTTGGTATCGATTTATCTTGTAGTAGGTTCATTCGGAATTGCCAATCAAGGTTATATCCGATGTGACTGTTATTGTTACCAGTATTGTTACCATTACCATTACCGTTACTGATAGGATAGCTATCCGATGTTCTATCGTCAGATGGCAGTATATCCTGATAGAGTAAATCCAATAGCATACTAAAGTCTGTCAGAGCAAGAGCTATCTCCACCTGTGTCGGTAGAGAATCACTAAGCATTACCATCTGCTGCACCATATTCTCTTTAGACGACGATTCACTCTCTTGATATACCTCAACGGAATTAATAGCCAACAAGAATGAGTCGATTCTATTCTTTTTTGTAAAACTACAACAATATAAATCAAAAATTTGATATTAATAAAATATGAAATATCTAACTGATAACCAAATAACAACTTACTCTATGTTATTCTTTGATATGATTGTTAGAGAATGATCAAAGTATTGTTTTGCTTCTATGTAGCTATTTCTGTAGAATGCAAGTTCACCTAGTTCCATTGTGATATGTACGACACAACTGATTAGATCTTTCTCGCTCACCGCTTTCTTACTCCAATTCAGTAGATATTCTATTGATTTCGGAAGTACTTCATCCAATGGTACACCTGATTGTATATTTGGATTTGGTTGTTGTTGTTGTTGTTGTTGTTGATGTTCAACATGTTGACTTGCAATGAATTGTGGTGGTGTAGGTGGTGGTGTTGATGGTGGTGTAGATGGTATTTCATCTCTCTGTACATGCTGTTGTTGTTGTTGTTGTTGTTGTTGTTGTATTGATAACAATGAAGGTGATAATATAGATGTATTGCTATTACTATTACTACTGGGTTGTGCCAATAAATACTTTAGAGCAACACCTTTAATTACACTTCGAATCAACCAACGATGTAAGAATGGTTCATACCATTTTACATAGCCAACGACATCTCCATTGCTGTTGCTCTTACTATTACTATTACCATTTGTATTGTTTGTGAATGATTCGAATAGATGTTCTAATAGAATACGCTGATATTTAATAGGCACAACTCTCTCAAAGTCTTCCAATGCAAATTCGAGTGTTGTCACGACATCTAGTGTAAGATCTAGTAGCATAGTAGATCTATGCATCTGCTGCGATGCTACATACTTATCATACTGTTTCAGGAATGTCTTTATAATCGATTGTGAATCTGGATGATTGGTTTTCTTTTCTTTTAATGCTAACAACTTTATTATATAATATTGTGTTTTAGATATAAATAATTAATAATTGATAAATAAAACATATATTTATAATACATACATGTTGTTTCAATGTTAAAGGATCTAATAGATATTCAATCCATTGATCCGTATAATCTTCACCAATTGCAAGAGCAATCGGTGACAGAATAGTTGGCATTCTATCACCCTTCATTCTATAATATGTTTAGTTTATGTATATAATTATTAAGTTATTTGTTATTATTTAATGAATTTATGTCAAATGTTGAAATCATTGTGAAATGAAAATATATATAAATAGATTCTTTTAATTTATTAAAATGTTTGATTGACTTAAACAAAAAAGAGAACTATTCAAAATTTTGTTTTTTTTTGTTTTTTTTTTTTTTTGATCACCTTTTGATTTTTTTGAGATCAAACACGATTAAAATCCCCTATTTAAATTTTTTTTTTTTTTAACTCCATTTTAGTCTAACAAAGTCATTTAAAGGTTTTTTAAAGGGTGAAGAATTTTTTTTTTTTTTTTTTTTTTTAGGTCCATTGCACTAAGGAGGTGTTTTTTATCACCTCCTCACGAGTTGGTGTCAATGTATTGCCCCATGGGCTCTTAGGACATCAGTTTTATTATATACGTTCCGGTAGCGGGGTAAAGGGTGAAGAATTTTAAAAATTGAAGTTTCCGCATGCGGAAATTATGTTTTTAAAATGCGTTGTCCGGGAATCGAACCCGGGTCTCCTGCTTGGAAGGCAAGAATTCTGCCACTAGACCAACAACGCTTTTTGATGAAATTTTCAAAACGATATAATTTTTTAAATCGGAGTAATCACCCTTTTTTTAAAAAAACTTTATTTAGGTGAATTTATTTGTTTTGTATGAACTCAATATTGTAAAGCATTCATGTTGTCCATTGATTATCGCTGTCATGATAGCACCATTGATATTCTTAAAATTCGTAGATTCATTGTCGTATTTCAAGAGGTAGGAAACAACGTTGCAATGGCCATTTGATGCTGCGCCTACAAGTGCGTACGATGTGCAACCTTCGGTGCGGTTCTCATAAAGGAATTGCACTACCTCGATGTGGCCAGCGACCGCCGCCCCATCGATTGCAGATACACTGAAAGAGCAGCTACCATCTGTTGTCTTTGCATAGCCATGCAGGAATCTGACCAGCTGGAGATTGCCACTGATAGCAGCACAATCCAATATATTACTATTAAACAACTGTTGTTTCGAACAAAATTTCCTACAGATCCTAGATATTTCATATCTTGATTCTAAATCTAATTGATCATAAACTTTTGATTCATCATCTTCTACTTCTTCTTCAACATTATCAACATTATCATCTTCATTATCTGACTCTACTACTACTACTAACCAATGAATATATTTAACCAATTCCAAATAACCTTTAGTGCTTGCTAATCCCAATATGTAATCTAATAAATCAAATTTTTTGTGATCATCACTATCATTCTCTTCATTTACATCACCACTTTTATTTCCAATTTTGTCCTTTTCCTTTTTCTCTTTTTGCAATTTAAATAATTTTAATAACTTATTGCCACTGCCATTATTTATATTATTATTATTAATATTATTACTACTATTTCTATTAATATTATCTTTTGGTTTATAAAATATAATATTTATTATGTATTTTAGTATATCTAAATTCCTACTGACAATAGATGTATTTAAAATTGAACATAAAGGTGAATAATATTTATTTAAATCAAAATGATGGTTGTTGTTATTATTATTTTCATTTATAAATTGATTTTTAAATAATATTTTAAAATGATCATTATAATTATAAATTATTAATTGATGTATATTCGATTGTAAATCATTCCATCGTAATATACTTTTATAAATTCTATTATTATTATTATTATTACTATGATTATTATTGTAATTATTATTGTTATTATTAATACTATTTTTTATCAAATCTCTATGAAGTTCGTTTATAAACTTTAAAATATTTAAATAAATATATTTAGAATGAATTATTTTCTTTAATAAAATATATTTATAATCATCAACAACAACATCTTTATCTTTGCTATTCATTTCTCTATTCCTAATATATTCTTTTTAAGTTATATTAATCAATCATTCCCTTTTGACAAACAAGAATCTATTTGATTTGTTTAATTTGATTTTTTTCATTTTTCATTTTTTATTTTTCATTTTTCATATTTCATTTTTATTGGAAATCTTAAGTTGTCAATGAATGGTGAGCGCGCCAAACAACGAAACAAATAATTAAACAAGTGTTTATGAGTTAACTTAAAAACAAACAAACAGTTTAATTAGTTACTAAGTTAATTATATATTTAAATTGAATTATTATGAGTAAATTCTTTAAATCAAATCAGAGAAATAGTAAACAATCATCTTTGAATAATAATGCTGTGATCACCGATTATTTTACTATTACCCCAAAAGATAATAATAACAATAATAATAGTAAAAATACAAACAGTTATAATAATAATAATAATAATAATAATGAAAAAATAACAATATCACCATTAGGTTCAAAACTAAAGAGATTACATCAACTTGAGGAAGATGATCTATTAGGTGATTATAATGATAACAATAAAACATCGACAACAACATCAACATCGACAACTTCAACTTCAACTCCAATAACATCTTTAACAATAAACAATCAAAGTAATAACAAAATTATAAAAATAGAAGAAGAAGAACAACAAAAACAACAACAACCTTTAAATAAAAAGTTAAAATCAGAAAATATCAATATTAATAGTAATAATATTAATATTAATAGTAATAATAGTGTAAATAATAATACTGGTTTAAAATTAATACAACCTATAAAGAAACAACCTATTTCATCAACGATTCTACCTTCAAAGTATGGAAGTACTGGTTTTGTTAGTTCTTCAAGTCTTTTAGCATCGAATAATATTAATAATAATAGTAGTAATAGTTTAACAACAAATAACAATGTAAATATGACTGGTGGTATAGTTAGTAATAGTACAAGCAATCTTGGTGTATATCAAGTACAACAACCTGTAATTCAGCAACAACAACAACAACAACAATCTATATTTAAACAAATCAATAACTACTCAAGTGAATCATTGGTTCATCGTTCTACTTCTTCGCCTGTATCTTCATCAACAATCAATCTATCTACATCATTGAATATGAATACAAATAATTTGAATAATAATAGTAATAACAATAATAATAATAATAATGGATACAAGACATTACAAACTATACAACAGCAAAAACAACAACAGCAACAGCAGCAACAAAATAATAATATTAGTTATATTCCATTTGGATCGGGACCGTTCAAAGTCGATGGTATGGAACCAAAGAAATTTAAATTCAAGACCAAGAAAGATGATATCGTTATTTCAGAGTTGCTGAGTAAGGAACAAAGGAATGTGGTACAGTTGGCGTTGGATGGAAACAGTATATTCTTCACTGGCAGTGCAGGTACTGGAAAGTCGTTTGTTTTGCGTGAGATTGTCAATGTGTTGCGTGTGCTACACGGCGACAACGTTCACGTAACCGCTTCAACAGGTATTGCCGCTTGTAATATCGGTGGTACGACACTGCATTCGTTTGCCGGTATCGCGTTGGGAGAGAAGACCGCTCTCGACTATATCCGTTCCATCGCCAACAACAACAAGAATCTGACGCGTTGGCGACAAACCAAGGTGTTGATCATCGACGAAGTCTCGATGATCAGCTGTGAACTACTCGATAAACTCGATCTCATCGGGCAGGGCTTGCGAAAGATTCCGAAACCGTTCGGAGGTATCCAGGTTATTTTGGTTGGCGACTTTTGTCAGTTGCCGCCGGTCAACAAGAATCGCGACAACAACGCAGCGTCATCCTTTTGTTTCAATGCGAAATGCTGGAAGTACTTGATCGACCATTCCATACTCCTGACAAAAGTCTATCGTCAGAAGGACAATCACTTTGTAAATATACTGAATCAACTGCGTTTCGGAACGATCGATGAAGCCGGAATGACAACTCTCAACAAATGTGTAAATAATATTATTGAATCGGAAGATGGAATTATACCAACTATTTTATGTAGGTTATTGTTATTTATAATCGAGTTGGACTTAGTTAACTAACTATTTTTATTTTATCTATATCTATATCCAGATCCACATAGGAATAAGGTGGAGTTGGAGAATGAAAGAAAGTTAAAAGAGTTGAAGTCAGATGAGATGATATTCGATGCTATCGATGAAGGACCCGATCAATATAGAGATATGTTGAAGAATATGCAAGCACAAACGAGGTTGACGTTGAAGATTGGTTCTCAAGTGATTTTGCTAAAGAATTTGGATTTCAGTTCGGAGCTTGTGAATGGATCGCGTGGAGTTGTTGTTGGGTTTGCAGATATCGATGATTCCGGTATGGAGATGCCAGTGGTAAAGTTTACGACGGGTATCACCAAGACGATTCATCGTGAGGTTTGGAAGATCGAGATTGGAAATGTTCGTGTTGCATCGCGCACACAGGTTCCGCTTGCACTGGCATGGGCATTGTCGATTCACAAGTCACAAGGAATGTCGATAGACCGACTGATTATCGATTTAGACGGTGCATTTGAGTATGGACAGGCCTATGTTGCACTGAGTCGTGCTACTTCGTTGGAAGGTCTCCAACTGAAATCGAAACTAACACAATCACAACTGAAAGTTCACAAAGAGGTAGTAGAGTTTTACAATACAATGGAACAATCTTAAATAAATTATTTATTTTAACAGTGTCTACGATCTTTGTTTTTTTAATAAATCATTTTAACAGATTTAAACTTTTTATTTCTGTAGTCTTTTTGTTAAATATTGACAGTTGTTACCAGTCATATATCGCTCTATGTTGAATATTCAAGGTTTGGAGATGAGAGTCTTGCCAACGATTGTCTTTGATTGAATAGACATAGTTCTTATCTACGGTGAAAAGATAGAGCTTTCCATCATCATCTTTACACCTGTGAATCATTGGTGTCAAAACCAAAACTCGCTTCCTGTTGGGATCCGACTCAACTTTTGCAAAGTCCATCAATGGTACTGAGCATTTCGACCATTTTCGGTTCTGAGCCATGAGTGGTAATCCTAATGAAACAGTCAGTTAGATTATCACCGTAGTAGAGATACAATCTGTCTTCACCTTCAACGATATAAGTAGTGGTGAATGTTGGTACGATGTTTTTGAGAATAGGATGGATGGAATTGACTTGTGTTCAACCAAAACAATCTCCTTTGACGTATCATCATAATACATCGAGAGTATGTTCTTATAGTTATTCAACAGCACCAGTGGGGTTCTTTCTTTCGAGTTTTTGTCAACAAACAATTGTTCAACCTTTTGTAACATTGTATCTTAATATCATATTATTTCCACGAACTGTTTTACCATTGATGTTTTTGACTCTCTCCTTACCATAGAAGTAGAGGTAGAATGGCTCTTCATCGGCGAAAGTTAGAGGTCGATCTTGTCTTGATCCATTCCGATAAGGTATTCATTATGTATAACAGGTGGAATATAAAAATGACAGAAAGAGCTAATGGGATTAAATATCTAACTCCTTCGAAACAACTTTGAAATACAGAGCGCTTTGATACAGAAAGATCTTACAATTCATATTCCCGATTTGATTGATATCGATCTTGTATTTTTCGAAATGATTGCGAATGATTTGTAAAATAGAATGAACATTACTGTTATTGGTTTTAATGTTATCATTATTCTTGTTGATTTCATTGTTATTATTTAAATATGCAATGATTTCATTGTTGATTTGTTGATTTATTAAATATTGTTTGACTATTATTATGAATGAATTGGTCTAATGTTGTTGATTTGATAATCGACTCTGTCAATGTTGGAAGAGTATAGTTGATTATTTCATCTGGGTGAATATCATATTCATTATTATATAATATATTATTATCATGATTACTATTGTTATGTTCATCTGGTTTAAGAGTTGGTGTGATCAATCCAATGATATTGTGTATTGATTGTATTTCTTTGACGATTTGATCGAGTTGTTGTTTGGTTTGATCAAGTTCATCAATCTTTCTTCTTTCATTAGCATTTCATAAAAATCTTTACAATAATCACTGATTTGATTCTCCATTTCACTCAGTTTCTGAATGTTTTTGGTTGATTCTTTGGCTCTATTCCATAGCCATTTCATTCTATTTTGAATAATATTATTATCTTTTCTCTATCTTTATTATATGTACTATTATTATTATCTATACTATTATTATCTATACTAATGCTATTATCTTTATTATTATCGTCACTGTTATTTTCTTGATCATCATGATTACTCTTATCTTCATAAACAACAGCAGAGTAATCTATCCAAAAGTAATTGTTTAATGTCATCTGTGTGAAGTATACGATGTTGAATATAGTTTGACGTGAGACAACGATAACATATTACTAAATTACAATCTGAACATAATATATCAAGTTTTTTATCATGTGTAACACATTTTGTCATTGTTTGTAGTATATAATAAAATAGTATATATCAAACAACTATAATAAATAAAAAAACAAAAGAAGAAAAAACAAAAAAAAAGTTTACGAAAAAAGAACATTTATCAAAGTTTATTAAATGGAAAAACAATTATTCATATCAATAGTAATAAACAATAGATATTTAAGTAAAATTATATTTAAATATGTTAGTGAAATATGTTATGAGATCAATCATTCAAGAAGACATATCGACTGGTATCTACTCAGAGAATCACCAAACTTGTTGGCATTAAACAGATACTATGACCTCTTGAAACAGTGGTTTCAAAGATATCGATATGAAAAGATAGATCTAGAATCATTGGTTGTTGCAGCAGTGATTGGTGGAAGTATTGAAATAGTTGATCACCTGATCGACCGTTTTCAAATCGATCGACAAACAGATAGATGTACACTCAACACAATCTTAATAGCTGCATCGAAATACAATAGATTAACAATCATTCAACATCTATGGAATCAATATCAATTCGAATGGAATTACTACAAATCAATGGTGTTAGCACCTTATTCTAAGAATATTGATATTCTATCATTACTTGTCGATCGTTATAATAAACATGAATTATTTCAGCAACAACAACAAAAGTTTGTTGAAATTGACTATGATAAAGATGGAAATGTATTTGATAATGCAGCATATGTTGGTAACATTGAAATGTTGGAATATCTTAGAGAGTCAAGAACAAAAGATTTAGAACACAGTTTCATCTTTATTAAAGCTGTTACATCCGATCAATTAGAGTTGCTACGTTACCTTTTGGCTAGTAGTGATTTCAATCATCTCAAAGACGTTCATTTAGTTAACAATTTAACTGCTCTCGATATTGCTTTACAAAGAAAGCATCAAGTTGAAATAGCAATATCATTGTTGGATGCAGGATGTAAAACAAGATATACAGGTATCATGAATAGAATCTCCTCAATAGGAAGTATCAAATTAATGGAGAGTTATCATCGTAGGAACTTTACTGAACCTACATCAGTATCATTGGATCATCTTAACTATTATAATTACATAGAATCGGTTAAATGGTTACAATCACATAGTTATCCACTGACAGCAACAACTAATGCCATGGATACAGCTTGTAGATTAGGCAACCTAGAAGTTGTAAAATATCTTCATTATAATAGAAGCGAAGGTTGCACAATGGAAGCAATCGACATATCAATTGAAAACGATCATGTTGAAGTGGTAAAGTTCTTATATCAAAACAGGACAGAAGGTTCCAAAAAAATGAGTTCACAAGAAATCTCTAAATGGATCAACGAGAATCAAAAGATTTAGATTCATACTGACAATAAATAAGATTTAAACTTTTATTAAATCAATTAAAATTATAAATCTTATTTTTTTTACAAAGTTTAAATGGTTTATTCTCTTGAAAAACAGAAAAAAATTAATAAACTACTCTCTTTCTCTTGCGCACTAATTTTTAAAATAATGTAAAAATTAGTGGGGTTAATGTGATCTGAGTGACAAGCAAAAGCCGGTTTTATTTTGTCTAGATTGTTTTTAAAAAACAAGAATTTTTATCATCATTTTTAAAAAAAGTATATAATAATGGATAAACAAATATTCTCTAAAGTTATATTAAATAATAAATATATTAATAGTATTATATTCAATTATGTTAGTGAAATCAGTTTAATATTTAATCGAGGAAAACACTACAAGTGGAATGATTTGATTGAGAATCCAAATCTGTTGGCAGCCAATAACTATTTAGATCTATTGAAACAATGGTTTAAAAAGAGAGATGATTATCTATCGTGGTGGGACAATAAAGATGGTCATACCATGATAGGACTATTACAAAATGTAATGATGTCGGGTGGAATTGATATGATGACATTCCTAATCGAACAATTCAAAGATCGACAACCAAAGTTTACACTCAATAGTCTTTTGGAATCTGCTTGTAGATTCAATAGAATCGATTTGATTCGATACCTATTGAGCGAATATAGTTTGTTCAAATGGGATTACTATAGTGCAATGGTGTTTGCACCCTATTCGAAAAACATGGAGATATTGGAGATGATGGTAGATCTTTACAATGCCACCAGCATCGCGCAAGATAATAGCTATGTAGAATCGAAAACATCATCAACCAAGAATGTATTTAATAGTGCTGCATTTGTTGGAAGTGTTCAGATGATTGAATATCTTTGTAAGGAGAGATTGGAAGACTTGCAACATAGTGATTTGTATAGGATGGCAATTGATGCTGGCCAAGTCGAAACTGTTCGATATCTTATTGCTAATTTTAGTCATCTTAAAGACGTCGACAAATGCAAATCTTCATCGGGAACTGTTAGACTTCCACTAGACTTTGCATTGACCAAGAAGAATACCGACATTACCATTATGTTGATTGAGGCAAATTGTAAAACCAATTTCACAAACATACTTGGAACTGTTGCCAATTACTATGGTGATTGCAAGTTGATGGATTATCTATATTCTAGAGGTCATAGATTGGAATCATATCCATTGGATGATGTTACAATGTTCGATAGTATTCTATGGTTGGATCACATGGTTGTCAACTTACTGCTACAGTAGAGACAATGGATAATGTAATCCCCAAAAGATATTCCAAAATACATTTATTCGAACCAAATACTTTTCTAACTGAATGCCTAAATATTACTAAATATCTACATTTCAATAGAAGTGAAGGTTGTACTACTAAAGCAATGGAGAATGGTTCAAGATATGGATCTCTTGAAATTATTCGATTTCTTCATGAAAATAGAACTGAAGGGTGTTCAGAGTATGGAATGAATGTTTCTGCTTTTAATGGATTTTTAGATATTCTAAAATACAAACATTACAATAAAATTGGTGGATGTTCAAAGCCTGCTATGGATAATGCTACCGGTTTTGGACACTTTGAAATTTTACAGTTTCTCCACTATAATAGGAGTGAAGGTTGTAGTGGAAGAGCTATGGACAATGCTTGTTCCAATGGTCATTTACATATTGCAAAGTTTTTGCATGAAAATAGAACTGAAGGATGTTCAAAAAGAGCAATGGATATGGCAATTCACAATGGTGATTTGGAATGCGTTAAGTTCCTCCATTTCAATAGAACAGAAGGTTGTTCAAAAGATGTATTGGATAGAATTGGATCTGGGATTGATGATATCAAAATCATCAAATGGTTTTATTTAAATAGAACAGAACGTTGCACAAAGAATACTATATATCAAATTCTAAAATCAAAACACGTCAATCTTGAGAATATCCAATGGCTTCATCGGAATTACTGCGAATTTAGATCTCTCATCATTCAGATTAAATATTATTTCGATTCCAACAAGTATGATATAATTGAATGGGTTCTCAAATTCAATGAATACACAATAGATATAATCGAGCAACAACTTTCGCACCTGAAAGTTAAATTCCCACATTCACATGAATCAATCCAAATAGTATTACAATATATAAATTCAAAAAGGAAACAATAATTTAATATTTATTTAAATAAATAACTATTACTTCAATCAGAACTATCTCTTCAGACCTTTTTGATAGACTAATTCATTTAGATACTATGAGTGTATAAGGTCACGAATAAAATGATATTTTTGAATTTTTATAGATTTGTTTGGAACTGTTGGATCTACTATTATTCTTTCGATATATTAATGAGGAATACATTGTATAATTAAATGATGAAAATAATAGTTAAAAGTTGTTTATTAATTACAATAGTGAGTTTATCTTTATGATAAATATCAGTGTAGTTATTGGATTTGAGAGAATAAGAACTATGGTTCGTACAATAAGAACTATTAAGTGAGATTACTTTCTCTTTTTCTTTAGCTGTTGACTAAAAGGATCTTCAATTGCTCGTTTTTTTGCATATTCTTCGTCAACTTTTATATGTTTTGTGTGTTGTCTGGTGGGTGGTTGGCCAGGTTTCAAACCATCAATTGCCTGTTTTATTTTCTCAGACTCAATTTGATCTCTACTTGGTTCTCCTGGAGTGATATTAGAATTGGTGAGAGGGATTGATCCTTTTCTTTTATAGAATTTCATATCATATGAAACTTTAGCGATTGGATGATATAAACTCTGAGCATAAAGATAACAAACTGGTTTGACATCTTCAAATGGAGAATTATGATTTATCTTAATATCACCAAATCCTTTTCTCTTGTCATCTCCAAAGTTGAATTGTCTGTAAGTATTGAATGATCTAATCGATTCATGAACTCTCTTTGCCAGAATTTCATTTTCAATACAAAACTATATTGAAAAAAATAAAGTAAATATTAATACTCATTGAAATTTCAAAGAGGATCATTTAAATTGGGATTGATGAACAAATAGACTTACAATTGTTCCAGCATGATGAACTGAATAATCATTTCGATTGGAATCACCAAGACAAATGATATTCTTTGATTTGGAAACCATCAACTTTTCATGTCTGCTTCTAGATTCTGAATTTTCTCCATCTTTTTTTTCTCTACTCCATATTGGACTCCAAGTAACAATGTTTCTAACACTAAATGTTGATCCAATCAATGATGGGAATGTTTCTTGCTGTATTATTAAAAATGAAAAATTAATTATTGATATTCATTAATTTATGGTGGAAATTAAAAAAATTAAATATATTTCATACATCAGTACTGACGAAAAAGTGTGAATCATAATGTTGTGCAACCAATAAATATGGATCCTATTTTAAAAAATAGTTATAAAATTAATAAATATATGAATGAATGTAAAATATTCTTCTAAGAATTTACCATTCCAAAGTCTGTGAAACTACAAACTGTCTTTGCATCATAACAAATCGAATCGTCTTTTGGAACATCATTACTAAGACAATGGGTTGTGGACAACATATCAACTTTGATTGGATTATCTTTATTTTCAAAGGTAAAGTCGTTCTCAAATTTAATGTTTTGGATCTTCTTGCCATAGTTCAAAGCAAAACATTTACTCAAAGTTTTATAGTTCTTCTTGTCATTCTCTTTGTCTGCAGCTGCAAAAAAGGTTGTTGTTTTACCATGTGAATTGCATATTGTCCTTTCTCGAGCATCTGAGTTTATAAACAAAAATAATTAATAATTAATTTTTTTAAAAATAATGAAACAAATCTTGAAATATACTTACAAAATGAAAACGTTGTGAATGAACCAAGTGTAAATGGTCCCTCATTCTCCATACAATATTTTTTTGGTAGTTGTGTATGAATCCTCATCTAATAGATTTTTGGTAAACAGTTTTTTGAGAATGAGATCTCCATCATTCTTCTCATCTCTAAATCGATGACGGTTAACATATTTTCTCCATTTTTTATCACATTTATCCAAAGGATCTTTCAAAGTCAGCTCTGGTCTAAAGTATCTGCAATTATCCTTTGAACGAACAAAAACAGCTTTGGTATTCTGCAGAATATCAAAGTATTTGAGAAGATCAGGTTTTCCAGTCAATGAATTACAGAATGCATGTTGTGATGGTTGAATACCACTTTGCTTTCTCGTACAAACCACTTCCAGTACTCTTTAACTCTGGCATTCTCATTGAATGTGAAACGAAAAACCCTGTATTACTATCTATATCATTATCTCTTAAATCGAAAACATACAATGACTTTATAATAATGGAAGTATTAGTTAATTGTTGGGGAATTAATAAGAATTATAATATTTACCTTGACATGACCATGATAGAAAACACTGTTATCAATTACTCTATGTTCATAACCTTGGTCATGATACCATTCCAATCCTAAATAATTTTTGTCAATACATTGTTGTTCTGTTATCTTATCACCATTTGCTTGATCAACATGTTTTTTCATCAAATCTGTAAAAAAGGTTCTTTTTTCACCTTGTACCTGAGTAACTTTCATTGGTTCAGATTTAGATATATCTGAAAATTCAACAAAAAAAATTTTTTAGAAGTTGTTTTTTATTATTGAATGTATCGATACTTACCGAGAAGAGAATCATAGTAAAGTCCTCTTGCATACATATTTTCTTCTGTAGCTGAATCGGCATCTGCCAAATGAATCCACCATTTGACTGCTTTTCCTTCTGGATTGACACAAGTCACTGATTCACTAACTTTAATAGTCAATAAAATCAAAAAGATTATAAATGTTATTTGTTTCATTGATATAAGTATAATCAAGAATGAATATGTGAGTAAAAAAATAGATCCACTGGATCTAAATCAAAAACGAATTCATGAAAAATTCGTTATTAAATTTTTTGCGATATATATGATCATTTTTTTGACCATGAACGAATGTCAGATGCTATTTTGGCAAACACCCACACTGGTGATCATAATTTCAAAAAATATCTAAAAAATAAAAAAAATTCACACATGACCAGACATAAAAAAATCCACAAACTTTTTTTTTTGCCAAAAAATGGGTGGAACGCTGTGGTTGGCAATTTTTTTTCGTTTTTCTCACTGGCTTTAATTGACTTTTAACATTTATCATTTACTATTTATTTGTAGATTATTACATTAAACAATATTTTATTAAATTCGAAATTCGCATAATCAGTAGTGTATAGCATATGAAACTATTTTTTGAATGAAAAATACACAATATAGGACAACTCGCAACATAATTTGGTTGAGCAACGTGACTATCAACCCCATGGTTTTTATTTTTCAAATTTTTCTTAGTGGTTTTGAATTCAAAACCCCAATTTCATAATTATTTTTGCACATAAATTAAAAATAGTTGAATGAAAATTTATGTGCTGCGATTTCACCTCTATTTTAAAATTTTTAAATTTTTGAACCTGTTGTTTACGTTCTCAATTATTTGGCGCATACTTGACTGAGTTTTGTTGTAAAGTTTTTCTGATGAAGATAAAAAACGTTTCTTAAATGGATGAATCGCGCGAATTCTTCGTCGGCTCCAACATACCCCAAATCGACGACCATAAGCTCATTGTCATCCAATAAATCCATTAAATTTCCATCTTTCAATATTTTTAAATCATGTTCACCTCCTCTGTATGGCTGGGATACCCAGCACAAATAATACCACTCTTTGAGGAGGATGATTTTTTAGATAGTCCAATGACATCAAGAGATATGAAGGCTTAAATCTGAACTCATCTACTTTTAATAGTTGTTCCCATAGATGGAAAATCGTTTCGGAACTCACCCCATATCTTGAATTAAGGTATTGTGAATCACCCCACACATTGGTGAGATTGGTGAAAAGAAGTTGCTCTAAAAATGAACATTTAACATCCATTGTGATATATGGATAATTGTTTGATTTTTTTAAAAATCAAAAAATTGTATTAAGTTGAATATAGTTGTGACAGTAGGACAATTATTGAAAATCTATTGGTCTATAAAAATTAAATAAATCTAAAAATGGTTATTTTATAAATGAATGTCCTAGTTTTCAAAAAGACATAAAATTAGAATAACTTTCACCATTTAATCTGATAAATTAAAAATTGTTATATAATGACTTAATGATCGACAAGTCATGACTTAAAGATCGACAACCACAGTTTACACTCAATAGTCTTTGGAATCTGCTTGTAGATTCAGTAGAATCGATTTGATTCGATACCTATTGAGCGAATATAGTTTTTTCAAATGGGATTACTATAGTGCAATGGTGTTTGCACCGTATTCGAAAAACATGGAGATATTGGAGATGATGGTAGATCTTTACAATGCTACCAGCATCGCGCAAGATAATAGCTATGTAGAATCGAAAACATCATCAACCAAGAATGTATTTAATAGTGCTGCATTTGTTGGAAGTGTTCAGATGATTGAATATCTTTGTAAGGAGAGATTGGAAGACTTGCAAAATAGTGATTTGTATATGATGGCAATTGATGCTGGCCAAGTCGAAACTGTTCGATATCTTATTGCTAATTTTAGTCATCTTAAAGACGTCGACAAATGCAAATCTTCATCGGGAACTGTTAGACTTCCACTAGACTTTGCATTGACCAAGAAGAATACCGACATTACCATTATGTTGATTGAGGCAAATTGTAAAACCAATTTCACAAACATACTTGGAACTGTTGCCAATTACTATGGTGATTGCAAGTTGATGGATTATCTATATTCTAGAGGTCATAGATTGGAATCATATCCATTGGATGATGTTACAATGTTCGATAGTATTCTATGGTTGGATCAACATGGTTGTCAACTTACTGCTACAGTAGAGACAATGGATAATGTAATCCCCAAAAGATACTCCATAATACATTTATTCGAACCAAATACTTTTCTAACTGAATGCCTAAATATTACTAAATATCTACATTTCAATAGAAGTGAAGGTTGTACTACTAAAGCAATGGAGAATGGTTCAAGATATGGATCTCTTGAAATTATTCGATTTCTTCATGAAAATAGAACTGAAGGGTGTTCAGAGTATGGAATGAATGTTGCTGCTTTTAATGGATTTTTGGATATTCTAAAATACAAACATTACAATAAAATTGGTGGATGTTCAAAGCCTGCTATGGATAATGCTACCGGTTTCGGACACTTTGAAATTATACAGTTTCTCCACTATAATAGGAGTGAAGGTTGTAGTGGAAGAGCTATGGACAATGCTTGTTCCAATGGTCATTACATATTGCAAAGTTTTTGCATGAAAATAGAACTGAAGGATGTTCAAAAAGAGCAATGGATATGGCAATTCACAATGGTGATTTGGAATGCGTTAAGTTCCTCCATTTCAATAGAACAGAAGGTTGTTCAAAAGATGTATTGGATAGAATTGGATCTGGGATTGATGATATCAAAATCATCAAATGGTTTTATTTAAATAGAACAGAACGTTGCACAAAGAATACTATATATCAAATTCTAAAATCAAAACACGTCAATCTTGAGAATATCCAATGGCTTCATCGGAATTACTGCGAATTTAGATCTCTCATCATTCAGATTAAATATTATTTCGATTCCAACAAGTATGATATAATTGAATGGGTTCTCAAATTCAATGAATACACAATAGATATAATCGAGCAACAACTTTCGCACCTGAAAGTTAAATTCCCACATTCACATGAAGGGTCAATCCAAATAGTATTACAATATATAAATTCAAAAAGGAAACAATAATTTAATATTTATTTAAATAAATAACTATTACTTCAATCAGAACTATCTCTTCAGACCTTTTTGAGAGACTAATTCATTTAGATACTCTGAGTGTATAAGATCACGAATAAAATGATATTTTTGAATTTTTATAGATTTGTTTGGAACTGTTGGATCTCCTATTATTCTTAGTAGATCTAGATCGATATATTAATGAGGAATACATTGTATTATAATTAAATGATGAAAATAATAGTTAAAAGTTGTTTATTAATTACAATAGTGGGTTTATCTTTATGATAAATATCAGTGTAGTTATGGGATTTGAGAGAATAAGAACTATGGTTCGTACAATAAGAACTATTAAGTGAGATTACTTTCTCTTTTTCTTTAGCTGTTGACTAATAGGATCTTCAAATGCTCGTTTTTTTGCATATTCTTCGTCAACTTTTATATGTTTTGTGTGTTGTCTGGTGTGTAGTTGGCCATGTTTCAAACCTTCAAGTGCCTGTTTTATTTTCTCAGATTCAATTTGATCTATACTTGGTTCTCCTGGAGTGATCAATGAATTGGTGAGAGGGGTTGATCCTATTCTTTCAAAGAATTTCATATCCACTGAAACTTCAGCGATTGGATGATATAAACTCTGAGCATAAAGATAACAAACTGGCTTGGTACTTTCAAATGGAGAATAATTTAATCCTTTTCTCTTGATATTACCAAAGTTGAATTGTCTGTAAAGATTGAATGATCCAATCGATTGATGAACTTTCTTTGCTAAAATTTCACTCTTAATACAAAACTGTAATAGATAAAAATATTTTAGTATTCATAAAAATTTTTTAGGATCATTTAAATTGACAAGGAAAATTCATTTTAGAATTCATTGAAATTTCAAGAATAAAATTTAAATTGACAATCAAGAAATATACATTGATGAACAAATAGACTTACAATTGTTCCAGCATGATGAACTGAATAATCATTTCGATTTGAATCACCAAGACAAATGATATTCTTTGATTTGGAAACCATCAACTTTTCATGTCTGCTTCTAGATTCTCCAAGTGATCCATCTTTTCCTTTTTCTCCACTCCATAATGGACTCCAAGTAACAATGTTTCGAATACTAAATGTTGTTCCAATCAATGATGGGAATCCTTCTTGCTGTAAAATTAAATGGATATTCCATTAATACTTATTTATTGTTGAAAATATTTAATGATACTTACATCGGTACTAACAAAAAAGTTTGACTCATAGTGTTGTGCAACCAATAAATATGGGTCCTATTTAAAAATAGTAAACTGATTAATAAATTTAAGAATCAAAAGTATTGATTTTTGAATTTACCATTCCAAAGTCTGTGAAACTACAAACTCTCTTTCCTTCATAACAAATCGAATCATCTTTTGGAATATCTTTTCTAAAACAATGAGTGTTGGACAACATTTCTACTTTGATTGGATTTTCATCTTCAAACCAACCATATTTTTTGAAATGGTTATTCTCAAACTTAGTATAATCAGTGATTTCCTTGCCATAGTTCAACGCAAAACATTTACTGAATACTTTTTCATTCTTCATGTCATTGTCTTGAATTGAAGCTTTAAAAAAGGCTGTTGTTTTATCATGTGAATTGCAAGGTGTCTTCAATCGAGCATCTTAGTTTTTTAAAATATAATTAATTATTTTTCGAAAATCGTTAAACAAATCTTTGAAATATACTTACAAAATGAAAATGTTTCGAAAGAACCAAGTGTAAATGGTCCTCCATTCTCCATACAATATTTTTTGGTAATTGTGTATGAATCCGTATTGGTAAACAGTTTTTTGAGAATGAGATCTCCATCAGCATTGTTCCAATCTCTAAATCGATCGCTGTGAACATATTGTCCCCATTGTTTATCACATTGATCCAAAGGAGCTTTCAGAGTGAGTTCTGGTTGAAAGTATCTGCGATTATCCTTTGAACGAACAAAAACAGCTTTGGTATTCTGCAGAATATCAAAGTATTTGAGAAGATCAGGTTTTCCAGTCAACGAATTACAGAATGCATGTTGTGATGGTTGAACACCACTTGCTTTCTCGTACAAACCATCTCTACTACTCTTTAAATCTGGCATTCTCATTGAATGTGAAACGAAAAACCCGGTATTCTTTGTTGCATCATCATCTCTCAAATCATAAACGTACAATGACTTTAAAAAAAAAAATAAAGATAATATGAAGTCAGTATTTTGAATCAAAAAGTTTTTTAATTCTCCAACAAATTGAATTGTTAGGAATTATAATAAAAATTATAATATTTACCTTGACATGACCATGATAGAAAACACTCTTATCAATTACTCTATATTCATTACCTTGGTCATGATACCATTCCAATCCTAAATATTTTTTATCCTTAAATTGTTGGTCTGTTATGGTCGGACCATTTGCTTGATCAACATGTTTTTTCATCAAATCTGTAAAGAAGCTTCTTTTTTCACCTTGTACCTGAGTAGGTTGAGATTTAGCTGCATCTGTGTTGATACAGCAATAGAAAATATAAAGAAATTGGGTACGATTGAATATAATGTTTTATTTATTTAATTTGAATCTGTACATACCTAGAAGATTATCATAGTAAAGTCCTCTTGCATACATATTGTCTTGTGAAGCTGAATCGGCATCTGCCAAATGAATCCACCATTTGACTGCTTTTCCTTCTGGATTGACACAAGTCACTGATTCACTAACTTTAATAGTCAATAAAATCAAAAAGATTATAAATGTTATTTGTTTCATTTATATTTTGACTATTTAACAATATTGAGTTGATCAGCAGGATCTAAATCAAAAACGAAATCATGAAAAATTCGTTTTTAAATTTTTTGAGATATCCCTCATCATTTTTTTGATCATGAACGAATGTCAGATGCTATTTTGGCAAACACCCACACTGGTGATCATAATTTCAAAAAATATCTAAAAAATAAAAAAAATTCACACATGACCAGACATAAAAAAATCCACAAACTTTTTTTTTGCCAAAAAATGGGTGGAACGCTGTGGTTGGCAATTTTTTTTCGTTTTTCTCACTGGCTTTAATTGACTTTTAACATTTATCATTTACTATTTATTTGTAGATTATTACATTAAACAATATTTTATTAAATTCGAAATTCGCATAATCAGTAGTGTATAGCATATGAAACTATTTTTTGAATGAAAAATACACAATATAGGACAACTCGCAACATAATTTGGTTGAGCAACGTGACTATCAACCCCATGGTTTTTATTTTTCAAATTTTTCTTAGTGGTTTTGAATTCAAAACCCCAATTTCATAATTATTTTTGCACATAAATTAAAAATAGTTGAATGAAAATTTATGTGCTGCGATTTCACCTCTATTTTAAAATTTTTAAATTTTTGAACCTGTTGTTTACGTTCTCAATTATTTGGCGCATACTTGACTGAGTTTTGTTGTAAAGTTTTTCTGATGAAGATAAAAAACGTTTCTTAAATGGATGAATCGCGCGAATTCTTCGTCGGCTCCAACATACCCCAAATCGACGACCATAAGCTCATTGTCATCCAATAAATCCATTAAATTTCCATCTTTCAATATTTTTAAATCATGTTCACCTCCTCTGTATGGCTGGGATACCCAACAAATAATACCACTCTTTGAGGAGGATGATTTTTTAGATAGTCCAATGACATCAAGAGATATGAAGGCTTAAATCTGAACTCATCTACTTTTAATAGTTGTTCCCATAGATGGAAAATCGTTTCGGAACTCACCCCATATCTTGAATTAAGGTATTGTGAATCACCCCACACATTGGTGAGATTGGTGAAAAGAAGTTGCTCTAAAAATGAACATTTAACATCCATTGTGATATATGGATAATTGTTTGATTTTTTTAAAAATCAAAAAATTGTATTAAGTTGAATATAGTTGTGACAGTAGGACAATTATTGAAAATCTATTGGTCTATAAAAATTAAATAAATCTAAAAATGGTTATTTTATAAATGAATGTCCTAGTTTTCAAAAAGACATAAAATTAGAATAACTTTCACCATTTAATCTGATAAATTAAAAATTGTTATATAATGACTTAATGATCGACAAGTCATGACTTAAAGATCGACAACCACAGTTTACACTCAATAGTCTTTGGAATCTGCTTGTAGATTCAGTAGAATCGATTTGATTCGATACCTATTGAGCGAATATAGTTTTTTCAAATGGGATTACTATAGTGCAATGGTGTTTGCACCGTATTCGAAAAACATGGAGATATTGGAGATGATGGTAGATCTTTACAATGCTACCAGCATCGCGCAAGATAATAGCTATGTAGAATCGAAAACATCATCAACCAAGAATGTATTTAATAGTGCTGCATTTGTTGGAAGTGTTCAGATGATTGAATATCTTTGTAAGGAGAGATTGGAAGACTTGCAACATAGTGATTTGTATATGATGGCAATTGATGCTGGCCAAGTCGAAACTGTTCGATATCTTATTGCTAATTTTAGTCATCTTAAAGACGTCGACAAATGCAAATCTTCATCGGGAACTGTTAGACTTCCACTAGACTTTGCATTGACCAAGAAGAATACCGACATTACCATTATGTTGATTGAGGCAAATTGTAAAACCAATTTCACAAACATACTTGGAACTGTTGCCAATTACTATGGTGATTGCAAGTTGATGGATTATCTATATTCTAGAGGTCATAGATTGGAATCATATCCATTGGATGATGTTACAATGTTCGATAGTATTCTATGGTTGGATCATCATGGTTGTCAACTTACTGCTACAGTAGAGACAATGGATAATGTAATCCCCAAAAGATACTCCATAATACATTTATTCGAACCAAATACTTTTCTAACTGAATGCCTAAATATTACTAAATATCTACATTTCAATAGAAGTGAAGGTTGTACTACTAAAGCAATGGAGAATGGTTCAAGATATGGATCTCTTGAAATTATTCGATTTCTTCATGAAAATAGAACTGAAGGGTGTTCAGAGTATGGAATGAATGTTGCTGCTTTTAATGGATTTTTGGATATTCTAAAATACAAACATTACAATAAAATTGGTGGATGTTCAAAGCCTGCTATGGATAATGCTACCGGTTTCGGACACTTTGAAATTATACAGTTTCTCCACTATAATAGGAGTGAAGGTTGTAGTGGAAGAGCTATGGACAATGCTTGTTCCAATGGTCATTACATATTGCAAAGTTTTTGCATGAAAATAGAACTGAAGGATGTTCAAAAAGAGCAATGGATATGGCAATTCACAATGGTGATTTGGAATGCGTTAAGTTCCTCCATTTCAATAGAACAGAAGGTTGTTCAAAAGATGTATTGGATAGAATTGGATCTGGGATTGATGATATCAAAATCATCAAATGGTTTTATTTAAATAGAACAGAACGTTGCACAAAGAATACTATATATCAAATTCTAAAATCAAAACACGTCAATCTTGAGAATATCCAATGGCTTCATCGGAATTACTGCGAATTTAGATCTCTCATCATTCAGATTAAATATTATTTCGATTCCAACAAGTATGATATAATTGAATGGGTTCTCAAATTCAATGAATACACAATAGATATAATCGAGCAACAACTTTCGCACCTGAAAGTTAAATTCCCACATTCACATGAAGGGTCAATCCAAATAGTATTACAATATATAAATTCAAAAAGGAAACAATAATTTAATATTTATTTAAATAAATAACTATTACTTCAATCAGAACTATCTCTTCAGACCTTTTTGAGAGACTAATTCATTTAGATACTCTGAGTGTATAAGATCACGAATAAAATGATATTTTTGAATTTTTATAGATTTGTTTGGAACTGTTGGATCTCCTATTATTCTTAGTAGATCTAGATCGATATATTAATGAGGAATACATTGTATTATAATTAAATGATGAAAATAATAGTTAAAAGTTGTTTATTAATTACAATAGTGGGTTTATCTTTATGATAAATATCAGTGTAGTTATGGGATTTGAGAGAATAAGAACTATGGTTCGTACAATAAGAACTATTAAGTGAGATTACTTTCTCTTTTTCTTTAGCTGTTGACTAATAGGATCTTCAAATGCTCGTTTTTTTGCATATTCTTCGTCAACTTTTATATGTTTTGTGTGTTGTCTGGTGTGTAGTTGGCCATGTTTCAAACCTTCAAGTGCCTGTTTTATTTTCTCAGATTCAATTTGATCTATACTTGGTTCTCCTGGAGTGATCAATGAATTGGTGAGAGGGGTTGATCCTATTCTTTCAAAGAATTTCATATCCACTGAAACTTCAGCGATTGGATGATATAAACTCTGAGCATAAAGATAACAAACTGGCTTGGTACTTTCAAATGGAGAATAATTTAATCCTTTTCTCTTGATATTACCAAAGTTGAATTGTCTGTAAAGATTGAATGATCCAATCGATTGATGAACTTTCTTTGCTAAAATTTCACTCTTAATACAAAACTGTAATAGATAAAAATATTTTAGTATTCATAAAAATTTTTTAGGATCATTTAAATTGACAAGGAAAATTCATTTTAGAATTCATTGAAATTTCAAGAATAAAATTTAAATTGACAATCAAGAAATATACATTGATGAACAAATAGACTTACAATTGTTCCAGCATGATGAACTGAATAATCATTTCGATTTGAATCACCAAGACAAATGATATTCTTTGATTTGGAAACCATCAACTTTTCATGTCTGCTTCTAGATTCTCCAAGTGATCCATCTTTTCCTTTTTCTCCACTCCATAATGGACTCCAAGTAACAATGTTTCGAATACTAAATGTTGTTCCAATCAATGATGGGAATCCTTCTTGCTGTAAAATTAAATGGATATTCCATTAATACTTATTTATTGTTGAAAATATTTAATGATACTTACATCGGTACTAACAAAAAAGTTTGACTCATAGTGTTGTGCAACCAATAAATATGGGTCCTATTTAAAAATAGTAAACTGATTAATAAATTTAAGAATCAAAAGTATTGATTTTTGAATTTACCATTCCAAAGTCTGTGAAACTACAAACTCTCTTTCCTTCATAACAAATCGAATCATCTTTTGGAATATCTTTTCTAAAACAATGAGTGTTGGACAACATTTCTACTTTGATTGGATTTTCATCTTCAAACCAACCATATTTTTTGAAATGGTTATTCTCAAACTTAGTATAATCAGTGATTTCCTTGCCATAGTTCAACGCAAAACATTTACTGAATACTTTTTCATTCTTCATGTCATTGTCTTGAATTGAAGCTTTAAAAAAGGCTGTTGTTTTATCATGTGAATTGCAAGGTGTCTTCAATCGAGCATCTTAGTTTTTTAAAATATAATTAATTATTTTTCGAAAATCGTTAAACAAATCTTTGAAATATACTTACAAAATGAAAATGTTTCGAAAGAACCAAGTGTAAATGGTCCTCCATTCTCCATACAATATTTTTTGGTAATTGTGTATGAATCCGTATTGGTAAACAGTTTTTTGAGAATGAGATCTCCATCAGCATTGTTCCAATCTCTAAATCGATCGCTGTGAACATATTGTCCCCATTGTTTATCACATTGATCCAAAGGAGCTTTCAGAGTGAGTTCTGGTTGAAAGTATCTGCGATTATCCTTTGAACGAACAAAAACAGCTTTGGTATTCTGCAGAATATCAAAGTATTTGAGAAGATCAGGTTTTCCAGTCAACGAATTTCAGAATGCATGTTGTGATGGTTGAACACCACTTGCTTTCTCGTACAAACCATCTGTACTACTCTTTAAATCTGGCATTCTCATTGAATGTGAAACGAAAAACCCGGTATTCTTTGTTGCATCATCATCTCTCAAATCATAAACGTACAATGACTTTAAAAAAAAAAATAAAGATAATATGAAGTCAGTATTTTGAATCAAAAAGTTTTTTAATTCTCCAACAAATTGAATTGTTAGGAATTATAATAAAAATTATAATATTTACCTTGACATGACCATGATAGAAAACACTCTTATCAATTACTCTATATTCATTACCTTGGTCATGATACCATTCCAATCCTAAATATTTTTTATCCTTAAATTGTTGGTCTGTTATGGTCGGACCATTTGCTTGATCAACATGTTTTTTCATCAAATCTGTAAAGAAGCTTCTTTTTTCACCTTGTACCTGAGTAGGTTGAGATTTAGCTGCATCTGTGTTGATACAGCAATAGAAAATATAAAGAAATTGGGTACGATTGAATATAATGTTTTATTTATTTAATTTGAATCTGTACATACCTAGAAGATTATCATAGTAAAGTCCTCTTGCATACATATTGTCTTGTGAAGCTGAATCGGCATCTGCCAAATGAATCCACCATTTGACTGCTTTTCCTTCTGGATTGACACAAGTCACTGATTCACTAACTTTAATAGTCAATAAAATCAAAAAGATTATAAATGTTATTTGTTTCATTTATATTTTGACTATTTAACAATATTGAGTTGATCAGCAGGATCTAAATCAAAAACGAAATCATGAAAAATTCGTTTTTAAATTTTTTGAGATATCCCTCATCATTTTTTTGATCATGAACGAATGTCAGATGCTATTTTGGCAAACACCCACACTGGTGGTTATATTTATAAAATATCTAAAAAAATAAAAAATTTTTTTTTTTTTTTTTTTGATCTAACCTACTCTTTGAAAAATTGCAAAAAACAGCCAACAGCATTCAGTCAAATTTCAAAAAAAAAATTTTTACAAACAAATTTAAGTGCACCCACCTACTTTTTTTTTAAATTTTTATTTATTTAAATTTTTTTTTTTGTATTTGTTTACTTAGTTTATCTGTAGACACCTTTACGTTAATCTGTTATCAAAGCTTTTTAACAGCAAGCCCGAGAGCTGTATAGCGGTTTGAGGCTTACCTGCTGACGGAGCTTTGTTAGTTGTATATCGATTAGCACACTACTCCTTTTTTAAGCATTGTGAACAATGAACGAATATAGATGTCCTAGCAGAGAAGACTGGGTTATACTTGCATATATATTTAGTTTAGAGTATGAGAGTTGCAGTATTGATGAAAACAAGGATTATAAAAAGTTAATGCAAATTTTCAGAAGATTCTCCTGCTATTAGATATTCAAAACAGTTTAATATCGATCCAAACAATATTCTTAAATGTCTTAAACTACCTAAAACTCAATCATTATTAATGCTAATTGTAAGTATGCCTTTTAATCTATATCTATTATATTTTTATTAATTTTTTTTTTTAAAAAAAATAGAAAAAGCCTAATGATCAAATCAACATCCGTCGAACTGTGTCTCTACGAAGATGCCTCATCTATGGAGTTGTACAAGAAATCGGTAAATGCAGATGGTTTCTATCGTTACCCAAAGTAAAAAAAAGAAAATACTTGCTATGGAGATTGTAATGTTCAAGCTACACCAGAGGTATTGGAAAAGTGTCACTGAATATATCGAGCTTTATAGTGAACGAGAAGTCAGTATTTTTAAGAAAATCTACTCAGACTCACAACAAGCAATTGAATCGTTGGATATCGTTGATGCATCAGTTGATGAGGATGATGGCGATGATGACGAGCGGACGCCGACGACGTTTTAGTGGATCTAGACACTGGAGATCTCGTCGACACTGCCGTACAGCAGTCAGACCAGCCATCGATCCACAGCCAAAGTTTTGGTTTCACTTCCGAAATGTCTATTGATGAAAAGTACAAAACTATCACTCGTGTATTCTACCTCTGCGAAGAGTACTCTGTATCTACCAACCTAAAGTTATTTATTTATATATTTTTAATTAAATCATTGACTTCAATTTTTTTTTTAACTCCCAATTGAATTAGCTGGTCTTCAGGTTAGAGTTGATGTATTCCAGCACCAATAAGATGACATCTTGTTTCAAAGATTTCTTTGGAATACCAATATAATAAGTTTCGTACACAATTCAGTCAGAACTGTACTTCTCTATATTGCTGACTGAAAAGGATATGATTGTAGACATTTTAAACAATAATCTATTATCAATGCTTTTTAGCATCAGGATCAAAAGACGCATATCGGTTTGCGACCACCTGCTGACCGGAGCTTTTTAGCCGTATATCGATTAACAAATAACTCCTTTTTAAAGCATTGTGAACAATGAACGAATTTACTGGGCATTTGCAAAGATATGTCGTTTAGAGTATGAGTTGTAGTGTTACATGTAAACTTATAATAATTTGATTATAAACAATGTTAAATTCAATACATTACAATAAAAAAACAATCTTTATGAATTAAACAACAAATCAAACAAAACAGTAAAGACCATACAACAACATATCAAAAACAATAAATACAATCATTTAATACAATTAATCACTTTAAGACAAATATCAACAAATTTGCTCCATCACTGTGGTAGTTTCTCCATAGCTCCGCTACTATATATGTAATTCTATTGCTCCGTTACTATGCATGTTGCACCATAGTTGATTGTGGTAAACATCTTTAGAAGTTTGATTCTTAAATAAAGTTAAACTTCAACAACATCCTGATTCTTGTCATTCCATAGTTCAGTCTCTATTCCATAGAAATATAATATTATCTGGGAATATTCTTTTTTTAAAAATTAACAATTTTAATAAAAATATAATTCTTTACATTCTACACTTAATAAATCCATGTGTGCAAACATTTTTGAAACTTGAGTTTGTTCACCTATTCCATTTTTTTTTCGAAGTTAAATTTCCATACATAATCAATTGCTTTATTTCTTTTCTTTAAAGGACTCAAATCCTACCAGTTTTTAAATCTTTGATCTTTATAATATTAAAAATTGAATACAAAAGTACTATGTGTAAGAATTTTTTTTATTTTTTTAAGGTTTTGTTTTTATTATGTTTGTTCTTTTTATTTCCATCAATATGATGATCTGCATTATCACGTACTCTTTTTCTAGTGACAATCGTGGTTTTTTCACTCTGTTGTATACCTTTCATAGTATTTTGTGTTTCCGCAAATTTTTTTTGCTCTTTACTTGGTTCTCCTGGAGTGATATTAGAATTGGTGAGAGGGATTGATCCTTTTCTTTCAAAGAATTTCATATCCACTGAAACTTTAGCGATTGGATGATATAAACTCTGAGCATAAAGATAACAAACTGGTTTGACATCTTCAAATGGAGAATTTTTTATGTCAATATTTCCAAAGTTGAATTGTCTGTAAAGGTTGAATGATCCAATCGATTCATAAACTCTCTTTGCCAGAATTTCATTTTCAATACAAAACTATATTGAAAAAAATAAAGTAAATATTAATACTCATTGAAATCTCAAATTGGGGTTGATGAACAAATATACATACAATTGTTCCAGCATGATGAACTGAATAATCATTTCGATTGGAATCACCAAGACAAATGATATTCTTTGATTTGGAAACCATCAACTTTTCATGTCTGCTTCTAGATTCTGCATTTTTTCCATCTTTTTTTTCTCTACTCCATAATGGACTCCAAGTAACAATGTTTCGAATACTAAATGTTGATCCAATCAATGATGGGAATGTTTCTTGCTGTATTATTAAAAATGAATATTCATTAATTTATGGTGGAAATTAAAAAATTAAATATATTTCATACATCAGTACTGACGAAAAAGTGTGAATTATAATGTTGTGCAACCAATAAATATGGATCCTATTTTAAAAAAATAGTTATAAAATTAATAAATATATGAATGAATGTAAAATATTCTTCTAAGAATTTACCAATCCAAAGTGAAACTACAAACTGTCTTTGCATCATAACAAATCGAATCGTCTATTGGATCATCATTACTAAGACAATGGGTCATGGACAACATTTCTACTTTGATTGGATCTTGTTTTTCAAACCAACTATTTTTACTAAAGTGGTCCTTCTCTAATTTAATGTAATTTTTGATCTCCTTGCCATAGTTCAGGGCAAAACATTTACTAAAGGCTTTATAGTTCTTCTTATCATTCTCTTTGTCTGCAGCTTTATAAAAGGTTGTTGTTTTACCATGTGAATTGCATATTGTCCTTTCTCGAGCATCTGAGTTTATAAACAAAAATAATTAATAATTAATTTTTTTAAAAATAATGAAACAAATCTTGAAATATACTTACAAAATGAAAACGTTGTGAATGAACCAAGTGTAAATGGTCCCTCATTCTCCATACAATATTTTTTGGTAGTTGTGTATGAATCCTCATCTAATAGATTTTTGGTAAACAGTTTTTTGAGAATGAGATCTCCATCATTCTTCTCATCTCTAAATCGATGACGGTTAACATATTTTCTCCATTTTTTATCACATTTATCCAAAGGAGCTTTCAGAGTGAGTTCTGGTTGAAAGTATCTGCAATCATCCTTTGAACGAACAAAAACAGCTTTGGTATTCTGCAAAATATCAAAGTATTTAACAAGATCAGGTTTTCCAGTCAATGAATTACAGAATGCATGTTGTGATGGTTGAACACCACTTCCTTTCTCGTACAAACCACTTCCAGTACTCTTTAACTCTGGCATTCTCATTGAATGTGAAACGAAAAACCCTGTATTCGTTGTTCATCATTATCTCTTAAATCGAAAACATACAATGACTTTATAATAATGGAAGTATTAGTTAATTGTTGGGGAATTATAATATTTACCTTGACATGACCATGATAGATAACACTGTTATCAATTACTCTATTTTCACCACCTTGGTCATGATACCATTCCAATCCTAAATAATTTTTGTCAATACATTGTTGTGTTATCCCATCACCATTTGCTTGATCAACATGTTTTTTCATCAAATCTGTAAAAAAGGTTCTTTTTGTTCCCGGAACTTTCATTGGTTCAGATTTAGATATATCTGAAAATTCAACAAAAAAAAAAAATTTTAGAAGTTGTTTTTTATTATTGAATGCATCGATACTTACCGAGAAGAGAATCATAGTAAAGTCCTCTTGCATACATATTTTCTTGTGAAGCTGAATCGGCATCTGCCAAATGAATCCACCATTTGACTGCTTTTCCTTCTGGATTGACACAAGTCACTGATTCACTTACTTTAATTGTCAATATAATCAAAAAGATTATAAATGTTATTTGTGCCATTTGATATTTTTGACTCTTTAACAAAATATACAAATAATAATAATCAAGAAAGAATATAGTAAAAAAAAAAATCGATCAACTGGATCTAAATCAAAAACGAATTCATGAAAAATTCGTTATTAGATTTTTTGAGATATCCCTGATCATTTTTTTGACCATGAACCGTGATAAAACTAGTAATATTGATATTAAGATTACTATTACTGCCGTTATAGTATTTAAAATAATGCGCATTATTTTAAGTCAGTCAGTCTTGATTGTAAACTATATGTAGAGGTACAAATAGTGATAAATCACTAAAGTCTCACTTGACTGATGATAAAGAAGTCAAGAGCTTTGATTTATTATATTTAATAATCCTCATAGTAATGTTTTCTTTATTTATCTACCATTTATAATAATGCTTATAAAAGTTTACTAAATCATAAATAATAACAGACAAGATTAGGAAATATACGTAGATCTAAAGATACCTACTTTTGCAAATATTGTCGGTATGGACAAAAACTTTTCAACGATAAAGTAGAGGGTTTGGAGAAATATAATAATAAATATATCCTCTACTATCTGTACAAGAAAACTAATCTCAAGAAAGATGAAATATTATTTAAACAAGATTTTACACAGATAGAGGTAAATTTTAATTTATACAGTGAACTAATTTTACTTATTTTATTAAAATTTACTTTTTTTTTAAATTCGAAATTCGCATATTGTTTACTGCAATAAATCGAGAGTTGTTAACATCACCAATACAACATATGTAGGTCCTCGATATTATGCATGATACATACCGGGAAGACTAATAATGTCCTCTAGCATATGTCCTCTACATATTGGAATCTTCATCTGCATATGATCCACATGTCACTGCCTCACTAGATTGAGTAGAATCAATACATTTGTAAATGTTATTGGTGTCAAATAATTTAATTATTTAAAAGAATTTGGGAGAAAAAAATAATAGATAGTCCCATGGGTTTAAAAAAAATAAAAAAATTGTCAAAATCTATCTATTCAATTTTTTTTAATGAAATACTATTTAATTTCAAAAAATTTTGGATAGTGGGACACCCATCAAGAACGCGTCATCGGATCGGGTCAAATTTTTGAATTTGAAAAAAAAAATATAAAAAAAAAAAATAAAGAATCTGAAAAATAATTATTGTTTATCCATAGATAATTAATCAATTATAAAATAAAATGGGAAATCGAAATTTTTTGAAATTAAATAGTATTTCATTATTAGTATTTTTATTAGTAATTGTTTGTTTTTGTTGTATAGTCAATGGTGAGTAGTTGGTAATAGTCAAGATATGATATTGATATCGATATGATAATAATATTAATATACTTTTTGATTATATATCTATTTTTGTAGGAGACATTAGAATCGGTGGTCAAACAGTTCAATTGACCTTTAGAAAAGATGATGGAATCAACATTCAAACTTGGAAACAAGATAGCAAACAACCTCTACTCTCATTGACACCCAATGAAAAAGGTATATTCTCATCGAGAGACATCAAAGAAGGTGAAGAACTTCTAAGTTTACCATGGTATAATTCATTATCAATGAATAAGGTAACATACAAACAAACAAACAAACAAATCAATCTAGATACACGTTAACTAAAACAAAACAAAACAATCATGATAGGTTCAACAACAATTACCTTGGCTATTCAATAAGATTCAAGATTTGGAGTTGACAGCTGAAGATGGTTTGGTGGTTGCACTTCTCTACTATCGATATTGTATGGACGATCTGTCGTTTGACTATAGCGAATGGTTCAGTGCGATGCCAGAGGTATTGAATAGCGGTTTGTTCTTTAGCGATGCGGAAGCAGAGTTGCTCAATGGTTCGCCTGCCTACATCGACTTGATGAATCAGCGACTGGATGCCAAGGAGTTGTTCGGTCGTTTGAAATCGTTGTTCAAAGAGCAGCAGTTCAGCAAGTGTGCAATGACCTACGACCGTTTGAAATGGGCGTATTCCGTTGTGGATTCGCGTAAGATCTACACAGAGGCACCGAATCTCGATGCCAACGGCAATCCTTTTATCACCGTGGTGCTCGCACCATTCCTCGACTACTTTAACCACGCAGAGGACGCACAGGCCGCCTACGACTTTGACTACGACGAGTCTGCAATCAAGGTGGTTGCACTACAACCAATCAAAAAAGGTGAACAGATCTTCCTCAACTACGGTAACCAAGACTGTAACTCTGACCTCCTGATTCACTATGGTTTCATCGACCAATCGTCAACCGCCAAACACTGTGTCAATGTATTAGTAGAAGAGTTGTTAAATACAATTCCAGCATCTGTAAGTAGTTATAATATATTAGATCTATAGATTGCTTTAAACTAAACCTAAACTAACTTTTTACATTTATAGGATCCACAATTGATTGAAAAGACAGAGTTATTGACAAAGGCATTCGAACAGAACGAGAGAATGAAGTTGTTTAAAGATTCGCTGACAGAGGAGTTGTTAAAGATTTCAAAGTATTTAAGTTATAAGAACTTTAGTTTATTGCCATATTTGAAGTCGTTGATTGATATGAAGATGAAAGCATACCCAACTACAATGGAAGAGGATCGTGCAATCATCGAAGCGACCACAGAATTCGAAAAACTATCACAACGCTCAAAGATGTCGATCATCATGCGTCTCCAAGAGAAAGAAACACTCAAAGAGATCGGTGCTCTTATTCAAGTGAAAATCGATCAAAACGAATTAGAAAATAATAATAGTAATACAAATTCCGAAACACAAACAGATAACAATAATAATAACAATAACAATATTAATAACAATAATAATAATAATAATAACAAAAAATCAGCAAAAGATGAACTGTAAACATATTTAATAATAATATAATTATTCACTCCTATTCCGCAAAGTCTGCGGAGTTAGTGGTTATCGCGAACTTCAAATAAATTAAATGATAAAAAAATAAAAAACCCTCAAATATATAAATTTGAAAAAATCATTCATTTTATTTATTTTAATTAATTAAACAAGATATATATAGATATATAGATATATAGATATAAATACAGATAGATATACATTAAAAGATATAAAGTTAACAAAAGATAGATATTTATTATGTTCTTTTCTGGGAATAAGCAAATAATTGTTGAAGGTGGTGGAGGTGTAAATAATGATGAGCAACAGCAGCAACAACAACAACAGGTTCCGTATATGTCGGCACCCTTTCATCATCCTTCGATGATGCCACCTCACCATGGTATAGGATCACCTCATCATATTCATCCACATCAAGGAATGATGCCACAGCCACCACCACCTCTACCGGTTGGAACGGCAACACCTCATACTCAGATGATGCATCATATGATGCCACCAATGATGCACCCACCATTCATGCCACCTCATATGAATATGAACATGAATATGAATATGATGGGAATGATGCATCATCCACCACCACCACCATTCCATCAACCAATGGGTATGCCTTTTATGATGAATAACAATAACGAACAGCAACAGCAACAACAACATATTCAATTACAAACATCAGAAATGATAAATTCAACAGGTTATTTAGATGATAATAATATTACACCAACTACTAGTAGTAACAGTAATAATAACAGTAATAGCTCAACACCAAACAATAAATCGAAACCAAATGTACCAACTTTAGCAGAGATATTCGATGATCTATCAAGTAGATTCGTAATCAATATACCAGCAGAGGAATTAGAATCATTCGATCGTCTACTATTTCAAATTGAAGCTGCCTTTTGGTTCTACGATGACTTTCACAGAGAAGAGCATCATTCACTACCAAAATACTCTTTATCTGAATTTACAAAAGTTTGTAAGTATTATCTATTACTATTATAATCTTTATCTTTGATAATTAATCAATATATCAATATATATATATTAAATGTATAATTTAGTTTTCCATCATTGTCCATTCTTAAAACCACACAAGAATCAGGTAGAAGAGATTTTGAAACAGTTCTCACAGTACAAGACAAGAGTACCTGTGTATGGTGCTATCATTTTGAATCCGGGATTGGATAAAGCATTATTTGTAAGAGGATTTCATTCATCGAGTTGGGGTTTCCCCAAGGGTAAAGTCAACAAAGATGAAGCCGATGACATCTGTGCTGTGAGAGAGGTACTCGAAGAGACTGGATACGATATCTCTAGCAAGTTGAATCCAAGACATTTCATTGAGATCACAATGAAAGATCAAAAGATAAAGCTATTCATCATCTGTGGAGTACCAGAGGATACACCTTTCATGCCAAGAACAAGAAAGGAGATTAGTGTAAGTAAAAAATCATTTAATTTATTTATTCAAATTTGTTTATTTATTAATTCGTTCATTCATAAAATAGAAAATAGAATGGTTATCAATCGATGAATTACCAACGTTCACAAAAAAGAATAACACTCAAAGTATGGTAAAGGAAAAGAATTTCTTTAGAACTATTCCATTCTTTATGTAAGTTTGTTATGTTGTTAAAACTCTTGAGATGATGATGATGATCATGATTTACTTATCTATTTTTGGTTTGATCAATAGTAAATTAAAGAGATGGATTGCGATTAGAAAAAGAGGAATTAAAGGTATGACAGATGAAGGTAATGCTATTATGTCCACTCCAAAGACAATTGCTCAACGACCACAACAACCGACTACTCCATCGTCATCTACTTCCTCTTTACAGCCACCACCTCAGTACTCACCATACCCAATGTCACCTCCAGCTTCACCAAGACAATATAATAATACTGCTATCACCCCAATTAAATCGAGTGGTAACAACAGTATCACCAACAACAATATTAATAATAATAACAACACTAACAATATCAATATAATCAATTCCAATAATAATAATAATGAAAGCAATTTTAATAATAGTAATAATATTAATCTTAGTAGTACATTCCCAAAGGTAGCAACTGCCGCATCAGTAGTTACCACAGCAGCTCTTTTACCTACCGTAGGTAGCACTGAGTGTAAACCCAGATCAAAATTAACATTCGATTCAAAATACACAATCAAATCAACATTCTCTGACGCAAAGGATACAATTGTATCTTATCCTACGATCCATGTCCAAAACTATCAGTCACGATTCAATGTAACTTTCGATTCTGAAGAACTTGTAAATTGTTTCAAAGTGTAAATAAATATATTTAATTTATTAACAAAATAATAAAAAACAAAATTGATAGTATAGAGGTTGTTAGTGATGTAGATGAAGAACTATCTGACCAACTTGAACTTGTTTCACCACCACATAATGGTTGGTAGTTAAAATAATTGAGAGGAGTACCACACTTTCGTGAAATACAAAGCATCATTATCAACATTAGGACATCCACTATTGTCCATACATTGCAAATATTTTTCGAAATGATTATATGCAGAGAATCCAAAATCTCCAAATGGAGCACATAATCCACTATAATTTGTAGAATTTGCATTGCACATACATGCTGATTGTGAGGGACAATTTTGGTATACATTTTCACCGCAAACCATATTGGAAACAGTATCCATAGTAATACATTTTCGACCTATATACGGGCCTGTATCATTGCACTGATTTATCAATACAATATAAATATTAATTTAAATTTAAATATGTATATTAAAGTTAGTGAGAAAAACAAAAAAAAAAAGAGACAAAGCGAACAATTATTCATTCTTCACCCCCTTTTTTGGATGACTATTTTCGCTATGTCTGGGATTTAAATGATTTTAACTTACAATTAAATTTTGAGAGATATCACAATCGCTTGTTTCAAAACAAGTACCACCCAGTCCCACAGACATTGGAGGAGTACAAACAAATATATTGTTTAAATTAACAAGACAGTTGCGAAAAGGCTGACATTGAGCTGAAGACTGACAAGGTTCACCTTCTCCAATTGGTTTCATACATCTTTGATTATAGCATACTTCACCAGGATTACACATTGAATTTGATTGGCAAAAAGGATAATTAACATTGACACATTTGCTTAATATACATTTTAATCCGATTGAACAAAATATACTGTTACTATCTTGAGATACACACATATCACCTATTCTATAACATAGAAATTAGTTTAATTTTTAGAATTTGGTGAGTATTGATTTATTTCCAATTACCCAAGTGAACCAACGGCAAAACATTCATCTACGGAACAAACAAGTCCATTTCTACAACCAGTTGAACCACAAGGTGCACCTGAGATATCTGGTTGCTAGTTTAAAATGATTAATTTTAATAAGATTTGATATTTTAGTCTATTAACATTACAAACAGGTATGCATAAACCACCGGAGCCACCAGGTGCTCCAGTACATACAGCTGGATATTCACAAATTGTTTCTGTTTGAACATTTGTATTGCATGATGAGGATATATCAGCACAAACTGAACAATAAGAAGCTATAAATTTTATTTGTATTGTGATAAATAAAAGAATGATAATTGGTTTCATTTTGAATTAAACAAGTGGTAACTTCTTTATTTTGATTTATAAAGGCGATAATTGTACTCAGGGATACAAGTTAGAATTTTTTTTTCAATGCCAACGTGGCACAGCGGCAAGAGAGGCTATTCACCCATTTTGTTTTTGCATGAAATAACAGTTTGTGGCGACTCCAGACACTATTTTCGATATGTCGGGTCAGGTGTGGAGGTTTAAATGATTTTTAACTTTTCTTTTTTGAATTAAATTTAATTCAAGAAAGCTCCTAAAACTTTGAAAGTAGGTGTATTTATTTACTTTTTAAGTGCAATGATTGAAGAGTTATGAATTTTATAACAATGTCTTGATATTACATCAGAGAAGTTCTTATCATTGGTTTTCAATGATATGGTAAGCCTTCCACCATTGTAACCGAGTTTGAATAGTGTGATTCCTCCAGCTGCAATATTTGAGTTGACTTTAAGCTGTGTAGCTCCAAAGAACTCGGTATGATTGTCGGAATCCAGTGGTTGAATAGTATGTAAATGTAGGCCCTTAATAAAACACGTCAGTAGCTGTGATGATTTCTGTTGTAATGAGCTATCAACGATTATCTCTCTTTCCTGTGAATAGGATGACCATGTTTGTTCGAATTGATTCAGCCCGATATCAAGAGGTCTGAGGAAATCGGATATTTCAATGGGAATCGAAAGAGTTGGTATAGTTTTACTACTCTGACCATCCAAATTGAAATCGATATTTAAATTTATAGAAATACCAAATCCAACTTTTTTTAAATCAATTTTAATTATTTCTACAACCTGGTTATTATGATTATGTTAGCATTTGAATATTATTTTTTTTGTTGTAATAGATGATAGTTACAGTTAGTTTTGGATATAGATCATCTACTGATAAAGTATTGGAATGTATTTTTACAATTGAATCACCGTCGTAATCTAATTTTAGGTGATCATTACCTGTTATTTTTTGATTGATGTTCTTTAATGATTTGGTTGATTGATTATTTGATATTAATAATAAAAGATGTAGCTGTGAATTGTTAAATTGTTTGATTGTTGAAATAACTATATTATTATCACTATATATTTGTTGATTTACAATGTTTTCTAAATTTGTATTATTTATCTATAATAATAATAAAAAATAAGTTATGTTAGTCTTTAAAGATGATTAATAAAATTTGTTTATCATTTTTAAATCTTACATATTTTCTAAGTATTGATGACAAATTTAAATTTTGAATATTAAAAGATGTTCCTGGGTTGATTTGAGTTGACAATTGACTTTTCAATGATGGAGAAGTTATTGTTGTTAATGTAGTTGTTGATGTTGTATTGTTGTCGCTATCGTCAGTATCTAAAATAGATGAAGCAGGTGGAACTAGCTCCATTAGCTCAGCTTGAATCGTTGGTACTTTTACAATGTTGGTCGGTGATTCTAAATCTAAAAGTTGAGTTGTTGATGTTGTAGATGTTGATTTTGAAGGTGACGGCGAAGGTGACTGTGTTGATGATGATTGTACATTGGTTTCGCCTAAACTTAGATTTACAAGCATTTCATTATCGTCTCCTGTAAACAAATTCGATGATCTTGTAGTTGTTGCTGTTGTTGTTGTTGTTTTCTTTCCGTGCATTCTATTCACTCTAGATTCACCGGAATTGCCATCTTCATTTCCAACGACACCTCCAAACAATTCCTTTGCTAGTTTCTCTTTCTTGAGTGTTTCTAACGAGGGTTGAGCGGCAACTGGTTCAACTGCCGGTTGTTTGTTTGTTGGTGAAGTTGGTTGTGGAGATACAACTGAATTAGTCGATAACGCTTGATTTTGTTGATCTTGTTGTTGTGGTGTAGTTGATGGTAATGGAGGTGATTGATATCCAATGAATCCTTTTTTAGTCCAGACTACTTTGTTTGGTTTTGGAACAACTGGATCTATAGCTATTGATGACGATGATGATGAATCAACTTGAACAATTTCAATATCTTTCTTTGGAACTGGAACAATAGCTTGTTGACCGCTACTACTATTGTTGTCTTGTGAAAATATGGTTGCTGTTGGATATTGTTTTTGTTGTTGCATCATAAAGTGAGTGGGTGGTGAAGGATATTCAAAGTTTAACTCTTTCTTTGGTGGTTGTTGATGTGTTGACGATGTGGTGGTTGATGACGACGACAATTGATTTCCAATCACAGGTAAATCAACTAATTGATTTGGATTCATAAAGGTTGAAGGTCTAGATTGTTTCGGTATATATGATTTCGACCAACCTTTGGAGATCGCAGCTTTTGCATGTCTTACAATAACGGACTCTAGTTGCGCCATGTCCAAATCCTCACAGTAGCCATCGGTAGGTAGTACTTCATCCAATATCGAATGTGGTAGTTTCGAAAGTTCGATCAGCTCCAGTGACTTTTTCTGAGTGGCAAGCGACCTTGCGTTGCTATATCTGTTGGCGACCATCAACACCTGTGGCAACACCTTGCCGACCTGTGACGAAAGCTTTGCCAAACCAGTCAATATACAAGATTTAACATCTCCACTATAATCCCTATCCATTTGATCCACCAAAGCATTGATAACAGAGTTTAAAGATACTTTTATCTGCTCTTTAGCAGAAGCATCAACAAATAAATAACTATACTCTGAAAGTATCCAACAAACTACTTTCATCAATAGATCGTTTACATTAATATTGATATGTGTTGTTGTAGTATGTTGTTGTTGCTGCTGTTGTTGTATATCTCCTTGTTGCTGTATTATTATATCATTTAATATTGTCCAACATAAACTGGCTGCGTGTAACTTTATCTTGATATCTTCTTGTTCGTTGTCATCCAATCCTGTACCACCTGCAACCAGTCTGATTAGATTGAATCCACTCTCTTCCGACATCAAATCACCTTCTACACTCAACATTCTTAGCATTGTCTCGATGTACCAATAGTCATTCGGTGAGTATCTCTCTGCGAGGTCAGAGATCCGCGATACCAATTCGCGTTTTAGCAACTGATCGTCGGTCATTAGATGATCAATCAATTTCGCACAGATCGGTACAACATTCTTATTGTTTGTCATCCTGTAGAGTAAATCCAAACTCTTTCGCTTCAGCGTTTCATCGCGTGACTCTAGACATTCGATCACCTCGAGTTGGTGACCGGTAACAGAGCGTGGCGATATCTGGACGATCGAAGACAGTGCATTGATTCCTAGATATCTGAGATTATTATAGCGATGTGATAGCAGCACAGAGATATTCTTTATGGCCGACTCCAATAGCGCTGCATCTTGGTGAGCAACAACCGTCAGCACACGTATCGATTCATAGACAATCGAGTAACCGGCATTGTTTTTAAACTTTAGCGATTGCTCCAGTGTGAAATTAACAGTTGGCGATATCAAGTCGGATATCTGTTTCTTTTTGTCTGGCGAAGACGATGCTGTGGTAATGTAGAGATTCTCCAGTATCTTTAAGAGGTAGACTTGTAGCCACGGGTTTGGAACACCGTGGTAGAGATAGTGGCGTGGAAGTCGACCTTCCGCCACTTGCTTCAAGATACTGTTGAACGATGGTATCAAGTTGACAATGCTCGGTGCAGCAGTGGTCGACTTTGAAATATCGAGAAACATTGCGATGGCAGCTGCCATCACCGACGGATCCTTATCGCTCATTGCCATGCGCAGGTTGTCTTGCATCGCATTGTCGAGCAGACTGGCATCGACCAGATAGAATCGATGCAGTGCGACAACACATTTCTTTCGGACGATCGGTCGGTTCGATGTCTTTAGCAGCTCTGTGACGCGCGGTATAAATGCAGGAATGGTTTCGCGGTCGACAAGACGCGCCAATGCCGTCAACGCCGAAGCCACCTCTAGAAAGTTGGTAGACCGCAAATCCTTCATAATCGAATTGACCGCCATGATCAGCAACTCATGTTTCGCAGGCAAACACAGCGACAGTGTCAAATAACCGGTTCGCTTGTTCAACAGCTTCTCATCCTGTGTCATGTTCAACGCTTGAACATAGCCAAAGGGAACATCATAACCCAACATATGACAATAAATCATTCTAATTAAACATTCTCTTTTTTTTGTACTCTTTTTGTTGTTTTCTATTAATTAGTAATTGTACAATATATCTAATAATAATAATAATAACATAGAGATAACATACAGGTTTATCTATTTGTGAAAATGATATCTTTAACTTTTGTATTTCCGATTTAACAATACGTTCTTCTTCTTCTCTTGATAGTGATGCAGATACATTCTTTACTAGTTCAAAGAACTCTAGATCCAATATTGTATTTTGTATCGATTTAATCCATGCTGGTACTTGTAATTTCGTTTGATCACTAAACTTTAATATCTTTACAGGATTAAATGAATATATTGACATTTCATTTATAACAACAAACAAACTTGTTTTAATTATTCTTTAACAGTAAATAAGATATTTGATAAATTAAATTAAATTAACCAAATAAAATTATAATTTTTCTTTTTTTTTATTGTATTTTTTGTAAAAATATTTTTTAAAATAAATTCAAAGAAACTTGACTTGTGGATGTAGAACATCAATCAATATAATAATAATATTTTATTTTTTTTTGTTTCTGTGCACCTCATAAATTACATTAAATTCTGATCAGAAAAACGATGATGAGATTTCGATAACGTTGTATCAGACGATCACCAAGTGTTGCGCAAACAAATTGCATAATGAAATAAATGTACGCAATATTAAAAGATTGGTTTACATTTAATAGTAATACAATATAGAATTGATCAAAAAATAAATATTAGTTGTAACAATAGACATATTATTCTTAAAGAATAAGCCTGGTCGTGTTTGTTGTGTTATTATTACATGAAAAAATATTATTTATTCTGTCTACTACTTTCTTTACTGGTGAACAACAACAAAATATATTAACAGGCAATGAACAACAACAACAATTAATCAACTTTGTTATAACTTCTACTGGGACCAATGAATAAAAAAAAATGTCACCAGATCCCAACAGGCAAAGAATGATAAAAAAAATAAAAAATAAAAAATAACTATTTTTTTTCGTTTTTTTCATTAATTTTTTTTTTTTATTCAAGGGGTGTTTATTTATGTGTGTGTGTTTTTTATTGACATGAAGTAGATAATATTTAAAATTGAACTATCATATCATAATAATATGAATAAATAATAATAATAATCATACATCATCATCATCATCATATATCATAATAATCGAATAATCATTCATAATCATCATTGTAATTTATTTATTTATTTATTTATTTATTTATTTTTAGATTAGATCAGATTCTCCGATTTTGTACAAAGTTTTAATAATACAATAAATTTTATATATATTTTTTTTTTTAAAGTAAAAAAAAGATAATAATATATATATTCAATTACATTTTCAAATATATATATTTATAAATCAAATATAAGAGTCAAAAAAGAATGAATGATATTATATTGATTTATTTAATATGTGCACCTATATCGATCATTGGTTCACTCTTTATCATTATTACATGGGGACTGTTTGCAAAGGTCGGTCAGCATAGTGGATCGAATTTTATATTCTTTCAAAGTATAGCTGATTTAATATTTACTTTTAAGTAAGTATATATAGTGTTTATAATTGTATAGCTATCTTTATTAATATTTTATTTAGATATATCCTTACTATTATATTATATTATGCAGGAGTGGAGCAGTTTGACGATTCGGTGGTAGATACGAAATCGTCGTCGGCAGTATGCTTCTTCTTGGGTATGTGGGGACAGTACTTTGGACAGGCGACAGTCATGTGGAGTTTCATGATGACCGTCAAAGTATTCCTATCGTTCTTCTACGCCAACATCGATAACAGCAACAGCATCAAGTGGTATCACATCTTTGTATGGTCATTCTGCGGTATCAATGCAATCATTATCGCTGCATTCAAACAATATGGTCCAAGTTCAAATGGGTATGTTATATAAGATATAAAGATAAGATTGGATATTATATATCTATCTACCTATATATATACTAATATTAACACTGATACAATCACATCTATAGATGTTGGATTGTAGGTGGAAGTAATCCATTTAGATTGTTTGAATTGGTACCATTGTATATAACTATAACAGTTTCCATTGTGATTTTAATGTTGATTCTTTGGAAGATGCAGAGAAATAGACCGACTATGTTGATGCCAAACGAATCGGTTCGCTACAAGCTTCAGGAACAGGAGTTTAGAAATCAGTTGGTAAAGTTTGTGTTGGTATTCGTTGTATTCTGGACGGCACCGACCATTCTTAGAACCATGGAATATCTAAAGATTGAAGAAGACCAAGACAAGTTGTTTGTTTATTTAGATGCCGCAAGTGTATCGCTGCAAGCATTGGCAAACTCTATAGTTTGGGGAACCTCACCGCAATTCTTTAAATTAATGAAAAGAAAGATTAGAGGTGGAAATCATCCAAATGAAGAAGAAGCTTTAATTAACCATTAATAATAGTATAATAGTAATAGCAATAATAATAATAATAATAATAATAGTCATAATAATAAGTTTTTTGGATAAAATCGATTCAATTATATAATTAATCCAAATAACAACAACAACCAAATACGACAATTCTAATTTTAACAATATCTAATATTATATCATCATATAGAAATATAATAATTTAACATTTATCATTACATAATGATACACAATAAAAAGAAACAAATATCAAAGATTGTAAATAAAATAAATTATAAAAGAAAATGGAATATATCTAGAAAAATAGATTATTCCTGATTTTTTTTGCACTGCAATGACCATCTTTTTTTTTTTCTCACTCATAGATAAATAATGAATAAACAATTATTCTCTATTGTTATATTTAATAATAAATATATAAATAATCATATATTTTCATATATAAGTGAAATATGTTCAATTTATAATGGTGGTAAACAATACAAGTGGAATGATGTTCAATCAAATGCTAGACTGCTGGCTGGTAATAACTATTTGGAGCAATTAAAAGAGTGGTTTAAAATCAATAAGAATAGTGAAGCTATTATAAGTTTGACATTGAGAATAAGATAACACAGAGTCGCATAAATTTATTAATGCTGCGGTTGGTGGTGGTGACATTGAAATGATCAGCTATTTGATTAAGCGATTCCGAGTCGATGTGGCGCACCAGAATAACAAAAGTTGGTTCACTCTCAACGATTTACTGGCGATAACTTTACAATATGGAAGAATCGATCTATTTGATTACCTTTGGAATAAGTATAGTTATATACAATGGGATTATAAAGTGGTTCTCAACTATTCATTTTCACTAAACAGTACAGAGCCGATTAAATATCTTTTTAAACGATATTTTGATACATCGCCAGATACTGATTCGTTGCTAACTGTACAATATCAGGTTTTGGGTAATGCTGCTATGGTTGGAGATGTCGATTTATTGGATCATATTTTTGGTTACTCAGTGGAAGCTGATGATCAGAAGCCGAGATTCAACAAACTTCTTATGGTTAAAGCGATCAAAGGTCAACATGAAAAGGTAGTTAAATTCCTAGTTGATAGGATACCATCGATGTTTTCAAGCTCTGGAACACTCCCATTGGAGTTTGCATTTGAACAAAGAAATACTGGAGTCATTAAATTGTTAATTGAAAGTAATTGTCCACCATTGGTACTCTAGTCTTTTAGAGAGAGCAGCACGTCTTGGAGATATAGAACTATTGGAATGGCTGTACAATAGGATGGCTAAGGAACAAGAAGATCCTCAGGTTTTCAAGTCAATAACATTGGGGACAATTCCAAACTTGGCAACCATTCAATGGTTTGAAGCGCATAGCTTTCAAATAAATTCGAGCACACCCTTTTTGGAGAGTTTGAATAATCGTTTCAACTTTTACAGAATGGACCCAGAGCCATTTTCATTGGAAACATTAAATATTGCCAAGTATATACATTTCAATAGATCAGAAAGTTATTCAGAGCGTGCAATGGAGAATGCGGTTGCGAGTGGCAATTTAGAATTGGTTCAATTCTTAAATTTCAATAGAACAGAAGGATCTAAGTCCAATTTAATAGATATCGCCTCAACATTTGGATTTCTCGACATTTTACGATGGTTGCATTATAATAATAGTGGAGGTTGTTCAACTGAAGCAATGGACTATTCTTGTTTACACGGCCATCTACAAATTGTTCAGTTTTTGCATGAAAATCGTAGTGAAGGTTGCTCAGTGGATATACTAGATAAGGATGATGGATCAAGCAAATCATTGGAAATATTAAAATGGTTTTATGAGAATAGAACGGAAAGAATAACACAGCCACATAATCTACTTACTAGAATTCTAGCAACTCCAATAGTCAATCTAGAACTTTACCAATGGGTATATGAACATGTTCCACAGGAAGTTCAATCAGAGATGGAGAATCCAGAACATTTCTTCAAGTGCAACAATTATCTGATCATTAGATGGCTTCTCAATCTCAAAAAGCGATCAATGAGTGACCTTATAAACCTTTCAGTCAGAATGAAATCAAAATACCCATTTTCAATTCAACCATTTAAAGTACTTGACAAACATATTGAATCTGATTTGATTGGATTCTAGCAATTAAATTTCTCATCCGAAATAACTATTAATAAATAAAATATTTTATTTAAAATTAGATAGAAGTCTTTTTATATTAATAAGTTGTTAAATTAAATAAAAAAAATAAATTTTATTTAATAGTAAATATTTGTGTTTGTCGTCGGTTTACAAAAAAGTAAATATGGTTTTTGATCGTTTATGACTCGATTTATAGTCATAAACTAAATTTTAACTGACTTTTTTAATTAATTTAAAAGTCTGGTGTATTTTGTTATAGTTGTTGTTGTTGTTGTTATTATTATTATTATTAAATATTAAATATATATTAATGATACTTGATCTACTCAAAGTGTAGAGTTGAATAAATCTTTTTGACAAACCAAAGATTGCCAAGGAATCCAATCGATGAGAAAAACAATGCTGAAAATAGAGAGATGATGAAAGAATACATGAAATAATAGAATCCAGTACCACCCAACACCCTTGGATATCCATAAACTAAAAGATAGATAAATATATATATTGATGTACAAGCCGGTCCTAAAATTGATCTCCACCACCAATTGTAATCCTGTTTTTTTTAAAAAAAAATTTATTAATATTTGATTATTATAAATAATTAGTTTTGTTTTTGAAATTACCTCTCTTGAAAGTTGATAATAAGTAATCAACATATTGATAACTATAATATTTATAATCATCAATATAAAAGCGATACAAAGATCGTAGGAATTGTTAACGTGGAAATTGTTAAAGATTGGATCCAATTCGAAATTGATCTGTGCGAAAATGACAGCGAAAGGCAAGAATCCGAAAATTAAACTGTGGAAATAGTGATTGGTATACCAAACTGCTTTTGGTATCAATCTTGGAATATGATTTGGTTTAAATGGATATTCTGCTGGCTATAAATATATTTATGTATGTATTGATTAATAAATAAAACAAAAATAAATTATAATAACTATTTCAAAACTTACAGGCCATGTATTAACAAAATAAGAACTTAAAAGTGAAGTTGGAATGGAAACGAATAACCACATACAGATGACAAAGATGACTTCGGTTGCCGATGGTGCACTGAGATAATGGTTACTCCACAACTGGAATTTAGAAATGAAAATCAAAATCAACAAAATCAATGGAATCAGTGTTGCGTTTAACAATGCATTATGTCTCTTTCTAGATCCTCCAAGCATAATATATGTTCTCATTGAAGCATATCCACTAAATAATCTATTGTTTATAATAGTAGTAAATAATAAGTAAATGATGCAATATCGATATTTTTCTTAATCAATGATTACTGTAACTTACCCACAAAAAGCAAATATTAAAATTAAAGCCAATCTAAATGAACCTGGATTGGAAATCGATAGTAATCCGGCAACGTAGAATAGCATCAGCATGAATGAGGAGACTGCAATCTGCATACCGGTTCCGATCAGTATGGAGAATGTCATGTAACGGTTTGGCGAACGGAAGACGTCGGCGTAGATCGATTTCCAACCGCTGTCACCCAACTGGATGAATCCAAGTGATTCGTTACCTCTGAAGATCTTCCAGAGTACCAAAGCGAGGAACAAACACTCTACCACGGTAATGAGGAATCCAATGACTGCAGAGGTCGACTCTATCGCCACTGCATGCGGATAGTAGATATCCCAACGATCCTCTGGATTGACATCGGTACTGTTGTATCGGTTCGTCGAGTAGGTCCACGATACGTTGGCAGCTGTATCTCGGAACAACTCCATCGGTTTACTCATTCCATTTGGATATTGCGTATTGCACCCAATGAAACTTCTGGGTGTCACTGAAACATGAATCAAATAAAACAGATCATCGGAATTCGGTATCACCTGTTTATATTGAAACCAAAATTCAACATTACTATTTAGAAAATAATGAACCTATAGAAATATATATCCACATTAATATCTATGTTGTTATTGTTATTGTTGTTGAATACATTACAGTTCCATTTTCGTCGGTCGATGTGAAACCAATTGGATAACCTAATAATATATATTGACCACCATTCGAAGATGGTTTCAATTCTCCGATTGGTAAACCATCTACATAACTATAGGGAGAGAGAGAGATAAGATAGATAGATTAATATTATGAATTAAAATTTAAAGGAATCTGAATGAAATGATTGATTGATTGATTGATAGGTTGGATTGGTTGATTGATATGACACATACAAATGAGCTCTATATTGATCTTTAATTAAATCGATGAAATCATTGACTTGATCTGCAGTAAGCTTGGTGTGAGAAGCCTCTAGACATTCGTTACTGTACATCGCTTTCAATGGGTACATCGCTGTGTATTGACCATTTCCACTCAGCTTAAAAGCGAACGATCCTTCTGATTTCTCGTCGGCCAAGTCAGTGTTGTATGGTGCACCTTTATAATAGGGATATGATTTTAAATTCGATGTCAATTTATTCATCTGTTGTTGTTGTCGTTGTTATTGTTCAAACAAATTGAAATGAATGTTAATTAGCCAAACTCTCAATCTTTTTCTTTATTTTAGTTATATAACTATCAAATTACCTTTAAACGTAAATCTTGTGATGTTGAGTATTTCTCAGGATTAGAGGGTGATAAGTAACGTGCCTCTGTAATTTGGCATTGTATTAAAACAGATACCAAAAAGAGTATTGCTACTACCCATCTAATAAGTGTCATTATTATAGTTATTTAGTTGCTGTTGTTGTTATCCTTCTATCGTTCTTCTCTCTTTCTCTTTCTCTTTGTTGCTAATATAATATTCTCTTTATCTTTATCCTTTCTTTTCTTTTGTTCAGTAAGTTATTCTACTGAATTAACAAATCTAATCGAGAACTGTTGTTTTATCTATATATCTATATCTATGTATATATTAAAAAGTCTTTATTTATCTTATCTATTTATCTCAAAAAGTATGTATTGTAATACAACAATTCTTATATTATCATTAATTAAACAAAAAAAATACAAAAAAAAGATATTTCAAAAAAATTCGAATTAGTTTGTTTTTGAAAAAAAAAAAAAAAAAAAAAAACCAAATTTAAAATCCCTCAGATTGAAAAAATGCCACATGTGCATGGATGGTTTTTTAGAGTCGTTATTTTTAAATACTTTTATTTTTATTTTATTTTTTATTATTGCATATAACTTCACAAAAAATAAATAAATCATAAAAAAAAAAAAAAAAAAAGACGAAGATCAAGTTTGTTAATTATCTACACAAAAACATAAAAAATAAAGTATTACACAAACATGTTTGTGGAACATTGTTTAATTTAGATTAGCTAACAATAAGTTGGAAATCGCAAAGTAGTCGGTGGACTAATAGTTTCATCACAAACAGTATTGTAAGAAAATGAACGTAGAGTGTTGTTTGTTGAAAGTGCATCTATCACTCTTTGTTCAAATTGATCAAGCCCAGCTGAATCAATTATAAATGTAATATGCATACATTTCAAATTAGGATGTGTATTTCCACTGATTATATCTAATATTGAATCTGTAACCGTTTGATAATTACATTGATCTAAATATATATTTTATATTTATATATAATAATATTAAATTAATATTTATAAATTTGATTTGATTTGATTTTTGATTCAATAAAAGATAGTTACCATTAAATTCTTGAAATGATTTATGTACAAGTGTAAATCGTTGAACAGTTTGACTGATGATATTGGTACTTCTGGTTTTTGTGTACTGTTGAATTCAACAAGCATTGGCAGACAACAAGTGTATCATCAATCCAGATCTATCAGCATTACTTTTGATGATTAGAAATGAACAAACCACCAAACAAAAGTTTCCAATCGTCAATAAACTATTGTCACTTACGATTAGTGATTGTGAGGAATCAAATAACACAAATGAGTTCATAGAATATTTTTTTTGTGTACTGTTGAATTCTGGTTTTTAATAATTTTAACATAGTTATTACATTTTGTTTTTGGGGTGTTAAAATAAAGTTATTGATAAAAAGATTTATTTTGTTGATAAAATTATAATATTCATTATTTACATGTTGTTTTATAGTAATTGATATAATTATTGACTTGGTTGAACACTTTGATCATTGTCAGAAGCAATGTTATCGTAATCTTCATCGTCTTCTTCGTCTTCATCGTCGACATTGAGATTGTGTCCACGAAGACCAACAGACAGTGGATTTTCATTGGCCTTTGACATACCTGATGCCATCGTGCTTGGTGGTGACGCATAATCCATTGGTGGCATCATATCGATATCATGTTCATTATCATAATCTTTGGTGGATAATGAATGATAATATGAACTATCGTTGTCTATCATCATTTGATTTTGATTTTGATATTGGTGATGCTGTTGTTGGTTATTTTGATGTTGATGATGATGTGGTGAAGGATGTGGTGTTGCAACTGACTTATCGAAATGTGATGCTGAATGATTACTTGATCCACTATAATTTTGTAATTGAAATTGATTGTTACTGTTATCTCTATTTAAATGCTGTTGTTGTTGTTGCTGCTGCTGTTGATGATATTGTTGTTGTTGTTGTTGTTGCTGATGATGATGTTGTTGTACGGAAGATGACGAAGATCCAGATGATGGTGTAGAAGATGAATTAGCATTAATAGTTCCAGGTGTTTGGAAACATGCAATTAAGAATTGTATCATATAACTATCACTATATCTTGTATGGAATTTCAGCGCACTTTTATAAATAAATAAATAAGTTAGTAAACAACATATTGCTTTCTTATCTTTAACTATTATTTTTACAGTTACTTACTTTCCATTTTGCTTAACGTAAAAAGTGATTGGATGACTGATTGTCTCACAGAACGATATGATAGTTTTGAACTCTTTGAACGAGAATGTAAGATCGATGTTTCTGCCATCCGATGCATACTCATCGAAATCTGCAACATCCAACTTGATCTCTGTTTGTAAAGCTTTCTCTGGTGCAACTAATAATAATAATAATAATGATGATATCCAATCAATCAAATTGTCTGTTAGTTGGTAATTCATTTTACAAATCAAGAAAATATGATAATTTACTTACTCTTTCCACTCTCTTCACCTAAATAAGTACTGAATATGATAACGTCTTTTCTGAGATTCAATGAAATCTCTTCGAGTGATTGTGCAAAATGAGCGAGTGCATCGACAATGATCTTTGGTCTGATGACCATTCGCACGTCGAATTCATTGTCCATTACGGGATTGAGCATATCGATATCCTCATAGTTCAGTTTATAGGTCTTCTTTATCTTCTTGTTACACAGCAGATGAAAGGTAACCTTTGATTCACCGTTTCCGACAACCAATGCACATTTCTCGATTGTGCCAAGCGAGTGGAACACCTGATGACAATGCTTCGACTTTACTCTAACGTTTAACGAAAGATCGCGCTCCGACAACCGATAGTCATCAAAGAAATCCTTTGTCATCAATATCTCTATATATGCAGATTTTGCTGTATTACATGCTTTAAATCTTATCTATATAAATATAAATATATTAATATTAATCTATCTATCTATCTATAGATGATTATGTTTATAACACTTACTTTATCTGGTTCTATTTGAATATTGAATTCTTCACATAACTTTGCAAGATATTGTATTCCTTTTGCGAATGGTTTTATATGACCTGAATTAACTACTAAATTCACCATTTGTGCGTATGTGGTGTTATTATTATTATTATATCTAAAACTAATTTAACTGTTATTAATTAAAAATGATTTTGAATTTATTTTTTTAATGAATAGATTTTTATAAAATTGTGATTTGCATAGAAAATGAAATTCATTTTTTTCTTCGAATTTTTTTTTTTTTTTGGATGTCCAAAAAATCTTAAAAATAATTTCCCTTTTTTTCTTTCTTTTTTGGAAAATCTTTGCAAAAAAACGATCGTTTACTAAAAATGAAAAAAAGTATCTCATCATTCATTAATCAAGTTTTATAATAATGGGAATGTACCAAGTTGGTACAAGTAAAAAAATAAAAAAATGAAAAAAAATGAAAAATAAAAATAAAAAAATTTTAAAAAAAGGATTAGATTGAAAAAATTGTTTTTTATTCAGTTATCATTTTGAATTTTGTGTCCATCAAAATGTTTCTTCTTGGGAATTTCCATATATGATATTTATCATCCTTAATGTACTCTATTTTTTCTTTGTCTTTTTCGGTACCATCTGGAAGAGTGAAATCGATGGTAATGGGATATACTTTTTTCTTGAACCATTGCATATCCTTGTGTTCAGGATCTACTTTTAATAGATTGGTCATACAAGTATGGTCAGAGCTAAGAACCGTATCCGTTTCAAAAGTGTAGATAAGCCTTCCACCCTTAGAACTTTCAAAGTTGACATTGACTATGCAATGTATCTTCCGAGTAATTAGGTAAACATTATTTTCCCTTGCTATAATGTTGTGATCGAATACATTTCTTCCACTAATATCTGCGCAGCTTGATAAGACATCACTTTCATTGTGATGGTGTTTTGCTTTCTTCTTCTTCTTAGAAACAACTGGATCCTCTTCTTCTGCTTCACTTTCTTCTTCTTCTGCTTCATCATCATCCTCTTGATGATCATTTGTATCATATCCATTAGCTACAAGCACTGAAATAATAACTTTTAGTTATTTTAAACTATTCAAAATACATAAATATTTTATTTACCTTGTTCTGCTTGAACTATTTTTTTTGCTTTTGATAGTTCAGCTTTTCCGCATTTCGGAAAAGCTTCTACTAATTTTTGAATGCTTAGAGCTAAAAGAGTATCTTTATAGTTTTTCATTAAGCTTTCAGCCTTAAGTACCTTATCACTTATAATATTATTATTAGCTTTTATTTTCATTTTTAGAGAATTGAAATAAATTAAAAATAACTTAAAAATTCAAAACTTAAATTTGAAACAACAAGATATCTTATCGAATAGATTATAATAACATTTTTATAGGAATCTAATATATTTTCCCTGTGCTATAGAATCACATTACAGAAGACGATATGGAAAGTAAATCTTAATTTTTAAAAAATATCTAGGTTACAAATTAAGTTCACAATATCATATATTAATTTTTATTAATATTTGGGAAATTTCTTTAATCTGGTACATTTTAATATTAACTAATACATTTAAAAGTAAATTAATACATCGATAGACACTAATACAAGTTAACATGTGGAACTCGAAGAAAATTTACTAAATATAGTAATTTACATACATTAGATGTATTAAATTAAAGAACTGGTACATTTAAAAAAAAAAAGTCCATTTAAATTTAATTAGTCCAACTAAAATTTTTAATACATCTTTCACAGTAGAACAACTTGAATTTGGATTTCTTTTCACCCATTAATAATTTCATATTTTTTCAGAAATGACAAAAGAAAAAAAATTTTATGAATATCTTGCAGAAAAACTTCCCACGTGGGGTAATGACGAATTTGTTGTTGAAAAATATGGTGTATCCATTGCGACTATAGACAAATTATTACCAAAATTAAAAGAGGAATATTTAGCAAATTGGACAAAAAAAAAATCATTCAATCCATATATATTGTTGATGACCTTAAACTTTTTAAAAACAAATCCATCATACAGAACAGCATCAAAAGAATTTGGTTGCAGTAAAGAGACCTATCAAAAGAGGGTATCAAATTGTTTACAAGCAATAGCAAATTGCCTACCACAGGTAAATCTTATAATTCGTTCATATCTACCCATTACTTATGTTTAACTATTTTATAGATTGAATTCAAAGATAGATATGGTACTTCTACCGAAAGTTTAAAATTAAACTTAGTAGTTGATACTACACTGTGTCCAATAGAAAAACCATCTAACATCGAGGTTCAACGACAGCATTATTCAGAGAAGCATAAAACTACAGGATTAAAATATGAAATAGGAGTTCGTACAGATTCTGGTTTAGCCTGTTGGTTGGGTGATCCTTACCGTGGAGGTGAACATGACATCAACATTCTTTTGGATGGGGGATTGTTGAACGAATTGGATAAAGATGAAGTCATTTTTGCTGACAAGGGTTATCAAGGTGTTTCTGAAGAGGTTATAACACCAATCAAAGGAAAGATTTTAAGTGGTGAATCTGAAACTCTAAACGTATATCTTTCAAGTACAGCAAAAATCTATGAACCCGGACAGAGGTTTCAAAATATCAAACAGTAATACATTTATTTGTTATAGAAACTAATAAATATATTCTAAGATAGATCTTTGTAAATGATTAATAATTAAAAAGAAATTGAATCATTTATCATTTTAAAAAAAAATAAAAAAAATAAAAGATAAAATTAATTTGTGCAATATTTCTGAAGTGATAAAATATTTTTTATTATAGTACTTTTAAATTTATTTTGAAAAATTTAATTATATTATATATAAGAATGACACCAAGTAAAATGTTAACAGAAAGATAAAAGATTTGTGGAATACTTCATTTGGATTACTGAACGGCACAAGAAGTTATTGGTTTAAAATACAATTCTAATTTTCAACAGTTTCAAGACTAAAGAAAAACTAAGCAAAAATAAACTCAGCACTGAACACAAATACTATATGTATAAAAAGAATAAATATTTAAAAGATTACAATTATATTTAAAATAAAATTTAAAATTTTTTTTAAAAATCAATTATATCATTAAAAAAAAAAAGGATAACAATACATTTTTAAAAAGATAAATCAATAACATTATTAGAAGAATAATAAAGGATTAAGGAATTACTTTCAGAAATAATACAAAAAAAATCCTTTTAGACTCTTCTTCATATTCAAAATGTAAAGGTTTTTAACTGATTTTACATAAACAAGGATATTGTTTTTTTAGAAAAGAATTTAACAGATGAAACGAAAATAAAACAAGGAGAGTATAGTATAAAGAAAGTTTATTCTTTAAAGGAGTTCCCGATTATAGAACAACTAATATTCTATCATTAAGTTGAAAGTGGTAGATTCAAATTCAATCTTTTCTCTCATTAATTTATTATGGAACTGGATACTTAGACAATCTATCTTAAGCTCTAGATTCCCAGATTTTTTAGAAATTTTAGAGTATGATATAGATCGACGAATAAATAATATTGTTTAACTAATTTTAGTATATTCCACAACTGTACAAGACATCTCACTTGTCATCAATATTCTAAATCTCATAATATTTTTTACTTAAAATGCATTCTTAACTAAATTTGATATATAAACAAACTAGTCAGGCCTGAATGTTTTTTAAAATTCTTGGGTATTCTTGAGATAAATATATATACTAGATGCCATTCATTCTAAACTCAATAGAGCTCTTAAATAATGTTAATAGTGGTGATATGAAATGACACCGGAGTACTGCCAATCACTATATGAATCAATACCAAACAGATTGAATCAAGTAATCCTCAACCAAGGTTATTCGACATCCTATTAATTGTTTTCTTATAAATCAATTTAAATGTATATAAATAAAAAATATTTTATCACTTCAGAAATATTGCACAGTTAATTTTTGTTTTTTATTTTTTTTATTTTTTTTTAAAATGGTAAATATTTCAATTTTTTTCTAATAATTAATCTTTAACAAAGATCTATCTTAGAATATATTTATTAGTTTCTATAACAAATAAATGTATTACTGTTTGATATTTTGATACCTCTGTCCGGTTTCATAGATTTTTGCTGTATAAGACAAATTGTAGAGAACTTCAACTGCAGATTTAAAAGATTTGGTGCTCTGAAACAGCAATATCGTGGTGCGATTGCAAGAGGTGAAGAAGTTGACTATTCATTTCATAAATTAATGGTGGAGGTTGTAGTCAAACTTTGCAATTTCGAAATACAAAATGGTTCTCCACTAAGAGCTGAGTGTATTTGAAAAACAAAAAAAATAAAAAAATAAAAAATTTTTTTTTAAATTTTTCAATTTTTTTATTGGAGTTTTTATTGACCGACTTGTACCATATTGGCACAAATCTAATGAGAACAAATTTCGAAATTTTATTTGTTTTCATTCTCTTAGGAATAACAGTTAGTGAATCTGTAAAATGTGTCAATGGAACAGGACATCAAGTTGAATGGTGGATTCATTTAGCTGATGCCAATAAAGGTTCACAAGACAAACAATATTCAAGAGGACTTTATTATGATTCGATTCTTGGTAATAAAAACAGTGAAAACAATTAAAAAATAACTTTTATTATGCTAATTTTCAATCCTATTTTTTAATATTTCTTTTATTAGCCGCACAAAAAGCTCAACCAATTCAAATATCAGGTGAACAGAGAGACTTTTTTGCAAATTTGACACAAAGACATGTCGATCAAGCAAAAGGTGATAAGATAACAAAACAACAGTGCATAGATAAAAATTATTTAGGATTGGAGTGGTATCATGATCAAGCAAGTGAAAGTGCGAAAATCGACCTAGGTGATTTCTATCATGGTCATGTCAAGGTAATTATTATTAATTATTATTATTCAAGAAAATTGTAAATATTACTAATAAGATATGTTTTTTTTATTTTATTTTCTTTAAGTCATTGTTTGTATATGATCTGAGAGATAGTGACGAAACTAAGAATACCGGTTTTTTCATTTCACATTCAATGAAGATGCCAAATTTAAAAAAGCCTTCAAAACTGTTTGATGAAACATCTCCCTCTGCAGTTCAACCTTCGCAACATGCATTCTGTAATTCATTGAGTGGAAAACCTGAAGTTCTCAAATACTTTGATATTCTGAAGAATACCAAAGCTGGTTTGGTTCGTGCAAAGGATGATTGTAGATACTTTAAACCAGAACTCACTCTGAAATTTCCGTTGGATCAATGTGATAAACAGTGGAGACAACATGTATACGACTATCAATTTAGAGAAAAAAACAATAACGATGGTGATGCCATTCTCCGCAAACTCTTTAGAAACAAAGATTCGTACGATAAAACCAAAGAACATTGTATGGAGAATGGAGGACCATTTAAACTTGGTTCTTTCGAAACATTTTCATTTTGTAAGTATTTGTGTATTTGTTTTGCTATTTTTTTGTAAAACAATAATATATTTATTTAATTTCAAATTTTACATTATTTAGATGGCAGATCAAAGACACCTTGCAATTCACATGATAAAACAACAGACTTTTTTAAAGCTGTAGTTCAAGAGAATGACGCTAAAAACTACAAGATTTACAGCAAATGTTTTGCTTTGAATTATGGCAAGAATGTAAATAATTTTATTAAATTTTCGACAAGTTATAATTTCCGAAGAAATGATTGGTTTGAAAAAGACAAATATGGCCCCGTGGTATTCAAAGTTAACATGTTATCAGAAACTCATTGTTCTATGATTGATGCTTCAGCAGACAATAATATTTGTTATAATGCAAAGACAGTTTGTAGTTTCACAGACTTTGGAATGGTATGTTATATATAAATATTTATTTTATATTTTACAGCGTTAATTTCTAATGATAATAATTTTATAAAGGATCCATATTTATTGGTTGCACAACATTATAATTCACACTTTTTTGTCAGTACTGATGTACGTATCATTCTTATATCATTGAATAATAACAATTTTCAATTAATTTTATTTAAAATTCTCAAATTTAAAAGCAAGAAGGATTCCCATCTTTGATTGGATCAACATTTAGTGTTAGAAACATTGTTCTATGGAGTCCTTTATGGAGTGGAGAAAAAAAAGATGGTTCACCCGGAGAATCACTTAGTAGACATGAAAAGTTGATGGTTTCCAAATCAAAGAATATCATTTGTCTTGGTGATTCAAATCGAAATGATTTTTCAATTCATCATGCTGGAACAATTGTATGAATATTTTTAAAAGTCAATCTTTTTATACTCTACCTTTTTCATTTTTTGTTAATATTATTTTTATCTTCTTATAGTTTTGTATTGAAAATGAAATTCTGGCAAAGAGAGTTCATGAATCGATTGGATCATTCAATCTCTACAGACAATTCTACTTTGGAGATGACAAGGGATTTAAGTACAATTCGCCATTCGAAGATGTCAAAACGGTTTGTTATCTTTATGCTCAGAGTTTGTATCATCCACTCACTCAGGTTTCAAAAGATATGAAATTCTTTGAGAGAAAAGGAAAGACACCACTCACCAATTCACTGATCACTCCGGGAGAAGCCAGTGCCGATGAGATAGAGCTAGAAAAAGCAAAAATGCAAAGGGAGGTGTACGAAAAGAATCATCCAGGACTAAATTTTAGTAGATCTAAAACAAGCAAAATGGTGATTGAAGAACCAACTGCAAAGAAACGTGCAAATGATGGCATTCAAGGTGGCAGATCAACTAAATCAATTAAGCGTTAATAATAATAATAATAATAATCCTTAGCTATTCACAAAACAAGGGAATTTCCCATGGGGTAGTAAAAAAAAAAAAAAAGATTTTATTTATTTAATTGTTAGTTAAAAAATGGTATATTGATAGTTGAATATTCATACATGTATTATTCAGCTGATTTAACCAATAAATTGAGCTATTCTGTAAATGTATCAGTCGATGTTTAATAGAATAACGTTTGAAACATCAGTAAACATAATGAACAAATTTATCTTTTACAAAATCCTTGAAGTATTGAATGCCATTCGATTCATGATTAAATACAACTACAGAGTTTTTATCCTAACACCCAGTCACGATCGTTGGAAATTTGCCTTCTCGTTGAATGTGAGTCAGGTTTGATGGGAACGTCATTATGATAAGATTATTCTCATCACAAAGTTTTTTTTCGTCAAAGAAATAATTGGATATGTGATTGTCTACTAAAAGCAGCTTTTTATCTGTTTTCTTAAATTGTCCTAGAAGCCATTCGACATATTCTTTCTTTATCTCTTGCGTTACCTATAATATATAATAATACAATGTATCAATATTGATATATTAATAATAGCAATAGACAACTTTGGATCAAGTTATAAAAAGTTGCCAACTTACATATCCTGACTCATTAGCAATAATGACACCATAATTTGAAACGAGTAAAATGGGAACATATGCATCCATTTTACTCGTTTAGGAATCTGGAGAACGTTATAGGGTGGTAGAGCATGACCAGATGCTGTTATTGTTCCAATCATTGTAAAGTGTTGACTTTGGGATTGCTTGGGAAACCTAGGTTTGACTGTCTCAAATTTGTTTCCACCGTCAATAATGGCAACCTATATTTTTATAACAATTAGCTAAATCTTTCGAAAAAAAAACTAATAAATAGAATATTAAATAACTTTTGATTCATTTTCGTGAATAAAACACCTTTCTCATCAGAGTTTATCACATTCTTTGGTTGAATTTGGTTTTCTACTATCACTTTATGAACACTCTTGATGAAACCTTGAATATCGGCCTCTTTCTCCGCTTTTAATCTGGCTTCATCTTGAAACTTAACCTTTCTTAACTTTAAGATCGGATATTTTTGTTTCAGCTTGGTCCACCAGTCACCACCAGGGTGACGACTCATTGTATAGCCATATTTGTCATATACCTTTCCGACCACCCAATTTAGAATATTCTCTTTCGTTATCGGAATATTCTTGGTGTTTGATTCTTCTACCATCTTTATCATCTCTAATTCTTCTGCTTCGGTGAGATATCTACCTCTTGGCTTAAAGGAAACGTTATTTTTTTTCTTGGATAGCTCACTTTCAGAAACTCCATACTTTTGAGAGCTCCTTTTGAGTAAAACCTGTATCGTTTTGAATTTCATTTATTGCTTCCATCAACCTCTCTTCTCTGCCCATTTGACTAATCCTCTGAGGTGTTACACGTATGATATTGCTTAATTCTTGTGTATCCTCCTATTAAAAGTGCTATATTAGCACCATCTTTTCTAAATAATAACAAAATTTTTAAATAATGTTAAACTCGACATACCATTGCATTGATACATTCTATTTTAATATAACTTTGTTTATTTTTATCTTAAGATCTACAGATATTAATAACTTAGCTTCAAAAAAAAACAATATTAATTTTTTTAAAAATTTTCACAAATTTGTGCAGAAATGAGAAGGCAAATTTCCAACGATCGTGACTGGGTGTAATCATAATTAAATTTGATTCTTCTTCTTTAGATGTATATCTGGGTAATAGAAATTTAAATTTTTCTAGATTCCATCGTAGTCATGATTGTTTTTTAGTTTTCTAAAATATATTTAATTAGAATTATTAAACTAAAGAAGGTTAATAATTTTATTTTTGAAGATACCATTTTAGTGGAGGAGTCGTAAAAAGCTTTTTTTCAAAAGGAATTACCTACCGAAAAGTTCAATTTTTCGGATAAAACAGCTAATCAATAAATAGATCAATATTCAATGACTATCAAAATATTTATTCATTAAATAAAAAATAATTATTGGAAAAAATAAATATTATTTTTGCTTTGTTTTTGTTTTTTGTATTGTAAGTTCATTTTTATTATTTTTAAATAAAAGATATATTTCAAAATTCATTGACACACAAACACTCTTACAAATATAAATTAGTTCAAAAGATATTTTTTTTGATTTATTTTTTTATTTTATTTATAATTTTATTTCTTGAATTTAACTAAAAAAAAAAAAAAAAAGTAAACGGAGAATTATTTAATATTAAATTTATTATTATTATTTTTTATATATATTTAAATATATGATATTAGAATGATATATGATTGCTATACATATTTATTGGGATTCACAATTGTTTGGTTATCATTTCATATAATAACATATTTAATATCAACGCTCTTCAATTCGATTCGATCATTTACAAAGTCAGATAAACAACTATCGAGAACATCACAAGCAGTCAATTTAGATCATATTTTAAATGATAAAGTAATATCCGATCATATAGATAATAACAATAGCAAAACAAAGACAACTGATAATAACAACATAGAATCAATAGAACTAAATAAAAATAATATAATAACAACAACAGCATCTAAAAGACTTAGTAGTAGTAATAGTAATAGTAATAATAGCAGTAGTGTCGGTACTAATATAAATAAGAGAAATAGTGTATCAATAACAACACCGAGTTCATCAATACCAACACCGACATCAACAACAAATTGTAGTAATAATAGAAGATCTTTAACACTTGAAAGACAAAATTCAATTAATAATAATATAAATAATAATAGCACTAATAATAATAGTAATAATAGTAATAGTAATAATAATAATCTACAAGTAGAAAATAATATGTCTGAGATTCAAAAAGGTAGGCACTTTATTGAAGAAGGCAAACTAAAGGATGAGAAAGGTGAATACGATAAAGCATTACAATATTATACCGATGGTATTGAGAAGTTGATACCTTTATGTAAAAGTAAGTAACTTTAAATATATATATATTATATATTGATTATTAATATAACATCATATTGTTAATTGTAGGTTCAAAAGAATTAAAGAATTATGTAATGTTTTATATGGATAGAGCAGAGTATTTGAAATCGGAATTGTCAAAATCAACAAGTTTCACTTTGATCGAACCATTCAATATATTTGTACAGAAAAATGTAAATTCAACAACATCAACGACAACAACGACATCATCATCATCATCGACTAGTAGTTCGAGTGCAAACAGTAAACCATCATTCTTTTCATCTTGGTTTGGTGGTGGTAGTTCCAATAATAGTACTGCCACTGCATCTTCATCCGCAGCCAAGAAGAAACAACCTGATATAATAGATTTAACAACCACAACAACAGCAACTCCTACACCTTTATCGAAATCAACAGCATCAACAACAACATCAACAAACAGATTAAATTCAAATCTTTCAAATTCATTAAGGTTGACACCATCTTCATCTTTATCAACTGTTAACAAATCATCATCATCAACATCGTCGTCGTCATCAGGAATATTAAGTAAAACATTCACAGGAATAACAGGTTCAAAATCAAGTAATTCACCTTTAAGATCAACAACATCGACAACAACAACAACTCAGCAACAACCGATTCCAGGACAAATACCAGATATTAAAGGTGTTGATAAAGCAGCTCTACAAATCATTATGAACGAGATTATCGATACTAAACATCCGGTGACATGGGACGATGTTGTTGGACTTGACAAGGTTAAGCAATCGCTGATGGAAGCTGTCATCCTTCCGAACCTCAGACCCGACGTCTTTGTAGGATTGCGTTCACCTCCCAAGGGTTTGTTGCTATTCGGTCCGCCAGGCAATGGAAAGACAATGATTGCCAAAGCGGTTGCCTACGAATCAAAGGCGACATTCTTCTCCATATCTGCATCGTCTCTCACCTCCAAGTATGTTGGTGAAGGTGAGAAGTTGGTTCGTGCACTGTTTGCGGTGGCCGGCTACTACCAACCCTCGATTATCTTTATTGATGAAGTCGACTCGTTGCTCACCGAGCGTTCCGAAGGTGAATCGGACCACACTCGTCGACTGAAAACCGAGATTCTCATACAATTCGATGGTGTTAAAACGAATGGAGCCGAGCGTATCTTGGTGATGGGAGCGACCAATCGACCGGAGGAGTTGGACGAAGCTGCACTGCGACGTTTTGTCAAGCGTATCTACGTTGGACTGCCAGAGAAATCGACACGTCTCGATATCCTGAAGCATCTACTCAGGGATCAGAATCACAATCTGACAAATTCACAGATGAGTGCTATTGCCGATGCCACCAGTGGCTACAGTGCATTCGATCTCAATGCACTCTGTAAGGACGCCGCCTACGAACCGATACGTCAACTGGGCATGGAAATCAAAGATCTCAAGCTCAATCAGATTCGACCAATCTCCTGTAAAGACTTTAAAAATTCACTCAAACAAATAAGAGCATCCGTTTCACAAGATAGTTTAACTGGCTATGAACAGTGGAATATGACTTTTGGTACAATATAAAATATATATATAAAAATAATAATAATAATAATAATAAAATGACTTATTTATCTATCTATCTATTAAAATAAGATAGATAAAGTAATAATATTTAGATAATAATTTGTGTTTATTATAATATTATTATTATTGTTGTTGTTGTTGACTATCAACATTGTTATCATCTTCATCTATATCTGTAATTGGTTTATCATTCATCAACAATTTTAATACTGATGTAATAGAATTACATTGTGTATTCAACAATTCAAATGCCTATATGTTTAGTATTGTTATGTTTAATGAATCTATAAATTAGTAAATTTATAATATAGTTGTATTAATTCGTTTTCATTAATATACATTACATGACATTTAGCTTCATTTTCATCGAACCCATAGGTTTCAACTAATCTCTTATTACCAGATACAATTGATCCACGATAAATTGGACATCTTCCACCTGGTTGTGATACACTTTTTATTTATTGATAGAAATAAAATAGATTATAATTAATTAAACATTCAAAATAACTTTTAAAAGAATAATTAATTAATACATACATTATATGAGGTGGTTCTATTTTATATTGATAGAACTTCTTTAAAACTATTGACTCTGGGAATTCCAAGATATATTGTTCTGGTTGAATAGCAGAGCTTTGTAGTATAAATTTGTCGATGAATTCATTGGCTACGTTTAAACCTTGTTCTTGGTAGAGCGCACCAACGAATTGCATTAAAGAACGATAGTGGAAATGCTTTAGATAGAAACTCTTGAATTTCGACTGATCCGATGGCATCGATCCACTGATAAACTCTGACAATCCAATGATCTCACATCTCTTACTTAAAAAGTAACTTCCTTTAATAATCGATTTATATTCAGCTTTTGTTTCGTGTTCAATTCCACTATTCTTTAATTGTTCTAAAATATTTGTATTATAAATAACATTACCTATATATATAAATAATAATAATAATAAGTTTAAATTAAAAGTTAATAAAACATTTATAATATTATTGTTTTTTATATAATAATATAGTTAATATATATTTATTACCTAAAAAGAAATATCTATTTAAATGAGAATATGAATATTGTTTTGTGTTTTGTGATAGACTTTCAATGATTGCTTGTGGAATGATGTTATCTTTGAATTGAATGTTAAATTTTGATAGTTGTTTAGCTAATGATTGTTTATCGATTTTAAAGTCTCCTTCTTGATGTTGTTGATTGGCCGATACAATTATATGATCGTCGTTGCTCAGACTTGAAATGATTGGATTCAATCTTGTCAGATGATGTTGTGTGTGGTGAGAGTTCAACGGTGATGACGTTGCGTAATTGAAAATATCTCTATCTATATTGGTATTAATTTGTTTTGGTGATGTAGATGATTTCGTTGATGTTGTCGTTATTGTTGATAATTGATCATTATTATTTATATATCGTTTTGCTCTTGTTCTATGTGGAGTAGACGATCCAAAGTTGTTTGTTGAACTATAGCTATATACACTATTGATATTGATACTACAACATAGTTTTAAACTCTTTGATTGTTGTTGTATTAGGAATCGACTGTACATAATTGTTTAAATTGAATTGGTGTAATCACAATTATTTGATCAGTCGAAAAACGTTCATCGTGATAAATAATCAGAAGTTTATTTAAAAAACATATTTATATATATAAGTTGGTTTGCCATGTTCTAAGGTTAACCTTTTAATTAAAAGTCGAATCAATTTCAACTAAAAATTAAATTAAATTAAAAAACAATTTTTTTCAATACAAAAAAACAAAAATTTAAAATTTCAATCCCAAAACATCAAAGGCTCCATAGTTGAATGGTACAATACTACCTTTGGGTGGTAGTGGTCTGGGTTCGATTCCCGGTGGAGCCCCAACATTCTTAATGCCATACCTTACCGCATGCGTAAATGGTAATTTTTATACAAAAGCCTCGTTTTTTTTTTTTTTTTTTCGCAAACAGTTAGTATTTGTAGATAATTTTTTCATATCTTTGTTATCAAGTTATCTAGCTATTATAATCATATATATTCGTTCCTCTTTAGTTATTAGTCTTAAATTTACGATCATATCAGTTAATATATCAAATTTCACTAGTTTTACGATCATTAGTACATTCACTATTCTTAAATGGATAATATCGGTGCTAAAGTAGCTAAATTCTACAAATCAAAGCATAAATATACGTATGCTACCGAATTCAAGCAATTGATCAAGCTCAACACCCTCTATGTTAGACTTTGCTTCCCCAACTCTAAGTACATAACTACAGCCACCAGAGACAAGCTTCACGACTTGTTTCAAATCGTCTACAAAGATAGTGTGTTAACCGCCAAGAAAAACAGTGTCACCTTCTCTGGCAGAGTCGACTCTGAGAGACTAGGCGAGTTGCATCAGTTTTGTAATGGTAACCTGTCTGCCACCAAGTCTCGCAAGGTCACTGCATTCTTCCCAGAGTTTAACTTTATCAGAGTCTCGGCACTTGCATCTAAGGACTGTCTCGAAGCTGTATCAAAAGAGTTCGATGATGAAGGTATCGAGAGAATGTTCGGTCACACCCCTGTTCACTTCAGTCATAGCTCAACCAAGTTAGTGACAAACGATGTCAACAAACCTATCTGGAAAACGTCGTCGTGGTTCTTGTTTCCCAATGAAAAAATCTTCAAAGGCATCGATGCCAAAGATGAGAAATCAGGTTTTAAGTGCACACTCATACCGTACAAGCCACCCCCTGTTAAACCTGCACCAGCTACTGGCAATGCTCTGAAACCAAAGACTGACTCCACTGCTGCGCCGGCGATTGCACCAGGTAGTAGCTCTGTGGCCGACGATAAGATACAAACCGCTGATAAACCATGTACTGTTCCGGATGATCTCGGTAAAGATGGTGAAGAAGATGAAGAAGTAAAGCCTACGACCTCACGAGGTCGCAAAGGTAAAGCTCAATAACCACCGCCAACAAGTGCTTTAAAGCACTGGTATGGAACTGCAGAGGAGCAGCTTCCAATGCCTCAATCGCTGACATTTCCTCAACTATTACTGGTTACAACCCACAACTCACTATACTTACTGAAACCAACAACATTAACAATCAATTTCATCAAACGTTCAACCCTTTCAACCAACCTAACAAAATCCTTGCTGTATCTAATGGTAAAGGCACAGGTGTTGCTATCATTGCTCACACCAGCCGCATCAAAATCAAACCCATTCTGCTTGATAAAAGTGGTAGATTTATTTTATTCAATGTCAATTATGTCGGTGGCCACAGCCTTAATATGCTTGCTGTGTATGCTCCTGCGTCATACTGGGAAAAGAAATCGTTCCCAGAGATGCTTCTCTCCACTCCTGAGCTCTGGTGCCCTAACAGGATTGATTTAATCTGCGGTGACCTCAACTGTGTACCCGGCGATTGCTCTCCTCTTTCAGTGGTGCTTGACTCTCTTAGTGATGAGCACGATCTGGTCGATCTTGGTCAGACTGTCGACATCCCCACGTACCGTTCGCCAATTACCGGCATTGCTAGACGTATTGATAGAGCTTATGCTAAATGCAGTCTGTTAAACAACTCCTTCAAGGTTGTTCCCAACGCTCTCTCTGATCATGCGATGCTTTCATTCAGCATCCCAACTGGTATCTCCTCTAAGCTTCCACCCACACCTTGGAGACTAGACAGATACACTGCTATGGAATCTGTAGTCAAGTATGAGATAGAATCTATTCTCTCGTCCAGTGTCATCTCTTCGCTAAATGACTGGTTGTCTGTTAAGTCTACTATAGTCAACGTCTATAAAAAATACCAGCGGCTGCGTAGCATGGCCAAGAGGAAGATGATTAAGAGTTTGATCAATACCATTAGCTCCACCGAACTATCATCTAACATCAGAACCAAAGCCAGCAACGATTTACTGTTACTTCAATCTGAAGAACATTCTGTTCGTGACTCCATACGCAAGATGAACCAGCAACTCCATGGTGAAGTCCCATCTAAAATGCTCACTACCAAACTTTCTCAATCCAAGAAAGACTCATCTATACCTGGGCTGTACAGAGGTAATAAATCCGTTACTTCAGACATCGACGAGATGACCAAGATCATGCATCGCTTCTACTCCAAACTATTCGCCGCTGAGAAAGACAATCCAGAGCTGCACGCGGAGATGCTTAAGAGAGCTTGGGATTGCAGTTCATCTAGGTTCAGTGAGATAGTTGGTATACAATTCACCATCGAAGAAGTAGCTGATATCATCTTGTCGTCTAACCCACATAAATCTCCGGGTCCTGATGGTCTTGGTCTGTGGTTCTATCGAGAACATATTGACACTATCGCACCGATACTGACCACACTGTTCAACAAAGTGCTCACCGGTGAACAACATATCCCTCAAAATTTCAAAGTTGGTGTGATCACCACTATCTTCAAGAAGGGAGATATCTATGATCCAGCCAATAGAAGACCTATTACATTGCTTAACTGTGATTATAAAATATTGTCTAAATCTATTAATGAGCGTCTGAAACCCGAGGTTGAGAAAGTCGTTAGCGTCTATCAAACTGGATTTGTCAAAAACCGTTACATCATGGACAATATAATTACCATGAAAGAAATCATTGATTACTGTAAACAACGTGGCATTAAAGGTTTGATCACTCTGTTCGACTTCAATAAAGCGTTCGACTCCATATCGCATGGGTCCATCCGCCGTACTCTACTTCATGTTGGTACACCAATACATCTAGTTGAACTTATAATGAACATGATCTCTGGCTCTACCGCTCAAGTTCTGGTCAACGGTTTTCTCACTGACCCAATCGCGCTGAACCGTGGTACCAAGCAAGGCGATCCGCTTTCGGCCACTCTATTCGTTCTAGTCATTGAATGCTTATCTCGTTGCATCAGACTGTGCCCTGCCGCTGGACTACCAATAAACGATCATGGACACGCGCTCAAAATCAACCAATTCGCCGATGACTCTGCCACTTATTCACCTTCATTCAAAGATCTTAATACCAAACTGCGTATGTTTGATATGTTCTGCGATGCCACCTCGTCCCTAGTTAATGCAACCAAGTCAGTCATTATCAAAATTGGTGATCACACTGACGAGAAAACGTACCCACCGATCATTAACAACCAGAAGATACCTATATCTACATCCGCTGAAAGATACCTGGGTCTGTACTTCACGTCCGACGGATTGCATCATTCGCTTGATTCTCTGATCAACTCTATTAAAGGTCACCTGGTCCGTTGGAAAACTACTGGTGTCACTTTACGCACCAAAATGGCCATAGTCAAAAGCTACACACTCTCTAAGCTCACCTACAACATGTACGTCGATAGATTTACCGATGAGGAAGTCAAGAAACTCGATAACATACTGTCTTGGTACCTGTGGTCGTCCAACTCCAATCCGTTCATCGACTCCAAGAAATATAAAAACACAATGAAAAAGACCAGAGCTGTACAACCATGGTTACGTGGTGGCATCTCGCTATGGGACATCCAACTTCGTAACGATGCCCAACACGTGTGGATATTCAACAGATTCCTACTTTCATCCTCTGATCCTTCCAAAGTTTGTTATTATACCAGTTGGCTATCTCAAATCTATTGCAGATCTATCACCTCGCCATATCTCAATCTATGCTACACTCTGTGGCACCAATTGGCAGTTCATCTCAAACATCTGGACAACAAGATCAAATCTGCTAAACCAATTCTGATTGATGGTCTACCACCCACTCTAAAGCAAATCTACGACCACATATTGTTCGTCAAACATGGCATTCCACCACTAACTGATGGTCAGTTCCAACTATCGCTACCACCAACCAAATTCGACTACACATCTTACGACAGTATCTTCACCTATATTTCGCTCATCAAACACCAGCGTGGACGAAACACTGTCTTTCGGTTCTTCTCTCGTTCACTTCCTGGATTAGCTTACAACAAAAACAAAGAATGTGAACTGTGCTTCACATACTGCTCTGACCCATATTTCCATACATTCTTTAATTGTCGAGCAGTTATGCACAGATTCAACCTTAACACCATTCTTGACTCCTTACAGCTTTCAGGTGGTCAACGATTCGATTGGACTATGGAAGACGCGTATCAGTTGGTTAGAAGAAAGGACAACATCACTACTCTCGTTTCACTTGTCTTTCATCAAATCTGGAAATTCTATTGTAAATCCTATTTTGGCGGTACTCCTCTCCACGATAACAACCTACTATCTAATGAATCTATCATTAATGAATATATACAGCACTTATCAGTAATGAAATTAATTATAAATAACAGTATCAGTAACTTACAATCCAAACTTAAATAACCAATAACCAATCAAATGTCAGCCAACTATTATTTCCTCTTCTTCATTTCTTCATTTTCAAATTAACCAATTCAATCATCAGTATTCTCATCAGCTTAACAATCTATTAATATCAATAACTAAAATAATTATAATAACAATCAAAATAGCAATCAATTGCAGAATTATGAAAAAGTAAAAACTGTAAAAAAAAAAAAAAAAAAAAAAAGAAAAATTCGATGGTTTACACCATCCCCAATATATTACTTAATAAATCATTTTTTACTTCTTAAAAAAAAAAAAAAAAAAAAACAAAAGCCTCGTGTGGATATTCAACAGATTCCTACTTTCATCCTCTGATCCTTCCAAAGTTTGTTATTACACCAGTTGGCTATCTCAAATCTATTGCAGATCTATCACCTCGCCTTATCTCAATCTATGCTACGCTCTGTGGCACCAATTGGCAGTTCATCTCAAACATCTGGACAACAAGATCAAATCTGCTAAACCAATTCTGATTGATGGTCTACCACCCACTCTAAAGCAAATCTACGACCACATATTGTTCGTCAAACATGGCATTCCACCACTAACTGATGGTCAGTTCCAACTATCGCTACCACCAACCAAATTCGACTACACATCTTACGACTGTATCTTAAACAATAATAATAATAATCACAAAAACAAAAAAACAAAAAAAAACAAAAAAAATAATAATAATATTTTATTGGCTATTTCTCAAGGCCTGTGTGTAAAACACTACTAGAAGGTTAATATCAATACCTGCAATTGATATTTTTGACTAAGCATGAGCCAACAAATCATTTTTGAAAAAAAAAAAAAAAAACAACAAAAATGTTGACACCGACAGTAACTAGCAAGCTTATCATAGGTAAACACCGAGTGGTTTACACGTACCCGCTAAGAATTCTAAGTGGCTTAAATACTCCATCTGCCTATCCAAATCAATGGGAACATCATCCCTTACTCAAAATGGCCTGTGGCTGAGTCGCTCCAACTATAAATAAACACGACCTGTAGGGTATTATCAAGCTCTACCTTGACTATCAGTAATGGTAGTACAAGGATAATCTAAAAACAAATGTATCAAATTTTGAATTAGTTTTTTCTCCTGTTTTAAAGATTATTATCTATTTAAGATTGGCTATTTCAATTTTTTATTATTTTATCAAAAAGATTATTTTCAAATATTTTGTCAAAGTTGTCTAGAATGGAAAGTCGCAAGTTAAAGTTTTCTTTTAATTTTTTTAGAATTAGAGAATTGTTTCCGAATTATGAACTAAATATTTAGATCAATTTCTTTTCCAATTTGATGTTTTTTATAAATAAAATATTTAAAGACTATATTGGATAAAATTTCATGAATTTAAGATATCTTTGATTCCATAGACAAAGATTCAGAGTTAAAAGGATACAAATGAATATTGATACAAAAATATACATAAACTTATACAGATAAATTTTAACTTTAAAAATTAAAATAAAGAAAAGGAATTTAAGTAATATAAATACAAATATATTAATAAATCTATTAGAATTACTGATTATTGTTTATATATGATAGTATAGAGATAGATAAACGAAGTTAATGATTCGTAGATGAAACTAAAAGTGTTCTTTATTTTATGTATTCTATGATTTGAATGATGTTTTGACTGTCAGTGATACGACGGATCTCTTTAGTGGTTCGTAAGTTCAGCATAAGAATAACTTTTCTTAATAAAATCACTGATTTTTGTTATTAAATTAATATCTACAAAACAAGTAAAAACTTTTTTCTTTTTCAAAAGATTAATTAAGATTACATCAAGATTTGTTTCATAATTTAAAACCTGGATAGATTTGTACCTATTTTTCGTTCAATACTTAATATAAATGTAGTGGATTTAAAGATTATATTTTAATACATTCACTATTCAATATTAATATTTCCAAAGAATTAACAAGGTTAGTTTAGGTGATCATATTGTTTCCTTTACAAATATCAATTCATGAATACCACTTTCTTTAGTTGCTTCTCTGTTAGTTTTTGAATTTTACAAAGGCAAATTAATTTTTATTTTTTAAAACTAATTATTAATACTAGAACCTTTATTTAATTAAAATTGCTAAAATCATGATGATTATACTTTCAAAGCTACAACATTATTAAAGACAATGTTAAGAAGTACTTACTTTTCTGAATTATATGGATGGAATTGTAGTGGTGAAGAAATGGTGAAAAACTTTGTCAAACAAACAGATGGAGTCAGCTGTGGTGTATATATATGCTTGTTTATTGAAATGATATCACAAAATACCGCACTAATTTCACATTTGGAGCAAAAAAAAAATCGTTGTGTACTACACAAAAAATTATTAATTTGTTAAAAAAAAAACAATTTGTGAGTATTAGTACTATTTAATCACAATCAATACACTGAAAGAGATATTTTTAATATAAATATGGTTCATACATTAAAGGAGTTGACACTACAACAATGTTCTGAATTGGGAGAGGGCCTCAATACTTATGGTGAACCGAAAATACTCAAATGTGGATTCACTCACGTAGAAGCCAGAATACTTGGCACTCAAGGATACTATAGAGTTACAATTTCAGTAATAAATGGTAGAGTCGTAACTGATTGTACTTGTGATATGGGAGGTAGCTGTAAACACGTTCGTGAAACTGGTAAAGCTATGTATCACAGACTTCGTACGATGAATATAAATCAACTGACGCCCCAAAGGCAATATAAAGAATCACTTTTACAGAAATCACGTGATGAACTTGTAGATTTATTGATGGAGAAATGGAGAGAAGAAAACGATGAAGACGAGGAAGAAGAAGAAGAAGAAGAAGAAGATAGTGTCGAAGACTATGAATACTATCATGATGAAGACGAAGAGCAACAAAATAATAAAAGACAGAGATACTAATAATAGTATGTTTTTTAATTAATACATCTTTATTACCTTTTTTGTAAAAACTAAACTATCTATCTCTATTGATTATACTTTATCTCTTCTACAAGGTGAAGATCAAACCTTTTAATTGAATTATTTTCACTAAAACAATAAAGTTATTGAATAACAAGCTTTGAATATGATTCTTCCTACTTACTGCTGTTTTTAAAAAAAACCTCGACAATAAATTTCAAACAATAACATGTTATTGACAGAAAAAGATATCAAACTCAACTAATCATGATACTAATTGCTCTATTATCTTAAATTTGATTGTATATAACTAAATAGTTGATTTCATTTATTTGTTTAATTAATTGGCTGGTGTTGTTGATTAATTTAGAATGTCTCTATAGTTATCAAATCCTTGGTCATCTGATTAAGAGTATTTTAACTAGATAGTTACTTGATTGTGTTAATAATCATGAAACACAGGCTTTGTTTTTTTATGGTTTTTTGTAAAACATAACGTTTAGGCAAAAATTAAAAATCCTTTTTTTTTTTAATGAAAATTGTCAAATTCATCTACGTAGTGGTTGTACCGATAGTGAAGGTTGTGGTGAAACTTGTACAAAGCAGGAAACTAAAAATAAACAAAATTGATGTTAATTAAAAAAAAATAAAAAAGTTGTTTCATTTACAATTTTAAGATATCAAAATATAAAAAAAATTTATTTTTTATCTAAGAAATAAATAAAATGGGATCATTTTTCACTAAAAAATACGAATTTCTTGATCCAAAAGCAAATCATAGAGTTATTATGATTGGTTTGGATGGTGCTGGAAAAGTAAGAACTGAAAAACAAAAAAATAAAAAAAATATAAATTTAATAATTATTATTATTTTAAATTTTTTAATTTTCTCAAATAGACAACATTATTATATAGATTAAAAATTGGAGAAATAGTTTCAACATTGCCTACCATTGGATTCAATATTGAGACAATTCAATATAAGAATATCAATTTTACAGTTTGGGATGTTGGTGGACAAAACAAAATCCGTGCTCTCTGGAAACAATATTTCCTAAATAGTACTGCTCTCATTTTTGTTATTGACAGTACAGATTATGAAAGAATCAGTGAAGTTCAAGAAGAGATTTCGAATTTGGCAACAGATGAAGTAACAGGATCTCCTTTGTTGATATACTTGAACAAACAAGATCAACCAAATGCAATGAACTCAGCTCAACTGACAGAAAAACTCAGACTCAATGATATCAAAGATAGAAAATGGTATGTTCAACCAATGAGCGCCAAAAATGGAGATGGTATTTTCGAAGGTTTAGATTGGTTATCACATAGTCTAAAGACTCGGTGGAGATAATAGTTATCAGAATATAATATAAATTAGATAATGTGTATAGATAGATATTTGTTAAAATAAAGATCTTTAGAATGGATATAAAGATCGCGCTTTAAAACATAACAAAATAATTGTTTTGTTATGTTTTAAATATTCTCTTAAAAAGTGTGAAATTAAATGTACAAACAAGGTGTTCATTTGATTTTCTAATTCTAAAAAATTGAAAAAATTAATTTTTTTTTTAGTATTTGAACTTAAATATTATTTCTTCCTTTTTTGAATATTTAAATATTATTTTAATTAAAATTATTATTCTATTTATTTTTTTCCTCATACTTAAATTCACCTTAGCTTAAGAATTGCATGGATTTGACAATAGCACATAAAAGACGTAGGACTGAAAACTTGTATAAGATATCTTTTTAGCATAATTATGGTTCATACATTAAAGGAATTGACACTACGACAATGTTCTGACTTGGGAGAGGGCCGCAAAACTTTAGGTGATCCGAAAATACTCAAATGTGGTTTTACTTATGTAGAAGCCAGAATACGTGGCACTCTTGGATACTATCTAGTTAAAATTTCAATAAACAAGGGTCAAGTCGTAACCGATTGTACATGCCCGATGGGAGGTGATTGTAAACACGTTCGTGAAACTGGCAAAGCTATGTATTACCAACTTCGTACCATGAATATAAATCGACTGACACCACAGAGGAAATATAAGGAATCACTATTCAAGAGATCACGTGATGAGCTCATAGATTTATTGATGGAAAAATGGAGAGAAGAAAACGATGAAGAAGAGGAGGATGACGAGGAGGACGAAGATGATGACGAAGACGAAGACGAGGAAGATGATGAAGATAGCGACTTCGAAGACTATCAATACTATTATAATTTGGAACACGAGGAAGAAGAAGAAGAAGAGCGACATAAAAGAAAAAGACATAGATATTAATAAAAGTATGTTTATATAATAATTAAATTCATCTTTATTAACTTTTTTGCAAAAACTAAATTATCTCTTTAGATTATACTTTAGTTCTTCTCTATACTCGCTTTTACCTATAGAATCCATTCTATCTTTTTGGGTAAAGATCGAGTTAATAAAAGCAACATACAACATTTTAGATCAAGTGCATTTTGACAAAAGATGTTTTCATGATCATTTAATTAAATCCTTTTAAATAAACAAATTTGTCTATTTAACACAATCAAATAAACTATCTTCTAAATACTATGATCACTTGACCAGCCAACTAATTCGATTATGTAGGTCAGTGGTGGTGATAAAGTCAATAAATGGACAGGAAATGTTAACAAAACACCTATGCGTATATATATGTACGTATCTAATATTAATGTAGTGATTATAAAGTTGAGTTATTGGTGTAGTATTAGTGTCAATATATAAAGCTGTAAAAATATCATTCCACATCTGTTGACTCTTAAAGAAAAACAAAAGCAACGATACTTCTTTGAAAATTCGTTGTTCATTAACTCTGCTCGATAGTGAAAATATTTCTTTTTTCTAATTAAATTTAGTGTTTGCAGAAAAAAACAAGAAATCACTTGTTTTTGTGGAACTTGGTGAAAAAAATTTAAACAATTGTCAAATTCATCGACGTGGTTATACTGACCGATGGTGAATTGTGGTGAAACTTACAAAGCAGGAAACTAAAAATAAACAAAAATGTGAATTAAAAAAACTATAAATATTTGATTATTTTACAATTTTAAGATATCAAATTAAATCAAAAACAATAAAAAATAAATAATATCTTATAAATATTTCTTAATATATAAATAAATAAATAAAATAAATAAAATGGGATTACTTTTCACTAAAATTGCCGAATTATTCGATCCAAAAGCAAATCATAGAATTTTGATGATTGGTTTGGATGGTGCTGGAAAAGTAAGAATTAGAAAATAAAAATATAAAAAAAATACAAAAAATAGGTAATTAATTTATTTTTTTACTTTTTCCAATAGACAACATTATTATATAGATTAAAAATTGGAGAAATAGTTTCAACAATTCCAACAATTGGATTCAATGTTGAAACAATCGAATATAAGAATATCAATTTTACAGTTTGGGATGTTGGTGGACAACATAAAATCCGTGCTCTCTGGAAACACTATTACCAAAATAGTACTGCCATCATTTTTGTTATTGATGGTACAGATTATGAAAGAATCAGTGAAGTTCGAGAGGAGATAGCCAAATTGACCACCGAAGATTCATTATCAGGTACAACTTTGTTGCTATTCTTGAACAAACAAGATCAACCAAATGCAATGAACTCTGCTCAACTGATTGAACAACTCAGACTAAATGAAATCAAAGATAGAAAATGGTATATTCAACCAACCACCGCTACAACTGGAACTGGTATTTTCGAAGGTTTAGATTGGTTATCACAAAGCCTTAAAAAAATAATTCAATTTAAATTAATATATTGTATATAGATATTTTTAAAAAAATAAATCTTTAAAATGGATTTAAAGTTTGCTATCTAACCCTCATATCTTTATAATAATTTTATTTGTTTTTCTATTTGTGAGAACTCTTTTAACAATATATCGGTTTTAATAATAAAGACTTTGTTTATTAGTCAAGTAGTCTTTATTTAATATTCTTTTTTAATTTCAAGAGCCAACTATAAGTTATAAAGATCTTTCCTCCATATTGATCTATGGATCAGCTGATACAACTGTGACTTTTTAAATAAATTGAAAGATTTAATTTGATTTTTCAAAGAAATTTTTTTGATCAAAAATCTTTGCGATCATGATTTATTTTATAAAAGTTAACTTATTTATTTCATAATTATTTATTATGATTTTCTAAAAGTTAAATTTATTCTTGGAGTTACAACATCCGGTTCTTTTGGAATACCATGACGATAGTTCTTTTGACACTGACCACCCATTACTATCAGTGAACCATTGTTAAGTTTGTATTCTTGAGTTTCTTTCTTCTTGGAATGAGTTACGGTGAAAGTTCTCGTTGCACCAAGTGAAATGGAGGCAATGGTAGTCTTTCCAGGAAGGTATGCCTCGTCATCTGCATGCATTCCTATGAAATCATTGCCATCTCTATACAGATTTATCAGTACATAATCGAAAGAACACTCTAGTAAGCGTTCCAGTTCCTCTTTCACAATGGCCATTAGTGGTGACCATATCTTTGCCGGTTGTTTCTGATAGAGCTGCGCTTTAACATATTCATTATCTGCCATCCACGATTGGAGTCTCGGTAGATTATATGATGATCCATCTTTTGTTACTCGTTCCGAATGTTCGAAATAAAGATAACCATCCATCAGATGATCATACAACAATTTCGCATTGGCTTCGTCAAGAAAATTTGGTGTGAATTTTATCCAAGAATCATTCTTTAATTCTATGGTATTTATATTATTACTATTTGTACTTATCATTTTTTTATTATTTTATTTTATATATATATTTATTTATTTAAAATTATTAGTTTTATTTATTACTTTTCAAATTGTGAATTGTGTATTTATAAATAGATTTAATTGTTTTCAATTTGATTTGTTGTAACAAATAAAAACAATTCTTTTATTTTTACCAAAAATGAAAAGGTTTTCACACACAAATTTCTATTAATTTACTCACTTTTTAGTAAAAGCCAAATCATAAATTTTTAAGATATTTTTCATATTTTCACCACTGTGTGTTTTTTTCTTTCTTTGGACAAACAATTGATCAATCAATCAAATATATAATTGTTAAAACAAAGAACTCATGAATCTAAGTCATTATTTATTAAAACAAATATTATACTATTTGAACAATGAGGACAGAGTTTGTTTGTCGCTTAGTTGTAGAAAATGGTATTATGAAAGAGAGAATTATCTTTATTTCAACTTTGATCCTATTATAAAACAATCAAAGAGATATCACATGAAATCATATCTAAATATAATAAATGAATCATACGATAGCATTAGAAAACAAAAAAGTGGAATCAAACCAAAGACTGTTCAATATGAATCGGAAGATTGGGAATCGTGGAGAGATGAACATGAACAATCGAAAGAGTTTAAAGAGTTGAGCAACGAAAGATCCCCTGTCACTACAGATCCAAGACACCTGTCTGCTGCCCAAGGACTACAGCTGAATCTACAGTTCTATGACGGTAAACAAGGTGCGAGAAGACGAGTTACGCCAACATTGATTACCAACGATGTCACATCGCTAGCATTCTCCAGATATTACAACCATCCGATCCTACCGGGAACTCTTCCAACTCAATTGAGATTCCTTTTGCTGGACGCTTACTTTAACTTTCCACTGCGACCACACGTTCTACCTTGCCATCTGACAGAACTGAATCTCGGTGACAGCTTCAATATGCCTCTTGAGAAAGATGTTCTACCGCAATCGCTTATGATCTTGACGCTCGGCAATGCTTTCAATAAACCATTGTGTAATCTACCGAGCCAGCTAAAGAAACTTACACTTGGTTCCTTTTTCTGTAGTAAACTTAAACTACCGGATTCGCTAATCAAATTGGATATATCTGGTCTGTCGAATCTAGAGAGATTGGAATATAGCGAGCAGCATATCAACACAAGATTAATGATTAGGTTGAACCGCTATAATCAAACATACAAAGTAGTCGTACAATTAAAACAGAGATACAAAGAGAATCCTCAAGAACTACCAGTAAAACCACAGAGAGAGTATCAACACATCTATGATTACCTGGTAATAGATAATCAGCTGAATGGTGGATACATTACAACAGAGAAATCGATCAAACAATTCGACCCAATTAAATCAATAGTAAAATCGTCTTATTATTACTAAATAATTTATATAAAGAAATATCAATAGATAATAAATTATTATTAATTGGTTGATGAATGACGATGTTGTTTGTTGTTTGTTCATAATTTCTTTATATAATTATAAAAATATCAAGAATTTCCAACAAACAACAAAACACATCAATTAATAAATTAATTATTTAAACAATCAATCAATCAAAATCATTCTTATAAGATTATTATTATTTTTGTTGTTAATAAACTTTGCAAATTCAAATAAAATTGATTTTTAAAAATATTAATATCAATTTAACTTCTCAAAAAAAAACCACATGCGCACAACAACTATCTCTATCTTTCGTTTTCACACTGACCTCACACCACACTTAAATTTTAATAAATACATAAATAGAAAAAAGTAGATTTTTTTTAATTAACCCACACAATCTTTATAATATTTTTATTGTTATAATTTATTCAAAGTTTACATTTTTCTTCACATTACCCACATATTATACTTCACACTACTTCTTTTACTTAAACAGATAGAGTAGTCAGACAACAACAAAAAGAAAGAGTAAAATAATTGTTTTGAGTAAAAACAGTTAATTATACCAATATTCATATTATAATACAAAAAAATAACATAATAATAACTTAAACATTATTATTAGATATTTATTTTAAACTAATAGAAGTAGAGAAGAAAGAAAGAGATAACATCTTTTAAAACAGAAATTTTGTCTAAAATATATTATATTAGATTGAGATTGATTTTAAATTATGTCAATATTGTAGTTTTATAGAGAAGATAGATAGAAAGATTGATAAATACTAAAGTAATTAATAATAATATTAATAATAATAATAATAATGTCAATATTTAAGAGTAATAGTAAAAGTAATAATAAATGGAGTAAAAGTAATTTGTATATATTTTTGGTTTTATTTTATATATTATTTATTGGTGGTGGAGTTTGTAATGCAGATGAAACTAGAAAGATATTGTTTTGGGCTGGTCCATCGTGGACTGGTATGGGAACGAATCCCTACAAGACGCCAAACTATCTCGGTCAAACCTATACGAAACCATCGTGTCCAAAGCAATGCGAGTTCTCGGGTGACAAGGCGAAACAGGACGAAGCCGATGCCGTTGTCTTTGAAGCACAACCACTCGGCCAGTTTGGCTATGCATACCTGAAGGATCTGCCAGACTTTCCTCAGAAGCAAGTCGATCAGTACTATGTGAATTTCGGTTTCGAACACGAACACTACTTCCCGCTGCAATTCGAACCGGGCTATCTCAGTAACATCGATGTCAACATGACATTCAGACAGACGTCGCAAGTCTATATTACGTTCACCTGTAGCTGGGGACAGATGGATCACGGATCGATCGACAACTTTAAGAACGCCCCGGTAAAGCCGTTCAAAGAGAAGATCAAAGGCGTTGGATTCATGTCGAGTAACTGTGTCGGTGGTGGTGCAATCTACCGTACCCAGTACATCAAGAACATGATGCAGTTGATGGTGGTTGACGGACTCGGTGAGTGTCTACACACCAAAGATCTAGACAAAGAGGATCAGAAAGCTGTATTCGCAGACTTGGGTGAATCAATGAAAATCAAAGAGAAAGTATTAGGTCGTTATCTCTTCTCTCTTTCATTTGAAAACAATAATATTACGGATTATGTTACTGAAAAAGTTTATTCATTATTAATGTAAGTACAGTTTATATTATTATTATTATTATTATTATTTAGTTAGTAGATAGATAGTAAAGTTGTTAACAAATTTGATATTATTATTTTATAGGAGTGGAAGTATACCAATTTATATGGGTGCAGATAATATCGATGAATATGTACCGGAGAAGAGTATTATAAAGACGAGTGACTTCAAGTCACCTGCGGATTTGGTCAAGTATTTGTTGTATTTGTCAGAGAATGAAGAGGAGTATAACAAGTATTTCGAGTGGAAGAATAAACCTTATCCAGCGGCATTCAAGGAGAAGTACGACCGATGTGTATTCTACAGTGGTGAATGTAACCTGTGTACACACATTCACAAGATCTACGATGAAGTTAAATCGAAAGAGAACCCCGGTCATAGAATCCACTTTGGTGAACCAGCCGAGGTCAAAAAGAATATTAGAATTGCACAGTTCACTCACAACTCTTGTATCGAAGTCAACAGAAACGCTTCATCTCACAAACCAATCGCCGGTCAATTTACATTTATGTCTTGGATCTACCCAGAAAGTGGATCATCTTCAAAAATGTAAGTATAACTATAAATATTATTTAACCAATTTAATCGATAATTAATATTGAAATTATCTTTTTAATTATTAGATTATTTTCAGTTGATTCCATTAGTATTGGTATTTCAAGAGTTTGGAAACAGTTTTATTTATATTATTGCAACGGTGATAATTGTGTGACTGGTGAGAAACCTATTCCATTTGGTGAGTGGAGACATATCGCTGTTTCCATTACTAACGAGACTGCAAGAACCGAAACAATCAGACTCTATGTCAATGGTTTGGAGGATGTATCATTATTCTCATCATCATCCGTAACCTCAGAAGTATCAAACTTTAAATTTGGATGTAAAGGTATGTTATGATTATAAATACATAAATATTATCAAAATATTAATTGGCTGATCAACATAAATCTAGATTCATTTGAAGGAAAGGTTGATGATTTTATAGTGTGGAATACAGCACTGAGCGCTGAAACAATTAGGAAATCAATGTTTAAAAAGTTTAGAGGAGATGAAGTGGGTCTAGAAGCCTATATGACATTCAACGATGTTGTAGTTTCTGATTATTCAAAGTATAGATCTGCATTAGCTATATCCAATGTATCGATAATCAATTCAACACATAAAAAACTTAATCTAGGTTGTTGTTAAATAACAACCATAGCAATAATAGTTCAAAATAATTCGTTGCCTTACCAATATAAATTAAAATATATAGAATGATTTAATACTATTGATAAAGAAGATATCTGTTCAAAAATCTTTGATTAACAGATTATAAATAGTAACAGTAGTAAAGTTAAAGTAAAAGAAGAACAACTGATTATATTGTTTTCGTTTTCTAATTTTAAACCATAGAACATTTGTAAGTTATTGTGATAACTCATGAATATTGCTAAAAGTATGAATGTTAAAATTGATTGGTTTATATTATGTACTCTTTCTTTCTCTCTGATATGATTGGTTAATCATAGGTATTAACTTGGACAACTCAATATTTAATAGGTGAATGATGGTTTGTTAAAACAGTTGGGATAGTTTGGTATCGAGATGTTTAACAATCAAATATGATTGGTGTGTATATATTTGTTATGGTTGTTGTGAAAAACAGCTGTATTTGGTCTAAATAGTAAGTTGTAAAACTTAATTATCTTGGTGTGATGTTTTGAACCCCCATTTACCAAAGGACATTATCTATTCATTCGTTCCTTCATTCATTCATTCATTCATTCCTTCTATGCTCTATATCAACAGCAACCATCTCACACACTCAACTGTGATTTGATTTTTTTAAAATGGTTTTCCTAATTTAAAATTATATGTGTGTTTAGTGGTTTTTGAGTTGTTTTATATAATTGATTTTATTTATTTTTATTTTTATTTAATTATTTTTTTATTTTTAAGGTTATTATCACACCAATTCTAACAAATATAAATGATCACTAGAATATACGATTTAGGCATTTTATGAGGGTGTTAGTTGGTTATTGATTTATTTGTGGTTATATCAACAATCAATTATTCAAAAACAACAACAACTAGAACAATAACATGGTCGTTCATAATCACATACCATACTTCTTACTCAATTAAGTTTAAAAAATGCATTGTAATTTATTTAAATTAGCTGAGTTTTTGTTTTGTGTGTGTAGGGGTTTAATTTTGATGGCGTGTTTATATAGTTGTTTTAATGTGTGCTAAAACTTGATATCTCTATTGTTGATGATAATAATATATTTGGTATTTTTCCATTAAATAAAAAGAATAACTTTTCTAATTTAAATCGGCACTGATATGTTTGGTTAGCTTCTCATTCCAAATATGATTTATTCTCTTGACAGAATAGTGATTTAACAAAAATAAATTAAAAAATTTGTATTTCAATTCTTTTTATTCTAATTTTAGTCAATTATTGGAGCAATCAATTAATCCATTAATTTAAAACATTCTATATATATATATCAAGTATCTTTTTCAAAAAAAAAGAATCCTCTAATAAATAATTACAATAGTTACAGTTGGTATTATAACTATTTCATACAGGTATGACCAACACTATTATTGAAAAAAAAATTAGATATCAAATTTAGTAGATCAAAGAACACTTAAGACCACTCATTAAAATCATTATCATCATTAAATACCAACATCACACACAACAGTACCACTATATACTCACTAAAAAAACAAGTATCAAAAATTCAAAACTAAATATATGTTTTTTGAAAAAAAATACCTATATTATATGCTTTCACTGAGCAAAGATGTTAAAGTAAACAATTGTTGTTCCAACCATCAAATATATATTATTAAAAAAATCAATTATATCTTTCTTCAATAACAATATTCCTCCTCTGATATTGTTAATTTTTTTAAATCTTTTTCTCATTCATCTACAAATTTGAAAGCAGTATTAATAAAGAGAATAACACTCAACCAACCCCATCAACTATTAAAATTAATAACAATAGTATTAATAATAATAATACATTTTATTTTCTATATGCATAATATTTTAATATGTTTAAACCATCATATATACCAATATTATTAATAAAAAGAATAACAGGATATCCAAACATCCATATTAAATTCTATCAGTAGTAACAACAATAACAATACCATCTTCAAAAAACATCATCATTATCATCATCATCATCTTTTTTTTAAAATACAAAAAAAAGAGAAAAATACAGATACACAGAGTTGGGTGAAAGTGGTCGTTGATATAGATTTAAAAAAACAATATAGATTATTGGATAAATAAAGTGATATTGTTTTTTTTTAAACTACTGATAACATCATCTATTAAAAAAAAAATAAACGATTACATCCTGAGGTGGAGCTTTTACACTCTACAATATTAAACATATCAAGAAAATATAAGAATAATTATATAATAATATCAATTTGGGTAAGTTAACAATGTTCATATAAATATTTATAAAGTGACTACTGAAAGTAAATCAACAACAAACACATTATATTTAAATATCACTCACCTGTATACACAATATGTCGAATATTGACGATATCAATCATTTTTTTGCTGATAACATTTAAAAGTTTAATTTTTTATAATTGTTTTCTGTTATACACATATAAATTCATTTATTGATTCAAGATAGAGATAAACCAACCCTTTTTCGATATAAATAGTTTTTAACCAAAATAATCTTTCAGGTCAAAACAAAAAAAAAACAATAATATCTACCATTAATTTAATTTTTTTGTTGTGTTTTTTTCCAAATATAACAACTAAACAAGTTTTAACTCTCAAATAGTTAGAACAGTACCAGTTCCATCAATCTATAAAATCACTCAATCTATATATCTCTATCCTCAATAGTTTATTTTTAAAAAGAAAAGAAATAATAATAATACATCATCATAGATTGATATTCCAATCAATAATTATTATAAACAATCAGTTTTAATCAATTTTTTAAACTGTTTTATTTTAAAGAAAAAATTCTTTTTTAAATAATATTTTTAGATACAGTTGTAGTTGTTTGTTGTCTACTCAAATAACTTCGTTGGACAAATAAGACCAATAACAATCCAGCCTTATATATAATAATTATAACAAATATAACTTTAAAAATTAAATGATTCATTGTTCATTTTTTTAGAAAATAACCAAAAAATTGTATAATATCATATTTATTTTATTTATTTATTTTGTAAATAATAATTTAACTCAGAATAATAGAAATATTAATATGATATATAAGAAAAATAAATAATTCACCTTTTATCGAATTAAATAATTATAAAAATAAATAATTCTTATTTTTTAAAAAAAACAATCCATATTATCAAAAAAAAATAAATTAAAATTCATTTTTTGTCTAAAGGAAATAGTTTTAACAACTACTGACCTTTAGAATTCCAAAAATAGAGATCTATTCTTATGCTCAAATGGATGGCTCCCACTCCATAGATATATTTTGGGGAGTGGTATGGCTACTGGTGATATGCATAGCGACCTTTAATTGTATAAAATGTTATTGGGTCGATGGGTGGAAACTACCTGTTACCACCGGATTTTTAATATTTTTAGGGTCTTTTGGTAAATATTCCTATCTATTCTCGATAAATTAAAAAAGGAATGTTAAATTTCTAATTTTATTAAAATGTAATAATATTATTTAGTAAAAGTTTTAAACTCGGGATTAACATTTGTAGAATCAACTTCATACCAAGTTGATATTATTTTAAGTATTCTACGGAATTTTCCAACTTTTACATTATTATCGTCTTTTTTATTAGTAGTATTATTTTGGTAAGAAATTATAATTATCTTTTTAATTTGATCATTAATTTTAACAATTTATTTTAATAATTATAGGATATCAACATATCATGATCCAGAAGTTGTTAAAAAGAAAAATGGATTTGGTTCAAAATTGGTTATTCCAATTTATTTTACAATAATCAGTATTCATTTACTGATGTTGGTCCTTGTTGGAATTTCAGAGGGATACAAGTCAAATAGAATGTTTTATCAATCAACTAGATTTTTTACAAGAATGTACTCAATTGTAATGAGTGTTTCATTCTCTGCTGCTTTTTTGATATATGGTTTCCTAGTTGGTAGACAACATAATAATTCTTTCCAAGTATGTAAAAAACATAAATAACTATTTTTAAAAAAATATATATTTTATTAATTTTTTGATATTTTTAATATTTCCCTATAGTTTTATTCATGTGCTTTGGTTTTAGGTTTAAGTTTTTTGGCAAATGGTATTAATATTTTCTTGGTATCATTTATAATTCCAATCATTACGAACGGTCAGATGATAGCGGTTACCTCGGTTGACAATGTAATCGATTGTTTAATAAGTTTAGAAATTCTTTATCTGGTTTATATAGATACCAAAGCCAAAATAACGAGGCAACAGAAATTACTGGAACGTACCATCAGCACTATTTCAGATACCCAATCAGAAGTTTCAAATTCAAGAAAGATATCAGATGATGACTTTCATTCACCTTATACCACTAGAACTGTGTAATGATCAGTGATAATGTAATAATTAGTCAAAGATATATAAAGATAATATATTATAATATAATTTTCATTCTTCATTTTTTTTATTCTTAATAGTATCTTTTGAATTTAAATTGAGCTTAGTTTATTATATTTATTCTTTCCATATCTGGAAAAAAAATATTTAGTAATTTTGATTCAAACTATCTTCTTATTTGTGTGATGGCAAAAGACTAGGGTTGATATAGTATAAATTCAATTGAAAATTATATAAATTATGAATACAACAACAATAATAAAGATTCTGCCAATGAAGATGAACCAGTCACCACCCTATTCCCAGAGATCACTCCTACTAATTCCCGTTAAGACCCATTACCAACCGATCTTTTACAATCTAGTCTAGCACAGTCCAAACTACCGATCTCCTCTGCCATCATACCCCTTTGGATGGAAAACAGAAGACCAAGATCGTAGTACATATGCTAACAACACTTCGATTTTGAATTAACAATCTTCAAACCAGGAATGTACCTTTTCCATTGACTAATGTTCGTGATATTTATCCCGATAAAGAGTGCACAGATCTTTAGTATCTCGACTGAGTGGAAGATTACCATCAGATCGCCATTCTTCGAAGATCTTACATGCTGACTACTATTATTTCCTATTTATTCCTTTATCTATCCGAGACAATGCCTTTGTGCCTCAAGAACTCCTACCATCTTCCAAAGTTAATTTTGCCAATTTTAAAATCATATGTGGTGTGATTGACATATCATCTTCTTGTAGATTATAAACAATAAAAATACATTTACCAAAATTGCATAATTCAGAGTTTGGTTTCGTTTCGTTTTTTTTTATTTCCTTTGCAACATCTTGAATCGATTCATTTATGTGAACATATTGTTATGTTGATCAAAAGAAAATGAGTAATTCTTCTTCAACATCTTCCGTTGATATTGTAAATGTCAACAACAGTGGAATAAAGTTGATGGTTGATGATGTAGGTGCATTACAAGTTGCAAAGAATCAATCATCTAGAAAAGCTGTTGCCTATCTAAGTGTTAAAACAATGCAACAACATAATATAACAATAGGTGATATAATATATTTAATTAACAATCATAATAGTAAAGATCATCATTTAACTACAATAGCAATTGCATGGCCATCAAAGAAAGTACCAATAAATCGTATGTTTTTTTTTTTAATAATCATTCTCTTTCTCTCATCTTCTTAACCCTTTTATTATTAACAACATTCGAATATTAATAATCTAGATATACAGATCGATAGTATACAAAGAGAGAATTGTAATACATCTATTGGATCATTTATTTATCTTTATAAGACACCTTATTTATCATTACCAACAAACAGTAGTAGTAGTAGTAGTTTATCATCGAATTCAAATATATATGCATATCTAGATGCAAATGTCGTTAATGTAGAATGTCTAACAGAGTCATCACTTAGCTATTCACAACAGTTGAATCAACTTGGAATGTTATCACCAATGATAGCTTCACAACAAACAGGATCATACTTTAATATCAATAACAAATTCAACGTAACAATCAATGGTAGAAATACAAAGTTTAATATATTATCATTTAATAACAATAACAATAGTAATAACAGTGATGATGACATATCAACATCAATTAGTAAACTTAATATAAATGAAAAAGAACAACAACAAATAATAAAACCAATATTTAAAATAACAGATAATACAATATTTAATTTAATAATAGATAATAATAATAATAATAGTAGTAGTAATAGCAATAGTAATAATTTAAAAAGTAGTGGTAGTAGTAATGAAATAGGATATCATTCAATTGGTGGCTTAAAGAAGCAAGTAGATCAAGTAAAAGAGATGATAGAGTTATCATTCTTTAAGAGTGATATCTTGGCAGAGTTTGGTGTGAAACCACCTCGTGGTATTCTGTTGTATGGACCACCCGGTACAGGAAAGACATTACTAGCTAGAATCGTATCGAAAGAGATCAACTCTACATTATTCACAATCAATGGTGCCGATATCCTTGATAAGTACTACGGTCAGACTGAAAAGACATTACAATCGATATTCAAAGATGCTTCACTTAAATCACCTTCAATCATATTCATCGATGAACTAGATGCTCTATGTCCAAAGAGAGATGATGTAAAGTATTATAAATGTTTATATATATATTTGACTTTTAATTGAATAGATAGACTAACTAAACAAACTTATTTTCTTATATATTATAATACTTTTTATTTTTAGAATTCAACTGAAATTGAAAAAAGAGTTGTTGGAAGTATGTTGACTTTGATGGATGGTATCGATAGCGGTAGTAAGATCATTGTTATTGGATGTACGAATCGACCTGATTCGTTGGATTCTGCGCTTAGAAGACCAGGTCGTTTCGATAGAGAGATAGAGATCGGTATTCCAAATCCAGAGAGTCGTGAAGAGATATTAAAGATCTTTATGAACAAGATACCAAATGATTTGACAGCATCGGAACTAACAGAGATAGCATCGAGAACACATGGTTTTGTAGGTGCCGACTTGGAAGCATTATGTAAAGAAGCAGCGTTGAAATGTTTTCATAGAGTAGCATCCACAGGTCAATTATTACATCAACAACAACAACAACAACAACAAACATCATCGTTCAATGAAATAAAGCTAAAATATGAAGATATGCTATTGGCTATGACAGAGGTTAAACCAAGTTCAATGAGAGAGGTGGTTGTTGAGATACCAAAGGTTTATTGGTCGGATATAGGTGGACAACATCACATCAAAGATAAACTGAAGGAAGCAGTTGAATGGCCGTTGAAGCACCCCGAAGCATTCATTCGAATGGGTATTACACCACCCAAAGGTATATTGTTGTACGGTCCACCTGGTTGCTCAAAGACACTGATGGCCAAAGCACTGGCAACCGAATCCGGCTTGAATTTCATCGCTGTAAAAGGACCTGAGCTACTAAGTAAGTGGGTCGGTGAGTCTGAACGAGCGGTTCGCGACATCTTTAAGAAAGCTAGAAGCAACGCACCCTCTGTGCTATTCTTTGACGAGATGGACGGTCTCGCCGTTAAACGTAGCGGTGAAGGCAGCGGTGCTGTAGAGCGTGTGGTCAGTCAGCTACTCACCGAAATGGATGGTATACAACCACTCACAAACGTAACCATTATAGCAGCAACCAACAGACCTGATATCATTGTAAGAGAACAATGTTTAACATCTTTTATACTTTCAATTCAAGTTCTCTTATTAACAAACTTAACAAAATATTTTATTTTATTTATTATAATTAATTTAAGGATCAAGCTATTTTAAGAGCAGGTAGAATTGATAGAATACTTTATATTTCACTACCAGATTTACCATCAAGAAAAGAAATTTTTAATATTCATATGAAAAAGGTTCCTCATACCGATGATATAGATATAAACAAACTTGCAGAAATTGTATGTGTAAAAACAAAACGGTAATAATAATATTTATTATTTCTAATTGGAAAAATATGAATAATAATAATAATCATACTTACACTTTTTATCTATCTGTCTGTCTGTCTATCTATCTATCTGTTTGTGAATCAAGACTGATGGTTATAGTGGTGCCGAGGTTGCATCGATCTGTAGAGAAGCTTCTATCTGTGCCATGAAAGAGAATATACATGCCGAGTTTGTATCGATGAGACACTTTGAATCCGCCATACACCAAGTAAAGAAAGGTATCACCGATGAGATGATTGCATTCTACGCCAAATACCAAGAACAATCAAATCTGCAAAAGCTGTAAAAAGCATCTATCAACGATATCCAACCAACATAAAATAAAAAAAAAAAAAAAAAAAAAACCTTTCAACTTTTTCTTTTTTTTTTTTTTTTTTTATAATAACTATTCTATTACTTGCTCATGGGAATTCCACTCATTTCATTTCCATATGGAATTCACCAAAAACTATCTAACCAAACTAGTTAACCAAATGCAACTCACTTCACTCAAACTACATGAATAGTAACTTTTTCAATACCAAATACCAACTACCAAATACTACCACTACTAAAACCAATACCAATACCAACTACCAATATTATTACCAAATACCAACCAATATAAGTTACCAGAGATCCATTCTTTCTTGCACCAACCATGCTATTTAAATGTCCATGTGGTAACCAGATAACTAACTAACGAACGAACTAACTATTTTCATTTTTCAAATATTTGATCTTGCTATGTATGGTTGGTGGTTCTGTTCCAGAGTCTGTCTTGTGTATGGTTATGGCGATGTGATGATTCTCATAGTTTTTTAAAACAATAAAATAATAATAGGGTTAGCTGCTAACACCAATCGATGCCAAAATAAAGATTGTTGATTGAGCGCCAGTTTGCTTTGCTTTTGGTGATAAATTGTAATATTATTAACATTAATTAAAGTTTGAAATTATGTGTATCTCTATTTCTCTCTCTGCTTCTTCTCCTTCGCTATACACTTTGGTTCTGCCAATGGTTAGGTGGCTCTTCCTCTCGCTTACATTGTCGGACTATTTTACTATTTAATCTATTTATAATTAGGGAGTTGTTTATTATTATTATTAGTTAGTTAGTCAATCTATTTAAATAATAATATATAAAGTAGAATAAATTGAGAAATAGAGAGAGAGAAGAAAGGAAATAGATTAGAAATAGTATTATTATGTCGACTCACTTCTGTCACGATTTGGACTACCACCCTCTTTAGGGGATCCCGATGCGGGATTACCATTGCCTGCACCGTTGGATCTTTCTCTCTCTTCGTAGTCGCTTGGTCTTTCTTCACCACCACCTCTGCTGCTGCTGTGGTAGCTTCCACTCTCTTGTTGGTCACCACCGTTGCTGCTGTTGTAACGATCGGATTCCTCACCACGTCTTTCACGGTCGTCACGACCACCACGTCCATGTCCACGATCGTCACGATCGTCTCTAATGCTTCTCTCGTCACGATCGTCAGCACCACCACGTCTATCACGGTCGTCTCCACCACGTCTGTCACGATCGTCAGCACCACCACGTCTGTCACGGTCGTCACGCTCATCTCTGAATCTATCGTCACGTCCGCTACGTTCGTCACGCTCATCTCTGTATCTGTCGTCACGTCCACTACGTTCGTCACGGTCATATCTGTCGCTACGACGATCCGAGTAACGGTCGTCTCCACCACGTCCACCACGATCGTCACGACCACGGTCATCACGACGATCACCACCACCACGCTCGTCTCTGTAACGATCGCTTTCATATGGGTGATAACGACCACCCTTGTTATCGAGAAGTGTTCCGCGGGTGTCAGCGTACATTGGGTTGCGTGGACGGTGTGGACAGTCACGCGCGAAATGTCCGACACGGTGGCAGTTGAAGCAGGCAGAGTCACGCATGCTACCTCTTGGTCCGTCACCACCTCTCGATCCGTAACGGTCACCACGATCGCCACCGTATCCACCACGATATCCATCACGGTCACGACGTTCACGATCGTCCTTTGCACGCTCTAAAATTACACGGTGTCCATCGATAACACCATCTCGATTCTTTAAAACTTCAACGGCATCACGTTCGTATTTCATTTCGATGAAAGCGTAATCTCCGAATCCCGAATAAACTTCATAGACTGGTCCCCACTTTCTAAAGAAATCTTCAATATCTCTCTTATTTGTACGTTCAGTAATACCTATATATTATTATTTTTTGATTGGGCAAATCAAATAAAGTAGTAATATAAAAAGAAAAATAAAAACAAAATAAGATTTTAGTATATTTTTTTTTTTATTTATAAATCTAAATCTAAATCTAAATCTTATTTTTATTAAAAAACTAAAATCGTTTAAAGTTGTTTTTGTTATCTCTTCTTTCTAAAGATAAAGATAAAGATAAAAATAAAGTATTTATTTAGATATTTAGATATTTAGATATTTACCTTTAACAAAGATCTTCATTTTATAAAATCTTTTTAAAATATTATTATATTATATATATACAAAATTGATTAATAGAAAAAACAATTATAGTTTTAAAATAATAGAAATAAAATGATTAAAATAAAAAAATAATATATCTATTAAGTTTCTTATTATCTAAAAAAAAAAAAAATTGTTCTTAATAGTGACGAAAAAAAAACCAAGTTAATAAAAAAATTAGTTTTCCAATTTTTTTTTTCTGAATTTTTTTCAATTTTGCAAAAACTTTTTACTTTTAACAGTGATCCAACTATTTCCCTCGCTTTTAGATTTATTTTTAAAAATTTGTGGTTTTTTTTAAATTAAAATTGAACAAAGCATCATCATGATCATCAAAACATTATAAATCGTTGTTTTGTTATATATCTAATTTAAATAAAAATAAAAAAAATGAATAATAGTAATAATAATAATAATAATAATAATAATACTTTAAAAAGAACATCAATATCAAATAAACAGCAATCGAATCCATTTCAAAGTGGAAGTGGAAGTGGAAGTGGCAGTGGAATTGGTACCAATTTATTTCAGCAGCAACAACAACAACAACAACAATCACATGATTTTTTAGATCAAAATAAAAATCAAAATCAACAACCACCACAACAAAGAAGATCGTCTCTATACAGATATGTAGAAACACCACCTACACCTATAAATATTTTCACAAAAAGAGCATCGGTCATACCAAATGTAAGTGGGAATGGAAGTGGAAGTGGAAGTGGAATTGGAGCAGTTCCAATGACACCAGTAACACCTATCGCACCAACAAAAAGTGGAATTTATCACAATAACTTTAATACACCTATTTCAAACAGTGGTGGCACTGGTGGCAGTGGCAATCCAATACCAATGACTGCATCAAGAAAGAGTGTAACAGTATCTGCAATCAAACCGAAAGTACATATCTATCCATCGTCTCCAGCCGGCAGCAACTCTGAAAATCAATCGTCGTCATCATCGACATTCCCAATTTCACCGTACAGTAGCAACAGCAATAATATATCGACACAATTCATGGATAACAGTTCATTCTATTGGTCACCCGACGATGTAGATGATATCGATCAGTTGGAGGCACAGGAACTCTTTTATATTCCAGGCAAATCAGATATATCGGTTGACAGTGGCGGCAGCAGCAGCACGATGGCAGACTCTAACAGGTCAACACCAGCTAAAATCAAACCAAAGACAATCAAACAACGTATTCAAGATATAACTTCATATCCTATCAACAAATGGGATGAATACCACGAGGAAGCACTCATTCTTTTCAATCATCCTTTCTACAATTCATGCATGTAAGTTTATTCCAATAGTATCATAATCATCATCATCACCTATGCTAACGAACTAACTAACCAATCATTGAAAACTCATTAACTTCACTTACAGATATGTTTTATGTATAATTTTAAATGCATTACTTTTCGGTTACTCTATTGAACTATTTGGAAATGTAAGTTTACCGTTTACTATCAATCAAATCAATACTAACAACTATTTTTAATATAATACTACCTGTAGTTTATTGGATTTATTCTAGTTATCATTTCAGTTGTAAATTGTTTTTATTATCTTTATTCTAAAAAGAATGTTCATTTATATAGATATACAAGTGTAAGGCTCGATCGAATAACAAATCAATCACAATCAATCAATCAATCAATCACTTCAGAAATAATACTAATACTAATGAATATCTATTATCCAATATTATAATTATTTTAGAATCATTTCCAAAGTCCAAATATGCATATTGAAGCAATTGAAACAGTAATTATCAATCAATTCAATTAGATATTCATTATAATATCAACCAAATATTAATACTTTTACTTACTTATAACTTATAGCCAATGGGATCAGTTGACAATGTCGTTGTTTTAAGTGTTTGGGAACCAAGTATGTATAAAATAATATAATATTAATATTTAATCGAATAATAAGATTAACCTTATTCAATATAGAATTCACATGTAAAACTATCTTTACATTCTTTTCGCCGCTTCACGTAGCATTGATGGTTTCGGCAGGATCTGATTTGAATCGTTTCATCAATTCCACAATTTTATCGATTTTAATATCTTTAGGTGTATGTCATCAATCAAATAACAAAAAAAACAATAATATATTCAATAGTATATACTAAACAACCAACTTTTCTTATTTATTTAGATTTATTTTATTTCAGGAAAATACGATGGAAAGATTAGAGATGAAAAGATATTATTCTCTCAACTATGTGAGGAATACAACCATCAGTTTAAACCAAAACTAGGTACAATGTGTAAAGATGCAGCATCACAAACCTCTAGATAAATAATAAATAAATAAATAATAATAAATAATAAACAATAACAAATATGATTTATCATAATATAAATCATAAATAATAAATAATAATCATTTAATTAATAATAAGATATTAATTAACTTCAATCATCGAAAGATAAATAAATTAAATTATTACAAACGAACGTTACTCTCATTTTGAAAATTTTCTAATTTTTTTATTCGATTTTTTTTTATATTTTATTAATTTCTTTTTTAATAATTATTTTTTTTTGGACTTTCTGTGGGCATGATCGAACAAAAATTGAAAAAAAAAATGAATTTTTTTTTTCTTTACGTCACTCACCTCTGTTTTTGTGTATTATCTCTTTCAACAGAAAGTAAATCCAACGTAACAATCAAACATGTCTATGATGCCACCAAAGAAAGTCGAGGGAGAGCAAGTTGCTGCCCCACAAACCTCAAAGATCTCCATCACTTTGAGCTCAACCAACCCAAAGGCTTTGGAGCGTGTCTGCTCTGATCTCATCGATCTCGCCAAGAAGAAGCGTGTCAGAGCAAAGGGTCCAATCCGTATGCCAAACCGTGTCTTGCGTATCACCACCCGTAAGTCACCATGTGGTGAGGGTACCAACACCTGGGATCGTTTCGAAATGAGAATCCACAAGCGTGTCATCCACATCTTGTCCACCCAAGATTTCCTCAAGGATATGGTAAGTAACAACATAGTTAGATTTATAGAAATCAAAAACATAAAAAAATAGAATACTAATCATTATAATTCAATTACCTATCTTTATTAATTAATAATTATAGAACTCCATCTCCATCGAAATGGGTGTTGATGTTGAAGTCACCATGAACAAGAAGGAAGAAAAGACCAACTAAATTTGCTGTTAGAAATAAAATAACATTTTCTTTGGTGAAATTTCCCTCAGATCTTTAAATTAAAACAAATATTAATTGTACAATATCCATTATCATCATTATTATTATCATTGTTATACCACAATCACAATCATTCAAATCTTTCTATTTGTAAATGTTTATAAATTTTTCTTCTATTTGTTTCAATTCAACTCGAATAATCAACCTTTTTTGTTCAGAATGAAAAGTGCAATATTAAATAGTGTAACTTTCTTTTTAAATTTAATTTAGTTTATTCAATGAAGATCTTTTTATTGTTTAAATAGATTTATTTCTGACCTAATAGATTGGTCTGCCCAATGTTTGGTGCAAAATCATTATACACAAGGGTTATTTAAAGTGTCAAATACCTCTTCTAATTACAGTTACATCTTGATGTTAGAGATCATTTGCTATTCTATCATTGGGTTGATGATCCAATAATATATTACTACATTCTTGTCGTCCTTTTCAAAAATACATTTTGTTTGTTGGAAAAAATGACCAGAAACTGAATCGATGTTCAGTTGAATCAAAATTATAATTCTCTGAAGAGTTGGTTGGTTTATTATATCTATCTATTTCAATCACTGGATATATAACGATATTTAAATAGTATGATCTTGTTTGATCTCGATATATCTTGATATATTAATTTCATGTCATTGGATTTGATTTCTAATTAAAAATTGGTTGTTGGACATATTGCATATATATTGATTGACTGACTGTTATTTATGAAAACTGATCATGTGCCTCTAGAATGATTGTAATGATGTTCGAACATCATTTTACTTTTGTTTGAAGGTTTGGTTTAGAAAAAGTAGATAACTTTAAATTTTTTGAAATTATATTATTGTTCTTAATTATAAAAAAACAAACTTTGACCAATCATTAAGAATCAATCAATCAAATTAATACCAATCAATTCAAGAACAAAAATAGTGGGTGTTTATTTCACCTGACAATAGTGGTGACTTTAGTGTAGAGTAAATTAATAAAACACACATTAAAGAGTGATCCTAAAGTTGATGGATAGTATTGTATCACAAACCAACACACTCACTCACCAAATTAACCACCAAATAACCTATAAATAAAATACGATTTTTCACAGATGATCGTCAATATAAAATGGTGGGGTATAAATTTTTGCAATACTTTTTTTACCCCAGTTTACTGGTTTTGCTGATCATCTTTTTTTCAGTATTTTTTTTTTTATCTTTTTTTTTGTTTTTTACCATACTTTGAGATTTTCAAATAATTTTCAATTCTCAATGAAACTTGATAAAACATTCAGTTTAGTGTGAATTGAATTGATTGATAGATGGATAAAATGATAGACAGATATGAAAAAAAGTAAAAGTGTAAAATTAGTATTTCGAGATTATAATCAATATGATGTTAGTTTTTTAGTAAATTAACACCGGAACAAAAAATAAAAACGCCTTGATAGATTAATAATCATTGAAATGTAAGTAGTTATCTACTGTTTTGTTTTGTTCCCTCTTGTAAAATGTGGATTGTACTGTTTGAAAACACCTCAACTCACACACCACAAAGCCACACTGCTACGGAATGTATAGTGTTAGTATAAGTGTGATTTTTTTCCATCCAATCCTCACTACTACTCCAACAAAAAAAAAACCAATACCAACAATCAAAATATTATAATATATTTCTTTGTTTTGTGGTTGGTTTGTTAGTTTAGTTTTAGTTTAGTTTGGTTGGTTGTTTCGTTAGATAGAATAGAAAATCAAATTAACAAATTGTTTTTTTTTTTGATTAGGTGTGTATTTTTGGTGTCGTGGTTGTTTTTGGGTTTAAATTCTTAGATTTAGATTTGATTTTTTATTGCGGTACCGCTAATGTGATGTTGACAGGCAGCCGACTTGTGTTCGATAATTATAGACTTTATTAAAAAAAGTTGATGATTACGGGTGATGGTGGTTCAGGTGTTTTATGATATTCTCTCGTTTGCAATTATAGGCCCAATCTACTATCCATTTGATTATTGATTAGTGATTATTCACGACCCAAACAATAATTGTAAGGAAATATCAAGATACTGCTCATATAGCCATAACATTGATGATTACTGTTTTCAAGAAATTCTATCAACACTATCTATTGGCACCAGATTTTGGGATCTTCCAACCCACTGGTCTAATCTAATCCAATCCAAATGGAGGATTATTTCCTTTTTTCGATCAATTCCTATTTGAGATCTGGAAAAGAGAGAAAACTATATATCAACCAGCACTCAAGTTCACTTAGATATGCCCCTTTTGAGAGGTTGGAGTGGCTTTTTTCTTCTTCCAAGTTGATTAGCGCCTTGCCAAGCGATCATTGATCGAACCCATGTGGAGGTTTCCAAAACCTATAAATTTGAAACTTCACTCATTTGACAAATCATCAAAACCGAACATACATTTTAAATATCTATCTCTTTCAATTATATATTTCTTTTTTTTTATCTTTATCTTTATATTAAATTCCTGCATTTGTTATTCCCCCGATTTGTTTTGCAAAAACAATATAGTTATCATAATTTTTTCATATATATTTTATATCTTTCTATTCTTTAATTTAAATACCTTAGTTTTTTTCCCTCTAAAACCCAATCGATCTTTTATATCTAAATTTTATTTTAATCAATCGTTTTTTATAACTTATATATCAATTAGATTTCATATTGTTTTTTATTCTCAATATTATTATATCTTATTCTTAATTCATCATCATCATATTTTAATTATTTTCATCATATCATATTCATCACATTTTTTTTGTTCACTCAAGTTTTGATCCAATTCATCTACACTTCACACAACTCTCTTTTTTTTTATATATTTTCTCCTTAATTAATTATAGTAATTAATTAAAATCCCGATTTTTATATTATCTTCTCGATTCATTTTTCCCTAATAATATTACCCATCTTCACACCTTACCTACCAACCATATTTTTTTTTTTTTTTTAACCTTAAATTAATAACCAATTTTCCAAGTTTCAAAAATGTTCAAACAATCAATCATTTTAATTTTATTTATTAGTTTCTCAATTATCAATGTCAATGGACAATTGTCTATTGGTTCAATTGGCGGTGGTCTAAACTATTGCCAACAAACTTGCAATAGCAGAGACAAATGCTATATCGATACCTGCGGTGGAATTGGACAATGTTTCAGCAATCCAGTCAATTGTAATTCCAACGACAAGTGCATTGTCGATTCTTGCCACCCAGTAACTGGATGCTCCCATACACCAAAGACTTGCAATGATTCCAATCCATTCACCCTCGACAGCTGTGATAGTCGTGTTGGCTGCATTAACATTCCATTCACATGCTCCAACGAATCAACTTGTCCAACCAACAACACCAATCCATGTGTCACCCAATTCATTAACAATGGAAAGTGTTGTGAATACTCTACTTCATGCGATGACTTCAATCCATGCACTGTAGACTCTTGCTCCAACTCTACCGGTTGCACTCACACCCCAGTCGTTTGCAATGACAACAATCCATGCACCCAAGATTCTTGTTCCGCCAAAACCGGTGCCTGTGTCTTCACTCCAATCTCGTGTGACGACAACAACAAATGCACTCTCGATTCGTGCAATTCCAATTCGACCTCTGGAAACAACTGTGTTCACACTGAAATCTCCTGTGATGACAACAATCCAAACACCATAGATACCTGTCAACCAAATGTAGGATGTATTCACCATTTGGCTACCACTTGTGATGACAACAACAGATGCACCAACGACTACGTCAACACCACCACCGGACAATGTGAATACAGTCCAAAGACCTGTGGTACCGATACTTTCTGCACCAGATGGTCATGTGATCCAGTCAATGGATGCACTGCCTCTTCACCAAGCTGTGACGATGGTAACCCCTGCACCCTCGATTTCTGTGATTCTTCCACTCAAGCTTGCGCTCACGTCCAAAAGAATTGCAACGACAACAACAGATGCACCTACGACCAATGTAATGTCCAAACAGGTCTTTGTTCCAGTTCACCAATTCCAAATTGCTAATGAAATGGAATATAGATTTTTAATTTGTCCGACATATATATATAATTTAGTTGTTTAATAAATTTTTTAATTTTAAATATAAATTTCTTTACTATTTCAACAAGTTATTCCAGGATTAAAAAAAAGTTTGATGTTTTAATAATAAATAGTTTATTTAAATCCTTAAAATATAAAAAAAAAAAAAGTAGAAACTAGATCATTATAATTATATTATGAATTATAATTAAATAATTTTATCCAAAAACTATTTTTTATTGAATTTTCTTTATCTGTTTTGGATTCGGTCGTATTATATGATAGGTTTAATTATTATTATCAATTGATAGGTTTTGTAGTGGAATATCATTTGCATTAACATTGAACTGTTCTGAGCAATTGAGTGCTGTTGCCAATTGTATCACAGAGTTTAAAACACTTTGATGTAGTAGTATATTTGAAGGAATAGATGGATTACTAGATACCTGATACATCTATTTTTTATAAATTATTATTTGTCAGTAACTAGTAATTAATAATTATCATTTAGCAAAATAAATAAAAAATACTTACAGAACTATCTTGACAGAATTCTTTGTGTAAATGAAATACGGCATGACAGAAAATGAATCTAATTATAAATGTTCTTAAAAAGTCGTCCATCATAAAGAAGCTGAACGATGAATGTAGCTTTGGTGCCTCAAACAAGAGTTTGGCTATGTTGACCATTGCCGACTGAACTATCGACTGATAGTTTGACAGACTCTTTAGCGATATCTTATTGCACGATGTCATATCACAGAATGCACCAAGAGGATCATGTAAAAAGAATGTAAACAAGTTTCCAAATGGTGAATTTCTTTTATTATTACTAATTATTTCTGATTTTATTTTAAAAATAAATAAATAAATAAAAAGTTAGTTGTTAATATAAAATTTATAAATAATAATAATAATAATAGTTTTTTTTATACATACTCTTTGGAGTTGCCAATGGTGAGAGTAATGAGATGAATGGTTGGTTGAATGGTGGAGTTATATCTTTGAAAATGTTGCTGCATTGTGAGTCAATAATTAAAAAGAATGGTTTTCTACAGAAAGGCATCAGATCCATTGGATATAATGCTTCCATCTTAACACCATCCGTATTGATACTACAATTATTATGTTGATTGTTATTATTATTATTATTATTATTGGTTTTATCAGTTGAATTATTATTATGATCATCTGTTTTATTAACTGAAGAAGAAGCAGTAGAGGTAGGAGATGATTTCTGTGGAGTTGGAGATGTAGTTGTTGTCATCGATTTCTGTGAGTTCATCAACAATGCATTTGCATAGGTGCTATCATTGGATTCTTGACTATTCTTTACACCATCGACAGAGAGATATAATAATAATGCTTTATTCTCTCCTAATTCCTAATTTTTTATTATATAATATATTTGTTAATATCTAATTAATTAAATTAAGTTAATTTAATAATGGAATGAATAGTTACTTTTGATGCATTCGAAAGGAATAATAATAGTTGTGTAATGGTTGGTCTGTAAAGTAGATATTTATGTGGGTTCTTCTTCTTTGATGATGATGATGTTCCAGTTGATGTAATATCAGCTAGTTTATGATCCTGTGATGGTTGTTGTTGTTTATCGGATGGATCCTAAAATTGATTTGATTTGATTAGTCTGCTGTTTGTAGATAATTAACATTTGTTATTGGCAACATACTTTAAGTTCAGGTGTTTCATATTCTAATGATTGTGTCATTCTAAACATATCGAGTGTAATCTCACTGAATTTAATTTGATTCTGATGATTACCAACTAGAATGGCTTGTTGTAATATTTGTGTCGATGTAGATGAGTCGGTTGTATTATTATTATTATTATTGTTGTTGTTGTTGTTGCTTGTGGATGAAGATGTTGATGATGTTGATGATGGTGATGTTGTAGCTAATTGTATTAATTGCTGTTGTAATGATGCCGATAGCCGGTGTGAGAGTTGAACGTGTTGGTTGTTGTTGTTGTTGTCGGTGAAAGAGAGGCATTGATCGGCCTGTAGGAATGAGAAGATCTCCTGTATCACAAGAGACCACTCGTGTGCATCGTTCGGCTTGTAGATCTTTGTGTAGTCTTTGACGTGCTTGAACAACTCCTCGACAAGCTCAAACACCACCTTCTTTCTATTGAGCAATAGACAAACCACAATGAATCTGGCATAGTATCTAAGTTGTTTTACCATCATATCTGGCCTATAAATATGATATGTTGTTAGTTAGTTAGTTAATTTAGTTTAGTCTATTAATAACTAACTATAAGTTAACTAACTTACATTTTAGTATCGGAAGAAACATCTTTAAAGTATGATCTTAATCTAATTGCTTCATAGAATATATATGATTCATTTAAATAGTTTGTATCACTTGTTCTTAAACTAAATAGTTATTAATAAATAGTTATTAATAAATAATATTGTATAATATAATGCTGATTGTAAATATGTAACATTAACATACTAATAGTGATAATATAACTGTCCTATCTTTGATGCAATTTCACCGATTTCACATCTCTTTAAACCATATTTTGTTTTATCTTCTAAAATTGATCTATATAATTGTTGATGTTTCCAAAGCTATACAATTATAATATAATAATATTTAATTAGTATTTGTATTGTATTACTAGTATAGTAGATTGTTGTTAACAAACATACTTTTGTATATAATTCAAATGTCTTTTGAAAGAAAGGTTGCCATTGTCTACCGAATTGAGGAAGGTCACGTAAACCAACAAATAAACGCTGTGATTTTCTCAATAGATGTTCGAATGTCTTTACTGCATCTTGTTGTTGTAATTGTTGTGTATTTCCATTGCTTGTAGCTGTTGATGTACCTGTATTATTACTTGATGTACCATTTATATTACTACTATTGCTTGTTGATGATGATGATGATGATGATGATGATTGTTGCTGCTGTGAAGACATTGTTGTCGATGATGTATTTGTATTGGCTGAATTGACTGTAGTAGTATTTGAAGAAGATGATGTTGTTGCTGTTGTTGTTGTTGGTGCTGCTGCTGGTGTTGTTGTAGTTGATGCTGTTGATGCTGGTGTCGATGTAGTTGTAGTTGATGCTGCTGGTGTTGTTGTTGTTGTTGTTTTATCCATTATTCTCTTTAAATATTAATAATATGTAATTAAACAATTTAATTAAATATTAATAAATAAATCAAAATAAATCAAAATAAAACAATTGATTATCTTTCTCTTCTTCTTCTTCTTCCTCTTTAATAATTAATCATAAAATTATTATTATTATAAAAGTAATTATAAGACTTTTAAAAGTTAATGGACATTGGGAAACTGAAAGGTGAAAAAACATGTTGATAAAAAAAAAAAAAAAAAAAGAGATTTTTTCAAATATATTTTGGGTTGAAGCATTTCATTTTTATTTATTTTCAATTAATTGTTAAAAAGGTATGATAGTATTGATAGATTGACTATAATAGATGGATAGATAGATAAGTATGATGTATGATAACAATTAAAATTAGGTTTTAAATATAATTTAAATATTATTTGTTGTTGCTGTTGTTAAATTATTGTTATTATTGTTGTTATTGTTATTGTTGTTGACTGTTGTAGTTGTGTTTTGTTGATTAAAACTAAGATCATTGATGAATGCCGATGCCTCTGTTGGATATTCATCTTCGAGACTGAGATCTAGGTAGAGACCTCTGTTTGATTCCGAAGCGTATCTGATGTCTTCGGCGAGATTAGCGATCAGTTCAAAGGTCTCTGATATCTGACGATAATGAGTACTCTCATGACGATCACCGATATTCTGATTGATACCAAACACAAAAGTACCGATACACTTTGCAATAATCATACATCCAACCTTTTCATGTAAAAGACCTTCTTTCTCTTTGGTATTACAATTCAATGAATTCATGCTATTATTATCACTACTTGTTGTTGAAATACATGATTCCGTTGGTGAAACAGCAATATTATTATTAGTTGTAGTTGGAGAGGTTGATGTTGATTCTTCATTATTGTTGTTACTATTTTTAATTATATTATAATCTTCTAAATTCTTTCTAACGTTATTCACACTTTTTGATAGGATTTTAAATGAATCGAGACACTCGGTGAATAGTTCAATTAAGGTTGGTTCACGTTGTTTCGATCGGGCAACACGTAGTCCATCGAATTGCGTGGTGAACATAATGGAATTCTTCGATTTGGCTACGACATAGTAGTTGGTTCCATTGATACGCAGCTGCTTACCAATGATAGAGGTCAGTTTCATATTCTGAAAGAGTTGCTTCACCAAGAGAATCTGGTCCGGTTCAATCGAGAATTGATTCTCATAGAGGAAATGACCACCCTTATCCATCATTGCCAGAGAACTGATATTGCCATGAGTAAAAAACATATCCATTTGCTCAGCACTAATGGTGGTACGAGTTGGAATTCCACTTCCATTGCCAACGGCATTCATATTATTAATATAATCTATATTATTATTATTATCTATTTCAACATTTGTAAATTGTTTTTCTTCATTTTCAATATTATTTAAATTATTACAAGTTAAAATACTTGTATCAACTAAAACACTTGACATTTTATTATTATAAATATTATTATTATTTATTTTAATATAATTATTCTTATTATTAATATTATTATTTTATTTAATCCAAAAAATTATTTTAAAAATAGGATATTGTTTTTTTTAACAAATAAATAATGAAATTTAAAATATTACTTATTTCTTTAAAATAACAAACTTAAACAAGTTTTAAGAAAACCCTTCATGATTTTTAATATTCGTTATAATCTGAATCATATCAAGATATAAAAAGATAGATTTAGAAATATATTTACGAGTTTTTATTGTTTTGATACCACCACATTTTTAAAACACCACAAATCAAACAAATAATTTAAATTTTTTCCAAATTTCTTTGTTTTTTTTTGTTGTTTTACAAACAACGAATTAACACAATTATTAAAGTACTTAAATATATAAGAGGGGCTAGTTTTTGTAGATAATTTAAAAAAAAAAAAACAGAACAAAAGTAAGTAAAAGATCAAGATCAACTAATATAAAATGAGAATTTAATTAAGTATAAGCATTATTGCTAATAATAAAAATGAAATTAAATTGAAATGAAACCTTTTTGACTATGACAATTTTGAAAATCTAATTAATATCTTTGTTTTTTTTATAATTAAATGATTATTTTATTTACGGACCAGTAATGGATTAAAATAATCTTAATATATATAAAATTATTATATTGTAGATCAATAACAAAAATAAAAGTATTTCAATTTCTAAAAGAATAAACCGCTTATTATTCTTTTAAATAAGTTATTTAATAAAAATATAAAATATTATTTTATTAAACTTCATTATAATTTGTCCTGATCATTTTCCAACCTTTTAGACAATTTTAATCATATTGTTTACGTCGTGATATTGAGATTTTGAAAATCTCATAAATTTTGTAAAGTCATTTAATTTTTAATAGATAAATCAAAAAATAAATCAATAAATATATATAAAAAGACAATGAGCAGATCAGATTCACCAGTTTACTCAATATTTAGAGGAAATGATCAATTGGAAGCATTACATATAGGTATATCAGGTCTTATCGGTGTTGGTAAGGTATGTATAACCTATACAATATATGGAATGTAATAAGACCAAGTACTGATATTATGTAAACAACTAGACAACATTATGTACAGCATTAGGAAAAGTTTTGAATTTACCAACTTATGTATGTTAAAAATATAGTTATATAATATACAATCAATCATTCATCATTGATTAATCTAATTGTATGATGATTGATTATTATTATTATTATCATGTGATCATATGATCTATCTATCAGTATGAAGGTGTTATCGATAATGCATATCTAGAAGATTTCTATAAGGATCCAAAGAAGTATAGCTTTCCTCTACAGATCTACTTGTTGAATCAACGATTTCAACAACAGCAATTGATCATCTGGCAAGGCAAAGGTGGTGTACAGGACAGAACGATATACGAGGACAGTGTTTTCGCAAAGATGCTCATGGAGAGTGGCAATATGGAGAAGAGAGACTACGAAACCTATTGTTCGATGTTCAGGAACCTTTCAAACTTTATGAGAATACCCAACTTGATCGTACACCTCGATGTCTCACCACAAGAATCACTCAATCGCATCAGACTACGTAACCGAGATTGCGAAAAAGGAATTACACTCGATTACCTCGTTGCTCTAGATCGTGCCTATCAAGAGTTCCTCCAAGACATCTCAAAGTATATAGCTGTGATACGTGTTAATTGGGGTGAATATAAAGATGCTGAAGTAAGTTCATGAACATGTTGTTTTTGTACAATCAAACAAACTAACAATTCAACTAAATCATTTTATTTAGGAATTAGCAGCTGAAATCAAAAAAGAATATTTAAAGATGAGAAATATTCATGTATTAGAATTTGAAAATAAGAATCAATAATAATAATAATAATAAGAATAATATAGTCAATATTTGATTAAAATCGTATAACTAAATCCTAATAGATTTATAAGTTATATATCACCACCACCACCACCAACTTATAATTAATTGTAATTATTATATTAATAATCCAATGTATTTGGTTACTATTAACCAAATATATATAAATAAATAAATTTCCAAATGTCATTCTTTAATTGTTTGACTTTCATTTTGACTGAAAAAACAAACTTTGTTATTTCTCACTTTTTGTTTTTTAATATCGTACTTTAAATTTTAATAGATTTATTATATTATTATTATATATTATTATAAAGATGAGAAAAACAGTTATACATAATGGTGAAGTGAAACAGATAGATGTTAAAAATATATATGAAAGAGAGAAAGACATGGATGATACAGATGTTGAATTTCATTACTTTTTCACTAAAGACAATATTAAAAGTAATAAATATTAATAAGTCTAATGTGATTTCTTTATATTCATATCATTAACATGTTCATACATTTAAATATGCAAACTATAGAAACAATTGTAAATAATAAAATAAATATAGTTAAATTCTTTATATGGTTATTCTTTCAATATCTGGCAGTTAAGATTGAATTTGGTGCTGTATTCTTTGTTATAAGTGTCGCTGTATATATGTTTAGAAATCTAGGTAAAAAACAAAAGGTAAATAAATAATGTTATTATTATTAGACGCTGTGATAAGAGTATATAATATAAGTTTAAACTAACTGACCAACAACTATATTTTCTTAGGGAGAAATAAGTGCGTATAGTGTATTTAATAAGAATCATCAATCTATTCTTGGATCGGTGACTAGAGATCAATTGGAAGGTTCAATGGGATTGAGATACAATCATAATCAATAATAACAACAACAAATTGTATACATTAAATAAAATAACAAACTATTGTAATAAAGTAATAAATCATTCAAATTCGATTTTTTTAGAATTGTGAAAAGCAATTGTAATCACAAATTTTATATCAACATTACACTTTTATTATATAAAATACACTCTTATTCGATATAAAATTTGTGATTACTGTTACTCTTCACCATTCTAATCCTAACAAAAAACAAACAAAAAAAACATAATATTATCCAAATTGTTACATAATAATAATAAATCATATTCACTCATAACTAATGAATGATCATTTCATTCATTTCTATATATATATATTTCGAATATAATATGTACTATTTAAATTAATATGTTTTGTTTAGGTGTTCATATCATTTTGTCATTTATTTTTTTGAAATTATTTTTTCTTTTTTTTTTTTTTTTTTTTTCATTGTTGGTGTTGAACAAACAACCGATTAAAAACACGAAATAATTTTGTCATTTATATATTTATTTTGCATTAGATAATCTATATCATATAATAGAATATAAGAAAGATGTCGAGAAAGTTAACAAAGCAAGAAGAAGAGAGAATCACTCATGCCATCAATAAGATGCAGATGAAAGAGGTCATCAATACCACTTTCCAAATCACCAATCACTGTTTCGAAGCCTGCATTAACAACTTTAGATTGAGAAAGTTGGACAACGACGAAGAATTGTGTGTATACAAATGTATCGAAAAGAACGAGAAATTCGCTATGGTACTCGCTGAGCACTTTGCCAAGATTGAACAACAACAATAAACAAAACAAAACAAAACAACTTTTAAATTTAAAACAATATTAAATATAATGCAGCGCAACTACTCAACAACAAAATACAACAATAATAATAATATAATCATTTAGTCTACAACACAACAAAATAGATAGAACAGAACAGAAAAGAATACACAACAAAAGATTATTATTATGAAAATGAGAAACTACTCTCTACTTCATTTCCCTCCTTACACCTCCAACATCCTCAAACAAACCATTTTAAAATCTCTCATCTAACAAAGAGAGATAATAAATTATATCTAAAATTATCTAAACAAAAATAACTATTTTTATTTATTTTTTGTAAATTATTTACAAAAAAACAAACATATGTAATATTTATTTATCAAGTATGTTTTGTTTTAGATTAAACTATCATCTTAATATATACTTCCAACCATTACCATTGTATTTCTTTTCATTGTTGTTGATCTTAAGATTCTTGTATACAACTTGTTGTAAAGTGTTAATATTTGATATTGTCTTGTCATTTATTTAACTTTGTTGTTGAAACAAAACAGTAACAATGTCTATTGTTTATCTATATTAATCTTGTTCAAATAATACAAAGCTATTCTTATAAATAAAATTTTAAAAAGAATTAAATTTGGTGTCTTTGCTTAAATAATATATTAAAAATTTAATATTTATTATTATTATTATTACACAATAGCGGAATTATAACTATGGTGAATGCTGAGGTGATGAGGAAGAAGTTGACGATGAAGATGAAGATGAAGATGAAGATGACGATGAAGATGTTGAAATAGGTGAGTTTGAATTACTGTTACTGAATGGTTGGAAACGTTTTATATTGGAAATGAGTGAATTGCATCTTGGACATGAAAACGATGAATCGATCATCATCGAAGTCTTTATACAGTAGTAACAGAACAAATGTGAACAGTCAGAGATATACGGTATATTAATAGGATCGTTCATGCATATCGGACATTTCTGTAACACCTGATCCGCCAGCAATTGTGGTGACAACACTTGCTGCTGTGACACACCATTGGCAGCACCACCTCCATTTCTCTGTTGTGACAACATATTGCTTGGTTTTTGAATTGCTCTATAAAGGAATCCCTTTATCTTATTAATATTGATCAATGGCATAATAAATAAAAAGAATTCCTATCATATTGTTATCATTCAAAGTAAACATTAATGTTTGTTTTGTTAGTCATATCATTAAAAATGTTAAATGAGTGAATGAATCAATCAACTATTAATAATACATACAGTGAAACCATGCCATACTAATTGTCTATTCATATATTCGAATGAGATTCTTCTGCTTAGAGATGGATGGGCATAGACTAGACGCATGCAGAGAAGACGGTTGACAAGTGTCACGTATTTACCATCGAATAGGAAAGCTAAAAAGTTTACTAGCGAGAGTATCTTGTAGAGTGATTCCAACTGATTCAATAGTTTCCATAGCCTCTTACGATAGTCGTCATCTGGACGGTCTCCCCAACTCTCATTGATCGCTAGCCTATTGATTCTAGCCCATGCCCATTCTCCACCAATCAAAATAATACCAGATAACCATTTCTGTTTCAATGTTAATTTCGTTAAATAATCGGATCCTATTATATATATACATCATTAGTTTACTAAATCTAAATAAATACTCATCATAACAACATTAACATACCTTTAGAGGGATCGAATGCAGCTTCATTTCTATATGTTAAATTCTGTAATTGATTACCATAGGTTGTACCAAGATTGAATATCGATAGTTTATATATGACTGATTTCAATATCAAGTTGATCTCTGGTTGAAAGTTTTGTACAAATGTTGGCTATTTAAATAAGAGATGATGATGATGATATGATAGAACGACAATTGTTTTAGTTTAGTTGTTCTTATCATATATATATATGCATATGATAAGTACTTACCTTAAAAAACATAAATATTCTCATGAATTGTGCTTTCAATAGTTCTAATATCTCTTCATCTAACTTTGTTGAATCGAGTTGACTCACTCTGACAATGTTGGTGGTAGGTCGTTTCGATTGTTTTATCTGTCTGTCTATCTCCTGTAGTTTCTTTGTGATCTCGCTGCTCTCATTCAAGTAATCGGTTGACAGTGTCGGTGGTATCGTAGGTTGTCTATTCAATGTATTAGTTGTAGTTATTCTACTGTTACTACTGTTATTTACATTACTATTATTAATATTATTATTATTATTTACATTACTATTACTACTAACACTGCTGTCATTACTACTATTGTCATTATTAACACTGTTACTATTATTATTATTATTATTATTATCCATTTTCTGTTATTATTTTATATTAGACTACTACTGCTTATCTATAACAATTCATTTCATTAAACATCTGATTTATCAGGTTTGAACCAGCTGGTTTATAAATTAGTTTAAAAAAAAAAAAAAATTAAAATAAAAAAAACACCAAAATTTAATTTTACAAAAGTAGTGTCTTACATAAACAGTTAACTGTTTTATTTGTGTCTTTTAACATTTAATTTATCTTCACATAGATTTTGTATTTAATCAATAAATTATTTGCTACTGTAACAGTATTCAATCAAATCAAAGATTTAATAATCAAATATATAATGTTTTCCTTTTTATTTTTATTAATTTTTTAATTCGAATTTCCTAGGTTTATTGAACAGATAGATATGGACTTTATGGTTATCTGTGGAACAAACAGAACATTAATACAATAAAAAATAAAATAAAAATAAAATAAATGGTAAAGAGCCAAAATGGTTGTTAATTTAAATTGTTTTTATTATAAAAACCATTCTGAAACAATGCACCCCAATACTTTATGGATTTTAAGTAAAAAAAACATTACTCTTTGCCATTTTTACCTCTTTCTGAAACTACCATTAATGTAAAGAACCATTTATAATTGAAAAAACACCACACTAGTTAGGTCCTTGTTGTTTTTTTTTTTGTAAACACATAATGTGATGTGACGATTAATTACACTTTGAACATTCAATTTCCCCATAAAAAAAAATGTGATATTCAAAACAAATCAATAGATTCCGAAACCACTACTTCAATATCTTTTAAAATCCTTTAAGGATTAACATCTCAATAATAATCATTTTTTATTATGTTTTTTTTTTTATTTTATAAAAACAAATCCTCAACTAGAATACCATAGAATGATTTTAAATAAAATCAGTAAGATATTATAGTTTATTTGAGAACCATCAAGAATTAACTTTTTGGTTTTCGAAAAAAACCAATTCAATTTACTTGTTAGCCACTTGAATTCAATCATAATAGGATACCATTTTATTATGTTTTTATTATTAAGAAAAAACCCAAAAACAAGTGGAGTTAATATTGCGATTTTACATTTACTGTATACACCAAATCGATATGGTTTGATGAAATGGTATTAATATAAAAGCCAATTATAACCAAACTCTCATTAAATTGGGTATTTCTCAAAAGATATTTTAATTTTATTGGTTGTTATTTTGATGGTATTGCCCACAATTTAAAATATTAAAACCTACAACATGGTAATGGTAATAGACCTTATTTTTATAAAAAAAAAAACAAACAAATGGACCTTCATCTAGACAAAATAACTATAAATACTTTAGACTATCAACAAATCAACAAATCAAATTAAAAAAAACATATTTATTTATTTATTTATTTATTTATTTGTAAATAACATTTACATCTAACAATGAAATATCAATTATTTATTTGTACAATCTTTTCAATTGTACTTACTGTACAATCTTTTAACGTAAATTCTGGAAATAATGTTGCTGCTTATTGGGGACAAGTAAGTTTTATAACATATATATAATTATATATTGTAAACAAAGAAATATTAATAATTTAATATATTTGTTTTTAGAATGGAGCAGCAGGTGGTGGAAAACCATATCAAACTCAAATCGATACTTATTGTACTGACAATACTTATGATGTTATTTTCGTATCATTCTTGAATACTTTTTTCTCATCTGAGAATATCATTGGAACATCGATCCCAGCACCAGGTTTGAATCTTGCCAATATGTGTGGTTCTCTCTATCCAGGTTATTCACAACTTCTTCAATGTCCAGCCGTAGGTTCCGGTATTCAAACCTGTCAGACCAAAGGTAAGGCTGTAATCCTCTCGCTCGGTGGTGCCGTCGGTAGCTATGGATTCAGTAGTTCTGCACAAGCTCAACAATTCGCCACAACAGTTTGGAACATGTTCCTCGGTGGTAACAACCCAACTTACCCACGTCCATTCGGTGCCGTTCAACTCGATGGTGTCGACTTGGATCTCGAGAATGGACAATCGCAATACTTTGATGTTTTCGTGCAGACCTTGAAGAACACCTACTTTGCCAACGCCCCAAAGAAATATTATGTCACCGCTGCGCCACAGTGTGTCTATCCAGACGCCTCGATCGGACCAAATCCAGGAACCGCACTGTCGACCGGTTTGTTGGATTTCATCAACATTCAATTCTATAACAACTACTGTGGTTTGGCTTCGGGATCAAGTTTCAACTACAATACTTGGGCCAATTGGATCACTGCCAACTCACCAAACACTAAAATCTTTATTGGTGCACCAGCCGATACCTATGCTGCCGGTAGTGGTTACGTCACCGCTCAAACTCTCACCAATCTCGTTTCAACCTACATCAACAGTCCAACATTCGGTGGTGTCATGCTCTGGGATATTTCAGTTGCACAGGGTAACATTGTCTCTGGATCAACTACCTATGGTCAATATGTTTCGAAATACCTCAAACAAGCTAAGCCAACCACTGGTGGATCGACAACTTCCACCACAACCTCATCAACTACCACTGTCAAGCCAACCACTGGATCTACAACTTCCACTACCGGTACAACCACTGTCAAGCCAACTACTGGATCAACAACTTCCACAACCACTGTTAAACCAACTACTGGATCGACAACTACCACTGGTACTACCACTGTCAAGCCAACCACTGGATCAACTACTTCCACCACCTCATCAACTACAACTGTCAAACCAACAACCACTACCACCACTACTGGACCATCGACTACCTCCACCACAGGCACAACAACTTCACCAAGCACATTGGCTTTCAGTCAAAGTGTTACCTCGCAATGGGGTAGTGGATCGGGTATCACCAGTCAAATCAATGGTCAAGTGACCAACAATGGAGCATCTTCTGTTAGTAATCCAAAATTCACTTCACCACAATCAAGCTTAATCAGTGGAATGTGGGGACTTGAATCTGCTACTGTCAATGGTCAAATCGTTTGGTCACTTCCATCATGGTCGACCACTCTTGCGCCAGGTTCATCGGTCAGCTTTGGTTATGCCATCAACTCTGCCAACCCAGCTACCTTTACTCGTATTGCTTAAGCAATAGATTATCATTTCAACTCTTGCTTGTCATTAACTTTTTGATTACTTTAAAGTAACAAATAAATAAAAAATACCTATTTATTGAAAAAAAAAAGAAAAAAAAGGATAATAAATTTATTGATCAAACGTAATATTAAAATCGTTCGTTTTTTCTATTTTTAATTTAATTTGTTTTCATTTTATTTATTTCTTTATTCATCATTTATAAGATATGAGTCAAAAGAGATTACAAGAGATAAGCAATCAAATATCAAAGATAGCAATATCAAATAATCATTCTATTATAACAAAAGAGGTATTAAGATCAAATGATAAAGATGCAATACATAAAGCATTAGATAAATTAAATAATTGGATAAATAATCCAAGTATGTTTAATAATACATGATCAATATAGAAACTTTTATTAACTTTTTCTTAAATATCAATTTATAGATAGTGATATTAAACAATTAGAACAAACCGGTATTTTCATTGCAATGTTGGAATTGTTAAACAATGAAGATATAGAAATTGTTAGACACATCGTTTTAATATTTAAATTATTAACTTTAAAAGGTTATTTTATTTAAACAAGTCAAAATTTTGAAAAAAAATATATCATAGTAGTAGTATTTTGATGTTAATTTTTTTGTTTTAATCAATATATAGATACTATTTTAAATGAAATATTAAGATCTTTGGATGCTGTACATAAATTAGAGTTGCTATTGGAGAGTTCGTATGATCCTATGGTATTGGAAGACACTGCTACCGCTATCGAATGTCTAAGGCGTTGTACACCCTATAGCATAAGAAGAGTCGGTCTCGGTCAGTACAATGAGAATAATGGACAGTTTCAATGGACACTCGATCTACAACAACTTCACTACAAAGATGTCGGTGTGGCTTGGCGTGTCTGGGATGCAGGTATTGGATTCACTCGTTGGATTCTAGAGAATCCACAGATTTTCGAAGGCAAAGAAGTACTAGAGTTGGGTGCCGGTCTTGGAATTGCAGGTTTGGCAGCTGGTTTATTGTGTCAGTCGGTACTGATGACCGATTACACACCGAAAATAGTATCGACACTTCGTGAGAATGTAAAGATGAATTCCGTGCGTTCCAAGTTGATTCGCGATGCATGCAAGGTTGCACCACTCGATTGGACCAAAGACAAAGTACCGAAGCCGTTCCACTATCAAGTGATCATTGGAACAGAGGTGGTGTACGATGTCAATCTGGTGGAGCATCTGGCCAATGTTATTCATCAGAGTTTGACACCGGACGGTGTATTCTATGGTACTGCTGCAACCATTCGTAGAGGTATACCAGAGTTTATCAAGTGTATGGAGGATAAGTTTGAATTTGAAGTAAAGGTAACCGATTTTCCAAAGAGATTTGTACCAGATACCAATTTCGATACCTATTTCTTTGAGTGTAGAAAGAGAAAGAATCAAATACCACTTGCATCATCATCGTCGTCATCAGATGATTCAAATCAATATTTAGATCAATCAAGTGCTCAACAATAAAAATTATAATAAAGATTTAAATAAAACTTAACAATGATATGGAAACAAAAATTATTTTTTCAAGACATTATTAGAACTTTGATATGAAAATAAAAAGATCAACATTGTTCATAAAATTCTGTTTCCAATAATGAGTTGAAGGGATGTCCAAAATAATCACTAAAGCTCATATGTCCAGGGTTGACAACCGTAGACAACACTAATAGTTCCAGCACATATAATAGTGGCTTTATAGCTCAGCTGGCAGAGCGCAGGTCTTGTAAACCTGAGGCCCCGAGTTCGATTCTCGGTGGAGCCATCTATTCTTGCTTTATGCCCATTAAGCGCGCATTATAAACAAAATTTTCTCTCATTATTATCATTATTGTTAATATGCTTTGTGTTATCTTTTGTCTTTAACAAATGTGATTTGATATCATCGATATGTTCACAGGTATGCTTCGGATGTGATTTTGGATGATCATTGGAACACCTGTAACAAAACAACAAATTGCATTGAAAACAAATATATTCAACATAACAAATAATTCAAGTGTTTTATTATGTTTTGAACTCTCTAGCTCTATCTGTTGTTTCTATATTTTAATAATAATATTAATAAATAAATAAATTGTGTGTGAGTAATATATAAACGAGCGGAAGAAATCATAAAAAAGAATAAATTTGTTTTTAATTTTGATTAAATCTGTTGGATTAAAAAGTCCCAAAAACAAATAGATAATATATAAATTTTGTTTGTAATTACTGTTGGATTAACAAATAATTTATTAACTTTGTTTAGAGGTGATAGCAACAAAGGATTTGTTTACTTTTTTCTTGCTTTCAACAATAGCTATCTTGAAATTATCAGTCGGTTGAATATCAGATTGCATTGCATGTATATGTGATGATATTTTTATGATTCTTATTATTTTGTTGTTGTTTGTATCGATCATTAGTTTGTTGATTGCTTCAAACTGTTCATTCGAGTTGTATTTTTGAAGATAGAATGATGCAGCGTCAATATAGGTAATCGTTTGATTTACTTTGAGCATTTCACCCATTTCAATAAGGAATTGCTTGTCCAAATCGAAAAGTTTGAGATGTTTGATTGATCGATTGGAATGTGACAATGTCATTCGAAAGAATGAATCATTCAACATTAAACAAGATATTGATAGATCTCTAAGTGTATTGTTAGAGGAGAGTGCTTCAGATAATCGATTGGAAACTGTGGTGGCAAGATCAGAGCTGGCTAACATTGTAGAGATTTGACAACAATTCTTTATCGATAGTCTTTTCAATGTTTTATTGGTTTGTAGTGCATTGCAAAAGTCAATCCAATGATCTGCCCTATTCGCACTGATGATTGAATGTGTATTGAGTTGGTTCCAAACTTGACAATATTTACAACGGCAACTAGAGTGTTCGCCACTGTAAAAGTGTTCGTACTTTACTGCCACCAAATTGATGTTGATAACAGCTTTCAGAGATACGAGAGTGTTGTTGTTTTCTACGAAACTCTTGAGATCTTGTAGATCAATAATATCTACCTCGCAGACATTGATATGTTGAAGTGTTGGAATACTAAGGAATTTGCTCATATCAATGCTATTTCCCATCGAACTGAATCTATTTGCCAGAAAATAGAGTGAGTCAGGTTGCCAGAGCGATGCATATTCCATTTCGTATTGGTAAACATTAAAGTGTATAAAATCAATCTTTGATCTTATCGCTGGAATATCGTATACCTCAGATTCGTCTGGAGAGGACAGAGTGAGAGCAATTTGTATTTTAAATTGATCGGGAAAGTGTTTGATGATCTCCATTACCACAGCTATACTGTCAACGTACAAACACAACAATTGTAAAGATGGAAATTGAGATATGAGCTTGATGGTACGATCTAAATCTGAAGAATTTCGTTGTACTAAACTTAGAGTTGTGATATTGCTGCATTGTATCAATGAATATTGATTTCGGAGAGGCGTAAGGACACCTGAAATAGGTCCCAATATAGGGCTATAATTGAATCGATTTAAACTGTTGCTGATATAACTGTACCAGTTTCTGCAAACCAATGAATAATCAATGATTAAATTATTTAGATATTTGTGTTTTTCGTATAATCGAAAAGATTTTCTATAACTACTGAAGATCTCACTTAGATATTCAGAAAAAGACAATACAGTTTGAATGTTTTCATCTAATAAATAATTAACTATCTTATTTTGTATTGGTTTTGATTGAATTATATAGTTGTTCATTTTTAAACATATATTTAATGTATTTTTAAGATAATAAAAAATAAAAATTGTTTAAGTAAAAATGAGGTCAAAGGTTTTGATTTGACATTCATTTTTTGAACTAGCATTCAACAAAATTCTTTTTTATTTCCAAACCACAAAGAATTTTGTTTTTACTAATTTTGATCTTTTTTGTATTCTCGCATTATTTTTGCAAAAGGCACACAAAAGCTGTGCAAAATTTTTTCATTTTTTTTGATGGATAAAATGATATTACACAACCAATATCCGTTCGAATTTTATTGTTATTAATACATCTTTTATTTTTGTTGATCTTTCCACTATATGTTACCTTCTATCCTCAAAAATAAAACTAACCACTTAATTTTTGAATATTTTTTAGATCTTTATTTGATAGATATCTATTTTAGTTTTTGGTTATTGAAAGATAATTGAATGGTGACTATCGATAGCAAATCATTTAAGATAGATGGAATTATGATTTCAATGATACTCATTGAATGATTGGTTGATTTGTTAGATTCTAAAAGTTTTTAAAAGCTTTAAAGAATGAATTTTCGAAATCAATTGATCGAAAATCAGATTGTACACTTTTAATATACAAAGAGAATAGCAAAGAATATTTACGTTATAATCTTTATCCACATTGTATTAAATCATTAAGTATGTAAATGATTAAAAGTTATCATTTTTTTTTAGTTATTGTGATCAATATACAACAAACATACTTATTTACGATATTTAAAAGATGAATTCAAAAGTAGTGGCGGTGTTTTAGATTCAACAATCTCAAATGTTATCTTTGATTATCGTAGCGAGTTTGATAGTAACATTATCGATACACTAGTTCGATCGAATGTACATTCAATTCAAGCTCTTTATCAAAATGACAAAGTAGAGCATTTACGGTTGCCGTCCAATATTAAAACAATCAAAACGAATTCACGAATGAATCCATCGACTTATCCAGAGCAATTAGAATCACTCGAAATTCATCTCGATAGAGCCTCGTTCAGTGCATCGATTCAATCGAAGCCGGTGATATTCCAGAGAGTGTAACTCATTTGACGATCAACGGTCTGTCTGCCAATTTGCGAATCAGTAGAAGCGTGTTACCTTCAAACCTTAGATATCTAAAGTTATTCAAGAGAGTTCGTTTCGACAAAGATACACTGTCAACATTGGAACATCTGGAAACGTTGAATCTCGATGAGGTGCCAGAGGAAATAGATGTCACTCAAACAATATATCCAAACAGTTTGAAAAATGCAATGGAACCAATCAAACTGAAATCATAGCAACTATCTATAACTTTAATCCTTAAATTTATAATAATAAAGATGAATTAATAGATATTCTAATGTTATCATTAGATCATTTACCAAATTTTTATATAATGTAATACAAATATTAATAATTGATGCACATCTTGGTGGAAATCAGTATTAATGATCCAAGATATGATTTAGTGAGAGAAAGTTGTATTTTAAATTGATCGGGGAAGTGTTTGATGATTTCCTTTACCACAGCTACACTCCCTAAGAACAAACACAACAATTAAAGATGGAAATTGTGATATGAACTCGATAGTACGATTTATGCCTGTTAAAAGTAAACTTAGAGTTGTTATATTGTTGCATTGTATCAATGAATATTGATTTCGGAGAGGTTTAAGAGCATATTTTATTGATCCCAATGTTGGACTATAAAAGAATCGATTTAAACTATTGCTGATCAAGAGTGAACTTGAAGCATCATTAAGTGGGAAAAATCTTGTTGGAATTTTAGCTTGTGTCTATTAAGTCGAACAAAATTATACTATATTTAAAATAATAAATCGGTTGGTCTCTTTGATAGATAAGTTGCGATAGATGGAATGGCTTCAAAAGTTGATTTAAATTTGACCAATTCTGGGAAGTTGTCAACGACTTCTTTGAAATTCTTGGCATAGAGGTTCTCAAGAGTGTAATAGACATTGGCATCGGCAGCACTCAATTTAGAGCCAACAAAGAATTGTCCACCATTATCGATCAAAATCTTGACCCATGCAGTGAGGAACATTGGGAGTGTTTCATTCTTGAACTTTAGCTTCTTCTCTTCGGTGTCGCTCGACCAGATTCCCATTGCGATATCAATGGCTGCCTGAGAGAGAGAGAGTACCTTGGCTTTGTCTTCTAAGGTATCACCGGCCAAATTGTATTTGCTGGCAATGTAGTGTTCGATAGCCAATGATTGGGCAACTTCGAAATCACCATCAACAAAGAATGGAAGTTGTTTGTAGGTTGCTTTTCCTTTGATTTCACTATCAGCTGGCAATGGATATGGGTGTCTAACATCATTGAATTCAACACCAGCCAAACTAAATAAAAGTCTACTAGCTTCAGCTCTTCCACGTCCATTAAACTACAAATAATTGAAATACAATATTAGATATTTTTCTCGTATTTTTAAAATCGTATTTATATATTTACATAATGTAAAGTTGGTAATTGGTTGGTTGACATGTTTTATTAAGATTTAATAGTATTAAAATAAAAGATAATATTTAAATGATGTTTCATTTTGTTTAAGATCACAGTCTATTTATATTTTAACAAAGATAAGATAGAATTAGATTTTGATTTGTAAAATAATAAGTTATTTGTTAAATTTTCTTCTGAAGCTGATCAGATTTTTTAGAAATTTCATCAGATTGTAAAGTAGATATTTTTAAAAAAAATATTTGCAGATTTTGACGAAAAGGAATGACCTTTAATTTAGAAGCATGTTTCAGAACAAAATACAAAAGAGAGGATGTTAAAACTAGAATATTAATACCGATTCGATAATTGAATAAATTTTCATTCTGAATGCACGGTTATTCGAACTAAAAAGACTAACTTTTAATATTTCGAAACAAAATCTTTTGTGTTACCACCTTTAATAATATAAAAAAAGATAGTATTATTTTAATTTGTTTAAAGTATTTTCTTGAATAAAATACTCTGGTTAAGTAATTCTTGAGAAAAAAATAAAAATAAATGACAAGTACTACTTTTCTATAATATATAAACACTTGATAAAAAAATGTGTTTATTGAATGAATTGATTTCTTAATATTGAGGGAATATTGATTGAAATATCAAAAAATAGGTGGAGGAGTAAGATCTTAAAGCTTTTTGTAATTTTTTGGTGAAAAGAATCTCTTGATTCTTTGAATTCCTTTAGATACTCTAAAAAAATTATAATAATAAAAATTAATAAATATGAATTATTTAAAAGTTAAATTAAATTAAAATTACCTTTTCTTTATACTACTAAAGATAAAAACCAAGATATCACCAATCGACGATCTAGTAATGATTGTTTTCGTTTTCTTACCGCCGGCGGATGGCGATTCATCAATACCAATCGAGGTTTTAAGTGTATTGATTTCGGTATCTTTCTTTTCGATGATCGATTCGAGTTGGTTGATACGGTTCTTCATTCTCTGAGCTTGACACTCATTCTCCAAGTGATACTTGATGGTATCTTCACATTTGCCATAGTAGTAACAACCGTTATCTTTGTTTGGACAGAACCTGCTGCTACTATAGAATAAATTGGTACTGGACTCCCACATTTCATTCTTTTCTTCATTGTCATAAGCATCGTGATATTGTTGTTGTTGTTGCTTTTGTTGTTTAAATTGGTTGTTGTTGTTGTTATTGTTTGATTCCAAATTTGGAGTGATCGATTTCGATGTATTTCCAACAACTACATTACTGTTGATACTTGAAATACTGTTACAACTGGAACTGTTGATCATATCGGAACCGGAATTAATATCGAAACTATCGTTCTTTTTGATGACAGAGAACGATTGGTTGGTGAGAGAAGACGACGACGATGTTGACGACGATGTCGATTTGGTAAAAGGAGAACTCTCTGTCGAGGAGGAATCGAAAGAAGCAAACGCCGAGCTGGTACGCGGAGAATTGATTCTGTCAAACTCAGAGTCAGACGAACTCGTTGAGAATATCAAGTTGGCTGGATTGTAGCGGCACGATTCCTCGTGAGTCGGTTTACTACCGTAGCTTATGATACTTCCACAGCCATCGTGGCGGACAGTCAACATACCATCGACTTCCTCCACACCATATTTACAATAACATAATAAATGATCCAATTCATCTATATATATTTTGAAAAAAAAACATTAATATAAGAATAACAATAACAATAAAAATTATTTATTATTTACTTACTTTTTAATTGGAAATTGATATCCAATGTATTTATTACCATATGATCGATTGGACATTGAACCAATGTTTCTATGCATGTCGGACAGAAGAGATGACCACATTCAATGTTTACAATGGGACAACTCATCAGACCACCATGATTACAACACAGGAATTTGTCATCTGGTGGTATTAAAAATAATGTAGAATCAATTGGGTCAGCCATATATATTTAATATTAATTTATATTATAATGATTTTAAAAAAAGAATGAAAATAATTATTTATTAATTAAAAAAAAAGTCGGTAAAATAACAAATAAATAAATAGAGAGAGAACAAATAATATTTGTACAAAAACAAAGAAGTCTAAAAATTATAAACTAAATTAAATTTAATGGATTGGTGATTGATAGGTGAACTTAACATTGTTGTTTAAGATAAGTTTTATTCTTAAAAAGAAAAATAAAATAATAACAATTTAAATTAACACCACTTTTAAAATGAGTGAGTCCATCTTTATCACATGATTGATCTATTCAAAGTATAACATTATAAATTAATTTGTACCAATATTGTTTATTGTTATTATAATTTTAAAATAAAGAGAGACCTCTTTTCTTTTTTAATTAAACATTTTTTGCCACTTTTAACAAAATTGATGATGTGCTCAAACACACATTACAACACAACACAACACACAAATGATTAAGTGTATCACAATGATTGATTACTTACTATTTACTCATATTTGATCGTGTGTTGTTTTTTTCCACAACCACTTCTCAACAAACACACACACAATCCATAACTAAAGTATTTTTAGATAAAATGAGATAATTTAACACGTATATATGTATTCTAAAATTTGAGAGAGTATTGACATTGGTGAGGTGTTGTTGTTTTTTTTCTTTTTTTTTTTTTTTTAAAAATTATTTGAACATCATTATCTGCTCAAAGTTAGAATTTGTGTGTAATACGTGTATGAATTCTTTAGTTGTTTATTATTTTTTCTACTTATAAGTATACATGTGAAACTTTATATTTATTTAAAAAATAAATAAATTTGAATTATTTTATTTTGAATGGGTGTTTGAATTTTCTTTGTTTTTTGCTAAATTCATTTGCAGAATTAATTATTAATTATATTTATTTATTTAATATTTAGTTAGATCTTATCGTATCATACGATATACATAATTAAATTAAATTAAATTAAATTAAAAGTAAAGAAATATGAGTGGATCTACAAATAGCTATAGTTTAGATAATCTCGAGTTTAAGACGAATCAATCGTTTCTTAGTAGTACGGCGGGATCGATTGGTTCTGAGACGACACAGTATTGGAATGATATAAGTGAGTCTGGTGGTAGTATGTTTTCAAAGATCTCTGGAAAGATCACCAGTGTCATTCCAGGAATTAACAATGCCAACAAACCAAATCAACAACCGACCTTCTACGAAGAAGTACAACAACAAACATCGTTTTCATATATTCAAAGATTGACTCTATTTGCAATTACATTATTAATTGGAATTGCATTAATTGTTATGGTATTTATTATTATTGCTATTCAATTAAATTTGAATTGAATCGCGAATCGAATAGAATCACTAACTAATCTTTATTATTCAAGTCAACATTCTTTGTATTTTCACCGAGAACATTTGCAAAGTTATATACACTCGGTAGTCTGAGTGTAATTGTAGGATTAATAGTACTTGTAGGTTTGAAGAAACAGTTTGAAAATATAACATCGTCGAAAGAACGTTTGTATTCTTCGTTGATCTATTTAGTATCGATCGTTGGAACATTATATTGTGCATTAAGTGTATGTACATTACATTGTTGTTTAAACAACAAACAATCTTACTTACCTTTTACATTTTAATTATATATTATTAGTTACAATCAACATTTTTATCAATGTTTATGGTTGTTTTACAATTCCTATCAGTTGTATGGTACTCTCTTTCTTATATTCCATTTGGACAAGCGATTTTACAAAAGATTGTATCTGGTTTTCTCGGATTCTTTGTTGGAACCAACTCATAGTGGTCATAGGTCGTTTCAATTATATATTAAAACTCATTCAAATTATTTATGTATATTAATCTAGATTTAAATTAGTTAACTTTACATGTGATTTTATTTATTTATATTTCCGTTATATATATAATATATTATTTATGATATTACAATTGTTTTATCTCTTTTTAGTTGATGATGATGATGTTGTTGTACTTGATGATGTTGATGAATCATTGTTATTATTCATATTAACAACTTCAAAGAATATATTTATACATGATTTGTTTGTTGATGACTTGATTTTCTCGTTTAGGTTGGGCCACTGATAGACGAACCAATCGGCAAGATGCTGTAAGATCTTTCCAGACAACGATAGGTCATTCACTCTCGCTATACTCTCATAATAGATGATCTTTGATTTCTTCAGACCAATCAATCGGAACAACAACGCCGATGCTACAATAGGTACACATGTACCAGGTCCATTACATAGAATAACATCTGGTTTCTCTTTGAAAACCAAAATTAAACAATATAATAATGATATAAACTACATATTATAAATGGTAAATATAGAATTAGTAAGAGTCATGACTTTGTAAAAAAAAAAAAAAAAAGTTGCTTACAGTTGTCCAAATACTATGAATATAACTTTGTCCAACATTTCTACTTCTTGGAATGGTTTTGACTGTACGTTGCTCTGGTAGTTTGTCATTCAGTGTTATTTTGTCGAGTGAACGCTTGTCAGAGTCTGCCAATACGTATGTGATGTGATTGAAACGATCTCTGTCCAGCTTCTTTAGGAGGTAAAACATCTCTGCTGTATGTCCACCAGATCCCAGAACAACCATAGTCTTTAGACCGTTACTATTGCTGTTACTGTTACTGCTGTTGCTGCTTAATGATTCAGTATTCTCTTTGAGACCCTGTGAGAATCTGTTGAGTGATCGATCAATAGTTTTATCATTCATCTGCTGACGTGTTGCCAAGTATGACTTTAGATCATCTTTGATCACCGATGCCAAATTCGATGGCTCGCAAGGCAGTAAGTAGTTATAGGGTGATCCAGACAATCTATCTGCCAACTCCACCTGATGATTATGCATCAATCTACTATTGGTGACACAAACAATTGGTTTGTGAATTTCCAATGATTCTAAAATCGATCCGGATCCTTCATTTATTCATTTGAACGATTAATATAAGTTTATAATAACGGAATCATGAATTATAGTATAGTTAACTTACCACCATGAGATATAATCAAAGTACTATTATTCATATCATCGAATAATGATGGTTTAAATCTATAGTAATACGATTGGAATCCAGTTGGTAGTGATGATGATGATGATGTTGTTGGTTGTTGTTGTTGTTGTTGTTGATCTTCTAAATTTACAGAATTAACAGGAATATATCCACTGTTTCCAATTTGCATTAGGATTGCATTATATCCAAAACTCTTTAGCAACTGATGAAACTCTTTTTTGTCAACCTCCTGTATTAGCTCTTCGAATCTGGTTGTTCCAACCGTTACAAATACATATTTCTTTTCATTTAAAAATGAATTGCTGTTATTGCTCATCATGATGAATAAATAAAATAGTAAACTAAACTTGATTAAAAACAAAAGACATTAATGATTCACCACCAAAATAGTCAACTTTAAAAAAACCAATCATCTGATGACTTTTTTCATAAAAAATCAAAAATTAAAAATTAAATAATTAATTTTAAAAAAAAAATTTTAAAATAATTTGACACGTGTTGTTCACTTTTTTTTTCAATGAAAAAAAGCTAGATAAGAAGTTCTTCCCACCCACAGTATTGCATTAAATTTATAAAAAATATATAGATAGATATAAAAATATGAATATTAAATACGTTTTTTTAATTGTTGTTGCATTGGTTTGTTTATCAAGCTTTGTAGAGTCTGCCGCTAGTGGAAAGAAGAATGGTAAACTTCAAATCGGAGTAAAGGTAAAAGATATAATATATAAATAAATACACTCGCTCGGTTTTTATAATTTCTTCTAATAAAAGTTAATATAATAATAGCATCGTCCAGCTGAATGTACAAGAAAAACAACTAAAGGAGATGTTTTGAAGATTCATTACACTGGTTCATTACTCGATAACGGTGAGAAGTTTGATAGCAGCGTTGACCGTGGTACTCCATTCGAATTCACTTTGGGTGAAGGTCAAGTAAGTTTATTTTATTTATTTATTATTATTTATATCATTCAAGTAACTCATACAATATTAATGTTAAATTATTTAATATAAACTACAATAATTATAAAAATAACCAATAGGTTATCAAGGGATGGGATAATGGTTTATTGAACATGTGTATTGGTGAAAAGAGAAAGCTCACTATTCCACCATCATTAGGTTATGGTGCTCAAGGTGCTGGTGCAAAGGTATGTTGTTATTATTAGTTTACAAAATAATGTTAACATCATAAATCAAGTTTAAAAAAAAAGTTAACATTTCTTTTATTTTTAATTTTAACCCTAGATCCCAGGAAATTCTTATCTCGTTTTTGATACTGAACTCATTGATATCGTATCAAATATTTATGATGACGAACAATAAACTTTTTACACAGATGCAACAATAGAGTAATCGCCTGTCTCTTCTTCTTTATCTTCAAAAAACAATCATATGAATTGTTTGTTTTTTTTTTGAGATATTTAATTTTAAAATTTGGGTCTCCAAACAAAATAATCAAGATATTAATTTTGACAATAGATTTAGGGTGGTCCAATCCCTGTTTTACTCTTCTAACACTGGTGATAGATTAACTTTGGTATTAATACAACTTCACACATTTTTGGTTTTCTTTTCTTTTCTTTTCTTATTTGTTGATTTTAGAATTTTTATTAGTTTTATGTATAAGTTGTATTGTTTTTTTATTTTTTATATCTTTCATTGTATTATCAGGTGCTAATGATTTATATCCACAAGAACGTAAGTTGTAAAATAGGGTTTTCGCTTAGTTGAAATAAAGTATTAATCAAAAATCTATAAAAAGTGAGTTCATTAAGATGGTTAATTATACAGGTATTTATTATTTATTATTTATTATTTATTTAAAAATACCAATTTGGCTAACAAAAATAAAAATATAGTATAAATTGAATTGGAATATGACTGCAACTGCTTGCAGTGATATTAGCAAAGGTGGTTCAGGAATGTTGACCTGTAGAGACGACCAAAATGGATATCAAACGATTATTAATTTGTAAGTTCATATAAAAGTATTACTTTGAAAGATAGTGTTTTTTTGTATTAAATTAACATTTTCTCAGAATAGTAATTACTTCTACCACAGTAGATCACGGAGAGCCACCTGTTATAGATAAATTGATATTACCTAATTTAGAAACACTTCTATTCAGTGGTATTCAAATTACAAATTCAACATATTCATTGCTTGGTTTGCTTGATAACAATGAAAATGTCAATTTATATACAATGACTTTTCATAATGCATATATCATATCACCGCCTACATTCCCATCAAATATTAAATTGATAACATTGTAGGTAGAATAAATTTAGTTTCAAAAAGAACCAATTTCTAATATATATTATAAAATAGAAATTTATTTAATGTTACTCTAAACTCTGATTTGAATTTGAACCAATTATTTGTAGGGGTAAACACAACACTAAATTTAGAAGAAATAGTATTCTCCTCCATTTATACATTGCTATCAGATTCATCTGCGATGACAACAAAAAGTAGATTAAGCACTATGTAAGTTAATATCTAAAATTAATACCGATTTTATTTCTAGATTAATAGTTGCACCCTTTTTAGAAATATCAGGGAAATATCAAGTTTTACAAGTGGAATGCTGAATTTTACAAACGCTTATTTTAGCTTAATCAACATGATGTAGGCTATTTACTTTATATTAGTTGTATAAATCACATTATTAATATTATTTTTTTCTAACCTTTCGTAGAACTATAAAAAAGATTCCAAAACAAGTATTTCTATTTGAATCCTCGACTTTAAGAAATATGTAAGTATTATTTTTAAAATTAAATAAGAACGTGTAATTAATAATTTATACAACAGAGATATTGATAATGCAATGATAGTTCTTGGTGACCTACCGGTTCTTTTTAATATGTAAATCATTAAATTCTATTTCTTGTTTTTTTTTATTTATTTATCAATTCAATTTATATTTTAGCCTTGCAACCAATTGTGAATTCTCAACTTCAAATTTTTCAGTATTCCCTTCTCTTAGATCAATGTAGGTATAAATTAAACATGTAATTATGACTGACAACATTATTAACAAAAATTAAAAATCAGAAATTTTGACAATGTTTCCACATCAATAGAAAAAGCTTCAGGTTTGATCTATGTGTATGTTATATTTTTAAAAGTCAATCGATCAAACACCTTTTTAACTTGATTACTGTAGAGAAATTAAAAATTCACCAGTTCCAAATGTACCTACCGAATCCTGGTTTTCAAATGGATTCTATTTGTATGTAGTTTAAATTAGACTAATTATTATTCAATATATCTAATTTGAAATATTCACTTTAAAAACATTTTATTATTTTCCAGAATGTTAAATAATACAAATACTGCAGGTCAATTACGAGACTATAAATCATTTAATAGTGCTACAATCAAATTATATGGATTACCGAATATTATAACAGGGCTTTATGATTCATTTTGTAGATTCACTTTGGATATACAATCGACATTATTTGATGGTAATGTTTCAGATTGTTTTTATTGTTATTGGTCTGAAATACAATCAACACTTCCATCAAATACTCCAATTCCTCCCATTGATTTTAAATGCAGTATGTATTAATATCTTTTAATTATTACTTTTAAATTTTATTAATTTATTTATAAATATTAAGATGTAACATTGGATAGTTATAAATATGTCATTTCAACAATAGGAGCTAAAGTATTTTTTATCTATTTTCATTAAGTGATTATTTCTAATTTTTAAACAAACTTTAGAGACATTAAAATTAAATGGAACTAACTTGGGATGGGGAAAAAATAAGTCACCAGTAAGTTTGTTGAGTTCTGTTTATAATAAGCAGTTTAAGTAAATATCTTTTGTTTTTGTGTATATGATCAACAATATTTAATAATTATTATTTTTTATAGATATCCTACAAGCAATGAATATGGAACCACAAATTTAACATTTTCGACAATTCAAAACTATACTTTACAAATATATTGGGGATTAGAATGTATGTTTATATTTTAATTGTTATTGTTTATTTTTTTATTAATTTATTAACATTACTTTAGTAAGTGTAAATTTAATTCAATCAGAGAATATAGAAGGAAACAATGTTTTAATAAAAGCATTTGGAAAATTTAATTTACAAGCACCACTTGCAGTCACTGCCACCAGTTTTGGAAATTCTAATTGTCAAATCACATATAACACAACAACACAATTGAATTGTATAATACAAAATCAAAACACATCAAATCCAATTTTAATTAATTTAGATGACACTATTTCAAATATTAATATTTATAGTTCTCCAAGTATGTATAATATCATTAATTAACTTGTTTATCGTTTAATCTAATATAGCTCCAAATTAGGTTTTCTTATCAACTATTACACTATAAAAAATCCTAATGTTGAAATTATTGCCAACTTTGGACCTAATCCATACAATGTATCTGCAATCATATCAAATTTCCAAAGTCAAACATCATTTTTAAATGATTCTGTACTTTTATGTATATTACCGGCAGGTTTGGTGGAAAATACAGTTTATAAAATGGTTGTTTATGCCAATGGATATCATCAAACAGTCACTCTTTTTATTCCACCAAAAGAAGATTGTGGTTCACAATCAAAATGTAATGAGCATGGAAGTTGTACCGATGGAAAGTGTAGATGTAACAATGGATATGGTTGATATTATTGTGAATCACATTGAATCCAGGTGTGATTATTCTTCCAAACAACACAGATCCATCACCAACAATCATCGTTAAAGATGGAATGAATTTCACATTCAATATCATTGCAATTCAAGAGATCGATGAATTAAGTTCAGTTGTTAGAGAATTGAAAACAGATAAATGGTCATATTCAACAACAGGAAATGAAACATTCAGCATCACAACATACAGTTTACAATCAACAACATCAGGAATAGATCAAATCAATGCAACAATCGAATATTCAAAGAATAGTAGATTGATTGAATTTGCAGGACAATCAACGTTATATCCAGAGAATAGTTTGAAATTGATGATCACAATCAATAATTGGTCATTCAAAGACAGATTAAATCAATTGAGGATATTAATGGAATCAATATCATCAATCAATAATAATATTGAAGATTGTTCTGAATTGGATATTACAAAGAACAATGGAACAGAGTTGAATTACTTTCGAATGACAATCAATGATGTATCGTTTTATGGTAGATTCCTTCCTTATGCACTGATGGTAGAGCTGTCTTCATTCGAAATCAAGTTGTCAATCAAACCAAAGATAGTATATTGATTGGTATGACACTTCCTTATTGTGATAGTTGTATAATAGATCCCGATTTTTCAGTGCTGATCAACACTGATGTTCAAAGTGATTGTAAAGAAAAATCAAAATTTTCAACTTGGAAGATTGCAACCATTGTTGTTGTTCTCTCTGTTGTTTTACTTGCATCGTCTGTTGGTGTAATCTTTTTTGTAAAAAAGAAATTAAAGTATTCAAAAGAAAAGAAAATAATGCAAAACAAATTAAATAAACTGTCATAATTAAATTTCTTGTTTAGTTTACCTTTTTTTTTTTTTTTTGAAGTTTTTTTATTCTTTTCAAGGTTGTTCATCTTTATTGTATTTCGGCAAATCAATTTTTGGCTGAAAAAAAGGATAATAAATAAAAAGTAGTGATTGATATTTATAATTTTATATGATATTTTAAATAATCTAATAAAATCTTTTATGTTATAGGAATTAAAAAAATCAGATTTTTTTTTTTTACAAAAATCTTAGATCTTTTGTTATTTATTCTTCCTATACAATTTAATACAGATTCGATCAAATCGAATTAATATTCTATAATAAATAATAAATCATAATAGATAAAACATAACATAATAGATAAGATGTTCTCTCTATTTTTTATAATAATAATAATATTACTTAATAGTGTACAATTAGCATTAACACAAAATGTTTTAAATGAAAATGAATGTATGATGATCAGATATTTTTTTTAATTTCTATTTTTTTCTATTTTAATTAATTTTAATTAAAAATTTTTTTTTTAACAGTGATTTCAATGCGTTTCTTAGCTCAGCAAGTAAATTTACATTATTTTTATAGTTTTAATTATTAATTTAGATCATTTTTAACACTATGAATTCACACACATATGTAGTATCAATTAAGTGGTTGGGATTTAGCAGCTACCAATTGTGAAGAAATTCGTAATGCTATACTAGGCCTAGTGTTATGTGCAGAGAAAGATGGTATTCAAACAATAACTGAATTGTAAATATGATATACTTTAAAGTCTAAGAACAAAGATAGTTAAGATTCTAATATAAAGCACAGATATCTCGTAAAATCACCAATTCAGGACCTAGGAGAGCCTTCATACTTAGAAAAACTATATTTCCCCAGTATGGTTTATTTTTCTATTGAGACCTCCTACAATCAAAAGAACTCATCTTATTCATTACTGCAACTACTCGATAACGTTGATAACGTAAACTTAACATTTATCCAAATTTCAACATTAAATTTGGATGTGCCATCTGGTTTCCCAAAATATATAAAGATTAATAATCTGTAAGTAGATCATATGATTACAATTGTAATGGTCCAAAATATTAACTCGAGTTTTAATACAAATTAGAAATTTGATAAATATTAATATGCTTCATGATATCTCGTTGAATGCATTATTGAATAGTTCAGTTGTAAACATGTTATTAAATAACCTTACATCCACATCTACTTTTAAGGTGACATTTGATACAACTGCAACTGTAAATCAAAATATTCAAAAATTGTAAGAGATATGTTAATGCAACATTTATATATAATTTATTAACTATTTTTATTTTAAGAGAAATATCCAATGTTCCATCTTTTGTTGGTCCATTAAATATTACAGATACATATTTTCCAAAACTCAGTGATATGTAAGTATTTAATAAGTTTAAATTCAAAATGAACTATTATTATTTATTAATAAATTATTTATTTTAGAAATTTAGATTTTATTACATATCAAAATATAGAATTCCACAGTGGATCTGTTCAAACATTGTAAAATCATTTTATAACTTTTTTTTATTAATTTATTTTTTAATTAATCATTTATTTAAAATATGAAAATAGGTTTCTAACCAATGCGTTCATAGACTTTGGACAACTTTCAAACTTATCATTTTTGTATGTACCTACATTATATCAATTGCAATATGTATTGTTCTTAACATAAAAATCAATTATAGAAATGTAAAAAATTGTGGTTTTAAGAGTGGTGATCTAAGTTCTTACCCAATAAAGATGTTGTATGTATTTTAAAAATTCTAAACAATCACAGATTATTAATTTCTCATAAAAATAGATCAATTACCAATAATAAAACACCATTATTAAAGACTAAAGATGTTGATACTCTGTATGTACTTTTGTTGTTTTTAAAAATAATAGTTTAAAATCTAGTGCGACTAATTAAAACTTTAATTTAATAGTACTGTAGTAAATTCATCTGTTCCTATATTACCAGATCGATCATGGGTTAGCGAAAGAGCTTATTTGTAAGTTGTAACAATTTTTTAATTCACATCTAGCATTTATTAATAATAGTATACTTTTAAACAAATAGTTCACTTCGAGATACAAATACAACAGGTCATTTGGACAATCCGATAGCAAAAAACTATTTATGGATAACCGGTACTCAAAATGTAACTACTACAATTAATGATTCATTTTGCCAAGTAAGTGATTTGAATATTTTCAATGCACAATTGTTGGATAGCCATATTCCAGAATGTTTCTATTGCTTTTGGTATCACGCTTTTTCAATGGTACCCTCCAACAGCCCCCCACCTCCTCCAAATTTTAATTGTAGTAAGTTTATTTTTTTATTCATTTCGTACAATTAATTTTAATTTTAATTCTAACCATTATTAAATATAGATATTTCACTAGAGAAGAATGGTTTTTATGTAAATACAACTGGTAAGCACAAATATTACTACATAAAAAAATTGCAAAATAATTAATTTTTTTTCTCTAAATTAGAAAATATGTACATAAAAGGAAAAAACTTGGGATGGGGAAGAGATTCCAATGTTTCTGTGGTTATTAGTAATGAATTATTCTTGTAAATAGTCAAAATCTAACCTTAAACTTTATTTGATTGGTTTCCTAATCTATTGTCATTTTCATTTTTAGAAAAAGATTTTTACCTTCACTTTCTGGAAAGACAACCATTTCTTTCTCTACTGTTAAACCCTATGATTTTGATATATTTTGGGGACCTCAATTACAAGTAAATTATATTCATGAAGAAACATATGATTCCAATTCTAAACTGTTGTTATTATATGGTGTTTTCAACATGTATGCCCCTATTAGTGTAACAATACAAGATACACCCTGTCAGATTACCTATAACACAACCTCTCAATTGAATTGTGTCATTCCAATTAATACTTTATCTGGACGCTCATTAGTGAATACATATGATACAGTTTCAATTGTCGGTTTATATATTTCACAACGTAAGTAAAGATTAATCTTTTATCAAATGTTTATTGTTTAACTAACTTTTAAAATTAGCATTAATTATAAGTAATATTTTATTCAATGATAGAATATTTATAAATGCAAACTTTGGACCGAATCCATATAATGTATCTGTTTATATTTCAGATTTTAATTGCACAATTTCATCAATAAACTCCAATCAACTTAGTTGTACACCAACTCAGAGTATTACTAGTTCATCATATATGGTATTACTATATGCCAATGGATTTAGTTCATCGGCAGAGCTATTGATAAATAAAACAGATTGTGGAAGTGATAACCAGTGTAATGGAAATGGAAGTTGTACAAATGGTAAATGTAGATGTAATGATGGATATGGTGGATACTTTTGCCAATCGCCATTAAGCCCAGGTGTGATCATTCTTCCAAACAATACAATACCATCACCAACAGTCATCGTTAAAGATGGAATGAATTTCACATTCAATATCATTGCAATTCAAGAGATAGATGAATTAAGTTCAGTTGTAAGAGAATTGAAAACAGATAAATGGTCATATTCAACAACAGGAAATGAAACATTCAGTATCACAACATACAGTTTACAAACTTCGACAGGAGGAATAGATCAAATCAATGCAACAATCGAATATTCAAAGAATAGTAGATTGATTGAATTTGCAGGACAATCAACATTATATCCAGAGAATAGTTTGAAATTGATGATCACAATCAATAATTGGTCATTCAAAGACAGGTTAAATCAATTGAGGATATTAATGGAATCAAAAGCAACCATTGACTTAGAATGCTCAGAACTAGGTATTAAAGCAGACAATGAATCAAATGTCAATTTTATTCAAATGACAAACGGTGATCGATCATTCTATGGTCGATTCCTTCCTTATGCGTTGTCAGATAACCGACCAGTACTCGTTCAAAATCAAGTTGTCAATCAAACCAAAGATAGTATATTGATTGGAATGACACTTCCTTATTGCGATAGCTGTATAATAGATCCCGATTTCTCGGTACTTATCAACACTGACGTTCAGGATAGCTGTAAAGATAATAAGTTTGCCACTTGGAAGATCGTAACCATTGTTGTAGTAGTGTCTGTTGTATCAATAGCTGTTGCAGCAAGCGCTTTTATTATCATCAGAAAGAAACTGATCTACAAAAAAGAAAACAATAAGCTAGCAAATAAACTTAATAAATTCTAAACTTATAGAAAGAATTCAACATCGTGTTTAAAAGGATGAATAAGTATCAGTGTTGTTTTGTTTTTGTATCGCTATTTTCATTGTGTTTGATGACAAAAAAGAAACAACAGTAGGTTGTTTTTAAAAGATAGATGAAGATTTGTTTACTTTAAAGATCTCGATCATTGTTTCTGAGGTATAGTAAACTGGTCCATGGTTCATGGGATTTAGGTCATTAAAGAAATTTAAATATCTTTGTTAAGTGCTTATAGTATTATCTAAATTTACAAAGTTAAAAGATACATTTAAATAGATAAATCTTTGACAATGGTTTGTATCACTAAGCATCGTCATTTCCCCGACCTGTAGGTCGAAAATAAATGAATTATTTGAATTTTTTTGATGAGAACCCAAATTATATCCTACAGATTTTTAAAAAATCTATTCTTTGGCAAAAAAAAAAATCTAGATCGATCATGTTTTTTTAATTTTTTGTTTTTATAAAAACACATTTATCTGTATGGAGGGATCAAAATAATCTATATTGTTGGGACCCAAAAAGTTAGTGGTTTGTATGTTCAAATCAGAAAATTAATAGGGAACAAAAGTTTAAAACCTTTAAACAAATTAATTTTTTTTATCATACAAACACTTCATTTTGATTGTATAAGTTATCTATTAGATAATCAAAATGAAAACCCTATCTATTTTATTATTTCTATTTATATTTAATAATGTTTTTGCACAATTAGAATTAGATCCGAAAGAGTGTAGGTTTTAAAATTATTTGCACATGATGTCACTTTTTAGATTTTAAAAAATTAATTTGTTTTTTTTTTAAATAGTGAATTCTTTGAGATTTCTATTAGCTCAAGTTAGTATTTTATATGAATAATATATATATTTTTTTAACAATCATTTGATTATATAGTATCAAATAGGTTATTGGAATATAAGTGCTACTACTTGCACTGGAATACAAAAAACATTAGGATTATTATCATGTGAAGATAAAAATGGATATCAAACTATAACTGAAATGTATTTATTTTTCCACTTAAAAAATAACCAATTTCATTTTATTTTTTACTAATTTTAAATATATTTGTAAAGACAATTTCCTATTAGATCACAAATTGATAATGGAGAACCAATATATATAGATAAACTATATTTTCCTTCATTAACTTCAATTATTTTAGGAGCTTTGGGAACTTCAAAGAACTCCTCATACTCAATTATAAATTTACTTGATATCCCTGACAATAAAAATTTAATATCAATGCAAATCTCAGGTATAACCATGGATATACCTCAAGATTTCCCAAAATATTTAAATTTGACTAATATGTAAGTACTTTTGACTAATAATATTATGCAAACATTATTTTAACTTAGCAATTTTAAACTTTCTACTATTTTAACATTTATCATATAGGGTTCTAACAAGCAATACTATAACTTCAGATCTTTCTTTAAATTCATTATTGGAAACCTCCTTGGTATATTTATCAATTAGAAATTTATCTTTTACAAGTTCTTTCAAGTTTACCTTTAATTCTTCAGCAACTATAAATGAAAATTTACAAACATTGTAATTACTAAAAATAATTAAAATCATTTTAACATACTAACTATTATAAAATCAGAATTATTGAAAATGTAAGATCCTTAGAAACTTATGGTTTATTTAATATTTCCGACAAAAACTTTAAAAAATTAATTTCAATGTAAGTAAACATCTTTCTTTTCAAAAAAATCGATTTTTTTTAACAATTTTTTTATAGGACTTTAACATTTTTGTTATATGAAAATTTAGAATTAAATCATAGTTTAATTAGTACAATGTATTTAAAAAAACTTATAAATAATTATTTATTTTTTTATTTCTAATTTATTTTATATTATAATACAAGGTTTGTTACAAATGCTTTTATTACTCTGGGATTATTATCTGGGATGAGATCAGTGTAAGTTTTTTATTATTTTTAATTTAAAAAATAAATATAATTACTAATTTATTAATTTATTTAGAACGGTTTTTAATTGTGGATTTTCAAAAGAAGATTTAAGTGAATACAATTTTTTTTCACTGTATGTATCATTTAAATGATAAGTAGTTTTTTAAATTTAAATTAAAACTATATTTTTTATAGAACTATCACAAACAACAAAACACCTTTAACAAAAACATTCTCTTTATCAAATTTGTAAGTAAATTTTTAGTTTCCATATTTAAATTATTGTTTATTTTATTAATATATTCTATTTAACTTAATTTTCAAAAAAAAAAGAATTGTAACTAATTCATCTGTACCATTTTTGCCTGATAAATCTTGGTTTGATCCACAACCTTTTATGTAATTTTTTTTTTTTTTTTGGTCATACGATTTTCTAAAGTTTAATAATTTTATTTATTTTTTTTAGTCAATTGACCGACACCAATACAACAGGTTATTTTGATAACTCGTCTCAACTCTCAAACTTTACAATTTATATTCAAGGTTATCAAAATATTACAGCAAACTTGGATGAATCATTTTGCTCTGTTAAAACTCTAAACATTCAAGGTGTTAAATTGTTAAGGAATCATGTTCCCGATTGTTTTTATTGCTATTGGTCATATGCATCTACAATTTTACCAGTCAACACACCTCCCCCTCCATCTAATTTCTCATGTAGTATGTAATTTTTTATATCTGGTAAAAAAAACAAAGATTATTTTTATTAATGTATTTAAAATAGAAATTTCTCTTGATCAATATGGTTATAATTTAAATCCAGGAGGTAATTTTTTTTTTTTTAACAAGTTCATAAACATTATATTAATATTAATATTATTTTATTATTATTAGAATATATTTATATTGGAGGAAAAAATTTAGGGTGGGGAAAAGATGCATCACCCTTATTAGTACCGGTTACAAATAACGTCCAGTTCAGGTATTACTTAAAAACTTTTTTTTTTTTATTACTTTTTTATTAATTTTTTATAATATTTTAAGATTGACAGTTCCTACTACATTTGGTAAGACTAACATTTCTTTTTCATTAGAAAAAAAGTTATTCTTTTGAAATTCTTTGGGGTCTTCCTTGTAAGTAATTATATATATAAATCTATTTAAAAAGTGATTTTTAACTTTAATTATTATTTTAGTAAAAGTAGAACTTATTCACGAAGAGATATACAATTCATCTAGTGTACAGTTATTATTGTACGGTGTTTTCAACTTGTATGCACCACTAAATATTACTATTCAAGGAAAACCGTGTCAAATTATATATCTTTCAACCTATGAATTACATTGTACCTATCCAAACTTTAATTCTTCAGAACCAGTATTAGTAAGGACTGGAGATTCAATATCCAGTGTTGGTTTATATATTTCACAACGTATGTAATATTGTTATAACTTTTTTTTTAAAATATTTCGATTAATTCTTATTTCTTATTTCTTGAATAGCACTATCAGTTAGAGCATTTACTTATAATAATCTCTTTATTATAACTGCAAACTTTGGAATGAATCCATATAATGTATCAGTTTATATTTCAGATCTCACTTGTAACATTACAGTTTTAAATGCAGATTTAGTCGGTTGCATTCCAACACAGAGCATTCTTCCCAATATACAGTATAATGTGTCATTATATGCCAATGGTTTTAGTTCAAATTTCAAATTGCTAATTACTAGTAAGAATAACTGTGGAGTTGATAGTAAATGTAATGATCATGGTAGTTGTGTAGAAGGTGTTTGTCAGTGCAGTAGTGGATATAGTGGATACTATTGTGAATCACAACTTAGTCCAGGCGTTGTCATCCTTCCAAACAACACAATACCATCACCAACAATCATCGTTAAAGATGGAATGAATTTCACATTCAATATCATTGCAATTCAAGAGATCGATGAATTAAGTTCAGTTGTTAGAGAATTGAAAACAGATAAATGGTCATATTCAACAACAGGAAATGAAACATTCAGTATCACAACATACAGTTTACAATCAACATCAAAACAAGAAGTGGATCAAATCAATGCAACAATCGAATATTCAAAGAATAGTAGATTGATTGAATTTGCAGGACAATCAACATTATATCCAGAGAATAGTTTGAAATTGATGATCACAATCAATAATTGGTCATTCAAAGACAAGTTAAATCGATTAAGAGTATTGATGGAATCAAGTTCATCTATTATCACAGAAGATGAATGCTCACCGGATTTAGATATTACAGTCAACAATGGATCAGATGTAAACTACCTACGAATGACAATCAATGATGTATCGTTCTATGGTAGATTCCTTCCTTTTGCATTGGCAGACAACAAACCGATTTTCATACAAAATCAAGTCGTCAATCAAACAAAAGATAGTATATTGCTAGGAATGACTCTACCTTATTGTGATAGCTGTGTAATAGATCCTGATTTTTCTGTACTTATCAACACTGAAGCTAGTAGTGCTAGTACCTGTGGTTCACATCATAAATTCGAAACATGGAAGATAATCACAATAGTAGTTGTTTGCTCAGTTGTTATTCTTGCAGCTACTATTGCAACCGTTATAACAATTAAAAAGAAAGTTATGATAAGAAGAGAAGACATTAAGTTGCAAAATAAATTAAATAAAGCTAGCTAAATAGAATGCTTAAATAACTATTATTTTATGTTTTTATTTTTATTAAATTTAAACAGCAAATGTTCATCGATGTTCACTGGTTTACCATCTGTTATACTTAAATCATTATAAGCTGGTTTATTTGGTAATTAATGACCATCTATTGATCGTGCTAATGATGATTGTTCAATAGATTTAGATAAACACTAAAAATGTTACTGACGAATCCAGTGATCGATGATCGTTCTATGGTAGACTTCTTCCCTAAGTGGTACCACCTTATTGTTGAATAATAACCCAACCTGGAAGATCGTGAAAATCGTTGTTTTATCTGACGTCGTCATAATATCTATAGTAAAAGAAACCGTTCATCTTTGGTCCTAAGAAAAATCAAGGTGAGAAATAAAATCATTTTAAATTTTAATTAAAAAATATATTTTTTTTTTGTGGTTTTCAAATTTGATGGTTTGAAAATTTTTTTTGAAAAAGTAGTAGGATCGTTAATCTAGATTTCACCAAAAAGTATTTTTTACTCTCCAGATTCTACAAAAAAAACAAATTTTGATTTTTTTTTAGATTAGAAGGTGAAAAAAAAACCTCTTACAAAAAACGGACCTGTCCACAATATAGAGGGTATCTATTTTTTTATCAATTAATAATATTGTTTATCAATTTTTATTTAAATATTATCTTGATATTTTATTATATCTAGATCTTTAAATTTATACAAATTTTATTTATTTAATCAAGTAGTTTTGTTGATTTTGTGGACTATGTCCTCACCAATGGTTTTTAAAAAGATCAAGGTCATATATCAGTAGCATAATCAGATTGTTTTTTTTTAGTCAACATTACCAAACAATGTATAAATATTTATTTATATTATTCTTTTTCACAATAGCTATAAACTTTTCTCAATCTATTGAATTACACCCAGAAGAATGTATGTTTTTTTTTATTTGATACAAAATGAGATTAATCTTAACTTTAAAATGAATTCTTACAAAACATATAGTAAATTCACTCCAATGGTTAATTAAACAGGTTAGGAATACAATTTTTTTTATATTTTATTATTTAATATTAATTTTTACACATAAATTTTAGTATCGATTAAATTGGAATTTAAATGGAAGAAATTGTTCTGAAATTCAACCAGACACTCAAATACTATTATGCCAAGAAATAAATGGTACTCAGAGTGTTGTAAATATGTAAGCTAAAGAATAATCCTTTTTTTTTTTTTGATTTTTAAAACAATATTAATATGTTTTAAAAATTATAGATTCATAAACTATAACATAGTTGATCATGGTGAACCAGGTTTTATCGATAAATTGTATTTCCCAAACATGGTTGTCTTTGGAAGCGGAGCTGAAACCGAAAAGAATTCTTCTTATTCAATTTTAAGTTTAATGGACAACGAAGAGAATGTTAAAATTATCAGTTTTTCTATATTGAGTTATCAGAATTTTATTATCCCAAATGATTTCCCAAAATACTTAAAAGTAAACACTTAGTATGTATAATTAATTAAATATTAAATAAATAAAGACTAATTTTTTTTGATTTCTTTCTTTCAAGTTCTTTTATAAATTTATACATCAATTCAAATTTCACAATAAATAAGTTGTTGGCTCTGCCAAGAAATGTTGCTTTTAATAATGTTTCTTTCACACCTGGACATGGCTTGATTGTTGATTATTCCACCCCTTTTATTGCATCAAACCTTGTTCAATTGTAAGTAACATAGATACATTTTTCTTTATATTTTATTTATTAATTTCATTCTTTTAGTCAAATATATAATTTAAAACCAATTTATTTAGAAATGGATGATGTATTTTATATTACAGATTCGGTTTTTCCAAAATTAGAAAAAATGTAAATATTAGATGGTTTTCATTAATAGTTTAGTTTATAAATTCTAATTTATGGTATTCATTTAGCGAACTCTCTTTTCTTACTCTTAAAAATGTCTATATCAATTCATCAAACCTTAAAAATTTGTAAGTATTAATATTAATTTAATATTCTTTTTTTATTTCATTTATTAATATTATTATTATTTCTTAGACTCTTATATAACGCAAATTTTATAGCAGACCAATGTCCTATGTTAACATCAATGTAATTTTTAAAATTTATTTGGATTATTGGAAATGTTATTTTCTAATATAAATTTAATTTTTTTGAAAAAACAGATCTCTTGCTAGATGTAATGTATCTGTGACTGATTTTAATATTTTCCCAAAGTTGAATACTTTGTAAGTCTTTTTTTTTCCATCCAGATATATATATATTTAATATTTTAACTAAAACTTTATATCTTAGGACTATCGAAGCAGGATTAAGCCCAGTTACAGGTATTTCAAATACAACCACTTCACTTGTTGTAACAAGTACACCAGTTCCAATTTTACCAGATTCCACTTGGTTCAACAAACAATATTTTCTATTGTATGTAAATTTAATATATTTTTTGTTTTTCTAAAAAATTTAAGTTAATGTTTTTTTGTTTTTTGAAAATAGTTACCTCCTAGATACTAATTCTTCTGGTACATTGGATAGTTTCGACCAAATATCATCCAAATCATCAATTAAGATTGAAGGACAACAAAAGGATATAAAAGTTCAATTGAAAGATTCACATTGTTTATTAAAAACATTTGTAATCCCAAGTACTCTTTGGGATAACACAACATCGATTCCTTCATGTTTTTATTGTTATTGGTCAGATTTATATCAAAATCTACCAGCCAACATTCCACCACGCCCTTTAAATTATAATTGCAGTAAATATTTCAAATTTAAAAACAAACTAAAAATATATTCTAATTTTAAAATTTTTTATTTTAGATATAAGCATAGATCAATACAAATACACTATTCCAATCGCTGGCTGTAAGTTGTTTTTGTTTTTTATTTCTTATTTTTTATACTAATTGATTTATAGTTTTCGTTGATATTTATGGAAATAATTTAGGATATGGAAAGTCAACCCGTCCATCAAACATGGTTCTTGGTAACCCAAACACCATGTTAAAGTATGTTTATTTTATTATTTTGAAAAACAGATTTTTATTAATAATTATTTTCTCAGATATCCTGCTTACACACAATTTGGAACTGATACAATATCTTTTTCAACTGAATATAATTATACATTCGATATTTTTTGGGCAGTACCTGTGAAAATGGATTATATTCATACTGTTAATTTAGAATCTGGAGATTTATTAGTGAAATCGTATGGTTTATTCAATACAATTTTACCAATGAATATTACTGTTGGTGGATTGGATTGTCAAGTTGTTTATAATTCATCGAGTCAATTGAATTGTATCATTCCCAAGTATTCTACTTCTTCTCCACTTCCTATCTATGCTACAGATTCCATTACAAATGTTACAAAATATAGTGCTCCATGTAAGTAGTTATTATATCTAAAATTCATTTATATAAAATACTAAGAGATATATTAACATACATTACATAGATTTCAAAATTGATTCATTTGATTTCAAGGATATTTTGACAATTAATGCAAACTTTGGTTTGAATCCATATAATGTATCTGTACTTCTTTCGGATCTCAATTGTAATATTACAACTCTTACAGACTCCACACTACAATGTATTCCACACAAGAATGTTACCAATTCCAGATATTACAATCTATTGGTGTATGCAAATGCTTATGATACCTCTTTGATTATTCCTGGAAAAGATGATTGTGGAACAGGATCAACTTGTAATGCACATGGAAGTTGTATAAATGGAGTGTGCAGATGTGATAATGGATTCAGTGGATATTATTGCCAATCACAATTGAATCCAGGTGTTGTCATTCTTCCAAACAATACAGATCCATCACCAACAATCATCGTTAGAGATGGTTTGAATTTCACATTCAATATCATTGCAATTCAAGAGATAGATGAATTAAGTTCAGTTGTAAGAGAATTGAAAACCAACAAATGGCTTCAATCAACAACAGGAAATGAAACATCCAGCATCACAACATACAGTTTACAAACTTCGACAGCAGGAGTAGATCAAATCAATGCAACAATCGAATATTCAAAGAATAGTAGATTGATTGAATTTGCAGGACAATCAACATTATATCCAGAGAATAGTTTAAAGCTATTAATATCAATCAATAATTGGTCATTCAAAGACAGATTAAATCAATTGAGGATATTAATGGAATCAAAAGCAACAGTTGATTTAGGATGTTCAGAATTGAATATTGATATCAACAATGGTTCGAATGTCAGTTATCTAACAATGATGATTGATGAAGTAACATTCTATGGTAGATTCCTTCCTTATGCATTGGCAGACAACAAACCGATTTTAATTCAAAATCAAGTTGTCAATCAAACAAAGGAATCGGTTGTCGTTGGAATGACACTTCCTTATTGTGATAGCTGTGTAATAGATCCTGATTTCTCAGTGTTGATCAATCCAGATAAAACAGCAAGCAAATGTTCATCGAAAAAGTTTGAATCTTGGAAGATTGCAACCATTGTTGTCGTTTGCTCTGTTGTTATATTAGCATCAGCAATAACATCTGCAATTGTATTGCGAAAAAAAATAAGATACAGTCGTGAGGAAAAGAAAATGGAAACAAGAATGAGTTCCATTAAATAAATATTAAATTTATAATTTATTCAAATAGTTTATGTTTTTAGAAATTATATCCTTGGTAATATTAGGACACTTTGATTTTCCAATCTTTTCTAAATGTGAAATTGTTGATGGATTCTTGTATCCATATCTACCAAATCCTGGGAATCCAGACTTGAATACCATCTTCATAGAGTACAATGGGTTTTCTGGTGAGGATTCAAGTTGTTTGAGCCATTCGGTATGTGAAATTCTTTTGATTTCACCCATTGATTGTACCAGCTCTTCGAGTGAAACCGATTTTTCATTGATCATGTGGAATACTTTGAGTTGATCGGAACTATCGACGTAATTTTCGTTGGTCAACGATAACGATACAATCGAAGAACTAACCCAATCGACTGGTGACAAATTGAACATTCCACCGCCACCACCAATGAATTCAGAGAGCTGTGGATAGGTCTTCATGTAGAGCACACCTCTAATAACCATTCTGACGAAATCGTGCTCATTATCTATACCGGTTTCCGAGTTAGCATAGATAGTTGCAGGACGGAATAGAATCACTGGAATTCTACGCTCTTTGGCCTCGTAGATAAGTTGTTCAGCAACGAGTTTCGATTGATTGTAGCCATTCATGTAGTCGAGATTGTTTAGTGTTGGAACATCCTCTTCTGTCAAAACTTTACTTCTCTCTGAGTAACAACCGATCGTCGATACATGAGCAACCGGAATTGCTTTGGTGCTACAAGTTGACAATCTAAGAATTTCAGATGTTCCATTTACATTGGCACTCTTCATGTTTGGATATGGAATCACCATATTAACGACGGCACCATTATGTAGAATCAGATCTACCCGATCTGCCAGCTCAATAAATTGCTCTTGTGTCAGTCCAAATAAATCCTTCTCTAGATCACCGAGTACCGGAACGATTCTTGCTTGTTGTTGTTCATCGAGTTTAATATGGTATTTCTCTGATAGCTGATTAACCAATTTGTTTCTGGCTTGATCCAAACCGCTGGCGCCTCTAACCAAACAATAGACGTTGGAAACCAAACCACCATGTTTCATCAGTAAATCAGCCAGCAAATAAGATCCCAAGAATCCAGTTGCACCAGTTAGGAATACACTATTTCCGCTAGTCTTTATCGATTTAATTTCCTTCTCGTGTTTCTGAATGGATTCATCCAACTTCATCTCTGTCTTCCAATCTATAGCTTCGATTCTCTTGAATTCATCTTTCTTGGAGAGAATCTGCTCCAAATTCTCGAGATTGTTATTCTTGTTCAAAATGAAAGCAGGTGAGATATCGATATTCTCTTTCTCCTTCAATAGATTCGATAATTTGATAGCTCCCATAGAGTCACCACCAATCTGTGAGAAATTCATCTTTGAAAGATCCAATTCATCAACTGAATCAACTCCCAACACTGATTTAATATATGATTGAATTATACTGCTATGATTATTATTATTGTTGTTGCTATCAGCTCTTAAACCTTGTTGAATTGTATCGATCACACTATACATCTGTTCAATTCTATCCTTGTAAAACTTGAATAGTTTACCTCGACAGAATTTACCTGAACCAGTAATCAACTCGTTATCAATAGTCCATTTAGTTGTATCAATAGAAATAACTTTTGGTATTTCATAATTGGCAAGCTAACAATAATATTTTAAATTGTTAATATTTGTTAATATATTAAAAAGTAATTTAAAAACATACCTTTTCTTCAACAGCAATTCTTTGAATATCGGCCATTAATAAACTAATTAGCTGAGAATGGTTATCCAACTCTTCTTTGGTTACTTTGTTGATATCCAAATTGAAACTTTCAAATACCTTTTTCTTTGGAATGATAACAGATACCAAGAATGTCTTCATTGGATCTCCATATATAAATATTTGTTCAATCTTTTCACTACATCCCAAGAATATATTTTCTAAAGGTTCAGGTCTGTAAATATATAAATAATGTTAATATAATATAATTAATTCAAATTTTTTTTCGATTCTAATTATATATACATACGCAACAAATTCACCATTACTTAATTTAAATGCATGTTTCTTTCTATCGATAATCTTTACTTTACGGAATCCAATTTGTTCGACGATATCGCCAGTCTTGAACCAACCGTCGATAAATGCCTCATTGGTGAGTTGCTCATTTTTATAGTAGCCAACGGACATTGTTTTGGTTTTCACAACTAGTTCGCCACGTGGATTCGGTTGGTCGGTCGGCGAGTATCCAAACTCTGGCACCGGATCGATACGGTACTGAACATCCTCAGAGATGTAGCCGTCTACAAAGATACCGACTGCCTCTGTCAAACCGTAGGAATTCGATACGCCAATCGATGGCCAACACTTTCTCATGAATTCCATCACTTCTGGTGAAGTGGGTGCACCGCCCGTCACTATCGTCTTGACACGATTACCCAGGATATTGGCGAATCGCTTCAACACCTTTTCCTCGCAAAACTCTGGACTGCTCTCGGGATTCTGTGCACGGAACTGCTCCAGCTCCGACTGGTATTGCGAGTAAATCAAATTCCAGACACGCGGAACACCCCAGAAGCTGAGAGGACGCAACTCACGCAAATCGTCAAACAGTGTATCCATCGATCCCGAGAAAATACCGATGGCGCCACCGTGATAAAACATCTTGTAGTCGAATCGTCGCTGTGAATGTGCCAGAGTAAGATAACTGAGTGCCGTCGCAGGATAATCGATATACGAATGAACCAACGATATATTATAATCTTTATCCTTGGTAATTACACCTTTTGGAATGCCTGTTGATCCAGAAGAATAACCTAATTATCATAATTATTATTAAAATTAGTTAGTTTACATCAATCACATTGCCACAGTAGAAATATACATATTTAGAATAAACATACTTAATGTAACAATATCATCAGTTCCAAATGGATTATGTTTTACATTCTTTACTTTTTTACCTAATAGCATCATCTCTGAGAATAGTCTGAATTGAACGGTTGATGGTAACTTGTTTCTCAACTCGTTGTCATAGTTATCTTCCATATGAACAATCAGTTTCAGCAATTGGTATTTTCCACTACTGACCAACTCTACAATACTTGGAAATGCCTCTGACGAAATAACAATTGCTGCCAAATCACAATTGGTAATAATTTCTAAAAATGCATCCAATTCTTTATTATTATTAGTAAGTATGAATATAAATTAATTACAACAATAATTATAATAGTAATAATAAATAACATACTGGTTTGATGATGAATCGGTACAACTACCATTCCGTACCATAGACAAGCGATATCGGAACAATACCATTCAAAACAATTATTACCACATATACCTACGAATGATCTCTTTAAATGAATAAACAATATATATATTTGTTAATAATAAAGTAGTGAGTGATAACTTTAAGAATTGAATATAATCTTGCTTACAGTTGGTACTAAACTTCCTAATGCCTTTCCAAAGATCTCTGTTTTCTTTTGAAACTCTTTGTATGTTAACCATTGGAATTCAGCAAGTCCAAATGGATACTTTTCAGACTTTTCAACTCTTCTTCTTACTCCAATACAATGTCTTTCTGAATGTTCTCTAAATGAATTTCTATTTTTTGTTTGATACTTATTAATTTAAATTCTAATTTTCTCTTCTTTTTTAAATACATTAATAGATAGATAGATACATACTGTAATGATTCATAGATTGTTTCACCTCTGTTTGAATATGTCATAGAAACTTGTGATTCTATATAATTAAAACAATGATCAAGTTAATATAGTTCAATCAATCCACCAAATAGTAAATGTCATTACATACTTGTTTCTTTTGTGAATTTATGTGGTAATGGTATTGTTTTGTCGATATGATATAAACTAGGATGATATGGATCCTCAGAACTTAGATCTGGACTAGTACTGTTACTATTATTGTTATTTGTAGTAGTAGTAGTAGTTGTTGTTGTTATTGTAGTCGTTGAAGCTGTTTCTGTTGTTGAAGTTGTACTGTTATTGTTATTTGAGATATCAGGATGTATTTCATTATTTTCGTTGCTGTTTTTGTTATGGTTGTTCAACTTTTTCTTTGATTTCGATTTATTTTGTTGTTGTGGGAAATACTTTTGTTCTCTCTTGTAACACTTTTTACATAGGTCCAAACCCTTACATTCTATACATACATATCGTACAACACCTCCTTCAATGGTGGCACCACAACCATCACAAATGAACATTGTATTTGGAACTATAGGAGGTAACCAACCATATTTTTGAAAAGTATATATTTGTAATTAATAACAATCATCATCATTTTCCAATAACGATCATAGAATATGAAAGAACATGTTTTTCGTTTATTATAATACCTTTTTTTTCTTGTGGTGGATCTACATTCTTCAGTTTAGGAAGTTTCGATCTGATTGCATCTAATAAAGTTGACATGGTCTTTACTTTTTAATTTTCAATAAATAACGAAATAACAAATTAAAAATAATCTAAATCTAATAAAATAACTTTTAAATATAATACATAGAAAACAAATTAAAAAAATAGTTAATTAAAAACTCTTCTTCTTTTTTTGATTGTTTTGATAAATCAACCAACTTTAAAAAATTAAGAAAAAAAATAGATCTTTAATTTTTTGAAATTTTGATCGAATTTAGTTCTTTGAAAATTTTTGGTAATGGGGTATTTGTGTGTTTTTACTGATTTTACGACTATAACTTTCATCAGAATTTTGTTTAGATCAGTAGTAAATCAGATCACAACATCACAGAAAAAGATTATTTGAAATTAGTTTATTATGATAGATTAATTTGTATATAATATATATATTACACATACACACAATGAATAAAAATTTTAGTAATCATGATCATTACTTATTAAAATTAATAATATTTACTTTAATCTTTGTTTGTGATTGTGGTAAGTATAGATTGATTGATTGATTTGATTGATTGCTCAAATATCATTAAATTGTTTGCTAACTTTTTTATTTTTTTTTGTTAGAATGTAGCAGTAATTATAATTATGTTACACTACCATCTAGTTATAGTGTGATAGGACCATTCCCAATTGGCGAGAGAGAAGAAGGTGTAGATTCAATGCAGTACTATACGAAAGTGGCAGGCGGAGGTGCAAACAGTATATTCGATCTACCACGTGATTCATCGGTATCCTATCCATCGGAGTTGGGCAATGAAGGTCGTGTTCGATGGTTAGAGTACACTGCCAGCTCTAGTGGCTCGCCGCTGCCCTACAACAACTCATCGTCATCACTCTCTATCGATTACAACGATATACCATGGCAGTTTCTAGAGTCACAACTCAGTTGGAGTGTCTACATGTGGTATGGCTATGCAGTGGGTCAATTGGGCGTCGATCAATCTTCACCAACCGATAAATTCATAATCTATTGTACAAATGTATTAAGATATTATATAATAGATAACAACAACAATAGTAATGTTTATGAATTCATTGGTGATCTTTATAACTATGGAGTTGCTCAACAGGTTGTAACGCTGGTGCCTGGCGGTAACTATACTGTTTGGATTAGATTGCAATCATCAGTTAGACAATTTCTTTCACCACATGCAGCATTCAACCTTACAATTCTACCGTTTTTACAAAGAGAAGATGAACAGCAACAACCACCATTTATTATTGTAGAAACAGATAGTTTAATGTCATCGGTTGTAGATGGTTGGTTAGCAAGTACATACGGATCGATTACTTTGTTGAATGTTGGAGATTCACCATTGCCATTATCCAACTTGAAATTATATAATAGCAAATTAGAAATAGATATTATAAATAATAACAATAGTAGTTCTTCTTCTTCTTCAATAATTAGTATATTACCAGGTCAAAGATACTCATTATCATTCTCAATCAATCAAATTGACGACGAGTTGGAATGTTCAACAATAACAAACAAATCAATATTAGAAATATCAGTTATATATGAATCATCATCATCATCAGCAATAGTAATATCAACCAATATCACTTTGAATTGTACAAGCTTTGGTGGACCGCTTTCTTTTACTTTCTTGGACTACGATCAAACTGTACAGTATGCGGTTGCGTTTCCACCTTCTACGCAGTGTGGGATTGGTCCCCTGCGTTGTAATGTTATGTTGGCTACGCATGGTGCAGGAGTGGAAGTGATTCTCACGCCCGGTTGGTATAACGCCTATCCACAGCAGAGCGACATGTGGATTCTCTTTCCAACGGGTCGTCGTTCATGGGGATACGACTGGCAATCTGCAAGTCGTTTGAATATCTTTTCGGCACTCGCATCACTCGCCTCTCAACTGCCAGGTGTTCCAACGCAATTGAAATCGGCATACGAGATTGACCCGACAAAGCTACTAGTTACTGGACATTCAATGGGTAGCTATGGATGTTTTTCATTTACATCGCATTTTGGTGATTTGGCGCTGGGTTCGGCATGTGCAGCTGGATTCGCTAAGTTAGAAGAATACATCTATTACAATACGAGACCTTCTTTTGAGCGACTGGATCCGGTGTTGAAAGGTTTGTTTATGGCATCGATTGCAGAGTCCGATGCAGATCTCTATAGTTCTTCGATGGTCGGCATACCGCTGCTGGTTAGATACGGCCAGAACGACACAGTAGTATCGCCATGGCATTCGCGGAGAATGGCTAGATTAGTCTCTGAAAACAGCGGTGATCCCAATGCTGTGATGATAAGTGAAGTTCCCAACCAAGGTCATTGGTTCTCTTTTATGTTGGATGATCCATTGATGTCGCAGTTCTACAGTAACATTTCTAGTGCCAGACATATGTTACCGGCAATTCCAGAGGATTTGATAATTGTAACAAACAATCCGGCATCCTCAGGAAGTCGTGCCAATATTTTAATATTACAAACTCTGATTCCATCTAGAGTTGCACGCATTTCAATTAAACAGCTGAACGATAGTGTCGATGGATTGGTTTGGCGGCTATCCACTCAGAATGTCAGACGTTTCGGATTCACCAAGTCACCGGACAGACCACTGCCAAACAAGATCATCATTGATAAAATGGTGTTCGATACCACATTCCTACCGGAACAACACTATTTCCGAACGAAAAAGGGTAGTCTACAGTCATGGGTGGCAACCGGCGACAATGGTTGGACAACAAAGGAAAGATCCGCCGCTACCTACGGTCCAATGAGACAGATATTCGAAAAGCAATTTACAATCATCTATGGAACAATGGATGAATCGTTAACGTCACAAATGCAATGGTCAGCCATTTGGATAAGTAATTATTTCAATACGTATGGACGTGGATCACCATCGATCTACTCCGATCAGGAATTCCAGCCAACTACCACCACCGGTGATTGCAGCCAATCAACAGCAGCAGCCAACTATATATTAATTGGAAATAGTAATCAGAATCTATTTGTTGAGAAATATCAAGAGTATATGCCACTGAAGTTTGGTGATAACAATAGCTTCTCAATTGGTGAGTACCAATTCGAAGGAAATCTAGGCATTGGGATTACCTTTCTTTCACCGAACCAATGTGGTGATGGCTTGTTTTTGGTTGTGGCAGGTACTGATTCTCAAGGACTTTCAAATGCACTTCACACAGTTCCACAGCGCTCCGGAGTAACCGCTCCCGACTTTCTCATTGTATCTGACGATTGGCGATCCTCTGGTTTATCTTCAACCATCGCAACAGGTTATTGGGATAACCATTGGAATCTTTCATTGGAATCATCTTATATTTCTTTACAATAATATAAATAAAAAGCAATAAATTATTGTTTCCAAGATATTTATTCTTTAAAATTTTAAACACATTTATTTACTTTAAATTAAGGTCTTGTCTATTGTAAGTTGGGTGTCATTATTTCACATGATGATCAATCATCGATTACACTCTTATCAGGTGAAACAATGACACAACAACAGATATATTTGAAAGCTATAGAGTGTACTCCAACATGTACCAACTCATACTATATCTTGCAAAGACAATGTCAGATGTATCAATGTAATAGAACTTGGTTCAAAGTTACATTTTGCATAGCATTCTTTGGCATTAGATATGAAATTAAAAGAAACAGTGACATTCAGCAATGATATAACAATTACAAAACAACAATTATTACTGGAAGCAATCAGATTAGATAATTGATTTACATCAAAAAGCTAGAAATAATTATATATAAACATAATTATTTTATTTTTAAGAATTTATTTATTTTATAAATTATTTGGCGATAATGCAACATAGAATGAATTCAATTTAGTTGTTTGGAGGCCAATGAAAAAGTCAAGTCTCCAAATTGCAGTGCCACCAACACCCATTGATACAGTTTTGGCATAGAGTGAAGCTGGAGTGTCGTATTGATATTGTCGAATCGACCAAGTTTCTGTATCTGTAACTACATTTGCGAAAGGCTCTCCAGTTGGTAGAGTTTGGTAGGATACATAGGAGTATTGATTCTCCAGTTGGTAGATACCACTTATTCCGGTGGAATTGTTTCCATTTTCACCATCGATGTGACAGGTAGTTCCAAAGAGTCCGTAGTCCATGTTTACACAGTCAGCAAAGTAACCGTAAATCGGTAGACCAATAATAATCTTTCCTAGATGGTTAACAAAGGGTTTCCACTCTTCAACTCTGGCTCTAACCGTGGCGATTGGTGAGTTTGGCGCTAGTGGATTGGAACCCCATCCCATGTCGTAGCACATCAAGATGAAAAAATCTGCGTAATCCGAATTGTAATGTTCAGGACTATAGCAACCAACTGCTAATGAACCGATATAGTTGTTATTCTTGGATTTCAAATAACCGAATGCCTCTTTGGTCCATTCCTCTTTGTAGGTGTCGTAGTCAAAAGAACCTTCGATATCCATGTGGAAACCATCACCTCCCATTTTAGCCATGTAGTCAATATCGTAAATATATTGAGAGTTGGCGAAATAGTCATTGCAGAACGAAGATCCACTGGAACAGCCCAATGCATGCATATGGTGGACAGCAACACCTCTTTGATGAGAGTACTCAATCAACTCTGTTAACAGACTAGGATCCCATTGATCGAACTCTGTCACAATATTGGTATAGTTGGTCCAGTTGATGATATTGGAAAAAGAAGATAGTGTCGAGTTATAAAGGGTTAAATATCCAAAGAATTGTTTATTATTATAATCTACACCAGGTGGAAATGTAGCTAAAATGCTACTAATAAAAAGAAAAGTACATAAAATAATTGATACAAGTTTTATCATTATTACAAAAATATTATTTAATTATACTGATATTTAAAGTCATTATTAATATTTATAATTTTTTAGATTTTTTGTAAATTTCTGTCCCTCATTACAAACATTTACAGGGGTGTTGGATATTTTCAAATCGGTTATTGTTTTATTGTGGAGATATGACATCAAAAGTTCACAAAATTGAAACAACACTTCAAAACTGTGAAGAGGTTTTGATCATGCAAAAATAAAAAATCAATTTTATTTTTCTTAAAGCTATTTTTATTACACAACTTATTAATATGAGCTACACACTATTATTAGTATTAAAAACTTAATACTCATGAGGCGTCATAATGAATAAGTGGTTTGTTAATATTTACATTATCTAATATAAAAGTTTACTAATGTGAATTGTACAAGAACCTTACTTTGTCAATTGATATTCTCAAACACAGCTACCAGTTGCCTATCTAGCTTCCTCCTTGCATGTATTCTTGTCTGTAGTAATGTATTGTTAACCACTCAAACTAAGAATTCTAAATAACAATAGATTCTACTAATTGCAATCGACCTAGATTCCAGTATGATGTATAGTCGTTTGTTAGTACGATGAAAGTGATCACTATCAATTTGAAGAAAACGTACCCAGTATGCATTGGTATTGCCTTTCTTTCACCGAACTGTGGTGATGGCTTATTTTTGGTTCGGTAGGTAATGATTCTCAAGGACTTACGAATGTACTTACACAACATTCTGTATTTCACCCATTCCCGACATTCTCATCGTATCTCAAGATTGTCGATCATCCTGTGATTATCTTCTAACCATCGCAACAGGTTATTGGGATTACCAGCGGAATCTATCTTTCATTGGAATCATCTTATATATTTCATTACAATAATAAACAAAAGCAATAAAACAATGCAATAAAATAAATATCCTCTTAAAGAATTCAATGATAAAACCAATTTAACTTTCTTGTAATTAAAATGACATCATACCGTTTCAAAATTGAATGTATTATCTGAATAACATCAACTTGAACCAAACTTGAACTATCTTACATCCATCTAAGATCCGAAACTGGTTGGTGGCTAACAATGAAATTAAATTAAAATAAAATAAAATCACACAACAACCTAATTAAGTATAAAATTTTATAATTATCTAAAGATTCTTTTTTAAATCATATTAATTAATTAATATAAAAAATAATAATCTGAACTTGTTTCTAATAAGAGAGCTCTCTGAAAGTAAATCAACAAAAAAAACCCATCTTAATTTGAAAGAGACCAAAAAAAAGTATTTGATTTTATTTTTATTTATTTTAAATGAAACCAAATTTTTTTTAGAAATTAAGAAATGTAATGTTGCTGAGAAAATTCTGAATTCGATAAATTCTGATCACAAATGGTTTTTTTGATCCGAAGAAAAAAAACCCCCCAAAAAACAAACAAAACTATGGTTTTATAAATAAAAAAAGTTGAAAAAAATAAAAAAAATAAAAACATGAAAATATTTTTTTCAATCTCAAAAAGATACCACTCAATCAAAGATCGATCTATGCTTTGTAGGTGTTTTTTTTTAAGGTAAGATGAACGGTATTATAAAGAATATCATTAAATATCTTTGCACCGGTGCTTCCTTACCTTCTAAAACTTTGCGGCTTTAAAATACAATCATATACAACCCACTTTCTGTAGAATATTGTTATGTGGCTTTTTATAGTTTTTTACTGATCGAGATACTTTTACATTGTATGATTGTTTTAGGTTTGTGATCGTACCACGAGATACTTTATATATCGGACACAGTAACACCTGGTTTTTTCTTATATTGCCTTAAAAAATCAAAAAGATACAAGAAAAATCTGAAAAGAAATAAAATAAATCAATCAGTCACAAAGAAAACAACACAGTGGCTATTTATTTATAAGAAACAACAAAATCTCACTTATTTGTTTTTGTTTTGTTTACAATACCAACAACACATCAGCAACAACATCAGCATCATCATCATTTCTGTGCAACACCTAAAAGATATTCTAAAAGTTTGTTGTGGGGCTTCTTTTTATAAATTTTAAATAATATCAAGATCTTTATATAAAATTTTTTAAAATTTACTGTAACAATCAAAATATCAACTCGACAAAGATAATTATTAAGATCAACCCAAGAAAGTTGAAAAATCCAATTGTAATTATAAATCTAGTTTTGTCGGTCTTCAATCATCATTGTATATATAATTTCAAATCATTTTTGTAAAATAATTAAATATTAAATAAAAACAAATAACAAAAATTATACATTACAAAAATGTATAAAACAAATATATTATTTATTATATGGTTGGTAACCATTTCAACTTTTATTGGTGTTTCACACTCTTCTGATTTAAATCCAAACGAATGTATGTCAAATTTGAATCAATAAATAATAAATAATTTATTAACCTTTTTTTTATTATTATTTTTAATTAAAAAGTAAATTCAATTAGATGGTTAATTTCTCAGTATCAACTCCAATGGAGTATCACTGCAACAAATTGTGCTGATATTGTTGGTACTACATTTTTCGGTACCTTAACTTGTAGTGATAATGGAGTTGAAGAAAGTATTCAGAAAATGTAAGTTTTGTTAAAAATTATAATTTATTTTTTGATTTTTATTAATCAAATCTATTTAAACAAATAGTAATGTTCGTGCAGGAAAAACAGTTGATAGTGGTGAACCTGTGTATATAGAAAAGTTAACCTTCCCATTATTGACAGATTTCTCTTTCCAAACATATTCCCCAGCGAAAAACTCATCATACAACATCTTGACTCTATTGGATAATGATGCTCACGTGTATTTAACAAATTTATTGATCTACAACATCAATATCAATGTTACTAATACTTTCCCATCGAAATTACCTGCTCTTAATCAATTGTAAGTTATTTTATTTTAAACAATATATCTTTTTATTAATTTTTTTTTAAAGATCTTTTTATAATACAATTGTATATTCAGATATTTCCTTAAATAATATCTTTCAAATCTCTAATATTGGTGTAATTGATTTTTCAAATCTTACCTTTACATCAACATATCAATTGATACTAAGTTCTAATGATACAATCAATTCAAATATTGGAACAATGTAAGTTTTTTTTTTTGGCAAAACAAATATTTATTTTTCTAACTTTTTTTTTTTTAATATAATAGTGGAGTTGCTGATACCCCAGCTTTCCAAACATATGGTGGTCTAAATATTACCTCAACATATTTCCCATCCCTAACTACATTGTAAGTTTTATATATTTTTTTATTTAAAATCAACTTGTTCTAATTTTTATTAAATATATAGAAAATTAAGATATCTTACCCCAGAGCCAGTTACTCTTTTTAACGCAGATCGTTTGAATACAGTGTAAGTACAAATTTTTTATTTTATCTATGAATTTTTTATTAACCAAAAACCTTTAGATCTTTTGAAACTGCAAATGTTACCTTTGGTAAGCTTCCTGCTCTTGATAGTGTGTAAGTATTTTTTTCAAAAAACAAACAAAAAACATATACTTATTTTTTTTTTTTTTTAAAACAGAGAGTTGATCAAAAGTACTAGTTCTGTATCTGATTTTAGTATTTACTATGTTACAAAATTGTAAGTTTTATAAAATTAAAAAATAGTATCTTTTTAATATAGAATTAACAAATTAATTTTATTTTACATTTTAGAACATTAAGAAATTCTTATACTCCTTTGACTGGAGCATCAGGATTAACTTTATTGTAAGAAATATTATATAAATTATTATTAAAATTCTTTATTTAACCAAGTTTAATCTTTTAGATCTGCTTCAAATACTTTTGTACCAGTTATTCCACCTGAAAATTGGTTTGCTCCAACTTTTACTTTGTATGTAAACAACACAAATAACATGAATGAAAATATTTAATATTAATTTTTTTTCTTCAACCAGACTTCTTTCAAATACAAACACAACAGGATATCTTCCAGAGTATCCAATTAACAGTGGTACAGTTTCCATCACTGGAAGTCAATATAATATTTCAGTAAAATTATATGAATCCTACTGTTATATGAATTTAATATTCCTACCCTCTACCCTTTTGGTCGACTTTGACAATATCGCAGAATGTTTCTATTGTTATTATCCAGAGATTAAAGCAAACCTTCCACCAAATACACCAGCTCCACCAAGTAATTATACTTGTAGTAAGTTTTTTTATTTTTGTTATTATTTTTTAAATCAAAAATATTAATTTTTTTCAATTTTAATAGATTACTCAATTAAACAAAAAGCCTTCCCAAAGTTGTATCCAAATGGTAAGATCTATAATCTATTATTTTTTATAATTCTATTTATATACTAACTAGCCATAATTATTTAGATCCAATTATTATTCAAGGTAGAAACTTGGGTTGGGGTCAAAACCTTGCACCAAAAGAATTAACAAAAGATCAAAATAACAGAATGTATATGTAAGTATAAAATATTTACTTAATAGTTAATCTTTTTTATCTTACTTTTACTAATTCTATAATAAATAGTTTACGTACTCGTGAATCATTTGGAAAACTTACGATTTACTTCTCTACAACTCATAACTACGCAGTTGATATTCTTTGGGGAATGCAATGTTTGTATTTTATTTTATTTAATTATTTTTCAAATAATATATTAATCTATTATTTTATAGTGGTCGTACAATATGTTCATAGTATAAATTTAGATTCCGGAGATATGATGTTAAGATTTACTGGAACTTTCAATACCTTTGCCCCTATGATCATTACTTTGGAGAATATGGCTGGTCCAAAATGCATAGTTTCAACTAAATCACAAACACAACTTGAATGCATAGTATCGAATTACAGTACATTGGCACCAGTCTGGGTGAACATATCTGATACAATTTCCAATGTAACAATGTATACATCTCCACGTAAGTAGTTAGTTAAAAATAATTAAAAAAAAACATAAAAAAGTTGTTAATAATTTTATTTATATTTTAAAATAGCATTGATTATTTCTGAAGTAAAGCCAAATGGAAATGGTTTCCTCACTTTTGTTGGAAACTATGGACCTGCTCCTTATCAAGTTTCTGTCATGTTCCCTACTCTATTTTATCCATATTCTTTGACCTCTACCGAATTGATTATTTATACAGCCCAGAAACTCATTCCAAATACTAATTACACCGCTCAAGTGTTAGCCAATGGATACACTGTAAATGTAACATTTAGTATCCCAAAGATCATCAAGAATGACTGTGGTCCAAATGACAATTGCTATGGTCACGGTAACTGTTCCGATATCTGTTCATGCTTCAGTGGTTATGGTGGATACTATTGTGAATTACAATTGAATCCAGGAGTTGTGATTCTTCCAAACAATACAACTCCATCGCCAACCATTATCGTTCAAAACGGATTGAATTTCACTTTCAATATCGTTGCTATTCAAGAGTTGGATTCATTGGCGAGCGTTGCCAAAGAGATTCTAACCACCAATTGGACAGTTATCACCTTAGGAGATGGTAACTTTAGTAAAACCATCTATAGCTTGGATCCAGCGATTGCCCCAGGTGTTATTGCAATCATCGAATATTCCAAGGAAATGAGAGTGGTTGAGTTCGCCGGACAAACTACCACCTATCCAGAGAACAGTCTCAAACTATTGGTTAGCATAACCAATTGGAAATATTCCGATAAACTCAATCATCTCAGAGTGATACTATCGACCAGTGCCACTATCAACTCTGATTGTGCACAGATTGATATCACAGTAAACAACAGTACCAGTGTAGATTATCTAAAGATGACATTCGATGGACAGTCGTTGTATGGTAGATTCCTTCCCTACGGATTGGCAGATGGAGTACCTGCACTTGTCACCAATCACGTAGTCAATCAGACTAAAGACGCTGTACTCGTAGGAATGACACTCCCCTATTGTCAAGCTTGTGTTATCGATCCAGATTTCTCTGTACTCATAGAGTCTGGTAAAAAAGATAAAGCAACCTGTGGTGGTGGTGACGAGAAATTTGCCGCATGGAAGATCGCCACTATTGCCGTCGTTTGTGGTGTCGCCCTCGCAGCAGCTGCAATCACAACCGCTATTGTAATGAAAAACAAATTCAAATATAGAACTGAGAAAACTCGTGTAGAAAGTAAACTAAGTAGAATTTAAAATGATTTAAGAATAAAAAAACAACATTATAAATTTATCATTAAGGTTATCAACATGATAATAAAAAAAACTTTGAAAAGATTTTTAAAGAATAACTAATAATTAAATTAATGGAGTTATTTCGATTTTGAAAGTGTTTGAAAGATTTTTTGTTTTTGTGTAAAAATATATTTTGGGTTTTTTTTTTTGATCATTCATGGGTGACCTGAGGCAGAGATTTTTTGATCGGCGAAATACAAAAAAGTTTTGACCAAAGAATCGCCCGTTTTTTAAATAAAAAAAATAAAAAAAAATAAAAATCAAGATATTTTAAGATTAATTGGAATATCTTTGATGGTCCAATATTGATTTTTTTTTCATTATGATCTTTACCCAATTCTGTATTAAAAAATAATTAAAGTAGCAGAGATAGATAAAAATAATGAACAGAAGCAAAAACTTTATTTTGGTTTTGATTTTTGCATTTTTATCTTTGATTAATGCTCAGTTGAATCAACGAGAATGTAAATATATTTAATTTATTTTTTTTTCCTAAATTTCAAATACTAAGTTATTCTTTTTGAAAATATAAACAGTGGGATCAGTTGCATTTTTAATTAAACAAGTATGTTATTTTAGAAATATTATTAAAATTTATTATTAATAAGAATTTTTTTTTAAAGTATAAATTAAATTGGGATATAAATGGATCAAATTGTTTTTACATTTCAAATCAAACTGGGGCATTAAATTGTCTCCCTCCAATCAATGGATATCAAACGGTTTCTGAAATGTAAGATTTACCATTTTTTTAAGTCTAATAATGTTACTTTTACTTATATCTATTTAGAAATCTTTATTCTATAGCGACTTTTACAGATAAAGGTGAACCAGATTTTATTGAGGAATTATATTTTCCAAATATGACACTTTTCAGTTTCGATAATAGTGCAGCTGAAATCGAGACCAATTCAAGTTATTCTCTTTTAGCATTGTTAGATAACCGAAACAATTTGAAATTGAAAAATTTATATCTTACTGGTGTTAACATAACGATGCCAGTGAATTTCCCATCAAATTTACCAATTACAACATTGTAAGGAAATATTGAAAATACTTGATGTTATGTTTGTCATCAAAAGCTAAATGTAATCATTTCAAATAATTTAGATCTTTGGTTGGTTGCAATGTTTATTCAGATATGATAATGAACAGCCTTTTTGCTAGTCAGTTACAAAATATCTTTATTTCATTTTTAGATTTCCCAAAATATAATAAATTGATTTTAGACACGTTCGGATCATTCAACTCTCCTGTTAAAACTCTGTAAGTTTTTAATGTATTCTACTTTTTAAACAAAATTTTTATCTAATCTTTAATTTAGAACTATTCGTACTACACAAGTTCAAGTTGTTGGAGGACTTATAAATTTAACAGATTCATATTTTCCAAATTTATCTTCTTTGTAAGTTTACAAAAGACACTCATATCAATTAACAACGTATTTAATGAATTATACCCTCTCTAGAGAATTTGATTTATCAGGCACCGATAAGATTGAATTACATTTATCAAAACTTCAACATATGTAAGTTTAGTACAACTATTTGCTAAAACATAAATAATTTTTCTTAAATATATTAATTTTTTTTAAATAGTGCAATAAGATCTGCATTGATCACCTTAGGAAATCTACCTTCATTAGTATATTTGTAAGTCTAAAGAATACTCTTCCTCCAATATATAAGCTAATATTATTTTAAAGAGAGATGTGGTCCGGAAGCTCATCAGTTTCTGATTATACTGTATTTCCATTACTAAAAGATTTGTAAGTAGTTATACTAAAAAAATTTTAAATTTATAACCAAATACACAAAATTCTAATAATTCCCTACTTTAGAATAATGTATAGCATATCTTCACCAGTAACTAAAGCATTTAATTTAACAAAATTGTAAGTAGATAAAATTTTTCTTATTTAAAATAATCAATAGATTAAAATTATTTATATTAATGAGAATTTATTATAAAAAAATTGAATAGAGTTGCACACAATACACCAGTTCCAATTGTTCCAGATCATACCTGGCTTGAAAAAGATTATTCTGAATTGTTTGTATTATTATTTATCGATTTCTTTTTTCTTTTGTTTTTGTTTTACTTATTTTTACTATAAAAATAGCCAGTTATATAATACCAACTCATCAGGTGAATTAGAAGATATAAATTTATATTTTCCTTCGACCTCTTCATATTTCAGATTGAATGGAATGCAAAACATCACTGGTTCACTCTATGAATCATTTTGTTTTATGTCAGTTTTTGACTTTTCAGGTATCACTCTCACCAATTTCACTATTCCCGATTGCTTCAAATGTTATCAATCAGAGATCGTATCGTTACTTCCAAAAAATATTCCTCAGGTTCCTTTAGATTTTGTTTGCAGTAAGTAGATTTAAAATTTTAAAAGTTTAGATCTCTAATAATTATTTTTTAGATGTTACTCTTGATAGCTATGGTTATTATATTAATGAATGTAAGTTGTTTTTTTAATGTATATCTACTGATATCAATTAACAAAATTACATTTAGGGTTGGCTTTTCCAATTACTGGCAATAATTTAGGTTTTGGAAAATCATCTGCACCCAATATGTTAAGTAAACAAATATCTAATAAGAAATTTGGGTAAATAATTAATTTTAAAGAATAGACTATTCAAAATTATTACTAATATTTAAAAACAGATTATCAGTAGCTTCACTTTCTGGAAAGACTACAATATCCTTCTCCACTGTAAAAAACTACAGTTGCGATATTTTTTGGGGACCAACTTGTAAGTAAATCAAATTAACTCAATGAATTTATCTAAAATACTAACTTGATTCATTTATTCTGTATAGTACAAGTCAATTATATTCAAACAGATAATAGTAAAGTTGGTGATCTTTTAGTTCAATTATTTGGTATGTTTAATTCATATGCACCACTATCGGTGAATATCGGTGGTAATATATGTAATATTACATTGATTGCATCAAATGTTGTAAATTGTGCCATTACCAATTACACTACATCAGTTCCATTATTAACAAGTACCACCGATACTGTTTCAAGTATTAATTTATACAGTTCACCATGTAAGATATACCTTCAACTATATATATTTTAAATCATATCATTAACTAAAATTTTAAAGCTTTTACTATGTTAAAGGCATTTGTTAAAGAGAGAACATTTATCTTATATGCAAACTTTGGACCAAATCCTTATAATGTTACTGTTTATGTTTCCAACATCTATAAATCAAATATTTCATTTATTAATGAAACAACAATGACCTCTATTTTGCCAAGTGAAGTGATCCCATTCAAATACTATTCCTTTTACATTTCAGCCAATGGTTACAATCGAGTCTTAACGATGTTTGTAGAAGGAGACAATGACTGCGGAACAGGATCTACTTGTAACGGAAACGGAAACTGTACAAATGGTAAATGTAGATGTAATGATGGATATGGTGGATACTATTGTCAAGCACCATTAAGTCCAGGTGTTGTCATTCTTCCAAACAACACAATACCATCACCAACAATCATCGTTAAAGATGGAATGAATTTCACATTCAATATCATTGCAATTCAAGAGATCGATGAATTAAGTTCAGTTGTAAGAGAATTGAAAACAGATAAATGGTCATATTCAACAACAGGAAATGAAACATTCAGTATCACAACATACAGTTTACAATCAACAACAGCAGGAATAGATCAAATCAATGCAACAATCGAATATTCAAAGAATAGTAGATTGATTAACTTTGCAGGACAATCAACATTATATCCAGAGAATAGTTTGAAATTGATGATCACAATCAATAATTGGTCATTCAAAGACAGATTGAATCAATTAAGAGTGTTGATGGAATCAAGTTCATCGATTGTCAAAGAAGATGAATGCTCACCAGATTTAGATATTACAGTTAACAACGGATCAGATGTTAGTTATCTTCAAATGACAATCGGTGATCGATCATTCTATGGTAGATTCCTTCCTTATGCTCTGGCAGACAACAAAAATATTTTAGTGCAAAACAGAGTCATCAATCAAACCAAAGATAGTATATTGATTGGAATGACACTTCCCTATTGCGATAGTTGTGTAATAGATCCCGATTTCTCTGTTCTCATTAATAATGTTGGAAATAATGAACATTCATGTGGTGACAAGAAGTTTGCATCTTGGAAGATTGCAACTATTATTGTTGTTCTATCAGTGGTTGCGGTGTCTGCAGCTGTAACCACAGTGGTCATTCTAAAAAAGAAAAGAAAATTCAGAAGAGAGGAAAAGAAAATGGAAAGCAGACTAAGCAAAATAAATAAAAACTAATAATCGCGCAATCAAATAAAATTAATTTTATAAAAAAAAAAGTTTACAATTTATTTTTTGTTTGTTTTTTTTTTCATGGTACACAAATGCAGATGTAACAGGGAAGTTTTTTACATTTTTTTTGTAAAAAAAATTAATTAAATTAAAAAAAATACTGAAAGTTTACAATGTATTTTTTGTTTGTTTTTTTTTTTCATGGTACCATAAAAATCTGGGAGATAATTTTTAGTAAAACCAAAAAAAAAAAAAGATTATTTTTGCAATTAATCTAGATATTTATGTTAAAATAAATTACAACTTATTTCTTAAGTATTATATGGGATTAAAACCCATTTTACGATGGTTTTGTGTAAAACAGTCAACTCATCATTTCATTTTACAAAAAATAGTAAATTGTTTTTTATATTATTTAAAATATGTATTTTAGCAAAAGTAATATTCACAACTTAATATTATTATTTTTTGTTTTCACAAATTGCTTATATATTTGCAACTCTTTAGATATTCACCCGAACGAATGTAAGTTGAGTCTTAATTTAAAAAAAAAAATTTTTTTTGAAAAATATCTAAGTTTCTCTATTAAATTAATACAACACAACAGTACAATCATTAATATGGATAGCTAAACAAGTAAGTATTGATAGAAAATAATAATAATGTAATTCTCTAAGAATTCAAATATTCATCTTCACTTTTAAAAGTATCAAACCAATTGGGATTTAGCAGCAACTACTTGTAAAGGAATTGTTAATGGAGATACTGCATCATCTATTAATTGTTTACAAAAGAATGGTAATTATGATTCGGTTATTTCATTGTAAGTGAAGTTACTGTCAGAGTTATTTTTGTATCAATGCTTACCATTCTTATTAAAACAAAATCAATTATTAGGGTGGTCTTTAATGGAATAAACAGAGACAACGGTGATCCTGGATATATCGATAAACTATACTTTCCTTATATCTCTACTATTAATTTTCAAGCAAACTATACAGAGAGGAATCCATCTTATTCTACATTACAACTATTGTTGAATGATAATAAGCCTCTATTGACAACTATTTCATTGACGAATTCAAATATTAATTTGACATCAAATTCATTTTCAACAGCACCAAATTTAAACTCAATGTATGTATAATACCTAAAATCTCTTTGGTTTGATATTAACAAATGTTTTTTTTTTAATTTAATTAATTCAAGATTAATCTCAAGTTCCATTATGCACTCTGATTTTTCATTTGCTTCAATGACTCAATTATATAACATTAATTTAAATAATATTACTTTTACTTCCAACTTTAAATTTTTGTTTGATTTACCTGGAAAAACCTTTCCAGTCTTGAATTCACTGTAAGTTTCTCAAACTTTGCATGATATTGACCATACTAATAGTCTTTAAATATAGTTATTTATATAATTTGAATTCAGTTGACACCTTTGGACAAGCTCGTTTCTTAAAATCATCTTTTCCACAACTTAAAATAATGTAAGAGAAGTAATTACAATCGATTTTATCATATCACTAAAATCATATATTCTTTCTATAGAAGTATATTTTTTAACAAGAGAGAGAATGTATATTTAGAATCAGATGCTACCACCTATTTGTAAGTTTTTATATCAACAATGCTTAACAATACTATTTCTTTACTAAAATTCTCTTTCCAGAACTATTAAAGTGGTCAATTTAACTTTGGGTGATTGTCCTATTTTATCATCTATGTAAGTATTGACAAGTTGAACACGAAATTTAGGAAATTCTAATAAGTTAAATAGTTCTTTAATTGATTGTTATACAACTACAAATGATTTTACCGTATTTCCAAACTTGTCTACATTGTAAGTTTTTAGCCATTATTTTTTCTTATCAGACTGTTAATGTTTTTTTTTTCTCCAATTATAAAGATCCTTATCAAATTGTACAAATACGCTTACCAATGCTAAAAACCTCTCTAGCATGTAGGTATTTTTTATTAAACATTTAACAATATAAATTGGATTTTTATTAAAATTTAAATTATAAAAGATATATACTTCAAACATATGTACCCTCACCACCAGATCAAAGTTGGGTAAATGACAAATATGACCTGTAAGTAATTTCTTGATTAATAATCTATTTAGTTCTAACCCCAAGATTAGAACACTATCCAGTACTAGAACTTCTGGTCATCTTGGAGATTTTTATAAAACTGCGTTAGGATCTTCGCTAGGTATCCTTGGAAATCAAAATGTATCAGTCTCACTATATGAATCGTATTGTGGAATAGATTTAATCGGACTTGCAGCGACTACTTTGACCGATTTCAATGTTGCCGATTGTTTTTATTGTTATTGGTCTCAAATGACAAATAAATTACCACTTAATACACCAGCTCCAAACAATTTTATTTGTAGTAAGTAGAAAACAAAAAATAATAACATAGTAAATTTCTTACTAATAAAATTAATAAAGATATTACAATTGAAAGCTCTGGATATCATATAATCAAGTCAACAGTTGATTCAAGTTGTAAGTAGCTTTTAAATAAATTAAAATTTTTTCTAATTTTTATTTATTTTTTAGATTATTTTGTAATAAACGGTAGAAACTTGGGTTGGGGAAATGGTATGTCTCCAAGTTTAACAAAATTACTTAGTAATAAAAAATTCAAGTATGTATAAATTATAATTGATTCAATTAATGATATTTCATCATGCTTACTTTTTTTTTTTTAAGATATACAATTCCACAGAACCAATTCTTTGGAAGAGATCAAATTATTTTTGAGAATACATACAACAAGAAATTCGATATATTTTGGGGATTACCATGTAAGTATATTTAAATATTTAGATAATAGTTAGATTCTAAACTATTAGATTAAAATTAGATTCTAATTAATACTAATTTAATTTATTTATCAGTAAATATTAGTTATATTCAAACTGAGAATATAGCATCCAATGATTTATTGGTGAAATTATTTGGAGTGTTCAATACCTATGCTCCATTGAATGTCAGTGTTGGAAGTCAAAATTGTCAAATCACATTTAATACTACCGGTCAACTGAATTGTATTATCAGCAACTATTCAACTTCAGAATCGTTACTTGTGAATACCACTGATACCATTAGCTCTGTTGGTCTATATAGTTCTCCTGGTAAGACATGAATTATTTATTTTAAATCTATATTTTCTATTATTTTCTATTTTGTTTTCTAATTTAATATTTATAAATAGGTTTATTTATTGTTTCAACAAGTATTTCTAATGAGATATTAAAGGTTCAGGCAAACTTTGGAGTGAATCCATATAATGTATCTATACTTATCTCCAACCAATATAAGTGTGATATTTCAACGTTGGGAGATAGTCAACTTGCTTGTTCACCAGAGATAGGATTGTTTCCATATACAAACTATTCATTGACGATCTTTGCCAATGGATACAACCAAACAAAGAACTTTTATTATACAGCTGACGATTGTAGCACTAATTCTGCTTGTAATGGTAATGGAAATTGTACAAATGGTAAATGTAGATGTAATGATGGATATGGTGGATACTATTGTCAAGCACCATTAAGTCCAGGTGTTGTCATTCTTCCAAACAATACAGATCCATCACCAACAATCATCGTCAAAGATGGAATGAATTTCACATTCAATATCATTGCAATTCAAGAGATCGATGAATTAAGTTCAGTTGTAAGAGAATTGAAAACAGATAAATGGTCATATTCAACAACAGGAAATGAAACATTCAGCATCACAACATACAGTTTACAATCAACAACAGCGGGAATAGATCAAATCAATACAACAATCGAATATTCAAATAGTAGTAGATTGATTAACTTTGCAGGACAATCAACATTATATCCAGAGAATAGTTTGAAATTGATTATCACAATCAATAATTGGTCATTCAAAGACAGATTAAATCAATTAAGAGTATTGATGGAATCAAGTTCATCTATAACCAAAGACGATTGTTCACCAGATTTAGATATAACCGTTAGTAATGGATCGGATGTTAGTTATCTTCAAATGACAATCGGTGATCGATCATTCTATGGTAGATTCCTTCCTTATGCTCTGGCAGACAACAAACCGATTTACATTCAGAATAGAATAGTTAATCAAACCAAAGACAGTATATTGATTGGAATGACACTTCCTTATTGCGATAGTTGTGTAATAGATCCCGATTTCTCTGTGCTGATTGCGAATGACGATGGAACAACTGGTTGCAAAAATGAAAAGTTTGCATCTTGGAAGATAGCTACTATTGTTGTGGTATTATCAGCTGTTGTAGTGTCTGTTGGCGTAGCAACTATATTTTTCATGAAAAAGAGATTAAAAAATCAAAGAGAGAACCAACAATTATAGCATATATTAAACAGGTTAAGTTAAAAATAAATTCTAGAATTGACTTCATTTGTTTTTGAACTAAAAAAAAAAAAAAAAATCTTTTAAGTCAAAATTTTCCTTTGATGATTCCACCATTTTTATTTATTTTTTTTAGTTGTTTACAGTTTTTTTATTTATTATTATTTTATTTTGTGATATCTTATCAATAAACAAGCATGTATATACACCACAGCTGACTCTATCTGTTTGTTTGACAAAGTTTTTCACCATTTCTTCACCACAATTCCATCCATACACTTCAGAAAAGTAAGTACTTCTTAACATTGTCTTTAATAGTGTTGTAGCTTTCGAGATGCAAGCTACAATATATATTCAACATGTATTGTTTGTCGTCGTTGCTTGTCTTGTTCAACACTACCAATATCCAATGATTGACTCCATCCTTAGTTGTATCACACAGAACAGATTTCCGCGACGCAAGAGAAACAATAATAGGAATACATACATTTGATACAATGTTTATCTTCACCGTTTATTTACTTTAGGATTATCTTTCAAATATTTAGCTACCATTTCCTGTACCTCTTTAATAGGATCAATGTAAACTCCATAGCACTCCTTTCCATCTTTACTTTCAATCAAGTTTAGCTGTTTGAATTTCTCAAACTTTGCTTGTCCGTCAACACATGATTAAAAACTTTACTGAACAGATCTATGTAGAATTGATCTGTAATGTGCATTCTATCTTGTTCAAACAACTTTTTGTCGTTTGCACTCGATCGATTCCTTGGTACCAAGTAAATACATGTCTCGTAATGGCCAAGCAACCTCTCTTTGCTTGACATGGGTTTCTTGCAGTGTTTACAAGTATATTTGGTTTTATCTTTGCCACTTCTGGATCGCTTCTCACAAGTGTGAATCCCACCCTCTTGGAAATGACAACCTGACTGGCAATGATGGTTTGTCTTTTCGTGCTTCTCCACCCTGGATTTAAATTTATTCTCGTAAAGAGAAGGACAAAATGCATGCCTGCACTTGAAAATCGAACTGCCCTTTTTATCAAACGGAGGTAATTCACTATTAACATATTTTTCTTGTGCATCTATTAATATTGTTTCTAACTCTTTGGCTTTCCTTTTCTTAGACTTATTTTTCTCTATCTTTAGTTTATTCTCTTTAGTTGGTTCGCTCTTATCTATTTCAACCTGCATGCCCTCATCCCCGCATAGATCATTCTCAGATTCACACATTTGACAAATTATTACTTTATAATGACTATTACCAATTTAAACTATAAACAATCTATGACCAATTTTTTTTGCTCCAAATGTGAAATGGTTTTTTTTAAATCAAAAATTTTCAAAACTTTCATATCAAAAAATCATTAAAAATCTAGAAGATAAATGTTGGCTTAAAAAAAAAGATTATTATCAAGATATTTGTATTAAAACTACAAAAATATGACAAGATCAGGTTAGATTTTATTAATTAAAAAAAGTGTAAAATAAAAAAAGTTTTTTCAGATATTTATTTGATCAATATCTTTTTAATTCTCATAAAAAATTGTAGGATAAACATCGTTTTGATCGATATCTTTTTAATTCTCATAAAAATGTATAAACAAATAATATTATATATATCTATTATTTTATTGATATCTTTCAATTGTTCTGCTATAGATTTAGATCCTCAAGAAGGTATGAAGATTGTAAAAAAAAAAAAAAAATCAAAATGATTAATTATTATTTTCTATTAAAGTACCATCAATACAATGGTTTATAAAACAGGTAATTAGAACAATTAAAATTTTTTTCTTTTACTCTAAAAATTTAAAATTCTAAACAAAATTAAATAAAAAAAGTATATGGTCAATTGGAACGTAAATGGTAACAACTGTTCAAGTATTTCTAATGTTTCGACAAGTTATTTACAATGTGTATTAAAAGGACAATATGAATCTATATTGGCAATGTAAATATAAATCAATCACTAATATTTAAATTCATCTTATATATTTTTTTAATTTTAACCTTATTTGGAAATATAGAAATTTGGTACATAATATACAACCTTTGGACCAAGGAGAACCAACTTTTGTAGATAAACTCGTATTCCCTAGCATGACAACTTTCAAAGTTTATTTTATCTCCCAACAAAAGAACCAATCATATTCCTTATTGACAATGTTGGATAACGATATAAATATAAACTTAAAGATTATTGAATTGCAAACAATGCCTATTTCTATTTCCAATAGTTTTCCATCTAATTTGGTTTCACTTGAAAGATTGTAATTATTAATTATTAGATTACAAAAACAAACAATTTAATTAACGTTTATAATTGCTTTGTTGTTTAGATATTTTAAGGATTTAAAATTTCAAACAAATCTAATTCTAGACTCTATTATATCTAAAGGAAAGTCTCTTCAAAGTATCTATATTGAATCTGTCTCATTTCCTTTGGTAGGAACATTTTTAGTTTTTAATTATGCAAATATTGTCAATTCGACCCTTTTGGAACTGTATGAAAAAAGTATAACAGCCAATGATTTCTTTTCTAATTTTATTTTATTTAAATTAAATAGTTCAATTGTCATGGTAAATTATAATGGAATTCAACCTAGTTTTATAGTAATATCTGACTCTAATTTCCCCAGTCTGGAAAGAATGTGAGTATTAGTTTATTATTTGAATTTTTTATTCTTGGTATTAATTTTTTGTTTAAAGATCATTTAACTTTTTATTACCTTCAGGTTCAATTGAAATAGGAGGCAAAAGATTAAGAAATATGTTTGTATTAAAAATTATTTTTATTGAAAACTTATTTTATTAATAATCTATAAAAAATATAGTAATATCAATAGTGCAGATGTTTCATTTAAAAATTGTCCTATTCTCACTACATTGTAATTTATATTAAAATTGATGTATCTTTTATATTTATTCACTAAAAATTTTCTACTGTAGATTATTAGCTTATAATTCATTTTCACCTAGTGATTTTACTCAATTTCCTTTGTTAGGAAGTGTGTAAGTAAATGATTTCTCAAATTTATATTTACTTTTATTAAAATCTAATTTTTCTTTAGATCATTAACATCATGTAAATCCCCCCTATTAAATGCTTCTGGTTTGAACAATTTGTTTTCATTTAATTCATCTATCCCAAATATTCCTGGACCATCATGGTTTATAGATAATTTTAAAATGTAATCTTATATATATGGTATTTAAGTTTAAAATCAAAATTTAATACTAATGTTGTTTTTAGGAATTTATATGATAGTAATAGTAACGGACTACTACAAGAATTTAATGCACCCACATCAATGATAACTATTCAAGGAAAGCAAAATGTAACTGTTCAACTTTATGAGTCATTTTGTCAGTTCGGTTCGATAAACATTCCTGGTACAACCTTGATTAATACTAGTGTTCCCGACTGTTTCTATTGTTATTTTGAAGAAGGAGTTAATATATTTCCTCCTAACATGCCAGTAAAGCCGGCTTCATATATTTGCCGTAAGATTATATTTTTTTTAAAATGTAAAATATTAATTTATTAACTTATTATTATTCTGTAGCTATCTCATTAGATAAAAAAGCTTTTAATATTATTGATTCAGGTTTGTTAAATTATTTTTATTAAAAATCAATTTATTTTTTAACAATATATTATCTTTTTAGGATATTCATTTTATCTCTATGGTAAAAATCTGGGTTATGGAAAAAATATTAGTCCGTATCCACAATTATTTATGTCAAGGCCAAATGTAGCATTTTTGTAAATATCTCTTTTTTTTGTTAAAAAGTAAATCCAATTTATTTATTTTAATAATTTATATAGATATACTGCTAAAACACAATATGGTAAAACACAAATATCTTTTTCAACTTTAAAGAATTACAATTTCGAAATACTTTGGGGATTAGAACGTAAATAATTCAAATGTTTAATTTAAATAATATTTATTAATCATTTATTTCATAGTATATGTAAATTATATTCATAGTATTAATTTAGATTCAGGTGATTTAATACTTAAATCCTATGGTCGATTTAATGTATATGCGCCACTAACAATGACGGTCGAAGGTTCAAATTGTACAGTCACATATAATTCAACAAATGAATTACATTGTTTAATTCCAAAATTCAAAGCTTCAACACCACTTTATGTGAATACATCAGATTCAATTACTTTTGATGGAACTTACTCATTTACAGGTAAGTTGTTTTAGATTTCACTCTTCTTAATATTAACATTCATCTAATATTTTTATTTTTCATTTAATAGGCTTAGATATATCTTCAGTAGAATATGATTCAAGTTTAATAATTTCAGTAAACTTGGGACCAAAACCATACAATGTAAGATTGTACTTCAAAGAACCAAATTCTTGTTATCAATCCTACACGAACATAACTCATTATATATGTATTCCGTTTAAACCATTATATCCATTTATTACCTATAATTTGACTTTGGCAGCGAATGGATTTATTCAAGACACCCAACTCTACTATGTTTCAAAAGATGATTGTGATACCGATTCAAAATGTAATGGAAATGGAAATTGTATTAAAGGAGTGTGTAGATGTAATGATGGATATGGTGGATACTATTGTCAAGCACAACTTAGTCCAGGAGTTGTCATCCTTCCAAACAACACAATACCATCACCAACAATCATCGTTAAAGATGGAATGAATTTCACATTCAATATCATTGCAATTCAAGAGATCGATGAATTAAGTTCAGTTGTAAGAGAATTGAAAACAGATAAATGGATTCATTCAACAACAGGAAATGAAACATTCAGCATCACAACATACAGTTTACAAACTTCGACAGGAGGAATAGATCAAATCAATTCAACAATCGAATATTCAAAGAATAGTAGATTGATTGAATTTGCAGGACAATCAACATTATATCCAGAGAATAGTTTGAAATTGATGATCACAATCAATAATTGGTCATTCAAAGACAGATTAAATCAGTTGAGGATATTAATAGAATCAAGTTCATCTATTACTAAAGAAGATTGTTCAACAGATTTAGATATTTCAGTGAATAATGGATCAGATGTTAGCTATCTTCAAATGACAATCGGTGATCGATCATTCTATGGTAGATTCCTTCCTTATGCTCTGGCAGACGAGAGAGTGACTTTTGTTAAAAATCAGGTTGTAAATCAAACCAAAGACAGTATATTGATTGGAATGACACTTCCTTTTTGTAATAGTTGTGTGATAGATCCTGATTTTTCAGTTCTTATCAACACAGGTGGTAAAAATGAAGTTGGTGAATGTGGCAAAGATAATAAATTTGCATCTTGGAAGATAGCTACTATTGTAGTTGTGGTTGGTGTTTTTGCGATTACCATTGGAACTGCAACAATGTTATACTTGAAAAAGAAACAAAAGTTTTCAAAAGAAAGAAAAAATATGGATGCAAAATTAAATAGGATAAAATAAAATACTATTGATTTATTATTTTTATTAAACATTTACTTATTTTAGTTAGTTTTTTTTTAGAAAAATTATTAAATATATTAAATAAATAATAAAATTAAAAAAAAAAAAAAAAAGTTTTAGTTTTTTAATTGAAAAAAAATAATTACTTTTATGGAAATATAGATATTTAGGAATTTTAAATTAAATATTTAATGATATGAACTATTTAATCTCTTTTATTTTTAAAAAGATGTATTGAATTTATATAGAAACTAATATTATTTTTATAAGATATAATTTCAAATAATAATAAAATTTTGGATAAATTAATAAAAATAATATTTATTTTTTAATAATAGAGATTAAAATCAAATAATGTCTGAACATATTTCTAAAACAAAACAATCTATTGGAGAAGATTTCTCTGTTTTTAGACAAAAAACAAGGGAGGTATTCACCTCGAAATCACAACTTCCAAAAGATAGTGCTGAACTAACTGGTTATAAAAGTGTATTTAATCAAATCATTATATTTTTAAAATTAATACAAATCAAAATATTTCTAACTAATAAATATATATCTAATTTTATTAAATAATAAATAATGAATATGAAGGAATCACATAGAGTAAAAAATAACTATTCTCAATTGTATGATGCATCAAAGAATTGGATAGATTCACTTTCTAGATTAAAGATTAGGGGTGATCTATTAACTCAATCATTCGGAGCTTTCAATGAACATCATATTCACAGAGGTGGAGCGTCTCTATTAGAAGCATCGAAAATATTTAAAGATCTTCATAAAGTTATTAATGACACTGTAAGTTATAAAATTATGTATACAATCAACACAAAATAATAGTACAACAAAATCAAACTACCACACCAAATAAATTCACACATTGGACTTTATAAAATATTAAAAAAGTCCGCCAATTCTCAAACTAGTTTACTGTTGCGGGCTTTTGTTACATATTAAAAAAAGTATTACATTTACTAACAATGATTTTTATTAATACAAAATAAATAAATTAAAAGTATGTGTCTATGAGCCAGAATTTTGTTTATCCAATCAATAATCTTTATATCCATGATATTAAAGAAATTTCTGTAAGTATATCTAATTAATATTTATTATTTAATAGTTATTAACGAAATCATATATATATATATATATAGTTGGCTGAAGAAAAACTTAATACTGAGAGATTAAGATATGAAGATGCTAAGCACACTATGAACGCAAAGGGAACTGCCTCTCCAAACACTGTTATGAGAGCAAATGCTTCCTACTACAATGATAGCATTGACAACTACTCTGGTCTAATCAAAGAGATCAACAAAAAGACCGAGTCAGAGATGTACAAAAACTTTAAGGTACTAATTGAAGAGTTACAGTAAGTAGTAGTATTAGCTATCATGTTACAGCAATAGATAGACAGTTTATATTAACCCCATTTGGTTATTTTTTTAAAGTAAATATTATAGAGATGGTAATCAAGTATTCTCTGGTGATGTAAATATAAGAGTGCTACCAATTGAGAATCAACTCCCAGGTAGATCATCTCCACATATCAAACATGTCTCTAGATTCGATGGTGGAGATCGTGTCGATCTAGAGAAGTCGGGTGGAGATAGTACCAATCTACATAATTCCAATCGTAGTATTCCAGAGTATCGTCATGAGGTGCCAGTAACTACCACTGTGACAACCACTACCACCAACTATCCAGCTGCACCCGGTGTTGAAGGTGTTACCACTGGCTCTCAGCCACCTCTTCAAACCACAGAGACAACCTATGAGAAGGTAACAAAGTATGGCGTTGATCCAAAGGAAGTAGCCTACGTAGAACGCGAAACACAGAAACAAGTTCAAACAAGTCAGCTTGATCCAGTGGCAATCGGCGGTTCTTCGGCAACTCCATCGGCTTCGGACATCGCTTCCGACTTGAGCAGTCTCAATGTTTCACAAGAACCACCATCAACAACAACAACCTACGTTCCTGCTGCGTCAACAACAACCACCACTTATGAGCCATTGGAATCTACTACCGCTGCCACCAATGCACCACCCATCTTTCAGCAACAACCACCTACCTATGAACCAGTAGCTGCATCTGTACCACCCATCTTTCAGCAACCACAACAACCACCTACCTATGAACCAGTAGCTGCAGCTGCACCACCCATCTTTCAGCAACAACAACAACCACCTACCTATGAACCAGTAGCTGCACCAGCTCCAACAAAAGATACCATTGGAACATTGAATACCGGTCCAACACCACACTTCCAAGAGGAATCGATTCAAGCCATTCCACCACAAGCCGACAACAAGCCCGAGGAGCCAACCTACTCGAACCCATCGGTTTCGCTTGCCAATGAAATTCCAGACCCAAAGTATCAATAATTGCTAAACTTTAAAGAAACCACTATGGTTCATTTGTAAATAAGAGTTACACCTTTTTTTTAATAAAATAAATAAAATAAATAAAATAAATTTAAAATAATAAATAAATTATAAATGATTTATACAAATATTGATTTTGTAACAATTTATTATATTGCAATATTACAACAACAACAACTAATCATTATTATTATTATTATCTATCACACTTCTTAAGCGCCATACTTTGGTATCTTTCCAAGTTTGAATGCCAATTCCTTTAGATATTGAATGGTCAAGATCTTTCCGTTGCAACCTCTAATAAACTGATCCAATCTAAATGATTTCGATTCATCTTTTCTTGTCCATGGTGCATGTGAATAAATTGCAAACATTGGTGAAGTTTGTCTAAATTAACAAAGTATTTAATTGGTTAATATCTAACAATATAAAGTTTATGTTTATCTATTATCGTTGTTAATATTATTCTTACCTTGGTTCCACTGGTTTACCATTGTAGAATTGTGTACTTTGTTTTGGTGGAATGAATGTCGATGGAATGGATTGTTGACTCGATTGTTGTTGTTCGGTCAGAGGTACTGTTACATTTGGACTATCGAATGAAATTACAATATTTATATAGGTTTCAAATTGTTGTTGCTGCTCTTGTTGCTGCTTTAAAGATTGAACTGTTTGATCTAAAGTAGTGAGCAATGCTCTTCTATCCTCTAGACCCTTCGAAACAGGTTCCAAATGAATAATGACCATCTCTACCTTTTCTTTCATCGGTTTATTGATTTCATTCAATAGATCTTTACAGTTAACATTGTTTACCAATATCGAATCGAATCCTTTGGTATTACAATCTTGAAGTAATGATTGTGAAGATGTAATTAATCTTAATGATAAATTACTATATCTAAAATATTATTTATTTATTTATAGAGGAATATAAGTTATGTTGTATGTATGTAAGTATGTTTTGGTTTATTTTTGTTTTGTTTTTTGTTGAAAACAAAATAATAAAATTACTTTTCTTTAAAGGTATTATATGTTACTTTATGATCTGAATCGGATTCAAAACCAAGTAATTGACTGAAATTCAATGATGTTGTGTCATGTTGTTGGAGTGATAGTAATTGACCTACACAGCCCTCCTCTACAAACTTATCTAAAACGCCAATTGACAAACCATCCAACAGTGAACTATCATCTTCATATTTAGAAAGTATACCATCTAACCAAAACAAAACACATCTAATTGACATTTTTTAAAGTATTTCTAATATATAATATATATAGGATTGTTAAATTAACTTTTAAATGTTCATTGCAATAATAGATATTAATATTAAATTATCTTCACAGTATGCACCATTTCATTCCAATTGAAAAAAAAAAAATATCAAAAAAAAAAAAAAAAAAGAAATTAAAAAAAAAATTAAAGCTTGAATGACGATTACATAAAAGATAATCCTTGTTTATTTCGATCTACTACCACCACTATTTTATATTATATTTTTATAGATATATATAAGATGTTATTCTGTCCATCATGTGCTAATATGTTGTTGGTTGAGAAAGGTGAGCCCAATACAAGATTTTATTGTCCTACATGTCCATACATTTTCAACATTCAAAATAAAGTAGTCACAAAAGTACCGCTCATTCGTAAAAATATTGAAGTCGATGTATTCGGTGGTGATGATGCATGGTTAGATTCACAACAAACAGATGGTTAGTATTATTATTATTATTATTATTAATAATATTCTTTATTTTCGATGTTATTTTACTAACACTAACCAATCTAAATATATAGCTCATTGTCCAACATGTAAAGAAAGAAGAAGAGTATATCTTATGGAGATTCAAGTTTATCCAATAGATGAACCTAAAACAACTTATTATAAAGTAATTAATTAACAACATATATATATATAATTAATTAATCAAGTTCATGTTTCTAACATTTTATCATTTAATTATACATCTAATTTTTTTTAGTGTACAATTTGTGGAGGTAGATGGAAACATCAATAATCATCTAGCAATAACAACAATAATAATAGTAAACCGATATTTTTATTTATTTACAAAAGTAGATACATTTCTACTTAATAACAAACACAGATAGTTAACACTACTCAAATTTATTCGACAATGAAACGGAAACTCTGAAACGAACAACCTATGTTTGGATGGAATTAGGAAATACCTGTTTGTTGATTATTTATTGGGAATATTACAAATGTTACAAGTTTTAGTTTTTGTATTAATGCAACTGGAACAAAACATCATTGTACATGTAGTACATTGATACTAAATAATAATAATATTGTAATAAAAAAAGAAAAAGAATTAGATAAAGTTTTATTAGATTTATTAAAATAATTATTAGATTTACTTACTTTTCTTGTTAATAATCCAAATTCCTTGCCACATCTATTACACATCCTACTTAGATCTACCTGAGCACTAGTGGTGGACGATGATGATGATGATGATGATAGTTTGTTGGTGGACGTTGTCAAAGGCGATGCTGCTGATGATGAATTCAACGAACTTTGTAATTGTCTTCTACCTGTTGTTGGTGAATTCGATGGTGAATTCGAATTTGATGTTGTAGGTGATTTAAATCCACTTCCACTACCACTATTCCTATTACTCTTATTTAACTTATTATCACTACTATTATTACTATTGTTTTTATTTGATTTTACACTATAAATACTATTAAATATCTCTTGTGTTTCATGTAGACTACTATCAAAGTTATTATTATTAAAATTACTATCTTTCTTATTATTATTATTCTTTCCATTAATATGATTATTATTATTATTACTATTATTGTCTAAATGATTATTATTACTGTTATGATTATTATTATGATTGTTAATGTTTATATTTACATTGTTATAATGATTGATGGTTGATGATGATGATGATGACGATAAAGATGATGGTGGTGTCGAAGATCCGAATGAAGGTGAAAATATAGATGATGTCGTCTCTGTTTGTATCGATAGGTTGATTGTTGGATGGAATTTATCGGTGAGTGTATAGTAGTCCAAGAAGATGGAATCCTCTTCCTTTGCAAATCTCTCTAGGAATACCTTTCTGATTCTGTTGTTCATTCTTCTCGCATCTTCTAAATCCAAATTCAATCTCGTCACCAGTGAATCGTTGAATTCCTTCTGTTGCTGCATGTCCTTCTCCAACATCTTCAACTCCTTACTCAAAAACTGAATGTGAAGACGATATCCAATATTAGCGGAACGTGCTTTCTCCAACATATCCTCTAGTTGTTCATTACTAATTGATGCTGCCAATGTTGTTGTTGTTGTTGTTCTTGGTGATTCAACCACCATAACATTTGATTCATTACTATTATTGTTAACAGGTGGTGGAGTTGACTTTCCTCTATCTCTTCTTGTTGTCGGTTTGAATGGTGAGTTTATTGGTGTTGTCGATGACGATGCTGATGCTGCTTCTTGTTCTTCATCATAGTCTTGTATCATCTTTGAAAGTTCTGATAGATCAACTGATTTTCGCTTGTTTAGTGCATTGGCACCGATCGATTCGTTGTAGTTTTCATCGCTGAGCATCAATAGCTCTTGATTGATCTTTGAGAGTTTACGACGTGAGTTGCTCAGTGACTTCTTGGTGGTGCTGAGCTGTGTGGAATTCTCGACCATGTTTTCCTCCATCTTTTTGTAGCGTGTCATCAACGATGCCGAGTCGATCTGTAGCCGTTGTATCTGCTTGTTCAGCCTGTTCAACTGGTCGTCTTTCTCCTGTAGCAACGTTATCAAACTGTGCTCAGAGATGGTGTAGTTGCTATCGGTGACAGAGATGGCAGAGACACGCTTGTTCAGTCGTTCGTTTGCCAGCTGCTGTTCGAGGTCGCCAATCTTTTGATTCAGCTTTGAGATGACGTCGTTCGACTTGTTGATCTCGGTCATGTAGAGAGAGACGCGCTCGTCTAGCTCGCCGTCCTTGCGGTTCATCAGTCCGATGATGGCAAGACGGTCGCCTTCGATCTGCTTCAATTCAGCGGTCATCGAGAGTTGCGAACTCGACATGTCGGTGAGTCGCCGCGTCGACTCTTTGAGCGCGTCTCTCAGCGCGTCTGTTTCCTTCTTGTGCTGCAACGTCTCTATCTCGCTGTTGGACAGCTGCATCTTCATCTTGTCGAGCGAGCGCTGTGTCGACTCCAACTCGTATTCGGTGCGCTTGTTCCGCTCCTTCCAAATCTTGATCTTGTCCTTTGAGCGCGACACCTTGTCGTTGCGCTCCTCCATGTCTTTCGAGTACGCTTCGCGCTCCTGCTTGATTTGTCGCGCCGAGATCTCAGACTCTTGTCGCAGCACAACATTCAAGTCGCGCTCCTTCCTCACTTGTTCCTGCATCGCTTCGATTCGCAGCTCTTGTTGCGCGTGTCGTTCGCTCCACTCGTTGAGTTGCTCGACGCGCTTGTCCAGCTCGGTTGTCACCGCGTCGATCTGCTCCTTCCAACTCTCGTACTCTTGCGGCGTTACCCAGCGATCTTTGATATCGACCAACTCGCGCTCCAGTGTGTCTTTGGTCGCCTTCTCGTCGGTGTGAATCTGTTTCAGCTGGCAGAGTTGTTCCGTCAGCTTCTCATTCTCTTCTTCCTTCTCGCGAATCACCGTGTTGTACTTGTTGAGACGCGACGTCAACAACTCGATCTCTGTATCCTTGTGCGACATCTCTGTCTGATCCATCTGAAGTTTTGTCGACAACAACTTCAGTCGATCCTTCAAAACACTGCAATAATCGAGAATCACTTCATTCTGTTCGTCTTGTGTCAGCACCTCTACAGACAACGACGGAGTATTGGTCACCGTCGACGACATCGATGTCGATGACGAAGACGAAGATGACTGAACCGACGACGACGACGGCAACATACTTGAAAAATTCGAATAACTCTGTGATTTACTTTGTTGATGTTTTCTTCTTCTAGCACCAACTGATGTATCTTTATTTAATGATCTAGATCATTAGATTTATGTTAATCAATCTTATGCTTTGTGTTAACAACAATTATTTATTTATTTATGACATACTTTGTATTTACAGGTATATTTAAGATTGAAGTTGAACTTGGACTACCTATCTCACTAAACAATGGTAAAGCACTACCTGGAGATGATCCTTGAATAAGTTGTGTCGATGAAAATGGTATCATCGTTGAATTTAATATTCCATTATTATTATTATTATTATTATTATTTCCAATTAGAAATGGTGAAGTTGATGTTTTATTGTTATTACTACTATTACTACTATTTTGAGTACTACTATTTGTTATCATAAATCCATTTTGAATGTTATTGTTATTATTATTATTACTGCTATTGTTATTATTATTATTTTCATCACTGTTATTAATGTTGTTGTTGTTGTCAATATTATTATTATTATTATTACTGATCATAGTATTACTTTTCATTTCAGACATTTATATATATTTTTATATATAAATATCAGATAATAAATAAATAAATATATAAATAAATAAATAGATAATAATAAAGGAGGAAGAGTAAAGTACTCTTTTCAATTTATTCTATTCTTCTTATTTCTCTTCTCTTACTACTCTTTACTATTACTACTATACTACTACTACTACTTCTAACTACTACAACTTTTATAATAGTAAAGAGTGATTCATCAATTTAATCTTGTTTAGACAATGAGATGAATATATATATAAGATCAATGAATGAAATCGAGAAAAAGTTAAATTATCATGTAAAATCTCTTAAGAATGAGTAGATAAGATATAATTTATATATAAATTGTCAAGTCAGTCAGCTGATATAATAATAAATTGAATTGATAGAAAAAAACGATTCAAAATATTTGTTTGTTTAGAAAAAAAAAAAAAAATCTTTAGTGTTAGAGAAAATTTCAAATAATATGGTGGTGTTGTAAAAATAAATTCATAACGGATATATCTTGTTTGAATTCGAATTAATCAGTCAATAATCATATATATATTTAAATAATAATAATGTTTTATTTTTAAACTATTTAAAAACATTGACTAATCTGAAAAAACAGAAATAATAATAAGATCAATCGTGCTAAGGATATTTTAACTTATAATTATAATTATCATTGAAATGAAATCAAATATAAATTACAAATCTTTAAATTAAACTTTTTATATATTGTTAGATAGATAGCAACTAGTATAATTAAAATCAAAATATTTAGAAACAGGAAAATGTGATTTATACCAATCAATGAATGGTAATTACACAATTCTTTTTACTATTAAATAAACAATAGATCTAAATATTAAGAAACAACTCAATCAAACATTTTTAATTTTTGATTTATTTTACTAGATTAAACTGTTTTATTTTATAATATTGTTAAATATATATATATGTAAGTGACAACATTGATGTTGTTATTCATGTCATCATATAATCGCAAATATATTGAAATAACCAGTTGATAATTGCATAAAATTGAACAATTTATAGGTGTAATTACGATCTTTCATCAGAAATTGATCTGTGGTTTGCTGGAAACATAGGTTGATCATCGATGTCTTATATTAAACAATTACATTATTTTGGTTTTGGATTTATTTTTGTTAGCTTCATTCAGTTTGTTTGTTTTTGTCTAACTGTACTGTTGTTGTTTGTGTGTTGGTGTAGTCATTTTTGTTTGTTTATTATTATGGTTATTCCTATCACGCATCCACTGCTTTAATGTCTCAAAATAGTGACTCTAGGGAATACGAGTACGAACACAACAAAGTAAAAAAAAAAAACAATAACTCTCTCTTCATACCCCTGTGATCACTACCAATAAGAGTAATAATAGTAAAGGTAATGTGTGTGTGTTGGTATGTGAACATTATTCAAAAATATTAAAAATATTACAAACAATATTAGTTTAATATTATTATTGTTGTTGTTGATATCAAATCAGTTTTTAAAAGTGAGTGAGAACCTTTAAACAAACAAACCACCTTAATAATAGTGTATTTAAACATCAAAATTGAGAGCACTAAGACCAGACTCACTAACACTCAGAAAAACACATATAAAACAAATAAACAAACACAAATGACACACTGAACACACATTTACATCTACACTGAAAAGTTCATCCAATCAAAAATAGATAAAATAAAAGTATTTTTTTAACATATAATATATAGTTTGATTGTTTGTTTTTGAATGGTTGATATGCTAATGTTATATATTGTTTAAAGTGGTAAAAAGGGCTTGCTCAGTTGATAATTGGGTGTTTGGGTTGGATTAATGGTGATGTGGTATTGTGTTGTGATTGTATTATTGATGGTTAAAAAAAACAGAGACTCACTCACTCTTTCTTTTCTTTTTTGTTGTTGTTGTAGAGAACAACAAAATGTGTTTGTTTTTGTTTTTCTAACCAACCAACCAACCAGAGATACATTTTAATATACACTATTTAAAAATGATAAATTCTTGAAGAAGAAATTAGGAAGATGGAAATGGAAAAAGGAATTACATTGATTAAAGAGAATCATCCATCCCTTTGAAAATGAACGGTTCAACACAAAAAAGATAAAAAATATAAACATCAAAAAAATTTGTATAACCATCTTATTTTTTATTAAAAAAAAATTAAATAAAATTTAATATTTAAATATTTTAATAATCATATTGTTGTTTGTGATAATTAAATAAATAAATCTTACAAAATCCATATCCAAAACCATCCATCAATATATCAAATAAATTATATTATATAATAAAATAAAACTAAACAAACAAACTCATATTTTGTTTTTTTTAATTATTACAACCTCAAAATCAATCTCAATTCAAAATTGACACATTTCAGAATCAAATCAAATCAAACACCTAACCATTAATTAATCTTCAATCAATCATTCATTCATTTTATTACAGTCTTTCTAAATAAATTGCATTAACATTAGTTAAAGGAAAAGAAAACAACAAAACAATACAATCATGACAGATATAGAAAGCTACCTTAAACAATTTGGAGATGATAAGAAAGCAATTAAAGTATTTTGGGCAAGAAATCCAGAGGTCAATTGGACATTCGTTGTAGACAAGAATAATACGGTGGCGGATTTACTAGAGAACAGCCAAGTACCAGATGGTTACTACTTGTATCTCTATGAGAGAAAGAAAGTATTTTGTTTCAGTCGGGACAAAAAACTGAATTACGACACCAAGGTGTGGTCTATCATAGAGAACCAAGCCAATTCTACTTCGCCAGCCTATTTCGTTATTGACCAAAGCAGAAAGAAACCATCCAATAAGTTGTGTGGTGCCACCAAATTACAATATAAACCAATAAGTGAATCTTATAGAGCATGTTCATTTCGAACCTAATAAAATTCTATTAAAATAATAATAATAATAATAATATACAAACCAAACTCGAGATTATATAAAATAAAATGTTTAAAATAAAAAAAAATGTAAAATAAAAAATGTACATTTACAAATATATTTTATAAATAACCTAATCGTTCATCGAAGTGGTAAAAGAGTTATCATTGCTTGACGCCTTCTCAATGGTAATCTCTTCGAAGTCGAATGAAGTATAATACTTGGCATGGTGGTGTATGTAACAGTAACATGTAATCTGAATATGTAGGTTGTGATAGTATACTAGATATACCAATAATTAGCATGATGAAAATCGATTATATTAATAATGTATTTACTTTGAATGATCAGTCAAATCTAATTTAATTAAAAATAATAGATGAACTGATACATAATCAGGTGAATATATTACAATCGAAACATCAACTTCTTATTCGTCAAGGAATTGAAAGGAATCCATCCATCCAGAGAGATAGATAGAGAGATCGGACCAAACAATCAAATCATTCATCCAGCAAAACAACTCTCAATGGTTTAGTTGTAGTAAAGACACAGTTATAGTTGGAGTGGATCATTAAAAAAGAAAGTTTAAGACATTCAAGAAAGGTGACCTCATATATACTTGACATATCTTGGGTATAGAGAGTGTTATCATTCCAATGAAATCCTTTCTACCAGATTTCAGTTGCATCAATTTCTAGTAAACACCATCAGGTTTAACAATCTAAATCATTAATAATTAAATAAATAACAATTAAATTAGACCTATTAATTAACTATTAAATTTAAATTCTTTATTCTTTCTTTTTAAATATTAATGTTAAAAAAATTTTAAAAATTTGGAGGGAAAAATTTAATTCAAGAAAATCATTTTCTACTTTTTATATAATATTATTATTTTTGTTTAAATAAATGAATGATATTCATAATCAATATATATCATTAGCAATATCTATAAAAGCAAAAGAAATAAATGATTCTAAAGCATTAAAACAATGTAAAATTCTAATAGATCACTGTGAAGATCTAATTTATGATTTAGATATTGGTAGCAGCAATCCTAATAATATAGATAGTTTGAAAACATTGTTATTTCAATTGAATTGTCAGCTTTTGGAGTGTCATTATAACTCGGAAGTGAAAATAACAAAGTTTAGTATAAATCTATTAGCAACTATTAATCAGACATATAAAACAATAAAGAAACAACAAAATAGTAGTAGTAATAATAACAATACCAGCAATATCAATAATAATGTAAACTATTTATATAATTTTTCGAATTATCTATCTTTTTTATATCAAAAAGATGAATCTTGTACAATCAATGATAGAGATATGAATGGATTCAATTTCTTGAAGGAGGCAGCCGAGCAAGCATCGATTTGGCATCAAAACGAACAATCATTGTATTCTGCCCATTGTCTATGTGACTCTTTCTATTCATTGGCTGAACAATACCTTGAAAGTGCACATGAGTTTTCAATGTCAATTGATATTTTAAACAAAGGTAAAGCTGTGTGTGGAAATATTTCATAGAAAAAATCAACTGACAAATAAAATTCAATTGAATGAACATTTAGTAAATATAATATTGGAAGAGTTTAAAATAAATGTTGAATTCTATAAGGATCGATATGATTTATTGATTCAATCGTATTGTGGATTGACAGAGTATGACAATGCCAAGCAATTGTTGTATCGATTGGCAGAGCGAGGTAATTTGGAGGATCAATCAGTAGATCAGCTGATTGACAAGTATGACCACCAATTGGATCAAAGACAGTTGTTAAAAGCCGAAAGAGAAACTCTGGAATACTCTTTAGCGTCACAGTCAGATTCTTTGAAGAGAATCGAAATTCAAATCGATATTCTAGATATCTTGGATAGAGAAACCATTTATTACGATATGAAACTTCATTGGTTTTCTTTGGTATTTAAGGAGATTCAACAACTAAACTATCTACGTGGTGAAATCAACTTTAATCATTTATTTCAATTATTTTCAGATTTATTTAAAATGGTATTTAAAATTAAAAAGATATAAATATAAAATTATTTATTAATTTTAATTGTTTATATTTTTTAGATTATGAATGAAAATCAAATATTAAAGGATAGAATATATCCAAAACTAATTGATTTATGTAATTTATATACAACTATCAATAATCAACCAAATGAATATATTATTGAAACATTTATAGCATTAAGTCTTTTAGTAAAAGGTAAATATTAATATTAATAATAATGTTTGTTTTTTTTTATTAATGAATTTTATATTTTATTTTATATTTATTTATTTAGATAAAAATGAGATTATAGATTATATAAATCAAGCAAAACTAAGGTTAAGAAAGGAAAAGGAAGATTCTCGTGCTATTCTGATACTTCACATTCAGTGTTATGATAGAATCATAGATCTGTATAGTAATGACAATTCAAAGGAGAAAGAGATTCAACAATACCGATTAAAGAAAAGGAAGAAGCAGAGACTGTTGGATCAGCTTGAAGTTAGTAGTATCGAGGAGAAGACTTCGTCATTGGATATTATAGACACGCCATTCTCTGAAGAGCCAACATTGCCACAACCACAGCAGACTATATCAAAGTTGGATAAGAAGAGTAATTTAGCCAATCTGGTGCGGAGGAGGCAAGAGTCGAGACGAGCACAATCAGCGTTGTTGGAGGAGGATTCTCTTGGAGAGGATGCAGCGAAACTGGCAAGACAGGCGGTGTCCAACAGAGAGATAACTAGGAGAAACAATGTTGAATTTTCGAGCAAATGGGAAGATACACTCGATGAGAATGGCCAAGAAACTGTCATCAATAAGAAAACAGGAAAGGTAATCAATTCATACCAGGGGTTTGAAAGTTTCGTTGAAGGTGACTATCCCAATTTCGACCCAAATTCACCAAATAAATCGAAGACCAGATTCAAACAGTCAAAGTCAGAAACTCACAGACATTTAAATCAAGATTATGTGGAATCTGACGAGTATAACCCAGAGGAATATGATGAAAACGGTGAAAAGTTACCTTGTTATACCGATGATGGATTTGTAGTTCCCGACAGCGAGGATGAAAACTATTTTGATGGTTCGACAATAAACAAACGAAAGAAATCCAAGCAGAAAAATGGGACCATTCAAAAGAAACATAAACCTTATTGCATCAATTTAATTGAAGACAACCATGAAGAAGAAGTAAAAGTTACATCTACAGGTAAATCCTTAACATTTTATGATACAGAACCTCCAACTCAATTGATTGTAAGTAAAGTCAATAAAATCTTAAATAATTATTATTTTTACTTATTTTTTTTAAAAGTCAATCTATCAAAAATATTTAGATGTAGTTAAATCAAATGGCAACAAAGAGAACAAGAAACTACTAGAGACATTTAAATCATTTGAAAATATCACCAACACATTTATTACATTTGGATCATATGCTCTTAGAGATAAAGATAGTAGTGATGCATTTGATACATTAACACTTTCAAATTCGGTTCATGATTTAGATTTTACTGAAAATCAAATAGGTATGTTAATTTTAATTTACATTTTTAAACATTTATTATTTTTATTAATATTTATTTATTTTAGGTAAAAAATCTATTTTATCTTTATCAAGTTTTTTAAGGCGTCACAGTTCTTGGTTAACTAATTTAAATCTTTCACGATGTCAAATAACAACCAATCTATTTTCGGAATTGTATGGTTTTGAGTTGACAAGTTTAAAGAAATTATATTTAAACAATAATATTTTATTTGATCTTAAATCCTTTGTAAAAGTATGTAAACTTTAATTAATTGTAAATTGTAATTTTAAAAATCATATTAATTAATTATTAATTTAGTGTCCAAATTTAAAAGTAATAAGTTTAGTTGATTGCCATCTTACAGATAAATCACTTCATTCAATTTTAAAGTCGATCGGGTCAAGTCCTTTAAAGAAAATAGATATCAGTTCAAATCAACTTCTCACGACAAACGGGATTAAGTACATGTTGACCATTCAATTAATTTCAACATTATCGCATTTGACAGTTCGCAAGATGAGTCATGTAATTAGACCATTGATTCCGATTATTCGGAAATGTATTGTACTCAAACATCTGGATATTGGAGACAATCAATTCGATAAAGATGGATATACCGAGTTTATTAATCTCGTTGGTCCGATTGGTGCCAGTTTAGAAAGTAGTTTTGGTGATGAAGTTCACACATTACTACTGGATGACATCAAATTCCCAGCGGAGTGTTCTTTCAATTGGCTAAGTAGGTTGATGAAGTTACAAAAGTTGGATCTTTCAATGAATGATATGGGATCAAAGTTAAGTGCACTCTCGACAACACTGACCATCTGTCTAAAGCTAACAACTATCAGAATGTCGAGATCTCAACTCTCGAAGCTTGGTGTTGTCACTCTCCTCTACCGACTACCGTCACAAGTGGAGAATGTAAATTTTTCATTCAATGAAACGAGCCAACCTGGAATCTACCAAAGTAAATACCAAGCTTTCAATCTTCCAAACTTGAAGTCACTGGAGTTGAAAGGTTGTGGATTCACCAAACAAGATCCGCTCATTGAACAACTCATCAAACTACAACAACAAAACGAAAAGAACGATTTGCAAATAGATATTTTAAGTTTATTACAATAATATTAATAAATATTTATGGTTTGATATATTATTAAGTAAATTATAATATTATTATTATGATTGATTCGCTTGTGCTTGAGCCTGTGCTGCCGCTGCTGCTGCTGCTTGTGCATTCTTATGTGGACGACCTCTCTTTTTCTTCTCTTTGACTTCTGTTGGTTTCGGAGGAACTGGTTTAGATTCGGGTGCAGTCGGAGGTTGTGGAAGTGGCGTTAAAGCTGTATTAATATTTTGGATTGGTGTTACCACAGCGGTTTCGATTGGAGTCTGAGGATTAACATTGGTTGTAGCTGGAATCTGCGAGCCAACAACTGAAGTGGCCGCTGTTGCGACAGCGGAAGTATCTGGTGGTTTGGAAGCGGTTTCCTTCTTTTGTTTCTTGAGCTTTTGTGTTTTTTGTTTGGGTTCTGACGATGCTTTCTTTTTCTTTGATTCCTTTGGAGGAGTTTCCTTTGAACTGGCTGGTGTAGGTGCCGCTGGTAAATTGGATGTTGGTTGATTTGGTGCAATTGGTATATGTTGTGGTTGTTGCTGTTGTTGTAGTTGCTGCGGTTGTGGTGGTTGTTGAATTGGCTGTGGAGTTGTTTGTGATTGTTGTTGTGGTTGTTGCTGAGGTTGTTGTGGTTGAATGGTTGTTGGTTGTTGAATAGCTTGAATCGGTTGTTGAAATTGTGATTGAATTTGTTTCTGGAGATGTTGTTGTTGTTGTACCAATTGTTGTTGTTGAGCAAGAATCTGTTGTTGTTGTAGTTGATATGGCATAGGTTTGTGCATGGATGAAACTGGTTGCAAGTGAGCTTGATTCGGTTGATAATTTGAAGTGATCGGTTTCAAAGTGGAAGCTACTTGCATCATAAATTGTTGTTGTTGTTGTTGAGTTTGTTTTGGTTTTGGATCTACAAATAATGATATTTCCTATAATAATATTAAAGTTTAATAGAGTTGTTAATTTTCACATTTCTCTTTAAATGAATAATTAATGACATACAGCAGGTTCGTCTATATGACTTGGGCAATGACCAAATAAACCTTCTCTAACTGGAGGATTGAAAATAGCATCGTCATCACTACTCGATTCTTGTGGAACAGGCTGTGCAACTTTCAAATCTTTGAGTGTGGTGAAATCTTTGATTCCAAGCTGACGAAGAACCAGTGAGAGTAGTTGGAAATTATCGTTTCTGTTCTGTGGTTTAATTGAATAGTTGGAAGAGTAGCGGTTGAGTAGTCGACCGATATTTGCGATGAACGAACCGACTACATCAATCAATACATTCAAGGCTTCCTGTCCAGTACCAATGAATCCAGAATTCTGAAGTATAGTTGAAATCGATTTAAATAAAAGAGCATTCACTCTTTTTTCTGATGTGAATTGTAAATCTAAATTTATATTATTATTATTATTGTTATTATATGATTTTGAAAGATGATTATTGATTGTAGTTGAAGCTGTACATATTTGTGGTGGAAGTGAAGGATCCATAATATTTGGAACGGAATTGGACCAATGTGAATACTCTGGAAAGAATCCAATTTCCAGGTTTATCATTTCAATATCAAATTTTTGCAGTGGTGTATATTCACCTGGAATTTGAATGGTGTTGTTTGGTGGTGGTTGTTGTTGTAATTGTTGTTGTTGTTGTTGTTTAATATCTTTTAAAAGTGGTGATTTACTATATATCTGTTGCATTGAGAGTCGATAGAATGATTCCATGTGTTTCGGAGTGCGTAGGAACAGGTCGTGTTGTTCAAACGGTAGTTTCGATTGGCCAATCAAATGATCGAGTCGTCGAACTCTCAGATCTCTAGTGGCATTGCGCCATTCCGTCGACTTTTTCGAATGATCTTCACTGTATTTTATCAGTGGTGGTAATTCACTTTCCATCTCCATCTGCTCCTCTTCTTCCTGTACGATCTCTGGTGATAGTCTAGTCTTCAATCTTTCAATCTCACCACTCAAATCCTTATACTGATCAAAAATCGATAATTCCTGATCCAACTGATCGATCTGCTGCATCAACTCTTCCTCCGTTTGTTTAATATCTTCCACCGGTTCTTCACCAATATCCTCCATCTGAATCTCTTCCATCTTAATTTCTTCCATCTTAATATCTTCCATCTTAATTTCTTCTATCTTAATATCTTCTATATTAACATTACTACTACTTATTATATCTACATTATTATTATTATTGTTATTATTATTATCATTTGAAATTATTTGATCTGGTGTATTGTTATTATTTATTGTTTGTGGTTGAGATTGTTGTTGAGGTTGTTGAGATTGTTGAGGTTGTTGAGGTTGTTGTTGTTGTGTTTGTTGTTGATATGTAGTTTGTCCAATTGGTTGATTACTTTCACTGTCGGGTGGTGATACTTGACCAGTTGAAGAGTTGACCGGTGAGGTTGGGTTGGATGTTGGGGTGGAGGGACAAGAGCTGATGGTTGGTGTGGTGGTGTTTGGTGTGGTGAGTGTAGGTGTGCGTTGTTTCTTCTTGGATCGTTCTTCTTCCTCCTGTAGTTTCTGCAGTGAAAAGTCGACGTCTTTCACCAGCTTCATCAGCTCCACTGCTTTGCGTTCCAGTTGATTGGCGTGATCAATGAATATCCGACTGGTAGGATCGGTATTGTACACCCGACAGTTGGTGAAGATCAACGACAGATCCAATTGGAATTCATCGCGTGACGAATACTCCATTTTCTTGAGCTTCTTGGTCATCAATCCAAGATCCATCGGTCTCTTTATGATCTCATAGTAATTGGGTGCAGCACTCGCCTTTACCTTATTCAAGAACGGATACGAACATTCGCCACTGTCCTTCAGCTGATTCAAAACATACTCCAACGAATCATAGAACTCTTCTTGTCCTTCATATTTGGCACCGGTCCATTTCTTTGACGATGTCTTTATGTCGGTCAACAAACTCCGAAACACTCTACTGACTGTCGGTTGTCTCTTTGCCTGTTGTTTTCTTCTTACTATTATTATTATTGTTGGAATTCGATAATAACTCTTCCGCTTCTTTTCTTCTTCTTTCTTCTTCCTCTTGTTGTTGCTGTTGTTGTAGCTGTAGTTGTTGTTGTTGCTGTAATTGTTGTTGTTGTTCTAACATCTGTTGTTGTAATAACTGTTGTTGTTGTTGTTCCAATAACATCTGTTGTTTTTGTTGTAGCTGCCGTTGTTGTTGTTGTTGTTGCTCTAGTTGTAGTTGTCGTTGCTGCTGTAATAATAACTGCTGTTGTTGCCGTTGCTCTAGTTGTAGTTGTCGTTGCTGTTGTTGTTCTAATAGCAATTGTTGTTGTCGTTGTAGAGCAGCTGCACGTTTCCGCTCGAAATTCTCGAGTGCTTCTTCTTTGGCTTCGCGGTATTGGTGTATCCGCTCGGTTTGATGCTTTCGCTTGGCCAACAGGTCGGACAACAGCTCTTTGCGCGAGATCATCTCCACCTGTTGGTTTCGTAGTGCTTCCAAACGGTTTGCTTCGGCCAGCAGCTCTAGACGACGCGCTATCGCTTCGTCTTTACGTCGTTGCAACTCTACTTGATGTCGTTCGCTCTCTGCTTCGCGTTCCGCACGTTGAACATGCACGGCATAGTCCTCGGCATCAATCTCCAACGAATAGTAAACATCATCCAATGGTTGATATAATTCATCGTCATCTTCTTTATCTTCTTTGCCATCTTCATCGTCATTTGCATCATCAGTTGCACTACCTATTTTCTTCTCTCTTTTTCTTCTTCTTACGTCATCATCATTGTTATTTTCATCAAACGATGATGACATTTCTAAACAAACAAAACTTTTATAATAACTATAATAAATAATATGAATATAAACAAGTATAAATTACATTAAACAACAATATTGAATATATTAGTTTAAACTAGATTAAAATAATGTCAATTTTGATCATCAAAAAATTTGAATTTTTGGAAATGAATCATTTTTTTTAACGGTTAATTTTTTTTCTTATTGTTTTTTTTAAAAAACATGTACTATCAACTTTAGTAATAAAAGTAAAATTATAAAGAAAATTATTTAAAAAACATTTATTGTTGAATTAAAAGTGTTATGCATTGAAATTAAATGTAATCCTTGGAAACTCTAGTTAGTGACATTGAAAGAAAATAAAATAAAAAAAACTGGAAATAGTATGATTTTAATTCTATATAGAATATATATAATATATTTTTTAATTTCCACTTCTGTACAAATTTATTATATTTAGTACTTTTTCACGGTTCCCTGGTGGTATTTCCTGTTGGAATTGTTGTGGTGTCAAATTAAGTACGTAGTGCACAAACTGTCGGTGTTGTGCGCTTAGTTGATTCCAGTTGTTCATTGCTGCCGGTGAGATGTTTGGTGGTGGTGGAATGTTTCCTGCTTGCATCTGTTGTTGTTGTTGTGGATTCATTCCCATCTGTTGCTGTTGATTTGGATTCATACCCATCTGTTGTTGTTGTGGATTCATTGCCATTTGTTGTGGATTCATATTTTGTGGTTGCATACCTGGCCCCATCATAGCCATCTGTTGTGGGTTCATACCCATCTGTTGTTGTTGTTGTGGATTCATTCCCATTTGCTGTTGTTGTGGATTCATTCCCATTTGTTGTGGTCCTACACCGCCTTGCATAGCATTCATATTGCCACCAGTTTGCATCATTCCACCCATTTGCCCCATCGGTCCCACACCTACACCACCTCGGTTCATACCTCCAACCATCTGTGGCGCAACACCTCCCATTTGTGTAGCTACACCCTGCATACCCATTTGTTGTGGATTAACCTGAGGTTGTTGTTGTTGGAAAATAGGTGAAGATGGTTGATTAAATTGTTGCTGTTGTGGATTTGGTTGTTGTTGGTTCATCTGTTGTTGTTGTGGATTAATTGGCTGTTGTTGTTGTTGTTTTGGATTCATTGCAATCAATTGCTGCACAGTATTTTGATTAATCATACCAAGAACTACCTGGGCATGTAACAACGCCAACGATAACTGTGGATTCGACACCAACATCTGTCTTGCATTCTCTGGGTTCTGTTGAATCAATTGCTTCATCTTTGTCATAACATCAAACAATTGTGTAACATTTGTATTCTCTATAATATTTTGTAATCCATCCTTTTGTTGTTGTTGTTGTTGCGGATTCATTGGTTGCTGTTGTTGCTGTGGATTCATTTGTGGATTCATTGGCTGTTGTTGTGGATTCAAACCCATCATTTGTTGTTGTTGTTGTTGTGGATTCATTTGTTGCGGATTCATTCCCATTTGTTGTGGATTAATATTCATTTGTTGCGGATTCATTGGTTGTTGTTGTTGTTGTTGAGATTGTTGATCGTAACCACTACTACCACCTATCGATCTTATTGATGCGTTTGATTCGTTACCACCGCCACCACCGACGGGTACAACACCCAGTCCAAGTGCAGATGCCAGTTCGTTTGCCTTCTCGTTGTCGGCATATGATACTCTGAGATTACGTTTGTTCAACTCACGGTTGTTCAAGTTTCTAATAGCAGACTGTGCAGTCTCTTGATCGAGATACTCACAGAATCCATAACCCTTTGGTTTCTTTGTATCTCTGTCCTCCACCATTCTGAACGAAACAACTCTACCGACCTCTGAGAATATATCTATCAGTTCTTTCTCTGTTGCATCATATGGTATATTACCAACTAAACCACCATAAACATTCATATGTTTGTTTGTTTGTCAGATAGTTAGTTTCAATAATTATAACAATAATAATCAATATAGTAATCAATGATAATGATACTTACCAAATACACTTTTAGAATTTGTTGCTCTCGTTGCCATCTTTGATGATGATATAAATATAAATATAAATAAAATAAAAGAAATATTAATTATAAAATAAACAATCAACAATGAGATCACCAATCTTTTTTTCAAAAAAAACAAAATTCAAGAAGTTCAAAAATTCAAATTTTTGTTTTTTAGTTGTTATAAAAATGTAAATTTATTACAATCAAAAAATATATCTTTTTAATAAAGATATTTTTTTATTTATTTATCTTTTTATTTAATAAATGATCAAAAATATTAAGAAAATTTATAAAATGATCAATGAAATATTGATGTTCCTTCAAATAATATTTTTATGACTTCTTTTGAGAATTAGATCTGGGAATAATATCAGAATAATGAAGAAGTATAATAAATTGTAAAGAATAGATACTAATTAATGATTAAATACCTTTTTTTGTCAATAAAACTGTTTTTGTTTTTTAAAAATTTCATATTAATTATTAAAATTACAATAATCACAATAATGTTACGTTTTTTTTTTTGATCTCACCTTTTACACTAAGCAGTTTGTTCCAGTCCGTTGAACTTTAAGTAAACATTGTGATTGTTGTTGTTTTAAACCTAGCTTAAGATAAAAGATAGAAAAAAAAAATGTTTTGGATAAATATTATTCTTTTTTTTTACTTTTTTTTTGTTTACAATTTTATTTGAATGATGTATGATTATTATTATTATCATTGATTTGTTGTTATTTGTTTTGTTTTGGTTTTTTTTAATTTTAGAAAACAGAATACTTTCCTTTATCAGAATGAGCTTGTACTTCATCGAGAATCTTTTTGATTTCAAGTTTTGCGGTTCGTACACCGGCTTCGGATGGACCTTCAATGAGCAAGTAGAGTTTCTTTTCATTGGCTGCCGGTTGTTTGTTTGGTGGGAAGTAGGTACCTTTGGTGGTGACAGCGGTGGCGGTATGCTCGATGATCTGCGCCAGTGCATCTTTGTGGGTGACCTTCCAACGTGCCTGCTGTGAGTAATCGTTGATTTCAATCTCCTCTTGGAATGTAGTGGAGTGTGCATTCGACACCACCTTGGAGGACGGTGCCGGTTTGGCGGCGAGCGAAGCCGCCAGCTGAGCAGCCTTGATGGCCGCCTCCGAAGTGATTTGCACGCCAGTGCCAAGAATCTGTTTGATTGCTTGCTGACCGGCTGGCAAGCTTGGATCGATCGATTGGAGCATGGCGGCAGCAGCGGCCATTGCAGCAGGTGGTGGCACATTGGAGGTTGCCGACGACGGATTGTTGGCGCCTACCGTGTTACTCGAGTCACCGGCTACACTGCTATTGGTTGGTGAAGTGGTTGCTGTCGGTGACTTTGTATCTAGATCGGCCGATGCAGAAACAGCAGATTCATCTTCCTCTTCGTCATCTTCAATTCCATATGCTTTCTTTTGAAGTTTTCTCTCTTCTTTCTTCTTGTCCTCTTCGGCAGCGTCAAACTTGTGTCCACGTCCACCGAAACCACTGGATGCGACCATCACTTCTTTTCCTTCTTGTCGCAAACGCTGATATTCTGCTCCAAGCTTTGTCAATTCCTCAGGAACTTTGGCGCCCGATTGCTCGAGTGCCTTGATGATACTCGGCGCGAAACGACCCTCGTCCGGCAACACAAACGTGTAGGCAGTACCTTTGTTTCCGGCACGTCCAGTTCTGCCGACACGATGAACATAGTCCTCAAGATGATCGGGACAATCGTAGTTGATAACCAAATTCAAATCCTTGACATCCAAACCTCTGGAAGCGAGTGGCGTCGCAATCAAGATTGTCTTTATCTTGTTTTTGAAATCCGATATGGTTTCGTCACGATCCGTCTGATCTTTGCTTCCGTGCAGTGAAAGACACTGATAGCCGGCACGACTCAACAATCCAAACAAATTGTCAGTGGCGTCCTGCTTGTTGGTAAAGATCAATATCTGACCTTTGTGATACCAGGTCGCCAGCAACTCGATGAGACGACGGTATCGCGTCTCGCTAGGACGCACCTCCACAACCTGCTCGACATCCGAGCAAACAATAGATCGGCCACCCGCAATAATCTCGAGTGGTTTCACCAGAATCTTACGAGCGACTTGCTCAACTTTGAACGGAAATGTCGCGGAAAACATCACCGTCTGGCGGTCTGGCCGCACATTGTCAATGATACACATAATCTGCGGACCGAAACCCAGATCAAACATACGATCGGCTTCGTCCAACACCAAGAAACTAACACGCCGCAAATTGGTGATACGCTTGTTGTTGGCGCACAAAATATCAATCATACGACCGGGTGTACAAACAACGATATCGGCGCCACGCTTCAAGTCGGCGATTTGCTCACCGATGTTGGCACCACCATAGACACAACAAACACGCAGTCCCAACACCTTTGAAAACTTTTTACACTCTGAATAGATCTGAAGTGCCAACTCACGCGTCGGCGACATAATCAGACCGACCATACCCTCGCCTTGCTTAGGACGGTCCTGCGACAAAACATGTCGGAACATCGGCAACAGAAAAGCCAGCGTCTTTCCAGATCCAGTACGAGCGATTCCAATTATATTTCTTCCAGACATAATCGCTGGAATCGTTTGTGCTTGAATCGGTGTAGGTTTTTCATATTCATTCTTTTTCAAAAGTTGATGACTAAATAATTTGTGGAAATAAAGTTGGTGGAAAGAAAAACGACATTAGTTATATTCTTTTGGTTTGTGAAATTAAATATAAATTCATTTGTCTATATATACATACATTTTTTCAGGTAATCCACATTGTGCCCAAGTCAATACGGGTTTCGGACAGTTCTTTCCGGTTATCTTTATGCCTAGTTCCGAGCGGTAGTCGAGAACCTCTGTGTCGGTCATGTTGGAGAGTGTCGGCACTTCAATGTAGAAATTCTTTTCGAACGCTGGATAGTCTATCGATGAATGATCGGTGCTCAACAACTCACGTTTTCCTTTCTTCACTTCTTTTTCCTGTTCGTTTTCATCCTCTGATTCCTCTTCAAAGTCTGCTTCATCGCCATCCTCCAATCGCTTTGCTTTCATCAACACAATCGTTCCATTACCATTTCCATTGGCAGCGGCAGTAGTAGCACCATTTCCACCATTTCCATCAGCTTTATTTGTGTTATTATTACTCTTCATTAGTTGATTCATAAAAGCATCAAGAGGATCTTCCTCTTCCTCCTCCTCTTCCTTTTGATTAGCAGATGTTGTTGTTGTTGTAGTGTTATTATTTTGTTGAGATATCTTTTGTAGTGGTGGTAGTAGTTGTTGTTGACTAATATCCTTCATATCTACATCTTTAACATCCTTTTCTTTTGTTTCATCTTCTTCGTCCTCCTCTAAACTCCATTCTTTTGTCTTTGTTGTTGTTGTTGTTGTTGTTGCTGTTGTTGTCGAAGTTAAAAGAGCGGCAGCGGCAGCTTGTTGTGCTTGCAGTTCTCTTTCCTTCTCCTTACGCCATTGTTCAACTTTTTCTCTTCTCTTTCTCATTTCTTCTTCAAGACGTTCCTGCTCCTTTTGTTTCTCTTCTTCTCTTTGTTTCTTCAGAACTTCTGGATCGACTGGTGGAGTCACCGGTACAGGTGGAGTTGTCACTACTGCTGCTGGTGGAGAACTAACCACTTGTTGACCAGCAATAGTTGTTGTTGCTGATGTTTTTGCTGTTGTTGTTGTTGTATTTAATGTTGACTGTTGTTGTTGTTGTGCATTACTAAAAGAACCATTTGTAGAAATAGATGTTGTTGCTGTTGCTGTTGCTGTTGTTGTTGGTGTTGTTGAGGTATTTAATGTTCTTGTTGGTGAAGTTGGTGTTGCAATTGTTTGTTTATTGTTATCATCTCTTTTTGAAAGGTCATCGCGGTAATCTCTTCTACCTTCATCTCTGTAATCACCACCACCACGTCTGTACTCTTTTTCACGTTCGTATCTCTCACGTTCATATCTATCTCTATCATCACCTCTTCTATAGTCTCTATCTCTTTCATCACCTCTTCTATAGTCTCTTTCTCTATCTCTATCTCTTTCGCCACTTCTTCTATAGTCTCTGTCTCTATCTCTGTCGTCTCCTCTTCTTTCATCACCTCTTCCTCTATCTCTTTCTCTATCTCTATCTCTATCTCTTTCGCCACTTCTTCTATAGTCTCTATCTCTATCGTCTCTTCCTCTATCTCGCTCATCTCTTCTATCTCTTTCTACTTCTTTACTTTTTCTACCGTCTTTTGAATGTGGCGATGAATTTGAACTGAGTCTCGATGACTTTATTTCATCTCTATCACGTGATGATCTCTTTCTTTTTGCATTATCAATATCCATTTTATTGAATATTCTAAATATATATCTATCTATCTATTTAATTATTTATTTTCTTATATTTTAATAAAAGTAATATATATTCAAACGAATATTCAATTCTGAAACAATAATAAACTTTTTCAAGAGAATAAATTGATTAAACAATACTCACACCCCGTAAAATTTATAATGCAAAAAATAGTGTTGAAATTCAGATTCAATTAAAAATTAATAAAAAAATGCTCTCTATTTTTGATTTTTCTACAATTAAATTAGATACAGATAATTATTTTTGTATAAAAAATAAATATAAATATATCTAATTATTTATTATATTTATCTATTTTTATAATAAAAATAAATAAATATTAGATAAATAGAATATATTTTATTCAATATGATTTGTTTTTTTGAAATAAAAGATATTATATTTTTATTCTTAAATAAATAATTTTATAAATACTTTTTAGATTATTTTTTTTATATGTTTTTTTATTTGGTTTTTTTATTTGTTTTTTTTTGTTGAAATAATTTGTAAAGAATTAATTTAGTTGATTCCTTCCATATTAAGTTAAATAATTGGAATTGGTGTGGAGTTGAGATGTATACTAAAAACTGGTAGTAGTGACAATCAGATATCGATAGTCTTTAATTTGTACATGTTGATTGCAATACTATTGGTAAAATATTATAAATGGTTGTGTTGAGTTGGAGTTGTAGTTGGAGTTGAAATAATTAAATATACAATTGGAATAAAGCTGAACACTACCACAATTAGGATGGTGATGGATTGAAAGATGGATCAGCTTGTCCTTCTCCGACTTCCTCCAAAAGAGTTTGTTCGACTCTACTGGTATTGAAACATGATTTATGAATCATGGCAGCAGATGACAATCTGGAAATGAAAAGAAAATAAAAGAAATATTAATATTTGTAAATTAAATATTTTAAGAAACTTTAACAACTTACTTTGCATTTTTCATTGCAAACTCTGGCATTCTCGATTGAGTAGAGAATTTCTGGGTGAGATTTGGCACGGTGGAACTCAAGACTCTGGAGTTGAAAGCACGGTACATACTATTCATTTTGTTTTATCAGTGGTTTAACTTTATAAAGTTGATAATAAATGGATTTGGAAATTTGTATTGAAAATATTTGTTGGTAAAGAGTTGCCAATTCTACTTTAATTTATAATTATAATTAAAACGGAAAATAAAGAATGACAAAACTAAAGTGGTTTCTTTTGTTATAACAAAGAATATTTTAGAAAATAAAAAGTTAATTAATTAATTAAATGTAAATATTTTGGAAATTTAGAAAAGAGTTAAGTTTATATTATTTTGGTAATTTGCTCAGTTTGGTGTAATAATAGTTTAATTAAAAGAATTTGATAAAAAACAAAAAAAATAATCTATTTTGGTTGAATTTGAATTACTGTATAATTTTGGTAATTTTTTTTTTACATTATTTCATTGGTTGCAATGAAACTAGCACACCTCATACGATTATTTGTGAAAGTATTATTAAAAAGATTATGAAAATAATGAATTTGTTTTGTTTTTTTTTTTATTTTAATTTAATGGGGATTGAGATGAATTGAATGGGTAAAAAGTAAATAATTAAATTTGTTTTTTTTTTTTTGTTTTTTTGTTGAGTTTGTTGTTGTTTTTTGTTGTGCACTGTGGATGCAGTGATATTTTAAGATATTCTTTAAAACTTGAATATTCAAAATTGGTAATTTATTGTTGTAACAAATCGATGTTGATATTGTTCATTGAACTAATATTAGTTAAATCATTGTCCAAACAATGGTGAGTGAGTGTTTCCATCCCATTATGTCACATATATGCAATTTAATGTTACAGTGAATTTTTAAATAAACATCTAAAAATTATTTTGAAAAAAATATAATTATAGTAATATCATTTTAAAATAATAAGATATCAGATGGAATATGGAAATGGAAATTATATATTTATATTATAAATATGGAAATATATATTGAAGATATATAATATATTTGAAAGTTTTTAAATAGATGTAAATTTTTTAATTATTTACTTACAAATAATAGGATTTGGATTTAATAAAATGTGTTGTTTTGCAGATGATCTGGATGGATGGACTACAACTGGATATTAATCGGTAAGTCGAGTTCAAAATTTGATTTCTATAAAAGAGTGATTGAATGTGAAATGAATAAAATTGTTCCAATTTATATCTTTCTTGTCCAGAGAAATAAATTTCAAAAAAAATTAAAAATAAATTATAATATATTAAAAAATTAAAAATAAATTAAAAAAATACTTTTATCTGATTTTTTTGTGTTTCTGTGCTTTGTTATGTTATTGAGTTGCCCACACCCACCAACCATAGATAAGAAAAAAAAAAGCAAAAACAAACAAAAATAATTAATCCTTTTTTGGTTTTTTGTAGTTATTTTTGATTAATTTACCCCCCACATACTACTACTCTTATTATTTGATTTAAATTAATTTTATTTTACTTTTTACATTTTTGTTGTTTTGTTTTTTGTTTTTTTATCAATATCAATTTGCACAAAAATTATTAATCTGAGTTTTCTGAAACGAACAACAAAAAACAACAAAAAATGAGTGAATGAATGTTATTGACAAGAAATTCAGTGGTATAAAGTGTGGAGTGTTGTGGTAATCATTCAAAAATGAAAGCAAATGAAAAGTAGTTTCTCATTTTGTTGCAGAATTGGGTTGGTAGGTAAATGTTTTAACAAAATCAAGAAGATAATAGAAAATACGGAAATCATTCTCCAATAGATCTAAGATCATTACTATAAAAACTAGATTCAAACACCACACATTCTTGTCAAACTATGGTTCAACCATTGAATTACTTTAAATATGCATTTTTGCAAAAATCGGCAAATCTATGACACCTTTGACACTCTTTATCATCTTCATACTTGACAATTTTTAATTTTTTTTAATTTTATTTTCATTTTTCATTTTTCTATTTTTTTTTTAAAAACTAAAATAACATCATCACAACCACACTAAGGTATACCAAATAGTAAATCAGATTCTTCTGTTTCTATTTCTAACATTTCATGTGAAATGTATTGTTTTTTTTCTTTCATTATTATGATAATTATAAATATTAAATATTAAGTATTTTTACTATTTTTATTTTGAACAACTTTGTTATTCAGTTAATTAAAGCAACAACAACAAAATCAACACACATGATCCTATTGTCAAAATCTCGAATAGTGTTTGTCATTAATTAAAGCATCATCAACAATAACAACAACAACCAGACCTAACTAAACAACCACAATCTAAAATATCTAATAAATTTAGCTCCTGCACTCACACTGAAATAGATATCTTTCTCGGTGCGTTGTGGTGTGGTAAATAATATTATGGTTGTTGTTTGATGATGATAATGTAACTCATTAGATAATACTCTCATTGGAGTATATCCTAATTTGTTCATACGATAAATGAGGGTATTAATACAATACTTTAGTTATATATATAACACCAGGTGGTAATCGTCATTAAATCAAGCTATCATTATTTTAAAATTGATTTGATTCTCTTAATAATAGAATATTTACATATATTAAACACACTCATACCACCACCACTATAACTCACATAACACATAATACCACACATATATATATCTTTTTTCTATTTTAATATAATAACATTATTTTATTGTCGATCTGAAATTTTGTAAATATATAATGAATTATCATAATTCATTCATTTTTCATTTCATTGTTTTGAATTCAAGTTGATAATAATTAATTATTCAAGATTATTACAAAATTATATATGTTTTTAAAGAGAAATAACTTTCTCCTATACAATCATATATTTATTATAATCAATTTAGTTAAATCTACATATTAGACAATGAATCAAGTAGATATTGGACATTATGATATTTGAAAAGAGGAGATTATCTATTTATCTACTATCTATCTAATATATCTCCTACCCATTGACTTGACTTTTATTATTTAATCATTTATCAAATCTAGATTAATTAAAACCATTTGTTTATTATGATAATGGAAGAAATGAACTCAATCCAATCAATCATATGATATTGTTTATTATTTTAGTTTACACATTCATTTGTTATCAGTGTAATTTACAAAGATTGTCATTATCTCTCTTTTTTATTATTATAATGGGTTGGTATATACCGACCAACCAAATAAATTAATTAAATGTGATAGTAGGATATAAAAAAAACAAACAAAAATGTTATTTAATGATAAAAACAATGTATTAATTTAAAAACAATGTTGATTGTATGCTTTGATTATTATGATTTTTACATGTGATTTTTAATTAACATTGATTGTTTAAAGAGTTATCTTTGTTCCTAGTTTCTCGAGGAACAATGCTAGCCACTCAGAGTGACCGGGCCATGCAACTGCAGAGACAATGTTGTGGTCGGAAACAGCTTTGTCGGCAGCGGTATCTTGGAAGTTGGCACCGGCCAAAATCAACTCTGGTTTGCAAGCTGGGTACGAAGTGCAACGGATTCCCTTGAGGACACCGGCGGCAGCCAGGATCTGTGGTCCGTGGCAGATCGATGCGATCGGCTTCTTGGAGTGGTGGAATTGCTGGGTGAGTTCGATGACCTTGGCATTCAAACGGAGGAACTCTGGTGCACGACCACCTGGAATAACGAGAGCATCGTAGTCACACTCCTTGACAGCTGCAAAGTCGAAATTCAACTTGAAACGGTGTCCACGCAACTCTGTGTAGGTTTGTTCGCCTGGCAAGAAATCGTGAACAGCGGTCACACAGAAATCGCCGGATTTCTTGTCCGGACTGACAACGTGCACAATGTGACCTACCATCTCCAAGCATTGGAATGGTACCATAACTTCATAGTCCTCGCTTTTATAAGTTATAATCAACAACAAAAATACTAATTAGTCAATTTCGAAAAATCTAATCTGTTTGAAAATTGCAAGCTCCTACATACACATAATCACCAATGATCATTAAAATCTATAAATATTGTGTGACGCTGTATTAATAAATGATAATAATAATCTAAAATAGATAGTTTTGTATTAAATTACCTTTTTTTTAGTCATTCTATTTTATTATATTTGAAGTTAGTTTTAAACTTAATAAAGTATGAATGAACAAATTAAATCAAGTGGTTAAATTAAATCAGTGAACTTAACTTTGTTTTTTTCATGTTTTTCGAGACCATTTAGCCCATTAATAAAAAAACAGCATTTTACAAAAAAAAAAAATCTTTTCAAAATTGTTTTAAAGTAATATCTTTCTCAGTCACGCAGACTTATCGAAAAATTTTTTTTCATGTTTTGGTATATATATTTTTATTTATATTATGTTTAATGATAAATTAAATACTTAAAGTTATTTATTTCGGATATTCTATTTGTTTATTTATTGAATCTTTTGTTATTAAATTTACTGTAACTTCATGAATGTGAGAATCTCTTCATGAACTTGTATGTGTGTTGACCACTAAAATTTTTCATTATCATAATGATTTTTTTTGTTTTTTTTATAAGATTATGTGTGTTCGCAATCTCATTGTTATTTGTTATTTTTTGTTTTAACCATTTTAGATTTATATAGCAACAACAACAACAACAACAACTTTATTAAAACCAATCATTATTGATAAAGTTGCAAGTTATTAAAGAATTATTATAAATTTAGTAATATTATGTTTATTTGCAAATCTAATAATAAAAATAGAATGGTTTTGAACCTCACAACACAATACACTTTATTTTAAATAAAGAAAATAAAATAAAATAAAATAACGGTAGGTCTTTTAAAGGGCATACATTCATACCATCATTAGTATATCACACCCACCTACCTTTTCAAAATATATTAATTAAATACCTACCTCTTTAGATTTTGTGTTTGTTTGATCAAAGATGTGTGGTGGTGTGGTATGAATATTATATTATTGAAAAAAAAGCCTTTTCTTTTGTTTTTGTGCTAGATTGTATGTGTAAATGATCTTTTAATAAAAAAACTACTTCATATATGGAGATAGCGCTTTGTGCTGTACTATGGCATGCATCTCATCAAATTTAACCAACAAACACCTATTTAAAGTTTCAAACCGGTCAGTCGGTCGGAAATGAAATGATTACTTTAAATAGTTCAAAATATGATAAAAATCTTTATTTTCAATATTCTATAGGGTGTCCATAGGTTGATTCACCATTAATGGTACTCAAGATCAAGATGCACCTCTCACTCGAACCTAGCATTATAAATACTTTCGTGGCATTGCCAATCAGCAATAACATCAAAAATCAATTGAACAACCAACAACAACAATCAATTAATTATCTTAATCATTATTTATTTATTGTTTGTTTGTTATCCAATTGAATAGTTATTAGTTGTAAATAGATTATTATCCTTTTTAAAATTAATTAAAATTTAAACTCTTTTACTTTTTTTTTTTTTTGTTATTAATAATTAAATTTAATTATGAAATTATTTAATAAAATATTAATAATAACATGTCTAATGTTAGGTGTCTGTTTGGCAGATGATTTCAATGTGACATTGACCAATTTCAGAAGTGTCCAGAATGACTTGGTAGATTTGGAGGTTGTCCAGACAAGAGTTGATCAATTACTCGGTACAATCACTGTTAATGGCAGTTGGCCAGACATTTCCTATGAATCTTCCAACGGATCATCCAATGTTGATTCTAGTCGTAGAGGTGAATGGCAACCACTTAGACATGCAGAGAATTTCCTAATGATGTCCATCACCTTTGTAAACAGCAACTCCTCGGCACCTGGAAATTCATCCGACGATCTACTTGCCAAGACATTGCTTGCTTTCGATTTTTGGATGTCTTCCAATTTGACTGCGCCAGACAATTACACTGAGTACAGAGCTCTCTCCAGCCTTGTTGCCGGTGCACTTTTACTCCAAGAGAATTTAAATCAAAGTAGAATCGACCTTCTCAACTCCACACTTTCAGAGATGAATGTTTCGGACGATGCCAACCGAACTCTTTCCAACCAAATGTTTGTCAACGAATTCATTTTGGTTAAAAGTCTATTCCTCTCTGACAATGCCTCACTCTCCACCTATTTCAACCAAACATGGCAATTAGTTCATATCTCCAATTCAACTCTTGATGGAATCAAAGTTGATGGTACTTTTTATTTTAATGGACAAGTAAGTATTTTATATAATTTAATATATAATTATCCATATCATATTAATATTTTTAAATTATTTATTAGTTAATACATAATGGTAATGTTGGTGCTAGATTCGCTACGGATGTATTAAAGGCAATGGTTATTGCAAATGGTACATCGTTTGTCGCTACCAATGAAACTATGGATGTTTGGTCAAACTTTATGTTGAATGGATCGCAATGGATGGCCTTCTACAATGGAAATAACTCGTATTGGAATCCACAAGTAGTTCAATACCTTATTACTAGAAAAGATGGTACCAAGTTTAGTATTCCAACCGACTTACTCTTAAAGTCACCTGTTCATTCCTCAGAGTTTAAGGATTGGGTTGATTATCTTACTGGTGACTCCAATTCAACTGATTCATCTGAATCCGATGATGATGATGATAGCCAAGAAGATCAAGATAAGAGAAGAATGAATAGACAATATTGGTTCGGGGATTACATGGTCCATTCTCGTGGAAACTATTCGGTTTCTCTTAAATTCCATTCGTCTCGTACATTTAATACTGAATGTTACCTTGGCGATGGACTTCCAACTACAAAGATGAGCGACGGTTCTTTCTTCCTACAAAACATTGGTTCGACATACTCTGACAGTGTCTATCCTCTTTTCAATTGGGATTTGATACCTGGTGTCACAACCGATATGGCATTGAACAAGACCTCTGTTGCCAATATGACATGTGATGAGAGTGTCAGACACAAAGGATTGAGTGATTTCGCCGGTTCTGTATCCGATGGTGAATATGGTGCTGCCGCTTTCAATCTAATGACCAATCATTCAGCTGTAACCGGAAAGAAATCATGGTTCTTCTTTGAGGAGCACATTGTATTGCTTGGATTCAATATCTCTAGATCCGGAAATAACAACAACAATTCAACGGTTGTTACCGCCATCGATCAAAGAATGGCAGATGGTGATATCTTTACAAGTGGATCCGATAGTCGTCTTGATGGAAATCAAACTGAATTCTCAAACATCACTTGGTTCCATCATGATAGAGTCGGTGTCTACTTCCCCAAGTCACCAGCTTCCAACTCACTAAACATTCATATCGGTGTTGAAAACAAGACTGGACGATGGGAAGACATCGGTTCATCCAGTGGCAATGTAACTGGTCAACTATTCACTGCCTATCAAACTCACCCGAACCAGTCATCTGAATATCAAATGATTGTCATTCCAGATGTAGATGTCCAAGAATTCAATTCCACCGTCGACGGTCTCTCAGAGTCAATCATTATCCTCAACACCGATGACATTCAAGCGGTTGCTCATTTCCAATTGAATTTGGTGCAGGCTGTATTCTGGCGTGCCAATGCCAGCCTCAACATCACCATGGTTAACCACAACTTCAAATTGTCTCCCAGCTCACCATGTATCGTGCAAGTCAAATTCCTCAAAGTTGAAAACGACCGATCCAATTCCATCGCCATCAGTATCAGTGATCCAACTCAGAAGCTGAGCAACATAACAATGGCAAGCTGTGTACAATTGACCGGTCCAAATGCAACCTACGATCCAAACACCAAAGGTTCGACCATCGTCTTTACTTTGCCAAGTGGTGATTTCTCTGGTTCAACATTGACTCAAATCTATACTATTGGAGGTGATGGTGGTAGTACAACTGGAAATCCAACTACTGGCAATCCAACAACAACTTCATCAACAACCAATTCTCCATTCACAACTGGATCACAAACAACTAGCAGCAATCCAACAACTGGAAATCCAACTACTGGCAATCCAACAACCAACTCTCCATTCACAACTGGATCACAAACAACTAGCAGTAATCCAACCACTGGTACTCCTACCACTACTGAAGGTTCAACAACATGTCCCGATGGAGCATATACTGATAACAATGGTGCCAAAGTTACTACAACAGTTGACGTGACAACAACTTCATCGTCCATCATTGTCACACCATCACTCACCATAATCTTTTTGGTTGTAATTGTTTTACTTCAATTTTCAAATTGATAAATTTATCAAACCAATATTTTCATGTATATAAATTAATTTTAAATAAAGAGTTTTAAGGATATATATTTATTATAAACAATTTTTGATTTTATATAATTTATTGAAGATAATGAGTGGTTATATACTTTAAACAAACAATAGCTAGACCAAATCAAACCAAACTATGAAAAAACTATTACAAAATTTAATCAATGTTGAATCATATAGAGTTTTCCATTTTACCTTATTTAAAGGGATAAAATCCTACCTATCTTTCCATTTTGACTTAAATTTTGTAAATTCATCAAACTCTTTACTTTAAGTATTAATTGGGTCTTTATAAAAAAAAGAAAAAAAGAAAATATAAAAATAAAATTTTAAAATATAACAAAAGATTACTTACCGATTCCAATTGGAATTTCCTTTAAAGGAAACTTTAGGGAATATTGAAGAATCATCTAATTTAGTGGTAAGATATTCTAACTGGAACTGATTCAAGTTGTAGAATTCTACTAGAATGAAACTAAATAAAGAGATGAGGTCATTGCTATGAACATCATGATTTGCCAAATTCAACTTAATAAACAATTAAAAAAATATGATTCTAAATGATTATTTAGAGTGATTGAAGAATCTAAAATTCTACTACTATTTCTTTTCTCTGAAAAAACTAGTTACTTTTTGAACATATTAAAGACTCACTCTTAAAAAAACAATCTTAAATTAACATTTTTTTATCTTTATATATATTTAATTTTTTTATCTTTATATATATTTAATTTTTAAAAGGTTTTTAAAAGAATAATAATGAAATTATAGTGTTATTTAATATATTTTTTAAATTTTAAATAATTCTATTTTTTTTCAGTAACTTTAAATGATATTTCTCTATTTTTATTAAAAAATTATTTTTTTTATTTTGTCAAACATGTTATTAAAATTTAATTTAATTTAATTAATATTATTTTAAAATAAGCTTAAACAGAAAAATTTTTGTTCTATACAGTGCAATCAACCAACAGTACTGTAAAACAAAAGATGTTTGATCAGATATACAATCACATGTATTATAATCATAGATTGATCAAAAGGAAGTGTATGTGTGCAACTTCTTGAATAGCAAAGTGTTAAGTAATGTGTATGTAATAAATTACTATATTGGGAGGTGATACTATAGTATTATCTTACTAAGAGTATACCGATTTATCATTATACAAACGACAAGAAAATGCAATATGCAGTGTTGCTATTTGAATGAATGATTCAGTGGTGGGATACATGTATGACCTCTTTCTCACTACCTCCAGATTGTATTTCCAATCATGTAAGTATAATTAAAACCACGATACCATTTGTAAAGCTGATGTTAACATCTGTAAATCTCTAACTCAACTATCATCATAGATAACAACAGGTTATGAGATATTGATAGTAATGGTAGATACCAACCGAATGATTGCAGAGCATGTGCATGAGGATTACACACTGTACATGCATGTCTACAACTTGTACAACTTGCTAAGTTTGGTTGTTCCTTGGATATTTAGCAATAAAAAGTGGTATAGTTTGATGGTAGCAAGTGTATTATTCGGTTTATCGATCTATATACAGTATCTATAGGTGAGCTACTCCACCAGGTATTTCCAGTTTGTTAGCAAGTTTAAGTAGCCAAAGTCATCTGGAGAAGCAAACTAGGTATTCAATACTCTCTATTTGTACGCTATAGAACAGCTTAGGTAATGATTCAACTCACCAATTGGCGATATTATACTTGGCATTCAAACGCTTTTGATCCAACTCAAACTTTTGCTTTAATTGTGCTGGACAAGTGACCACTACCATCGAAGAACACTTCAAAGTACCATTCAAGAATTGAAACAAAAAATATGCAGCGGTAGTATCTATATACAACACATAGGGATGAACGTTCATGTGTATGGATTGATCACGACGGTGGTGGCAACCTAGCACAAGTCGAACCAAACACTTTGACCAAATCAATTAGTCAAATCCTATCCAATAAGCGCGCATTTTTAACATCTGGTCTTAAAAGGTAGACGCCCAATGTGGGGCTCGAACCCACGACCACACGGTTAAGAGCCGTGCGCTCTACCGACTGAGCTAACCGGGCACTGTGGGTAAAAATTCACATTTTAAGTTTTTGTAATATCATACCCAAAAATTTCTCTTTTTTCCCATCTCTCTAACTATATTTGTATAGATAAAATATAACTTATCTCTCTTTTCTTTCTTTCAAATCACTAGTTATTTTTTTTATAAAATAAGATTTTTTTGTAATCATTAATCCTGTGCTTCTTGTTAGTGGATTACAAACTGAGGATCTAATCACAGCAACATTTCCATTCATCCATCTAACAGCCCGTTGTGACTCCCTTAGCCCTCCATCAGTAGTGGTATCCTGGTGGTCCCGACCTAAGGAGTAGAACATAGAACAGACATCATTTCCACCTCCTGGTCTTTAGTTGACATTCATTTTAATTAATTATTAATAATTACTAGTTGCAATAAACCCGCGGTACAATTGTTGTGTTGTTGAATATCTCAACTTCTACCTTGTATTGTAAAAAAAAACCCAAAATTACTAAAAACTATATAATCTTGTAAATTTAACCTTTTCATCGCTAAGTTACCTGCTTACCATTACACACATCTCTTTATTACTACTATTATTACTTTCATTATTTAATTAATTTTATTTATTTTATTCAAACATAGGATTTACCTGCAGTGGTGTTGTATTTTGTTTTGACTTTCACCTTTTTTTTTTTTTTTTTTGTAAGCATTTAATGAAGTTGTAAGTGACAATTTCGAAGGACATAGTTAGTGAAATGATTCATTCGTGGGCCTTCATTACTTCGACCCGGCTCGAGGCTCGGTAATGAATAAGTTTCCCGCTACCCGAATGTATAAAAAACTGAAGTCCCAAGATCCCATGGGCAATACATTGACACCTGGTGAGGATAAAAACACCTCTTTAGTGTTTTTTTTTTTTTAATAATAACTAAAGTGGTATACATGTTTTATTAAAAGTTGTATTAAAAGGATGGATTTACCATCAAGTTTTTTTCGTAGTCTATTTTTTTTCTTTTTAGTTGGTGGTTGATTTAATTAATTAGTTGGCAGGTTGGGAAGAGAGTTAATTTCATTTACTTGATTAGTTGGCTGGAGTTGGAATGTTGTTTATTAATTTTAGAATGTTTCTGTGGATATCGAAGTCGGATATAATAGATTGGTTGGAGAAATCGAGTATTTTGTCATCTTGACTGAATAGAATTGAATTGACATGTTTCCAAATGTTGTGGTAGATGATCGCTGTTAGGTCTGATGATTCATCGCAGAGGTAGAAGTGAGTAGTAGATTTTTCCAGTGACCATTCGTCTTCGTAGTGGCAATTTGTAGATGTTGTGTGATGTGTTGAGGTGAATTTGTTTAGGATGACTCGACAATTAAAGAAATAATGTGTGTGGGTCAAAGTCATTTGCTGAACATAGTTTACAACTGTCTTGTTTGATGTATGCCATACCAGGAAGTGATCCTGAGAAGAATCTGAATACTGTGTTTCTACCTCTGTGGTGTTTGATGGAGTTAATGTAGTAGAAGATGTTTCGGTTTGATGTAAAGTCTATTTTGGTGGGGGGAAGAGACAGTTGGAATTGACCTGATGTAAGTACTGGTTTGTGGTGATGGTTGATAAGGTTGTGGTATATGAGTTTAAGTGGTAGTGGTTCGTCATTACGCAATATTGGTTTCATTTGATGTGGAGGTAATTTCATAATTGGTCTAAAATGTTGCCAAAGAAGGATGGAATGTTTGAGTGTAGGTGAGGTTATCTTGTTATGTCTAATCTGGTTACGCCAGCTTTGGTAGTATGGGGAATAGACATCTTGATTTGCAATTACTCTATTTAGTATCCAAATGTGTTGAGCGTCATTTCGTAGTTTCATATCCCACAATGAAATGCCACCATTTTTCCAATGATGTACTGCTCTGGAGAGTGTCATTGTATTCTTAAATGATTTTGCATCTTCGATCATTTAAGATATAATAGAACAACAATCTATTTTATAAAATTTGATCAAAAGCGGGTTTGTGATTTGAGATTGCGCTACGTCGGTTCCGACCATCCGGAGAGTTGGATACCTCCTCTTTATGAGTTGGTAAGGATTTGATTTTGCTTCATCAGAACCACGATTGTGATCCTGAATCCACCAGTTTTGAAGTCGATTGCATTAAGCATCAACTCCCACGCCCCGGCGGTCGAGTACCGTGCACTATTAGAAATTTGTAAGTCATTTTGTATTCAAAGTATGACGATAACTTTTACGCTCAATCACGAACTTATTAAATCAATGTAATCTTAAAGTTTAAAAACCATGTGAACAAAAGACAAGAATAAGACTTATGGTGAAAAATAGTCCAATTCCAAAAATTTTCTGGAACGATCAAAAAAAAAAAAAAATATTATATTTTAATTAAATATAAATTATAAATTTTTTTCAATGAGGCTAAAAAAAAGCAAATCAAAATAAGATTTCATTACCCTTACTTAAAGCTTTGTTTGTTTTTTGTTGATTTCTATTGTTGCATCTACCTCTAATATACTTTATTCATTTAGTTTTTTTTGTTATTTTTATTATAATACATACATATTACTTTTCATATTATAAATATTCAACGTGGCATCTGAGCGATAATTTAGTAATCAACAATAAGTTCTAATGGTTTGCTTGATGTGCTTAACCTAAAGATAGAAAATGGATGGGAAGAATACCTTAAAACTCTAAATTTGTGCATTCGAATTTTCTTTTGTTTTGTTTTGATTTGATTTTCTCAACATTCGAAGAAATTTTAAATTATAAAATTTGGTTGCAATTCTAATACGTTATCCAACAAAAATTTCAGATAAAAATTTAATAAAAATTAAACAATTAATAATAAAATCTGATAATTGCTGCAAATTATTGGTGATGATGATCACAATATTAAATTCTTTGTGAATAATAATAAAATTTTTTTAAATTTTGTTTTTATTATAAAATAAACAAAATATATTAGTTTTTTATAAATAAATTGGTGTTTTTTGTTTGTTATTGTCGGTGGTGGTTGTTTTTTCACTTGTTTAGTAATGTTGTTTGAGTGTAGATTGTGGTTAATAGCAAACAACAAAAACATACAAACAAACAAACATACAAAAATTAAATATTGATATTTAAGTGCGAAGAACTGTTGTTATAACAACATCATAAAAAAGTAAAAACAAACAAAAATCCTGGTGAATATATATTAATATCAACTTATCATCATCATTTAACTAACTAATTAGTTAGTTCCGAATCTCATTTGTACATACATATATTATTATTATTATTATTTATTCACAATAATCTTATAAATACATATATTTAATTTCACTTATTATTTATTCACCTCTACTCTTTCATATTTCTTTGATTATTATTATTTTATTAGATATAGATATAGATATAGATAGTAAATTAAATATATAGATATTTATTTTAGATTTGTAAATAAGTTTAGATTTGTTATTAGTAAAATAAATTATAATCTCTTTATTATGTAATAATGACACAAACACAGTTATTGGTAGAAACGACTACTGCATCTATATCTATTCTCCAAACAACTTCACTTGATAATAATATAATGGTAGAAGGTTCATCTAGTACCACCACTACAACAACAACATCATTACTTAATCATCATAACCATCAAAGAAAGAATAGTAATAATAACAATAACAATAACAATGATTTACATCAACATCAAAGAAAGAATAGTAATAATAACAATAAATTAAATAATATAATACAATTATATCATCAAAAAGAACAACATCCAATCGTTGTTGATAATTTTACAAAATTATTCAAAAAACTATTTGGAAATTCAGTTTTATTTAAAACGATATTTGCTCATGTCTATCATATCAATAGGAGATTGAGAGTGGTGGCTAATACCACTAGTGGAAATGTACATAATCAACAACAACAACAACAACAACAACAACATAATCAACAATATTACCATCAACATTATCAACAACAACAACAACAACATTATCAGCAACAACATTATCAAAATCTATTGCAACCGGTTGGTGTTATTTATAGTAGATTCTATGATCAGATTATCAGTGTAGATTGGATGATTGCCAATCGATACTATGCATTGCTACAAGACAAGATAATAAGGAAACAACCATTGTATGGTTGGCGATCGTATCATCTCGATCAACTGGCACTGGCAGGTCAACTGAACCTCTTGAAACTACTCTTTTACAAACCGGAAACCAATCCAATCTTTACAGTCTCTTGTTTAGATAAAGCTGCGGAAGGTGGTCATCTTCAACTCGTAATCTTTCTCAATCAATATAGAACAGAGGGTTGCACATCAAATGCAATGGATCAAGCTTCAAAGTGAGTGGTTTGTTTAGCGTATGCGTTAGAAAGTTTATGAATTATATATACTAATTAGTATCTCTATCTTTTAAAACATAATTAAAGAAAAGGCTACTTAAAAGTTGTAAAATGGTTACATTTCAATAGGAATGAAGGATGTACAACCGATGCTATTGACTTGGCTGCAAGTAATGGACATCTAAAGGTGGTTCAGTTCCTCAATGAGAATAGGACAGAAGGTTGCACGGTGGCAGCAATTGATGCTGCCGCTACGAATGGTCATTTGGCAGTGGTGCGATATCTCTATGAGAATCGCGGTGAACGATGTACAAACGAAGGTTTTATGGGTGCTGCTCAAGCCGGTCATCTCGAGGTGATCGCTTTCCTCTGGGAGGTGATGAAGTACCCGATTGGGTTCTCGGTGTTCTTGGCAGCGGCAAACAATGGACATCTCGATGTGCTCAGTTACATCAGTGTCAACATTGCCATTGGCAATGCAGAGTTCACTCAGGAGAACTACTATCGTGCGTTGGAATCGGCGTCGCGCAACGGTCACTTTTACGTCGTCAAATACATCTGGGCGTTCATCGACACGAAACGACGAACCAACGCACTGATTCTCGCTGCCAGACGCGGTGACATGAGTATTGTTACATTCCTACATCAATTGCAACTCGAAGGTACAACCTATGAAGCGATCGATCACGCTGCAACCAACGGCCACCTTGCGATCGTAAAATGGTTACATCAGAATAGAAGTGAAGGAGCAAGTAGTCAAGCATTAAATGGTAGTGCGTAAAGTATCAAACAAAACGAAACATAACATAACATAACAAAGTTAATTAACTTTTCTTATTCATTTATTAGATATCACGGCCACATTGAAGTTGTAAAGTTTTTACATGAATTTAGAACAGAAGGTGGAACCAATAGAGCATTAGATTTCGCATCATCCAATGGACATTTCGATGTTGTTAAATTCTTGAATGAAAATAGAAATGAAGGATTTACATCTTATGCATTGGATAATTCTTGTCTTGTAAGTTGTTAACTCATCGCGATATGTTAACTTACACTTGATACTAATCATAATAATAATCATTGTTTTCCAGAATGGTCATATCGATATAGTTAAATATTTAGCGAATAATAAAAACGTTGGATGTTCAATGAATACGTTGAAACTGGCTTGTGAAGGTGGACATTTAGAGATTGTGAAATTCCTATGTGAAACATTCACCAATCACAATTATCCTCAGGCGTTGATTGCCGCCGCCAAAAAGGATTTGGAAATTACAAAGTATCTACTGGAAAATATACCAAACTATCAACCACAGGATCTCATTCGGCCATCGGTGTTGGTCAGTTCGATTGCTTCCGGTCATTCCGACATCTTTCACTACCTCATTAAACTGGTGAATATCGAAGTGATCGGCTACAACTATCTCTTTAATATCGCTAGCTATCATTCGCAATTCGATGTTCTACGTTACCTGATCGAGGAGGTCCCGGTCAGTCAGCATCGCAAGGTCGAGCTGTGCATCGGGTGTCTCGTCAATCACGGACACGTCGAGTGTCTACAGCGTTTCATGAAGCTGCACAACTGGACCGTTGCCAACCTCGATATCTCCGAGTCAAACTTCCAGTTGATGTGCTACAACGGTAACATTGGCATGGTGAAACACGTTGCACTACCGAAACACTTTAACGAGAGCAACAGGCTCGCTTCACTCAGGAATGGTCATATTTCCATTTACTTCTTTTTGAACACTTACAATCCAGCGTACTCTGAGCGCGAAATCGAATTGGCAATCAACAAAGGCTATCTGGTAGTTCTGAAACACATCGTTGAGAACTCACCAAGACCTATCTCCAACTTGACGGCGCTCATCGAACAAGCAAAAACCACAAAATTCAATAACATTTTGAATTATCTACAGAATCTTAAAGAAATACAAAATAATAAAAGATGGTCTATTTTTAAATAGATCATCAAAACGTCTTTTTCGTTTTTTTAACTCAAAGTATTTTTTTTTTTTTTTACATCTATAATTTAATGATAGATTATATAATCATTAAATAATTATCATTTTTGATCAATTGATTATTATTTGTATTCAAGTTATTTGTATTTATGATATTTTAAATACTGAATTTAGTATTCTATCAATAGTTATTAAATTTCAAACAAGATTTAGATAGCTAGTACAGTAGTAGTTACATGTAGCATATATTCAAATAATCCTATGTATATCGGTTTATTAAGTTAAACGTGTTATTGTTGAATTTATTATACGTTAAGAATATGCTAGTTATTACACGTTTTCTATTCATTAATATCGTTATATAACTATCTTTTAAGCACATTAGAATTATATTAAATATCAGACATTCACTACATACATGTATATATCAATAATTAAGTTTCATCTTTGTTTATACAATGTAATTTATTATAGACTTCACTGTTTATTAATGGTTTTGTACATTTTGCGCGCATATGGGACATAAGGATTTTATATGATGGCTCCACCGAGAATCGAACTCGGGGCCTCAGGTTTACAAGACCTGCGCTCTGCCAGCTGAGCTATAGAGCCTTTTACATTGATTGAATTTTGTAACTCCGAGTGTCAACGCTTTCATTTCCAATGTAAAAGCTAGAATCTTTTTTTGTAACTGAAAGTTTCTTAGGAAGTAACGATGTAATACATTATTAAAATTGAAAATCCGCCACTAGGATTTCCCATTAACTTTTCATAATTCTAACAAGGAAAAAGAGGAAATCATGATAAGCAAAGGATTCTCCCTCCCGGATACCTTCACCATCACAGCTCTCTTCAAACTCTTCGCTAGATGTCTACCGCTCTCAAAGATCAACCTCACCTTCTGTATGCACTGCTTACCATTCGTATTCACAGGCCTTCCACCGATCAAGATCACAGATGACTTCAAACTCATTGTATTAATAAAAAATCATCATTTCCCGAATCTAATGATTGACATTCTAGAATATCTTTCTTTTTTAAAACCACATTATATTTAATAACTACACCCCAAAGTGTGAATCTATACGAATAAAAAATATATAGTTTATCTTACCACTTTTGTTAAATTTATAAGATTTTTTTTAATAATGTAATTATTTTATTTATAAACAAAGATATTTTGTTTTAATTTATTTATAATTTCTTATGATAAAATGTCGAATAAATATCATATATTTTTAGTATTAACAACAATAATATTATTAATTTTTTCAATATTTATTGGTTATATATATGGAATAGGTAAGATTTTTAATAAATTAAAATTAATTCTAAAACTAAAATGTTTAATTTAATTTTAGATAAAAAATCTAAAGGTTTACCAGTGTTACCTCCGCCTAGATTATTATGGCCACCTCATAATGCACCAATAGAACAACAATCTAGTTTTAAAAAATGTTATATGTTTTAACAATGGGCGCGCGTATAAATATGTATAATTTATTTAATAATAAAAAAACTAAAATCTATCAATAATTATACATTATTCACTGATTTTGTTTGATTTTTGGGTAGATTGGGAGTAGGAGTTGCAGTGGTATTTGATTTTGAATTTGTCAAAGTGGCACCACTATTGCTTTTAGTTGTAGTTGTTGGTTGATTTAATTTTGGTTGAGTTTGTGCTTGTTCCTTTAATAATGGTGTTTTTGGTGATGTCTTTACATTGTTCTTTGAATTATATTCATTATCCACTCTTTTCATTCTAATAATGAAAAAGAAAAAGAAACCTACTGATACGACAGATAATGATAGAGGAATACAAAAGAATATCATTGATTTCCTATCGTATGCAGGAGGTTTAAACCACATAACATTCTGAGGATTATCCTTCATGTAATAACAAGTAAAAGTGTCGTTGGTCGTATATTTATCGGTGTATGACTGTACCCATTCAAGATTTTTCGACCATAATCCTGGTATTAGAGTATAGGGTTGTATAGTGGATTCCTGTAACACCACATAACTATAACCTTGAAAACAATAGTTTGTTTCACAATTTGCTTCTGAATAGCTACTCCATTGATCAACAGCTCGTTCTTTTCCTTTCAAATTCGATCTTAACTTGTTTGATACAGATTTTACTTCGGCGGTACCTAACGATCCACCGGTTGTTGATTTGCTATTCGCCAATGGATCGATTCGCTCTGCAAATCCTTCAATGGAGATCTCTCCACCGATATCACCACCGTCGTCTTCACCTCCACCGTCATCTTCACCTCCACCATCATCGAAAGTGCCATCACCATCACCGCCACCATCATAACCATCACTGTAAGCACCGGTCACATCGGAATCACCATCGGACTCACCATTATTATAAGAGGAATCATCACCACTGACATCACGAAAGAAGTAAACCGGTCCCCAATATGGATACCACCAGATTTCACTATTATAAGTAGCACATTCATATGTTGAACATTGTCCATCGATATTATTTCCAGTTACAGTACATGTTCCTTCAGTAAATAGTTTTGCTCTATTTATCTGCATTGTTTAAAAAATAATTAATTTCAATGTTTTTTTTATTTATATTATTTTATATCTCTATCTTACTGATGGCAATAAATCTTTAAATAAAGCAAATAAAGAAATACCAAAAAATACAAGAAACAATATAATAAATACAAATATTAGAACTTTATGTCTAGTTATACTAAGTTGATGTTGTTTATTCATTTATATAAAAAATATATTTAATTTATTTACAAATAGTTGGTTTTACAAAAAAAATAAAATGATCATTTTATCATACCTTCAAATAAAGAAGTAATAAGATTTTATTAGACCCAAAAACCTAAGGATCAAAATAAAAAAAATCTAAGGATTAAAATAAAAAAATCCTTAGATTTTTGGGTAAATCAAAAAAAAAAAAAAGATCTTAGAAAATTAGTAGGGCTGATGTCACCGATACTTTGATTTAATCTTGGTTTTTCAATATAGATAGAAACTTCATGAGCATATTCGAATGAATTCGCTTCCATTACCAATTTAAAATAATCTTTAATTTACAACTTTTGTTTAAAAGAAAAAAAAATAAAATTAAAAAAAGTTTTTTTTTTTAAAAAAAAAACGAACTTCTTGAAAATAAACACCTAAATGCTTGTGATGACTCATTTCACTATGACCCTAAAAAAAAATGAAAAACAATTATTTTTTGCACAATTTAAAATAATAAACTACAAGGTGTTGAAGTTGCACATTTTTGATTAGTCATTAAAACAAAATTAAATACTTTTTTTAGTTGAAAGTTAGTAAACTAAATTTAATAAACCTATATATTTTGTATTCTTATTTCAATAATATCCAAATATTTAGTGAAATTCACAACAATCTAAAAAAATAATTGTAACTTCACCGAAAAAGGTCAACCAAAGTCAAAAAGTTAAAAACATCAACTAAAAAAAAAAAGTTTAAAAAAAACACAATCAGAAAAAAAATAACTATTGTTGTACTTTTTTTTATTTTTGAGTTTAAACATTTATTATATTTATATTTATATTTATATAAGTTTAATTTAATTTAATTTATAAATATAAATATATTTATTGTAAATAAAAAAAAACAAAAAAGGATAATCAAACATGTCGAAAAGAGTATATCCTACAGATCCAAACAATATGTTGGTTCAACAGCAGCAGCAGCAGCAGCAGCAGCAACAACAGCAAATGCAAGGTGGTGGATTTCCACCGATGCCAATGCAGCAGCAACAACAACAGTATCAACATAATCAACCACCACAAGTAGGTCAAGTTAGTTTGGCACAACCAACTGGTTACTCTTCATACGGAGTAGGTCAACCAACACCTCCGACCACTCAAATGATCTCGCCACCACCACCACAACAACAGAATAACAACACAACATATCCACCATCTACCAATAATTATACTCCAACAGCACCACCACCTGTAGCAGCAACACCAACAGCAGCAGCAGCAGCACCAACAACAGTTTCAACATCAAAGCGTCAGTATGTAGTTGATGCAGATAACAGTGCAATGTTGAGTAATGCAATGGGTAATCTCAATGTCAATAATAGTAGTAATCATCAATATCCAACAACAACAACAACAACACCATCCAATCCACAACCAACTGGTTATCCAACATCACCAACTACCTATCCAGTTGCATCGAATCCAATGCCACCAACTACACAACAGCAGCAGCAACCATATGGATATCCAGTTGCTTCGAATCCAACAATGCCACCAACACCAACACCACCAACAACAACAACAGTTTCAAATCCAACACCAACCTATCCAGTTGCATCTAATCCAATTCCACCAACTACCCAACAACAACAACAACAACCATATGGATATCCACAACAACAACAGCAACAACCAGTACAAGGATATCAACAAGCATATCCACAACAACAACAATATCAACAACCACAACAATATCAACAACAACAACAATATAATAATATACAACCAATGCCAAATCCAATGCAAATGGCAACACAACCAGTAAGCAATGTTCCATATCATCAAGCACCAACACCATCACACCAATACACTGAACAAGTTGTACCAACACCAGAGAATCTCTGTCCAAAGTCATATATGAGAATGTCAATGAATGCAATTCCACACCAAGCATCCACTCTCTCAAAGATTCATATTCCACTTGGTTGTACCATTCATCCATTTGCTAATGATGAAGCTGTAAGTAATAACAAACAAACAAAACAAACAAAACAAAACAATAATAATAACATTATTCATTTTCTCCACTATCATTCATTCATTTTAGAATCCAATTCCAGTGATTTCATCTACCATTGTTAGATGTAAGAGATGTCGTGCATACATAAATCCATTCATCAGTTGGATGGACGGTGGTGGTAGATGGAGATGTAACGTCTGTGATATGATTAATGATAGTATGTTTGATAAATAACAAATACAATATGATCTTTTGAAACATAATTATACTAACATTCATTTGTTATACTACTACTATTATTAATATTATTATAATTATTTCAGCACCACAAGATTATTTCAGTCCAATCGATTTAACAACAGGTAAACGTGCAGATATTAATACAAGACCAGAGTTGGTAAGAGGATGTGCAGAGTTTTTAGCTACTAGTGAATACACAATTCGTGGTCCACAACCACCATCCTATTTCTTTGTGATCGATGTTTGTTATGAATCAATTGTTTCGGGAATGTTAAACTGTGCAATCGAATCTATTAAAGCTTCTTTAGATAGTAAGTTAATTAGTTATAAAAAAAACATTTACATTTCATATGAAGTAACAAATCAACTTATATATAAATTGATTATTATTATTATAGATATGCCAGGTGATTCTAGAGCAAGAATTGGTATCTTGACTTTTGATGATTCATTACATTTTTATAATTTAAAGTCTAGTTTTGGCAGACCAAAGATGTACGTCGTAACGGAAATGGATAACATCTTTGTTCCACCATACGAAGAGTTTTTGGTTAACCTCAAAGAATCACGTACTATCATCGATTCATGTTTAGACCTAATCAAACAAATGGAAAGAAAAACTCAAAAAGTTGAATCATGTCTTGGTTCTGCACTTAAAGCTGCTCTTCAAATTTGTGTAAGTAATAATAATTAGTTAGTTTAATTATTAATCCTTTTATTAATAATAATATGTTAATTGTATTTATGTAGCAAGGAGTAGGTGGTAAAATTGTTGTATTACAAAGTTATATTCCAAGAGGACCGTTCGGTAAGTTACCGATTAGAGAGTTCCAATCGGTTTTGGGTACCAAGAAGGAGACTCAATTGTTACAACCACAGGATGCCGGTGATTTCTACAAGGATTTAGGTTTGGCATGTTCATCGCATCACTTGTCGGTCGATCTGTTTTTGTTTGCCACTGGCTACGTCGATGTTGCTTCGCTCCAGTGTTTGCCACAGATCACCGGTGGTGAGTTGTTCTACTTCCCTGCGTTCATTGCATCGCGTGACGGCCAGACTTTTGCTGCCAACTTGATGCATACGCTTACACGTCCGACCGGTTGGGAGAGTGTGATGCGTGTGCGTACCAGTCGTGGCATCTCAACGAATGTCTACCACGGAAACTACTTCCTCAAGTCGTCGGACTTGCTCTCACTGCCAACCGTCGACGCCGACAAATCGTTCACTCTCCAGATGGGCATCTCTGATACCATCACCTCCAAGTATGTAGCTATCCAAACGGCACTGTTGTACACTCACTCCTGTGGTGAGAGACGTGTGCGTGTGCTGACTGTTAGCGTTCCCGTTGTGCATACCTTCCCAGAGTTGTTCAAATACGCTGATATCGCTGTGGTCACTAGTTTAATTTCAAAGATGGCCATCGATAAAGCGTTGGCTAGCTCGTTATCGGACGCACGTGAAGCGATCGCCAACAAGTGTGTCGATATTCTCACTGCTTACAAGTCGACTTTGTCGTCGGGAGCAGCGTCGTCGTCGTCGGTGACACTCTCACCACAGACACCCAAGTTGCTGTTGCCCGAGTCACTCAAGCATCTGCCATTGTACGTTGTCGCCATGGTCAAGAATATCGTGTTCACCTCGAAAGCGACGAACCCCGATATCCGTGCTTACTTTATGCATCGCATGAAGGTGGTCGATCTCACCAGTTGTCTCAACTTTTTCTACCCACAATTCTACTCGTTGCTCAGAACCGCGCAACAGACCGACCAGACCACTGGCGAGCCGTTGCCAAGCACCTCAATTGTACCGACCACTCTGAAACTATCGTCCGACCAACTGTCAAGAGCCGGCATCTTTATTTTGGTGAATGGATTCGCCATCTATATGTATGTTGGCGAGGCATGTCCACCTCAGACCGTCTTTGATGTGTTTGGCTGTGATTTCGCATCGCTCGATCCAATGACATTCCAAGGTCTGTCGATCTTTGACAACGAACAATCGAGATACGCACGCAAAGTTATTGAAATGGCAAGAGCCAACTACTCTGAGTATCAGCGAATCATTTTGGTGAAATCCAACGACAGACAACTTAACCCAGAGTTCACCTCACTATTGATTGAAGATCGTACACTAGAAGGTGGATCCTACTATGAATTTATTTTACAACTTCAACAAAGAATTCAAAAAAATTAATAATACAATAATAAATAATCATAATCAGTATAAAAAAGAAACTTTAAATAAACTAAAAAAAAAATAAACATTAAAAAAAAAAAATTTCTATAAAGCTAACTATTTATTATTACTTTATTCGTCTGAATCTTCTGAATCATCATCACCCATATGAATCATCATCATTATCATCATCATCAACATCATTATCATCATCAACATCATTATCATCATTATCATCATTATCATCATTATCATCATTAACTTTATCATTTAATATTAATTGATTTAGAATATCAAAATGAATGATTCCACCTTCTAATCCACCATCTGCAATCATTAGATAATGATTGGTTTTGTTGTCAAGTTTTCTAATATAATAATGTTGATCATCCAAATTTGGAATTAATACAAATAGTGTTTCGAGAGTTGATGGCATTGTTTGTAGTGGATTGTTGACAAGGAATTGATGAACGACTCTTAAAGTTGTAAGTGAAGTTGGAAGTACATTATCAGCTAGAGTCTGATCATAGTTTGATAAATCAATGTCGGTCACTGATTCTGGTATGGAATGAGGGAGAAGTGGTAATGTATATTCCTGACTGAGAATCAGTGTTTTCAATGTGTTTGGAATCAAACCAACAGGGATTTCATGGTTGTAAACTTCGCCGAGATTCAGCTCTTCCAAGCCTTCAGGAAACACTCCCGCTACCAAAGGATGATTATAAATTCCCATTGAAAGATTCTTAACTTTCGATGGTAATTGACCAACTGAGAGAGGTTGAGCAGTGTTCATTCGAGAACAAATTTCGAGGTTCTCTATCGTACAGGAGCTAGGAATGATTCTTCGATCGAGCGCGTTTAAACATTCGCCTATATCCAGATCTTCATAGTTGGAATCTGCTGCCGGTGTTGGAATGACATCCGGTAGCAGTGTATATGGTTCAGTAGAGTCGAATGCCTCAAGATAGATGGTATCGAGTGTCTTTGGAAGATCATCTGGTTTCAGAGTGTATCCCGATGGCCGTATGTAAAGTAAGAGTTTGTTGAGATTCGGTAGTGATTTCAATTGTCGAATATTACTAAACGATACGTTAGAGATACCGTAAAGCGCTTCAATACTGGTGGGAAGTGCCGGTAGGTTGAGTTCATAGGGAAAGTTGAAATGAAGTCTTTCCAATTGTTTTGGAATTACAGCGGCCGAGAGAATATGTGTATAGCTTCCAAGCTGTAGTTCTGTTAGAGAAGCAGGAAGAGTACCAACGCCAAAGGGTTGATTATATCCATTTCCAAATACAAGGTGCTCCAATGAATCCGGTAGCCAACCTTTCTCCAAACGCTTACTGAACATGAAAAACACAACATCTTTGATATTCGCTGGTATACAACCAACGGCCAAATTCTTATCGAAACAAATTTCATATTCAACAACATTGGAGCTGACCACTTTGTCATAAACAGCTAACATCGTTTCCACATTACAGTTTGAAAAGAATTTAATTTTTGAAACAACTGGATCAATTTTTAGTTGTTTTATATCATTTTTTTCTGAAAATAATAATAAATTAGAATAGAAATGTATTTTGATTAGAATATAAAATTGATATACATACTATGGTCAAATGTAAATTCATATTCATCATAAATGTTTGTGGGAGCTCCAATACATAATACACAATCATCGAGATTCTTTAGAACTGTTTCGTATTGCTTCCTATAGGAATGAAGATGAAAATCTTTAATTTCATCCAACTGTTTCGATGTGCTATAGAACACTTCTCTGTCCAAAGTAAGATATTTATCACGATCTTCGAACCATCTTTTACAAGTTAAACTGAAACATAATCTATCTATCGCATCTGGTATGAATTCAACTATCTTGTTTAATAAAACATGTGATAAGTTTACAAATATATGATTATTATTACTATTCATTATTAAATAAAGAAATAAAAATAAAACAGATCTGACAGTTTTATTTAATTTTTTTTTGAGCGAAATTTATTGAAAAAAAATCTTCAGATCTTCAAATTTTTAATCAAAGAAATCATAGATTTTTATATACAGGCTTGAAACAAAGTTTGTTAAACAAACTGTAGCAAAAAAAAAAAGGTATATTTAAAAATCTTGAATATTTCTCACGTGAGAAATAATATCAATACCTGCAATGAGTCAACAAATCTTTTTTTTGCAAAAAAAAAAAAAAAAAAATAGCCATGAAGAGGCAGAGCAATCTACTGTGACTTCTTGAGCGATAGAGTTAGCGAAGGTGAAGTTAAGATTGGACTTTGTGGTAGTTGGCATCGATCAATTTACAAATGTTTTCTCTTAGTTTTAATCTTCACCATAGCCCGAATTTACCGCAGGCGGACAGGTTTTAAATAAAGAGAAATGCCATCTGTCGGGATCGAACCAACGACCTTAAGATCTTCAGTCTTACGCTACTACCAGCTGAGCTAAGACGGCTTTTTATATTAAACTTATTCCAAAGTGTTGGTTTTATCACAAAAGGACAGGAAATCCTCATCAGCAAAGGATTCTCCCTTCCGGACACCTTCACCACCATAGCCAAGATCAAAGACCAAAAAGGGCGAGACACTCTCTTCAAACTCTTCGCTAGATGTCTACCGCTCTCTAAGATCGACCTCACCTTCTGTATACACTGCTTACCATTCGTATTCACAGGTCTCCCACCGATCAAGATCACCGAGCACCACCTCTTTAAATGCAAAATACTCAACACCTACAAACCCATCATAAAACGGATCATACACATATTTACCGGGGAAACTCTCGACTGGGAGTTTGACATCCTCAAGATGATAAGCAAAAACGAGCTACATCAAAACGTAATTGCTATCGTACTGCACCAGGTCTGGATTCTTCACTGCAAACTCGCGCACAACTCCCTCATCACACCCACCACCTTCCATCACGCAACAACCAACAACATTAACAAACTAGCTAAACTAGAATACCACAAACTAATCAGAAAATCAAAACAAGACTTTGGTCGAAACAACTCAAACATTCAAACATATCAATCAAAATGGCTGAAGAAGCTAGATAACTTCAAACTCATCTGGAACCACCAAACCTGGAACTTCCCAACGCCATCTCACCTCATCAGCAAATAAACAAATAAAAATAAAATCCATTTGAGTATTCTTCAAGATATGAGAATACTTTAAAATAAAAAAAAAAAATAAAAAAAATTTTATGGAGACCCACATGCCCGCGCTTGCACTCCGTTAGAACAAGATTAACAATTGGATGACCAAAGTTCTTAGATTCACCTACTAATCTAAAAGAACACCAAGGAAAAGTTTCCCATTTACCGAGAACGCCGAACCGATGGAACCAAAACCAAAACCTGTGCTGTGTCTGATCAATCAAATCCAAAATAACCATCTCAGGCTAAGCAATTAGCCAAACCAAACCATCTCAAACCATCTCAAACCATCTCAGGCTAAACAATTAGCCAAGCCAACCCAAACAAAGCCAAAATAACTATCTCAAGCTAAGAAATTAGCAAAGCCAACCCAAACAATCTCAAACCATCTCAACCATCTATATACTAAGCAATTAACCAATCCAAACAATCTCAACCATCTCAACTATCTCAGGCTAAGAAATTAGCCAAGCCAATCCAAACAATCTCAACCATCTCAACTATCTCAATACTAAGCAATTAACCGTTCCAAACCATCTCAAACCAATCAATAAAATCCATTTTGAGTATTCTTCAAGATATTTGAATACTTCAAAAAAAAAAAAAAAAAAAAAAGTTGGTTTTATGCAAAATACTCAACACCTACAAACCTATCATAAAACGGATCTTACACAAATTTACAGGGGAAACTCTCGACTGGGAGTTGGACATCCTCAAGATGATAAGCAAAAACGAGCTACACCAAAACGTTATTGCTATCGTACTACACCAGGTCTAGATCCTTCACTGCAAACTCGCGCACAACTCCCCCATCACACCCACCACCTTCTATCACGCAACAACCAACAACATTAACAGACTAGTTAGACTAGAATACCACAAACTAATCAGAAAATCAAAACAAGACTTTGGTCGAAACAACTCAAACATTCAAGCATATCAATCAAAATGGCTGAAGAAGCTAGACGACTTCAAACTCATCTGGCACCTCCAAACCTGGAACTTTCCAACGCCATCCCATCTCATCTGCAAATAAACAAATAAAAATAAAATCCATTTGAGTATTCTTCAAGATATGAGAATACTTTAAAAAAAAAAAAAAAAAAAAAAAAAAAAAAGGTTTTATTTTATAATAAAGCATACAAATAATTTTATAATTTAGTCTTCACATCAATAGGCCGTCTTAGATCAGCTGTAAGATTAAGATCCTATTAAATACCTTTGATTAAGATGGTAGTACACATAGTCATATTCCTTTTAAATTAATATCAGAAATAAAAAAATAAATTTTGTAATCACAAGCAAAAGAATGATTTTATTGCTTTTTGAAATTCACTTGATCAACGTTAATCATAGTACCTTTTTAAAACATTTTTATAGAATTCATAACTTGCAAAAGAAATTCCAGCGGAAGGCATTATATGTAAAAGTCGAGTACCTAATCCTCTATGAATAGATAATGATTAGTTTGTTTGAAAATAAAAACATTGCCAAAAACTCCTTACTTTGTGAAACCTCTTAAACCTTCTTGTTTAAAAATACCCTGTACAGCAGTCCAAACTCCAGAGAATCTGTTCTTTCTGGGAAGTGCATCCTCAGTTTGCAACTTTGTCTTTATTACATCGATGGGAATCGTTGGAACAGTTGCAATGGCACCAGCCAATCCACCAATGATAACATATTCGATGCTCGAAACTTCATGCTTACCTCCGTCTCTTGCTCGTAGGTTGTTTCTCATGACTTCATAGCCAGTGAAATAGATAAAAGTAAATGGAAGATCTCTCAAGATCGATACATAGCTATACTTAAAGAGACCACCTATTCCCTCTTTGCTTACGATGCGTCGGAGTAATTCTCTTGCAGATCCACCGCCAGAATGATCACGCTTCAAGTTACCACTGATTTGCATCATCATTACGATCTTATCGAACGGTGTTCTAATGACAGATCCAGACATTCTCGCCAAGCTCATTCCAATGAGTGGTAATATGATATCTCGATAATCTTTATCCCCGTTGCTGCTGTTGTTGTTGTTGTTGGTTGATTGGTGCAGCTCATGTTGATTCTTTCTAAAGTGTTTGGCAATAGCTTCATAGCATACAAAACTAATTGATGCCGAAGGAATTACATAGAGTAGATGTGGAAAGAACCCTCGATACAGTTTAGTGGCACCTTCACTCTTTACATTGGTAATGAAAGCATTGAATATTCCACGATAGTTTTGTCTAATGGAATGTGATGCTGTACCACCCTGGAACTGTAGTAATGTTTTTATTGTAGAAAGTGGATACATTATAGATGATTCCGTTAACCTCGATAGAGCACCTGCAATCAGATGTATTTTAGCGTCATTATTATTAATTTTTTTCTTTTCAAATGTTGTTGTTGTTGTTGTTGTTTGTGATGCTGATATAGGCGTTTTAGATTTTAAAATTGTGGTATCCGTGGCTTGATGATTTATTGGTTCATCGGATGTACTATTTGTAGAAGTAGTAGTATAAGTAATATTAGATGATTTGCTTTTTATATATTTAGAAGTTGTAGAAGATGTTGTTGTTATTGGTGTAGTAGCAGTTGTTGTTGTTGTTATTATTGTCGGATGTAGCAGTTTCTCTTCTTTCTCTCTATGGTTTTGTGAAAGTATTGGTAGATATATATGTGAATCTGGTAAAGGTAGATGTTTTTGCTGTTCCAAAGTAAAGTGAGTGGTAGGGATAGAAGTGGTATTAGTCTGGGATGAATCTATATCCATTAAATAAATCTGTTTCTAAAAACAAATAATCTTTTAAAAATTTAAAAAATTATAAAAATATAAATATATATATAAATATTAATTGGTATCCAATGATAAGCTGAAACTATCTATTAGTTAAACACATCATCTAATTATTTAAAAAAGTAACTTTTTGTTTTTGTTTTCCTACACACTTACACTTTAATTATTTTAACACACACACAAACACACACAGAAAAATTAAAGCACACCCATCACACAAAACTTTTCATTCATATTCTTTCATTTCATTTATTTGAACTACCATTACCACTACTATATTTGTTAGGACCTTTATTGTTTAGATTTTTTGTTTAGTTTTATTATCATTTATTTCTATCTTTGAAAGTTGGAAAGTGATATTTAAATAAATCTATCTCTTTGATTTCATTTCAACTTTGGTTACACTGACTCGGGAGCATATTTGAAATTTTTACTGAAAATATTTTTATGTATAGTTGATAGATTGATAACACTCTTTAAATATAAAGAGGGGGACTATGGCGAATTATAAACTATCGACTCCCTACTTGAAGGAATAGTTTTTTTGAATTTGAAACTATCTATTTGTTAAATAGATATTATTTACTAAAGAACGGATATACATAGATATAGATCTTCTTTTTTAACCAATTCTATCTCTTTCTAATGGGACGTTAAAAAAAAATTTTTTATTTTAGATTTATATAAATCCTCTCTCGATATGTTTTTGTTAGATTAAATTATCATAACAATATTTGTAAATTGAAATATTTAATAATCCTAAAAAAAAACTATTTATATTTATTCAATTTTTTACTATTTTAACTATTATTTTGTTTTGTAAAAATAAAAATGCAAGAATCTTTTTTTGATGATATTTCCTTATCTAAAATAACTAAAGATGGTAAATTTAAAGCGGATTTCAAAGATGTTTGTCGATTCCAAGATTATGCTTTTGTGAGTTACCAGATTTCTGCATCGATTCTCGCCATGGCCAGACTTCGAGTTTCCGAAAAGATTGGATATTCTCTGGAGAGTAAAAGATCTTCAGATGATATTGCCAGTGAAATCAATGTAAGCAAAGATTTTCTTTATCGTACTATGCATTTTCTGGCAATGAATGGATTCTATATTGAAGTGGAGCACGGTGTATTCCAAAATAACTCTACCTCTTTGGCATTGGCTGATGAATCAGTTCGTGATGAAACAATCATGATGAACGGTGTATTCTTTTATCGTTGTTATGAAACTCTACCAGAAACCATTCAAGTTGGAACCTCGCAAGTTGGAAAGGCACTACATTATCCGGGTGGTGTATGGGATTTTCTTGCCGATCACAAACAAGATGAAATCGAATTCACCAAAGGAATGACTGCCATCACTACAAGACAAGCTCCACTACTAGCTAAATTGGGAGACTATAATAATTATGAAACTGTTTGTGATATTGGTGGATCACAAGGAATGTATGTATTAATTTAATTTTTATTTAATATTAAAACTAAACATTAATTCATTTTTTTTTTTTTTTTTTCAAACAGTTTTATTATCAGAGAATTTTTAAAAATTCATTCAGATATTAAAAAAGTTATCAATTTTGATCAACCAACTGTATTTAATAATCAAAAGAATAGTATCAGAGAAAGATTATTGCTCGATCAAAGATATTCAGAGTGTCCAGGTAATTTCTTTGAAAGTGTACCATCTGCTGATTGCTATATACTGAAATCGATTCTTCATGATTGGAGTGATGAGAAAGCAAGATTAATTTTGAATACTATTGCCAAATCAATTAATCCAGACGGTAAAGTGTATCTAAATGAATATATTGTTGATGATGGTAAAAAAGAAAATGAACTCTATATTTCTTCTCTTGATCATTGTAAGTATAATTTAATAGAATTAAACCTAAAATAAGTTATTTATTAATTAAATTTATTTTTAAAATTTATAAATAAAGTAATGTTACAACTATGCAATGCAAAGGAAAGATCTAGAGCACAATGGGAAGAGTTGGTTAGTGAAACAGCATTCAAAGTTGAGAAGTTTATATTTTGTCCTTTACCACACTGTCAGAGTATAATTGTTTTATCAAAAAAATAATTAATCAAAAGAATAACAAAAAAAAAAATGTTAAAAAACAAATCTAATCAATATCTAATCAATTAATCACATAATTATAATAGAATCATAATAATTTAATTAATATCAACACTCTCACTTTAAATATATGTTATTTTTATTTTTAAATAAATATAATCATTATGTTTTTTTTTGTTTAATCTTCAAGAAGAACACAGATTAATGTCTTATAAATAGAATAAATATTTATTTTTACAACTTTGTTCCGGAATCAAAAAATAAATTTAACCCATTAAATATGTATTAGGTGAACATATTAGGGTGACACGTTTTTTATTTTAATTTATCAACAAATTTAAGCAAAACACCATATCCTCTTACTGTGAAGATGAGAATATTTCTTTTTGTAGAAGTAGAATCTCGAATGAAATATTAATTAAAATATATTTATAACATTTTGTTTAAATAGAACGATTGAAATTCATTTTGATATCAACTAAAACTAAAATATAAAATTAAAGTAAACTAAATATGGAGAGTAAAGAAATTAGAAATATTTACAATGCAACTTACGATAGTATAACAAAATTCCAGGATTTCACTTATGCTGGTTATTTAATGTCATCGTGTTTGAGAACTGTTTCACTTTTAAATGTATCAAATGTTCTTGGCCACAGTTTGGAAAGTAAGCGTTCCTCTTTGGAAATTGCAAGAGAGGTTGGTGCAGACCCCGTTGTTCTTCAAAGGGTACTTCATTATTTGGCAACCAATGGATTCTACATTGAAGTACCAAATGAACCTGGTGTATTCAAGCACAATGAATACTCTCTGACTCTGGCAGACCCTCTTGTAAGAGATGAAACCATTTTTCTAACTGGTCCGAGTCACTATCGTGCTTTTGAATCATTAGTCGATACTGTAAGAACTGGAGAATCTCAATCTGACAAAGCTCTAAAAGAGAACTTTTGGGATTTCATAAAGAATAACAATGAAGCCAACTCAGAATTTGCTAATGGAATGACTGCAAAAACAACTAGATTATCTCCTGCTATTGCTGAATTAGGAAACTATTCTAAATTCGAAACTGTTTGTGATGTTGGTGGTTCTCAAGGAATGTATGTAAAAGAAAATTAATAACTATTTTATTATTTAATCATTTATTAAATATTTTATTATTCCACAGATTAATCTCTGAAATTTTAAAACAATATCAAAATGTAAAGAATGGTATTAATTTCGATCAACCAAGTGTGTTTAAGAATCTAGAGAAAGTCGATCGTCCATACACTTTTGATTCTCGTTACTCGGAAGTAGGTGGAAACTTTTTTGAGAGTGTACCAGTTGCAGATTGTTATACAATGAAATACATCCTCCACGATTGGGATGATGAAAAATCAAAGTTGATTTTAAATACCATCGCAAAGGCAATTAAACCAAATGGAAAAGTTCATATCATCGAATTGATCTTAGATGACGGAGTTAAAGGAAATGAAAAATATTTAGCAACTTTAGATCTATGTAAGTTAAAAAATTTTATAAATTTTTAAAACAATAAATACACGACTAAAATTTACTAATCGATTTCAATTATATTTATTTACTATAGTAATGACACATTTATTTGGATCGAAAGAAAGAACTCGAAAAGACTGGGAAAATCTTTTTAAAGATACTCCATTCCAGATCGATACTATTATATGGTCTAAAAAACTACATTGTCAAAATATCATTGTTCTTTCAAAAAAAGAGTAGTTGTAAAATAATATCTTGTACCTATTTATTTGTTATGAACAATCAAAAAGAAATACAAGAATAAAAAGTTTTTAGAGTTTAAAATGAAACCACACATATTTTTTTGGTGATGAAAAGAAGAAATAAATTGTTTTTTGTTGAAATTCGACTTTTTAATGGTGAGTAAATGAAGAACACATATTAATATTTATTATATGTGTTATTTAATTTAATAGGTTTGGGTTTTTTTTTTTTTTTAATGAACCAAAACAACATAGATAAACAAAAATCAATCTCTCAATGCAATAAAAAATTAAATTAAATTAAATGAACTAGTTTAACAAAAAATAAATTGTTTTTTAAATTTATTTATTTAATAATTCTATTATATATTTTTTTTTTTAATTTCAAAGTATAATAATTATATTTTTTTTACCATTTTCATACATAATTAAATTAAAATTGTTAAAACAACAAAAAAAGATGCAGAAAAATAATTTCAAGGTTCCATATGAAATGGTTGTGAAATACCAAGATTTCAGTTATCCAACACTCCAATTGTCATCAGCACTATATGCCGTAGCAAAACTGGGAATCGCAGAGAAACTTGGATTCGATTTGGAATGCAAGAAAAAGGTTTCCGATATTGCAAAGGATTTAGGTGCCAATGCTGATTATCTCTTTCGTACTATGCACTTCCTTGCGGTCAATGGTTGCTTCATCGAGGTTCCAAATGAAGAGGGTGTCTTTAAACATAATGACATTTCACTGGCTTTGGTCGATCCAAGTATCCGAGCGGAAACACTCTTGATCAATGGTGTGTGTCATTATCGTTCGTTTGAAACTCTTGATGAAACCATCCTAACTGGTAAATGTCAAAGTGGTAAAGCTCTCAACTCCAAAGATGTATGGGATTTCTATGCAAAGAATCCAGACAAAGAAGTTGACTTTGCCAGAGCAATGACAGCTAAAACCAAGAGACTAGCTCCAATCCTTGCGACACTAGGTGACTACTCAGATTTTGATACGGTTTGTGATATTGGTGGATCACAAGGAATGTAAGTACAAATTTATATAATCACTATCTATTTATTAATTATACTCTAATTACATTGCTTATTACCTACCAGTTTGATTTCAGAGATTCTTTCAAAAAATCCAAACGTAAAGAAAGGTATCAATTTTGACTTGGCTGCAGTACTTGGTAATATTAAATCTGAAGATAGAGTGCATCCAGTTGATCATAGATATTCAGAATGTCCAGGTGATTTCTTTGTAAGGGTACCAGCTGCTGACTGCTATATTCTAAAGATGATTCTACACGATTGGGATGATAACAAATCTAAAGAGATATTAAACACAATAGGCAAATCAATGAATAATAATGGTAGAGTACATATCATTGAATTGATTAGAGATAATCAAAATCCAATAGATGAAAAATATTTGGCATCTATGGATCTCTGTAAGTATTATAAAAAAGGTTGAATATATTATTTTAAACTTTTACTAATTTAATTATTTATTCAATAAAAGATATGTTACAACTATTTGGAGCAAAAGAAAGATCATTGAAACAATGGGAAGAATTATTAAAAGATACTCCTTTTGTAATTGATCATGTTAAAAACTCAGCTATCCCGCATGGTCCAAATATCATTGTTTTGCGTAAAAAATAAACTAATTTTTTTGGCGCCAAAATAGAAAAATAAAATGACCAAGACGAAGGGCAGGATACCTCTTTTTATTATTTATATTTTAACATGAAATTCTCATGAAACTCCTTTAAACCTTTACATACTTTCTCCATTGGAGGGAGGAATGTCGATCTAAAATGATAGGTACCTTCACGTTGACCAAATGCATTTCCAGATGTAACTAGAATACCTTTTTCCTCCAAGAGCTGTAAGCAATAGTGTTCGTCAGGCTCTCTTCCCAGAGATTTGGCTTCTGCGATGGCAGCAGGTGGTAATCTTAATCTTGGCATTGCATAGAGTGAACCCATCGGTTGGTTACAAGTCACACCTTCCAGCGAATTCAAAGTATCGACCAGCAATTTAGCGTGATCTCTTAGCGAATTCATTGTGGCGTCGCGTTCTACTTTGTAGGTTGGATACGACTCGTCACCTTCTACCGGTGGACACACCATGAGATCGATCAATACTTGCCCAATTACATTTGGACACATGGAGAACGATGCCAATTTAACCATCTCATCGATAACCGACTTACTGAAACCATGCAGCTCCATGTAACCTCCACGCTTTCCACATTCACCAATGGGACCTTTCGAAATGGAATGAACGGAAACCAACTCGATTCCACTGACTTGCTCACCGAGATCACATACCACTTTCTTAAAGGATATAAACGGTCGTTCATCAGTGAAAATACTACCTTGATATACCTCGTCAGCAATCAATATCATCGATTTCTTGTGACAAAACAAAACGATCTCCTTCATGTTGGATTCATCTAGGATTTGACCTGTTGGGTTTCCAGGGTTGATAATAACGAGTGCACGCGGAGTGACACCTTTAGCCACAGAATCTTGGTAGGCTCTCTCCAGCTCCGTTATTTCCAAACTCCAATTGCTCTCTTCGTTGAGATAGTAGAATACTTCGGTTCCTCCATTGAGTTTAATCGATATGGTGTAAAGAGGATACTGTGGCACCGGTGTCATAATTCCATCGTCACGGCCACTAATTAGAAAATGGAGTATACTTCTCACGCTCTGAGTTGCGCCATCCGTAATGAATATGGTAGAGGGATCCGAAGGATGACCATCACGCTTCTCAATGAAATTCGCGATATTCTGAAGAATTCCTTTGACTCCTGTGGTGCTCGAATATGCACCAGTATGGACAATCGCCGATAACAATCGACAAGAACGACTGACTACATCTCTGGGAAACATGCTCTCTGCATTTGGAGAGTTTAATAACTCTGGATACTCGGTGAGCGCCACCACCTGACGGAAGAAAGTCAATGGTTTCTGACCACAGAGATGTGGATTTCCAACGTTGCAATACAATATCTCATTGAATGGAAGTAGAGTAACTCCTTCCTTCTTTTGTTTCTCCAAAAGTTTGGCCAACTCTAATGATCGGTCATACAAATCACCCAAAAATGGATTATTTGCACTTTTGATTTTTATACATATATTATCAATATTGGTTATTTCTTTTTTAGAAATCATTATTATTTACTATTTGTTTGTTTTTTTTATTAATATGAATATGAAACAATAATTATTAATATTGTAAACAGAATGAAATATTTTTTAGATATCACAGAGAATATTGTAAGCAAATTTCACAAATAAAAAATTATTGAAAATCATACACCACAACAACGCGTTTTATAATGACTAAAAATGATACTGTATTTATTTTAAATTTTATTTTTTATTTGTATTGTTGTCCATTAATTGTAAAAACAAAAATTTATTCAAAAAACTATTTATTTATCTCTATTTAATATATTATATTATTTTAAAATCAACTTTTGAGATATGTTGGAGAGAATTGCAATTTGAAGTTCCAAAAAAATTTTAATAAGTTCATGATAATGTCGACAACCGGGTATTTCTGATCGAAAAACAAACATTCTAATTCGAATATTAACAAAACGAAACTTCTGCTTTGAATGCTCATTAATAGTAAAATATGTAAAAATTAGGAGGGCTCATTATCAAAAAAAAATTATGTTTTCAATAATTAATTTTATTTACTCTATTGAAAAAGTTAAATATAAAATAAGAAGAATATATTATTATTAATGTCATTTCAATCATTAAGGAATTTATAGAAAAAGTAACAATGTTGAGCACTGAGTTTCTACTTTACCTAATTAATAGGAAGAATTTCAAAGTTAATGTGAAAACACTATTGATACCTATATTAGGATTTTGATATTTAATATCATCTAAATATATTACGCATAATAAACAATACCACTTTGTATTGTAATAATATGAAAGTTTTAAAAAAAGGTAAAAACAATTGTTTTCACCCAATCTACCAATTTTCAACATATATATCATATATTTTGTATAATACACTTTTCACCCCTTTAAATAAATCTATCATTTTTAACTTTTGTATGTATCATTGGTAATATTAACTATTTTATAATGCAAGAAGAAAGAATTGGGTATTTTGAATAGTGTTTTTGACAAATCCAACCAATAGATATAGTTGACTAACTAACATATTTATATATTATTTTAAAAAAGAAACCACTAAAGATTGAATCAATTTATTAAAATAAATTAAATCTTTTTATAAATTTTGATATCATACTAAAATATTTATATAATATACCAACTTGGTTTTATAACTATTTTCTATACTATAAATCAATAAATTAGAGTAAAATGGATTCTAAAAATGTATACTCTGATGGTTACAGAGCAAACAAAGATGATATAGCAAAACTTCAACATTGTTATTTGGGATTTCAGCATGCAGCCAGTATTCATGCTATGGCTCAGCTTCGTATTCCTGAAAAGTTGGGTACCAATTTGAATTGTAAACGTTCCGCTTTTGATTTGGCAAATGAAATAGGTGCAAATCCCGTATACCTCGAAAGAGTGATGCATACTCTCTCCCTTAATGGTTTCTTCACTGAGGTTCCAGGTTATGAAATAGGAAAGAGAGTGTTCCAACATAATCATCTATCTCTGACAATGGCTGATCCCTATATCAGAGATGAAGTATTGCTCATGGGTAGTCTTACTTTCTACAGATCATATGAAACTCTTGCAGATAGTATTATGACTGGTCAACCTCAAAGTGGGAAAGCTTTGAATTGCAATAATATTTGGGAGTTTATCCAAAAGAATCAAGATCAAGAAATCATTTTCTCAAAGGCAATGACATCCATTTCAATTAGACATTCACCATATTTAGTTTCACTAATAGATTTTTCTAAATTTGATACCATTTGTGATGTTGGTGGTTCTGAAGGAATGTAAGAAAAATAATTATTTAGTTTTAAAAGAATTAATTTAATTTATTAATAATTTATTTTTAAAAAAAGTATGCTATTTGAAATTTTAAAACTATACCCAAGTGTCAAGAATGTAATTAATTTTGATTTACCAACTGTTTTACAAAACTTGGAAGGTATTCATCATAGACAATTGAAATTAGATCAAAGATACTCTGAAATTCAAGGTAGTTTCTTTGATGGTGTTCCAGAAGCAGATTGCTATATTTTGAAAACAGTAATTCATACACTAAATGATGAACAATCAAAGTTAGCTTTAATGAACATCTCCAAAAGCATTAGACCCAAAGGAAAAGTTTTTATAATTGATTTAATTTTAGATGAAGAATCAAAATTAAGTGAAAAATATTCATCTATTTTGGATATTCGTATGTTATTGTACTTTATTTAAATAATAGTTTAAACCCCAAGAAACTAAAAATTTATTTTTTTTAATTTTCTAGATATGTTACAATTATGTGGAGCAAAAGAAAGATCAATTAAAGAATGGAAAGAGTTGTCAAATGGTACACCTTTAAAGTTTGAAACAATAATCTATTCAAATCAAATCAATTGTCAAAATATTATTGTATATTCGATGGAATAAAAAAAACAATAATAATAACAAATAAAGAAAAGAATTAATTATTATTATATTATATTTATAATTATTATATTATATATGTAGTTTTTATTATTATTATTATTATTATTATTAATATTTTATAGTAATGATTTTAATTTATCAAGTGCATCTTGTTTGATCTTTTGTTCTTGAGCGGTATTCCAACCGGTCAAACGAAGTAGGTTGAATTTTTCGAGTTTCTTGGCGGACTTGGATGGTACAAAGGTTGAGACGTTCGAGTCTGGCTTGTAGTTGTCGGTTCTGACCGAGACAAAGTTTGGATCGGCAAGGTAAGCTTCGTGCAAGAGGTTTTTGAAGAGCGATTTGCATTGGTGTTTGTTTTCGTCTTGCGACTTGTGGTTGTTGGCTACCAGAGTCAAGACGCGCTTCTCAGTGTCGAAACGGTTGTAGGTGAGCTCGATGAGACGTTGTTCGACGACCTCTGGCAAGTTGAGTGCAGCGATGTTGACACGCATCACAACCTTACGATTGGACCAGAAATCTTCGGCATACTGATCTTGAGTGTTGTGTGAAATTTCGAATTGGAATGGGTAGGTTGGCAGGTGTTCACGTGGGTACCAACGCATCGTCTGGTTGAGCGGGTCGATGTGCTTGTCACCGACCTTCTCGGGACCGAACCACTCTTCACCACGACCCTCCTGGAAGTAACGGTAGGTCTCGATGTCGTCAAAGAGCGAGGCATCGGGTGGTGGTGCGGGATCTTCGTCGTCCTCTGTGAATTCCAATGGCTGACCGAAACGGTAGTATGGCAACGGGTTCTCCTGGCCACCCAAACGATACTTGGAGATATCGAATGGCTTACCCATCAACCAGAGATCATTCGAATGGAAATCCTTCTTTGAGATACCAGAGGCACCCTTAATACTATCCTTTCCATCTGGAGCAACCTTCTTTCTCAAGTCTGACTTTGGTGGCAAAGTAACAACACCGCTATCATCGAAAATTGGTACCAATTCAGTGTATAAACGTTTGGAATCATAGATTGCATCAGTGTTATTGAAATTATTAATATTACTATTTGATTGGACATTATTGTTGTTGTTATTATTATTCTTTGTTGAAGGTGATGATGATAAAGTTGATCCTGATGAAGTTGATGATGTTGATGATGATGATGAAGTTGTGTTATTATTATTATTATTTTCATTATTATTTGATTTCTGTTGTTGTTGTCTTGCTTTAGAACCAAGTCCAATTTCTCTTGCTTCATCGATGTGATCCAAGATGTCTGGGAAGAGACCATCGTTTGATTCAGCCTCGACGATGCTTCTTGGCACTGGAATGTTGTCGGGTGCATCCTTGAGAACCTTGTTTTGGTTGACCAATCCAAACTCTGAGAGTTGGTGAGTCAAGACTCTGACAAGATCGGTATCCTTCAATGGCATCTTAAAGATGACGTCACGATCGACAAGATCTCTGAATCCAGTGTCGTATTGGAATTGAACGGACGATGGCATGTGGACATCACCGTGTGCCTCTCTGAGCACATCGTAATCGTGCTTGACTAGATCCTTATCGAATTCACGGGTCTTCATGTGCGATTGGAACAACTCCTCGAGTACATCGGATGCGGTTTTCTCATTCATCGGTTGACCGTAGAACTTCTTGGCGATTCTCGAGAGATCGCTGATCTCCGATTCCATCAACTTGGAGGAGAGTGTTTTGAAGTCTGGCAGCTGGTCGAGTTGCTCATTGAGTGGTTCATCCTCTTCGTCTCCTTCGAAATCTTCATCGTCTTCGAGATCTTCTTCCTCCTCTACCTCCTCGGCATCTTGTTCGTCGTCATCGTGGTCGTCGTCCATCTTCAACTCGTCTTCGTCGTCATCCATGTCGACCAGTTCGTCGTCGACTTCGTTCGATTCCAAATCATACTTGGCTTGTTCAATGGCGAATTCAATGTCAACCAATGGAATACCCTTGGCCAGTAGCTCATCACGATTCTTGACGAGTCTATCCAAGTTTTGTTGTGCCAATTGTTTCTTTGTGAGAACTGGCGCTGACTCTTCAACAGCGGCGGCATCGGCTGCAGCAGGTGTCTCCTCTTGTTTCTCCTCTGCACCCTCTTCAACAACCTTGTCCTCTGGATGAGCGATATCCATAAACTTTTGCTCGTCGTATTGGATTCCAGTCAATTGTTTCTTGGAGAGTGCGAGCATCTCGTTGGCATCGACGGCAGCGCCAATGCTCTTGGCCGGTGTGTCTTCAGCACGCATTGTCTTGTCTTGAATATCAGCAAGCAACAACTCGTATTTCTCTTGGAGACGACGGTTTGTTCGCTGAGAAGCAGTCAAGCTCTCTGGTTTGGCTGGTGCAAGTTCACTGTCTGGATTCTCAATCTGGGGTCTGTCCTCAGCAAAGTCTTCATCCTCAGCCTCGCCATTCTCTCCACCCATGCTCTCGACCTCCTCGAGGAATCTCTGCTTCAAAGTCTCTGTAAGCGAAGGGATAACTCTGCTGGCTGTGAAATCCTGTTTAATCGACTGTGGAATCTCAATGAGATTGCCACCGGCCAACTTGACAGCGAGGAAACTCTCGAGTTGCGCTGGCGATGACTCCACTGCCAACTGACGAAGTTGATCAATGGAACGTTCAAACTCTACTTGTTCAACAGTCAACTCGCTGCTAACACCAACATTTCCATTACCACCGTCGATTTCCTCAATGAATTTGTCATAGAGTTCAACGAGAGAGTTGAATGACTTTGGATTTCTGAAATCGTAGGGAATCATCGAGAGTTGAGTGATGTAGTTCTCGGCGTACTCGTACTCCTGACCGAAATCGTTGTATTCGTCGGACATGAGGTCACGTGCCAAATTGTCGGGATCCATAATGTCGGAACGGTTGAGCAGACGCTGCCATGCCTCGTCGACAACCTCTGGATCCAAACGACTTGGTTCTTCGACGGCGTGTTGCAATGCATTACGAACGAATATCAAATCTTGGAAATGTGTTTCCAATCCACTCAACTTGCGACGCACTGAATTTCTCAACTTTTCCTTCAACAAACGTTTCTTGTCTGCTCTCGCTGAAAAATAGATATTGTTTGCTTCACTGATTGTTTCCTTATATAATTGTACCAATGGTTTTTCAAATCTAAAAAATAATAAATAAATAATAATATTATATTAATTAGTTTTATAGTTTTAGTTTGTTCCAACAACAAAACAACTTACGTGTCTTTAAATTGATTCAATAATTTCGATATATATGCAGTTTTGATTTGTGAGAGCTGCTTGTAGGTGAGTTTAACCGATTGGAATTTCGATCCTTTCAGTTCAGCATTCTCTTGTGCAGCGATTTTCGCTTGTACTTCCTCTGTTGTTTCGTCGGGAGTGAAAATATCGTGGAGATCGACGTTCTCACGCTTTGCCAACTCCAATGCTTCGTAGTTTTCGGTCCAACGCATCAACTTCAACTCTTTCAACGTGGTATTTGCAATCATATCGTCGATATCGATTTCCTCTTCTTTCTTGATCTCCAGCTTCTTCTCTTGGATACGTGTATCGATCACCAAATCCTCGTCATCCTCGAAATCCAATGAGAATTTCGATGTCTTTTTACTACTAGAGTAACCACGTTGCTGTTGTTGCTGTCCATTATTATTTACCATCGACGACAAAGTCGATTGTCTCAAAAGAGTTGATACTCTCTGAGATTTTAGCAATGAACATGCTCTATACATTTCTTTTTATAAATAAATCTAAACTAAATCGATATATAAATAGATATATATATATATATATTTGAAATCTAGATTTATTATAATATTTATAATAAAATAAATATAAATAATGAAAAAAAGCAGTGAAAATTAAGCAAAATTTGATCAACACCCAAATTCATGCCACTGTATCAATCAGAAACGTAATTTTTAATTTTTTTAATATTTTTTTTTTGTTACATTTTTTTTATGATCAAGAAAAAAAAAAAAACGACAATCCACTAACTTTCGTCTTTTCCAGAAGTTCAAATTTGTTTTTGCATACCTATATAATGAATTATCATTATTATTATTTTAATTGATTTAAATATTTTTTATTATTATTCTTTTTTTTATACATATTGTTGTGATTATAAATATATAGATTAATAAATTTGATAATGACAAGTGATTAATAAATTTGATAATGACTAATCAAATATTGTTTTAGTTGGTTCCAAAAAAAATGATTGATTGAACAATGATTAGTTTTGTTGTTGTTGTTAGTTATTTATTTTTGATTACAACCCAATTAATTTGAGGAATGGCTTTTCATCTGGTTCACGACCAAGGAAGTTCTTTAGAGTTTCATTGGAATCTTGTGATCCACCGACAGCCAATACTTGATCACGGAGTTTCTTTCCGAGAGCTTGATTCATGACACCCTCTTTCTCAAAGACCGAGAAGATATCGGCGGCAAACACTTCACTCCAGATGTAAGAGTAGTATCCGGCGTCGTATCCAAACATGTGACCAAAGGTAGCGGCTGGATTGGTACCCTGTTGGTTGATGATGGTGGAGATGTCGCGTGTACACTCGAACCAGACCTTACCGATGTCGTTGTAGTAGTCAGAGTTGGCAGAGTGTATACGCTGGTCGAATGTTCCATACACCAGTTGACGCAGATAGAAGATCGAGATGTTGAGGTTCTTGGCGTCGAGCATCTTCTTGATTAGCTCGGCCGGCAGTTTCTTGGAGGTGTCGGTGTAGTGACCGGAAAGACGGTTGAGGATCGACGCGTCCCAGCACCACTGCTCAAAGAGTTGCGATGGACACTCGACGAAATCACGCTCTACACTGGTTCCAGAGAACAATGGGTATTCGACGGTGGTCGACATGTTGTGCATGACATGGCCAAACTCGTGGAAGAATGTGACGACTTCGTCGTGAGTCAAGAGCGACGGTGCGCTCTCGGTGGACTTGGTAAAGTTTCCGACGAGTGCGGCGACGGGCAGCTGGCGTTGACCGCCACGGATGTAACCCTGCTGGAGTGGCCACACGGCAAAGTGACTGTACTTGCCCTCACGTGGATGCAAGTCAAAGAAGAAGTAACCGACGATCTCATTGTTCTTCGATGGATTGGCGACAGAGAACAACTTTACCTCTGGATGCCACAAGTCGAATGGCAACACCGTCACCTCTTGGAACTTGAATCCCAACAGCTCCTGGTAGATCTCAAAGATACCCTTGGTCACAAACTCCAATGGGAAGTATTGCTTCACCAAATTGGTATCGACCGAGTACTCTCTCTCCAACATCATATTATTATAGAAACTTGAATCGTATGACTTTATCTCTGGTTCTGCCAATGGAATATTTCTCTCCTCATGATCTTTCTTTTTCAATTCACTGTGTTGTGAAAATAACAATTAACATTGGAATGAATAATAATTAAGATTTTAAGTAGAATACTTACGCTAATTTCTTTAATTCTTCAAGTCCATATGGTTTCAAAAGATTTGTCATTCTAGTCAAGAAATCAGTGACATTCTTTGAATTCAAAGCCATATTATATTGAGTGACAACTTCACTCCATTCATTTTTACCAAGAATTTTAGCAGATTCTATTGGAATAATAGATTAATTAGTATATATTTATATATGAATTTATCATAAATATCTTTTTTATCTTATTTACCATGTCTTAATTTACAAGCTTGAGAAAGGATTTTAACGTTGGTATCGATACATCTGGAACCATAGGTGAAATCCATCTTCTTTCTGGTGTCGGTGACGTTGCAGAACTTCATGAGAGGAACGTATTCCGGTGATTTGCAAGAGACGGTGTAGCTACCGCTGTCGGTCTTCTCAAAGAGTTCGAGGACATCGTCTGGAACACCAGCGAGTTGCTCACGTGTGAATGTCACCTTTGATTTATCTTCGGCGATGTTCTTGTTGAATTGGATCGAGAGTTCGTTGATCTCCTTCTTGATCTCCTTGAGAACGTCACGCTGATCCTTTGGCAGCTGCAAACCGTTCCTCTCGTAGACCTCCATGATCTTCTTGATGACACGCTGCTGCACGGCACTCAGCTCCGACTTGTAGGCGGGGTTGTCTTGGATGTACTCGGCGAACACGTTGTAGAGATCCTCACGCATGTTGGTGTCGATCGAGTACTTGTTGAGTTCGGACTCGGCGTTGTTCGAGACGTCACGGATCTCCTTGGCTTGGTTGACGTGTGCTGGGAAGGTGAGTGAACTCTCCTCGATGTAGTACTGACGCTCGAGATCGATAAGCGCACCAAAAGTATTCTCAAAGGTACGAGAGGCACGTGGAATATCGATGATCTTTTGCAAACCAGCGTCGTGTGTCTTCTTTAGATGTTGCACACGCTCGTCAAACTCCTCCAATTTCAATGGGAATTTCAATTTAATATCGTTCTTAATCTTTTCACAATCTGACATTTTGTTTGTTTTTGTTGTTGTTGTTGTTTTTAAATTATTATTATTATTATTGGTTGTTGAATTTGAGATTGTTGAATATGATTTTAATTGATTAAAATGAAAATTATTATTATTATATTTGTTGTTGTTGTTGTTATTTAAATAAAAGTTATTATTATTTGTTAATCTTGAAGTAATAAAACTATTTGGTGGTGGTGAAAGAAGAGAGAACTTTGTTGTTGTTGTTGTTGAAGGTTTCAATCTTTTCAAAACAAAATTAATCATTTTTTAAATTAAATTGCTGTGTGAACTTTACCAAAAAAAAAATACTTGAATTTTGATTTAGCCTCACACAAATGAATAAAAACTTATAAATAATTTGCAAAAAATAAAATTAAAATTTAAAAAATTTTTTTTTTTGTTTTTAATTTTTAAATTAAACTTGTAAATTCGTTACAACAATTAGATAATAGATTATGGTTATTTATTTATTTCATTTTAGTTACTAATTGTATTGTATTTTATTTTATTAGTTCTTCTTTGTCTTGTTAAGTTAGCTACAATAAAATACCATACAATTATCTCTCTCTCTCTCTTGTTGGTAATGAGCTCATTTGACAAATCAGTTAGTTTAAAAGTTAGTTCATTTTTGCTTGAATGATTGATTGAAGGATCTGATCTCAAAACGAAAAGTCAACAACTATACTTTAAAGTTGTTGATCAAAAAAATAAAATAATTATTAATATTCAAAATTCGATACTCTTTGTCTCCAATTATTTCATTATTAAATTGTTACTTGATTGTGTGGTGGAGAATTTGCAAAATTAAAAAGTTTAATTTCATAATCAATAGACCCCAACACTAATTGATTGTTTTAAAAGTGAATTTTGATCAATTACTGTTGTTTTTGTTACAAATAATTTTATCGTGTATAATAATACAATTTTCTTCGACCCAAATTAATTCAAGAACACCACAAAAAATGATTTATTTTTAACTTAAATTTATTAAAAACAATACATAACTTACTTTTTAAGAAAACAAATTAACTCTATTTCGACTAATTTACACTATTAGAGTCTTTTTATATATATAAGTTCTATTTTTATCTTATTTGTAGATCTCCAATAACCTACAGATATTCAGTTAATAATAGAAATTATTAAATTCTAAGTTGTTTAAAACAAAATTAGTTTGATCATGGAGGAAAAAACTAAGATTATTTCAATAGAGGAAGCACACACTCTATTGAACGAAAGCTTAACTTTAAATGGAGCATCATTTCTAGAAAATACCACATCTTTAACACCTTTCACCATATCGAAGTCAGAGTAAGAAAAGTTGTGTAAACAATTGATGCTTGTTCAAGAATCTTTGGAAGTGGTTCATTCAAATTATTTAACCAATAGAGAAATTCAATCGTTCTATCCGGAGATACTACCATTTAGAAATATAATTGAGTTGGACAAGTATCGCCCTGCGCTTGATAATAGATGGAATCATCTCGCAAGAATAGATACTATCATGGATGAAAATGGTAATCATGGTATCTTGGAATTTAATACAAATTCACCTGGATCTTTATTTTTGACTTCAATCGCAAGAACTATTTATGAAAAGTTACCATGTTTTCAAGGAAAATTTGATTTCTCCAAAAAGGTTGTTCCACAACTAATAGATGATGAAGAGTATTTTTTAGAATATCTAATTTCATTCTATCAAAGAGTCAAACAAACAATCAAAAAACCATCAATAGCTTATCTTATTAGTAAAGAGTATATCTCTTCTATTTTAGATAGGGATATATTCTTGGAAATAGGAAAGAGAATGGGATTAGATGTTTTTGTTGCTGATATTTCTGATTTGGAATATTCAAAAGAAGTTGGTTTATCATATCAAGGTCAAACTATTGATTTTGTTTGGAGTAAGGTCTTAATTAGGTTAGGATCAGAAAATATGTTTTACTCTAACGAACTAAATGTAGAATCAAACAAATATTTTCAAGCAATCAAAGATGGAAAAGTGTTTTCTCTGAATAGTTTTCATTCATCTTTTGTTTCTGAAAACAAGAAAACACTTGCACTCCTCTATGATAAAAGATTTTCTCATCTTTTCAACAATTGTCAACTTGAAGCAATCAAACAATTGGTAATTCCAAGTTATGTTCTTCATTCAAAAGATCCAAACTATTATGATCTCAAATCCAAAGTATTATCAAACAAAGATCTTTATGTAATTAAAGGATCTTTGAGTGGTCGAGGAAAATCAATATTTATTGGATGTGAAATGACTCAAGAAGAATGGGAGAAGAAATTGGAAGAAGTTGTTGATGGTCCATTTATGATTCAGAAATTTGTTAAATCTAAAGTTTCTCAAGTTTTATCACCATTTTCAAGAAACTATGAAGAAATGGTTACAACATTTGGAATCTATCTTCTTGGTGGAAAGACTTGTGGTAACATGATTCGTTCATCACCAAACTTAATTACCAATATTCATTCATCTGGTTTATTTCAAAATTTTTTTGTCATGGAAGAATAAATAAAAAGAATTTATACCTTTAAAATAAAAATATTGTTTTCAAATTATTAAAAATACAATAATTTAAAGTTATTTTTATTCTTTATTTGATTTTATCTGATCTTTATTTAATGAATTTATAATTGTGTTTTAAAATGTTTGGTTAGAATGGAACAACAGTTCCAAAAACGAATAGATTTGGGTCTGATGGAGTTGGGTTGAATCCATTATTCTTGATAAATTGGATGAAATTGGCTTTTCTTGAAATTTCCATTTTGAGCTTTTGTCCAGAGAGACTATCAACTTCGAAAAATGAACGGTCGAAATCACGAATGTACAGTTTTACAATTCTTTTGTTATTGACTGCCTCCACTAGGTCGACTTCGCTCTTGGCTCTCGAAGTTCTTTCTTCTTGCTCTAATTTAGTTGCTTCGTTCCTGGCATTCAACTCGTTACCCCATACGTAAGTGTATCTTGCTTCGAACCAAGAGATGACCGTTCGTTTACAACTCTCGTCTGGATGATATGAAGTAACTAGAGGATATCTCCTAGCATCTCTGAAAGTGGCATATGTCCTGAATGCAGAGGTATTCATATCCTCAAGATACTCTTTTAAATAGTTGGTAATATTGTAACTATGATTTATTACTTGCTGTTTCTTGATAGTTTCTATCTTGGTGTCAACCAATTCGTAGTTATGTGTCTTTTTGTTAATATTGAAATAAATATGATGAACTTGATAGTTAAATTCATAGTTTATTTTAATATTAGAGATAACACTTGCAGTAATATTGTTAAAATACTTTAAATGTTGTTTTACTTTTTCATCAAAGTTATAGTCGATCGTGAGTTCCAAATCAGGAGCTTGACGTTCATAACTTGGAAGGAAAAAGTTATCTTCTCTCATATCATATTTTTTATCTTTATTCTGAAGAAAATATCTATGTTTTTTACCAGTATAGGTAAATGTAAAAGTACTATCCATTATTTTAATAGAAAAAAATTGAAATATATAAATAAGTGAGTTATTTATAGTTTTGAACTAAGGAAATTGGAAGAATAAAAAAAAAAATAGATAATTAAATTTTAAACACAAAAAAAAGAAAATTCTTTGAACCTCTCAAAACTTGATCTTCGATTTGAGTGATCATCAAAAATTTCCTTTTTTTTAAAAATTGATCGATCAAGTTTGTTGATTTTTATATGAATCTACAGAACACCAAAAGTAAATGAAAAAAAAACAAGAGAAAAACAAACAATAGAGCCAAAAATAAATTTTGTTATTATTGATCAAATAATTATTCACCTTTAGAAATGAGTGGAGGCTGGAGCAATACTACAACAACCAACAAATGGTACGACGAAAATAGTAACAACAGATTTCCTAGTGGAAAGAAAGAGGAGGATCCTCACTATGTTCCAAATTGCAATTGTTATCCATTTAGGTACAGTAAGCAAATATCATGGGGAGAAGACCCAATTTGTGAAGTTGATATTTGTCGCCACAGAATGTCTTGTCACCCAGAGTATAAACCAAAACAGGTCCTCGATTTTAATCAACAACAAAAAGGTTACTATAATCCATATATGAATGTAATTGACTACAATAAAAAATGAATGAATCAATCAATCAATATTGTAAATAAAAAAAAATTGTTAATACTACACAATAGATAGATTTAAAGGTTATTAGTTAAAAAATATATTGAATCGATCGATCTAGATAGAAGAGTTACTAGAGATCAAGTAAAACTTAAGTACAAACATCTTTATCTTTGTTGAGACTATTTTGTAAATCATTTATGGAATAATAGAGTAGCGATATCAATGATACTCATTGAATGATTGATTGATTAAAGATTTTAGTTTTTATTTTTAATTATTATTCGTTAATAGTTTTACAACAAAAATGGAATGATTGCTTTTCTATTTGATGGATATGTAGATTTGAATGTCTTTTTATACCAATTATGTGATTCTAATGCTCTATGTATTAAATTTAAACTTGTAAAGATAAAAAGTAACCTAAAAAAACATGTAAATGTATGAATGTGTTAGAGATATTGTATTTAATATTACTATGTTGTTAATATCGAAATGATGATAATGATAATTGATGATGATGATGATGATCGATATGATATTTACCATAATGTTTTTGATTTAAAGTTTGAAAGTGCAACAAAACAAAAGTAGATAATAATCTCCATTAGGAAGTGTGGACACGATACCAAGTTGAATAGACCACCTTTTGGAATCTCGTAGTATGGCTTGCTATTGTCATTAATGGTGTTGTTGCTGTTGTTGGTGGAGGTGGTCGATGATTTTCTAATGGCTGCTAGTTGTTTGTGAATTCGTTGTTGTAGTAGCGATGCCACCAAAAACACGACAATAATCAACTTGTACATGTTGTTAATCTCGTTGTCATCGTATTCCTGGTTATCGTAATCCAACTGTGGTTCGATGTATTTGAATTCGAGTCTCGCTATGAATTCGGCCAGTGGCGAGACTGTTGCCATTATATAGTAAGAAATACCAGAGACAAACAAGAGGACGTTCATCATTGAGAATGAATGAACCTGTATCTCAATGGTTTCGTACATTCTACGAATCGATTGGAACATTATCATACAATAGAAAATGATGAGAAAGATAACGTTGTGATAGTTGATATTGTTGTAGAGATCCAGCAGATACACTATTCCAAGTAACGACATAGCACTTGAGAACGCCGTCAAATAGAATAGGAACCATCCATATTTAGTTTCAAACAATTGATAATCTAAATACAATGCACTTAGAATACTTCTATTATTTATATTCTGTTGTTGTTGTGGTTGATTATTATTGCTGTTGTTTAATCGATTTGAATCTAATTTGCCATAGCTTGTAAAACTATTGAAACTACTACTGACAACTCTTAACAAGTAGATAGCAATAGCAACATACCAATAAGTTATACAAACATTTAGTATCTCTGTTGTTAAATCATTTATAAATATCATTATTATAAACTATTATTCTTATTTACAATTCTATTTTTTAAAAAGAATCTTAAAAAGTTCTACCTGTACATAATGATAAAAAAAAAAAAAAATCAAAAAAAAATATTTTTGGTCCCGATGAGATCATCTATTTTGATGATGCCAAAACCCAATTAAAATTTGTTTTTGGGTGTGGATTCAAATAAAAATCAAGATATTTTCAATACTAATAAATATTGTAATATTAAATGATCATTATTAAATTATTTTGATAGTAATAGAAATATTAGATTAAATTATTTAAAAAAGTTAAATTACTGTAAAGATTATGCTCTGCAGCTTTTCTATTAAAAATAAATATGATATAGTAGCGCTAAATGATACTCCTTGAATAACGGATGTCTTAAAATATTAAAGATTTAAGTTTTTTGTATTTCAATTCACATAAGTTTTAGTTTAATTGTTTAATATTATAAATAGTAATTTATTTTGATCGAAAATAAAATAATTGTTTTTTTTTTCTAAAAATATTGATACTTCTTGTGTATAATATAATGACTTTTGTGATATTATGATTATAGTGATAGTGATAATATGATAAATTTGTTTTATATTTAATATTATTATTATTATTATTATTATTAATTATTGTGTTATTCATAAATTTTTGGGAAAACAGGATTGGGAATAAATGAAATACTTTGACCACCGGTGAGTAGGCTGACACCCGGATAGACTGGTTGATCGATATTTCTAAATGCCACACCTTGTGATACTCCATTCAAATAAAAAGATAAGGTTTTTTCATTCATATCAACGAGAACACCGACACGATCACCCTGAACGAATCCTTTTGCGTAGGGTATGCCATTGCCACTGTTGTTTGCTTTGCGTCCATCCGCTAGATATCCCCAACCACCATTACTTGTCAAATAAGATTGCCATACTGTAAACGATTCCGGTATAACACCAATAACCAAATGAAATCCTGTTTGATTAAAACTGTAGTGTCAAAAAGTAAATTAATTAATAAAAAAGTTATTTTTTTATAAATAAATAACTATTGGTTTTCCAAACCTCTACTTACTTTAAACATTCTATTAAAATCTCCCAATATGTACAACCGGATTCAATACGATGTGATCCTCTGGCAGATTGATAACTACCTAAATAATCACCACCATGTGAAACTGTCAGTCCTTCTTTGGAAATGACCATTTTTCCTTTTTTATTTTTATCCCAATCCCCAGTATATAGATGATGTGCACTATAAAACAATCTCCAATTCAAAACTGAACCAGGTAATTTACATTTACCTCCATATCTTTCAATAAATATATGCTATTTATAATTTTGATTATTAGTAATTATTATCACTTTTGTTTTGTTAATTTCAAATTACCTTCCAAATATCTTCTTGGTTTCCCATTTCTTGAAAGAATCTGTTAACCATTGATAGGTTTCTAAGTGAATTTACATTGAGGAATTTACATATACAAAAGAGAATCTCTACGGGGAGACACTCCAAATAAAGTGGTGAATGACAATTGTTGTTATTGCTGTTGCTATTGTTGCTAGCGCTGCTTGCTGCGCTACTATGACTGGCAATATCATCGAAATTCTGATCGGTCACTATTAAATCCAAAGGTTGGACAGCTATCATCTTCTTCTTACCATAGTAATCGTGTTGTTGTTGTATGACACTCTCTGCGGAATCCAAAAAATGTGCGACTATTCTATCGGAATTTGGCACCTTTGAATCATCTTCATCTTCAATAGATATCATTCTAGTATCTTCATCATTATTATTTGTTGTATTAATATTATTATTTGATGATGAGGATGAAGATGAGGATGATGGATTTGTATTTTCATTTGTATATCTTAGTGAACTGTATGTTGGATTATATATAATTGGAACTATCTCTGAAAACTGATGATGTGACGACGATGTCAAATCGAAATCTTGTTGTGCCTGTAGTGATTCCATTGCACTTGGTCCTACTATCTCATCTAAATGTTGCAAATGGGACAACAAGTAATGCTCCTCCTAAAAAAAAATAACAAAAACAATAATTATTATGATTAATATCAAATAGTTTTAAAGAGTAAAAGTATAAGTATAAGTATAAGTACAAGTGGACAAAACAAAACAAATAAGAAAATACAAAAAAATTAATATTTTTTGTCAAATTGAATTTAAAAATTGGGATTGCTCTGTAAATTTACAAAAATCCTTTGTACTCCCAACTCAAATTCAATAAAAATAATCTTAATAATTGTGTATAATAATAATTATAATTATTATATTAATCTTATTGGATAATAAGTTAAAATAACAATATAACACCATCAACTGAAATATTAATTCAAGGTTCAGTTTTCAGTTGTAAATATGAATGAATTCATTAGTTGTGTATATTTTCAAATGAAAACACCAAAAAATACGAATTTCAATACTAATTATTAAAAAAAAATAATAATAATAATAACAATTGTAACAAAACCTATGATATGACTTGTCTTGTTGGAAATATAGATAAAGAATGATGATTAATTAAATAATGAAAGGTCGTACCAATACTTTGATTTCTTTTAAAATAATAAAAACAGAATGATGATTTTTTTTGATGTTAACCAAACTAAATCCTCCAAATTGGTGAAACAATTTTTTGTTTTTTAATAATAATATTCTTTTAAACAATGAAATTTAAAAATGTAAATACAGTTTGCAGTTTGTTGTTACTGTTGTTACTGTGCTGATGTTTTTCTATTGTATGTTATAATGAATGACTATTCTATTCTATTCTAAGATTATTAAATATATTTGTTTGTTTGATGATAATTGATTGGTTACTTGTTTAAAAAAAAAAATTAAAAAAAGCCAAACTAAAGTTAACTATTTTTGTGTTGATATTATTAATTAATATTATTATTATTATTATTCCATTTCATATTTATATATATAAAAATAAATAAAAAACCAAAAATTTAATTATTTTGTTATTTTTATTTTTTTATTTTTATATGCATACAAAATTACAATATATAGTTTAGTTTAATTAGTTCCTACTACTACTACTATTATTATTACCACTATTGTTATGTTAATTTGGATTTGATGATGACAGTCTCAATTTCAATATCATTTGGTTGTGTTTACACACAAACCCACACTACACTATCACCACTAATTTTAAAAATAACACATTAAAAAAAAATTAAGACATACAATACATTTTTTTAATAAAATGGATGATATCTTATCTTTGCTTAAATTAAAAAAAAAAACCTATTTAATCCAAAAAAGTAGTAGTTTTCATATTTCACACACCAACACACACATTCATTTGACCATCTAATCTTATTAGAAAGATAAAAACTAAAAAAAAAAAAAAACAACCAAATCTTACACTACTCACTAAAAATACAAATTAATATTGTTGTAAATTCAGTAACATATTATTATTAATGTGTACCAGAATGAATAACAACAACAATATTACATGAACGAAAATGGTATTATGTATTATAGTGTGATATTAATATAAAAAACATTACAACAAAAAAAAAAAACTAAATTTAACAAACAACTTTAAGTACTATTGTCGAGATGTTGGTTTAGTTTGGCGCGATGGTTATTTGACTATATATATATATTATTACTATTAAAGTTAGAACAATGTCAGATCTTAAACATCAGTAACAATCTTATCTAACGATATGAAAATAAGTTTTCTCAAAATTGTTGGAAAAAAAAAAAGTGTTAAATATGAAGATAAACTTTAAAGTTTATCTTTTTTTTTTTTTATATGACGAGTAGGATATTGGAAAATAACAATAGGACTTTAAATTGTAAAGAAATAACAATAAAAGATAGATCTCTGGTTGCAAGACACAAGATGTTAAAAGTCAATTAAAGCTAGTGAGAAAAACAAAAAAAAACCAACATAGCGAACCACTTGCTGTTCACACTTTTTTTTTTTTTTTTTGCATGAAAAAAAGTTTGTGGCGACTGCAAAATACTATTTTTGCTATGTCTGGTCAGGTGTGGGGTTTTATTTGATTTTTAACAGATTACTTACCATATTTTTATTTCGCAATTCTTCATGCATCTCTAAACTATCAAGTTTGTAAATGTTGTAATAGTTATAGTTATAGCTATTGTAATAATTGTTATTAAAATTGTAACCGTTGCTGTTGTTGAAGTTGGTTGTAGTGGTAGTTGTGGTAGCAGTGGTGGTAGTTGATCTAGTACTGGCATTGAAGTAACTACTGTTGTTTTTGTTTCTCTTTCCATTGAACGAGTTTTCATCATCAATAGAATTGTAGTAGTTATAATGATAATAGTTATACATCTTTTGTTGTGTGATTTTATCTTTTTTAATAAATATTTATCTATCTATATAAAAATAACAATTTTATATTATATTATATTCAATATGATTATGTTTATTATTATTGTTTAAAACTAAATTTTTTGTAATTTCATTCATATTCATATTTAACAAATCCTCACTCTTTCCTATTTAAAAGAGAGTAGGTAGGAGGAGGTAGAGGCTCACTCATAGTGAGTGGTGGGTACCCCTTTAAAGTTTCATTTTTTTCATCTAATTCCCAAATGCATTTAACACTTTATTATTATTGATTATTGCTTAATTTAATTACTAAATTCTAGAATTAATGGGTGAGTCGCAATGTAATTAAACATTAAAAACATTGAATGTTCATTTTACCGTTGCGGCTGAAGGACCATCTTTCCTTTTTGTTTATTGCGTAGGAAGGGTTCAAATGAATCATGATAATTTGATTTTAATGATTTTTTGTGTTTCATTTGGAGATGGGAAGTGTGGGTGTGTGGTTTTTGATGATCATCATTTACTTTTTAAGGTACAAAATCGTTTGTTTTTTTTTAGTTTATTTTTTTTGTGATTTTTTTATTTATGTATTTTCTATTTTTATAATGAGAGGATGAAAGGAAATTTCGCTTGCATGAAATTTCGGAATGTATAATTTATCTTTGCATTTCAATGATCGGTATTTACAAATTATTATTATTATTACTTAAATATAAAAAAAAAAAACTAGTTTATTTTTGTAAAAAATCATCTAGCTAGCTTTCTTTCTTTTTTTTTTTTGTAGTCTTGAATTGTGCAGTGTTGTTATTGCTATTGTCGAGTCATCAACTTTTGATGTTCACTCTCTCTTTCATATGATTTACACTAGACTTTTATTACTATTTTTATTTTATTTTTTTCTTCGATTGATTATTTATTGATAATTGTTATGTTTTGTTTGTTTTGCTTATGTAATATACATCTATTTACAATTATTATTGAATTCTTCTTATCAGATGATGTTGGATGATGTTGTTTGATAAGATTAAATTGTGTAGAAAGACTGTTACATATCCATCTCCATATTGTCACCTATTGCATCATCATATTCATTATATTCATACCTAAAATTGTATAAATAATCATTGTATACATTTGATATCCTATTATAAAAGCATAGCTATACTTACTCATCATCTGAATCCGAATCTCTACTCATACTAATTTGATCTCTACTATTTGCCATCTCCAATGCCTTACTATAGTAATTTGTATATATTTTAAATGAATATAAACAGTTAGTAAATAAAGATGATTATAATGATTGTAACTATTGACTACTTTTAACTACTAACTATTAACGAACACTTACTTTAATAATCTACAACAAAAGAATATGATCCTTTTCAGACTCTTATTATAAAAAAAGTAATTAAAACTCCAACTAAATGTTATTGTTATTGTTGTTGTTAATATTATATATCCATGGATGAACTTTTACTTTTGTAATTAATTACATAACAATATTATGTTGTACTTACATAACACCTTCTTCAGTGAAAGGATCGGGTGACTCTGGTATATACGAATAGATTTCAGTTTTCGATAGTACAATCTCTTGGTCTATCGATGTCCACAAACGTTCTTGCATCTCTGTCTTGTAGTTATTGATGATCGATTGCAGCGATGTGTTTACGCTGTTCATTACGAGTGAAAGGTTACTCTCCTTTCGGAATTGGTCGGGCTTCGAACTGGAGAAGTCGTAGTCGACGAAGCACGCATTCAACGTCGATATCAGATGTATCATGGTTTTGCGACCGGCACTCGATGTCAGCGGTCCGAACGGACTGGACGACAGCGTCGTAGACATACCACCGCCATAGTGATGACTGTTGTGTAGTTCATTGAATGAACTGCCCTGTAGCAGTGAACTGCCAAGCGTCGACGTCGACGTCGGCTCTAAGCTACTGCTGTATTGCACCTCTAGCTCCTTGTCGAGCGACTTGAACAGCTTCTTATCGGAGCCTGCAACCTTGCATGAATATGACTCTAAAATACCGTTCAGTATGCCATCACCAATATCCAACCTATCTAGATATGTACTCAAAGCAATTAGATTTGTAGAATCTAAATATTTCATTTTTTTGTTGCTGTTGATGTTTTCTCTTTTTTTTTTTCTATTTTTTTTTTTTTACAATATTATTTCATTTATTTCTATGTTTGTTTTTTGTGTGTTTGTTTTCTTATTATTATTATGTACAAAAAAAATATATTACAAAAATGTTTTAAAAAAATCGTCTTTTTGTTTGTTTTGTAAAGGTGTTTATGCTATGAATTCAAAAAAAAAATGATGTTAATCACTGGTTCTTTGAAACATACATACTTTGCAATAATTTTAATTTAATTTAAATTTTTGCAACGGTAAAAAAACAAAAAACAAAAAACAAAAAAAAATTGAAATAGATTTACCTGGGTGGACCTTTGTTTGACCTCATTTGAATAAATGATAATTTATATCCTTAATGAATTGATTCATTCATTGGTTACAGATAATCTATTTATTAAAAATTCTATAGAATTATATTACATTTCAAATCCTAGGTATTTTATCTTTGAAAAGGTAATTGAAGAATACCAAAACAAAATTGTTCAGAACTTGGTGTGGTTGTAAGGATGGTCAATAATTTAAAACTTTTACGAAAAATAATTAATATTTCATTATATTCATGAGAAATGACACAAATAAGGTCACTTTCCACCCAAAGTTGATCGAGATAATTCAAATCGAAGATACCAAGTTTAAAGAAGAATTGTGCAAGGATAATTTTTGAGTAATTAATTGGGTTGTGGCACAAATTTTGGGGTTTTTTTTTGTTTTTAGAATTTCATAGGTTTTTAATCATTTTTTGTTTTTGTTTTTTTGGTGGGTCTGAGATAAACAGACGATTATAACTGACAAAAATAAATCAAAACTTTGTTTTTTTATTCAAATCTAGTGAAATCTTGTTCCAAAATAAAACAAAAAAAAATAACCAAAAACACAATCAACATTTTATTTTATTAATTTATCAACTATTAACCAAGAAAATATACTTTTCTCTTTATCCGACTTTTTTTCATTAAACAAAACAAAAACAAAGAGATAAATATACTTTATTTATTTATTATTTATTATTTATTATTTATTTATTTATCAAATCATATCATATCACTAAAGTTAGTCAATCATTATATTTAATTTCAGATAACATAGTTTTTAGATTGATTGATACACAGTGTATATGATTAATTTTTTTATTAATTTTTGTATTATATTATTTTAAAACACACATTTTCATGTCAAAGAAAGAGTAGCAGCTTCCTAATTCCGAAGAAAGATAGTCAATAATATTTAGATAGATAATCAAGTTTTATTAGGAATAGGAATAGTAGTGATTTATTTTATTATAAGAAGGTAAGAAATTGGCGCCAAACAAACAAGAGTGGAGTCAAAGTGTATCATAGTATATTTAGTTTGTTGCAAATCGTCTTTAAATAAAACTTGACATCAAAGTACAAAAATAGAAACTTCAATCAATCAACGATCAAACAATCTCAATTAATATTATACTATGAGGGCTTTCATAAACAAAACAAAAATAATAAAAATGGTTAAAATTAGATGTTTGAATTTGAAATATATATTAATTAATTAATTACAATCAATCGACAATCGATCAAACAAGAAATCATTTATATTAATATTGTTAAAAAAACACTTGACAACAAACATACATACAATGTTTACACACACACGCACAGTTCATCATTCACATTTCATTGACTTGTCATTTTAAGAGCACACTACGACATGGTCAACGATCAATGTTATATGTGTTGAAGATTTAATTATATAGAAACTTGATAGTAATAGCAATCACAATCAATCAAACATCATAGCATCATTATTAATGCTAATCTTAGCATTGAAACTTACTATTTATTTCCATCTTAAATTTCACCGACATTCACTTTACAACCATTTGTTTTAATTATAATAATAAAAACATACTTTTATTTTCAATTGATATAAGTTGGCCAAAGATCAGTATAACTAATAAGATATCTTATTTTAATATTAAATTTATAGGTTAGCATTAATTCAAAATTATATAATTCAAATCACATCGCAACAAACACACACACACAAATACTTCAATTCAGTTTTAGTAGTAATTAATTTAGATTCAAGCTTCATATATCTTTTTATTTGGGATTAATAATAGTAAGCCGTTAATGTTGTTGTTGTTGTTTGGTTGCATCACTCCAACGGTTACTATCAACAAAAATGGAAAACAATAATAATTAGCCATATTCCAACCAAACAGTTACTTCTATCCAAACAACAAGCACTACTAATCATTCACACACACAAAGTAACTCTTAATCTTAATATCTTTATACATTTTCACCATTAACACAATACCCATTTGAATATCAACCGGTAGTTAAAAGTGAATATTTTCCAATTGGACTGACTGATGGATTTCAGTGGATTAAAATGGATTATAACATTGGATTGGATTCAATAATTTAATTATTGTTGTTGTTGTTTTGTGTGTTTTTGTTTTATCCATCCACAACTCTCCACAACATATTATTTCACATATTACACCCCAATAACATCATGCAAAACGGTATTTAGAAGTGATCACACTAAAACTGATCGAGATCACCCAAACCAAATGTTGTCCAATTGGAATTCAATTCACAATCAATTTCAATCCAGTCCAATCAAAAACAAAACAAATCAACTTGTTTTAATTTATAGAAACATACATACATACAAATTTATTATATATATATGTATTTATAGTCTATATCACAATCATGTTGTGATACATACATCAATAATATTATAAAATTCAAATTAGGAAATATTTAGATATATTTATCAACCTAACTTCTATAACAACAACACACAGATCAGATTTCAGTTAGGTATTGCAATAAAGAAATAATAGTTTTATAACAAGATAACAGTTACAATGTAAAGTTCAGTTCAGAGTGTTCATAACATTCAAAATCAGCAAAATAATTTCACAATCAAACTTTACCAATCAACTTGCTATTAGTTGAAAATCATTATAGTGATGAGTGCACTTTTATTAGTATTCATTTTTTTAACTTTTATTTTCACACAAAACCATCAACACACACAACACACTACCTATACACTACATAACATATACATAAATTAATCATTTGAAAAAGCGTGTGATGGGTTATCATAATTTAATTTCAGTTCCTCTACTACAATAACTCAGTATTCGCGCGAATAATAGTCGATGTTAATCGCACACACCTGTGTTGTGACCTTACTTTTTTGATTTTGAATCATTATCTGAAAAGATAATTTTTAAATAATATTACTTTTACTTCATATTTGCATTTAACTTTAACTTTCAGCTTTGATTTTATTTTTACTTGCACATCGTGCGTGTTTCAAAAATCATGTGTTTTGTACTGTGTGTGGTTTGGTATTTTTTATAAATGTGTGGTGTGTGGTTATAGCTATTATAGGACCATATAATATGATGGATTGGATTGTTTATATTTGAGAAATCAAGTAATAGTGGTAGTCTTTTATCCTATATTTAATTTACTGTGTGCTGGTTTCTGGTGGTTGTTGGTGTTAGTGGTTAAGTTAAAGTTTACTAAAGAATGAAATCATTATTATTGTTAATCATTTTTTTTAATTTTTAATCAAAGATGCTGATATTGGCAATCGATTCATCTGGCTATGCTTCAGCGTTTTCCAGAAAAGACACTTGATTCAATTTGTTTTGTTTTGTTTATAAATTATTGTTATTGCAACACCTTTCAGTGTTTGTGTATAAAAACATCGATTCAATCATTCATTTCCAACTTAACAATTTTGACAAAGAAAGTCACATAAGAACAACAACAAACAACAATTACCTTACTTCAACATCAAATCAAATTAAAAAAAAAAAAATCACCACTTCAAAGTTTGTTTGTATATGTGTATATTTAAATTAAAATAAAAAAAAAAAAAAAAAAAATCAAATTCACATATATTATACAGATATAATCATATATCTTAAATTTGAAAATCAAATACAAAATAAACAAAATAACAAATCATATAATAATAATAATAATAGTTTGTTAAAATCAATATTATTTATTTCAAAATCAAAATTTGATTATTTATTTATTTATTTGTATTCATTTTTCATTCCTGTTGTGTCATTACCACGACATACAATAAGCAAAGCTAATCCAATATAAACAATTCAAATTTATATTGTGTATTAATTTTATTATTTCACCCGAATCATAAAAATTACTTAACCAATCAATATAAATAAATACACTTATCACTTCACTTCACTTTACCTTTTTTCATTTTTCCAGCTTTCCCATTCACCATCCATCGTATCACTACAATTTTTCACAACCATTTTGAAAAAAAAAACAATACAAAATTAATCCAACTGTTGTTGTTTTTGTGCTTATATAGAAAAACATAAATTTATCAAATTTATCCACCTACCTACCTTGCGACAAGTTTGGAAAGAGCTTCCACTGTTGCCAAGCAAAAGCAATCCATTGATTTTTTTAAATTTTAATTAAAATTATCAAAATTATTTATTTATTTATTAATTTTATTTATTCATTCTTGAACATCATCATCATCATTGTGTTGTGATTTTCACATCAATCAAATCAAATCAAATCTTTTCCAAATTCAATTTTCATATTTGGAAATAAAATTACCAAATTCAACATTTGTATACTAATTATTTGAAATCATCAAAATAAACCAATCAATCAATCAATTAAAAAATGTCAACCATCTATCATGTAGTTAGAACCACTAGTTATCATAGTCGGAAGAATAGTGATACCAGCAATTTGGACAACAGTCAACCAGCTGTCTACTTTGTAAAGAAATCCGCTAGAAAACGTAGTATAATTGTGGACGATCAAAATAATAATCATAACCAACAGCAGCAACAACAGCAACAACAGCAACAGCAACCCTCTACTACAAATATTAATTTAAGTAATAATAGTATTAGTAATAATAATAACAATAACAATTCACAACAATCTTCACCAAAGCTCATAGCTTCAACTTGTTCTTCCTCTTCTTCTTCTTCCAATTTTCCCCAATCATCATCTTCATCATCAATAACATCTTCAACATCAAGTTCATCACCAGCCTTATTAACATCAACACCAACATCAGCAGCATATTCTTCCTGTCCCATTAAAAATATCATGATGACAGAAGCCAAGAATATCTTTACTCCAGATATAAGTTTATCTTCTTCATCATCACCAACTTCAACACCGACGATTGCTGTGACTTTGGCAGTGACACCTCCACCTTCACCTCAGCTTGGAACGAATGTAAAGTCAGAAGAGGAAAGAAGAGCCGAACTCAAGTTATTGCTCTCTTCAGTCATACCTTGTGTTATGATTGGTGTCGAATCTGCCGAGAGTGATATTACCTCAATTTTCAGTGTAGAGGATCTCAATGAGAAACGTCCATCCTGTCAAGTTTTAATTGCACTTTCAAAAGTATGATGATCGAAGCTGAGACAGCTGTCTGTTTATATCAAACAAATTAATTAACAAGCTATTAACATATTTATTTTTTACAGGTATTAAAAGAATATCCAAAAGGTATGGGTTATATTCCAAGACCATTGCCATCTTGTTTGAGTCTGTACCCGAAACTCAGAGAATTTCGATCCCAAATGGATTTGTTGATATGGGAGATCATTTCAAAGTTGTCGATTCTTCGTGAGTTTGTAGAGAGCAATCAGGACGTTCAGAATCTTTATGTGGTGGCGCTGAGTATTCGTGACGCCAAGAATTGTTTCACCATTCACGATTGTGAACACTACATAAAGAGTATCGACGAGATCGATCCTGGTCTCAGCAGAAAGCTGTTCTCTTCGTCGTCGTCGAAGCCGAGCAGTCCGAAACCAGTGATGTCTCGTGCACCACGCGATATGATTGATTCCACCAAGAACATGGTGAACTCTGCCATCGAATCAAAGTCGATCCAGCAGCAACAGCAGTTGGCCAATGGCGGTGCCGGTGCCGGCGAGGAAAAGGTATCGCTCTTTAGAAACTTGATAAGTCAACAGGTGAATGCAAGGAATACCAACCCACAGGAATATAAAAAGAAGTTGCTACAACATCGTCGTGAGAAACTAGCGGGTAGCGGTGAGCAAACGACTTCGTCACCGTCACTTCAATCCTCAGGAAATAACATCGACAACAATGGAAATAGTAACAACAAGAGAAACTCCACTGGAAACTCACCGAATCTTGTTTCTAAATCACCGGATGCTTGGCCAAATGGTTCACGTACTCCAGTGGAAAAGTCGCGTAACAGTTTGACTCCGCCTGGAAAGTCAGGACGTTCCTTCTCGGATCCATCGATTTTCAGTGACCAGCAGCAGATGCAACAACAATTTTTGCATCCCTCCATCGATAGAATCAATCGTCACTACAAGTTGCAAGCATCTTCATCACCGTCGACCTCCTCGACAAACATTGCCAATTGTCTCACTCCGCCACACCTCAATCTCAACGCTGACTTGGACACCTCACAGGAATGGGAAAAGTACAATGAGCAGGCAGCTGTCGACGCCGGATGTCATCTGCTCCAACAGGTGCGTGGATTCAAGACGGACGCAGGAAGCGCTCAGCTGAAGGCACTGTTGGATATCAATCAATTCTTGATTCGCGAGGAAGCCAACGACGAGTTGTTTTACCACAACGACTTTGCCGAGCGTAACCACATCAATTTCCTCGGTGTCAGCAAGGGTGCCGATAAGACACCGATCGCCATATCGATCTGCACTTGCGTGCTGGAGAACGAGATGGAACTTCTGTATATTATTAGAACGCAAGAGGGTGACGAACGTCTGCGCTTCAATTTCAACAAGAGTCGTGACATGTCCGCCAAGGACATGATCAAGCTGCTCAAGAAGACACGCCAGCAGTTTGCCAACTACCGAATCAAGGAGATCAAAGAGGAGAACATTCTCATGGATCTCTTGGATTTCGAAGCGAAGAACAGCGCACAAAAGAACTTCAAATTCGGTGTACTCTATTGTCGTGACGGCCAGACCACAGAGAACGAGATGTACGCCAACCAAGAGCCGTTCAGCAAGCGATACACCGAGTTCCTCGAGTTGCTAGGTGAGCGTATCGAGCTGAAAGACTGGAAGTTCTATAGGGGCGGTCTCGATATCAAGGATAACATGACCGGAACACACTCGATCCATCGATTCTGGCGAAACTATCAGGTGATGTTTCATGTCGCCACGATGATTCCACACAAGCCCGACGACCTCCAGCAGATCGATCGTAAGCGACATCTCGGTAACGACATTGTCATCTTGATTTTCAAGGAGGGTAACACACCAATCAACCCGGCGATATTCAAATCGAATTTCAATCATATATTTGCCGTTGTACAGGTTGACGAAGATATGTCAACACCGGAAACCACTTTTTATAAATTCTCGATCACTTCCAAAGATGAAATCACATCATTCGGTCCATCATATCCCAAACACTATAGTTTCTCATCTGAAGAACTTAAAGAATTTTTAATAACCAAATGTAAATATTATTATTATTACCATTAATTAATTAAACAAATTCAAATTAGAAACTAATATATGTTTTATTATCACCAGTGACCAATGGAGAAAGATGGGTATTAAATTCACCTGTATTCTCTCAAAAGTTTGTTAGAACAAGAAGAGAATTCTTACAATCCTATATCAATGATTATTTTGAAAATTAACATTAGATTATTAGATCATTCAAAACAACCAAACTTTACTTTATTATAATATATTATTACTTTTTTTTTTTTTTTTTTAATTAAACATAATTATTTGATTATTGATCAATCAAGTACTTTCACAAACAAAAACAATTGACAATTTAAAGCTTTTTTATATTCCAAATTTATTTGATATCAAATGTAATGTTTCTGTGTTTATAAATAGAATTATAATTTTTTTTTAGTTAGTTGGTTGGTTGGATATATCTACGTTACTTGATTATAATCAAAGAATAAAATAAATTTCTACTAAAACTTATATATATTTATATCTTTATTATATTATATTATATTATCTGGCGGGTCTTCTTGCTCCACCGGCTGCTGGTGCACCACCAGCTTGACCAGCAGACTCATCACCCATTTGTGGGACAAAGACATTCAAAAGTGTAATGATTGCTAAAGGTAGGATATAATACCACTATATATATATTCATAATAATGATCATGTGATCATTTCGATTGATTAGATTTAATTGTCAATAAAAGTTATTCATTAATGAATTTAATCTTTATAAATGAATTGAATCTTACATATTTTTTAAAGAAAGATTGATTCTCTTCTTCTGCTGGCTTTTCACCTTCCTTTGGTGGTGGTGCAATAATTGGTCTGTTAAAGATTATAATAATATTAATTTAATAGTTAGATTATGAGTAAGTTATGCTTTAGTAGTCTCTCTCTTTTTGTTGTATATTTACTTTTGTGCTATAAAAGCAATATCTACGGAAACATAAATAGAATTCTTTGAACTATCATAGTCTACTGGTGGTGTTGTCAAATGATAGCTGCATCCAATGAGATTCAATGTAGTTGGATCTAAATTTAACTTTAATATTTCATAATTCAATGATGAATCATTTAAAATTCTCTGTTGTTGTTTGTTGTTGTTGTTGTTGTTGATGAGGATTGATTGAATATGATTTGAATAAGTATAAACGAAATAAAAATAGTTTTTTTTTTTTTTTGTATTATTGCTTGCAATTAACTAAAACATACTCTTGGTAATGAACAAACAACAGGTAGATTATCTTTAATTTGCAGATCAGATACAATCTTTGTTGTAAATATCTCTGATTGTTGTTGATATTTCTGTTTGTTTGAATGATAGGTAGGTAAGATTAGTCAGATTTGTTAATATGATATGATTTGATTTGTTATTAATATTGCTACTGATTATTACCTTCTTGTCATCAGATGATAATGGTTTACAATCAGAAGACAATGCTTGCTTTGTTATATTTGTGTTGATCTCTTGATAGTTGTTCGGTAGCAATCTTGGTTTAAACAATATTTTACATCTGCTCGACTTGTCACTGAGATGACTCATTGAAAACGTTATATCTTTAGCTGCATGTTGTTGTTGTTGACAACTTACATAACCAACTAACAATACTATAACAAATAATTTACTAAAAATATTATTCATTTTTATTTTTGATGTATAATTAATTTAATTTGTGTTGTTCACTTTTCTTTTTAAAAAAAACACTAAAGTGATCATGATTATCAGAAAATTTCGAAAACATTTTATTTTTTTATTCTCTGATAGATGAATAGCTTACGAACAACCATTGTTGTTAAAGAAAGACAAAAGAGATAATAATCGATGATGATAATAATAAGCTGATCTTAATATAATAATAATATAGAACAGATAATGGTGCATATGATTCACTCATTCAACCAATCAATCTTTTTAATTAATATACAGATAATTTTATTAGTCGAATAATTTACATATCTATTGATTGATAAGGTCAACAATGGATTGGTAAGTACCATATCCAGTTGCACCTAAACCAAATACAACAATAGCAATATGTGCAGCAAACAAGAGCCTCGATTGCTCTGGATAATATTTAATATACAATAATGGTGGAACAACCAATCCAGTTAGGGCAAGCATCAATGATCCAATCAATGATGTGTAAGATCCAAAATTTTTAATGTTTGTTCCTATTGCAGCCAATGCAACATTAAATAATACACGAAGTACATAGAATTTCCAATTTCTCGAGATAAACAACTTCTTTCCATCTTCGTTCCTATCAGAGACTGGGAATGCAGAGAAATGCTTGAAGAATATTTTCACTGACGATTCAACTACATTCATACCGGCTCCGAAAACAATGGGATACGAGCAGATCAACTCGAGAACAATACATGCACGGACAACATTTGCAAATGCACCCTTTGGCAACACTTGGGTGATGGCAGAGGGTACACCAACGACACCTGTAACTGGATCTACATAAAAGTAAAAATAAAAGTATCCAAGGATTGCGAATGTCAAGTTTACAATGGTAATGAAAAGCATTCCATAGTTTAGAACCTTTGGATAACGTCGAACATCGCCACTTGCATGTGATATTGGAATTACAACGATATGGTTACAAAAGAAGAAGGCAGCTACACCGAACCACAATGGAACATTTGAATAATCTACCTTGTATTCGTCGTATGGTTTGATACTATAGTCAATGCCACCATAGACCATAATTGTGCCCATAGCAAATAATAATGAGAGGGCACCAAAAATACTGGTGTATGACAAATATTTCCTATATCATCATTTAATCCAGATTATTATTAGTAATCTTTTTTTTTTTTGAAAACAATAGATTTTCAATTTCTACTTACATATCAGTTAGGAAACATAAAATAACCATGGCGGGCATTGTGTACCAAATGATTGTTTGTTGATTATAGTTACAGAGTTCACCGAAATTTTGGCCGACCAGAATGAGATATGCAACACAAATAGCCATTGTAACAGAGAAGTTCATAAAACAGAGTGCTAGTTCTCCAGCACGTCCGTATGCGTATGCAGCAATGTCAGCATAGGAACATGGTGGAACATCTGGTCCTCTCTTTTCTGTTAATTTAATATTACATTTTAAAAGCAATCCCATAGTATAGTTGGATAATAGCGCAATCAAAACCAATCCTATTGATCCAATAAAAATACCTCCTTGTTGCATTGCCCATCTAGATATAAAAAATGGAAAATAATATTAGAATTTTTTTTTTTATTCAAATATAATATTTGTTTTTTGATGGTTATATTTACGGTAATGCAAAGGAACCAGCACCAGCAAAAGCCTTTACTGTATTTCCAAAAGCTGGAATCGGTGTAAATTTATTTTCTTTTTTTACAACTTCAATATCATTTTCGGTTAGGTGTTCCACAGTCATGATATATTTTTTTATTAATATACAAAATTTTTTCTTTTCGAATATTTACAAGATTATCTAGTATAACTATTTAATGATGGACTAGATTAATTGAACTTTTACAAATCTATACAATGAAATATAAAATCAAATTAAAAGGGAAGAGAAAGTACAATTGAAGCAAATCAATTCAATTGTTTTTTAAAATGAATAAATTTATTAATCGGAATTGATCGGTTTGAATCTCGAATCAAAATTAAAAAAAAGTGGAATTTCTATCAAACTTACCCAATTAGGATGTTAAATGAACGAAATTTTTATGCAAAAGTGTTTAAAAACGAACCCATGTTCTCATATTTATCAGAATTCGGAATGCTGGGAACTCGTCTTGTTTTTCAAAAAATTTCGTTTTTTTTTTGTAGATTTGATGGTTTTTTTTAGAAACCAGACAACCAACTTTGTCATATTTTTGGAATAAATCATATTGATATTTAAACATCAAGGCCTTGCACTGAAATATTTCGAGATGGATACACTGGTACCAGTGAAATTTAAAAAATACAAAAAAATATTATAATCTCTTCGGAATCGGTAATACTATCTTTTTTATTTTTTACTCCATGGTGATATTTTATAAAAAAAAAACAATTGTTTTACTTAAACAATTGAAATCTATTACAACACAACGGATCATGATGATTAAACATAGTGTATCTAACCAACCCTTATAGTTTATTAAAAGGTTTGATATTTAACAAAATATTTTAAAATTAATACCAGCTGATATGTATTGAATTAATTTACACCAAAAAGGATTGAAGGATTCTGGCTAAAAAGAGTTGAGTTGAGGCTTCATAGATGATGAAAAATATCTATAAATTATTGAACTTGTAAAATGTAAATAAAGATGAATGAAAATATTAAGTATAAACATACTTGAATATTAATATCTTTGTCTTTTTTTTGTATGTGGCTCTTCTTCCTCTTCATCATCATCATCATCGTCTTCTTCTTCTTCATCGTCGTCTTCATTACTTGTATCGTCGTCATCTTCTTCTTCTTCTTCATCGTCTTCATTGGAATCATGATAATATTCATAGTCCTCTATACTATCCTCTTCTTCTTCTTCATCTTCATTATCATCATCATCATCATCATCATTTTCTTCACTCCATTTATCCATTAATAAATCTATAAGTTCTTCACGTGATTTCTTTAAAAGAGATTCCTTATATAGCCTCTTGGGTGTCAGTCTTGCTGCATTCATTGTACGAAGTTTGTAATACATTTCAATGGCAGTTTCTCGAACGTGCTTACAGCCACCTCCCATTGGACATGTACAATCTGTTACTACCCTTCCTTTCCTTATTGAAATTGTAACCTTATAGTAACCAAGAGAGCCAAGTATTCTTGCTTCTACATGAGTGAATCCACATTTGAGTATTTTAGGATCACCATAAGTCTCGTGGCCATGACCCAACTGACTACATTGTTGTAGTGTCAAATCCTTTAATGTAACAACCATAATTATAATATCAAAAAAAAAAAAAAACAAAAACAAAAAATGGGTAATGCTATGAATCTTTTTTCAGTTTGCGTGTATGGATGACCACTAAAATTTGAATTTTATTCTTTCTCTTTTACAAGTTAGAGAGAATATAGATTCAAACATATTTATTTCTAATCAAGTAAACTATTCTGCTTCTAAATGGAGATATTAAATTTATGAATATAAATTATTTAAAATGAAATTGCAATAAATTAATTATCATCATCGGAATCCGTTTTTGGTTTAGCATGGTTGATGATCAAAAAAATAAAAAAAATAAAAAATGAAAAAGAATAATTATAATAAAAAAACAAATCATTTTTTTAATCAATTTTTTTTTTCAACAATCATATGTTATAAACAATTTATTTAATTTATATATATTTATTTATTTGTTATATTTGATAAGTAAGAAACAACAGAATGTCTACAAAACCAAATGAAGCAGCTGCAGGAAATCCACCACCTCCAAAGCGTCAACCATTATGGCATACATTTGTTTCAGGAGGTATTGCTGGTGTCAGTGAAGTAAGTATATTGTGTATTGTGTTGTTCATTTAATTAATTCTTATTGATTTTTATCTTTCTTTCTTTCTTTAAAGATATTGGTTATGTATCCTTTGGATGTAGTTAAAACTAGAGCTCAGTTGCAGGTTGGTCAAGGTGCATCGATGTTTGGTACCCTCATGCACATGATCAAGCATGATGGTTTCAAGATGTATAGAGGTATCGTTCCACCCATTTTAGTGGAGGCACCCAAGCGTGCAATTAAATTTGCCTCTAATAAATTCTATGAGGAAAAGATATTAAATCATTATGGAAGTATGTATCATTACTAAATTTACACCACTATATCAACTATCAATTTGATTGTTAAATTAACTTGGTTTTTTAATTTTTAGATGCTCGTCCAACTCAAAACCAAGCGATTGCTGCTGGTGTTATGGCAGGTATTACTGAAGCATTTGTTGTTGTACCATTTGAACTTGTAAAAATTAGATTGCAGGCAAAAGAAAATGTAAGTTAAGTAAATAATGAAAAAAATGGTAAATCAAACTAATCAACTCACACACATATATTATTATTATTATTTATATAGGCTGGTAAATATAAAAATACAGCAGATTGTGTATTAAAGATTGCTCAACAAGAAGGTATCGGTGGATTTTTCAAGGGATTGGAATCGACACTGTGGAGACACGCACTCTGGAATGGTGGTTACTTTGGATTGATCCACACCATCAAATCAGCGTTGCCAAAGCCACAGAATGAGCGTCAGACACTTATGAATAACTTTGTGGCCGGTGGTCTTGCCGGTACCTTTGGTACTATATTGAACACACCTGCCGATGTAGTAAAGAGCAGAATCCAAAATCAAGGCAGTGGTCCAATCAAATACAATTGGTGTATTCCATCGATGATCACCGTTGCCAAAGAAGAGGGTATCGGTGCACTCTACAAAGGTTTCCTACCAAAAGTACTCAGACTAGGTCCAGGTGGTGGTATTCTCTTGGTTGTCAATGATTACGTTATGAAACTTTTAGCATCAAAACAATAATAATAATAATAATAATAGTTTTTTCAAAAAAAATAAAATAAAAATAAATACTTATCTGGATAACACAAATATATTTTTTTTTTCAAAAGTTCAACATTGCATCGTTTTTGTTGACAATTTTATTTCTGTTCCACCAGATCCATTCCATTTATAGTAAAAAAACACAATACACATGTTGCATAGGATATCATTAGATCCTGTAAGATCACCTTTTAAAGATATTAAAAGAAATAACAATAATAGTAATAGTAATAATAATGTATCTATAATAAATAATAATAATACTATTAATAAACAAGAGATAAATCTATCAAATATCAAATCAAATAGTAGTAGTAGTAGTAGTCGTAGTAGTAGTAGTAATATTTCAAATATAATCTCAGCTTCTATCATTTTAGTTGATAAAGAAGATACTTCTTCTTCCTCTGAGCAATGCAATCGAGAGTTGACCAACAATACTAAGCAAAGCAAATCTACTATTAGTTTATCAGACTTGGAGTATTTATTGGAGCAAGACGAAGAGCCAGAGAGAGAGCAACTATCACAGACAACAGAGCAACAAATCAATGACACTACTGTTGTACCGCTAGAGTCGTATGATACCGATACAATTCTAAACAAAATCATCAACGATATGAGCAGATCAACTCTTAAAAGTATTGACGAAATATCAGAGGGTTACTGTAAGAGAAAAGGTCTTGTTCGTCAAGATCTCGAGAAAGAGAGATTGGAGCAGTTGAAGTATCACAGAGATCAAGTTGAATCTCAAATGATGGAGCTTGTCAATCAGGAAACAAGAGATCAGCAATCGCTATTTAGAGAGAAGCATAATCATACCAAACAAGAATATGAAAAGCTATCAAAAGAGACAACAGCAGCAATAAACAACTACAACAAATTGATCGAACAAGAAAGACAAAGATTATTAAAGTTAGAGGAAGAAGAACAGGCGAGAATAAGAGCTGAACAAGAAAGAATTAAAAGAGAGGAATTGGAAAAAAAGAGAAAAGAAGAGGAGCGTTTGGCAGAGATTGAAAGAGCAAGGCAAGCCGAAATAAAAAAGAAACAAGAAGAAGAAGAAAAGAGATTAAAAGAAGAGGAACAAGAGAAAAAGAAAAGAGAGGAAGAAGCGGAAAATAAGAGACAACAAGAGAAGAAAGAAAAAGAAGAGCAAGCAAGAAAAGAAAGAGAGGAACAAGAAAAGAGAGAAGAACAAGAAAAGAAAAGAAAAGATGAAGAGGAATTAGCAGCAAGAAGAGTTGAAGATGAGAAGAAAAAGAAAGAGGAAGAAGAAGCAGCAGCAGCAGCAAGCAGTCAACAGCCTACTCAAACAAAGATTTCAATGCCTTTGGTCGAGAATTGCGATTATCTAGTTTCAATTAGTGCCTATGCCGAATACAACGAACGTCTAAAGACGCTCAACGAACTAAACAAATATTTAGAGGACTACAAGAGTCAAATACCAATTCCCCTACAGGAACAGCTTAAGGAGTGCACAAAGACTGTCAACAGAATCTTCAACCAGATATCGCAGAGTGCCGATATCATTAGAGAAAAATCACAAGAGCTAGTCAATCTTCTCAACAGTAGTGTAACGAATCCATATCTATATAAATCGATCCTCTCTTTGATCACCAAGAAAGCAATGCAACAAGTCGAATCACAGATAGTACCACATGCATCATCGGCAGTCGCATACTCACTGGTTATATCACAGGTCTGTTTGAAACATCCAGATTTACTTCCAATATTCATTGCTCAGCTCAATCAAGATTGTACATTCACTGTGCCAATGTTTGTAAAGAAACTGCCTAACGATAGTGCAGATACTTACTACAAAAAGTCTGGCTTTAAAATTAAACTAGAGTCTGGTAAATTCGAATCGGAAGAGGAATATATTAACAGAATGTGTGGTTATATTACTTTGTTTGCTGCGTTTATACAGGCACCCTACACTCAAAAGTTGTATGGAATAGACAATGGTTGGAAATGGATCGCTAGAGTTGTCAACATGAAAGTCAGGCGAATAACATCGTTTTTATTGGTTTCATTCCTTCAAGTAGTAGGTTCAGTTCTTTTACAAGTATATCAACAACAGTTTGGAAAGATTTTAATGGTAATGACATCACCAGATTTCTTTGACAAACTGCCAGGACAAGAGTTGCAAGCATCAAAATCTAGACTTCAAAACATTTTGGAAAACTATGTAAAAAATCGAACAATAGAAACATTGGAAGGATTTAATTCAATAAACTGAAATCTTTAAATCTCTTCAATATTCAAATACTACATTGTTTGTTATTTTAAGCTTTATTTTCATCTTTATTTGTATGTACATTGTATGTACTCAAGTATTAATCAAAATTATCAATTATTTTTGGAATGATAAAATCGCCTTGAAATTTTATTTTGCTAACGTGTGATAGAGCCACACTAACAAACTCCAGAGTATCATTGTCGTAGACACGACACGACTACAATCATAGTTGTCATATCAATTATTATATTATTTTTAAAAATTATTACCTTTTTTTTTCAGATTTAATTATAATTTATTTATTAATTTTATAATTTATTAATTTATTTATTTATTTAATGGAGTTATTACCAATAGAGGTAACTTTCAATCCAAGTACCTGGATTTCTTCTGATGAGATAAAGTCTCAATTCGTTCATGGTCACCAAAAAGAAAGCGAATGGCAATGGAATTAACCAAAACTTGTAACCAATGATTGTTGTACCAAAGAATGTTCTAATTCCCGGTACGTGAACAATGATGAGTGCAACGGCTAGCATAGAAATGACACCAATGTTGAAAACCATATTTTTAAATCCATGTTGGAAAATAGAAAGCTTTCTTGTTTTGCATGATAATGCTGCACCGAGTCTAACCAATACGACTGCCACAAAATAAGCTGTCTGGGCTTCACGCAACATATCCTTTTGTTGGTCTAGGTTATATCCCATGAAACCTTCCTCATCACTGTCCACCATGAAATGGTCAGAGCTTGTGTTGTAAAGATCGGATGCAGAGATACCGTAATCTCTGAACAACACAAAATAGTTGACAAAGCCAGCGGCACATTGCACGAATCCAAGCCAAATATAAGAAAAGACAGCCAACTTTAAGGAAACAAGACGTTCTTTTTTGATGTTTCTGGGTGGCTTGCTCATGATATCCATTTCGGCAGATTCATAGGCATAGGAAATGACAGGGACCAAATCTGTTCCAAGATCGATACATAGAATCAAAATTCCAGAGAGAGCGGTCGGCAACTTGATCAAGAAGAAAAGTACGAATGGAAGGAGCTCCGGAATATTTGAAGAGAGAGTATAGCAAATTGATTTTTTTAATTTATCAAAAATCATACGACCCTCTTCAATACCAGCGACAATCGATGAGAAATTGTCGTCAAGCAAGACGATGGAAGCGGCTTCTTTGGCAACTTCACTACCTGTGATACCCATAGCGCATCCAAGGTCAGCTTTTTTGAGAGCTGGAGAATCGTTAACACCATCTCCTGTTACGGCTACAATGTCACCTTTGTTTTGGCATTGTTCGACAATCATAAGCTTCTGCTCGGGTGAAGTACGTGCAAAGACCACTTGTTGCAAAGCAAGAATCTTATCCCATTGTGATTGAGTTAGATCGTCCAGTCTTGAACCTGGAATGACAATGGCTTTTCCTTTTTCAAAGTCTACATCCAAAACGTCAATGTTTTCACGCTTGGCAACTTCATTCAAGGTTTCACCTTCGATGATACCAACTTGCTTAGCAATAGAGGTAGCGGTAAGTGGATGATCTCCAGTGACCATCATTACTCTTACACCTGCACGTTTACATTCGGCGACGGCCTCTGGTACACCTGGTCTAGGAGGATCCATCAAAGTGGTAAGACCAACAAAAACAAGATCGTCAGTTGGGAAGTTCTTTTCATCGGAATCGAATATGTAGTTCTTGTGGTAGATCTCTGGGTTGAGCTCTAACATTGCCATACCGAGAGCACGTTCACCCTTGCCAGCCAAAAACTCATAGGCATGAAGAAAATCATTACGGTACTTGTCAGTGAGGGTTTCCTCTTCACCATTGATGAGAATCTTTGAGCAGATCTTGATGATTCTCTCTGGGGCACCTTTCATGAGCATGATTGGCTTTTGGAGCTCGTTGTCGTAGCAGATAGTCAAATGCCATTTGTTAACAGAGTTGAAAGGGATTTCAAAGATCTTTGGGTAGAGAGCACGGTAGGACTCGACATTTGAAACATTTTCACAAAACTTCAATAGAGCACTCTCCGATGCATCTCCAATGCACTTTCTTTGTTGGATTGGGATATCTGCAAAGTTTTCGTCGGAACGATCGAATACTGTCTTGTTACAGAGAGCCGACACCTTGTACAATGTTTGGAATGTCTTGTTCTCTTTGTTAAAGTAGTTACTGGTTGTATTGGCATCACAAGAGTAGATAGTGCCGTCGTACCACAAATGAACTACAGTCATGATATTCTGAGTGAGAGTACCAGTCTTATCGGATGCAATGGTTCTTGTACTACCAAAAGTCTCCACAGCCAGGAGATTCTTGACCAACACATTCTTTTTCGACATTCTCTTGGCGGTAAGTGTCAAAGCAACTGTAATGGTAGGGAGTAGACCTTCTGGCACCTGAGCAACGACTACACCAATAACAAAAATAACAATATAAATCCATTTGACTTTGGTTGCGAAACCAACAGTCAAGAGAATTAAACCAACTGCAATGGCAACAACTGTAATGATTCTAATAAAAACATTTAATTCCTTTGGATTTGTATTTAATAATAATTAATATTTTAAATTTTAAGATATTTAAACTGAAAAAATAAAACAAAAATATTAACTTACCTTTTGTAATGGTGTTGGTGATGGTTTAGCTTTAGAAGCCAATTTGGCAATTTTACCAATGGTAGTATTATCACCGGTACTGACAACAATACCTACACAATCTCCATCTACAGCTAGGGTACTGTAGAATGCTAGATTTTGTGTTTCGAGAGCATTTTGATCGGTACATTCTGGAGTTCTGGTTTGTGGTTCAGACTCACCAGTCAACGATGAATTGTCAACTTTGAAATGATGTGCAAAAAGTACTCTGACGTCAGCAGGCACTTTGTCACCCATTCTAATGTGAACGACATCACCAACAACCAAAAGTTCAGAATTAATTTCAATGAGATGACCATCTCTCATAACTTTACAAGATGCAGGTGCCATCTTTTTGAAACCCTCCAGGACATTAGCTGATTTCGATTCTTGGAAAAAGGTAAAGGTACAAGTAATAATAACTACTGCCCACAAAATAATACCTAGATAAAGCTATAGTAATGATGAAATTAATATTTTACTATTTAACAAAAAACAAAAAGGAAAATTATGTCAACTTACATTATCACTTCCTGTATCTGGATCAATACCATAAGCAATAAAAGATAAAATTCCACCAATTTCAAGCATTGCTGGGAATAAACTTGTAAATTGTAATAAGAACTTGACCCATTTAGGAATGGACTTTGTTGGTGTTAGAGCATTTCGTCCATCTCTTTCTAATCTTTCGGCAGCCTCTGCTCCAGTAATACCCTATATATATATTAAATATTAGTAACATATTTATTATTAAAATAATGATAAAAAGAATAAAGAAAACTTACCAAACTGTATTTAGGATCAGCAAAGTTAATACTGGTTTTATGTTTTTCGGCCAACTCTTCAATTGGAATTGAATGGTCATACTATAAAAATATTATATTAATAAATATAATTATTTGTTGTTTTTTTATATTTAATATAATTACTTACAGTTAAATCAGTTTGATCGTAATCAACTTTTTCTTTGTTTGATTTTTTTTCTTTTTTGGATTTGAATTTCTCTTTGATACGAGATCGAAGCTTCAATCCTTTTCTTCTTTGTTTTTCTTTTACCACACTATAGTAGAGTGGGATTTGAGTCTCTTGACCACCTTCATGGTGGTGATGAGATGAAGAACCTTCATCTCTGTCTTTGAGTTCAATTTCAGTAAATGTTTGAGATTTTGAGGTTGGTAGATTAAGTGACGACATAATGTTTTTCTATATTGAAAAAAAAACATATATTAATATTGAAAAATCTAATTTAGATATGCTGATTAACCACCGGTTTAAACTTACATGTTAATGATATAAAAGGATAAATCAGGAATATTCTTTAGTATTTCGAATTATTCCCTTTAGAAAAATAATTAGTGAGAGATTTGATGACAGTTTTGTTAAACAATTAAATAACTAATTAAAAAAATATTAGTTACTTAATTGTCAGTTTGGTTTTAAAAGTAGAAACTACTAATAAAAGAAAAAAGAGAGAGAAAAAAAAAAAGAATTGATAATAAAATTTAATAGAATTAAAAAAAAAAAAAGAAGAAAGAAATAGAAATATTATAAAATTAGAAGGATAAAATAAAGGTTTAGTTTTAGTATTTCGAAATCACTAAATACTAATCAAACACAACTTGAAGGTTTGACCAATATTTGTTTTGATATCTATGACAATTACAAATAGAGAGTTTTGTTTGTTATTGATATAACAAAATAATATCTTGATTGATATTGATAGATATATATATATATATATATATATAATATATAATAATAATATAATAGTTATGAACTTGAATTTTAATACAATAGTTAAAGATATAATTATTGAAGATCTAAATATTTGATTGAGTGTGTGAATAGATAAGATAATTTAATGATAATAACAAATAAAGTGAAATGAATTATTTTTTGGGGTGGTGAACCTTATGAATTGGGATAGGTAAAAAAAAAAAATAAACATAAAATAAAAATAAAAATAAATTTTAAATAAAATTAATTATAAGTAATAAAACCTACTTGGCGAAGTGGATTTTTTTTCACAAAAAAAATACAATAAAAAAAAGAAACGTAATTCTGTGTTTGTCAAATAAAGTTTTTATGTATTTATATTTTTGTGTATTAGTTTTAAAAAAATTCAGTTCTTTTTTGGTGTGTGAATTGAAGGTGTTTATATTTCAGATAAATTAAAACACAATGCAAAATCGAACATTAAACAACTCTGCAAACCATCGAAGCCCTTTTTTGTAACTATTTTGGCAAAACAAAATCTTGCAGATTGCTTGCAAAACAAAAAAAAAGGGGGAAAACACAAAGTTTGACATGTTTGCATCTTATCATGCATTTTGATAGGTGGGTGTCACTTTTTGTGCTTGGATTTTGATTTTTTTTTTTTTTGATTTTTTAAACCTTCCCACGGTTTTAGACAAAAGAAATACTATGGTTTGTGGGGTATGAAAAAAAAAAAAACAATGGTTTTATAAAGATCATTTTTGTAAAAATTATAATTACCTTGTTATTTTGATGAAAATAAATATTTTTGAGGAAAATTATGAGTTTGTTGTAAATTTATAGTGTTTTTTTTTGCATTTTAATAGATTTTTTTTAAATTGATTTTATTTTTTTCTAATATCACTCCTGAAAGGGGTTTCACCAAAATTGTGATCACTACGAGTGGTTTTCCCCTTTTTCACTTGCAAGGTGGTGAAAATGGTGAAAGATTGGTGTGACGGGGGGTTTTATTTATTTTTTTTTCGGTTGAACAATCAGATCCCAAAATACAAAATCAAAGAATATTTATTAACCTGGTTACATGACTATTTGGAAACATAAAATTTTTTTTTTTGATTTGGGTTTTATTAAAAAGATTTGTTTATTATTTATTTATTTATTTATCAAATCCGAATGAACGCCACTTCACAGAATCCAAATAGAGTCCACCAATTATAGGATTTAGTTCTGGAATACTAGCATGAATTGTTCTAACTTTTTGTAAACCAAAAACAGCTATTAAATTTAAAATTGACTTTTCAACGGTTGGATTTATCTAAAGTTAGAAAAAATAATAATAATAATAAAAAAATAAAATAGATTAATACAAAAATTTCTTTTATCATATTTGTTTGTTTTTTCTACATACCTCTATAACTTTCATTTTTTCACTATAGTACTTTGATAAAGTTGAAGATGACATCAAACAACTTCTAATATCTCCAACACTTTCAAAAATTCTAATTAAGCCTGCGGTTGGTTTTGGATGGAATCGGTCGTGAGTTGTCATTTTGAATAGTTTTTCAGCTTCAGTTGGATCACCCAAGCGAATGGAAAGTTGACCTAATCTTATCCAATCGGCGAATGATCTTGTTGCATTAATTTGTTTCATTGAGAGGTGATTTATATCCAAGGCAGCTTTTCTAACCTCTTCCTCCTCTCGCCAGGTTTGGAATGCTTTAACGTCTTGGAACAATGCGTGGAAAGCCAACTCTATGTTTCTGTGAATTTCGATTGCCGGTAGTCTTGCAGAGAAATTGCCTAGTTGTACATTGTGATAGTCTCTTCTCTCCAATTCCTTTGTAGACTCTAAACCAAAGTTGTCAATAAAAGACTCCATAACATCTTTCAGGTCATCGAGATTTAATTTGTTTTCATCAAACTTGACTCTCTCGATTCTCTGTCTTGGCAGAGCAGCGAGTGGTTGTTGCAACTCTTGCAATTGATTGGATGGTGACGGTGATTCTGTTGTTGTTTCCGATCCCAAATCCACTGGAACGGTGTCATCTTTCTTTGAATCCTCTTGTTGATGTGAATCATCTTCAATGTCACTGCCTTCGGATGTCACATCTTCTTCATGCCACAGACCTTCCTTGGGAGCATTGGATTCTTCAATTTGCGCGTGTGAATCCGAACCATCCGTGTTGGTAGCTTCAGTATTCTCTGTAGCTTGAATTCTATTGACTGGTGAGCTTGTGTTGTGACCATCTTTGGTGTTGGTAGGTATTTGCTGAGTTGTTGTTGTGGTAGTAGTCTTTGTTGGTTGTTGTGAATTGCTTTCATTTCTTTGTCTGGAACGGACTGCCAGTGCAAGTTGATCCAAGATCTTTGATTTCTTGTCGTTCAACGCAGACCATCCAATCTTTCGGTACATTGAAACCAACATTGAAAAGATCTCTGCAGATTCACCGGCCAACTGAAGTGAGGTGAGATGCTTGAGTTGTTCGTCACCCGGTTCCTCATCAAACTCTATTTCCTCATCCTCCAGAACCGTTACCATGTTGGGGTGAAGTGGAGGTGGTGTCACACGCTGGTATTTACTCTTTCCAATTCGATCGACCAATGTGTCGCTTCTCAGGAATGGCGCATTGTTCAAGACAATGAGTGACCATTCGACTAGACCGAGTTGAGCCAGAACCTTGGAGGCAATCTTCCAACCTCTGACCAACATTGGTTTGATCGAAATCGATTTCAAAATAGACTTGAGTGCCAACAAAAGAGATTCTTGGTTTTGATTGTTTGTAGGATCTTTCTTTGCCAAAGAGAGGTAGGTGTCTGCCAATGCCATCAAAAGAGAAGTAGAGTTTGGCTGTGATTTGAGTGCCTCATTCAGAGTGTTGATGGCTTCTTGATGCTCACCCATGAGACTATGTGCATGGGCGACAACCGATGCGACAGATGGCTCTGTCTTTCTGAACTCATCAAAGAATGAACGCATTGGCTCATATCTATTTCTCTCAATAAAGTAGTTGCAAAGTGTGATGACCAAGAGGTTGTTGCTGTCATCGGTCTCGAATGCTTCATAGCCAACGCTGTCGACTGTCTCATTGCCATCGAGTGTCGGTTGCAATTGACGATCGACAAACTCACCATCGAATCCACCCAGCTTTCTTCCCTGCCAAAAGTGTTGTTGACACAGTTTCAAAAAGTTTGCTTCATCATTGGCACTCTTAAAGGCGGGAAGTATCTTGAGTGGTCTGAGGAATGCTGGTGGCGGTGTAATCGCTCTCAACATCGACGATAGATAGGTTTCCTTCCAGAATGATTCTTCGACGGTGTTTCTCTCGCCGTTCGCTCCGATACTATATACGCTTGGTGTAGAGTTATTGATTCCAATCTCCACGTGTAGATCCATCTTTAGGAATGCATTGTACGCACAGAAATGACAACCATCTATTCTATAGTTTCCTCTACCAAACGCTGACTTTTCTTGATTCTCTACGAGTGTACCAAGATAGACGGCAATTGAAGATGCCGAACTTGAATCTACTCCGCTCACCCAGTGAAAAGATGAGAACTTTTGAGGTTTAAGTCCAGGTACGAATCTAGGTGGTTCGTATGCTTTAATCAGCACAACTAGATCTGGTGGTCCTAAACCAGTGAAGCTAGGTAATGCTCTCTGTCTCGCTGCCAACACCTCTTCGAAAGCAGCTTCCACTTTTTCTTGAATATTTAAAATATATTCGCCCATCACCAAAATTTACACTAATTCTAATAAACTAATAAAATTGAATGTAAAAAATAAAATAAAAAAGTTGTAAAATGCAATCTTAAAAAAATATAAAACTTTGTTTGAATTAAAAAAAAAATCTAGAAATGGTTATAAAAAAAATAATATATATAATAAATATATATAAATAAAAAATAATTTAATTAGTAGATTGTATTTTGTTTGATTTCAATGTATGTTTGTTTATTTATTTTTTGTAAATTAATAATATTAATTTATTTATTATTATTATATTATTAATGTGAAGTGTGAATTGTGTCTGAGCAAAAAAAAAAAAAAAATGGGGGTTAGAATTTACCATTCTTACCTGATTTAGTTCAATTGAATTTAATTATTTTTTTTTTTAATTTCATTGTTTTTTTTTTTTTTTTAATTAATTTTTATTATTACATCCCCCTCCCCCCATTTCATTTCGTTTCGTTTATATATTATTATTATTTGAATCATTCATTACGTGATTATAATAATCAGTGATGTCTTGATTCTTTGCAAAGTCGACCGTTTTTTTGAAACAATCTTTCAAAAGTTTTTTGTTCAATCGGAATCCAGGTACGGTGTCGTAGAGGTAATAGAGAATAGGTATTGAGCATTTCGTGAGTAGCATCGTCAGTGTTTGACTATCGATGATGGGAACGTAGTTGTATTTCTCGCGGAGTTTGTGGAACATTTCGATGTTGCCTTGTTCCAAGCAGATTCGAGCGGCACTCTCCAGTCGATCTCTGATTGTATTGCCATCGCGATCGTCGAATTGCTCGGCGAGTATGTCGATGCACTTTGAAAAGACATTCCATTTCTGATGATTCGATGCCGCCTCCAATATCATTGCGAATTGGTGACGGTCAACCAGACGACACTTGAATACGTGCTCCAAGAACTGGCTTCTGCCATAGATCGCTGCTTTCATGATCATCTTTGCCATTTCGTAGCCGGACAGACTGATTTTGTTTGATACTATATCCTCTTTGTTGGTCTCGGTTTGATTTTGGTGCTGCTCGTTATTAAAGAAACAATTGAAACCGTCGATATCACCGGCGATTCCAATTGCTTCCAGTATCTTTACATCGCAATTCACTTTGTGTTGGTAGAGTAGATAGCTAAGAATATTGTATCGTTTAAAGTAGAATGCAATGGCCATGCCATCGCCAAGATCGCCACGTTCCAATATCTGACATTCCATCATGTATTTGACAATGTTGATCAAACCGTTGGCACATGCACAAATAAAGATTGAAGAGTTGCCAACCAAATCTACCTTTTTCATTGTCTTGATAATAGGTAGTTGTATGTCATCCTCTGGATAAAACACTTTGAGTGGTACATCATAGTATTTGCTAATGAATTGATCGAGTTGATTGTCATTCATATCCAAACTGTATTCGTCCACCGTCCAAAAATTACCATATTCAATCTTTGAATTGTAATGTACATATGAGTTGTATTGGTTTGTTGTTGCTGTTGTCGCTTTGCTTTCACTGAACGTATTTACTCGCGTATCATTATAGGTCGCAGGAATAATTGCATCTGGATAGACAATATTTGCAATCTTGACAAGCTTTTCGTAGATTTCATGCTTGGAATGTTGCTGCTGCTGGTTTTGATTGTCAATGTTCAACCGATTGTATTCATATTCATTCAGATTTGATTTGAACAGATAGATTGTCATTTCATAAAAGTTTGAATCGAATTGACATAGAAACAATTGGTTAAAGTAGTAGCTTCTGTATATACTCGACGAAAATGGAACCTTAAATTCCTCGGACATCACCTTGAGTAGTACCGGATCCTTCAGTTCGATGATATCACTAAACATCTTTGTGTAGATTGCACTGACCTCTGACTCCTTCTTGTTGATTAGAAACAGTGGCCATAGATGTGCGAAAAAGAATCGTATCAACTCTAGATTGTTGGCTGCTTTTGTGTAGATGACCTGAAGAATATGGGTGTGGTCAACACGTGTCGATAGTATGCTCTTCCAAAACTCTAATTTGTGACACTTTATCACAGCTTTGAGTACGTCGGTATTGGCACGTTGCAGAAGGAAGAGAATGGAGTTGGCTGATGGCTGGATTCCCTGGTCGACGATCATCATTTGGATAACTTCGATCGATCCACTGGTGAGCAGTACATCTAGTAGGCCAGAGCGGTCCTCTTTAAACCAATAGTGAAAACGTTGGAAGATTACGTTGAAAATCGCAAGTGAACCGGTAAGGTATGTGTCCTGGAGTATCGTAATGAGAGTGCCCCTGTTCAGGTAGAGATACTCATTTCTCTTGATCTTCTCAAAGAAAAGTGTATAGTATTTGTTACGAATGATCCACTCTACACTAATGATATCATTGTAGTGGCAATGAAAACGAAACACTGGGAACCGGGTAACATTTTGGTGGATTCTGCTAATGTGATTGAGATTGATGAGATATGATCTACTGTTTTGTGATATAAAAGAAAGAATTTTTTTGAAAAGATGTCTTTGTCTCAGTACCTGTAGCTTTACATCTTTTTCCATTTTAATGGTTTTTTTTATCAACTAAAAAGATATAAAAAAAAACAAAAATTACCAAAAATACAAGATTTGGTGGACTTTTCTCATTCAAAGTTCTTTCCATAGTTTTTTTTAATTTTTTTCTTAATATCATTTTTAGGTTAAAGGAGAATTTCAATACAATTTTTTGATTGACGATGTTTTTGTTGATAAATAAAGATCCACAAATAGAAAGGAAAAAAAAAAATAGGAAAAAATATACGATGGTGATCAACAAAAATTTTTGAAACCTCACAAAAAACGCGTTGTTGGTCTAGTGGCAGAATTCTTGCCTTCCAAGCAGGAGACCCGGGTTCGATTCCCGGACAACGCATTTATTAAAAATATGACTTACCGGATGCGGTAAGTCAAAATTTTTAGAATCGGAAAGTTTGAATTATCTATAGATTCATTTTTTAAAGATTTATTTTGTTTTAATTTATTTAAATTATCCTTTCATCTTTACTATTTATTATTTTAAATGCTGACATTGAAAAAATTTTGAAAAAAAAAAAAAGTTACTTCTTTTTGTAATTTTCATTTTTATTTTTTTTTGTTGTTTATCATCAATGTTAAAGTTAATAAGATTAAATAAATCATTCCAAAATTATATAACTAATAATAGTTATCATTTGAATATAAGCAGATGTTATATACAACAACAGAGATTCAACGCAACACTGCAAACAACACGATGTTTTAGCTTTAGAAATATGTCTACATCGAATAAGAGCATTTCATTTGATTTTCAAAAGAATGATATCATTAACAAACGAGAATTAGAACAATTAATCAAAGATAATAGAGATCAAATCAATAAACCATACATTCTTATCGATGTTAGAAATCCTACCGAAGTCGAACAAACAGGTGTAATCGAATCAGCACTACATTTACCATGTACGAAATATCTAAACATATGAAATATAATAGATGAATTGATCGACTAATTGGTTTGATACTATTTCTATTAATAGTGGGTATATTACCAGCAGCATTAGAGATGACAGAAGATGATTTCCAAGATGCATTCAATATACCAAAGATTCAAAAGACAGGTAATAAACTGTAGTACTTTTATCAACTTACTAATTAGTAATATACTAACAAACAGTTTGTTTTATTAGATAATATTATATTTTATTGTTTGAAAGGAAAGAGATCAGAGATGGCAGTCGATATGTTTAGAGCAGCAGGCTATGGTAATTCAATCAACTATCCTGGCTCAGCAGCTGAATGGTTTAATTTAGATTAATCATAGGAGTAGTAAATATTTTAAAAAAAGTCGATCTATTTTTTAGAATAAACAAAACTGTTGTTTTATTAATTATTATTATATTATATATATGATGATTTGTACAAATTCTTTTATGATTGAGTTATTATTATTATTATTATTATTATTATATTTATGGAACAACACCTGGTGGTGATATTTGATTCATCTTTTTAAGTAACTTCTTTGTTTTGCTACGTCTCGGTGTTGGTCTTGCCCATCGTTGAATTCTAACGTTTGAGAGGTACGAGCAATGATTGGCACCTGTCTTCTCACGATTGTGGAACACGATGTAGTTGATGAGTGAGCTGTTGGTGCATGTCGTCTCAATGGAGATCGAAGTCTTTGTAATCGATTCCCAGAGAGTGAACGATACGTTGGTGCCGTTGTCACACACCTCAAAGTGAACCGGTACATTCGCTGGGAATGAAAACTCTGATTGCTTCTTTATCTTGATGGCACCCGATGGCAACAATCCACCACGACCAACAATCGATGCAACACCTCGACAATAGTTAAACTCGAGTCCACTCTGTATCTCGTAGTAGGGCGGACCTTGGTGTAGACCATCGCTTCGTGTCGCAAGCTGGAAGAAATCGTCGTTGGTCGAACGACACCAAGTTCCAGTCAAGCGAATCTCACCCTCCTCAGGGTTGTATTGATCGCGTGTAATGAGATACGCACGATTCTGGAATTTAAATCTGCCGTCCTCCACTTCAAAGCTTGAATTTGTGCATTCTCTATTGATAACCCATTTAGTAATATCTAAATCCGGTGAAACTACATTATCCTCTAAAAGAGTTAACCAACTAGTTGCATCATTTTCTAAAAACATTTTAGTTAGCTTGTTTGTTTTGTTCAGCAGCAAAAAAAAAGAGTTGACATACCTTCAATTTCAAGATAATCTACAATTGCTTTGAGTTGAAAGTATTTAGCTAATGACCAAACACCATAGTAGTTCAAGTTTGGTTCTACGATGAGATCACCATGACGCAGATAGTTTAGAATGACAAGGAAGTAACGTGGATCGGCATCGATCAAGATACATCCATTCTCATCACGACAATGATTCCAACCGTACTCCTTGTTAAACATAAGGTTTAACATACTGTCTTTATCTTTTCGGAGTGTGGTGATCGTTGTTTGTATGATGGTTCCACCGACATTCAACTTTACCCAATCACCATAGTTTGCATTGTTATTCTGTGCAATAAAGTTGTTTGTACTATTACTTAGAGTATTAGTCGTCGATCCTGTACTTTTGCTTAAAACATTATTATTATTACTATTTTCATCAAGACTATTACTATTCATTTTCAAACATATATATATTACAAAAGATTAAAAAAAAATAAAATTTTAATCATTGTTTTTGTGCAAGGTGGTTGGTTTTAAAAATTAAACTGCAAAAAATTCTATCGAATTTTACCATTTCATCGTTTAAAAGAAAATATTTTGGTATGTATATATCAACCAATCTATGACATATATATGTTTGTAGAGTTAGGACTATAGAATGCCTTAAAGCCAAAGAGTGCAGCAAAACATTTCAAATCGAGAACAACAGATTGATTTAGTAAGTTGTACCACCAAGTTGATAACTATGTTTAGTTCTATATCATATCAAATAAATTACGACCATCTTAATATGTTAAAGACAAAGTGTTTTAAATTTAATTAATAAAAAACTTAAATTAACGAACAAATCTGAACAGTAATTACACCAAAACCCTGGGCGTTTTCATTTTTTTCATTTTGTTTTTCTTTAAAGAAATGAATTATTTTGATTTTATTTACATTTTTTTTTTTTCAAAAGATAATATTTTTATAAATATATTTTTATATATATATCAGCAGGATGTCGGTGTATTAATAGTAAATACATATAGCAGTGGTAGTAGGTGAACAGCAAAACAGCAGCAGCAACAGCAGCAAAGTAGTAGTATTAAATAATTCCAATAATATCAAAAAAGGTAGGTACCTACAACAATCGGTAAATATAATAAGCACACAACAGATACCATGTGGAATTTCCTGTAAAAGAACAACAATAAAATCATCGACTTCAACAAACAAAGAGTTTGTAAGTTTGTCAGAGGAAAAAGTAAGTTTTACAAAAAACACATATTTAGTGTATAAACACACACTTTAACACCATGGATAGAAATAAAAATAAAAATAAAAAAACAACACATATAATTAGTGAAAGAACCACCTATTTATTTCTTTTGTTTGCTTGTTTTTTTTTTAATGGTGAAAGATTAAGGAGGTGGTTTATGTTGTTGCTTTGCTAAATAACAATAACAATCAGTTTCAATCATTAGTATGTATCATCAACATCATTATTAGGGTATCTATTATTAACAACAACAACAGCAACAAAATTGATTAATCATACATGTATATAATCAATTTATATTGAATAGTTGTATATAAATTAAAAAAACAAAAAAAACAAGAGGAGTAGTGATAAGAAGAGTGTAATTACAAAAAGCAAATGGAAACATGCTACTCCACCTCACTCCTAACACTGAAATCAATAGTGAGTTGTAGAAAATAACCAATACAAAGCAAACAAATAATATGTTAATTTGAATTATATAATGTATATAAATATTTTGAAATAAAACAACAAAAAGAAAAAAGTCAAACAAATAATAATATTTTTTATTGGTAGTGCCATTCATTGTAATAATCATAATAATAATTATTATTATTTGGTTGGTTTCATTTTCACATTTATTTGTATATTAATTTTATATATGTTTAATCAAAAATAATAGTTTGGTAAGTTTGTAATAAAAATAAGAAAATAGGCAAACATTACATTATCTATTTTATATCATTATTATATCATTTTCAATTGAATTTTATTGGTAAAATTGCAAACGCGTTTTCGGGTGCGTGTGGTAGCAGTGGAGCAACGACACTATTATCTCATATCTATATATATCTAGATGTTATATGATTACCGGTTCATTGTTACGACTTTATCATCATCATCATTGTTATCCATACGATTGTCTCCTTTGTCTATCTTATTTCTTTTGATGGTTTTTTTTTTTAATGGTATCGCAACAACAACAACTGGTTGATTTGGATTTGTTTATTATTATAATTATTATCTATCTTTTATTCGTATGCTGTGTTATGTTATGATGTCAGATATTGGCCATATTATTTCACTTGTTCCATACTTTATAAATAAATATTAATAGTCACCGTGTGATAAAAACGGCTTGTCTAATATCTCAGTACAGTTAATTGCGCACCAACTAACTCTTCGGAACAACATATTACAATTTTGAAATCATTCATTATCAATTATAATTCTATATACTAAAGAGATTAAAATATATCTAAATAACAACCATCAAAAATACTCTAAAATCTATATAATATAATATTTAAAACAACAACAACAACAACAACAACAAATTATATTAATAATTATTTATTCTATTTAGAAATTTAAAAACAATTGTTATTACAATGGGAGATCAAATTGTTGAAACTCCAGTCGATCTGTACAGCCTCTCAAACAACAATCAACATCATCATCATCATCACAACAACAACAACAACTGTCATAAAAAACAATCAAAAGAAAATAGATAAAACATTAGATCTAACCAATTTACCCTATGATATAGAAGAGATATCTAGTGACTCAACAACAGCACCATTAACATCAACTGAGCACACAGATATCAATTGTAATAGTAATAATAATAATAATATAAAAAGTAGTAGTAGATCAAATAGTAGTAGTAATTTATTAAAGAACTCTTCTCCAAGAGTACCACGAATTTCATTGTCAATTCTCACTGGAAACAGCAACAACAACAGTAATAGCGGTGGCGATTCTCCCTTGGAGTCAAAGTCACGCTCACCTCTACAAAGAACACCAAGATCATCACCGTCCACACCGAAAAAATCAAAGGCGAAAATGGAAGGAACTCCTACCAACTTGTCACAGTCGAGCGGTGAGATGACATCTTCCAGCAAATATAGTCCACTCTCTTTGATATCTCCAAGAAAAAACAAAGGTAAAAAAGATAAAAACAAACTAAATCTACTACAACAACAATTGAATGAATCAAATTCTACTACTACTTCTGCGCCTACTGCTGCTGCCACCAATATAACTATTACCACTGCTGCTGCTACCACCAATAACTCAAACCAAACTACCACCAACAATAACTCCAATAATACCAATGGTGTTGGTATACTCAATTCTACATCATCCTCACCCTATAACGATGATCTTTCATCTACCTTTAACAATAGTTCATCGAGGGATGACATTGAATCACCATTGTCTTCGTCTATTACTGCATCAATCTCAACTGATTCGTTGCATCAAGCTTCGTTGGGTTGCGAAACTCCTCCTACCACTGCTATATTGTCACCACCACCATCATCATCATCCTCCTACACATACCATCCTCTACCATCGTCTTCGGAAGAGGCAGTTCCACATGACTCATCTACCTCTCTACTTGTTGATGAGACAACTCTCAACAACACAACATCGCAACCATCTTCTACCAGCTCTACTCCACTGCTCACTGACCAATCGAATCGTAACAATCAACAACAACAACAACCACCACCACCACAGATCAATGCTGCAGAACAACTGCTTCAACAACAAAACAATGTAACCACCAAAAAACGATTCTTTTCTTTCCTCTCTAGAAAACCAAAACCACCACCTATGAGCATAGAGAGGAAGACATCACCACCTCTTCCACTCTCCTCTGCCTCAGTTACACCACCACAAGCACTCTCTACCAACACCACACCCAATCTTGTACCTATCACCTCAATGTCCTATCAACAACAACAACAACTCTTGCAACCTCGAAGAATGTCAGCAAGTCTCGACTCTTTGAAAACGGTTAGTCCATCGGTAACACCAAACTATGCATTCTCACCGGTGGTATCACCAGTGATCCCACCGTCACCACTCAAAACATCGATTCTAAGGAATCGCTCCAACTCCTCTTCGTTCTACTCTAGCAGCGGTATGGTTGGCGGTAGCATCAGTCTGGGTAGTAGTAACAGTTTCAAGAAGATTGAATACAACCATCTTAATCACACATACAGTAGCTCTGCTGTCATGATTCATACATCAATGATTAACTCTCCTCTTAATCCAAATCACATCAATAATGCTTTAGGATCACACACTGCTCTATCGATAGCGACCGATGCCACTTGGCTCATGATTGCCTCCAACTGGGAGGAGTGGTCAGAGCCACACTATCGATCGACTCTCACTAAATACATCTATCAAGGTATACCCGATCGATTCCGTCAGACCATTTGGTTCCATCTCTCCAATATGATACAACAGACCGCAAGAATTCCAACCTGTATAGAACTATCGCTTCAGTACAAGTTGGAACGATTCCAACCTCAATTGACACCACTTTCAACACCATCCAACCAAACACCAATCTCAACACCTCTCATCAGATCACAATCATCTTCCTCTATTATACCACCAGCAGTCACCTCACCACAACAATCAAATAACAATGTAGTCTTTGAACAACTAACAACAACAACAACAACAAATCATTCACCTCTCAACAATTCAACAACCTGTAAAAATCATAAATGTTTCTATCAAAGTATTCTCAAGCACCACTCTGAACATGAAGAGCAAATCGATGTCGATATTCAACGTTCATTTACAGACATCCCAGATAATATACGTGATAGCTACGCACTATCACTCAGTCGTGTATTAAAAGCAATATCACTCTACGATTCTGAAATGGGTTACTGTCAAGGTATCTCTTTTGTAGGTAGTATACTAATCACAAGAGTACCTGAAGAAGAAACATTCCATATTCTATTAAGATTATTAGAAGGTGTAATGAGAGATTTTTATACTGTTGGTAAGTTAACAACAAATATTTCTAAAAACAATGAATATTCATTTAACACAATTTTATTAACAAAAAAATTATATAGGTATGATGGGATTAAAATTAAGATTATTCCAACTTAGTAAATTTGTACAAGATTTATTCCCAAAGTTACATAAACATTTGGAACAGATCGATTTAGATTATACTATATTCGCATCACCATGGTTTATGACAGCGTTTTCATATCATCTATCGGAGGAATGCTCCGTTAGAATATTGGATGTCATACTGTTGCAAGGCGTTGAAGCATTCTTCTCGGTAGGATTGGCGATCTTCCAGATCATAGAAGACGATCTCTTGAAATGCACTGACAGCTCTCAGGCTATGGAATACTTTAGATGCAATGCCAAAGCGAATATCGATGTCTCTACGCTGATGGACATCGCCAGTAGAATCACGGTGAGTCCTCACCAATTGGCAAACTTCAAGTCGCAGTTCGAGGCACTCAACACCAAGCCGAGCATCCCTACCGAGTTCAATCCCGACCAGCAGCCAAAGGAGAAGATGAAAGATCCAAACTGGGTCGTAAAAAAGTACAAACTGAAAGAGTACATCAACATTCTCGAAGAGGATCTAGCGATTATCAAACGCGAACTCCACGAAACACACAAAAAGAATGAAGAGGAAAAGATTGAGCTCGTCAAGCATCTACAGGAGCTATCCGATCGAGAGTCACACCTCATCGAACAGAAACGAATGTCAGACACCAACTATCAGATGCTGCTACAAGAGAACGAAGAACTCAAAAAGAAATTACACAAATCCGAGGAATGTAACAATTTCTTGGCAGACCAAATGCGAGTCTTAAGATCAAAAGTCACTCAAGAACTCTGGAATAATAATCCAAAGAATTCAATTCAATGGACATAATGAATGTTAATAATAATTTAATAAAATATATAAAATAATATTATATAATTGTAAGACAAAACTTTTGATTCAAAAAAAGTTTCAAAAGAGATTTCTTTATTTTTATTTTTAAATAAATTAACTAATCACACATTAAAAATCTGCAAACTAAAAAATGATCTTTTTTTTTTTGATTAATACTAATTCATTTAAATAAAAATATTAATACTAGTATCTATATTATATATATGGATAAAAATAACAATACATTTACCAATAATAATGGTAATAGTAGTGTAAATAATACAACAACAACAACAACATCATCATCATCACCGTCATCATCATCAACAACAACAGATAGAACAAATTTTAAACAATCATTTTGGAGTAATCTTAATAAAAATGATAATCAAACTGTAAATAATAATATAAAGAATGTAGAGTCAAACTATGTAATGCCTATTACATCTTTTTCAATGCAAAAATTTGTACTATATGAAACAAGATCTGTAAGTTTGTTTTCAATATTATTATCACTGAAAAGTCACAACAAGATTAAACATTAACAAATAAAAATATAGAGATTCTATTTAGTAGGCTCAAATAGAACGAAAAGTAGATTCAGATTATTAAAGATTGATAGAACCACTGAGGAAGATGTAGTTATCAGTGAAGATCCAACTGAATACAATAAACAACAACTACAGGAGCTGTTGACAATGATTGAGAATGCAAACAGAGAAGGTCTCAGTCGTGTTTGCTCTGCCTACGGTATTCTAGGATTCATTCGATTTCTTCATGGTTACTACATCATTTTGATAACAAAGCGAAGAAAGGTAGGTGTCATCGGTACGCACTTGATCTATGGAATAGACGATACCACTTATGTCTACGTTCCCACCTCCGTACCGAGAACCAACTCACCGGACTTTGTCGATGAAACTCGCTACAAAGGTTTGTTTCTCGGGCTTGATTTGACGAAGGATTTCTTCTTCAGCTACACCTACGACCTCACACGTACTCTCCAATTCAACATGACTCGTTACTTCCATCATCCAGCACCGAAAACCTCGCAGATTCACTTCAACGAGCAATTTGCGTGGAATCACTTCCTGTTGGAGCGACTCGTGCAGCAGTCGCAGACACCTCATTGGACACTGCCAATCATTCACGGATTCTTCTTGCAAGAGAAGATCGATATCTTTGGAAAGGCAGTCGATTTCATACTGATCGCTAGACGCAGTCGTCATTATGCTGGCGCACGTTTCCTCAAGCGTGGAATCAACGAGAACGGTCACGTTGCAAACGACGTCGAAACCGAGCAGATCGTACAGGAACCACTGAGTGGAAACACAAGACAGGCGCAATTCACTAGCTATGTCCAGGTGCGTGGATCGATTCCGCTCTACTGGGAGCAAGACAACAACATCATCACACCGAAACCACCGATTCAAATGCAGAGAATGGAGCCATTCTTTGCTTCTACCATTCTCCACTTTCAACATCTATTCCGTCGCTACGGCTCACCCGTTGTCATTCTGAATCTCGTAAAGTCGAACGAGAAGAAACCGAGAGAGTCGATCCTGCTGAATGAATTCACCAAGTGTGTCGAACAACTCAATGAAATGCTACCGCCGGAACACCAGCTACTCTACCGTGCCTGGGATTTCCACAAGGCTGCCAAAGCCAAGGATGAAGATCACATGGGTTGGCTCGATTCATTCGCACAGCAAACCATTCAGAAAACCGGTATTTTCCACAGCTCCAAGAAGCTGTATGCCACTGAGCTGAGTGAGCAGTGTCGTGGCGCCACACTCTTCCGCTACGGCGACAGCGGAACGGAGCAGGTCGGCATTGCTCGTACCAATTGTATCGACTCACTCGATCGTACCAACACTGCACAGTTTTGCATAGGAAAGTGTGCACTTGCTCATCAACTCTACGTGATGGGCTACATCGAGGAGCCGTCGATCGATTTCAACACGGGCGTCGTCGAGGTTCTCATCGAGATGTATGAAGCGTGTGGCAATCAGATTGCTCTGCAATACGGTGGATCGGAACTGGCCAACACCATCAAGACGTACACCAAGAACTCGCTGTCCAGTCAGTCACGTGATTTGATGACCACCATCAAGCGGTACATCTCCAACTCGTTCATCGACGTCGACAAGCAACACTCGATCAACCTGTTCCTCGGCTACTTTGTGCCGTCGAGGATGGCAGAGAACATACCACTGTGGAACTTGGAAACCGATCACTATCTACACAACAAGACCGAGAGAAAACAACATCATCTGCTGGCCTACACAAACTGGTGGGACGAACCACTCAAAGACTTTAAAAAGACATCGCTCGTCGCCAACTACGCAGAGAAACACTCTGTCATACAACTCATGAAACAACGTGCCGTCGAATTCGAAGACAACTTTTACAAAGCTGATACCTACAGTTGGATAGACAATCACTTTGAATACCGATTCAACGATCCCATTAGATTTAGAAATCAAATATCACCACTTGCCAACTACTTGGAGTCACCAAACCTCGTCAAAAAGAAAAAGAATCAAAATGGTGAATCAACTTCAAACAATCAAAACAAAGATAATGATGAAAAGTAAGTAGTAATCTATTTATTATTATTATTTCTCCAACAATTTGTTTGGTACTAATTTAATAATCATCTTTTTATTTATTACAGTCGATATGATATTAAGAGATGGGTATTCTCTATTACAAAGGGTAATAGAGGTAATAAGCAACGTGAAGATCCGAATACACGTAATGGTAATACCGATGTTACGTCGAATACAAAACAAGAGGATCAATTGAAACAGAATGAATATCAACCGTTCAAGGAGTTTGGTATTGAGCTGGGTACCAAGCCGATTGAACAGGATTCTTTTGCCAGCTATTGTCAGCCGCTCGAGAAGAACATCAATATCCACCAATCGAAATACAACAGTCAGGATATCTATAGTAATACGTTCTACTCTGAGTATCTAAAGTCGAGCTATCTCGTTAGTTTCGGTGCGGTTGCCAACACTCTCAAACCGACGCCACCAAAGGCAACGATGCGATGGTCACCCAACACATTCACACTGCACCAACAGAAACTTCAACAACAACACCGACTACACAAACAACAACAGAACAGCGCCGAACAAACCAAGCAAGACCTCAAGAGTTTCTACTATCATTCCTATTTGCAATCACACGGTAACAAGTCGGTCTACCCAGTGGTACCCGACAACGAAACAATCTATGAATATCATGTGGGATCACTTAAAAACATGTTGATGCAAGAACAATTCGTAAATGTAACAAAGAAAATGCATAACACTACAACTGATGGATTTACATAGTAAAATCAACTAAAAATTGTAATAACATAAATATATTTCTTTTTTTTTTTTTTTTACTTTAAAAAAAAAACAACTCTAACCCCAAAACCACCACGATCATACACCCAGAGGGGAAATTTTTAAAAATTTTATTCTATATTTTTTTTTTTTTTTCAAATCAAAGTCTTTTTTTCAAAACAAAAAAAAAACCTCTCCAATAACACAGATTTTTATTTTTAATCACATTTAAACATTTATTTTATATATCGATCCTGGTGTAATATTATTATTATTTATATAATTATTTACTACGGAGATCAAAACAAAAATTATAAAAGAATGAGAAAGTGCAACTTATCCATTGTTATTGTTATAATAGCTTTAGTTGGTGGCGGTTTGGGTTTTAGTATGTTATTGATTCGATTCTAATGTCTCTAGCAGTTACTTACTTTTCTTTTAATTAATTATCTATTATTAAATAATGATTAGTGAACTTTTTGACAGATTCATGGATATTGATTTTATTGTCGAATCCTAATGCAGCACCAACAGCAGTCTCTGGTCACTCGACAGTATTGAATCCAGTCAATAATACATTGGTAATCTTTGGTGGTGCCAATAAAACAGCTGCAAACAACAACGTTGCACTGTACGATTTGATAAACGATGGTTGGATCTCAAAGAACACATCGAAGGGTGCCGCACCAACACCGAGATACGATCACTCCACCATCGTTACACAAACCAATTTGATGTACGTTTTCGGTGGTAGAGACACCAAGGGAAACGTCTTCAACGACCTCTACAAATACGATATGGTCAAGGACAGTTGGAGTCAGGTCACTATTGGTGCCGGTAAGTTGGTGCCCGCTGCAAGATACGGTCACTCTGGAATACTGTATTCATTTACCAACGAATTTGTATATTGGGGTGGAAGAAACGTAAACGGTACGGTCTTGCAAGAGATCGTTATTTTCAACTTTTTAACAGAGGAATGGAGAATCCTTCCATTCAGCGCACCAAACGCTGTTTCGCACCACTCTGCAGTCTTGACAACTGCTAACCAAATGGTCGTTTTCGGTGGTGTCACCGCTACAAACACATTCACAGCCGACACCAATTTCTATGATTTGGCGTCCAACACATGGTTAAACATCACTCTAAATACATCATCGATCGCAGTTTCAGGTCGTTCCGGACATGCTGCAATTGGTAAGTTGATTCATCGAATGCTTTATTATTCAAATACTAAATTTAGTATCCTTACATTTGTTATCAGTCACTCCAATCAATGAAATGTTGGTATTTGGTGGTAGAACAAGCAATACATCTGCATCTAGTCTAACTTTGAAATATAATCTATGTAAGTGTGACCATTCGATATTATAGTGTAGTGTTACACTTTACTAACATTGTGCTCGTTGCTTTTAGTATATAACACCTGGGAGATTATTACTCCAACTGGTGATGGTCCAAGTGCTCGTTGGGGTATCACTTGCACAAGCACACTCTTTAATACAATGATGGTATTCGGTGGACAATCATCGGATTCCTCATATTTCAACGATATTTACAAGTATAACATTATCACCTCTGTATTGAGATCATCGTCTGACGGTGTTGTATTGGTCGTTTTGCTGACAATCGTTTGTTCTATGATCATCGGTCTTTGTTTCGCTCTCGACATCATGGCCGAGAAGCATGAGGATGAGAGATTAGAGAGAATCGAAAAAGAAAATGCTGGTAAAGATGGTGCTGCACTAAAGAAACTAAAAGGTAAATCATTCAAATTATTATTATTACTCTAATATATTCTAAAATTTATTAACTTTTTTAATATTAAAAAATAGGAAAACAACAAAAAGAAAGACAACCACTCTTTGAAACATTTTAAAATAACCAATTAACTAGATATATTTAAGAGTGTAATAATAAATGATAATTTAATTTAATAAGTAATCACATTCACAGTTTAAATGATTAAAGTTTGATGACTTTTTATCTGTCAAATAGATAAATCTCTCTAAATATAGTCGCCCCTTGCCGATTTATTACATTCTTTTGCAATCTCTTTCTTAACATCTTCACTAACCTACATATGTAAATCAAGAGGACAACTTGATATCGTCAACAATTAAAAAATTTATCAATAGTAATATTAATAATAGATATTGTTTTAACAAGATAAAGATCCGAAGATTTTTTTATTATGAACAAATAAATATATCTAATTCATAGTGATTCCTTCATATTCATTATTTATCACATAGAGTAAAAAATAACTATTCTCAATGGTATGATGCATCAAAGAATTGGATATTGCATATTCACAAAACTCTTTTTTTTAAGTTTTACAAAAAATTTTAATAATTTATTTTAAAAAATGGTTTAGCAGAAGTTGACTGAACCATAGTTGGTGCAACCACCGAGGGTTTGGTTGGCAACGTTAGCGGCAGCGCATGATTGTTGGTCACCACCACATGAGCAGTTTGGACACAAATCAGCACATGGAAGAACTGGAATCAAGTTGGAGGTACAGGCAGAGAACATAGTGGCACAGAGGAAAGCCTTGGTGTTTTCAGCACATGTAGTTGGTGGGTTGGTGGTCATTGTGAAAGCTTCGAACATAGTCTCAACCATTTGGTCAACACCTTGGAAGTCAATACCTTCTCCCATGACTGGGTAGTTCACCTGATCACAGAATTTGAGTGATGGGGCGCATGAACATCCTCTTGGAGGGTTATTTGGGCATGAGGTAGTTGGGACGGGAACTGGTGGAGCTGGAGTTGGGCAAGAACAGTAGCTTGGAACAGCGAAGATTGCGGGGTCAACGTTTCCTGGGTTGAAATTGGAGAATGTCATGGTGGTTTGGGTGTCTGGGTTGAAGGTGGTCATGACAGCCTCGGCCAAAGTATTTGGATCGATATCCAAAGTGTAGATGGTGATGTTAACTTGGGCGGTGGCAACAATAGTCCAACCATCGACTTGGTTACCGTTTTCATCAGTTGAAACACCGTTGAAAACTGAACCTGGATAAACGGTCATTGGGCTCATTGGCTCGGTCAATGGCTTGCATTCGCATTGTTGAGCAGATGGGTTAATGTTGAAGGTAAGTCCCAAATCGTGACGGTCCAAGGTAGTTGATGTTTGTCCACTATTTTATTCAAAACTATTAATATATATTTTTATTAAAACAACTAATTTATTTACTTACAAGAAGGTAGCATCGATTCTTTGCTTAAGGTTGTTGAAATCGTAGTACATTTGACCGCTGGTTGGGAATGGCATCATTGATGTTGAAATGGAGACATCTGATGTGAATTGTTGTGGGATCTCTGGGTAAGCCTTTTGTGATAAAGCAACACCGGCAACCAAAGAGATAATCAATAAGAATGAAATATTCATTTTAAAAGATTTTATATATATATGTGAAAGTAAAGAAGATTCTACTATAAAAATTAATTTGTGTAAAACGCCTTCTATTTAAACGAAACTAAATTACTTCGTCCAAAATTTAACTATTTAATTCAAAATAAATATGTTTAAGATAAACATTGAAATCATGATTTCAATCCATCTTTTTAAATTCGAAAAAATCAAAAACTCCATTTACCGAGCGATCTTCAAGATATTTATGATTTTCATTAGTCAGTGACATCATTGAAAAACTGGGTAAAACAAGCTCGAAAAAAGAAAAGCATTAAATTTTGCATCTTGAAAGCTTAGAATGTTTTTGGTACCTCATTATTGGGGTATTTTAAATCAAAGATCAATAAAAAAAAAAAAAAAAAACAAAAAAACAATAATGCCAAAAACATGTTTTGTGTAATGGTATCAGTGTTTATAAAAATGGTTTTCAATAAAACTAAAGATTTTTTAAAAGATTCGAAAAAAAAAAAAATTTAGATTTTTTTTGTGTTTTGATTTTATTGTTTTTGGATGATGATGTATTCGTTCATGGTTGATGATGTGGAAAAAAACAAACAAACATTTATATGATTATATTTTATACGAGGTTGGGATCTTTAATTTGTCCATCTGTGACGAAATGTTTGATTTTGTGTTTGTAGTGAACCACCAGTTTCATGAATTGGTAGACATCGATACGCAATGATTTCTCTTCTCCATTTGCAAACTTTAGTAGGTTCAATATTTCTTCAAATTCAAACTTCATAATTTGGTCTTCATATATCTTAAACAGTGCCAACGCAGAAGCAAAAATAACAACGAGTCCATCATAGAGGAAAAGATCCCAGATTCTCACAATTACTGGGAATGGTAAATTGTAAATCAACAAGCAAATGAACCACTGTGATGAAAACAAAGGTGTAAAAACGTTTTGTTTTTGCTGCAAAAAAAATGATTAAAATTGAAAATTAAAATTAACCAGTTAGTTTGTTGTTTTGATGATGTGGCAATTAATAATTATCTTTGTGTACTTACGATATGTGCAAAAAGTTGTGGGAATTGTTGTTCTAACATTGTGTTTAATAAACCGAATGAAGTTTGGAGATAAGGGAAATCGGGTTTCCACATTTCGGCCATTCCATACTTTTCAGCGAGTTGTACCAATACCCAGAAAGCATCTTCCTCTGCCATATAGATAATGAGGAGACAAGTGATGAAACCCATACCTTGACAGTAACCAACCTCTGGGTTGTATATAGAGAAAGCTGTTAATATATTACAAAGGATCTGTTGTCCAAATCCACCCTTCTCAACAAAGAAACTGTGTTTGGGGAATGTACGGTTGAGATCACGTTGAATCTGCGAGGCAATGGCTGGCTGTGGCTTCATCTGTAGCAACTCGCTGTAGGTAATCTTTGATTTGTTCTTGATCTCCTGAATGTTCACCAATCGCTGCCATACAAAGCTACGAACGGAACTTGGGATACCCTTGGGTAGACGGTCTCTCAACTTGGCAGACTTGGCAAATTTCGGCCAATTCTTTGTCATCTTTGCCCACTTTTTCTCTTGCTTGTCAGTCTTTTTAGTTCTGATGGTCGATTCGTCCACGGTACTCGTTGTCTTTACAAATCCATATATATCTAGTTTCGGTGTGTTCTCTGGTGACTCTTTCTCGCCAGACAGAGAATCGGTTGAACCTGCCCGTGACAACGAAGCATTGGAGTGTGGTGATGATTGAGTGGTCGATGAGGTTGGCGATTGCATGCTGCTCTCTTCCTTTACCATCGATACTGAGGTTGGCGATGAGTTTGAATCGATATTTACATCCCATTTCTGTTTAGTTACAACGCTAGAACTAACGCTATTGTTACTACTATTAATATTAATTTCGGCTGTTTTATTATTATTATTATTGCTGCTGCTGCTGCTGTTACTACTACTATTTATACTGTTGATTTGTGGTTGTGTTGTTGTTGTTGTTTGTTGATCTTTATTAATGGGTTGTTCTACTGTTTCCGAATTTCTCTTTGATTTCGACTTTGATTTCGATTTCTTTTTCTGTTCCTCGTAGGCAGAGAGCACGGAAATAATCTCTGGGATCTTTGTCAGATTCTTTGGTGTCTTTCCATTGATATCCTTGGAGTTGGGATCGGCACCTGCCTTCAGAAGGATCTCGACACAACCTATATTTCCTTTGCTCGCAGCGAAATGCAATGCAGTTCTACCACGCTTCTCATCTCTAATATCTAATTTACAGCCACGTCTAGTCAGCAGACTGACGCAGTTTTCGAATCCGTTCGATGCCGAGTAGATGAGTGCGGTGCAACCATCCATTGCTCGCTGATCGATGTTCGCTCCCTTGTCCAACAGTATTCTGGAGCACTCTTCAAAGCCGTTGAACACTGCGTTGTGCAGTGGCGTGTATCCCTCCTTGTCGATGACATTTACGGAGGCACCCTTCTGAATGAGCAGACTCACCGACTTGTCGCTGCCCTTGTAGCACGATTGGTGCAGTGCAGTCGAGTCCGAGTAGTCTTTGGCATTGACATCGGCAGACTTTTCAATCAACAGCAACAAACACTTGTAGTGCTTGTTGGACGCCGATTTCAGCAGCGGTGTAATACCGTATGCATCTCGCGCCTCGATGTCGGCGCCACTCTGAATGAGCAGCTCTGCGCACTTGTGGAATCCGCTGTATGCTGTCTTGTGGAGTGCAGTGTTCTGATCGATGTCGCGAGTGTTTGGATCGGAACCTGCGTCGAGAAGCATGGCCATCACCGACTTGTAACCGTTGAACGCAGCGTTGTGCAGTGGAGTGCATCCATCGATATCCTGCACATCCGAATAGGCACTGGACGCCAACAACAGCTTTACACACTGCTTGTGTCCGTTGAACGCGGCATGATGCAGCGGTGTCGTCTTTTTGTCGTCCAAACTATTTACACCTGTAAAATCCATCTTACTCGTATCGATTGGACCGTCTTGTCTGTGATTAGCACTACTGGAGTGCTGGTGATTCGGACTACCCACTTTCTTACCCTGTGTAAACAGCAAGAGTGATACGATCTTGTCGTATTCACCTTTGAATGCAGCTTCATGCAGTGGATATGGTTTCGGTGTTGGAATGAGTGTAAGTGTATTGGCTGCAGTTGATGCCGCTACTGCAGTTGCTGAAGATGGTTGTTGTTGCTGCTGCTGCTGCTGTTGTGTTTGTTGTTGATTATTATTAGCTTTTGATTGTAATGGTGAAGATGAAGTTGGACTAGGTAGATTAATAACAGTCGGTACAATATTAGTAAGTGTGTTGGCTGAGGTAGTTGTACCATTCAAGTATCCACCGCCACCACCTGTATTTGATGAAGTATATGATGAAGTTGAACAAGTTGAAGAACTATCATCACTAGTCTCGGTTATTCCATTCTGCTGCTGCTGTTGATGGTGATGATGTTGATGATGGTGATGCTGGTGGTGATGATGATTGTTTGTATTGTTGAGTTGACTGAATACCTGTTCCATAGACTCTGCACCTGTACCACTGTCTTTGGAGAACTCAAAATGATTCTGTATTGTTTGAGTTATGGCATCAGCCATTTCTTTATATATATATTATTATTCTTTTTATTATTATTATTCTACTACTATTATTATAACTGTATGTTGACAACTATATTTTACTTGTATTTATGTATTGACAATATATTATTCTGTTCAATTACTATTACTATTATTTTTATTATTGATGTTGTTGCTGTTTTGTTTTTAATGAATATACAATAATCTTTTTTATAATTATTCTATTTCTATATTTATATAATTCTAATAATACAACTAAATTATAATTTTAAGTTCGTTAATTTTTCTAAAATTGTTTTAATGTTTATTTTTACAGTTAGTATGAGTAATTAAAAAAGTAATATAACAGTTATTAATATTTTTTCAGTTTTAAAAATAAAAACATACACACAATACAATGTAAAAAAGAGTGTAAAACACAGCAGGTGAATGAAATGTGTATATCAAGAATAATAAAAATGATTGATGCAAACCTAACTTTTTTTTTTTACTTTTTGATTTTTTTCCTTTGTAAACACAAATCTAAAAAAAAAAAAAAGACAAACAAAAAAAAACAAAATACAAAAAACAAAAAAACTGTTCCACCAACTCCCAAAATTATGCAACTAATTATATTTTTAAATATTGTGATTGACGTTTAGGAGTTGCTATTATTGATGTACGATTATCTTTAATATCTTTTTGTTTTTGTTGTTGTTGTTGTTGTTGTTATTATTATTATTGTCAATTCAAAATCAAAATCAATTGAATTGTTATTATTATTTCGATAATCGTTGTTGACTTGGTTTTTTTTTATTTTTTGCTTTTTAAAGTTACCATTATAATAATAAAAAGATATAGATAGATTATAATTGATTAACAAAAAACAATTGATGCTTATCCAAAGAAATGTTAAGTATAATTTTATTTATAAAAAAAAAAAAAAAAAACAATCGCAAAAAATAAAATAAAATAAAATAAAAAATACACTCTTGATTATACTATTTTTTTAAATGATGGATTGTCATTGATAATCAACGTAATTATTTCTTTTTTTATATTTTATAGAATTACCATTATGCTTGCTGAGTGTAAAATATAGTAAATAGTGTTCATTTATCTTTTTCAACAATCATCAAATAAAAACAAAAACAAAAAGAAGAAGTAGAATAGAAGTACATTAATAAATGACAACAATTACACAAATATTGTTGTGTTTGTTGGATAATACAATAATTTTGAACAAAGTGTTGTTGTTTTTGGTTGTTGTTGTTGGTGGAGTATCTCTAAAGAATGTAAGTATTGACAATATATATATGGTGGGTATCTATTATATGTATGGTGCTTGTAAGTGTCACGCGCACTGAAAATTGGATAGTAATTGTATTTATTACTTTTTAGCAAATTGAAATGTTGTCAATTATATATAATTGTTTATTGTTATTGTTATTCCTCTTGATTTAAGTTGATTATTGTAACACTCACTGTGATTGATTGCTTTGTTGTTTTGCTGATTATTTTTCTTTTACTTTACGATTACTCTATCTTTAAATAATGAAATAAATAATGTTTTATTTGATTTTATCAGTACTAGTTGATTATGTACCTCTTAAACTCTCTTTTTCTCACTACTTTGATTTGATGAGTGAGTGAGTATGTGTGGTTTGTTTTGTTTGTTTTTTTTAAATATCACTTTGTATGTATGTTTGGCATATATTATTATTATTATAATTATTATAAAATATAATTTATTGTTGTTGGACTGATTAAAACCAAAATTATATTTGCACCAGCATTGATTAAGGTTGAAATTTATAAATTTCATACACCCATTTTAAATTGTAATGAGATGGGGGAAATAATCAACACCCCTTTTGATACATCGATGATGTGTGTGGTTAATTTATTATTGTCAAATATTATTTATATTTAAAATATATAATATTGATTATAAAACTAAAGATAAATAGATATAGGATACTCTTTATAGTACTATACAGCTTTAAGATCACTCCTCTCTCTCTCTTTGATAAATATAGTTTTAATCTATTACTTACTTTTGTCTATCTTTGACTTTTATTATAATATCGCAACAATCTATAAATAAATAATTTTGATTTGACGTGGACTGATTATCTGTAATAAAGGATAGAGAAAATAAAATATTATTATTTGAATGAGTATGAAATTCTTATTAGTTGGGTTATTGCAATAGAGAGAAAAATAAATTTCACTAATTATCTTAAATAATTGGATTTCAATATCAATCAAATTTAACTATGTAAATATTAATATTGTTTAATAATAAATTATTTTTACTAATTAAATAGGTTGATTGTTTTTATATATATTGAATAAATAATTGATGGATGATGATGATGATGATGATGTTGATAATATTTGAAAGAACATTAAATGGGTTATTGGCTTTGATTGATATGTTTGAGGTATTAGGGGAGAGAACAAACTGCGAATAGTCTTTTGAAAATAGATATTTAGATAGATTTAAGTGTTAAAGAAAGAGTAATTAATGATTACTGACTCGTAAGTACTCAAAAACAACAATTTAATAAACAACAATAAAAAATTGAGAGAAACAAAAACCATTTTTCATAAACAAATAACTTGAAGTGTAAATTGAAGATAATTATTGAAATGTTATACTAAAATGGTAGTAGTAGGTGATTGATTTACACGATGATGAAAGAGTGACTCTTTGAAATCCAACATGACCAACCATCCAGGTTGGTTAATTAGATTTTAATAAAATAGATTGATTGAATAGTAGTTGGTTTCAATCCAATTGAAATGATGCCTATAGCAGTAATCAATTTTTAGTTGGGTTGGATTACGTCAAATACACATTAACATGAGGAACTACTACTATTAAAATAAATAACATAAAATAAAACAACCTGGTATAAGAATGAATCAGTCAATCAATCAATCAATCATTCCATTTTGATTTCTGATATTATTATGATGGATGTGTTTGTTGTTAATGAATTGTTTTTTGGGTGATAAGGGGTGTGATGTAATTTTTATAGTTGTAAATCAAATATATGTTATTTAATATATATGGCAAAATCAATTGAATAATAATGATTTGTTCGTTAACACAAAAGAAAAAAAACATCAAGTTGTAGTATTGATATTTAAATCTTTCTCTTTATAGGGGTTGAAGATAATATTTCTAAACAATTATTATCATATCGTGAATTGAAATATGGTGTTAATTAGATTAAATTCAATATATATCTTTTTATCAAATGTTTTTTTTTTTTGGTATGTGGTAAATCTGATTATTGGTGTTAATTGTTACTTGACTTGTCAACATTATGATTTATTGATTATATAAATTAGATTAATATTGACACTAAAATGATAATGTTTACAAAATAATATTAGATACCAAAAAAAAGAATGTCCAATCAAAATTAAAAAAAAAATAGATGTTAATGTTCACAATTTATTTTTTACCTTGGTATTATCTCCTTTTAAGGCCAATGATTTAAAGAATAATGTAACTGTTTGAATGTTGGAATGTGATAAATAATATTGTTCAAATAAAAATAAAAAGAGAGAGGTTTGGAATGAGTTGACAAACAATGAAAATACTTGAAATTGAATCTATTTTACTTTATGATTCAAACTATAATATATTACTATCTGGATGATTAATAATGATATTCTTACAACAAATAATAACAAAGAAATAATCCTTTACTAACCAATCAATTTAATAGATATATAAGAAATTAAAAAAGTGTTTTACTCTTTTCTATTGCAAACTCTTACTGCGTTAATTAACAATATATATCAAATTAATAAATATATGGGTTTGAATCTCTTTGTGTGTAGTTGTAACCCAACTTTAAATGTTGGTTATTTTATATAAATGTCAAATATGTTATGGTTATAAATATGGAAGATGTTTATGGATTTCGTATTGATGGCTGCATCTGCATGATAATACATCTATATCGCAAGTTTATAAAGTTATTAATGAAGGTATGTGTGTGTGGTGTGTGGCTGTTTAATTGTAGTAGCTGTGTGTGAGTTTTGAGATATATAATTAGGGGTGTTTATTGTGAGTGAAGGTAGTGGGTAGATGATCAAACAAAAATCCTAACTGTCATGTTTTGAACAGACACTGATTCTATCAATTGGTGTAGTCAAAGAGTTGGGTGATAAAACCTTTTTTTTTTTTAATGTTTTTGCTTGTTGTATGAGTGTTGTTTTTACTGTATGAGTAGCGTAGCTAGTGTTTAGTAAAGAGGTTGAAGGTAGGGGAAAAGCTGTTATTGAAAGTCGAATTTCAAAAAAAAAAGGGAAATGTTGATATTATATGTTGTTCATTTATTGGACATCAGGTAAATGCTATCAAATTTGCAATGCTCTGAAGATATTTTGCTATCAACTTATCATAAAATGGGTAAAAATTGTATATTTTTGGTTATTTATAGTTATTTATTGATGTACCATACATGAAATATTTAATTATTGAGAAATGGGAATAAACAAACAGTTAAAATTATCTTAAAGAATAAGTGTAAATTATATAATCCTATTAAAAAAAAAAAAAAAAAAAACTAAAAAAAAAAATAAATAAGATATTTCTTTTTCGAAAAATGATCGGACTTCAAGATCATTTCCCTTTTTTAATCTAGATGATGGTTTTTTTGAAACCTTTTAGATATTTTTTTTTTAAAAGGTTCAATTAAATTAAGTCTTTTTTTTTTGCAAATAATAAATCTAAGTTTTTTTATTATTACTGTAAAATTATATTAAATCGGTTAGAATCTTTTATTATCAACATTTATAATTGATCTTTGATTTATAACACATAAACACAATGATCGAACCTGTTAATAACAAAATAGATCTCTTTATGCATAAGTGCGAGGAGAAGGAGGATTGGGGATGAGATATAAATTCTCTTTTGTGACTTGAAGTTGATATTATTATTTTGTTATTGATGAATCTTTCTTATCTGTATGACTTCTATATATATGTATATAAAGTATATAAAATATGATGGAAAAATAAAATAAAATAAAAAAAGGGTATAGGTAATTGATAAAATTGAATAATGATTGATAAATATGTTGGATGTTTGATTATTATTGCTATTGTTGTTACTATTGATTAATCAGCTACACCACGAAGTAAACTAATCTTTTGTGATCTACTTTCATGTAGGGCTCTGATGTCGGTTGGTGTTGTCTTACAACGCAAGAACATTCTGCTGGTGATACCATAGACAATAAAGTTGAGGAAACCTTGGAGTGGAGTGGTGAAGTTCTGTAGCACCCAAAGCCAGTAGAGTTCGCAGTAGCGAGCTGGTGTCGCCACGAAATTATCGATCAAATCGGGCAGCCAGCATATCAGGAATGCCAAGAGATAGACTCCGAGTTGACGGGCGACCTTGGCGTGAATCTTGCGCTTTCGCTCGCTGACGAATCTGTGTGAAGCTGTCTGTTGAGTGTTGATGCTGTTACGATCCATGTTCTCGCCCATCGGACGCATCGATGCACGATATCGCCAGAGAATCAGTGCATAAAACAAAATGTTCCAAGCGAATGTGAAAATCAGAGGGCCATACCAAAATAGATAGCGTGCCTCTGGGTCGGGATGGCAATAGCCAGTGTCTTCCTCCTGAATGATCATGCCTTTGCCAACCATTACACCAGTCATAATCACGGGCACACCCCACGAAAATGCATGAAAAACAATCAGTGGAATTTGCGAGCGTTGTCTCGATGACCAAAATGCATGGAACGCTATACAACTCATCCACATAAAACTAGATACAAAAAAGAAGTTTATAGATGCTCTAATAATGATACAAAAACTATGGTAATATGTTAGACTATAAGAATATATAAAAAAAAACATAGGTTGTTAATATTATTTTTGTTTTTTTTTTTTCATAATTAAAATATCTGATTTATAATTCATTCATACCTTGACAATAATACAGATTGAGAAATACAAATAGATATTGAACCAAAAAAGTCGGAAACAGAAAGATATAAAATTAATTGATATAGTGGTTGATTTCGTTTGTTTGCACCTAAAAAGAAGAGATAGTTGATAATGATTGCCGATGATCCTATAATCGAGAGACAACTCGCTACTAAATTAGTTAGATATGCAGCCATCTGTTGAGCAGAACTCAACGTGCAGTAACTGACCACTGCATCCAACATTCTCTCTGTCTAAATTATATCTTAATATCTCTTTTTTTAATTTTAAGATCACTATTATAAAAAAAACAATTTTAAGTTGTGTGATTATAATTATTTGTGGGGTGGGTATTTTTCTAAAATAAATAAATAAATAAAAATATTAATTAATAACAATATATCTTTTTTTTTTAAAATTTGCAATCTGTAATGAAAAAAAACACACATGTAAAAAATAAATCAAAAAAAAAAAAAATACCCAACTACTTTTACCAGAGATTAGAATTTACTTTCGCATCATCATCGAAACCTTAAAAATTTTTATAAAAAATCAAAGCACAAAAAGAATCAAGCGAAAAGTCCAAAATTAAAGATTTTTGGAATGAAGCACGTTTTTGCTGATGTAATGGTATTCAAAAACAAAGATATTTTCACAACTAGTGTGTGATCATTATTGATACTAAATAACTAATCAAAGATACTTATTTATTTTTGGTTGTTGTTATTATTGTTATTGTTGTTGTTTTGCGAGGATTGAGATGTCTGTGAAGACTGTGAGGACTGTGATGATGTGATCTTTCCGAATGGTAACATCCCTTGTTCTAAAATCGATTGAATAATCCATTCGGTGGTCACTTGAGGAATACCTAGAACTTCAGAGTACTTCTTGTTGGTGGCACTCAACTCTGAGCCATCGGAGAGAATTATGTCGATTCGATCGTTGTTGTGCACCAATCTCTTTACATATATACCACCGAGCAACTTTATAATGGTAGCCCATTCATCTTTAAACAATTTATTCTCACTTATAATCTCTATTCTCTGATTTGAAAATATATATTTTGATGGTTGTTTCCTATAAACGATATAATAACAATTGTTAATTAATTAATAAGCAATAAAAAGTAATAGTTATGTAATGTATGTATATTAACATAATTTAATCAATTTAATACTTACAAATGTACAAATGTTCCACTTGGTATTGAATAACCAGATGGTAGTAGATAACCATTCATTGGTATGATGCTGTCTTTTTTGTAGCAATCATAGATCCACTTTTGATTTACACAAGTTACACCTGCAATTAATGCACGAATGTACTTGAGTGTAGTCTCTGATTGCTTTGATACGACAACAAATTTAGAAGGGTCTTTTGATTTAGCATAGGCAGAAAAGAAGTCGTGCATTGTCGGTATCTTACCAGACATTGTTTGAACCAAGTTGGTAACGTTCAATTCAGCTACATTCATTAAAAGTATAAATTAAACTTGTTAATATAGTTTACTTTATATAACTGTATTAATGATTATTATTATTGTTGTTGTTGTTGTACATACGATTTTCAGAGTTATCAGTTACTTTGGTTGTCAAGAAAGTATATCCTTTGAGTATAGTTGATTTTCTACTGAATGTTTTAGGTGTTCTCTGTGATGAAGATGAAGATGATATTGATGTAGATGATTGTGTGCTATTGGAAGCTGACTTGATTGATGTTGTTGGAGGGGTGAATGTTAATTTTCTAACGGGTGTTGCCGGTGTTGTAGGTGTTGAAGGTGTAGGAGTAAGCTTTGATCGACTAGACGATCTCACTGGTGTTTTAACTAGTTTGGTTTGAGATTGTTGTGATTTAGGTATGACTACAACCTTTATTCTCTTGATTTCTCCATCGCTATCATCATCATTCTCCTTTTCATCTTCAGTTTCGGCATCCTCATCCTCATCCTCTTCTTCATCATCGGTATCGACTTGTCTTCTCATTACATTCTTCATACTATTCTTATTCCTTCTTGGTGGTTCAGGATCACTCTCTTCGCATGACTCTTCAAAAGAATCATCATCATCATCATCATCAACGTTGTCACTCTGTTCGATTTCATCGTCTTCTTTGGTTGTATCTAGGTCTGTCTCTTGTTTGTCATCGTCATCATCATCTTCATCCTCTTGGCTATATACTCTAATTTTGGCTTTTGTTGTTGACCTTCTTAGTCTTAGTTTCGACTTTGGTACTGTTGCTTCTTCATCTGAAATCGATAGCTTCTCCACCTTCCTTAAAATCTTCTTGTTTTTTATTTGAGGTGACTTTCTCAAATAAACTTTTTTCCTAACTATTACTTCATCTTCACTATTACTACTTTTAAAGTCATCGTCGTCACTGTTTTCTTCTTCTTCTTCAACTTCATTCTCCTCCTCTTCTTCATCTTCATCTTCATCATCATCTTCTTCTTCTGTTCTCTTAAATATCTTTTTGATTTTACTCTTTTTATCATTATTATTCTTCTTTTTAATTGGTGTTGCTTTCTTTTTCTCTTTTACAACTGATTTCTTGTTGGTTGTCGGCTTTGATTCTAAAGATTTGAATGCAGTCTTTCTATTTGTTACAGGTGGCGGTGATATTGGTGATTCTAAAAAGTCGTCGTCATTGTTATTGGTTGGTTTAGAGTTGGTGTTGGTATTGGTGTTGGTATTGGTGTTGGTTTTGGTTTGGTTGTCACTGGATTCATCATTTTCTAAATCTAAACCTTTGATTACTGAAGGAAGTGTCAATGTTTTCAAATTCTTTCCTTTTGGCTGTGATTTGTTGACGATCTTTTTGATTGGTGATATCTTGCACTTGAGTGATTGACCACTACTCTTATTATTATTATTATTCTTCTTCTTTGGACTGTTAATACCAAAACCATTGGGATCCACTGTAATCGACAACTTTGTCTTCTTCTCAATAAATGAATCTCCGATATCTTCGTCTTCGTCTTCATCGTCTCCTCCTTTATGACTGTTACCACTAAAAGTACTCTCTTCCATTGTCATAAATGATCTCTTTGAGTGTTGCTCCATCTTTTGCTGCTTGATTGCTATTCTCTCTTGGTTTAGCTTGTGATAGGAATACAAACAGTCTACACTATCATTCTTCTTCTTAATGGTTGAAATGAACTCACCCGCATCCAAACTATCAGATTGATCATCATTTGTCAAAGCCTGTGTCATGTTTGGTTCCTCTATCAACTGATCTATTAAATCTCTTTCTGTATTCAATGATTTATGACTACTTTCTACTTTATTATTATTATTACTATTGTTAATAATATTATTGTTGTTTGTAGTAGTAGTTGTTGTTGTCGTTGTAATATTTGTTGTATCTTGATTATTGTTTGTTATTTTGTTATTATTGTTACTGTTATTACTATTATTGGTTATTGATTCAATAGCTAGAGTTGGATCATTATTATTCATGGATTGATATAAATCTGGTGGTGTTTCTGGTACAATGTCATCACTATTGATTGTTTTATTAACTGGTTCTTCTGAAGATTCAGTACTACTAAGTGACCAAGATACGTTCTTTGTCTTTTGATCTTTACTATTATTACTATTGCTACTACTATTACCACTATTATTATTGCTTTCTTTAATATTATTATCATCATTATTATCCGTTACTATTCCAACTATTGGTTGAATATTGATAGTTGGACCATCAATTGTATTAATTTGAGTTTCATCCCCAGTTTGATTCTCTTTGGTTTCTTCTTCTTCTTCTACTTCATCCTCTTTCTCTTTATCTTCTTCCTCCTCACTATTATCAACATGATTCACTACTCCATCTCCATCTTCATCATCTTCCTCTTCATCCTAGAAAAAAAAAAGAATAATAAGTTATTTATTAATATCTGAGAAATATTCAATAATGTTAAATTATTATAAAAGTTATAATTACATCAGATAAAACGGGTTCCAATAATTTATTGTTACTATTGGCTCTGGGTGGTAGTTTGGTTGGGATTGCCAGTGAGTGTTGTTCGAGTGTTGACGAAGCGAGAATGCTCGATTTGTAGGTTGGGATGATCGATGCGTCCACCGAGAGAATCGGTTCTCTTATTTGAATTTTCGACATCGACGAAGATCTGGGTGGTGCCGTTGTGACTTGTGGCGATGTTCTTGCCTCTGGTGGTGTAGTTGATTTCGGAACGAACGAAAGTCTACGTCTCGACTGATAGGAGAATGGGAATTCCGTTGGTGAGAAACTATCGGACGATATCGAATCGGATTTATTCGACATCATATCGATATTCGATGAAGATATATTAAAGCTATTGTTATTACTCATCATTGAATTCTCATTTTGATTGAGTGTCGATGAGTCATTTTCATCATTCGTTAACGTATTTTTGAATATCGATTTATATATAGGTGAGTTACCACTTTTATTATTATTATTGCTATTATTACTATTCTTTGAATTACTCATTCTTTGTTTTAATTATTTTTGATCTTTTTATCATTATTTAACATAACTATTTACTTTGAATCACCTAAAAAAAAAATATATTGAATATTCATTCTAATCCCCCCTGATCTTACCGTTAATTACATTTCAAAAATAAATTAAAAAAATTTGAATTTGCGAGGGAAATTTGGGAATCTTGTAATTATTTTTGTACATATTTTATTATTCTTATTCTTATTAATATTATTATTAAATCTTTAAATTTAGATTTCAAATAGTTTATTATTTATTTATTAATTGTGATTCTAAGAGCATAAAAAAATTTAAAAATTCGATTCTAATAGAAATCATTTTTATTTTTGGATAAATCGAGTCGCCTAGTGATTATCTATCAATACATCTTGGTTTTATTACATGAGGTATCGATTTCAAAAAGAAATTAAAATTATACTATCTTTTACAATGTTTTTTTTTTTTTCAAAAAACATAAATAAAAACAAATAAAAACATATGATTACATTGATATTGTTATTATTATTGGACAATTTTGATACCAATAAACTCGTCTAGTTATTTTCTATCATTTTATCTGTTTTGGTAAATGAGGTTTCAATTTCAAATTAAAATTATACTATCTTTTACAAATGTTATATTTTTTGAAATTTTTTTTTCTAAAATTAAAAAAGAAAGATTATTGCCCTGTTATATTTATTTTGTTAAAAATGAATTCATACTAGTGTACCAGTATGTCTACTCTGTATTTCTACCAAACAATTGTTGTTTTCTTGATTCAGCATAATCATCGATTTCAAATTGATAACTTCTGCTCAAGTAATTTTCTTTAGTATCAATACCCAGTGGATGTGGATGTTGATGTGTAAACTGATGAATCGTTCCAGAAAGATTGTAGTTCTGACATGTTTCTTTTGCACAATATATATTACCGGGTGGCGGACATTCTGTGCATGTAGAGAATATCGGATCTCCACAAATACAGTTCACTGGTATTGTTGGAGTAGCAACTACTTGTGCTGGTGTTGGTGTTGCTACTGGTTTTGTTTGTGCAACCGATGATCGTTTCAAACTCTTCCATGGCTGTTGTCTGTATACTGCCAACAAAAGTAACGATGCTAATAATACGGCCAACGGTATGAATATTCCCATAAGCAGTTTCTTGAGTATCGAGGATGTGTAGTTGTCATCGGTCTGAGGGATTGGTGCAGCGTTGAAAGGAATCTGAAAGATTTGACTCAACTGAGTTCCATAATCACTCCAACACAGTTCAGTCTGGAATTTTGCTCTGACAATACAATTGAGAGGCAGTACTTGTTTGTCGTTCAAAGTATAGAGATTGAATTTGAATGGAATTATTTCGTTGGGATACATTAGATAGCTATGGTTGGTGAATCCATTGGTATCAATAAGCAGCGATTGGGTTGTTGGATTGTTGAAACACTCGATATTCAATATCATAATACCTGAGCCATTACCACGATTCTGTAGTTGCCCAAACATCACATTTTCATATGGAGCTGTCCAGTTGTTGTTGTTGTTGTTATTTATAATCCACTTACCAAAATATATTGATAATGGATTGCTTGTAACGGATATAATGCTTGGATTATCTCTGAATTGCTCAGTGGTAAATAAGAATGAAGCTTGACTTGGAGAGTTGCTACATATTGGTTTTGGTAGTTCAATATTGATGGTCATATTTGCTCTGCTGGTAGATGGAGGACGAAGACAAGATGTACTATTGAGATCAATCGGATCCGTAGCTGCAAACTCCAATGATATAATTGCATTTGGATAGTCAATGAGTGTATTGTTGTAAATGACAGTCATCCACATTGTACAGTGTGATTTGCCATGAACCAAACACTCTAGTATTGAATTCTGATAGTCAATAGTAATAGTTGGACCGGAAACATTTGAATTGCTTGTAACAACCAGTAGCATATCATCTCCAATATTATTTAAAACGATTGGAAATGATAAATGTTTTGATTCTAAATCTCTTTTCAACCATTGATTACGATCAATATATTGGATTGTGTAATTGGATATTAAAGAGACTGTTGTTGATGGGTTCGATGGTGCAGTTACACATGATTCGATGGCTGGCGGCGATAAAGTAAATTGATAGCTTTGATCGGTGTAACCTCCTGGACAACCATTGTCAATCGACAGCGTTAGTGATGTTGATATGGTTGCAGAGGTGTTCGAACAAATAGTATAGCTAATAGTACAATTCGATTGAGAATTCAACCAACAAGATGTTTTCTCAATGGCATCGGTGTATCCTATCAAATTGGAATAGACGGTTGCCGAACCAATCTCAATATTTCCAACTAAAACCGATAAGTCGATACATGTCATTCCATTTTTGATTGTCCAACTACTGAAATACATATTATCTACCAATCTATAATCGGGACCGAGCGATGCCAAATAGTAATTTCCAGAGCATTTCTTGTAATTTGGATAGATTTCTATCTGTTGTGTATAGTTAACACCGATACCATTCCAACATTTACTAGGATTATCGATACCAATAGAGAGATTGCATAGATACAACGGATTATCCAAATTGGTTGAATAACTGTAAACATTCCATTGTAAGGTGGTGTTGGTCAGTGCTTGAAGTTGAATCACTTGGTACTGTGGATCAGCGATAAACTGATTCGGACATGTAAAGTTAAACAAGAATCTTCCACCGGAAGCACCAACATTGTTGAGTGGCATCGTGAATATACTGGCATAGAGTGTATTGGTTTGTGTAGCGTCTGAGTAAATATGGCCTTGGTTGTTGGCGTCTGGTTGTATTGCTAATGGGTGTTGTGAAGGTAAGGAATAGTATAGAGCTGGGATCCATTCAGAGTTGCTTACAACTATATCTAGATTAGGTTGACTGTTGTTGTTGTTATAGTTGTCAAGCCAGAATTTCAATGGTTGGCTAATCAGCGGACGATCAACATCTTGAGAAACACAAGTATCATTTGGATATCTATGAGAGAATTGAGTGACCACAACCTGGTTGTTTGCAGTCGGCCAACAGATACTTGCATTGTAGATGGAAGTCTTCAAACTACAATCGATGGTTACGTTTGAATATGGATAGGCTTCTGCCATCAAAACCATTGTTTGGGTAATAGTTTGACCTGGTTTTACAGTTGTAACTACGGAGCTATCACCATCTTTAAAGAAGAAATTGGTTTGATTTGATGTGCTGCATGTCACTGTTGTCTGGAACTCTCCAGTTACCTTACCGCTATTTTTGACCGTGACAACAATATCTCTATCAAAAACGAATACGCGATTTCTAGTGAAGTTGGCATCTTGGTTGAATCCCAAAACTTCCAGTTGCGGTTCACTGGTGACACCAATGCATGGATCTACAATATTGCATTCTGGGTATTGTGGAATAGCGAATGTTTTCGAAGCGACTTTGTCAACGGTTGACCAGAGTGTCTGAGATCTAATGTTGATAGTTACTGTACATTCCAGTGCAGGTCTATAGAATCTATCAAACAATATTTGAACAGAGAAAGGCAGAGTTTGACCTGGCTTCAGTGTTTGGAAGAGACTTAGTATTCTCATGGGTGTCGGTTGGTTACACTGCAAATCGATATTGAATACTCCCGATGCATCGCCAGAGTTCGAAACATCCACCGAGAATGTTCCGTCACATCCATTGTCCGCTCTGGCAGTAGTTCTATTGTTAGAGATACCGCTCTCCACTATTCTTGGCTCGTAGTACGGCAATGAGAAAGGATTGATATGCATCTCGAGGACGGCATTATCATATCGATTGAGCATTGTCATGCTATTGAGATTGATAGTGATTCTTGGTGTAACTCCATCGTTGGCATAACCACCAGTCGAATCCCAAATCGGTAGAATTTTATTAGCTGTATTCTGACCATTCTGAATGATCTTGCTAAGACTATAGATACAAGAACCATATGGCAAATCACAGAAATTAGGTTGTCCATAAAAAGTGCTGGGTAACATTCCATTTTGACCACACTGTTGTCCAAGATCTTTTGTTGGTATAAACAATGCACTTGTTATATCTGTCGATGGATCCGATGTTTGTAAAATTGTAATACCATTTAAATCAACTAAAATATTCGATAAAAAAATAAAATTAAAAAATTTGTTTTTTTTTTTTTTTTTTTTTTGATCACTCATCTTTTTTTGTTGGTCGTGGTGTGTGATTGATCAATCATATGATTACTTACTTAATTTATTTGTAAATTCACTATTACTTTTTGTAGTGAGTTTAATTGTCATGTTTGGAGAGCTGTAGTTATTATTGTCAGTAAAATCAAAGGTTTGATTTTGAAAACCTAGATTTAGTGATCTGGTTACGTTGGTATTGGCAAAGCTAGTGATTTGATATGAAAAGTAAGGTATTCCCGATGTACCCCAATAGTGAATCGTATCAAATGGTGCGTCGTTTGTAAAAGGATTTCTATTAGAGCCAGCAGGACATTTAATGCCTTCAGTCTCGTACCACTGAAAGAAAACACCATACCCAAAACTTGTAGTAATCGTTACATTTGAATTATCACTGTAGATAAATATAAAGTATGTATTACTATCTCTATCTTCTATTAGTTTATTATAATTATAGTTTTTCTATAGTTTAAATCATAAAAAAAATTACTTTTTAGTAAGAATAGATAATAGTAGAAGTTTTTATACAACTTACTTCTAGAGGTATATCTTTATGAGTTGAATTTCTCATGATTGCTTTCGGTATAACACCACTATTGTATTGTTGGAAATATGAAGCTAGCTCAACGTTGGTGATAGGATATCTACTGGTGAATTTCGTCACAGATTGCATAAGAGAGTTTGGTTCAATTAAACTTTCGTCAGGAATTGAATAAGAGTTACCTCTTGACAAAGCTGTTTCAACTCTAGTATCGTTACCAACAACATTTAACTAATTAATTAAATTAATAGTAAAAGTTTATTTAGATTCTACAGCTAGATTCTTTATCTATTACATTTATAATTTTAACAGTGAACTTACTTGAGATTTAATAGAATAGATTTCACTTGAAAGTTTAAAACCCAATTGTATATTAGCTTGACCATCAGCGATATTTAAACCGAATACAACCTTCAAATAATAGCCTAAACCTGGATTGCTCCTGCAAACATCGATGGAAGAAGAACATACAATTGGATTGACCGTAACGATTGGTGATATGCTCAATGCACTCGGCGCCAAGGTCATCCAGGTACTAGAGCTAACGGGTTCTCTAGGACAATAAGAGGTGTAGCTATTTATCTTTGGTGGCAATGGTGCGGTACCATTTGTTGAATAGGTAGCAATCGATCTTGGCTATATTAAGTAAAATAAAAATGTAAATATATATTATTAAAATTGAATTTTTATCTATCTCTACATACCCCAATGTATAATCTATCAGATTGTGAAAAACAGGTTTCTGTTACAAATGTAAGTTGACCTGAAATCGGAAGATCTTTAAAATAAAAGTACAGTTCACGATCGCTAAGGATCATGAGAGTATTGATGACATATTTAATTTTTGTATTATTGTCATACATGTAAACTAATGTTTTTTGTTTAATGAGATCAACCATCTTTGAAGTAGTATCTATTGAAGGATCATAAAATGGAATATCAATAAGATACCTATATAGAATAGTTATTAGTTTTAATCTTTATCTTTAATCCAAGGATATATAGTTTATTGTATTATTTAATTACATTGGACCACCATTAAAAATAACTTTTATTCTAAAATTGAATCTATCTGGTATAATATAAGATGATGTTGGACTGACTACATATTGGGTACATCCTAAGTCTATTGTTGTTATATAATCTGAAAGATTATCTTTAGTTTCAACTTTTACTATTGTTATTAAATAAATGAATAACAATATAAATATTATAAATTTATTCATTTCTGGATTATTCCTTTATTAAAAATAGACTACAGCATTTTCAGGAATCAAAGTTTATATTTGAGCCTCCAAAATTTTTTTGTTTTTTTTTTTTTTTTTTTTGCGAAGCTCCACACTAATTCCTTCGGGGTATTGCAAATCACATATTAATTAATGTGAGCCAGTTTGACTCGCTTCGACCCAAACATTTTTTGTTGTGGTTGTTGCTGGTGTTGTTGATAGCTTGGGAATATTTTTTTGTTTTTTGTTTTTTTTTTTAGTTTTTTTTTTTTTTTTTTTTTTTTGTTGATTAACTTCACTTAAAAAATCACACAATCAGTGATTATTGGTAGAGATAAAAATAAAACCACCACACATGTCAGAAATAACTTACTATTCTTTTTTTATTTTTTTTTAATTTAAAAATAACAATAAGAGAGAAAAAAATGATTGTTTTATTGTACAACAGTTTACTTTACTTCTTTGTTTTTGTAATACTTTACGACAAGAATCCTCTTGTTTGATATCAATAAAACATGTCTTGTAAAGATAGTAGTTCGACAATAGTAGAGGAATTTGGTTGTGATGAAAACAAAACGATCAAAATCCAAAATAAAACAACAACAAGTAAACCCAACAAATCAAAAAGAAAACCTATAAGAAGAGGATACTCTTCACCCCTAATTCGTGACCTATTAAGCGAGTCAAACATCAGAGTTAATTTAAAAGATACTCTACAGTCATCACCACCATTAGCCTTACCAAACAATGATTTCTATTCGAAGATGCTTAATGAAAACAATACTAAAGAATCTGATAACTTGACAACAAAAAATAATATTAATCAACCATCAAAAAAAACAATCTTAAAAACTACACCACATTCACCTGTATTTCTAAAAGATCATTCACCAAAACCAACAACAGAAAATCAGTCTAAACTTCAATCTAATATTAATAACGATAATCATAATAGTGATGTTCAATTGTTAATGCAATACATGTCATTATTAGATGATAAACAACTTAAACAATTAGAATGTTTTATAGATAAACTTTATATAGGTAACCAGACTACATTAGATTTAGAAACCTACAGTCATACCAACAAAATAGATTACTATTGTTTAATACAACAACAACAACAACAAATATCGAATATAGATTCAAAGACAACATTCTCACCACAACAAACTAAAATAATATCAGAAGATGAAATTGATAAATTGTTAAGTCAAAATATTATTCAATCTTTAAATAGTAATTCTCCCATTATTCATTCAACTACAAGAGTAGCGAGCTTTGCAAAGTCAGCTCAAGATCAATCAAAGAATAAACATTGTCGTGCTACTAGAACGTCATCATTGCCACCATTACCACCAAACATCCTGAAATCGAATCGAACGGAAAAGGAAAAGAACAACAACAGCTACATCAATTTGCAAAAAGATGAATTGTTAGAACCACTCCTTTCATTGCATACCAATAGCTTTGGTCATATCAACCTTCATCTTTCCAATCTAAATTCCACTATCAGACCCCAGATATAACAATAATAATAATATAAAGAATTGTAAAATAATAAAATAAAATTGTTATTATTATTTAATTAATTACTAAACACTTTTTTTAAAAACTAAAAAAAAAAAAATATATTTTAAATTTATCACCTGTTGTGGAGTGTGTGTTAACACCAAAACCCATCGAAGTGTGAATTATGATCATTGTCACATGACATGCGGAAACCCAAATAAAAATATCTTTGTGAACGATAAATTTAGTCAGAGACTTTGAAAAAAAATAAAATATCAAAACTGTTTTTTTTGAAAATTTTTTAGAGAGACTGATTTTTGTTTTTTGTTTTTTTTGTATTCTTTGTTTTATTTATTTATTTGTATTTATTTGTTACATTACTGTGGTGTAAACATTCATTATGCATTGTTTTTTTGTTCTTCAAAAGTGAGAGAGAGAGTGAAGTTTAATAAATTACTCACACACGCAGCAGCAGTGACAACAATAACAACAGCAAAGTAAAAACAATTCAACCAACTCACACTCACACAACACAACCACAACACAACCACAACACATCAATAATATATATATTTATTAGAGAGATAGAGAGAACATCATATTTTTTAATCTTATACACAATCAAAATCAACCGTAGTTTAGATTTAAAATAAACAACAACAATAATAACAATAACTAACAACAAGCAAAAATAAAATAATAATCACAAAAAAAAAAAAAAAAAAAAAACAATATCTCTTTATTTTTATTAATAGTAAACTAACTATCTATATATAAAATTAAACAACATTCCATTCAACTCAACAAACACCTCTTTGTTGTGCAGCAATAAACAACGTCGATATACAACATCAAAATTGTTTATATATTTATTTTTCAACTATTTAAATTCATTTTTATATCTAAATTTATCACATCACATGTTTAAAACTTGTTTAGTTAGTTTAAATTAAATTTCCTTATATATATAATATTAATCAAAATAATAACCATACATATTATATTTATTTAGTAAAGTTAGTTATATATATATTTTGAATTCAAAAAATTATAGATATTATTAGTATAATAATAATTAATAGATAGAGTTGTAATAATAGTAATAGAATAGATAATAGTAGTAGTAGTAGTAAAAAATAAAAGTTTTGTGTTTGTTTTCATTGATTGATTGATTGATTGGAAAAACGAAAAACAACAATGGATAATCATTTAACAAGTCCAAGTAGTGGTGGTATTGGTAGTGGTGGAGCCAACGGTGGTAAACCGATGCTCTTCAGAAATATATTTATATCACTCGATCCAACGTTCTCTTTTACGTTGATGGACAACTTTTGCAGAGGTGTTTCAGCACAAAAGACAACCGAGATCTTCAATTCACTTATATCGCTACTCGATGACCATTTCCTCGAGTTATTACGTGTGTACATTAGAATCAACTTACAACAACAAAGTACCGTCGGTCCAAACGATGATGCTTCTTTTTTTAGTTATAAAAAGTAAGTACAGGAAGTGAGGCTCGATTTCAAAGTTCATAATAATATATTAACACATAACAAAACATTATAACTATTTAGTGTCGTTAATAGAATGACATCAGCATATTTAAAGATACATTCGAGTTCAACGGTTGAAGCGTTGCTAGCTAGTCAGATGCAAGTGTTGGCAGCCAACATTCAACATTTTTGTTTAAATAATAGTGGTGCTTCTTCACAACAGAATTCAACAGCAACAGGAACATTGTCAGCATCACTAACACCTAGCTTTGATCTTAGTTGTGGCAGTGACACCAGTAACTATAGTAACTATAGCAGCTATAGTGGTAATGGTAGCAGTCTAAACAACGACGAAGCACTCATTCAATTTGCAATATCGATCATCAACTTTATTTGTAAATCACACGATAAACTATCACCACAAACCTATTACCTAATGCATCTACTCTACAGTGAGACAAGTTCAATCTCCAACACTGGTGATCAACCACGTTATAATATCGAGTTGGTAAAACGTATTTTCTTTGGCAAGTTGATCGTTCCAACACTTGCTAATATGAAACCATCGGCATCTGCATCTGCACTCACCAAAAAGGTGTATGTAGAGATATCAAAGATCGTAAGTGATCTTGTTTTCGAAAAGAGTCTACCAGAGATAGGTGGCACTCCAAATATCACCAGTTTAAATAACAACAACAACATCAACAATAATATTTTATCAAAATCAACAAATGGTCAAAAGATTGGATCACTTGGTATACAGCAACAGCTAAATGAATTCTTTAATATGATAGTCAGTCAGTTGCGACGTAGCCAATCGTTCACACCACCCTTGAAGCCGTCAGCTGTCAACAAAGATGAAGCGTACGCATATTTCATTCACTACCTAAAGACAGAGTCGTTGCAGCTCGATGAATTTTTCAAAAAGGCAAAAGATAATGGAGTTGCGAATGGCGAGCGAAACTACTATCTCTACGGTGTCTTCAAGGAGCTTTTGAATGGTTTGAAAGCGATATCGATGGGTGGACTCGGTCTGACTAGTTCATCGTCGCGAACATCGATTCACGCTTCACCGCAGCAGCATCACCAACACCACCATCACACCACCGGCAGAATCAGATCGACCACCGGCATTGTCGAAGCGGAACTCAAGCTTTCGTCGCTCACGCAATTCTCACCGTCACTCGCACCCAAGAAAGATTCACACATCGAGCTCAAGAAGTGGTCGTCGGACGACTTGCGTTCCACCTACAATGGAAAGTCGTACAAGCGACGATGTGCAGTGTTGGAAAGACAATCGAAATCAAAAGATATACTTACTTTCCATATTTATACGTCCGATACCAATATGACCGTGAGGAATATACGTGTGCCGCTCACCGTTAATATTCGTGCTTTGATGTCGCGACTTCTCAACGACCAAGAGATGTCCGATATCAGCTACAACAAAGATGTTCAGGACTATGAGCTGGTGGTGCGATACAGTGAGCAACTGGTGATTCTGGGTGTGAACAACAATGGCAACGACAACGCAAGTGAAGCACGTGAAGTTCTAACCGATACCGACCTACCATTGTGGATGTATGACGTCGACAATGAATGTACTATTATTTTCAGACCAGAGAAGAAGCGAGCTTCACAGCCATTCTCTATTTATTTAAAGTGTTTGTTTCCATCGTTGCCAAACAACAACCCAATGGAGTCACCTCGAAGCGGACTGCCCTCGAACAACAACAACAGCGGCAACAACAAGAATCCAGTGATTATGTTTGTCAGTCTTCAACTCAATCCCAAAGCAATCATCGAAGAAACACTGCTCAAACATGTTATCGAGTTGGATCCAACTCGTCTTGGTCTATTCCTTTATGATCTCGATGAGAACGCCCAGGGATTGCTACCGTACCAGATCCCAAGCGATCGTGTTTTGGCAGGCAACAAGATTGGAACCATGGATATTCTAGAGTGTAACTTTAGATATGCATTCGAATTCACTGCAATCAACGAAGCCATCAATATTACAAAGCTGATCGAACAAGACACCTCGATAGAGACAGCAACGATGACTCTTGTCAATGCATCACTCAACCACAAGAACAACAACACAATCACTCCACGTACCGATCTAAATCAATTCGCCATAGCAATAGTCTCACAGAACACTCGAATGCCTGGGTTCCTCAACGCAGGGACCAGACTCTGCGACTATCCACTGAACCTTGGCGATGAAATACTGATAACTTCGCGTCAGATGATCTCACTCATTGAGAAATTCGAAAAGAAAAAGCATCTCTCTAGCTCTAACGATGACCAGCAACATGTTGCGCCATCTTCCTCGCAGATGAAACAACCCGATACCTCTGCAACACCACTCGTCTCGACACCAGCTCAACCACAGACACGCTATCGATTCAAAGTAACTTGGATCGGTCCAAAGAAAGAGGTGAAAGAGTACAACATCAATCTGTCACCACTCATGCTACTCGGTGTGCCACCACTGAACACCTCGCTGATCAATCCACAGTCACCTGGCACACCACCCTCAATCAACATTGCGCCATTCGAAAAGAGAATTTCAATCTTTTTGACAAACACGCTAACTCTCGATCCTTCGTTGGTAGCCAGTTCCAAATCGAATATCTGTATCAACAACGATGTTAAACTCTGCTTTGTTGGTGACGAGAGTCCAGACAAACTGAATCTTTTCAACATTCTCAAAAAGTCGGGTGTCACTCGTCGCGAAGGATTGAGCAACAACGCCCCACCTACACCATCGCCAGCTACAACTCCAGGTCTCAACGGACAGATCAACGGTGGTGCCGACCGTGACGACCAAGACCTCACTGGAATCAAAACATCCGACTGGATCTACAATCAACCTGAAGCACCAGACTATATCGTTGCATTCAAGATGTTCTATTTCAGTGGACTCGAAGTTCACCAATCTACTCATCCATTGTTTGTCACACCGGAATCGATCTTTGTGGTCACCTATCCATCGACAGCATTGAATGAATCGACCATCGAATATTGGATGGAAATTATTCAGGCTAAATCACCAGGATCCATTGTCATAGTAGTCGGTACAAGTACTGAGGATCCATCCAAGAAAACACAATATATCTCACAGACACTGTTGTCTCGTTACACAAACATTCTCCACTACCTCCAAGTCAACATCAAGAATCTTAAGCAAGTCAAAGCTCTTATCCATTCGATCCACTCTATTGCCAAACAAAAACAATTCCGTCAAAAGGTTCCAATTCCATTCGTACTACTTCGTAATCAATTGATAGAGACCTGTAAAGATGCTTCGAGGCACTCTCGTATACCCGCCACTTCACAAGCCAAGATTCGCTCCATTGCCAAATCCATCAATTTGGAATCACGTCAGATCGATGACGCCATGAAGTATCTCTTGCGCTGTGGTGATATCCTCTACTACCGTGACGACGGTGATAATGAGCTCAATGACATTGTCTTCCTTGAGCCACTCTGGTTGTCACGTGTACTCTCGACCGTCACCAACTTGAAGCATCAGAACGGTTACCTCTTGATGGGTGGTATCAACCAGGCCTGGGACGAAAAGTATCCACGTTCGATTCACACCTCTCTCACTCACCTCTTGGAGCAGTTTGAAATTATGCATAGCAACACCGGTGGAGACAACGGTGACAGTATCATCGTGCCAATGTTATTCTCTGAGGAGCGTCCAGTGGTAATGGCAATGCTCTGGCCAGAGTTTGACCATATCCGTCAGCAACACGAACGTATCTATCAATTCCAATTCCTTCCTAAGGGATTCTTCTCGCGTCTCTCTGTAAAGATGCTTCAAAACTTTGATCCACTCTGCATTTGGCAAGGTGGAATGGTTATTCAGCCGGCTGGTCAGGTTTGGGCAGGTGCAGCGAAGAACGATCATGGCCAAGCCTTCATTGAATACAATCCCGGTCAGTATCGATTGAAGATGACCGTTCGTGACATCAAAGGTGGACAGTTACTCAAGAATCTCGTCGATATCATTTCATCGTTCATCATGTGGTATTTCCCAGATCGTTTGACCAACACCTATGTCACATGTACACACTGTATTGAATCGCGTCGCAAGGAGAATGCAACTATCTTCTCACTCGATTTCTGTGAGAAAGAAGCATCGCACGGCAATGACTTTGTGATGTGTAGTGGTGTGCACCAAGTCAAGTTGAGCGAGTTGGCATTCGAAGTGACAGTACACAGCAACAAGTTCTCTATCATTCCATTCAAAGACTTGAAGATTGGTCCACAACTAGGAGCCGGTTCATTTGCAAATGTATATCGTGGTCTTTGGAATCAATCGGAAGTTGCAATCAAAAAGTTGAATCTCGAAGAAGATGACACTACAACTGAGAAATTCAGAGAGTTTAGACATGAAGCAATGCTTAGTGGGTAAGTAATATGTAACTCGGTACAATCAAATTTGATTATTAATTTTTCATTCAATAATAATTGTACAGTGATTTACATCATGAAAATATTGTATCATTGAAAGGTGTATCAATGAATCCATTCTGTATTATTACAGAGCTATTGAGATATGGTGATCTATCGAAATTCCTTAGAAATACAACAGATTCTTTCAGTTGGAATACAATCTTGAGATTGTCGATGGACATTGCCAAGGGTATGTCGTTCCTACACAGTTGTAAGCCAATGGTTATTCACAGAGATTTGAAGAGTGCCAATATCTTGTTGGGTGGTACTTCCATTGATACTCTGATTGCCAAGGTGTCGGATTTCGGTCTATCCATTCGTAACATTGATAAGGAGATTAAAGGTCGTAAAGTTTGGAATTGGCGTTGGCTAGCACCAGAGATCATCAAAAACCAACAATACACCGAAAAGATCGATATCTACTCCTATGGTATGGTTATTTGGGAGTTGATTACTCGTGACGTTCCATTCGATGAGTACTTTGAAGAGTTGAAGTGGAATAGCGTCATCGAGGATAAGATCATCGGTGGACTGAGACCGACCATCCCCGTTGAGTGTCCAGAGAGTTACCAATCGCTCATCAAAGAATGCTGGCATGAGGATCCCAAGAAACGTCCATCGTTCGAAGAGATCATTGTCAAGTTGAAACACATGCAACAGACATTCCCACTGGCAACGAAAATGGATTTCAAGCGTGCAGCCGACCACACTGTAGAAGCCAGTGTCGACTACTCACCGATGATCAACCAGTTGGATGTGTCACCATGCGACACTCCAGGTCGTATCAACGATAGCGATATGATTGTTGGTGCCAACACCACCCGAGTGTTTGCTGACAGACACTTGCCATCGCCAGCCGGTCTGGAACCAATTGACTCACCGCGTCTGCACATTGGTGGCGCAGACATTGGCGGATCCAACGCCGATTCCGATGATAGTATCTCTGTTGTCTCTGCGACACCGACCATGTCAACGGTCAGCCAATTTATTCCACACAGCTCCTCGTTTGTTTTGGAAGATCCACCCATTGTTTTCCGTGAGTTTATCTCTTCGATGCTCACCTCTGCCATCCATTGTATGCTCTACGTTCACAACAAACAGGAACCTCAAGTTTGGTGTGGTTGTGGCGATGGTTCAGTAACTGTTTTCAACACCAATTCGAAATCGATCATGGCTAGTTACCGCAGTCCTGAATCAACAAGAATCATCGGTATAACACAAGTAAGAAAATCGAAAGGAAAGATTGTCAATCCACTGGATGAAGAAATTCAAATATGGGCATACTATTCCGATGGTATTTTGATCTACGATCCCAAAGTTCCATACAAACCAACCAGAATTATCAAAACCAGTTATATCTCTCACCTCTTTGATGACGGTAAATCCGTTGTTACCAATTGTAAAGAAAAGAATATGACAGCAATTAAAATCTATAGTAAAACTGTAAGCTATAATTATATTAATTAATTACTTTATTAAAATTTCTAATATTTTATTTTCCTCGTCAGAAATTTAAATGTAAAAAGACGATAAATTTAAAGATCGGAGAAGGTCATATCTCAACGATGGCATTTATTAAAGGTGTAAATGATTCGAAATGTTGGATCGGTACTGAAAAAGGTGTTATCTATGTATATGATCATCCAAGTTTCTCGACGTACTTTACTATTTCCGATGCTCATTCCGGTACTGTTCACACGATAAAGCGAATCGATCGAAACATTTGGACATCCAGTGAGAAAACGATATGTGTCTTCGATGACCAATTGAATGTCAAGAAAAAGATTGACAATATCACATCAAAGGTACTCAGTTTGACTGCACACGACCGCTACGTCTATGCATCGTGTTGGGACACATCGATACTGGTGTTTGACAAGGAGAGCTTCCAGTGCATCCAACAGCTCAACAAGAAACACTCGGATCCCGTCAGTTTTGTGGTTGCCGTACGAACTCACACCTTTGGAATCTCTGAGCTCTGGGCATCGTCGTGGGACAAGCGAATCTCTGTCTACAGCATCTGCGAATCCGATCAACCCGCAGCCAACGAAGATAGCTCACCCATTGGCAATGGCTATGCAACGATATCAGGTAGTACTTCATTATCCAGCACTTCACTGCTAAGTGGTATGCATACCACCAAAAAGCAAACTTCACCTCCTTCTCCCAAACCAAGAGTTGGTAACATATTCTAAACCATCAAATAAAAAAAAAACAAACAAAAAAATACATAAATATATATATTCCTTTTTTTTTAATTTAAACCTAACAAACTAATTTTTTGATCAAATAAAAATATATTTCGTTCATTTTTGATAAACTTTTATGTTTGGTATAAGTATAATAGTAAATAACTTGACAAGTAATTTCTATGATCATCAAAAAAACACTTATTTGTGCTGTTTCCCCCCCATGTCACTGGGTAGATCAACACTTTTTTTAAATTAAATTAAATTTTTCATTAAAATTAATTTTCATTTTATTTATCACATTGAATTAATTGTATAACATAGATATTATTCTTTGTAATGAACACTTAAATTTTTATAGATCATATATATTGTTTTTTTTGTATATTTTGTTAATTGTTTGTATATAGTTAAATTAAGTTTTGTAAATTTGTAAATAAATAACTTTATCATTATATTTATATATATATATATATTTAATTGTTTAATTGTTTTTTTGTTATATTATAAAAGATAAAAGATAGATAGATGTTGGCTGTAGATGATAGAGGTCATAGTAGGATGTTCAATAATAGTGGTGTAACTGCGGCTGCAATAGCAAATGATCACCATCCAATACCTTTGGTCAAAACAAACACCAACTCCAATAACAACAACATTATTAGTATTGATAGTAATAATAATAGTATAGAAAATAGAAATGGGGTTGTTAGTGGTAGATGCTCACCAAGTTCCAATATTCTACCACTGTATATTGAAAAGGAAATAGTAAAGACAGTGTTGTTCGATCGTAAATATACACCTATTGTATGGAAACTAAGATTGACTCTTGTTTGTAGACGTTGGTTCGGTATGGTCGTAGAAGAGATTCCACAAATGCTCTCACTGAAAGCTATTAGTCTTCATTCGATTAGAGAGTGGCTCGATCAAAGTCAGTCTAGATTCGCACTATGGCCAACTCTCGATACATTATCACTCTGCACCTCTGCAGATGGAAGTACCACCACCAACACCACCAACAACACTAACAACACTAATAACAATCAAATATATAACAACAACATTAGCAGTGGTAGTAGTAGTGGTAATAATACAATAATAACAGGATCATCTTTAAAAAAGTTGTATTATAACAATACTAATAATAGCAAGAAAGGAGGAGTGGGAGGAGTAGTTGTTGGTAAAGGATTTCATCTTGAGGTTTCTCTACCAAATGACACGGAACTGAAACAACTGTATGCCACAGTGAAATCAATAAAGATCAGTATGTACGATCGCGCTCTATTCGATCGACTGCGGATCGATTGGAGATATTTCTCGTCATTGAATAATCTAAGTGTTTACAGCCATGTTTCATGTGCCGATTTAATTAATTCATTAAGACAACCAATAGTTTTGAATGGCAGCTTGATATCCTCGCCATCCACCCAACAGCAGCTACAACAGCAACAACAACAACAAATCAAAACACTCAATCTACAGTGTTATGGTGTCGATTTGAATTCACTGCTTGAGATCATCCAGGAAAGAGCACCGAATCTTGAAAGTCTTTCTTTCCAAATGAATGAGAATGAAAATACAATTGAACCATTCCTACATCAGCTATCAACGGTTGTCTCACACTCCTTGGTGAGACTGGAGATCTCCACTCGATCGTACATTGATTTCTCGAGACTGACCAACTCATTCCCGCGATTGACTCACTTCAAATTCAATGTTCGCTGTAAACCTACGCAGCAAGAGCTTCAGCATCAGCGTAGTTACCACTTGTCGCTGGTCAGCTTTGTCGAGCTCTCACCAAACATCACTGAACTCTCCATCCAGGAGCAGACCAACAACCACAATGAGTGGATCGATCTCGTTCGAAGGAAACCACTGATTCGCAAACTGACACTCTCCATCAACAACAACAATAGCACCTCCAACATCCACATCGGTGAGTCCATCCACCAACAGGGTGCACTTCCCAGCACTCTCCAACATCTCAAACTGCACCAGACCAACCCAAAGTACACCATCAATTTCGTGAGACTGTTTTCACATTTGACATCGATTTCGATTTACTCGCTGGGCACCGGTTGTCTGCCTGAGCTCTCAAAGTACATCGGCGAGACACAGCTACTCACCAGTTTCAAACTGAACTACTGGGTCAACCAACATCCCAATAAACAACCGATTGAATTCCAGCTCGATCCTTTCTACTCGGCGATTCAAAACAACCAGTCGCTAAGACTACTTGTAATCCGCGACTATGAATTCTCCATCCAGGCATTCAACAAGCTTAGCTCAGCACTCGAGATCAATCAAACACTACTCTTTATTCAAGTACGATTCTTCAACATGACAATTCCCAAGTCATTCGAATTGATCCTTTCCAAAAAAGTAAAACAGAATCTTGAATATCTCGTTCGTACACTTTACAGAGTTTTTTAAACCATCATCATCATCATCATCATCATCAACAACAACATCATCATCTTTATAATCATCATTATAATAACCCATCTGGTTTTAACAACAAAAAAAAAAAAACTTAGATTAAAATCACCTGATTAAATCACTTTAAACCATGCACACTCTTTCTTTATCTAAAATAAAACATTCATTATATTTATCATTATCAACAAATTTAGATTGATATAAGGTTTGCTAGATTACAAAGTTATTAATTTAAAACTATTTTTAACTTATTCGTTTATTAAATTTAATTATTTTATTTAGCAAATGGTTGATTTAAGTTTTTTTGTTTATTTCCTATAATAGCATTTCAATCAATCACACAATTAACCGGTTTAATTATAACCAGTCAACAATCTCAAAAAAGTTAACATGTTAAAAAAAAAAAAAAACTAATCTTTGCTTGATAATATTTATTCTGTCTTACAACACACACGTGTTAAACTACCAACCAATATTAAAAAACTAGTAATTTTAAATTGACACTCAAAAAAACATGAAAAACACACACACACACTTAAAATTGTGTGATGATGTTTTGAGAATTTGTGGTGTGGATTGTAGTGTGTTAGGATTTTCAATTAATATTTATATTAGAGAAAAAGAATTTTGGACTATTTTAAATTTATTAGTTTATTTTTATTTTTATTTTTAGGAGACTTTATCATAGTTTTTATTAAATTATTGTTATTATTATTTAATTTATTAAATTTCTCTTTCAAATAAAATTTTAAATATATATATCAGTGTCCATTCTTTTATATATCTTTGTTAAAATTTTTAATTTTATGTTTATTAATTATTAGTAATATGTTTTTATTGATAATATTTATTTTTCTAAGTTTTAATTCTATTTTTTCTTGTAAGTAATGTAAATATTTAGTTGTTTTAATAAAAATATTAATACTTTTTAAAAAATTATTAGTGGAATTAAAAAATGGAAATGAAAATTTTGTAAAATATTATGATGGATATGCGATTGTTTCGAATGTAACGGTTGATACTGTTCAGAAGGTTAGTGCTTTGGAGACTAGTTGGGGAAAGTTGGCTTTGGGTGAATTTAAAAATATAGCCTATCAAGTGATGGAGGATAATAGTTTGAACATTACCATTACAGATGATATAGTGTTTAGAGGATTGATTAGAGTTTTTGGAAAAAAGAAAAAAGACACACAGGATTTCTTTTGGAATCCAGTGATTGTTTCATCGATTTCAAGAGTTCCAACAGAAGGAGGAACCATAACAGTCATTGGAGAGTACCTTCAGATTGTTAATAACTCACCAAATTCATTAATAGTTTCCGAAGATAAGAAATTTAAAGATCAAAATAATAATTCAACAAGGAATATTTTTTATTATTCATATTCATCAGATATTATTCAAAATAGAGATTTGGATATAATTTTTAAAGTTAGAGATTCACAATTTCATTTTAATTATTCTTTTCTTGGTAAGTTAAAAAATAAAAATAAATAAATTAGATCTTAATGTATGATACTAATAAATAAAATAATAGAACCCAATATTACGGGTGCATATTTCGAAAACTCTAGTTTAATTGTAGATGGTAGTAGTTTTTCTGCCAACGATGAATGGATTGTAGTTGAAATTGGAGATATTGTGATGAAAAATATTTCATTAAATAAAATTCATGTACAAGTAACTTCCAATGTGGATTCAGATTTCCTGACCTCTGTTCAATATGGAATTCACCCAGTTAAACTCAAAGTTAATAATGTTGAATCAAATCTTTACAATTTATCTATTGGTAAATATATATTGTAAAATTAAATGTATTTTCTTTGTTTTTATTAATTCTAATATTTAAATTTTAAAGTTCCCACTTTCAAAGATATTAAAGTGAATATAGATAATAGTGTTCATGGTGGTTTGATGGAAATCCATGGTTTATTTTTATATCTTAAAAATAGCACCAACATTTCAATTACTTTTGGAGATTTGAATTGTACTGTAAATACCACATTGTCAAATAATGGTACTTTACTTTATGCAAATATAGCTCCTTTTTATTTAAATCAACAACCAGGAGTTAATAGTTTAATCAACACCTCAATTATTATCAAAATTAATGAATATGAAACATTTTATTCATATGGTAATATTACAATCAACTCACCTAATATTACTTCGATCAGCGATTTAAGAAATGGAGAGGTCGACATCTTTGGAACATACTTTGGAGATGTTTCTAAATCTAATTTAGAAATCAAAGTTGATTATGTACCATGTAATATTACCTACCATTCAGATACTTTAATCAAATTCATTAAACCAGAATCAGAAGAAGGTCAAAGAGAACTCTTGGTCAAGATCAATGGATTCCCAATTGACTTTGGAGCAAATGAAATGTTTGTTTTCCAAAAAGATGAAAAAAATGTGGTTCCAGCGGAGGAAGATAAAGACAAAACCAATTGGATCTTTATGCCAATAATTGGAGTTTCGATTGTTGGTCATTTGTTATAAGTTTCTTGGTATGGAGATTCAAGATCAAAGAAGATCAATACGAACGAGTACAATCTATATCAGAAGTGGAGATGACACAAAAGTTCTCGAAATTTGTCATTGATGACGAAGCCAGTAGTTCTGACGAAGATGGTGGTGAACACATTACAATAAATTTAAATGAAAATGCTTAGAAATATATAACATATAATAAAACTCAATAAAATTTAAAAAAAAAAAGTATTTTATTTATAATACAATAATATTCTTCTTTGTAAGAGTTTCTAATATCTCTGTGTTATTTAATCGATGTAAAACTTTTAATCCACTCTCCCTATAAATTTGGTGTTTAAATATTAATATTGTAATCTATAAAAAAAATAAAATAGAGTTATATATTTATATATACCAAAAAATAGATGTAAATTCACATGTATCTAAAGGAGATGGCAGTTCACATGAAAGTTCCAACTCATACTTTGTTCCATAAAAAGAACCATTGTTTCTATACTCTACGATTTCATGGATTTGTGCATTCAATTTATATTTGGAGAGTGGGTGATCAGCAGGAGGAACATAACACTTGATGTTCTTGTGATGTCTAATTAGGTAAACGTTGCCAATGAAATCATCAAGAATGATGATTGGTGCCATTTGATGATCGGAAGAACTACTGTTTGAAGGTGGTCTCGGTTTTACAATCTTTCGAGTGATGTACTCGTAGTATGCTTGGTCAGTTGCAACGGTAGCTTCTTGTTGGTAATGCTTTTTGGATTGAATACAGTATCGGATATCCAGCATATGTGGGTTTGAGTGGTCAGACTCTGTCAAATCACAAACGAACCAATTCAAACCAATATTTTTGAGATTGTTTGGTGGTTCTAGATTCGAGTTGACACCAACTTTGAATTCTGGAATCTCTCGTGAATTCATATTACAGCAAAGTGTGTAAGTATCACTATCAAATTGATCTTCAGCGCTCAGCTGAGTGATTGTCCATCCCATACTCTCAAAGATTCCACATATCGTTTGGTCATCTCTACCAGAACAATTGGTAAAGAAGGCACTCTTTGGAATATGGCTATTAGGTTTGTTTTGCTTCTCTACTGTTCTTGTGGTTTTGTATTTCTTATTGAAAACCTGAGTTTGATTTTCATCATCATTTCCCTTCTGTTCTTTCTCCTCCTTCTCTTTCTTTTTACTCTTTTCTCTAATCTCTTTTTGCTTCAACTGGAAATTCCTTTTCTTTGTCTTGGAAATCGCTTTTTGGAGTTCGGTGATGGTAAACTCTGCACCTTCGTGTGGACAATTGAATAAATAGATATTTCCAAAACGAACAAATACCTTCTTTTGACCAAAGCGTTGCTCGTCTACATATTTATGACAAATATCCAGTTGATTCAAGATGGTTTTGGTAAACTCTAGTTTGGCTCCTTTGTACTGATTGGAAAGATTCAAATGCTTGAGTAACGGCATCATCTTTGGATGTCTCATTGAGTGTTGGATATTAAATGATCTGTCCTTCTGGAATTTCACAAATTTGATTTGATCGGAAATGGTGTTACATCCTTTGAACAAAAGAACAGTGCCTCCACCTGGTACATGATTCTTTCCACTGTGGAATGGTAGTGAAGTGATATCCATAGAAGTTCTATAGAGCTCTTCGATTGCCATATGAATTTCATGAGGTTCACCATTGATTTTCACTTGAAGGCATCCTCTTTTCGACGGCTGAATTTCCAGTTTAGCATTGGTTAGCGCTTGTATCTTACTCTCGAGATACTCTTCACTTCCTGAAACATGTCGAGACATGATTTTATCTAGATTGATAACTTTACTCCTGTCATATTGACAACGTTTCAAAAACTCTGGAATACCAGGACTTGAGCTAAGAGTGTGATACCCAACATTGAAAATATCAAAGAGATATTGATCGTTGAAACTATCAGGACTGTCATTGAAAACAAACGATGGTACATTTGGAAGATCGAGTGGACATGTCAGTACAAATGATTCTTTGTTATTCAATGCCTGGGCAAGTCGGTTCGAATAAAACTTGAAGAATCCAATCAAATATTGTGCCAAGAAACAGCTGTGCGTCTTTGAAGCCTCAACAAGAATCTGGGAGAACCAATCGACGCTCTTGTTCTCAATTTTGTTCTTGACTTGAATTTCATCAATGATCCTCTCTGATTTAAAATAGTGAATTACCATCCATATCAATGACCATGTCTTTAAGTTTCTAGCTTTGGATTTCTGAATGTGGTGAGTGATGATACCTGTTTCTCTACCCCATCGGACAACAATATGCATGATCGGAAGAATGTATGGATGCTTCGAATAGAGATTGCAAACCATTGCTGTCTTTGCGATTCCGTTGAAATCCGCAGAAATATCACAATCGATCTTGTTGAGTTGGAACTTTACAATTGGTACTGCAGTGTCAGAGATATATTCGATTGACTCTGCGTTTGATTCATGCTTTCTGAGGGCACTTTCCAAGTGAAGAAATAGCGCATCTCTATCACCTTTGAATCGATCCATAGTATCTTGAATGTAGAGATCCAGATCTGAAAACAAAGGATCAAACAACAACATGGACGACGATCCAAACAAGTGAATTTGGACATTTTCAAACAAACTCGATTGGCTTAGTAATTTGAGAAGATCCGTCACCATAATGATACGCTCAGAATAACCTTTTAGTAAATCGGTCTGGTGATCACCAAGATATTTGATGATCGATGTCGATAGGTGATCTGGCTGTTCATGACCAGTCTTTATACTACGTTTCGGTTGATATTGCTTGACAATCCAATAGAAAGTGAGAGTTTTATCATTTTCAACATCGGAATATGCTACCTTGTACCATGCAGACACCTTTTTTTGTATTGCTTCACTATTGAAACGTTTCTTCTCGTCAACATCCTTTCCAGGAAATACTCTAATGAATTCATCTCTAAATGAATCTTGAATTTCGTGATAGGATTTCTTTAGTTCATCAATAATCAACTTGGTGTAACGCATCGAGTTGATTGTCTCTTTGATGAATTCAATAATGATATCCTCCTCACGATCAATATCATATCTGGTCAACAGAGAATTGATTGCAAACTTATAACGAGTATAAGTTTTCTTGGCATCGGCCAAGTACTCTTGATATCCATCCACAAGAAGTCCTTCATCAACAAAGGTGTCAGGAATGTATCTGGGAATGGCTTTAAGTGGTACTGAGATTTGGTAAAGTTTTCCCAAGATTTTGTGCGAGACCCAATAGTTTTTCTTTGGCATTGAACTCTCCATAAAGTTTGGATACAACTTGAAATAATTAAGATGTTTCTTTACTATATCTGGTACCTTACCGTTAACTCCAGTTTTGAATGCATCGACCTCAATGAAATGTTGGATGGCAAGCTCAATGGCTAGTGGATGAGTCGGTGAGAACTTGTCACAAATCGCCAGATGACTGAGTGCAATCTTTCCAAGTGAACCACGTGTAATATTGGTAATGTATTGTTTAACCAACTGTTTGTGAGATCCATCGTATGGTGGTTCCACTTTGGTATTGGCTGACTCATCTCCGAGAAAAGGTGGCTCGGGAGTGATAAATTTAACCATGGTCTGGTCAAAACCAACAAAGTAACGATCTCCGTCCAAATCACTACCTGAGCACTGTTTGAAATTAGGGACTTCACCGTTCTGAGAGAATGCAATCACATCAACATAGCAATTTCTGAGTTCTGGTACATCGACAGCTGTCAGCACTCTGATATCACCTGGATGCAAACAAGGATTCTTACAAACAAACACTTGGCCTGTAATTACTTTTCTCGAGATATGACCATCCTCCTCATCAATTGAGATTTGTAGGAATACTTCGTCAGGACCAAGAATTCCAGATTCATCTGAGACGCCAAGAACTGTCCGAGCAGAATCGATTTCTATCATACATTTATCTTTGATTTGATCGAGTTTCTTTAGATAACACAATTGGAGAGATGAGCAAATCAATGGATCGTTGGCAGCTAAATCGAGTTCATCAAATGCTTCATCGATACTCGATAGTTCATGCATAATATGTCGACGTACCGATTCATCATTGAAAATGTGAGCAAGTTTATCGAGAGCAGCTTGTTGCAGCGACAAGAAGAATCCATCCAGCACACCGAGACCAACCAACAAATTGATGATCTGACGATTGAGATTACATGCTTTCTTACTACTGACACTTATCACCTCAAGAGTTCTATTGTAAGCGTGCTCATCAGTTGTATTGAACTTTCTCATCGATTTCCTAAGATATATACCACGTCTAATAGAATGATGAACTGAGACTACTCCCTTATTACCGCCGATTCTAATTTGATAGGCAGAAGTATCCTGAGGGAAATTACCAGCAATCGCTATTTCTCTTGCTGTTTCAATACCAACATATCCCTAATGTAATTAATTATCAGTTTAATATTAATATTGAGTTTTTATTATTTTTTAATAAACAAAATAGTAAGCTACTTACACATCCTTCAGTAAAGTTATGATCATTTCTAACTATATCATCTAAACCTTCATGATATTCATGTGGAGGAATTCTAATGGTTGGAATGGTAGATGGAAAAACAAGAGACATTGCACGCAATGCTTTTCTTGCTGACCAACTGCTATCGGTTTTACCAATCATCGCTTCACGAATCTCCTTTAGACGACTCTCTTTATTTACTCCCTCCTCTACACAATAGAACCACGATTGATAATTTCTGACTTGTGATGAACTCGAACCCAAGAAATAGAATGTTCCCATCTCTGGAACGTTGATACCATTCAGCAGAATATGGCTATAGAATGGCAGTAGGAAATCTTGATATTCAATACGGATTTGTAGATCCTCCTCTGTGAATTGAACCGACATGAATCGCTCCGAAGGAAACTGACGGATACATCTGTTTCCAAGTTGAATTCTTGGAAGATTTAGAATCACTCTTGTCGGTGTAATGTAGGCACTCTTTACCATGAAATGGTGCTCTGGAATTTCATTCTCGAAATTCTCTTCTAAACTGGAAATATCCATTTTGATAAGGTTTTGATAGTTTTCAAACTCTTGACAATCGATTGCTCTCTGTATCATATACAATGCAGCAAATCTCCTATCTTTAACCACTAAATTAGTCACATATTCAAAGAATTCTTTTGGAACATTATTCTTTCCAAATCCTGTTTTAGAATTGCTAAACAAAAATAAAAACATTAATAAAAAATTTAGACAAATAGATTTGAATAATTACTAGTATTTACCTTTTAAGTACTGCAAATAAATAAGATATTTCAAAATCTTTTAATATGATTGTCGGATTGGTTGGAATGCTACTACTAAGATTGCCAGAAGTTATTAATTTAGGTTGTTTGTTATTGTAATGTTGAGATGATGATGATGTTGCCGTTTTAATTGATGCCAAATAGTATGGTATATTCATTAACGTAATCAATTGATCAAGTTGATGTGGTTCAAGATTGATACGATAGACAAAACAACGACTGAGGAATGGATAAGCACAAGAACTATATCTCATATCGATACGTTCGTCTTCATTATCATCGAAATCAATATTGACGGCAATGGGTGGACGTCTCACAACAAGATAGAATGATCGTTGCTGTTTCTTGTCTGGATCACAATCGTAGAGTGCAAAACTCTCGATATTTTCATTCAAGAAAATTAGAGTTGGCCCCGATGAATATGGATTGGACTCTTCGAAGAAAGTGATTTCCAACTGTCTTTCATTGCCATAGAATATCACTGCCCATGTGAATAGTATCTCGGATTTGTAGGTGGTCGGATCAACAAAGTTGCCAGCGGAAAAAGATGCCAGAGTACGGAAACAAGGTTGATTCTCATCTTTCTTTGGAACGGGCAGTTGAAGAACCACCGGACGTGTAACTTTAGCCCACCAACCTTTCACACTGTAGATGGCTTTGAACAATGTACTCAAGCTAGCTTCCAACTCTGCTTTCTCTTCATCCGTTCCACCCCCACCATCTTCGAATCCAATTCCAACTAGTAGATAGTTGGTCAGATAGTTTCTAGATTCCTGAGCTGCTTTCTCCCTTCGAACATCCAGGATATTGGATCTCAAAGACAACCTAAGCAGCTTCTCCAACTCTACAGGTGAGTTATAGAATGAGAGATATGCTTCCTGTCGGTTTCCAAGTGGTTGGAATCTGTTGGCAACAAGCGACCAATCATCAACCATCGAATAGGTAACCTCTTCATTCGACGACTTGTCTTGATGCATGATTTCCGTGATGACTTGGTTGAGTAGTGCTTCCGATCTACGCAAAATATCCATCTTGTTGACCTCCTCATGAGATTTAACATACCAAAACTCTCCTTCTTCTTTGTTTCTTGCACGTCCTCTTCGCTGGATCATTGATCTCATATCCAAATCATCGTCAAAACAGAGAACGAAATTACATGTATTAACATCGATTCCTTCCTCCAACACACTGGTTGCAACCAGTAGCTTTGATTGACCTTCTCTAAACTTCACCATGATTCTCTCTTGTTTCTCAGAGTCCATTCCATCCTCACCATTGTGTCCAACAATGATTTTCGCATTGACTTTTGAATTGATTGGTTCTTTCTTTAACATATGAACCAATGAACGAGATGTAGATCTCTTCTTCACAAAGATAATACCACGAAAATTAATAACTTTCTCTTCGCTGTCGAGCTTCTCTGTTAGTTTCTCAACAACTCTTTGGTATCTCGATGAATTCACTACTCGCTTTCCTCCCTTTTCAACGACAAGGTTATGCAACTCCTCAATGAAATCTCTTGAACGACCTTCTTGAATTGCAGTACTGGCCAGATCATTCTCGAGATAATTCAGGAATTGATTGAATCCTTCGACACCGGTGACCATCAGCCATTCAAAGATTCTAAGAATATCACCCAATTCATTGGAGACTTTGAGATCATTATGGACTGTCCAAGTATAGAATTGTTTTAGGTTGCTTCTAAACGATGGGTGATTATTATCTGACAACTCCATTCCTTTCAAAAAGTAATTGCTTTCCATCATGATTGTCTTCAACCTCTCATTGATCTTTTCTTTTACCACCTTGAAACAATCCTTCTCCTCCTGCGTCAGAGTGAATACCAGTTGATTGGATTCCAAATTAATGGTTGGTGGTAGATTCGGACGGAATACACTAGATGCAAGCACCTTCTCCATCTTCATGATATTCCCAGTGATCTTTATCCTATCTTCACCACTGGATGGACTTGCAGATAATCCAAGAATTCTCGGGTATAATTTGGCCTCCATTTCTTTGTAGTGTGTCATTACTTTCGTGTAGGAATGATCGCCAGTCGCATGATGAACTTCATCAAATATAATCGTATGGAAATCACTGATACATAGCTTACGAGTGTTGAACAAATTGATAATGGAATCACATGTTGCCACAATGATATCGGGTCGTTTAGATTGCACTTTAAAATTGATCTTACGGTCAGACAATCGGTTCTCACTATTCAACTTTAAAACAGTCAATGTTGAATTGTGTTTTTTGATTGCTTTCTCTTGTTGTTCAACTAATGGATTGGTATTTACGGTGAACAACACCATTCTCTTATGATTCCCCGCTTGTTGTTCCGGTGTCCATTGATTCACTGCAACCATCTGTTGAATCAACATGATAGCTACCAATGTTTTACCAAGTCCAGTTGGTATCACCAATAGAGTATTCTTCTTAATGGCTCGTGCCAATGATTCTATTTGATATTCTCGCGGTTTTATTCCACGTGTCTTCAATTGATCTACATTGATCCTCTCGGGATATCTTGTTTGTTGATAAGTCAACGGTTGTTTAGGTAGATCCTCTTGATCGACGTCGTCTGAATCCGAATCGATTTGATCACCTTGAAATTCAGGTGAATTCATATCGTATGACTTGATTAGACTTCCATTGGTTGCGGATTCAACGATGAGTTGCCAAGTTCTCTTCTTTGGATAGGTGATGTCCAAGTGACTCTTACCCAGCGCAGTACACTCACGATCGAAACTATAGAGATTACTGCCATCCGGTTTCTTTGCTAGTATTTCATTACCAATTGCCATCTTACACTTTGAACAGAACGTCTTGTTTTTACAGAATTTGTTTGGTTTGTGGCTTGGTGCTAGATACCATGAAGTGGCAACATCAGGTGTTTCAAATGTAGCCAAATGATATCCACCATTTCCTTCCTGAAACAAATACAAACTTGAATAAGGAAGTATTGCTTCTGCACAATCCTTACCTCTGCAAAATAGATAATCTTGTTGAACAAGAATATCTAATACTTGATCCATAACTCGTTGGAAATATACAATATAGAAAGAATTAAGAGATACCAAGAAGTTAACTATTTCTAAATATTTAGGTATAAAGTTAGTCAATTTTGATTGATTAAATTTAAATTTACAACTTAAATAAATAGATAATATTAAATAATATTTATATATACATACTGACAGTTATATAATTTTACAAAAATGATTATGATTAAAAGATATATTTTTTATTTGTATTAACACAACAAAGATAAATGCTTTTTATAAGCAACAACATTATAATAAAGATTTATATTGGTATAAACAATGCATTGCGAACCAACTTGTTGATGAACTTAAAGGTTTAAGTTATTAAAGTTTCAACCATTGTTTATTAAAAAAATTTAGTTGTGTGAATAAAAATTGAAAACTTGGTGAAAAATAAATGAAAAACTACCTCTTTTGGTTTAATGATCCACAAAAAAATCATGTACATTTTCTAAAGTTTGGTGAAAATCTAACTTTGAGATATTCAAAGTTGTCAGATCGTTCTTCAGACAGATATTCGAGGTAGTAAAAGAACAATATACCAGAGTGTTGGATGTTGATTTATAGTTATTAAAAACTCTTGAACTAATTCATCATTATTACAACTGTCAGTATCATCATAATATTCTTCATGTTCTTCTTCAACATTCAAATATGGAAAACAGTATCTAATGTCTAGCTTTGTAAATGTTTTGTTTGACGCCAACATTTGGGTGATTGGAAGTAAATCTTGGCTACCAATTTGATAGAATCTAAGATGTTTGATTGCTAGCAATCTTTTCTATTGTTTCACATCCAAACAAACCAAGAGGAGTTGCACATTTGAAATACTGAATTCTCTGTTGTTTGAGGATCGACTTTAACAATTTGATACCACGAAATCTGATAGGTGACCAATTTCAATTCGACTGAGTGATTCAAACGTAAAGAGTTGAGTATATTTGAAATGCTTTAAGCTGTCACACAAACTGATCTTAATCGTTGGTAGTTGTTTGATGATGTCTTTTACTAGTTTCATCCCACCGGTACTGAGAAAAAGAACTTCTGACTTGCCAAACTTTGAAATGAATTTCAAGACCTCCAAGTCATATTTATTGGTACCGTTTTCAAACATATATTATCCATTTAAATATAATTGCTTAACATTGTTAAATCTATAGATTGATTTCTGTTTTGAAAGATTTACAATCGATTGCTTTATCTTTTCATCTCCATATTTCGTAATATTACAATTAACTTTAATAGATTGGTGGCAACACAACGCAATATAATTTCAAACCAATCTTTACAAACCAATACAATGTCAATTGCATTATTTGATTGGATATATTGAACAGGTTCGTATAAATGTTGAAATAGATCAAAACTAATGATAATAGTTTGAATTATTTTTGACTTTAGTATTCTATTATCATTATTATTATTACTACTACTTTGATAAGACATGTTAGTTTTGTAATTACAAAAATTGTAAATTATTCACTTTAGGGTGTAGTGTTAAAATAAAAGATATAGAAAAAGTAACGACCATCTTCTCCTCTATTCTCTCAAAATTTATTGATATAATAAAATATAATACTAAAATATAATAGATTTATATAAATTTGTTTTATAGTATGTTAATGATTACATTTATTTTATTATTATTATTATTTTATTTGGCTGGTGTTGGTGTTTCGTATAAAAATTCATCTTGATACTCTTGAAGATATTTGACTGAACGTTTTACATCTACAAACAAATCGTAAACTCTCTTGATGTCGCTCACTGAAACTTCGGTTGCTTTACGCTTCGCTGCGACCAGCGATGCAGAGGTGATCAAGTGGATCGAGTAACGCAGTGATGTTTCCAGTCCGATCTTGGTGAGCAGGGTGAGTGCGTCGTCAGCAATGTCGACGTCTTCCTCCTCGCAACGGATCTTGAGAATCTTGTGAATGTCCTTCTCGGTGTAAGGCGATGTATTTATAATCAACAAACGATCCAAAAGATCCACTGGAATACCGTGTGGCGCTTTGTACGAGGTGCCACGAATCGTTGTGATACCACGATTGGTAGCCATAATCAAGATTGGTGCCATGTCGTCCTCGAGTGCACGATTCAAAAACGAGAAACACTCGATGTCCAACATGTGAACCTCGTCGATAAAGAGAACGCCCGGCACGATCTCTGCTTTACCCTCCTCTTTCCAGTCGGCGACCTTCTGGTTGATCTGCTCACGCACCTCCGCCTTGATCTCACCGATGTCACCAGCAAACAACGCAAAGAATCCCTGTGCTCGCGAGTTGATAACGTCGATCTCGTGTAGCGACACGGTGTGTGTTTGTTTCTTACGCTTCTGAATCTCGCCCTCGGGACACTCGATAAAGTTGACTTTGGCGCCACTCACCTCGTGGTCGCGTAGACGCGAGATTGAACGACCGAGACGTGTTACCTTTCCACTTGCCTTGTCGATACGAATGATATCGCCAGCCGAGATCTTCTCCTTGACGAGCTCATCGATCATCTTGGCACCCAAGTCGTAGAGAGCATCCATCGATGTTGTCTTCAATGTAAGTTTACCGACTTTCTGTGCACCGGTAGTCGATCGCTCGATTACGATATCGACGACTTCACCCTCGATTATCTCTGTCTCCTCTTTGATACGAACACCGATCGAACGACGGAATGCCTGAGTCAACGCTTCAGTCTTGGACATCTCCAACGAGAAGATCTCACTCGCAGCGATAGCGGTGAACGGTGTCTCCGAGCCGAGTGACTGTGCCATACCCATAGCGATGGCAGTCTTACCAGTGCCTGGTTCACCACCGATGAGAACAGCACGTCCGGCAATCTTACCCTCTTTGATCATCTGAACGATCAGACCAGCTGCCTTTCTAGCATTGATCTGACCAACCATACCCTGACTTACTTCACGCGGTTCTAACGAATCATCTATACCCAAACCTCTAATATGAGAATGTGCTCCAATTCTCTCTATTCTTGTAATATCTTTTACTTCTCCTATTTTCTGTAGATTTGACTATAATAAAGTTAACCATTTTTACAATTAGCATTGAATGTACCTTTTTTATGTATTTATAATGATTAATTTAAACATACCATTTTTTTGTTATATAATGATAATAGACTAGATTGTTATAAAATTGATAAAAACGAATAGATTCTGTCTGTTTTGGTATTAAAAAAAAATAAAAAAGTATATAATAAATAGATATGATATCAAAAGTAAGATATTGATATTTTAACAATATTAATTGATTATGTTGAATACAAAGTAGTTAAACAATTCGTATTAAAGGAATGAATAATTATATTTATCCGTTGAACTTAACGTTACAAATTTAAATCGAAAATTAAATAATTTTTAAAAACTATTTTTCAAAATAAATTTAAATGCATAATTATTTAAAAATTTTTAATTATTATTATTATTATTAATGATTCAAACCCTTAATAAACAAATAAAAATATAATGATTAGATCTCTGTCTGGTTTGGAGATCTTATACTTTGATATTTGAGCCAAATATTAAGATATATAAAACTTGATATCCCACCAGTCAAGTAAATTGATCAATTTTCTTTCATTAATTAGTTATTGGTGATTGCTGCTATGACAACTCCTTTTTAGTTATTGTAATAACAACTTCATTACTATTTTCGTATTTTCAAGAAAATTGTGTGGAATCCAAACGAACAAGTTTTTTTAATTTTTGCTAAAAGTTTGGTGGGAAGTTTCAAACGATCCCCCTATAATGATAGTATTGACTCACATTATTCTGACTCATCAATTCCGATAATCTATAGAAACATAAATCATCATTATCATTCTAAATATTTATCATATTATGTTTATTTATATAGTAAAATAAGTAAATAAGAATAGAATAGATAATCATAGAAAATAAGAAAAAACGATGAAACAAATGGAATCTTTCAGTGAATGTATATACTATTGTGTATATTGTATTGCTTTCAATACATTCTCGCTGATTCTTAGATCGTATGATCTGATGGTGATGATACGTGCTCGTTGTATCTACCTACTCTATAGTTTCGTCTATACGCTGATGGGAGTGCTCGGTGGTGTCAGTTCAGATCGATTCTCTTGCGATCACATACTGTCTAGAATGTCGGCAGAGTGTTTCGATGTGCCTCATCATCTGGCGGTGATCATCGACATTAACCACGCGGATTTCTCAAAGATCGTTGACATCCTAGCTTGGTCGGTGATCGCTGGCATCCAAAGAATCACCATCTTTGAGAATACAGGTATACTTAAACAACATATCGATACCATACAATCAATGTTGGAGCAACGTAAACTAACATCAAAATCAACAACATCATCAACTAAACAACAAAATGAAATATATACATATCATTGGTTAAATAAATTAACTTCAACAACAAACAATAATAATAGTAACACTAAAACAACAGATAATAATAAACCATTTGAAATATCGATTGTTTCAAATGAAGATGGTAAAATGGAATTGGTAAACATTACCAAGAAATATACGATCGATCGTAAATCGAATTCATCATTACAGTTGGATTCAAACTATATACAAGCTAATCTGCCTATTCACATCGGGGGTGCCGACAACGAACCACAAATAGCAATGGATTTTACAGAGAGAAATATTTTAAATGGTTTTTTACCATGGCATATTAAACTTACTGAATTTATGTATGTATTATATGCTCTTTTATAATGATTGATAATATATATGTTTTTAGTTCTAACCATGGTTACTCTTTTAAAATATTATAGAAAAGTAGATAATTTCAATCAATTGTATTTAGATAAATATTTAAATATATTAAAATCATATGGTAGAATTGAAAAGCGTCTTGGAAAGTAATAATAGAACATCAATCAAATATCAATATAATAGTAAAAGTAAAAGTAGAATGTAACTTCTTATTTTATTTTATTTCCAATCCTTTTATTTGTACAAATAAACCAATTTGAAAGAAAGAAAGAAAGAATAATCTGAAAGATATAGATTGTTTGTTCATTTGTTTATATATGGTAATACAAATTAATAATATATAATATTATATATATATATATAAGTTTTTATTATGAATTGGAGGTTCGGTGTGAACCAGCTTGAACTCTTTTAGTGATCTCTTCGTATTTTTGAATGATATCTTTGGTATTTACAGATTTTCTAAGGAATGAAGGTGATTCTGGTTTTTGATTCTGGCTATTATTGATATTCTTTGTACTTCCACCGCCTTTGAGAAGGTTTTTAATTCTGTCTTGGATGGAAACATGTGATTTGTGTGGTGAGGTTGGTGCAGAGCTCGAAGAGGTCGGTGGTGAATGTGATTTCTTTGGTGGTGTAGCTACAAAAGGTGATGTCGATGGTGTTTTGGTTGGTGTTGAACTTGGTGTACATGTCGGTGTAGATTGTGTCGACGAGTGATTGGATACTGGTGTTGTTATTGATTTCGGTGAGGATGGTAAACTCGAGCTTGTCGGTGGTGCCAATGTAACAGTGATGAGATGTGGTGATGAGATTTGTTGTGTTCTGTTATTCACCGATACATTATCGTCTATCTTTTCTTTGGTTATATTAATTCTTAAACTATTTTTATCGATTGTATTGTGATTTGCTGTTGATGTTGTTGATGTTGTTGTTGTTTGTTGTGTTGCTGCATCTGCTGCTGTTTGTGATATTGATTTTGAAGTAGATAATGGTGGTTCTTTATCATACTCTGGATTCCAAGGTCTTGGAAAACTATAGTCGGTTTGTATGAGTAAAGGACTGGTTGGTGATTTATATTCTTCAGGTTGATAAGGTCGAGGAAATGATAGTAATTCTGAATCATGAAATGATACTACACTATCTGCAAATATATATTGTTGTTGTGGTTGTTGTTGTTCTTGTATTTCTTGTTCCTGTTGTTGTTGTTGTTGCTGTAAAAGTAATTGTTCTTGTATTTCTTGTTCTTGTTGTTCTAGTTGTTGTTGTAAGAGTAGTTGTTCTTCCTCTTCAATTTGTTGCTGTTCAAAGTATCGATCTGCTTGTAGTTGTTTCTGAAGCTGTAATTCCTCTTCGATTTCTTCGTCGGTTGGTTGATATGGACGAGGGAATGAAAAGCCAGAGGGTGAAGTTGAAAGTGGTGCTGAAATAGGTGCTGATGATCCCAAAGATGAACTTGGACTACCTTGATACGGACGAGGAAATGTAAATTTAGTGGATGGTGATGATGAAATTACTGTTGTTGTTTCATTGTTGTTGTTGTTATTGGATGATGCTGATGATACATATGGTCTTGGGAAAGAATTGAGTGAGTTGTTTAGCGATGTCTTAAAGAGTGGAAGTTCTTTGTTGGATCCATTCAGAGTTGAAGGAGCAACGGGTTGTACAAATGGTCGTGGGAAAGATTGATCTTTGGAGATCTGCGCCATTGTCAACTCTGGTGGCTGGAATGTTCGCAGTGGTGGATAGTCGACGTCCTGGCCGATATCTTTGAGATTTTCGAGCAAATAGATCAACGCCTGTTCAATCTTCTCAAAGGTTGGACGTAGCTGTGGCTTCTCACGACAACACATGAATATCAACTCGAGTATTTCATTTGGGCATCCTTCTTTGGCGCGAGATTTCACGTAGGGCTGGTCGATTCCGAGATTCTCGTTACGGATGCGCGGCGTCAGTCGCAGTCGGGTGACCAACTCGATCAGCACAATGCCAAACGAGAAAACATCACATGATTTATCGTACGATTCGCCGAGTAACACTTCCGGCGCCATCCAATCGTCGGTTCCGCAGATGGTCATCTGCGACTTGGCAGACAAGTCGACTTTTCGCGCCAGTCCAAAGTCACACACCTTGATCACCCAATTCTCAGCGACTAACAAGTTTGTTGATTTCAAATCACGATGTACCACATTGTTGTTGTGTAGATATACCATCGATGAAGCTATGTCTTTGGCGATCAGCAATACGAGTCGCCACGACATTTTGATGTCGAGATTCTTGATGTACCAATGTAGATCGCCGCCAGCAACCAACTCTGTCAACAAGAAGAACGATCGCTCCTTCTCAGCGATACCATAGAATTGAATGACATTGGGATGCGATATCATCTTGAGCGAGGCAATCTCTCTCTCTATGAATTTCAAGAGAGTATCTTTATTGGGGTCGTTCTCATAGATTGTCATTTTCTTTATGCCAATCTTCTTGCCATTTAGATATCCAACGAAAACCTTTCCAAATCCACCTGAACCCATCACCTGATTGTCAAATTTTATCTCTGAGTAATCGATAGTTCTCGAAAGTCTCTTTCCTCCATTTTTTATTTTGTAACATAGACATTTGACAATAATAATAATAATAATAATATTAAATGGATAACTATATTGATTTGATTATTATTATTATTATTTGATCAAAATCAAATCAACTTTAAATGTATATAAATATATATGAATATATAATTATTATTAGTTAAACTAATAATCAATTTGTAACTGTTTGAATCTGAAATCTGAATACAACAAACTATGACAATAACAAGTTGTACTTCTTTGCTCTATCTTGTACTTCGATTTGCTTTGCTTTGTTTTCTATGTTCAGTTTTTGGTTGTTATTGAAAATCTATATTAGCTAATTAATTGTTGTTGTTGCTATTTTTATTGATAATGACTTATAAAAATGAATATGAATGACTAAATATTAATAGCTATCCTATTCATACTATTCTTGACACTAACTACACATATAAACAAAAGTTTTTGATAATATTATTGTTGAACGACTTTTAATTAATTTTAAATTTAAATATTGATAAATAAATAAAAATATAAAATTTATTGTGTGTTGTTTATTTGTTGTTATTGTTTTTTCTTTTTTGTCTATGTATGTATGTTATGTGGTTTGAATAGCTAGTTGAGTTTTTGATGTTGTTGTTATTTTGTGTTTGTGTATGTTTTTGGTGTTGATTGTCCTGGGTGAGAGAGGGTGTATGTGTTTATATTATTTTACACATTCACATACACAACAACACATAAACACTTGTTTATATAAATCTAGATTTGAAAATTAATTAAAAAGAAATTGTTGTAATCCTGTTGGAGGTGGTTATTTTTTAATTTTTTCAAAATTTAAATTTTTTTAGCTGTTGAGATTTTCAAAATGATTTTTTCATTTTTATTTTTAGGTGTTTTGGGATCAGTAATGATTCAACATTATCGATCTTTGAATTTTCATTGGGTGATGGGGCAAAAAAAATCATACATATGGGTGTGTGCAATTTCGATTTCTTCAATGAAATAATATTTTTATCAATTAATTAATTAATATACATAATTTGAAGAAGAAAAGACCATTCTTACGAGAAGCTAATGATTTCTTTTTTTTAAAGTTATTATTACAAGTTTTTTTATTTAGCTATTGATTACTAAAAGAAAAAGGTTATGGAGTAGAGTTACTATGCTTTGACATGGTTTGATTTTTTTAAAGGCGTAATGTTAAATATTGAAAAGATAAACAAAAGGAAAAGGGGAGGGAGGGAGTTTGATTTTTTACTATGTATAATGGAGGTGTTTTGTTTTGTTTGTTTTGTTTATGAGGATGGAATGATGAGGTTGGATTGGATGGATGATGAGTGAGAGTGTTGTTGAGTGCTGATGTGTTGTGGATTCCAAACTCTGATGTTGGAAACTTGGCAGCTTATCTCAAGAATTGAGTTCTCTTGTGGAAGATTGGAGAGTCCAGATATGTTACCGATCGACTCTGATGGCAGTAACAAACCAATGGTTAGGGGTGACGATGGATTGGAATTCAAAATGGACTCTGTTGTCTGGGTGAGGTTGTTCGAGATGATTCTTGGTTGGTCGGAACAGACGATATAAGACGAGTGGATTGGACCGTCTTGTACCAAGTGTCCGGACGATGCAACCAAATTGAAATCAGACTCGGTGTCACCAGAGAGGATTCTTGGTGACGATGGAACCACACGCAGTGGCGAGTCGACAACGAGCCTGGTGGGAGGATCCGATGGTCGATCGGTGTCGCTCTGGTCTTCTTCCAGTGGTATGATTCTGATTCGTTTCTTGTTGTGTGTTGCAGGACTATTGTTGTCGTTGACGATGGTTGCCGGTGACTCTAGGTTTCGCTTCTTGTTACCGGAGCCGCTCGACAGTACCAGACTGGATTCAGAGGAAGGTGTCGGAGACTGTGGTGGTGTTATAAACAGTGTGTCGTCGCTAGGTACTACTTCGTCGTCGTCTACGTTGGTCATGGAGAGGTAAAGATCAGAGTTGGCGTTGTTGTTGTTGCTATTGGAGAGTGCTCTTCTTGTGTTGACAAGTGAGTTGGAATTGGTGGTAAAAGTTGGTTGGCTTTGTTGTTGTGGATTCAAAAAGATTCCAATTGAGAAAATGATAATCAATAAGCAGACACCGGCGGCCTTGGCGTTCTTGGTTCTCATTGACTCGTGTTGTTGTAGTTGATTCGAAATTTCTGGGTTGGTCGAAGCGAATTGCTTGATGATACCTTGCAAATAGAGGACTTCATCACGCAACGATCCGTTTTCAGTTGTGAGATCGCCAATCTTCTTCTCCAAATCCTCAATGTAGATCTTCTTTCTCATTCTTGAGAGTTGTGCACTCTCACGATTCTTTATGAGGCGACGTTGTTTCTTGACTTGTCTCTCATCGGCCAAACAAGTTGTTGGTGTATCTTCAATTCTAACTGGTTCCTTTCCAGTTAATTTTAATAGTTCTTCTCTTGTCAATGGGTGGACAACTAAAAATAATAATAAGTATATTAGTTTCCAACTTTTTTAGTTTGAAAAAGTTGCAACTTACGATTTTGAACACGGCTATTATTCTCAATTGCTCTCTTCTTTTGTTTGTTGGATTGGATTGGTGAGGAAGCTTCACGCTCTCCACTCGATGAGTTGATAGATTCTTCGGTGACAGGCGAGGAGAGTTCATCGATGGGACTGGACGACATGAATTGGTTGGTGGTATCACACAAGTATCCTGTGCTCTGGTCGATTTCTTCTTTGATTGTGAGGTGGCTGTCTGGTGTAATTAACTTAAAGTCTTCGATTTGCACTGGGAATTCTGGAAGTCCGTTGGATGGATCCATGCTGTGGTGGTGTGAAATCATATGATCGTTGGCAGTGGCAAATGAGTAGGCGTCAAACTGGTTGGTATCTACTATATAGCAGTTGTTGTTGTTGATGTTATCGGTATGGTTTGGGCTGTGCTCTGGTGAGGTCATTGAGTGATGTGATTCGAATGGTGATGAATTTGGAACGACCAGTGGTGAGCTTGGATGTGAGTGTGGCGATGACAATAAATTGTGCTCGCCTGTGTGAATGGGTGATTCACCACTGCTAATCATACTGATGTCCTCCGAGAGGAAATAGTTGACGAGTGAATCATCATCAAACAAACTGTTCATATTGTTATTGTTGTTGTTGTTGTTGTTGCTAGCGCACTGCTGATGCTGTTCCATCACAGCCAAATCAACAGCGTTAGTATCTATGATTGTATCCATTGTTTATGAATGTGTTTTGTTTTCTGTGTCTAAAAAAAAATGAATGATAATAAATAAATAGACTATATATTATTTATATATATTTAATTTTTGTTTTAAAAAAATTGGGAAAAAAAGGTTAAGATTAGTTTGATTTAGTTAAATATAAATAACTTTATATTTTTTATAATATTTTAATAGATATAAATATATATAATATTAAATGAATATTAAAATGGTTTTATAAAAGAAAAACTCTAAGAGTAATATAACTTGGCGGGATTAATAATAATGTGGAATTGGATATATGGATATTATTTATGGATTATTTATGAATTGTGGATATTACAATTATGTAATGTGTGGCAACAAGATATAAGTGCGGCGGAATAAAAGTAAGTGAAATAAACAAATAATTTAAAAATTCTTTTATTTTATTATCTGTTTACAATACAATGAATGGATTGGATTGGGTTGTTATTAACAAGTAACCTTTGATTTAAATCAAAATGTATGAAAAAAGATAGTATTCATTAATTAAAATTTTAATAACAGCAACAACACTATTCTGATGGTAGTAGTGTAAGTGACACTATAAAATTTGATTATTTAAGCAGAAATAGCCCTTTTGTTGGGTTTTTGAACTTTTGAACATTGCACTCTCTACTTTCATAGTAGTAGTAACAGCAACAACAAAAGCATCAGAGTGCAGCGCTTAATATCAAACATCAGGTGCTTTTTTTAATAATATGCAATAGAATAAAAAAAACAAAAAAAAAAAAGAGTAAAAAACCAATTTTAAAAATAAACTATAGTTGGTTCAATGTTTAATTTCATTAATGTGATGTGTGTTGTTATTGTTTGTAGTTGATGTTGTTGATGTGATGTGATTCTGAATATAGGTCAGATGCATGCAAAATAACAGTGGTTCAAATGTTTGTTTCTTTTCTATTGCTAAATAAAATAAATAGTTTCAAATGAAAAAACCACTCAAAGCTCTGTGGTGGATTCAACAACTCATTTCAATGTGTGTCATGCTATTTTGACCACGAGTGGGTAGGTGGCTATTAATTAATTACCACCATTGTTGTTGTTATTGGTGTGGTGGTGTTTGTTATAGCAATAGATTGATTAGATAAGATAATGGAGAATGAATTACTCATATGTGGTATGAGTGGCTGAGTGAAGATACATATCAATATGGATATTAAAAACAAAAACAAAAAAAAAGATATGGAATTAGAATATTCACTTTTGATTCTATTGATTGTTTGATTGATTAATACAAAAATAAAATAAAATAAAGAGTGGATGGATTTCTAGAAATATTTGACTTTGAGTTTGTTTGTAATTATTGTTGTTGGCTTTCTTTGAGTGTTTGATTAAATTATTTGCATTCGTGTGTTTATTTTATTTTATTTTTTGTGAGCGCTCCACTAAAGGTATTTTGAATATATTTGTTGTTATTGTTGATGTTGATGTTGTTAAATATTTTTATTTTGTAACAACCATATAATCACGATTTTATATGATTGGAACCGTTAAGTCTACTGCCAGTCAACACATTTGTTTATTAATTTGTTAAAGGTGTGTTCCACAACAAATAAATAATCGTATTTTGAAAAAACTATGACCAAACAAAGCAATCAATATTAAACAACCTATAAACACACTAACACACATTTAATGTGCAACTATATTGGAAAATAACCACACCACAACAAACCACACCCACACAAACTTGAAAACTATAGTAGTGCTATGCATGTTGCCCAACAATCTCCTTTTGAATCTCTCCTTCAAACACACACTTTCATATATTCGATAATGAGGATCAGGCTAAGTTAAAAATGGCAATTGTGAGTTGTTGGGTTGACTCCATCATAACCTCCGTTTTTTTTTTTTTAATAAGGGTAGTAATATAATTATTGATGTGGAATGATCTTGTTGAAACTCTTTTGTAGAGTTATTTTGAAATACAACAACAAAAAAAGAATTAAATTGACATTAAAGGAGTGTGTTGTGTTATATGATTTTGTTGGATGTTTTTTTTTTATTTAATATATATTGGGTTTAACTATTAACTATTTTATGTTATCGTTATATATTATTATATTGATTATTGCAATGTAGCTAGCTTTAGTAGTAGTTCAAATAACTTTACTAAAATGATAAAAATAAAAACATGAACAAAACAAAGATAAGATAAATGGATAGAATAGGATCGATCCTATCTATATTATTGTTGATGTTGACTTTCTTTCTGTATGTTCTTTATCTATTTGATTTATATTTTGAACCCAATTACTTTATCTATTCATCTACAAAAATTGTATATCTCTACGACCAGCCAAAATAGTATTTCATAAAATATACGACCACACCTAATATTTGAATATTATAATGACTAAAATCTAATCTAATCTATATTTTGTTTATATATGTTATCATCACTACTTTTACTATTGTTATTGTTATTATTTTTTATTATTGTTGTTTGTTTTATCTAACTACTACTAAGCCAACTATTTTTATTTATTTATTTAAACTATTAACTATCTATATGCTATATGTTATTGATTGATTGATAATTGAATGATAATGTGATTTGAATAAAGTTATTTTTACAAAAGTAACAAATAAAATTAAAATAAAATAAAATAAAAAGCTAAACTACAAAGGCTGAATGAAGCATAACTTTCTTTATTTCTTGATAAACCATTTTATAATTCATATTTTATATCTATTTATATCTAATTTTTTAACTTTTAATTTAATTTATAATACATACCTATTTAACAAACTTTACTTGACACAGTTTTAAAAGTAAAGTTTAAAATCTATTATTTATTATTACTATTATTTTTAGTGCTAAAGTTGGTTGAATTAGTTAGTTATTCTTTCGATTCTGTATGAATTTGTTGTTGATGTTGATAATTAAAAACATGAGGAAAACAAAAAAAAAAAACATAAAAATCAAATCCAATATAATTCTTCTAAAGCCTGTTCCTTCTAATTTTTTTTTTATTTTTTTTTTGATATTTGTAATTTTTTTTTTATTGTCGATGTTATGTGTTGTTTTTGCTTTTTTGAGGGAATTATTTTTTAAGTTGGATCAAATTTCGATAAATATGGAAGAATTATGGAGGAAGTTGTTGTCCTAAGCTTCGTTTTGGTGATTTTTGATTTTTTGTTGAAAATCTTAGGTATAATGTTGATTTAATGAATTTTGATTTTGATTTTTCGAGGTTTTCACTCTTTTCGGAGTTGAAAAAGAGGAGGTTGAATAATCATATGTGGTAATGGAAAAGGTAATTACTTTTTTTTTACTTTTGTTACAAATCCTGCAAACCCAAAAAATAAAATCTTCAATCAATTAGATAACTCTCTGATTGAAATCCAAACGATATAGATATGATACTATGAATATGTAATTTTTAAACAAGTCCCTATATACAATCTTTATTTCTAATTCTAATTTGATTTATACTTGATTATTTTTATATATAAATATTGAATGTTGAACTCTTAAAAAAAAAAAATTAAATAACTAACTACTAATTTTAAATTGCTTAAAAAGTAAACAAAATAAAAATTGTTATTTTAGTTTATTTTTTAGTTAGTTAATTACAAAAACATTATATTCTTGAAAAAAAAGTATTAATAATATTACTAGTTATTATATTGATAAACATTAATTTTTTTCTAACACTTTTTTTTTTTTTTTTTTTTTTGCAAACCAATAAAAACATAGATGACAAAGCAGGTAAAAAAAAAAACCAACAAAATTTGTGAAAAAAATGAGATTTTTTGAATCATCAAGGTTTGGATGATTCACCAGCCACCATTCAAGTCAATTCCTGAGGAATTGGCAATGGAGTGTTCAAACTTTAAGCAAAAGCTAAACATATTTGTTTTATACATGACATATATTTATTTTAGTATAAATGATGATGTTCTTTAATTCCTGGGTCGTTTCAAAAAGGAAAGAAACCAGAACTTTCATCATTATCTGACCCAATAATAGCTAATCGATTATGTGATCACATGGTTTGTATTTTTTCATCAGTTTTTCAATGACTTTTCATTACGATCTTCACAAACAAAAAAGCAATAAAGAAAAAATAAAATAAAATAATAATGAACATTTATTTGTAAATAAATACGTTTTGTGTACATTGTCTTGGTTTATTTAGATAATAATTTCTTAATTAGTTCATCAGCTTTATCAAGATCAACATTAGATGGGTCTGATTCTGTGTCTTGATCTTTTGTCAATTCATGAAGAATAGATTTGTTGATCTCACCAACTCTTTGGGCTTCGATGTAGGGTGTAGTAGAGAATGAAATCAACTCATATCTCGAGATGTAACGTTGTGGGAATTTCTCTTCTAAAAGATGTTCTACTTTTTTCTTGCGTTGAAATAGTTTATCCATGACTTTATCACTCATCTCTACAAAGTTTTCAATCACCATCTCTGCAATTGCATCAGAGCTACTCTTGCGATTCACTTGGTATTGTTTGTATGCCTTTTCAAATACATTACGATCAAAAGTAATACCATTTGTAAAAGTATTACTATATACTATTCCATTTGTTTTTTGTTGTTGTTTTTCATTCATCTCTTTTAAACAATTATATAGGTCGAGTACATCTTCTAATGCAGCATTCATTCCTTGTCCGAAAAATGGAACGATAGCATGCGCAGCATCTCCAATAAGGGCTACATTCGATTGGTATGACCATGGATAGGTTTTAATTGTTACCAATGGAGTGGTTGGATTAGTTTCGAAATCTTCGTATAGATTGGTGAGTAATGGATGAACATCTGGAAATACTTCTTTGAAAAATTGATCTATTTTTTCATTACTACTTAGACTGCTGAAGCTATTGGATTCTCCTTCGAAAGGCATGAACAGCGTTAGAGTGAAACTACCATCCAAGTTGGGCAGCGCAATCATCATAAAGGAGCCACGAGGCCATATATGAAGACATTCTTTTTCTATTGCAAACTCACCGTTTGGTCCAGCCGGAATGAAAATCTCCTTATAAGCATGCGACATAAACGATTGTGAATATTCTTGACGTGGAAGTCTAATCATTTGATTGCGAACACTGGAATAGGCACCATCCGCTCCAATAATAGTGTTTGTTACAACTTTCTTTGATCTTCCTGTCTTGTTGTTTATCTTTGTAAAACTCTTTTCTTTAATATCAAAATCTTGACATCTGGTTTCGAAATGGAAATTCACTTGTTCACCAAAGTTTTTCTCTGCATAGCTATAAAATAACTCATTCAGCTGTTGTCGTGAAATGCTTCTCAGATAGTTGTCGGAATTCAAAGAGTATGGGAAATAGAGCCTTTCACCACTCACTAGATGGACCATACGACCTCTCATAGGAATAGATATGTTTTTTATCTCTTCGAATAAACCAATCTCTTTCAAAGTCTTTATACCTCGGGATGAAAGTGCCATGGTGAATACTTTCTCGGAAGCAACTGGAATTCTTGGTCTTTTCTCATAGACATTGATATTACTATATCCAGATTTACCCAAGAGAATAGCTAAAGCATTTCCTGCCAAGCCACCACCAGCAATTGAGATTGTTTCATTATTAATATCTTCCACTTCTAACATTTTTTTTTTAAGATTATTTATATAAAAAATAAGATAATTTTTTTAGAGATAATTTCTAATACAAAATTAATAAATTAAAATAATTATTATTTATATATATATTTAATTATATCAAACTTTTAACTTTAAGGAATATTATTTATTCGGTTTAATTGGCATAGGAATCGATAGATTATTTATATAAAATAACATTATTAAGGTTTGTTGTAGTATCTATCTATATCAAAGTATGTTAAACACTCTAAAGAAACGACTATAATAAAACTTATATTAATTGTAAAATCTTTAATGTTATTTTAAATAATGATATAAAGAAAATAGAAAGAATACATAACATTAAAGATAAGATTTCAGTTATAAAGATTATTAAAAAAAAGGATGGCTACACCTGTGTTGATGAATGATTTAAATTAAAAACATTCCAATTTTTTAAAAGATACATATGGATAAATTGAAATAAGTAAACAACGTGCTTATCTCATTTCTTTTTCTAAATAAAAAGAAAAGAAAACAAAAAGGATAACTGATAATAATATTTAATTTAAACCAAAAACGCAATCGTTGGTTGATTCAGATTTTATTTATTCTAATTGTCGAAATCAGTTATTATCTCCATGATAATATTATATTTTGTGGTGAGTGTGAGTGTGTGTGTATATTAAAAAAAATGATTACAACAACAATAATCATTCATTCATTATTTCAAAGGAGTTGTTTTGTTTTTGTTTTTGTATTTTTATGATGATAATGTTAAAATTGTAATACCAGCACCTAAAAACATAAATGAAATCAAGAGAACCAATAGATTCTTCATTCCTTGAATCTCTTTGAAGAAAAGTACACTCCAGAGTGATGAAACAACCATTGGACCGGACGATCCAATTGGGAAACCAATTACGTAACCAAGATTTTGAGTGGCGATCATTAGACCGACTTGAGCAATGCCCCACAACACACCAGAGATGAACGATGGCAAAATGGTTTGTGGATAGATTTGTGGTGGTCGTTTGAAAATACTGTAGACGATGAAAACGAGTGTGTTGAACAGGAAGATACCAGAGAAGTGACAGAATACGAATGACAGTGGATCGGCGTGTGGATTGTCTTGTTTCCAGAGTTGCATTGGCACCATGTTGACACCGTACAAGACACCCGAGACAATAGCGAGACCGACACCGACCAGCGTGTTGAAAGGAGGTGGTATTTTCTCAAAGATCATCTTCTCCTCTTCGTCCTCAACCGGTGCCTTGTAGTTGTTGATGGCAATGGAGTCGTCGACTATAGCCGAGTAGTCGTACTCGGAGCGACGATTCTTCTTCTTGTCGTTGCCGTTGTCCAGCGTTGGCTTAATGAAAAAGAAGAAGAGAATCGCACAAACAATACAACCGAAACCGATCCAATTCATAACGGGATGCGATACCTCTTGTTTCTGTAGACCGAACCATCCAAACTTTCCGGTGAAGAAACCAGTGATCAAACTGGAGCAAGACCACAATAACAATCCCAAACCCAAACCAATCGATTTCACGATGGGGATGACACAGAGATTACCGATAGCCCACAGAGAGCCACCCAACAATCCCCAAGGATCAAACATATACGATCCTGAAATGAACATTGCAACGTAAGCAGTACACAACGTTCCCATTGACATTACCCAAGCGAAAGCGAATCCATTACCAGTTGGAAAGTTCTTTGCTGGTACTAAATATAGTTATTCGATAGTGAATGTTAGAATAAAAGATAAGAAGATTAAGATGTAATGATATCATAGATTCTATATTGATACAAACCATAATTGGAACCAAAGAAAACAGAGGCAATGATTGCACCGATATAACCGGCGACTTGTGGACTGACCATTATATTATATTTTTATACTGTTGTTTATTCAATTTCAAATCTAAAGATATCTAGATACAAATCTATTTTTGTTTTTATTATAATAAAGAATGTAATATTACTGCTTTCTATTGTTTTTTTGAATATTTATATAAATTTTTGTACTTTTACTCGATTATATATATTTAATACTAATATTACTAATTATAAGTGTACTATTTCAATTTAACCAAATATATGTTATATGTGTTTGATTTGATAATAATTTTTAAAAAAAAAAAAGACAAAAAAACAACTTTCTATTCTTTTTTGTTTTTATTGGTTAACTTTATTATTTTTTCAACCACCACCTTTTTTTAATATAAATTATAGGTGTGTATTTATAAAAAAATCTGACTTTTGGGTGTTTTGTAATTACATGCACAATTCAACGGAATTATTATTCGATAAAAAAAAATATGTAAAAAATGAAAAATCAAAAAAATACACAAAAAAAATCAGTACCACAAGTTACCAGGCCAATGATACTTGAAAAGATCTTCTTTGGTATTGACAATTCATTCCATCAAAAAAATAAATAATTGATTGATTGATTGATCATTAAGAGAGTATGTTATTGTGTTATGAATGTTATTTATTTGTATGATTTGTTGTCGTTGTTTAGTGGTGTTTAGTTCTTCTTCTTAATTGGACCAATCATATCCTCTGGACGTACCCATTGGTCGAATTGCTCGCTTGATACGTAACCAAGAGTGAGACATGCCTCTTTGAGGGTGGTCTTTTCGGCGTGTGCCTTCTTGGCGGCCTTGGCAGCCTTGTCGTAACCGATGTATGGGTTGAGTGCGGTGACCAACATGAGTGATTCGTTCATCAATTGTGAGATACGCTTCTCGTCAGCTTGGATTCCGACGACGCAATTCTTGGTGAATGAAACGGCACCGTCTCCCAAAAGACGGATCGATTGCAAAAGGTTGGAGATCATCACTGGCTTGAAGACGTTCAACTCGAAATGTCCGTTGGATCCAGCGATTGAGATGGTGGTGTTGTTACCCATGACTTGTGCGCAGACCATGGTCAATGCTTCGCATTGAGTTGGGTTAACCTTACCTGGCATGATGGAGCTACCTGGCTCGTTCTCTGGGAGTAGCAACTCACCCAATCCACAACGTGGACCGGATCCGAGCAAACGGATATCGTTGGCGATCTTCATGAGCGAGACGGCGACGGTGTTGCAGGCACCACTGACCTCGACGATGGCGTCATGAGCAGCCAAAGCTTCAAACTTGTTTGGTGCGGTCTTGAATGGAATGTTGGTGAGACGCGAGACTTCCTCGGCGATGGCGACATCGAATCCAACTGGGGTGTTCAAACCGGTTCCGACAGCAGTACCACCCTGAGCCAATTGGTAGAGACGTGGCAATGTCGATTCGATACGGGCAATACCGTACTCGATTTGAGTGCAATATCCAGAGAACTCCTGGGCAAGAGTCAATGGGGTGGCGTCTTGCAAATGAGTTCTACCGATCTTGATGATGTGTCTGAAACTCTCTTCCTTCTTTCTCATCTCTGCCAACAACATCTTCAAACCTGGCAACAAACGTTGATTGATCTCCATAGCAGCGGCAATATGCATAGCAGTTGGGAAACTAACATATTATTATTATTATTATTGTTTTTTTAATTAGAAATCTATCTAATCTCTATTTCTTTCTATCCATTTACTTATAATACTTACGTATCATTTGAGGATTGTGATTTGTTGACATGATCATTTGGATGAACGGCCTTCTTTTGAGTTGAGAAATCTCTTTGGTGAGTCATCAATTCGATTGCTCTATTTGAAATAACCTCTGAAATCAATTATTTGATTAGTCTAATTTGTTGGCTTACCAATAATTATTTGTTATTCATATGATTAGTTACCATTGACATTCATGTTGGTTTGAGTACCGGAACCGGTTTGGTAAACGACCAATGGAAATTGATCATCTAGTTTACCAGAGATGACTTCATCGGCAGCCTTGACGATGTTGTCAGCGATGGTTGAATCAAGTCCGAATTGCTTGTTGACGATGGCAGCAGACTTTTTGAGGATACCGAAAGCTCTGATAACTGGGATTGGCATCTTTGCGGATGGTCCACCAATATCAAAGTTCTCCAATGAGCGTTGAGTTTGAGCACCCCAGTACTTGCTATCGTCAACCTTGATCTCACCAAAAGTATCGAATTCCGATCTATAAGTAGTCATTGCTCTAATAAATGTTTGATTTAAATTGGATTTCTATATAGAAAACAATAAATATATAATTGTTTGTTTTTCATTTAATTAAATCATATGATTGACCATGACATTTCATGTGATCAATTAAAAAAAAAAAAGCAACAATAATAATAATAAATTAATGATTCTGTTTTTTTTTTTTTTTGTTATTTTAATATGTTGACTTACCAAAGTGAGATTGGTAGCACTTTTGAATGAGGATAACATTATTATATCGGTTTTCTTAAAGATAAAAACACACACTGAATTTAAACAAAATGATCATTCTTAATGTCATATAATTAAAATTTTTTGAAATGAAATTTCTTTTTATTTTTTAAAATTTTTTTTTTAATCACCCAAACAAGACAACCAATTCCGAGTCACAAAAAATGATTTCAAAGTTATTATTCGTATATTATTATATTATTGAAAATAACTTTAATCAAAAATAATAAATATTTTTTTCATTTATCTGGTTTGTTTACTTTTCGACCTTATATATTTATGATTAAATAATAAAGTGGTGAAAGTGCGAAACCATCGATTTCGTTGTTGTCTTTGATCTAGGTCAAAACTAGGTTTTTCTTGAGTTTTTACCAATAGAATACATTTCTCCTTGGAAAATAAGCACTTATTATTAGAATCATTTTCAAATTAAAGAGCCCTGGATAATGTGTTTTTTTATTTTGAAAAATCAAAAATTATGAATGAAGAAAAATCAATAAAAAACAAGGGTCTGACACCTCATATAATACAATAAATTAACATTAATTTTTATTAAAAATATCTTTTGTTTTATTATAACCCTATGTCTTTTTTTATTTTTTTAATAATTTTTCAAAAAAAAAAACAACAAAAAAAATCTATAAAAGGATGGTAAGAGTGGTTTGGACAATGAATCATAATTCAAATTTGAACTTACCAAATTAAACAAATAACTTAAAATAAAACAACCAACAAACAAATATATATATTAGTAATTAATAATAACAAAAGTTAAAAGTTTATTGTATATTTTTCTTTTTTTTACAGATACACTTTAAAATATGTCAAATTCTAAATTTGAAGAGAATTATGTTTTATCAAGTGATAATAATGAGAGATTAACTCATTTGAATACTTTGATTGCTGGAAGTGTTGACTATTACTATTATAATTGTCTGCATTTACTTAATGTCGATCCATCGTTGGCTGACAAATCGAACAAATCACGCTTCGATCAACTTCTCAAAGACTGGACAAACGATCCATCGGCATTCGACTACAGTCTTCACAATGAAATCAGTAATCGTGCTCTCCTCCTTGGATACACCAAAGACAATTCCAATGCAGTGTTTGAATCGCTAAAGAATCAATTGTCATTGCAATTCCACTATGCTCCAACCTCTGCAACCACTGGTGGTGGTGATTCAAATAGTAACAACAACGCACCAACATATCCATCGAAATTGGATGAATCAAAAGTTGACAAGAAAGCAATCGTTAAACATATGTTGGAGACATATCCAAATGAACTGAGATTCGAACGCAATGCTATTCCCTACGTTGTTAACAACTACAAGTTGACAGCACAACAGATCAAAGCTGCACTCGGTCTCGTTTCATATCCAGTCTATGATAACATTGTCGAGTACATCTTGCAGTCCGATTTGCGTAGCAACAGCAGTCTCTTTAACAATCTGACATTGGCACATCTCGATAAGCTTTCATCATCCAAGCCAGATTTGGTTGACGCACGTTTCATCACCCTGTACATTAACAAATTGTTGCCATCACAAGAGGTCGTCTCCGACTGGAAGTCAGAGAGTGCACTCGGCGAGCAAACTTTCAAAACCGTATATGCCTACGTCAACAAACTACCGGCTACTTTCAATAGCGCCAAAATGAATGTTCTCCATCACTATCTTCAATTCCAAATCAAACAACAGAATCACTATGACTTGGAGAAGTTCAAACAGTACTGCCAGTTGCCACGTAGCACCTGGTACTACATCGAAACAACCACTGCTACCTCACAACCAGCAAACTTGGCACAATTCAGCAAGGACTATCTACACGAAACGATTCCAACGATCACCAGAGACGAGGATGAAGAGTTGCTCAAGAAATTCTTTAGAAAGATCTTCCAGACTGAGAAATCGATCGATGACTACCTCAAGTATTTCCGTCCGACCTTTTTGAAACCGTTGTTTGCCGAGGTGAAGCTGCTTGCCAATCAAGGTGAACTCGAGAAATGGTATCAGCTACTCGACCACACTGCAGTCCAGGAACTGAAGGAGCGTGTCGACATCTTATTCGATCCAGCAAATCCAACCTATTTCCACCCGGACGACGCCGTCATCATTAAATGCGCCATCAAGAACGTACAACATCTCTTAGTCAAGGTATTCGAGATCAATACTTACAACTACTACAAAGCGGAACAGAAACAGTTGGATACAGCTATTAAACTCGATGGTTTGGTTGCCAATCAGGAGTATACTTTCGCTTACACCGAGCCACCCATCCAATCGGTGGAACGTTCCTTTGACTTCCCAACTCTCAAAGGTAGACGTGGTTTGTTTGTCATTGAGTTCATTGGCAATGGTAAATCGAGTCGTGCCATCATCAAGAAGGGTGGATACAACTACTTGTCGGCAGTCAATCAGAACGGTCAGTTGATTCATGTGTTGGATGAAGACTCTGTAAAGATCACCAAGTGTAGCGTCACCATCGATGGCAACGTCTACAAGAGTGACGAGAAGGGTGACATCACAGTACCATTCTCTGCCAACGCCGGACATACCAACATCATCTTAACAGCCGATGATTTCTCAACCTTTGATTCATTCAATCGTAAGAGTGAAACCTACAAACTCGATGGTGGAATCTACTTGGAGAACTCTACATTCATTCAAGGTGAGAAAGCACCTATTGTCGTACGTGGAAAACTTTACCTTAATGGTACTCAAATATCAATTTCAAACCTTGAAGATACTATTTTAACAATTACAACAACTGATAGTGTAAGTTTTTAAAAAAAAAAACAAACAAAATATGACAAACGTTTACTAATATATATAATTTTTTTTATATAAATTTAATAGTCTGAACAAAAGATTGTAACAACTAAAGAAGTTAAGCCATTCCCATTGTCAGATAAAGAGGAATCTAGTTATTTGTTCAAGGTACCAGAGAATGTAGGAAAGGTTGCTGTTAAATTCCAAGCAAGAGTAAAGGATTTGAGTGGTGCTGCAAACTACAAGGATTTATCATTCCAAAATGAAACACCAATCAACTCTATCAATGAAACCGATCAAATCACTAATATTCATCTGAGCTACGCCAAAGATGGATACAAATTGAATGTCATTGGTAAGGGTGGTGAACGTGTTGCAAACAAACAAGTATCAGTCGCTATCACCCATGTCATCTCAAGACAAGATATCAATGAAATGTTACAATCTGATAAAGATGGTATTATTCATTTAGGTCAATTACATGATGTAAGTTAATAATAATTAATTAGTTTAAACTTTAATAACTAACCATTTATATTTTTAAATTGTTATTAGGTTGAATCAATTATCGTTTATGCCGAAACATCATTCACTTTTGTTATTGGAAATCGTTTGTTAAATCGTTACCCATCAACAATTTATTCAAAGAGTGGGGATACAATTACTATTCCATATTTCGGAAATGAATCGACTGTTACTCGTTCGGCTTTCAATTTGTATGAAGTTAGACGTGGCTATGTTGTCTCTGACTTGTTGAGTCAGGTGCATTTGGATAAGGAGAACAAAGAGATACAAATTTCAAAGTTGGCGCCTGGTCTCTACTATCTGATTGTCTACGGTCCATACAGTTTGATCCAAATCGAGGTGTGTGATGGTGATATCAAGGAAGGATTCATTGTTAATAGTTCAAGAGCACTCTCATACCACTCTTCGTTGGTTCATGGATTGAACGTCAATGCGAGCACCGCCGCCGATAAGAAGAACTTGGAAATCTCTGTGAGAAACGCATCACCTTCAACAAGAGTACATGTCATCTCTAGCTATTTCGTTGCCAAGCCAACCACCGATTCGTTATCTTGTGGAGCCACCCCGACACTCCAACAAAACTTTGCAAAAGTTGACTCCTCTTATTTTAGTGGTCGTGCTCTTGGTGATGAAATCACTTATATTCTCAATAGAAAGCTTGCCAAGAATACACTACCAGGTAATTCTTTGAAGAAACCATCGCTTCTGCTCCAGCCATGGTCTGTAGGAAAGACAACTCAACAGAAAGAGTCGCTAAAAGAAGCTGCCGACTACAGAAGTGTTGCTCCAATGCAACGTTTCGCATCGAATGCCGCTCCCATCGCTAGAATGACCAGTCAAACACACAGCTATTCAAGCTACTTGGAGTTCCTTAACAGTCCATCCACTGTCATCTTGAATTTGGTACCCGATGCCAAGGGTAACATTGTTGTTCCACTCTCTCAGTTGTCAGGCTCCGGTCAACTCGTTCAGATTACCGCAGTCGACAATGAAAAAGTTGTCTCACGTGAAGTTGTTATCGACCATACCGATGCATCGTTTAAGGATACCAGTTTGATTCGTTCACTCGATGCTCAAGCTCATTTCACCGAGAAGAAGTTGATCACCACTGTTCCAGCCGGTCAGGAATTCACTATCTCCAATGCTGACTCTGCCAAATTTACAATCTATGATACTCTCTCCAAGTTCCTATCGTTGGTCAAGACAATCGCGCCATCCGATCAACTTCAAGATTTCTCTTTCGTTGTTGATTGGGAATCACTAAGCCAGGAGCAAAAGAATGAAAAGTTCTCCAAGTTCTACTGTCATGAACTCGCCTTTTTCATTTACAAGAAGGATAAAAAGTTCTTTGAGCAAGTTGTCAAACCATTCGTTTCATCCAAGATGCACAAGACATTCATGGACAACTATCTCTCTGGTGACTACGAACGTTTGGTCAAATATCTTACTAGTTCCGTCGAGTTCAATCGTTTGAATGTCGTAGAGAAGATCTTGCTTGCCGAAGTATTCCCTGAACATGCCAAGAATATTGAAACATCGATCGTTGATGCAGTGCAATACAACCCATTGGCACCGATTCGTTATGATAAGTTGTTCAAGATTGCATTGTCACTCGATGCATTGGATGAAGATGATATCAGTGATCTTAGAGAGTATGGATCAGATGAAAAAGAAGAAGAAGATGATGATGATGATTTGGAGAATGATGAGTATATGGCTGAGGAAAGCGAAGGATTCAGTTCTTCAGATCACAAGAAATCGAAATCCAAGAAAATGGTTCTAGGAGGTGTTGGTGGTGGCGCAAGAAATAGAATGATGCCGATGGCAATGGCTGCGGAATCAGTCGATTGCACACCAAATTACATGAGATCAGCTGCTCCTCCAGGTGCGATGTCATTCGCTTCATTAGCGCCCGCTCCAGTGCCACCAAGTTACGGTGAGAGTGCCATGATGGAAAAGAGAAGAGTTGCACCCGCTCCAATCTACAAGGAGATCGAAAAGACCGAAGAATGGGCAGAGACCTACTACTACAAAGTCAATTACAACGATCCACAAATAGTATCCAGCAATGAATTCTGGAGAGATTACGTTCAATACATTGTTGCCCAGCACAACAACAATAACAATGAGAATGACAATCAACAGCCTTTCTTGAGTAGATACATTACACTACCAACTGGTTTCACAGCATCGTTGTTTGCTCTTTCTGTTTTGGATCTTCCATTCTCAACCAAAGATAAGGATTCCATTAGAAATCGTGATGGTAAAGTAAGTTTCACTCCAACCAGTTCCGTTATTGTTTTCCATCAAGAGTTGGTTCGTGCTCCTTTGAACGCCGATTCTAATGTTTTGGTTAGCCAACATTTCTTTGATCCAGCCAACCGTTATTCATATGAATCTAACGAGCAAAACGAGATCTACGTCAGCCAAGAATTCCTCACTAGCAAGGTGTATGGTGCTTTGGTTGTTGTCGCAAATCTTTCATCGAAACAAAAGAAGTTGGATGTTCTTCTCCAAATTGCAAAGGGATCGGTTCCAATCGGCCCAAATCCATTCTACACTCGTGGCGAATCGATTGAGCTCTCACCGTATTCCACTCATAGCTTTGAGTACTTCTTCTACTTCCCAAAGACCGGTCAATTCCCTCACTTCCCTGCACACATCTCTGAGAAGGACAAGATCATCTCATCGGTAGAACCATTCACCTTCAATGTTGTCTCATCGCCAACCATTGTTAATCAACTGTCATGGGAGTACATTGCCAATCACGGTACTAACCAAGCGATCTTGGAATACATCAACAAGGAGAACATCAACCGTATTTCAATCCATCATCTCTATCCAAAGTTGACCAACTATGAATTCTGGAAGCAAGTAGTTGAACTTCTTAAATCTAAGAAACATTTCGACTACACTGTTTGGTCGTTCACCATCTTCCACAAGGACTCTCACTACTGTCAGGATTTCTTGAATAATTCATTCGGTTCCATTCCAGTTGGTGATGTCATTGTCAGTCCATTGCTGACCTCTCACCCATTGGAGAGAGGTGATTTCTCCTACCTCGAATACTCACCTCTGGTCAACGCTAGAACTCATCAACTCGGTGAGAAGCGTACCATTTTGAATGACAAACTCAGTCAACAGTATAAGAAATTCTGTAAACTCTTGACCTACACTGTCAATCCATCGGATAGAGACTTGCTCTCGTTGGTCTACTATCTCCTCACTCAGGATCGTTACGAAGAGACCGTCAAGATCATGAAGAGAGTCGGCACTTCACCGGAAGTCGCCATCCCACTATCACCGGCACTTCCATCGCCAGCCATCTCCGAGGCATTGGAATTCCCACCAAAACTCGGTGACAATGATAAGAAGAGAAAGATGTCTGCCGAGGAGAAGCAACAGGAGAAGGAGGAAAAGAAGCGTGAAAAGGAGAGAATCAAAGAGGAGAAGAAGAAGGAGAAGGAAGACAAGAAGCGTGAGAAAGAAGAGAGAAAGAAGAAGGAAGACGAGGAAAAGAAGTTAAGAAAACTCGCCAAGAAGTCAAAGACCGACGCTTCTCCATCGACACCAACACAAGAAGTAGCTCATGGTATTTCATCGGTATCGATTTCCCTCTCGACAACAGCAGACGACGACGCTGCAACCTCATCCACAGAATGCATCGATGTCCATGAGTTTAACGAACCATCTTGCTTGCCAGACCTCCAGGTCCAATACGACTACCTCATTTCCTACCTCGATTTCTTCAACGCAGCGCCAACCAAAGCAAAAGAAATCGCAGAGAAATACAAGAACTTCCCTGTCCAACGTTGGAATGCACTCTTCCGTGACCTCTACAACAAGATCCAGCAGGTCAACGACAATGCCACCGACGCCATGGAAGTCGTGGAATCCGAGAATGACCGTGACCGTCGTCATGCCAAGCTCGTCAGTACCGAACCATCGTTCGACGTCAACCTCGAAGCCAACAGAACGATCTCTGTCAACTACAGCAATCTCAGCGACATCAGCGTCAGCTACTACATCATGGATATCGAGTTGTTGTTCTCAACCAACCCATTCGTGCAACAAGAGATGGGACAATTCCTCTACATCTCACCAAACAAGAAGGAATCGTTCCCATTGCAAGAGAAGAACGGATCGTTTGTCATTAACATCCCAGAGGAATTCAAGAACTCAAATATCGTAGTTGATTGTCACTCGGCAGGTATTCATCACAATCTCACAGTATACTCCAACAACATCGCAGTTCAGATCACAGAGAAGGCAGGACAACTCAGAGTCATCGAAAGACAAACCAAGAAACCAATTGCAAAGGCTTACATCAAGGTCTACGAGAAGAACAAGTCATCTGGAAATGTTCAATTCTGGAAAGACGGTTACTCTGATATCGCCGGTTACTTTGACTACAGCAGTGTATCCACCGGCAACATCAACGAAGTATCGAAATTCTCCATACTCGTTCTTCACAATCAATTCGGTGCATTAATCAAAGAAGCAAAGCCACCCGCTAACTAAACTATCAAATCAATCTGCCAACAAAGCAAAACCAAAACAAAAAAAATAAATAAAATTTTAATTTAAAAGAAATACAACAATAAACAACTAACTAAATATCCATTACTATTATCTCTTTTTACTATCATATTACTCGTATATATTAATTTTTTTAATTATTCCCACTAACTCCAGAAAAATCATATGAATAATTTAAATATCTAAAAAAATTACAAAAAAATTCATTTTTGAAATAATCAAAAAAAAAAAAAAAAAAAACAGGTCAGGCATTAAGAATTTAAAAGTAGAATATTAATAACAATAATAATCTGCCTCTTTTACAAAACAAAACAAGAACATCACACTCACCAATATCATACATTGTAATTACTTTCGATAAACAAATAAACAAACCACCACTCTTTACTATTATTCTTAATAACAAAAAGTTACCACACCACCTTACACCAACCAAACTTTTAAAAGAATCAATAGTCAATTGAATAATAGATTAATCGACATTTACTTATCATCCCAACAGTGCAGATCTAGTAATAAAACAATAGAATAGAATAGAAAAATGTTGAGTAGTTTATTTATTTTAGCTGATACAGGGTATGTTTTAAGTTATTATTATTTACGCAACACAACAGATCTTCGAGAAAACAAAAGTAATTGACTTGAAACTAATCATATAATCGATATCGATCATCATAGTGATATTATTATTGAAAAACACTGGAGAGGTATCATTAATAGATCGATTTGTGAATATTTCTGGGATCAAAAGATTTCAGCGGAAAGCGAGGGTAGCAGTGTAGCACCGGTCATAACCACACCGAAATACTATCTCGTCAATATAAAGAGAACAACGATTTACTTTTTGGGTGTGTTGCAGAATGAGTGTTCACCGTTGTTGGTAGTCGATTTCCTACAGCGTATCTACGATGTGTTTATCGATTACTTTGGTCAGAACCTGAATGAATCGATCATCAGAGACAACTTTGTGCACGTCTATCAGCTGATCGAAGAGATGGCTGACAATGGTTTCCCGTTCACAACCGAACCAAACTTCCTCAAGGAAATGATCAAACCACCCAACGTTGTATCGAATCTCTTACAAGGTGTTACCGGTACTTCCAACATCTCTGATAATCTACCAAGTATGATATTATTATTATTATTATTATTATTATTATTATTATTATTATTATTATTATTATTATTATTATTATTATTATTATTATTATTTAATCATTACTAACATATGTTATAATCTAACTCTTTATTTTTCTTTGTTTCTTCTATTTATTTTATTAAAGATGGATCATTAGGTGCAATTCAATGGCGTAAAACAGGTATTAAATATACATCTAATGAAATATTCTTTGATATCATTGAAGAGATTGATTGTATTATCGATAGGTATGTTTTCTATAGTTATAGATATTTGGATGTTTTGTTGTTGTTGTTTTAATATTAATATATACTATTTTTAAAATTTAAAGCAATGGATTTGTTGTATCATGTGAAGTCAATGGAGAGATTCAAGTCAACTGTAAACTTAGTGGAATGCCAGACTTAACACTTACATTTAATAATCCAAGAATGTTGGACGATGTCAGTTTTCATCCATGTGTCAGATATTCACGTTGGGAGAATGACCGTGTATTAAGTTTTATCCCACCAGATGGATCTTTTAAATTAATGAATTATAGGTATGAATGATAGTAACAGTAATAATAATAATAATTATTGATTATTGCTTTGGATACTTATTTATTTTTGTTATTATTATAGAATTAAAGGTATAAATCAACTACCAATATATGTAAAACCACAGATTAGTTTTGGTGAGGGTGGAGGTCGTGTAAATGTGTTGGTCGGTTCAAAGAACACCAATAATAAACCGGTTGAAAATGTATTTGTTACCATTCCATTCCCAAAGACTACGACAGCCGTCAACCTCACTTCCAACGTAGGTGGACACTTCACAGAAGATAAAGTTTGTAAATGGAACATCGGAAAGATTCCAAAAGAGAAAACTCCGATGCTCTCTGGTAATGTAGTACTAGCTGCAGGTCAGCCATTGCCAGAGGCTAACCCATCGATTATGGTACAATTTAAGATTGCAATGTTTACTATTTCTGGTTTAGGTGTAAGATATTGATAACTTTTACAACAAAGTACATTCATAACAATTATTAATTCATCTTGATTTGCTTTGTTTTCTTTAGGTTGACTCACTTGCATGTAGTGAAAAATATAAACCATTTAAGGGTGTAAGAAGTGTAACTCGTGCTGGAAAATTCCAAGTTCGTGCTTAAGAAATATTTTAAAAAAAAAATAATAACTATCAAAACAACAACATCAACAACAACAACAACATTTAAGAATTATTTATTATAATCTTATCAACTCCAAAAATCATATATCTTCAAACAGTCTAACAAACCAATCAATAATTTAAATTAATAAATGAATGAAAATAATAGAAACCAAACAGATCAGAAGAACTAACGATAAAAGTATTACTACAACTTTATAACTAACTATTCTAATTCACACTTATTATAATTCAAAAATATTATTATTTGATTATCAAAGTTGAGAAGGAATCGACATCATAAAGATATTTACAATCAAAAAGGCGCGAAGATTTTTAATTCTTATTCTTAAAAAAATTTTAATTTAAATTTTTTTTCCATTATCCAAAGAGATTTTTTTGTTTGAAGAATCTGAAAATTAATTACAATTATTGTAATAATAATAATAATTGTAAATATGCATATTCAGTTATATAGAGGTTTATTTAAATCAAAAGTATTAAGAGAATTGATTTTTGAGCAAATTCATAGGTTATCAGGTGAATATCGAGACAGAGGATTGGAAATATATAAATGGAGTGATTTAGCGTTTTGTCCACAGCAACTCGTTCTATATAATTATGTCGATCAATTGAAATCGACAATCAAATATTTTATTGAAAATAGATACACTTTACAATGTACAATTTTAAACGAGAAGAAAAAAAATAAAACAAAATTCTTTAAAATAGAACAATCATCACCATCATCAAACAGTAATAATAATAATAATAATAACAATAATAACAAAAAAAACAATAAAAACAATAAAAACAACAATAGAAATGGAAATCCAAAGTTTGTTATCTATTACATATTGTATGCATTAAAAACGAGTGCTACTCATGGTAACTTGGATTTAATCATCTATTTACTTTCACAATTCTATGAATTACCAACAACAAAACAACAAAAATCAGAAGAAACAAAGAGTATTACTCCCAAAAGGTAATTATAATAACACATAGTGTAACATTATGATAACAATGATATGGTAATAAATAATAACAATAACCACTTCTATGTAGCATTATAAAATTGGAACAAAAGTATTTAAAGAGTATATTTAACAAAGCTGCAGGCAAAGGATATTTAAATATCTTAAAATACTTGATTGAAACTTATGGAAATCATGATGTAAAGATCACTACGAAATCGATGAATTGCGCTGCGAGCAATGGTCATCTCCAAGTCTTGAAATGGATGTATCAGACTCGCGATTCAACAGCTACCGTTTGTAATCATCTTGGTTTAGATGCGGCCGCTAACAATGGCAAATTGGAAACGGTTCAATTCCTCCTCGAAATGAAGGTTATTCCAAATTTAGCAGCTGAGTATGCTGCAGACAAAGGACATCTCGATATCCTGATCTCGCTAGATCAGTTCAACCATCTCCCCACTACTTCTGTTGCTTTAGATAATGCAGCTACGCGAGGACACATGGAAATTGTACGGTTCCTTCATAGCAGACAAGCGAAATGCACTACAAACGCCATCAACTATGCTGCCTACAATGGACATTATCAAGTGGTTCACTTCCTTTTGGAGAATAGAAGTGAAGGATGCACACAGGAAGCAATGGACCTGAGTTCTATGGATGGACATTTGGATATTGTGAAGCTGCTTCACGAACGATCGGACAAAGGATGCTCACAGTCAGCCGTAGATCTTGCAGCTGGTAACTGTCATTTCCATGTGGTCCAATTTCTCATTGAAAATCGTACGGAAGGGTGTAGTGTCAATGCTCTTTCTAATGCAATCATAAATGGTCATCTACCAATGTTTCAGTACCTCGCAGAGAAGACCGCATTTCTCAAAGATGAAGAAGCCGTTGAGCGACTGTATGAAATTGCAAAATCACATGATAAATTGGAAATAGTTGAATTTCTAAAGAATAATTTCACACAATTACAAAGTCGTAATTAATATTGAACAAATTCAAAATAGGAATTCGTTGAAATAAATAAATAATTTAAGTGACTATCATTGCAAAATTTAATGATCAATCAATATACTATAGATATAGATGTATCTTAATATTAAACTAATATTAAAATTGGAGTCTTAAAAAAAAATTTGTTTTAATCTTTTTATTTGTTATAGTTTTTATAAAAATAGTTATAGAATTTAATAATCAATTTAAAAGAATAATAATAATATATATTAAACGATATTTTATCTTTAGTTGAAACCTATTCTATCATTCATTTTCTTCTCAAATATTATTTATGTATCTATATTGATGATATTTTCAAAAAAAATGATAAATCACTATCTATAGATATAGATGTATCTTAATATTAAACCTATAATAATTGGAATTAGAATTGTTTTTTTCTTTATACAATACAAAAGTATTCACAACTAACACACCAGGCATTAAAGGAACTGCTGCTACAATTAAAATCATACCCTAAAACATCATCAACTCAAGTTCTCTTTATCGACAATCACTATCAAAACAACATACATGTTGAATTATCGAGATAAACATATGTTCAACAACTCTACTTTATCAAATAAAAAACAAAACTTATTTAGATAGTTTATTTATAATTATTTATTTGAATTGTAATTCTCGTTGTTTACATTGTTATTATTACTAATGAATAATTTGATAGGTGAAATTGGTTGGTGTGTTCTTCAAAATATCGGATGAAGTTTGAATTGTAAATTGTATATTCTTAATATGTTGATCCGATTCATCTTTCTAATGATCTGTAAGTCTACTTAGCCGATTTTTTATCATACTGGTTGGTTTGCGATAGGTGTGATCACCACTTTCATTGTCAAATTGATATGACACCCCAATTGAGTTGATCTAAAAAATTAATGAATTAATCATAAAGATTAGATGAATCGATGTTAGTTGATTGAGTGAATAGGTGTGTTGTGATGGTTTTAAATGATTAAATGATTTAGAATATTAAATGTATGATCATCTACTTCAAATAGTGCATCACCACCATAACTTTCTTGAAATCTAAATCGTTTGTGCATTATCAGTCCTATATTAATATGAGCAATATTGATATTTCACCAATAGACTGTTTTTTTCTCTCTTTCACCATGGGTTCAACAATTCTCTTTTTAACTATAGTTGGTTAGTTAGTTATTCATTTATAATAAATAAATAGTTTAACAAAACTTACCAAATAATAGAAGAGGTTCAATGCTTTGTATTTGAGGTTTGAAAAGTAGATAGTAGAGGAATAGCATCACTTTCCAGAGTTTCTACAATGATTTAATTGATTAATTGTCGTCAAACTGTCATCTCTGGACCAGAAAAATATTGTATTCGTGCCAACAACAGATCCAATATGTTATTCAAGAACAGTAAGTGGTCAGTGGAGCAGATGTCTTATTCAAAGATCCTTCCAAAAGAATTCAAAATGTCTTGAATATTTGTTTGTATGATTACCATTTTAGATCATTAATGTTTAAAAATATTAGTAAATTAATAAATGATAGTATAGTATTTAATTTATTGAAATTTTATAGGACTTATGATATAGATAAAAAAATAAATATGTGTCTATGAATGGGAAACTAATGAATGATTGATTAAATGAATTATATAAATAAATGAATAAAT